GTTGACGCTAGTGGACACCGGGGCCTTGGCTTTTTTTCTCCCTTTGAGTTTCAAGTTTCGAGGCTTTTTGGAGGCGCTGGGTTATTGTCTATGGTCGCACTTATTGCGGAGCCTATACTTTGCGGTGTGCCATCGCCGCTGACTTGCTCCGTGGGCACTGGCCTCAAAATGGTCTGTTTCTACGACTTTGCTGGAATGAGTAGGTGATAAAAGTTGGAAAAGTTGGAGTTCAGAGCGAGAACGAGAGAAATTTAATTACTACATGCTAATATATACTGGATCCTTGACAAATTGAATAATAATGCCCAAGTGATAGGCAGATAAATTCCAACTTTGAAGTTCTGATCTGGGAAATATATCGTGCACCTCCAGGGCTGGGCAAGTCCACGGGGACACCTCTGGAGGGCGGGAGTAGCCCTAGAGGCACCCGTGCCCAGGTGGACTTACTCTATACGCCCGTGGACAACCTTGGAGATTTCCGAGGCCACGGTAGCCACACCCTCCCATCTGCGTGGACGGAGTACAAATTTGGGTATTCCGATACTGTACTCACACCTGGGCATACATCTAGTGTGTACTACAATAAATTTAAACTACCTGTTTTCACTTAAATCAAACCACTCATCGGACATCCATCCTGTCTTGAATCTAGTCTCGCTTTGACTGTCTCAAACCATTGCGATATTAATTAACGAAGCATATATTATCCAACGGTCAGCAATTATGTTATGCAGAAACACTGCCACTGCCGAAATTACTAGAATTCAACACGCACGGGGCGCTGCGGTTGCCGAACTCCAACTCCCGACGCCATAGCACTTCATGCGATACAGGATCCCAAGGTCCTCGGCGCACGTGTCTCGGTCAGAGATGCTATGTTACATCTGTTCCACTCAAAGCCAAGCGAGAAAAAAAAAATGCGGGGATACTCGGCTAACCCGGTTTCACACACTTGCGTTTCCATGGATGAGGGTACGCACCAACCTACTCTTGCGGGTAAATTATCATTTACCCAATTCGAGTTTTATGCTAATGTGCAGAATCTCATACTCCAAACCCCATACAAAGCTTTTCCCCCCTTCTCTTCCCTGGTAGACTCCAGACTATTCCGTAGTCCGATACCTTAATGTCTGGACGGGAAGAGCGGCTCGGGACCCCGAAAACAGACATACAAATGAGAAAAGCGCAATAAACTAGATTAGCTTGTTAGAAAGATACTTTCGCTAGAAAAGTGTAGAAAGCATTAGCCTCAAAGTAGCGTGCTGGGCACGTGTTTCAGATGTAGTACATTGTACGGAGTAGTTCCTCGGTATCCGCAGAAATACTCCGGACTCCATGAATCGCGATCTCAATTCCAAACTTTGAGCTCGTTAACCCGAGACACTAAGCCGATTGTGGTATTCATAGAACCGAGAGGAGTTCCTCTTGTAATTACTGTAAAACATCGTAGGAATCACAGAACCACACTATCTTTAGATCATCCGCTCGCCATTAACTACTTTGGGATCATTCAACTTTGGCACGCTTACCCTGACACCATGGGACAACATTTTGAGCTTATCTGCAAGTTTGGCTTAGCAAGGTACCAACGGGACAGAACGTGGGAGGGAAGAGTTCGTTTCAGGTAAGATCTGCTGTGCGTCTGGTCCACTATTATCAGCTCGGATTTTACTACTCGTTCGGCAGGGAGAGTGATAGAGTAACAAAACTAGCCAATGGAAACTTCTCGACGTCCTCCCCGGCAATCTCGCAATCTTCAGCCTAAAAGAGAGTTCCTAACATTACACTGAGGCTTGGGAAATTGTGAACACTGTCCCCACCGGGTTCCACCGTCGGTATGGATCGGCCTCCGGTGAGCCCACATATGGGCCAAGTTAGAGAGACTAGCGGCACGAGAGTTCGATCAATGGCATTCTGGAGTTGCGATCGTGGGACAATTTTGGGATGCGGAGAGGTGCACAGCGTATGGTGGACTTTTGTGGATTACAAGACGGATGCAATTCCCTTTCGCCAACGAGACGGGCTGAAAATGACTATCACTGGATTTTCCAAGGTTGTGTGGACACTTGTTCACACTCGGCCCCAAGATCGTGGGAATCGATTTCTTGGCCCAGGTGAGGGTGTTGGCTGTAGCTTTCCTCCAGGTCTGACACACAAGCTCTACCCAATTATCGGGCTGTTCCTGAGATGAGGTGTGGTGGGCCAACGCGAAGTCGTATCTTTTCGGACCTGCATCTTTGGTACGTATGGGGCCTTGGTACAGTAAACACCAAAATGGTGTGATTATCGGCTATCTGATCTTATATTGCTCTTTCCAAGGTTGCTGGTTCACACAGCGTTTTTTTCATCTGGAGCCGCGGGATGTTCCCGAAGGAGATCTGTTTAATTTCATGGTTGCGGAAATCATGAGCATGCGCTCTATTGAAGAATATGATTGGCTAACGTAGCACGAGTTTGCATCAACACAATTCACTAATGTACTCGCACTTATAGGCAAATGACGCTATATCCCGTGGCCCATGAATATTTTTCTTCACTTGTATCCACTGAAGACACCAGAAAAACCCTGAGTTGCATATCAGCGCCATTAGCCATAACTATAATCATGTAGCGTGTGTATCTTCATGCAACATTCAGTAGCGTAAGCGCTACTCAGGCTCGAATAGGCAGAGTGGCGCCGGATGAATTCTCGTGAGCTATCAAAGATCGACATCCAGCCCCAGTTCCCATCAGATAGTGTACCAGGCCTTGCTCAAGCAAATCCAAGGAAGCGGCCTGTAGTGCAACGTTCATTGTAGCCCGCGCCCACAGCAGATCGACCCGCGCAGTATCTTATACGTAACGGGGTTCACTTCCGTTGTACGATTTGGGTGATCGCAGCTTACGGTGTCCATCCATGAGAGACATTTCCACAATTATCCGCTTAAGCTGGCTTTTGCTTACGGGTCGGTGTCAATCATGATCCACGTCCTCCGTAGCATTTACGCAGTGCTCCGAATGTTCATAAGGCGCAATCTAATGGGCTGGGAAGTCTCAATCTGAGCTGAGGTGAAACCTCGCGCGCATCTCCCGTGTAGCGAGCACATCAGCGTGGACACTGTGACGAATATTCACCGATGTCATTCGAGAGGTCTAATGGAAGATTTCCCGCCATGCACGAGGTGGCTTTTTTTTTACTCGCGCCTAAAAGATCCGGCCCCAACTACTCCAAGCCACTTATGAAAACATGCCTTCATCGGTGGATACCAGCACGAACGAACTCCTCCGTAATCCGTATGTACACTTGTGCCTTCATTTTTTTGGAAGCACCAGACTGGGCGCCACTCGTCTCGAGGCGGGCTAGCGGTGGGTCTTTTATCGCTTCGGAACATTGATCAGAAGGTGGTGCCTTCCACGACGAGCCATGGCCAACTGAGGTCCCCAATTCACCCCCATTCTCACCCAAATTTGCCCACTTTACGAAAGATGATCCTGACAACGAATCCTCGGGTCGGGGGGATCATCATGGAGCCCGGCAAAACCCCGTCTCCAAAATCAGAAATCACGAGTTGTTCTCCATCGTACTTTGGATTGCGCCAGCGTCCATTTGAATCGTCACTTCGCATACCCACGTCCATCCACTTCCCGGTCCGCGGTGCTCTCTTTCCGTCCGCCGAGCACGGGTACCTTTTACTCATCTGTGGAGAGAACCAAAGAAGCACGGGTTGTACAATGAACAAGCCCTTGTATAGCTCCGGCTAGCTCTTGACGACCTACAAGGCGCTCCGCTTCAGACGGTCTGGATAAATACAACGCCAATATATGCCCCAGGCTCGATTCCGGTCCGAGACTGGGGCTCACATCGGCAACAGTGGTTGGGGTTTTTGCAATACCGTGAGCAAGCCGAATGCATCCGGTGGCCGGTGGCCGTGGCCGATGGCCGCTGTGGATTCCAACCTTGGGAGCCAAGATGCATGCTACTGTACGAGGGCTGGATGTCCATGCTGCGACTCCACGTTGTCGGGACGTGATTCAGCCCTAATTGATTGGGTACAGAATCAGTCATGTCGTCTGATGCTTGTTTGAAATTGGTGATATTGAATTTATAGTGATGGCGTGCGAACATTTCTGCTGTGGATCACCTCGCCCGCCTAGCACTTATGTATTGCTGACGGAACGCAGTCTCTCCTTGATGATAGGCGATTGCACCTTGAAAGCTTGCGAAAAGTCGACACAGGTGATGCTTGTTTCCAAGCTCGCGCAAGCTGACCCGTTGACCTGCAAAATCAGACCAGCTTGGACGACCACAACAAACAGCAAAAATTGGCCTCAGGGATGGTTAAAGTGAGATCACGCTCCCATAAGGAGTCAGTCTCTTCCTATCATATATCCATTTTTCTCGTCATTGACCATATGATTGTTATATGGAGAAGGAAAGAAAACAGAAGTCGTGAGAGAAAAGTTCCCTCGCATGCTGACTAACACACTGAAATTTCTGCGGGCGCCCAATCAGTTCCAAGGCGGAAAAACAGAAGCTCCGGGGAGCAGCATAAAAGAGAAATCTCGACCGGCTCCTTTCCTCTTTTTTCTTTTCTTCTTCGTGCGGCGGCGCGACTTCGATACCCGTGTTGCCTGGACATCTACGGTCATTGTCTGGCCTTCAGTGATGTAAACCAGGTGTCAGTTGCGCCACAGACGAAGGGAATTGCACGTTGATTCTACTTTATAGGTCTTTCTGATCTTCTAGGATGAGACCTTTTGGTTTGGGATCAAACATACTTTTACATAGCTTCTTCATTGTAAACAATGAAATACTGGACTTCTATCAGATTCTAGACTGTTGCCTGTATTCTTCGTATTCAAAAGACTGTCCAGCACCCCTTCTGGACTGTTTGTGGTGCTCCGCCGTGTTCAGCGGCGCGAGTGTATCATTTTCATTGCCATGTCTAACCAAACTTGAAGCGCTTTTGAAAGCTCAAAATTGGCTGTCATTTGAAGGGTATTTTCTCAAGCGTCTATGTTTACTCGCCGGGCTCATCGCCGATCTTCTCAAGCTTGCCCATGGATCTGTTCGCACCAGCCTCGCCAACAATGCGAATCCGATCCACGCGAAGCTTCTCGCTATCTCCATCACCGTCTACAAAGAAGAGAACCAGCGATGACACGTTCTGGAAGTTGACAAATCGTAAGCCAACTGTCGCAGTCCCGGTCTTCGCATCCCAGTCTCCAGGCTGGATCTCGACCTTCTGCACAGGAGGAATGCCATCCGCCTCGTCGAACCCAAGCACATGGGATGTATTCTTGTAGATGTGCAGGCTCTTGGGGCGCATGGGGGTTTCGTCATCGTCGGCATCGGCGTCCGCGGGCGGGATAGATGTAACCTGGATCGAGTGCACTTTCAGTGTCGACTGGAATGGGATATACAGCATCAGCTGCTCGTCGGTATCACTCTCGACCCAATCCGCTTGTCCATCCGATTTGCCCTTGCCCTTTGTTGCTAGTCCGGATGGCTTCGAGGTGTTGAATAAGGTGCGCGGCTCTCCGCGCTCGGTGTCGCGGTTTAACAGTTCAAGTCCTTTCACGTCGACTTGGTCTGTGATGTCGCCGTAGCCCTTGGCCGCTGAGCCGCCAATCCAGTAATCACCGGAGCTTCCTTCGCCAGCTCCGGCTGCGTCGTCGGACTGACTTGCCTCCGATGCAAGCTTCTGGACGATCTGGTTCAGTTGTGCGGGGTTGGCGCCCTTGACGGTCTGGTTCACACGGCCGTTCTTGAACACGATGAAGGTTGGCATTCTATACAAGTCATGAGTATGTCAGCGGCTGGGAATCCAATCATGTTGTTGCATACGGTCTTCAACCGTATTCCGGGGGGAGTAGTGCACATACGCAGTAACACCGTAGGCTTGGGCAAGTTCTTGTTGGTGGTCGACATTGATCTTCGTGAATGTGATGGCATTGGGACGCGAGAGCTGGGTGGCCAGCGAATTATAGGCGGGCGCAATAGCCTTGCATGGCCCGCACCAGTCGGCGTAGACTATTCAAGTACCAAGCGCACGTCAGCAATGTCTTCGCTGTTTGGGTGGTTGTAGACAGGGTCGGCGGGGTAGCGGCCAGAGGACTTACAGTCTGCGACAACTAGACGAGAGGTAGAGAGGAGCGAGGTAAACTGCTCTTTGGAGGAAATTTCAACAACGGACATGTTGACGTTGTGAGGGAGATGTGAGGGGTGGAAGTAGATGAAAAGGTGAGGTTGTGTTTTGCTGCTTCCGAATATGTCATCAGCCCCTCCGCGCCGGCCAAAATCAGCCATGTAAACTGCCATGAAATGAGCTAATTCCTCATCTTGATTGAAATACAAATGGACTTTTCAATTCTCAAAATATACCTAGGTACTGTGAGCTCCAGTAGGTTATCATTTGGCAGATACGGAAGTATATCAGATCTCGAGCGACTGCCCTTGGGCAGAAATGGTATAAAATATATCTCATCACAAGTGCCCGGATTCCAAGGTTTGGAGCTGCATCACCAATATCACGACTTGGACATCGGGCACAGAGAACAGCTACCTAGGTAGAGGTCCAAACTCGGAAAGCAAGAGGCCCTGGGGATAAGGAAGACCTTGGAGGTTGATCTGGGCACCTATAAAAAAAAAAAAAAAAAAACAAATATACAAATATGTGTAAACCCCCCGAGGCCGAGGTCGAACACCACTGTTATCACCTGGGCGCTCATAAGACTAGACAAGGATGTATGAATTCCTTCCAAGGTTGTATACAAATATAGCTTAGGTGGGGGCACCTGGGCAGCTAAGAATTCCAAGCATTCCAAGGCTGAACGCCAGTCTAAGACAAAGGAGCCTAGCAATACCTATGAGAGGCGCAGCAAGCACCGTGTCTCCATCGAATGAAGTTGGGACCAAAAGCTGCTTGTTGAGGGCAACGAGTCTGCCAAACCATTGCAATGCAGGATCAGCACCAGTTTGCTGATCCAGAGAGTTGCTCACGAGGCAATCATCGCGGAGGGACAGACCAAGACATAACATCGATCATTGCAATGATACCCAGGGTGCCATGGATTTGATATGCAGACGTCGGAAAAGCCAATACCAAGCATAGCCTGAGTGAAGGCCTTGAAGCAGACCCAGGAAGCTGGTAGATAGAGTGGGCTAGGATTGCAGAGATTCTCTGCACAGGAACATGTCGAGTCGGTCTGTCGCAGAGATGTCAATCAAATCGACTGAAATGGCATAGGTATTCGCCACCACGAACCCGGGCCCAGTCAAGAGTGATTCAAGGTCGACAAGGAAAAGTGAGCCTCCATGTACCAAAACACGGACACGCGATCACATCACCCATCGTCCCCCTCGACGGCGAAGAGAATCTTCAACCAGAGACTGCACCCACGACACCCAATCAAAATTTCACCATGTTCCACCTCCCTCTCTAGATCCTCCTCGGTGACCGAGAACCCGCGGTCATCACCACACCGACAACCACGATACCAGACATCGCCGTTGGGGGTCTCATCGCACGCAAGATCCTCCAAATCCACGACCTCAAGCCCAGTATGAAAGACATGTGCCGTCTTCTCCCGCTCCGCAGCCTTTGCCCTGTCTAACCGCAGAGAGCGATCGTACTCGGCACGAAGAACGGGATCCGAAATGGTTTTATAGGCGGTCCTGATCTGATCGATAGTATAAGGACTCGATGAAGCGTCGTTGTTCGAGGTATTGGACGCAGCGGTCTTTGTAAAATCCTCCTTTGCTATGGCACCTGCTTTATCGGGGTGGTGCTTGAGCAATGCCTTATGGTACGCTAATCTGATCTGATGCTTCGAATGGGTTACAGACGAAGTCCCGGCAAAAGGCAGGGCAAGAACCTCGTAAAAATCGTCGCTGCTTGTTGTCCTCGTCATCTCAGCGACTGAATCCTCTGTTTGTGTGGGTGCCGTGTCTTTGCGCTCCGTGTCGCGAGTCGAGTCCTGCGGGCAGTCAAGGTGCGCGCGCCAGGCTGTATAGCGTAGCGACGCCTCGAAGTAAAAATGAGGGGTCCGACCGCCTTGAATTTGAGGATGCTGCGATGTGAAGATTGCAAGTTGTGCTGGAAAGCGGGGTTGGTGAGTCTGTCGAGGTTGAGAATTTTTGAGTGTCAACTTTTGGCGGGTCAATCCCTGGCGCGCCACTTTGGACGAGGGTTGCCCGGATCCTACGGAGGACTTAGATCAACTCTGATTCTGCTCTCTATCTGTTTTTCATTCCCACATATGCCCGGCTTTTCAGATGCGCATACGGTTTGTCAAATACAGGCTACTTGCTGTTTATGCGGCAGCTTTGCTGTTCTCCGCCGATAATTCAACGTGAGGCACATCTATTACGTCGTGGATTGAAGGTTACATACTCGTTACGTGCACAGTGGACAAATCTCCGAATGGGAAAGGAACTCTATACTTTCATTGAACAAGAGAAACAAGATCTCAGTGAGTAATGACTCGGATATCAAGACAGGTAAAGAAAAAAAAAAGGCTGGGACAAGATTCGCTGCGACTCCCAAGTGAGCCTTTTACTCAGAGGCCTTGAAGACAAAGCGATCCTCAGGCTTGACTTCGAAGGGCACACCGAGCTCAAGGAGCTTGACAAAGACATCCGAGAACTCCTTGAAGAAGACATCGCTGTCCTTGGCATAGCGGTCGACGTGGGGCTTGAAGCCCTTGTCCTTGACGAGAGCCATATCAGTGGGCAACATCATGAGAGTGGAAGTGGTCTTGTCAGTGAACTGAGTAGGGCCGTTCCACTTCTTGTGGCTCCACTTCTCCTCGACAAGGAGGCGGAAGAACTCATTGCTGAAGACAGTAGGGCTGAAGTTCCAAGGGCCGTCGAAGCCGGAGCGGTCGGTGTGGCAGCGACCCAGAGCGTGAGCACCGCACAGTGCAACCATCTCACGGTCATCGAAGCCCATGCGACCAAAGATATCACGGATGTGACGGGGGCCCTGAGTGGCGTCGGGCAGACGGCCATCGGGTGTGCAGGCAGCAACTTCCTTGTCCTGACGACCGGGTCTCCAGGGAATGGTGGGACCGCCGAGCTCTTGAATAGCACAAGCGCCACCGAGAGTCCAAAGATCGGAGTGGGAGATCCAGGGGAACTGGGCCTTGATAGGCTCAAGGAAGTCGCGAGCGGCCTTCAGACCGGCATTGGCGCCGTGGTCTGACTCTGGAGCGAATCTCATGGTGGCACCGTTGCTACCTCCAGTACCGGTTTCCTTGTCAAAGGTTCCGCTGGCGTGCCACGCAAGACGGACAAGGACCTGTTGCACACGAGACTCGTTAATACTTTGCACCGTTATCATCAAGAGAAGCTGCACTTACAGGACCATAGCTGCCGTCATCATAATCGGTCTCGTCGGCAAGACGCTGAGCAACGGCCTCATACACCTTTTGGTAATCGGCCTGGGTGGGAACGAAGGGACCCTTGGGAGAGGCGCCGTTCAGGTAGAAGTACACACCACCGGCACCAAGAGCACCGAGACCGAAAGCCCAGATGCCGAAGGATGAGCTGGACTTCTCGGAGCTGGCTTCAGAGGAATATCCACGAGCAGAAGCACGAATGTGAGGGAGGGCGAAGCGGGTGCTGCGTGCCGCGGGACGGAAAGAAGAGGTGGCCGGGGTCGAACGCAGGAAGGCCCGGGAAGCAGATCTGGCAGCCGAAGCCATGGTGTGATGTATGAAAGAGAGGGTAAGGTCTAATTGTTTGAAAGGGTTTCACAAAGGGAAGAAAGGAGAGTGACTTTGGAGAGTACAAGTCCAGCAGGGAGGGGAAGGACCGGGAGCCATTTGTACTTTGCTAATACTATCAGGGCCAATACTTCGGTACTGCTACAGAAGCTGATGGAACCAGAGCCAATCAAGGGGGCCACATATGCCATTGCCTCGGCGTTTCGACGCATCTCCGCATTATGGTCCATCACCCCAGATTTCCTTTAATGCTGCTTTTCACCACCACAATGGCGTGGGATTGCCTGAAGAATCCCTCACCTGAGTGACAATGCCTCAAGAGTGCAATAAACCCAGTCACATATGGGAATTCCACGCGTAGCTACAAAAAATGTCAAAAAAGTCTTCGGAAGGGATTATTAACAGCAACGCGCTGTTTGGTCAATGTGGCCCCACTACGGCTCCCTCCGACTTGCTTACTGTGTCGAACGGTCTGGTTCCCGAGTCTAGATACGTCGCATTATACATCTCGATTTGAAGGAGATAGGGTTGATTATTGTAATGCTTGACCTGGATCGCTGGGCATATCAACCTGCCCTCAAGTGTTTACGCAGCCTCTATCCCAATCCCCACTTCCAATGTTCGCTATGATGCTCTGGAGCTACAAATCGTATCGGCATGTGGGCTTCTCTCTACCTTGTTTCTGGTGTTGCACCATAGGTGAAAAGCATTATCTCACACGAAAGTCACTGGAGTAGAAGCGTGACTGGCCTTACGGCGGTCAGCTTCCAAGATTAACCTTAAATTGTATATCAGCCATCATCAATTGGGTGACTTATGCATAGATGCCCATCCACGCTTAAGGGTTCTTCAAATCAATTAATGAACTTGACATTCTGGTCTGATAGCTTCACATGCAAATGAATCTTTCTTCTACAGTCTCCAAAGTCTCCTTCTCCTGGTTTAGCTGGGAGCTATGACAGTTTGCCGGTCTTTAAGCTCAATATTATGTGGGGTGAGAGGGTGCGATATCAATACAAGCCTCAGTGCCGCGCTCACGCGCGGCCAAAAAGACGACGATAGTTGCTTATACACAGGCGTAGTTATGTATTCGCTTAATCTCATCTTTGGATTGGTAACGGAAGAGAGCTGTCATCAACTTCGGGACCTTTTTTCAACTGTCTTTCTAAGTGTCTTTCTAGCTGTCCATCCAAGGTTGTCTTGCCGCAGACAACGTATCAGAGACAGAAACTCGAGCGTCATGAGGTCTGAGTCTCGCGCGACGCTGAAACGGTGGGTGAATTTCCAAGGTTGCCTGGACATTATGCCTGGGACAGTTTACTTTTAGTAATACGGAATAACAATTGGCAATGAAAGTTGTGACATTTTGAAAAATTCATGACTCAAGACTCAAGCTTAGGGATGTCCGTCGTAAAAAAGTCCTGCAGTTCAATAGATCTGAACACCAGGGTGGAGTAGACGCAGCTCTGCTAAAAACTGTTTGGTTTTGATATTCCACGAACGAACGTTTAAAAAACACCCATGAGACGTCCAGTGCCACAGATAGGCACCACGCGGGTTATGTGGTTTGGGTTTCAAGAGTATACTCGATCAAATTGAACAATTCCCGACATTAAAGAATTGGACAATTTGAGGTGCAACTCTCAGAGATGGTTGAGGAAAAAGAATCTGCGGCGGGAAGAAGTTTTTATCCTCCCGAACACGTGAGCGAGCCTGGAGCATCACATGACCTCACATGACCGAATGGGGCCCTTTATGTAGCGGAAATTTTCGCGCTGTTAGAACCTTTCCTTCTTTACACTTTTCGAACGCATAATCAACCGCCAATTCCTCATATCATAGGATGGTAGGTCATATTGGCGTACTAGAATAATACGGATAGCATAAGACTTCTCAACGGTTCCAATGGGCTTCGGCCCTGCGGCGCAGTGGTAGATGTAGTCTATTGTGATTCGGATATGCCAAATTTAGTAGCTTGAGTGTAGTGTGTGTGTGTGTGATTCTTCTATTCCAGAAGAATCAATGGCCAATTTAAGAAACCAACTGTGTTGATTTCCGAGCTTTGTGAAGCTCAATAAGCTTAACGGAAAAATGGAGTACCAACGTACTCGTACTACATTACGGAGTACGGAGTGCTTTGGGTCTCAGCCCCTCGAACATGAGACCTGAACCTCTCCGCCCGGCAACCGGATTTCTTCCCCTATTCTCTCATTTTTTGGGGACTCTCCCTTTTCTTTTTGTATATTCTTGTAATTGTATATTTCTTATTCTGCATCATGCCGTCAGGTATCAGCAAGCGCCAGCAGTTGCGGAATGAAAAGACCCTTGCGGAGCTGATCCGGACCGTTCCTGGCAATGACCGATGTGCCGATTGCGATGCCTTGACCCCAGGTTCGTTCCCCAGACTCTATGGATGATCATTGACTAAGACTCGATAGGATGGGCGAGCTGGAACGTATGACGCCGCTTCTCTGAGCTTTCCATTCCAAACACTGACGACGTCGACAGATGGGCATCTTTCTTTGCATGCGGTGCGCCGCCCTCCACCGGAAGTTGGGCACACATATTTCGAAGGTCAAGTCTTTGAGCATGGATACTTGGAACTCAGAGCAGGTTGACGTGAGTTTCCGCACCGTCCTAAGTGGCACATGAGCTGACCAAGTGTGGGTTCCTAGAGCATGAAATCGCATGGAAATATCCTTATGAACAAGATCTATAATCCACGGGGCATCAAGCCAGCAATTCCCACCGACGTCGACGAGGCCGACGCATGCATGGAGAGGTTTATCAGACAAAAATATCAACACCGCTCACTGGAAAACGGAAAGCCCAAGCCGCCGAGCCGAGAGGACACGAGCTACTCCAACCCCAGAGCACAGTCGCCTGTGGAAACCCGAGCACCAAGGGACTATGATAGATCTCCAGAGGGGTCTCCTCCCCCGCTTCCTCCGAAGTCAGGCAAATTCTTCAAGTTTGGCCTCCGATCATCATCCTCTACCTCAAACCTCCGACGATTTGGTACAAGCAAGCCGAAAGTTACATCGCCTACCTCGGACAATGGAGCATGGTCACCGCCACCACTGCCGTCTAGGAAGACAACGGGTCTCGGGGCTCCTGTCGTCGATGTGACAACAGGCTCTTTAGAAGCTAAGATGGCGGCTTTACAGGATATGGGTTTCACGAACGACCGACGGAATGAGATGGTACTCAGGGGACTCAACGAAGATTTGGATCGAGCTGTCGAAACTTTGATCCGACTGGGGGAGGGAAGCAATCCTATATCGAGGTCCCGGACTCCGATCGGGACAAGCACTGGTGCATCCACTCGCGAAGCGCCCCCCAAACAAGACACGTCCAGCCAACTTCCCAAGGTATCCGATAACTCATTCCCCGATATGCCTTCAAACAATCCCTTCGACCGAGTGGTCTCGAATCCCATACCCCAGCAATCGCAAACCGCTTCATACAACCCATTCGACCAACCAAAAGCAGCGCCGGCACCTACACAAGCATTGGAATCTTCCTTCCAGGGCTTGCAGGTCTCTCAGCCATTATTCCCCCACTCTACTGGTGGGTACCCACATCAGACCAGCTCCATGCAACAAGCTCCATACCAACAGCCCTTTACACCGCCGATTCCCTCAACATTCTCTCAATCACCATACGTTGCATCCCCTGGTCCAATGGACAACAGCTTCAACCCGTTCAACCAGCTTGCGCCCTCACAACAGCAACAGCCACAGGCCGGCTTGGCGCCCCAGTCTAATCCTGGTGCGCCGCAGACGAACCCCTTCTTCAACACTGCGCCACAAAGCCAGACCATGCAGCCGCAGGCTCCGCAAATGGCTTCCCAAGCGCCGAATTTTGGCGGCCAAAACCTGCCTCGTCATGCAAACACCATGCCGGCCGTGTCGTCTCCGTCATTTGGATCCAATCCATTCCAAGGACAGCAGCAGCAACAGCAGCAGCAGGCACCAAACCCCAATTCAGGAGCTTACAACTTCTTCCAGCAAGGACAAACTGCCACCCAACAGAGCGGCGGCAGCTTCCCTGGCCAGTATCAGGCGAACCAACAACCGCAACAACTTAGGCCACAGCCCACAGGGATGGACAAAAACAGCATTCTTTCATTGTACAATATGGCGCCCGCACAGTCTAATCCACCACCACTCCCCCAGCAATATCAACAAAACCAGCAAATGCAGCAACCACAGAACTCTCAGCCACAGACTGCATCTGGAATGAACCCTTTCCCACAATCATCGAACCCATACGCCTCTACAATCCAGCCTCAACAGGCCCCCACTTATCAGCAACAAAGTCAGCCTCAGCAGGCCTTCCAGCAGCAACAACCCCAACCCCCGGCCGCAGCCAATAACCCATTCTTTGGAAATGCGTCTCCAGCGGCACCCCCAAGCGCCCCCACAGGCGCCGGCTCTGGACTTGCGGCTCAAGCAGGAATCAACTCCTACCAGCAGCAGCAGCAGCAGCAACCCTCAGGACTTGGAATTGGTCAAGCAAACGGCCAAAACGGAACAAACAATCCGTCCACGGGAACAACCGCATCTCCCTTCGCGGGATCAAACGCCTCCCCCTTCCCCGGAATGGCACCTCCATTCGCAAGCACGAACAAATCCCCGTTTGCCGGCCCTCCACCCACAAACTCGCCGTTCAGAGGACACATCAGCCAGCCTAGTGTTGACGTGAGTGGGCTGCAGAATGGTCGCCACAGCCCTGACGCCTTTGCCAGCTTGAGTGCTCGATATGGCTAAAAATCAAGTGCCTTGCTCCATCCTCATCCTGCACACACTCGCGGGAAATTCGGCTTGTAAAAAGACCAAGCAATGTGATCATGGATTTTGGTATCGGTTATGACTCGATATAGAAGACTGACGAAGACGTGTTACGCTGCATGTCCGGCGCATCTGATTCTCATTGTTCGGTTCGCGTCTCACTTAACTCTCTTTAATTTTTCTTTTCTTTGTGTCTTATTGCCTCGACTGGGCTTATCTTTGTATATTTAGAACAATTTTCTTTTCTCTGGGTTCCGGTTAGCGGCCAAAATGTACATGTTTTTAGATGGAGTTAATTTATGGCCAACTTCATTTGAATCACTTCTCATTCAAAGCGAGAGTGTGATAGCAACATAGCAAGATAGATATCTAGATTTTCACGATTAAGTTAAGCAAAAGTCCGGTCCAAAAAGAAAAAAAAAGAAGAAGCAACGGGATGGTGGGAGGTATCAAGCCGAAGAGGAAAGGAACGCCCTAACGGTAAATAGTACACAGAAGTATGATCACACGAAATAGAAGAAACCGAAAGTCAGAAATCGCAGCTCAAGCAAACAGCTCTCGTTCCGTGGGCACTCTTTTCTTAGAAGAGAACCAAGAGGGAACCCAATCCGACCACCACGAAGTCCTCTGTCCAAACCCAAAATTCTCCAGGAAGGTCTCCCAGCGCGTCTTCCGTCTCCAAGGCCAAGCAAATGAGGATTTGGAAGATTTGGTAGAGAACACGGATTGTATCGAGCTTCGCCATGAGGCTAAAGTTGAAGGGGGCGAAGGGGAGGAGATCGAAGGAAGGAAAGCTCTCCAACTGCTCTTCTGCTGTTTGCCCTTCTTAAATCCATCTATGATGCGATCGAATTGCCTATCCCGACTTTGCTGATCACGGCGGTAGCGCTCATCGCGCCATTCGTCTTGCTCCTGTGTATCCAGACACCAGACCACGATGTCGCCACGTCGCCGCCAGTCGTCGTGCCAGTCGGTGTTGTGGGTGCGCCAGCACTCATCGTAGTACGAAGAGCGGAGGAGCGTTCGAAGAGTTGGATCGAGTTGAGCGAAGAAGACGAGGTAGTCGGGCCATTCATGGAGATGAGGTTCGATTACTTCCTCTTTGAAGTAATAGCTGGGGGCTTCGGGGGTGAACCGGAGACCACCGGCCATCTGGGTGCGCAGGAATCCTGCTGGGTCGTCGTAGAACTGGTCGGCCTCGTCTCGGTAGACGGCCTTTTGGGTGGCGTTCATGTCGATTGGTGGCTCGCAGGATAAAGCCCAAGCGGTGATGCTTGGGTGTACCAGATGGGATCGCCATGGGGTGCTATGACAGGGCATCAAGAAGCCGACGGAGATTCCGACGTCCCTGAACACTTCCGGCTCTCTTCTTACTGGTTGGATTGCGTGTTGTTGGTGCTGCCCACGAAGATAGGAGAGGACGCTCAGCGGCCCTCTGGCGTGATATAGGGTGGTATACAAGGCAACAACCACATTCACAAGCAGTAAGAATAGCAAGACTAGCCGGCGCGGCTGGTAGATGGAGTGAGCTGGGGAGTAGAGGGCCGGATAGAAGAATTGCACCAAGGGAGGCGCAGCCAAGATGTGAAGGGCCGGAAGCAATGGGTAGATAAACCGCACTTCTTTGTGCGAGATTACAGATAGAGCAAGAGGCATCGCCACGCAGACTGTTGCCAATTGCACACAGATCGCGGACTGTATTGGATCACCGAGGGAAGAATTCCGGGTCGACAATTTGCGGTAGAGCCCGAGGATTGCAAAAGGCAGCAACGTGGTCAGCAGAAGTGGATAGCCCTCCGTGGCATAGTAATGCCAGTTGTTGCTGCCGTAAAAAACCGCAAGCGACTGCGCGACGTTGAAGTATAGGAATCGAAGTGGTGGGAATGTCCAGATTCCGTAGAATAGGCGGTCCGCAACAACGGAAACTGCTAGCACGGCCGATCTAGCAAGTCATAGGGTTAGCTGGACCTTTGCCAAGTGGTTGGAATACATACCCGCATATCACAGCCTCGGAGATCAGAACCCTGCGCTGGGCCCAAGTGGTCCGAAGCCAAGCGAAGCAGGCCAGAGTTGCCCAGATCAGAACATTGGTTGGTCGCAATATACAAGCCAAAGCTGCCAGTGGTAGACACCGGTGGAGGCTGCAGAGTACGTCAGTGGCTGCCGTTGCTATGCTTGATCTGCAGTCATACCGTTGAATTAGGGTGTTAGTCCCCTCCTGGCCCTTCTTGATCGCAATGTTTCCTGGTCCATTATCAGTTGTGGTACCCGCCGACCATTTCCATGGCCATAGCTCCAAGGCGGCGATCGTGAGGGTGGTCTCGAGGCAGTTGGACAACGTCCTTGTAGAGCAGAACCACTGCCAGGGGTTCAGGACAGTAGCCGCCAACTATCACGCGATTAACATATCTTCCACCATGCCGTCAGCTCGCGACGCGTTCACATACTGTTGTCCATGCTCCGCGGGAATCTGTTCCATAGACGCGGACCGCCAACTTCCACGTGTGGTAATCACCGATAGCGGCGATCACAGCTTGTGCGGCCTTGGGAACGGCGATAAGAAGCTCAGCACGTATCGCAGGGGAGGTCCCAAGGATTGTCGCGAGGAAATCCGCGGCTTTGAAGAGGGCCGCAAAGAAGAGGGGGTGGAGGGAGGATCGTAGTTGGTGCCGCCATTCCTGGTGATTGAGGTTAGGCCGTGGTGTTCACGGGTGCGACGCGATCGGATTTACTCACCCATGTTATCCAGGCCCCTTGATCTTTGCCAAAGGCGATTTCCCACGCGGGTTCTAGCGACTGGAAGTATTCATCTGGCTGGAAGAAGGTCCGTACCGTGAATGCGTTCACAAGGCGGTAGGCGATAAGGAACAGGAGAATATTTCGCATAGGTCGCGGGGGTTGATGCACCGGACGACGCGGGGAATAGGGTAATGGCATGATTAGGAGCTGGAGAGCAATGCGCAGGCAACGTGCTGCATTGCTCAAATCCTTTGAAGGTGTGAATTGGGGGAGTTTGGCGCGGGAGGTTTACTCCACTTGAGGACTACCAAGGGAGCAAGTGTCTTTGTTTACTCTGCGCATCACCACTTTTTTTAAAAGAAAAGAAGAAAAAAAATCGAATCAATCTTTTCGTTTGTCTAGATGAAGAATAAAACTCGAATAAGCTTGAAGATATTTGGGTAAGCATAAATTGTGAACCTCTTACATTTTCTCCATGCGCAGTGAAGTAATCTACAACTTCAATAGCCGCACTATGACGCGCATGTCTAAGGCCAATTCTCTTCGACCTACCGGATTAGAACTAGACCAATAGTTAAAACAAGAGGCACAGCATATGACCCGAGAAATGTCAACACACGAATCAAAAAGAAGGAAAAACAAAGGAAATGGGGCGAGTTAGGGTAATCCTGCGCATAGGGAACAGAGTCGGCACGACCTGTACTTAGCGGTCGAGCACTCGGGGCTAACACTTAACGGCATAGCGTTCGTTAACTAGAAGCCTTCCATGGTCCCTTCCTGGATTTTCTTCCCTTCACTATATAAACCGTTAATTCCTCTTGAGTTCTCTTCTTCTTTTTTTCAAACTTCCTCTTCCATTCCTTTTTCTCCTACTTCTCCTTCTCCGCTTCTATTTTAGCGCTCCCCGCAATTATGACGGCCAACGGATCCACCAACGGGTCCTTCTCCCACTACCATGCTGCTACTTCTGCGGAGGCTATTGACTCCGAGAAGCAGTTTGCTGCTCACAACTACCACCCCCTTCCCATCGTCTTTGCTCGGGCTCAGGGTACCACCGTGTGGGACCCCGAGGGTCGGGAGTACCTCGACTTCCTCTCGGCCTACTCCGCGGTGAACCAAGGCCACTGCCACCCCAAATTAGTCGCAGCTCTCGTGGATCAGGCTTCGCGCGTGACTTTGAGCTCCCGCGCATTCTACAATGACGTCTTCCCTCGCTTTGCCCAGTTCGTCACAAGCTACTTTGGCTTTGATATGGTCTTGCCCATGAACACCGGCGCTGAGGCCGTGGAGACCGGTATCAAGATTGCCCGTAAATGGGGCTACAAGGTCAAGGGAATCCCTGAAAACAAGGCATTGGTCCTGAGTGCGGAGAACAACTTCCACGGTCGTACGGTAAGTCGTTGTGATCTGTAACGTGGAAGATTTAGTGGCTGATCACGGCCCCCTTGCATTAGTTCGCCGCCATTTCCCTATCTAGTGACCCCGAGTCACGGGAGCACTACGGTCCCTATCTGCCCGGTATCGGATGCACAATTCCAGGAACTGAAAAGCCCATCGCGTACAACGATAAGGTCGCCCTGCGCGAGGCCTTCGAGGCCGCTGGCCCCAACCTTGCTGCCTTCCTCGTTGAGCCCATCCAAGGTGAGGCCGGTATCGTCGTCCCCGACCCGGACTATTTGCAGGAGGCGCGCGCCCTCTGCGATAAGCACAATGTGCTTTTGATTTGCGACGAGATTCAGACTGGCATTGCCCGCACGGGTAAGCTGCTGTGCCACGAGTGGAGCGGAATTAAGCCCGACCTTGTCTTGCTTGGCAAGGCCATCTCCGGTGGCATGTACCCTGTCTCTTGCGTATTGGGCAGCAAGGACGTCATGCTCACAATCGAAGCCGGTACCCATGGTTCGACCTACGGTGGTAACCCACTCGGCTGCGCGGTTGCGATTCGCGCGCTTGAGGTCGTGCGTGAGGAGAATATGGTTGAGCGCGCAGAGAAGCTCGGCCACGTGTTCCGGGAGGGGCTTGCGGCTATTAAGAGCCCGCTCATCGAGACCGTCCGCGGAAAGGGTCTGCTCAACGCTATTGTGATCGACGAATCCAAGACAAATGGTCACTCTGCTTGGGATCTCTGCATGTTGATGAAGAAGAAGGGTCTTCTGGTACGTACCCAATTTGAGGTTCCCGAGATCTTTGCAGTGTCTAATTTGATCTCTAGGCCAAGCCCACCCACCAGAACATCATCCGCCTTGCTCCTCCCCTGGTGATTACTGAGGCAGAGATCCAAAAGTCCCTTGAAATCATCAAGGCAGCCGTGGATGAGCTTCCCAACCTCAAGGGAGCTTCCGAGAACCACGTCATCCCTCCCCCGGAGAAGAAGGTCAAGATTGGCCTCGAGAACTAAGTACATTCCGTTGGAATAACGGAACTCCCGAGGGAGATCGCAATCAAAAATCCTCGAGCTAGGGACCCGCGGTCCACAGAAGCCTTGCATATGCTGCGATAGACATGCCCCCTTGACTCTCATATTGGACGCAAACAAAGACGACCAGCCCTACACAACTGTACGGGATATCTTGAGCGGTCACGAGTCGGCTTGTCAGCACACGACCTGATGATTGATGAAACTTTTATTTTCAACTCTGTGCCATAGCAAGAAATCACTAGATCTAATTTGCAACTTTGTTCCTCGCAACATTTACTGCCCCGGAGTAAGATCGGATCCTTCCCTTGGCCCCCAAACGGGATTCCTAGACACCGCGATCCGACTACGGGTCGGGATGGAGGACTGTATTATCAAGCAAACTAGAAAAGTCCCACTAAGGTCAGACATTGAGAGTCTTCCACGTTGTCACTAGATTTGATAGCGAGTAAAAATTTCCCAAGCAGAAAACTACTTCTTTATCCAGTGAATGGACCTTGATGGCTCTAGATCAGGAGGGCTACAATGCGTAGTTTGTGCCTACAGAATGATATGGGGTTACCCACAAGTATCTTCCAATGTTGAGCATTCTTAGGTACAGTCGACGAATGGACTTGAACTTGGAAGTCTACTCGCGAGGTTTTTGTTCCATTTTTCCAATAGTCCTGAAGATTTTTTTAGCGGTCTTTCTCAGTACCCGTGGACATTGCAAGGCATCTTGATGCTTTCTTGACCAAGTATACTGAGTGTCAAACAAGCAATTTCGGTATTTATTGAATGATGTCTGTGGTTGCATGCTTATATTGGCTTGAAGTGGGAGAGTATCCGAATACGAGGACATTGTGGGTCCATCCATGGATAATCAGAGTGATTACCAAGACATCGGCGAACGGGACAAGGAAGGCCGCGATCCCGATCTCCGACTCTCGAGTTGCATGCAACTTGGGGTTTAAGCGAATCCGACGGTTATCTCATGACTAGTTGTTTATCCGGTTCTGACTGTTTCATCGGCTTTCTCACTGGAAGAGAGCCCGACCCCTCAATTGGCGTGTAAGGCTGATATTTCTTCCGCAACTTTCTTGCAAATACTTCAAGGGTGGATGAAAATCCCCCTTGCCATAGATTTCCGCATTCGTTCATATCACATCCCTTTCGGCTCCACTTTTACATCAAGACTACCGGCTTGTTTGTCTCTCACATTTGCTGTTTTGTCAACCCCCGAGCGCTAGACCATCATGTCTGCGCCTGAGCCACTGCAACAAGTAGTGGTAGCGGACAATGAGAAGTCTCAGACACATGCCGAAAGTTCAAGATCGTCATCCAACGACGATCTCAAGGGCCCCGAGGTGGACGCCACGAAGAAAAAATGGTACCGCAATCTCAACCCGGTTCGATGGCAGAAAATTCCGCCTGTGCCGGAACAGCGATCGGTATCTCATGAGTACGGCGCTTCATTCCTCAGTCTGGTTACATTCCAATGGATGGCCCCGTTGATGAAAGTCGGATATTTACGATCTCTCGAACTGCAAGATATCTGGACGGTGAATCCAACCCGAACTGTTGATGTCTTGTCCAGCCGGTTAGATGCTGCGCTCGAAAAACGCACCGAGAGCGGGACCAACCGTCCTTTGGTCTGGGCCTTGTACGACACCTTTAGGTTCGAGTTCATCCTCGGTGGCATTTGCCAACTGTTCAGTTCGCTCTTGATGGTCTTTGCACCGTATCTGACGAGGTACCTGATCTCTTTTGCGACGGACGCCTACGTTGCTCAAAAGGCTGGCCATCCGGCCCCTCATATTGGCCATGGCATGGGCTTCGTCGTTGGCATTACTTGCATGCAGGCCGTGCAAAGCATGTGTACAAACCAGTTTCTGTACCGGGGCCAGATGGTTGGTGGCCAGATTCGAGCGGTTCTGATCTCGCAGATTTTCAACAAGGCTATGAAATTATCTGGCCGTGCAAAAGCTGGTGGGCAAGCAACCTCACAAGAAGTCAAGGCACTTGAGGCCACTAAAGAGGCACTTTTGAAACCCGAGGAGAAGCAAGAGAAGTCTGACGCGAAAGAGAAACCGAAAGCTGAAAATGTTTCTCCTGCTAAAGATGGTGTTGCTGGAGATGGCCTTGGATGGAACAATGGTCGCATCACCGCCCTGATGAGTATTGATGTGGATCGTGTCAACTTGGCAATGGGAATGTTCCACATGATTTGGACTGCTCCCATCTCCATCATCGTGACCCTTGTTCTTCTCCTGGTCAACCTTGGCTACAGTTGTCTATCTGGCTACGCACTGCTTGTGATTGGCATGCCTTTCCTCACCGTAGCGGTACGATCTCTCATCGTGAGACGTCGCAACATCAATAAGATTACTGATCAGCGAGTCTCATTGACCCAAGAGATTTTACAGGCTGTTAGATTCGTCAAGTACTTTGGCTGGGAAAGCAGTTTTCTAACCCGCCTGAAAGAAATCCGTGGCCAAGAAATTCGTTCTATTCAGACTCTATTGGCAATTCGAAATGGCATTCTCTGTATTTCGTTGTCAATTCCTACCTTTGCCTCGATGCTGGCTTTCATCACCTACTCGCTCACAAACCACAACCTGGACCCCGCGCCAATCTTCTCGTCACTGGCTCTCTTCAATTCTTTGCGTATGCCTTTGAACATCCTTCCACTTGTCATTGGCCAGGTAACCGATGCCTGGACTGCTTTCAATCGAGTGCAGGACTTCCTCCTCGCAGAAGAGCAAAACGAAGACATTGAACGAGATGAGAGCATGAATAACGCGATTGAACTAGAACATGCCTCATTCACTTGGGAGCGCCTTCCGACAGACGAAAAGGAGATTTCAAAGACCGAGAAAAAGGCAGCTGCCCAGGAGAAAAAGGAGAAAGCCAATCCCGACGACCACGAAACGTCCAATGATGCACCGGCACAGCCCTTCAAACTACACGACATGACTTTCGAAGTTGGCCGAAATGAGCTGTTGGCAGTTATCGGAACCGTCGGCTGTGGTAAGAGCTCTTTGCTTTCGGCCTTAGCAGGCGACATGCGTGTGGTTGATGGCGCTGTTCGACTCAGCACCACGCGTGCATTCTGTCCCCAATATGCCTGGATTCAGAACACCTCTGTGAGAAATAACATCCTGTTTGGCAGAGACTTCAATGAGTCATGGTACGATCGGGTCATCGATGCATGTGCATTGGCTCCCGATCTCGAAATTCTCCCCAATGGCGACCAAACCGAAATTGGAGAACGAGGAATCACTGTGTCTGGAGGACAAAAGCAACGCCTGAACATTGCCCGGGCCATTTACTTCAACGCCGACCTTGTTCTCATGGATGATCCGCTATCAGCTGTCGATGCCCATGTCGGTCGTCACATTATGGATAAAGCCATCTGTGGTCTACTCAAAGACCGTTGTCGAATCTTGGCTACACATCAGTTGCATGTGCTCAACCGATGCGACAGAATTATTGTCATGGACGAGGGGCGTATCGATGCCGTTGACACCTTTGACAACCTAATGCGCGAAAACGACATTTTCAAAAGGTTGATGTCTACTTCCCGACAGGAAGATATGGAAGAGGAAGAGACTGAAGCCGTTGATGAAGTGGCCGAAGAAAAGATCGATGAGCAGCAGGCCCCAAAGAAGGAAGTTGTGACTAAACCAGCTCCGGGTTTGATGCAACAGGAAGAAAAGGCTACCTCTTCTGTCGGGTGGAGTGTATGGAAAGCCTACATCCGAGCGTCAGGAAGCCCCTTGAACGCCATTGTGGTGATTTTCTTGCTCGGCGTGGCTAATGTAGCCAACATCTGGACTAGTTTGTGGCTTTCCTACTGGACCTCAGACAAGTATCCATCACTCTCAATGGGCCAGTACATCGGTATTTATGCCGGGTTGGGTGCTTTGAACGTTGTTCTCATGTTCACTTTCTCCACATATTTGACGACCTGTGGAACCAACGCCAGCAAAACCATGCTTCATCGTGCTATGAACCGTGTGCTCCGTGCTCCCATGGCATTCTTCGACACCACACCACTTGGACGAATCACAAATCGTTTCTCAAGGGACATCCAAGTGATGGACAATGAGCTCTCGGATGCAATGAGAATCTACGCATTGACCATGACCATGATTATTTCTATCATGATCCTCATTGTAGTTTTCTTCTATTATGTGAGTGACCGATTCTGCGTGCGCATATCTGCCAACAATCATTCTGACCTTTTCTAGTTCATCATCGCGCTTGTGCCGCTCTTCGTCCTGTTCCTCTTAGCGTCAAACTACTACAGAGCATCTGCCCGTGAGATGAAGCGCCACGAGGCACTTCTGCGATCTACGGTCTATGCCAAGTTTGGCGAAGCCATCACCGGTGTCGCGTGTATCCGAGCATATGGTGTGCAGGGTGAATTCCAACGCAGCATCCGGGACTCGATTGATGTGATGAATGGTGCTTATTTCCTCACTTTCTCTAACCAGCGCTGGTTGAGTATCCGACTTGATGCCGTGGCTATCCTATTGGTCTTTGTGACAGGAGTATTGGTGGTGACATCTCGGTTCAATGTCTCACCCAGTATTTCTGGCTTGGTTTTGTCTTATATCTTGGCCATTGCCCAGATGTTGCAGTTCACAGTGCGTCAACTGGCTGAGGTCGAGAACAACATGAATTCCACGGAGCGTGTTCATTACTACGGTACCGAGTTGGAAGAAGAAGCACCCTTGCACCAGAGAGAAGTCACTGAGAGCTGGCCCGAAAAGGGTCGCATTCAGTTTAGCAACACCGAAATGCGGTATCGTGCCGGACTTCCCCTTGTCCTGAAGGGTCTCTCCATGGACGTGCGCGGCGGCGAGCGGGTTGGTATCGTCGGTCGCACCGGTGCCGGAAAATCGAGCATCATGTCTGCTCTTTTCCGCCTAACAGAGCTGTCCGGAGGTAGTATCAAGATTGATGACATCGATATCTCCACAGTTGGTCTTCAAGACCTTCGATCTCGCCTTGCTATCATCCCCCAGGATCCAGCTCTCTTCAAGGGCACCGTTCGATCAAACCTCGATCCTTTCAATGAGCACAATGACCTCGAACTATGGTCTGCACTTCGCAAGGCATATCTGATTGACCAGGACAGCGAACCGGTTGATACAGAAACGAAGAGCGAGCCTACCAGCGGAGACGCCACTCCAGTGGTGGGCGATGCCAAACCACGTCCAGCAAACAAGCTTACACTCGAGTCACCTGTCGACGAAGAGGGTCTTAACTTCTCTCTAGGCCAGCGACAGCTGATGGCCCTCGCGCGTGCGCTTGTTCGTGATGCCAGGATCATCGTCTGTGACGAAGCCACCTCCTCAGTTGACTTTGAAACAGATCAGAAGATCCAGCGGACCATGGCTCAGGGCTTTGATGGAAAGACTTTGCTATGCATTGCTCATCGCTTGCGTACGATCATTGGCTATGACCGCATCTGCGTTATGGACCAGGGCCAGATCGCCGAGATGGACAGGCCTGTCGTGCTGTGGGATAAGCCCGATGGCATCTTCCGAGCAATGTGCGACCGCAGTGGAATCACGCGTGAGGATATTCTCGCTTCTGAATAAGAATTTGATTGACAGAGTTCGTGTACATAATTCAACATAACATAATAGCGAACAGTCGGGAAAAGAAAATGGGATTGTATTTATATGATTGTTCCTCGCAACTACGTGGGCAAGCCCGTGATCGTCATTCACCAGTGAGCAGAAAACGAAGTCATGGATGAAGAAATAAAAGCACCTATAGACGTAAGACAGAGACTACTCAGCTCTCTTTGTATTCCAAGCAGAAAATACCCACAGGTCTCTGCAACGAGCGAAAATCACAGCTGTTCATTAAATTCACTCTTTATCCAACTCACAAACCAACTCCATCCCCAGATTCCGCATCATCCCATCAATCCCTGCCTCCGTCCACCCAGCAACGTCCCGCTCATCCAAATCAACCTTCTCCTCTTCCTCCGACAATGCCCCAACCGGCAAGCCCGTAAACTTCACAGGTAACCCCGGTGCCGTGCCAACAACCTTCATCCTCAGCCCAGTCAACACCCCTCGCAAATGTTCCGCTGCTTTCCCGCCACCCCTCGACCCATACGAAACAATCCCAGCGGGCTTCCCCTTCCACTCGAAATACAAGTAGTCTAGCGCATTCTTCAGGCTCGCTGGTATACTCCAGTTGTACTGTGGTGTGACGAAAATAAAAGCATCATATTGCCGCACGACTGCGGACCATGCTCTCGTATGTGCTTTGCTGTAGTGCGGCGTTGGGTCTGCGGCTGGTAGACTGGCGGGGATGACGGATTCGTCATAGAGTGGAAGGTTCTGTTCCGCTAGGTCGAGGATCTCTAGTGTTATGTGTCGGGGATCGGTGTCGGGGGCTGTTGCGCTGTGGTTTGTCGGGATTGTTGGATCGGCAGAGAGTACGTCATAGACGTGCTGGGTGATCGTGGGGTTTAGACGCGGTCGACGGGTACTGCAGGTGACGATGGCGACGTGTTTAGGTGGCATGGTGAGCTTTGCGTTGGAATTGCAGAGTGATAAAGTGGGAAGTTTTGGTAATTGAGAACTGTGACGTTGATGTTCTCGTTCGTATGCGGCTCGGAGATAAGCAGCCTGACTCGGATTTAACCATCAGCCCACACATTCGGGACCATTGCTAGGTTTATATGAGCTCGAAGTACTTGATGTATATTGGAAGAAGAAGAAAACCACGGAGAGCACGAGACATTGGTTTGAAGACCATCAAGTATTGGGTCAATTATCTCTCAACGATGGCTATAGACGATGGATTCCAACCTAGCAACGTTTTCAATGTGGGCAAGTGATACCATTCGTGCCAAATTTGGGAGAAAGATGAAAAGCTCAAAGGTAATACATAGCCTGTCGGAGAAAGAAGAGAAGAGATGATAAAAACACGCGAAGAGGTTGAAGCGAGACATGCCAAACGCCTTTAGGCCATTGATTGTCCTGGATACCTCACATCTCTGACCGCGTCATTTTGCAATTTTGTATAAGACAAAGAATTGCTCAAGGTATCAGGTACAAGACATGAAGCAATGAGTGTGTCCCGAAGTGCCCACATGTTCCAACACGGGGTCATCTCTCCGCAGCCAGTCAGCCAACATCTCAGTACAATGGTCAACATGCTCCAGATCCCCAAGCATACTATCAAGGCGATCTCCCCTCATGTGGACATCATGACCCCTGCGAAGAAGATAGAGACAATGAACCAAGTGCTCGCGAATCGAGGTCCAGTAATGATCAGGATTGCGACCGAGCTCATCGTAGTCTTTCATCTTTTGGGTCATGCCTTCATCATAATAGTACACAAATGGCTTTCCATTGTTGAAGGTGGCGAATTCATGCGTGAAGTCTCGGGGGCATTCCTTGTGAAGCCAGCAGCCGGCAAGCGGGTCATAGTCGCAGCCGCGTTCTTCGGCTTCGGCGGTGGAGTTTCCACACGAATATGTGATTCGTGGCTTTGTGTGGAGACATTGTCGCTGGCCATTGGGCTCGATGGGGTAGACAGCTTTACCACTGTGTCCGGTGAATGTACTTGCTAAGGGGCCTTTCATGACAATGAGCTGACGGAAGGGTTCCACCGTGATTGCTGCAATGACGGCGACGACGAGAAGCATCAACACTGCCAGAAGTCCGGTGATAGTAATTGCGGCAAGGTTTCTCTTCAAGAAGCCCGATAGGCCGCTGCGGGCTTGACGGCTTGTGACGGTCACATCGCTGTCTCCATCAGCATCTGCCTTGGGCAACGGTTCGTAGCTGTGGGAGAACATGCTGTCCATCAAGTGAACCACAACCGGCAATGTATGAGTTTCCTACAAGGGGGCGAAGAGAGACGCGCCTACTTGTTCAAATAAAAGGAACTTGGACTTGTACATGGCGCTTATTGACCTTCGAACCAAGACAAAGAGTATATCTGATCAAGTGAGGTTGGCGGGGAATAGATTAATAGTCCAATTGGAGTAGTGCAATTCTAGAGCAGCTCTATCCAAATTCAGTGTTGAATAGGGAATATGGCGCTTGGCTGCCCGTGCGAGAACCCTGGCCAGGGATCGGACAAAGAAGTGCCCACTCTTATGGCTCGTATTTCTCCTCAGATGTCGAGTCACCCGCTTAGCCATGTGCACAGATCAATCATATGCTATCGCGTGGATTTAGTATAAATTCATAAAAGGTAATATAGACTTGATATGGATTAGCTTGCTATGTTGGCATTCGGACAGTCTCCTACTCCTCAGTAGATGCGGCTTAAATCACATTCACAATTTGCTCATAAGACATTCACAGGTAAAGATTCATGTACACTCAGAATAGAAGGACCAATTTACGAATCCGACAAAGGCGAGACTCCAGATGTCATACCGACATCGCATTTAAGCGACGATGACAGTCTGGTTGAAGGATTCTAGGAAGGCTGAAGGACCAGCCTGCAAATGAACAATTAGCGATCTGAAGAGTTCGTATGCAACAGTTTGAAAATACATACACCGATCAAAGTGGCATGAGCGACATTGATTTGTCCCTGGCCCTTGGTGGCGGATGAAGGCACGGTGACGCTGAAGTTCTGGTATGGAGGCAAGCTGGACTCGTGGTAAACAGGCTTGAATGGGCCGTTGTATAGGATTGTTCCCAGAACCTCGTCTGCGGCGCGGCAAGGGCCGGATTCACATGAGGTAAAGCCGATCACTACTCCGATCTCGGTGGAGCCGCTGAGTGAGTTCTGCGAATTCGGTCAGAATGAAAACTTTGGGTGTACAAGCGCTAGGCAGCTCAGATATCAACTAACGGGACGTTGGACCTGTACGACAAGGTCCTCTCCGGCATTGATCTTTTGGCCCTCGGCTGGAAGTCCGATTTGAGCGCGCTGGGCAAGAGCCGAGATGGCGAAAAGGGCGAGGGTGAACAGGAATTTCATGTTGGAGTTTGATTAGATGAAAGCTTGTTTGAAGAAATGAAAAAAGTTCAGAGAAGCAAGATTATTTGAAATGGAATTGTGAAGAGGAAAGCTGAATTTGGTCTGAGATGATGTAGTGGGATACTTTCATGGTTCTTATAGTCTCCAAAAACTGGCAAGCAACTTTCTGGTTCATAGGATTCTGAGAACTTGATGAATGTGATTCGTCGGGTCTCTGCAAGTTTCAGTAAGATGCATGCTAAGCCATGGATAAGTGCACAAGGCTAATAAGTATTCGGCAATCCGAGTGAAGATCGTGAAGATCCCTCGATTATTGTGGAACAGCCTTGCATATCCTTGCATCTTCAAATAAGCAAGCTGACTAGGCTTAGCTAGCTGTCAACGGTCTGGGAAAGCAATCGATCGTAATGGGCCAGATTGTAAGGAGAACCACCGTGAAGTGTTTCAAATCCTACCCTATGCATGGAGTCTTCTTGTGCGTTCCACAGTTTGTCGATCGGTTGACAAACCAAACGGCAAACGAGACTCCTAAGTCACAATGTACATTCACAAACATCAAATTCTCACATCAGCTTAATATAGATATTTGTCCCAGATGTCTCTGCAGAGTAACATAAATAGAAACTGCCACAGGGTGGTGCATCAGGTGTCCAGCATGGGCAGGCAGAAGTTGGATTCAGTATGAACTTGGAATCTCAATGACCAGAGATCAAGAGTAAATTTAGTCTGAGACATACAGATCAATAAAGAGAACCATGACTTCATTTGAGACCTACAAGGGCGAAATGATGTGCAGCATTGAGATTCAAGGGTAAAGAGAAAACGCCAAGACAGTGCCAAGACTGGGGTTCCAAGGAGTGATCAAACTAGAGGATTCTGGAAGTGGTCATCGAAGTACAGAGAGCGAACCCTATAGTTTGTTCAGATGTAGTGAAATTGTATTAGATGCTTACTTCGATGAGCCGTGTTCAATTCACCTCTTTGCCTTCAAATCAATTTTTAAAAAAAAGGTTCCATCTTGTCCTTCCATGGCGAGCTAGCCAAGCAAGTCCAAGGAAGAGGCGAGGACACCAAGGTCCTAGACACAATTGTTGCTGCTTCTCACTCTGTCTTTGTCGTGTTTTTGTGTCGTGTTTTGGGGGTTTCAATCTTTTCCCGTTTTTTTTCCGGCGGTTTTTGTGACTGTCGTTTGTGCATGAGTTTTTTGATGACTCCGATGATAATTCCCTGGAAGGATCCTGCCAATGACGAGAGTAGTCGCCCACTGTCGAGATAGGCCATTTTAGACGAAACCTGAGATAATGAGGCTCGGCTGATAACCAGATAGTTGACTAGCATCAATCCCTCCAGTCTAACCATCTGCTCTCACGCGATCCAGGCTGACAGGAGTTATTGCTGCCTCAGGGTAGTGCCTGGCAGACTGGAACATTAAGAGGTCCTGGGTGCATGACAGTGAAGTAAAGTCCAAGGGTTGATCACCGAATGAGATTGTTGGGATCGAATGGTGAATTTGATTAAGGTGATTCTTCCGGGGAATTCCTTTTGCGACGCAATAGGGGATGGGGGCCCGGAGAAAGAAACAATAAAGGACGCGGACTCTCAGTGGTGTGTTTGCTCAGCTTTGTGGCTCAGAGTTCCCCGAACCTTTCCATTTGGCTTTCGCATCGGGTGCAAACAGCAATTTTCCATGGAATGGAACCCAAGCACACGGTGGAATGGACAGTAATGTGTAACCACCCATTCACCTTGCGGGATGTATGCCACCACGCTCTCAAAGCTCCATGAATCCAAGGGTAGGTGCATGCGGCGGGACTCGTACACCTGGAAGTCCACATAAACCTGGTCCATGAGAGTGGGTGGGAGTACGTTGTCCATGGGGACATGGATGGAGTCCACCCAAGCATGGGCCTGAGGATTGAAAGCGACGGCCGTCAGAAACTGATTGAAGATGATGACGTCCAGCAAACAGAACGGTCCAAATTGCGCTCTGATTCCATCTAGAGCCTGGCACCATTCTCGAACAAAAGTGAGAGGTGACATCTCAGGTCCATAGACCGTGTGGATCCACCTGAGGTACCTCCGATGGGCCATTTGGCATGGACGCATCGAAGTGTGATAGAGATCATTGGGGTCGTCCGAGCATGGCGGCACAGTGGCCATCGCAGCGGGTGGATTGATCGGAGGATTGTGCGAGTTCAAGAATTGCGGGTGAGGTGGAAAGTTGAGGCTTGACAGCCAAGGATCACCCGGTCCGTACTGAAAGTGCCGATGTTGCACCGTGGATGGACAGGGACCCTGATGGGACCCAGGTAGCTGCTGTGGATACCCGCAAACTAGTGAATGCGGAGGGCCTGTGGAATAGCCAGGTGGATGATTTGGAGGGCCGAAATACTGTGGATTGAATGGCAAAGGTGGGGCATGCAAATAGTCAGAATGCTGTACTTGAGAAGAAGTGCAGGGGAGTTCAGAAGCATGACGATTGTCAAGATTCATTGTGCCATGTGGCTGGGAAGGGTTTTGTAGATAAGTATCAACCAGGTGCATGGAAGATCCATCTGATACGCTGCCATGGCCCATCCCAGGATCAGCAGGAAAGGTCTGCTCAGGCGCATCCATGTCCCCAACAGCGAGAATGTTCATCGCCCAGAGCGGAGATTGTATTTGTAGTAAAAAGGCGAGAGAACGAGAGTGGAAGAGTGGAAGAGGGAAGAGGAGCTACAAGACGAGCGAGATTACGATTGAAGAAGAAGAAGCGAAAACCGAATAAGAAGACGAATAAGAAAACGAGCGAAAAGACAAGTGAAAAGACGAGTGAAAAGGCGAGGGAAAAGATGAAAGAGCAAGCTCCCGACCTCGAGTGTTTCCCCAGACGACGACAGATGAACGCCCCGAGACTAGGGATATGTTTCCCTGTGAAGAAGTAAGCACGCTTGCCGCGGTACGAAAATTATCTGAGTGGTGTTTGACGAGTTCAATCGACCTACTAAGCAAGCAAGACTCCTATGTATTCACTTTCAGGGCTGTCTTGGTGGTAGTGTGGCAATAAAGGTGACCCAAAGACCAAACGCGTGATGGAAAGAAAGAATGAGATATAAGAAAAGACCGGAGAGGAATCTATGGACGAGAGCGTATTTTCTTTCAGACATGAATATGATCTTGGAATTTGGGGTTATGGAGCCTTGATTGAACTACCAAAGTGAGTGATGCGTTCATGCGTTGCCAAACTAAAACTGATAGTCCTTTGAAAGATCTTCTGAGTAATTCTTCAGCATCAATGGATTCTTTTAAGCCATCAGGACTCTAGAGTGTGGTTTCAACGCATGATTTAGTAGACATGGTTTCTACCCAACCCAGTGAGCCAACTTAGACACATATAAGAATTGACTTCATTCCTGAAAGCTCATCAGCTGGATCGTACATCAGTTTGCAGTTTATTGAATATAAGTCTTGTTTAGGTAAGCTGTGTCGATCCCGGGGGAGAATTGTCGAGGTCGTTGTTATGCTACATGTGACTTGAATGGATAGAGATCAATGCAGGCTTTCGTGATATCAAATAGAATCTGGGAACTAGACTGAGCCAACTTCAAACTTGGAGTTTGTTGCTCGGATAAAGCGCGCCTCCATGAATCTACTTGAGTAGGAAGAACTCGAGCCGCTAGCTTGGCCAAGAGCGAGGAAATCCCCACGCCCTCAGACATGAACTGACAATTGATATCCGCTTTTGTGGGTGTTTTCAAAAGAATGTTACACTCTGAAGCAGTAGGCATCTGGCGTAGAACAGTTTATTGACACGACGCTATGCAGCATCACAGCGCGACTTGAATGTTGTCAACGTTGGAAACGGCTATTGAAGACCACAATAATACTAGATCCAAGATCATGCCATCCAATTGATTATTTGCTCGGAAGACCAACAGAGAGAGAATACTTTGGCAGACTAGCCTAGTACCAGGCGAGAATATCATTGTCTCACGGATTCTGAAGTTACTCCAAAGCCCGCATTCACAAGATAGACCAATGCCACTTATTCTGAGCCTCCATATACACGGTCAGAGACTGTAGCTTCTGACCTCATATTCCAAAAGCCGGTGTTACTGATACTGAATCTGGTCTTTTCCGGCGTGGCGTTTTGAGGTAGATAGATTTGGGACGGAAAATTAGGCAAAAATTGATTGTTTGGGATCATAGGGAAGAACAAGCCGACAGTTGATTCATGTGGGCCCTGGTTCCAAAGTAATGGTTCCCACGAGGTGCTAATTGCCTTCAAGTTGGTGCTCTGGTGGCACCGCGGCTGATTCCAAAAGCCGTTCAATCGGGTAGGCGTCCGTGCCCATTGATACACATTAACGGGGTTGATTCGAAATTTCCTGCAATGACGTTACAAAATAAGTAACTTAGGTGGAATGCTGTCTACGAAGCTAGAATTTTTTTGCCAAGAAGCACATTTGGAAAGGATTGACATTATCAAGCCGGCAAAGTTTGAGAGGCAGCGGAGCTATGACCACGAGATGTTGGCCGGACATTCCAGAGGGTTTCCAGAAACATTTGGATGTTCGGGTCCTTTCCGGGTAAGTTTTTATGACCACGGAAGACAGATCCATGGATTTAGAGAAACTATAGAAAGTGGAAATTGCATTTTCAGTAAGATCAACATTTGAATGTGGTGAGAATGACAACGATTTTTGTATCCGTCTGTAGAGGCTGTTTAATATTAATTAGTTCCCTCGAGCAGGCGCGTACCTCGGCCAAGAGGTACAAGGCAAAATGCAATGAAAAAGCAACGAGCCAAAAGCCCTGAGCACTCCAAAGATTGAATTTAACAAAGCCACATGGGAGAGCGCGATGGGCAGAGTGGACCCGGAGGGATGATCTGATAGCCAGCCATTTTAGCACGTTCCACTTGCTCTCCACATTCTGCGCATTGCGCTAACTCCTATCACAGGGCCATTGATGTATATTTACGTCTTCCCTTATGAACCCCACGGTCAGACATGCCACCTTCGTTCCTGGCCGATCTTTTCCTGGATCGCATCATTCGCATGTCCCACCTCAAAGTCTCAAAGTCTTACAAGATCCGGGATGGATTCATTCACCCCTCAAGACTTTCAGGAATGGGTAGACAGACGTCAAAGCAGTGTGTCGAACTCCACCGTGTCGTCTGCGTCAACAAGCCTGCTCTTCTCGAGCCCCACGACCTCGCCTGGGTCTAGCTCGAGGAAGCAATCCTGGCAATTCTATGATGATGTTGTGCGCCTCGTCCTGACTCCCTCGGTGCAAATGTAGGTACGGGCGCAGCCATGAGCGAGGACATTCGCGCTGACCCCCCTCCAGCTCCTTTGTGAAAAATGGGCAGCTTTTCAAGCTAAATTACACATTCATCGATGTCTGCAAAGACTCAACGGGCGCGTTAAGGTGCCTAGAGCTTGGAGGGGGACTTGGACAGCAGTCACCCTTCGTACACGGCTGTGAGTATCTTGGAAGTCTTATCATGCATCGCAAATACTGATTCGGACTATATCTAGTCTCAAATACAAAGCTACCGGTACCACATTTAGAGCATCCGAAATCAGGCGACGATTACCCCCTACGAGTGTCATTCATGGACCAGCAGACCGTTCAAACAGCACATACAGTGTTTATGACACAGCTATCATACAAATTCGAAAACTGGGATGGTATGCGACCGCGGAAACCCCGGTAACCGGACAACTGCTAACTGCTGCAGATTGCATTCGATTTCAAGAGCTACTACTCTGCTCAAAGTTGATGTTCATCGGGGGTATGGCCGAGGCCAAATCAAAAGGCCGAGGCGAAGAGTGCATCAGCCAAAATCTACGAATTCTACGAGGACACAATGGGAAACGCGTGATGCTCTATTTTGCGAATTCCCAGCGGAGAGAACTCAAACGATACGTTTCCATCCCCCGTGAGTACCCCTGTCGCGTGGGTCTATTGCGCGGTTTTGCTGACCGGACAGTTAACTGCATCGGGGGCATCAAACCACCGAAGAAGCCGGGGCGGCCAGCCACACTGGAGTTGAATCCGAACTTCGAATTCCTAGCGCAAATGAGAACTTTGAATATCCAGTTTCTCGACGATGATGGTCAGTGCATATTTGAGTTTCATGGCCCTGGGTCGCTCGCTTACCCAATCTCTCTAGACTGCAAAGAGTTTTGTCAGATGTTGTCATACGACTTGACCATTGGATGATTTCTTTTTTAGTTCTTGAACTTATAGATTACCTTTACGATTATGAACTTTGCATGGAGTTGGGACGCTACAGAAATGGGAGGATAATATGTACATAATACGTGATACCATCGGACATTAAGGAGAATGGGAATGAAATGTGGTGATATAATTATATTGCTCTTTAGCCAGTGATTCAAAGATACGAGCCCAAATTAATTAAGACCGCCAGTTCCAGGCCTGGTTAAAGTAAGAGAGAACCCACGGTTCGGACAAATAACTTTGATGTCGACAAACCAAGCACCAGACTGGCGGCACGTGGAGCGTACAACCCCAAGCTTTGGCTCGTTCCCGTCCGTCGGGCCCCGCTTTCGTGCATCGTGGTGGGTCTCTCGCGCACGTTTCTTATTGCGCAGCCGTGGATCCCGCCGGTTGCCTTTAGTCTGCCCTTATAGGTTCTAATCTCCTGTTCTCTGTTCTAATAAGATGCGGCACGTTGAACTCCCAAATTCACCCCTCACAGACATTCACAATGGGCAAATTCCACGCCCGGTTGTATAAGACCGACCGTGCGCGGGATTTCGACCACGAGCAGGTAGGGAAGGAACATTAGGTTGTTGTGCAATGCGGGGCTAATTCGTGGATAGGATCGATATGTGCGCATGCGACAGATCTATGAGACTATCGACCGGCAGGGCTTTCAATGGATTGTCGTGCTGGTTGCTGGTCTGGGTTTCTTTCTCGATGGATACACGGTGAGTCGATAGCCGCCCGATAAGCTTGAAAAGCGTGCCTGGGAAATATCATGAACAAGTACTAATAACGCATGCAGTTATTTGCCAGTAACATGGCCCTTCCAATGATTTCATATGTTTACTGGAGAGACGATACATCCTCATTACGCCTTACATGTATCAACATCGCAACACTCGCAGGCACCTTACTTGGACAAGTGGCATTCGGTTTCTTGGCTGATAAAAATGGACGAAAGAAAATGTACGGAGTTGAGCTGGTACTGTTGATTACCGCGACACTGGGCGTGGTGATGTCTTCAACGGGGGTGGATGGGAGCATGAATGTCTTTGGATGGTTGATTTGGTGGAGAATCTGCGTTGGAATTGGAGTTGGCGCAGACTACCCACTGAGTGCAGTCATCACGTCGGAGTAAGTTTGTCAGGGAAATAATGCCTGAAGGAAAACAAACTTGGTCAGAGCTGACTCCGGATCCCAGATTTGCCCCGACGAAGCATCGAGCCCGCATGATGGCCAGTGTCTTCTTCATGCAACCGCTCGGACAAATCGCCGGTAATATCGTCTCAGTCATTGTGATCGCAGTTGCTCGCCAGAACAGTACCCCGGACGAAGACCTATCTCGAACCGTGGACATCATGTGGCGCTGGGTGCTTGGGATTGGTGTCGTACCTGGTGCGATCGCTACTCTTTTCCGTTTCGCTATCCCCGAGAGTCCTCGGTACCTGGTTGATATCGAAGACGATCCTGTCACTGCTGAATTTGATGCAAGCACATTGTTCAGCGAGAGCCCCGGAATGTCTGAGTTATCAAGCTGGGGTAACAACGCCGTGTGCAGTGCAGGGGGTGGGATTCAACTACCACCTATCTCCTCCATCGCCAGCAATTCAATCATCGACGATGACGACGATGAGTTTACCCGCCTACCGCCAGCTACACTCAACTCGCATTGGAGATTGGCGAAGACCGATATCTATCGGTATTTTTGGACAGAAGGAAACTGGCGCAGTTTGGCCGGCTGCTCTCTTGCGTGGCTTTTGCTTGACTTTGGATTTTATGGAATTGGCCTCTCTAGTCCTCAATCCTTGGCCAAGACATGGGGAACCATTCATCTCTCTTCTGCGGCACCAAGCTGGAAAACTGACGATCGACCAAATGCCAATGTCTTCCAGATGTTTATGGACACCTCTGTTCACGGATTGGTCGTTCTGAATGTGGGCAGCTTTGTCGGTGGTATCTTGCTTATTATCTTTGCGCATAAGCTGGATCGTGTGGCGCTACAGAAATACATGTTCCTGGCGCTGGCGGCTCTGTTTATTGCCCTGGGAACTATGTTTGTCTGCCTTTACACCGGACCCCAGGCAGTTGTGACGCTATACATAATTGGTCAGATCTTTTTCAACTTCGGTGAGTGGCTCCAATTTGCGAATATGTATTCGGAAGTTGTTTGAACTTGTGCTAATAATTCCCAGGTCCCAATGCAACAACATATATGATCCCAGCCGAGATTTTCCCCACGCGCTATCGCGCCACCTGTCACGGTCTCAGCGCTGGAGCCGGCAAACTCGGTTCTATCCTTGTTCAGATTTTCTCGGCGTACTATCATTTCGGAACCGGTCCAGGTAATGAATCAACACGGAGACACGGGATCGTTCTGATTGTCTTCAGCGCCTGCATGGTTCTCGGCGCAGCAGTGACGCATTTCTGGATTCCTCCGATCCAGCAGAAGCGCAATGGCAAAAGCAAAATATGGGGTGGGCAACCCGAGACCCTCGAGAGCATGGCTCTTGGGCGAATGGGCCGAAGGAGTCGGGATGCCGATTTCCGGAAACGCACAACTCGGCATCGGGCGCTTTCAATGAGTGCTTGAATGTCTGTCACTCACTTTCTTGTACATTCTATCATAATTCTTGTATTTATTTTTCTCGCTTTGCTGAGTCTCTGCGAACACCCATGGATAAACCTCATGATACCCATTACAATGATCAGGTTCTTTGTTTATGCTTTCACACTATACTACGTGCCAAATGCCAGCATTTCAACATTTATCTCGAAGCAAGTTGCCCATAGCCTCCTTGTCAAGGTAAAGTGCAATATCCATGCCATCGTCGCCTATCCCACTGTCCATGATCTGAGCACATCCATCCAGCTTCGGCATGATAGCATGCGCATATCGGGGTTGACACCCACCCACAAAGTCAATATTATACAATCCTAACCTCAACCAAGATGTAACTATTGTATGCTCCGTGCCCATGAAAGCTTGCCACAACCGTTGTGGCGAAGCCTCAAAAGCCGCATCATGTAGAATTGCCCCCATGGCATCTGGAGTGAATTTTTTCATCGTCTCTCGAATTTGACTAGCTTTGCTACCCAGCGTCGTCTGACAGACCGAGGAACCGGATGCTCCGACGTGGGTTATAAATAGCGGGGACCCAATAAATGTATCAGGAAGAGCGGGTGACACACGAGCTCGTGCCCCAAGAGTCAGATTGAGGTAAACCTGTCGGGATGAATTTTCGTATCCGCGAGCGCGAGTGATGCACGCCCACAGGTAAGCAAGGAGAGCGTCGAGGCGGGAGATGTCAGCCCGAGTGCCCGAGTCAGCAAGAGCAAGAGCCTTGATACGGGCTAGATCCGAGCCTGTGAAATGCAGTTGTGTGTAGCTGGCCGGGCGGGAAAAGTCCCACGTGGTCCAAGGTGCTGGCTCTGAGGGAGATACTTGCATACGCTTGAGTTGTTCGGGAGGGGGCTTTGAATGCTCTGTCGTGGAGACGCAAACGCTCGGATAACCTTCGTCTGATGTGTCCCACCAGCTGAAGCGATGTAATGGCAAGCTACGTGCTGTGTGTGTCAGAGCTTGATTGCGATTGGGGCTGTCGATATCGCCACCAGCAAGGCTGTCCAGTAATTCGGGATTGAAGATGGGCTCGTCGATTGCCGACGGTTTGCAATTATTCCCAAAGCTTTCTTGGCTGTTTGCCGACCAAAGTTTCATGAAAATCATGAGAGTTTGCGCATCTGCTAGACAGTGTGCTAACTTCACGCCGATGGCGTATCCTCCTCCGAGAAGAGTGACCTGGACTTGCATTCCAGGACGACCAGCATAGTCATGCAGGTTGGACAAAGCCAATGGATTTGACGAGACAAACAAGGTCTCGTCAAAGCCATCGCCATTCCAGCTTCCGGGTCGAGAGCCAGCGGTCGAAGAAGCACGCTCCTTGGCGGTAGGTGCGACCTCTTGGGCTCGAATGGGCCTTTCGATAACCGTCCACTCCACGCCGGGATCGGCATCGGTGCCATACTTGAGAATTGGGCGATTGAATCGCTCAGTGTGGCCTCCTTCGCCGACAGGAGACCATTGCAATTGCCCAGACCATTGAGGGAATGTGGACAATGTGGTGATTAATGAGGAGCGAAGATGGTCGATCAAGCTTGGCGGGTCCACATTTGTGTCGAAGATCCAAATGGCACCTGTCGGGGTGAATCTCACAACAGTTGCATCGAGGATCGACAGAGGCGTTGATGTCGGCGGCGGTCGCTCGGTGGGAAACAATCTGGTAGACTCAATGGTAGCCATGTTTTAGTTGTGAAATTTCGACAATGATGGCCATCTTGAGAATTTTCGGTGCTTTTGTCCTATCCCCCCGATGACTCACAGTGCGTCAAGCGCCGTCAATGTGAGCAACGCCAACTCAAGCAGTACACAATCAAAAGCCGATACAAATCTAAATGCCATACAGTGTCTTCATCGATGCTGTGGAGCAATCCCCAGACCGTCGATCTTCTCGCTTTCCGGACATCGCGACTCGAAACCGAGTCCACCAAGTTGCTCAAGTTGCCCTTTGGTGGCTTCAAAATCATCATGAAGAATGAATTGAGGGAATTGTTTGGAAGTAAATCTCTCTTGCTAACAAACATAGTAGTTTTGAGCGAGGTGCTTGTGTTGGGAAGGAATGCGACCGGTGAAAGGGTCACCTCCTAGCCAGCCACTTCCAAACTCGAGCACACAAGCGAGCATGGGAAATCTCCAGTACTGGCTAAAGCCCCAGACAATTATTGAACGAAATCAGACCTAAAGATTGTGGGCAATGTGCACTATATCCGTGACATTGTGTCTCGAAACCAACTCCAAGCGCTTGTGTTGACTACAACACCGCAGATCCGTTTGTTGCCAAGCAAACGCGCAGCGGTGATTGTGCCCATGATGCCGCTCGCCGGGCCATACTTCATTACTGCAATGGAGTGTCAACGAATAACATCTGGGACAGTGTCTCAGAGGAGCGATCCCCATGGACATTAGCCTCTTCAACTGCCTTTCTAAACTGCGCGACAGTGTCCTCGGAGAGCCCCACAAACATGCTATCCACGTTTTCTTTCAGCCTATCAATCTTTGTTGTGCCCGGAATTGGGAAAATGTCGCTGCCTTGAGCAAGCAGCCATGCCAGCGTCAACTGCGATGGATGGACATTTCTGCGTGTCGCCAACTCACAGATTCGATCGACAAGTTGAAGGTTTTTGGGAAAGTTCTCGGCTGAAAAGCGAGGAAGTGTCTTGCGGAAGTCGCCGTCCTCGAAGTCCTCCACGGAGCGCAAGGCACCGCTCATCATACCACGTCCGAGGGGTGAGTAGGCGACCAGAGCGACCCCGAGGTCCCTACAGGTTTCCAATATGTTGTATTCTGGGCTCTCGACTTCCAATGAAAACGGCGAGTACTCCATCTGCACAGCCGAAATGGGATGGATAGCATGTGCTCTGCGTAAAGATGCCGCACTGCATTCACTGAGACCAATATACTTTATCTTGCCGGCGCTTTTGAGTTGGATCATGGCACCGACTGTCTCTTCGACCGGAGTCTTTCCGTCCAGTCGATGGCAGTAGTAAAGGTCGATATACGAAGTGCCTAGCCTGGAGAGTGACGCATCGCATGCCCGCAAGGCATACTCGGGTGAAGAGTTTCGTGAAGTTGTGCCGTCAGGAAGTGTGCGAAGAGAAAACTTCGTGGCCAAGAAGATCTCCTGACGCTTCTCGGGATTTCTCGCAAACCATTCGCACACTAGCTCCTCATTGCCGCTATATACATCAGCTGCGCGGGGCCCAGTCAGCTTCATGCTGCAATTTTTCCAGTTGCTAACTTGCCTGTATCCCAGAACCTCTCCCCAAGCTCATAGGCCCGATCGAGAACGCTGAGGCCATCTTCGAACGGTAGGGTATTCCCATAATAGCTACTCAGGCCCATGAGACCGAACCCGATTCGGGTGACCTCTGGGCCGCCATTTCCTAGAGGGCGTGTTGGTGGCCGGGACATGGTGATAAAAGCCAGTTTTATGATCTTGAAAACTCTGGCGTTGATATGATTTCGTGCGATCCCCCCGAAATGATCTATTCGGCGCTTTTTTGAATTGTTGATCAAGTCAATGTACTCCGATGATCCCGAGCACCTGCGGAATCGGGCACCTAAACGAGAATACTTACCTCCAGCTCTTGGCCCCGCGGGCCCGCCCTGGGCCCACCCCTCGGCTCCTCACCCGAGCAGATCGATGAAGGGGCATCTCGGGTCTCGGATTCTTCGGTTTTTCGGATTCTGCTAGCCACAGACAATCACTTTCTGTTCCCCTAGGCTCTCCGCCCTTTGACCAAACAGGGCTGGAATTCAACACGGTGGATTTGATAGGTCAATTGCATACCAGTGTGCAGATCCATGGGAAAATCATCTTTCCATTGTCCAATCACTTTAGGTCGCTTTCAGTTCTCACTCCACCCAATTATAGATCTAGCGACACACATACATACAATCCTGCACCCAAATAGGTCAATGACTGGAGAATGAGTCCTTTCCGCACAATGCCTTTGAAACTCCTAATGCGCATACTGTTGGGAGAAATGAAGCTTTCCAAGATCATGCAAGCAAGCTTGCAATCGGTTAAATAGATCTAGCAAACAGAGGCTGTCAAGCTGAAATTATGCTCAACACCAACCAGTCTCGTTGCTCTATCATTTGAATTTTCCATCGGACAACACAAAAATTCCGTCATCTTCGGCAGCCCGCCCACCGCTTCTTACTTCGTGATGACAGTCTACGAGGAAAAGGGTCTACAGACCACCGCCCCGCTCAATGTCTCTCTGGAGCCCTTCAACGTCAGTGAGGACGACACAAAGCCCCTTTCGTGGGATGGCGACCACGACCCTGAGAACCCTTACAACTGGCCCGTCGCGCGAAAATGGGCGTTGACATGCCTCGCCGCTTTCGCGACATTTTTGTCTATGATGAATGGAACCATCATCACGGTCGCACATTTCGAGATCTCTGAAGTCTTCAGCGTGACCGAGACCTCGTTTCCGAACTCATATTGGCCGGTGACAACGTGGGCAAGCGGTGGAGCTTGCTCTGCTTTGTTCATCCTCCCTCTGGCAGAAGAATTCGGAACTCGCCCCGTCTTTCTGTCGACATACCTCCTTTTTCTATGCTTCCTCGTGCCCCAGGCCGTCGCTCAAAATTTTGCTACACTGGTTGTCACTCGCTTCTTTGCCGGCGGCTGCGTTGCGATTCTGGCCAACACGGCTGCCGGGGTTGTCGGCAACATTTGGAGCACAGACTGGGCAAGATCTGTTCCAATTAGCTTATACATCTTGGGCTATATGGCAGGTAGCAGCATGGGCCCGGTAATGGGTGCTGCAGTATTTGAACACTTGGGATGGAGGTGGGTCGGCTATATCCAGCTCATTTGGTTTGGGGCCCTGTTCCCAATATACTACTTCTTCATGTATGAGTCCCGCGGTTCGGCTATTCTTGCGCGGCGAGTGCATACCACCAACAAACAAAAGGAGATGGAACACGTCGAATTCAAGAATGAAAGAACGAGCTCGGCCACGAAAGTGCGCGAGTTTCTTCACATTTCGACAAGGCCTATCGTCCTGTTTTCCACAGAGCCAGTGTTATTCGTCTCGACGGTGTGGTCTGCATTCACAGTGGGAACACTGTTTCTGTTCACTCAATCAGTTGAGCAAGTTTTCATGGATCTCTATGATTGGAATGTTTCTCAGACTGGTTACGTTCAGTGCTCGGTCGTTATTGGGGAGTGTTTAGGATGGGGCCTGAACTTCATTTCTCGAAAGCTTTATTTCAGCTCTGCCTCGCGAAGCACTGAAGTCCCAGGAACCCCAATTCCGGAGGCAAGGCTCTATATGGCCGTTCTAGGGGGTGTCCTTGGGATCTCAGGGGGCATGTTCACCTACGCCTGGACTTCTTATCCGGATATCCCTTGGATTGCACCCGCGCTGAGTTTGGCATTGGTCGGAGCTGGCAGTGTCCTAGTTGTGACAGGTGTGTCAGACTATGTGGTTGATGCGTACAGCGATTACGCTGGAAGCGCAATGGGTGCTGTCGCAGGTGGTGAGAACATTTTCTCTGCTTTCTTGCCACTGGCTACCATGAGCATGTACAGGGAACTCGGACTTCAGTGGGCGAGCACCCTGCTGGCTCTCATATCCTTGGTGCTATCTCTTGTACCAACTTTGATGTTCTTCTGGGGAAAAGAAATTCGTGCGCGCAGTCCCTTCATGAATCGCATGAAGGCTGAGCCCAACAAAAAATATGAGGTGGTATAGATTGACCTCAGGACTAGTTTTACATACAGTATTAGGCGCAGAATGGCATGTTAAATCGACAAAGTCTAGTTTGTCTCCCCGAGAAGATCATCCCAAAAAAATGCAATCCATTCATTGTGCAATACTCTGGATTTGTAGTATATCAAGGCACATCCTAGCTGTTTCTTTTAACACGGGAAAAGGCGAAGGAGAAGTATGATCTTGGGAGTGCTTTGGAGTTGCACCATAGTCATCGGGTGATTCATAGGACAAAAAGAATCAAACTTGAGAGTGGATAGATGGAAAACCAGAAGATCGAAATTCCTCTCAACACAAGTGGCTAAAAAGGAAAACTGAAATCCTTCGAGGCCACCAACCGCGCGCCCTGGTGCCTCCACCTGGCAGGGCTGGGGCAAGTACCAGACACAATAAGCATCGGAACGCGGTGCCAAGATAGGTCGGGCGGTCTAAGAGCCCTGAAAAAGGCATAAACATGATTCTATTTGCACCCCACCTTCGAGGTCTTAACGGCACGAGGGTCCACATAAGTTCGGTAGTACCCTCGGCTAGATCGGGTTCCAAACCCGAGCGGACCTCCAGGTCGTAATTGGCTAGGCGCTCGGGTGTATAGGTAGCCAGTACCATCACCCGAAGAACCGGTTGATATAAATTGAAATGATACTCTGGCCGTTCAACTAAATCAGAAAGTCTTGTTCTCGTCAAATTATTCATCACATTGCGACCAGTCACCGTAAATCAGCACCACACGACTTCTTCACGACAACGCTTCCTTTTCAAAATTCATTATGGCATCCTTTTCAAACAGCCTAAAAGACCCAAGTCTTTTTATCCAAAAATCTTACATTGATGGCCAATGGGTCTCGTCAAAGTCCAACAAGACTTTAAACGTTTACGACCCAGCCAACGAGGCGCTCATTGGAACATGCCCTGAATCAAACACAGACGACATCAATGCCGCTATTCAAGCCGCAGCTGCCGCTTTCCCCACATGGAGATCTCAATCAGGCCGTCAGCGCGGACGCATTCTTCGTCGCTTCTATGAGCTCGTGGTCGAGAACAAAGAAGACATTGGCAAAATCATCACAGCTGAAAACGGCAAAGCCAAGGGTGATGCCGAGGGAGAGGCACTCTTCTCAGCTGGATTCTTTGAATGGTTCTCGGAAGAGGCACCCCGCATCTATGGCGACGTCATTCCTCACAGCAACCCCTCTAGTCGCACACAGGTTTTGAAGGAGCCTGTTGGTGTATGTGGACTGATCACACCATGGAACTTCCCCATGGCTATGGGGGCACGCAAGGTGGCTGCTGCTTTGGCTGCAGGCTGCACTGTGGTGATGAAGTCCGACGGTTTGACTCCATTCTCTTCAAACGCCCTGGCTGTACTTGGAGAGCGCGCTGGTGTTCCCAAGGGTGTTTTCAACGTCATCACAGCGCTTGATAACACCCCATCTCTTGGATCGACACTTTGCGAGTCTGATATCGTGAAGAAGATTTCCTTCACCGGGTCGACGCGCGTCGGCAAGCTCCTCATGAAGCAATCGAGCAACACTCTCAAGAAGCTCAGTCTCGAACTTGGTGGAAACGCTCCTTTCATTGTGTTTGATGATGCCGATATCGAGACGGCTGTTACTAGTGCCGTGATTAGCAAGTTCAAGGTTACCGGCCAGACTTGTGTTTGCGCAAACCGATTCTTCGTTCAGGATGGTATCTATGAGAAGTTCAGCAAGCGTCTAGTTGAGGAGATGAAGAAAAGCCAAGTTGGCAATGGCCAAGATGCCGCCTCAACACATGGTCCGCTGACAAATGGCGTTTCCAAGACACAGGAGCACATCCAGGATGCCGTTAGCAAAAATGCCACCGTCCTCCTCGGTGGCAAGACACTACCATCAATGGGCAAGAACTTCCATGAGCTCACCATCTTGGGTGATGTGAATGATTCCATGCAAGTTACAACCGAAGAGACATTCGGACCTGTCGCAGCGCTGTCTCGATTCTCCAGCGAGGATGAGGTTGTCCGCCGTGCCAACAATTGTGAGGTCGGTCTGGCATCTTACCTGATGACAAGTGATTTGAGCCGAGCGAACCGTGTGTCGGAGCGTCTGGAATTCGGCATGGTCGCTATCAACACCGGCGTGATCTCCGACTGGGCTGCACCGTGAGTGAATCAACTTTCCCACCTAATCCCGAATATGGCGTACTAACATTTAGCAGTTTCGGAGGTGTCAAGCACTCTGGTATGGGACGAGAGGGCAGTAAGTATGGTGTCGAAGACTACATGAATATCAAGATGGTCGTGACCGGGGGTATCAACACCGCGTATTCGTCCAATTTGTAAATATCCCCGCTTGGCTCTTTCTGTCAGGATGGACACGAGGCGATACGGTGGAAATTGAGCAGCCTGTGCTGAATGACATGAATGTTTTTCAAATAGAGAATCGACCAAGAAAGTTGTTCTGTAACGACGAAGGAATGTATGATTATAGACCCAAGGGCGCAACCTCTTCCACTTGTGAATTTGAGCGCTCGAATGAAACAAAATAAGATAGAAAAACAGAAACAAAGGAGAGAAGTAACCAGCGGTTCAAGTCATGCAAGTTGACCAAGAGAAAAACGGTAAGGATAATTACTCCGTACTGGGTACTCCGTATGAAGTACGGAGTATGGAGTAGGAAGTCCTGAAGGTCTGTTGGGGCGTTAGGGCTTCTCACGCTGGAAGCAATTCAACCCCCGTTTGCTCCAAAAGGAGGAAAGGCTTACTCCTTCCCAGCTTGTTCGGAGACTAGAGAGAAGCAAAGCGGAATGGAAGCCCTATCATCTGTGATGGGCCGGAAAGGCAGTAATCTTGGCAATTAGGGGTGTTTTCGCAGTGTTCGGCTTCTATCGTCGTACTCGTATCGATGCCCCTTAAAAACGCTCGGACCCCTCGGGAGGGTTCCGAGGCAATGCAGTCCCTCGACGAATTCCTCGCGTATTGGCCCATCTTGTGTCAATGTTTACTTGTACCTGGAATGATCCTTGAAGTATGGTAGAATATTCTGAATTCCCCAGGTTATTCCCCTGGGACTCTCCACGTCCTCTGACTTCCTGTGTCGCAACGGATTCGTCCTATTGTGAACCCGACAAGCAAACGGGCGAGAATGGGCCGCGAAAGACAAACACCTCAAACACGAATTTGACTCCACAGCTTTGGGGAACTTTCGGACTTTGTCGATGAGAAAAATAAATGACCGAGTGACTGCCACTGACTATGGAATCTTGGTGGCAGCGGAACCCATCGAAGCCTTGATATAGCCTTAAATTTCGCCAAATTCAGAAGTGACTTCGAGTGCCTTGAAAGCCCCCAGAAATGAACCATGGGACTGTTTTCCTTTTCCTGGCTTCGCTGTCCCCCAATTTGTGGGGGAAGCGAAACTCCACGAAACGCCACGAGACCCCGCGGGGCCACGACCCGAGGTGGCCGTCGGTCACCTCGCCTATTTCCACACCCCGCAAGATTATCCCCATTCAAGCTTTCCCATCCCCCATAAGTCCCTACGCCAAGCGGTCTGATTGTTTCTGAGTACATGCATCCTCATGGCGACACAGACGCAAGCTGAGCCATATAAGCCCAAACGGACGTCAAACGCGTGAGATCCCCAATGCCATGCGAAAGATAAGAATATCCTCTAAGGCCTTCAAACCCCAGATGCATTGCTTGTCGACAAAGTAAGATCAAATGCTCTGGTACGGAGCCATGTACCAACTGTCGCCGGCGAGGCATCGAATGCCAGATTGCAGATGCCAGTAAGATCATGGTGGATGAGAGGTTGGTGACATCCGCTCCGAGGCTTGGGGCTCTGTGATAACCGTCTATATTCCCAGATACCTGCAAAAATTGATTGCACAGGCAAAAGTCCATGACCAAGATCCACAAGATCACCAGCAACCTTCTCCTGCAAGAAAACGCTCGGCCGATGTGGCTTTTGGCCCTCGCTCGGAAGCCGACACGAGCCATGCTAGTAAGGATTATAGAACTCGCAACATATGGGATCTTACTGAAGAAACAGTTCCAGTGAGCGCAGTGCCTCACCAAGACGAACTACCTCCTTACCAGCCAGTTGACCAAGGGCGCTGCGTTTGGGCCAACCCATTCACACTGCCGTCGAGAACAGTCAATGGTCTTTACAAAGGCAAGAGTGGCTGGAGTATGTATCAATTGCTATGGAAATCGTGAAAATGGCCACTGGATACTAACCTAGTTTAATAGTCTGGCTTGCGCCGACGTCACTGTGGTCTCTGACTACTCGACTATCATTGATGCTAGCTGAGAACTTACACCCGGAGATTCCATACCGATTTCCGAGCTCTCTAAACAAGGAGATATATCCAATGCGCTGGAGGCCTGCCCCCATTGAAGACCCTCCTGACATAAGTGGACTGCCTTCGGCCGATGATGCACTATATCAGTTCAACACCGTGAAACACCATCTCGATCAGCATTATCGATTCTTCGATGAAGAGTCTTTTACACGCCACCTAGATGAGTTTTACGCGGGTAATTCACTTCAAAAGGCTACTGAAAACCGACTCTGGTTTGTGCACTTTCTGCTTGTCCTCGCCTTTGGCAATGCGTTTCTCCTCCGCTCTCGGAGCACCAAAGACCCGCCGGGGTCTAGATTCTTCTTGCGGGCTATGTCCCTTCTGCCCGATTATGCAAATCTGTGGACCGATGGTCTGCTAGCTGTTGAAGTTCTGGCTCTCGCTGGGCTCTATCTTTATTGCATTGACCATCGGGAGTCGGCGCACGTATATGTAAGGCATTCTCTTCCGCTCCACTACTTCCCTACTAGGTCTTGATTCTGACTTATTCCAGATTGGCCAGGCTATTAGAATTGCCCAGCTCGATGGCTTACACACTGAGCTTCCTGAACATGAGCTCGGAGTCGAAACTGTGTCCCGCTGCCGAAATTTATGGTGGACGCTCTATGTGATGGATCGACATGTCTCATCCTCACTAGGTCTGCCTATGACTACCCAAGACAGTGATATTACGACAACCCTCAACCCCGCCCCCGCCGGCTCGCGCCCAGATGCCACTCTCAGTCTACATGTGAAGTTGTCCTATCTATTTTCTTCCATATTAACATGTAAGTTGTCTCTTTGCTATGCCTATGGGGTACATATTGACATTCTATTCTCACAAGCCATCTATAAAAACGAGAAAACCGAGCTAGGCATTTTCCTTGAAAAGACTCGAACTATTCTACAGACGATGACCATATATGCACGGGAGATAGAGAACATGGTTCATCCAAAGTCTACGACCTCCGTGGAGACCATGCCAAAGGGCACACGATACATCACATTGTTGTATCACCAGGTACGAGCTCCAAGATCTGCATTCATGTTTACGACTAAATACTTGCCTTAGTGCGTCCTTGTAGCCACCCGACCACTGCTCTTGTCAGTTCTCAAGGAACGATTAGAAAGACTTGGAGACATAGGACATCGAGAAGATGACTGGCGGAGCTTTTTAGCACCAACAAAAGCTTTGATATCAACTGGAATCAAGTCAGCGATTCAAACTCTCCAAATTCTGACCGATGAAGACAGCCTTCTTGGTAAGAATCTTCTCATCTAGCGTTCAGAAGGACACATATTAATCCCAGATCAATTCGCAGAGGTTTTTCTCCCGTTCGAAATGGAAGTCACATACGGGGCTGCTTTACACTTGATCATGGCAACTACTTTATTCCCGCATTCCACAGCAGGCTATGAGTATAGTGAACAAGCGCATTCAGTCTTTGACGAGATGATTTTCAAGGGCAACAAACTAGCTACTGCTCGCAAAACAGAGCTCTCACATCTAGAGGAGCTTTTCCGTGACCTGGCAATGCGAATCGAATCACACGGCCTGCAAACATTGACTCTCACCACACCAGAGCACCTCCAATCCTCCGAAGACCCGATAAGTCCTCTCCCCGTTCACGCAGAACACTCGGGTGAAAGCCTCAAGTATCAGGGAACGGATGCACGAGCACGCGATGACACTGGATATCTACCCTCTAGTCCTCATATGTCAAACAATGTGGAGCTACTGGATGGAATGGGAATCTCCTCCTATGAGTTTCTGTCTATCATTGAACAGATCGGCGGAGCAGAGAGTAGTATCTTGGATCCGGGGCCCTCATGGGAACACGGTCTTTGACACCTTTTACTCACTGAACCAGGATTCTATGCTACCAATGGTGGAGTTTTGAAGAATTTGCAGGGAATCCTTTTCAAAGATGAGTTATTTCTAGCTATCGTCGTTCCGATTTATGATGCCAATTCGAGTCTATACCTACCTCTAATCAAACATTCCAATTATCAAGAAAGACCTCGGGAAGCCGCAAGCAGTCATTCACATTGAACGGCTTTTAAATAACACGACACTTGGATATGAATGATCCTACAATGGGATCGGTTATTCTATAGTTTGACAGGCATGCTTCGCAATGCCTTAACTACTTGCTGTGCCCCGTCCTCTCCAGAGCAGAGCGCACCCTCCATGTATCCTTTCCACTCAGTACTGTACTCAGTGCCGACAAAATGCAGATTCCCCACAGGCCGTCCGTAGATCGATGCAAACTTGGTGAGATGGCCAAGGGAGTGTACAGGCGCGAGGGCACCTCTGCTGAACTCTTCATGTTGCCAGATCTGCTCGAATACCTCAATTGGTCGGAAAACTTCAGGGTTATTCTTAAAGACTTTCGACAGTTGCTTCAGCCCAGCTGCGCGACGTTCATGAGGAGGAAGCTTGCTCCATTCTCGCCCAGGCAAGCCATTAACAAAGCATGTCAATGAATAATGACCCTTTTCGTCGACACTGGTGTCTCGACCAAGCGTGATTGGACCTGCGTAGCTTGCGAAGTATCCGTTGAATCCTTCATCGCGCCACCACGGTGTGTCATAACACACAATAAGCTTGTTGTAGTCACCTAGTACCGTGCCATTCGTCACTTCCTGGACGTCTGGTGGCAAAGGGGGACTGATGTCAAACTCCTTGTACATAGTGCTGGGAACTGACAAAATGCACTTTTTGGCTTGGAATACCTCGTGATTTCGTGTGACCACGACGGTATGCGAGCCGTGATCTTTGATTGAATGTACTGGAGATGCGAGATGTATGTTCTCGATGCCCACCAGCTTGGCAATCTCATGAGCAACAGACTGTGCCCCTAGCATTTTCCATCAGCATTGGTTACGCTTCAATCCAATAAATGCTACAACTCACCATCTTGGAATCTCAGATATTGACCACCAGTCGAGTCGTCGGCTCGGATCGCAAGGAACCCTTTATTCCGGCGGCAGTAATCAATGAACCATGCAGCGGACTCTTCAGTAGACTCCAAGCCATGCATGACTTGTGACCACATGTTGACCATCTTCGCGATTTTTGGAAGCGCACCAAGGGCGCGAACGTGCTGATCCAGGGTCATATTATCAATCTCGGTGGATGGAAGGCCCGGTTTCAAGGATTCTGCTTGGAAGTGGTCGCGGATCATTTCTAGATTCTTCTTTTCCTCTGGAGTAAACTAAAACTATGTCAACGCGGCGGGCAAAGAGACATCAAGCTTCATACTCACTTCTGGTGTCACCCCGAAAGGGAACTCGAAGCGATCGGTCTCACTTTCTTGCATGATAGCAGTTCCTTCCAGACGCTGCTTGACGACCTTGAGTCCAAACTGCTGCACATAAGACCACACACGTGGTTGGAGGGTGTCATTGATCCAAGCTCCGCCGAGCTCTGCGAAGCCGCGTCCTGAAGCCAAGGGTGCACTCCAGATCTTTCCCCCGACACGGTCACGCGCCTCAACAACTGCAACCGAAAGCCCAGCTTTCTTGGCTGAATATGCAGCCTGAAGACCACTGAATCCAGCTCCGACCACAATCACGTCGAGCATTTTGAATGATGATGAATCCGGTGAGGGTATGATAATGTGCTAGCTGCAAATCAATACTGATCGAATTTCGCTCACTCTTAGGCACAAACAAAAGAAAATTAAATTCCAATGTTTTGGAAAATTCTACAGTGCGGAGGCCCCGATTTGACATTTAAAGTCAGACAACCCCTCCTGTGCATCTGTCATACACTTTTGGCAGGCCCACCCGGTTTTGCGGGGGAACTCGCCTGCAGCGGCCAAACCCGCCAATTCCGATCGGCTTCGAACCCGAAGGTGCCGAGGAACACTATACTTAATTGGGAAGGTCGGCGCAACGGGATGGTCTTCTTGGAAGATACAAGCATTGATATGGACCAGACTCCAGGAATTGAGCGTATGTCGATTTTACGATTGGGTGCCGCTACTGAATTTCATCTTTGAAAATGGCCCCCCTTCCGTAGGTTGGACCTACTATTCGGTGAGATTGGACCATCCTGCGCAGCTTGATGTTCTTATCACGTACTGCCAGACGATCTCGGTATTTTGTTTTCAAAGGCTAAATTTGCATCCTCCAGTGATGATCCCGGCATTATGATATTATTAGAACAAATGGGCTATTGGCCCACAGCCATGTATACCGTGGATGACTTGTTGTTCGCACAAATTTTCGCAAAGGCTATATTTCTTGAATCTTGTTTGTACAACAAATTTCACCTCTGAATTATCATACAGAGTTAGAGTTGTCAGCGCAGGAGAAAGCAGCCGAGCCCCCACTTTTGCTGTAAGCGTCGATGATACCCATTACAGACCCATACGTTCCGGCCACCATCAAGAATGTTCCCAGGACAATCAAAGCAACACTCCAAACACCAGCAGCTACCCAACCAACAGTCCTTTTCCGATCATCGGTTTTTCGCCAATTATCGTAAAGCCACATAGCCCCCATCGGTTGCATGCACATGACGGGACCAAGCAATGCGCCGATAAGAGAAACCAAGGCATCAAAAGCTGGGATTGTGCTAGCAATAATCCATGCAATGACTGTTATGCCAAAGGTGCAGCTGAGCCAACTGATCCAGTGTGTTGGCGTATTGCTGGTGAGGTGCCGAGAGCCTCGCAGTGCGTGAACGAATATGAATTTGGCTGGGATCTAGGACAGACGGTGATTAGCATCAGATCGTGGCTCGTTTTTTTCGCTGTACTCACATGGGTTACGATCGTCATTGAAACAAATAATCCGGGTATGGCAAATGCATAGCTGATGATCTTGATGGTGCCGCCGGCTGATCCAAGAGCAGGAGAAGACACATAAGTGCCGCAATAGTAGTAAATGACACATCCGATCACCGCATAAATAGCTGTTACGCCCGCTTGGCAGGTTAACATGGCTGAGGTATACTGGCGAGGGTCACGCATCTCAGACACAATTGAGAAGAACCCTTCATGCTCGGAATTAGCTGATATACCGAGAGTTTACAGAAGACCAATTGCCCCAGGTGTTGGATATTTATAACAAGGCGAGCTTGACGTACCAGGTGTTCCGGAAAATGCAAATAGCAGGTTTGAGGCTGCTGCGATTCCTTGAGCAAATGTAGGGTTGCCTACTACTTTCCAATCAGGTATCCAAGGGCCATCTGTCTTTGGTGCACTGGACGGTCGATCCTCCAACCCAACTGCGACGGTGACTATGATGACTTTACGGTGTTAGAATTGCTGGGCTTTGACGAATTGCTCGGAATACATACTAGCAGCAAGAATACAGGGCAATCCAATCCATGCAAGCCACGTGATACGACCCAAGGTTCGGATGCTGCTCATCGCACATCCGAGAATCGCGGCAACCGCGGCAAACACGGCGGTACAGGTAGCATGCGAAGAAACCGCATTCAAGCCAATTGAAAGACTGAGGATTGCAGAGGCACTGTTGAAAACGTAGTCTATAGCTCGTAAGTCAACCCAACTAATACTTTCTTAGTGCAAATTTTGGTTGAATATACATACAGAGACAAAACCCAGTTGCCAGAAATGCTCGACCTGGTAACCCGAGGATGATGGCTCCAGCATCATCAATGCTATACACCTCACGATGCCGAAGCTTGAATGTGCCGATGACATATCCTGACCAGGTAGTGATCACAGCCATTGCAACCAAGCAGATAATGCCAGGTACCATACCGAGGACATCCAGTGCAGATGGAATTGCAAGCACACCTAGGCCAATCTGGGTTTTCATCATCAAGATGACGGTTCCTGTGAATCCGACCTGAATGCCAATTAGTTCAAAAAGCCAATTGTTCGGAATATAGAAGATCGCGCGCACATTGCGATAATTGGGACCATCTTCTCTCAGCTCTCCGAAGACATCGTCATGGTTGAGATCAATTTGAGAGGGCACAGTGGTAAGGTCTCCCTTAGTATCTTCCATTTTGGATGGATCCATGTTTAAGTCCACAAAAGAAGAAAATTTGCTGCGTAACCCCAACCGAGTACTCCGACCTTTTATATGAGGCTTAGCTGCAAGATATTGACTTGGCGAACCCAATTGGTTTCTCCAGAATTTTCGGAAACCTGGGGTCCCCCGCATTCTCAACGAAACCCGCGCTGTGGGGAGCCGGAGAAACATGCTCGGATTAATCCCGAGTGACATCTCGCCTCCCGAGGCGGCATCCGAGATTGACCCACACTGAGGAATCCTATAGTGAATTAGTTAATGTCATCTCGGATGAGATATTGCGGTCTTCCATTGGCCAAATTTACCGATGGACATGATGTTGGGGATCTTGTCCGCTTCGGTAATACGAAGTCTCATTGAAGGGGCATTCGTGCGGATTCTCCAAGGACTAAAGGGGGGCGGGAACCACTATGAATGGAAGTATACAGTGCCCAGGTGATGAAAAGTCGGGGAGAGAGCGTGACCAAGGACCGAATTCGAGTTGGTGCTTATACTTTGGTGAAGTTAACCGATTGTTCATTGGCATTCATATTCTGAAGCTCACGGGTGGAACCCGAGATCCGTCCCTGCAACAAGAACCTTGAAGTTTCTGGTAACGTGAAAAAACTTATGGAAAATCCTATTCGGGTAGTGATCTATCTTGAAGCATGACACCTCTGCAATGCTACATTGTACTCTGCCCTTTCTCAGTTACAAGGTGTAATTAACTCTACAAACTGAAATTCTCGAAAGAACCTTGGAGCATTTTGGAAAAGCTTCAAAAAACAAAAACATACAACAGTGAGGATTCGCTGGTGGTCACCCACCCAACTACTAACTCACCGGCGTGTGGCTTAAGTACGGCTGAGCGGACGGGAAGCCCTGTTCTCCACACCCTGTGGTCGTATGTGATGGTTTTGGGAGTTGATAAGATTATGTCGTCTCCAAATTGATACTGAGTTTGGGCTGGGAAAGGTTCGCTGAAGACTGTTCATTGAAATACATCTTGTATACACTAACTAATCTTCCTCACTTGATGGAATTTCTCGCTTTTACCAAAAAGATCCGACATGAGAAATTCTGTTTCCGGCTTGTCTCTAGTCCACCTCCTGAATCTCGGTCATCATTGATTCAATAAACAATTTCTGCTTATCGAGGAAGTTCTGGATCTCTGGAATATTGAAGCGCTTCTTCGAAATTCCGCCCTCTCGCACCTTCTTCAGCTGATGACAGATGCGCTCTTCCAAGATCTCGAGTCGATACTCGGTGTATTGGGTATACAGCTCGGATATTTCACTGATGCCACGCACTCCAACTAGAACAGTCTCGTCCTTCACCAAAGGCGATTTTGGACGGAAGCAAGTGACCATGCTGATACGCTCGCGTCCACCCAGCGCCTTCAAGGCCTGATGCTCGATATACCGCCCTTGCATCACAACGGCGGTTCCCTTCAAACAAAACACATGTTAGCCAGAAAATTAAGCTGATTAAGGTAATTGAGGAAAATCCACTCACCATAGCAGGTCCGCGAACTTTCATTATCTCTCCACTGGGTGTTCTCAACGCAGTTTCTCCGCCGACCATTCCAGTGCAGTCGGAAAGCATTGTCACACACACAAATGGGAAGCTGTCGTAGTGCCAGGAAACAGCAGGCAGCTCATCATCGGTCATAATGGGTATGGTTTGATCCACGTTTTCATTCTCGTCACGAATCGAGATGTTGATGTTGGCGATCTCGAAGTCAATAGAAGGGACCAGATCAATCCCGGCCACTTCAGAGATTCTTGCCAGTACTTCCGGGGATTTCCACGCGTCGTAGGTGAAAGGAGCACGCCTGAGAAATTTATATCAGTTAATTTGCTCTGTGCGAACAGCGATGTGTTTCGAAGATTACTTACGCTGCGCCCATACCCCGAACCATGTTCTTGTTGAAAGTAGAGGAATATTGGCATTCCGCAAGCACCTTCTCGTCAAAAATCTCAGCCCTGATCTGCGCAATGGCATCCTGGGTAAAGAGAGGGAACGGTTCGGTTGCTGCGTTGGGTGAAATGCCATGTCCCTTGAGTCCAATCTGCTCCATGGTGTAAATTGACTTTGGAGGCTGGAAATTCAAGTGCTTGGCAGGATCAAAGACATCTTTCTTCGCAACCTTTGCTCCCTGAATCAAGGACTGGGGCAGTTGATTCGTGGGTCGTGTGGCCTTTTTGGTCTTTGGGCCAATCACAACTGGAGGTTCAACATCAATGAAGCTTGCTGAAGGTGCCATTTTTGTTGTTTGCTGGTGAAATTAGATGCGATCTAATAGCTGGAAGTCCTCATGTCATTACGAACTTTAGGGATACTTATATTACAGAAAGTCCGGTTCTCCACACTCCATTTCCCCATACTCCGGGTGACTTATTGTGCTGGTTGAAAATTTTCCAAAACCGTCAGCCGACGCCATGCCCCCCCGAATGCTTAGCGCGGCTTCCTCGAATAGGTTCACGAACGGAAAGGGGTTGCATCACCAAATTAGGGGCCGGGTCCACTCTTCTCTCGGGCTCGTCCCGATCTTGGATAAACTTGAGGTAAATTACACACTGCTTCAGCTTTTTGTCGATGGTTTGACGCTTGACTGTCTAATCGGTACCCGAGGTCGGCCTCGGGTGAGAACCCGAGAGTTGTCGGCGATATTATTTGAATTATGATCCGAGCCGATAGGCAATAACAAGTATGAATTCTTTTCAAGGCTGATGCTTCTCGGGTTTTCCAAGGTGGTTTCCCGAGGTTAGCAAAAAGTGCTGTTGAGTGAGTGCATGCAAGCCCAGAGGCTGCGCAGCTGTGTATATAATTGAGGACTCTCCTGAATGCAGATTACCATCCATTGAAATATTTCCAGTTCACATCTCCGGCTTTGGAAACTTTTCACTTCTATACAAAATGACTTCCTTCGATTTGAGCGATGTTGCAGCGGCTCTTCGCGCAGCACGAGCTGACGCGACACCCATCGATCCTCCGACAAAGACTTGGCCCAGTCTCGATGCCGATGGCGGTTTCAAAGTTCAAGAGATCAACTCCGAATATGCTGTCAAGAATGGGGACCGCTTGGTTGGTTATAAACTCGGAAACATTGCGAAAGTGATGCAAGCCGCCTTCGGTCTTGACCACCCTGATTATGGATTTTTGCACGCTAGCTCTTTCATCTATGAAGGAACTTCAATCCCACGAGCCAACTTTATCAAACCATTTGTTGAATTGGAGCCTGCTTTCGTCCTCCGAAGCAATCTCAAAGGTCCGAACGTCACCGTGGCCGATGTTATCAACGCCATTGACTATGCAATTCCTGCCATTGAAATTATTGACTCCCGCGTCAAGAACTGGGCGATTGACCTTCCGGATACACTGGCGGACAACGGATCCACAGGAGCCATCATCCTTGGTGGTACGCCTCGCAAGCTTACCGATCTCACTCTCAGCAACACCCGAGGATCTTTGAAGTTTAACGGCGAGGAGGTGATGTCAGGAAATACGAAAAACGTGCTTGGAAACCCCTTGTCGGCTGTTGCCTGGCTCGTCAACCGACTGGCTGAATATGATATTGAATTCAAAGCAGGTCAGGTCATCATGCCTGGAAGCTGCTTAGAGGCAGTGCCGATGGAGAAGTCTGGTCATTGGTCCTGCACATTCGAAGGATGGGGCACAATCGAGTTTGAGGTTGTGTAACTAGAGCAGATGTTAAAGAAAATTTCAACACGTATTCTAGGAGACTCGTATAAATTTTTCGTGAGGCAAACATGTGTTCACATTTCTTTCTCTGATTAGGGAAAGAATCTCGTTGGCATGAATGAAGCAATGTGCATAAGAAGTCTTCAGTATAGGTGCGTGGGGATCAAGGAAGCGGGCGACAGAGAGATAGAGAGGCTCAGGAAATTATGTGATTTCAACAATCACAAAACAAGAGTTTGCACGGAGTATAGTCCTCGCCAACCTTTGTTGCTCCAATCCATTTTTGGTTTAGCTTGTGGCCTTAGAATTCAGGCAAAATATAAAATATTTCCCCGCATTCCTTTCTCCGCACTTTCTCCATCGACTTCTGCTTGTGACCGCCGAATCTCTTCCCCCTTAGCTGGCTTCAAGAATGACTACACGGAAGCGCTATACATCAAATCCGTGCGAGTGGTGCAAAGGCAAGTCATGCTTCTTTTCATCCTATGGTTGGATCCCGAAACACTTTTACTAACATCCTTGTTTAGCGCGTCACCGAAAATGTATTGTCTCCTTCATGATAATTTGGGGGAAAAGAGCATTTTTTCTGACTATAATTACCCAAAGGTGATGGCAAGAGGCCATGTGCGACTTGTATCAAATCTCACACGACATGCGAATCCTCCGCATCCAACTTCAAGTTCAAAGACGCTCGCCGCAAGCGCCAAGGCTTCGACTTCTCCCCAATTCAGAAGTGGGTTGATCCTACTCGAACTGGTTGGTGTTGTGTCCCGCCCTCATGACTCAATTGGTAGGTTAATGAATGCGTTTAGGGAAATTGCATTTTGTAAACACAGAGCAAACCTCGGAGCAGCAGGAACAAGGCCAGAGAGAAAGTTTTGACTCTGATTCAGTGCACCAAACATCTACAGACGTGACTCATCCAGACTCAAATGACACCATCTTCAAGCCAACGCCGTCTCCGGTGGTTTCGTCAAGCGGGGACGCACTCGGCAAGCCACACAAGTCCCATACCGACGATGCGAGCGAACTTGGAGACCTAGTTACGTCGCCTGGCCATCCTCTATCCAATACAAAATCCAGCCCACGTCCTGGTATAACTAGCTCTATACATTCCCTATCGCCATATGCATCTTCCTCCAAGGAGTCACATTATCTGACACCCCGACCACATGCATCGTTTCCCCCTGAAAGGAGCCAGTACCCACTCGGTCCTTTGAAAGGCCTTCCTGAGTACAACACTGAAGATGCATATACTAATTTAGAAGAAGCATGCTTGATGCGTCATTTTACCGAGAACCTTTCCTATTGGGTATGTCCACCGTGAACACATTTTACTATGTCATTGTACTAAACCCCCAACCAGTTCGACACGTGTGATCGCGATCGTCACTTCCAGCTAAATGTACCAGAAAGAGCATTATTCTGCCCTGTCTTGCGATTTGCAGTGTACACTGCCTCGGCTGGACATTTGACGCGACTAGCGGCGTATCGAGATGATTCGGATTGCGTTGTCTTCGGGGGGATCAGACTTCATGGACTTACATCTGACTCTGCCGTGCGCTATCACGACACTTGTATCTCTTATCTTATTGAGTTGTCAAACAATCCCAATGAACAATACAACGAGGACGTTCTCACCGCGGCTACTATTCTGAGATTTTATGAGCAGATCGATGGTATGTTGGCATAACTTGATAGCCATTGACAAATCTAATCACAAACCGCAGCACCTTCTTTGGGAATTGACTCCGAAGCATACCTCAACACTGTTCAATTTATCGTTCATACTCAGCATGATGACTCATTCTATGCCTACAATACCATCCATGGGCCTCCCAGGGATCAGGACCTCCAGGTAATTCCCTCTGCGTCGTTGCGACACTCAGCCTGCTTGATTGCGCTGCGGCAAGAAATTTGGGGTGCTTTTCTGAACCAACGTACCTTCCGTCTTCCTTTGTGTCCAGACAACGATTATACAGTCTTTACCTCTGCAGGAGATTTCTCTTGGACGAACCGAATCCTCGTCTGGTGTGCCGATCTTCTGAAATTTTGCTTTGGAGAGGGAAAAGCAATGACTCCCCAAATGCAACTGGAAAGGTGGACTGTTCTCAAATGATTTGAGCAAACCTGGGAAACCAACAAACCATTGGGGTTCAAGCCTCTATATTTCAAAGATGCCGATCCTGCCAATGGAGATTTCTTCCCCGTCATATGGCACAATAATGCATGTCAAGCAGTTGGGGCGCAACATATTGAACTGTCCCGGATTCTACTAGCTGTGTCTAACCCACGATTATCTCGCCTTGGGCTAGCAGCTCGTGCAGCTGCTTTATTATTGGAGGAGGAGCTGAGGGGTATCATTCGGCGTCTTTGCGGTATCGCGCTGTCGAATTCTAATCCAGTTCTGATGGTGGATGCTGCAGTTGGTATTTCTGTATGTGGAGAGTACTTTACTGATGTTGCGGAGCAAAATGCCCTTTTGGAATTTTTGGCTGATCTTGAATATCGCCATGCATGGCCGACGGCCGCCACTTCAGCGACTCTCAAGGAGGCTTGGCGCGACAAATCAACCCCTTGATTGGGACTTCTGTCTAGTCTTCCACGGAAATGCTCTTTGATTTTTTTCAATGTACTATTTGATGTAAATAATGGAAATAATGTTCAACGGAAGAGTGCTGTGCTTTGCCACATTCCCACGTTCAACCCGCAGCTTCTTCCAGGGAATCATCCCTACCATTACTGATCCTGAATAAATACCACTCAACTGAATTTCATAAAGAAAATTGTCAAGTTCTTCGGGGTAATGAGTATAGGTTCTCCCATGGAGGCTACTTCCATCGTTTGAATTGATCACAAATTCGTGATCAACAGTCGTTGCGGCTGAGCCTTGGACCAATGAGCCTCTAAAAACGCGGTTTATGAACGGTTCTACCTGATAAGCAAATGATGCGGTCTTGTGTATCGCAAGCACGAATGCCATTATTGTGGATTTCCGATTTTTTGGTGCAAATTTCCGCATATCCCGATTGAGCCAAAATTTCCGCAGAGCATCCGCTTCATGTGGAGATGTGGGTCGCTCACCTTGCCCAGGTGATCTCTCGACGTCCAGGCCTGACTCACCATTAGTGATGCGCAATTCTCCTTTGTTTCCCTTCAGGCGGAGGTCATTACTGGACGAAAGCTTCCACATCATGACTTGCCTGTGGTGGGGGGAACTTACCCCGGTCCACGACGGATCTGATATTTCCGATATGCGGGATACCTTTCAGGTTGCATTCACCGGCCTGTCATTCAACCTTTATACCTATATCTTGCCTTCCTACCACCCCGCCTGATATTTCTCTATTATAGACCAAAGCTCGAAAAGCACCGGGGCAAACCTTGGAAATCTCGCAAGCATGCTGTCTACTTTGGCCATTGTTGCGACACTGCTCTATTTTGTCGTGACTTGGCTAGTTCTTCCGATTTTTCGTTACTTCTACGATCCCAAAGGCTTCCGAAAATATCAAAATTACTCGATCTTTTCCGGAATCACGGACATTCCCTATTGCTACCTCAGCGCCTGTGGCTTCCGATCAAGAGACCTCACAGAAGCCCACAAAAGTTCAGCCATTCTTCGTATTGGGCCCAATAATCTGTCATTTGGAGACATCCGTGCTATTAAGGATATTTACGGACACGGAACTACCTGTGTCAAAGATTTGAAATATTCACTGGCTGGTGGTCCTCATCCGAATCTGTTCGATGTGGTCAACAAGGCAGATCATAGCGCGAAGCGCAAGCGTCTCTCAGCTGCCTTTGCCATCAAAAACCTAGTTCATTGGGAGTTCAAGGTTGTCCGTACCACAGAGCATCTTTTGAAGGCTTTTGACAAGCTTTGTACGCAACCATTGTTGGCGAACTCTGTCCCAGACCCATCTGACCTGACTGTGAACTTCAACCACTGGATAAACCTGTTCACTATCGAGGCAATCAACAATATTGCCCTTTCCTCGACCCTGGGCCTCCTTGAACAAGGGGATGATATTGTGACTGCACAGCGAATGGACGGCTCAACTTACCAGGCGCACTATCGTAAGGCTCAGAATCAAAGTGCCTTCGCTGCATCTCACTTCGCATGGGACTATGAGAATTCCAAAACTTTCAGTGCTATCTCAAAGGTTTTTCCCAAGTGGCGCCAAATTTGGAAAGATGCAGAGCCATGGAAAGACGTCATTTATAACCAGGCCGTTGCCCGTATGAACCGATACAACAACGGTGAAGAGTTAGATGACTTCTTCATGGCACTGATGGATGATAAAGCCAGTCAGCCGCATAATCTGGAGTGGGGCGAAATTGTCGGCGAAATTGGCGCAATCATCGATGCCGGCGCAGATACCACTGCGATTGCACTGACACAACTAATCCACTTACTGATTCGACACCCGGTTCACCTGGAGACTCTGCGACAGGAAGTTGCTGGCGTTATGGCCGAAGGCGAAGTTATTGCCCCATACGACACAGTGAGACATCTACCATTTCTCCGAGCGTGCCTTGATGAGGCCATGAGAATCATTCCCCCTACCTCGGCAGGTCTTCCACGCCGAACACCACCGGAGGGCGCAATGATTCTCGGTGAATGGATACCAGGTAATACAAGCGTATCTATGACGATTTATGGTGCACACCATGACCCAAAGATTTTTCCAAATCCCGAAGAATTCCAGCCCCATCGCTGGATGGATGCCGAGGAGAGAAAGAGAATGGAACCATATTTCATCCCATTCTCAACAGGTGGAAGGGGCTGCATCGGACGGAACATATCTTATCTAGAGCAAACTATTATGCTGGCATCACTCGTGCACCGGTACGAGTTTGCATTGCCGGGACCTGACTGGGATCTGAAGCGCCATGAGGCGTTCAATCTGTTGATGGGAGATATGCCTATCAAGATTTGGCGAAGAGAAGTGGCTGCCAGTGACTAGTCTGTGAACTCCTTTCATGTTCGTAGTAGTTTTGATCTAATGAAGTTGAATGAAATTTGTTTGAACCCTTTCCAAGGTTGTACTCTTTTCCAATAACCTTGTCCCTGATGTGGTTGAATCCTGTATGATCTCACTTGAGTACTCTTTACTCGAATAGAAGTTGAGAAAGATCCCTGATTTTCAATTTTCAAACAGCATGTACCACTTGAAGTCATATTTTCCGCAATTTGTCGGAGCCCGAGCGTGGGTGCCCGTTTTGTCAGGCCCCCCGCACGTAGATGGCGTAGATTGAGCTAGCTCTCTCTTTTTCCTTCAGGTCTCCCGTTCTAAAATAAATTACATTATCGTACAAGTCTTCTGTCTTCTCGGTAAACCCTCACTGGGGGTGTTCGCATGATTTCCAACAATAAACCCTTCAAGTTGAAAAAAGTCGGTTTGTTCAAACAAGTCCTGCTAGATACCAAAAGCCAATCGCCTTGCGGGGCACAGAGATGACGTTTATGCAATAGCCGAAATGCATGCCAGCATGATGAGGTCGTGCCTAAAAGAGTCATTATCTCCGCAACCCCACGGGGAAGATCCCCCGCCAAGACGCTTAGTCCTTCCGGTGACTTTACCAATCACGGCCGCTCTAAAACGGATTGGAGAAACTTAGAGAAACCGGGTTCTACATCTAGACTCTTTTCGCGGCGCTCTCTATCTTATAAAAGCCTCACATGTAAGTCAAGAGCTTCCACCATCAGAATTTTCGAAAATTCAACAAATCAATACCATTTCAAGTTTCATTCCATCCCATCCCATCCCGAAGATGGCGGATACCAAAGACACTGCTGAAAATGCTGCTAAAAAAGCATCATTCTTTCATGATGAAGATGAAGCTGATGTTAACCCCAACTCCGCCGTTGAGGATATAACCTATGAAAGTAATGGCCTCAAGGGAATTGTCAACTCGCCGTATGTCTGCGGTGCAGCTCTTCTAGCATCATTCGGAGGGCTATCCTTTGGCTATGGTGGGATCCTTGCCCTGTGGTATTGATATCTTCTTGCTAACAACATTCATTAGATCAAGGAGTAATATCGTTGATTCTAGTGATGCCTCAATTCATCGATCAATTTCCTGAGGTCGACCCTGCTGCTCCAAAATACGGTTTTCACACTGGGTTCCTCACGGGAATGCTCGAACTCGGTGCTTTCGTGGGGTGTCTCTTTTTTCCATACATCGCGGATCGCATCTCGCGCAAATGGGGTATCAGCGTTGCAACTGTATTCTTCTGCGTCGGTGCCATTATACAAACAGCGGCCAATGAGTACGATACACTCGTGGCTGGAAGATTTATTGGTGGAATCGGTGTCGGCACTTTGGCAATGGGTGCACCATTATACATCTCGGAGATCGCACCTCCAAATCTGCGAGGCTCCTTGATGGTGCTCGAGGCCATAAGCATCGTGGTGGGAGCTGTTGTTGCATACTGGATTACATATGGCACAAGGTATGTAAAGGCTTTCGTCTTCTGCCCAATTCCATCTACCAATGTAAATTTTAGATTAACCCTCCAAACAGAGCGGTTAGCGGGGACTGGGCTTTCCGTTTACCCTTTCTTCTTCAAATGATTCCGGCCCTGGTCGTCGGCTTTGGGATTCATTTGTTTCCATTTTCTCCTCGATGGCTTGCTCTTCGTGACCGAAAAGAAGACAGTTTGGCATCATTGGCTAAATTACGACGACTTCCGCCTTCAGATGAGACTGTTCTGTTAGAATGGAGGGGAATTCTTACTGAAGTTCGATTTCAGAAAGAGATCATGCACAACCAATACCCCAATACCGGGCCCGCTATGCTGGAAATCAAGGGATGGATCGATCTTTTCCGTCCTCGGTATCTCCGCAGAACAGCCGTTGCTATTGCTATTCCCTTTTTCCAACAGGTATTGTACCTCTCGAATGGTAGATTTGTCAAAAGCTAAAATATGATCTTAGTTTTCGGGGATCAACGCCTTCGTATACTACGCACCGACGTTTTTGTCAAGACTTGGTCAGAGTTACGATACAGCCTTAATCCTTTCCGGCTTAGTGAACGTTGTTCAACTTGTGGCTAGCATTCCTACGCTTATTTTTCTGGACAAGATTGGCAGGCGGAAGCTTGCTATCTTTGGTGGAGTTGCAATGGCTATTCCGCATCTCATAATGGCAGGCATATATGAAAGATTCAGCGATAGCTGGACTTCTCATAAAGGTGTCGGTTGGTTTGGTGTGGCCCTCATCTGTAAGTAGCGCCCGATCCTGGTCCCAAATCCACAGATTTGTCTGATATCCATGAATCCAGATATCTATGTCGCATGCTACGCTGCTTCATACGGCCCCCTTGCATGGGTACTTCCCGCTGAAGTATTTCCCAGCTCCAGGCGAGCAAAGGGCGTGGGTCTTGCAACTGCCACCATTTGGTTGGCTAACTTTATCATAGGTGTTGTGGTTCCCCAGATGCTCGTCTCGCTGGGATGGGGGACCTTCTTATTTTTCGGACTGTTTTGTGTTGCTGCTGCGATTTTTGCCTTCTTGTTCGTCCCGGAAACCGCAAACAAGTCGCTTGAACAAGTTGCTGGTGTGTTTGGAGATGTTCTCAATGATAGCGAAGATGAGATTCAGGCACGAATTGAGCGCGAGGTATGGGCTGAAACCCATCCACAGGTTTGAGCCCAATTGCCCTGGTGGCATGACTGGATATGCTTTCGGGTAGAGAGAATTCAATTCAATTCAAATGATGCTTTTGTTTACACGCTTCTCGTTTGTAAATAGGGGTATATTCTATCTTGTGTTAATCGCAAATGAACAGATTATTGTAGGAAAGACGGAATCTTCACACATATAAAGGGAGATATTCCTCATCCCGATGAGCTAGGTCGCCTCAGAGGATGACCCCCGGCGCTGAAAACAAATTCGTCTAAGTTAATCAGATCAGAAGAACTGAAAATAAGATAAAAAAACTTCAGTGTCTCCGACATCCAGAAATTCTCGATTGTGTCACTGAGTATTGGCTTACTTCCCTCGCAAGTGACATCAATAACAGCTGCGTTGCCATGATTCGTCTTGGAAGCATTGTTGAACGATTGAAACAAATCCCAGGCCTTGTCGAGAAGATCTTCGCGTCCAGTTGTGCGATAAAGAACAAACATGCTCTCAATAACATCCGGTCGCAACTTGGACGTCGCGTCCGGTATGCCGATAAACCCTTTAGGCAAATTATGATCTTTGATAAACGTATCGATGTTGAAATCCGAATCACTCCCGAGTTTCAGACCGTTCACTTTCTTCCAGGCCTCCTGCTTCCAGTGCCACTCGTTCCAGGGGCAATGTTTCTGAGACGCGCATGGCACTGTTTCTAGGACCTCTGGCATAATTCCATGTAGCATAGAATGGTGAGCCCAGATACACCCATCGACCAAGTTGTGTGCAATTCTTTTGTGGGCTGGGATGTTGAACAGAGCTCCTCCAAATGCAAACAGACCACCCGTAAAACAGGATCGATGGTGTACTTCCGATAAAGAATGCGTTCGAGGCTTGCCATTCTGTGTCATGATAACACGAACACTTCCTGGAAGGAGGAAGTGCTCTGAATTGGGATTCATCGCTTGGAAGAGATTATGCCCTGCCGCTGCGAAGGTAACCCTCTCATACATTCTGCGATAAATCGGTATATGGCCACCGGTCAACGCGTGGGCTCGTGGTAATATCTTATACAAATAATTTCCCTCGGCCCCCAGCGTGAATTCATCGCCCTCAAAAAGCTCTGCTCTGGGGTTCATAAAGACAGGCCAAAGACCCGGAAGCTTGGTGGATCCCTGCTGACGATCAAGTAACTCCATGACTCGTTGTGCAGCATCAAAGTACTTCGAGTCCCCGGTGGTCTGTGACAGTCTTGTGAATTCAAGGGTAAAGGATCCCAGCTCTGCGGTGAGGATATTCTCTTCTGCCAATTGCTCTTCGTGCCGAGAAGCCTTGTGCAGGTCCCAATGGATTATCGGCATTCGATTCGGGGTATCAAACGCAGAGTAAAGCATATCACCCAGCTCAACACATTTTGTCAGTAATCTTCCATCATTACTGAGATCATACGCGGCCAACAAGCCCCCAAGTAGGCGTATGCTGGTGTCATGGGTATTGATTTCGGGTGAAGGAGTAACTTCAAAATTGACCTGCATCACTGCAGCCACGGCTAGCTCGAAGTCTTCGTACATTTCCATAATCCAAAGGGTATCGAGAGTTTCCAGGAGCTTCAAACTCCAGCCTCCTCCGTTTATGGGAGTACCACTAACAGGTGCAATTCCATCTGCGGCCCAGGCAAGAGACTGATAAGACCTCCAAGACCGTTCAAACGTCTTTTTGATGACCAATCGCCGGGCTTGTTGGGTCGAAGGCTGCGAGTGAGAGGTTTCCGAGTGGATTGATTGAACCTTTGGTAGGTTTCGAGACTCTGTGGGAACTTGCTTGATCTCGACGACGGGGTATCGCAAGGGCATGTGACTCCATAGGAATTGCGACTGAGGACCGGCGATGGAGTTTTGGTTACTCTCTTGCTGCTGTGTGAATATCGGGACTGATGTTGGCTTGGTAATATGTCCTTGTCCATCAGTTGGGTGGTAGCGACGGTATGTCAGCAACAAAAGAATGACTGCAAAGAAGGCACCCAGAGCTTGACGTCTGGCACGACTCATGGCGAATAAAGGTCACAGTGGCATTATCAATTCAATATCTCGTGGGCCGCAAGCTTCCTGTACGAGATCAGAAGTAGCTGCTAAGAGATTGTGTAAAAGTGAGATGCACCACCTGGGCAAAGACAAAAGGCTCTATGTAGAAAAACTGCGATCCCTTTCTTCGTGAGCTTGATTAAGAACGAAAAAAAAAAAGATCAACTCGATTGTCACTGAAACGACTAACTGACACTTTTATGCACTAATTCCAAAGCGGCGTTGCAATATCGTGGGCAGCTTACGACGCCTCCATACTAGCAATCTAGCTGTGGAAACAACGAATCTAGAACGCCCATAATGGTGGATCTCTTCATGTTGGACTGTATACAGGACTCTTGAGCCTGATTGCGCCGAGTTGCCTTGAAATGTCAAGTGCTCAAGCCACTTCAACAAGCGTCCAACAATTCGTGTCTTTTTTCCTTTTTTCTGGTTTTTGAAGCAAAAAAGAAATCATTTGCAAAAAAACAAGTGCATCATCCGTGAATCGAACACGGGCCTCGTCGATGGCAACGACGAATTCTACCACTAGACCAATGATGCTGCTATGAGGTAATCAGAGGTTTGATGCTTCATCAATCTGCTTTAAAATGGTCAGCATATAGCCTTACACTCTCCACAAAATTGTTCATCTCGAAAAGCTGATGTTTGAACTGAGCTTCTATACAAAGAATTTCAAAATTTATGCCAATTACTGAACTTGGAATCCCCCGGGGCTATCATCTTATTGGAATGCGTTGATTTGGTGAATTCAAACATAGAAACTACCTCCAGGGCTCACCCTGGCGATCCCCGTACCGCTCATCCAAAATATATTTCGGTCGCCGTGTCTGTGTCCCGATGTCAGCCCCACAAAGTAGGAAACATTCGACAGAAACCTTATAAATTTCGTACCCAGCTCCCTGGTGCTTGGAGGTGACACTTTTCGCAACAAAAAGAAAAAAGAAAAAAGAAAAGCATCAACCTTGAAATTATTCAATTCCAACATTGGAAAATACCGATGAGGCAAGTGCACTCAAGAATTGATGAAAGTGCGAAGTGGATAGGTACCAAAAGTACTAGTTCGGCAGAATCAATTTTAGACAGACCATAACTAAGCTCGAAACCCAAACTAGTGAGCAGCGAGACAGAGCAGCGCGATGAAATGGAGGAGAAACAAACGACTTCCAAGCAAGATCAACCAGGGCAAAAGGTCCGGGACATCAGATAAATTTTTTAAAAAAAGGAAACAAAGCTGGGAATTGGGCGGCCCGGCTCCGCAGGTGCAGATGCAAAGTGGAGAAGGATTTTCGATCCAAAGGCGAATTGGATATTCTTCATCTGCAGCTCGCTCCAGCCTAAATGTGCGGGGGTGTGTCAAATTGAGGGGTTGGGAACCTTTTTCCAAGGTTCTCTCTTTTGCTTTCTACTCCCCATCTTTTGCCTCCCCAAAACAATGACAGCTACCATTGATCAGTTGCAATCCAGAGAGCGAGTGGAGCCTGGCTCCCACGATATCGCCCTGGGAGAATTTCCTTCAACCTGTTCGACGATACCCGAAAATCCGGATGGCATTGCCTCGGAAGTAGTAGAGCAGCTCAACCGAAGTCTTTCGGCTAAAGACAATGCAGGTGTTGCCTCACTGTTCATCGAGAACAGCTATTGGCGTGACCACCTGTGTCATTCATGGGACTTCCACACCATCAAGGGAAACCAAGCTATCTCTGTTTTCACCACTGGGCCGACAGTGCCCAGTAAAATTGAGATTGATCGGTCTTCCGCTCTCAAGGCCCCTCACGTGGGTCCTATAGATGCCTTTGGCGAGGTGAATGGTATTGAATTCTTCATCAAGATCACTACTCAAAATGGGCACGGGAATGGAGTTGTGCGATTAGCAGAAGATTCCGGAAAGTGGAAGTTCTTCACTGTCTTCGCCACTCTGGTCGGCGCGACCGGCATTGACGAAGCAACCGGCCCCAACCGGCCTGCCGGTGCGCAGCATGGAGAACAACAAGGTAGAAATAATTGGAAAGACCGTCGGATTGACGAGGCCAATTTTGAAAAGAAAGATCCGGCTGTTTTGATTGTTGGTATGTGGGCCTAGGAGCTTTTCGAAAAACTAAAAACTGACCGTAAAACAGGAGCTGGACAAGGCGGCCTGACTGCTGCAGCGCGTCTCAAGATGCTCAACGTCGACACCCTGCTCATTGACAGGGAAGAGCAAATCGGTGACAGCTGGAGACAGCGATACCATCAGCTCGTACTCCACGACCCTGTTTGGTTTGATCACATGCCGTACTTGCCTTTCCCTTCGAGCTGGCCAATCTTCACACCTAAAGATAAGCTTGCTGACTTCTTTGAGTCGTACGTCAAGCTTTTGGAACTTAATGTTTGGACCCGAACAGAGGTCACCTCATCCTCTTGGGACGAGAGCAAGAAACAATGGACCATTGTCCTCGAGCGCAAAAAGCTCGACGGAACCACGGAGACACGCACCTTACACCCTCGTCACATAATCCAAGCCACCGGTCACTCAGGCAAGAAGAAGCTTCCTGTATTCAAAGGAATGGAGAATTTCAAGGGCGATACCATGTGTCACAGCTCGGAGTTCCCGGGCGCAAAGTCCAACTCGAATGGCAAAAAGGCAGTCGTGGTTGGATCCTGTAACTCCGGACACGACATTGCCCAAGACTTCTTTGAAAAGGGATACGATGTGACCATGGTGCAGCGAAGCTCTACATGCGTGGTGAGCTCCAACTCCATCACGTCCATCGGACTCAAGGGATTGTATGAGGAGTCTGGACCTCCGACCGAAGACGCAGATCTCTACCTGTGGAGTATTCCTCCACCCCTTTTCAAGACACAGCAGATCAAAGTCACCAAGGCGATGAACCAAAATGATTCCAAGATTCTCCTCGGGCTCGAAAAAGCAGGTTTCAAGGTAGACATGGGTCCAATGGACGCTGGCCTTTTCATCAAGTATTTCCAACGCGGAGGTGGATATTATATTGATGTTGGCGCCAGTCAGCTCATCATTGATGGAAAGGTCAAGGTAAAGCAAGGCCAGGAAATCAGTGAGATTCTTCCCAATGGTCTTCGGTTTGCCGATGGCTCTGAAGTTGAGGCGGATGAGATCGTCTTTGCGACTGGATACCAGAACATGAGAACCCAGGCTCGGATAATCTTTGGCGATAAGGTTGCTGATCGCGTTGGCGATATCTGGGGCTTTGATGAAGAGGGAGAATTCCGGACAATCTGGCGACGCTCCGGTCACCCTGGATTCTGGTTCATGGGTGGCAATCTTGCCTTGTGTAGATATTATTCTCGTCTGTTGGCATTGCAGATCAAGGCACTTGAGGACGGTCTGACCACTTACTAGTCGTCAAAGCATGCTTTGACCCGGGCATGGAATTGAATGATGATGAATGTCGTGTTACCTACCTCTGATGAACCCAGCACGCAGATCAGGAGTACTCAGTATCCCATGTATGGTGACCCAAGCCTCACATGAGCAGCGGCTTTCGCAAGGAATTTTGCATTTGGAAAAAGATTCAATTCAGCCACCCTTCCTGAGAAGCAACCCAGACACCAAGTGTAAGAACATGCGTATACAACCACACTTCCAAATTCACATCCGAGTCCCCAGCGTAACTTCCATCAGAAACAGGATTCGTCATTGCCATACAGGTCCTCAAATGCTCCAATATTGAGCTCTTTCTTACAAAAATTTCGACTCCTTCCCGATTCATAGTTGCAATCCTACTCTTGCGACGTGCCTCGCGATCAATGGCGAGGAGCACGAAATATTCAGTCCCCAGAGACTCCGATGTCTCATCTGAATTAGCAGACAGTGTCCGCTTTTCCCACTGCATGAACATCTTGGATTGCCCGGCGCCGATGATGTTTTCTTCGTTTTTGATGGTAAATTTGTAACACGGCGTGCTTTGCCCGGAGGGACTTGCTGTGCTGCTCATGGCTTGCCAGATACAGTGCGCGTTGCGAAAGTGAATCGTAGAGCTTGATACTGCAGTATCGCTGGGTGGGGGCTGGTACATCGCAGCCACGACATCTTTCTCTTGGGTATTGTGGTCGTTAATTGAATTTTGGGATTCCTGTTCCGGTGATCGTTCATTTTTCGTGATATATGGCTCATTGACGGTGGCGTAGATATCTTTCATGCCAAGCTTAGGGCGCTGGGGGAAACCCTTTGTTAATTTTGATTTGCGAAGTGGTGGCTGCCATAGTTCCAGTACGGGGATTGGTCGGTGACCCCGTGATACTTGTTGGATCTGAAGGAGCAGCTTGGGGCTAAGTCGCAACCGCTGACTGGACCTTGAAGGTGGTCGAGCGATTTGAAATTTGGCCTGAATCTTGATCTTGAGTTGCGACGGTGTTCTGCAATACATCAGTTTTCTGCTTGGTGGTTGGTATTGATGTATATGTTAAATTGCGACGCACCGTTCCTCGCTGGCTGTGTCACTTTCGTAGCTCAGGGTGTCAGGAGAACCCATATTTGAGTTTAGACGGTCAAAAGGCAGTAAGCTGAGAGTTGTGCATGTCAAAGACTAGATCCAAGAGGTTTATAGGGAAAAATAAAATAGCTTGGCCCTATGGCCGTACTCGTATCTTCCGTGCACGAACCATGTGGAGACAGGGGTCCAGTCGACCATCTCGAAGAATTTTACGAATACGGCCCATTTTGGCTGAATTGGTTAATTCTTGTTGCCTGTTTCTCCATCGTTTGACATGTCAGTGTCTTATTGATGCCGTGTCCGTATCTTGGTGACATGAGGGGTTTAGGCATCGACAAATCCTCATTGAGCAGGGGTTGCGAGCCTTGCAAAATTTCCCGCGATGGGGCCAGAGCTTCTTAATTGGCACATGGGGCCAAAGGATCGTGATCCCCGTTTGATTCGTCCGTTGGCATTAGAATAGAAGGTGATTTGCGGCTATCCATCCGGGCAAGGGGCCGGGCGCACTTCACAGCCTCGAGTCTTCCGTGTGGGCGTCGATGCTGGTAGACCGAAGTCCGTACTCCGTATGCCAATGGCACCGTACTCCGTACGTGCGGGAGACATCCGAAGGCCCTGAATTACAGTGGTCGCGATGGAGAAAAGATGGAAATTGTGGATCAAGTGCGCTGAAACGGAGACGGACACGGTGAAACTAAAAAAAGACGCACGTTAGTATCGCGCCAAGATCCGACAATTTTATCCCGACCCCGCGACTATTACTACTTTGATGCCGACACCACGTCATTCTTCACAGTTCGAGAACCTTTCAAAGACGTCCAATCTATTTCTGATGAGCAAGTGGGAGTTCATGTCTTGGCAGTGCCTATCTTGCTCTCCTTTGATCTTCATGTTTCAGAACAGATGCTTGATCACTATTTCACAGAGAAATTGACCAAGATGGAGAGTCAGAATGAAGCAGCCATGATGCAGCTTGTGCTTGAATTCTGCGCATTGAGAGGTGCGGACCGAATTTCGAAGCAAACAATACTGGCTATACCGGGATTCACGCTTCAAGCGAGGAAACCCTCTGATCTGATGCACCCTTGCTACGGTAGGCTCCAGTGTAAGCATTTCAGTCCAATGTTGGGAACTGAGCGACACAAATCCACGCGAGACTAGCCCATCCAAGGTGACGGACTCAGTATAGATGCCGAAGAGGCGTTGTGTGCATAATAAGCGTGACGCGTCATACCTGAGGGAGATGTTCTGGTTAACCCAAAAATCATAGCATAATCATTTGTTGTAGTATGGAGAAGACAAAAAATTGCGATTGCGATTGGCTCTGAGGGCAGGCGCTCCTGTGCTGGGCGTTGCTGGGGGTAAGTAATAGCCCGCGTCTTCGGCCAAACATTGCAATCCTGAGTTGAAACACGGTATCCTGTTGCTCACAGCTGTGAGTGATCGCTAGCCGCCAGAAAGATAGAATGATGACCAGTCAGATCCTTTGATGCGATCGTGACGAGTTTTGACTCCGCAATAAAGAAGACTTATGATTGGCACCCTGGACGCTGGTATCTGAGACAAAAATCTGCTTGAGATTGGGTGAGACCTTGCGTATACAGCTAAGATCACTAGCCGGTGATATTAGGCATTGCATCTGCTTGAAAGAATGAAGTGGATTGCATTGAACTCCAGCGGTTAATAACAAATAAAGTCGCACATCGGCAAGTTCGCCCACGCAGACTCGGGGCTTACCGTGGGCTCCACAGAACCCGAACCAGGAACCACCCAAACCACTCAATTCACTGGAGCCGACCGGGTCAGATTACCCACTTGACAAAGATTGTTGCTCATCCGTGAAAAGTTCGGTGTTCCCAACTGCGCCTCGCTCGTAAATCAGACCTGGACCGATTCAACTCAAAGAAACGCCTTTTTTCCCGCCTTTTCGCTCCGATATATCCCATAGTCCCAATTAAAACTGCATTTTTGTGATCGGATGTAAGGAGAGGAGAGTTCCTTCAGGAGCTTGTAGTGTTGGTAGTGTCTTCGGTCTGGATGTGGGGGCGATGGTAGTAGCTCGGGTGCCGGACATCTGATCGACGATTAGCGAGGCGATCATCGGTGACAAAATGACAAAATGAAAAACTTACAGCGGGACTCAAGGTCGCGACCCCAGCATGCTTGTTGGAGATCCTCAAACCCTCGTGCGCGCACTTCGGCCATGTATAGCTTCTGCTCATAGCCCGGGCTGAATGGGGTCTCGCCGTCAGCGGGCTTGTAGTGTTTGAAGAGAGATGCGCCCAACGCCGTGACTGCGAGACAGGCGACAAGAACAATGACAATGATGGCGGAGTTGGTGAGGCCAGCCATGATTTCGGGAAATTGAGGACTCGAGTGATATTTGGAGAGAATGCAGATGTAAACGAGCTGCAGCAATGCGAGAAAGAAAGAAAGATGAGAAGCAAAGAAAGTAGAGTGGAGATGAAGTGACACAGAGCGCGCTTACGCTCACAGTCGTTCTTGTCCTTTGGAAGGTGAAACATAAAGGGAAGGTGCGTTGCACACCCCCAAGGCACCGCGACTGATAGTCTCGCTTGTGTTATTTGGGGCTTGTTTTTGTTAAGTTACGAAGCGACACTCGTGGGCTTGTAGCTTTTGCGGTGACTACTTGGCGCTGCTCAATACGATCTAGGCCTAAGGCCGCACTGATGGGGATTGTAATGTGATTGGCTCTATTAATTTCCTAGACTGTACTTTGTATCTGACCAAGAACTTAAGATGTTGAAATTTGGTAGAGGAAGTATCGAGATTAATGAAGAATTGTGATGAAGGCATTTAATCGAGTTCCGATGTTGTCTCAAATTCGATACAATACTAAGAAATACTACCAAAACCTCCAGTGATCGAACTTAATCCATGGATGCAAGTATCTCGAGATGCCCAGCTCTACCTTGCTCTCACAGAACGATGTAGATTACCGAAGGTACTCGAGATCAAATTGCACATTAAGTGCATAATCCGTATAAAATGTGACAATCCGCACAATCCGCTTGAGGCCTCGGCCATAAGCCCCAATGACAAATGAACCGGCGACCTTGCCGATAGGTGTTCCAAGAATGCCACGAAATTCCGGAGAAGGATTTTCCCATATGCGCGGCTCATCCAATGGCGTGTAAGACCTGTGAGGACCGTAAATCTCACTGGTGATAAACCCATAGGTAGCCTTCTCGATTACACTGGCAAAAACAACATGCTTGAGACTCTCGATAGGAAAATGAAACTCGTACACGCTTTTCATAATGTCAGACATATACGGATCTCCGGATCCCTTTTCTCTTCTGAACTTGTCAGTGACAATCACACCTCGTCCAATTCGGCCCTCCCATCTTGTCAATGTTGGAAGCTGCCTGGTGTATTTGGAGACAGTGGCCTCGTAGATCTGGCCGCCGTGTTCCTCTTCTGCGTCGGTGGACACCATCCCCATTCCTTCAGCCCAACTTGTCCACTTTTCATCCAGATAGATCGAGTTCATATAGGCAGTCCACTTGCCCGAACCCTGCAAAAACTCAAAGCACAGTCTGGATTTCCTGATAGGGCACTTAAATGGACCCGTATTCTCCACCCACATTTGCATAATTTCGCCTTGTCGCTCCAAGTGGGCTTTGCTCGACGCCATGTTCAAAGAACTCCCCATTTGAGAACTGTTGAGTGTGACTTGAACCTAGAAGAAAATATTTCTATCGGCAGTTCTAGGCCAAGGCTGTCCTTTAAGCTCTGTTAGCTTGAGTGGTTAGATTGAAGGGTAGAGAGTAGGTTAAATATGGGATGATATGTGAAAATTTTGGGTTGTTTACCTAAAAGACCGCACACAATGGCAAATGGCAGACAAAGGCAACGATACCAATCAATGTCATTCTGGGTTCCCCGTATGAGGCCGAGCGGCTTTGTAAGTCAACAAAGAAAGCAACAAAGACCATTGACAGCGGACCATTGACAGCTAAGAACGCAAAACACGATTTCACAACCCGAAGACTCTCCCCATCGAGTGGCCCCCTGGCGAAAATTCCGGTTTCTTCTCCAGTAAAGAGTTTCTCAGGATGTATGAAGTTTCTTTGCCTCTCAATGGAACAACAATTTCAAAGACAGTCAACGCCGATAAAAGCCGAAAGAATGATGGAAAGCATGATACGGATACCCCTTAATGGGAGAACCCTGAGTTTTCGACCCACACCCGGCCGCAGTGTAGAAAGAAGCAAAAAAAAAAAAAAAAAAACAAAGAGCAAGGGCAATGAAAAAGATCGTGCTGAGACTTTTCTGTGAGATGACATCAGTGGACATATAGATCGGCGTGGTCTTTCTTGATCAGATCAGCCCCCTTCTCAGCCACCATGTACACCGAGTTTTGAATTCGACAGTCAGGAATAACTGGCATAATTGAGGCGTCGATTACCCGCAGTTTCTTTATTCCATGGACTTTGAGGGAAGGGTCGAGCACCCCTTGGCCAATGTTCTTTGACAATCGCGTAGTACCACAAGGATGAAATGAAGTCTGAGAGCGTTCCAGTACAGTGCGTCTCATCAACTCGTCGTCATTCAATGGCATTTCCCATGGATATTCATCGACGATGATGTCTTTGAACCCTTCACCGTTTTTCAAAACGTCGTAGCTGAACCGGATGCCCTCCCGGATTGCAATAATGTCGAGCTCATTATTGAAGTAGTCAAGATTGATGTTGGCTTGCTGAAGCGGATCGGTGCTATTAAGTGTAATTTCACCACCTTCAGACAAGGGACGAACAAGGTCAACCATAACAGTGATATAATTTCCCTTTTTCGGGGTTGGATAATGCCACTGGAAAGCACTACCAAACATGCAAACGAAGTCAAGTTCAAAATGCGGTTGATTATAAGGGCAGAACGGATCAACTCCTCCGTTGTCGGCCTTTGCTTTTCTATACCGCTCGTCCTTTTCGAGATACTCGTCGATGCGCGGGAATCCGACCATCTCGAGGAAGCCAGATGCCATTGGTCCTCCGAAGCTCTCTTTGTAGGTGATGATTGCATCATTTTGCTTTGGGCCTGGACGTAGGATGTGCTCATCCATTCCAAATCCGTCTTTGACTTGAAGGACAAAGGGAACGCCGGGATGATCAAGCAAGTGCTGTCCCACGTGAGGTGAATCAACGACAACTTTGATGCCATGGCGCTCTAACTCGGGCTTAGGGCCGATCCCGCTGAGCATTAATAGCTTGGGGCTTTCGAAAACGCCTTCAGACACGATCACCTCACGATTAGCATAGAAGTTATGCTCTTCTCCAGAAGTCGTAATCACGGTGATGCCTTTACAGGAGCGATCGGATTCGTCAATGATGAGGCTCTTGCTGTGGGTCAGGGCTGATACAGTTATGTTGGGCTTGTTTTCAAGGCAAAGAAAGCTCCCAGATCGCTGACCCTTGTAAATCGTGTTGACGCTATGCGTAAGGCCGATCATCTCGCCATCGAATATGTTCTCGGTGACTGGCTTTCCAGTAGACTTCCAGCCCTGTGTCAAAAGATCGCGAAAGCATGCCATATCGGGAATAAGCTCGGAGTGGGAGATCTTGATAGGGCCGCCGCTGCCGATATTCTTGAGCTCGGGTGGATGAAGACCATTGTCATCATGATACGTAGCGCTTTTGCGGAGGTAGGGAAGAAGGCTATCCCACGTCCACTCCTTCCCACCGTACTCTTCCCACATGTCAAATGTACCTTTGCTTCCCGGAGCCCAAGTGAAGTAATTGATCGAAGAGCTTCCACCAATAATCTTTCCTCGGGTGTTGGGCTTCTCCACCCGCTCATAGTCGTCTCGCTTGATGAGAGTGGTCTTGTAGGCCCAGTCAAATTTGCTGTTTCGCAACTCCATTGCACCAGATGGTGTTCTGATTTCCGGAATGTTGATTGCGTCGCCGAGACCAGCTTCGACTATCAAAACACTGACCCGAGGGTTCTCCGCCAGACGACTCGCGACCATGTTTCCCGCTGTGCCCCCACCAGCCACAATAAAATCGAATTTTGACCCGTTCTTCGCAGTCATTTCTACTCCTTGGTGTACAAAGCGACGAGAGGTTCGAAGGACAAGGATAGTGCGCGGAAGCGATGAACAAATTTGGGGGTCAGATCACGACCGGGTGCCGGAAGAGCTCATAGTGACGATACCTAGACGTAAAAGTGAGAGTTGTATTGGATCTACAGATGGGCTTTCATCGCCCATTATAGCTCAAAGTTCTCATCTGTAACCACGGTTAGCACTGTCGTGTACCAAAATTCCACAGTCATTGTGGTAGCCGGGTTCCAATTCCGTGCGGGAGGCCCGGTTGATAGAAATGATCCAGTAAAGTGACAGCCGAGATATGAGAGGAGTGAAGAGAGATATCTTAGTCACACGAGATCTTGGAAGGGGCAAAGGGGGACTCTCCGTGGAGCAGGTTCTGAAGTATAACCCAACGGCTTCATCTTACTTCCCGAGAGAGAATAATCACTATAAAAAATTGTACTTTTGCACGCAATCTAATTTCAAAACTATAGAAAACAAAAATGAAACTATATCAAAAGGCTATAAAAGAGTGAGCCAAGGCAAAACATCGCAATTTACTGGGTTTCCCTTCAAGCTTTTCCTTAACATGTGGCCAACGGGGACATGAAAATGGGAAGTGGTGAAGGTGACACACGAAAGAGAATAAAACTGATCCATCAAGGGGTGCCAGAACTATCGTATCGTCCGTCTGCAAGATTTGGACAGAGTAAATCGTCCTTACTACCTGCGGCGGTAATGACCACGCCCGTGAACGGGGCAGTTAGGATCATGTCCATTGGAATGATGACCAGCTTGAGAATGATGACGACTTTGATGGTGGACAGTCTGGTGGTCATTCACTCCCCTGCGATGGCACTCAGAGTGTCGATGGCCATCTTCACGACGGACATGCTGTCTCCCAGCACTTCCAGCTTCTGAGGTAGCCTCCCCGACTTCAAGGTCCCATAGAGCAGGGTTCTGTAAGCTCTCAGGGATGCAGTCAATGAGCTCCTTGGCAAAGCTCTTGAGATTTTCATCGTCAGAGCGCCGAATGCGCGAGATAGATGTGGGAATCGTTTGCTCAAGGTCAAGGGTACATATCTCGAACTCGTAATCACGTTCCGACGCAGAGCTTGAGATTGCATTGGGAAGCTTTCCAAAAATTCCATTTAGCATGTCGATGATTTGGGGAACGCGATTGGTGGTATTACGAAGGAGGTAAATGACCTCGTGTATCGTTTCCATTATACCCATGCGTTCCAGGTTGTAGGGATCCTGCGAAAGGTGTGGACGAGGCATCTTGACAATTCTTAGACTCGGAATGTGCTTACGTCGACGGTAAAGTGGAGGTAATTGGTGAATTGAAGAAATGATCTGGGGAGTTTGAACACTTTTATATCTTTGGGGTGCTACTATTCTGGAATATCACCGCTCTCATGAGCAAAGCAAGGCTACCGACAAAGGTTCTAACCTTGAAAGTGCATTTAATGTGGGTGCATGGTAGATTATCCGCCCAAAGGCTTCAAGGATACAACCAACCTTGGAAGTCAAAATCCTTGGAGGGACCTACAAAGACCATAGACCCTCTAAATATACAACCTTGGCTTACCTAGTGAAGTCGCTTTTGAGCCCACGTACTCCATATTCACTCTTTGTTATGCAAGATGTGTGAGGGTTCGACCAAAGGACTGAACCATCTGGACAAAATTTTTGAAATGCCAGAAAACAGTCAGTCAGTCAGTCAGTAACCAAACCAACTCAACAACACATGTTCATCCAATTCTGAGTAAGTTTACTATCAAAGTAAAATCATATCAACTCAATGATTACGTCATGTCAAAAACAGAGGCGCTGGGGTCTTTGACTTTCCCCCCCAAAAAAATGATCCACGACAAAGATAGCGCTTAGTAGTGACAAAGAAAAGCCTGGGGCAAATTTGAGTATTCGCTTACAGAGAAGATACTAAAAATGTGCTAGGGAATATGAATAGGTAATGAGACTTTGGTAAATATTTTTAGAGGAGTGTTTGATAAGCCTGGACGACATCCCTGGAAGGCCGGGACCTCAAGTTCAGTATTTGATGGACTAGGGTGTCATGTTTTTCATAGCAGTCTTGACCTTTGGACAAAAAAGAGCCTCAAAGGCTACCCCAATCCTACAGATCTCAAGAGGATTAGCCAACGAGACTCAGGATACGGGATTTGGGAAGGAAGGGCCATCATAACTTCCGCGTGGGCAGAAGCAATCAAACGGTTTGGGCTCACCTCATAGGACCCCTAGATACAGATTTAAGTTATCTAGTCACCAAAATTATTTTTTTACTACACCACAACGCTAATTGACGGTAAATCGGCTGTCGTAAATGAAATCGCTGCCTTTCGAGTTGCAGATGCAGGATGAAGAACTGATCGATTTGAAACAGGCACCGGTTTGGGGATGTAACGACTTTATGAGAGCAATGGAGCTAATTCTCATGGATAACACGGTTTTATCGACAGCGTATGACCTAAGCGCTTTGAGCCCCAAGCCGGTGAGTCAGACTCAGTTGCACTGTACCAAAACAGCTGCTACGCCTACGCCAAGTGCTGCGCCGGGCAGAAAGTGAATGTTGAGTTAATATTATACTGTTGAACCTTGGAAGTGTTGGAAATTTGACAGTTGTGGGGTGTCTTGTGGACAAAGATGAACGTTATTTAAATTTCAGTTTCCTCATATATCGCAAGGTCAACACCAGCTTGAGCACATAAATCCCTGAGCTGGTCCCTCATGTCAGTACACCATTCACCAGGATCCAATTCCCAGAGCCCTAAAGTAATGCCCCGAAGGTTTGGAGTGCACGTCTTCCAATCTTGAATCCATGAGTGAATGAGGCCGAAGACGGCATGGTCCGTCCAGTCCCACACAGGCAAATGGGGTGCGCTGATTGAATCTAGATTCTGATTTCTCATGTCGTACGTGAGGGTGACAAATTCGACGTTCTTTGGGATCATTTCCTGGACTCGCTTCGTTATGTCTTCGGTAAATCCTACCAGAAATGCTAATGGGATTTGAAGTCTCGAGAGCTTATGCATAGAGACCAAAGCATGAAGCGATCCCTTGATCTGAACAGCGGGATCAAATTGATCGCCCCCTCCAAGGTCAACAGAACCGATCAAGGTCAAATCCTCCAAAGTATCCCGAACATGAGATATCGCAGCACCAAGAGAATCAAGATCGACGATGGGGGGATTAACCTCATCCTCAATCCCAGAGTCGTAGTACATTTCCCAGCGAAGATTTGTAACACTTTTGCTGATTGAAAGCACTTTGCATAGATATAACTCCCGGATTGCAGTCAAATCAAGTGCTTTCAGCCTCGACGGAACGGGTGGGCGTGCTGCATTTTCGGTGAAATGAACCGGAGTTTGAATGGCAACTTTCATTTTTTCAACGGTTGGCAAATAAGAGAACGGCAAAACATCTTCTGTATTTTTGACACTTTTGTCGTTCCTATAGTGGCCGTTAAGCGTGGGGCGAAAGTAAACCTTTTGAAGATGCCGAAAATCCGGTAGCAAGATGATCTGCAGGCTCATAAATTGCTGAACGCAATAACATGCCAATAAACTCACTCCGTTCAACAAAGGCAGATTCAAGATTGAGGTATCTCAGATTTGATAGTTGTACCAAAGAAAGTGCCACCAAGGCATCCGTCTTACCTTGGGACACTCCTTTTATCCACACGTCACTGAAGCGGACTCTGGTTCCCTGGATAAATGCAATTAGTCTATCCATATCGATGCTGAAATTAGGGACCCTGGAATCTCCGTAGTGGCTCGCACCCAGAGACCCGACATGGCCTCCGAGGTGGAGACTTGTAATATAGCTAGACAACTGAGGTCTGCAAACCAGTGTCCGCAAAAGTTGGGTGATTGGGGGAGCAGATTTAGAGTCTTCCCAGATCCATACGATCTTCGAGTAGAGGAGTGGCCCAGTGAATGTGCGAACAATTTTATTCACGAGACATAGTGCGCGGAGGTCAGCACGTGAGAGGGACTCGGCCACTGAATTAAATATCTCCGCTGGTAAGCTATCCAAGCCGGGTGGCGGTTGATGTTTCTATTTCCGTTAGCTATGTGATTGAAGGCACGATCGTTGGCCACAGACCGGTTCCATTGTCAGTGGCAGTGTTGATGTAGCCGCCAGAGGGCACTCCTCGTCCGAGTTTTTTTTTTTTCTTTTTCTCCCCACAGTCAACTTGTCAGTCGCACACCGTTTTGTGTTGGACAGTGAACCAGGATACTTTGGCGACTGGTGAACTTGACAAAATCCAAAAGAGTTGAAAATCAAGGAGGGCGCCTGGGGAGTTCTTTAACGAAAATGTTTTTTTGAACGCTAGAATGAAGACAAGAGGGTTGACTAGTGCCATCTCGGAGTGTTATCCGCAAGACGCTAGCACCCGATGTTCCTGTCGCCACCCCGTACCCGGGGCCCGTCGGTGGGTCTGGCGAAGGGTCCAAGAGAGTCATCCACGGACGAGGGTCACGGCTAAGGTATCCCATCTGTTGGGTGGTCAGGTGACCCGGTTGACAGGGTATAGATAGCTCGCTCTCTCTCCCTTCTCTTCTTCCTTTTCCCCGTCCTCTTTTGTCTAGCTAGAATCGATCTACTGCTACGCATACACTCCATCATAGACCGATTACTCGCTACCAGGTCCATTTCCTAAAGGTAAAATCTGGCCGTGGTTTTATAGTCGTAGCCTCTCACACTGAATTTTCCATTGCTGTGATACTTGACGTAGGAATACGTTATCTCTAGACCAGAACTCCTAGGAATATCGGTAGGCAGTGCGGTTGCTATTGGAGCAGGCAAAAGCTAGAAGGCAAGATGGAGGGTAAAGGGGCTGATCAGGGGAGAGCATCGGGGTGAGCGATCAGGTTGCTCACTGAGCAGCTCAGGGTCGCCCAGTGGGCAGCTTAGGGCAGCGGGGTGACTACATAACTCACCCTGGAACCCGGGAGCCAATCACTTCCTGAGGCGACAATGTTACTCCGTACCGTCAACATTATTACAGGATAGATTTTGTCAATCTCGCGAATGTTATGTACTACATTCAAGATCAAGGAGATAGTCATTGATCTAGAACATTTCCCTATATCATAACGCAGATAAGCTATCCCGGCTTCCACGGTTAGCTGTCGATCTACCAGTGGACACTGTATTGTGAGATACGAGAAGGTTGATCTGTGAGCTCTTATCGTTGAGAGGCACTGCAGACCAATCCCGCAACAACCTTCCTAATCGGGAGTAGTCCATATCCACATGACCCAACTTGAAGCCCCTCAATCGATCCCCCGCGTGAATGACTATCTGCGAGGAGTGAACATGAGATCGTCAAACTTCGTCAAATCATTTCATAAGACACGGAGACTTGCACATTCTATCTATGCAAGTGGGCATGTGGTTTCCTATTACAATCGTCTCACTACGGCTATTACCGGCGGATTTATTGTGGCCAGGGCCTGAATGGAGAGACGATATGCAAGGACTCCACAGTTCATATGTATCTCCCCGGCTGGAGCTGCCCAGATAGGCTAGCCGCAAAGGCCAGGATAACGAGACTGGCTCCCAAGAAGCCCCCCAGGGCTGAAATAGATCCCTGAGCCCAGCTATATGATCCCCATTACTCCCTCCTGGACTTGAAACTTTACACACGCAGATACCTTTCTAAATCTCCCTGAGGACTGGCACCACAACAATAACCAACACTTTGATTCTACCCCCTCACCTCTCACCGCACGGAATTCCACCGTTTCAATTATACTTAGATGGCGGTTGTCTCTCACTGTCCCCAACGGCTCCACTGGCACTCTTATACTATATCGCTATCTCAAGCCATTCGCGGAGCTAGTAGAAAAAGTCCTCGGAATTCTAAACACATTCGCTGAACCTGTCATTGCTGTTCACGAAATTGTAGTGACAAAACAATGTCAATCGAAATCGGCCCGCTAGCCCAGGCCGATATTCCCGGCGCGGTAGAATGCGTGCAACAAGCGTTTTCAGATGATCCATATTTCCGATGGGCTTTTGACAATCCATCCAAGGTATGGAATGTCCCTACCCGAAAGTCGAACCCCAGCCTTTTGCCCCGCAAGGCAAGTGATGCAAGGGATAGGAAAGAACAACCCCTCCTTCCACTCGGCAGTGATAACGGAGGTTGATAGTTTAACGTCGAGCGAAACGCTGCTTCTCTCGGTGCCCACTTCCAATATGGTATCAACTGTGGTTGCCCGATATCCGTTGCCAAGGTTACTCGTGCTGCCAGCGAAGACAAAAGCGGCGCAGAAATACGTTTGCCGCCCGGTAGCGTAGTCGGTGTTGCCTGGTGGTATTCACCGCAGGCACAATCAATGCCGCAGACATGGACAGTCTGGGCACAAGACTGGGTTCTTTCATTTCGACAACTCGTGAACAACATTCGCTTTCTTGGTCGAGGTGGATTGAACGTTCATCGATACAAGATTTGGAAGCAGGTACAGCAGAAAGCGCACGACGCCATCTGGCAAGATCCTCGTGGATACTACTTCTGTAACGTCATCGGAGTCAGCTCACAAGCCCGTGGCATGGGAGTAGGAAAGAAGCTCATGGAAGATGTGATGGAAAAAGCCGATCGGGAGAACATGCCTTGTTATCTCGAGAGCTCCAAAGGGTATCCAAATGTTGCCATATACGAGAGGATGGGCTTCGAATTGATCAAAGAGATTGAATGTGTTGATGGAGGGGATGTGTGCAAGGTAAGTCCATTCCAGGAGGTAGGCACTTACTGCGCTTGTCGTGAAGACTGACTGTTGTGACTTCAGCTGTACTGCATGACCCGCAGTCCCAAACACAAGGCATAGGTTTTGATTTTGCAAAATTTGAGCTTACTGCTTGGTGCATTAGCGTAGATCGATGGAAAATGAAGTACGAGAGCAAGAAAGTTTATTGGCGCAAATTCGTGTTGTGCATTTTTCTGTAGTCCCTTAAGATGTGCCAAGTCCCTTTGTGTAGCCCCGGGTGAGATTTGTGGTAATTTTAGGTGGATGAAAAAAAAGTAAAGGGGGTATGGTTGCTTAAAGGAAAGCGAGAGGGAAATAAACGAGAAAAGAAAGAAGAAAGTAAAGTGAACCATGTGAAGTATATGAAAGTGGCGAGAGTGGAAGTAATATCTTAGATAGTTGGGAGATGGGAGAAAACGAAGTGAGAGAGAGAGACCAGGAGCTGCGGCAAAATATCATGGTAATGAACCCGTGAAGTGATCTTCTACCCCGTACCTTGTTGAGATACTGATAGGGCTTGGATTTTTGAATATATAATTTTTCTAGCTGGTAGCATGCTGGATTGCCAGGATATAATCAGGTCATCTTGATTCTTTGAAAAGGGTGTCTACCCTGGCATCAGAAAGGTCATCTTACGGACACCGCCTCGCTTTCCCCCAAGTGATTCATTTACGCTTCAATTTACAAGGAGAAGAGTCCACATCTCGAGTCATATGAAGACAATGAACTGCCAAGTGTCAACTCTAATAATTTGCACCTGTTTCGGCTCACCAGTTACTGGCTCAGAAGCTTTGCTCAGATAAACGCCCCACGCTGGGTGTGACAAGTAAAACTCTCAGGGCCATTGATCTACATGATGGCGATCAATAGAAGGGAGAGTATTGAATAATTTCAAGTATCTCAATAACCATAATTTCGAGACCAGTGGACTATCAATTAAGTCACTTCCAAAAGTGTGCTAGTTGAAAGACGGAGCAAATACGAAAACTCGAACATTTCCGCAAATTAACAAGGGCCCCAATTACCGTGGGCGGCGCATCTCCAAAGTCCGATCGACCTGCAAACACCAAATAAGCGTAGCCACCGTGGTTTGGCACTAGTGTGCCGTCGCTTGACTGAGTATCCACAATAGAATACCATGGCGGCCCCGAGCCTCTGCGGACTATACCGTCGGGGAAATTTTATTTTTCTCTGGAAATTCTTTGGCTTTTCGAATTTCTTTCCCTTCAGTGTCTCTCCTGTGCCAGCTTGAGCCATCATGTCGGTCAATGAAAAAGTAAACGTGAACGACACCGAGCTGGGAAGCCCTCGAGACTCTGCGGAGGAGCATGAGGTTTTCAAGAAGACCGAGGATGGCGTCAGCTTCCGCAATGTCGGCTGGTTTAAAGCGTGTATCATCTTTGTGAAGGTTCTTTTTGCGACAGGTGTACTGTCGCTGCCCTCATCACTATACGCCCTGGGCGCGGTGGGTGGCTCCCTCAGTATCATCGGCTGGGGGGCGTTCAACACATACTCTTTTGTTATCCTGGGGAACTTCCGCAAGGAGCACCCTCACTGCCACTCCATCGCTGATATGGCGGAGGTTGCCGGTGGCTTTTTCGCAAAAGAGCTCACCGGTCTACTGTTCCTTATTGGCTACGTCCTTGTTACGGGCAGTGGTATCATTGGTGTGTCAACTGCTCTGAATGCCCTTTCGCATCACGCCGCTTGCACAGTCTGGTACTCGCTCGTTGCTGCTGTTGTGATCATTGCAACTGCCTCCGTCCGAAAGCTTCAGCATGTGGGCTGGCTCACCTATGCAGGTTTCATTTCAATTTATGCTGCAGTCCTGATCGTGGTTATCGGAGTCACCACGCGCGACCGACCTGCTGCTGCACCCCAGGAGGGCCCCTACGATCTGGGCTTTGTGGCCATCAACAACCCCGGATTTGCTCTTGGCATGGTCGCTTCTAGCACTATATTCGTTTCATCTGCTGGTACCAGTGCCTTTATTCCGGTGATGTCCGAGATGCGAAACCCCAAGGATTACAAAAAGGCGTTGTATTTGTGCATGGCTTTGGTCACCGCGTCGTACCTTGCTTTTAGTCTGGTCGTCTACCGTTGGTGCGGCCAGTGGGTTGCTAGTCCATCTTTGGGAGTAAGTGTTCTTTGCATCATCTATGCTTTGTTGTTTTTTCTTTCCAATTGCCTTTGCTAACATGATACTTTTGTAGAGTGCTGGACAAACAATCAAGATGGTATCTTACGGTGTTGCGCTATTGGGGCTGGTCGTGAGTGCTACGATCTATTTGCATGTTAGTATTTCCCTCATCCCAAGCATTCAAGGCTCATTATTTCGTTAGATTGCCGCCAAATACGTTTTCGTGCGTATCTTGGGTAAAACTCGCCATTTGCAAGCCAATACGGCTGTTCACTGGGCTACCTGGATGGGTTGTACGATCTCGCTCGGTGCTATCTCTTTTATTCTCGCTGAAGCTATCCCCATCTTCAACTATCTCATCGCATTGGTCGGCTCTGTGTGTTTTGCTCCTCTTGCCATTTGTCTGCCTGGATTCTTGTGGCTACACAGCAATGGACATTATCGCAGAGGCACCCTCATGCAAAAGACGATTTACTTGTTGCATTGGGGCATGGTCCTGCTCGGTGTCTTTTTCCTTGTCGGTGCCACTTACGGCGTCGTCATTCAGATTATTGACGCCTACGCCACTGGCGCAATTGGTACGCGAGCCATCCTTTCGTTTCTGCAAAACATATTATTGACTTTTCATCCAGGCTCGGCCTTCAGCTGTGTCGACAACTCCAACTCGTCCTAAGGACATGACGTGGTATAAAGCAAGCTTAATTATTGGGAGCTGGGCTCCTGGCAAGATGAGCGGATATCGGCCACGCCTGTCCACTTCACGAAGGTGTATAAGGGAACTTCGAAATAATGAGGAGGAATAATGAGATATTGGCCATCTAGATACGATGTAAGTGCATCGTCACAATGTAATTAATGAGTTGTCATAGAATGTTATAGCTTCCAAGCTCCAGAACTGTCATGAACCTAAGAATCCACCACTAACCCACAATTGGCCATGGCCCGAAGCGAGGGACAGTATCCACTCCCGGGCGGCCTTCCCCGAACCTAGGGCAAACTGTGTTAAATTCTTTCATTCCTCAAATCTTTGCAATTGAACCCCTTTTGAGATGACCTGCAAAGTTCTTACTTCACAAAGATTGGTATTATGTACACCCCTGCATATAAGCTGCATTGACCTGCATTCGCCACGAGCCTTGAATCTCCAATTTGTGACCCGTGTGGATTCCGCATCGCGCCGTGGCGCCTCAGAACGAAGGCGGACGAACTCAAAAAGTCTGCAGGTGGAGTTTGCGCGGGACACGTTGCGCGTGTGCCGTCTTTTTGAGCTCGGGGGCTATCGGCCATTCCAGAATCTCTCAATCCAAGGGGTTCAATCCCTGCAGTCCTCTTACCACGTGGGATTGCAATCGTGACCACGATGGTACATCAAAATAATACAACATTCTGGCAAGCAAGAATACTACTTGATGTTCCTGTGCGATGGTGTTTATAACTAGTTTGTAGCCCAACATAGTGAGAGCCGAATGTGAGAGCAAGCGTGCGAGGAATTTTGAGCAGTTTCATTCCTCGCGAATGCTTCCAAGGTTTCAATCTTATAAAGGTAGAAATTTGATGTTCTAAAATTTGTATATAGCCCAAGCAGAACAGACGGTCGCCCGGCACCAGATCTCTCTACCATTTTTTCAGGTTATGATCAAGCCCATTTTCCCAACACGCCCATTAAGATCATTCCAGTGATCAAAGAAAGACCACCAGTCAGAACTTTGCTCACTGGCGCGTTCAACATTTCGCCTCCCTCGATCACCCAATCACGTGCCCACATGTCCACGACGCCTACCCACACCAGAATACCAGCAGAGAGTGCATCAAGTGTTCCAAGCGCAATCAGAGTGCTTCGCTCATTTCCATTGAATGAGTTCAAGACACCAAGCCCGATCGCCATGCCAATGGGTGTGATTAATGCAAACGCCGCTCCCATGGCGGCCTTGGAAGGCAGAATGGCACCTGGAAGAGTCGCAATACGAGCACCAAGCGCCAAGCCCTCGAAGAATTGATGGAAAACAATGACGACCAGAAGTGTCTTGTAGAAAGAGTCACCAGCAACGACAAGGGTAAGACCAATCAGGATACTGTGGAAGAGCACACCTGCTTCCATGACAAGCACAGAGAATTTGTTGGTGGGCTGCGTGGGATCAGATGCACCGTGACTGTGACTGAGAGACGCCAGTGTTGACTGCGGTTGTTGCTCTGGTGAGTCACCATGTTGTCCCTTGGTGGTTGTTGGTTGAGCTTCAGTTTCAATCGAGTCTCCTCCAGCATTCCTGCGGTTACGAGCAACGATGATCCTGTGGCCAATGTACTCCAGCAAGAAAGCGAGAGCAATGCCACCCATGACGATCGCGGAAGTTGTCGCCTCGTAATCAAGCTCGCCAAGACACTCGTTGGTGAACATGAGGTTGGCGTGCGTATACAGCTGACGGAAGCGGTAAGTATGGATCACTCGTTGGTTGCACAAGACGTATCACTTACGTGGACAAAGGCCGTAGAAAGAATAATACCGGTTCCAAATTGCTTGATGACAGTCGAGACAACACCGTTGATTGAGGCAAATGGAAGCTTCATCAGAAGGATAGGTGCGAAAACACCGATTGCACTTGTTACCAGGATGACAAACAATGTTCCAATGCGCAAGGGAACATCATAGTCCCTGGTCTGAATGCCACATGAGGCATGACTGTCTTCTGATGCTCCTGCTCCGACACAGTGTCTTCAAATTATTAGCAGCTGGCCACAAGAAATCCACGGTAAAGGGAATCGTACTCAACACCAGCATGGAAATGGCAATTTTGTTCAGTCCCGCTGGAGGACTCTTCGTGATCGTCCTCACTGTGCTCATCTGTACTCTCTGCTGTGGCTTCTTCTTCAATGAGAACATCATTTCCATCTGCGTCCATGCAGTATCTTCGCCAATTTTGTCAGTATAAATTCGCGCAGGTGTAGGTGTAGTCACTTACGATGAGCTGCCATGTGTGTGACAACCAGTATACTGGGCCGGTATCCCAGTGGTGGGGGTAGAAGATGCAGATACTAGAACTTCTTGGCCATCACCCTTGATACAGTATATGCTTGAACCATGATTGTGACACCCGGTGACAGATGATGTTTGTGCAGATGTTGTGGCTGTGGCTGCGTATGCACTGGCAACACCAAGAGATATTAAAAGAGGCCTGAGAATCAACATCTTTGTGTCTTGTTATACGAATGGATCGAATTGGAAAGTTGAGATGGAGTGCGACAAAATCGTGGGCAAGTAAGCCTCTCTAAAAGGCACTTCACAATTTGCATGCAGGGCCTCTACTCAGGTGTCTCACCCCCAAGGTTCTCGATGCCAAGCTAAAGACCTTTCCACCTTTTTGCCAAGAAGAGTCCTGAGCTTTTTCTTCCGTCGGAAACAACTGTGTGCTCCCTCAAGGTACTCCCGCCCAGACTTCTTGGCGACCCTCCGCCGAGCCCTTTTTCTTGGCATCAATCAGGGCTTCTGCCATATGATTGCTGGAAGGAGAACATAAGCGGATAAATAAGCCCTCAAGGTCCCCTGGTCGTAAGTTGAATCATCTCTATGCCCAGATGCGATGGATACTAAATGCCGCTCGCTAAACCAACTTGGGTTTCCAAGGTTCGCAGATAGGAATCGATGACCAAAATCCTAGCGAAATGAAGAGCAGCAATCAGCCACATTCGCCTACCAACACCACCGAAGGTTGAAAGTTTGAATGGAAGGCTTGGAAGCTCGGAGCGAGCCGAGAAGAAAATGTATAAATGCTTCGTTTACCTCGTGCCAGAAAGTGCTATCCACAGACATCGCGACATCACTGATACAAAGTCAAAGTCATGCTTTTGCTAAGCTTTCTTCTCTCTGCAGCTGCAGCTGCAGCTCTCCCTACTCCTGATAGCTCTGAGGGAAACCAATCTCAACCCTTCTCTCAGAATGGACTTGCACCTTGGAACGCTGGTGCAGTGAATCAATTCCCGATCCATTCTAGCTGCAACGCAACCCAGCGTCGCCAGATTGAGCTTGGCTTGAATGAGACCATCACTCTGGCTGAACATGCCAAGAACCATATCTTGAGATGGAGCAATGAAAGCGCAATTTACAAGAAGTATTTCGGCGACAGTCCCACTATGGAAGCCGTCGGTGCATTTGATGTCGTGGTCAATGGCGACAAGAAGGATGTCTTGTTCAGATGTGACAATCCAGACGGGAACTGTGATATCGAAGGTATTTCTTCCCTCCCCCTCTCCTTCAAATATGAGACTCTGACAATTGCTATCACGCAGGTTATGCCGGACACTGGCGAGGCGAAAATGCCACGGACGAGACCGTCATCTGCGATCTAAGCTACGAGACCCGTCGCTCCCTGTCAACAATGTGTGGCCTTGGTTACACAGTTTCGGGATCGGAAACAAACACCTTCTGGGCATCCGACCTCCTGCACCGCCTATACCATGTCCCCGCGATAGGTCAGAACTGGATTGACCACTTCGCGGGTGAATACGAAGAGGTCATTGATCAGGCCAAGAAGAATGCTACTCTCTCCACCCACGATACCCACACTCTTCAATACTTTGCGCTGGAGGTTTATGCCAATGATATCGCTGTCCCAGGGGTTGGGTGCCCGGGCGCCCAACACGAGCACGAGGAGAGCCACGATGAAGCGACTGCAACTGCAACTGCAACCGCAACCACTGCCGATAAGCCTACTTCTACAGCAGATGTTCCCGCGGTATGTGATTATGTTGACTTTGGCATGGTTGACCAAGACTAATTTTAATAGAACTGCCATACACACGAAGGAGGTGAACTTCACTGCACTTAGGCGTGAATTGCGCTCTTCTCCCACAGAGCCGAAGGAACCGATTTGATTATTGTTTACCTTGCTATCAGTGACGATGCCAGTGCCCGTGATGCTAGGAAGATAGACCGAATTAGCTGCGTCTGATAATGATTTCTAGAGAACTGTGTTAATCAGTTAATTGTTTATGCAGATATGAGATATTGTGATTTTTGTTTTTCTTTTCATGTCAATATGTTGGTAATGCCCACCCAGTTTAGTCTAAAACGCCAAAAGCATATCCCGTCTAACTCATTTCTCATCGGCTCGCCGTTCACTGGCTCATTCATTTATGCCGATGCGCAGTGACCTCCATCGACACGAAGATCAGCACCGGTCATCCAAGCACTAGCATCGGTGAGCATGAACAAGGTTGGGCCCTTGAAGTCTTCAGGGGCGCCAAGGCGACCGAGGAGAGCACCGCGCATCCATGTCTCCTCCAAGTCGGGCTTTTCCTGGAGCAAAGCGTCGGTCATGGCGGTACGAATATACTAAATGATCACGGTTAGTAAACCTTGTTCTCATCATCCAGATCATGAGCGACCAATCTTACTCCTGCTGACAGTGTGTTGACACGGATGTTGTGCTGGCCCCATTCTTGAGCGACGGAGCGACACATCTGGTGCACAGCGGCCTTTGAAGAGTTGTAAGCGGTGCAAGTCAGTCCCTAGGATTTGCTCAACGTTAGCTTCAGGCGATAACCCTCGCGATCGAATTCCCTGAGCTTACGCGGTTGGCGATTTGACCAGACATAGACGCGATCATCACAATACTGCCGGGGGTCTTCTGCTCAACAAAGATACGAGCACAGTGCTTGGCAGGAATGAATGTTCCAAGCACACTAGAACAAAACCTGTTAGTACTATGCATTGTCGCGAGAGCACTCGGAACTCACTTGACGTCCAACATCTTCCGATATCCATCCACGGGGTAATCAAGAGCAGGAACCATTTGCTGGATACCAGCACAGGTAATGGCACCGCGCAGGGGCCTGTTCCGGCGCAGACCCTCGGCCGCAATGTCCTCCAGCACCTTCTTGGTGTTCTCTTCATTGGTGATATCGCACTGTGTGTACGTTGCCTGCAAGCCGCGCTGGTTGGCCAACTTCTGCACGGCACCCCATTCTTCCTCGCTCGGCTCGGGGAGGAGATCCAGACAAGCAACATCACCACCGGCCTCAAGCACGGCAGTGGTCAAGCACATACCCAATCCACGGCCTCCTCCAGTAATCATGACTGTGCGACCGGCCAAAGAGAAAAGGTCATTGGCCGGGACGAAGGCCGCAGGGGTCTCGTTGGACTCCGGCACCACAGCTGGGGTGGTATGGTCGAGGGAGATTGAAGGGGCCATTGTGAGTTGAGTGGGATTGGGGGTTTGGGGGTTTGGTAGACAGAGGGAGATTGAAGGTGAATGGCAGATTGAATTAGAGCGCGTCCATTTCATATAGGACAGATGCACCAACGCGTCATCATCGCTCAGATCATCACACGCGGCGGTTATAAACAACCCAACTAGGGAAGTATTTAGTCAAATGGACTGAAGTGGACCGGGGCATGAAGCACTCTGTCAGAGGTTCCATTTTCCAACAGTAGTCCCCAATTTTCTGCAAAGTCACGATCGGTCCTGGAATCAGATTGGTTTCAACGGGTGCCAAAATTTCCCTGAAGCGGTAAGTTGGGACAGCAAGAGGGTGGAGCATGGGGCAGCAGGCGGGGAGAAGAATCTGGGGATTGGGGGATGCAATGCGGGTGACATTCAACTTGCGGGCTTGAAAAGGCGCTTAACTCTTCCCGATTAGGAAATATCACGCACTCGGCCGTTTAAGAGCTTAACCGGCCCGGGGGTACCGAAGTTTCGACTGTCGCGTGGAACTCGGTTCGGCCCATGCTTCTTTTCTCGGTATCGATTCTTGCCCATGTTCCTGGCTAAAATGTGGATTTTTGTAGGGAACTCTGGCATCAGAACTCAAATGGTAACCAATTTACCGGTTTCGCTCTAGTTCGCATTGTGAGTATGTCTAATTGATGCGGCATTTTCAATTTCCCCATTATCGCGGTGTCCACGACGCACCCCGCAAATCACGGACCCGAGCCAGGATCATACTATCCCGGGGAAGACCAGATCGACCATGGGAGGTTCCGGGTTACGGTTTCACAAAACATTCCATGACGCCACATTTGGGGTACGGACTTGAATGCGGCTGTCCAAGTCATTTAAAAGGACCCCAGGGGCCCCACTGCTTTCGACAATTTACAGTTGACATAACTTGCTGCTGCACGACCCCTAAGACCCCAGCAAGTCTGCTTCAATATTATCATGACGATCCTCGTGGGCAGGGCGTTGAGCTACGCCATTACGGCCACCGCTGGTAGTGGCTTCTTGCTGTAAGTGGATGATTCCTGTCTCTAACATTCTACTAAATAAAGCGAGAAATAGTTCGCTAACAGGTGATTAGATTTGGTTATGATCAGGGTGTTATGTCCAGTCTGCTGACTGGAGACGCCTTTGTTGCCACATTTCCTGAGATCGATACCACCGCAGGTGGGCACGGCAGCTCTTCTTTACAGGGCACAGTGTAAGTCTTTTCAAAACTTACTCGTCAGGGGAGATATATGGCTAACCGAAACCCGCCCAATAGTGTTGCCATATATGAAATTGTTTGTTAATATCTATCTCCAAAGTGTATGAGACTTTGATCCTAATGACCCCAGGGATGTTTTTTGGGCGCAATCGTCTCCTTGATCTTTGGTGAACGGCTCGGTCGTCGAAATTGTATCATGGCTGGATGCGTTGTTCTCAGCATTGGTGCCGCACTTCAATGCAGTGCCTATAGCATTCCTCATCTCATTGTCGGTCGAATCATTGCGGGTGTGGGAAACGGTCTCAACACCAGTACCATTCGTGAGTTTTTTTTTTTTCCTTTTTCCTTATTCCAGACTTGACTTTAGCTCCTCAAAACTTCCCACAATATGAGCTAATATCCTCATAGCGGTCTGGCATTCGGAGCTGAGCAAGGCAGCAAGCCGTGGAAAGGGGGTAAGTCTATACACCAAAATTCCGAGGGCCTTGAGCTAATGACTTGGACAGCTGGCCATCGAGCTGGCCATCAACATCTTTGGAGTCATGCTTTCTTATTGGGTTGGTAGGTTTGGATTCCCTTTTCAAATCATCGCGTGTCAGTACTAAGCTTAACCTCTATTCTTGCAGACTACGGAATGAGTTATGTCAAGAACGAAGCACAATTCCGCTTCCCTATCGCGTTGCAAATTCTCTTTGCCATCGTCACGTTTTTCGGCGTGCTGTGTCTTCCCGAGTCTCCCCGTTGGGTGAGTTTCAGAATTTATATACATTACAGGTTCTAAGCTAACAAGCTAGCTTATACAACACGGCCACGAAAGCAAAGCCCGCCACATTATATGGGCGCTTCAGCATAATGCTCGCGAAATTGATGAGGACGACCCTGTGGTGAGCGTGGATGTTACTGAGATTACTCGCGCAGTTGAGGAAGAACAGGAAGCCTCGTCAGGGGGGTCTTACAAACTCATGTTCCAAAACAACAAGCAGCGGTTCCTGTACCGCACCCTTCTCGGCATGGGTGGTCAAGCTATGCAGCAGCTATCTGGAATCAACCTCATTACTTACGTGAGTCCAAACGTGTGAGACATCATCATCAACAAATCTGCTAACCAGTATTAGTATGCGACTGTCATCTTCGAACAGTCGGTTGGAATGTCACACCACACAGCCTTGCTATTAGCAGGTTTTAATGGAATTGCATACTTCTTCTCTTCCATGGTTCCTATCTGGACAATTGAACGGTATGTTGAGCGCCCACGAAGCTTGACCTGATCATACTAACTCAACTCAGATTGGGTCGTCGTAAACTCATGATGTTTGCGGTCATCGGACAAGGCTGCTGCATGGCTATCTTAGCAGGAACTGTTTGGGATGGTAGCCATGCATCTGGCTTAGTTGCCACGGTCATGCTATTTCTGTTCAATTTCTTCTTCGGAACTGGTCTTCTTGCTATTCCTTGGCTGTGTAAGTACTCCTTGGGAGCCGTGTTTACTAAGCTCAGCATTAACCTTATACCACATAAAACAGTGCCTGCAGAGTATTCTCCTCTCGCGATTCGAACTCGGTCAGCTGCTATGGCGACAGCAACAAATTGTGAGTGGAAGTCAACCTATCAGGTAAGAAAAGCTAACACATATTGTCAGGGATCTGCACATTCCTCGTCGTCGAGATCACGCCGGTCAGTATCTCAAATATTGGATACAAGACCTATATCTACTTTGCCAGTACGTGCCACATACAAACGTCTATAGCGTATTCCGCAAATCTCGTGCTAATTTGAAATAGTCTTCAACTTTTGCTTCCTCCCCCTCATCTACTTTTTCTACCCAGAAACACGAAACCTCACCCTGGAACAAATTGACCTGCTATTTACCAGTGACAAAGTTCATTTGCATTGGGATTCATCCATGGGAATTGCAGGTGACGTGGACACACGGGTTGGGAATGCCACTGCAAAAGACCTGGAGGGCTCAAACGCTCAACATGTTGAGTGAGTATTATGGACCCGATCTCTAAGATTAAATAGAAAATTGAACAACACCTCAGCGAGATCAATTAAATTCTCTCAATTTGATACCCGAGTGCTTGAGATGAATGATCATTGGTTCTGAAACTACATCAACATGAAATTTGGAAGAGCTTTCAAGCCCTGCCCAGGTGCCCAGATGGAAGGTACCTGAATCTTGCAAATCCCGTCAGTTCCAAGGTGGAATACTAGCATTACTTCACTAGCAAAAATATACTAAATCTGCTACTTGCAAAACATGACATAGCGGCCACTCAAGTAAACCCACACGGAAATGGCACCTGGGCAGAAATATCGGCTTCCGAGGGTGGTAAAGGGGGGTTCAGCCACTTAGAAGAAAGAGTACTGCCAAGCCCAGGCCCACCGCTCGGCAAGTCCCCGCGCCCACAGAACACGGGGCCCCAACCAGAACCTGCGCTTAATCTTGCCAAGTTAGGCAAAGCCCGGAAGTCTTCCATCTCTCGTACTTCCATCTTCCACCTACGCAATGCGATCCCCTGCTTATCAGCATGGTAGATTTTCACGTCAAAAAGGATGCCCCTCAATATTGCAAAAGCTGGTGTTGATGAGGGCAGAAACAGTACACAGATTTCCGCCCCACTACAATCGCGCGATTCCATGCCTCCAAATATGACCACGGAGCGCAAGAAACGCACACGAACCGGATGTGTCAACTGCAGTCGGAGGCGGCGAAAATGTGACGAGGCCAAACCTAGCTGCACGGGTTGCAAGCGCCGGGGTGAAGACTGCCAATGGCGTATGCTCGGCGCATTTCGCGATTCCAATATCAAGGTACTAGAGTCGGATCATCCGTCCATGAGTCAAGGTGGTGCAGTCAGCAAGGGAAAACGCCACAGTAGATTCAAGATCTTGAATAATGCTTCAAAATCCTCGAAGGAGAAAGGTGGCAAGCACCATGATCAAGAAGCCTCTGACGAAAGGCCGGCACAGGGACCATCCTTGACACCTGCTCCAGAAGCAGATGCCGCTGCGGCACCGGCTACTGCCACTGAGGCTGCTTTGAGCTCCACTCCTGTGTTGATCGCCCAAAGTGTTGCTAGCCCGAGCCCTGCGGTCAATCAATGTCTATCACCGCCTTACTCCGGCGAAGCTCCGCACTTGTCTCGGACAGTCGACGATGCCAGATCTCCACGACATACTATAATTGAGACAGACGGCAGCCATGTAGATCTTCAGTCTGCTCCTCCTCACTCCCATTATCCCCCACCCTTACAATACGGCTTCAATGCGCTTCCACAGTCGAGGGACGACTCGTCGCATTGCTACAACTCTAGTCCTGAGTACATCATCGACGATTTGACCGGGCTGAGTGGCTTCTCACAAGGCACTCAATTTCGATCATCTGTGACTGGCTCTCACCAAACAGTGCAGTCGCCGTTGTTTGATCACAATGTCTTCTCCGACCCGGCAAATCTCATCAACGATGTGTTCCTGCCGGGCTCTGCATACGAAGCACTTCACACGACTTTGAGAAACCGCCAATTATGGACTGCCCGGCCAGATATTCCATATCGTCGTAGTTCAAATGATGCCGCGTCTGTTGTGCATACCCCACCAGCATTCAGTGACTCCGGGTCCTTCTCAAGAGCTGAGAAACAACCTCGGTGGTTAGAAACTCGCAGACGCTTTGAATTGTCACCAGAAAGAGAGCACATCCTATGGGAGAACTATCTCAATGAGATTTGCTCGTGGGTACGTTAACTCCGCGAGGCCCATGATATTGAAACGCCATCTGACACCAAAAAGCTGGACATGTTTGATAACAATCGCCATTTCGCTTCAACTTTCCCCCAGATGGCGAAATCCTCTACTCACCTACGATACTCCATATTAGCTTTATCAGCACGGCAGCTTGAGCGACGGCAGAACCAGAAGTCCCAGTCGGAAAGCTTGTCTCTATACCAAGAAGCCATTCATCTTCTTCTACCTGAGCTGGGTGAGAAGACCACTCCTGTCATAGCTTCTTGTGTTATTCTCTGTGTTTTGGAAATGCTCAGTTGTAAGTTCTCGGATTTCTGTGGCTTACTATGTCCGATTTTAACAATGGCAGGTAATCCCAAAGAGTGGCGTCGGCATTTAGACGGCTGTGCATATCTCATTCAAGCAGCAGGTATCAACGGCTTTTCTGGAAAAGAGGAGCAAGCACTTTTTTGGTGCTTTGCGCGAATGGGTATGGAGCTATCTCCAATTCACACCCTGCTATCTTTATCAAGTTTTCTGATTCAAGTTAGATGTTTGTGGAGGTCTCATATCCGAAGAAGAGACTATCATTCCTATTCACAACTGGCGGCCAATTGATATGAGCTATAACGAAGCTGCACAGACATTCATGTCCTCAGCAAAAGCTAACCTCGACACGTATGCCAACTACACGGTGTATCTTGTCGCACGGACCTTGAACGTTCTGTTTGGCTGTGCTTCCAAGATGTCACATCCTTGCACATCATGCCAATCTGTTCCCAGCGATGATGGCAACTCTTATGTGCACCGATGGGCTGATTCATTCGATCATGTGGAAGCGTGGTATGAAAATCGGCCTGCGCAGATGAAATGCATCTTCAGCGTTGCTGCCTCAGAGCGCGAAGGGATGGATCGTGCGTTTCCCATTGCCCTGTATGGGAACGGAGCCGCAAGTAACTTATCTCGCTCTCCAACTGTGATATACGATTCTAAGATTCGCTAGTATCCGGAAACCAGCTCTATCATGTAGCTGCCTTACTCCTGCTTCAGCGGAAGCCGAAGACTTTAACATTAAGCAAGAGGCCGGTGGGTTGGTTACTGTGGTTTTTCCAGCACAAAAAGCTAACCAGAGTCAGAGATCGGTTCTTTGGCATGCTCGACAGATCTGTGCGATCTCTGCGTCAAACGCTCACCAGTGGGTTCCCTGAAAGCTTCTTTGAGATTTGCAAAGTTTGGCATTAGATCAAATTTACTAACGCTCTGTGAATGACTAGTGGTTGCTGGACCAATGCACTCCAACCGCTGTGGATAGCAGGGAAGGCCATGTCGCACTACTCTGAGCACACTGCCATTGTTGAAACTTTGGTCAGAATTGAGCGCGAGACTGGTTGGGCTACGGCTTGGCGTGTTGAGGACCTCAAGGAATTTTGGGGCGAATATGATCATGATGAAGATGGTGACATCGACCTGGATCAGGTTTGAAGAGCAAATTTGATGACTGACGCTGGAGCATGCTTGCTCTTCTTAATTTTGCTTCCATATTGGCAGGTGAAGCAGAAAGTTAAGAAATCAAATGCAACGAAAAAAAACTACCTCCTGCCGCCCTAGGAGTCGACCAAGACATCTTCGTGAGGACACGGTACTCAACCCAGCAAACTAGGGAATCCCATGGGGGTCAACCCCGGAACACGACAATTGCTGGGGGGGTAACCCACTAAGCTGTTGTGGCGGCAGTCACTAGGTCTTACTCTAACTGGGTATGTATACCTACCTTGGCCACGAGCTTCCAAAGAAATGAGTCCTATATATAGGACAAGTTCAAATGTCAAGAGTTAATCGTAAGTATTTCCTCAAACTGGAAGGTGTCCTGCCAAGAGAACAAGGGATGTGATGTCTTTATGGCCCACTTTTAGTATCGGAATAACGCAATTTTTTCTATCTCACCTTGGAACAATCAGACCTTTCCTAGATAGGAAGTAAACAAGGCTTATGTGAGATCGGATCGGCCCCCTGCGATCGTCGCCGAGGCGCAAGGTCAGATCCTTGATCTTGGCGGCCTTACGTGTTCCCACTTCCCTTCCAAGTCGGACACACCATGATCTCCTTTTATCGGCGCTTGTTTGGCGATCATTGGCACAAGCTCCCACTAGCGCTGGATCGGGTCTCAAGATTTTCCCTAGGTCTTTGGGTTTTAATCTGGATTCCCATGCTGTCACTACTTGAGAATCTCTTTCCCTGCAATCAACCCGGGGATTCGGGTTGTGCTCCAAAACACTCACATTGAGGCCATTCTGCATGGTCGCAAATGTTCCTTTTCAAATGCAATCTTCTCATCCACCAAAAGCTTCCTTGCCATCCAGGATCCCACTATGGCGCATGATCTTTGACCAAGGCGCGATAACACAACGAATTGTTGATCACTCATATCCTGGAAGTGGCACTGATGAAGATCCGTTTATTGTGTCCTGGATCGATGAGGACCCTCGAAATCCGATGCTCTTCAAGAACTCATCAAAATGGGCCATAACTTCTCTTGTCTCAATGGGCACTTTCGTAGTGGCTCTTGTCTCTTCGGCATACTCTGGTTCGACGGTGGAAATTATCGAATACTTTCAAATCAGTGAAGAACTCGCCCTCGTCGGAATATCTGTTTTTGTGGTCGGATTTGCTGTAGGTCCGCTCGTTTGGGCGCCGCTCAGTGAAATATATGGTCGTCGTGTGGTTTTCATCTTGAGCTCATTTTTCCTGACGGTCTTCTCAGCTGGCGCTGCTGGAGCCAAGAACATCCAAACTTTGATCATCCTGCGCTTCTTTGCTGGGAGCTTGGGATCGGTACCAATGGCTATTTCTGGGGCTGTGATTGCGGACATATTTCATCCTATCATCCGTGGATTAGCAAGTGGTCTTTTTGCCGCAGCGCCTTTCCTGGGACCAGTTCTAGGCCCCATCTTCGGAGGGTATATTGCCAAAGCGAGCGGTGGCTGGCAATGGGTTCAAGGCTTTCTTGCTGCATTCTCCGGAGTGACGTGTCTAGCGACCATCTTACTCATGCCGGAGACTTACGCACCAGCTCTGTTGCAATCGCGAGCACAATCACTCCAGAAGGCCACAGGTCTTGCTTACCGCACCCAGTTGGACGAAAAGAGATCCAATCCAAGGAAGGTTTTGACGACTGCGCTTTCACGGCCCTGGGTGCTCCTTTTCCGCGAGCCCATTGTGCTTTTGCTCTCTCTATACATGTCAATCATCTACGGCATCTTATATATGCTGTTTGCAGCATACCCGATCGTCTTCCAGAGTGTCCGAGGCTGGAGCGAAAGTGAGGGCGGACTTGCCTTCCTCGGCATTCTAGTCGGTATCCTCTTCGCGATAATCTATATTGTTGTCGTTTTCTTCGATTACAGAAAGCGAACCCTCAAGGTGTCCCCGGGTCGACTTCCCCCGAGGCTCGTCTCCCACCTAGTTTCCCGGCATGCATCGCTCTGCCGGTCGGCTTGTTCTGGTTTGCCTGGACAAGCCAGCCATCAGTCCACTGGATGGCTCCGATCGCCGCTGGAGTCCCCTTTGGGTTTGGCATGGTGATGGTCTTCCTTCCTATTCTCAACTACTTGGTCGATACATACACGATCTATGCAGCCTCTGTACTTGCAGGCAATCTGATGCTCCGGTCTATCTTTGGTGCCATATTCCCACTTTTCACAACCTATATGTATCGCAACTTGGGTCCGAATTGGGCTGCCTCAATACCTGCATTTTTGTCGGTCGCATGCGCTCCAATGCCGTTCTTGTTCTGGCTGTATGGTCCGAAGATACGTAAGCGCTGCCATTATGCCGCTGAATCGGAGGCTTTCATGACTCGTGTCTTTGGGGGACCAGTAACAGAGAAACATAGTCAAAACAAGTAAACAAAACATCTCCAGGGCTAGAACATCCAAAACATACATACCAACTGAGTCATCCTTGAAAACCCTCATGCATTTGAACATGCTACGTATCTCCAGGGCTACACCTATGGATCATGTTTGATCTCAAGCTTTCTAAGGTAACCTCCAGGGCTCTGTAGATCGGTCCACGGGTGTGTTGAGCAGAGGAAGTTATTCCAAGTTTGACACTGCTATACGCCCAGGTGGATATGCCCTCGGGATGGAGAACCTCCAGGGCTTGGAACACCTTAGCTGTTGCCTACTATCTCCAACTTTGTAATCCATGTATGTGCCAAGCTTGGGTCCAAGTGTACCCTGGGTTTGTGGCGTCTGTCGTGGGGAGGGTGCAGCACGTTGATGTACAAGCCGAACCTTGGAAATATATAGAACATCAACCACATCAAAGATCACCAAAATGAACCATTGAAAGCGAGGAATTTCTATTAATAATACTGTATTATCAATGGCATTTAAATTTGAAAGCCGGTTTCATAATTCTGAGCACAAGGCTGAGCATCTATCTGATGTGATAGATCCGAAGTAAACAAATTTATTGTTCATGGCCATTTCCGAGGCTCCCGGTCGGAACCTTCCATTTGCAAGGGGCGGAGCGTGCACCTGGGCAGCACCTAGACACCTCCGGACTATACTCCGTACCCGTGGACCTAATTACAAAGTACACCTAACGGCTTGCGCATTGGATTTTCTACAACCTGGAGAGTGTTATTTAGTATTGCCACCCGTTCAGGAGAGCACAGAAAACCTTGGAACAAATATTTACATGATCACTCGGACCCCTACAACCAATGGAGCATACGGGAGCACGAGAGGAAAATAAATGATACACACTGCACCTCAAAAGAATGTACTGAGTAGATATGACATCAACAGTCCAGCTTGATTTGCGGAGTACAAGATGTTATTTTCTTGAGTGATGTCGGAATGCTGGACGGGGGTGACATGAGGTGTTGAACAAGGGGCGATGGGCAGTGAGGCAAACAAGCCTTGCATCCACAGCAACCGTTGAATCTAGTACAGGAGCCCTCCGAATGTAGGATCTTGGAATCCTTTGATTTATGCAGGAAATCAAGACTGGTGTCGCCTGAAGTTTGACAGACTTGCAGTATCAGGAAAGCACGACTGCCCAAACATCTTACATATACCGATACACACACAGACCATCAACACCAGCTATATCTCTTATTCCCATCCACCAGAGTGATGAGACTGCTGGGATCGTCTTGGTCTTGGAGTGCATTCCAAGTTGACACATGATTATTTATGTACGACGGTGTCTCAACTGTTGTCATTCCCCTCGAGGCTATCACAACACCTTCCCCCAAGGTCAGAGAACCATACCCTCTTCAGCAACTCAAATCAAAGCGAAAACGCCTTAAGAGATCTCTATCCAAGATCTTCTGATCTGCACACGCCATATTCCTGTCTCATTCGGCCACCATTGGGACGCGATGAGCTTGCATGGACTTGGCGTGATTGGGGCCCAGGTGGCCGCATCCATCAAAGGCAATGACGAAAGAAACCCCGCAGCTCACAAGATCGCTTCCCCTCGATGCTCCATTACTTCTTCACCGGGTGCACACAGCACGGAATTTGATCCTTCAGTCGGCGCCAAACCATGCTCACCGTTTTATCGCCATGGAAGCCCGACAATCTCATTCGAGCAACTTACATACGAAACAAAGCACAACGACCGAAACCCAAGTCATCTGCGAGACCAAGAGAATGCTGGACCATACTCTGTCTACCGGAATGAAAGCCCTCGACGATCCAAATTGTGGGAAGAAGAGAATAAACCACGGAGCTGGCTGCAATCGTTGACCAAGAAGCAACGAATGGCCCTGAAGGCAGTTGTGGCAGTGGTCACCGTGGGGACAATGATTGCGATCGCGCTGGGAATCACTGCTGCGGTAGGAGGTGCAGGCTGGAAGTCCAGTGCGACGAAAAGTGCGCAGGGAGATTGACGGGTAAGTCTTGAGCAACAGTGAACTGGGCGGCTTGCTGATATCCCACCCAGGCACTCGTCAACGGGTGATGACGAGTAAAGAGAACACAGATATCGGTGAAGCACACTGAGCTTACTTCGTGAACCACAACCTCAAGACCCAAAGTTGCTAAGAGTCTTTCCTGAACGGCGTTATTGGTCGGAGTTTGAGCGGTTGCTCTATCATTATTATGGAGAAACAAAAATCCTTGAAACAAGGCAGTGATACCATAGCGATGTCACTGAGATTTGGTGTTTGTATCGCTCATGTGTCCATCTTTTTGTAGAAGGTCCTCGTTCAGTGGATTATCGTTACTATTTCTCACCTCCAGTTGCAGTGAACAATCTTCAAATATGAAGCCTTATAATTCAGGCCATAAATACCGGGCCGGACCGCCTCGGCAGGAAAAATGTAGAGCCGACAGCCCCACCCAGGCAAGCTATAAAAGGGCGCACAACCGGCCGCCCTTCCTTCCTTTTTCTTTCTTCTCTATCGAAAAAAAGCAACTGAGCCCGCCACGACCATCGTCCTGTCTTACGACACCTTTCACGACGATGTGTTGCCTTCGGTCCTACGGGACCGATCGGCTCAGGAGAGTAAACTCCTCGATAGGAAGTTCGTTTCCCTGATCCTCTTCAGTGAGGGCTATGGGATTCGGATGTCGAAGACGGGAAACATCCCCTCGCATCAAACCTGCTTTGTTGTGCGAGCTTTGCCCCATGAGCATTAATGCGTGCCCAATGGTGTGCAAACCTTTATCCTAGATAGCATCAAATGAACCATATTAATATTTTTGGAACACACTATTTTTCTCCTGGCTAATTCCACTCGTAGTCCAACCTTGAGACTTAACTGTCATTTCTGTCTCCACCCCGCGCTTTGTATAACGCCACGACGGTCGCCCCGACGTGCGTGCGTGTCGCGCCCAGCGTTGACATCATGTGGAATTTAGGTAACTCGTCGCCGCCAAAGCCCGTGGACAACGGTGATCATCCATTTTTCACCCGGTCTGTTTGGCAGCAACCACACATGCACACCATGGTACCACCGTCCCTTCATCTCAGCACAGGGCAAGACCTCGCCGAACCAAGGGGTCGTACCTGGTTGGATCGCAGGATTCGTGAATGCCGCAACTCTTGATGATCTACCCCCTCCGAGCTCCTGCGGAATGTCGCAGCAACAGCTCCTCCCAACAACGCTACACTTGTTTACGATCCGAGCCCAATTGAGGGGCCTCCCCTGCACTGATCAGGGCGTTTTCCATTCTCCGCGGCATTCTGATGGGGGCTTCCACGCCGTGACCCCATGTCCGGTCCCTGTGTCTGTTGATGCAGTAGCATTCCCGCCTGCGGATCGTGTAGATCAACATGAACGGACGGCGAGTACTAAAGCGCCCAGGATCTCTGGTGGCTGGTTGAGTGACACTTGCAGTCTCCAAGGAACTCTTGCATTATCTGATTCATTCTTTTGATCTGCACCCGTAGCATCAGCTTCAAGTCACTCTTTCCAAACTACGGGCAACAGCATCCAAACCCATTACATTAATACCCAGACTATCGTCACGATGAAGGGTTTCGTTGGAGGCATTCCCATTGCACTGCTGGCAGTTGCTGCACAGGCCCAATTCCTTGAGCGTGTATGTCCTAACTATACTATTTGAAATCTGCCGAGGATTTCCAGCTGATCACTTCTTTAGCGCGAGAATGGCTTCGCACCCCCTCATGTTGGAGGCACTGCGCTTGGTGGCCCCACTGGAGAGGACAGTGACGGTGGCTTTGTGAGCCCCTACTCTACCGATATCAAGACCAACCACCAGGTGAAGCAGTGGAGCAAGGACGACCACTCCGTCAACATCAAGCACAAGGATGAGTTCCCTGACCGCCACACCCCCGCAGTGTTCGACGGTCCTCAGGTACCTGGAATGGGTCCCTTTGGAAAGCGTGGAGGCCCCGGCGGTACTGCCCTGGGTGGGCCTTCTGGTGACGATGGTGGCCAGGAGTTCAACATGCCTCTTACTGCAATCGTCCACACCGATGTCAACGACTTCAACCAAGATGATCACTCTATTGAGGAGGAGAACACTCACGTTCACCCTGGTTGGGGTTACGCGAAGCGCTGGCACCCAGAGGAGGGTGGCACTGCCCTCGGCGGACCCGGCGGTGGTTCTCACCACGGACCTGAAGGACCTCACCATCCCAATGGTGGCACCGCTCTCGGTGGCCCATCTGGTGACGATGATGGCATTACCTTCAGCAAGCCCAACACCGCCAACATCAAGACCAATGTGAACGAGGCCAACACTGATGACCACTCCATCGACCTGAAGCACACCGACGTTTACCACAACCACGGCCCCCACTGGGGTTGGAAGCGTGGCTTCGGACCTTCCAACGGTGGCACAGCTCTCGGTGGACCGTCTGGCGATGATGAAGGACAGAGCTTTAACATGCCCACCACCGTTGACGTGAACACCGCGGTCAACGAGAAGAACGAGGATGACCACTCCATTGACCTCAAGCACAAGGATGTGTACAACGGCTGGGGTGGCTACAAGCGTGGCTACGGACCTGAGCACGCCAACGGCGGCACCGCTCTCGGCGGCCCCTCCGGCGATGATGAAGGCCAGAGCTTCAACATGCCCACCACTGTTGACGTCAACACCAATGTCAACGAGAAGAACCAGGACAGCCACTCCATTGACCTGAAGCACAAGGACATCCACGGTGGTCCCTACTACGGTGGACCTGGACCTGCCGGTCCCCACTATGGACCTCACCACGGCGTCTACGCCCCCAACGTCTACGCTCCTCACAGTGACACCGACCTGAACTCTATCAAGCAGCTCAACAACGGACCGGCCGCTGGTGGAGTTGGTCCTTTCAACCGCCGCTCTGAGGAGTTCTGGGGACCTCGCCCCGGCGTGTACGCCCCTCACGTTTACGCGCCTGAGGAGGATTTCGACCTTGAGTCGATCAAGCAGATCAACAACGGCCCTGCTGCTGGCGGTGTTGGTCCTTTCAACGTCCACCGTCGCTCCACTGACTACTGGGGCCCTCGCCCCGGAGTCTACGCACCCCACGTCTATGCCCCCGAGGAGGACTTCGACCTCGAGGCCATTAAGCAGGTCAACAACGGCCCCGCCGCGGGTGGTGTTGGTCCTTTCAATGTCCACCGTCGCTCAACTGACCTCCCTGAGCACATCCCTCCTCCCCACCCCGAGCACGCTCACCCTCACCCCCCACCCTCACGGACCTCCCGGTCCCTGGGCTCCCGGAGTGTACGCACCCAACGTCTACGCCCCCCATGATGACTTTGATCTCGAGGCCATCAAGCAGATCAACAATGGTCCTTCCGCTGGTGCCGTCGGTCCTTTCGGCCGCCGCGCTTTCGCACCCAGCCGCGAGTCTAGCGGCGGCGGTGGTGGCACCGCTCTTGGTGGCCCCTCCGGAGATGACGATGCCAACTCGTTCTCCGAGCCCACCAATGTTGATGTGAACTCCGGCGTTGACGAGAACAACCAGGACAACCACGCCATCAAGGCCGATGTCACCCACGTCCACCACCCAGACGGTGGCTACGGATACGAAGCTGTTCCCGCTCCCCAGGAGGCACCCGCTACTCCCGCTGAGGGCGCTGCACCTCCCCGCGAGGACCACGGAGAGTGCTCTGCTCAGGTGCACGAGGTTGTTCGCACTGTGACCAAGACCCAGTACAAGACTGCCATGGCTACTCACGTTCAATACCATTCTGCCCCCGCCATGGAGACCAGCGCTGTGCCCATGGCCCAGACCCCCAGCAGTCCGCTGAGGTTGACCCCAAGATCATGTCCTACGCTGCCTCTGCCTCTGCCCCTGCGCCTGCCTCTTCCGAGGTCCGCAACTTCGACTACAACTACGCTTCCCAGCGTCCCAACAGCAAGATGACCTCTTACTCCATGATCCCCGTCCATGTCCCCATGGCCACCCCCGCCTCCTCCGGTGCCATGGTCACTCCCTCCGGCACTCACGGCCTCAACATGCCCACCGGTGTCTCAGCTGAGCAGAAGGCTGCTTCATCAGCTGCCTTCGCTTCCGCTTCCCCCTCCGCTTCTCACGGTGCCAACGACACTTTGTTCATGGGCGCCGCTCCCCGCCTCTCTGGAGGTCTCGTCTCCGCCGCTACGGCCGTGATGGGTGTGCTTGCTTTCATCCTCTAGACAGCTCAACACCCGTCTCTTGTGCGATAGAATCTGTCACTCTTTTGGGGTTCACCCCGTATACCTTCCCTATGTCACTTCTTCTCGCACTACTTTCATGTACCTTACACGCCTGATTGCATCATAATGTCCACTTTTCTTCAATTTTCTTCATGAGTACTAAACAACTACGTCACAATTTTCTTCTCTAACATGATCCTCGTTTATCAATCAAATTCGTAGCAATATTGGATCTTATCGTACATGCACATAGTTGAATTGCAGTTGACCGCAGACTCAAGCGCTATGTAACTTTCACGGCCTTCTCATTCACGGTTCGAGATGCCGGGGACCCTGGATCTGCAAAAGTGGGTCGACTCCATTTTGATAACAGGTTCATCATAGTCCTTTCGTCAGTGTTCTGACAGCAGCATCACTGATCCAGGTTTCAGGAATTTGAAACCCACATTAAAACTACTGTGACTACTGTCGTATCGATCGGTCTGTTCCCTGGGCTCGACCCAGCCATTCAAGATATCGCCTCATGTGAGATCATTGCTCCATCATCCACAGCCCTTCAGCGCTGTGACATCAGCGCCAGGCATTAAATCAAGGCTAGAGATTCTCGAACAGCATACATAAGAGAACGTGATCGATCATCTCTATTTCCCATTAACAACTCCTCTTCGTCAATTGTTCCCTTCACCTTGCTCACTGCAAAGTTATCAACCTTGAATCTCATTATCACAACCCTCACAACTATCACAATGGTCCACCAAGATTCTCACCAAGGCGGTAGCCTCTCCGAAATGGCCGCAACTGGTACAACCATCCCCAACGATGCCGGCAAAATGAACACCATTCCCTCAGTACCTCGCCCAGACCAGCGCGCCGAGCACTTCGGCTTCGACAACGCCGGCCTCGCCGAGCCCTCTACAGCTAAGGCGGCTGACAACGACACTGACATCCCGCGCTCGGCTCAAGATATTGGCCAGACCGGCGAGGTAATCACCGGCACTGGAAACTCGCTGCCCGCTGGCGTCGAGTCCAAGCACCATTAAGTGGAGGTCCACCACCATGCTGGTCATGGTAATACCCGTGACCTCAAGCATGCAGTTTGGCAAGACTGAACATGAGCGTTATCAGTCAGTCGTAAGGACTGGCTTCATCTTGGCTTGAGTTGGTTTGATGCTCTCTGTATACACAAATTATGACCAGGCTGGTGCCCAGGTGTATGATATTATGAATGGCGATTTATCAGTTAAAGCAAACACCATTGAACCAATAATCCGCGAAGCGCGTTGTAGTATTTTCCGTAATTTCACATTCGTAGATTAGGTTGATTCGGTCCCAGAAATCCTCGGGAGAGTTCTTCCAGAACGTCTCGCTTCCTTTTGCGATCGGCCTGAGCGGTTGACTCGGCCTCACTGAGTTCACCATCTGGTTCACGAGACGCCCATGTTCGAATAGTTCCATCGCCATGCGCGGAGAACAACTCTATCCCCTCGCCTGACCCACCATTACCACGCCAAATTAGATCGTTAATTCGTGCAGCACTGAGCGCACTTGATCGTCCGCGCATGTTTTGTGCTCCGGCCATGATCCCAGGAACACGGAGACGCTTGATGAAGTTTCCCTCGCGAAGCTCGAACATGAAGATCTCTCCACGATCATCTTGTTCATTGAAGTTTGACCAGAGAAGGGTCTCGTGCCCTGGACTCATTGCGCCCTTTGGAACGACCAAGGGTGCCCGTTCCGCCAGATGAGATGTAGAGCTATTACGAACCCGAGGGCCAAAATGAACGAGCGTATTAGCACCCGTTCCAGAATCCCAAACTCGGATTCGGGCGTCTTGTCCAGTGGTCACGATGTGGCTTCCATTCGATGTCCAGCGTACCCCCGTGACAGGACCGTTGTGGGCGCGTGCGTGCCGGGAGAAGGCTAGACGGCTCTCGTTAGACGCTGCTGCTGTCCCTGTCCCCGGAGCCACCAGACCAGCTGGATCATCCATGTCCAGGGTCGCGATAGCGGAGTTGTGTCCTCCACGTCGGACGTCGAATATGATTACCCTGTTATCGACCGAGGCCGATGCCAGTAGATGCGGTCGATGGGGTGCCCATGCCACTGACAGAACCGCATCATTGTGCCCCGGCAATCCTTGTGTAGCTAGACCGGATCGCAAGTCTACTAGTCGTACTGATCGTTCAGACGTGCCAACTGCTACAAGCAGCGTGGAGCCTGGGTGCGAAGAGAAGGAATGCGAATATGGTGTGCAATCAAGATTGAACGTATGGACAGGTGTGATTGCGGGCGATTGGAGGGCGGACAGCTTCAATGTACCATCGTGCGCCGTCGAGAATATAGTCGAGGGCTCCGGGTCGAATGGGTAGATCGAGAGGGAGGTGATCGCATGGGTATGGGCGTCAGGATGCGAAGACTTGCTGACCGATGCGCAGGCCTGATGGACGTACTCAAGCTCCGACCCTCGCGTCTCAAGGTCCCAGAGATGTATTGATGGGTCGGCGCCCCCCGAAACCATACTGCGTTCTCATGTCAGTTCCAATATTGGGATTGTGCCGATTCAACACGCACTATCGGCCTTCAAACTGGTCCACGGCTAGGCAATTAACACCAGATTTGTGAGCAAACACCTCTGCTGTAATACCTAGCTCCTGGTCCAAAGGCGCTACGTCATCTTCGGACTGATCTGTGGGCGCAGATGCTTTGCGGCTGGAGAAGCGTATCCCCGGTGCGGGCTCGATGTTGTGTACAAGTCGGTGGGTTTGAGCGACATGAAACTCATGAGAAATTACAGACCCTAGGGCTCTGTTCAGCAGATAGGAATTCATTCATCAGCGCTGCTGCTCTTACACGGAAGAGTTGAGCTCGTGCGGGGAGACAAGCTCCGTAGGCGTCGAACGCTTGATGACGATGTATGATTACGTAACTCGATTATCGGCGCATTTGGGCTGATAATGCGATTTGCTCGTACATCATGCACATTTTTCTGCGATATGCCAAGTAGTGATCGAGGATCAGCGCATACTTGCCATGTCTACTGAAGAGTGGCTCAATTCCGACGAAGACAGTCTGGTCGACGTTGATGATGATGAACTGCGGGACAGTCAGATTTCGAGACCAACAAAACGTCGCGCCAATCTCTATGATGCGGTAGCTGGTATGATATCGACCTGTTTGCGTTACTGGGATGATTCGCTGACTTCAACTAGGTCGTGTCAATCCCCGTGGTGTGAAAGCCACCAAGTCATTCGCTTCCCAATACCGTGATACAGCCTCGTCAGGCGCTCGAGCTCTGCGACCAGAGGAGCTTATCTTTCGCGGACAAAATCCGACAACGCCATCTTCTAACGAAGAGTCATATTTCGCACATGAGAACCTCCCGAAAAATCACACTCTGCCGAGTTCTGAGCTGCTGGAGGCAATCCATGCCTACACGGCTGATTATTTAGAGTACGCTACGGCCGACAACGGAGTGGATGACCACAGGACCATGGACGAGACGGCACTGCTAGCGATGGGTATTCTCATTGAAGAGATGGCATCCGAAGAATTGGGTGACACAGGAGATCTGGTCCTCGTGGAAGGAGAGGGTCTATCGGAGGAAGAAAAAGAACTTGACATTGAAAGCGACACTACGACACACTCGGCCGCACGGCCTCCACGGAGAAAGCGAAACAACAGCAAGGGGCGCAAAACGTCCAAGCGACGCAAATTGGCTCGTTCGGCCTCTCTCACGACCGATGCGGACACTGAAGGTGATGAGGACCGATGATTCTTGATCTCCGGTTGATGTTTTCAATCGTGTGCTCCCATCTCTTCGGAGGCTTTTCATGTCTGCTGTCCAGGATCAAGCTTTGCACATGGCAACTCTGCGGCTCACCCCACGCCCTTGATGGCGAATCGGGTCGCTTCATGTCCTGCAGTGCCACAGCCGCGCTGCGCATGGTATCGGCAGATATTCTTTGTCTGCCACTTCATCGGGGATAGGGAGCGAAAAACCAGTCAGATCTCGCTGTGTCAGTAAATGCGCTTGGTGCGCCTCTCTGTCCTCCATCCCCGATTGTCAGATTGGTACATCCGTACTGATCCTCTCCTGGCCGGTGAGCCTTTTCTGGGGTGTTTCGGTCAATATCCACATTAGATGCGGGAGCGGAACCTCATCCGATTGTGCATTCTGCATCAGTTGACCAAATACCGACTTGCATCGGCGCAACACCTCGGTCAGTTCATGTTGACGAGACATTTAGTCTTGCTTGACATCTGGTCCGCCCAAGCAGGGCCTTCCAGGAATCAACTGACCTAATCACGGGGAGATTAGGCCAGACACATTCTATAGTCACTGCACCCAGCGGGGTTGTGATGATATGATCATGTCGAAGAATTGATAGCGCGGTCGTTGAACCTTGAATACTGACAGTATCAAATATCACAAGGCCAAAACCAGAGGGACAAAGTCTGAAATTACCCATAAGAATGAAAAATTGATTTAATTTATTTTCTGAAGCAAAATTCCAATAGTAGAGTACGGAGTAGAGTTAGGGAATATGACGTTGGTCCGTGAGATGTTACAAAACGACCCTGAGCCTGAGGAACGGAGTTGCACATCCCATCCGCGCCTCCACCAAGAAATGCTTAGCTGTCCCACATCATCCCAATGAGGCAAGGCTTGTCAAGCCTCGATTGAAAAGACTTTGAAAGTGGACTTTTCAAGATGGTAAGGCGACATCGATGACCCATCCAAAGGCGCCTTCTGACGCGTCCAGGATAGCCACCCAAACTGAGCAAAAGTGCGAAACAGGATCTGATTCTGACTCACCTGCGCGCCACTGGGACCTGTCACACGCTCAAGGATCTCGAGAAGACGCTACCCGCCGTTGCATCCATTAATGGGATCCAGGTTAAGGAATACATCCAAGCCCTGACGGACGAGAGTCAAGTCCGAGTGGAAAAGATCGGCAGTGGAAATTGGTACTGGAGCTTCAGCAGCGATGAGAAACGCGAGCATGAGCGTCAGTTGGCCCGGATGAGCACGGAGGTGGAGAAGACCCAAAAGGCCTGCGCCGACGCACAAGCGGAGTTGGCTGTGGAAACCCAGCTCCGAGGCGAAGAAGCCGATGAGGGGCAAAGGGACTCTCTGATGGCCAGAAAAGCCGAACTCCAGGCGGCAGTGGATTGGGTACGGAATACAGAGGCCCAACTCACCGGCCGACTCAATCCACTCAGCAACAAGGATGCGAACCAGGTTCTGAAGGAGCTAGCGGGGTTTCGACGGGAAGCCTTCCAGTGGACGGACAATATTTACGTCCTGGAGGAATACATGCGCAAGCTGACAGGGGACCGCCAGATGGTGGAGATGATACTGCGAGAATACTACGGGGATGAGTATGTGGATGGAGGACTGGCTGAGTTGACCGAGTGAGATCAAAAAAACAAGCAATATCAGTTGGACAGTGACACATCTGATACGGAGAAATATCAATAATATCCAAAAACAAGAAAGAAGAAAAAGAAATTAAGTAAGAAAATCAGACCGTTTCAGAGGTAAAAGAAAGTGATAGTCGCGAAAACCGCCCAGAAAAGGGGATCACTAGTTGAGCCACCAAGAGAAGCTTGACCGTGCGACACGCGAATCGAAAGGCCTCTCCTCCTTCTCCGCCCCAGAGGCTTATCGCACCCGCTCTTCTCCGGCCTCTTCTTCTCTCTTCCTCTTTGGAGGCTCGTGCTCTTCGTCCCACATTCCTCCACCTTTTGACCTCTTCTCTCTCTTCTGGTCCCTTTTCCGCCATTGGTTCGCCTTGTCATTCCTCCTCATTACCGAGTTATACCCACTCTCCTTCTCTCTTATCTTCTGTCTCCATACGTCCTTGAACTCTGCGAATCCTGCGCGCGCTTCGATGTCCCAAACAATGTGGTGCAGAGACCATCGATCATAGTCCTCATTCCCGTTCCCTGGAGAATACCTTGCGCCTGGAGGACACATTCCCGCCGTTCGGAGACCGTGTCGAGTACACCGGGCCCTGAACCCCCCCAGATCTACCGCCCCCTCCCCTCGACCAGACCGATCTACAGATCGCGTTTTGATCGCACTTCCTGACGTAGGCCCGGTTACATTACCCTGACCACGCCATCCCCCCGCCATTCCGTGGTGCCTGCAGGATCGTGGTCGTGCCGGTGCCTCTCCGATCGCTGTCAAGAGTGATCGCCATCTACCTTTCCCCCTCTCACAACCCCCCTCTTGTCACATTGTCTTGTATAGATGCAGTAAACCGCAGCCTTCTGTCTGTGTGTCATGTCCGCCAACCCTCCCACCCAACCTACGTTGCCGCCCAGTCGGAATCGCAACTCTTTCCTCTCCAAGTTCCGCTCCCCGCTTGGCCAGCGCAATCGAGGCATCACCGACTTCTACATCGACCCCGACGACCCATGGCGATCCTACTTCCCCGGCGATGTGATCAAGGGAACAGTGGTGGTGACGGTTGTACGACCTGTTCGCATCACGCATATTGTGGTGTGCCTACACGGTTATGTCAAAGTCTTCAAGAACGCGATTCCGGCCGGTGAAGCCACCCCCGACCTGGGCTTCCTGGGACCGGGGCGGGGTCGACGCGGTGCAGAATATATGGGCAATGGATTGGCAACTTTGTTTGAAGACGAAGTTGTTCTCTGTGGCGACGGCCGACTTAAAGAAGGCATATACAAGTTTCGCTTTGAAATGGGGCTCCCACCGTATGCGCTTCCCAGCAGCATCAACGTGCGTACACAAAGGCCACCCGACCCCACGACCATGTCAAGCTAACGAATCGGCCACATGCAGTTTGAACGCGGCACCATCGGCTACTCACTTACCTCTACCCTCACCCGACCAACCACCATGAATCCTACGCTTACCTGCCGAAGGCGCGTCAACCTCTTAGAAAATATTGACATCGCACCCTTTCCTGCGCCCAAAGCCCGCATCGTTACACTGGAACCTATATCAAAACGCTCAAAAACGAGGAGCAAAACCAAATCACCAAGCTCGGACATAACCGCAGCACCTGACACATCTTCAATCGATACCCCTATAAGTGGCGCCGCCCCCTCGGTGGATACCAGACCTCCACTCAGCCCATCGCCAAGCAATGTCAGCTCATCCAGCCGGCCTAGTGAAAGTAGTCTGAGCTTTCAGATCGCAAGTGATCCGAGTTCATCTGCGAGCACGAATGGGCGAAATAGCGAAGGGCGCAGCGCAACCCCTTCAGTCTCCGACAAGACCATCACCGCAAAGGCTGAGCTTTTGCGCGCCGGTGTGCTTCCTGGGGACACACTCCCTATCACAGTCACGATAAATCATTTCAAACAAGTGCGCAGCGCGCACGGTATCATGGTAACCCTATATCGACAAGGTCGCATCGACTTACACCCCGCAATACCTATTGGAACGACTGCGGCTGGAAAGAAGCCGGTCTACGAGGATTGTTATCCTCGATCCAGAACGGGACTTGGAGGACTCACATTGGGGACAAGTCGAACGAGTAGCACATTTCGCAAAGACTTGTCCCAAACCTTCGCCCCTCTGATCGTTGATCCAAGCAACATGACTGCAGTGGTAAAGACGTCTATCAGGATTCCTGAAGACGCGTTTCCAACAATTACGCGTGTACCGGGAGCCATGATCAATTTCCGATATTACGTTGAGGTTGTCACGGACCTGCGAGGCAAGCTCACCTCGCCTGATCGTTTCCTCCCGCGTTTCAACATGGTATCGGGTGGTACGAACTTCTCGCCCAGTGGGCAGGTTCTCAACCCAACGGATTCAAACGGCGTCACTGCCAACTGGGCCGGCAACATTTTGGACACGGACTCAATTCGCCGCGAGAAAGGTGTCATTTCAGTGGCATTTGAAGTTGTCATCGGCACTCGTGATTCTCAACGAGGGAAAACGAAACGCACTTCGTCTACAGCTGGTGACTCTACGATGTCACAGGCGGTGCCGCCTACGTCTACTATGCTGGTCAATCCTGTTGATGGAGAGGAGTGGCCCGAGGCGAGCCCAATGCCTCAACCCCACTCCGATCATGGGATTCAAGAAGACTACTTCCCCGAGGAAGATGAAGCGCATTGGGCTGAGTATCCCGAAGAATACCCTGAACAATTCCAGCCCATGGATCCTATGATTGCGCCTCCAGAGGTAGAGGAGCCTGTGGATGAGAAGACGCGGGTCCGACGACACGAAGAAGCGCTTTTGCCCAGTCAACCGCCGGGTGAAAACGATGCAGGGCCGTCCACCTCACCAATGGACGCGCCAACCGCGCCAGTTTTGCCAGATGATCATCATCTCCAGGACTATGAGCATCTTCCGTCTCCGGACGTGAACGGGAGGCCGCATGTTGTCCGGTCTGCAGAGTCGATGCAGACCGTTGTGGCCAACGGCACTGCTGGACCCAGCGAGCCACGTGTCTCAGATGATAAACAAGAGCTTGAGCGTCACCGACTCCAAGGCCAGGCTAGCGCACCGCAGGATGAGCCCGATGGCCCGGAGCCTGGGCCCAGTGCGCCGGTCTTCGACGAGGACGATCAACTTGTCGGCGGGACGGCGCATGCGGACGAGTCGTTGCCTCGGTACCAGCGTTGATGGTGTTATGTACATTTGCATTTACGGGACTGGATATTTTGGAAGATACCACTTTTTTATTTTGCATTTCTGATCGAAGGCGTTGAAAATATGTATCATATCTATATTAGTGATCAATTGACAGTCATTTGTCTAACGAAAACCTGGAGATGATAGGACCTTATCTTTTACGAGGCTTGGCGCCCGCTTAGCGACCACAGGCCCTCCAGGTGCTTTGCCCCCTAGTGTTTCTCCTCACCTCCTCACTTTCACAATCCATTCCTCAGTTTCGAATCCCATTCCCACGCAATGGCATTCAAAAGCGGGTCGTTCGCGACTTTCCTCATTGTCTGCCGTAAGTCCGCAGATCTCCCCAAGTCCCACCAAGAGGCCACCGGAACCGAACACTAACTCCAAACAGCGACTTGCTTCTTCCTGGGAATCATCTTCTCCCTCTTCCCCTACGACTACCCTATCCTCTGGTCCACCGTAACCACCCCAGCCGCCCACTATGACTACCTGGAAGCGCACCTCCGCTTCCTGCATGCCTCGCCCCCACTCATTCCTCGCATCCTGCATATCGTAATCTTCCTCGGTCTCGCCGGCCTCCTCACAAAGCTCTACAAGCCCTCGGAATCCAACATGCTCTTCGACGGTGCCTCTCTAGTCCTTTACATGTGCGGCGTAACCGTCTACATCGCCAACATCGTCAAGGGTCTGCGCCTTGCCTCGGCCGGTCAATACGGCGCCGAGCTCGCCTCCACCCCCGACGAGAAGGAGCAGATTCTTGGCCGCGAAGACTCCCTCAAGGTCCTCTCCGCCAGCAACACAATCCTCGCTCTTGTCCTCGTTGGCATCTTGGTTCTCCAGGCTGGTCAATGGTACGCGGAGCGCAAGGACGCGCAGGAGTTCGAGTCGCTTGCGGGAGACAAGAAGGCCGAGAAGGAATCTGCTGATTCGGGCGCTGTGTCTGGCTCGTCGACTGCCACGGCTGCTAAGCCTGGTCGTGCAGGCAGCCAGCGCAAGAAGAGCAATTGATTGAAATCAGTTGATTGCTTTGCCTTCCTCGCTCTCATCCATTTATATGGATGGACACTGAACGGGAAATGCGTTTCATTTGCTCTATCCTAAAAATCTATAGCTAATGCTCCGTAGCCCATGCAGATCTATATTTGCTGTTGCAAATGGAATCATAAATTTGGCCATTGATTTTTGTTTCTTCCTTCGTATTTGTGATGGGTCATGGGATTCGACTGTCGTCTATGTACATTTATGACCCAGAAAGCGGTATGACATGTCCATGCGACAAGAAAGCAGCATATGAGGCATGAGGTGCGTCCACAATAACAGCATGAATGCAACGAGATAAACAAATGGGCATTGGTTATATGGACATGTTATGCCACCGCATAAGGGGAATCATTGCGCAAGTCGTAAAAGATAGTATGAGGTCATGCATAAGGAATTTCAAGCAAATGAGAAGGGGCTGCGGGGAAGATCCGGTGATCGTGGGCTCAATGCTTTCGCAAACAGCTCTTCGCCGGGATCATTGCTCGAACCATGGGACAGTGTACCCACAGATGCGTCCATTGCCGCGAACCCTGTTAACCCGTGGTCCTGTTGAGCCTCCTGCAAGAAGTCAGGTGGGAAAACAGCCACTGGTTTCAGTGTTTCAGGGCCAGGTAAATCGGTTTGAGTGCTTGGGGTGGGGGTAGGATTAGTGCTTGGTGTTGGCATATTATGAATGTGTCGGTGCGCGACGTTGCGGAACGAGCTAAATGACGAGACAGCAACATCAGGCGATTGGGGAGAAAGCAGAGACGCGCTGTGAGAGCCTGGTGCTATCGGGTTAGCTTGTGAGATATGTTGGCGAATGCAGTGATCAGTACCATTTCCAGACATATCCCCGCTCGTCTGCAACTTCAGACCCTTTAGCTTGTCGCTCAGCTTTCTGCCGCTGATTGGAGACACTGGCGTGGCGGGGTATACAGAGGACGATGTTTCGGAGTCGTGTGAAACCCCGTCCTGGCTGCTGGTGACAGAATCGATAGCGCGTGCCCCGACTCCGAAATTCAGCTCGATCCATTCCTTTTCTTGGATTGCCATAAGCAGCGCGATTCCCTCCACGTTACGCGATTCCTGTTCAATCTCATTCTCTAGAACGCGGAGTCGCTTCTTTGCCCAAATCGTATGTAGTACACCCTTCTTGCCAGCTGCGCGACCTGTCGCTCCCAGCTCCGGTGGAAATATAGCGGGGAGAGGATTGAGTTGCAGAGAATCCTGGGGTTTCGCCGTAGTAGTTGAAGACGCAGCAGCATCGTTCGGTTCTTTATTTGTGGAGTGGAGCTCATATGACAAGGTAACAACAGGCGGAATCGTACTGTTGGGCGGAAGCAAAAAATAGCAGCGGCGAAGGCTGTCACTCGGTCTTTCATCGGCAGGCACGACAGAATCCTTCCCGGTCCATGAGATATGCCACGACCCCTCAGTTGTGGATCGAGTCAGGTCGTCGTCCTCCCATTCAACCATCAAGATTTTAGTACCATCGTTAGCCCTGCCAGCCTCGAACTCGAATCGAGCCATGGCAGTGATGGAGAGGCTTCCATTCGGGGGCGCCCGAGGGGTTTCCAGCTCGGTGAACTCGGTGTCCGGGGTGAAAGCGGGCGGGGATTGAGCCATGGCTGCAAGGGCGTGGCACTCGAAGACTGGTTATCGGGGACTAGAGAAGGGCGGCACGGAGCGGAAAGGGGAGAATAGTAAACGGTTTATCGGGCGGAGTGGACAATCGCACTGGGGGCGGGGTCTGCACTATCGGTCTCGATCACGGGATTGTGGGAACTCAGGCAATTTTTCGACTGTCAAAGGCCTTGCCGTGTTGGGGGTGACTCGTGGAGTTTCATCCTTTGCCAGGGTGCGAGGTTGTGATCTATTGGTCCTCTAATTATAGAACCTTCTTGGCGTGCCACTTTATGCATGGGCTGTCAACATCAAAGACCTGACTCTGCCAGACTTCTAACATTGTACCCTTTTTGAGTCAGTCACTTTTCGCTGAGCTGGTGTCAACAGATTCAAATTAGTTGCGTTCAATATGTGTCGTTGTAGACATCGTTCATTCCTTGAACCCTGCTGTTGATGACGATGTGCCAGCATCTGATAGGTATTCACGGGTTCAGTAGTATTGGGAGCTTGGAATCTGGTGAAGAAATGGTGGCATTTACCTTTCAAGGTTGAGCCTCAGTAGCTTAAAGCTCTTTGGTTATGCTGGAAGCATAAGGATCAAACCTTGGAAGAGGCAAAGTACGGAGTATAAACATGGAATGTTCAATAAACGCATGTACCCCTGAGGTGTGCATTTGAGATGAACCCTGGAAACCTTGGACAAGACCATCTGAATTCTCACATTAATGACTCTCATTGATCATTCAGCGCAGAGTATATTGGTGGGAAAACGGCGAGCAGCATTAGCTACGCCTTTGACTCGTCCTGGCCCGAGGGTGGCCAGGAAGACAAGTAGATATTGTCAGATCAATCAACAGACACGTTGCGAAAGACGTTCCTTTGTCAACGGACTTCTTTATTTAGTAACAAATCCAAAAGCTGATCCTGAATCAAAAATAGAAGCGAGCCGTGAAGTGGGCCTAGGAGTACTATCTTTGACAGTCGATACGGAGTATGTGAGGTAGATGTGATAAGACAAAATTTCGAGCCAAAATGATGGATTCTGTGGTAAGAATCATCCAGGTATGATACTGTATCATACAAACCAGCGGCAACAGGGAAATAGGCGAAGTATTGAGCTATGGCGAGCAGGCATAGATGGTATGGGAGCCCTATGCAGTATGCAACATCAAGGTCAATAAGGTTTGTAGCGAGTGATAGGTGACGCCCTATGCAGGGGAATATCGTGCAAAGCGGGAATGTGTGTGGGGAGGAGCATCATCCGCAGACGTTCTAAATTTATCTGTCAATTAGCAAAGAGATGCTTTCGTGCTGAGAGCTTGGGTGGTGGGTGCTGATTGGCATGAGACAACCTTGGAAGACACAACCTTGGGACAGATGGCACCTGTCAGCCGAAATAGGTTCATAGTCCGTCAGTGGGAAGATGTTCTTGTGGGACCGTTGTCAATGGTCTATTTGACCCTTGACAAACATGCATGACCCTCGGAGATTGGCAGCCCAAGCCGCTTGATCGTCAACTCCAACGTGTGGGTGCTAGATTAATTCCCCAAGAACCGGATCCAAATGTAACTATTTTTAGTCGGAGCTACATATAGTAAAATAACCATCATCAGAACTCTTATAGCCTGTGACAGGACTTAATTGATGATTGGAGCAGGTTAGGCAATATGGAGTGCAAAGGAGCCATTTAGACTTGAGATGGGATGAGCTAGTTACAGATGATTGAATCTCATGAGCCTACTTTGTTTGTTGGATTATTTTGAGCTCTTGTACTCAGGTACCCTGAGCCACACCGAGGAAATTTGCTGTAGCGCACGGAGTATATTGAAGCTACAAATGATCTAGATCCAGCATAACTTTATCTCCCACATAGTAAACCCATAGGGCGATATCAATACTAGCAAGAACTCTTTATATCAAAGCTACTACTCCATATTTGGAGAGAAGCTCCCCGACATGAATTCCAAAAATATCGCAGCCCTGTATGTTTAGATCAGCCAAGGATGCAAGCCCTGCACTAGCTTACAAGTTCTATGAATAGAAAACGGCGCCCAGACCTCTACAATACTTACAAGTAGCACATGGGATATCACACCGCAGATAATTCCTTACTCGAGCCCTCCAATACAATGAGTTTATCTTTAATTCACATTGGCCTCACTCAAAGGTTACGCATTCAGGGAGTACATGCTATCAACTTGGCCCCATCGTACGCCGCGTTCTTTGTCTTCTGAGCGGGTGGCATTTCAGAACTTCAAATATTATGAGTTCCCTACTCCGTCAAAGTAAAGATATCCTGATATTCACATGCCGAATAATTCCTCTGCCTTTCATTCATAAGCTTATATAGTGCTCAATGTTTAGAGGCATTCTCTACATTCATCCACAGCGGTTCAGGTCATCACAGTGATCAGCTTACTTCCAAAGTCTATCATGATATTAGTCTCAATTAAAATTGGGTATTCCACTTTGCTCCGTACTTGTATTCGTATATAAAAATAAGTCAGCGTCAAGACCTGTGTTCTGGAAACTGACCTCAACCACGTCACGCCCGCCCCGCTACCCACAGAAGCCAGGAGCCAATAAGCCGCTAGAGCGGTCCACCAGTGGGCTTGTTCCCGCCGTTCCACCATTTGTGTTCCCAGAATAGGCTTAGCGCCAGCGCTTAATCGCAGCTACCGCATCTTTGGGACCTGATCACCCAGTTCGCTCATTGGTCACATTCTCCAGGATGTGAGCGGCACATCATGTTATCCTGCGGTCTTTGTGATCATGACCGAGTGAAGGACCAATATAAACGCTTAACACGGCCAAGTAAGATGAGGGATGGCAATCCCAAAAAACAAATTAAAAAAACTTAATCTACCGCGAGGATGTTGATACTTTTGTTTTATTTCAAAGGGTACCAGAGTCGTTTTCTTGTATTGTTGTTTCTGGTCAGTATTGTAATTTTATCTAACTACTCCGTGCGGAGTATTGACTGTCTACTTTGGCTTACTGCCAAAACTTCATCAAGATCAAACACCACGCTCTATTAATCCACTGCGAAGCCCCGTGACATCTCTTATAACCATGGGTGTTCCTGAAAAGGGGGCCCATCTGGTGAATCACAAACTGTTAGATACCCTGGTCACACTTCTTCAGCAACAGGTTGAAACACGGGGGCGCTATCTAGGCCAATTAGGGGCCTGAGTCTCCCCCTGGTCACCTGCAGCACATATTTCCTTGACCCATCCGCCTCTTACGGAGTACTCCGTAATGGTATGGTAGCTAGCTTGAGTTTTGCATGGCCACTGTGTTTACAGAGTTACGGAGTACAGAGGGTATTATACGGAGTACTCCGTACATTATCACTCTGCACCACCTCGGGAAGGGCAGAGATAAAATAAAATACTGCGGACTTGATTCCCAGCTAGGAAATTTGCGTAAGCATTCATGGATGTAATATGTACGATTTTCACACAGGGCGCGTATGGTAAAATCTTGGAATTACATCGAATGATGATATGTATTGATACCGAGCATGTCATTACGGCCTGGGCACCTCCCAATTTACGAAGGATAGCATTTCAACGCCTTTCTTTGTGCTCTCGTTTGGGGGCCAATCCTTCATCAATCTCAACTTAATAGAAAATTATAAGAATACACGGTGTGTAAAATCCTGTCTGACCTCAGGTGTCCTATCATGACAGCGGTTGGGATGTTCCTTTGTTAGTCAGGATGCTTTGCGAGTCAGAACTCATCAAAAATTGTCGACGGACGTGGACGCCGGCATCGATCTATGCATTGAGACTTGACTGTGTAGCGCTCTGTCTTTATATTGGATAGGGTGACCAATAGGGACCTCGGTACCGTAGGTAGTGGTTTGATTCTTGGGGCGGTGCGCTGTTCGCACTGTGCGCTCCTGCGCCATCATGCCGCTGGTATAGAAATGGGGCCGACAACCTCCCCGTCAACGGAAGGTGTTGCTTTCTGTACTAGAAATGTTGGACGAGATCCATGGTTACATGTCTTGGAATTGGGCCGAAATCCACTCAGGACGTAGGATGTTCATGATATTCTCGAAACATTTCATTTCCCACTTGCGCGAGAAAAAATGCGCGAGAAAAAGAAGCCTATGGGATTTATTTTAGTAGAGCATGAGGCTCTTATGTTGAACTGGAGGTTTCTCGCCTAATTTCATACCGCAAGCTGTAAACTCGGATGAACGGTAAGCGCAATTCTCAAAGTTTGTGTGGCACCAACAAAGGCGCTTGCTTAAAGTATATGACTGGTGTTAGTTTTTGAGCAGGCAGTCTAGATCTTGGGGGCCAATCTTGATTCCGTTAAATCGGGATTTTTATCCATGTCGCCTCGTGGCCAAAGAGGGTCCTCAGTACAGATTCGTCCTATCCAGATCAAGATTGAGTGTTGGCTAAGTAGCGCAAACTATGGAAATCACAATGCTTCGTTCTAATATGATGAGAGAGAAGTGACGTGTTCGATCGTCTGAGGGGAAATTGAGAACGCGCGTGAGAGACACCCTCAGGTAAAAGAAATGACTTCATAGTTGCGATAAATGCTTGGTTTTCATATCCCCGAGATTTTTTTATGGATTTCCAGGATCAGAAAGTGCCCCTTGGCTGTAGATTTGGTGATTGTAGATGGAGCAGAGCCCGCCCGACAAAACTGTCGAGGAAAGGGTCCCCAATATTACAGATTTACGTAGTTAAAATGTCCAAGGATATCCAAGTCCCAAATAGTATTGCGTTTCCTAGCCATTATAAGAACCACCGCCTAGGTTATCGCAGAACGTGGTAGTACTGTCCCCACGAAACAAATGGAAACAAGACCGTAAACGCCGATACTTGGGGTGTATGATTTTAATGCAAATGCCGCGCCCAAACGCCAAAACCAGCCCCCACGCTAAAGCCCCTAATATCCCAAATGCATTGACCAGGCATCACCAGTGAGCCTGTAGCATCATTCGACTTCCTTGGCTTCATGACACTTGCGTCGTTTTCCTTTGGGAGGGGCGTCGAGCTGCGTGCGCTTGTAAGTCACTGTGCGCGTGACAATTTCCCTCACGCTGACAGGCTTTCCGGTCGCACTATGAGGTGCCTCATAATAGCGTAGTTTCCAATCCGGTGAGAATGGCGACCGCAGGATGGTCGCACTTCTGGGGGTGGCACTTCGAGGAGAGTCTACGCCAGGCGACAAAATCGACGAGTGTTGGGTGCGCAGACGGCATGGGGCGTATCCACGTCTGTATGGCGCAGCTGAGGCCGGGGTAGCTGGCGGCAGAGACACAGTTGGGGATCGAAGGTTGCCAGTGTCAGGGGTGTCGCTGAACATGAAAGATCCACTCATCGCGCTCGCAGGCTGTGAGGTGGGCGAATAAGAAGTACCAGCCTTCTCAAACTTGCGTGAGAGGTTATCCAAGAATGCTTTGTAGGCTAGCGGGACCTCGACTGGAGTCTTGAGATCCGGCTCCTCATGCTTGACATAGTCCGAGGGACTACGTGCAGAGCCTTCGTGAATTGATGACGAGAGCTGAAGAGGGGCAGACTTGAGAGCTGGATACTCAGTCTTGATGAGCTCGGAGGGACTGGGCATGTAGCCAGACGAGAGTTGTGACGCATATGCAGCACTTTTAGGTGTCTGAAGCGCCTGTGTGTGAAGTTTCTCGGGCGTCCGAGTCTGGATAGGCGGAAGAACAGGTTTGACGTTCGGCATCTTGACTGAGCTTGATATACCAGAACGTTTCCAAGGGGCGTGCGAGTAACACGGGTATTGGGAAATTAAGTAGACCGTGGGGAGGTGAGATCAAGAGTCTTGAAAGACAAGTGGACCTCTCAATGTAAACGAGAGAAGGAAAGATGATTATAAGGTCCCAATAGGTGATAGAGGGAACTAGGACAAAGGCGAAGTGCTGACCAGCAGCAGGAGAGCAGGATGCGGAGAGACTTTTTTATCTATCTGAGCAAGGCAGAAGAGATGATCGCACGGGGCTCGTAACGGCGTATTTCCCAAGTTGGAACCGTATGATACCGTTCTGGTAACATTTCAAGTCAGTTACGAAAAAAAACGGGAAAGAAAACGAAAGAAAAACGGAAATGGGCTGGGCTGAAAGGGGGGCGGGACCTTCCCACGCTCGGCGGCAACAGGGTGGCGGTGGAATCACACTTACCCTAGGTGAGGATGTGGAAATATTTTTCTCACAGTTGTCAATATTAAGAAGTTTTATATTCTCCGCAGACCTGTGCAGAGAGAGAGGGAGAGAGAGAGGAAATAAATAGAAAATCGACCTTCAAGGCCGGGGGAAAGTGAAATGACAATTGAAAGATGTGAAAGCGATGGGATGAATAGTTCGAGGTTGGTTGTCAGTTGGTCCCGGTCTTATATGTCTTCCATTCTACTACACTCGTCTTTCTTCGATCATAACCGCCCTCAGCGGAGCAATTCAAACATGCAACAGAGAGATAATTGACGCGCGCCATATGAGGTACAGTTCCCCTGATGACTTGTGCCAGGAACCGCCGAAGAAACTCGACCGTTGTCCTAGGCGACGCTCTCCAGAGCTGTCGTGTGCCCTCTATCGTGCTCTGGTTGGCCCAGCACCAACGCACGTAGATTGCATATCCGTTGGCGGCTCGCTTTCAGGGGTGGCATGGTTGAAACCCTGAAGATTTCCTATTTGGGTTACATTCTTCTGCATGAAATCAAGCCCCTGCATCAATCATATTGTGGTTTGAACGTGTTCAAACAAGGACCCTCGTTTGAGACGTGCAACTCAATTGAGGCCCAATCACCGATGCATTGTCAGATCCGTGAAGAAGATCTCCACCCCAGATCTCTCAAATTGCAACTGTTATTTTTAGCAGAAGTTTTGTCATCTCCAGCGTCGACTATGTTACAGACACAGGGTGCACCTTGAGACAAGCTTGCTGTGGCTAGGGAGGAAGCTTCTGCCAGGAATGAGACCAGGATTGGCGTTTACATCAACTTTTGTGGCCTCTTGGACAAATCAACTGAAGAAGGTCTCCCAGCAAAACTCATTTGCAAGTCCATCAAGGTTTGCCCATGCCATATGAATTCAACTATGATGTGAGAGAGCTTGATACTACCGCCGCTACGTACGCTCTGAGCTTCCAGAGATGCTCCTCGGTGCTCTCGATAATAAACTTTGGTGATACAAGATTTGATTACCAGCCAACCCAGAGCTCTATACTCCACACAAACTTCTGCATTGCCGCCGTGTCATCTCACCGAAGCAGTCTTCGGAGTTGGAGGCTTGCCCAAACTATTCACCCAGCAGACTCACACCCCGATAAGCGCCCTGTCATAGATTGAAGTTGGACCAACGAAGCAACATGACTGCACATATTCTAAATTACCAAAGGTCTTTGGGATCATCTATTTTTGTCCGGCGAGTACGTCCTGCGAGCGACATGAAGGCGGCTAACCAACAGACTCCTTTCAAAAAGACTGCACTTAAAGGGACGAGCAATCCAATGTCTGAGGAGCTTCGTGATACTTTTCATTGAATGGGGATGTGGAAGTCAGAAGAAAACCTCGAAGTCTTAAAAGGCTCTGTTGGTCCAATTTTAGTAAGTGAAAGTCGTACCCAATCTCGTTGGCATCTGCCATCTTACAAAACAACTCTTGACATGAACTTATCAGGAATGTGATTATCAGACTTCGAATTACGCGAAGGTGCGCAGCAAAGTACTTTTTAAGAAGGTTCCTTGATTAAGATGTAAACATTGACAGCCCAGTGTCTTGTTGGTATTGTGTTCAGGTCCTGCCTCTATGGTAACAAACACAATATGTATTAAATAAGAAGAGTGCTCGCAGAATGGGGTATATTTTGCCATCAAGGCAATGGTGAGCCAGCAAGAGGATCAACCTCGAGAGTGAGAAGAGAAGAGAAAAAAGAGAGAAGAGAAATAAAATAAAACCAGAAGTATTGGCCCCTCTTAGATGAGGAGGTAGTTCCATTGATTTCTCTTCATGATGTCCCGCCAGTGGACTTGTTGCTTCTTAATCTCACGTGCACCCATAGTGGCGCCAGCACTAAAGGGTGACTCAGAGCCTTCCAACTTTGTGATTGGGCTTGTCAGAGAATATCTTTGAGAGTTATCTCCGGGATAAATTTGAGAAGAATCGACTGGGTCATCGGTCATTCGCCACACTTCCTGAAGAAGACGGTGCATGCGGCCGAAGCTACCGAGGTCCCCATATTCACCCAGCTCCTCACTTCGCTGAGCGAGAGCAGCGCGGAAGGGGCTCGATGGACCAGAGAAGACACCAGTGATCAGAAGTGGCCAGACGAGCGAGCGGTCGTAGCCATATGAGCCCATGGGGATGAACTGAAGTGCGTTGGTCACTGCCGCGATCAAGGCCTCGTTGCTCTTGTGGCTGCGATCGAAGCCGGGGACGAGGCTGCAAAGGTAGATCCGGGCTGCAAGTCGGAAGATGTGAGAGATGGTCTTGGTCAGAATTTCTGGCTGGATAGCCCCAGTGGTGGGGTTGTAGGGGTTCTCCAGCGTGGGATCGGCAGGCTCGGTGAAACTGAGCTGCTCACCAAGCATCTGGACATGGGAGCAGACGGTCGCTTCATCGATGCGGCCCTCAGCTTTGAGAGAGTCCAAGCAAGTAATCTCGGAAATGAGGTACATAACCTTGTCATCGCATCCCATCAACTCGCGCAGACCGGACATCGTCTGACCAAGGTACTTTGATCGGTACTGGTGTGCAAATTGCGGCGTCTTGCCCATCATCGTAGCGCCGAGAATGTCAATCCATGAAGTCAAGGTCATGCTGAATGGAGTTTCTAAGGCTCCGTTTGAGTCTTGGACCAACGCAGTTGGGAGCTCAAGTCTGGTGACCAGGTTTGATGCGGCTTGGAAATGATCGTACCATGGGATATCAGGCAGACAGTCATCCAAAGGACCGAAGGAGCAGTGGAAGAAGATCATTGCGAGGGTGGCATCGAGGATCTCTCCGTGATTGACGTCTTCTCCCAGTGCTTGGCAAAGCTGGGAAATGGCCTCGTAGCGGTGTCGCATAATATCGTTGTCAATCTGCTCCCCACCCAGACCCTCGGTAGTCTTGAGGTGAATAGAAGCCACACTCAAGCAACAGTGAAGGTAGCATTTGTTTGTCTCCAAGGCGCGAAGGATCGCTTTGGCGCGTAGGTTTCCCTTGCCATGAGCCTCCAGAACAGGGAAGATTTGGCGCAGAACATTATGGATAAAGTGGTCGAGGAGTGGTCGATCATGCTCACTAACAGGAATGTTGCTCTGCAACAAGGAGTAAGTCTTCTCCAATGTGGGATCCACATTCTCTTGGTTGGCGCCATCATAAACTCCAGCCTGGACAAAGTACTCATCTCTGAACCATTCATCGCCAGCGAATGTTGGCAGAGGAGCACTGAGCTGAGGCGGAGCAAAAGAGCTGAATGTTGACGTGGAAGAATCGTGGCGCATGGGTACATCGTTGACAAATGTCTGTCTCTCAGTCCGGACGTCGACCTCGTAAGAGGGCACATAAGGCCCATATGGGGCACTTCCCAGACCAGGAGTAGGTAGTTGAGATGTGAAGATCTCGCGTGGCTCATCATACAAGGTACTATATTCGTCCACGGGCGATGTTGGCACGACACCGGAGATGCTATGATGGCGGTTAAGATGACCTATAAAATTATTCACGTTAGCAACAGCCAAACTGAGTTTGACTCTGACTGATACGCACTAGAATTATTTCCATTGCGCTCCCGCATCTTTGTCTGCTTGATAGTGTTCTTGATCTGCTCCTTGCGGGATCGCCTCAAAGTTGGGTCTGTCCACCAGACGGGGCGTTTGTAGTTGCATTCCACTTGGAGGTTTGCGCAAGCGCCACAGTGAGGGTGGTTCTCATCACACTTCTTCCTGCGGAGGCGGCATGTATAACAGCCTGTTAAGTTAGTATGATTCAAAGCGACAAGAATCTATGAGAAGCGCGCCAACATGGTAGAAGATCACATACCAGACCGAGATCGCTTGTGCATACGACCGTTTGTCTTGTCTCCGCTTACAGGAGAAGAGCGTTGAGACATTGGAGTTAGCGCCGAGGCAAGAGGCTTGGAGGCGAAAGATGTTTTCTTCGAGATAGGCATCTTGGAATATTATCGACCGGGCACGGAATGGCTGTAGGATGTGACGAGGAAATCAAAATCTCAAATGCAACAGCAGACGAATGGAATTATAGCAAAGCTGAACCAGCAGGCTTTGCAATCTAAAAGATAGAACGAAAGGAGAGTGTTGGTAAAGCAACTGTTGGAAAGATAATAGTGATTGGGAGCTCAGACAGTGGGACATCTTATGCTTTAAAACTCATGATAATTGACCAAAAGCGGGAGTTTCTATTTTAGAATCCACCTGCACCTCCAAAGATTGACTGCAAGATCGGGATAATTTGGGGACATCAGTGCCCGTTTGGGTCAGATCATCGCATGATATTACTAGGATGGAAACCTAGCACGCACGAGTGACCAATTGTAGTTGCAGAAAGGGTAGTGAATGTTGCAATCCAGCCTCTCGAGACTAAATTTGGGACAATTAGCTTACTTTTTTTAGTGCTGAACGGCCGCTTGGCGGCATTGGCGTCATGCACTTTACTATCCAAACTCCTCGAGGGACAGAGCAGAGATCGTCCAGTCGGACTAGTATTTTTTGCTCACTAGCAGGGGTGGCTGCAGGACCTTTCTCGTTCATTGGACCTTGGTAGCATTCACCCATCTCTATAGTAACCTTTCTCCTAAGGTAATCGCGGGATCCAACCAACAGTATGAGCATTTTGTTGGCACACGCTTGGTTATATCCAACAATAGAATCGATCTCTCTGTACAAAATGATCCGATGACACTTGAGATGCAAGGAACGAGGCAACACTGCAGGCGGGGTCGAGATGTGATGACCCGCCACTGACTCGTATGGAGCAATCTTGATTAACTTACTAAATACAGGAATAAATGCCGCAAAGACTCAGACACATTGGGCAGGAGTCTGACCGCTTCGGATAGTTTGGCCAATCAATAACTACAGTCGATATCAGAAGGCTGGTTGATCACAGTTGCTCGAACCAAGGGAAGTGTGACATTTGGGTGGAGACGGCCAAGCTTTGGTCTCTGGGAAATTGATTGGACAAGAAGGTCAGAATCAGGAAATTGCTCACTGCTTGTCGGACCGTTCAGGGCTCTGACTGGTGTGTTCTGCAGGTCCACGGGTGCTCCGTGCAGAGCTATGCGGGGGATGTGATGTGATAAGAATTTAGCGTCTTTTGTCCCTCTAGCGTGCATATACTCCCTTAATTAGCAACACTTAACCGCCCGTCTTTGGCACAATGGAGCCTAATTTGTCCCCTTTTTTAAAAATTTGTATGGCTAATTCCACCCGCGTGTTGATCTACTCCGTACTGGACATGAACGATGCTTCGAACCAGTGCCAACCTTAACCTGTGATTGTACGATTCTACAAAATTTGCTATTAATATCCATCTTCAAGTTTTGCAAATTCACCAAAAATAGTAAAATTAATCTAGCATGTCAATTTTCTCATCCGCATTGAGCTGCCGGCCTCCGTGCACCTCGGACCCTTCCTTCTCTTCTACTCCGTATGTCGGATCAGCAACGGCCACTTGCAGATGCTCGTGACTGTGGGTCACGGGAAGGGTGAATCAAACCACTCGCTTCTCTTAACTAAAAGTTACCGCAATTGATCTATCTGCTCCAAGCCTTTCGATGAGCACCGTTCATAGTCCGTACTCCGTACATGTTTGTAGTCAGGCGAGGACAAACTTACGATCAAATTTTGACCCATATTCCGAGCTCTCATATTGAGCAAGGGGTACTCCGTACTTCAAAGGTTATACAGAACCTTTTCAGAACCCGGAGGTCGAATCTAGAATCATGTTTAACACATTGTACATATTTTCACGAACGGAGAGGTAACAAGCCCATTCGTTACTAATAGAACCCCCTGGTTGGGGGACTTTGAAATTTGCCATGAGTTCCAAGGTTTTCTCAACCTATGTGATTCTCACGCTCCATTGCCCTACAACCTCGGAGTCAAAGACGCTCGAAGGGTGTTGACCCTTCCGTCAATTCAGTTTCGGGGTGTATAACGGCTGTGACATCCCATGTGTACTTTTTACACAGTCACATTTGGCAGGATTTTCCATGTCCGGCTGTTACTCAGAATCAGGCACATGCGGCTTCCTCTACTATCTGGGACAAACTGAGTTACCCAGCCCGAGGCGAGATCAGAATACTTGCCTGAGCCGTTAGTCACCCTTGCGGAACCTATCTTAATGGCTTGGTATCAAAAGCTTCTTGGTGTACGGAGAAGATTTATCTGCCTTGAGGGAGTGATATATCAGAGCACCATGTGGGAATATAGAATCAAAAACTTTAAGGCTTGGATCATTGTTCCGAAATTTTTTATCAAATTTGTTTGGTCCAAGCATCATTTGTTACACGACTAGAAACTATTTGGGCCGGAATATGGACTAGTCTAGCGGTCAAATCCAAAGATTACCCACTTGATTCTGATCTTGACTGCCCTTACATGTCCTGTCACCGAATGCTCATTGCTTGGCAGCCTTCAATATGCACGTATTCTAAACCTTGGAAGTTGTACGGGGTACCTTGAGATCACGAAGAAAGAATGAAAGCAAGCTCACTCAGTTCGGTACACATAATTCCCGCCTTATACTACGATCATGAAATTCTTGCTGTGATTTTTACGGCGAATGGGTTTTTTGGTTTCTTACACCGAGCGGAAAGCTTTGAAAATCATGTCACAGAGCTCGGCGACATGCATTTAATACCTTCCGTGGAAGGTAACTGATCGTGACAAGCGAAAGTACTAGTGTCTGGAAGCGGGAAGTATGCACCACATGGCACATTATTTCCATGGGTCTACGAACCTGAACATAGTCAACACAGCGGTGTAGGGTCAGAAGTTCGGGGAGTCGGTATGTAAGAATGAATTTTGAATCCACATCAGTTTCCTGGGCTTTCCGGCTCAGAGTAGGCTTTTATGGCGAGGCATTCAGTGGTACGGAGTAAAAAGTGAAAGATTGGCGTGTGCGGCTAGGCGGAAGAAATGCCGACTTTCTGCATCGTACGTTGACTAGTAGTTAATGCAAGAATCAGACATTCGATTCATAGCTCTTTTGTACGGAGTAGACCTTGAGATATCGTGACTATGGCTCTCACGTCACATCCCATAAATTAAACACAGTAGTAGGCACTCCGTAGGTAGCACAATGCACAAAGCATGCCCAGTACGTACGAATGGAAATTTCTTGGCGTTGAAAATCAGCGTGCACGGAGTTCAAGCCTCCTCTTCTCGATGAGAGTCCACGTTCAACGCCACCGGGCGATTAGAAGATGGGACTGGTCATATTTCGAAGTTTTGGGCCAGACCACCGTTAGCGACCTTTGGGAGCAGTGCCCCAGCAACGTAGAGGGGGAAGAAGATGGACATGACTCGAGGGGTACAGCACAAATATAGCTCTGACAGACGGCGATTCGCAGAACTCCAAGTAGAGTGGTCAAGCGCTAATTAACGGTCAATGTCTGGTCGTCACGCTTCTTCGGGATGCTATAGGATTGAAGTGGGGAATGAGGGTTGCTGCATGGGCGCTAACTGCAGGCCAGTCACACCTCTGCATCCCAACCCGACAAACTTCGACATACGCTCGGTTCAAAAAAATTCGAGCCCGTTGAGCCTATGAGAGTTTTTATGGGGTACGCCTCGTTTTGCAGAAATGGCGGGCAGGGGTTATGATTGGGTGATGCTCATGCGCGGTACTTGCAGCTCATCCTGAACTACTGCAGGCGGGTCACTCCGCATCACATCACAATTGTCCTTCTTCCCTGTTCCCAACCATTAGGCTTTCGATTTACTGCCGATTTTAGAACGCTGCCGCTGATGTTCATCGAAGTTACATGTCGCGGACATTTTGTTCCGTCCAGTATGTCAGATTGGTCAGATCGTTGCCCGTGCCGCCCTCCCAGCGCTATCGTGTTTCAAGGCCTGGGTAATAATTTGGGAAGTTCGTGTGGGTACACACTACATATAACCCAACTGCCCGTGTGTCACGAACCTATGTTGGATCTCCCACTTTGCCCTATTCTCTCGTGATCTGGATCCCCACTCACTTTGAGGCTATTTTCCTTTTCTGTTAGACTACAGTTAGTTCACTGCTGTGCGGGGACTACTGACGACACATTCATTTAATTTTGCTGAGTCTTGAAGGCCAGTATAACGATTCACGATATGGTAAGTCTCCAAAGGTATCATGGCTTGATCACGGCTCATAGAACATATAGGATTCATCACTTCGCTCTCGACGCAAGGCAGTGCCTACCTCACTTAGCACACAGAACCATGAGCGGTTCTACCCTGCGAAGACTATTGTAAAACAGCGGCGGCGAATGTCTGAAGCCACCGAATTCTATGACACGGAGTTTGAGGGTAGTGACTCAGACGAGGAATCACTCCGGCAGAGCATGCAATCGGTAAGGCCCATAGTCCTCACAAGAAACCTTGGAATGACACACAGACTGACATGGCATGGATTGGTTAGTTGGGCTACGATAGCAATACCACACTCTCTACCCCAGAGCCACCACAGACACCGGAAGCGGCCCAAAGAAACATACAGCCAGGCGAGAAAGGTATGGTTGAAGGACCTTCTGGTCCTCACTTATTCAGGAACTCAATGGGATCTACAATCTTCGAGCCCGACACTGCAGCTGGTACCACCGAAATATCTCTTTACCTAGAGCGCTCTCCTCTGTTGTCGGGATTTTCCTCGATCATGGATACCCCCAGCCACATTCCATTCTCGCCGAATACTCCCAACCGGTTTCCCATGATCTCTCCCAAGACGCCAAAAGCGTTGAAGACGGTGCACCCTGATGTGTCCCAGGTGACTCAGGAGGAGATAAGAAACTGGAAGCCTAGTCAGGTTGCCCACTGGCTGTACATTGCAGGGTACACGGATGCTGTCATTGAAAAATTCTTGATCAACGATATCACTGGTGAAGTCTTGCTTACCTTGCAGGCTGACGACCTCAAGGAGCTGAGCATTCACTCATTTGGGAAGCGCCGCGAGATCATGGCCTCAATCGAATATCTCAAGGCCACCATGCAGAGGGAGCCGGAGCCTGTCCCGGAGATTCCATCTCGATTCACCTCTGACGCATCCCATAAGCAGGCCAACCAGGAGCAGATGAACCAGGAGCAACTCCCCGCCGAATGGCCCGTTCCTCGGCGAGAAACTCCCGGGCGTAGCTCACCAAAGAAGCAATCCTACGCGATGTCTATATCCCCTACTGGTGAGATTCTGTCTCACGACAGATATAGACAAGACGGTAACCAGATTACACCTGCTGAATCCGTCTCAATTGTGGGAATCGAGCAGGTGATTCCAAAGCCCCACAAGTGCTCGAAAGGGGAGAATTGCTCCAAGTTCAAGAAACAGCAAAGATACCTGGCACAGCTTGCTGCCGAAAACCCAGGTGCAGTGATTCAGGAACAGGACGGGGTCATTATCATGGGAAACCCAGGAAACCCCGAGACCGGACGGAATCTCCTGCGACCTAGATCTGAGACAGAGCCTTCGGTAGTTGCATCATCAGACGTTCTTGGTCCTCATCATGGATCTGCACTGTCTCAGGATGCTGTCGACAGGATCCCCAAGCTGCCCAAAGACGACAATGTGCGAAGATTCCTCGACTACCAGCATGTGGATACCATGGCCGCCAATCTTCGCACTCTTCCTAAGCTGACCATTCCCACAAGTCCCGACGTGGATGAATTAACGACTGCTGTCACCACAAACAAATACTTCACTCCCACTCATCAAAATGGCTCCCCTACTGCCGTTCAGCAATTTGGTCCTTTCAGCCAAGCTCACGAGGCACAGTCATTTGAGACATATCGCCAAGGCACACCGTTCTCTGAAATGGATGTTCCTATCACTGCGATCCCAAGTGACCCGATTCCCCGGGATGTCTCTCAATCCGTGCCTCCGAGCATGCAATACGGTACCTTGTTCCCCCCGTACCAGCCTGCCATGAACTCCGCTCCTCTCGCCCGAAGCACCTCCACCCGCTCTCGTCAGGTTCAGCCTCTTCGCCGAGTCAGCGAAGACAAGCCCCTGACTCCAATCGACAACCCCGCAGATCTGATTCGGAGCCCTCGCGTGAATCAACACAGCCACACCCGCTCCCAATCATCTGTCTCCTCCAACCCAGATGTTACCCACGCGGGATACATGCGCAAGCGCAAGACCTCTGGTATTCTGCGACACCACGAGTGGGCCAAAGCCCACTTCACACTCAATGGCACCAACCTTGCCATGCACAAGAACCAAAGTGAAGCACACCGCCTCTCTCGTGCCCTCGAGAGCATCGATGTTGATGATTATGCCGTTGCTTGCTCTTCGCAGGCAACAAGCTCCAAGTTGACAGCTGCATTCAAGCGTTCCATCATGCGCAATGGAAACAATGCCACTGAAACGCGCGATGGTACTGCTTTCTCTTTCTCTCTCATTCCTGCTACCAAGGAGAATGAGAAGAAGGCTCTCTTTGGCAACAAGGGTGTCAAGAACCACCACTTCGCCGTTGACACTCGTGAACAGCGCATTGACTGGATGCGTGAGCTTATGCTTGCTAAGGCTTTGAAGAAAGGCAAGGAGAGCGGCGACAACATCCTTGTCAACGGCAACCCCTGGATTTGATATGACTTTTCTATTGTTTTTTTTTTTTTTTTTTGTTGCTCTTGCGTTGCATCTTACCCTCTGTCTGTATGTCTTATGTCTACTTCTTTTTCCCTTTTACTTTTTCATATCTCCCACCCATGCTTGGAGAGATGCGCTTCATTGCTCTGGCGTACTTTTTGATGATTTCTTTTGTCACCTCTCCCATCGAGCTCACCATACGTTACGCATCATCATCATAGGCCAGGATATACCCCCATCACATTAGTATAGTTTGCGCTTAGTCAAGAAATAGGCACCGAAAGCAATTGAACAGATTGTTAATACCGAACGACTTATTCTGATAAAACCTTGGAAGCACCCTCGCCATCTTCACCAAAGACGAGCCTTGAAATACCTCTAGGGTTGCATTCACCTGGGTGGAGCTGGAAGATGACCTTGGAAACTTCGCTTGTCGGGGTCCAAGTCCTAGAAATAAAGTTGAAAAGCTGCTCAAGTGCTATTGTGCAGTCCTTAGTAGCTATGATCTCCCTACGAGTAGAACATATTCCCAAGGAATACCTCGGGGGACAGACCCATCATCTATGCATTTTTGTCGGTGAGCCTATCCCATCATTCGAACAACTAGGTATGCCCATCCATCTCCGTAGGCAGAGCTCCGCACGACCTCTTCTATTGGAGCAGACATTGGGATCACCGCACCATGCAGTACAGGCTTTGCGAGAACAGGAGTCCTCCTGCTCGGGAAAAGATTTGGAAGCAAAGTATGTAGAACAGTACCGATGGTTTGAGGCTGCGTGTGTGGATTTGATCGTGAACTCAACATTTGGCTGGACTGCATGCTCGTTGCTGGTATTGAAGGAGGAAGTGGCGATTGAACAACTTTGAGCGATGGAGACTCGTCGTCAGGTGGGAGTGGCAGAAAGATCCGGATTGGTACGTTGCGAAAAGGTTGCGAAATTTGAGGGAGTAAAATGCTTGATATGCGCTGGAAGGAGGGAAGATCAACTGTGCCATGATGTTAAAACCAGTACAAAAAACCGGCGATAGACGCGTTTCGTCCCAATAGTGTACTCACCTTCTTCAACGGCTTTCCAAAGACCCGATGAATCCTCTTTCGAGAGGCTCATAATACCTTTGGCTGTGCCATTGCGCAGGAAATCAGCCTCCTTCACACTGTTGATGAAGGCATCACCCATGACCATTCCATCAGCGTCAAGGCGCACGAGGTTCTCATCGGGCCAATTGCTGAAGTGAACGACCAAGCGCCATGGGATCTTTGAGTCATTTTCAGAAGACTCATCCCCTCCGATAGCTGTTTTGGAGGCAGGGGTTGCGCCTGCATAGAGGTCAAACAAGAGACCAACAGGGTAGTGCCACTTCAAGGGCACGCCTTCAAACTCAAACCAGCCCTCGTGAGACTGAGCTTCAGGCGAAATCAGCGAGTTTGAAAAGAAAGCTCGCAGCTTTGGGAGCAACGAGGGGAAATATGAGATGCGTGGATATGCAATCTAGTAACGATCAGCGTCACCCCAAGTCGAGAGCCCCAAGCACCATCCGGACATAGGCTTACAAGATATGGGTCAGTCTTGTCAAATGTCCGACTTTCAGACGGAGCTAAGACGATTTCAAGTGGTATGCGCCCGTCCCAAATAGTTTTCTGGATTGAGCCAAGAGAGGTTCGATTTTCCATCTTGAGATGTGACCACCTGGGCAACTTGGAACTTCAGATTCATGTCAGTATGTCAGCTCATGGCTTGAGTTAAGTCGCATAGGCCGCTTACTGTAGCGTGCGACTATATATCACCAAGCTTGAGCTAAGTTAATGGATTGGAGTTCAGATCAAGCGATAAGATTCTCAGATGGAATGCCCCGCTTTAGCGCTCATGCTCGGAAACGCTGGGTATATTCTGGGAAGCACCGGCGGAGACTTTAGCTACTCACACTCCAAAATGTGGCCTTGATCATCCCCCTTGAGTCCTGAGAGATAAAGAGTGTTGATTCGTGACTTGAGTGCCCCGAAGGCGACACGTGCTTCCGCCCCAGGCATCATTTTTCAATGTTTCTGCCTGATGTTTATGGCTCTACTTATTCTGGGAACCTGCAATTAGAGCTACCCAGATGGTTCATCGCATCCATGGATATCACCTGAGCTGTCTATTTTGTAAGGCGTATGGGTCCAAACTTTCCAAACCTCAATCCTCAAATGGTAAATTGTCGTTGATTATCCACAACCAGACGAGCTGGATTTCGTCGGATCTGATGAGTTGCACCTGGTCTAGCATCAAACCATTCGGTTTTGATTTTGTCAGCGACTTATTTCATCGATGACGCCCTAAAAAACAACTAGTACCCGCAAGGCGCTCAGACCATCATTGTGTTGACGGCGCATTCCAAGGTTGAAGTCCACAACCTGAACTGCAACAATGTCAGTGACACTGGGCTTGTTCCGCAGAGAACCGCCGAGTATTTATTGATCCACCCGACTTGGCGGGCACTCCGGGCATGCAAAGTGCTTGTATATACCAACTTTGGTAGCTTTGCTTTCCGTTGATTCCCAGCGTTGCTTGGCAAAGTGTTGATTTTCCCAACGCGTGCATGGCACAAGTGCTCTATGTTGATGGGAGAAAGTTGACGCGGATAATCTCCGCTGCCAAGTTGCGCCCAGATATTTAGCTGATTCTCCTACCATACATACATGGGAGTTATGGTCGGAATGCCGTCTAAAGCTGGCCAATATGCCGCTTATCCCACGTCTTGTCAACGCCTGCATACCCCGAGCACAGCGAAAGAGGGGCAGAGAGACAACCGAAGAACGGATCCGTGTCGGACATACTTCAAATTCCCCAAAGCTCGGCCGAAATCATCTCACGGGCTTGACTCCGGGCCGTGCCAAGGGCGCATTCTACAAATCTTTCTTCCGCTGGGAAGAGTTGTAGTGTCGCCGCTGCGTAGATTTCGTGGCCAAACACTGTCCCGGGGCAGGCACTCCTGGTCAACAGGTGATCTTCGTCCAGGCACAGACCAAGTGCAGACCCAGTCTTGTATCCGATCATGCCGGTGGGAAATGGCGATGTTGAAGCCTGGAGTGTGAGACCCGTACTATGTGTATTGGTCTCCGGGGCTATCCCATTGGCGAAAGAGTTTCTAGACAAGCGTAGCAGGGTTCGACGTTGGCATGTGCCAAATGTTGGCATTGCAGCTGAAACTGCGGAGATGTCAAAGGTACTTCAGGTGACAGTCCCAATTTTTGGAGATGCCCCAAGCTTTGTCTTGTCAACCAGAAATGTTTGTTCTGGGCTCTGGCCTACAACTTACGGTCAGGGCAAATGAGAGGTATCGTTTGACAGTATTGAGCGCCGATACACAGGTAACTACTTGTGGCTATATGACTGACTGATTCCTTGGCCACCCCTGAACCATCTGTTGATACAGTAGGCGGATGGGTGGATCCTGACACATAGGTTGAGATGTGGATGCTAACCGTAAAATTTTAGTTGTTCCTGAGACTGAGCATCTGTACTGTGAAATGCGCCTTCCTTCGGTGAAATCTACTAGTCCCCTTGTTGACTTCGGTGTCAGCAGACATTAAGCATAAAGCCGAGCCCGGATTCCACCCAAATCGGTACGGAGTACCCGGGCCGATTGTTACTTTCTGCCACTCTTAACCTCTCTTGGTCAACATTGACGTTGTTCATGGGACTCGGATCATTGTTATGCAAAGTAACGTCATTTCTTCGACGCAATCGCTTCCCCATTTTTTGTTTGCCTGTGGTCTAAGTTGTAACCGCCCCCAGTCCCGAAACCCCGGAGTTTCGTTTAGTGCAGTGCATTCAGACCGATAATCATTGGTGCACGGAGAGGGGCACGGTTCGGTCTTTCCGGGGAACATTGGAGGGCCGGATTCCGGAGATGGAACATGATGCAAGGTTTCCATACCCTCACTCAGACTTGTACCAATAGAGAGGATGACAGCAAGAGGCATAGATGATATGCGACACGTGACCTTTAAGTTCCGCCGAGAAAGGCTTAGTGCGAGACAAGCAACCTTGGGGCAGCTGGGCGAAACAGACTTTTATCCCTTCTTCCGTCGATTCTACCGTCTGTTCTTCGACTGACCTTCCCGAGTGGGAGCTCGGCAAAATTCCGGCTCCACGTTAAGGGTTAAGGATTCTTCCCCGACTTTCATTTTTCTTTTCTATAGATTGAACTGGGGATTGAGATCTGGGGGTATTCGCTTAACAAGCGGGACTTTGCTATGCCAGTGCTTCCTCTCTCCACAATCCACAATGCTGACCATTCTGCATTCCGCCTGTTCCGTGGAGGTTTGTTGTGGCAAATCTTCACCGGTGCCTCTATGCATACCAGACGGGTAAACGCAGACTCGACGTGCAAATCTGTGAAGTGTCACAACTACTCACTACCCACGAGGCCAACCACGAAATGTCCGAGCTCTCGGTGTTTCAACCTAAAGCATGTGGGAGAAAGGACAAAAAGAAGTTTTTTTTTCGTGGTTTTCTTTGAGGAAGTAGGATTCCGTGTTAGATATATACTGAAGCTTATTTGCCGGCTGAATGTTTACGGTCCTCTTGCGGGGGAGAACGCTACCCCGGCCACGTTCCCACATCTGGGCACTCTCCATGCATTGTAATCCTTGCTGTATCATAGCCTCACGTTCGAACCCCATGTTGCCCCAGTCTATGGGGTTGTACGCGACAAGTATTGTGGAGAGCGCTCAGTTGGGGAATTTCCGCACCCACAATCCATTGGGATAGCTCCTATTACTTAGGGCCCCATCCCAGCCCTTCTCGACCCATTTTCCTTTCCTTCATTCTCCCTCATATAAAAATTTTCTCCTCCCTCCCTCTCCTCCCCATAACACCTTCGTACACATTGGGCTGTCCCCTTCGCAACCATGGGAGTTCTCACACTCACCGAAGATCGGCCAACGCCCAAGTGCGTCTACAACTGGCGTGTCTACGCACTCGCCGCCATTGCATCATGTGGTTCCAACATGATCGGTTATACCAGTGCTTTCATCGGTACTACTATCACATTAGACTCATTCAAGCATGAGTTTGGTCTTGACAAGAAGACCACAGCCGAACGAAGCCTGATCAGCGAAAATATCGTCTCGCTCTTCATCGCTGGTGCTTTCTTTGGTGCTTTGGGCACATATGCCATGGGCCACTTCATCGGCCGCAAATGGAACTTGGCCGTCGCGGCTGCAGTCTTCGCTCTCGGATCTGGATTGCAGCTCGGTGCCAACTCTGCTCGAGGACTGGGTATTCTCTACGCTGGCCGTGTGCTATCTGGTCTGGGTACCGGTGTTGCTTCCAACATTATTCCCATCTATCTTTCCGAGCTGGCGCCACCAGCTATCCGAGGTCGGCTGGTCGGTCTGTACGAGCTGGGCTGGCAAATCGGCGGTATGCTTGGTTTTTGGATCAACGTGGGTCTCCTTCCAAGGTTCTGCCGATCCTTGAAATTTTCATCGATCGGGCCGTCTTTGCAGATAAGCTAATCTATAATCGGCAGTACGGTGTTGAGCAACACATGCCCGCAAGCCACGAGCAGTGGATCATTCCGTTCGCGATCCAACTAGTGCCTTCGGGCCTCCTTTTCGCTGGAGCCCTGTGGATCAAGGAATCGCCCCGCTGGCTTTTCCTCAAGGACCGTCGCCGCGAGGCGATGGAGAACCTTTGCTGGATCCGCCAATTGAGCCCCGACGACATGTACATCACCGAGGAGGTCGCCGCTATTGACCAAGCTCTGGAGTACCAGAGGTCTTCCATTGGTATTGGTTTCTGGAAGCCCTTCCAGGCTCTTGCTACTCGCCGCAACGTGATGTACCGTCTCATGCTCGGATGTATGCTCTTCTTCTGGCAGAATGGATCCGGTATCAACGCCATTAACTACTACTCGCCCACTATCTTCAAATCGGTATGTTCGCTGTCTCTTCGGCCTCGCTTTCGTGCACATCTCTAACCTTCTTCTTCTAGATTGGTGTTGACAGCGAGACTACCAACCTGATGACCGGTATCTTCGGTGTGATCAAGGCCGTTATGACTTTCGTGTGGCTCCTCTTCCTTGTCGACCAGATTGGTCGACGCAACCTGCTCCTCGGTGGTGCCGTGACCGGATCTATCTGCATGTGGATCATCGGTGCCTATATCTGCGTCGTGAAGCCCGAGGAAAACCCTTCCACCTCTCTTAACGGTGGAGGTATCGCTGCTATCTTCTTCTTCTACCTGTGGACTGCCGTCTATACCCCAACCTGGAACGGTACCCCCTGGGTCATCAACTCCGAGTTCTTCGACCCCAACTTCCGCTCCCTCGCCCAGGCCGCCACCACCGCCAGCAACTGGCTCTTCAACTTCCTCATTTCCCGCTTCACCGAGCAGATGTTCGAGGCTATGGGATACGGAGTGTACATGTTCTTCGCTGCCCTCTCCTTCCTGGCGTTCTTCTTCGCTTTCTTCCTCATCCCCGAGACCAGTGGTGTTCCCCTCGAGAAGGTCGATCGCCTGTTCGAATGCAAGCCTGTCTGGAGAGCAAACAAGATGCTCAAGGAGCAGCTCCGCGCAGAAGAAGAGCAGTTCCGCTTTGATGTCAAGGAGCACGCTTATCATGAGGAGAACACTGACGCTGCCCCATCTGCCGCTGCGCCGGCCGCTGCGCCTGCTTCCGCTTCCCAAGACGAGGAGGCGGCGAAGTACGCTTAAGCGTATGATTATAGACATTGTTGTTGTATAGAATTATTTATGAGTCTTGTACAGATGACCACGATAGACGTTGCATAGATCGACGCATTTATATATACATGAATTTCAGCTATTTGAGCCTTTTTCATCTTCATTCCATTTTTTCAAGAAGTTCCACGAATGTCTCGAACAAACATTGCCGAAAGTATGGTTGTGGCCTTAAGGCCACAATCTACCTAGGGATAACATTCCTCCGTGCTCCCTGCCCGACCTCGGAGGTCCACCTGGGCAGCTTGCTCACGCTGACTTACTGCCTAGGGGGGACCTGGAATAGTCAAGCAACATTCCACACAATTGGAATTGAACAACAATAAATTCTAAACGCGTGACACAGGGTATCAAATGATGACTCTAAACATTAACTTCAGCGCTCTGCACTGGGACCCTCCGCTTCAACACCTCCACCGCTAGATCATAAGCCTCCATCTTTGCTTCACACTGCGACGACCCACGAACGGCCTCCTTGTCCCACCCGTGTGCGCAATTCTCCATCCTTTGACAAAACGAGTACTTCCCTTCAGTGTTGTTCAGCACATCCGACAACTTCTCCGCCTCGATCGCAAACGGGTCTTGCGCAGCAGTGATCATCAGCACATTCGCCGGGAAGTTCTTTGGATCCGCCTTGATGGGCGACATGCGCGGGTCCTTGGGGTCGACCCGGCCCAGATTCAAGCATTTGTGGCACAGGTGCGAGAACCCCGGGAAAATGTCGCGCATAATCCAGTTCGAGCGGTCGGCTTGTGGTTTTTCGGGCGTGGGTAGGGACATGTCCATTGGTCCGTAGAAGGAGACGACGCTGTTGAAGAAGTTGTTCTCGCCCACGGGGAATTTCTCGGATGAACATGATACTGCCAGGGCGATGTTGGCGCCTGCGCTGAATCCGGACAGCGAGACGAGTGAGAGGTCGAAGCGCTCGGGTTGCGTGCGCACCCAAGTCACTACGTCTTCGGCATCGTGGAAGGCGGCTGGGAAGGGGTGTTCCGGGGCGAGACGGTACTGCACGTCTATGACAGTGTAGTTTGCTTTGTCGGTGACGTAGCGGCAGTATTCGTCGTCGTTACCAAATGTGCCGAGGACGAAGCCGCTTCCACAGAAGTTTATCACAACAGGGGTGGGACCGGGGCTGGTGGGTTTGTAGATGTGTGTTTTGATAGTCCGGCCGTCATCCCGCGATGGAACCAGAGCCACTTCATCTGGTTTGGGGTTTAAGTGGAGCCTTGGTTTGACCAGTAGCCTGAGAAACGATGCCAGCGACTTGTGGTAGCCATATGAGGCACCCATTTCTCATGTGGTGAGGCTTTTAAGGGTTTTTACTGACGCGTGTGGATCACTGACAGACCTGACGGGGAACATGCAGCAGGAGTCCACATAGGTGACTGGGTATATTCATTTTAAATGTGATATCATCAAACAGAAAGGGATCGTCTTTGGTGACGAGTATCTCTGCCGCTTCATTCTTTCCAGGTTTTGATGCCATGTACGTCATGCCACGACCTACCCTTGCCGGGTATAGATCAGCAGCCACCTGGGCACTTTATATGAGTACAGTATAGCCCTGAAGATTGAGGGTGCTTACGGAGGGCTCCGGGGCTATATCTACCCGTATTCTTCCAAATTGTAATGTACCAGGCATCTGGGTAAGTACCGACCGAGGTGCCCACCCGGGCAGGTGGATTCCAAGGTTATATATTCCAAGGGCTGGGGATTTTACAGGTGTACTCCATTAGGTCACCCGGCAGAACCTTGGACACATTCACGAACCTTGTAAGGTCCACGGGTGTCCATTTCCAGGTTGTGACGCAGCTCTAGTGGTGCTTTGCACATACTCGTGCAGATTGGCAAACTGTTTCCAAGGCTAGATCCATGCTGTACAATTATCATAATTAGGAGTGAGGGGTAGTCTAAATACCACTTGTTACCTATGGATTGAATAGGGTCGAATTTAAAGAATGCACTAAATTCCAAAATTGAGACTTGGAGTGGAGTGACAGGACCCTGAGATCTGGAAACATTTTGGAGACCAGATCAGATATTTAACACCGAACAATGAACACTTCAATTATTCCCGACCATTTCAAGCCAATGAAAGAATACGCGCCCGGCGCTAAAATTAGAATGCAAATCGTGAACTTCCGAAACCGGAAGTGATAAACTGGGAAGATCACAGTCTTTTTGCCATCGGAATGTGTCAAACTACCACATGGTCGCCTTTTTCAGAGATTTAGTTGAGAGAATCTAGGCGAGGTTTACTCCGTAGTGCGCACTTTAACGTCGCACTGACCTGAATGCGTATAACAAGGATTAGTCAATATTCAGATGATCGTCTGAGAGGCTGGGGCAGTGTTCAAGTATATGATATAATGTGAGCCGAGCAAAGAGCCCCCAGCCTCGTCAGCCAGGTTGATCACAAGGGAAGCACTGGGTCCAATAGGACAATCGGTAAAGAAAGAGGATCAAACCATGTTGCCTGGCGTTTTTTGTTTCAAAGGGCCCTGGGCGCTGACCCTCGCGGATCGCTTGGCTCCACTGAGCGCTTACGTCGTACTGTGGAGTTGCATGATATCAGGGCAAGCCCAGCCAAAAAGAATACTCTTTCACACTTCTTCCTCCTACACACTCGTTTGACCATGCAATTGAATGCTCCCCGTTTCGGGGCCTTCATACTGATCCTCCTCCAGAGTCTGAATCTCGTACAGGCTGAGAGACTCATCTCTGCGGAGGGGCTGACAAAATGTTCCGACAGCTCCGAAGTCCAGATTAACAACTTCAACGCCGTCTTCACCCCCGACAATTCCTCCATCAGCTTGAATTTCGATGGATACTCCTCTGTAGCAGGAGAGGTTCTCATCGATGTGGAATTGCTAGTATATGGCTACAAGGCCATGACCAAAACTCTCGATCCGTGCGATCTCGATCTCTCCGTCTTCTGTCCGATGAAGGCCATTGAACTTCAGCTCCCCACGATCACGCAGACTTTGGGCCAAAGTGTTCTCTCGCAGATTCCTAGTCAGTTCCTTTCCCTTTCGATTTTTCTCACGTTTCCAATTGTTTCCAATTCAATATTGGAACCGTGGATCTTTTCGGCCCGTGTCTTACTAACCATTGCGTCATAGACATCGCTTACACCGTCCCCGATCTCGATGCGGTGATTCGGATCAAATTGAAGTACAAGAGCGGTTCGTCCACGGGGAAAGAGATCACTTGTTTGGAAACTCGCGTTCGTAATGGAATCTCCGTCTACCAAGCCGGTGTGTGCTGGGCGCTCGCCATCATCACCGGAATCGGTCTTATCGCTTCCACGGTTATCTCGCTTCTCGGTCACTCCAACACCGCGACCCACTTGGCTTTCCGATCGCTGGCATTCCTCGGGTTCATCCAGACCCAGGCTATGGCCGGTATGACCGCCGTCAACATGCCGCCCTTTGTGCAGTCCTGGACTCAGAACATGCAGTGGAGCTTGGGAATTGTGCGGGCGGAGGCTCTCCAGACCATTTCGACTTGGTTCCAACGCGCTACCGGAGGAACCCCCTCGAATGTCTTGACCAACTCGGAAAATGTTTCCTTGGTTTTGCAGAAGCGTGGGTCGATCGCTGCCCGGGCCTCAACAACCGGAAGCCAAATTATCCTCCGAGGTATCGAACGGGTTGGAATTCGGGACAATATTGAATTGACCAACATCTTCATGACCGGTTACCTTTTCTACTACTTCGTGACTGCGCTTGTGGTAGTGTGTGTTGGTTTGGTTCTGCTCGTCCGCGCCGTTCTAGCCAAGAAGCAGACATCGATTCCGAAGCTCGATCGCGCCATCGGTGTGACTTCAGACTGGAAATCCATCCTTCGCAACACCTTCTTCCGACTTGCATGCATCGGTTACCCCCAAATGTGTGTTCTGTGTCTCTGGGAACTGACCCGTCGCGACTCGGCTGCTGAGATCGTCCTGGCCATCACCATGTGGCTGGTGACGACGGGCGTGCTCGCATTCGCTGCGTTCAAGGTGTTCCAGCGCGGACTGCGATCCAAGCAGCAACACAACACCGCTGCATACACCCTGTATTCCGACCCCGCGACTTTGAACCAATGGGGTTGTCTCTATATTTACTACCGCGCTCCGGTGTATTACTTCCTCGTCCCCTCTCTGGTTTACATCATTGTCAAGGGAATGGTCATCGCCTTTGCGCAGTCGAACCCGGTCGCCCAGACTATCGTCCTTCTCATCTTGGAACTTTGCATGATGCTGGCAGTCGGTATCATCAAGCCATTCATGAGCAAGGGCGCCAATGTCGTCGCGATCGCCACTGGTGTTCTCAACTCCCTCAACACAATCTTCCTCCTGGTCTTCTCCGACGTTTTCGACCAACCGGACCTTATGACCGGAATCCTCGGTGTTCTCTTCTTCATTTTCAACGCGATCTTCACTCTCATTCTCTTGATCTACCTCTTGGTTGGTCTGGTGTACGCCATCTTCTTCAAGAAGCCCGACACCAAGTATCGTGCCCTCGCTGACGACCGCGACTCTTTCCGCTGGTCTCGCAACAACACAACAACTGAGCTGTCATCTCTTGAGAAGATCGCTAGGGGCGAAGACGATACCGAGGCGCATCCCCACCACCCCGCGCGTGTTGCTACCGCCCCGCCTAGTGATGAGGATGTGTCCATGGCCGCCAGAAGACCCTACAATGATGTAGTAGACCCTTCTCTACCACTCTTCCCCACCAGCTATGACCACCACCGACGACGGTCATGAAACCTATCAAACTTTTCTCTTTATTGTACCGGCGTTATCACGGATTTCAAAGCGGGTTTGTTCTAATTTGCTTGGCGCTTTGGCGCTCGGATGGTCTCTCAAACATTTCCTTTCCTTTTCGTCTTGAAATCTTGGTTCTACCACATACTTCGATCATACATTTTCCTTTCTGTGATACGATATATTGGCCGTGGAGATCTGTTTCTTCCTCGTGTTTAGATTATTTGCAATCAAGTCTTCTCTGCATATATCAACTTTTGGTGGCAATTGAGTCGTAATACCTATCTTTCCATCGTCAAACTTATTAGAGAGGTTCAAGTGCTTCGTTCATTTTATCCTGAACTCGGGACTGCCTAGCCGTTTGCCAGTGGATATTCGCGTTATATGTGATACCGTATCGGCTTTTCGCAGCAGGACAGTCGATAACTCCCTGCTTCGTCACTGTCGGACTTGTTCCTAAATTTAAACTCATCTTGGAATATCCCGAGGTTTTCAATTGCCTTGCCACTGGCTTGGGTGGCAACCACAAACGCATATGAGTTCATGGACGCACTCAGGAATTTCTACGCCGCATTGGATCTATATTCAAATATCATGCAAGGCCCTTCAAAGTACTACTAATGACTCCAGCCAGCTTTTTCCCCGGATGGTTGGGAAAACATCATCTTACCTAGGTATGTTTCAGTTCGCCCCCATGAAGAAGCCTCGTAGATTCAAGCTAGGGCTGCTTCCCAAGGTTTGACCCCAGTGCCACACAAGACATCGGGAGCGAGAAAGCCGAAAATTCTTTCAAGGTTGACGCCGACACTTTTCCAGGGCTCTGAACGAAGAGCTTCAATCCATAGCTGGATGCTCGGTGGGACTCCATGCCATTATTTTAAATCCCGCAAGATCAAAGAAACATATCTTGATCCTGAGGGCTGAAAAGAGTAGCACGCAACCATGAACCTTGGAAGCGGGCAGCCACCTTGATTATGCCATTGATGCACAGGCAAATCCTGGCCAAGCCCTGGAGCTACCTTGAACGAGACTGGTCCATTCGGAATTTCAGATTGGCGGGGAGATTACTTGTAGGGTTGAAGAGACCCGTGGACAGCCAGAAACGACCTCGGGAGGACGCGAGAGCGTTGGGACAGGTTGAACCTGGGTAATATCAAGTTTGTAACAGTGTTTATTTACTCAAATACGCACTGTTGAACTGCTTATATATCTGACAGGGACTCTCTTTGTAGTCTATTGACGTCTGTAATCAACTTTGAATAATAGTAGTATCCTATACTCATATATTTTGATTATACGATTACATCTAACCCGGCCAGCGAGAGAAGGCCAAACAATGATTGAATCCATGGATATAGTCGGGTGACCCCCATCTACACACGGGCATCAAGGATATATACTCCGTATAGACAATTCAGATCTTATTGGGCTACGCATTGTTGTTCCCATGCTACAATTTAAAACACGGGAATTCTGCTCAAGTCATTCTAGTGCCCTCTCCAGGGACAGGAGCTCAAATAACTTTGAAACCACGAGGTTGGTAGAGAGGAATGGGCTGCAGTGCGGAACATCACTACCGCAGTCCTTTGAATAGCGAGCATAGCACGGCTAAGGGATGCGGCAGTGCTGCTATCCCTTGAAATGCCGACCCAAAATCACGGGTTTGTATTCCTCACCTCGCAAACAGGTATACGTACTCCGTATTAGCCAAGGCAAAGGATATTGCGATCCTCATTTCTACAAATTTTGGTCACGTCAACTCAAGGGCCGGAGCAGTTCGCAAGCCAAGACCTAGGCGGACGTTGTGAGCACTCATCCGATACCGAAGGTTATACGGAGTACGGAGTAGACCCTTGATCAACACTAGTTCGGAGAGCTTGCTACAACCGGGTGGGATCAGAGCTATTGTTTCGATGAGACACATAGGGTCTCCACACTCGACACAATAAGTCGGTTGCAGGGCCGTGGGAGATGGGTGGAGCCGTTCGAATAGAGGAATACGTCAAAGTCGCGAGCTTGTCTCGTGGCCCGGCTGTGTCGGAGTACAGGTTGATGGGGCAACGTGATGCGATTTCGTCGGATTAGACTCGAGCTGTACGGACGAAGTACCAAGAGTCTGGAGCCAGAATGGGTTGCGTTTCAGACCGACGCGTTCTGTGGTGATTAGGAAGGTGCGTCAAACGTTCAAGGGATGATCTAGACGGTCGATCTTTCCTTTTTGGGGAGACATCCTGGGGGTCAATTGACCCCCTTGGCAGATTTGACTATTCAATTTTTTTCTTATTTGTGATATGTACTTTTAAGGGAAATTAAGTGACCCATTTGCTGTAAGTTCCAGGGGTTAGGCTTTGAGTTACTAAAAAAAGAACATATCAAATGTACTTTGTATGATCGTTGGGGTCTAAATATTTCAGGGCTGAGCTGATTGCGGGGGTTAGGGCACTTTAGGGCAGGACGGTTTCGCAGAGTTCCCAACCTGAGACGAACGGTGATCGCCTTTAGGGGTTCGTTACTGGTGATTTTAAGGGTAGGCTATGCACTAGTGATCTACGGCACAGCTAGCGTACATTTAGTATGGAAATAAGGTTACCAGAATTCCGGGCGCACCTTGCATATTTCTCTTCGAGCATTGCTCGCTTAACAGGAATGATCTGGGACACGCGTGGAAGAAAATTGAAAATTCAACTTTATTATCTGAAACGCCGGCTTCCATATGGCGACTGTGGCTTGGGTAATGCAGGAGAGAATTAAAAAAAGGGAAAAAAATGAGAAAAGATTGCCCTCCTTCCCAAAGGGCATCGCGTATATGTACATATTTTGGTGCACACGGCAGGGCCCACCGTCTTTTGCGGTCCGCCACGGAACTCCGTTTTGGCCGTCCCCGTTTAATTCGGATGCTTGTTCTGGCACTTAGTGCAAACACAAGTTCGTTGCCCTATTTCGCCTTAGAGATCACGGTGCCGACGAACCGGTACGAACACTGAAACCCATTGCCGTTTTCCTACTATACATCGTACTTTGATACTTGTACTCTGTATCATCTACTCCGTAGTGAAATCGGCATAGTCATCTTCAACAAGGCGGCCCACGTGCCATTCCCCCTTTCTTAAGAATTCAATGAGATAGCTATCCAAAACCCTTTGAAACAAGGTACTCGCGTTTCGGAGATCTTCGGGGCCTGAGCATTCTCAAGAACGTTATGGCTGTGCAGATGACTGATAGGGCTTTAGGGCAGACAGGACGTGGCTGGTATGGACGTTTTACTATCACAGCGATCTAGACCTTCTGAGCCGTTGGAGATCTGCAGGGTTTGGTTCATAAAAAGGAAATGAAGGAGACTTGCTGCAGAGATGGCTTCCGGGGAATGAACGTATCATCGTAAGCTTTGCATGGATTTTCGCTTTTTTTTTTTAGCTCGACCTCTTAGCTTTCAGGACCTGAGGTCAATGCATCAGGCTCCATGTGACCGGCCACGTTGACCCCCATTGTTTCACCTCGAGTTGTTTCGTAGGCCCACGCGAACATGCCGGGCACTGCAAAGCGCACTTGCCGCCAAGCATGGATATGTAGAAGCATGAACAGCTTACGGTGTTCACCGATGACCTGACTATTTTCAGCTCTAGACTCCTAGCTACAAGTGACGTTAGCTCAAAGGGAGATGATTGCTCTCGTCCCTTGTTTGATAACCGAGAGAGACCTGCTTACCAAACTCGAATTGCTTTTTTGTATCACCCCCTCGCTTCATTCCACGGCACATATGCCTAATGTGGTTACTCCCAGCCTGAAACATGTGGTTGGCCATGTGCCGACGAGGAATGTTTTGGATAATTACGCTTTTTTTGCTACTGACGATCGCACCAGTGGGTCGTCCACGCACCCTCGTACCTGTCTCTAAGCCCCAGCTTCATGCAAATCGACCAATAGCAGCGGGCTTGTCGCCTGTTTCGCATATATGAGCCGAACGGGTATGTGCCTCCTACCATGGAGGCTCGGGCTTTCCCGCTTCAGGAATTCTTATGGTTCATGTGGACTAACTCTTGAGCGTTGAGCTAGTCATGCCGTCACAGGCCCATGGCAAGTGGAGCTCGGAGATGCGAACCGGAGATCTTTCCTTCATTCCCTTCGTTCAGCTCGTAAGTGTCCATGTGGGCCAAGCTCAAGCTCAAGCTCGCGTGTTAGGGAAGGCATACCATTTCGGTGCATAGCCTCAGACCGACGATGTATATATAGGAGCTTGCGCTCCTTTGTACCCTAGTCATTATCAAGCCATCAATCATTCAGAACATCAAGCTTGAACACCATCAATCAATCGAGCCATCATACCATCACAGAATCATACGAAATTCAACTCACACATCCTCAACACACAACTCTGAAGGCCGTCTTCAAATAGCACGATAGCCTTGAGATACCCCGACCATCCTCCAATCGACCAAGAGTATCTCCAAACAGAGCTCTTTCTATGATTTCTTCAAGTAATCTTCAAGATACCCAAATCTACTTCCAACTCCCAATCATGCCTATCTCAAATGCCAAACCCACACCGTGAGTACATCAACATACAATCAAGGCATGTCTTGGGCAAATGGACTAATCAACGATAAACAGTGTTGCCAACGGTGCCAGTAGCGCTGCTATGAGTCAAGGCAATATCAGCCAAGTACCAGCAAACAACCGCAATAGCGTTGATCGATTCACACGAGCACCGGCCTCAGAAGGTCCATATTTCGCTGGCGCGAGAATGTCAGAGAGATCAGCACACATCACAGGGCTTTCAAATCAGCTCAGCGCAATGGATGATATTATGAAGACTGGGAGATAAGAACCTTGGAACAGGAAAGGAAAAGAAAGCGGAAACCTCAGAAAACCTCCAAGCAAAAGGAGTGAGGACTTCTATGTATAGTATCTATCAGGGTGTATAACAAGGAACAAAGGCAAATGTGCATATAGAACCAGCATTGGGAACAAATACCAGTTTATGATGCATCCTCTAGAGCAACTCGAAAATGTAAGAGGCCACCTCTTCATACTTTGTACTGGGGAACTCATGTCCTGCCTCGTAGAACTTGAAGACGGCGTTATCTCCCAGAGCAGCTGTAGCATCAGGAACAAGCTCATCCTTGACGATGATTGCATCTTTGTTGCCACACAAGATGTGCACCTTGTTTTCGGATGATTTCGTATTTTTGTTGCCCGAAGCGATACTACGGGCAGTCAAATACTCGCCAAGACGTGTCCATGTATTCCACTGGCGCTGTTTCAGAATCGGACCATAGCGCATGCTTGACATGAACGCATGCACGAATCCGGTATGAGCATTGACCTGCCATGCGACAGCTGAGGGAACGTTGATGTGAGGGTATTCTCGAGATAATATCTGGACCTCAGCGGCATCCTGGGAAGGAAGCTCCTCGGTGAGAGCGTCTGCGGCGTTGAGCTTATGGTTCTTGGGCTTGGGAGTAGTCAAAGGGCCTGCTCGCAGTCGACGACCAACCAGGTATCCCAGAACATTCTCGGGCATGAGACCCTTGGAGTAAAGAAGACGACTCTGGAAACTGATCTGTGAGTCGCGGATCAATCCCGCGGGGGCCAGCAGCACCAGTGCCGACAATAGCTCAGGGAGGTAGGAGGCAAAGCCGGCTGCAATCCCACCTCCCAGAGAGTATCCAACAAGACAGAATTTACCCGACTCCGCTCCAGTCCAAGCGATGGGTGACGAGGCCAGGGCAAGCAAGATCTGTGTTGAGAATAGTCGGTTGTCTTGTGGGAGATCAGCGGGACAGTCCGAGTATCCTCTTCCGAATCTGTTGGCTTGCATTAGCAGTGAATCTCGGGTTTTTGGAGTTGATGACTTACAAGTCGAAAAGCATCACTCGGCAGCCGCGGTCTACAAGTGCATGGGCCAGCCCACCAAGCGAAAGACACGGTGTGGTGATGCCGTGCACCAGCAAGACCTTTGGTCCGTTCTCGGGGCCCCATTCGTACACCCGTGTAGATCCATACGGGCTAGCGACATCTCGGGCACCGGGTAGGACATCAGTGGGGAGAGGAAGTTGTCGGTTCTCCGATTCCGAGATCCCGGGCAAGACTGTCGATCGGGGCGATACGAGCACAGTCTGTTCTGACTCCCACTGGGGCAGAAGCGATCTACTAAATAGACCGAGTGTAAATGAAGCTCCTGCTACTGCTAGTAGAGGTAGTTGGTTTGGTTTGGATAAAGAATCCGAGAGGAAATCCACGGTTTGGTTGTAGAGGGCCATGGTTGCGGTTTCGGCCTCGGGTTTACCCCTGGGAGAAATGGGCGCGCTGAATGAGGACACGAAGCGTACTTTGAGACCGAATTATGATAATGAGTGGGCTGTCTCTAGAATATGCCACAGGGAACGACTGGATGACAAGACCGACGAGAGTAAACGAGGGGAGTTGAAAGAGAGTCAGGTGAACCGAGGCATGCGCTGACGCCATGTGCCCGATAACGATTCCAGATAAGATAAGGTTCATAAGTGGGTCACCGGTGAGCTCCAAATCACCTGGGCAGTACGGAGTACATCATCAACGATATACTCGCTCACTGTGGCTTATACTTGCTGAAATGATTATATGAAAGTCGAAGTCCACTCAAAGCATTGAATAGCAAAGAGAATATCTTGGTTGAAAAATAAGCCATCTCTGGAAGGTTGAAACAAATAACTTGCTGGTTTTAACAAGTACTACAATGACTATCCCCAAGGCGTACCGATGGATCTTCACAGCATCTATTTGGTCTAAACAATTTGCCAGAGGGATTACGACGAGATCCCATGGGCTTTTGAGCTTGTTCTAATTGCTAAAAATATGTTTTGTACTGATCCGTTTGTACGTACCGAGTACCTAAAGTACATAATAGCCTTTAGTCCACGGCTGAACTTCTCGTTCACAGTGTGTAGTTACACCTAGTGTTAAACCTATATTTGTGAGATCAAGGTCTGCTAAATGAAAATCAAGATTTCTAACCTTGGAAATTATAGGGTGACAAAATTAATGTGGTGCTATCTTACTGCTTACCAAGTATGCCTAAGCCTACAAATCTGGCCATCTTTTGCAGCTAGCTCCTATCTAGTGTAATGGGCGTAAATCATATTGCTCTTAGTGCGAGAAATGGGGTGTTTGCAATTGTCATGAGAGATGAATGCTACCAACCGCCCAACCCCGTTTTGCCTTTACATAGCGGCTCGCTTTGACTTTCGTTGGACGATGGAGTGCTTCTTAACCCTTGAAGTTTGCTGCAGAAACTTTCTGCTCTTGTTCTATGTTTGTATACACTTGTTGCCCCTTGCTGCATATTACATACAAACGAGCACTGTGTGCACTGGTTGTTCCACTTTTGTTGAGGTCATATACCCTTTTTGGCATCCATCTTTGTAGATACTTATCGTTCTCGGAATCTCTGCTACTCTTTATAACTTTGACGTTTCCTACAAGTTGTTCAACCCGCCCTTCCTGACTGAGCACCTGACCAAGCTCGCCAAGGACAACAACCTGGTGGCCTCCAATTTCAAAATGGTTGACGGAAAAAGAAGGATTCCATTGTAGTGACATTCATGGCAAAGATCTGAACTCTTGCAGCCAGATCTTTGTAGCCTAAGGTAGTTTGAGTCTAGGAATACAGTGGATAACCGGCGGTGCTGGCCATGACACCTGTGTGGATGACTTCTCTGATGTCTAATTGAAGGTGAAATATTATGCGAGATATGTGCTCCGCGCAGCTTTCAGGTTTTTCCGGAGTGAATCTGAGCCTAGCGAAACAACGGACAGAGATGGTCTTGATGGCTCACATGAAGGAATCAGAAAATATTGCAGAGGTCTTCGCTGGCTACATCACAAATGATGGATGTTAAGTCCACTTACGTATCTCTATCTTTCGAGCCGATAAACGGCTGTCGCTGGTATACCATCGGCGAGATCGACGGTACTAGTCCAGACTGGCAGTAGGTCCCACAGTCCTTCATCTTACTTACTTCCTTTCTACCCACAGTGCTTCATAATGACCAGTTGGGCCAATCAAAGGTCATTTTATATCTCCACATAACAAGTGGGGAGTCTTCTGTTACTTGAATTCGAGGTCAGTCTCTTGCCGAACTCGGAAATGTTCTGGAACGAGACAAGCTTATGTCAACCCAAACTTTTTACCCGGGGATTTGAGCTTATATTCATTCCGAAAATTAGAAATTTGGTACCCCTATCTTTGCGGTGTTCGCTTTGATATGACATCCTTATAGACAAACCGTGGTGGATGTCGAAGTTGAAGTGGAATCGAACATCGACGTTTAACTACCCCGGGTATGTTTGTCACACCCTTGACAAAACCCCCTGGACTGCTGTTGATTTTAGATTAATAAAGGGACCTGCATAAATCTCCGCGGTAAGAGATTTCTCCCATTGCAGGATATTTTGGCTCCTGTTTCCGCGATTCGTTGGGGTCAATATTGCCGGGAGGGGCTCGGTTTCGGGCTGAAACACTTTACCCAAACGAGATGCAAAGCAATCCTCCGGGTTTGGGCTTGACGCCTCCCACAAAACCTGAAATGCGCCAAAAGCCATTTGGCGGTTCGGTGTCAAGTGGAGGAGCGCCATGGCGGCGACTTGATCTAGCGGCGGTCTTTGTGGCTTCATCCCCACGCAAGATGTCTCAAGGCCCTTCTTCAGACGTTATTCAATCTCGTCTACAATCCTCAACAACAGACCATATCAAATGTCCTATGTCATTTGAGATTCAGAAGACTCTATACACAAAAGTACACTTCCAAGGATATTGTTATGCAATGCATAACTAAATTACCCGGAATGTCGAGGACCTCAGAAGACAGATCTAATCGGGGAATCCTCCGTGTTAGCGGGTGTTGAAACCCTTTCTTTCTGGTTCTCCACACTATTTCAGGGACAGAGTAAGAGTACCTGCGCATCCTGTGAAGATCATTCCCCTACTCATTCAGGCGCCGGGTCCACCCCCAAACCAATAAACATATGACATCGGAGGTCGCCCGGTATGGAATCTAGCACTAGATTGATGAGCTAGATCTTTGCATCCGTTCCGAATTGGGGACGGTCGTAAGGTCCGCCACACTGAGCTCGATGTGCCGGAGAGACCCCAGTTAAGCCGTTTCCTAGCAAGAACCAGAATCAGTTCTTGGCGGACGACATATAAAGATCTGTTCCCAACCTAAGTTTTTTCGGAATCATCAACTGCAGGCCAGATAACAAGACAGCACATTGCAATTCACTCTTTCTGTTTCACAGGCAATGTATCAAAAGGCCCTCGTTTTCTCCGTCCTGGCGGCGGCAGCCCGTGCCCAGCAGGCTGGCACTTTGACGGCTGAAACCCATCCCTCCTTGACCTGGCAGAAGTGTACCGCTGCTGGAAGCTGCACTGACCAGAAGGGCTCCGTTGTCATTGATTCCAACTGGCGTTGGCTTCACTCTGTTGACGGATCCACCAACTGCTATACTGGCAACACGGTAGGGAAAATTGAACCTGGATGGTCTGATCGCATTGACTGACTTGGTTGAAATAGTGGGATGAAACCCTCTGCCCCGATGACAAGACCTGTGCCACCAACTGTGCTTTGGATGGTGCCGACTATGAAGGCACCTACGGTGCCACCACCGATGGCAACGCTCTGACCTTGAGCTTCGTCACCGGTGCCAACGTTGGCTCCCGTCTGTTTCTGATGGAGGACGAAAGCACTTATCAGATGTTCAAGCTGCTCAACAAGGAGTTCACCTTCGACGTGGATACCTCCGGGCTGCCTTGCGGCCTGAACGGAGCCTTGTACTTCGTTTCCATGGACTCCGACGGTGGTCTGGCCAAGTACGATGGCAACAAGGCTGGTGCTAAATACGGTACTGGCTACTGTGACTCTCAGTGCCCTCGCGACCTGAAGTTCATCAACGGACAGGTGAGTCTCCGAGGGATTTTGACGATGGGAGTAATGTGTGAACAAAATGACTGACGCACCGAAATAGGGCAACGTCGACGACTGGGTGCCCTCCGAGAATGACAAGAACGCTGGTGTTGGCGGTCACGGATCTTGCTGCGCTGAGATGGACATCTGGGAAGCCAACAGCATTTCCACCGCTTTCACTCCCCACCCTTGCGACACTGCCAGCCAGACTATGTGCGAAGGCGATGCGTGCGGCGGAACCTACTCCTCCAGCCGTTACGCAGGCACCTGCGACCCCGATGGATGCGACTTCAACTCCTACCGCATGGGCAACGAGAGCTTCTTCGGACCCGGCAAGATCGTCGACACCAAGTCCAAGATGACCGTGGTGACCCAGTTCATCACCAGCGATGGAACCGACTCCGGTACCCTCAGCGAGATCAAGCGTATCTACGTGCAAGATGGCAAGGTCATTGCCAACTCCGCCTCCGATGTTAGCGGCGTCTCCGGAAACTCGATCACCACGGACTTCTGCAAGGCTCAGAAGACTGCTTTCGGCGACGAGGATGTCTTTACTCAGCGCGGTGGTTTGGCTGGTATGGGCGAGGGCTTGGACCAGGGTATGGTTCTGGTCATGAGCTTGTGGGATGACCACTATGCCAACATGCTCTGGTTGGACGGCGAGAAGTACCCCACCAACGCGACTGCTGGTGACCCTGGTGTTGCTCGTGGTACTTGCGCCACTGACTCTGGTGACCCTGAGACCATTGAGTCTGCCTCTGGTTCCGCCAAGGTGACCTATTCCAACATCAAGGTCGGACCCATTGGCTCCACCTACTCGTCTTAAGCATTTGTCCGATGATCGGAATGCTAGCCGGCGGAACTCTGCTGGAATTTGGGGTTTGCGTCTTTGTGTATAACCTTGAAGATAGTGCTAGTAGTGAGATTTGTGTTGTGTCAAACAATTGGTGACTTTTTGGATCTTGGCTTTATTCGTCTCCGAATTAATGTTAGAAAATGGATTAGCGTGTCTGATCGCCAAAAACTGATTGATGTCATTGTCTGATAGACTCCCAGTAGAAAGAATAGGCGGTGGCAGAAAAATGCGGCCAGCTCCAAGCTTCAACTTTTTTGCTTTCTGTTTCAGATTGCGTCTAAAGTCATTGGAGCCATTGCTTTCTGACAGAGTTATCTCTGTTCTAATTCACCATGTTTGACACGGTTTGCACCCTCCCGCTTTCGTCGGACCTGTTCGCTCAGGCTATCCACCCTGAGGAGCCCGTGGTCTCTGTCGGTCTGGCCTCGGGCCATGTACAGACTTTCCGACTGCCTTCCTTGGACTCCGAGGAAGACGACGATGACGCTTCTCAATCATCTGCCCGCAATGGAAAGGGCCACATTGACACCATGTGGAGAACCCGGCGACACAAAGGTAGCTGTCGCACCTTGGGATTCGGCACTGACGGCCAAGTCCTTTACTCGTCTGGTACCGATGGGCTCATCAAAGCTGCCAGCTCTGAGACTGGTCAAGTGCAAAACAAAATTGCGATTCCCTTCAACAAGAGCGGGTAAGAGAGGTCTTTCCTAACGCGGACTGCTGCATTGATGTGCTTTGCACGTGGCTGACATGGTCCTTGCTCGTTGACAGATCCATTGATGCTCCTACCATGATTCATGCTCTCTCTCCACAAACTCTTCTTCTCGGTACCGACTCCAGCGCTCTTCATCTCTACGACCTCCGCATCCCGTACTCCAAGGTTTCTGCCCGACCTGAGCAATCGCACCACCCCCACGATGACTACATCTCCTCTCTCACTCCCTTGCCAGCCTCCGAGACCAGCACATCTGGGTTTAGTAAGCAGTGGGTCACCACGGGCGGTACAACTCTGGCTGTGACAGATCTGCGCCGAGGTGTTCTTGTGCGCAGTGAAAACCAAGAAGAAGAACTGGTCAGCTCGGTTTACATGGGTGGCTTGGCAACGAGTGGAACCAGCAAGGGCGAGAAGGTCATTGTCGGTGGCGCTAGCGGTATCTTGACTCTTTGGGAGAAGGGTCAATGGGACGACCAAGATGAGCGTATCTACGTCGACCGCAGTGCCGATGGCGGAGATTCCGTTGAAACAATGGCAGTTGCCCCTGACTACTTGGGCAAGGTGGTTGCTGCGGGTCTTGGAAACGGAAAGGTTAAGTTTGTGCGCATGGGACCTAACAAGGTTGTCTCCGAGGTCGTTCACGATGAAATCGACGGGGTTGTGGGCCTGGGCTTTGATGTCGAAGGCCGTATGGTCTCTGGTGGAGGCCAGACTGTAAAGGTGTGGCACGAGGCCGAAGACAATGTCGAAGGTGGAAATGACGACGTGGACATGATGGATGATAGTGACGATGACCAAGACTCGGATGACAGCGATGTACCCGAGGAACGTGAAGACCCCAAGGAACGCAAGAAGCGCAAGAAGGGCAAGAGCAAGGACCAGAGTGGTGGGCAGCATGTGATGGCCTTCCACGACCTGGACTGAGGTCTTAATCTTTTACCTGATACCCACGGCAGAATCATCCAAAAGCGCAAGAAAATATGTACATAGCGTTGTAAGTTAAGGTTCAAAGCAATTGGAGAAGAATGTCTTGCCAACAAGGTTCGGATAACATATATCCGCGGATGTAGTTCGTACTGGGGAAATGAATGAGCCCAGGTGTCCCCCCCGGGCTCGGGGCCCGATGCTAGGCTTATTCATGCTGAACTAATATCCGTCTCCACCCGGGGACTTGGTCCATAGAACAAACAGAGTGACAATGCCAGAGCGAACACATTATAGAGCAGGGGGTAAGAACGGGACATTGAGTAAATTCAGTATAGCATTTAAAAAGAGACCACGGAGCCAAGGGCAAGGTGATTGAAAGGGACGCCTCGGAGAAAGAATGAGTGTACAACTGCCGATAACTACGGCCCCACGGAAAAGTATGGCGCTGATCGCATGCAGTGGGGCTAGCGGGGGACTATAAGACTGCAGCTCTCACGCCCTTAAACGCGCAACACAAAATGGATTCATTTGAGTACAACCCCAACTCTGGTCGCGTCATCTTTGGCAGTGGCACACTGCAAAAGCTCCCCGAGGAGATCACTCGGCTACAAGTGAAGGCACCGTTGGTGCTTTCCACGCCCCAGCAAGTCAGCCAAGCTGAAAGAGTCAAGGATGTATTGAAAGGTCAAATCGCTGGTATTTTCAGCGAAGCTACAATGCACACTCCCACCAATGTGACTGACAAGGCCCTCGAGTATGCAAAGGCCCAGGGAGCCGACTCGGTCATTTCCATTGGTGGTGGAAGTACCATCGGCCTCGGTAAAGCGATCAGTATTCGTACTGGGCTGCCACATGTCTGCATTCCCACTACCTACGCTGGTAGTGAAATGACTCCCATCCTTGGTGAAACCGCAGACGGTCTCAAGAAGACGCGTTCTGACCCCAAGATCTTGCCCGGAACTGTCATCTACGATGTCGATCTTACGATGACTCTGCCCGCCGCGATGAGTGCCACTAGCGGTGTCAATGCCATTGCGCATGCCGGTATATGTGCCCGAATTGCTCCAGTCACAGATCAAAGCTAATCTCCCTCGATCCTTATAGTCGAAGCTCTCTACGCGCGCAACACCAACCCAATCATCAACATGATGGCCCTTGAGGGCACTCGGGCGCTTGCATCTTCACTTCCCGAGATTGTCGAGAACCCATCTTCCCAATCTGCACGTTCCAAGGCTCTCTACGGAGCTTGGCTCTGCGGAACATGTCTCGGTAGCGTGGGCATGTCCATCCACCACAAGCTGTGCCACACGCTGGGTGGTAGCTTTAACCTCCCGCATGCTGAGACGCATACCGCTGTCCTCCCGCATGCTATCTCTTACAATGCGCCCAACATCCCCGAGGCCATGAAGCAGTTGGCTGACGCTTTGCCGGACAGCGATGGCGATGCAATCCACGGCTTGAACGTCCTGTTGTCCAAATTGAAGGTCAAGCGCGGCGTAAAGGACTTTGGAATGAAGGAGGAAGACATTGACAAGGCGGCGGATATTGCGCTTTCTAATGCTTACTGGAACCCCCGTCCCATCGAGCACGCCCCGATTCGCGAATTGCTTCGCAGAGTTTGGGCGGGAGAGCCGGCGCGAGCTGATCTGTAGATGCTTTGTCGATTTGGCGATGATAAAGAATAAACAATGATTATCTACAAATAAGTTACACTGTCCATGCTACACATACCAAAGAAAAAAAAATCCATCGTAAGTTGTTCACACTATCCAATGGGCTGCCTTGTATTTTCCGTTATCGATGGCGGGGTGTGGTGGGGGTAAAGTTTTCTCCAATTTTTTTTTTGTGACCTTCCTGCGCTTTCCTCTAACACCACGCCTCACTTCACCCGCTCAAGATGGGATCCGAAATGAAGTCAGCCCCTGTGCTGTCGACAGCCGATGATCGGATTCTCGAAGAAACTGCACCGGTGGCGTCGCGCGACCCAGCCGCCCCAGTGTCCGACGATGAACTCTCCATTACCTACGATATTGAGCGCACATTGAAGGAAATTCGACAGGCTCGATACAAGCGTATTGCTCTCCAATTTCCTGATGATATGCTTCCGGATGCCCCGCGAGTATTCCAATTGCTCAGCCGGGGACTGGAGCATGACGTTGGAACTGCCAACGGTACCTCGACTCAAGCCAACGGCAGCAACGCCGATGATTTGGCTCACTCAGTCTCGGAGCTCCAGGTAGAGGAGAAGAGTGAGCCTTGGTCCCCGCGGTTGACCATTTTGGCCGATACATCTTACGGCACCTGCTGTGTCGATGAAGTCGCAGCGGAGCATGTGGACGCCGACGCGGTCGTGCACTACGGGAGGTCATGTTTGTCGCCAACGGCTCGGCTGCCTGTGATCTACGTGTTTACACACAAGTATCTGCCTTTGGAGCCGGTTGTCCGCGCATTCAAGGAGACACACCCTGAATTGACCACCAAAGTGGTCATCGCGGCCGACGTGACCTTTGCAGACCACGTCCCCGCAGTATACGCTCGCCTGGTCGAAGAGGGATACACAAATCTTTTTGCGACGGATATTGTCCACGATCCCTCTTCATCTATTCCCAATCGTACTGTCCCAAGCTCAGTCCAAGAGTTACCAGAGACACTTGGTGACTGGCAACTCTTCCACATCTCCGATCCACCAACAGCTCTCATGATGACTCTGGCGTCTCGCGTAGCTGCGATCCACATCTATCCTACAGATGACCTCTCTAATGAGAATGTCAAGCCCTTGCCTGCATCTACTGCAGCTGTGTTGCGACGTCGTTACGGTACTCTTGCCTCGCTGACAACGGTGCCCATCTGGGGCATTCTCATCAACACACTCAGTGTGAAGAACTACTTGCACATTGTTGAGCATGTGAAGGAACGCATTGCCGAGGCCGGCAAGAAAAGCTACATGTTCGTCGTTGGCAAACTCAATGCTGCCAAGGTAGCCAATTTCAGCGAGATCGGTGGCTGGGTGGTCATTGGATGCTGGGAAAGTTCTTTGGTGGACAGCAAGGACTTCTGGAAGCCAGTTATTACCCCTTTCGAACTAGAACTTGCCTTGAAGGACGACTCAGACCGCGTGTGGACAGGCGCATGGCAAAGTGATTTCCAGGCCGTTCTCGACCAACCGGCCCAGACTCCCGGAGACGAAAATGTTGAGCAGACCAATGCAGCCGCATCCGATGAAGATGACATGTCAGAACCCGAATCGGCACCGCCCGAGTTTGACCTGCGGACTGGTCGATACGTCTCAAATTCCCGTCCCATGCGGCAACCCGCGTCCCGCGCTTCTCAGATCGATGGATCATCCACCACCGGCCCATCCGCTGCTAGGGCGCTGGCTCGTCGCACTAAAGGCGATCTGGCTATGATCGGCGGCGCCGTTTCACCGGGCGCAGAATTTTTACGGTCGCAGCGGACCTGGAAGGGACTGGGCAGCGATTTCGACATTCGATATGATGATGAAGACGATGAGGATAGCACTTTGGTGAAAGAAGGGCGCAAGGGTATTGCCAAGGGATACACTGTAGGAGATACTTCAGACAGGCATTAGTTATACCCACCTCACTACTCCGTATCGAGGTTTATATTTGCAAATAGATCCAGCGATCAATGCACTTTCTTTGCCAGACTCTCAGACTTGCCAAACTCTCACGTCGATCAATCAAAATCCGGGGGTCTGAAGGGCTCCCCATCACATGACGCTATCTCAACGGGCGCATCCGGGCATCTTGTCTCTGCTCTTTTCTTTCTTTCTCCTCTTCGTCCTTGTCGCAGGGTCACAATTGTGATTTGCTTGTCTCGTTTTCCTTTTACTTGCTTCTTCTTGGGGTTTTCGGGCTCTCCCCTCTTTTTATACCCCTCCCTTTCTCCCTCGCTCCCCCTTCAATAACACACACGCCAACCCGAGGAACTCTGGGCTTATCAATTATCGGCTGTTTACCTTTGATGGCCTTGCATGGTGGCTTAGATCTGGGTGTGGTCACCCCCTCGTTGACATCTTCAAGTCGTCTTATCATGTGCCGCGTCTCTAACCGCCGAGCTCGCGACCTCGCGTCATTCCGATTTTCAACTTGAGACCTTCTTGCGGTTCATCCGCTGTGGAGAATCAAAGTCTTGACACCATGGATCAGGAAGAGGTTGTTAGGGAGATTCCAGCACCGCGCCTCGTGGTGCTGGGGGATGCCTCACAACACCCTACCTCAGAACGAACCATATCAGCTTTCGAGCGAATAATAACAACAAATACGCCTATCACTGAGTCTCTACTTCTCCAACTTCCAACCGATTCCATCATCAAACTGTACCACACCTCCAAATACCTCCGTACGTTCCTTCGATCATATCCGACCGCATGGAGGTCACTCTCGTTTCGCCTTCAATTCCCTTCGGGCACTCCGCCGAACCCTTCACTCGACCCAAATATCCCTGAGCCGGCTCCTATGCGCCAATCTCGACCTTATGCTCTCGATATGTTATTGATGAACGTGGTCATGCCATTCAGTGGATGTATAAAGAGCCTGGAGCTAGACAACACGGCCATCTCAGGGGAGAATCTTACATCTACGGTGCTGCACGCGCGTCGGGAAACACTTGAACACCTCTCCGTGCGTGGCTGCAAGAATGTCTCTCTCAAGTATCACATCGTTCCTTTCCTCACCATGTTCGCGCTACAATGCGATATCGACACAGATAAGAATGCTTCGAGCTCTCCCGGGATGAAGAAACTCGCCCTCAAGAGTATCTACGCTTATCGATGTCGGCACCACAGGAGACGACCCTATCTATCATCTTCGTTGATGCGGAAGGATGCTGACGCGGAATCAACACATGAACTTGTTAATATTTGCCATAAGCTCGGGATCTGGACCGATACTGCTTGGTGCACCACGCCCGCCGGAAGATGTGCTCGGAGAGCTGGCTATGTGAAGTCGAGATTTCCCCATGGTGCAGCATCACCGGAAGTGTGGGTGGTTTTTGACAGGCTCTGGAGATCAAAGAACTGGATCGGCCCCATAGAAGATGTCTCGACTGCCGATGCAGCACACGTCCGCGACGGCAAGTTGTGGGAGAACCGTGATACGGGATACTATGGCGAAGCGTTAGGAACCGGTGAAGGTATCGACTGGGGGAAGGGAAAATGACGCCTGCCCATCTGCGTGATAGTCATACCCAGTTTGTCAAGGGTATTCGGTGTGACAATTGTCTCGAAGATATATCCGAAAGATGTGAGCATTGCAGTGTCTTGATGCACTGTGTAGGATGTCGCAAAACACTTTGTGCAAGTTGTGCATACGAACGTCCTTATCTTCATCGGCACGCTGTTTCCTCGTCTGAGGCTAGTTTGGGCTCTCCTGATTCTTTCTGGTGGGCGCCTGGCGCCACACACTCACCGGGCTCGATGCAGGATCCCGTGGATCCTCTGGCTCTCGCCGACCCCAATATACTCCAAGGGCCTAGCTTGGAACCCCCTGAACTGAACTTTCACTGGTGCTGTACGAAGCCTGACCTCTCCGGAGGAGGTGGCATCAGCATCGGACCTCGAAACCGGGAAGTGGATCAAGTTCGGGCTGTGCCTTTGCCCCGTGGCCAAGGTTGGGAGGATCTAGAGTATACGGTCAGTGAATGGAGCAAGACCTTCCCGAAGTACGCATACGGCGATCCGAGCAAGCCCGACTACTCTCTCCAAGCGGGCCATCTGGCGATGATGAAATGGCTGCTTGGGCCACCTAATCGACAAGTCTCACCGTGTCCACGCAACCTGTGTCAAGGGTGCTACGACTCTCCTCAGTGGAAGGTGCATTGCAAGAGCTGCTCCAAGCCCCTTTGCATTGAGCACGATCTTCGCGGGCTTCGCTTGCGGATTTGCGGATACCGCGACCTAGAGACAGAAAAGCAGACGATTCAGGATCGATTTGCTGGACGCTTGTCGGAATCTCCCTCGCTTTCCGGATATCAACTGCCGCTTAGAAGCCAACAGCTCCTTGACTCAGCAAACAAAAGTTTCAATATTGATTCGCGCCACGATAGCTTCCAGCAGGGGGAAACACCGGATTCACAGCTCGGCGATCAATCGGCTCCTGCCTCCTTCTTTTCCAATCAGCCCTCACGCTCGTATTCTGCCCCCACATCAAACCAGTCATCCCCCCCCGTCATCCTCATCCTCCGACTACTTCGAACCTCCGCAATTTGAATCTCCGATGTGGCAAGGTTGCCAATCTTTCTTCTGTCCGCCGACTGATCCAATCACCGGAGCCAGGGACGTGAGAGGCGGTATCAGAGACCCACGTCCGCGATGCCCCAGTTACCTGCGTGAATGCAAAGGTTGCAAGGTTTATGTCTGCGCCGACTGCATCTACGCCCACCCACCCTGCACATGCTCGTATTGCGAAGAGAATTACCTGTGCCCCAACTGCATGATGGATCGTCCTCGTGATAACCAGTGCCGTCGTCGCCAGGAAGAAAAAGCACGACGCGAGCGCAAGTGGAAAAAGGACATGCAGATCCTCGAGGGCATACTGGAACTCAAGCTGGCTAATGAGCTGGCCGAGTTTGCCGGTGAGTTCTTTGACCTCGTTGAACGACACGACACTCCACCCTCGGGGACCCTCACTCCTTTTGACGACATCACCGACCTCTTTGAAGGAGAAGTCGGCGCAGCGGGACCATCCGCCTCTCATTTCGAGCCCGATCAAGTTGACTGGCTGCTCCAAGCCTCTCAAGCATCAGAGGCCTTTCCCCGTCTCTAAGTTCCGATCTTCGGGCATTTCTCTTTTTTTTTTTTGCCTTCTCCGGTTTTATTGTTTTTCTGCTTCCGTTTCTTCAGCGATCTCATATCATGGCGTCACAGGGGACTATCTACGCGTATTTACGGGATAAGTGATTTACCTCGGGGTCAATATCATGTTTCAACTCGGCGTTGTATCAAATGTAATGGCCTGGCGCATACCATACCTTTTTTCTGTCTTTCTGTCTCTGCCCCTCCTACATCACCGCGGAGTTTCCTTCCAAATGGGGCACGGGGAACAAACGCTTACCGCTCTGACGACATGGCTGGCCAATGGATGCAGGCACCGACGCCAGAACTTACGATTTGTTTGCGCTTTCTCTTTTCCCCTTCTTTTTTCTTTTTATCCATTTACCGATATCTCTGCCGGGATGACCGTTCCGGTGCATGACCGGGAAATGAACGATATAGTGGGGTTATTTGTACTGCATTTTTATCCTGTATTTACAATGTAGGGCCATGTCCCGACGAAGCTGTTACTATCAATACTACTTCCAAGGCTCTGCTTTCGTATACTCCGTACTCCGTATTCCGTTTGCCAACGATCCCTTGGTCCATTTTCAAATCTCTTTGTGGATCCCTGTTCTTTGTTTCAGCCTAGTGTGCCACACCCGAGGGACAAACCATACAACAAGTTATAAGGAACCACACATGCATGGCACTGGATATATTGCATATGTTAAGTTCTCAGGTGCCTAGTTCCAAGGTTCCTGCGGAATACTTCATACGGCGTACCGGGCATGGACACTCCGCGAACCCTGAAATGACATCTATGTGATCACCGTCGTCATGTTTGCTGGAGATAAGCGCAGGTGAACGGAGTCCTTGAATCAGACCCGGTCAAATAGGAAGACCACACGATTGTATACATGGCTCATGTGCCCGAAAAGACAATCAAAGCTGAAGAAGGTCCTGGCGCAGGGCTGTGATCTACTGGCGTGACTCGAGACGAAAGTACCAAGGCCGGTACGTGTCGGGTCATAGATGGACAGGAAGGATGCGGTCAAGGACAACAGCCACACGCTAGTGAGATATGCATCCCACGTGGGATTTCCAGATGCAATGTCTAAGTCAACTTGGCACGTCCTGCAGTGTGTCTTTCTTTTTTATTCGGCGGTGAATGTGCTGTGTCCGACAACATCCCGTTGGGTTCTTATTTCACGTATCTTAGCCTTACGGGAGCGGGAGGGTTTAGGTAATGACTCTAGCGTATCTATCTCTACTCCGTAGTGGATGTATGTTGCTTAGCTTCCAATGTTCCCAAGGTTCTATTGAACGCTTAAATAAGAAACAAACATGTTCCAAATGGAAGTCGATAAACAACAGTGGATATCATACATATCTATAGATCGCAGTTTGAAGTATCGAGCCGGGTGGATCGGGCGATCACTGGGAACAGTCCCAACTCTACCCGCTTCCCCGGTGCCCCGGTGGCCCCCCTTTTCCACAGTTTTTTGAATTTTCTTTTTGGGTCAAATGTACGTATCGCCTTATTTCCCCCGGTTCCCACTTCCCAGACTCGAAGTTAATCAAGCTAAGGGGTGCCAGAACCAAGATATCAGATCGGCTGGCGCGGAAGCCGTTCCCTAACCCCCCCGATTGGATACGGGAATACCTCGGATGGGACGCTGGAAGGCATCCTATTAGCCCGCACTACCAATGGAGTCGGATGAATTTAACAAGTACCATACGCTAGGTCCCGCTACCTTTGACATCATACGTATCGAAAGTTTTTTCCAAGGGGTGAAAATTCGTCAAAGTTGGAGATTATTATTTTCCCCCAAATAAGATCTATTTTCGCAAGGTTACTTACAGTGACTAGTTGTGTCCCTGGCGCAGGGCTAAACGGTCCGCCTTCCGCTTTAGGGATTAGGCTCCAAAGGAGAGATGTCGGTGAATGTGGTAAACGCGTGACCGGTCTCTTTCCGAAGCAAACATTTGGATTTGTTCGATTCCTCTTGGGTTGCTTTTTTATTTTACTTTTTCACTTTTTTTCACATTTTAACCCTTTTTATTTTTATTTTTCCCTCATTTTCGGTTTAGGCCTAAAATCAGAAAAGGGAAATTCGTCGAATTTATCATTTTTACATTTAATCATCTTTGTTCCGATATATAAACCCGCTGCCATCTGGGTTTATTTCCCTATCCAACCTTCAACCTTGAAATCGCCTTCAACCTTGCAACAAACTTACAGAACTGCAAACCTGCCAACTTTGAAAACCTACAATACTTCCACACACCACTACACCACTACACCACTATATCATTTTGCACACTTTATATCGCATCCACATTTATTCGCCATGGATCAAATCAAGGTTCCCAAGGAGCAGGAACAGAAGGATACCCGACCTCTCAACGTCGAAGAATATCAAAAGAAATGGGATCAAATGCTGGAAGATACAGCAAAGCAGATTGAAAAGATCCGAGGTGAGTTTCAACTCCCGACATATGCAGAAGTCAGGACTGACAGCTATCATAGAAAATGAACAAGCGAGAAAGTCAAATCAAGCCGCGCAGCGATGATCTCCGCCACATTTTCCAAGACCGCTTGTGCAAGCCGAGGAGTTATTGTTGACTTGGATTTGCGAGTGTTTGCTTTTTTGCATTGCGTTTATTGCATGAGCATTGGGGAGATTTGGGATTAGATTAGGAGTTTTTCTTGTTTACCTCGAAGTACTTGCTTCGGTCATTCACATTCACATATTCGCATATTCGCATGAGAATACCCAATACATTTTCTATTTTCCGCATTTCTGATTCGTTGTGTTGTGTGATCTGTATCATTTTTCAATTTCTGGTTTTTATTTATTTTTTGAATTTCCTTCGCTGGACTTGCATGACAGAGAGAAAGAGAGCCTCCAGTGGATACACAATACTTTGCCTAGTGATTGATTGGCCTTGCTTCTCAACATTCACACACTTGCATTGTCCATCACTGTTCTGATCAATCACAGTTCTCCCCAATCATGTTTGAGCGTACTCCGTATGCATGTCATGGTTGCAGGGGATCGGGTAGGTCAGCCACCCATGTAAGTGGGCTCGAACCGGTAGGAGATCAACCTACTTCTGACACCCTTCCACAGCCCCCTCCATCTTGTTGTTCCATGATACTACCGTCATCTTGAGCGGTGTGCTCTTGGGGGTATTGCTTGCGTTCATCACTTCTCACCTTGGCAAGCTGCGCCACGTTACCCCCATCGACCGGATGGTCAACAAGAGCCCTTTTGGGAATAGGTTCACCTTTTGGGCTACAGTTCTACAGCTACTCCGGGTCACGATGGACAGATCCTCGAGACGAGAGGAAACCACCGGGATCCAAGTAGGTGTTATTGATACTCTAATACGGAGTACGGAGTACGGAGTACCACAATCTATCTCATCGCACCAAACTGGTTAATGGTCATAACTTTACTGAGTAGACAGAAGTTGACCATGGGAAAGCAAGATTTTCATTAGTGTCATTGGGGATCTAGGGTCACCCCTGTTCGAGAAGACACCCATGGGACGATCACCACCAAACTGGCATATTAACTTGACGGGAAGTTGCGCGCTTGCAGTCGGTTAATACTCACATTCAGTTTCACAATATGCACTCCAATGCAGGAATTGCCCAAAAGCGCACAAGCCCATTGTGGTAGATATCGCGGTGAAGAGGGATGATTAGGAGGGAGTTACATAGTGAAGGGATGGCGGCAAAAGCGCTAACGGAGAAAAGCCAACAGGGAAGGTTCTCCACATTTGTCTGAGCTTTTGCTCGGCCCAACTAAATCACCTACATACCTTCACCGTTAGAACATCAACCCCTTACCGACTCATTAATTTTTCTCTCTGACGTGCCCGTCATGTCCGCCGATCCCGATCAGAACCCCTCCCCCGCCGACCTAGCCGAACGCGAACGCGAAGACAAAGAGCGCAAGGCCCGCGAGGATGCCGAGCAAGCCCAGCTTCCCTACAAGTGGACTCAGACCATTCAGGATGTGGATGTCACGGCTCCAATTCCCGGCAATCTCAAGGGTCGTGATCTAAACGTGGTGTTGACCAAGACCAAAATCAGTGTCGCGATCAAGGGACAAGAGCCCCTCATTCAGGTACGCCAAGCTTGGACGTTATCGATCACATCATAACAAGTTCATGTACCTTGTGAATTACAAATCAAAGGCTAACCGGTTTTTCTGCTGTGCTCAGGGTGACTTCCCCCACGCTATCCGAGTCGATGAATCCTCCTGGACCCTGGAGACTACCCCCACTCCGCCCGGAAAGGAAATCAACATCCACCTTGATAAGGTCAACAAGATCGAGTGGTGGCCTCATGTCGTGACAACTGCGCCCAAGATTGATGTAACCAAGATCACGCCAGAGAATTCCAGTCTGGGTGATCTGGATGGTGAGACTCGCGCCATGGTCGAGAAAATGATGTATGACCAGCGACAAAAGGAGACGGGTGGCCCGAGCAGCGATGAGCAGAAGAAGATGGAGCTGCTGAAGAAATTCCAGGCTGAACATCCCGGTAAGTGGCTTGCGCCGACCTTGTAATGCTGTCGCCCTTCCATCTATCCCCTTTCCCTGGGTCACATCATCTTGCGCTGGACTGCTGCTAAATTATATCACAGAGATGGACTTCTCCAACGCTAAAATGGGCTAAACCCTGTACAAGCACCTAGCGGTCGATCCCCGTTCTCCGCAAAACCGAATATCACTTGTATGAAATATGAGATATTGATGCGCATCAGTCGATAGACGACACTCAATGAATGATGAATTGCATGACGTTTTCCAACACCCAGCCTCCCTTCCAGCTTGCACTTGACACTGCATATACTCTTTGCGTAGACTCAACTATCTGTGCATTCTTGTCTTTGGTTCTCCCATCTCGCTGTCGACTGCCAAGCGATGAATACGAGGCTTGCCTAATCGGGACTAGTGCCATATGACACTGAAGATGATGTCGATCATGTTTCTCGCTTCCCCCCACTCCGCCACCATAACCCTTACAACTCAAGTAGGGTGTTGTATTGTAGCGAATGGTATGCTTGGGCTGATTAAACTCGCAGGGCGCAGTTACACCAACTTGAGCCTCCATGCGCGCTGCCTCACACTAGGCATAGAGAGCCTCAGCCCCAGCAAGACCACAGCCCAGGGTGTCCAACTTTCGAGGTAGAAAATGGGCGCATATCTGTGAAACTCTATGAGCACTTCACTTATGCTGGACTTGGGCAAACATCTACAGGCCAACTCATATCTTTCGAGCAGTGGACAAACGATATGGCACCGAATCCTCAAACACCTATTCCAAGCTCGCACAAGCCCATGCAGGGGCAAAAGTTGGTTTTCCGGGTTCCGAACTACAAATCAAACACATCACCTAGTTGTGGATCTGAACAACCCGCTGGCCTAGTCTATCATTCCCGCAGATCCCATCGAAAATCCCGCGGTGGATGTGTGAACTGCAAGCAACGTCGAGTGAAGGTATCTCAAAAGCTGCTAAGAGCCTCACTCACGATCCGGGAAGCTGATGTTGATGATCTGCAAAGTGCGATGAAGTCAAGCCTCGATGCATTCGATGTCAAAAACATGACGTCGAGTGTGATTACTCGGGAAAACCGATACGCCATCCTCAAACCAACAATAGCAATAACATCATTGCCGAGTTTATTAAAACAAACCCTGAGCTGATATCGATGGACTCGCTGGCCTCTTCGGTATCATTAATGATGGTTTCCGACAAGCTTGGCGAGTTGCTACGTCCATCCACTGGCAAGCGATTGCCAAAGGAACTTACAGATGTGTCAGCTGTGAATCGTACGATTCAAGCTTTGAATCACTTTCATAGGGGTCCAGCTTTTTCAGATGAAAGCCCAGATCCTGTTCGGATCGTTATGGGGAAGATGGTTAGACTTGCCTTCGAGGTAAGCTTCCTGTCTTTATCTTTTTAAATCACCTCGATCTCAAGCACAAACCCTCACAACCAACTCGTGCACTACATCTCGCAAAACCCGTTCTTTTATTAATTGCCTGACAGACGCCCTTCCTCATGCACTCTATCATAGGAGCAGCAACAACGCACCTCTGCACCTTACTCCCAGACAACAAAGCCTTCCGCATCGCCGAAGCATACCACTGGCAACAAACGATAAATCAATATTCGGCAGAAGTATCAATGCCCGTGACGCGTCAGAACATGGACAAGCTCTACTCGGCCTGCATGATGATAGGCATGCATTCATTTTTACAAGAAACATTCAGCCCACGCTCCTCATTTGTCTTCTCCCAAGACCCAGCTGCCCTAAACTGGCTCCGGCTGCAGGGCGGGCTACGCTACCTGCTACAGCAGGCATCTCAATGGCTACCAGAAAGTATGTGGTGGACTGTGTTCATGGAAGCCAGGGATCCAAACATAGATTTTGAAGATAAGAGATCCGGTCGCGTCGACCTTGATCCGGATCTGGCTGATCTTTGTGGAATCACCGATGATACCACTGCCGAGTCGAGCCCATTACTTTGGCCTCTGCGTATGCTTACAAGCTTACTATCACTCGAGCGTGGGACGGTCAGTTTCCAAAAGTATAATACTTGGATGGGGAGGATTGAGAATCCTTACTACGACTGCTTGGGTAGAAAGGAGCCAGCCGCGTTGGTTTTGTTGGCGTGGTGGCTTGGGCTTATGTGTTACGTTGAGGAATGGTGGGTTGAGACGAGGGTTCGCTCGGAGTGTACTGCAATCTGCATGTTCTTAGAAGACACTTCTGATCCCCTTGTTTTGAAGTTGTTGGAATTTCCGGCGTCGTGCTGTGGATATCTGCTCCGACATGAGCAGGAACAGGCTGATGTTTTGGAGCTGAGTTGATGATATGATAAATGATGTGGGGAAGCCTTATACCAACTGAATATCACACGCGTTAGGGAGGTTGGAAAGAACCGTAACTCTCAATTGCTGGAACCTTAGAAGATGAGAAAGATGAAAATCATGTCACATTGCTGCGAGGTGTTGCTGCGTCTGCCAGAGCGCATGTATAGGAGCCATTGATATGCAGGTCATTATTATGTATCCAAAACTACCACCAGAGTTCCCTTTTCACCAGATCCCCCTCATGTCATGAATGTTCGATCATTCGAGATGATGATCGCCGTATCGTATGTGATAAACTATAAGAAAAGAAACAAAGTCGGGACAAGAAAGAAGCAAAAAAGCAATGAACAGAAGCAATCGTCACGCATCAAAACCGCCATGAATGTGAATTCAAGTGCTCAGGGTCAACGATGCCAGATCGTTGGGGTCCGTCGAGCGAAATGAGATATTAAGATAGCTGATAAGCCGGATGTGATAGAGATAGTGTCTTCGTCATAATGTTCATGGATGGGACTGGATCACCGGCTCTCCCAAGAAACCCGCCTATGACGACGAATAGAGCGATTGTCTTCCTCGGAGTAAGTGGGCCCAGTCCGCGAGGCATTCAAACGAGCCGAGGGAGGTGGGTTGATAACGACTGCCATAGCAGACGAGATGGACATTGATCGAGATCGACTCAGCATCACAGAATGTCGGGGGGAATAAGGCGGGGGTGGAGTCTCTCTTGTAGCAGTAGAGGTATTGCCGAAGCTGCTTGGGAATGAGATCGCCGAGGAGCTGTCAGATGTGACTTCCTCATCGTACAGTTGACGGTCTTTTTCATCCTGTGGGTAGGAGAGAGTCTCGGATGAAACGGATGGATCGCGCATGTGAGATTCGAGCGTCTTCTCGTGGAGGCTCATGGGGCGGGCTGTGTACTGCGGGAGCGGGACCACGCTGGAATAGCCCCCGTCCGTCGAGTCAGCGGGGGAGGGTCCGTGCCTGTTGGCCCCAGCTGGTCCCTCTGCGTGGGTGAACTGGCCGTCGGTGGACAGAATGAAGCTTCCTGTCTGAAGACCGTTGTGGTTTGGTCTTCGATAGACAATTTCTTGGGATGAAGAAGTGTGGGGTGATTTCTCATTCTGCTCGTCTCTCGCGAAGCACCCACATAGTCCTGAGAAGAAGGACATGATCCGGAATGAAAGGTGTGTCCTTATTGATGGCGTCAAAGACAAATTGAACTCTTCATATACCCAGAAAATTGCGACCTAGGAAGCTCCGAAGTAGAATAATGCTTGAGATGAATCGTAGCAGTTTAGATGTTGAGCCTCAAGAGCTGATAGTGGGAGGATCCCCACTTGTTTCAAGATAAGCCCCGAGACTGACACCACAGTATGAATTGTGAATACTCCTGGGTCTAAAGCAGCATGGTTTGGAGAAGTAGTTAAGGAGAATATCCAGAGAGCAGAGAGAATGAAAGAGGCCAGGTCAGGGCTGTCATTGCGAGGCACCCGCAGGCATCCAAATTCCCGGGAACTCTATTCGGATAAGATAAGCGGCGGGCGCCTGGGGCATTTAAACCTCATACTCTAGGTGCCAAATTGTTGTAATTTGTAGAGCGGCTTCAATACAAATCAGCGGGCTACATTGGGTCATCATTCGCTGCGGAGTATGCCTGTACCCATCTTAGTTGGTGTAACTGGTGCGATCCCCTCAAACCGAGATACTTCCAGGTGATAGACGATAAGCGATTAGATCACGGATGATAAGCTAAGCGGTGAAATAGCATCGAGCCATTATTGGCGGAACTAATTGAGCCTCGAGGCAGAATCTAGTCATGTGACCTAGTCCACCCCGCCAATCGCGGTCCGTTTGGATTTTTTTAAATCTCCCCGCCTTCCTTTTTGACGATCAATTTGCGAAAACACTCTTTTTCAGGTCAACACTCTTGCATAGAACTTTTCACCATGACTGTTGATCCTACTTTCGAGCAGGTGACTCAAAACGTCGAGCCTAACCATGTCGAGGCTTCTCGCTCCCATGACCCCAGCAACAACATGAAACGAACCGACCCCTTCCAATTCGGCTCCCGACACCTCGAAAAGGGCGACGATGTTTTTGAATTCAATGCTTGGGACCACGTGGAGCCGGATGATGAGTTCAAGGCCTTCGCCCAGACCCAGTATGCGAAGCAGCGCGAAACACGAGTGTCGGATTTCGATCGAAGGCGGTTCAACAGTGACCCAGCCAAGTGGTGGAACCTGTTCTACAAGAACAACACAGACAACTTCTTCAAAGACCGCAAGTGGCTGCGCCAAGAGTTCCCGATCCTCGACGAGGTGACACAGAAGGACGCCGGCCCCAAGGTTGTTTTGGAGGTTGGCGCAGGCGCCGGAAACACTGCCTTCCCTTTGCTGGCGAACAACAAAAATGAACAGTTCAAGCTCCACGCCTGTGATTACTCCAAATATGCTGTGAAGGTCATGCGCGAGAGTGAGCACTACAACGAGAAGTACATGTCCGCTGATGTCTGGGATGTCGCCGGCGTGCCAAACGAGGAGGGCGACTCTCTCCCACCTGGCTTGACCGAAGGCTCGGTCGATGTAGTTATTATGATCTTCATCTTCTCCGCTCTGGCTCCTGATCAGTGGGACCACGCCATTCGCAATGTCTACCGGCTCTTGAAGCCAGGTGGTCGTGTGCTTTTCCGTGACTACGGCCGTGGCGACCTCGCCCAAGTGCGATTCAAGAAAGGTCGTTATATGGCCGAGAACTTTTATATTCGGGGCGATGGCACTCGCGTCTATTTCTTCGAGAAGGACCAACTTGTCGACATGTGGGGAACCTGGTCTGCTCAAGATGGCTTGCAAATTCCCCTTGGCTATGATGCCTCCACTGATGCTCCCACTGATGGATCCGCAGAGGAGCCTCAGTCGGTACCGGAACAGTCTGAGGAGGCCAAGCAATTGGCAAAGGACAATGGAGCATTCGAAGTGCTCAACATGGGAGTTGACCGACGCTTGATTGTCAACCGCGGCACCAAGCAAAAGATGTACCGCTGCTGGATGCAGGGCAACTTCCAGAAACGTGGTGGACCTAACACCGAGACTGCTACCAAATCAACTCAATGAATGGAGTGTCGCCGAATTGGTTCTCGCTCTTAAGTGACTCGCTCACTTCATCATCACTTTAGCGACAGCGGACTTGATATCCTCCCCAGCATACTCCAGCTGCAGTGCAACTCTACGACCCGTATACCCCATACAGTCAGCACTGCTCAATTTTGCCTTTCGCATAGGCACTACCTCTCCGCTGCCACGTACAAAACAATGCTCACCATGGAGACATGACGCCAGCTAGTGTCGGTTATTGGGTGGCAACACTTGAAGCAACGCATTTTGAAACTTTCTTTGAATGACTTGGTATGCTGGCGCGGAGTTTGCCTCTATGGGGAGGTCACGACTATACGAAGATAGACGATGCTAGATGATTTCCATAGAATTTTCATGTAAAAATGTGCCAGATGGCTTGTTAGAGATGACAGATTTTCCGATTGCCGCTTTTCTTGGGGTCAGCCTCAATACGTAAGACCTAATGCGGTGCAACACCACTTGCATGATGCCAAGTACTTGTATAAAAGCATTTGCACGGCATGAGATTGAAGATCATGTACCCAGAGGAGGCACATGCAGCTGGGAAGGGGTGGGGTACCGGGGCCGGTAATTCCGATCCCGAGCCGCGTACGGCGCCGATACCACCATATCAGACCCCAAGCACCTCATCTTCGAGTTTTCCCATAGACAGACGTTCACGTCTTTTCTTCGGCCAACGATTTTTGTTGTAGCTCGCAAGCATGGCCGCTTCGTCTACAAGCAAAGGCCTAGCGCTTTTAGCCTCGGCCGCTGGAGGTGGTGAAGCAAATGAAACCACCTCCCTCTTGGGACCCGGCACGGCTACAAAGGTCGACGACCAAGATGATAGCGATGTCGAAAAACCTCTACCAAGGTTCCAGATCCTACTACTCTGCTATGCCCGAGCAATCGAACCCCTGGCTTTCTTCTCCATTTTCCCCTACGTAAGCCAGATGGTCCAGGAAAATGGAAATCTCATCGATGCAGATATCGGCTTCTACAGCGGTCTCATCGAATCGTTGTTTTCTTTGACGCAGGCCATCGTGATGATTTTCTGGGGTCGGGCTTCGGACCGCATTGGGCGAAAGCCAGTTTTGGTCTATTCTATGTTCGGCGTCACTCTGGCGACAGGTCTTTTCGGAATGGCAAAAACCATCCCGCAGATGATCATCTTTAGATGCATTGCCGGTATCTTTGCCGGGACAATCGTCACTATTCGTACGATGGTGGCTGAGCACAGCACGCCGCAAACTCAAGCAAGGGCTTTCAGTTGGTTCGCTTTCAGCGGTAATTTGGGCATATTCTTGGGGCCTTTGATGGGCGGCGCTCTCGCCAACCCCGCAACTCAATACCCAGGCGTCTTTGGAGGAATTCCTTTCTTCGAGAATTATCCCTATGCACTATCTAGCCTGGTAGTGGCATCGGTGGGAGCCACTGCTGCCCTGTCAACTGCCCTCTTCGTCGAGGAAACACTGAAGAAACCTTCAAATACAGACAGCGAGAATGAAGGAACCGGAGTATCAAAACCGAGTGTTGAATACACGACGTGGGAGCTTTTGAAGGCACCGGGTGTGAGTATGGTCATCTACACGTATGGTCACCTCATGCTTCTCGCCTTTGCTTTCACCGCGATCATACCCGTCTTTTGGTACACTCCAGTACGCCTCGGTGGGTACGGCTGGACACCTTTGCAAATATCGCTCATGATGGGTCTTAATGGCGCCGCACAGGCGATATGGCTGCTCCTGGTCTTCCCTCCGCTACAGCGAAAGATCGGTACGAACGGTGTAATCCGCATCTGCGCCTCTGTATACCCAATTTTCTTCCTCATCTGCCCCATTGGCAATATCCTCCTGCGACAGGGGACCGAGGCCTCTCTCAACACATTCTGGGTCTTTGTCCCGATGGGACTGATCATTGGTTGCGGAGTTAGCATGAGTTTCACCGCAATCCAGCTCGCTTTGAACGATATCGCACCCTCGCCAAGAGTCCTTGGTACTCTGAACGCACTCGCTCTGACCGGTATCAGCTGCTTGAGGGCATTCTGCCCAGCCCTGTTTACCAGTCTCTTCGCTATTGGCGCGAGGACTCAATTGGCAGGAGGCTACGCCATTTGGATTCTTCTGGCTCTGATCTCCTCTGGGCTTTCATTTGCAGCCAGATATCTGCCAGAGCCGAAGGAGACTCCCAAACGCCAGAGCTCCCAGGAAAGGCAGTAAACACCAGTGGTGTTATCCCACTGTCGAATTTGATCGGATGGCTGCCGTGGGTCATGTTAAGAGCGAGACGGGCTGTCTGAACTTGGACCACTGCATAATGGCATTTTAGCTCACATATTGCATAACCATAGTCTATAAAATGCATGTAAATTTCCTACGCACACGGCCATCAAAAATGTAGAACGTGGACGACATAAACGCAATCCGACCATGTCTGCCCAAGTAGGCGACGGATGAAATCCACGGATTAGGTATGACATTGTAGTAGCTGGACTTTGGCTCACATTCACATTCCTGCTTCCAACCTTGGAATTCCCGAGGTCATGGTTGTCTTGAAGAGTAGCCCTGGAGGGAGTGATTTTTCATGGATCATCTCAGCAAAAATTCAAATATCTGGCTTCATTTGCGCCAAACTTTTATGAGGATTACAGCCTTTCCAAGGTGAGAGTCCATAACAATCCCTGTGAACACGCAAAACTCTGAAAATTAGAGACAAGTCGTATTTGAAATTGTATGAGCAATATGTAGCTAGACCCGTGGACAGCTGACGAATCTATGTTGAAGAAAAAGGAGAGACAGTGGTTTTTGTACAGGCCACTGCTCTAAGAATGGAAAAGTAAGTGATAAACAACCGAAGCGAACTCCATCTATGCAAGCAAACCCAAACATCAACGGGGCCAGTACTCCCGTAAAAAGACGTCTATGTGTTTTCGTCAAAAAGGACCACAGCAAGTCATGACCTGCAGCAAGCTGCGAGTGTAAACGTCTAAACATGTCGAAAAGTCGAGACCATGTGCTCCATTTTGAGCCACGAGCAAGAAGCGAAATGGCATAAAAATCGAATTCGTGGGAGTATGTTGTAAAATATGTTCAAGTAGTCAGGTTCGGGCACTCGCCCTGAGCCCGCAGGAACGCGCCGGCGAATAAGTCCTGCATGGCATGGTAATGGAAGAGGATTCCGCCCAGAACAGCAAGGTGCCAGATGTTGTGGCTGCCACCAACGTAGTCAAAGAGACCCGGCTTCCATCGTTCGGGGACCTTGGAGGCGTAAATGCAGGCACCAACGAAGTAGACCGTGATGCTTTTCACAACTGGGGCGTAGAAATACATGGTCCATGCGAAGCCACGGGTGTATGTAAGCTGGGCTATGGGAGAAAACCCGGTCAGCGCGAGCGTCACGAAGAAGCCCACGCGCGCCCAAGCCATGTCGTGGCGATTGAATGTGGGGTGCCACGGGAGAATGATGCCGCCGATGCCAAGTGACATGGTCAGCAGAATGTAGGTCCACCGAGAGAGTGGTTCGCAGTAGAAAGCCGTGTATTCAGTGGTGACGATCGACGCAGCAACCAACATGGAAATTCCAGTGTAGTCCACGCAAGCAAACCGTTCCATCAGCGACTGGGAGGCAATACTGTTCATGGTGTGCCAGATGGTACTGCAGACCAAGCACTTGCAAGCAGCGAAGAAGAAGACGGCAGCGATAGCGACGTCAGATTTACTGCTCAGGTGGAAATTGGTGTGAAGTGGGTAGAAGTAAAAGGCGATGGCGAGGACGATCACGAGGCCGATCACATGGGACCAAATGTTGAACATCTCGTTGGAGTATGCGAAAACAGAGGAAACACACTCCACCTTGGAGGTAGTGAATCGGTAGCCTTTGATGATATGTGGGTTGACGCGCCATGGATGAGGAAGGTCATCGTAGTTGATCAACCGATTCTGCTGAGCTAGCCGAATAGCATCCTCGACTGTCTCTCGGAGAGTGTCGCGAGTTCGGCGGGCACGCTCCATGCCCTCATCGACGATTTCCTTGGCTTGGCCCAACGTTGAGTCCATGGCTTTCCACCCGTCATCGAGGGCACCGTAGATGCCACGGTCACGAACTGCATGCGCTCGGTTCTCGAGTTCGGTCAAAAATGACTCCATCAACCGCACCCCAGCTTGAGCCTTTTGTTCCAGGGTTTCCTTGGTCACCAAGGCCTCATTGTATCGGTCCTCGAGGGTTTCGACTAGAATCTTTGCCCGCTTCTTGCCGCTTCCCATCAACTCGCCCGAAGTGACGGAGCACTGATCCCTGACGGCTTCGAGTGTGGCATATCCGCGTTTCAAACTGGCATCGACTTGCACCATGTGGGATTTCCGGTATTGTTCAATCCACTGCATGCGACGTTCCAATTCGGCAAGGAAGAGCTCGACCTGATTACTGTTAGATAATGCTTGGAAATATCTCGGAGGTTTGAGATCCGTAAGAATGAGGGGTACACACTCTGATAAACACAGCGTCGGCATCTTGGTAGTCGCAAGATAGTTTTCTGGATGCATGGAATGAATGTCTCCGCCGCCGATCACGGAGGAGGCCGGTGTTCTCGTCCGGAGTGGCAGTGGCAGAGGCGAAAGCCTCCTGCTCATTCTCGTAAGACTCCAGGGTCATGGAAGAAGCGCCACAAGCCATGAGTGTAGAGTGTAGTTAAGGCCCCGTCTAATTTGAGTCGATTGCCATCAAGTGAGGTTGGTTGTCGGAGGAGGGCGATCGGGTCGGGGGGACTTGGGGGTGCAAAGCCTTTAAGGCTGAAGGCTAAGACAAGAAAAACGAGGGGCACATAGAGAAAGTAGTTACCGAACAGTTATTGGAGGAAAAAAAGGAGGGGAATGTAAGAGGCCAAAGGGTGAAAAAGGGCTGAAGAGGTTCCCGTTCCCCAACCACATCCAAGGCACATGCGCCGAACGCCGTCCTGATTGATCCATCCCGCCCTCAACCTCCACATTATTTTCTTCTCGGCACTCGGGATCTCTCGCCACTTCATCTTTATCTTTTATCTCCCAACCATGGCTATCAGTGAGATCGTCGCCGATGAGTCGCTTTTACCAGTGCTTCAAACCAGTGCTGAGACCCTCGCCCAATGCCAACAGTTGCTTTCGATCCTCAATCCCGAATCCTCCCCCAACGATGCCGCCAAGCTCCAAGAACTGTCATTAGCCGCCACCAAGCATCAGAGACTTCTCTATTCTCTACTTGCCCAACTCCGTGGGCAGAATCGGGATGCCATCTTTCGCGTGCGCGACACCAAGCAGGCGACCGCGGAAGCTCGGCAAGAGATCGACCGGCTACACCTTCAACTCCAGAACTTGTACTATGAACAGAAGCATCTCACGGGTGAGATCGCTGCCTGTGAGGCTTATGAGTATGTGGAGATAATCTCCGGGCCATGGGCTTTCTATCAATTTACTAACCTTGTCTGAATAGCCACAAATATCTATCTCTTCCCTTGATCCCGGTCGAAGAGTTCCTCGAGCTTCACCCCGAGCATCGCGAAACCAACGAGCATGAACTGATGATCGCCCGCATTAATCACGAGCATGCCGAACGCGAGAAGCTGGAACAAGCGCGGCAGGAGCTCCTTAAGCGCAAGCAGGCTTTGATCGCCGAGAACAAGAAGAGAAAAGATGACCTTGCCAACCTTGATCAAGATCTCGAGAAGTTCATTGATGTACGTGCTTTCATTACATTTGCAGTGACAGTTTTATTGACTTTCAACCAGGCCGCCAAACCCATCCAGAGGATCTTCGAGAAGGAATACTAGACATTGCAATCAGTACAAGTATAAAGCCGATGGGGCTTTCAACATTCATTTGGTCGGCGTTTCTGGGCGATATACCCCCTGCTTTTGTCATCTAATCATTCAAAATACATACCACAAGTCTATAATGATACTGGCTGGTCCCGTTGGGGCTTGTGAACTGCTTTTGCGCATGGTACACTGGATATTCAGCCCTTGAGATGCTTTAGATTGACTTGTTGACGTAAATCATAACATCATTCATGAATGTAAGCCACAGATAATCTCTGGCCGAATGATATAGCTTGAAGACAATGATCATGTCCCAAGCCCGGTGTATAGTTGAAGGGGCTCGATGCGGCGGTGCCGCCTACGTAGCTCCTGGCCTCTCCGCCCGGCAACTTTCCCCGTATCTCCAGCCCGCGACAGGACGAACACTCCGTTGCTCTGATTTGGAGCACAAAGCATGCCCTGACTATGACGATCCATACAGGAGAACAGGAGTCTCCTCAGACTTCGATTCCACGCCCCGAACCGCACCTCAGCGTCAAAAGCGCTCCGCCCCCCCCGAGACTCCAGCTGCTGTCCAAACGCGATTCCGAGTGATCGCAGCTTTCTGGGCTGTCATTATATTTTTGGGATTCCCGATATGGTGGAAAACAACTTCAATCTACAGGGCCTCTCTCCCCATTGAGGAGATGGTAGATTGGGCTGATGGCAAGGTATGGCTTGCGCAACTGCCCTTTGTCATGGCGGGCCTGCTAGATGCTAACAATTGCTTTGACAGGCATGTCGACCAGTATTCCCTTTGGACATACATCTTGCGACACCTTCGCTGCAGCTGCTCGAGGCCCAGCATCTCCTCCGCACCACACAGCATACTCTCGATGATCTCAACGAGTTCGCAGCGCATCATCTCCGACTCAGGTTGGCCAACGACAGCATGTCCAACTACGGAGAGATTGACACCGGCGCCGACGTGCCCGGGGGGATGGCGGATATTGCATTGACTGTTCGGCTTCTACCTCAGGAAGATTTAGTAAGCCCGCGCTCAGAGCTCCATGCTGCCACTACGCAGCTCGATGTGTTCTATCCACCGAATCAAGTCCCCGTGCCGTCCTCTTCGAATTCCCCCTTTCAACATTTATAGCAGAAGAACTGCAACGGTTGTATGGCGAAGAAAAAGCTACTATCGCGCACATTTTGTCCGGTCATGCTGCCGGGCTTGCTTCAACTTCGCCCCAGCTGGCCGAGGACATCAGTCGAAGGCTACGCCGATCGATGAAATACGCGGAAACCTACCACCTGTCATTCTCGTTATTCACGCCAGGCTCGAGACCTTCGTCGTGGGATATTGAGGCCGCCGTGAATGAATATGTCGCCCCTCTCTTGAAGGCATTATCACCGATCAGCGACTTCACGGTCGACACGCAGGTGCAGCTATATGCGAACTTCGCACCCACTGCGCCTAAGCCTGAGTTTGATGAAGCTGAGGCAGCATGGACATTGAAGAAGGAAGATCTAAGCGCTTTCGTCAACGCTGCCGAGTGGCCACTGAACCCCAGCATCGGAAACGGCCCTACCATCAACTTCGTCCTATATGTCCCAGATCCCTCTCAATCACCACTGATTGTCAAGGAAAACCGTGCTTCCAGCTGGATCGTCCCGCAATGGGGCGGTGTGTTCCTCTTGAACACGCCGCTTTCCACCGGCGACAGGACGAGCGATTCAAACCCCGCCCACCTCGCTCAGGACTCCTTGGGCCCTGCCTTCATGACGTTCTCCCACCAACTTCTCACCCTCCTTGGCACCCCCAGCACCCCCGCCTCTCTTCCCCTTCGTCTTCAGACATCCATTCGCATCCGCGCGGCTACTCTTCTACTATCTGCTTCTTCCACCATGGGCTCACTTGCACGTCTCACTGAGTCCCTCCCCTCAATTCCTATCCCAGCAACTGTCGCTACATCTGTTTCTACTGTTCTTTCACATTTGGGCGCTACCTGCTCACACCTAAAAGATGGTCGCTTCGGCGCAGCGCTTGCTAGCGCTCGAGTCGCCGAGGTAGAAGCCGAGCGCAGTTTCTTCGAAAAGAGTATGGTGGGTCAGGTTTACTTCCCTGATGAGCACAAAGTTGCAGTCTATCTCCCACTACTGGGCCCCATCGGAGTCCCTCTGGTTGTCGGGTTACTGAAGGAGATTAAGAGAATCATAGCTGAACGCAAAGCGAAGAGAGCTGCGGCTTCATAGGCTCTTTCTCCTGTGGCATTTGGGCTTTAGGAGTTATATACACACATACATGAAATTTCATTGCATTATCAATTATCAATTCCGAGAAATTGTTTGTTGGATGCCTCTCGCTATCCATGGCTATCGACACTCGAGCTAGAGCGCTTGGGTCTTCCAAGGTTGTTATCCAGCCATTTTCCTTCCTGTCTCTGAGTTCCAATGTTTGGCTAGGTTATGCCCAGCCCTTGTTTCAGTTCGTGTCAGCTCAACTCTAGAAGAGAGCCAAGTGGAACTCCTCATATGACACCTGGGCACCAATGGCCAAGTTCCAAGGTTTATATGTCTTAAGCCTATCAATTTTAGTGAAGTGCTCGATGTCGCGATTGCGACCTGATCTTTACTTGAAAAACCTCACAACTTTGTGGCTCCCATGTAGTATCTATTTAGAGGGATTTTGACTGTTTGGACTTGTGACAGGGTGATAACTAACCAAATGTGCAATAACTGTATTATGATAATTGAAGCAAACAGGTAGGTATCTAAAGCAAATAGGGTATGACTATCAGAAATCACCAAACAAAAACAAGAATATTTTGATACACCATTAGTATGCCAACGCAAGCAAAGTCTAACTGTGACAACCGAATACCAATATCCTTCCTCGCGCCAGTCGAACTCTGCTCAATGGCTTGGATCTTTGAAAGGATTCTCCCCTGATGCTTCATGGGTTGGATAAGGCAGCTTATTTCCATTCTGTGGGTATCCACCGGCATGCATCAGATCCGAGAACGCAGTCTCCGGCCTTGCAGTAGAACCCGGATAAGGCTCTGGACCTAAGAATGTGCGTGGCTCTGTCAACGCCCCAGGCGGCGAGTAAATCTTAATACTCTCTGTACTTGGCTGGCGTTGACGAGGCGGCGTGAAAGGAACGTCTGGATTTGGCATGGGGACAGGCACTGGGGGAATATCTTTGTCTAGTCTTGGATCTGCCCGAGGGTGCCCAGAGAATAGACTTCTGACTTTGCTACCGGTGCGATGCACCATTGAGCGGGTTGACCGGCCGCCGATGGAGGAGCGTTTGGCTTGTGGGGGGCTTCGCAGGAAGTCTGTGCGGTAGGATGTGTCGTCTTGGGGGATCGGGTGAGATATGCCTACTAGGGCACCTGAAGAGGATCGCTGGGTCCAATCAATCCGGGGCTTAGGCTCTTGGATTTGGGTTTCGTTTTTGTGGGCGCGGTGCCGAGCGCAAAGCATTATTAGGAGGGCCGCTATGGCGCCAAATATAGCACCCGGGAAGAAGCCTACTGCAATGGCTGCTGCTGGGTACTCGGGACAGGACGCTGAGAGGTCTGAAGATGCCGTGGTGTTGGCGGACTTTTCGGCAGATGAAGACGGGGAAGGCACGGGCGTGATGGTTGCTTGAGGGGTGACGGTTGGTGTTGTGTTCGTTGTCTTGGTTGAACTTGAACTTGAGACGGCAGTCGAGGAGCTAGACGGAGAAGCAGTTGCTGTTGTGGCGGTTTTCTTGTCCAAGGCACAGGTGCTGTTCCCTTGGCATGTGTACCCAAATGGGCAGCAGAGTTCGCCACATTGAGCGAGACTGTCACTCAGCCGAGTGGACTTGATGACGCTTTCGGGGTGTAAAGTCACATTCTGTAGCTGTATATCGCACGTAATCGGTGTGATGTAGTCACAGTCCTTGCCGGCAGGGCAGCAGATGGCAGAGCTAGCGTCGTCTAGACTGATACAAGTGGAGTCCGAGGGACAGCAAAAATCTTCCGGTAGCTTTGTGTTGCTGCAGCTCACGTATGATGTGGGACATGAGTCTGAGGATCTTGGGAGAAGACCAAGTGTGTCGAATGTGTGTCCTGAGCCATGGCTTAGGGTGGCGAAGAATGCCAGAAGTAATAGCACAGATGGCCGTCCGCAGAAATCAGAGATAGACATGGCCATGTTTTTCTCTTCCAAAGTAGGTGTTGGTACAGATAGGTGTCACGATCAGCGGAAGGTGTATGAAGAAAATGAAGGGCAAAAGTAAGTTGAATGCAGGCCACGGAAAGGTTGGGAGGATTGGAAGAGAATATGTCGATAAATTGAGAGATTTTGCCAATGGTTTGCTACAAAGGCATTCATAGGCTGAATCAAAGCAGTCATTTGTCACTGTTCAAGGAAATAGCTTCTTTCATGTCTTGTGAACAAAGAGTCTACCCAACGTGTAGACGCCATGGTCCCAAAATAGAGACTGGAGTGTTTCAGAGTGCTCATACTCAAAGCCAGGGCGCTAACAAAGGCGCCAAAGCAAATTTCAGAACCACGGACAAAATAGGATTGGATAAAGAACAAAATGCAGCCGAAGAGGTGAGGCGCTTAGGAGGTAGGTGAATGTGATGTGATTGGCTGACATGCTAGTATCAAAGGACTCGGGTCCACTTCGCTCACAGCTCCCAATGTCTGCTTCTCTCAATGCGTGCAGAAGATGTGTGTTGTCATTGCAATATCCTCGAATGTCTTACATTCAAAAAGTTAAACTTATTTACTTGGACTTCTTGATGGCAAACACCATTTTGGGGTCTGCAGTAGTATCCGCGAAGCAAACCCCTTCTTCTGCCGCACCCAAGAGATCCCAGCACAGGATTTTGACATCAAAGGGAAGCTCTCCATCATCGCTCGACTCAGAGTCCTGCTCTGAGCCTGATTTCGGCTTTTGCGTCACTGCAATAATGGCGCTTGTTCCTGCATAGCGAGCCTCTGATTTAGTCTCGTCTGCCGGTGGCTCTTCTCCAGCTCGGTTCGCAAAGACGATAACGACCTTCTTCGGAGAACCGGTCTTTCCATCAATGTCGATCTCATGCTTCATGCTCTTTTGCAATAAAGGCCAGAATCGCTGTAGCCAATAGTTGAAGGTATCCATCTCCGGCTTGTATTTCAACGCGTCGAGCTCTTCACGGCTCAGCAGCGTCAGCCATGCCATTGAAAGAATCACAAGCTGGGTTTTCGAGTCAAGCACCCGGCTCGCAAACTCCCATTTGTCAAAGGGTGCCTCAAACTTGTATGGGTTGATATCCATGCAGATTCCAAATGAAGTTGCAACCTGTTGTTCTTGAATAGCAAGCTCTTTGAACCCTCGCTCGACTTGACCTTCAGCTGCCCATGTTTCATCTGTATAATACAAAAAGCTTTTGCGATAGTTGTGAATGACCTCCCCTCTCTCATCAACTACAAGGAGGGAATTGTAGTAGGTCGTTTGGTCGGTGCTCTGGGGGGTTTCCTCAATCTCTGGATAACCCACGCAGACCTTGCATTTCAAGCGTTTGGCTGTTTCGCGTGCCCATGAGGCAGACGGTCCACCCCCCACTGGTTCAAGATATGGCTTGACTGCCTCCAGGGAGGGGAAGTTATAGCCTGGACCAATATTAGCGGATCCACGTATCGTAAACGACGAGCAAGAGCATACCAGTTAAGGCCATTTCCGGAAGCACCAATATGTCAGGCGTGGCTGCTCCGGCAGAACCCAATTTGTTAGACTTCAATAAGCCATCTGCCTTCTCAATGTTGCCTTGGAGATCTCCTAGTTTAGGAGCCAATTGAAGAGTCGCAATCTTCATCTTGCAGGAACTCGCCTTTGAGAAGCACCTGATACTCGGTTTGGCAGAAGTCTTAGGATATGTGGAGGGCGAGATGTGCGCGCCTGGGATCAATGGTCTTAGTGATCCGTGTGTTCTGGTCCCAAGGACACAGCGAAACAAGGCTTTTGCCAGAATGACGGCGACTGCGCGTGTCCAGGGGAACTATCACAGTTGATTGGAATGATAATATTTGTGGTTTTTGAATTGACAAACCAACCTTTAGATGGGTCGGTACTTTGGGATGGATACGGAGTATTTCCAACGTTGTTCGTCCCCGTTGATGCCTCAGGGTGAGGATCCACCAGACTCGACAAATAAGTTGGGAAATCACTATTTCCTGGATTTCTGCCCCATTCAACTACATTGAGAATGTTTTCACAAACATAGCTAGCTACTAGTTAGCAAAGAAGGCTCGTGCTACTATCTCTCTCTACAAATAGACAACAGTATACTCCGTAAAATTGATTGAGATGACATGATTGGCTGTTGATATGATAATTACATAAGGAGGCTAGTCCCGATCGGGATACACGTCGGGAGGGAAATTCTTCGACGCTGAAGCTCTGCAAGATTGACCCGTCCATTCACAGCGCCTTCGTCATGTTCAGCCGATTCGTCCGGCCGCAGAGCGCTTTGCGCGCGGCTTCCTCTTTCTCCGCCGTGAGTCATTGGTCTCCCCTTCCCTGCATACTCCCAGACTGACCGTGTTGTGTCCAGAAACCTACCTCCGCCTTCTCAGGTTTCCAGACCCGTTCCCTCCACCGCGTCCCTCAATTGCAACACGATGCCTACTACAAGGAGAACGGTGTGCCAGAGTTCCTCTCGCCCGAGGCATTTGACTTCGCCTGGACCCAGTACCAGACCCTGCTCGTTGACAAGCTCAACCTGTTGACACAAGGTGAGCTCACCACTCCGGCCCTGCGAGACGATCCAGCGGTTCAATATTGGCCTCAATTGCCGTGGTTTACGAATCAAACATCCCCAGTGAGCCAATGCTAACTTTCGGATCTAAAAGACACTGTCGACGCGGATTCCAAACCCGGAGAATTGCTGGTCAAGTACTCCCGGCGTCCGGAGATGGCCTCGGTCTTCAACTATGCCTCAATGGCCCACAACAACCATTTCTTCTTCAACTGCCTGGTTAGTCTCGACACACATCCATTCTCTTATATAACCGTTCAACTCTGACTTCGCTTGCCGCAACATAGTCCCCCACACCCACCCCCATCCCCACAAAGTTTGCCCTGGACATCGCAGACACCTCTTCCTCCATTGAGTCCCTCAAGATGGATTTCCTCGCGACAGCAAGCTCCATGTTCGGTCCGGGCTTTGTGTGGCTTGCCAAGAACCTCCAACGCGAAGGCATGTTGCACATCTTCTGCACATACAGCGCCGGCTCGCCCTACCCAGCCGCCCACGCCCGCCGCCAGTCCCACGACATGGCCACTTCCGAGCCCAGGGTCGCCGGATACATTGGCGGCCACTCCGAAAACGCGAGAAACCTTGCGCTTGGAGGCGTTGATGTCCAGCCCATTCTGTGCGTCAACACCTGGGAGCACGCTTGGATGATGGACTACGGTGTCGCCGGAAAGGACGAGTATCTCGAGCGCTGGTGGGATCGTGTTAACTGGGATGTGGTTCAAGACAATTACAATGCCCATGGCAAGATGAATTCGCGGACCACTTCGCGTAGGACTCAGGACTTGGGTATGTTTTAAAGCCGAAAGTCACCTGTGTCTGTTTGGATAATCTGTATTATATGCTACCATGTTTCAATTTTTTCTGGTCACATTATTCATTCTCCCATTCCCTCCTAAGACTATACAGCAACCCAATCCAACCTTGGAAAGGTTTCGAGAGATGCAAGTCTAAATGGTTATATATGTGCACATACGGTGCATGCAAATTGTGCGCAAATCCCAAGCTCTAATGTACAATCAAATCTACAACCGTTTTCATCTTACAATCCTTTCCCCTCAACCTCGCGTATCCGCTTCTCGAAAGCCTCAATCATAACTCCAGCCATCTGCCCCTCAACAGAACTCATGATAGTAGCATGCATCTGTGAGCGGAATTCGAACCGCACCTCGAGATTGACTTTCGTCATCGGTCCACCTTGAGCCTCAGCAGGCGTGATGGGCACAAGCTCCCACCTCGTAGAGAGATATTCAAAGAGGCCCTCACTAGCACCAGGGAACAATCCACCGAGCCCAGAAGCCTTGTCGTTCTGGGTTCCTTGTGCTTCCTTCCCATATTTGTCCCCGCTCTTAGCCTCAACTGTCAATTTCTCGACATCGCAGTCCACGCGCGACGTGAATGTCTCGCTGAGCGGGCCGTAGCCTACTGTCAGGAATGCTTGCGTAGGGTAGCCCGTTTCAGGGTCGCGAGCTGTGACGGTCGAGGCGGTCAGGAAGGGAAGGAATTGGCTGTAGGATTCGACGGAGGAAATCACTTTGTAGAGGAGGGCTGGGTTGAAGGGGAGGTTGCGGGTTGCTGTTAAGACGCGGTGCGGGGAGTTGTTGCCGCCGTTTGAGGGGAGGAAAGATGATAGTGATGGGAGTCCGAAGGCTCGTCGGGTGAGTTTGTTCCCATTGGGGGAAGACTGGATGTTTGGTCTTTGTGATGTGCTTATCGTTCGGAGTGTTTGCGGTACCCTGCGCGCATTTTGGCGTAGGGGGAGGGCGCAGTTGGACGACTGGCAAGTCGCAGGACCCGAGGAGCTTGCATTGAAGCTGGTTATCCGATCAGATAAGCTCGAGGCGGATTATTGGGGTGTGCTAGTTGGTGCAACGCAAGAAAATTATGCCCTGTTCCGCGGAGCGGGATGGATCTACACCCGACACTCCACGCCTCGGCAGGGAACTATAAAATTGTGGGCTGGACATAGTGTACTCCGTATGACTTTGAGAAGTCGCACCTAGGTTTTATATAATTTTATAAAGCATGTGATTATGATTGAGGTTGTATTTGGTTCGTTATGGCCGGGGGAATATATCCAAAAAACAAAAACAAAATGAACAAAACAGAAGGTGAACATTGTGGTCATGAAGCATGTCAAAGTCTGATATTTTAATCGAAAATTCCTCTGTTCCGCAGAGTACTCAGCGGTACCTAGCTCTTGTATGAAGCAAAGTCGTACGGAGTCGCAGGGGCATCAGAATACCAGACATTGTTGTTGGTTGCCATTTCTACCCCCGAGATACGGCTGTCGTACAAACGCTAGAGAGTCTTCGAGTTAGCTTTGGCCTCAGCAAATAAACCGAAGTTCTTACCCAGTCGAGTTGAGCAGGTCCATCTAGCATTTCTTCAATAACCCCAAGTGAGGTGTAGGATGGTGTTCCAGCGGTGCTTGGGATTACACGCGGCGTCTCGTAGTTCGCCGCGTACATTGGGAATTGCTCATTGCTCAATGCTGTTTGGCTGGCTACCGGGAATGGACTGTGGCCTGGAGAAACGGTCAATAATGTTCACTGAGTATAACGAAGAGCAAACTCACTTGTCGCTGATCCTATGCTTTGGGCGATAGAGTGAGACCGTTGAGAATCGGCGTCCTTCACACGCTTGAGCATGATAGACAGGGCCAATACTGCCCGCTGCGTATCTACTGACTGGTGCTGTGACTCCATGAATATGCGTTGAGTAGTTTCTAGAAGAAGGAAGAAATCTGAACGTTCGTGGGGCTGAAGGCGCGCAGCATCGCCGCGCTCCTCGTCTTGGGAAAGCCCAAGGCAAAGAATCATTGCCGACAGTAAGAAGTCGGTATTTTGAAGAGAATTGAGGAAATACCGCTCGGCGTACAATTGACCGCCAGGCTGTGATTCAGTCCAAATCTCAGTGTGTGATCGAAGAGCCTCGCGAGCAGCCGTCAGGCAGACTGATCGTGAGTATGCAAATTTCGGGTTTGTCTCGCCAATGTATCGGCGGTGCAAGACAAGGCGTGCTTTCTGGTATAAGAGCTCCAATGTGAAGCGACGCATGATCAGATCCGCAGGATCTACGATACACTGCGTCATGGACCGAATTTGTAGGAAGGAAGGAATTATATCATGCGCCATTTCCAAGCGGCGATCAATCTCTAGAATCTCGTCGTATGACGAGTGCTCTCGAGAAAATGCCAGATCTGTGATCTGTCCAAAAACTCTCATGATGTGAGCTTTGGCCCTCGTGTAAGAGCAGTCTGTTCGTTCCTCTTTTGGTCTTTCAGATGGCAGCATAGCCGAATTCTCATCGAAGTCAGTGTCCAGCATGTTTGACGGTAGCTCAGTGTCGTACTGCCAAGGTTGGATGGTTCTAGGAACACCAATTTGGAAAGAAATTAAAGTATCGAGTTGGGTAAGCAATGCCCAAAGACGCCTGCGCATCTCCCCCTCAAATGCTGATAGCATGGGGTAATGACTCGGATCGCGATGGTAGCCCATGCGCATGGTTAACCGGATAGTGATCCCAATCAAGTATGACACTCCGATCTGTGCATCTTGGCTTCTATAAAACTCGGTCAGAGAGTAAAACAGCAGCGCTTCTCCTTTGTACCGCCCTGGGGTGATGTAGTTTGCTTGAATGAGACATTCTGAGGACCTTTTTCGAAATATAGCCCATAATGTCATAGGATTTGCCAGGTCAGAAGGCAATGGCTCCGCGCTCCGGTGGTATATTGAGACAGACAATGCCAAGATCGAGTACAAGAGAGAAATCCAAGTAAAAGACTTTTTGGCTGGGTGATGCCAAAACTGCTCGTATTCTTTGTGAAACGTCGGCACATGAATTGCAACTAACGGATAATTAGCACAGAGTCCAAAAATCAAGATAGCGCGGCGGAAGAAACCAAGTTACTCACTGCGTGCTGGCTCAGACGTCTTCAGGAAGCGTGATACTAAACGATCGGCTATCGACCGTGGAGGAATGTCAAGAAGCACTTCCTCTTTGCTCACTGGCTTACTATTCCCGAGTAGCAAGACTGGGGACGAGCTGTCCATATCATCAGGTTCAACGTCTTCATCTTCAGAATTTCCTTGATTTTCATCCAGATATTCTTTCACGCCATTAATCTTTTCAATCGAGTCAGTCAACGTCAGCACAATAACGCCACAGGCATAGAAATCAGATATCATACCTCTTCCAAAATGGCACGCCAATTAGCGCTATCAATATAGCTGGTTCCTTCGTTCTTGACGACAAGCGTGCCCGTATCAACAGGAGCAGACTCAGTATTAGGGTCGCTGCTCCGCGGTGAAGGCGTTGCGTATGCAGCCTTATTCTCTGGCTGTGTATTGAAATCAATTTCTGAATCAGGCCGCTGGTTCTGAGCCAGTGACATGACCAGGTTTTCTAAGTGATGCAAGCGATCTTGAACCAGCGTCGGGCTCGAGCGACCATGCTGGGCTTTGCCCCGTGGTCCACGACCAACATATGTGCATGATGCTGCCTCGCCCCGCTTCTTGCAGTTGGTGCATGGGTGGTTGCGACAGCATTTCAGTCTACATGCAATCAGTGTCTGTAGATTTACCAGATGCGCGTTGATTTCGTGGGTTTGAAATGTCCTCGGGCTATGCTTACTTGCGATATCTGCACGCTGTGCACGAAAATTGCACCCGCGTTCGCTTCTTAGGGACCGTCTCCGCAGCGGGGTCCAGATTCTCGTCCATGATTTTTTTCAAACAAGCTGGATGATCTCTGTTCTCCGTTTGGTGGGCGGATTTTAGAAGGCCTCGGGGTAAAATGCAGGGAAAGATGTGCCCAACCGGACGATCGCCCCGCCCCGGCGGTTTATTCATTTCATGCCTCGCCGCCCAAAGGCTTATTTCTTCACTTCAATATGTGCAACGTTGTCCATATATTCATTTTATGGCTGAGTTTATTCTATTGAATCTCAGCCTTCATAGCTACCCCTCCAGGCCCTATAATCTGCACCTTGGTTTCCTGGCCTTCTTCAAGCACGATGCGATATTCGTCGCCAGCATACAACGGGCTTGTCGCTCGATACGAGATGCGCTCGGGGACAAGCAAGCTGTGATCCGTCACACTTTGACGCTTGGTGTCACGCCACAGATCTAGTATGGAAATTAGGTTCAACGGGCCATGTACAACAATATCCCTGTGTCCTTCTACGTCTCTAGCCCAGGGTAGCGAATAGTGAATCTTGTGGGGATTGAACGTCAGTGCAGAAAACCGGAACAGGGTCACAGGTGTCTGCACTAGAGTACGTGTATGGGTGTTCCCCTCGGTCGTGATGTCGGCTGAGGTGGGATTGGGGGTTGCGAGGTGCGAGGTTGACGTCGGGAGAGCGGCACTAGAGGAGGTTGATGCAGATGGAATAGGGAGCGCCTTTCGAAACACCCAGTTTCTGTACGGTGTCAGTATTTCGATCAGCCACATTGGAATGGGAAGTCAAACCGTCGGTCAATGATTGACACGCCATGTTCGTTAGAGAACTCCTTCTCCACCCCAACCACAATCATGTCCTCGCCTGTCTTTTTCACGACCTTGGGCTCAGCACTCAGTACCCGCGTGGTCTCTTGGACCTGCTGTCCCACGCGCAATGGATTGGGTTTCCCGTCTGCGCCACGGGGCCACAGCACCTCTCCGCCGGCCCACATGCGTCGCGTGAAGGGCGTTTCTGGATTGTACGATGCGTCCGTTCCATCTGCGCCTAGCTCGCTTTCCATGAATGCGGGCGTGAAGTATGCCAGATGGTAACCCGGCGGCACGGGGGTCGCGGACTGCGGAGGCAAGGCGCCATTGGACAGCGAGGGCGTATCAGGGAACAGAGTTGGACGGTCAAGTGTGAGGGTGAGTAGCTGAAGTTGGTTTGCGTCTAGGGTTTGTGTCCGAATTTGCGGGCCTAGGGACTGGAAGCGCGACAGGAATGACGCAGCTACGGAGCCAGCGTCTGTGCGGAGATAGCGTGTGGTCGCGAAGGTGCGAATGCTGCCCGGTCGGGCTTTAAACATACACGGACGGATCGGTGCTGTTAATACTGTCATTGTAGACATGATCCTCGGATTTTTAGAAACAATTCACGAAATGTGAAATGCGACATGCGATCTCCAATTTATATGCGGGGAAGCCGGCACCCGAGTCGGCTTTATGCCGGGTGCCACTACACACTACCAAGTAGACGCTCAAATAAAACTTGGGTAGCCTAATTAGTTTAGGCTATAGTGCTGCTTCGATGAACTTATAATCTCTATTCTGTAGGTAGATCCAGCGAATTCCAAGGTTTACATTTGCAGCATTGAGCTCAAATTGATGATTGAGCCCTTATGCACGACTTGAAGGTGAGTCGAGCCCATACAACACCAAGCTTCCCACAACGAAAGGTATAGAGAAGCCTTGGAAGCCCTGGAGTATATTTCTTTCCGCGTTTCAAGGCCAGAAAGTTGTTCTGGCACAATTTGTCATTTCCGCTATGTTGCGCGAATGGCTAGAAGTGTGCATCAGCAGCATGGCCTCAAGCTCCACAGACTTGTGAAGTACGACCCGATCTCCAGGGCTGTCATACATTGTGTGAAATACAAATACCTGGGAATCATCTCGCTCATTCCCTATGAGCATCTGGCACTGAGCACTCATCTCTACATTTCATCTCACAATTCTCCTTCGATACACCATGGCAAATGTTAAACTCATCTGGGGTGGAGCCTCTATCATGGATAACATCGCACTTCCCGAAGTTGACGCCTTGAACGAGTTCCTGGACATCTTACAAGCCAGAGGTGTAACGAACATTGACACAGCCAGAGTCTACGCTAACTCCGAAGAGCGACTGGGAGCTCACGCGGATTCACGTTTCGCTATTGATTCCAAGTATCCTGGTGGGGTTAGCCAGGAGCCATCTACCCCAGAGTCTCTGGTGTCCATCCTGCAACAGAGTTTGGACCTTCTTCAAACGGATCAAGTAAGCCTCTGATAGTACGCATATGGAAAAAAACAAGTCTCCTCACTTATTGACAGCTCGACATATACTACATCCACGCTCCAGATCGGAGAATCTCTTTTGAGGATCTGGAGGCTCTGCTGGCTGCTATCAACACACAGTTCCAGGCTGGGAAGTTCAAGCGCTTTGGTCTATCCAACTTCTTGGCCAATGAAATCGAAGAAGTCATTCGCATTACCCGCGGAAACGACTGGGTTACACCCGCTGTCTATCAAGGCAATTACTCCACCATTGCACGCCGAACAGAAGATGAAATCCTTCCAACTCTGCGCAAGCACAATATCAGTTTCTATGCCTATTCACCTATTGCAAGGGGCTTCCTGGCCAAGGACGCCGAGGAATTCGTCGCGGGGAAAAGTCGATGGGACACGACCACGTTCACTGGCAGGCTGTACGATTCACTGTACAACAAACCACGTATGCTGGAGAGCCTGAAGCTTTGGGGAACCATATCACAGAAGTCAGAAATTCCCAAGGCCGAGCTCGCATACCGGTGGGTGGTGTACCACTCTGCTCTGAAGGGAGAGCTTAGAGATGGTCTGGTTTTCGGCTCGCGCAATCTTGAGCAGCTGAAACAGACCCTCGATGGTATTGATAATGGACCTTTGAGCGCGGATGTTGTGTCGCAAATTGAGGATGTGTGGAAGCTTGTTGAGGCTGATGCACCTTTGGACAACTGGAACAGCTCAACTAAATCTTAGAAGGATGAAAATTGTGCCTTGATCATGGTGTCCGTTTGGCTCACTAGGAAGAACTGTTTCATTTTCCTGGGCACTGGTTGTATACCTAGGTAGCATCATTCCAAGGTTGACTTCAAACCCAAGTGTAAGCATTCTGAATGAAAAATTATGCAGGGTATCTATGCGCAAGAACCAAAAGGTATTAAGAGGCTATAAATATGAGTTCAATATGCAATAAACAACATGTTCGAAAGTTGTAAAACATGACGTTCTTCAAGCTCAACAAATAAAATGCTCATAGTCGAACCTGGCCACCATTCAACCGATCCCATTCCTTTTGTCCAAAGGGTACATAAGAATTACCCTGGAGCCAATAAACTCGATCCTTCTTTGAGACCAGTGACGGGTCGACTCCCTCTGTGCGAAGAGTGTGCTTCTGCTGCTTGAGGTTTCCAGTTGACTGCATCTCAGGCGTGACACGCAAGAACAAAGGAGCCGCAAATCTAGGAAGATTCTTGAGTGTGTGTGCAGCGAGATCGTCAAGCACTTGACGCGAAGGCTCCAGCGCAGGCTCAGACGGGGTGCCACTCGCCATTTGCTGGTTGAAAACGATGGCTGCACATCCGGCACGTCCATCATGGTTTGGAAGAGCAACGCCGTAGACATTGGCTTCGTGGACTTCAGAGTATGCACCTAGGACTTCGGCGACCTCACTGGTAGAAACGTTCTCACTCTTCCAGCGGAAGGTATCTCCCAGTCGGTCTGAGAAGTACCAACGGCCCTCTTTATCCCACCGGACCATATCGCCAGTTCGGAAGAAGGCATCGCCCTTCTTGACCACGTCACGAATGATCTTGCTTTCTGTGGCCTTCTTGTTTCCAAAGTACCCCTGGAACTTGGCCGATGGGTCTGCTGCGTCAATGGCGAACAGCAACTCACCGGGGTCACCGCGAGGGGTCTTCTTGCAAAGACCGGTCTTGGGGTCGCGCCAGGGCTCCTGGGTCTCGAAGTCGACGTCTACAATAGCAGATCCTCGACCAATCATAAAGTCACCGATTGCACCGGTTCGACCAATGGCGCCTGCAGAGAAGTCATTGGTCGACATGTTCCACGAGCCCGTTGTGCCTTCGGTAGCGGCATAGAACTCAGCAATCGTGGGGATGTTAAAGCGCTCCTTGAATCGATTCCAGATATCGGGGCGCAGTCCATTTCCGAACGCCAATCGGATTTTGTGTTTCTTATCGAGATTCTCGCCGGTTACGGGGTCAGTCTCAGGCGCGACACCTAAAAGGTAGCGGAGTGTTTCGCCAACATATTGGACGATTGTCGCATCGTTGTCGCGAGCCTCTTTAATGAAATTGCGTGCTGAGAATCGGCGACCAAGAATGAGTGTCGATCCGTTCACCAAGCAAGTCAAGAAGCCAAGTATCGAAGCAGAGCTATGATATAGGGGCATGCACTGGTGAGATATTAGACAGAGAAGGCCAGATGCATTGTCGAACGAAGAGCTTACCGTGAAAAATCTATCGGAGGGAGTGATGCCCATCCAGTCTCCAAAGAACACACTGCCTGACCAGCACTTCTTCCAGCTGACAATAGCGGGCTTAGGCAGCCCGGTTGTGCCACTGGTGTAGATCAAGATGGCCATGTCGCGGGCAACTAGGCCATTACGCACCTTATCATCCTCGCGCACCGGCTCCGTTCCCAAAACCTGTGCCTCGACGTCCGAGGTATGGAACACGATTTCAACTGGCCCCTTGCCCTCACGGAAATCCGGAGAGGTCAGAATCTCCTGCTGCTCTGCCGGGAAGCAATGGCGAAGGTCTTCGTCCACCACCAGGAGTCTCGCAGTGGAGGTCTTCACAGAGTGGGTCAGTGGCTTTCCAGCCAGGTTGTAGTTGATGAACGCTGGAACTGCCCCAATACTCCAAAGCCCGAGTACCATGAAGACAAATGTGGAGGAGTTCATCAGGTCAACGGCGACAATCTCCTTGGGCTTGATTCCATGGACATTTTTGAACCATGCTCCATAACGAAGTGCCATGACGTAGGTGTCGTGGAAAGTCGACGTTCGGCCATTGTACACAACGAATGGGTGATCGGCGGTTTTTGGGTTGAGCGCTTGAGCTTCCAGTGTGTAGAACAGATTCAGACGATCACCACGTTCTGCGAAGTGAAGCTTCATTGACATCTTCACCAACCCCTTGATGAGGTTTAAATCGTGTGATAGCGACCATTTCGCGTTCAGGTATGCAAGTGAAGTGGCCGCAGCGGGGATAGCAAGACCCAGAGGGATAACTGATTGCAGAAGAAGTGGTGTTAATTATCCCCTGCATTTATTCATGCACTTGAGCAATACTTACCAGGTAAAGCCGGCAACACCATGATGTGAGTGATCTAGCAATCCGAAGAATCGGGTCGGGGTCGGGGGAAAGAATGAGATTTGAGAGCACAGCTGAAGATCTAACTCTGAGGGGAAATCCGCCGTGCTCCAAAATAAAAAAGATCCCAAAGCCTCCGAGTAAGCAAGAATTGGCCCCCAGTTGAGTGAGACGAAACGCGAACGAAGTGGGGAGGAAGGATGCCTCGGCCCGGACACGGTGCCGATCCCACCTGGGCAACCAGTGCATTACTGATCTTCTCCAAACGACACTGCATAAATTGCATGAATGTTTTAGATGGGATATTCCCCGTTCATAATGTACAAAATCCAAGAGACCTTCCTTTATATTCTACACGCATGTAATTAAGTACATCTGCTTCTTCACATGAGCTTCGGCCCATTAAGCAATCCAAATTAAGATGCCTGCAGGCCTAGAATTGGAATTGGAATTTCCAAGGTTTTGAGTTCACTTCTTCAAAGTGGGTCACACTTTCATAGCCTCTTTTATGTCCAAGTTGGTCCTCGGGAGCTTCTGAGATGTCTATACAAATCTTAATTTCCAGAGATGCTTGCTGTTATCTTCTTACAAGCTTTTTGACAGCAGGAACGTCTTCATAGCCATCCTCCATGAAGTCCCGCAAAGCATTCAAGCCTTGCTCCAAGACCTCTGTCTCATTGACATATCCAATGCGAACATAACCCTTGAAGTCTTCTCCGCCACCGAAGCAAAGACTACCAGGGACGAGCATGACACCGGTCCGTTCTTGAAGCATCTCGCAAAAGGCGACATCGTCCACCGGTTTCCCCATCTTGTTAAACCGAACAAAGGCAGTGGTTCCAGCTTGTGGTTTTACCCAATCACAGGCCCACCGATGAGATTCGATGAACTTCTCCAAAAGAGCAAGGTTGGCTCGAGCCAAATCGATGTTCCGCTTCAAAAGATTGTGAATGCAATCCGGAGCCAGTGCAAAACTGGCGACGGAGTCGTCAATTTGGCCCACTGAGATAGTCGTGTAGTCCCGCGCATTGGCAAGAGCCTCGACGATAGACTTGTCGCGCGACGCAACCCAGCCAACTCGCAGACCGGCCAAGCTATAGGCCTTGGAAATTGAACCCGTTGCCACTGTGCGCTCATATCCTAGGGAAAGTATAGTCGGTGGGAACTTCGGGTCTGCGGGGCCGATACCATGGAAGATCGGTCGATAGACCTCATCAGAGTGGATAATGATGGACTTCTCGCGGGCGATTTCTACCAATTTCTCCAGGGTGTCGCGCGTAATGATCGCTCCAGTTGGGTTTTGCGGGTTACTGTGAGAAAACCTGGGTGAGCAAGCGTATCGCATGGTAATTCCATCGCCAACAAGACATACTTTATGATAATCATCTTCGTATTGGGACGGATCAGGCCTTTCAGCTCTTCCAGATCCAATTGCCACCCATCGCTCTCCTTAGACTTCCACAAGCTAACCTCGGCCCCCAGTGACTCCGGAATCGAATACAACTGCTGGTATGTTGGGTAGTGGCAGATAACATGGTCACCGGGCCCAACCAGGGTATACAGCAACAAGAAGTTGGCTTGTATAGCACCAGCAGTAATCAATATGTTATCCTTCGGCAAGACCGTTGGCGCTCTCGCAGAGTAGAGGTTGGACAGGGTAGTTCGCAGCTTGTCGGATCCTCGAATCGCTCCATACGTGAGTTTGGTGGATTGCAGCTGAGTCAAGGGATTGGATTCCTTGTCGTCGGAGATTGCGCAAAGATCGTCGACGGAGATCGAGGCACAACAGGTTTCGGCGATGTTATACTTGGCGGTCGTCTCATACTTGTCCATCCACTGATTTCCAATTAGCAATAGCCTCACAGAGGGGTGCGGGGGCAAATACCTGTTCTACCGCGAAGGTCTCAATCTTCACCATTGTGATAGCTGTCCGTTTCACCGAGAGACTTTTATATTGCTGGGTCTCTATGACGGCCTCGAGTTACGAATGGCTGATGTGAATGAGTATTTGGTGTGGGTGAATTTGGCATCTTTTGCTGGCATCACGTGTTTCCCCGCATCGTCGCAAGCAGTGTAGAGAATGTACGGAGTAGAGCACAAGAAAGGTCTTAGTTGTATGGAGTAATTGAAGACTTTATGGGCTCTGGATTTTAAAGATTGTCATTCGGCAGCAAGTCTGCATATCCCAACGAATTATCGAGGAGTGAGTGTAGGTGTGACCTGGCAGCGGGTTCCTGGCGCCCATGCAGCAGGCCCCAACCTCTCTTCTCCGCCCGCGTCATCGGGGGCCAATCTCACCTCTCCACATCTGCCTTGTCTCTCCCCAACCACTCCTTGTCTATTATAACCATCTATCCTAGCTTCAAACGAATGCTTGAACCTCAACATTGGATCCAAATTGTTTGAGGATCCATCTGACTCGTTCCTCGGCTGCTGGTTGTCCTTGCATACCAGGACAGGCCGCCGCCGCCCGTCCTTCAAGATGCGCTTGACCGATGCCGTGCCTCTGTCACTTCTTACATTGGCTCCCTTTATAGGCTACGTCTCGGCATGGAACAGTGAATTCTCCGACGTCTCTCTCGCTACACAGTCCGTTTCCCTCTTCGGTGATCGGCCGCCCGGATGCCCCGAGTGTCCAGCTTGCTTCAACTGCCAACTCGACAACTACAACTGCACCCATTTCGCAGAATGCAACAGCTACAACGGAAAATGCTCCTGTCCCCCTGGATACGGAGGCGATGATTGCTCGGTACCTTTATGTGGCTCTCTGGCCGATGGCGACAACAGACCGCAGCGTGACTCCGATACTTGCAAGTGCAAGGACGGCTGGAAGGGTATCAACTGCAACGTCTGCGAAACGAACGATGCTTGCAATGCTTTGATGCCCGAAGGTGAAGGAGGAGTGTGTCACAAGCAGGGTGTCACCATCAAGGAGAACTTCCAAATGTGTGATGTGACCAACCGGGCCATTTTGAAGCAGCTCGAGGGGCGCAAACCTCAGGTTACCTTCTCGTGCGAAGCCGAGGATGATACTTGTAGTTTCCAATTTTGGGTTGGCCAGAAGGAATCCTTCTACTGCGGCTTGGACACCTGTGAACGAAGCTGGGAATCGGACTATGAGTCCAACTCGACTCACTATAAGTGCGAAAATCTGCAATGCAAGTGTATCCCTGGTCGTTTCCTGTGTGGCGAGAATGGTTCCATCGATTTGAGTGACTTCCTTGATCAATCAATCAAGGGCCCAGCTACATTTGACACCAAGGCGACATTGGATGGTACGGCCAGTGTGTTTTCCGAGCCTCAAATGAACGGATTGATTGCTGCGGTCTTCGGTGATCCCAGTATCTTCCTGTCGTGCGATTCGGGAGAGTGCGTTTATAAAACGGATGAGCCTGGATATGAGCGCCCGGTGAAGAAGATCAACACGCCGCTCATTGCCGGTGTGATCGCCGGAAGCTCGCTCTTTGTGGTTGCCGTCATTCTGCTTGTTTGGTACCTGTCCCGTCGTGCTGCTCGCCGCAGCTATCTTCGACTATCACTCTCGGATGATTCGGACGACGAAACTGCCAAGCTTCTGGCAGACTATCGCCCAGCGGCCTTGTATTGGGAGAATGTGGCTTATACCTTGAATTCGAAGGAAATCCTTTCCGGCATTCAAGGTGCATCTGCCCCAGGCCAAATCACGGCCATCATGGGTGCATCAGGAGCTGGCAAAACTTCATTCCTTGATATTCTGGCACGGAAGAACAAACGTGGCATGGTGAATGGAGACTTCTATGTCAACGGCGAACAAATCAGCGACAGCGATTTCAAATCCATGATCGGCTTCGTGGATCAGGAAGACACAATGCTTGCGACCCTTACTGTTCACGAAACCATCTTGACAAGTGCTCTTCTCAGACTACCAAGGGATATGAGTCGTTTAGCCAAGGAGCAAAGGGTTGTCGAAGTCGAGAAGCAATTAGGAATCTATCATATCAAGGACCAACTTGTTGGCTCGGAAGAAGGCAATGGTCGTGGCATCTCTGGAGGAGAGAAGCGACGCGTCGGAATTGCCTGTGAGCTGGTCACCAGTCCCAGTATACTATTTCTGGATGAGCCCACCAGTGGACTGGATGCTTACAATGCGTTCAATGTCGTTGAGTGTCTGGTCACACTCGCCAAAACATACAACCGAACCGTCATCTTCACCATCCATCAGCCGCGCTCGAACATTGTCGCTCTCTTTGATCGATTGATTCTGCTTGCTGAGGGACGTACCGTCTACTCAGGCCCCTTCTCTTCTTGCCAGCAGTATTTCGACAATATTGGGTACTCATGCCCACCTGGATTCAACATTGCGGATTACCTAGTCGACCTTACGATGCACGCAGGCGCAGCACACTCTTCATACACAGATGAAGTTGCATCCTCTGTTGACGGGCGCACCGGCCCGTTCAAGACTGCATCCAGTAGCCTTAGGGCTGTCAAGTCTGTTGCGAGTGCGTCAAACTACAGCTTCGAAGATAACTCCAGCGGTGCAGAGGCGACCCGGCGACCCAAGAGCAACCGACGAGTCTCCTTGAAACAGCAACAAGATCGTCAACTATACTCAAGAAAGCAGCAGAGTGAGCGTCCAGCGACACCCAAGACAGATGACGAGAGTGCCACGCTGGATGTGGCCGAGAATCAGCAGCAGTGGCTTCGGATGTCCCGTCAAGGGGGCAACGTCCCGCCTCAGAACCTCGATGATCCCGATCAACTACCCCCTCCAGCACCTGGTACAAGTGACCTCGATATTCTAATTGCTAGCTACGCCGAATCCGACGTTTGCAATTCTGTACACGATGAAATCGTGGCCGCTGTACATAACGCCCAGGCAGCAAATGGCTCGCCTAACTCAGCTATCCTTTCTGATACTGCGGCGCAGTCTAAGGGCTTTGCTCGAGTGGGCCTGGCACGACAATTCATCATCTTGTCGCAGCGAACATGGCGCAATCTTTATCGCAACCCGATGCTCATGCTCACGCACTATGCCATTGCCATCCTGCTTGCGGTTCTTTCCGGTTACCTCTTCTATGGTCTCACTGACGACATCAGTGGATTCCAGAACCGTCTTGGTCTCTTCTTCTTCGTCTTGGCCCTCTTTGGCTTTAGCACGCTGACTAGTCTCAATGTCTTCTCCTCCGAACGGCTTCTGTTCGTGCGCGAGCGGGCCAATGGATACTACCACCCTGTCACATACTTTGCGTCCAAGGTCGTATTTGATATTGTTCCTCTGAGGCTAATCCCTCCAATCATCATGGGTATCATCGTCTATCCTATGACGGGTCTGATCCCAGCGTGGCCGGAGTTCCTTCGGTTCTTGCTGGTTTTGGTTCTCTTCAACCTTGCAGCAGCCGGAATTTGCCTATTCATCGGAATCATCTTCCGTGATGGTGGAGTGGCCAACCTGATCGGCAGTCTAGTTATGCTTTTCAGCTTGCTTTTCGCAGGCCTGCTACTCAACCACGATGCGATCCCCAAGTCAGCACTGTGGCTACAATCTGTGAGTGACCCTGTCCCCTTGGTCTATGCTAGACGTTTACTAACAACCTTTGATAGCTTTCCATCTTCCACTATGGATTTGAGGCCTTGATTGTAAATGAAGTGACCTATCTGACTCTGATTGATCACAAGTACGGACTTGATATCGAGGTCCCCGGTGCGTCAATTTTGAGTGCTTTCGGCTTCAACACTCTGGGCTACTGGAACGACGTGATTGGCCTTGCTGTGATCTCTGGGGCCTTTATCATCATTGCTTACACTGCAATGCACTTCCTGCTTGTCGAGAAGCGATGAGTTAGACGTTGCGAGACCGTACGAGTATTAGTATTATATCATTGAGAGCGTTCATCATTTCACTCTCCTTCTTGTTTTATCACGTTGAAGTTGACTGGTATCACATTAGAGATAGAAAGTCAAATTTGTTCTATAATATTGCTCCATCTAGTGCCCTACATAGATCATTCTGGTCGGGAAGTAAAGGGATCAAAGGCCCAGACCTGAGGTCATGTATGCACACACGTGTCCGACGTCATTCCAGTTACGAGGCAATTTAAGGTTGCCTTCACTTGTCTCGCAGCCACTATCAAGCAGTCCATACTTCTCTATTTTCTAATATTCTTCACACTATTCCTAGTGAAGCTCTCTGTGCTCTGTAGATTGTGTATGGTATCTCCCAGCCTTCCCGTTTGCGGGAACACGCTAACCCGTCCCACCGCCCGTACAGACTCCGGGCGCAGTTCCCAAATTCGCTAATCGAACCTCCTCAGCTTTGGTCCACTCTCTCTGTTTTGTGTCCTCGAATCTCCCTACTCCACTCCCCCTAAGTCCCCAGGCTTCTTATTTGTGAGTGAGCTTTGACCCCGCGAAAAAGACTCTGTGCGATTCCTCCGCCTTCCCTGGGACCCCCACAACCCATCTCCAATTCCGGCCTCATAGCTTGACGTCTTGTCGCGCACTATACTCATATTCTGTACTTCTAGCCATTGAATACCTTTGACGCAAGTCAAACCCTCCGTCTCCATGATGTCTGGCGAAGCATGGCTCTACCTGCTGTCGGTGTTGATCAACGCCGTCAACCTCTTCCTCCAGGTGTTCTTCACGATTATGTACAGCGATCTTGAGTGGTGAGTCCTTCCAGCCTGGTGCAACGATGAACCTACTGTTGCCTTCTTGATCCTGGTATGGATATAAAGCTGACATTCACCCTTTTGCAGTGATTACATCAACCCTATCGACCTTTGCAACCGCCTCAACGCCTACATCATCCCCGAAGCCGCTGTCCACGCCTTCCTGACCTTCCTCTTCGTCATCAACGGCTACTGGCTCGCTATCGTACTGAACCTGCCTCTCGTCCTGTTCAACGCCAAGAAGTACGTGGAATTGCTCACCGGGTCGCGAAACCATCGCACGAAGCTAACCACGCATTTCCCAATATAGGATCTACGAAAACCAGCACCTTCTGGATGCGACCGAGATTTTCCGCAAGTTGAACGTCCACAAGAAGGTCAGTTTGATTTCCGATTTCGCGACTCATAATACCTCGACTGACTCGATTTGATTGTTTCTAGGAATCCTTCATCAAGCTTGGTTTCCACCTCCTGATGTTCTTCTTCTACCTTTACAGCATGATCGTTGCTCTCATCCGCGATGAGGGCCAGTGACTGCGTGACAAGACCGATTATGCGATGCGCCATGGTCGCCCCGGCTAGATTGAGGGGCTGTCTCTCGCTGAGCTGTTGCTATAAGCTTTCGAATCCACGTTCCTCGAACTTTATCTTTTTCGTCCTTTGCGCAATCTTCGCACGAGATTACAGCTCCAAGACAACCGTGACGCCATATAATGCGGTATATCAATGTGGCCCTTGTTTGTCTAGGCCATCATGACTAGGGATGAGCAACGAATTCTTTCAGTCTTGAGATAGATTTGCTGGTATTGGTGCAGTGATGGAAAGCGATAGATATCTTGCGGGTGTCTCCAGTCGGAGGTGGACGATTGGCTCGAGATACGTTGCCAGTATGGGTGCATGCTCTTTTGCTATTGTTTGATTTTGACATTTATTCTTCTGTGTTAATCTTGCCGTATTTGTCGGCCTGTGGTTTGTATATACCTCCCAAGCGGTTAGCAATGAAGAGCGTACGATACCCAGCAACCCCTAACTTGTGTCGGCCTTTTTCGCGCGAGCCAGCCCCTTCTCTCAATGATTGGTCCGGAGCCATCGCTTCTTGTCGATATAGCTCTGCGAGGTAAGGAGTAGATCTTAACGGACGAGCTCCTCGACTTGAGGCATTCACTGGCGATCTAGAGAACGACGTCACAAAGCTCACCACCTTCGACACTAGCTGAGTCAATAGGCTTGGCTCAGCAATCCACATTTTACTATACGGATATCACACATCTGTATCATAGTATCTAGGCCGTATGTATCAAGCTGGTGTACTCTGTACGGAGGACTAGGTTGTATCCACCATGTTTGCACTGTTTGTGCTTCGCAGAAGCTTGGCTGCGACTGTTCCGCGGGCTTCACGTTGGGACCCTGCCGACTACCGTAAAATTACCATCCTTCACCTACCAGACCGATCCCACCCTAATCTTGTCGCAAAGGGGAATTGAAGATCGCGCTCTTATACACGTGATATTCCTCGTCATGTCTGGTCTGTTAGGAGCTGGCTACGAGTCCAGCGACGATGACGCCTCGACTGTGCCCAAGCCTTCAGTAACGACCGCAACCAAGGTCGTTGCTGCACCAGAAGTCAATACAGAGGTTTGGTCCCCCATATTCACTTGCTGCTTCGATCTCAAGCCAGTCTTGGTGTCGTTGCTTTGATGAACAGATAAGACTAACAACCTCACAGGACCAGGCGCATATGCAAATGACACTCGCCAATGCCTCTTCCCAAGCTCTCACATTCAACGCCACCTACGATGATATGACTCGACCTTCACAGGGGCCCGTGAATCCTTTCAAGCCATCCGGACCTGGAAACGGAATCAAGAGAAAGAACGTCCCAACTGGTTTCGCCGAGGAAGCGGCCATCAGCGAGTCCACATTCGCTGCGCAACACCGCACGTTCCAAAGTCTGGGCTACACACGCAACCCCACACGACCCGGTCAGTTTATTGGAAATATGGACAATGTGGCACAATACGGTGGCAAGGATGTTGTTCAGATAAAGCCAACCAAAGGCGCATCCGCGACTTGGCGCACAAAGCGACAGAAGAAGGGTGACTCCAGTATAGTGGAAGGCGAGGGCGCTTATCTCGGACCATGGGCTAAATACAACAATGATCAGCAATACGACACCTACGAGATTGAGGGCGAAGACCACGAGCTTGCCAGCGATGAAGAATATGTCGAAGAGGAAGATGAAACCCAGGCCCCATCAGGACCTATGCCAGCTATGAGCAAGGCAGCCACCGAATATGCCGACGACTATTCCAGGAAGGAAACGACCGAATTCCATGGCTCCGAGGAGTACGACTACCAAGGCAGGACCTACATGCATGTGCCCCAGGATCTGGATATCGATCTGCGCAAAGAGCCCGGCAGCACCAAGAATTATGTCCCGAAAAAGCTTGTGCAAACTTGGAAGTCACACACAAAGCCAATCACCTCTCTTCAATTCATTCCGAATACTGGTCACTTGTTGCTTTCGTCAGCAGCCGATGGAAAGGCCAAAATTTGGGACGTGTATCACTCTCGCGAGCTCCTACGCACCTTCTCTGGTCACAGCAAGGCCATCTCAGGCACAGACTTCCATCCCTCTGGAAAGACCTTCCTCACTGCCTCCTACGATCAGCAGATCAAGCTCTGGGATACCGAATACGGCAAATGCCTTGGTCGGTTCTCCACTGGCAAAACACCCCATGTCGTTCGCTTCAATCCATCGCCTGAACATTCACACGAGTTCCTGGCCGGTATGTCAGACAAGAAAATTGTCCAGTTCGATACACGGTCCGGCGAGTTGGTCCAAGAATACGACCACCATTTGGCGGCCGTCAACACCCTCACATTCGTCGACGACAACCGACGTTTCATCTCCACATCTGATGATAAGTCGTTGCGCGCTTGGGAATACGGCATTCCCGTCCCAATCAAGTTCATCGCAGAGCCATACATGTTCGCGCTCACTCGCGCAGCAACCCATCCCAACGGAAAGTACGTTGCGTTCCAATCAGGCGACAACCAAATCGTCGTATACGGTGCTACCGACAAGTTCCGTCAAAACCGGAAGAAGAGCTTCCGTGGCCATAACACCTCCGGATACGCTATTGATCTCAAGCTCTCTCCCGATGGTCAGTTCCTGGTCTCTGGTGACAGTGGTGGTTATGTTTGCTTCTGGGACTGGAAGACTGGAAAGATGTATCATAAGATTCAAGCTGGTGGAAAGGAAGGTGGTGCTGTCACCTGTCTGGACTGGCATCCCCAGGAGACGAGTAAGGTGGTCACCGGTGGCCTTGATGGCAACATCAGGTATTGGGATTAAGGAATTTTTCTCTATCTTTAGATACTCCCTCCAACCGCGCAAAAGATTTTAAATACATGTACCACCTAAAAATGACGATATCTCGTTACGTGTTGACTGTCCTTCCATATCGCTGGCGTCGATGTTCAAATCATATCCTATTTCCAAGCCCGCAGAAAATTTATAGTTCTAGAAAGAAAGTACATTACATGTCCAGCGATGTTCATGCATATTTAGACATTTTCACCCAGATATCCAACCATGATATGGTGACGTTAGATACGAGTGAAGTTGCGAACACTCCTCAGTCCAACACACGCGAGATGCCGCGCGCACCGAACAAGTCCCACGGGCGAAAGGTACCGAGGGTACTTCCACATCAAAATAGACAAAGCACCGATGCCTGCAACTAACGCACCGCTTAGCCCATAGCCAAGCACCGTACTCTGGTGCTGAACAGCCTCGACAACCTCCGAGTATCGCTGATTGCTGAAGCTGACTCGAGAATACTGTGTTCTCCAACCAAATATCGGGAAGTGGTGGTCAATGATCTCCTCGATTGACTTGCGGAGTTTGTAAAGTGGTGACTTGACACCCGCGCGCATCTCCATGTAGTTCTCTTTCGAAAGGTCGTTGATGGCATGTGTATCAGCGCAACGCTGATTGGTGTATGCTTGGAAAGCTACCTGTCGCTTAAGACTGCGCGTGTACACGCTAGAGTTCAGATCGTAAACGCCGTGCTCATCCAGTTTTTCGAACAAGACCCGGACGTCCTCGAGACCTGCGTTGAGACCTTGGCCGTAGAACGGGAGCACGGCATGCGCGGCATCTCCAATGATGACGGTGCTGGAGTTGTAGTGGTGAGGGTTGCACTTGATGCTAATAAGAGGCAGGTGCGGGTTGATAGCGAATTGTTCGCTCAATGCTGCCGGCTCGATCAACTCCGGGCTCACGCCGGGGAAGTGAGAGTCGAAGAATTCATGCAAGTCCTGTGGTGAGGTTTCCAAATAAGCGTAGTGTGAAGATGGTGCGAAGAGAGTACAAGTGAAGGATTTATCCGCTGATGGGATCGCAATGAACATGAACTCGCGACCGGGCCAGATGTGCAGATGGTTTGGCGAGATGCGGAAGTCTCCGTTCTCTGCAGGTGGGATCCGGAACTCGCACCACAGCGTGTCGATATACTCCTGCTGGTAATCGACACGAGCGAACTTCATCATGTGGAAGCGCGAAGCGGAGTGTGCACCGTCGGCACCGATGAGATAGTCAAAAGACACCTCGATCTCGGGCACTCGGCCAGCTACACCGGCATCATCTGCCATGGGCGTTTCGCCCGGGATCCGGCGCTCAAACCAAGCTTTGTTGGTACGGAAGTCCGCACCAGTCAGCTTGTGGTTGAAGAAAAGTTTGACATTGGGAGTTTTCTCCAACTCGTCGAGTAGCGCGTTGTTGAGCGTTCCTCGATCAATGGCATTTATGGCCTTGGGATAACCGTTAGTCTGGACCTGCAGGGGGAAAAAGCAATGGGGCTGCCGAGTGATGTGCATACCCGTCCGTGGATGTCATAGGCCTGTGCAGCTTCCCACAGATCACCCCGGTCTCGGCCGTGGATCATCCGTCCATGCATGGGGATCGCTTCGCGGAGAACATTGTCAATCAAGCCATTTCGATTCGCGTGTCTCATGGACGTGATTCCACGTTCAGATAGCGCCAAGTTAATGGACTTAGTGAAGTTTAATGGCACGGTCGTAGGATCCCGGAGATCTACGGATGCGCGGAAAATAAGAGTCAGCTCGGGATAATTCGCAATGAATCACAATCATGCCAGGGTAAATCCAATGGGCACAAATGACCGTCTCAAGTGAGGGTGAGGACAGAAGGAAATTAAGCCGCATTCCCAGAGTTCGAAAAGAGGTCCCGTGGGATATCTCTTCTCAAGGCACATAGGGTCGGTCCAAAGAGGGACACCAATTGAAATGCCTCTCTTTGGTAACCTAAATGATTCCAATTGCGACAGGAAAGCAAAAGAAGGTCACACGAGACCCATTTTGAACATACCTCCACGGAGCTCATATACCTCCACATCGTCGCCTCTTGATGCAGCATAGAGTGCTGCCAGAGACCCCACTGGGCCAGCGCCCACAACAACCACTTTCTGCCTCGGTAGGGCCATTGCGCAGCGGCTGTCTGGATTGAAGAGCACGTAAAAGAGAGGAAAGTTCACCACACGCTGCGAGATCGGCCCTTCCCAAATGAGAAACTGCCCAAATGGGATCGACATTAGTCATTTTATCTTGATGCCTGAGTGCCTTGGTGCCTGTATGCCTTAGGCTCATACCCTCATTTGACAGTTTGTTTGTGAACTAGGAAGGGATACTCGTACTTATCATATCTTTGTGAAGCATAGAATCAGTTGCTAGAATATCTCTTCCTAGCTATTCTCTGTACTTACGTTTAAAGGTTATATTTGAGAAACACTTGGTATGTACGGAGTATAGTATGGATATCACGTGACATGCAATTCAACACTGCAAAGTTTGTATGATTTGGAGTTTGTCAAGGTAATGAAAGTTATTATTCAGATATAGCCAGTAGAAAAGAGCTTTTTCAAAAACATACTTCCAAGTAAATGATGATAACCTCACACTTTTAGCATTGATGTTCTTGGTATAGACATGGGCTGATTGATTTCCTAATACAGTCTAGTCTCCTTTAGCTTTGCGGCCGGTGGGGATTTTCATGAGATTTCGGCCGCCGTTCTATAACTTGCACTCATATAACCCATTCTCAAATCTCGATCTATCTTGATCGCATTCCATTCATCATCATGGCTGAGGTTGGGAATCGCAAATGCCGGGGTGTGGACTGCCCTAACGACGCAGGCACCTTGCAATGTCCGACTTGTCTGAAGAGTGGCACCGATAGCTTCTTCTGTTCCCAAGACTGTTTCAAGCGCAGCTGGGTGAGTGCTCTGGAAATTAGAGGCGGCGCAGGCGCATGCTCTATGCCCTCGAATATGTACAATCCAAGGCTAATCTTCTACTCCAGAACGAGCACAAGTCCATTCACAAAAAGAGTAATTTCCTCACCAACATCTTCCCACCGAAGGTAGTTTCTGAACCAGATCCAGATACCGGTACCTTCAACCCATACCCTTCGTTCCCTTACACCGGTTCTTTGAGGCCTGTCTACCCTCTGTCCGCCAAGCGAACGATCCCCAAGTCGATCCCCCACCCGGACTACGCCCGCGATGGTATTCCTCGCTCCGAGCAGAAGATTATTGGTCGCCATAACATCACCATCCTCAACAAGGAGGAGCAAGAGGGCATGCGCAAAGTTTGCCGCTTGGCTCGCGAGGTCTTGGATGCTGCTGCTCGTGAATTGAAGCCTGGTGTCACAACCGACTACATCGATGAGGTTGTCCACAAGGCGTGTATAGAGCGTGATGTATGAGACGGTCCCTTCGATTTTTTCTATATGTCTACTAACTACGTCCTCCAGTCGTACCCCTCGCCCTTGAACTACATGAACTTCCCCAAGTCCGTCTGCACCTCCGTCAACGAGACCATCTGCCACGGTATCCCCGACCAGCGCCCTCTGAAGGATGGTGATATCGTCAACATCGATGTCACTTTGTATCACAAGGGATTCCACGGTGATATCAACGAGACCTACTATGTTGGAGACAAGGCGCTCGCGGACCCCGACGCGGTGCGCGTGGTTGAAACCGCACGTGAATGTCTGGACCAGTCAATCGACCTGGTCAAGCCCGGTATGCTCTTCCGCGACCCTGGAAACACGATCGAGAAGCACGCCAAGACTCGCAACTGCTCGGTCGTAAAGACGTATTGTGGACACGGTATCAACCAACTCTTCCACTGCGCGCCCAATATTCCTCACTACGCCAAGAACAAGGCCGTCGGCACTGCGAAGCCTGGAATGTGCTTCACAATTGAGCCTATGATTAACATTGGTACACACCGTGACCGTACTTGGCCTGACGACTGGACCAGTACCACCCAGGACGGATCTCTGTCTGCTCAGTTTGAGCACACAATGCTCGTCACTGAGGATGGTGTCGAGGTCTTGACTGCTCGCCTGCCAGACTCGCCTGGTGGCGCTGTGCCCATGCCATCGGCATAAAATCATTGCAATGGGAGGGAGTTACTGAGTGAAAAGATTTGCATGAGCATTCACATAGCCTGCTTAGCAGCCGAATTTACGAGTTCAATGCCTAGAAGTATGATTCCAAGTCAAAAATTCGCATCGATAGTAGAACATAGAGCAGCGTGAAGGCGGTATTTTGCCGAGTGTCTGCCGATGTTGTTACATCCAAGGTCCAAGCGTTATCGATCCGAAAACCCAAAGTCATCATTGGCCGAAACGGCTAACTCGGGTCTGATATGATTATCATCTCAAAGTTCCATCTCCGCATTCTGTATTCTACGATACACATACAATGGTGGTATAGATTGTTTAGGTATCCTACCTAGGCTTCAGCCGAGACAACCCTTTGAATGTGAATATCTACACTTAACAAGACGACAGCTGATTAGAGCAGAAAAAGTAATGCTTCATGTCTACCTAGGTAGGAAGTACTTGATAGACAAGGTGCCCGATTGGGAGCATTGTCGTACATTCCACCGCGCTAGCACAGTAACCTGCCCCTTGGTGTAAACCCCATACTTCTGACATGCTGCTGTAGCGCTTGCCATCTAGGCAGGTTCCAATACGTCGAGCAATTTATCTGATTCTTTGATTGGTTCACAACTACAAGACATCCCTTGTCTTGTAGCCAATTGGCTACTACATATTCCACAATGGCAGTCGTATTGGATAATACCCAGGTGGCTGCTTTGTGACTAGGAAGATATGCACATCTGAATACCGATACTCCGTATGTACTCTGTACATATGGGTAGAGTGTCCTTGTAGTGCTAGAAGATAATTGGCCCATTGAGACTGGGCTCTCTTATCTTTTTAGTGGATGTCAGTTTGTAATCCACATGCGGCTGGTGTCCCCTCATCTCCAAAAGCCCGAGGTTTGTACCGAGGGCGACATACGTCTGTTTGGGAATATTCGGGTTTTCGATGAGAGTGCATTATTTTCAAAAACCTTGGAAGCTTGGCTGGGTACTGCGGCAGACCAAACTATATCAGAGTCTGAAAATATATTCCGTGAAAACCTTGGAAGGATAACTATACATGCATGTCAGCACTTGGAGACGATCCTTGTAATAATTGTATCAAATTTTACCGTTATGTAAGGACCGGGATGGTTCCTAGCGGGGAAATGATTTAGATCCTCCTCCTCCGTTTTCCTTTGAGTATTGCCGTCAGTCTTTACGACCTTCAGCAGCATCTGGAGCGCCTTGGCGGAACACGTCTCAACATGGCTGGGTCTACTGCTTCCGAGACCTCCCCGTTGCTGGCGTCAACCAACGGCACTCCGTCTAACGGTACCATACCCGATCACCATGTGGAATCGGGTGTTCCAGAGGAGAATCCCAAAGCGCCACTCCCTGGCACTTCGACGCAGGTGAAGTACATTTTTCCTGCAATTTCAGTCGGAGTATGCTTGTATTCTCTTTGTCCAGCGTTGCCAGAGACTAATCGTTGTGTAGGTCTTCATGTCGGCTGCGGACCAGACAATCATCATGGCCAGTTATGGCCAAATTGGCAGTGATTTGAAGGCCCTCAATCTGACAAGCTGGATTGCCACCTCCTATTTCCTGAGTTTGACCTCTTTCCAGCCTTTGTATGGCAAATTGAGTGATATCTTTGGTCGCAAGCCATGCTTGCTTTTTGCATATGCAGTCTTTGGTCTTGGATGTTTGTGCTGCGGTCTTGCACGAAATATCAATGAGCTTATTGCTGCTCGTGTATGTTGCGGCTCTGATATCGGTCATTTTAACTACGGAAAATACTAAGTGGCATCAATAGGTCCTACAAGGCATCGGCGGTGGTGGCATGACCACCGTTGTCAGTATTCTGATGAGCGATGTCGTTCCTCTTCGTGACCGAGGTCTCTGGCAGGGTGTCATTAACATCATCTATGCGACTGGTTCCGGTATCGGGGCACCGTTAGGCGGAATCCTCGCGGACTACATTGGATGGCGTTGGTATGTATGATGCAAGATCCACATCTTCTAACACCATCTGATTATTTCATTTAGGGCCTTCCTAGCACAGTTTCCTCTGTGTATTATTGCTATCATTGCCGTATCTTTACAAATCAAGCTCCCTCCTCGTGAGAGCACCCACTGGAAGACCAAGCTACGACGCATTGACTTCCTTGGCGCTGTCGTCCTTGTTGGTGCCGTACTAGGGTTCCTGGTCGGACTTGACCGTGGAAGCAATGTCTCATGGAAGTTACCATTGACAATTGCCTCGCTCGGGGTTTCAGCTGTCTTGTTCGTTGTCTTTATTCTGGTTGAGATATACGTTGCGGCCGAGCCTTTTGCACCGGGTCACATTATCTTCAACCGTACATTCTTTGCTTGCTACGGTTGCAATTTCTTCAGCTTTGGAGGCTGGCTTGCCGCATTGTTCTATATTCCCTTGTACTTCCAAGCTGTGGATGGTGTTTCTGCCACCGTTGCGGGACTTCGCCTCTTGCCGAGCATCCTGTCAGGTGTTAGCGGCTCTCTATTGGCAGGCATACTGATGAAGTGGTATGGGAAGTATTACTGGTTGACGGTCACTGCTTATACCTTCTTGACCACGGGCGTCTTCTGTATATATTTGTTCTCTGGTGGAGTCATGTCGAGTACAGTGCCCATGGTTCTCGGTATGGTGTGTGCGGCTTTTGGAAACGGCATTGGTGTTACTACCACCTTGATTGGTTTGAGTAAGCTTGCATCTGCCTGTTATTCAAGTCTCGGTTCATGCTTACCATTTTACCAGTTTCCAACGCGTCTTACGAAGACCAAGCGGTTGTAACCGCCTGCTCGTATCTATTCCGTTCATTGGGATCTGTCATCGGTCTTTCATTGTCATCAACTGTCGTTCAGCAACTCCTGCGGGACCGATTGAGAACCGGTTTGCGTGACAGCAAAAACATCGATCAGATTGTTGAGGGAGTGCGGCAAAGTCTTGACTTTATCAAGACCCTCGATCCTGCGACTGGCAAGATTGTTCGAGACTCATATGGCTGGTCTACTAACAAAGGATTTGCCTTCATGGTTGGCGTGGTCTTCTTTGCTTTGCTAAGTGGCTGCTTCATCCGTGAAAGCAAGCTGAACCGCTGAACCGAGCAATATTTCAGCCGACAAAACCTCATATTGACACAAACCGTAAGGTATATGATCAATTTGTATAGGGCTTGGCGGAATGCTCTCTCTCTCTGCCGACCTCCAAGGTTAGAATTGGAATGGGGCTGCAAAATGTGTATTTTTAGCGCATGCCCCGGTGTTTTAGCCTCATAGCCATCAAGTAGATAATGGGGGAAGTAAAAAGCATTGGACAACTTTTGAAGAACATCCGTGTCCAAGCAGCATCAATCAAACAGAACGAATCTTTACACAAGTGACCAAGACCCTTCATACTCCGATTTCAACTAGTTAAGATGAGTTATGTGAGGCCCAAAGCATTCCCACTGGTTACTCATGTTGACAGTCCGTTCAAAATCAGCAGCTACAGCCTCTTATATTGACTACTGATAGATTTAGTTTTTTATCAGGCACAGCAAGTCTATGGCTCTTCTCTAACCTTACTGGAGCCCGATATGGCTATTGTATGTGATTACGTTATCATGTTCGCGGATGAGACCCCCAATGTTCCAGATGTCATTTCCATTTGTCTGACAACATCATATCCATTGGTTTTCATTTGTGGTGTTTTGCAGCTTTCATCTGACTTGGTCATTGTATCAACAATCAGAATGAGCTGCACCTTGTGTGCCTGACCATTTTCTTACGGCTTCTGATAGCTTATCCCCCAAAACCTCCGTCATGGCCGACTCGCACCCAGGGCCAGTCTCACTGACACGGTATCGACCTTTCCTCTACCTTTTCACCGGTGCTGCCGCTGCCTTTGCGCTTCTCTATGTTCACAACAATGTTCTCTCGCAACCATCATCTCCGCTCCGACGTCGCGGTGCTGTGCGCCGCACACGACGAACTGAACCCGAAGAAGTGGGCATCGTTGAAACCCCGTCATACCGAGCTATTACCCACCTTGAACAGCTAGAGCGACAAAATGGGGTTTATGGAACGTTTCGCATTGAGACGGAGGATGGACGACGTGTGGAAAGTGGCCTCCTTCCATCATTACTCGCAACTCGCGACCAACTGATGGAAGAGGTTGGCGTGCCATCTGCCCATGCAGAGCGCATGCGTGAGATGATGGAGGACACATTCTTGGAGTCCTTTCTCGCGCTGGACTTTCCGTCTGCGCATAACCTGCCGGAGGGTACCCCCGAACGAACATACCTGACCGAGCAACTTCAACATCGCGGGATCTCCCATGCCGGTATCGAGAGGGCTCTGCTTCGCTTCAATGGAGACGACAACTACGGAGAGGAACTGCGCCGGCGAAGACAGAATGGAGAGCGGGTTACCCTCTCGACATCAACATTTCCAGATGTCTCGGTACCGCCGCAAACTCAAGATGGTGGCGAGACCACGATGGACGATCAAAGTGTGTTCTCATGGCGGGACGGGAACAATGACCCATCAAACCGAGAAGGTCAGAATCTACTCAACCTACTTTACCATATTGCGGAGGATCAGGCGCGGAGAGACGGCTACATTCACCGAGGTGTCACCTGCAACAGCTGCGGCGCGATGCCTATTCAAGGTATCCGGTACCGTTGCGCAAACTGCATCGATTATGATCTCTGCGAGACGTGCGAGGCGATGCAAGTGCACATCAAGACACATCTGTTCTACAAGGTGCGGATTCCTGCCCCATTCCTGGGAAATCCACGCCAGTCTCAACCAGTATGGTATCCCGGAAAACCTACAATGATTCCGCGCAGTCTTCCACGAGCTCTTGCGAAACGTCTCATGAAAGAAACCAACTTCGAAAATACAGAGCTTGATGCCCTCTGGGATCAGTTCCGTTGTCTAGCAAACCATGAGTGGCCAAATGACCCTAACAAACTTCAAATGGCTATTGATCGTAAAACCTTCGACCGTTGCTTTGTGCCTAATACCTCTATTCGACCGCCCCCGCCCAGTCTCATTTACGACAGAATGTTCGCATTCTACGATACCAATGGGGACGACCTCATTGGATTCGAAGAGTTCCTTAAAGGGTTGGCTAGTCTTAACAACAAGAGCAACGATGAGAGACTGCGACGAGTGTTCCGCGGTTATGACATTGACGGTGACGGCTACGTTGAACGCAAGGACTTCCTTCGGGTCTTCAGGGCATACTACGCGCTGAGCCGAGAGCTCACCAGGGATATGGTTGCTGGCATGGAGGATGACTTCTTGGAAGGCGGAGCTCGTGATGTGATCCTCGGTAGTCAACCTATCAGTTCTGCATTCCCTGGTAGTATCCCCTCGGGTGAGCGCTCACGTGTTGGCGAAGGGAAAGAGGCGAACTCCTTTGGCGATATGGAAATTGTCGACAATGGGGGAATACTGCAGCGCGATGGGGACGATACCGGTGATCGTCATTCGGTTGTGGGTGATGCCGCTGTCCGGTCACAATTTGGCCGAGTACGACCATTGTTCCCATCTACCCTTCGTCTACCGCCTGATGATGCTACAACCCGCACTGCCAATACAGGAGAAGGCGGAGCAAACCACGAGGAAAGTGACGATGACGACGATAGCGATACCAGCGGGTCAGACCAATCCAGCTCATCAGTAGCTAGCACATGGCCTCCAGCGGAACACATACTCGAAGAGGATATCATCGAGGCCCTAGGCCATTACATCCCTCCCCAGGATATTACGGACCCCCTGGATCGTGCTCGTGTCGCGGATGCGGTTTATCAGAGAATGCGCGAAGACGACCAGAGACGGGTGTTTGACGCTCGTCAGCGCGGAATCGATGATCGCTGGCGGCGTCGGGCTTTCTACACAGACGAGGAGGATGGCGCCACTGTTCCTGATGGGTTTGAGACGGACCCCGCCATTGACGACTACAGCGATGAGGACGACCTGGATGATCATGAATCCCACCCACCTTCCCCTCGCTCGCGGTCCTCGTCTAAGGTGCGGTTCCAGGATGATTTGACCGACGACTACGACACTCGCTCCAACCCATCGACCTCGTCGCGCAGCATTCCTGTTGGCGAGCGATGGGGTGGCTTTGAAATCCCTGAAGTCGAAAAGGATGTTGGGAAGGAGATTCTCTATCAAGTCACGCAGCAAGGATTCAATGAGCTTCTTGACATTCTTTTCAAGCCCAGGGAAGATCTTCTGATGGAAGTTCATCGCACGCGGGCCGATCGTAAAGTCTGGGCCCGCGAGATAGAACTTGCCGAGAAAGAGGATCCCCGAAGCGCGCTCAGTCAGAGGTCCCAAGCGAGGAGCGTCTTGAGGAAATCACCACTGAGAGGCCCCTCGACGATCTACTTCAGCGAGCCGGTTACTCGGTGCAAAGCCCGGTTCTTGCCGCCAGCACACGACCAGTGTTGGCTCCACCGTCTCCTGGGGCCACGGTCTCGGACGATGAGGACGGTAGCGATAGCGGTACAGACGACAACGACGATGTGAGGCCAACACATCTTGCTGAACCCGAAAACAATGACGAAATTGGACAAGATCGACCATTCGAAGACTCGGACGCTGCCTCTGCCACCTCATCGGATTCTGAGGACGATATCGCCCCATCACAGGCATCTACCGCAGAACCATCCGTGGATGAAGACACGACCTCTCACTACGATCCAACTCTCCCACAATATCGCCCAAACTCCCCACCATCCCTCTCTGTCCCTGCCGATCCATCCACGGTGGCTTTGGAAGAAGTTTATGAAACAGACTCCGATACAGAAAACTTACCGTCAACGAGCCCACATTCCGATCTCCCTGCTCGACTTCGGCTCTCGCCCAGAACCACCTCTCTTCCCGCTCCTTCCTCCCCTCACTCCTCTCCCGAAGCCGAGGCCACAGCGCCCAAGCTTCCCCCTTCTCCTATGCAACCACTCCCACCTCCTCATCGTATCGAGGACCAGACCCATCGGACTACTGCCCGGCGACGACCTTCCATGAAGACCTTGGCTCGTTGGTCCTTCCTGAACCACCTCGAAAATGAGACAAAAGAACGGGGTGGTCATGGTGCAAAACTCAACTTCGAGGAGTTTTCGCGCCGCATGGCTGCTGATCGGGGTCGACGGCTAGCTTTTGTGGCTAGTTGGATTGAGATGGCTAGCTTCTAAAGGTCTTCCTTGCATGGCCTACATGTACATTATCATCGTTGTAATTTAGCGCCCCACGGTGTTGCACTTTACCTTTCAATGCAGTCGTGCCAAAATTGGAAATATGGTCAACCTGAAGGATATTCTTTCCCAAGGCTCATATATAAGTGATATCAATTCTCAGCCGTGTATCCAACCTTCGAACCTTTGTGGTACTTCATAGGTGTTGGTCTATTCAAAACTTGGAATGTTTATGAATGCAACTCCGCAGATGAATTCCAAGGCTCCATTAATATACTAGAGCTCCGATATTCTACTGATGGGATATCGTCAAAGGGATATGTACTTCCATCGGTCAATCGCTCAGTTCGCTTCAGCCTACCCTAGCTTCCAAGGCCGTTTGATATCTCTGCCGATCCACGCGCGATTCCTCTGAACCGACTTCGAAACACATCAACAGCCTTGGAACCTTGGAAGTACTTCAGTGTTTACCACCTGACATGTGCCTAAATGGTGATCTCACGGTTACATCACCTTCTTTCCAGTCACAACTTCATCGAGCCGAAATTTACGATTGGCGAGCCTTGGGTCTTGAAAAGCCTCCATAGGGCTAGGTATATCCATGGATCTACACCACGCAATATGACTGAAGAAGCTCAACATATGTAACAATTTGAAAAATCCACATAAAATTCCCGAGGTCTCCGACACAAATGTTGTGTCCAGATGCCATCAAAAGAACCTTGGGGTTGTCATTGATGGAAAACCATACCGAAACTGTTGGACACTACATTTGCCCGAGACGTCGAACTTGGCAGAGTGCTGAAATCCTGGTTCGGATCGAGTGTTTATGATCAAAGGCTTACTGCCTATATGGGATGTTTGAACATTGGAATCAAATCGCGCACCAGGATAGTCTCGTGCAGAACCTCTGAAGCCTTCCAAGGTTTGACGCTGGCCGTCCATCTATATATCCAACCCGACATAGCCTGTTCTTACAAGTGCTCGGGTGATTGGCTCGATACAATTGTGGCAGTCTTCAATGTTGGATGTCCTAAAATCTGTTGGAGACCAATTCTTACCTTTCAGATTCCAAGATTAAAAACAAGCATGTTTATTTGCCCACGTGCGGCATAGCACACTGAAATCTTATGATTGAGATGGGTTGTCGGCATTGAAATTGTTGTTTTGGCTCATATAGGCACAAAGTTAAAAATTTCCATCAAGCAGTTTCGTGGTCTAGCGGTTATGATTTTCCGTTAACAATTGTTTCAATAACAAGTGTTCCGGAAAGGTTCTGGGTTCGATTCCCAGCGAAACTATTTTTTGCTTCGGTTGGGAGTGAATAAGGCGGATCTGAGTGGAGCGATGTGGAGCTTCTTTTTTACATCGCCAACTGACAGACCGAGAGTGGATGATCAAGGACTATACACGCCCAGAGTTCGAAGAATATCAAACTGAACGGAGCTGAAGGCATTAGCAGACAATGCAAAAGATTGAACCACCCAAGCGAGTAAAATTAGAGATATAACATGAGACACGGGCATAGACTGCATACAAAAAACGGCGACATCAATCGGAGACAAAATGACTTTGGAATCAGAAATCAAAGCCAGAAACGTTTCACATAATAGGACACACATAAGACATGACACAGAAATAATCGAGACAACCAACCCGAACGCCCGAAGAAAAAAAGAACATCAAACCGAAAATACCAACAAAAGCCTCCGATACAATATTGAATTCCTTTGTGTCGCTGGATGACACTTCAATCTGGTGTAGATATAATCCTTTCTGATCTGCGAGATGATCATGATTGATCTATACTCGTGCTGAGGTGACAGGCCACGGCTGTTTGGCCGACCTGAGGGGGCATCAATCATTCCTTCATCTGGGCTGGGTAACTGCCTGGGAGGTGGTTCCGGATTGGGAATTACAGTGTGTTCCAGGGGTACATTTCCTCCAAGGGGGTGGGGGGTTCAAGTGGACAATGGGTGATCCAGGGCAATAGTGAAAAGAAGAAAACAAAGCCAGCGCAATCCAAGGAGTCTCCACGGCAAAGAATTATGAGGGTGGGCTGTCCAAGAAACAGGATTGAGAAAGACGGCTGTCTTCCATCCAAATGAGATTCAAGGGTTTGCAAATCTCACTCGACGACCGCGTCGCTCAAGGATCAATTTCTCGGTGTCCACATAAAGACAATCGAGAAACTGCATCGCGCTGGAATCCTTGAGGATTTTGGCAACTTGGATTCCCGCAGAAATAAGTTGTAGCACATTCCGGTCGTCTTTGACAGGCCGGGACTGGTGCTTGGCAGCATGGCGCATCTCCAGGGAGTTCTCCAAGACAGTGATGAGCTGCTTGATTTGTCGGTTGTATAGGAGATGAGCCGGGATACGTCGTGTAGTCGCCAATCGCTTCAACAAGTGTACCCACTCTGTCCACTCGCGGTCCGAGGGAACCTTGACAGGTCTCTTGTCCTGCTCGATGGGAACTCGGAACTGGTACTTTGCGACAAAGTCATAGGCACACTGGGATAGGCGGTCGTTGACTTTGTGCAAGATGTTGTCTTGCTCTGAGGCATCGAGGTTAGTAGGGAGCTGAGGGAGCTCTTTGTCCTGGGCTGCAATGGCCTGTGCGGAAGGTGGCTCCAAGAGCTGATGCGGGCCATCAAATTCATCCCGGTTGGAAGTCCGCCTCTGGGAGTGATAGTGTGGGCTTCCTCTGGGCTTTTCGGCAGCTCGCCGGCTGTTTCTTTCCATAATATACTCTGGGGTTTCCGGGGGGGCTCATTACTCCAAGGTCCCGCCTCAGGGCATCTCGAGGCAGGTGGGCCGGGTGGCTCCATTCATGGGTCCTGGGTGGCTGCATTGGTTGTCCAGCGGGAGGGTAAGAAAGTCTTCCCATTGGGGGATTCATCATAGGAACTGGAGCTCCGTAGCGAGCCTGAGGGTCGAATTCCATTGACGCTAGATGAGCTTGGCGGTCGTCTCCGTAACCATATCCATGGGGTGTGGATGGTGACCTTTTACCATTTAGTAACAGTCACCAGAGTGGGACCCGCCGATGACAGCGAGGGAATAGGATTGTTGCATATGTGGGATAGCGATAGAAAATACCTTTGGTGATAGACCACAGGCGAGGCTGCCTGGGTTCCATACATAGGGTGTTGAGCCATGGTGCTGCTGTTGAAAATGAGCCTCGGATCTCCAAATCATTTTGACGGTTGTGGGAGCGGAGTGGGGAATGGTGGTGACTGATTTTGCTGACCTATGGCGAGACCAAGAATCCAATTTGGCGTTGAGTGAGCTTGCACACGATCCAAGGCTTGCTGGCAAAGAGAACGGATGGGCCGAACCAGCCGTCAATGGGTGAGGAAGGACTGGAAGCATGAAGATAGAATAGTCGGACAGGATTCTATACCACGGCCTGACCTAATAATAGACAGTATGACTTGGTGGAAAGAGATGAAGAGATCGATTTGAGTCAATGCTGTGATCGATGAGCAAAGAGCAATGTAATATAATGCTCCCTCGAAAAGCAATCGGCTCCGATCAGTTTAGTGTGCCTGACAAAGGGGGGGACGGAGCCCACAGAGTTTATGCAGCGGCATCGTAAGTGGATTGAGAGCCGCGCTAGAGGCCTTTACACCAGTGGCGTGAGTGGAGAAGCAATCTATGGAGATGAGATCTTTGTTGCCTGGGAAGTCTCGACTCTGCGACCAATGGTGCAACATAGCCCGGGTGTTTTTTATTTCGGATACGTTCAAGATCTCGATCGATCATAAGTCACGGTGTACCAAGCTCGTTGGCAGAAGAGGCGCTACGAAACGCTCATGTGGGTGCATGAGCATGACATTGGTGGGACGGCAAGCATTGTGATCCAATGGCTCGATCTTCACGGACTTAGGACGACAAACCCCAGTATCCTGTACTCCGTATGCCGCGCCACTCTCATCCTTCAACGATCGTAACGGTGGAATTTGGGCAGCAAGATGTTGGGTAGGAAATGCGAAGAACCGGGGGGTTCCAGTCTAGGACGTCAATGGCCTATGGCTACCCAAATATGCAGACGAAGGGGATGATCTGCGCTTTCGAATGCCTTGGAAGAATGATCAATATGAGCTGAGCTTGAGGCAAAGTGCAAATCCCGTGACGTGCATTACCCTTCGTTGGGCACTCGGGGGGATTTTTCTCCCTTGGAGCCCAATCCCAATAAGCCGCATGGACCATGTCTCTGGTCAGATCCGGTTGAAACACATATTCTAATTGAACCCAGTGGGGAGCACCGGAAATTGTTGAAACTACTCGTATTTCGGCCCAACTAGAAGCCCAATGACCTTAGAGTCCGGGATGTTATCAATACCCTAGTAGACTCGACTCTGGCTGTGGGAAACCCATACTTACCCGGGTAGATATGAAGTCATACAAACTAAGAAACGCCTCTCAAGCCCACGAAAATCATAATGATCGGATTATTCGCAGGGTTAAAGATCCCCGAAGCAATTTACCAGGGAAAACTCTATCTGAATTTTCGGCAGAGTTTACAGGGGGCCGTCTGTCTTCCCTGTGACATTAATGATTTGATTTCGAGAGTTGACCAGACGAGAAGCGTAGTCCTGGGACCGTGAGTATGACTGGAAGACGGAATGGAATCCCGTGGCCGGTGTTCACTTACCTCGCAACTCAAACGGATGGCTTCTTCGATACCGATGCGAGCCTGATACCCCAGTATCTTCCTTGCCTTGTCGCCACTGGCATATCTAACGGCACATGCGTCTCGAACACTCCCACGACTGAGAGTTGCCGTCGTACCCATCACCCAGGTGACAGTCTCACACGCCAACCCAACCATATACGCCATGGTCTCTGGGATGCGGACTTCGAAGGGCGGAAAGTGCCCGAACTGTGCCCAAACTGCCAAACAGAAATCGCGAAATGTGATAGGTTCGTTATTTTGAATGAAGAAGGCCTCACCGGCGGCAGTGCGAGAGGACAGCAAATTCTCGATGGCTAGGACATGGGCATCGGCGACATTGTCGACATGTGTGATATCCCACATATTGAAACCATCGCCGATCAGAAAGGAGGTTTCTCGATTTGCAATGCATGCATGGATAGCTGGCACCAGTTGACAGTCTCCTGGTCCGCAGAGTACCGACGGTCGAAGGGCACATGTAGCCATACTGCTGCTGGAGGCCTTGAGCACAAGTGCTTCTGCAGCCGCCTGCAGGGGAGAATCAAATCGTTAGTGCATTTCGATTCCCGATATAGAGTACTCGCTGGTCCCCCACCTTGGACTCTCCATAGATGGTCGATTTGGGTGATGAAGGCCACCCCTCATCAATGTTGGGATATGAATTGAGCGTATCATCAGTCACCACACAGCACGAGCTTGTGTATACAAAGGCTTCCACGTTAGCCCGTTTGCATTCATCGAGCATGTTTCGTGTACCCTCGACGTTGACCTTCCAAACTTCGGCTTCTAGTCGGCGACGGAATCGCTCAGCCAAACCGGGGATTATTCCAGCAGTGTGGACGACCACATCTGGATTTACCGTCTCGAAGGCCTTCTTCAAGGACTCATGCGATGTGATGTCCACTTGCAGATATGCGATGCCGCTTGGCAGTACTTGATCCGCGCTCGGGGGGTTTTGGTCGATGACGGTGATGGCACACTCCGGGTGTTTTTCTGCTAGAGCTCGCACTATTGCTGAGCCTACAAAGCCGGTACCACCAGAGATCATAAGCCTCTTCGAGATCCGACTCATTTTGAATGGGTTGTAAGGATGAAGAAAGCAAGGGTTTGTTGTGGGGGAGTTCCGACCGGTCTACCGCTAAGTTGTACATCATCACCTTCCAGGGTTGTTTGCAACTAATTTTTCGCTTACCCTGTCTCAAAACGGTGGCCATATGGGCTGTCGGTTTTTGATCATGTGCGCTAATAATTTTGTGAATTTCGTCTTCACCTCTGAGGTCATCCTCGCCCGTATGTATGTGACCACCACTAACCACTCGAATGCGCCTCGGGAGCTTGTACAACTCGGTACAGCTTGGCCAGTTCACATCTGGGGTCGGCATAACCTTACTGCCATACTCGTGTGCAGAAAAATTACCTAAAAGAAATCACAGGTACTGCGCAATACATCATCAAGAGCCTACACCTAGACAGTCAATGGAATAGCTTTTATCTCAACCCTGGAAAGCTTCAGATACCTTCTAGATAGTACTTTCATCCATGGATGTATCAAGTCTTGCGAGCAGTGTTTATTTGTACCAATAGATCTTAGTGGTACTGGATCAAGATGCATTGCATATGCGTACAGTATTCAGCATTAGAAGTCCCAAGGTCTACCTGGGTAATTCAAAGACAACATGCACATGGGGATTGACTTGTTGTAGCCCTAGGTCAAGCCCCAAGTCACTTCCTGCTTGGTTTCCACCCTCAACCTGAGATTCTGCATCGGTGCATCCAGGAGCTCGTTCCTTCAACAAAGCCATGACCGTCCTGAGCCCACCAAAGACACAATAACCTCTAGCATCTTTTGCCAAATTTTCTAAAGCGGGCAATAACTTCTCCTCATCTGTCCGAGTTGCAATTGGTTGGATTTCGTTGTCCCCCATGTTCTTGATAATGTTGCACATGCCAACCTGAAGAGCTTTCTCATATCCAAACTCAACTCGTATGTTCTTGCGCAGTTTGCAATCGAAGGTAGCTGCAATCGCTTCTCCAATCTGGCACAGTGAGAACAGACCATTAGCACGTGTCTGAGGGTCTGCATCTGTTCCGCAATTCTTGGCGATCGATTCGATAATTGCAACAATTTTCTCCGTGATTTGAAGGAAAGTCCGCCTGATTTGTAGTCCTTTTCCATCCAATCCCAGACTTTTTGGGCCTGGGCCTCGAAGTCAAGGACGCGAGGTGTCTGAGGCGTCTGATCAGGGACTGGCTCTTCTAGCATAGCCATGATATCTGGGTGCATTTGTGCTGCCCGAGTAAGAATTTCGCGAATTTGAGGTGCCTTGAGCTTTGCAACGCGCCCAGAGGCTGTCTTTGCTCTTGCTTGTTGCTCTGGAGTTTCTTTCCCCTTTGCTGACTTCCGAACCCGCGGCGCGGGAATTGCCGGCATTTGTACAAGTGGGAAGCCGGTTGATGTAGGCATTTTTGGTGCTGGATTGAGGCTTTTGGTTTGATGAAACAAATGGGCCCTGGGTGGTTTGACGCACGAGGAAAGATACTCGCGTAGGGATGGAAGGTGCTACTGAGTAGTAGCTGTACAATAAAGTAGCTTGACAAAATAGTAACCCCAAAAAGCGAATTTAAGGGGAGAGTGAAACGCGTAAAGGGCGATTCTGCGGACGCGTTGATGGAACGCGTGTGGTGGGTTTGTTAACAAGCGAAAGTGGAAGAAATTGCAGATCTGACCTTGACATAAGCTCTGTTTTTCACTGAGGGAAAGAGAAAAAAATAAGAAGGGAATCCCTAATTGCACACCTTTAGCGCCGAGATATCGGATACCTAATTGCACCCCCGCTAGTCCAAAAGTAGCAGTACAACTGTGTACGTTCTGCAAGCTGGCTACCACCAAAATGATCAGATTTAGGGAACGCATTTGTCCACCCAAGGATAACCTGCTCCGTACTCTGTACGCAAAACCTATATAGAGTCTATTCCCCGGACTTTGTGAAACTTGCGGTGGTATAGATCGGGGTTGACCGCCTCTAGCGTGTCTTAAACACAGCAGACTATACCCTTTTGGGCTAGGGCATTTTTGGACCCAGCATTGTATATGGATTGGCGTGGAACTACATACATATGAGAACTTGGATAATTCGCTAAGCTGTAGTTGAAACCATCATATTTCTTCGCAAAGCAGTATTCACAGGCTGAAGAGTTGCCCATGTGAATGATGTACTATCGACTGTCGAATAGATTTGCTCAATCGTCCAAGACTATCACTTCGCGTTGTTCACTTCGATCCTCGCCATCTTCAACCCCGTCCTCTCCATCATCCTCGCCATCCTCGGCTCCTTTGTCATATTCATCTTCCAGCATCGCAATTACCTCCCCAAGCCCGTTGAAAATGCCATAACTCCCAGCTATTTCGTGCAGCTCAACAAATTTTGGGTAAAGAACCTCCTGGTCTGTCTGATCCTTGATGGACTGAATCTCATCTTCCCCCATCGATTGGAAAATATTGCGCATCCCATTCACCAGAGCGGAGCTCACTTCGTAACTGTTTCGCACCTCACGGCCAATAACATCGCCACTAGAAAGGCAAACTGTTTTTCCGATCTAGCACGGAGAGACCATTGAGGCGCGTTTGAGGGTTAACGTTAGGACCACACTGCTTTGCGATTGCCTTGATATCGTGGGCGACATCCGAGGCAACTTCAAATGATTGTTCATACTGTGCTGCGCCGCGCATGGATTTGTAAGTGATGTTGATTTCTCTCCAGACAGAGCTCGAATAGCTGTCGAAATTGACAACGCTGGATCGCTCGCGCTCACGCATAGCAATGACCGCATCGTTCAGCATGGCCATAACTCCCGGGTAGTTTTGGGCTGCTAATGTGAGAAGACTGGACCTTTCCGTCTGGCTGAGTTGGCCAACAAGCTCAGAAGCTGTCTCTGTTGCCTTTCGAGAATTTGGGGCTTCAGCTCCTCCCAAGTGTGCCTCGCCAGTTGTGTTGGCTGAGAGCGCTTGATAGGTGGTTCTGCCATTTCTGCCGAATCTGTATCAAAGTCAGAATATCAACAGGGATCTAGACACACACTTCCAGAGCTGCTAGGACACATACAAGTAGACGATGAAAATAGCGGAACGAGAAAGTAGAGATATGAGAACCAATCACAATGTAGTCGGGGGAAGGAGAAGAAGAAGAGAAAGAGGAAGAAGAGAGTGGAGCGGAGCGCGACTTGAGAGACGCGTCGATGGCTCTGGGAAGTATAAGTGAGCAGCGAATGCAGTGGGGGTAAAACTACGTAGAATCTTCATAAAATTGGGAAGTAGCTTGACCCAGGCCCATCTTAGTTTGTGTCAAGGAGCAATTGGCTATTTAGTTGGTGCTGAAAGCTATGGGCGGACGTGAGAGTCATCCTACAATCTACGATCGATTTGAGGCCAGATCCGCTACATTGTTGCAGATCAGGTTGATGGATGCAAAATGATATATCGAAAGATAATATGACGAAAAGGCATGAGTAATTCAAGTCATAATCTATACACTGCATCACATTCGGGACAGCTGCAAGATTACCAGCAGAGCACGCAGAATGGGAGATACACACAGACATCTAATATACAGATCCTTGACCTAGGTATTATCCCAACAGTCACAAAAGGACGAATCTCGCGAAGAGACAGCGCTGCGACGAACCGACAAAACTCCAAAGTAGATGCAAAACAGGAAAATAAAACACCCCAGAGGGCTAATCCAAACCCCCGGACCGGGGACATGTAGCCACTAGAACAATCGCAGTTTTATAGCACACGGCACAGAACCAGTCCACCCAGCTTCTTTTCAACACACTCGCGAGCCTCGAGGATGCCGCGGTCTGTGGAGAGATAGAGACTCTCACCCGGAGACCGGATTCCACCCACGAATTGAGTGTCTTCACCGCGAACCACGCGACGCAGTCCTTCCACGTCAATGTTGACCCGTCGGGTGGGCTTGCTGACCATCTTGACCTTGCCAAGGACTGACTCGTTCTGCCAGTACTTCAGGCCGATCCACAACCGCCTGGAGGCGACATTGTCGCGGGTGATAGACTCAATGCCTTCGACTTCATCGTTGGCCGCAGGGTAACCAAGGATAGGGTGAGCGGGGGGGAGGAGTCGGGCCTCCGCGGACCACGGAAGAAATGTAGCCGGAGTTTTGGAGGGCGAGGGAGAGCTTCAGGTGAAGATTGCTGTTGGGGATTGAGGTGAGGGCGAGGCGTGCCTTGGTGGCATTGTTGAGGTGAGCGCAGACCGAAGAAAGGTTGACGAGAGACATGGTGACTTTGCGACGGTAGCAATGAGGCCCTACCGGCGGCCGTTCGGAGAAGATAGAGAGATTGGAGGTGATTAACGGTGGTCGGTAGATGGTGATGGCGAGAATCACGGCGCTAAGAAATGATCGATGATCACGAAGCTTTGCAATTGACCCGGGTAAGAGACAATAGGCGACAGGAGGTCGGTGATGCAGCGCCGACTGGAGATGCGATTATTTGGGGATGAGAATTGCTCTCGGAGAAACGTGGTTCCGGAAAATCGTCCTCCAGGTACCCGGTACTTTCCCGCCCGCAGCGCATGTGTGTGATGCCCAGGTATTAGTACCCCCTCATCACATCACATAGCTCTAAGCGCCCAACTTTGCATTGGCGGTTGGATGCTGGCGTCTCACAGGCTGACCCCTCAGCGTCAGTTAGAAATAATAAATACAGTCCGCGGCCCCTCTTGGGTTTTCCATTCTACATATTCTCCCTCGTGCATGTGTACTTCGTTTCCACTTAAATAACTATGCCACCCTTAGCAGGCGAAGAGCGCCTTGTGACTTTGTGAGTTGAGCTGACTGCCCCGCAGATCATCCCATGCTTTAGATCTTGTCTAATACTAGACAAATCAGGTTCGCCGATATTCATTACTATTTCACAGAGCCAACTCGAAGACCTCTACCATACCACCACCGTTTTGACAAAGGCTCTTACCTCTATATTTATCATAACGCCGCCCAGAACAAAGCCAGGATCGAGATTGCGAACAATCCTGGATCTCCGGAACAAGATGCATTCTGCGGGCACTTGGATAAAGTCCATATACGGCACTCCTCTCAATTTCCGACTCTCTGTACACTAACAGTTGAGGACTCAACCTCGCCTCAGCAACAGCATTACCCATCAGACGTCTCCACTCAGCACGAATGGCGTCTACCCAGCGGGGATCCACGTGCCGAGTCCAAGGACTTTCGGGACTTCCCTCGTCTACACACGCTGGACATCTACTTTTGGGGCGTCGAGGATTCAACCCAATTCTTGGATGCAGCCGTGCTGCTCCTGTCGAGCTCGCAGGTCGAGACGGATCGGGAGCCTGCACCACAGCAAGAGCAGCCGATGAGCTCGGTGGTCCAGCAGCTTGAGAACGTCGCGGTCTCAGATCCAGCTTACCAGAACGGGCAAACACCAAACTCTCGATCTGGCCAAACAGCAGAGGCACCCACTTTCCAGCCACCACCGCAAATCAGCAGCTTCCCGCCTCCACCTCCAAGTGGCCCACCAGCCGAGCAACAATCCAGCACCGGTCCTTCTCCTGTCGAGGAGAAGAAAGACCCAGCTAGCTTCGCCCCGCTGCCATACAACCCTGCCGCTCCAGCAGCACCAGAGCCAATTCAACACCGCGAAAAGACGCCTCCACCAGAAGATGGCATGACCGGCACAGGTCTAGCAGCGGCAGTAGCAGCCGACAATGGCATTCCATACACACCTCCAAACCAGACAATCGGAGGAGCTGGCGTAGGCGTGTACGCCTCTCCACCACCCTCAAACCAGGGCCCAGGGCTGCAATACGCAGGCCCACCAGCCTACACATCTCCTCCGCCTAGTGCTGGTCTTCAGCACTCGAACTCTTTCTCTGCCGTCCAACCTTCGACCCAAAGTCCGGCAATGGCCGCTCCTTCGTACCCGCAATCGTTCATCAGTGGACAGGGACACCCCAACAGCCGACAAGGCTCTATGTCTTTTGCACCACCGCCTCAAGATCCAAATGCTCATCTCTTTGATAGGCAGGTGTATGGTGGCGCGCAGTCCCAGACGCCACCTCAGCATCAGGCTACGCCTCTAGGTGGATACTCAAACTATTCCTATAATCGGACATCGGCGCAGAACGCACAGCCTCAACCTCAGCAGTTGCAACGTGCAGGCTCCGAGTATGACATTCATAGCCAGGTCTACAGGCCCACAGAGATAGAGGCTGGCCACCACAACCAGAAATATGCACAGAAAGCTATGAAGAACCCAGGGCAGCGGCCTAGGAAATTGGAAGAGAAAGCCGAGCGGTTGGAAGGTGGCATGAACAGGTTCTTGAAGAAGCTTGAGAGAAAGCTATGAGTCGGCTTGCTAGGGGAATGTAACTAGTACATTACACACTTCAGGATGTCTGTTGACGGTCATATTATGCTGGAGCGTTCGCTTTTTCTCTCGTTTCTTTCTCGCGGCCGCTGCGCGGTCTCATGAACATGCATTTCATAATCTATTGCCTATGTGCGATGGGGACCTCCCCTAGCTGAGGACTAGAGACGAAGCATTTGTATATGTTATGTGAACCCGCTTTATTGATGAAAACAAATTGCTAAATTTGATGATGCCCTAAGCGCTAAGAAAAATATGCTCACAGAAACGGCACAGAGAATGCAAAAAGTAAGTAGACAGCCCAGCATGGAGAACATGAGGATGCTAGGAACAAGAATAGAAGAAACCCCGGGGAAACTCAAATGGTTGAAATGCTCGAGATCAAGCTCGAACCTGGAAAAAAAAAGAGGCTCACGCTCGGTGAGGCAGGAAAGGAAGCAAGGTATGTATATGATCAGAAGATTAAAAGGTTGTTCCAGAACGTATCGAAGCCCAAGGTTCCGCTACCAGGAGAATATGGGACAAGTCAAAAGTGCACAGCATTTAGTTCAGGGCCAGATTGGTGATGTCGAGAGCGACATTGCTTGACTCGGCCTCAGGCGAGGGTTGCACAGCAGGAGCAGACTCCTTGGACTCAACCTCAGCAGGAGCTTCCTCTGTGGGTTTGGCCTCTGCAATTACAGCCTCTGTGGTTTTCTCAGTGGGCTGTTGTGCGGGCTCAGAGGTTGCCTCGGTCTTCTCAGAGACCTCAGCTGGGAGGTCAGCAGACTTGGAAGACTGAGCCAGTTCTGGTTCAGCTGCGATAGTCTCTTGCTCCTCAAGAGTCTCGGAATGGACATTCTCGGCGGATTCTGAGCTCTTAACGGGCTCTTCGGCAGGCGCTTCGGATTCAGTCACGTCATTGCTGACGGCAACCTGTTCAACCTTCTCCTCAGCGGCTTCGGGAATAGGCTGAACAGCAGGCTCTGTCTTGACCGGAATTTCCGAAGCTTCCACAGCCGGAGTAGAAGTCTCCACAGGTGCTTCCTCAATGATGGGCTCAGGGATTTCCACTGACTTCTCATTCGACTCGGAAGCAGGCGCGGGAGTGGGTTCCACGGCAGCTTCATCAACCTGAACCAGGGAAGCTGTCTCTTCAATGGGCTTCGCAACAGCCTCGGGCTGTTCCTCAACCGTAGCCTGAGCAGGCTTCACTGGAGCAGACTCCTTTGGGCTGATAGGAATAGGCTGGACCTCATTCTCTTTTTCGCTTTCTTGCTTCTTCTGGGGAGGCTTGGAGGTGTTCTTCTGCGCTACAGAGCCCTTGTTCAGCGCAGGCCTCAAAGTCGTGCTGTTGGGCTTTGTGTCAGATGTGCCACGTTCCGCGACCCTTCCAATAGAGGGCCTGGGTGCCTTGTGGGCAGTGGTTGTCTTTGCTGTGGGCTTTGCATCAGCCTTCTCCTGAGCTTGTAACTTGTTGGCAGAGCTGGCGGTAGGTCTCATCATTCTTGCGAGGAAGCCTTCATTGACCGGCTTGGTATGTGTATCATTGGCTGATTGGCTTGGCAATGAAGGACGAGATGCCTGTCTGCGGACGCTGGCGGTCGGAGTTGTCGCACGCTGACTTCCGACTGCGCTCTTGAGAGTTGAGGGTTTTCTATGAAGGGTGGAGGTGGCAGTGGTGCGGGCGCTAGGAGCACCTGTGCTTCCAAGCTTCCCGGTAGATGATTGGGTTTGCGGCGCTGTCGAGCCAGTCGCACGCGCGGGTCTGACTGGCGATTTGACTCGGGGTCGGGTGGACGCGCTTGTGGCAGACGGTTTCGAAGCATCTTGGGCAGGGGTCGCGCCTCGGGTCGATCGCGCTGTTGTCTTAGGGTTCAATGAGACGCGACTCGGCTTGTGCGCTAGAGCATTGGAACGCTCCTTGGCCAGTTCGCGGGCCGATGGCTTGGGGTTTGTGCTGGTAGCGGGCTTGGCAGCCGAAGGCGCTGCGGTTGATTTCGGCTTGCTGGCTACATTGCGTGCAGGACCCAGCGAAGAAGGCTTCTTCTTTGCAGTTGCAGACGAATCTGAGTTGTGTGAGAGGGTATCGGATCTCTCCGATTTTGATCCGGTGGAGACATTCGTCTCGGTCTTCTCTAGGGATGGCTCCGCTTTGGGTTCTGTGTCGGTGTTTGTCGCGGTGGTTGTTTTGAGAGTTTGGTCAGGTTCTCCCTTAATTTCCTTGTCTTGTTCTGGCCGGCCATCGGCCATTATCTGACCCAGAGTCGCGTTCTGGGGGTGCTCTAGGCGGCTGAGGGGAGTGGGGGAAACCATTGTTTGTCGACCGGACTCCGTCTCTTCCGAAGTGATTTTTGGACCAAATATACCAGAGCTGTCGCTGCGCCCGCTTGTTTTCCTCAACGGGGAAGCTGGGTTGGATTGCACAACACCGTCAACGGTGATGAAGCTGGCGCGGACTTTGGATAATTGCCGAGCGGTTCCCGAGGAATCGGACGCAGCTGGAGATCGGCCGCGAGATGGCGGGGAGGCGACGGGGCTCTGATTCTCGAATTTGGCGAGCAAGCTGCGTACGCCGGGGTGGTGAGGGTTGTTATCGGACATGATACAGGATACGTCAGTTCGGCGGGAAGGGTGGGATGAATATAGGGGTGAGGTTCAAAAGAAAGCTTGGAACGGTGGGACTGCTAATCGGATAGTGGCAGATCCCACTCGGTCCCAGTTCAACTGCAAACACGAAAGATGAATTGGAAGAAGAGGCGAGGGTGTGAAGAAGATCCAAAAACTATTACATACATCGCGCTAGTACGGGCTAGCGTCAATAGACAACGGCCCTTACTTTCAGGGGCTCCTTGACGATTTAATTTACTTGTATTACTTGAAACCCCCCTATCTCTGAAACAATGAGGACACTTTGTAAGTAGTTCTCTGGACTATGTGTCATAACTACTGTGTACACGTTTCCATTGTTCAAATAGCCGCAGATCGCGAGTGTTTCTGCTGTACAAGTAGACGAGCTGAAACCTTGAAAGGACATCGCTCGTGGTAAGCCCTTCATATGGGGTAGTAATCGTCATTATGTACCTAAAGCATGCATACTAATTTAGGTGCATGTCGAGGATATAAGGCTCTTGGGTTCCAAGGTTCTCTCGGCTACTCCCTAGGTGTACCGGATTTCCCCTAGACTTTCCCTATAGATCCTGGATTCAGAGAATCTCGATGAGTGCTTGCTGAGCACCAAAAGAAATGGACCAATTTATTGAAGTGTGTCTCTCACATAGCTAGTCCTGAACCTCCATCATTTCCTTCTTTCCCCACCTTGAGATTCTTTGTGCATTGTGGTCAAATGCCTAGGTGGAACCTTATGTCTTTCTTTATACTCCGTATGAGGCTATTATCTTTGTTGCATTGTCGTTTCCATGGGACATGCCAGGTGTATTTTCAACTACCGATGTTCACTAAACACCGCACTCCATCTCCGTACTCCGTACGTTGTGATTCAATAGTTAGATCCTTAGATCCTCCCAGATGACAATAGTAACTCTTCAGCCAATGAGAGACAAGTATGACACGTGACGGCTCTAAATGTTCCAAGTAGACCTCGCCAAACGCGGGTTTGGGTTGGGTTTTCAATTTCCTTACCCGCCCATGGGCAACCCACCGCGGGTTTTGGCCTTGATGAACCCGCCCATGGGCTCTTGGCGGGTACCCGCGGGTTGCCCAAAATACCCAAAAACATGCATAAATCGTGGATAAACTTGATTAGTCATCTGGTGTAATTTTGGTCATTTATTTCTGTAACGCTTTTGAGTGGATATTACACTGAAACTATGAACGCCATCGACCTGGAAATATATATTCTCTAAATGTAGATCACTGCCCCCATCGCCCTGCTTTACACATCTGAAGGGATTACAGGCCACATTGATGATTTTATGTAAATTCATCAATTGAGAATCTTTCGAGTGAGCTCAAAAATATTATCCTTAGTTCGATCATTTAAAATCAGTGTTTTGGACCTTCTCAGTGTCCTCCCAAAGTCGTATTCATCTCCGGGCGGGTTGGGTTGGGTTGGGTTTTGGGTACCCGCGGGTTTTACGCGACTCAGGAATAGATAGATCCAAACGCACGACGCGACTGGAACAAAATCCACAATCAAGTACTCAAGATGAAAAAAATCCCCCCTTCTTCCAATACCAGTGGCCTTTTACTTCAGTATGGCGTCTTCTTCCTCATCATCGCGATCAATACATCGGCCTTTCAGTCCACTGCTCTCCATTGAGCCGTCATCTGACGGCTTCTTGGATTCTGACATTCAATCCCCCGTAAGAAAATGGTCCTTTCCACTAGCCTCTGAGTGTTGCGGCGCTACCTACTTGTATACTAAGATGGACCGCAGCCTTTGACAGGACCCCGCAAAACGTACGACATAACTACTCGAAGACCTCCAGCGACACTCCGACGTGTGGGACCTCAGCACAGAAAGAAATGGATTGCGTACGAGTCGCATCTAGAGACAGAGTTTCTTGAATGGTGGAAGGAAACAGAATACGGCCAAAAGCTGAACGGAGAAGGCCAATCCCAGATCAAATGGTCCACCGGATCGCGTCACGCTGATGTGTGGAAACACTTTGACCAGGTGGCTGATATTGATTCTGGGCGTCCTCGAGTCATCTGCCAGGCTTGTCTCACTGTGCTTGATCATCCACAGTATAAAGGGAATGGGACAAGCGCCATGAGTAGACACAAAAAGTCTAATACTTGTCGTAAAGGGAAGAAAAAGGGATTTAATCAGTCATTGATTTCGGATTCTTTGCAGAACCATTTCACGAGAGACTCACCCAGTGTCCACAGAGTGACAACATTTCAAATCGAGGAGCAGATATTGAAGACAATTACGTGTCTTCGTTTGCCTTTCCAGACGGTGGAGAACCCGGTGTTTCAGAGGCTACTCAGCCTTTTATATTCTGGTCCCGGAGAATTGGAACTTCCGTCAGCGAAGACCCTGCGGAGGCGGCTCCGGGATGCAGTCAATTGCCAGCAAGAGTTACAGTTACAAGATCTGCCTGAAGATGCCAAGGTTTCCCTCGCTTTAGATTGTTGGACCAGTCCATTTCAGCAGGCATTCATGGCAATCACGGTTTATTTCATCGACAAAGATTGGAACTATAGGGAAATGCTCCTCGGCTTTGAGCCGTTGCACGGTCCTCATACAGGCAACAACCTTAGTGATGTTTTGCACCGGTTACTGGAGGAACGAAAACTTCTCGATCGTATTTTTAGCGTTACTACAGACAACGCTACCAACAACGACACCATGATACGCGCCTTGCAAGAGAGACTGCTCTCTATCGGAGCTATTAGCTCCAGGGAATCAATAGTCCGGGTTCCCTGCATGGCTCATGTGATCCAGCTTTGCCTGAAACAGCTACTGGGACATATCAGGGCAGCACCTAAGAATAAAGAAGTCAGAGCCTTTTGGTCCGACACCCAAGCCCACGGGTTGAAGGATTCGATCAACTATGGAGACGTGGCTCATACACTGACAAAGGTGAGCCAAGATATTCACTTTTTCAATATACTCAGAGCACTGACAGCATTAGATTCGATCCTTTGCGATCTTTGTCAACGCAAGCCCACAACGGCGTGATGCTTTTTTATGCCTCCAATCAGGTGGTACTCGGCTTTTTCCGTTACATGACGTTCAGACACGCTGGAATTCAACTTTTTTGATGCTTCGCCGAGCACGCCGGCTGAGAAATGTAATCGACAAATACTGCTGCGATCATGAATACTCGCAGCTCAAGGTTACCGACGTTGAATGGAGGCAAATTGACTACCTCGTTCATTTGACCAAACCGTTTTTTCAGTTCACCATGGCTCTGATGAAGACCAGAGACGTCACAATCCATAGTGTGTTCCTTGTGTATAGGAAACTACTGGAGCATATCGAACGGTCGAATCGAAGATTGAAGAGAAAGACAACACCCTGGAAGAAAGACATGTATGGCGCGTTGCTTGTGGCGAGGCAGAAGCTGAAAGAGTACTACGAAAAAACCTACCGCGACCACGGTTTTCTCTATGGCACTGGAACATTACTTGCCCCTCAGTATAAACTGAGTGCTTTTGATGATCGAGAGTACTCAACTTGCCATGAAGATACGTCAAAAAGGTACTGTGAATATTTGAGAGCATCTTTCACACAGTATCAGCAGCAGAACCCCGAGTTGCTATTCCGTACGGTCCAGCGATCTTCCAATTCGCATAGCACAGAGCTTGATCGGCTACTCGAGCCACCTGGTGCAGCGATTTTCCATGAAGGAGTAGAGTATGACGAAGTGGACCAGTATCTTCGCGAAGGCACGAGCAATCAGTACAACACACTAGAACAACTGACTGACCTCGAATAGCCAATGTCCCTGTGTCGCCGCGACTTTATTGGAAAGAACACGAGCGCGAATTCCCAGTGCTGTCTCGGCTCGCACGAGACTTGCTTTCAGTCCCTGCCACCGGCGCGGGTGTAGAAAGGCTCTTCAATAGCGCACGAGACATTTGTCATTATCGCCGAGGGTCTCTTCACGAAGGGACTATTCAAGACTTGATGATGTACATGTGCTCAGAAAAGCTCACACTAGAGGGACAGCAATTGATTCGTCTGGAGAAACCGTTGGAGAGCGAGAGCCAAGAGGCACTTGAAGAGGATGAAGCGTTGAAGGCAATCGAAGAGGATGCAGAGCCGATCAGCGACAATGAGGAGATTGAAGAGAGCGAGAATCTCGAGGGTAACTCTGAGCCAGAGGGGACATACCAAGTGGAGTGTACGGTGGTAGAGACCGGCCGGAGCTCTATACACAGACATATTCACGAACCTGAACAAGAAGAAGAGAGTATGGAGGAAGACGTGGTTGATTACGACGAAGCAGATTTACTTCCGCCTCCAATCATGCAATTGAGTGATAGAAGCCAGAAGAGATCTTCTGGTCGGGTAACAATGCCCTCCAGCAGACTGCGAGGTTACGAGGTATACTAGTCTTTAATAATTAGCCAATTTGATTTTTACAAGCCCTTCATGTTCCTTTCCAAATATTCTCAGCTAGAAGCTAGTAGTTACGCCATCGAAACAATTAGATAATCGAAAATTACTGCATAACTTAGTGTAAAATGATCAGTCAGCTTTTTTTGCTTTTTTGGGTAATCGCGGGTACCCATTTGGGTCTTGGGTTGGGTTTCCCGGATGACAACCCGCCCCCGGGTTTGCTGACTAAGACCCAACCCGGCCCATGGGCTGGGTTTTCGCGGGCGGGTTTGGGCGGTGGGCGGGTTTTGGCGAGGCCTAGTTCCAAGGTTCCTATACGAGGTCCATTTGGCCATCTCATCCTATACTCATCTTATATCTAGATCATGCTACTATGATCAAATTATGGTTGGCGTGCCTCGTAGCCATGGATGTTCACTTTGTGTCAAACGCCGAATCAAGGTGAGTCTTCAACATTTGCCGCAAGCTCGTTACTCACAACGCCACAGTGTGACCAAAGACTGCCTGGCTGTGTCAAATGCGAGAAATATGGCCAACCTTGTCCTGGGTATGACCGAGGCTTTAGATTTGTGGCTGGAAAGCCATATCGAAACCGGCGTCAGCCCAAATCACCGGGCGACAAGAAAGACACACCTTTGAGTGCAACGTCCAGCCCAGAGATAGAGTTTGAGGCTGCTGGTCAGACACTAGCTCTAAGAGAAAGACCTCATATGATCATTTCCAAGGATCTGAATGTCATGCAATGCCTGTGTACGCTCATAGACGACTTCTCCCAGCCATACTCGCCCAGCCCGAGGCACGTTGTGACCCGCTGGCTAGAGTTCCTGCCCTCCATTTACGGCCAGAATAAAGTTTTGGATTCGACCATCAGGTCTTTCACAGCCCACCACTTTGGGCGCGTGGCTGGAAACACGCAAATGGTCTCATATGCGCGAATGGCATACGGAGAAGCCCTCCAGGGACTCCGGAGATCTTTGGAGACACCTGCTGAAAGCCTCTCTACTCACGTGTTCTGTGCAGTTGTGATGCTGTGCATGTATGAGGTAAGAGCATAACCAATTGGCTCTGGCTGTCAGGATTACACTGACAGTGTCTAGCTATTCACGGATACCGAGAACCCAGACTCATGGATGAAACACGCCAAAGGACTGAGTCAGTTGGTGAAAATTCGAGGACCAGATAGGTATAGCAATTTGCTTGACATTACACTACTCAAAGCGTCTCGAGGCCTAATAGTACGTTTCATGTCTCCCCTGGTGATGGGGAAACTTCTGCTTGGGTGATCTAATGTCTGTCAGGTCATGCACTCCATGTTTTCTGGGGAGGAATGCTTTCTAGCCTCTGAAGACTGGCATCAGAAAATGCGACAACAATTTACGACAGACTTATCAGCAGAAATGCACAACAGCATCGAATCATTCTTTGCATACTTCACATACGCACCAAGTCTTGTGCACAAGCTTTACGCCTTGAGGCACATTGAGTTGACTAAGGCTGAGTCGCTACACGCGATTTCAGAAGTGGTGTCTAAAGCTCTTGAGATGCAAATGAATTTGGCCACCTGGTACGAAAACTACTCGCGAATTGCATTACCGCCCGTCGAGAAACTTTCTTCAACGAGGGATAAACTATACCCCATCATCCTTGAATACGCAGATGTGAGTCAGGCAACGATATATTGTGGCTACTACTCCTACATGGTGATCATCCATGAAGTATTGAAAACTTGTGGATATCCAGGTGACCATGAGATGATGGTCATCTACTTCAAGGATCAAATCTGCAAATCGGTTGAATACAATAGCGTGGGAGTCTTGGGGCCATATCGAATGGGATTCCCTCTACGCGTGGCGATCGAGATTGCCGACCCAGTGACGAAATCATGGATTATGGGTCGACTCGAACAATTTTCAAAAATTTACGCCGCATCTGAACCAAAGAATTACGAAACTGTTCTCTGATTACAAAAATTATATTCAATAATGTCACAATCCCAAAACAAAACTTTCACCCAGTCAGTTCCCCGGAACCCACAAACTCACCGACAACGAAGTTCTCAATTTTCCGGCGTTTCCAAGTCATCATATGCAATCCGCTTCTTAATTGCCGATGGCCAAATAGGTTCCGCCACTGCTCGTGCCAGCAGGAGGAAGATGACAATCAATATTTCCATCAAAAGACCCATCCCAACCATAATACCAACATCACCATTCGCGGGGTTGAATTTGGGGGGACCATACTCCAAGAGCAGGAAGTAGATCACTCGAATCAACAAGAATGGCAGAGTCAACAGAGCCAGCAGCGTTGCTCGTTGACCTGATTCAGGAAGGACTGTCCGGGATTTCACCGCGAGCCAAGTCACCAAACTGCACACATAGACGAAGGTAACAATCAGAACAATCGATCCAGCCTCCCCCAATTGGTGCATTTTGATGATTCCGCCGACGACGGCGAGGACAATGGCAATGAGAATCGGAAAGCGGAAGAAGTGCAGGGCGAAGCGAATTGGCTTGGTCCATTTCGAATTTCCCGGTCCAGTTTCTCCGGATTGTCCACTATGTACAGGCGGTTTTAGCATTGGTGGATACCTTGTTTGATTCAAATCTCAAACTTACCATCTCAGCATCACTAAACTGACTTCGAACAAAAGGGGTGAAAGGCCCACGCTTTGCAGGATGGATGCCGCAGTGACCATTGACATGTTCGGGTGGGAGGCGAGCACTAAAGCTGAACCAGCTATGCGAACTGCGACGAGTTAATCAATATCCTCAGAAAGATTATGCATTGTATTCCGGCCACTCACTTTGCGATAGCAGACCGACCATGCTCCACCAAGAGTAGAGGATGTAGCGTCCGATGCTCTTGTTTTTGTTGTGATGCCAGTATTGCCGCTCTTGTATGAATCTCGTACCAAACTGGACAATATGAATCAAGGAATAAATCACTATCTCAGCGATAGCAATGTTTCGCTTTCCGGTTGAGATGGACGAGTCTGAGTCCACGGAACGGGATAGAAGGTTGGATTCCATGGTGAGTCCCTATAACGAGAGATCGTTGGTGATTGATTTCGTGCCCAGTGGAGTTTTCAGTTGAATTTGAAGGACATCAAGTGCAATTGAACCCTTTAAGTATCTCATTTCTGGCAATATCATCCTTTTTTTGACTTTGTATACACTGGATCCACCTCGTGGTAAATGACCCATTTGGGTTTAGCGTCAGTGCGTAGCTCGTAAATGACACGACCCATGGACGGCAAAGCGAACTGTTCCAAGGTGCCTTGGAAATTATAGGTTAATATTTTTGCTTCGCGATAAAAGACCCATTTGGGTAATTTTCGCCTGCAGGTCTGAATAATATTCATAGTAATATTATCGTTGCGAAGCTTACCTGCAGTACCTTATGCCCCACAAGGTTCTCTACTCCTTGACTGGATACTGTTTACTGGATCTACATTGAAATTTGTGTCATCTCATAACTCTACAATTGATGCTATAATATGTTTTTATTTTTTTATTTTTTTATCATACTACCCCGTACAGATTCTAGATCTATGAGTCGTTGCACAGGTCGCAACACAGATCACAAGAACTTCAGTGGAGTATATTCTATGTTACTCATCTGAGGCGAGCCAAATAAACAAATATTGTGTGCCACAAATCCCGGGTTGACCCGGCATAATGAAGTGAAATCTTTGGACAAAACCATGCCGGGTTGTGTAGAATTCATGCACTACAGGAGAAGATCTTGCAGATTGTATCAAACCCGGCTTCGACAAGCTAATTTCCACCCGTAAGCTTCAATCCTACAAAACCGAGAGCCTGAAGCTGTACGCATAACAGGCCGTGTAGCCGCAGCACAAACTTTGTATTCAAACAGGTTATTCCAATGGCTACGGGCGTCAATGGACACAGGCTTCTAGCAGGCCTCTTGGGTATAAAAGGCTTGATCTCAGCTTCATCTTGCCGATCATCCCATCTACTGCGTACTCAATCAAGATCAGCAAAAACACCACAAGATAAACAATTACTTCGATTCGGTCACAATGGTTGACGCTGCCTATCGTATTCCCGGCAAGAACGAGTACTATATTTTCTCGGGCCGGAATTATTGTCGCCTCAGGGTATCCCCCCCAAATAATGAGAGTATTGCTGCAGGCCCAGAATTAATTACCGAGGGCTGGGAAACTCTCCGAAAGGGTGGATTTGGAACGATTGACACTGTGGTCTCTGTTCCGGGCTACGAGGACCAGCTTTATGTGTTCTTCGGAGGCCACTACGTCCAAATCAAGCTCGAAAACTACGATGACAGCTTTGTCATCGATGGAGTCCGTTCAATCGAATCCGGGTGGAAGTCACTTGTCCAAGCGGGATTTGACACCGTGGATGCTGCACTCAGAGTGCCAGGAAGCCACACCAGTATCTACTTCTTCCGCGGCTTGAACTATGTCCGCGTCGACACCGCCACCGACAGAGTGACAGGCAAAGTTCACCAAATCAAGACAGGCTGGCCAAGTATTGCTAAGGCTGGGTTCGACTCTGTCGATGCCATTGTTCCAGTTCTGGACCAGCAGGGTCATTACTATGTGTTCTATGGCGATCAATATGCAGTGATTGGGTTGGATAACAATGGCAAAGATACCCTTATCACGACTGCAAAGCAAATCAGCGAAGGATGGAGATCTTTGGATGGATGGGTCTAGAAACAGGTGATACATTTTGTCATTGCCAAGTTAGTGTGATCTTGACCTCAGATGCAATGAAAGCAAACATTCATTCCATTCACAAGTGGAAGCAAGATGAGTGGTCAGACTATGGATAGCAGATTTTTGGGTTACGTAGTACTTAGCAAGATCCAATGGTACCAGATATCATCTCCAGGGCTGTAATAGATCATTTGTTGTCATTCGACATCGCTATGAAACAGCGCTGATCATGAGCAAGTCCAAACTTTGGCGTGACTCCGGACCGGAGGAAGGGATTCTTGTCGGATAAACGATGATCCTCCCCCATACAAAAAGGAAAGCTCCGATGACGGCGAAAGTCCAGCAACTCTGCAACAGATCAAAAATGGCTGCCGCTCGTACACTTCGTATTGGTACGATCGCCTGGGCTCTCCAAAACTGTGGCATGTCAATTGGCTAATGGGTGTCATTATCTAGGTCTCATCCCCGGAGACGGTATCGGACGGGAGGTCATCCCGGTGGGTAGCTCCAACGACATGAACGATGAGCCAATTGACTGACCTGGGGTTTTTTTTGATACAATATAGGCTGGTCGTCGTCTTCTCGAGTCTCTTCCCTCTTCCCTGAACCTCAAGTTCAACTTCGTTGACCTCGAGGCTGGCTACGACACTTTCCAGAAGACCGGAACTGCTCTGCCCGACAAGACCGTCGACACTCTGAAGAAGGAGTGCGATGGCGCTCTTTTCGGTGCTGTCAGGTAAATCCAAACCTACAATTGTCTCCCACCAGCTCGGTCCCGCTGACAACGACCGCCCACCTCTAGCTCCCCCAGCACCAAGGTCGCTGGTTACTCTTCCCCCATTGTCGCTCTGCGCAAGAAGCTCGACCTCTTCGCCAATGTTCGCCCCGTCAAGACTACTGTCGGTAGCAGCAACGGTAACCCTATCGACCTCGTCATTGTCCGCGAGAACACCGAGGACCTTTACGTGAAGGAGGAGCGCACCACCGAGGGCCCCGACGGCAAGGTCGCCGAGGCTATCAAGCGTATCTCCGAGCGTGCCTCTAGCCGTATCTCCACCATCGCTGGTGAGATCGCTCTCCGCCGCCAGAACATCCGCGCCGCTGCCCCTGCCACCTCCACCCGCAACCAGGCCATGGTCACCATCACCCACAAGTCCAACGTCCTTTCCCAGACCGACGGTCTCTTCCGTGAGACCGCGCGCAAGGCCCTTACCGCTGAGAAGTTCTCTTCCGTCCACATTGAGGAGCAGATTGTCGACTCCATGGTTTACAAGCTCTTCCGCCAGCCCGAGTACTACGATGTCATTGTCGCCCCTAACCTGTACGGTGACATCCTGTCTGACGGTGCTGCTGCCCTTGTCGGCAGCTTGGGTCTCGTTCCCAGTGCCAACGTCGGTGACAACTTTGCTATCGGTGAGCCCTGCCATGGCAGTGCCCCCGACATCGAGGGCCAGGGTATCTCCAACCCCATCGCTACTCTCCGCAGTGTTGCTCTTATGCTCGAGTTCCTGGGTGAGGAGCAGGCTGCTGCCAAGATCTACGCTGCCGTTGACGGCAACCTGGATGCTGCTCAGTTCCTTACTCCTGACATGGGTGGCAAGGCCACTACCCAGCAGGTGTTGGACGACGTCCTGAAGAGACTGTAAGAGATGAAAAAAAGACTTGTATAAATTTCAGGATTAGCAAATGACAGGAGAGAATGAATGTGTAATTTTCTCGTATATGACGGTCATCGGAATCATCTCTAACAGTAAGGCACGACTGAGTGACAAGAGGACTGGCATCATGTCGCCTGATGCATTCTCCTCGCCGAATCCAGGCTCTTTCTCCAAACCCAGGGCAACCTTACTCCACGTCACCAGCTGATGGCTCCGGCTCCCAGTCAAACTTTCCTAAATTCTCATTTTTGTCCTGGGTACTCTGTCCTTGCTTGTCTCGGTTTTCCGCGAGAACCACAGAGAAGACAATGGCAAGATACACCTGCCCAGTAGATCTGTCCTTGAGTGTATAGCGCAACTCATGGTTCTTCTCTTCCACGTACTTCATGACATGCAACGTGAAACCAGGCAGACGAACCGAGAAGTCTAAGACCGGTAAGCAATGACGAACGAAATAGGCACCACGGGTTAAGTTTCACTTACCAGTGAAATCCAGATAAGGATTTCCAAAATCTGCCACATACATCCTACCTGGCTCGAACTCGAAGTCTTTCCTATTCCCTTCATCCTGGAAATGCTTTCTGCGCCCCTCGACTGTATCAGGGATATTAGACTGTCGACGATTCTCCGCAGCCTCTTCACTGTAAGCTCCCTCTTCGACCACTTCATCATGAAGCTTTGGAACTCCGTCAGATTTGCTCATCTTATCGCCAATCCGGAGTATATCCCACGTAGCCAGGGCTGGGCTGAACAGATATGGTTGCTCTGCGTAGACATCTCCATCTAATCCCGGATCAAGCGTCCATTTAACCATCCGCAGCGCGGCATTGAAGCCCGGGGGCAGTATATCGCGGATCGGATGGTCAAAGTCATTGCCGAAGACGAGATCGTTGCCGTTCACGCGCTCTTTGAAGACGATCGAGAAACATATGGAGTACAAGTCCTTTGTATGTAGAGGGTGCTCGAAGTATGGGCTGGTGGAGGGCGAGTTTTTGGGATATCCTATGGATTGAGGGCCGGGTCAGCTTGGGTGCTTCTAAAATAGGACATCATCATACCTGTATAGCCTTTAATACGCACACACAGACTCACGATGGCATGATCATTTTCTATGCGTATTGTATCACCATTTACGGGTACCTCTTGATGGGTATCACTGTGATGAACGGGACCAGCTGTAACCCTCAAGCGGGACTCGTGGGCATTGGCTTCGTGACCAGTCATGCTTGATCATGTATAACGAGTTGGATTTGTGGACAGTAAGATCGACGGCTTCCCAAAGTTGAGTCTTGTGATTTTTAGCTCGTTCCTCATTATCGTTCAAAAATTGAGCCACATACCTATAGATTTCAACTAGAAGAGAAGAATACGTGTGAGTGTGAAAACCAGAAGCTACAACCCGGAGGTCAAGAATCTAGGTTCATGTTGACGCCCGACAACGTCATCGCAGTCCACCAAGTGACGATAAGATCTGATAACGATTAATCATATCAAAAATCTTTAAATTCATTCTGATGGTCAAAGGCTATGATTTATGTGGACATACACCTAGCTCCTAGTCTAGTATCAAGCTGCAATGCCCGGGATTCAGCACAAAGCACATGTAGAATACCACAGAATCTAGTGGTTCGAGCTTCTTCGTTTAGTTTGCCTACTCAGGGCGTTATTAGTGGAAGTAAAGATTTGAAGCATTCCAGAAGTTTTGCGCGGACATGATCCGAGCCGTTTTCCAAAATGCGCCCATCTACTACTCCGTACAGTACTCGGGGTAAACGGCATTCTTCCCGGCCCCCAAATTAGTTCGGGGACTGACCTCACGGCCCCCAAAGAAGGGAAGTTACTCACATCTGATTGGCTCCGTAAGACACGGAGACCAAAAGGGATAGCTCGGCCGCAAAACCATAAAAGTGGTGGAGAACGCCAAGACTCTAAAGAGTATGAGGACCAGGACACTTAAGGTAGATGGACCCTCCTGAGGACTTTTTTCAACTCTGAGATGTATGATACTCTCTACTTCTGCTTCTGATTTTCATAAATTCAACCAAATATCCCCCCAAGAGCACCTCCGATTGCACAATGGCTTCATCAGACATCCCTTCTGATACTCAACAACTTCAACATCCGCTCGAGAACCCCACATTTACCGTCAATTTCACATGGCGAGGATGGAAAGGCAAAGTCTTCGATGCCAAGTATCCTGGATCTGACCCTATATACACCATTGACTTCCCGGCCAAATCTGTTGCTAAATCGGAAGCCACAATGATCTTCAACAAGGGTGCCAGTGAAGAAGTTGTCGGAAAGGGCAAACTTAATCTGGTCTCCATCCATCCAAGCTATGAATTACATGGACAGAAGGGTCAACTACTGGCCCAGAAACGCTTCCGCACTGTGTACACCCACCGTTCGCTCAACTTTTCTACGAACGACACTCCCGTCACAATGACATGGTCAAGTGATGCAGGCTTTAAGACCTGGGATTTTGTCTGCGTTGACGAACAGCAGAACGCCGTGGCCAAATTCTCGGGAAATGCTTGGGGTGTCACCAATGTTGGCAAAATCGAGTTCGATGGTCCAAAGAAACACGATCGAGCTGCGCAGGAGGAGCTTTTGGTCACGGGAGTAATACTTTTCTACTGCATGATGGTTCGATGCAGTAACATTTTCAATCTCTTTGGGGCTATCTTTTCTCGTCCTGGACGCAAAGAACACATTGATCCTCAGCCTACGACTGGGACTGGCCAGGGAGCTCCTTGAATCAGTCTCTATTGAATACTGCCTTTGTTTTTCGATTAGAGAGATACCCTTTCTGCTGTACTTATTTTTGTGAGATTCACCATTGGTTACTCCGTATAGACAGTCAAGTTCAGCAACTAGGATTGGTTGTTTTTGCAATGCTTCTTGCAACCCCTTTGAAATGTGCCCTTCGGATGAGATCTGCGCTCATGGCTTGAGACTTGACCCACCACGTACAGCCACTTCAGGAATCAACTTTGCGGAGCAGTCGTTGCTGAATGGGATGAGAGGGTTCAGAAACGCGATTTATTGCTATGCATAAGACACCTGGAGTAAATGGGGAGTAGATAACTTTGAGACGAAACGTTTTATCTGATATGAGTTCTTAGTCAGCATGTCCCCGCCGCGGTTTCTGTGTTTGTTTACATAGTTTGCAGAAGAACTCCGAGTCGAAAGCCCGACGATCGACCAATGTCCGGCGCCTTCTTCGACCCCTATCACTCTTGGACTTTGGTCCTGTGACTCAGATCATTTCACTGAATGCGTCGAATTAATCGCCCAACATGACAACCCGAGCAGACTCCGCGGCTTCCCGACCGCGATCTCGTCGGTCTCTCGCTCATGTGCCGCGGTCGAAGATGATGTCCGCCCTGGACAAGGAGAATTCAACGGCGGAGTTGAGAGGGACCCAACCTTTCGCAAATAGCTCCAAATCCGCCATAAGAGACAAGAAGTCCCGCAGCAAGAGTTTGGGCCCCGGTGGCCTCGATGCGCTTCAAAGTTCGAACGGAAACCGCCGCCAGGTAGCTATCATTTCGACCCCTCCATGCGCGCATGCGCGCGCGAAATTATTCTGACGTGGAATTTTGTCTAGTCTACGGCCTCATTCCCTCTAAAATCCATCCTCAAGCCTACTGTTCCCGTGTCTCCCGTGCGGAACATCCCGTCGTTCGAGGAAACGCGCCGGCGCACGCCCGCTCGTGGCAAACCGCAGAGCCACGACGGCACAATGGATGGAGAAAGCTCGGAGGAGCAGGGAAAGGAGGGGCTCCTGATTGACTTCGAAATGACACCAAACCCCCCGCGACGGCTACTGGTTTCGACGACAATGACGACACCGCCAACCCATTTGATACTTTCAATGCCACATCTGCTATCCGTGAGGAGATGGCTGCTACCAAAGAACGAGACGATAAGGAGCGCAAAGATCGCGAGCGTCAGAACATCCTAGAGAAACGCGAAGCTCGACGAAAGTCAATGGGTTAGTCTTTGTCCTATCACGTTGAAAAAACCAATACTAACAACACTTTTCAGCAAACCGAAGGGTGTCCTTTGCCCCCGAAGCTACACTGCACACGTGGAATGTGGTGGAGATCCCCGATGACTCCACAGCATCATCGGCCGCCAACTCGACGAGACGCGCATCTGCTGCTGCAAACGCCCAGAACCAGCCCGCTCCCCCATCGCCCGAAAAGGATGATCCGTCCTCACCGGCAGACTCAGAATTTGGATTCTCGCCTGTGCGCACGCAGGATCTTAACCAGATCAGGGGAGGTCACCAATCATCTGGCAATGGCGACGAAGGCCAACATGAAATGTCGTCTAGCCCATTCAGTGGCAGCTCAGTAGGAAGTGAAGATACTGGAGTCCAAAGCATGGCTGGTGAAGAAGATGATGGGAACTCTTCGGACTCGGACGATGGATTCGATGCCGAAAGTACTGCAATGAGTATGGATGATATGACTTCTAGGTCAGGCGTCAGTGCCCACTCAGATGCGACTTCCAGCTCCAGCTCCAGTAGTAGACTCAACGAAGCCTTGCGTCAAGCTGCACAGGAAGCCGGGACTGAAATTGACGAAGACGGAGAAATGTCAATGGAAATTGCAGACCAGGAGATTACTGGCGCTTTCCAGCCGTGGATCAAGAAGGGCGAGAGGAAAAGCTTTGACTGGGACGATATCAGCGTAAAGCATGACCAGGAGAACATGGATCCACATCAAACTACCAATCCCACAGCAATGCCGGAATCCGACGATTACGAGGAAGACGAAGACCTCAGCATGGACGTGACAAATGCTGTAGGGCGCATTCTGGGAAAATCTCCTGGTCACCGCCAGAGCATGGCTCGCCGCAGGTCTACCGCCGATGAATCTAATTTCGGCGATCAAACAATGGAAATGACAAATGTTGTGGGCGGCATCGCACAGCAGCACTCCCCATCAAAGGAATTTGATAATGACGACGAGAATGACGATGAAGGGATGACGATGGAGTTTACATCGGCTGTCGGCCAAATCCTGGGCAACCGTCCCTCTCAGCCCCCCAACGTTGATGATGATGCGAACAGCGATCAAGGCACCAACTCTGAAGACGGAATGGAGATGGAGATGACCGGTGCTATCGGTGGAATCTTGCAGTCAGGGATCGATGCCAACGACAAGGTACACGCGAAGATGGTCATGGAACTTGAAACCGACTCCGGGCAGCTGAATAGCTCGCCTTTCCAGGACACAGTTCGACAATCTCCTGCAAAATCTCCTGCAAAATCGCCCGCCAAGTCACCTCTAGCCTACCAGATTGCTGCTGTGGCATCTGAAAGTGGAAGCCCTAGTCTGGAATCTGTTCCGGCTAGAACCTCGCGACGCAGCTCCAGCAGGAGATCATCGAGCGCGCCCAAGTCACCTCACCAACATCAGTCACCCCATACCAAAGCATTGACTCCCCCGAAACAATCCACTCCTCAAGTGAAACCAACCACTCCCAGCAAGACACCGCCGTCTAGCAATGTTTCTTTCCGGTCTGCGTCTCCCAAGAAGTTATTCAGGAAAGAACTTCGAGAATCAGCAGACAAGCGCAAGTCTCTCCGTAAGAGTCTATTTGAACATAACGCACTCACCGGGGAATCTACGCCGCTTTTCAAACTCCAGCCCCGCGAGAGTCGCCGCTCTTCTGGTCTCGGAATTGACAAGGAAGGTCTAGGGTCTCCTCGCGTGGCAGCTTTGCTTGACAAACGCCAATCGCTCGGCGAGAGCTCACCGCAATTCGTTCCCCAGGAAAAACCTCAGTCCGGTGTCCGTTTCGAAGACCCGGTACAAATGCAAGAAGAGGAAGAGCGGGATCGCGAGGAAGAGGAACTCAGAGAAGATGGTCACCTACCGGCGGCACAGTCGGACAAAGGTGTAACACCGAGTCTCAAAGATATGATCTCAAGCCTCAGTCCGAAGAAGTCTAGAATAGGTAGCCGCAAGAGTCTGCATGTTGGGGCAGCTCGTGGAATTCTTGGCAAACGCCCCGCTGAACTTGACTTCGACGAAGATGAAGTTGAAAATTCCCCCAAACGTCTGCGTGGCCACGATGTCAGTCCAGTCAAGGGTGTCAAATTGCCGGCGCCAACGGCAAATTATGGCAATACGCGCCGCTCAATCTTGTCCCCTGTCCGCAGAGCAGCCAGCTCATCGCCTCTCAAGGGTAGCACCACGCCGTCGCAAGATTCGCTCGCCCCCAAGACCTCTACAAGCCCTCTCAAGAATGGAGTTGACGCTCTCCACATTGAATCTGATCCTCAGCAACCCGAAGAGGATGCTGAAACCCCCGTTGAGGACTCTGCGGTGGAAGTGGAGCCCATTGAATTGCAGGATTTCCTGAAAATGACCAATATCCATTTCATGGAACTGACCACGACGAAGAGGCGGCACACAACTGCTCCCGGGAGTGCCACTAAGAAACTCATCCGAGCTTCAGGGGAGAATCTACCCAAGCCGGGCTCTATCACTTTTGAGGATTGTGTGGCAGCAGGATTCTGCACTGTGCCAATGCTTGAGCTATACCAGCATGTAAGTTCTTTCTGGCTGTGCTCTTCTCGTCTATATCTACTGATCACACCGTTATAGTCATGCCGGGAGCTCAAGTCATATATCTCCGAAGGTCGAACAGTGATTCGCTCCATCGAGGCTGAGACGTTTGCCGAAAATCCGCCACTCTTCCAAGAGTATGTCAATGCTCCGCCTGATATCCGATTGATCATGGACAACCAGTTCCGAAACGTGAAGACCCATGCTCGTTTGCTTAGCAAGGCCACGTGGTACGAATGGCGCATGAAACTTCTCGAGGGATTGAAGGAAGGGCTAAATCGGCACGTGGATGACATGAAGGCAGACGATGCGCTGCTCATCGAACGCGAAGAGCTCCTGAACAGCAATGTACCCACTCTAGTGGAAAAACACGCATCTCTTGAAGAAGAAGCCAGCACTCTACAGCAATTGGTCGAAGAGATGGAAAATTGCGACCAGGATGAATTACGCAGTACGCGTGGAAAGCTGTCTGACACTGACGCCGAGATTGCAGCCAAGAAGCAAGAGCTTGAACAGCTACAAGCAGAAGTCCAGCAGAAGACGAATCTTATTGAGACGGGCGCTGAGATGCGAGATGAGTTTTTGGCTCAAATCCAGGAGGCGGAGCAAGTGACAGAAAAATGTCGTGGCTGGAGTGCTCGGGAGATCAATGAACTGAAAGGTCGGTTGCTTTTTAGAACACATTTACATGCCCTCATTGCTGACTTGAAAAATAGCTTCTGTTCAACGAATTGAGCGCCAAACCGGGTGGTCGATAATCTCGGCTGAAGCCCCAACCGAGGCACCAGTTGGTCCATTGCTAAAGATGGCTTATCGCGACCAACTCCAGTTGAAATTCTACCCTGGGGCATTTTCCTCCAAGAACAGTGGCCAAGATGACAAGAAGAATTCTCCTCTCGAATTGACCTCCCAAAAGAAAGCGAATATTTCACCTATTGCATCTTTGGTTCTAGATTCCCTGCAGCGCTACCTCGCCACCGTTCAGCAATCTACTGTCGCACCCAAAGAGGTGCTAGGGCTCATCTCAAGCGCGTGGGACCACACCGTCGGTCTAGAAAATGAGGCGCGCATGCTGGAGTTCTGTGGTGTGACTCGTCTCACTTTGTCAAAGCCTGAGGACGGCTCTCTCTCTCTCCGCGCGCGTTGTACGCTACTTGGAAACATCAATACCCCATCATCAAAGCGCAAAAGCCTCCCGAAGAACAACAATACCAAGAGAATCGATGTGGACTTCATGGTTCGCACATGCATTGATAAGTCCGCTGCGGATAGCAGTATCGGCTCCCTTGACTTCATTACTGAGGTATTGGCAACCAAGGTATACGGCTTCGGCACTGGGAACAAGTCTGGTCTTTCTGACAAAGAACTGCAAAGCATTCTCGGCAAAGGTCTTAGCCAGAAGGACGGCAGTACTCAGCTAGGGAATGGTGTGTGGTGTGAGGCCGTACGAGCACTCACAGCTTCTGTTTTCTGATCTTTGATATCTATTTAATGATTATTTGGGAGGTTTGGGGACAGGGCAGGCTGGTATTGGGAAGGATGGCGCAGGGCTATCCCGGATAAGGCGTTGTTGCAAGGTTATACCTACATCATTCTTATCGTCATATCCATTCATTGAATGAATCTACCCGTGGACCCTTTGTGGTTTCTTTTACTATCATTTCAAGCCCTATGCAGTCCCCTTTCTGCTCAGCTGTGGGCCCTCTCTGGACAGTACAGGACACCTTAAGCTAACTCCCTGCGTGTAGTCGAGCTTAGGTTGATATCCAGATGTAGTAGATGAGTATATCAATCTAGGGTACATCCTTAGCTTAGAGAAATACGTACAAACAGAAGTACTGGGCAGAATTGCCAGTCAAAAGACCAAATAAGGGCTCCCTGGCATAACAAATACCAGCTGGGTGAGGTGTCGCATGTCCTGATTTCGCGCCAGCTTAATCCCCAAAGGGCCCAATCCTCTCCATCTGTTGGGTCAGTTTCCTTCCCGAAGTACTGGGTTCGAATCCTAGTCCCGATGTCCAGCTGAATTTGTTATCCTTTTTTTGCTTTCCTTCCTTTCTTTTTGGTTTGTTTGTACCCACTACGATACAGGCCCTGGAGGGTCGAAGCTGGAACTGCGGAATCTGCAATCCTGGAACTCGTGACTGTAATTGGATATCGGACTCAAGCCCTGGGCTCCACGAGGGGCTGATCTACTATATACCCGTGGACACTTCTGATGTGTATTCCCACCTGGGCAGGTAGTCGAGTCCACGGGTAGGCAGTTTCACTACCAACCCGGGCAGTGCATGTACAGGGCAAACGTATGTTTAGGTAAATACCCGTGATAAAAGCTCAATTGCGCTAAAAAAACATCCAGAGAACAAACACAGGCTGTTCACATTAGAATAGTCCCAAAAACCCATTTGACCAAGCCGAATCAGACCCTTGATATCCGTCCTCTTGACCCTCAGTTGCAAACCCATATCCCCAATTCTGAGGATCTAAACCAGCAGACTGGGCCGTATGACCATCCGCAGCCGGCGCACCGGTCATAAACGACTCAGCCGACAAAATCGGCATGGACGGATATGCATCTGCCGGAGCGGGATGAGGCGGTGGGAAATTGTACTCTGTCGGGAAGAGACCGGCAAACAGATTTCCACTGTAGTCCCAGTCCCCAGACATGGGAACTTGGAAGAAATCCGGTATCGGGTTGGTGCTGCTGAAGGATTCCGGGGAGTGGATTGCAGTGCTTGGGGTCGTGGAAAAGTCTTGAGATAGCTGCCATGCAGGTATGTGGACAGGGAGGGCGGAGTTGGCTGCTTGGCTATGGAATTGTTGCTCTGGGTTCGGGGCTAGGGCTGAGCTTGGACTCATGGGTACCACGTAGCCGGATGAGTTGACAGGTGGGAAGCCTTCCATGGTGTCGGGGATTCCAATGTTCATTTGATTGGTATTTGGGGCCTGGATTGATGAGGCAGTAGGAGGCATTGACAGATGGGGGTTGGCGGGTTGGTATTGTCTCGGGGTATGTGTAGTAAGAGAGTTGCGTCGTTTCTTGCCAACGGACTTTTGCTCCTTGCCTTCGATCGATGCAATTGCTCTCTTGCCGTCTTTTTCCACTACGACTCGAGCAATGCGTTCCAGAGTGGCACTCATGCGGGTCATGAACCCAGCGTAGTTGTTTGGACCACTGCCTGGGGTGAGTGTTGCAAAGAAGGTCGAGGCCATGGTGAGGGATTGAAGATCGGCTTGAATGTGAGGATGGCGGGTGTCCCGTAGGATGGCCGAGAATATCGTGGTTGCTGCTAAGAAGACATAGTATAACAATGACCTGATTTTTGAGTGATGAGCCAAGGAGAACAGAAACTGTGAGAGGACTGTTTCACTTACCATGTCCATGCAATGTCTCCCCATGGCATATTATTGATGAGTTTTAGTGTGTCGCGAGCAGACTGTGTGCCAATAGCTCCTGATTTTGCTGCATGTGCTTTGCTGAGGGCCTGAAGCCTTTCTGGCTCATTGCGGGCTGTTACTATGTAATTAATGAATAATGGCACCCGATGTATCATGATGAGGGCATTGTGATAAACAAAGCGTAGGCCGAGAGATGCAAATCCATACAAGAAATCGCGTTCGTCGATTTTCACTTGATGTTCGCTGAGGGGCGGAGAGTCGAGATTCCACTCCTCGAGCTCTGCGTGTAGCTCTTTCACAGTTCTGTAGATCTCAATTGGAGGACGCAGTAGTGCTTTGGCAGAGTACAGCCGGCTGTATATGCGGCCTTTTATGACGGACATTCGGCACATTTGGCGGAAGAATGTGATTTTGTGTGGAGAGCCATCAAGCCTATCACTCTCCATCTCTTCTGGAAGGGGGACGTCAAAATCATCCGGATGTTGTGATGGGGCATTTCCAATTCGTAAACATGTGCTGACATGATATTAGTGATTGCTTAGAGCGTACGAGGTGTACGAATTTTGCTCTCACCTTTGGTCAATCACAAAAGCGACCCAAAAAACCCGTCGCCTCTCTTCTTGTGCAGCTGGACTAAGGTCTGGCCTAGCGATGTCCCGATGGAGACCCATACGTTGACCAGATCGCATAGCTGCAGTTATGAGAGGTAAAGCCGACTGGGTGCCAGAGTTGCCACGAAGAAAGAACGCCTTTTTGTAATCATTAGAGCCTGGCATAAGGAAGACCGAGGGAAACGTACCATGCTGATTAATGCCTGTATACTCAGCAGATCAGTGCGCTTCAGTGCTAACTCCGTGAAGACCGACATGGCGTTCTTGAAGTATAATTCAGCTCTTTCCTTGTCTTTCTCTGACTTGTGACGACTCGAATATCGATATTCATAAGCCAAGGAAATGACCATATTGATACTGGCCCAACGAGCAGCGTCATCACACGTCTGCTGGGTATATTGCCATTCAACCATTTTCATAAATGACGACTCAAGGTAGATTGGAAAGAGACGATTGGCCGTCCGGAAAAAGTCCTTCATAAGAGAAAACACCTCAGACCTTGATGGTAGAGGCTTGAAGACCTGTGACGCAAAGAGGTCGTGGAATACATCTGGGCGCCATTGATTCCACGGATTGTCGTGAATAGAGTCTGGCGACACAATGCGCAAGAAACTGACGTCGCCTGTCTTGCTTTTGATCCACTCTATCCCTGTGCGCGATAGAATTGATAGCGAGCATGATTTCCCTAATTGCCGTGAGCCTCGGTTGATACATGAAATACTTGTAGTATCTTACCAAAATAACGAGAGTCATCTCGTTCGTCTGCTCGGAAGATAGGCGTCCCCTCAAGGTCTCCACATTTCGTCGCTAAAGATGCTGCAAGTCGGGTCGGTGGACCTGACGGGGACGGAATGTCACAGTCCGCATCGTCTTCATCATCAGAAAGGTCGTCGCTAACATCGCCTTCTTGCAAGATACCTGCCGTTTTCAACAGCGACTCGATTCTGACCAGCCGCTCTTTCAAAGATTGGACATAGTCATCGCCACTGTCATCATATTAGCTCCTGGTTCATTGCATAGTGGGATGATGGATATTGCCGGACCCTTGGTGATCTTCGCGCTTTTCTTGCTTTGTAGGGAAAACACAGTGAGTTCCGCGGCGTATGCACTGTATACAAGTTGTACTTGACCTATCGATCTCGCATTTTGTCTTTTTCCGGTGACACATCTCACAAGCCTGAACGCCCCGATCAGCGGCTGTTTGCGCCGGAACCCGCGGGGAGAGGTCCATGCGAAGCGATAAGCTCAACTTACCCTGGAATGCTGCCGTTTCAAGCCCGAGTCCATGGCTAGATGTGTTCTGGAGGCGAGAGGCGTCCAGAGCCGGCTGTTGGGGATCCGCCACTTGAGATCATATGCCAAGACTTTTGTGAAAACTCGCCCAGCGGTAAGTAGCGCTGGCGAGGAGCTAGTGGAAGATCACTATTTCTTAATTTGATCTCACTGGGATATCAGGTCGAAGTGTCAGGGAAGGGAAAAAATTATGCCTGCTTAACAATCGGAATCTGAATAATCGGGATGTCGGCACTGTCGGACTCCGTTTCTTCTGGGGTACTTTGGTGGACCTGGCGGGGTTGAGTCCCTGGATCTACAACTGACCTCAGTCATCTCGAATATGGACAGTGTACACCATACGGAGAGATGATGAAAGTATAAAGAGAAGAACTTTAATGGATTGCAAATTTGGGGAAGACGTTTTAGTATGGGGTAATTCCTTGCATATGAAGGCGACGATCAAGAACTAGAATCCTTCTAGAAACGCCCCTTTCCTTCCCCTTTTCAGTGTTTCCAGAGGTGAAGATAAGCTTAAATCATCTCGTGCGGTGAATCAGTTCCAAGCCCTCTATACCATATCTGGACAATTGGGCTAATCTCGACAGGTATCTTGATAATCTCGACATATCACGAGATTGATAAGGGACTTGGGAGCAACCAGTCAGATTGGGCTGAAAATTGGACCCCCTGGGACCCCCTGGGAAGAGCAGAAATACAAATACTGGGCATCAGCCTGGCTTTACGTGACACGGGCGGCCTTCTTCATCTTACCCGCCATTATGCGACAAGCTACAATAGGAATTTCTCTCGGAAGAACCGAAGGCCTACACATGGCCAGGCTCTTCAGAGTCCCACAGCACCCACGTCCTCACGGTCGGAGAGGGGGCAAAAAAGGTACGCTGGACTCTGCGGCCAGCTCCGAAGCCAGGCCTAGAAAAACCAAGAGGATGGGCCAGTATTCGCTGCCGCGAACCCACTTAACCGGGAATCAAGACCTTGCCCTCGGAGGCAGGAGCTAGCATCGCCAGTCGCGCCTCAGAAATCTCGTCAAATTTCCCTCCGCGGAACGTGGTGGCGAGTGCAGAACGGATCGCAGAGGCGTCCGCCAAGTCAATGAATGGCGACTCTCCGAGGCGCGATCGAAGATGGAGCAAGCCGGCCGAAGAGGTCCAAGCAGTACTTGTACTTGTACGACCTCGAACACCTTTCCGTCTCGGCACGGCTAGGATTAGAGCACGCGGCGTTTTCAGACGGACCAACCACAAGATCGGAAGCGCCTGGCGGGAGCCACTTCGTCGATGGCGGAATCATCGGCGAGCCACCGACAAGCACGCAAGACGTTTGGGAAGGGAGCCCTAGCGTGGGTGCTTTCGGAGGACAGTGGATCTGCCCCCCTGCGTTGGCGGCGCAGACCAATTCCTTGAAGTATGAAGCTTATCTCGGTTCGGATTGGCGTAGGGCTCCACGATTCAGTCCTTTGTGATGTTGACCACCAAGCCGACTCGTGTGATCTAGTACCGAGAGATGGTCGTTTCTCCGAGGGAGATGAAGCCGGCGCTTTCTAGCTTTGAGATGGGGAGATGCTCCACACGCTGCCTTGCAAGGCGATGCGATGCGACCGGGACGGAATTCCTCAGGTCATCTGTATTCGTACTCCGGTACCTGTGAGCAGATGCTCAGCATCACACCTGTCGGGCCATTGCGGAGGTGGGGGGGGAGCTGTCCTTGGACGAGTCATGTCAGTGTCAGCAGAGTCAGGTCCAGAGAAGGTCCAATGTACAGGCACATCACGACATAGCAGTATGTCATAGTTGGGAAATTCAAGTCTCCAGGTCCGCGTCACGACGCAGTGGAGAACCTCGGATGTTTTGGATTTTAGATTACCATCTAATCCAAAATGAGCTAGTACCGAGTATTACAGTATCCACTGGTCATAACGGTCCAAGCGTTGCTCATTTGGGGGCAGCTCGGGCCCGTCCCAAAGCTTCAAAGTTACCGGAATGGTATCATACGGTAAGTGGGGGGTCAACGGCATCTCCTCTTCTTCACCTTTGGTCATCTCGCAAGTATCCCCATTGTTTCTTCTACTTCATACTCCGTACTAGATCAATCATAGATCACTGGTTCTTTTTTTATATACTTCTTTTTCTCTCCTCTCTCCCTCCCTCTCTCTCTTCCCTTTCCACAGATATAAACAGGCATAGACCAAGGGCGGTCAGGCTACATCCCGACGGACGAACCAGAGGTCGCGATCACGACATAACTCCATTCTATCAGATCATCGACTAGGGCCATCTCTTCCCACATCCGCAAGCCTTCACGCTGTTTGCCTCCCCTTTTTTGACCACTTTCAATTACTCCCGCGCTTCTCATTCGTCCTACACCCTTTCTATTCCAAGTGGGCCGCGGCATGCGATGAATGTGTAGTGCCCTTTTGGTGATCGTGGCCGAGAACTCAACTTTCGAAGCCTTTTCTTCCATACGTCGTCCTACTCTATTTCCTTTTTCCCTTTTTCTGATTTTTTTCCTATTTTTTCCTGCCTCTTCTGGGTTTAATCCGTCATTTGCCTTTTTCTCTCCTGGGTTTTTTATTTATTGAATCCCATTTATCTGTATCCTGATTGCTGCAATCCCAGTCTCTCATCTGGAGGTTTCCGTGGTCAAGAGAACAAGCCCCTCTTCCGCTCACATAACCCTAAATCAAGCAGGGGGCGGAACTCTTGGATTTCTTATTCTTGATTCCTTCTTCTCCTTCTACTTCAACATGCCTGGGGAACCACCAGCTTCCGGTCCTGGCTTTGATAAACTCGAAAACTTCAATTTTCTGATGTCGCGCCACGATCCCGCAGCCAAGACTCGACAGTACTCATTTGACGCTGACAACGGGCTGGTCCCGTTTGGCAACGTGAGCATGGATTACGATCAGACTGAGGGCATGGGCGGCTTGTCCGTCAGCTCCTACGATAGTATAGAAGACGACCGCAGCTCCCTCGACCTCCGAGGTTATCCCTATCATGGTACGTGTCAAGCTTCGATGCTATTCGATTTCCTTTTATGAATTATTCTGTTTGCCCTTTTTTTTATGATTTATTATTTTGTCCAACCGTTGCATCTGTTACGCCATCGTCCTGCATGCTTCGTTTTCAGCAATCCTCGATTTTGGATCTTTGGGGGGTTGATCCATTCTCCAACCAAAACGTCACCCTTCGGAGTGATATGGTTTATGGTTTTTTTTTAAAAAAAAACGGACCCTCCGATGTGATACATCCTACACTTCCCTTTTTGTCCCTGGAGTCTTTTTTAAAGCTCGCTGCACAGGGCGATGGTCGATCGATGTGTGAGATCGCCGTCGGTGCTCCTAAACCAATTAGCGAGCACGCAATCCCGCATCCATATGGCAACCCAAGACGCCATAGCTGCCCTGCTGACCCTTGGCTTAAACATCCCCCAACTCCCCCTTCATCTTGAAGAAATGATTTGCATTCCCCGCTTGGGGCTCTTTCCTACGGGACGCTTACACCAACAGGTCCGGAGAAATCCATCAACTATAGCATCCCAGAACACATGATGCCCTACTCAGCCCACTCCATCTATCCGCCAGTGCCATATGCACCCGACGAGCTCGGCCATGCACCAGGCGCTCTCACTCCATCCGATGTCTCCTCGTCCATCTCCCCGCCCAACGGCCAGATGGGCAACACCAAGTACAGCACCTCCATCTCCGGCGACCGCATCGCCGCCGCCCTCGATCAAGAGGAGGGCGTCCGCGGTGCTGCGGAAGAGGACCGTCGCCGCCGTAACACGGCCGCCAGTGCTCGCTTCCGCATGAAGAAGAAGCAGCGTGAGCAGATTCTTGAACGCACTGTCCGCGAGACAACTGAGAAGAATGCCTCGCTGGAGGCTCGCGTCGCCCAGCTCGAAATGGAGAACCGCTGGTTGAAAAACCTTCTCACCGAGAAACACGACTCCAGCTCTAGTCGTTTGCCGGCTCCGCCTAAAGATAGCTCCAGCCTCGAGTTAAAAACTGGCGGGCCTACACTGAGACAAAAACATATCCAGCCCAAGAAAAAGGGCGTTGGCACTGACGAGTAAACGCAAAATTCAAGCGTTGATTCGTTTCTTGCATTGCCCGTTTCTTGTCTTTTGTCTTGCTGTGTATCATCTCTGCAGCGGTCTCTTTCTTCAGGGCGTTCGCTCCGATCTCTGCGTTTGTTTTCAATCTTTGCTACTCTGTCGGTCCTCCCATCTCCATTCTACTCGAGTATGGGAGGGAGACAGATGACGATATCACGACCCTTCTCTTCTTCTCGTTAGCGCGACCCGACCGTGTCTGCTCCGACTTCTAGGGATGGTCTTTTACATCCCTCTGCACTACAGATCTGATACTTTCGTTCTTACTCAACCTGTGACTCTCTACTCTCTACCTCTCTACCTGGGCCCTACTATTGTTCCCACCCGGTCCAGCCTCTTATATCTCTACGCCCCTCTCTACGTCCTTATTATTATTGGTCAGATCATGTGCTGCGAAGGCTTGTTCTATGTTGCTTTATTCCCGCGGATGCGCGGGAATGGTGAGCTGGGGGTGTTGTGGAAATGACTCGGGGAAGTCGAAATTGCTTTTTGTTTCCTTTTATTTGATTTGATGCGATGGGATCTCTCTTTTCGTTCACCCTTTGCTACCTATCCGGGTTGAACCGTGCAATTATAAACCGGTGTTTTTTTCTTTCTTTGCAATCAATCTCGAGAATTACTGCTTTCAACGAGGCCTTCGTAAGCATTAGGCAGTGTTTACAGTGTCTACCGAGGTTCGTAGCCTAACTAAGGTGCAAGATGATTGACGGATGGCGTCTTGCATGGCCAGGTCTAGCGTGATATCGTGGAGCGATTGGCTCATTATGATCGACGGCTATTGGACCGACCCAATGACGTACCAAGTGGTTTTTTTTGTTCTTGGCCCAAGTTGTCTGGGGTAAGGGTCCAAAGACCTTTTGGGCTGTGCTACTTTTTTACGTGTACGAACAGGTGCAGGCGCATACTTCCGCCTGGTAAATCCTAGTTCCCAATGTCGACATGGGACATGTGCGCATGTGTAGATCTCTGCAGGAAACAATTCCATTAAAAAACACCTAGTTAATTACCCCGGACTATCCATATCCTTTCGAACAGTAACACAAGAAGATTCAAACACGACAACGTAAGATGGTATTACATCGATTAAGGGGGAGAAAACAAGGAAACGCAGGGGAATGAGAAGTAAAAAAAAGGAACCAAACCCTATCTCAGGGCTATCTCCATACTCCGGGGAGAAAAACTCCACTTGAACCAGAGGGAAAAAAAGTGGACTTGCCCGAGCACGAACAACGGCTCTGAGATCACGACATGTGAGCAGTCTCTGCTGGGAGACATTGCGTGATGGAAGATCAAACCGCAGGAAATAGAAAACGCACATATATTGGATATGTGAGGCGCGGAATATTGAAATATTCAAACAGAGAAAGGAGGGGACAGGCGAGCGCTAGCTCACTGGAAATCCAGCCGTCAGATTCGTCAAAGGTCGATTTTTTTCTTTTCGTTTTCTTTCTGTTTTCAATCTTCGTTTATGCGGCGATTGGCTCACGCTCCTCCTCGCGGCCTCGTACCTCACCGTCGATGGTGCTGACACCGTCCTCATTGTCCTCATAGTTGGGGTGCTGGTCAGCCGGGAGCCAGGAGTCACGGTCACCGGGCAGAGGCTGGTCCTGAGAGGAGAGGTCGACGCCCTCGCGGTTCTTGCTCACGTTGGAGCGGTGACGCTGAGAGAGGGTGCGGGAGCGGGTGGAAAGGCTGGACTTGACGACAGCCTTGGAAGACACCCAGTTGCTCAGGGCATCCTCACAGTCCTGAATGATAGCCTTGGAGGCATCATAGCCGTCATAGGCGTGACGGGTCTCACCGGGAGTGACGGGGGTGTCGTCAATGAGGTCGAGGAGGTGCTTTCCATAACCGGCGACGATGGCCACCTTCTCGCAGTGCTCGCGAAGAGCATCGAACTGGTACTGGAAGGCAGCCTTGACCTTCTCACGGGTGATGTTGGACAGCTGTGCCTCGGCAACGAGGGACTCGGCTTCCGCGCGGACAAGCTCTTGCTCCAGAACGACAATGCGGGGGAGTTGGGATCCTTGTACTTGAGCTTGGCGATCTCGTCGGTGATCTTCTGCTTGCCTGTGGGGGCGTAGACGTATTAGCATGGGTGCTTTTTTCACGGGTTATATCACGGAGCGGGAACCTACGGTCACGGCTGGGCTGGACGGAGGCCTCGATGTTGCGAATGCTCTTGATGGTAACACGGTATTGGTCGTAGCGGTCGACAAAGAGGTCCTCAAGCTCGCCAATCTCGTAGATCAGCACACCGAGCTTATCCGTTACATCGGACACATCCTCATCGCACGCTTCACCCCAGATGGACAATTGTTGCTGCGATTCAATTAGCATATACTTCATATATGAAACGCGACTTGGTATCCTCGTACAGCGACTTCCATGCGCTCCCGGGCGACGAGCTCCATGCTGCGCATGACGTTCTTCTCCATCTTGACGAGCTGCGACAGCTTCTTGGCGAGGTCGGGGCCGAAGGCGCCGGCGGCGTTCTTACGGAAAGCATGTCCTAGTTGCAGTCAGTAAAATTGTTCATTCCGCGACGATCACTTCCGACGAGAGGAGATCTCCCATGCGGCCACTCCCGGTCCCCGAACGTGGGCGGATAGCGGCCCAATCAGGCTCCCTCGAACCGCCGAACGGTCAATCGTGCAATCGAGCACATCAATCGCATCGCGATGGCACTCACCAATGCCTCCCTTGCCCAGCCATCTTCCGCTCTTAGTTGTTGACAGAGGTGGTGGAGGGCTCTCGATCTGCGAGGCGGTCGGGGCGCGCGACTGGCGCATAGAGTAGGTGCGATGCATGGCGGGTGGAATAGGGGGTACGGAGTCAAGATCGAGGTCGAGGTCGAGAGAGAGAGAGATGAAAGAAAGGTGGATGCAGGATCGAAGATGTTCCTGCAGAAAAGAAATTAAGCAAAGGTTTAGTGCCTTGCGCAGTAGTGACGTGGGATAAAAAGAGGGGGCAGATCTTTTTTTTTTTTTTTTGGAGCACTCACTGAACGGGATGTGACGGAAGAACTGAATGCAACCGGATCGACACAGGGGAAGATATATGGAGCAACGACAGATGTGGATTGCAGAGAAAGCTGCTTTTGGGGGGGAAAGTTCTCCTGATCGGGAGGAAGCTCTCGGGAGGTGACGTCGACAATTTCTGCCCAGCAACGAACGAGATCAACAGCCAAGGGGGAGGTTTCGGATTGGTGGAGCTGGGGCTGGAAAAGTTCAAGCACCAGTCAGCGATTGCTCAGTGTAACAGTGTTTGCTAGTCTCTCTGAGAGTCAATAGCGTCGATCTCTTCGAGTTGCACTTTTTCGAGTCTTCACGATCGCCGACGTCATCTGATGTCATCAGTCGAGTTCACCAAACTCTAACATGTCATCGACGTTGCAGTTCCTGGGAACTTGGACAAGCCTGAGAAAGGGGCATGGAGATTGGAAAGGTCGTGAAAATTTGAAGAGGGAACTCTCTGGTTCAGGTTCCAACGTTCTCGAGTTCTCTCTCTCCAGGGCGGAGTTATTGCAGACTTTGCAAATCTTTCAAAAATCCCCAGGAAGTGACCCATCGACCATTCTGTAGAAATGTATGTGTCTATAAATATTCAAGCTTTTTCACTTTATATTGCATTGTAGCCTCATTGCTTGCAGTTCCACAAAGTTCCACTGATCGCTGGGATCCGTGGGGAAGGCCCATGTGGAATCTTTCGATTCCGTCTAGAACCGCCCTAGCGCACACATGGTCAACTTCCACTTTGGCTATTTATTCGTCTTCTTTGACATGCCCCTAACACTCGGATACGAGATGGCGTACTAATCACCCTCAAATAGACGTATATGCCATTGATGTCGCGTTCCAAGGATTTAATTATAGTACAAAAATACAAAGTGAACCCAAAGATTGGAGCTGTCTTTCATGCATCCTGAGAGTCCGCACGGCGTGTCTTTCGTTTCTTACTTGCGCCAGCCTTTCCTTTAGTGGATGCAGTGCGTTTGGTCTTCTTCTGCGGACCAGATGCCTCTGCGTCAGCGTCGTCAGCTCCAGTCTCATTATCGCCCGACAAGCTTTCGCCGGTCTGAGCTTCTTCCCGTAGTCGATTGAATGCCTGTTCCATGCGGCTAGGTCCACCTCCACGAGCGCGAGGCGCGAAAGCGCCCGCGCCTTGGGGACCCTGCATGAACTGGGTGATGTTCGATTGAGTACCCTCCTGCCCGCGTCGGTTCATGTCACGGATGACCGGGACTAGAACCTCATCGGTGCGCTCTTGGCTCCAGCCTATTGTTGCCATGAGGAAGTTCCTCAGCCCATTGAGGTCAGGGACACCCCACTGGAACTGAGATGGGTCGTTATCAACCTCAGGTTCCAGATAGGCTTCGTCAACTCGGGTATCAGGGAAAGAGGGTGGTAAGAAGATCTTGGATGCCTTCTTTCGGAATTTCTTTCGGAATGCCAAGTGAACATCGTCTGGATTGTTTGCACCCATTTGCACCTGAGCCCACCAATCACGGAACTCTTCCAGGCTTCCAAACTCGGTAACAATCTCCAGAGCAGTGACGGGACCGATACCGGGAATTCCTTCTGTGTAATCACTACCCAGAAGGTGGGCAAAGCTGATCAGCTTTTGTCGATGGAGCGCGTATTCTTTCTCGAGGTCTGAGGTCAAGTAGCACTCGACAAATTTACTTTGATTGAACATGTTCTTGTAGACTCGCGTTCCTCCAAATAGGAAGATATCACTGTCGTCTGTCACGATTCCATCCACGAGGCCGAGCGATACCAGTTTGGCACATTGCGCTTCGGCTTCCATAGGGGCGGTGATATACGGCAGCCCAAAGAGAGTCAACAACTGCTGACACTCGTTGATCATGATGGTAGTCACCTCATCAGCATCACGGCGCTCATTTTTCTGCTGATTTCGCAGCTGTTTCAGTTCTTGCTCGTAATCGAAGACTTCCTGGTTAGGCACAGCAGAGTTGAGAGTGTTGGCAAATCGGGCGTGCTCTTCACCCTCCGCTGCAAGCTGCTTGAACAGATCTTCATCTTCTGGGTCGCTATAATCGGCTTGGTCCTGAATGAAGGCCTCGGATTGCTCCAGCTCTTCAAACGGCTGGGCACTGGGCTGAGCTCTCTCTTGGTGGGAGACGACTGTGATCTCAGGGCCTTGCACAGGCTGCTCGGGCATCACGTCTTCAAATTCAGGCGAGGCGGATTTTTCACTGCGTGGAGATTGCGACTTGGAGGCGAAAACCTGCTGCTCCTGTGGCTTTCCTGGGGTTTCGGACAATCTTTCGCGAGGGGTCAAGTCGCCTTGAACTGATTCACTTGGGTGCTTCTCGTCAACCTTGTTTGTTATATCATTGTAAACCTTTTCGATCTCTTCAACCCCTGGAGTCTGCTCCAGGGTAACGTCTTTGGTCTCCGAGACTTTAGTTTCGGATATGTTTTCTTCGCTTTGTTTCCCTTCCTTTTTCTCATTATCCACAATCCTTTCTGTGTCGGATAGCTCATCAAGATCAATGATATCTGGCGAGCGACGATTGAAGAGAAATTGGTGGTCTTGCGCTGCAGCCTGATCATCCACATCAGGGCCAGGGGCTGGTTCGGTGACGAACTCTGCGTTCGAGCGCTCTCCAACGAACCATGGCGGGAGTGGATCTGATTGATTTTTCTTTGGCGAGGGCTCTTTGAAAAATCCTCCTGCGTTCTCGTCGACCTCGCTATCATTGGGCTTTTTATCCGAGGCTTTGGAGAGCTTGATAGATTCAAAGGGAAGAGGGCCATTGAATGCATTGGGACCTTGCGCTGGCTTCTTCGAAATCTTTGTTCTTGCCACTGCGGCAGCGAAATCCATCCCATCATCGCTTTCAGAGTCAGGATCTTGCATCGTTTGATGAAAGGGGGCTGGATCAAGCGGTTTGTTTATGGGGATCTCGGGTATCTCCTCGTCCGCATGATCTGGCTGCAAAGAGAGAGCGATAGCCTGCTCTAGATCGTCATCTTCACCGTCGAAAAACCCATCAGTATCGTTGTTCTGTTGCTGTGCACCGATGTTGCCCTCAGCCTCAACGAAGAGCGAATCGTCATCATGCTTCTTGGCCTGGCTCACTGAATGACGCCCTGCGGATTGACGTGATTCCTGCAAGGCTCTTCTCATGTCGAATGTTTTGTCTTCTTGCAACTGAAGCGACTGGTCAAACACACCCTCCCGAAGAAATGGCAGTTTGGGAAGTCGGTTCAGTCCCTCGATTGGAACATCCTCGAAGACATCTTCGTCCGAGGCCTCCTCATCATCAGAAACGACCTCGGGCTTATCTAAATCGATAGGCCTTTCTTCTTCACCCTCCTTATTTCCAACAACACCTAAGACCCATCCACCTTCGTGTTCGCGATCCTTGACCAGCACATATTCTCTCCCACGCTCTCCCGCGATGCGCTGCCCAGAGTTGTAAAACGCCTCTTCACCATTCATGCCGTTGATGTTCATTAATCGTTGTGTCAGGTCATTGCGCTCGGCGACCCGATCGATTTGAAATTTCGAAAAAGCCATGCGGTCTGGAAACATCGTGTCTAGCTGCTCTTTCGAGTAGCCCATTCGCAGTCTACTTCGCAGTCTTGCAGCGTTCAGAATGTTGTATCGGTCGGTGGCTGGCAGGCTGAGGAAAAACGGACTGTCGAAATCGATCTTAGAGAAATCGTAGAGATTGATGTCCTGGCCCTGGTGAAACTGACGAGCGTACTCCTCCAGTTCTTCCTGGGACATTATGCGGGGGTCGTTTGGCGCTCCCATATCCTGAAGTGAAACGTCCAGGCTTGGTAAATGGTATGCATCCTTCTTCTTGAACTTTCGACTTTGTTGTTTTTCTTTATCTGTCATGAGTGCCTCGTCTGCATATACCGGAACATCAGGAACTTCTTCCTCTTCCAATCTTGAGTTTGCATTGCGTCGACGGGCCTCTTCTTCCTCCGCGCTGCGTTGCATTTGTACCGCCAGCAATTTTCCAGCAGTCCTCGCCGCATCTTCTCTGTGACCCTCTCGTCTATTTTTTCGTCCGGCGATTGTCTGCCTTTTCATCACTGGCGCCCCGCCATCGAAGACGAAGACAGGCTTGATGCCGAAATAGAGCAGCTTGCAGATGCGACGGAAGAATCCAACGACATGGGAATTTCGAAGCGCATTGCCCTCTTTATCTCGTACTGCCTTGAGAAATTGATAGATCCAGATCGACGCGTCGACGGCGAGCCGTCTCTTGTTGAGTGTTTCGAGTTTGATGGGGCGAGCGCAAGGCTGCACGACCGTCCAAAGGCCGGTGACACCCATCGCGAGTTTCAGGAATATCAGGTCATTAAGTTGTGTGAAGAAGGGCCCGTATGGTAGAGTCCACACATCCGTTCCATTTGGCGAAACAGGAGCTCGCGGGAACTTACCGGTGACGTGAGAGGCAGCGTCATATCCCGCGCCAGTTGACACGAGATCACGTGGGCAATATCTCTTCTTTGGGACTAGCGTAAATTAGTAACCCATCGAAAATGAAGTGGGCTTTTTTTGGATAGTGGGATGTATGCTGGTTCCGAGGCAATTGAGATATTGTAAATCCTGCTGATGTGCGAAGAGACCAGCAATGTCTCTCTCACTTGAGGTCAGTGCTTGATACAAGATGTAGCTTTGGAGTTGCCACGCTGACTCGAAGTACAGCACATTGATGCTTGTCTCCCGATATCAGCATTAAAGACGTTTACTTGGGGTGAGCAACAATTCATCTTCCAAGGCCAGGGCACTCTTTTCCGCGTGGTCAATGCCATCACTGGTGCAGTGTCTGCGCAACTGCAGGTCTTCAAAAGAAACAATGTTCACGGATTCATTGCTTTAAATCAACCAAAGGATGACCCAAATACCGTGCAACTCCTCGTTTGGGGCGGTCGCTCGGTGCGAGTGATTGATCTCTACATACCATCTGATGCAAGTCCCAATTTGTCCGCATCTAGTGCCGAATTTAATGCCCCGGACTGGATCATGAGTGGGTGTGCAGCTGCCGCAACTGGTCATTATGGGGGATTCTTGATCACCGCCAACAACGCACTTCTCAGCCTCGAAGTGGTTAAAAGTAGCCTTCCTGAGCGAACGACAGCTATATCCATATACCAGCTGGCTACGAGTGTAAAGTCTATTCTCTATTCAGCCGATGTCATTGCGCTGTCCGCTTCGCACGTTCTCATGGCCGCTGGTACTGTGTTTGGAGAGATCATCGTGTGGTCGTGCTTTTTGAGCGAAGGACGGCATAAAACCGATGCAGTTCGATCCATTCACCACTTCTTCACGGGCCATGAAGGGTCAATCTTCAATGTCCGGATTTCTCCTCAGATCCCGTCCTTGTACTCAAACCATCCTGGTCGCTTCCTTGCCAGTTGCAGCGATGATAGAACGGTCAGGATTTGGGACATCTCGGATTGTGATTACAAAACAGCCCAAGATCCTTCAGCATATTCGACAGATGGTTATGATCTGCGAAGCACTCGGCTTCGGCCCTGTCGGGGCACGTGAGCAGGCTGTCGGATCCGAGTCATGCGTGGTTCAAGCATTTGGCCATGCGGCTCGCATCTGGGGTGTCTATTTCAGATCAATCAAAAATAAGGATCAAACACATGTGGGTCTTGTTTCTCGAGGAGAGGATTGCACGTGTGTCTTGTGGGACTTGAGCTGGCAGGCATCCTCAGCTGGCGCAACAAATTATCAACTCAAAGAGGCCTCCTCCACAGAACCGCATATTGGAAAGCACATTTGGTCTTTGGATCTTCACAGGCTCGGGTCTGAAACTGTGATCTACACGGGTGGTGCAGATGGAGCGTTGAAACGATTTTCCATCAGGGAGAATGACGATACACAGCTGCCAGCTCCTCCGCCTCCTGTGCCGGAAATCCCTGGATTTCAAAGGAAGAAGAAGCAGGCCACAAGTAACAGGGCTAGAGCATTTGCATTTGTGTCGCCAAACTGCCTGTTCTGCATATCAACAAATGGGGAAATTCAGCTTGGAGATATAGACCGAAAAGGGGAATCAGCGACTACCTGGGAGACACTGTGCGAAGTACCTGAGCTTGGCTCTTTTGCGGTGATCACTGGTCTACCCCACAAAGGTCTGGCATTAATTGGTAATTCCAGGGGACTGGTTCAACTCTACAACCACGCTGCTAGATCATTTGTCGACATTACCAATGTTGGCACTCGGCCCCTTGGATTGTTTTTCCTGAGCGACTCTTCCTCGACACAATCAACCCAGTCGCCCAAACAGATCGTCTTTCTCGTCTGTTATCCCGCAAGAGAGGAGGTGACACTTGTCACAGTCTCTGATTGGGACTCCGAGAACCTAAAAACCGAGACTGTCACAATTAACCTGCCATCTACATTCATAGTATGCAGTGCAGCTCTCATCTTCGGGGGGCAATATTTGATGGTTGGCTCGAAGTCAGGCGGTCTTGCCTTGTACAAAACACCCAAGAGTCACGAGCTCTCCGAGCCGATCTTGTTGGACCGACGGATTCATGGCCGAGAATTCGTCAATCATATTCGCATAGTGTCATCGACCCACCATATCGATGGCACAAAGTCGGAGTTCATGTTGACATGTGGTCGAGATGGCACTTACTGCCTCCATGAACTAAAACTCGACGGGAAAGACGATGGTGCTATATCTATGGAGATAGTGCATCGCACGGCATCGATGATTGGCGGAAACATAGAGGGTGCTTATGTCGATGAGACCACCGGTGATTTCATGCTGTACGGGTTCAGGTCGCAGGAATGGGTTCTGCGCAACGAGTCCAAATTGACGGATATCATAACCATTGCCTCTGGTGGATTCCGTCGAGACTGGGCATTTTGCCCAGGGACAAAGGATGAAGATGCTTGCTTCGTGTGGCGAGGCGATGCCTCTCTGGTGGTAACCCGTATACAACCTGATGCCAGCAATCTGCTCCGAGCCGGTGCTCATGGTCGTGAACTCAAGGCTGTTGATGTATTCTGTGCTCCTGAGGGGAGCCGACCGCTAATCGCTACAGGCGCAGAAGATACCACTGTGCGCCTTTTCGCACCAACGCCCACGGTGTCCAGCAGTCCATGGGGCACCTTTGAGTGTATGCGCGTGTTGGATACTCACAAATCCGGAATTCAACAAGTCAGCTGGTCCAAGGATGGGAAATATCTATTTACCAGCGCTGCGTTTGAAGAGTTCTTCGTGTGGAGAGTCCGTGCTGTTCCGTCATTCGGAATTGCCACGCAATTGCTGGCCGCTAGTCCGAAGGATGACCCAAGCTCAGATCTACGGATCTTGAGCTTCGATATGCTGGAAGTGAAAGAGTTGAATGGAGAGCAAGGCTTCCTCTTGTGTCTCGCATTTTCAAACTCTACCATCAAAGTAAGCATGTCTTCGCCTCGCGTGGAACGACCTTGCTGACGCTAACATTGTTCTAGATTTTCCACTTCTCACCCTCTGCGGGTCAATTCAGCCTTTTGGCCCGCGGAACATACATGACCAATTGTCTGACTCAAACACATTTCTTGGTCACTGGCTCTTCAGTGAACCTAATCACCGCAGCCACTGATGGCTACTTCACGTTCTGGGATTTGACCAACACACTTTTACCTTTTTACACAATTACTGAATCTATCTTGGAAGCCAAAGAGACCTTTGCCAGGTCGGTAACCGCTCCAGCAGATGATATCACATGTGAAGGTCGATACCAGATTCATGCCAATAGTATCAAGGGCATGGAATTGGCACCTTTGTCCGACACAGCTGCAGTCATTGTAGCTGGAGGCGACGACAACTCTCTTTCTGTGTCTCTCTTGCAGACCTTTAGCTCCAACACAGGCACAAATGCGGATGTCGCCACAGTCTCTATCCCAGATGCTCACGCGGCGGCCGTGACAACTGTGAAAATCCTCAGTCAAGAACAGATCAGTGATGCTGCTTCAAACACTGAGACCACAAAATTGATTCTGGCGACATCAGGCAATGACCATCGAGTCAAGCTTTGGTCGGTCGTTGTCGACACCACTCAGCCTGGTACCCAGGGAATCAATGTGGAATTCTTACTCGACAGATACAGCGCGGTCGCAGATGTATCTTCACTGGGTCTTCTTCGCGACCAGAGCTCTGAAAGCAAGCCCGGGTCTCACGGTGGTCAAGCGCAGTTGGTAGTATGCGGCGTCGGCATGGAGATGTTTGGTGTTACGTCCTAATGAACCCGACCGGTATGATGACGAAGGAATGTCTTATGTACATAAATCCCTGTTTCTTTCTTCAGTAGATGCATATAAGGAAACGTACTCTGTACAGTAATGAAAGAAGGCGCTAGGTAGCAAATTAATGCATGACCTCGGGTCCGTGTCCAAACCGGAAAGGCCTTCTCTGCACCACCGCATCTCCATGGAGTAGAGCAACCTTGCATAACAACCTTGGAAAGTGTCTGAAGTAACCAGTCACGCTAAGCCATCTAGAGCAAATTTCTCCCGGTTCCTTCGAATACCCCGCAATATCAGGCAGTTTGCGGCAAGTCCTTGTTGAATATGGAGGAAAAGCCGTGATCCGGAGTGATGCACTGATTGAGACGATCATTGACAGCCCTCGGAGGAATCGTGAAACTTGAGTGTTCCCTTTCGCCCCACCTGGGCACTGATCCATGGATACAATCTTCTCATCGAACAACCCTATCTAGTTCAATGTTGTTCCCGAGGTCCCGTTGTGACGCTTACCCCAAGCAAGGACGGAGAGCATACAGAGTACCCCGCACAGGTCAACAGAGATAACCCCACCCTCTATCATGTGCGGTGAAAAATAGACAGTACCGCCCCTTATACATATACCAAGCAATTTCTTACTTAGATATAGTCATGACTTTACATTCTATTACATGAATCTCAAAGGGGTTTGTGCCGTAAAATATCGATTCGGCGGTACCTACATGTATGTACATAAATCACAGATTTTCCAATAGTTAGATATAATTCTGGCAATCTACGGAGTAAAAGTGGAGAATTTGGGGCTGGGATCATCTCTGTTGACCCTGTATGGAGTAGATCGACATACGGGGTATGCAAGGCAGGAGCTCCGAGGGATACATATTTGAGATTCAAAACTTTCGCCAGATCCACTCAGTACCTACTTTATTTCTCCTTCGTCTTATATTCAAGATTGCGATTGGAAAATATACTTCATTATGAAGCATTTCTTGCAGCTGATCGCTGGCGTTGGCGTTGCAGCGGCAGTGCCTCTACAGCATCGCGCTGGCACGACATACTTTTTCACCTTGTCAGAACTGTTCCACTCGGCAAATCATTGGGAACGCAAAGCTGACTTGTTATCCTAGTGGTGACTCTTATACACAGACAAACTTCGATATCAATGGCACCCAGCCATCTGCCGGAAATCCCATGGGAAATCCAACAATTGGTGAGAGCAGAATCTGACCTTGATTGGGCTTGAAGAGGAATGCTGACTGTGGGTCGCAAGGAACCGGTACAACTGCCGGAGGCATCAACTGGGTAGGAGATTTGACCACCGTCGAAAACTCTTCGCTGGTTCTCAGCTATAACCTTGCGGTTGGAGGAGCGAGCATCGACAACTCCATTGTCAATACGAGTGTCAAGGATGTGACAACTCAAGTCAGTGACTTTGAGCGGACTTACAGTAACAAGCCTGAATCCGCACCGTGGACTTCGGAGAACGCGGTCTTTGGGGTTTGGATTGGGATCAATGAGTATAGCCACCTCAGTCCCCACCGTTGACCAGAATTCTAATATACAGTTTTGCAGTATCGGTTCGGCCTACTCGAGCAACGAAGCTAGTGTGTTAGTTCCAAAATTGCTGGCGCAGTATAAGTCTCTCATTGAGAAGATTTACGCAAATGGTGGACGAAAATTCCTTATACTTAATGTCCCACCCACCAGCCGGTCTCCCCTGCTTCTCGATCAAGGGACAGATGCTGTTGAAGCTCACGCGAAATGGCTCGCATATTACAATGAGAGCCTCCAAAAAATGATTGATGACTTCAAAGCAAACAATTCCGGGGTACGCGTTTATCTTTATCCCAGGGGATTGTATGACATAGCTAACCTCGCTTAGACGACCACTGTTCTTTACGATAGCTGGACATTCATGACGAAGGTTCTCGACAGTCCCGAGACCTATGGATTCCCGGATGCAACTTGTATAAATGATGACGGCACCAGCTGCGTCTGGTGGAATGATTATCACCCAGGCCAAAAGTATCATAAAATCCAGGCGGCGGACATGAAACCTCATTTGCAGGCACTCGGTGCTTGGTAGGCAAGATCTCCTGTCAATTCATTCTGTGGAGTCGGAACCTTGGAAGATGAAATTCGAGTTCAATCTCCAAGAAATCCTTCCAAAGGTTGTGCAGGGGTGTTGTTTCATGCAAATCGAATGTTGGGTTTCTGATTGTTTAGGTCCCTGTTTCAGCTGTAGTGCAATTGATTGACGGTCTATATGGAGATATCTCCAACATTTTTCTACTAAGTGCGTGAGTGCAATATCAACAGCAAGCTGCAAGCAAGTAAATTTCTCGACATTCATTGTGTATCTGTACTCCGTAGCTGAATTATGTTCAAAATGATCAGAACCCCAGCAGTGTCGTCCCCCACAAAAACGCCGATCAATGCCTGAAGCGCCACGGGCTTGCCAAGTGGGGGAGCCAAGAATATCGCTCTAGTCAAAACCCACCCAAGAAAATCCTGGTGGAGAGCAATGGCAGATAGACACCCGGAAACCTATTAATGTCCGGTATAGTTGCATGTCCTGGCCGCTATGCGCCTTCGTAGTGTACGCGTTGAATATCGAAAGCCTGAATCAGGACCTCCGAAGGAAGATGAGCATATGCTCCGTGTCTTTATCTGGTCTAGTTTCTAACATCAGTGTTTTTGTATTTGTTCCGACCCTAGTTATTCGGAAATGTCTCGGGGGATCAAATGTGGTGTTGAGAAGTCTATAAAATGCAGTACTACCTGCTATAGAGAATGTAAAGAGTCAAAGCATCTGATCTTCCTTTTCAGAACTTTGAACACTTCAACTCTGGCCCCGAAATCGAGTTTTAGAGAAACAGATCTCAGTGTCACAGAATGAGATTTGATCACCTTGCACTGCTCGCTGCTGTTGCTGGATCTGCAGCAGCGACCCCCGTGAAGAGAGCTTCACCCTTCCAATGTTCGACAATGACTTCCAAGCAGCTAGTACGACATGCTGATTTTGTGGTGTAGGGTTCGGCACAAGCGAGTCGGGAGCTGAGTTCGGCGAGGGCAATCTTCCTGGTACATATGTGAGTGAGGATATGGTGTCAATTTGACACACCGAGGCTCATCAACATAGGGAACCGACTATATTTTCCCAGACACCAGTACCATCAAGACACTGAATGGACTTGGAATGAATATCTTCCGGGTGGGTTTCCGCATGGAGCGATTGTCACCCAACTCCTTGACAGGAGCACTGGATGATTCCTATTTGGGTAATCTGACTTCTGTAAGTGATCATGACTCTGCTTTTGGAAGAGATTGGGCTTATTTGGTGATAGGTGGTGAAAGCTATCACCGATATGGGAGCTCATGCTGTGCTTAATCCGCATAATTACGGAAGATAGTAAGTTATTGAAAGAGAGGTATAAAGCGCGGGCGGGAAACTGATAGGGTTCTATAGCAATGGCGACATCATCTCGAGTACTTCAGACTTCCAGACTTTCTGGAAGAATGTCGCAGGCGAATTCGTGTCCAACAAGCTTGTTGTGTTCGACACCAGTGAGTGGCACCGCTGATCGAGCATCTTAGCCAAGATGAATTGCTGATTTCCTCATTCACAGACAACGAGTTTCACGACATGGACCAGGATCTTGTGTTGAAGCTCAACCAGGCAGCCATCGATGGTATTCGTGCAGCTGGAGCAACATCCCAGTACATCTTTGTTGAGGGCAACTCCTACACAGGCGCCTGGACTTGGACGGACGTCAACGACAACCTGAAGGACCTCACGGACCCGCAAGACAAGATCGTGTACGAGATGCACCAATACCTTGATTCGGATGGATCAGGAACGATCGAAACATGTGTGTCGACCACGATTGGAAAGGAACGCGTGACAGCCGCGACGCAGTGGCTGAAGGATAACAAGAAGGTCGGAGTCTTGGGCGAGTTCGCCGGTGGTGTGAATGATCAGTGCAAGACGGCTATCACTGGGATGCTGGATTATCTTGGCGATAACACGGACGTCTGGCTGGGTGCGCTGTGGTGGGCGGCCGGTCCTTGGTGGGGTGATTATATCTTCAGTATGGAGCCGACGAGTGGCACCGCATATGAGGGTATGCTGTCGACACTGAAGCCATACTTCGTATGAAGCCCTCACATTTGGGAAGGATCTTTGTTGACGACGGGATTGCGTTGACAACCACGCTTACTCGTATTGGGAAAATCATTTTGATTAAAGTTGTTTGGGCGCGCAGCATTTTGCCCAGTGAAGTAATCCAATTGCAGATCAGCCTTGGCGCCAATTTCCAAGATTGACGATCGCCCATGCGATCAATGCGATCATATGTCATTCTGAACATGTAGTACATGCATAAGAGCAGCTAGTTAGTTAAATACAGAGTACAGAGTACGTAAGTCTCATATGTATCCATTGATCATTTGGGTAACTAGATGGGTAAGCGATCTACGAAGTAACTAACTACAGTACGAAGTGTTCACATGCACGTAAAGTTGTGCTTGGAAATATGGACCTGGAACGTTGTGATGTACTCCGTAGGTTCGTCAGTGAAAGCTTTAGCTCGAAAAAGAGTCTACGTTTGTTGTAAATATAGAAACAGGCACCAATGAACGGCGGAAATGCTGCGTGGTTGACGGAGTCCACCGAGCGGAATACAAGACTTCGGGAGACGGCATATAATGCCAAGACAAAAACGGGGGAGCCTATCTGAGATACACTTGCAAAAAAGTGACTGAGATTACGCATGGAAAATTTTGCGGATCCACAAGGCTGTTCAGGGTAGAAAGGGTGACGAGGCGTCGGCTGGGGAATCGCCCGTTGTGGCCACAGGAATGATGATCCTTGAGCGGTCAGAACCCATGGATCATGGATCAGATTTTGTCTTCACTGTCATCTATCTTGAGTCGATAGTTGATATGGGAGCAAGTGTTTGACATAAGCAGCCTATGTATCCATGGATATATGCAAGAAGAGACAATACCGTGTTGAGGTCTAGACATTGTGTACTTCGTACGGGCAAATATTGTGTGGAGATGCCCTTCCATACCTCGAAGGGACTGGGACTGTTTACCACTAGTCCCAAATAGGACTAGCGGTTGCCACAAATAGAAGCAAACGTGGCCCTGAGGACGTGACCGCTCAGCCTCCTATTGGCCCGATGATCATCATTCCTTCCTGCGCCTCTTTCCAGGGAGGCTGGTGCCTTTTTAGTGCGAGGCTGTATTGACATTGCGCTGCTATTAAAACCTGTGCTCCCCCGATCGGTGCCTTATCTTTCCATCTTATCCACATCTCTATTTTCACCGATTCCCTTCAATTTATCTATATTGCACATTTCTGAATAACTTCAGCATGGGAAAAGCCGGTCGCATTGCGTGTATCTTCACGCCCTATGTCTTGACTATCGCGTCATTGATATGTATCATCATGGTGGGATTGGGCTGCACCAAAGCCAGCTCCTCAACCTTGAACGATCTATACTTCATGCGTGTAAGTACTCTATGTGAGGTGCAGGGTCAACATGCGGTTGCTAATTATATTCTTTCCAGCTCGATCTTTCGAACATGAGCTCGAATTCGGACGCAATTACGACAATTGAGAACAAACTCAGCGAGGCTGGAATCGACGTCTCTGACAGCGACATCACCAAGCTCATCAACACTCTTCAGGATGACTCTACCATCGCCGACTTCTACGACATCGGTCTCTGGGGCTACTGCCAGGGCAACATCACCGACAACAAGGATACTGTCAGCTCTTGCACCAAGCCCAAGGCTGAATTCTACTTCAACCCATCCGATGTTCTCGGCGTGAGCGAGTCTGAGCTCGAGGAGGAGTTGGGCAGCAGCGTGAAGAAGATCATGAAGGTCTACAAGGCTGTCTCCAAGTGGATGTTCATCGCCTACCTGGTCGCATTCATTGCCACCTGTGCCCAGATCCTGGTCGGCATCTTCGCCATTTTCAGTCGCTGGGGAAGCTGTGTGACCACCATCGTTTCGATCGTGTCTTTCCTCTTCACCTTGGGCGCCTCCCTCACCTCGACCATCATGTTCTCGATCGCAAAGGGCTCCCTCGGTACAGCAATGGAGGCATACGGCATTGAAGTTTCCATGGGCAAGAACATCTACGCCGCCACTTGGCTCGCTGTTGCCTTCTCTCTGGGCGGTACCCTGTTCTGGATGTTCAGCACTTGCTGCTGCTCCGGACGCTCCCCCTACGGCCACAAGAACCGCCACAACAACCGTGACAGCATCACCGCTGAAAAGGCTCCTTACACTTACGAGCCCATTGGCGCTGCCCACCCTCCCTTTGGTGCCCAGCCCTACGCTCCCCAGTACGGCCAGAACACCTCGTACCCTCCTCACAACGATATCCCCATGACCCACCAAAACCCTCACCAGCAGCCCAGCGCTTATGAGCCTTTCCGCCACGTTTAAGAAGGCGACTGCGCATTGTTTTGGACTGTACAATCTCACGAATCACTTTTAGACTGGCGATACCAAGGCGTTGGTTGGTATGGCTTTTTGCATGCTTTTAATGACTTTTACCCTTCCTTCAATTTTTGACGATTACCATGTGTGCACAGCGATTTTGCGGTCTTTTGGGAGGAAACATTTGCATCCTGTATATTTTCTGGATTTCCCACGCGGAATCAAGGGTATTTAGTACCTGCAAAATTATATTCCACACAAATTCTTTCACAAACTACATCCTTATTCTAGTAAATCCAGATCAAACATACCCCGTATCCATTACATGGTTGTCGCAACCTGACCTAAAGGCTGTATGTCAGCAATACGGAGTAAACACGCGGGCCGCTTCTTGAAATGGTCAGCCAGGCCGTCGAACCTGCGCAATACCCGAGGACGGCCCCAGTCAAGCCTCGTGGCCCGTTCTTTTCAACCCTTAGGTTTGCAGGGGCTACTAGTCAGTTATTTCACGTCACTAGTTGCAGTGGAGTCAATATCTTGCACTCCGTAGGGCCTGAACCTTCTGGCTGGTGATCTTGTACAGCTTTGGAGAGACTAAATAATTTGCACAAGTTAACTATCAATGCATGATTGTCCCAAATGCGGAAGCTAGGCTGTTGATCTCTATTTCACTAGCTTTGGGCGGCTGTTTGATGCTGTCAGAGGCGTTGGGGGCCGTGATACCCCCATGATCGGAGACTTAGTTTCATTTACGAAGTACGATTTGACTCTGTTGTGATCATGGTACAGTAAGCGTAGGGTTAGATTAGACCGGATACCCCGTATTTGATCCATGGATCCAACCTTCGAAGCATTTATTAGGTACTGAGTACTCTGTACTCTATGCAGAGGTTTTGGTCATCAAGCAGAATCCATGGTACTGGGAACATAATCTGGGGTTGATTTTGGTTTCATGATGTCTCAGGTCTCAGAATTGAAGTTCAACAACCATAGCAAGCTTCACAGGATATGACCCATGTCAGAGTCCTCTTCTACAGTAACATTGACCGTCTGGCGCTTCAATTTCGTCACCAGCTGTCATGTGAATGTCGAACAAAGTGCTCATATGACAGAGTGGGTCGTGAGTTCCTTTGAGCTTCTGGGCAGAGTCAAGTAAAGCCCTGGAGTGGAAAGACATATAACCTTGGAAAGCATCATATCACAGAATTTACTAACCTTGAAAATGATCCCAAAGTGTAAGCTCTTGTATCTGGGCCGGGTGACCTTGGGATTATTGGTGATTCAACAACCTTTTTTTTTAAGTATTGTCTCCAGGGCTACCTATGGGGCTGACTACTATATTCGAAACCCGAACAACAGATTCTATGACCATACCGAGCTCATATCCTATCTGTGCTCAAGCTACCTAATCATGGCACGAGCGCACAATACATAATAGGACCAAAGATGAATATTGATGAGGATTTGGTCTTGTTGAACCTACAAAAACGCAGTGAAGAGACATAGCTGTCTACCTCCGTTTGTATTGCGGAACGTTTGTGTTGAAATGAGGTGGTATCAGTCATTATGTCGAGTACAAGCATGAAACTAACATCTAGAAAGATGTAATGAAAATATAGAAATACAAGCCATGAAGGGAATGTCGAGTCCATTATTATCACTGAGAGTCCATCGGCGCTCGGTTGTAGGTGGGACGACATATGACTCCCCTTTCATCGAGCAGGACCTTAGTCCCACCGCGACGGTTGATTTCCTGGAGAACGTTCTGGTCTTGTCGTGCCCAGCGCTTAAATGGCGTGTTTGGGTCGTGGGACCATGGAGGGTTCGCTGGCGAAGTGTTCTTTGGCGAAAAGAGATTTTGTAGAGAGCTAAACCAGGTGTTTCGTTTTCGTTTTCGCTTCGGCGATTCGGCGTGAGAATCGTTTTTAGAAGTCGCGACAGGGACTATGTCAGAGGAGACAGGGATATTACAGTCGTTTGTGTCATCGCCAAGTTCGATGCTGGCAGTTCGGTGGTGGGTGTCGTCTGTTTCTTGTGTATCATCGAGATCGCCGACGTCACTTTCTGTTTTATCAGGGGCGTTTTGGGGGGATGCGGAAAGAGCAGAGTCCGTGCTGGCTTGAGTGGAATCGGCCACTTCTCCGTCCATATTTGGGTGCGAGGTATGCGACGCACTTAGCTCCGTGGGAAAGTCGGCATCGGAGTCATCATCGTTTTCTTCTTTAATGGACGGGGTTTCCGACTCGGTATCATCGGAAGATGTAGAAGAGGACTGTATCGCGGCGGGTTGGAGGACGGGGGAAGGGACACGATCAGTATGAGCGTTTCCAAAAGACTGGGCATGCAGGCCTGAGAACTTGTCCACGAGGCTCGCTGTGAAGGAAACATTCACGGCTTCGCCCTCAACAGACTGGTTCTGCTTTCCTTGCAATTTGTTTGTCAACTGAGACGGAATAGGATTGGTGACACGTTGAGAGGCCGCCACATCGATTCCCCTGGCAGTGAGATTTCGTTTCTTGTATTGAGGAATCGAGTGATTTTCGCAGAAGTAAGCTTCATAGCTCATCGCGTGGGGAGGCCGAGAGTCGAGATTTTCTGGATTCTCGAGATTGATTATGACAAAATCATCCCATAGGAAGGATCGTTTCAGAAGACCCTTCTCGCGCATGGCGTGCAGTGTTGAACACATATTCACAAAATGAGAGAAATTGCCGGAATACAGTGGATAGGCGCTGCAGAAGCTTTCAAAGATCCTTTGGGCTTCAGCGGACTTATCCGCCTGGCCAAGATAACTCTGACGTCGAGTCGCGATCTCAACATCTGGGCTGTGCGTATGAGCCTTTCCACCACGAGACACAGCCGGAGGAGCCTTGGCTAGTGACTGAAGAGTTTTAGAGGCCCGTCTCAAGTTTGGTGGCGACATCTCGGACTCTTTGGCAGCCTTGTTGGGACGAGACATGGCCGGCGGAGGCGGGCTGGCATGTGGCAAAGACGACGGGTCACCGGAAGGTTCCAAGTGGAATATGGATGAGCCTCGTTGGCGTCGAGTGAGCTCTGATGAATCAACCAACCCATTTGAGGGTGACTGAGTGGCCTGGGACAACGCATGTGAGCCGCTTGCTTGGGTTTGAGACCCAAACCCGCCTTCCCGAGGCAAATTAGTGTCATCACCCAGCAACGACGGGTGCGTTGCCTCTTGGGAAGAGTCAATTTGCCTGTGGCTCTCTTGCGAGCAGTACGTGTTGCGAATCCGGGACGACGAGGAGATTTTGTGGTCCTCCGACAGTAGTTTCTGGGAGCCAGGAGAGTCAAGACTAGCCTGTTGATCTCGCTTACTCTGAAGATGTAAGGTTCCAACGACAGGTGTCTCCGCCACTTGGATATTTCCCTCGGGAATCCCTGGAAGTGATGGCCCTGAGCTGGTAGGATCATGCTGGGGCTGACTGCTCATTGGAACACTCTGACCCAATGCGAAAGGGACAGATGCCTCCATACCGTCATCGCTATCATCACTCTCTTCGCCCTTTAATCTTTCTTGTGACCCAGGCGCAACGATGGCATTGCCCAAGTTGGATTGGCGACGAGGGGATTGTCGGATGGGAGTTGAAGGCTGGTTATCAGGTCCCTCAATGTGAGGCACAACAACTTCGACTCGTGGATATGAAACACTGCCAGCAGCACGCCTTGGGAAACTTGTTTTGGTTGGTATCGTTGGCGCTGTATCACGTGGCGGAGAATGAACTTTCGCCGCCGGGTCAACAGCGTCTGCTGAACCGACAGCAACCGAGCACGCATCTGGCAAGCTATCCTGAGTCCCGCTCTTCAAATCAACATCGTCATTCGGTTTAGATTGCCTGACACTGTCTTGTGTGGCTGTCAACGCGGGCTTTTCGTTTCCAGCCATAATTTGCCTTGGTGGTGTATCTTCAGGAAGTGCATTCCGCGGTGAGCCCTCTCGACTGCTACTGGCCCAGGATAATTCCTCGCTTTCTGATGCAGAGTCAACAGTCGATGGATTTGTACCCCGAGGAGTTGGAGTAGGGGCGCGATCGGGTATTTCATCGGACTGGTTCTCAAGCTGCTTTGCCCTGCGATCTCTTCTGCGTGCCATATCATTCCATTGGGATAAAAGATGAGGTGGTACATGACACAGGGGCGCAGAGACACCCGGTTTTTGTGGGTACCATTTGAGTTGCTCTAGAAGCTCCAGCTGATTTTTAGGAATCTCGACCTCGCTTGAGGGGATTGCTGTCATTCCTTCCCAATGGTTGATCGCCGATATGCCAGCAGTGACCGAAGTATTACCAATGCCTGGAGCGTTTGAGACCGATAGCACATGTTCGGTTGGTGACCTTTCAAACCCAGTTGAATCTACTACCGTCCCTTCCTCGGCGTTGGTGCGCCGTCGCTTCTTGGAAGGTGATGGCGGTCTCATATGCCGAGAATCGTCGAGCCTCAAATCTTGGTCCTTAGTCACATGTGATTGTGCGCCTGCGCTATCACGGTGTCTTTTCTTAGAATTCCGCTGTTCATCTCCTCTCTCTGTCGTTGTGGTTGGACCATTATCGACCGAGTTGATTGCTGAATGTTCAGCATGGTTCGCATGTCCCTCCCTCAGACTCCGGGCATCTTTATTCATGCTGAGAGTAGTGCTGCGAGGATTCACCTTGGTTTTGGTCACAGATGTGGAACCGATGGTCTTGCTCAAGCGTCCGATACCGTGGTCTGAACGTACTTCTGCCGTCTCACTGTCCGCGGGGGAGCGCCGGCGATCGCCCGCACCTGGGATTGTATCTTTGTTCGAGTTGCTTTGAATTGACTGAGGGTTTGCGTAAAAAGCCAAGAGCTCTGTTGAGCCACCCAGTGAGACTCGACTCTTGTTGGTCTTCTCTTTCGGCGCAGCAGGGAGGTTGTGAGACGTAGCCTGGGAGTCAAACACTTGGGTCGCGCTGTTTGGCAATTGTTGGGATAGGAGAGACTGATCATGTCGAGAGGAAGGTGTGTCATGCAAGATATTTCCAGATCGACTGTGCGAGTTCGGACCCTCTTGACTCTGTTGAGCCTTTCGTTGTGCCTGGTTCATCAGGGGTTTGAGCTTTGAGACCTTCCTCAGCTTTGGTTTAGGGGCATCTGCTTTGGGAACCGCGTTTGGGCGGATATGAAAACGACCGATGCGAAGCTCAACCTCCGGTGGGGATGCCGAGTAGATGAAGACAAGCTTTATGTCGGAAAGCTCAACCAGATGTCTTGGGCCTCCTTTAGTCGACGGCGGGCAGGGCGAGGCTGCTCCCGGTATATTGGCGGAATCGCGTGTGATGACAGCATCTACTTGGTTCTGAGAGTCCGTGAGAGTAGCATGGCGACTTGTGTCTCCCTGACCCCACTGTTACAGATTTTAGTAACACTTCCTGCTTTGTTCATGCCAGTCAAATATCTTACAGTCACAACGATTGCAGTTTTCTCGGGGATATCACAAAAGCTGAAGTTGAGACATCCCTCAATATCCTCCGCCTGTATACCATCGTCCCGTCGACCAAGATAGAACGAAAGACTTCTTTCGGCCAAAGCTGCGATCCAGGGTGTAACTGGATCCATTTCGTGAACCCAGCTTTCAGATCAATTCAGAGCATGGCATAGAGGGGATGCAAAGTAGTGAGTGATAGACATTGAGTCTGTGCAACTCTAGAGTTACATAACGAAAGGAAGAAGAGGGAAAAACTGTAGAGAAGGTTAATCTGTAAAGCACCCGCAGCCGCGTTGCTTATCGATATGCGATCTTCGAAGACGCGCCTAGCTTACCTCAGCCACACGGACGTCATTAGTGCGGAGGACAGCGATCTACAGCTTTTTGCTGAAGCTTTGCTTGCGTGACCCGCTCACATAGACGCTTGTCTACGAACATCTCGCTTCCTTCATTTATCGGCGCCCAGCTATCCCTCAAACTCGGTATCTCGCAGCTCTCATACCCTAGATGCCAGGCCAGGCTACCCATGCCCTTTGTCCGTCCCGAGGATGATCCGAGACCTTTGTGCCTAAACTGGTCTTTGGGTTCATTAACATACCTGAGACAGCTATGGATTCCCCGAAGCAAGATGACTCACGCAGTCTGCCTGAATCCCCTCGTTCGCTTCCTCTGGGCCGACGCGGCTCTCGCGGCTCCATGGCAACTACTCAGACCGAACGAGAGTCGATGAATGCGACGTTGGATCACTACCATAACACGGCCTACCAGTCCGACTCCCTTACCCTATTCAATGAGTTTACAAGTCCACCCGCACCTGCCCCTACATCTGATGAGAAAGGACTGTCTGAAGAACTCCAAGGTGGACTGAGTGGACTCTACAGTCGCTTCAGGACTTCTGTTGGTGGGGTCAGAGATAGTCTGAGTGGTAGTGGCAAGTCCACAGATAAGAGCACAGTTGAAAATGGCGCAAATAGAACCCCTGCATCGGATCGTTCGATGGTTAAATCTGTCTCGGATCTAGCTACCACCTCCGCTGATTACCCGCCATCACAGCCCAACTCGTCGCAAGGATCAAGACTCCACTCACCTGTCGTGTCACACTTCCAAAACCACCAAGAACCAGCACCACAGCCGAATGCGGGGGAAAGGTCCAGGATATCCTCCAAGAGCGGCAGCATATCTTCCAAAACCTCCGTATCGCCGTCCCCTGGGCTCAAGACAAACATAGCGCCATTAACAAAGGCCAACGGGAGTTCCAACGCAGCCGATCCCGCAGTGACTCAACTGCATGTTAATGTTGTTGGAAATGCCGAACGTTCTAGCAACAGTTCTGTGAATATGCCGCTCCAAGCAGCTCACAATGCTGATACAACAAGTATTGGCAGCAAGGAAGGGGCTGTTGACCTCTCCATGAGCCAAACATCGTCCCTTTTAAGCCAAAATTTGTCTGGGTCACCAGTTTTGTCTGCAAAGATGCATGATAGCTACCATGAGGACCAAGGAATATCCAATTCCAAAGATTCAATCTTCTCGGCATCCCACACCCCAGAAAACCGACCACGCAGGTCGGTCTCTGTGACGGATCAACAAAGGCAGCCTGAAGGCACACCTCAGTCGACCACTACACGGCAGTCCACGCAGGCTGAGGCAGCTCAGACCCATGCATCCCAGCAACCCGGGGAAAGATCAAACTCAACGACATCTTTCCGATACGACGAGCCAAGAGCATCGGTTTCCACTTCCAACAGTCTTTCGAGGCTTTCCTCTCACGACGAAGTGCCACATCGCGTTGGCAAAGTACCAGTCAATGTATCACAAGCTGCGTCCCGCGAGGATGACAAAATTAGGGAACCGTCGAGGGCTACATTTCCCAACAGACCCAATGAGAAGTCGAGTACAGCAACCCGAGCAGGACGACTACCTGGTTACATGATGTCACGAACTTCCACCGCGGAAACCACCACGACAGTATCTTCTTTGCCCCCACTGAACACTGCAGTCGAGCGGGTGGGCAGCCAATCCCTACAGACCAAGCGCCGACCACCAATTGGAGACAATGGTGCTATATCGGAGCTGCGAAATAAATTGCTCAGCAGGGATTTTTGGATGCGTGACGAGAACGCCAAGGACTGCTTCCACTGTGGAGAGCCTTTCACAACATTCCGCCGGAAACATCATTGTCGAACTTGTGGTCAGATCTTTGATTCAAAATGCACGCTTCTCATTTCAGGGGTAGGGTTTGGACAACCTGGCACTATCAGGGTGTGTAATCCTTGCGAGAAGATGATCAATGCCCACGACAACGATTCTTCGGACTTTTCCGATAGCGAACAAAGTCCTATTATCGCCAACCCTCGGGTTTCTGAGCTTACTTGGGGCAATGCTGGCCGCGCATCAGTTGACGACGATGATTCATCTTCCGTTATATCGCAGTCAATCGATCATGTTCTGAGAACCCCGACAATGGCTATACCAGCCACACGACGAGCAGGCGAAGGCCATAACCGCCGCTCGGCCGTATTAGAGATCAATTCAGATCGCCCTCTCGCACGACCTACGTCTTCACGTTCCCTGCGTTCATCACTCGGAGGACGCCCACATTCGATCAGTCATAAGCGCCATCATTCGCGCCAGCAATACATTCGCGGGTTCAAGCCATATCATGAAGATCGAGCTCCCTTCCAACGTCGGCATGCAGATGACTTGGACCCCGAAAGCCGACTCCCTGCTTTTCACAAGGATAACATCATTGACCCTGATCTTGCGCAGTATCTTTCTGATGACGCATCCAGCGGCGATGAGCAACCGAGTCTCTTGTCTGCTGTCTCTGAAGGGGTATTATCCAAAAGTGGCGGCGAGAGCGAGAGAGCCTCATTTGGCGGGATTCTAGCAGCAATGAAGAAAGGAAGATCAGCCTTTGGAGAACGGAGTACACCCAGTATCAACCGAGACGGGGACGACGCAAGTCTTACCAGCTCAAAGGCAGTGAACCTGCCCCGGTTTTCTCGTCGCCGCAATCTGAGTGTTGCTAGTAGTATACACCCTCGCCATTCACCCAGAACTTCGAAAGATAGCATGTTCCTCCATGACACACCGGTGCCAGCATTTTCCTTGACCGCGGGCCCAAAAGAAACTGGATTCAAAATGACTCGCAGTTCATCGATGAAAGGTAACGAGGCACCACCAGTGGAGTTGAACAGAGCTAGCCTGGAACACGTCCGAAAGCTTCTTCATCAGCTCCTTGTGGAATCTACTGTGCCCAACGGAGCAGGCTGGGAGAACGCCCTCATGCCAATACTTTTAAAGGCGGCCGACGAAGTTGATCCGGATGTCCAACATGGGGATGACATGGACATACGCCATTACGTCAAGTTGAAAAAGATCCCAGGTGGTCGTCTTGGTGACACTTCCTATGTATCAGGTCTCGTTTTCACCAAGAATTTGGCTCTGAAGGGCATGTCCCGAAACATCCCGCGGCCGAACATCCTCATTATCACATTTCCTCTCGAATACGCTCGTCAGCAACATCACTTCATGAGTCTCGAACCTGTGATCCGACAAGAGCGCGAGTTCTTGGAAAACTTGGTCAGTCGAATCGCGGCCCTGCATCCAAATCTACTCCTGGTTGAGAGGAATGTGTCTGGTCTAGCCCTTGGTCTTCTGGAAAAAGCTGGAATCGCAACTGCTTACAACGTGAAACCTTCTGTCCTTGAAGCTGTATCGCGATGCACACAAACTCGGATTGTCACATCCATGGACAAGCTGTTAACAACCACCCTGCACAGTGAATGCAGTAGCTTTGATGTGAAGACCTACGTCCACTCCGGGCGGAAGAAAACATACATGTACATCTCAGGCTGCCCGAAAGAGCTGGGCTGCACTATTGTTCTGCGGGGTGGAGACGAGGACGTCCTTGCCAAAGTGAAGAAGATCACCGAGTTCATGATCTATGTTGTATACAACCTTCGCCTGGAAACGTGTGTCATGCGAGATGAATTCGCAAAGATACCAACCTCGCCAACAGAGACTACAGTCGTTGTTAACGAAAGAGACAACAAGGGAAACCCACAAATCACAGTCCACGGAGGTGATCAGCGACCGAACGACTCGAGTGCTTCATTGGAGAAGAATGAGAAACCGGCTGGCGTTTCTGATAGTCAAACATTCGTACCTGCCGATGCTGCAGAGGTCCCGGATGATGTCCCGATGCCAACATACTACGATGATATGGTTCGGGATCACCAGACCAAGATTCTTTCTGCTTCACCCTTCGTCAAGTTTGAGCCTCCATATCTGTTGACGCGTGCGCGGGAAATGGAGCGAAGATTGGCATACCTGAAACGTCTTCGGGGACAAGACGACACCTCCGATGAACTCACGGATGAGAAGGCCAAGCCCCAAAAATTTATGTTGATCACTCCAGAAATGGCACATCAATCACCCCAAGATGCTCCCGCAAAGGTCAAGGAAGTGCTGCGTGCTGCGCATGAAGCCGAATATGATCGAGCATTCTATCATTATCAAACCCAAAAGCGCCAGTGGGAGGCATATGTATCGGGGGCGACGAACATGTTCGACCCTTATGCACACCAAAACATTGTCATTCTTTACAGCCTTGTTTGCACCACAACCTCAGTTCCATGCTCTGGACCGGATGTTTTTGCCCTGGAGTTCTACAATGAGCACGGCGACGATACAATGGTCGAGTCAGACCTTACACTGGGGCAATATGTCGAAGATCTCTGTCACACAGCAAGCTCTCTGTGTGCTGTCAACGGCTGCGAGAAACACATGTTCGAACATCACCGCCAGTATGTCCATGGAGATGCTCAGATCAGCGTCCTAGTTCAACCCCATCCTTCCAAGCTCCGTGGACTCCAGGATGTTGTGCTCATGTGGAGCTGTTGCAAGATTTGCGGCAACGAGACTCAGGTGACGCCCATGTCCGAGAGCACGTGGAAATATTCGTTTGCAAAATACCTGGAATTATCTTTCTGGGGTAGAAATCTGCACGCTCGTGCTGGAGTCTGTCCTCATGACCTGCAGCGAGATCACCTCCGCTATTTCGGTTTCAAAGATGTTGCCTTGCGGGTTCAATACGATCCCATCCGTCTTCTTGAGATCATAGTTCCGCGGCCTCGTGTTACTTGGAAGGTAGACAATGACTTGAAGTTAAGAAACCAAGTCTATCTGCGAACAGAACAACGCCTCAACAAATTTATGGCATCTGTCCAAGCCCGTTTGAAGGGCATAAATGCCGAGAGTGTAGTCCCCGGGCTGCTGGACAGCTGCAACAAAGAAATTGAACAGTTGATCAAAAAGGGACACGAGGACCATGTCACTTTGGTTCGCCATTTACAAGACACATACACGAGTTCCCGCTACTGGGAGATCATACCGTTGAACGAAGTTCTCCGTGCAACCCAAGAGAAGGTGGTTGAATGGGATACAACGTTTGCTGATTTTGAGAAGAGTTTCTTCCCGTCCGAGAAAGACATCAAGCACATGGCCACGCTTCAGCTCAAGAAGATTTTCCTCGACAAAGATGCAACATCCATGATTCCAGAAGATGCACTTCAGACATCCAACGGCATGGAGGATGAGAACAACCAAGCAGACGACAGGCCCCGAATGATGCGGCGCATGACTCTTTCTCCAGAAAAAGCACAGAACATGTTGGTTTCTGTTGTTGAAGAGCATGCAGGGAAGAAGCATCGTGAGCAGTCACCATCTCCAATGTCAGCCGAGGAAGCCGTTCTGCCTGATGATATCGTGGACGAGAAGATATCTTCACCCCAAGACGAGGCTGTGTCACAAGAAGAAGTCCGTCACCTTGACTTGGCAGTGCCTGCTGGTCAATCAGAGCGAACCTCCGCTGACCCGGTCGGTATCCCCACCCAGCCGCTGGCCAGCCCTAGTTTCTCTGCGACAACGCCTCCTAGTGACGACTTATCAAAACACACGCCCCCTAAGGCCTCAGATGTGTCTGAACAAGACGAAGCAACCGCAAAGGAAGACGATGGAGTTGAAGAGTTGCCAAGCACTCCACTGCGTCGGTCTTCAGCGATTCCCAGACCTACAGAGGCAGCATTCCGACGTAATGGTAAGATGCGTTCACCTCCGCTCATGCGCGCACAATCTCAGCCAGTCAACGTACCACGCGTCAACAACAGCATCCCACTTCCTGGTTTGCGGATGGCTCTCACCAACACCGTCGAGCCAGAAAAGAATCCTGTTGTGTCTCCCACCAAGTCTTCTGACAAAAAGCTGACCGATCGATTGGGACTGAGTTCATTGAAGAATGCTCGGTTTGCCACTGGTCATTCACTTATACCACGCTCCGCTCCAAGTAAAAAAGGAGTCTCCAGGGTTTCAAATCTTGCCAGACATTTTGAGCAGATGAGCCGCGAATTCGAGAAAGAGCGGCAGCGCGAGAGACGCCAGCGAGCTGCGAAGGGTACCCATTCGCGGGCATTCCCACTAGCCTCGTCGAAGCCCATTGTAGAAGTTTACCGCAACGTGAGAGAGGCGGTTGAAGAGCGTGAGCCACCGGCCGACAGCGACGAATCCTTGCCATCGGTTCCGCGGATCCCAACAGATGATTTGAACCGCAAAAGCGATGAGCTCGTTCGGGACAGGACCAATGATGAGCCCACTCTTCCAAATGCATCATCTACGGAGGTTCTAGATACAGAAGAGGCTCTTCATCGTGAGCCACAGCTCCAGTCCGACGGAGAGCCAGACGATCATCACAGTGATGAGGATCATCTCCCAGCTGATGAACTTCATCCGGTTGATTCTCACGAAGAGGTCAAACACTCGGCAGAGGATGATTCAGTGGATTACAAGGAACTTCCAAAGCACGAACGTACCACACTTCTGAAAATGCTGACGAATTTCTGGTCCGAACGTTCTGCGAGTGGATGGACACCTCTTGAGTATCCCCTCAGTGTCATGGATCACGTCTTCGCCGATTGCGATATTATCGTACGCGAGGATGAACCCAGCTCCCTGGTAGCATTTGCTTTAGACTCTTCCGACTACAAAGAAAAGCTTTCCAGTATCCAGCAGCGTTACGATGAGACGGAGGAACACGAGTCGGAGCCCGGTGATGATGCTGAGGCTCTCAAGGAAGCAAGAGTCGAACATGCTCTCTTGCGTCCCACAGGAACACATCTCAAGTATCAATTCCAAGAGGGCCAGGCCAAAATGCTGTGCAAGGTGTTCTATGCCGAGCAATTTGACGCCCTGCGAAAGAAATGTGGCGTGGCGGACCGAATCGTCGAGTCCCTGTCCCGGTGTGCAAAGTGGGATTCGAAGGGTGGTAAGACAAAATCGTTGTTCTTGAAGACTCTTGATGATCGCTTCATCCTCAAATCACTGTCCACGATCGAAACACAGGCCTTCCTCAAGTTTGCTCCGGCCTACTTCCAGATCATGTCCGAGGCTCTGTTCCACGAACTGCCTTCGGCAATTGCCAAGATGTTTGGCTTCTATCAAGTGATCATCAAGAACCCAGTCACAGGAACCGAGTTCAACTGGTTCCTATTGCTCATGGAGAACCTCTTCTATGATCGTGTCCCTACGCGTATCTTCGATCTCAAGGGATCGATGAGGAATCGCAAAGTCCAGAGCACCGGTGAACGGGATGAGGTCCTCTTGGACGAGAACATGGTGGACTTCATCTATGAAACACCCTTGTTTGCCCGGGAGCATTCCAAGAAACTCCTTGCCCAGAGTGTGTGGAATGACACACTCTTCCTGGGTCGCCAAGATGTGATGGACTACTCGCTCATGATCGCCATTGATGAAAGCCGCAACGAACTCGTGGTAGGCATCATTGACTGTATTCGCACTTATACCTGGGACAAGAAGCTCGAATCCTGGATCAAAGACAAAGGGTTTGGCGGTGGTGGCCGCAACCGCCCAACAGTGACGAGTCCAAGAGAGTACAAGGGCCGATTCCGTGAAGCCATGGCTAGATACGTGCTTCAAGCCCCAAGGCAAGTCTATCATTGACAATTTTGTGTGCGACTGGATACTAATGATGATTTATAGCTGCTGGCATCAATTCCAACCAACCTTGCAATATCGCCCTGAAAACCAAGGCTTTGAACTCGAAGCTGTCGAGGGAACAGGGTCCTTCGAAGACAGCGGGTTCTAGTTTGCTAGTGTTTCTTTACACCGCCACCTTCAAACCATCAATCATATAACGACTCACGACCTTATGATAACGCATTCATGTCAAGTTCTGCTTTTTGCATCTTGCATGGGATGAACCCATGCACTATCCAGCGTCTATCCTGGAATTCATATCATCCAGACATGCTTTTCCATCCTTTATCGCAGTACTTGCAAGCGACATTACATGAGGCGCAGTCCCGAGGTCATAAATGGCACTCTCATTTCTCGAACTTTTACTTCACAACATTCGAGTATCTATCTTTGACAGCATTCATTATCGGCATTTCTATAGCCAACCTTGGAATCCGTGATCATTCTTGAACTCAATAACATGCACTTGTGTAATATTGATTTGTTCCGTTGTAACATGCGGGCGATAAAGATAGTACCTAATGTTGATCTATGGACGTTGTAGATCTATGCGAACCTGCATGCGCCTGGCCCTGGCATAGGTAATACACGTCGTAGGTACGGAGTAGCTCATTCTGCCTCACTAAAAGCCCACAAAAGCCCACATAACCATTCAATGAAAAAGAAGATCAGCAAAGCTCCGGGACTGAAAGCTCGTGCTTAATGGGCCCATCGGTAAAAATCGGAATCGGGACGGCAAAGGCCTCGGGAACTGCGTTTAGCCATTGGATCAATTTTTCTTAGAATTTGGATCATATCTTCTTTTTCAATCTTCCTGGGAATTTCTGCATCTTCATGGGCTTATATATGAGCTTTTCCCCCTTGTTCCTGGGCAAGCAGAGTGTGCCGGGAACACATCCGACGTCCGGTTGATATCGGGCACACGGAACCTCGGAGATTTCATTATCGTCCCCGCATTTGCTTTTCGCGACTGTCCCTTTTCTTTTCTTTTCTTTTTGCTTTTCTTGTGTCATGCTTCATTCAATGGGCTTTGAGATTCAGCCTTTGAAGCCAGCTTATTGAAAAATGAGTACAATCAAGCTCTGGTGCGAGCATTGAACGACTCAGGCTATTCAGCGGCGTTACACATCGCCTCGCTTCTACAGATTCATGGACCTTTCAAGTCACTCTCGGGTCTATGCAATCCTATTTGTTTGACCTTCACTAACAACAGAACTACTAACTCAGATGGAATGACTTTTAACGGAAAGCATTAAATTCGTTTCATTTACATGAGCAATGCATTAATCCTCCAGCAAACTATGGTCCAGACCACAGCGCAGAACAAACTTGGCTTGCAAAAATCGAGAAAAGGGGAAGGAAAAGAGGTATGCATCCCATCCGCACACCGGCGGCAAACAAAGAACACGGCATCTATCGCAAAAAGCCCATCATTCGGTCATTTACTCCATGGTCAGGCCGAGGTTCTCATCGGCGGGAACCACACGAACGGTGTTGGTGTGGCCCATACCGCCACGCCATCCCTGAACGCAGACAATGGGGTCACCCTTGTTGATGATACCGAGCTTGAGACCGTGGTTGATACCCCACTTGAGGCGGCGGTCGACATCCTCTTGCCAGATCTTGACGTTGAAGTCGGGCTTGGACTCGGGGAAGTAGAAGGGCCACACACCACGGTACAGGTGGGAGTACTGGAGATCATTGTCAGCAATTGTTACCACTTGCAGCTATTTGAGGTCAACTTACGCGGGCAGCAGTGTCGTTACGAGTGACCATCAGGATGGGGCAAACGGGGCGGTACTTGGACAAAAGGCGGGCGGTGTTACCACTGTGAATTGTCAGCATCATCGTCAACCGAATGACAAGCGAGATCGCCGCGGCACATACCTGGTGGTGAGAACGACGATGGCACCGGCGTTCAGCTCCAGAGAGGCGCTGACGGCAGCCATGGCACAGGACTCAGGGGTCTGGGTGGGGCGAGGAGCAAGGTTGCGCAGCTCATCGAAGACGTTGAAGTGAGGAACGGCAACCTCGGCCAACAGACAAGTGTCGGACATCATCTTGACGGCCTCGCAAGGGTAGTTACCCTTGGCGGTCTCACCAGACAGCATGACACAGTCAGCACCGTCAAGAACGGCGTTGGCAACGTCGGAAACCTCGGCACGAGTGGGGCGGGGGTTGTATGTCATGGACTCCAACATCTGGGTGGCACAGATGACGGGCTTGCCCTTGATGTTGCACTTGGCGATCATCATCTTCTGGGCAAGGAACACCTTGGGGGCGGGGATCTCAATACCAAGATCACCACGGGCAACCATGACACCGTCGGTCTCCTCGAGGATCTCGTCGAAGTTGTTGACACCCTGCTGGTTCTCGATCTTGGCAATGATCTGGATCTCCTTACCCTCCTCGCCGAGGACGGCACGGATGTCCTTGATGTCCTCGCCGCGACGAATGAACGAGGCAAAGACCATGTCGACCTTGTTCTTGACACCGAACTTCAGGTCGGAGATATCCTTCTCGGAGAGAGCGGGGAGGTCTACGTCAGTGCCGGGAAGGTTGACACCCTTGCGGGAAGAGATGTTGCCGTTGTTCAGGCACTTGACCTTGAGGTTCTTCTCGTCAACAACCTCGATCACCTCGAAAGACAGAATGCCGTCGTCGACATAGATGAGCTTTCCGGGAGAGATCACGCTGGTGATGTTCTTGTAGTCGAGGTACCTGTCAAACAGATCTCGTCAGTCACTGCCGCGGATCCAAACAGTTGACAATTCGACTGTTGTCAATGGAAGGAGTCTTACATGTTCTTGTCATCACTGGCATTGGCATATGCCTCATCGGTGGTGATGTTAAGGATGGTTCCCTCCTTGATAGGGAAGTCCTTGTCGTCAACGGTGTTACCGGTGCGGATCTCGGGGCCCTTGGTGTCGAGGGCAATGGCGAGAGGGCGGCCAGTCTGGATACGGGCAGCCTCGCGAGCGTTGTCAATGACAGATTGGTGGTACTACAATCGAGTCAGCGGAATCCTTCTTCCGTTGGGTTGCAATCACTGACCTCGTATGAACCGTGGGAGAAGTTCATGCGGACAACGTTAAGACCAACTACGTTCCAAGTCAGTCGACTGTTTCGAGATTCACCTGTCTCCATTGGGAAGCTGGAGCCATACCTGTGCGGAGAGCATTGATCTTCTCGGCGGAGTTTGTCTTGGGGCCTGAGTGGTTCCGGTTAGTACCGGTATATATTTTTTTTCTCTTTGACATGTCTGTCTTTCTTTGTTTGGGGGAGTTTGCTGCATACCGATAGTACAGATGATGGAGGTACGGCGGAAGTTCTTGGGGGGCGACATCTCGGTGTTCAGCTTGGAGTACCACTCCAGCTTCATGCGGTTGCTGAGGTGGTCGAGGGAGCTGGTGGGCGCCATTTTGAGAATGCTTTTTGTTGAATTAGAAAAGAAAAGGTAAGGGGGTTCTGATCAATTGCGAATCAGAGTGGATGGTAGGAGAGAAAGGATGAGAGATGGAGGGGAAAGAGAAAACGGATGGGTGAGGGGCGGGAGGGAAAATGTTGGCCGCCGGTGTGAGCATCTCCGGACTACTTTTTTTTTTCTGGAGAACTCTTGACTCCCCCATGACTTTGATAGCCAATTAATTTGTAGATCCTAAATTCAAAGCTCTTTCCTATTTCTATTTACAACAATATTCTGACATCAAAAGAATATCGGCAGGGGCGGCATATAGAAAGATCTTCAAGGCTAGGCAGAAAAAAAAAATATATCATCTCCAGAGCCGTTGACCGCAAAAAAGCGGAGGACCCCGTGCTCGCCAACGCGCTGTACATTGGAGTCTCTTTATCGAGTAAATGTGACAAATACTGCCAGCCAATTGATCGAGCCCTCATGGAAGCATCAGAAAGGGGATTTCGGTGGGATCGTGGGCTTATCGATAGACCGCATTCAGTCTAGCGCCTGGCCTACTGAACTCCGATCTCCAGCCACACCGTCGATTATGTCAGGTACGATGCTCCAGCCTCATCATCCCTTCCAGCCACATCTCATGGACGTCATGTGAAAGATCACCTGATCACCTCTTAGGTACCAATGCTACTCTTCCCTCTTCCTATTGCCTTAGACCTCGGGAGTGACTGCTGGTGACTCAATATCGAACGTTTTAAATTTTCCAAAGCTTCCACCATGGTACGAACTATTTGTTGACCCATTTTGAGCATTTCAAATGCCCAAATTCAGAGCTCGGGATGACTGACTTGGGCATCTAAAATAGTTCGGCCGTCTCACCCACTACGCATTTGATGCGGTTCTCTGTGAGTTATGGAGGCTCCCTGCACTGGTATTGAGAGTATAGCCTAACCGATGCTTCCTATCACAGTCTCCGCTTTCCTCGCAGGTGTCAAGCGATCCACCGGCCTGACGTAAATATACCTCCCCCTCTCGATCCTACGATGGAAACCATGACACCCTCCGGTGTCGCCGATCTGGCATATTCTGGGAGCTTTGAACTAACTCTGTCACCCCGTGCACCCCTGTTCAACGGGATGTGCACGTGGGATCTTCACAGCCCCAGCCTCAACTCAGACAACATCACCGAGAACAAAGACGTCAAGAAATGGGTGGACAGCTACCTCGGAGTTGGCGAGTGGGTGATGGATCAATCTGTCGCTGTGATGGGCTCATCCGCCTGGTTTGAACGCCGCCGATGATTAGCACGATATCCAATTCGGGGAAACCGACCGGCGACTTTTCACAACTTGAATCCTGGCTATTCAACATCTGTATCATTGCGCACTCGACTGAACTGAATCATGGAATAAAATTCTCGGCCTGATGGTACTTCACACTATCATTTGTACAGAATGAGCTGTTGGCAGATGGTGTGCCTTGCTTTCCTTTCTGGGATACCACAATCACATGCTTGCTGAAAGGCTGGATTGACGAGTGACGACCAATTTGATTTATACTTCCGCTTTGAACTTCGACCGATACTTGGATTGCATGGCGTCCTGGCTTTCGTGAATGTATTTTTTTGTCGTTGCACCTGTGTCATAACATACAAATCCACTGGAGTTCGTGGTCTTTTTGTTTTCGTGCTCTGAGTTTTGGGCCTTCCAGTGTAGATGTTGCCACTGCAGTTATACCTACGTTGATGAAATACCAGATGAGAGATACACACCAACTCAATCGTCTAGGCGTTGGCGTTGACGGACCTGTGTTCCTTTGTACTATGGAGGCTTGAAACCACCGATGTCAGCGAATAAGTTACCAGTATGGTTGATTGACCTCAAAAGTTGCAACGAATCTCGATGCCAAACCTTGGAGAGGTTGAGATAGAACATGGCCCGCTTATGTAGCTATGGATATTTGCTTCTATTGATAGATGCAACCAACTTTTCTGGTATATAGAGCCACTCCGTGGAACGGAGATGGACAGAAGCAAAAAATATAGCACACGTCTTCAAGTCTTCAGCAGAGCATCAATGTCCACGCGTCGGAAGTAAGATACGTGGCCCATCTCCTTCCAGTAATGTGCCATAACATCAGTGGATATTAATATCAACTCCGAGTTGATAAAGGTCGCTAAGAAATGCTCATTAGTATCCAATCGTTATCTAAAAATGTGATCACTTACCATCCTGGTAGCCAATCCCAGCGACATGACCTTCACAACGGACCATGCGAGCGCCTGTGAAAGGCTCATCTCCTGCAATACCAACCAGGCCTGCAGTCCCGATGTCCTTGGCGACCCACGAGTACTCACCTCGTGGGACATTCATGTCGCCTGTCAACTTGATACCACGGAGTGAGCCTCGCTGTCCGATTTCTTCCTCGGGATCAACTTCGGATGTACCATATTCTTCGCCTTGAAGAACAAGCAAAAACTCGCACCCATGAGTCGAATAATCTCCCACCCAAATACCTTGGTAAGGCTTGTTTTTGGTTGGAGTATAGAGAGCCGGGTCGAGTGTTGAATAGATCCGTTGACATTGACCGTTATTTGGAGAAAACGCGACAGGAAGGCTCGTCCATTTGTTGATACAGAAGAATTTCTCAGATAACTCTGACATACTCTCGACAGCCCGTCGCTGGCCATTTTCCTTGGTGCGCATTGTACGGGTACTGCTTGGTATCATCGGAGGAGGCCAGTATTGTGTAGATTCAATATCAGGATGTAGCCCGTCACTGATGGCGGCACAGAATGAAAGCGAGCTATGGACATGATGGGCATCAAGGGCCAAAGGCATCCGTCGGTCCTTTCTTTGAGATGAATGCTGGATTATAGCAGTCTTGTTGGATGGATCAGGGTCTTTGAGAAACAAAACCGGGTCATCCAGTGACAAGCGCACAATTGGGTCGAAAGCTTGAACCAGAACTGAAAGCTCGGCCTTCCACAGATGAAACACCGGGTGTCCACGCTCTGCGACGATTTGATATCCTTCAATCACTCCCCGGCGATTATCATAACGAGCGAGGATCAAAGTTCCCGTCGGCTCGTTGTCCGCAAACCAGATTTTGTGTTCGGGGATAAACCAACAGGGGTAATATGCCAAGTACAAGCGCCGAAAAGACTTGAAAATTCCTGGGTCCTTGATGCGAGTAGGCAATCTTGCGTTAACAAGGTCGGCCCAAAGCAAGTCGTTCAAAGCATGGTCGGCAAGAGCCCGACAAGTAGCACCGACGCAGGCAAGGTCCGGAGCAGGGAGAAAAGAGATTATCACATGAATGAGTTCATATGGCAACTTTTCAAGAAGTAACGACGAGATTGGGGGTTGCGTTTGGAGCTCTTCGATCGGATCGTCAGTATTTGCCATGTTGACTGTGGGTGGCGGGAGGTTTGAAAGCCAGGGTTCGATCACTGGATCAATCCACTAATGTGCAGATGACATCACATTCTGCATGGTGACTGAGTGGGCATTATATTAGTGCAACAATAGCAAGGACTAAGACTGGGATCAAAAGTTGAGTGGTCCCTGGAGGTCCATGGGTGTGTAGGTAGGTGCAATAATTTGGAGAAGAAGAGATAAGAGTGGATGATAAGAGGCGATTTTAGTGGCATTCTCCCCGCACTAAACTTCCAAGGTTTGGCCCGCAACATACAGCTTAACGCGATCTTAGTATAACTGATATATTCCTACTTCAGTAGATGTGCTAGATAGCCTGAGCTACTTTGAACCATACATTTCTCCTTGAAATGCTAACTTTGCCATTTCCCGGTCTGACTATTGTGCCAAGTCTGGCAGTATGGTGTCATGACACAGCTGAGAAATCTACCAACAATATCCATGGATACAGCCAATCCAAACTTTCGCCCCTGTAAACGCATTGGCTTGACTGGAATAAACGAAGAACAATAACTCATGAGAAGTGTTGGTTTAAGGTGTAAATTTGTGATTCGATCGCCGAAAGAAGTAAGATGTTTATCGCCGGAATAGGCACGCGTCGGCTGCCTATTTTGAGCCCCACCTTGTTTGTTTACTTGTGATCTATACCATCCCCTTTATAAACCCCCCTGTCTGCATTTGTGGAACCTTCCCTTCCAAGGTTGTGTCTCCTTCATATAACATCTCTTAAATATGGAAACTACTCGATCGGCGAAGAGGAAGAACAGCTCTTCGACCCGGAGCGAATCGCCAATCTCACATCGGACTAGGCAAAGCTTGGGAGCAGCAGATACCGCCCCCAACAAACAGAGCCCCGCATGTACTACGCCCAAGAGGTCAAAGAAACGAGTTCGGTTCTCCGACCCTGGTCCCCGCCTACTGCAAGATGTCGATAGTGGGTCGACTGGTCTGACCCCAGCAATGCGTCGTACATCATTCAACCTAAGTGTCGGAGACAGCACACCGAGTCGGTCCGCACGGCGGAGATCCGCTCCAACACCAAGATATACCCGGTCTTATGATCCAGTCGAGCATTTCGACGACACAAGCACCGAGCGCAGAGTCCAATTCACGCCTCTTCGTCAGATCTTGGATACACGCACTCAGAGGAGAATCAAACGCATCGGGCTGAGCGATGAGATCAATCATATTGAGCGTGAAAAGCGCGACGCAAGCAATTTTGAGAAGACGATGCAAGCCCTGCGCCAGGAGCGAGACTCTCTGAAGACCGAGCTTAGGTCCATGAAGCGGGCTTCGCTGGGCTTTGAAGAGCCGACGCTGGAAGCTAGCTCTTACTGGACTACACCCCACTCTCCTACATCCTGCGAAAATGCGTCAGTGGTTTCAAGTCATAGTATGGATGAGACCACCTACATGGCTAGCGGTGACGGTGATACCTCCATGTTCAATGACAGTGCAGTCATTGTTTCCAGCTCGCCTGATATCCGCAATACTCGGAATCTCAACCCACCTCTTACTGAAAGTCTGATGCTATTTGAAGAGCCACAAGCGCCTTTAGTCCCAACTAAATTGCGCTTTTCGGACGACAAAAAGAGACCAGAGAGCGAATCCCTGGAACATGACTTGGCCACCGCTAGAAGAGAGAAGAAGAACCTCTTCGACGCGTGCCGGTCACACATCTCTCAGCTGAATGAGCCTGCACTCGATGCCTTGTTCACAGACTCTTCGCCACCCCCAGACTTCTTCGATAACCTTTTGAATATACTGTCAAGCGCTCTTGCTCGTGCGTCAGATGCTGCAGAGGCTTTAGAAGGTGTGAGCCAAGAGTGCTCTTCTCTCGGGTTCTCTGGAGACGACGCAAACGACATCTTGTCTGACATGCGGAGTCATTTCCGATCTGCACGACTCGAACTTGAACGTGCCGTGCCGGGTGAGACTCCCAACGTCAGCCTTGAGGACGGGAAGGGAACTCTGACCGCGCTTGTCCAACGCGTGGAGTCTCTAGCCCGAGATTTGGACACAGAGCAACATTATCACCATGGCTCTCTTGGCCGAGAGAAGGCTCTGCGTGGACAGTTTGATGCTCTATTACACCGATACGAGGCAGCCGCGACCAAAATCGATAGCCTGGAGAGCTCTATTGCATCTTCCGCTGGCGATATGCTTCACACGCGCATCAAAATGCAAAACCTCGAGAGCGAAGGCCAAGAACAGGCCATTGGGATTGACAGATTAAACACAGCACTCGACAAATATCACGATGAGGTGAAAAGCCTGGAAGACCTCATCGACAACCTTGAGAAGGAGAACTCAGCAACAAAGGAAGACTACGCCAGGCAAATCTCCAACCTTCGGAAGAAGGTGACACATGAGCGCTCAAAGCGTTCTTTAGCTGAAGCCTCTGCGTCTTCAGCCGAGTCCCGTATTCGAGAGTTGGAGCAGACGGTTGAAACCAATCGAATCAAAGTCTCCGACTTGAACACTCAAGTGGAGCAACTTGAAAAGGAACAGCATATGGCCATTGAGCTTCTTGAGAAAAATGCCACAGAGCTCCAAAGCCAGGAGGCAAACACGGGAACTCTGAACGTTCGTATCTCAGATCTCACTACATCATTGGATGATGCCAAGTCTGAAGTCAAACGTCTCGGCCTCCTCAACACTGGTCTGGAGCAACAACTCCACGACGAAATCGAAGCTCGCGATGAGCTTTTAGACAAGTGGGCCGCGGACCAAGTGAGGTCATTTGCCCACATGAAGGAGACTATCACCTCACAGCGCCGTAGAGCCAAGGTGCGTGCTGCCAACTGGGAGTTGAAATCTGATGATCTCATGTCGGATGGCACCAGTACTATGGGGTGTGCGAGTGAGCCCATTACTCCGGTCAGCATGACTCGATTTGTTGACGTTGAGGTCGGCCGAGGGAAGGACCGGCGACGCATGGACAGTGGGATCGGAATCATGCCTGAGAAAGAAATCATGGATGATGAATCCATCTCAAATATCCGGCATGGACTCGATTCTGATATCGATCTACCTACGTCGGACTTCAGTTGATCCAGATTTGAACACTATCATTTGTACTATTTTCATTTGTTTCGGCCATACATTGTATAAATAGACACTGGGAGTTACCTATGTCACAACCTTGGAATCAATCCTTCTCTTTTTTTCAAAAAACCTCCACTTGGGCACTTTTCTCTGTGAATCTCTTGAGTTCTCCATACGGAGTATATCCATGGAAGACAATCCAAAAGATTAAGCGAAGCATTGAGATCTAGTACAGATTGACTATCTGATAGGTTGAAGGAGCTGAAAAATATGTTGTGGTCCAGGTTTCTTTTGGGGGAAATGGACTAAAAGCAAGTTGTTTGATGCACAAGAAGATAGCACGGTGGAGGCCTTGCATAGCTCTTCCTTGGCCATTCCGACTGATATTCAAATTTCAGCTTACTCCGTACTTTGTACCTTGACCTTGCTTGGACCCTTGTGTACCAGACCCGGCAGCTGAAGACATGACTACCAATGCATAACGGTATTATTCTTGAAACTAATAATAGGTGGGAGCTGTCCTGAATACAGGTCCACAATTTGCTTACCACACGGCAATGTGCCTATTGCTGACACCTTACAGGCGCAGATCAACAAATTGAGCTACCCTCCTATAGGCAAGAGTCCACCTTAAAATTCCATTCGTACCCGCCCTTCCTACCGGAAGAAACTCTAATGATATCAAGGAAACTATTTCCTGCGAACCGGCGGTTAGAGCCCCAGATCATGACATGACAGCCTCGATTCTGGAATCCGGCGTTTTGGTAGAGACAGGCTGTGCTTCAGCCCTGAGTGGGGATATTTGACTCAATTGAAGATCGAATAGGTCTCCCTTTTTGCCGACGAAGCGAAGTGCATCGTACGAAGTGTTTTGTGTGAAAACAAAGGATCTGCTGTTGCTTCAATACCATAATGATATTGTGAGATAGCGTCTATAGCTGAGAATCGAGAACAAAATAGCTTATCCCGATTTTGTGGCACTGACGTGCCAAGATCCCAATAGGGAAATAGTCTTGACCCCATAGAGAGTAGTACATACTGAGGTTGCAACTGTACCTATGTTGTTCCCAGGCAAAACGGGTAGTAGGCAAACTTGCTTCAAACTGATAGAATATTTTCAGATCCCGTATGCCGATCCATGTATGATCTGCCTGTCCGTTTTCTAGCCGGAGACTTGAGACACTGTGGCTCCAATAGCTCAGACTATCTGATCGGATGAGGGCCCTAGTCAACGTCCATTCCATAGCCAGTCTGTAGTTTGTCACCAGTACTCCGTACTCCGTATGTAGATCATACAAGTCGGACTTTGAGGCCAGCTGGCATTATTTTTACTCGCAATGGACCGCGATGGAGCACAATAAACCCGAAGCCATCTCCTAAATCAGGTTAGCTGACCGTCGAGACCCATTTACAACGGGCTCTAGCCGTCAATCTCTCCGCAGCTTCTGCTTATCCTTTTCTGAATAAAGAAAAGGGATGGATAGTTACTCAAAGTACTCCGTACTCGTAGACCTACGCGCGAGGTACGGAGTAGGAGAACCACAGCATACTGTACATCCCAGCCGCTCACTTTGAATGCCCCAACGTCTCAGACCCAGGACTTTGGGGCCGGGTCAACAACCCTTGCTCCGACGCACAGTGCGTTATGACCCCTGACTTGATGACATTTATGCAGTGAAAATTCTGAGCGAAGCACGTCCCCACGGACTTTTGACACATTCGCCTATTACATAAGTTGCAGGATGGATTTATTCCGACCCGACAGCTTGGGTATGTTCGGGTTGACAATGCACCGTAACAATGGATGACCCTTGCGTGGGCTTTGGCAAATTCTCGATGCCTGTCAAAAGAACCTGCCAGTGCAGTGCATTAGCTTAGTTAGGTACAGTCCAAGCGTCCACAAGTGTTCTAGAGTGGGACTACGGAGTATCGTGGAGAAAGATGACAGGGGCTGGCTAGTGGAGTACTTTTTTTTTTTTTTTTGGCAAGGTCAAACCAGCCTCCTAAACCATTGTAGCCGACGAATATCAAACTGGACCAACTAAAGTCACAGATGAGTCGGATGGAATGGATCAGCTTGAAATTCGAGCCGGGAAAACCCCAAAAATACTCGTACGGGACAAGTTTCCACTAGGCGGAAGAATCCCGCCCCAACCTCAAACCTTCCAATCCACAACGTCAGCCCCCGACCGATCAATACCACATCAGGAAATTCTCTGACCGAAGCTAGAGGGCCAGATTCGAGAAGCAAGATCCCATAGGTACATTCCTCCGCTACCAATGAGCACTCTGATATTTCCCTTTTTGCCCCGCTTTTCACTTTCTAACCGACAATTGTATTCGGACTTTGCTTGCTTGGACTCCGTATATGCAGCACTATGAACATGACTTCAAAGGCCAGAGCTACGATGACACAATGCGATGCAGACGCAATCCCATCCTGCCAGTTGTCAGTTGCCCTCTGATAATTCCCACTGGGTCCAATCCACTTCCCAAACGGCTCGGTCCGTTTGGACGGAACCACGCGGCTTCTCCCCTTTCTACGAGTCGCGATGCCAATGTCTATCCAACGCACACCCCAGACTCTGGACCTGAGTGCTTAAGCTCAAGGGCTTCGGCCGAAAGACTTGGAGAATGTGTACTTCCGGGGGTAATCCGGATTGTAAACGGGGTTTGTGGCGTTGTGCCACCCAAGTCCTGGAATATTTGGAACCTTGGAACACATCTCGGGAGTCTATTTGGATTTTATTCTTGGATAAGATTCCACTTGTAAACGCCTCCGTGTACTCCGTTCTCCGTTCTCCGTACGGAGTACAGATAGACACACGCATAACGTATGACGTACGATATTAATTAATTAAACCTGGGCTAGACTTTGGCCCTAGTGATTAGCACGGGGATGAGCGCCGTTAGGATGTGGGTAGCCAAGTCGTTGGACACAGCATGAGTGGACTACCCTGGGACTGGATCTTCATATCCGGAGTGCAAAGGTACGAAAGGAATATAAGGCAGTGATACTTTGATCATGCAATGTTTCTGGAGTCGAGACCAGGGCTGACGGGAAATCCACCCAATTCCCAGGAAATCGGGTGTATGGAGTCACTCTCGGTCCAGGTGGATCTGTACTCTATTGCCTTGTTTGGAGTTGCCGCCGGGTTTCAGGCTCTGAGGCCTGCCAGCGGGTGGCTGCTCTGATACTTGCCGTCTCTGTACGTGTGTGGACTAGAAGGTTCATCTATACTCCGTACTGAGGGGTAACGTGGCCGAGGGAATGGATCGTATGTGATGTGAGCCCTTCCGCATAACCGGGGCCCATGCCGCAGGCAGGTGTAACTTAGAAAGTGGAAACAAAAGGCGTGGGTAGTTTGGGCGCAGACCGTCGGGGCCGAGTTCGGCCATATTGTGGTTTTTGTTTTGCGTTGTCGTGTTGCGTGCTCTCTCGGCGCTCTTGGGTACCATCGCGTGGGAAGAATATGACTAATTTTCTTCGAGTCTATGGGTCAAGTCCAGGTGAAGAAGAGGATATCACAGAAAATCTTATTGAACTGCATAGATAGATCACGTATATTCCAGCTCAACCTCCCGTGGCTGTTGGCTTCGATGTAATTGCCAGACCTGCTAGCCTTTCTTCAACAGTCCGAACAACTTCGGGGTCTGGTTCTCGTTTGATTTTCTTTGGTCTGCAGAGATGTTAGCGGGATGTCCAAAATTCTGAAATGTTTCCAAGTGCTTACGGAATCCGTATGGTCTCAGCACATTTGACTTGACCACATTTTGTGCAAGTGTCGCTGTCTTGAAGATACGAAGTAGTGCACACATGGCACACGTAATGAACCCTGTGACGAGGCATCCTGAAAGTACGATTAGGCAAGGCCTTGGGCGGGTCAGCATCACCCGGATAGCCATCAGGATATTTATCCAGTTTGGCAGGATCTCGGGGACACTTTTTGCAGCGGACATGGCTGCAAACTTCGCATTTCTTCGTGCCGGGCGAGAATTGCGCAGTGCATACATGGCAGCTGCGATGGACGCGCTGGCGGACCGGTTTTCGGATCAAGTCCTGACCTCCCGTGTGTGAGAGCTTCGTGAGAGGATGGTTCGCATTGCCGGTATACTTGAGATTCGGCATCATGGCGAGACCTCGAGGGTGGGTGGCGCTCATATCGTGGATGTTGGGCTTGCGGATATGCGGCTCGCCTTCTGCACGATCGAGTGGGAAGCGAGGACATTTCGTGCAGCGTGTGTGCGAACAATTGATGCAGACCTTCTCGGCGCCGAAGGTGGTTTCGCAGCGGTGGCAGGTACGGCGGACCCGCATACGGATTGGCTTTGCGACCCGGTTGAGTTGGAGGTCGGCGGGGGTATCCCATGCGCCTGGGTCGAGAGTGAGACCGTACTTGGCGAAGAGAGCGCTGGTCTTCGCACGAGGTGTGGTACTGTACTCGGTCATGACCACGGGTTCTGGCTCAATAGGCTCCTGGGCTGGGGTAGCTGCTGGAGCTGGAGCTGGCGATGACACACTATTTGAGGTAAGTATAAGTGTATAAATTTGAGAATAAAGCACAACGTACGTTGTTGGGTCGACGGTATCAACAGCTTCTTGAGCGACAAGAGATTGGCGCTTGGATGTTGAGCGAGGTCGAAGAACGGTCTTCATCCGTTTGAGATACTTGGAGAAGCCCTCGGGCTTCTCCTCGCCTTGACGATCTTGGACCATGGGGACGATTAGAGTGGCGTAGGAATGGTATGTCGAATGTTTCGCTGATCAGTGCAAGGATGGGCACTTCATTCCATATAAACCTTTCCCCAAGAGCCGAAGTAGAGGAAGTTTCCGTGCAGAAGTTGACAGGAGATGGTTTCGAGAGAAGGATACCAGTTATTATAAAATAAGGCCCGAGGGTGTTATAATACCAGGAAGAATTGTATTGTACCTAAAATAAATCCAAAAAAATAAAATCCAAAAAGCCCGGTGGGGATTTCCGGGAGAGTGGTTCTGTGGGTTCGACGTCTTGGGTATTTCTTGGGTTATTTTGGCATTTCATTTTCGAATATTGTAAATTTATTATTTCTTGACTTTGCTTCGGCTTTTGATATCAAAACCCTAGGGCGACTGTGAGCGGGGATGTACTTTGTACCCGTACTCCGTACTCCGTACTTGTAGTGTAGATAGCATGCTTGATCCTGTATACACTTTGTCAACCTTGTAATATTTGACAACTAATCGAAGGCTAATGTCGGGGTAGTTCTTAGCCTTTTATGGTGTTTGTCGCACAATAGAGTTGTACATATGCACCTATGCAGTCTACGCGATCGGCCGTGAATATACGAGGACGGGAGTCCAACGGGCGAGCCGGGGGAGTGACATCTGGCTTCAACCTGCTTCTCCCTCCACGGAAGTACCCGCTATTCCGGATGCCTTGCTGAATACAGCTAGCCAAGGTCTATCAGTGGAAGCCGATCGGATATGGTGACGGTGTCTAGCGGGGGCGTGAGATTGCCATTGTTTAAGGAGTCCAGCGACCGTACTCCGTACTCCGTATTGCCCATTTCAATGGACGATGGCCGATCAGGAGGTTTGACTGATGGCTTCGGGATTTGGAATGATGTGGGGATCGCGGAATCGTGGGTTTTAGGTCTCCATAATCCTTTGACCCGTGGACAATACCATTGTTGCGTGATGCAAAATCTTTAAAGGGTGAGAGTGCACTCCGTAAGTACTCTGTGATCCTCCCTGATCCCAATTCTTGATAATTGTTCGTCAACTGAATCATTGAAATCGCTACCACTGCCCTGGGTTTTGTGAAGAATCAACAGACTCAGCCACAAGTTCGATCGATGGCAGCCTGTCAGAATCCTGGCGATGGGAAGACCCACGGGGAGAGCGCTCCGACCGTTCAAAGGGCTTCCTGCATGCATAGCTAGGAGACTAGAACGCAATTTGCATGCACCTGAACAACTCGTCATACGAAAATTTGAGCGAAAAAGCAAAAGGTCAAAACAAAAAATTAATAATAATTGACAAAGACAGGCAGAAATGGGCTTTGACCCGAGGTTGTGCCACGCACTACTGCAGACTAAATAAGTCAGTGTTGATCATACAAGTTTGGATTCCATCCCTCGTTGCCCAACGGGATTTTGCACGAGTACGGAGTACGGAGTAGGAGTACAGCTGTCATTGAGGTCCGCAATGGAACGTGTGGACGTCAACGCCATGTCGGGTGAAAACCTTTGGTTTCGGCTGCTAGGACGTGAGACACAATGTTCTGAGTACATGGAGTTACATGACATTCTCAAGTTCACCGCCAGCTGCAGAGCTGAACCAGCCCCCTGGGAAAGTAATCAATCGACGAGTTTGTACCGCAGTCAAGGTGCAAGGAAACATCATCCCCCTCTGGAGCTGGTAATCTCGGGGGTTCCAGGTCAGTTAGCCCAGCTTAGCCCAGCTTTAGCCCAGCTTTAGCCCAGCTTTAGCCCGTAGGCCAGTGAAGGGTGGAACTTATCTCCGACGCTCATTGCCTTTTGGCGCGGGTGAGAGTGGAGCCGCCTGGTCTGATCGCCGGGTCCCAGCGCTTTGGAGCATATATCGTACCGTCCTGTAAGATTACTTGTTTTCCCTTTCTTTTTTCTTTTGCTTCTACTTTAGCCTACTGGATCCGATCGATCCGTCAGACAGGGGTGGTAAGTATATCGCGTACTTTCAATCCCGCTTTACAATGTACAATATACGGACAGTCTCTGGACTCCCGATGCTTTGATGGCTTATGCAGGGCTGGCCCGTCCCATGTGGGAATTGTTTTTGACTCCAGTAAAAAACCATTGAATACTGTAAATTGTACGGAGTAAATTGTACAAAGTGTAATTCGGCTTTCCCCTCATCAGCCCATATGACTCTCGCACTTTATACGCGAATGGCATTGACATGTGGAACATTCCATGTGCGCTCGTGCATATTTCCAAGTCTGTTGTTTCGCCCCCTTTTACGTGGGCTTTGCCAACTTCCAGCCAAAGACAATGGATGATTGTCCGACCCGACACAGCGGTAAAGCAAAAGCAAGCCCTCGCCACCTCCATTTCCAAATACATTTCACACTGACCCCCTTGATACCGTCCCGCTGGTACTGGAACTCGAACATGCAGAAGCGAAAGCGAGTCAGGGATTTCACGATGGCCATTCAATGCAGCCATATGTAGGCTTTGGTTCATCTGCACCTCAAGTGATAGCCGCCTCTCACCTGCCCTTTTCTGTTTTCGCATATCTAGCGAGACTGATTGGGCAAGATCTTGGATGTATTTTCCCTTCATCTCTGTTTGCCTTTTTCTTCGCGATGGGTAGGTCCTGTCTTAGGCACGAAATATGACCCAGGTGTTGCATCTACACTAAATTTACACTTGTACTCCGTATGTCAAATCAAATTGATCTGATCAGTATACCAAACTAATACGGAGTACACAATGGGCCCTTGGATATGGTGCTTGGGTTGGCAGCATCTTGCAGATGACCTGATATGATCGATGCCATGACCTTTTGCTGACCCTTGTTGTGTGAAGAATCAGACTCTTACTCCGGGACAGGACATCCCTTTCCTTAGCATGGCCACCAGTCATCTGCTTGTCTGCTGTTAAATGTGCTGGCGCTATCTAGATCATCTCACTAGAGGGGTACGGAGCGAACGGTGGACGAAACGAAGACGAGTACTCCGTAACCGGTGATCAAAAACACCAAGCGAACCAATCAGTCCCCAGGTCTAGTACATGAAGTGTCCACTCCCGGCATCAAAAGTCGAACCAAGATCTAACGAGAACACCCCTGATTCGATTTAGCGGTCAGATAGCGCGAACGACGGGGTACTAGTACATAGTAATCGTCCTCCGTACGGAGTAGATGAGATGATCGTCGGGTTGGAAATTTGTGTGGGCACAAATGCAACGCCTTGGATGGCCAAAGCTGATTGTCTAGTATATTTTAGGACTAGCTGCGAAGATCAGACAGGTTAATCATCGATGGCAGGTGACAATTGATGGCTTAATTCGAGACTTGTCGGGCAGCTAGGTGAAGGGTTGACCGTGACTCTGCCTGAGCAACTGAGCTGTTCTCCACGATGTAGCAATTCAGACTTGCCTAGGCGGGTGGACGCCTCAACCCCCACTGCCTGCCATGAAGACGCACCACCACCAAGCAACTAGCGCATCTAGTACCTCTTACAAGAATCCAACTACTCCGCAAGCGAGACATTTCTATCAAATGCACAGGCGAAACAACTACTCATACATCCGCTGGTACAATCAGAGGGTTTGCAATTGTCAGGTGTCAGGTCCACGGGTGCCAACTTGTCTTCTACTTCGTACTGAATTCTCACTTCCCGACAAGCGTACCATCTTACCTCCAGCGTATGTACCAATCATAGGCACTAACATTTACCTCGTTGCAGGAAATCTTTTTTGTCGTTGGTCAGTACACTTTGTATCCCAAGAGAGAATAGCTGCTTAGCCAAATATAACCGGACATTTTGGTGTGTCATTCTAGTCCAAAGGGGTGAATTGATAAATGTTGAGCTACAATAAGCAGCCTTATGTCATGGCGTTCTGCGAAGCCTCGTTTCCGCTGTTTTGACGCAGAAGCTGACTTCAACAAGGTAGCCATATGAAGATGCTGTTGACCTGACTGATGGCAATCATGTTTAATCATTCTTTTGAAGAGCTTGTCTTCACAACATAGATTATGATAGGCCTCATCTTCGATCTCCCATCAGGGAACCCTGTGGCACAGCTAACGATCAGGTATCCAGGTGTTGTGCCCACGGGTCTGCGACTTTTGCTTTGCTATAGGGAACCTTGAAAGGCAGAGGAGGCCTAGGTAGACCTCATGAACCGACAAATTTTTATACAAGATTGGCCGAAACATCAATGAATGGAATATTTCTCCGAAACCAAACGAGTGTCAAAAGTTACTGGTCTCTCGACTTCAAGGCAAAGCGCTGATCATTAGTGGCCAAACAGCCCAAGGGAAAATACAAGTATACAAGTGGTACGGAGTATGTTGACCATCAAAAGCACACGCAGTCATTCGCAATAGGGTGCTTTATACGAAGCCATGTGGCTAGAGTAACTGAAGTGGTCACCGGCGTCCCCGAAATTAATATTGACCACTCTGCGTTGAGAGACCAAGATTTTGTGGAAAAAGGCTCATGAGATCTACCACTAGTAGTCCGAGGTGCAGGCCACCGTTGCAAAACATTCAGCTGATAGATCATAAATCGTGACCAGCGGGGTTCGTCGTACACGATCGACACTAGCCGAGAGTCAGAATCTCAGCACCCTGTTTGATCCACGCATGATTTCCATTGGTATCGAAGGCTGAAAACAAAGATTGTCATTGGGCGCCCATATATGATGCATTTGTCTCCAAAGGTGTATGGATGATACTCCGTACACATAGAGCAATGATATCCAGTCAACACGCAAGAACGCCCTCTGTATGAACCCCACGCCTTGAAAATATGCCAAATGCCTCGACAGAAAAAGCTACTAGTCAAGTGATGTATCACCCGAGCACAGTTTAGTCCGACCCGGTCAGCTTGTCCTTGATATCGATGATATCGTCGTCGGTCTCCACCTCAATGACTCTGTTCACCTGGGCACTGGTACGCATCAGCTCCACTGCGTTGGCATACGACATCCGCTGCATCGGGTTGCAGTTCTCGGGGAGCCAGTAAAGTAGAACGTAAGGGACAGAAGGACGACCATCCTTCTGTGATGAGTAGTCGTATTAGTTATCTGCATGAGGTCGAGATTGTGATCGACACCTACCGTTGTCAATGGGTAACTGAGAAGAATGAATCTTGGCGATGACTCGGGGAGGTCATCTGCAAGATCCTCCATCTTAGAATAGACCTCGTCATCCTGAGGTCTAATCTCCTGGGTCTTTGCATCAATGATATCTGCCACGCTACCAGTCAGCGCTGCAACAAAAGCGTACCCTTCACACTCCTCCCGACGTAGTCTGCAGGAACACAGAGCTTATTGCATGATGTATGGACTGCCATGGCTGGGGTCTGGGGGTGTGCGGAGAGGCGCATATGTACGGAGTAGGAGTCTCACAAATAATAGCTTGCGCATCCTTGGCTCTCGATGTGCCTAGGCGGAACTTTCGCAGCTTCTCCTTTGTCTCCGGGGAGAATGAATATAGTCGTGAGTCGGACTAACAGTCGTTAGCAACTATTGCGCACATGCGCAAGTCCCAAGAAATCAATCATGGGAGGGGGGGTTCGACTCACCATTTTTGACGCAAATGTACGTGTGCGCAAAGTTGAAAACAAGCAGATTAGCCTTGTCTGATATCGAAGAGATGTGGTTCAAGTCCTGTTGACCTCTTATCCGACGTTGTTACAGATGGCAGAAATGGACACGCGCTGTCGGAACATGACGCGGGATTGCGGTGGAATTGCGGGCGGAGATTCCCCCACCTCCACGCTTCAAACATCCAACTCCAGCGCTTGTCCTAATCTTCCCACTCATTCTTCATGCTTAGCCGACTCAATCTCCTTACTAGACACCTTTCCCGTCCTTTTGGTCAATCCCGTCCCTCCATCTCCGCGCTGTCAACCCCATCCCTGGCCCCTCGCCCAGTTCCGTCCGCGATGACATCAGCCGCTCACGCAAAGCCCATTCACACGGCAGCATGCCTCATCATTGGCGATGAGGTTCTCGGTGGAAAGGTGATTCAATCACCATACTGGAATCAGCGTCAATGAATTCTGACAGGCGTGATGCCCCTCGCAGACCATCGACACCAACTCGCCGTACCTAGCCAAGTTCTGTTTCTCGTTGGGAATGCAACTGCAAAGAGTCGAGGTCATCCCAGATGATGAAGATGATATCATGGAGGCAGTACGACGCATGAGTTCTCGATACGACTTCGTCGTCACAAGTGGCGGCATCGGCCCTACGTGCGTATAGCCCTCTCGGTCCTCGTGCCCAGCACACTCTCCTGGGATGCGCGAAAAATGCCTCGGCCTTGACTAACAGCTACTGCCATCCACAGTCACGATGATATCACATACTCCTCCATCGCCAAGGCATTCGACTTGAAGCTGCAACTTCACCAGCCAGCCTTCGAGCGCATGAAACGCCTGTCCAAGCCACACCCCATGCAGCGTAACTTCGATTGGGATACGCCATCCCCCGGTTTGACTGCCAAGTTGCGCATGGTTGAACTCCCCTTCGACCCTAAGCTGCCTGCTGAGTCCCAAGCTGTTTTCGTCGCCGACGACTTGTGGGTGCCAGTCGCGGTGGTGAACGGCAATGTGCATATCCTGCCGGGTGTCCCACGGCTATTCGAGCGCCTACTGGACAACCTTAAGCCTTCTCTGATTCCTCGTCTCACGGACCCCGAGGGCAAGGGCACGTTCCGGTTCCTGTTCAGCACGCCGATGCCGGAGAGCGCTGTCGCGCCGTACTTGACTGAGCTTGCAGCCAAGGTTCAGCCCCACGGAATCAAGGTTGGTAGCTACCCGCGCTGGGGAAAGAAGCGTAACACCGTGACCCTGGTGGGTGCCGACAAGGCTCTACTTGAGTCACTGGTTAAGGAAGTTGAGGAAAACGTGGAGGGCAAGCTTGTCACCAAGGAAGACGAGCTGGATCCTCCTTCCGACTCTGAACAGGTCTACAGCCAGTAGGCTGAACACGCCGTATAGATAAAGCATAGTAATTCTGCTTGTAAAGCTGACACCAAAGCTGATATGATGCAACAATGACGCGGAACTAGGCCACATGTGTACATAATAAGCCAGCTAGTACGCCAGCAGAGATACCAATCCTGGATCCAAATGCGAAAACAATGTGAATTTTCATGTCACTGCAATGCCAGATCTAGTGCCGAAGATGAGTTGATAGTACACCGTACATAGATGAGCCCTCAACATGTAGATTGAACCCCCGATGCAGTCAGCTATAGCCAGACAAACCCCAAGAAATACACCGATAATAAAAAGCAAGGAATCAACCTTGCTATAGAAAAAAAAAAAAAAAAAAAAAAAAACGTATATTGACAGCCGTGTCGTATCCCAGGACCGACAAAGATAATGATAATAAAAGGCGATAGATAACAAACACCATGGATCTTTCTCAAAAGACTTGGAAAACAGAATAAAAAAGACGCAATCGGACAACAAAAGGGGAATCAAAATGTTTCGTGAGACGAGGTTGGCGTCAAGGTCGGCAGTCATCAAAGCGAAAGCTAGCCGCGAACCCACAAACATCCATAACACAGTTTCGACAAGGCCGCTTTATTTTTGTTTTCTGGTTCTGGCGGGTCTGTTGCTTCGGTGCGATCTGAAATGGCAAAATATGAGAGCGATGAAAATGATTAGGGCCATTCAGATATATCCAATAAAATCCCGATGTAAAATCTTCCGGGTGTGCTGCGCATGAAGGGGATTTGACTCGAGGGCGCAGCGATTCGGAGTTCGAGATGGTTTGTTTTTTACATGATGACACACTTGGAGCAGCAGCCGGCGCTCTCGCCTGGCTCGCTCACGTCCATCTTGCCCTCTGGTGCGCGGGCGCCGAATGCACCGCTGCCGGATGGGTAGGAGGACATCTCCTTGTTGTAGCGGCGGATCTCGCGGACGAGGTCGTAGAATGCGTTCTCGACGTTGATGCGGGACTTGGCGGAGGTTTCGATGAACTTGCAGTTGAACTGGCGGGCGAGCGCTTCGCCCTCTGTTTAATTGTTAGATGAATGCCGGTTTCAGGGGAATTGGGTGCTGGTCGTGTCACGTACCCTGCTCGGAAACCACACGCTCCTTTTCCAAATCACACTTGTTGGCGACGACGATGATGGGGAAGTAGTCCTTGTCCTTGACGCGCAGGATCTGCTGTTGGAAGGTCATGATTTCTTCGAAGGATTGGCGCGACGTTATGGAGTAGATAAGCAGGAAACCCTCGCCGGTTCGCATGTACTGTTCGCGCATTGCCGAGTATTCCTCCTGACCTGCTGTGTCTAGGACATCGAGCAAAGCGACCTCATCGTCGATCACACACTGCTTGCGGTAGGAGTCTGTCCACGGAGGAGAATTCCGAGTCAGCGTTCTGCATTCCCTCCGAAGTGAGACGCGCGGAGGACTCACCTTCAATTGTAGGATCGTACTCGTCGACGAAATGGCTCTGAATGAGTTGAATGGTCAAGCAGGACTTTCCCACGCCACCGCCGCCAACCACGACGAGTTTGTATTCTCTTAGGAACTGCTCAAGTTAGCCCAGCCTTCCCCCTGGCTCCAGGGTATGCTCTCTCTCACCTTGGAAGCCATTATGTAGGTTCGTCTCAGGTAGAAGAAACGAGAAAGGGAGAGAGTTCGGGAGTGAAGAGTCCACTTGAGCCGAGCTTAAACAAAGGGTTTAGGGGGTCGGAGGTGCGGAAAGACTGTTTTGGATAGCTGTTCGGGTGGAGCAATTTCACCAACAGGACAAAAAAAAAAGAAAGCAAAAAGAAAATAGCCTAGGTCCGGGGTAACCAGAATTTTTTAAAACACCCAAAAGAATTCGAGCAAAGCGAAAGGAAAGAAGGGGGGCGAAGGGAAATTCAGGAGACAGTGGGGAGGAAAATGGTGATTGGATGGAAAAAGGGGATTAATGTAGTTCTTCGTTATGTCGCTTTTGGATCTTATTTATGTACGAAGTACTCCGGACATTCCTCTTATTACTTGGTTTATGATCTGGTTTGATCAAGATACAAGTGCTCCTAATTCATGGATGTACTCTGTACACTCTGTTCACTTACCCCCTTTGCTTCTTCTCCTTTTCTCTCCTTTTCTTGTTGTGGGCTACTAATATATCGCAAGCTTTGGTACGCTACTAAAGGGTATCTCTACCAGGGAACTGATTGGCTCAAATCTCCAAAGGGCCGTGCAATATATCCGATGGATATTGCACGATATATTGCCTTGGAACTCCCTGGACGCGTCCCTTCAATCTTTTATGCGACTTCAATGTCCGGAGTTCATCCCTCTCTCTTGCACATCCTTTGCACTACCAAACCAGTTGTACTATGAGCATCCTGCCTCCAGAGTGGATCAGCCGTCCGGGTGGAGATAGGGCCCATCTAGGCGCCTTTAGGGCATCGGCCTATGCCTAGCGTGTTGGGCTTGGAATCAGATAGCAAATTGCTCTGGAGTCGCCCATTGCATGTTTGAATGATTGGCGTGTTGGGCACCCAAATTGTCCGTCTGTACGGAGTAAGGTCGAGCTCAACGCATAATTTTCATCTTGGCTTTCTGTTACGCCTGGATGGCTTGCAGTAGACGCCCGCCTTGCATCCAAATTGCATCATCCCGAAACATAATCGACTCTGTCATTTTTCGTGATTGGATACATCCAAACATTGTTTGCTCTCACTTCCCAGATTCCTTGTCGATCGACTGAGTTTTTTTTTTTCCCTTTGACTCACGATCGCCCTACGGAGTACGATCAACCCGTTTTTTTTTTTTTTGTTTAGTTCCCTGACAGCGAAGACCTTGCATATCGGGGAATTGGGTACCGATCATTTGTACGGAGTACTGACAGGGTTCTTTGTCCCTGACGAAGTGGGCTGTTCCTTTCACCCTCTAGGGCGCAAACCCCTCCTTGGTGATGGAAATCGGAAGATGTGCAGAATCACATTGAAGCGTGGATCACGTCAACTTAGGTAATGATCGCCCCCATATTTTTGGTTTGGTACATTGGCATCAACATGTCTAAGTAAAAGAGAAATCTAAACTTTGGAGTGACAGAAAAAACGTAAATAACCAGTTCTGTGCGAGTTTAAACTTCCACGGTACTTCGTACTTCCCCGGGCGCGATGCCCAATCTGGACGTTGGTGTTCATCACGGCCCATGACCGCAACTCGAAGCCCTTCGCATTTCGATATCTGTTTCGAGATTTGAAATTGAAACTAGGCCCTACCTTAATTCTTCTAGAAAGAAACTCGATGACCAATCAAGTTGATTGGGGTCGTTTGCAATGTGGGCTGATCGTGATATGATCCGTCAAACGGACGGGGTGTGATTGATCATGACCTCGGCTGTCATGCAACTGTCAACATGCGGAAAGTCGTACGGAGTACGGGATGCTGTTTCGGAGTAGCGCTTAGCGGAAACCTACGCTGAAATGATGGACCGATTGATGTTGAGCCGCACGAGGCACTGAACCACACATTGTCACTGGAACCTAAAGTGATGAGGACTTTCTAATGCTATCTTCATGTAGCACAAGTGCTACAACACAATGTGGTCTAGGTTAGACAGGCGCCTAAGACTGACCATGTCATCGCCTCGGGGCAGTCAGGGCTAGATACCTGCATAACCTGTGATCGAGGGCAACCCAGAGATTCAGATAAAGGGTTGCATTCACTTCATGCCGTAATGACACGACATTGTGCCTGAGACGCACTTATTGATAGCCTTCAGTGTGCGACATTCCCGGTGCACAAGTTCCAGGGTACATGAGTAATTGAAACGAAGTGTCATCCAAACCTTGGAACTGCCAGGGATCTCAGAGCTTTGCTGTCGAGATTTCCCCAAAGACTTGTTGCTCTACTCACTGTGCGCAGGTCTAACCCGCAACACCAAAGATAGCGGCAGAGCCTCAATCCACGAGGCTTGAAGCATTTTCCTAGTGCAGATGTCACCAACAGAGTTCAAAGTTGGTGGCCTTTACGTTTTTCTTCTCGCCAAAGATGAACCACCAGAGCCAAATGAATTCTATTGGGGTCTATATCTGCGCGCAGACACAACGGGAGGTATGGTCTACCGCATCAAGGACAAGGGATCTGGATACCAACCCGAACATGGCTTTACGGCGGGAATACTCAACTTCCACCTCCTCGTCGGTCTTTATCGTATCGCTGACATCAGCACCCCCTGGCATCCGACAGTCGACAGAATCATTAGGACGTATGACAGCAGCCTGAACCATCCCGGCAGGTCGACGAGTTGCAAATTCTGGGTTCTGAATGTTCTTGCATTACTGATACGACCCACGGCTACCGGGTATCAGATTGTGAACTGTCATAACTTGCCAATTTTGGAGCAGGAAATTCGAGACTGGGGGAATAGAATGTCTCAGGGCAGGATATGGGAACAGAGACCTAGACCAATTGGGTCTTCGAAGATTTGCGGATTACCAGAATACCAATTACGTGGTGAGTCCGGGTTGACTAGCTGGTCTGTGGTACCGCTATCAGATGAAGCTAACATAGCACGATAGGTTTTTGATGATCTGGCAAATGCATCGATCCGATTGGGAATATCTGAATCTAATCAATTTTATGAACTGGGTTTGAATCCAGTGAATGATGTATCCATGGATGTTCTTTTTTGTAGTCATCTTGTACGGTGCTTGCGAGGATTGGATCTGTAAACCCTGTAAGTGTCTTTTGAGATTGAAAGAATACATAGGCCTAAAATGCAATGTTTTCGCGTCCTAGAGCATGCCACTTTGAACTACAGCTGCCCCTTGCCTCTTCTTATCAAGAGCAGCAATCGCTTCAGCCATAACTTCTCTTGGCGGCTCTAATTTCGTCCACAGGCGAAATTGATCAAACGCTTGTGCGAGAAGTACTTCCACACCCGTCACTGTATCCCATCCTTGATGCTTCTGGGCTGCTGTCAAGAGCGGAGTTTGTCTTGGCTTGTATGACATATCAACACAGAGACCCTGTGGCCCGAACAACGAAGAGAACTGGCTTTCGGATGTAGTATCTGCTGGAACAGTGCCAATTATAACATCTGGGCTATCAGAGAGATCCTCAAGCCTCGCGATCACCTTGATGTCGAATGCTTGGCTGAAATCGTGCTTCACTTTCTCCGCCGTTGCCAGGGTTCGATTGACCAGGAAGATTTTCTTGATTCCAGCTTGATGCATGGAGTATAGTGCAGCCCGTGATGCTCCTCCGGCTCCAATCACAAGCCCAACATTGGGTTGCTGTTCCTTTTGTCTGAAGTGCGAAACAACGATGCTGTAAAGGCCGGACCAGTCGGTGTTGTCGCCTGTCACTGTTCGCTGATCTCCACTTCCCTCCACAATGAGGGTATTGATGGCACCAATGAGTTGGGCTGTCTTGGTCTGTTTGTCACAAAATTTGTGGACTTGGAGCTTATGTGGCATTGTGACGCTTGCTCCGCCGAATCGCTCGTCTGAAATCAAGGAAGCAACCTCATCGATACTGTCGGACTCCCGAATTGTATAGTTGTAGGGAAGGCCATAGTGTTCAAAGCCGGCATTGTGGATGGTGGGCGAGACGCTGAAAGCGATACCTTTTCCAAAAATGTGGAAGCTCTTTTGTGGATATATATTCGTCGAAGCCATGGCGTTTGCAGGGTTGTGCTCAGGGTTGCGCGTCGAGGAAAAGAGTTTCGGATGGAAGGGAATGTTAAATTGAAAAACTGAGAGCTTCCAGGTTGACCGAGTTTTAAAATAAAATAGAATCATTGTTATATGATTGTAAGTGACCGTAGAAGGCGCGATGATGAATCGGTTATGACTTTAGTCGGATGTGGGTCAACGGAAAGTCCACATCCGCAAGTACGAGATAAAAAGTAGAGAATGACAGCTTTGTTAAGAGTGACTTTCCGATTGTGTACAAGACCCACGTCTTTCACTTAAACCGAGAGTCAAGATGACAGCCCCTCAGTCTCAAGAGATGACCCTTCACTTGGTCGGCTTGGGTGTCACCCACTCCATCGCCTACAGCATGCACAACCATATCGCCAAATCTCTCGGCCTTCCTTGGACCTTCTACTCAACGGAGTGCTCTTCGATTGAGGAACTCCTACAGCTCGCCAGGGCGCCGACTACAGCCGGTTTGGTCGTGACCATGCCCTACAAAAACTCGGTGATGAAACATCTGGACGAGCTGGACGAGCTCGCAAGCATGATCGGTGCATGCAACAATGTCTACTACAAAGGACTCGACAAGCGAAAAGTCTGCGGTACCAACACGGATTGGCGAGGAGTTAAAGGCTGTCTTCTAGAAAAAGGCAACGAGAACGAAAGACCCTCAGCGACATCACCTGCCACCGCACTCATCGTGGGAGCCGGAGGCGCAAGTCGCGCAGCTGTGTATGCCCTTTCTACCCATCTACACTGCCCAACCATCTACGTTCTGAATCGCGACGACCAGGAAGTGGCAGATCTCATCCGAGATTCACTAAAGCTGGCCTCCATACCGACCATCGTCCACGTGAAGACAGTTGAGCAGGCGAAGGAGCTCTCCAGTCCATATTATGTGGTTGGAACGATACCAGACTTTGAGCCGAAGACCGAGACGGAGGTGAGGGTGGCTGCTATACTTGAAACTTTCCTGTCGCGACCCGAAAAGGGCGTCTTGTTGGATATGTGCTTCAAGCCAAGACGGACGAGAATGATCAAATTGGGCGAGGATCTGGGGTGGCCCTATGTAGAAGGAACTCATATTATCGGCTATCAAATCGAGGAGCAGTGGCGCTTGTGGGCCGGAGAGGAATGCGTCCGGAACTTGGATCGCCAGGGAGCGTGGGAAGCTTTGATGAAGGCGGCAGAAGAAAGTAAAGCGATCAATTTTTAATTATCATTTCACCAAGATCAAACAAACATGATTATCTCACAGCTTGTACATTCTAAAGACCTCTCAGACGTAGCGTACCAGATGAACTTTTTATTGTATGCATATACGTCACTCGAACTACCTGACCTTTGAAGTCTGCCCAAGCCAGAGGCACATTTAAAGCGCCGGAAAAAAGCAAGAAAGAACAGACATTATTGCAAGCGAATGCCAACGCATTACCGGAAGTGACCAACCGAAGCTTTCAATGTTAGACAGTATACAGCCGATTTCTTGGAAGCAAATTCATCGGCAATGAATAAAGCCGGGGACGGAAGCAAGGAAACCCCGCAAATCGGACATACTTATACGTGATACAAAAGGTCTGCAAGTCTGCCCCTGGCCATATGCTGAGTGCGATAAGAATTTTTGATGATGCCGAATCTTCACTCCTTGCCTGAGGGTACCTGGCCCGAAAGCGCTATACGTAACAATGGGCCAGACAACCTCGTTCTCGAACGTGCTAAACTCCGCGAACTAGCTGAAGGCTGGCCCTGCTACCGGTATGTTATACCCACCACTGAGACCGAATTCGAGCTAACTTTAGCAAGAGATGCATGTGAATGGGAGAATTTCGAATCGATTTTCCACCCAGGAGCATACGTGTATACCACATGGTCTGGTCGGGTATCTTACTTGGACTTCATGGCAGCCTCCCAAGCCGGCATGGATAAAGGGGCTTTTATAATGCACCGATGCCATGGTGTCACAACTGATATCACTCCTGATGCTACTCGCGCTGTGACCAAGATGAAGGCTACAATTACACAGCGATTCAAAATCGAAGGAGTGGAGGTGGATGCAGAGGCGGATTGCCGATTTTGCTTTTTCTTTGAAAAAGTTGATGGTCGCTGGGGCGCTCGATTTGTGAGACACTGGTACGAGAAAGACAAGCTGCTGCCTGTTATTCCAAATCAGTTCCCAGAAATCAACGTCGAGAAACTCAACTCGTACCCCGAAGGATACAAGTGCTTGGCGTATTGTCAGGAGCTCACTATGGGAGTCACAGTGTTGAAAGACATGCCGGGTCATAGGCGACATGAAGGAACTGCCTGTGGACAGAAGCATGATTTGTTGTACCGCCTTGCTAAAGAATGGTTGGAAGGCAAGGAAATTGAGGTCTAGAAATTCCATTGTGCAGCATGTTGGTGAAACGAGGAACATAAACGTCATGTAACTTCAATCAATATTCTTCACCTGCATACTGAATCTCAATGTAAATCAAATTTTACTTCAATTCTAGCCTCTCTTGCAGCTTCTTCCAAGCGGAGATACCCCTTTGCGCATGTAGATCCGGTACATTCTTCCCCTCATCGGACATTGTCCTGGAAAACAACTCCATTGAGATCCATCCCTTGTATCCCAATTCAAACACAATCGCTTTGGCAATGCTTTCCACAGGCATGTATGCCCCACGATCCTCCTCATACATGAAAGTCCGCGCATTTCGCGACCAGTTCATTCGCGAAGGTTGACCATCGACATGGAAGGGGTGGCCCGGCACGAGCGGCGACTCCATTCGCTCCGCGTCTACAACTTGAAGGTAGAAGACTTTGGTCACGTCGACTTCGGCAACTAATCTCCGAATGGACTCATGCAGTTCCACCTCTGCATTGACTGTCTTGCCAGTCACAGATGCGGGGTCCGCCCAGACCTTTCCAGCAATGTTGAAGGTGTCCAAGCAGATTCCAAAATTTGGACGATCAACCCGCTTAACCACGTCCCAAGCTTTTTCCCAGGTATCGTTGACGGTACTCCAGCACAAATTCTCGTATGCATAGCGGACAACAGGGGTTTGAGCTGCGCCCATATCCGCGAGTTGTCGAAGGTCGGCAACTATGACATCAATGTCATCGGTGAGTTGGTCCGCAGAAAGAAAGTTGGCAGGAATTTGTATCGTTTTGGTCTTCAATCGTTTGACGATTTGCAGCCAAAATTCCATTTTTTCGATCAATCGTGCATGCTGTTCTCGGTCTTTCAGGCCTTCGTAAAAAAGGAACGGCTGCAGGGCGATGATTTCAAGACCCTGGGAGTGGCATTTTGTCTGAATTTGTTCAGCTGCCTGAAGGAGCTGATCAGTTGTAGGCTCATCATTTCCGGCGATTCTGCGAGCACAGTAGTCGAGATCCTCATAGAATATCTCTATTCCTTTGAAACCAACTTTCGAGGCTTGCTCCAATTTGTGATCAAGGTCATGGAGCCAAGCTCGCCCCAAGGAAGCACTCATGATAGCTGGTTGATATGACATGATGTGCGACTTGTCGTAGATCCAAGAAGATTCTGAAAGCCAAAAAAAATAACACTCGTCAAAAAAGAAACAGAGTTGAGGGCAATGCGATCGGAGGACACTGTCTATGCTAGTTGCCTCCAATGCAGTCATCGGTGGGGTCCGGCTATGAACTTAGCCTGGTCGGTCCCGGGTTCCTAGCCCTAGAGGCTAGGGTGTGCGGGAATCAGAAAGGTACAGCCCTGGAGGGGGCGGGATGGGGGGACCCACGCCTGCAGGTTAGGCCTGAGTAACTTGGATCCCTCTCCGGCTTTTCTCATTTCTCATTTGCTTCTTTTCTTTTCTTCTCGTTTCGCCGACTTTCCTTCCATTTCACCATTATTATTATTTCTGTCAATTCCAGCGGCCTTTTGAGGCGAAGAAGTTGTATTCCATGAATCTTGACGAACGCCGCGCATGCTTAAAAAGTCCTCCTGTACTTTGAGACGAAAATCGTAATTTACGTATGCTATACTTATCCATGTATGTGTGAGTTACTTGGCAAATGATCCATCCATGGATAGGGAATGCTCCATATTTACGGAGCCAATTCAGCACATACAGAAGTATCCGTTCCTGAAAGCCTCTTCTTGAACTGCCCGGCGCATGATATGGACGGGTGCTGGTCTACGCGTGAACAGCTCATACTGCGCAATGCCCTGTCCGACCAAAACCTTCAGTCCATCAACGATGACCCATCCCTTGCTTGACCATGGAGTAAGCTGTTCCATCAAAACGGTTTTGAAAGGACCATATCCCACCTATGCACATGATTAGCGGCACATCACACACTGATGGCAAATTAGATGGACGACCGACCTCAACATAAACTCCTCCGGTCCGACTCTCAAGCCATTTATCAGAGATCCGGAATTCAACAGGTGAGTGAGTATCCGGATGTCTCCCGGGTATACATGAAACCACGATCGTGGGTAGACGAAAGTCTGGCGGCCATGCAGCATCCACACACTCGATAACATCAAGGTGGAGATCATAGTCTCCTTTCGATCTTGCCCAGTCACGGTAGTATTGAACTAGGCTCTGCGCATTTGAAGACGTTCTGTTGTAGACAAAGATGCGGCGAACTCCTAGTTGGTAACAAGCGTAGATAGCGGCGCGGGCCATGCCACCGGCCCCTATTATGAGAGCTGTGCTACCATCTCGGATGGCGTTCGCAGGAGACAGGTGGCTGTAAACGCAATCTTTGATTCCAACATAATCTGTGTTGTGTCCATGATAAAAGCGTGTCTTCACACAGTTCGAATCAGTACGATGCTTCAGCACCACAGTGTTAACCGCGTTGATGTCTCTGGCATCTGGGCTAACCACGTCAAGTAATCGGAGGACTTCCGTTTTGAATGGTAAAGAAATGGCAATACCGTCCAGGGCGCTGTCAATTGAAGGATGTTTCAAAATGTCTTCGACATGGGAAACATTCTGGATCTCTTGGTAGTTGTAGATGTGCGGGATGCCCCCCGAGTTATAAGCAGTGCTGTGCATTGCCGGTGACAGACTGAGACGAACATCTTGACCAACAATCATGAATGATTTTTTTGGCTGTAGAGATAGCGAGCTAAGCGCTTGTTGCGCTTGTTGCATAGAGAGCGCAACATTCGAATTAGAATATATAGTCAAAGGAGAAAGAGTGGGGTTCAAGATCATTGAAGCTCGGCCCTCAGAGCATTCATTATAAGCAATGACAGGGATATTCAAGTCATCTCGTAATTTCTGACGGAAGGCAACACATGAGAGTGTATCCTCGTGAGTAGCGCGTTTGCCAACCAAACGAAGAGCCTCGGGTTTAAGTTGCTGCAACAAAGACCGGATAGAGGATATTAATGTATCGGGGGTTTCAAGCCCTAGAGGGCCTGATTGATCATGAACAACAATCATTCTGGAGTGACTTCTCGTCGAATGAATCTCCTTGATGATCAATGGATTCGTGGCAATCGAGATAGTAAAAGCATCGGGGGCTACCCGTTGCAAGTTCTCCAGGAACGTGTAATAGCTTGTGAGGGTCTTCTGTGGATCTGCCTTTGCGTCGATGATGATTGGGACACGGGTATGGGTTCGAAGGATTGTCATATGACGAGAAAGCCTCTCCATGATTTTTTCGTGAGAGTAATCTTCGTACACCAGGAGGAGATTGATAGCGTCTGCCCCGGTGTCGAGATCATCCAAATCATCACGTTCTTCGAGATCGTTGAGGGATAAGTGGAGTGCATACGTGTGGGCTTCGGAGAAAGCATCGACCGAAAAAAGTTGCTGCTTTGGTTTTCCAAATATACGGAGCAAGAAGGCCACAAACACGCGCTCGATCTCCTTCAATTTGAGAGATGCGTGGACCGTATTTCCACCTCGACGGGTCACCTCCTGGGTGAGATTGAAGAAGTCAAAGTTGGAGATCGACTCGTAGAAAGCGTTTCCAATTTCGAAAATACGTTCGAATCTTGCGGGATCACCTCCGATCAGTTGTTGAAGGTCAGCCTTGTTTCTTCGCACGTAAATCACGGGATGTTGCTGTGTCAATGTGTCCCAAACACCCGGACGAGGAAGACTGGCTGTCACGCCTAGACCAGCAACAACACAACCGGTTCGATGTTTTGCGATGATCTCTTGGCATATTTCTACCTCAAGCTCGCGATACCGTGCGAATCCATGGGTGGCAGCAAACTCCTGGGGGGATGACTGGACTCGCCCCTGGAAGAATGCTTCGAAATCGATAAAGCGTCTGCGGAGAGCAGCAGACGCAATGAATCCCAAAGTCTTTTTACCTGCTCCGATGAACCCGACAAGCAAAATAGTTGCATCGGAGTCGTATCGTCGGCTGCCAAGCTCACTTTGTCGTCGAGTACCGGCGGCACTGAAATCATGTGGTGACAATCCCGCTGACATCCCGCTGATTAGAGTCCCTTTGCACCCCAAAATGAGTGTGAGAGGAGTTCCTCCCTCGCAAGATGGAGTTGGTTTCCCAGTTGACTTCGAAAGTTGCCTTCCGGTTAAATTATACCCGATCACGTGATACGGTGGACGACGACATCTCTTCGGGGCTCGTAATGAGGGACATTGTGATGGAAACCCAAGTTGGAGGATGTCACCCTCTAGGCCAACGAAAAGGCAAAGAATCTATAGGGCATGCGATCAATGTCGTCGGCGGAAGTCAAAGTGTGACGGTGAGCAGCCTGCTTGCTCTATCTGCCGAGCGGGCGACCGTTCCTGCACTTACGAAAATGGCGGTGGCCGGCGAGGCCTGGCGCCTGGATATGTCAGAAGCCTAGAGACTATTCTTGGGCTCGTGATTCAGCACGTTCCGGCCAGCGAAAACACGGTACACGGCCTTTTGGCGAAATCACGAAACAATGACCACTTCCTTGCCAAAGACCCTGCGACTTTGTGGCGTAAGTCCCGACTCGCCAAAGAGATGCCTGTTCTTCTCGATCATGATTCTCAGGAGAGCTCTACACTCACTGTCGCCGATGAACCTGAATGGGATACCCTGGAGATCTCCAGCACGCCAGACGTGACGACTGGTGGTATTGGCCCTTCAACAACAGGACCGAATGAACTCATATCTCAACAGCCCACTACATCAAACTGTCGAAGCTTGCCAGCGATCCTAGATCTGGCGTATCCAGTGGATACACTCAACATCCTGGACAACTATTTCAAATACACACACTGCTGGTTTCCGATTTTGGAGCACCATGACATGCTAAGAACAATGCACACTAGCGCCCAGTTGCGAAAAGTTCATCGAGAAGGATCAAGCCTAGTCCTCTGGGCTCTCGTGGCATACGAAACACTCCAAAGTGACACAAACGACACGGCATATCCAGATCATCTACACATCCAAACCGAGATTCTCTCTCAAGTAATGAAATCATCCTCAAGCTTGGAGCTAGGGCACATACAAGCGGTCTTGATTCTTGTGTTGATTCAGATTATGCAAGATGATATAGCATATGCATGGAGACTGACTGGCTTGGCATCCAGAATGTTGGCCTCCCTGCCCACGGCTGCCAGGACACACCGATATTGTCACACGTTCCATGGATGTGTTCTACTCGATAATATGACTTCGAGCGTTCTGGGTAGAGCACCGTGTTTGTCTTTAACAGAACAACAAGAAGAAGGAAACATCAGTGAAGACAGCATGGAAGAATGGAGCGTTTGGGCAAACACTTTGGAACGCTCACAGAGTCGAAATCAAAATTTGCCCCAGGGACCTCTACGAGCCTTGAGTATTTTCAACAAAATCAGCAGTCTGATGAGAAGTCTAGCTCGGATTTTATGCACACCGTTCAATATGCCCCATGCAGAAGCATCTGACCTCAGCAGTAACTTACAGGCCGAGCAAGATTTGTTGATTGCGGAGCATCCATATGATCATAACGCTAGATGTGTTACTCCTCCCGTGTTGCTTTTGCATCTTACCATCAACTTTGTGGTTTTGGCACTTGTGAGCAAAAGCTCAACGCTAATAAGCACCACCGGGAAGGAATTAACCGGTAGATCATTACAATCTACCGTTCATCTACTTGACCTGTACGTGGAAATAACCGGACCAACCCACAAATCCCCACTTCTTCGTTGCTTTGCTTTAAAAGCCCGACAATGTCTGGAAATCGGATTTCCGAATACCCATTGTGACCAAAAAGAATTCATCGAGAACCGGGTGTCTTCACACCTACCATCCATAGAGACAGTGTCAGGAAGGCCGAACGAGACAAGCGGTCTCACACATCCTTTAAATCAGGAGGTATCAACAGAGACACCCATGATCCAAAGTTTGGGCGCAAGAGCCGATGGATTTCCCAATTTATTTGTCCGAACACCTACGTTGCAGGGACTTGATCCACATCCTGAGCTCCCCACCCCTGCTCATACAGCTATTCGAGTAGCGGAATCACCGATGTCTTTTGCTCCTCGCTCGCCAAGGGAGAATGCTTTCGGAGAGACGGGAGGCTTCGATGCACTTTTTGAGGAAATGGTCACTTCTATGCCATCAAACAGGTGCGTTGCTTCTCTTTCCATGATGCATACTATACTGACTCGACTCAGGCAACAACCTACCTTCGCTCAAAACCTAGGATTCTACGCAGGAGACCTGGACAAAGATTTTCTGGAGCAGCTTCAACAGCCAGCAACTACCTGAAAGATAAAGAAAGAGCGAGAGAGAAAGAGAGAGAGAGAGAGTGTGTGTGGATGTGATAAGCAAGCCGCTCAACCCTGGATGCACAGATACCGAGACTACATTCATGACCTCAAGCAAGCCTCTCTCGGATGCAGGGCATTTGCCACCGTGGTACATTGCGCGAAAGAAAATAACACCAAGTCATCTCGCATGAACAACGGGGCTACCTTCATTCACGCAAGAGAAGCGGCAATTCCCAGCCAGGTGGCACCGACGGCTGCGACTTCGATCCCTGTGGTATCCTTATGTGGTGGATAGCTGGCACGCGCCAATCTTGACAATTGCGCCGCCAACAAATGCTCTCGGAAGTACAAGTCCAAGCCACCAACCATATGAATGCTGTGATCCGCACCGTTTCCACCCTTCTTCTCCCCCCAGCACAATCTGGAACCAACAATCTCATCTTCCATCTTTCCTGTCCGGCTTCCTTCCTTGGCCCAGACTCGTTTGGTCTCATACAGCGTCTCCCACGCGATTCCGAAACTACCAAAAAACCCGCCTTCCTCTTTCTTCCCTTCTGCGGCAGCGCTTTTCCAAACGAACTTGCGACCACCATACTCAAATCGCCGTGGTGACCAATTTTTCCTCTGCATCTCTCCATCTGGAATTTCGGTTATCGCTCCCATATCCGGGATTGTGCGTGTAGTGAGTCGGAAACTGCCTCCTTTCATCTTCTGAATCTTCACACTTGTCGCTCCAATTTGAGGCAAGAATTCACCAGCTCGCCGAAGAACAGTCTCAACAATGGGCACTTCGTTACTCCAAATGAACTGCAGGGCGTACAGAACATGTGTGTTGGTGATGTCTTTCACAAAGAACCAGTGAGACCGCATGCCCAGATCAACAAGTTCCGAAGAATGTGTTATTCGATAAGTGATCGTAGGTTCAGATGGCACCAGGGTTGGAGAGAAGAATGGAACTTCTAATGAACCCGTGCTGAGGAACGGGTGAATGTGAACTGGGGCTGCGCTCAGGTCTGGCGCAGCGTTGGGCGGGGCATTTTTTTGGAATTCATGAAGAGCTTTGCGAATCTAACATCGAGATGTGTGAGCAATCCCCCGCACTCCAATTCAGACATCACGAGTGAGGCTCACCTGGGACAATGTCCAGGTTTTCCCGTTCTCCTTTTCCATCTCCTCCATTGCATCTAGGATGGTGGGCGGTAGGACGATGTTGCTGAAGCTGCCGGTACGCTTGAGGCCCTCCAAATAAGCTAAACGTTCACGATGAACATTCACTTGCCGCTCAAACATCTTCCTGTTAACTTTGCGGACATCGTGCCCTTTTTTGAATCTCTGGATCAACTCATCCAGGATCTCAATAGCCGTTTTGTATATACGGATCGCTTCATCATAGTCCCCTTTGCGCTCCAGAACGAAAGGTAGTGCAGCGAGTTTGTAGACATCCTTGTTCCGGTCTACCGTTTCTGTCATGGTTGAAGGTGTTGAATTCCCAATGTTACCACGAGCGAGTGAGTGAATGGCTTGCAAGAGGCGAGCACAGAATTGCGCTGTGGGGCGTTGTTTTCGGTTCTCTCGTTATAGTTCGAAGTTCCTTTGGGCCTTTGCTTTAGGTCCGAGAGGTATTGTTGCGGTGAATCTGGGAATTGGCAGAGGATAGTTTGGCAGAGTGGTAAACTGCCCTGCTTAGCTCACTTTCTCGGAAGTGTAGTCGAATCCTGCAAGTGTTGCAACCTTCTTTCTGTTTTATTCTTCGTATCGGAAGCCAGTGTCTTTTATAAGTATTGTTGCAATAGCATTTGGTGCTGTCAGCCTTGCCAAGGTGAAAATGAGCGGATCGAGAGCTATACTGCGAGAAAGGAGTGCACTCAGTCGACTTGGTGCTAGTCTGGCAGTAAGCCCAACCATGTTGGAACGTGGGCCTCGTTACATCGCGAGACCAGGGGTTATCTGGTCATTGTGAACAGAATATTTTTTGAAAGAGACCTGCTCTAGTTCACTTGGGGATCAGTGATTGGAAGCACCCCTATCTTATCGCTTACCATTACTGTCTTCGAAGCTTGGCAACTAAGCCCGACCAACCACTCCGCAAATTAAGCGGGTACAGCCTTGGAAGATGGAGCAGCGTCGAGGAGAGGGCACATGGTCACCAAGCCACTTATCATGGTGGCCCAGGGTCCACGATCTCATGATTTACTTGCCATCGGACGATCGGCATTTGTCAACTCTCGAGCTTTGATGATTTTCATTCAGATTTTTGCTACTAAGTAGACTCGGTCACATTTGTAAATTTAATTTTGTGCAAATTATGCAAAGTCTAAACGGGTATAGAGAGAGAAGTAAGAAAAAGGAGGGGGAAAGGAGCTCCGGAGAGGCCTTGGCATAAAAATGGTGGAAATAATGGCTAGCCTGCGCCAGCATCCATGATATTGGGGCTATGCCCAGCTTTGGAGCCCTGGAGGTGCTCAACCGCATCAAGATGAATTTTCCGTGTTGGCTCCGGGAGACTATGTCCAGTGTTTTGACTTCCAAGGTTGCCCATGTGGTGACCATTGTTAGGGGCTTCTTATTGAGAATGCTGATGTATGTTTCCACGTTCCCCACGATAAGCTGTAACGCTGCCCATTTATGAGAGGCTTCGCAACATCTGTGCAAAACTTCGCATGTGGGACTTATCTATACCACAGCCCATTCCAGGTTTCATGAGGTCGACAGGCAGTGGCTATGCTGACCGCACAGCGGCTTTCCAGTGGCATACCACCCAGAAACCGACCAAAGACAGACAAAGCCAAGAGCGCAAGGCATACTACACCTGCAGCTGACATGCCGTATATATATCCTTGTATCAGGGGATTCGTAAATGAAGTTGAACTGAGACGTGAAACTTGGCCCATCTGGTTCTGGGGTTTATTGGGGGCATCATCGCCCGTTGCGCTGGTTTGGATTGATGGAGCATAAAAGTTCTCTTGGTTTGCATAGTTTGTATTCCAGTCCTGATGCCCAATGTACAAGTCTGTATAATACCCCTCGAATTAGGTTCCACATTTATCAGCAATGATCTGATATCTTCCAGATGAAAACAGATGAATACCGAGATTTTCCTATTTTGGAAGGTGGAAATGTTAATCGGATCATGAAAATTTGCTGAAAAAAACAGCATGTACTGACCAGGTTCGAGAATATCAAGCTTAGCTGAGCTGGGTTCTGAGCCGGCGAAGATAGTTTTTGTTTTGCAGTAACCCTAAAGGTGCCAGATGTAGGGCGTCAACAAAACCCCCAAAAAAGTATGCAAATACCCCAGTGGCGCAACCTGGGTTAGCAGAATTGCTTAGCACAGAACCTTATGCCAGTGGTTGCACGACTGCCCACACGTGGCGATTATACATTTTGCAGAGTATACTTTGTGTGCATGATATAACGGCAACTTCGCTTTTCTTCAGCATCTGCCATGCGCCGTGATCCGTGTAGTCTCAAGGCTATCTTTAGGTGAAGAAAAGCTAATTTCGGTGGAGACCGGAGTTTGCCCCCAGGGTGCACCCATTGAGCCAATGATTGTAGGTCGCAAGGGGGCAAAGTTCGGCTATCCCATCGCCCCACGTTGAAAAATTGCTCCAAAACCCGGAGGCTGCGGTGTGTTTTTTGGGGCCAGGGTGCCCTAGAGGCGTCTGGGTCCTGTTTTGCTGTCAGCCACTAAGGGGCTAGATTACCTCATTAGGCCTAGTCGTCTACTGCTTGCCTCACTAGCGCAGGGACCAAGCTATATCAGGTTAGACATATCTTGTTCTGGACTGGTAATTGGCCAATCGGGGCTTCTTGTTGAAACTCCATTATCCAAATCCGCTTTAGACCGAGAGCCTCTGCTTATGCAGTCTGACTAGTTTGACTAGCAATCTTCAAGGGCATTTAGATAAATTGTGATAGAGACCCCGTGAGCCCTGTATTTCACCCCATCTTTCTCTTCACGTTTTCCACTGTCGCTCGTTTGACTTCTATACTTTCGTTAATAAAAATATACACCATGCGCGTTCAATCCCTTGCTCTTCTTGCCGGCGCGACCGCCGCTGTCGCCGCCGACACCGTCACCCTATTCTTGCCTGGATTTGACTCCCAGGACCTCGTTGGAAAGGTCGTTGGTTCGGTATGACAAAATTCGGGTCTTGCGATAGGTCATAGATCCTAACCTCTCCCAGAGCGGCTCTACGACCACCTATGTTATCAACTGCCCCGGCAGCACCGACTCCGATGACTGTGGTGTCCCACCCAGCGGCATCACCGTTGCGCAGGCGCATTCCAGCGTCGCAATCGCGTATGGCGCCGAATCAGTGTAAGTACCCAGCCCTGCGAGACGATCATCCGTATCAAGCTTCTCCCCACATTAGCTGATCACTGCCTATCACAGCACAATCTCGGAGAAATGCGAGTACGACGCCACATCTGTCAGCTGCTCTGTGAGCATGAACGAGAGCGGCCTCACTACCGCATTCCAAACCGGCGTCCCGAGGACTGAGATTCCCGGCGCCTTGATGCCTGTTACAATCACTGGAACTGGCGCTGCCGGCGCTTCCGCTACCACCGGTGCCTCGGCTTCAGCTTCGACTGCCGCTTCCACGGGCGCATCTACTTTGACCACCTCTGCTTCTGCCTCTGACAACACTGCTGCTAGCACCGCTACTGGTACCAGCACCGGTGATTCTTCTGACAGCAGCAGCGCTGCTGCCACGAGCTCGACTGAGACTGGTAACGCTGCCATGCCCATGATCACCGGACGCGCCGGCTGGGCTGCTGCTGGCGGTGTTGCTGCCGCCTTGGCTTTCGCTGCTCTCTGATCGATACCTCTGTTTCTTTACGCCATTCTGTCACGGTCATCACTGCATAATTTAGCATTGTATAATATAACATATACTACTCCGTACGATTTGTAACTATACTCAGGCCCATATCTACACATCGATCTAGTAAGCCATTGCTGGCGATGGATTATAAATCCAGATGACATCGACTGACACGGCTTTCGATATATGTGCAATTATAGCGTTCTAATCCTAGAACCCTTCTAAACGTCTATCATTTGTTCATAATTTAGGCCTTGCGATGCATGGTCCCAGCACCAGCCTAGAGAGGGTTAGTATGGAAGCACGAGTAATCTCGCAGGAGGCTTAGCTTACCTGGTGGCTAGGGAAGATCAGGGTATCCGCGATGACCACGTTTTCACGACGGCTGGCGGCGAACACAACCACCTCCGCGATATCATCACCAGTTAATGGCTCAACACCCCTGCATCCTGTTAGTCGTTGGATTATCGATTGTGTGGGATTGTCTTACTTGTAGACGGCATCGGCCTTGGACTGGTCTCCATAGAAGCGCACAACGGAGAATTCCTAGAAAAATCTTTGTTAGATCTTCAGACATCACAATTGTAGGCAGAGAATGCAAGCATACTGTCTCAACCTGACCGGGGTCAATCTCAATGACACGGATTCTGGTCGCGATGAGTTCCTTGCGGAGCGCATCTGTGAAAGAGCGGACTGCGGCCTTGGTGGCACAGTAGATGCTGCCGCCGGGGTAAGGCTCGCGGCCGGCAATGGAGCCGATATTAATAATGTCACCACGGCCACCCTCAGAGCGCGCCTTGAAAATGGGCAGGATTGCCTGGGTCATGTTGATGAGACCGGTAACGTTGGTGTCAAACATGACCTTCAGGTCCTCAGCAGCAATGCCCGGTGCCTGTGCAACACCCTTGACCAAACCACTGTATTGGAATATATCAGTACCACTAGGAAGACTACACTGATCCTGGAAGACATGACTCACGCGTTGTTGACCAGGACATCAATCTGCTTGAACTCTTCCGGCAGGGAGGGAACAAAGTTGTTGATTTCCTCTGGGTTGCTGACATCTAGCTTCACGGGGAGAACCTGGACACCGTCGCCAACTTCCTGCTTGATCTCTTCGGCGACCTCCTTCAATGTATCAATGCGACGCGCAGTCAGAATGAGCTTCAAGTTCTTTGGAGACGAGCGGGCGAATTCCTTCGCAGTGCTCTTGCCGATTCCGGAAGAAGCACCGGTGACGAGGACAGTCTTGCCCTCAAGGCGCTTTGCGATTGCGGAAGCCATGGTGCGTTGGATAGAAGCTCGGTTGACTGTTGAAGCGAAAGGGGTGGGGTAAGCGGAGAGACTGGGAGTTGTGAAGGCAGATGAATGTCGGAGATGTCCAATTGATCTAAAACAAGCGCGCAAACGGTTCATGTGATCGATGAGTCCTTTTCCTTAGGAAAATTCCGTAGAAAACAAAAGAATCCCAAGACTATCACGAGCGAGTGCGGGGATTCGGCGTCATAGTTAATTACGTAATCCAACAATCGCCTGAAATGTTAGCCGGCATCGGCACGAAGGCCGAGTCTTGGCCCTCGATCTTTCAGTCTAATTTGGCTGTCCAGCCATTCTACTTCGCACTTGATTGTATATATCACTCATCTTGTATGTTTTTGCCCTGCCAACGACTGGCCATTCTCCGTGGACATGGTACCTACCCGTCCACAGGGGAATGCCGATGTTTCATTTTTCGTGTTGATTCCATATGTCATCTTCGGAGTTGACTTGGTCCGCCGGAACAATGTACTCAGCTACAACAGCTTTGTGTAATTCTGGGCATTTCGCCGCAGCCTCAATGCCCCAGCCAACAAAGACTTAACTACCGCTCTTCCATGAGGACCATCCAAAATTAGAAGTCAACCAGATATAAGACAAAGCAACCCCACTGGCAAACTCCTTTCAAGGATCTTGATTCTTTGTAGGCGAACAAGGGCATTATGAAGGCCATTGTTATTCTTGACTTGGACTTAGCCTTGAAGCTCAAGGCATTATTAGCACAAAGACCATTGATGGCATATAAATCCTCAGTCTCATCCACCTTCACATCTTTCAAGTTCCTTCTCGCTCTTGGTAACTTGACTAACTCGGCTTCATTTGCACCACACGTTGCCCATCACTGTGAGTCTGCCATATTGATTGAAGATCCAATCCTACTTTACTACAAGCGTCCAAGGTCGATTGCTTTCATCCGAAATCAACGTGAGCCATCGCCTTGGAAACCTGCCGAGTATAGATCCCCAAAACACAAACATGGCCGACAAGATGAGTCCTTTCAGCACGGTATGCCCAAAAGACCCGGTGACCGCTACTTTGCTAGTTGGTCAAACCCCACAGAAAATTATTACTTCACAGAGCACAGCAGTCGAAGATCTCCTTCATCGATGCCACTTCAACTGGGCAGATGAAGTTGAGGACTCCATCGCCAAGGCAGATGTAGCGACAGGAGTCTACCCTATCACCAACATGTCTACGCCTGATATTCGATGCTACTTTCCTCGAATGGCGAAGCCCACCGAGGCTGTTTGGCCACAACCATATACACCCAGAGCTTCGCGCTTTCAGCCAAGCCTCCCTACCTTGGAAGAAGAATCTGACGAAGATCTAGATGAACAAGAAAATCCCAAATCTATTTCCTGGTCTCTTCCTGTTGAAGACTTTGGTCACCCCATGCGACGCGTGCATTCTAATTCGCAAGATTATGCTCGCCGCCGCGGAGCAATCAGTCCAAGGTTCAACCGGCCTCTCTCTAAAATCTTTGAGGAAGATGAAGACGAAGACGAAGATGAAAATGACCACACGGGTTTCTACCAACATACCACATCCGAGGATGAAGAGGCGTCACATTCTAGCGACGATGAGCCATTTCCCGATGAAGAAACTGACACTGAATCGGTTGTCTCTGGCGATGATGAGTACGATGCCGCGGTTCAGCAATGCTTTGATGATATATACGATGACAGATACGGTCGTATTGCAGCCGATAACAGCATCCATCACTTCAGCTGGGCCGGGTATCCAGTCACCCACCGCAGTACAACATCACCCTCAGACTCCCTAGCTCTTATAATGTCAGATCCAAAAGTCCCGAGGGGATCGAACAAATATCGGGGTCAAGCAATGCTCAACAATGCTTTCCCATTGGTAGATCCTGTGATTGTATTTATGGACGGCATTGACGATAGCATGTTCGAACTCCGGGGATCAAAGCTCGCCAATGCCTCAGCCGGACGCGCCTATAAGTTTTACTCACCCCATGGACTCTGGCTGGATGATTCTAACGAGCACAGTGATGTCAGATATGACAGCGGCTGTTTGGACACCTATGAGTCCGGCAAGGCAGTGGTTGGAAACGGGTTTTATGGCGAAGGTGCCATACGCCCTATCTCTCAATGGATAGGCAAGCGACAAGAAATCTTTGAGGCGTCGGATAAATCCCATTGTCTGCCTCGCAAGAGCACTTGGAAGCCCAAACCCTCACCGCTGAGTCAATGTGAGACATTAACCCCTGTGAAATTGCCGTCTCAAAAGAATGCGCTGCTAGAATCACCATTCGTGATCCAGTGTGATGCCCTTAGGTCAACTGTGATGCCTCGCCAAACCAGCTGGCGACTAGAGGCTTCCTATATAAATCGGTGTGACATGATCACACCGATAGAGCCTCAATGCACAACAGACTGGCCCACTCAGCCGTCACCATTAGCTCAACACAATACCGCTGGACCAGCGAAGCCTCGCGGTAACAAGGCTTTGCAGCCCATTTCATCCAGCTCCTCTCAGCGTGAGTCGGATTTGGTCGTGGAAACCCCACAGAAGCGACTAACCAAGCCTCAAAAGAAAGCCCGGAAATCGCGCACTACGATTCCACGCTCCCAGGCTACGACTGCATGCAATGATACACATCATGAATACTTCTCCTTTCCCACTCCAGTCTTCCGTCGCTCGAGAACGAGACAAGTAGGCAAGGCAGTGATGACCGTTCTTAGGAAAGGAGTTGTTTATTTGCATAACATTGCGAAGAAGCCCGGAGTAGCTCGTGGTGCCTATTAATCTCCCAGTTGGTTCGACTTTTGATTAAAACTTTGATACCCTATTGTCTGTCTCATATCACTTTCTTATGTCAAAACCACTGTTTTAGTTAGCCGGTGTTTAAACTCACCTTGGTCATATTCAATTACATATCATCTTGATAATCATCTTTAAATCCCTAGCCTTAAGCCTGTGCCTAGCTTAGTGGGAAGCATCCATGGATGATTCTTCTATACTACTGCTACCAAAGTGCCTGGTTGGGCATCTCTGAGCACATTCTTTATCCTCGGCTACCCATCGAGGACGGAATGGCTTTTGATTGCAACATCATTAGATTAAACTATAGTGACGAGATCAGACTCTCCGAACTCTGCTGCTGGAATCGTCACGTTTATCCATCCCGGTGGCACCAAGATCAGACGAAGAAAATATAACTCTGAAAATGCCGTAACTAATGATGAGGTGTTAATATCTTGATCTGAAAAACTCTGAAGATGGTGAGCCAACAATGCTTTGAGTTTTTGACGGATTCAAAGACCGTCAATTTGCATACACAATCCAAGATTGTCTTGGTCTGATGCTTTTCAGAATCCAGCATGCCCAGATGCAATGATCCAATACATAAGCAAAAGGATTTCGGGAAGGATTAGCAAATGGCTGTAGTGTTTTAGCTCACTGGTCCTAGAGGCTAGCAGATTCATGTATAATCTCAAGTGAGAGACACGAGTTGGCGAGCAAGCGGAGATTGAGTGTAATACGGAGCGACCGAGAGACCGGTCCAATGTTTATTCAGACTAATTGCACCTCTCGCTGCTTTTCAACTCTTCCCTTTGAACGATGGATGTGTGGCGGCCTTCAATAGAATCATCCTTCGTTTAAGCCGTAGATGTCGGAGACTGCGGGCTAACCGGTCCATGGCTATCTCTCAGATGTTGATCGACCAATGAAGGTGTTATGGTCAGAGGAGAAGCTTCACCTTGATAGAGGGCTAGGGTATTGTGATCATCGTAGGTCGATTCGTCGAAAGCTGGTTTCTCGGAGACGCAGTCCAACTTGACAGAAGTGAGCATTTCCGCCAGGGGCTGTACCTGGCAGGTTGAGAGAGGTGACTTCCTGGGTCTCCATGTAAGCAGTCTTGGTGGTCCCGTCTTCTGAATCTGAGATATGCGGCGCTTTTGCCAAATGTGCCAATCCTCCCAGGTTGGTATGGGCTCATTCTCATGAATTCCGTTACCCAAGAGGACCTTCAATGGGTCCCAAAGCTCATTCACAGCGAGATCAACGATGGCAAAGTCGTTCCCAAACCCTCCTTTCATCCATTCTCCATGTGGGGAGTAAAGCTTGCGTACCCGTCCTTTGACACCTTCGATCAAATCACTACCGGATCCTGCCCAAAGGTCGGGGTTGAATCGCTCGATATTCACCAAAACTGGATCAACAAGCTTCATAGCACGGTTGATGACTGACTTGATGCGATACTGCGCACTTCCAGTGGGGTATTTTGGCTCGGCTTGGATAACAGCGAGGGACTCTTCCGGAGGGGTCCCAACAGAGTGAAAGACAGGCCTGCCGTACCAGCTGTAATGGTGAATCCGAGGATAAACTTTGGTCTCTACCTCTCGCCGATGCCATTCCGTTATGGTGCGATCTTCATCGGTTGCTTCAATAGTCTGAAGAGCCACAACTAGAGTGTTAGACCATACAACTCTGAAGAACGGGAAGCTGACTTGCCTCAAGTGAGTGATGTGCGATCAGATCCTCAATTTCAAACACCTCCTCATGTTCCCAGGATTCCTGCTCCATAAGTTCGATATTGACGTTACACTATCCAAGCGATTTGACCTTCACCTCACCAAATGGGTGGGTTTATTGAAGGCGACTGTGGAAACGCGGGGGAATCCTGACCAGAGGTTTCTGCGTATGCTAGCAGATGCATGCAGAGTGCAGGGAAAAGTTGAGCTCAGCGTAGAGAGAACGGTGAGAAGATCGGACGGAGTAGGAGTGAGATGGAAGAGCACAGGACGGAAAGGGTTGGACTTTGTTTGCGAATGGTCTTATCGAACATACTACGATAGCCGCCAGCAGAAACACAGATCCGATGGATATATTAGATGGTGAAATGTGTATACCGGAGCCGATACGTCAGATTAACCACGGAGATCTTTTGTCTAGCTATACAACCTTGAAATGTACTTGAGGACTTCGGCTCACTGCTGATAAGTGGTCTCAATCAGGGCTCAGTAGATCCTGATCCCGTAGGATTGTAAATTCACTGGGCAAAAGTGGGTGCTACTACAAACCCAAAGAATATTTCTTGGATCCCACTACTACCTAGGTAATCCAGACTGTTTGTTTCCAAGCTTGTGTCAGCCGCAGGTGTGCGTCTCGATTGAGCTACGAAGTCTTCCACAGCTTGAACAAATATCGTTAGGGGAAAAGGTATATAGATGAAGCCACTACCAGTGACGTTTCTTAATGAATCCATGTATCCAGGTGCATTTATAGTGTGTTCTAGAGCTTCATTCTGCAAACATTTAATCTAAACCAGCCATATTTTCCGGGCTCTTGGTCCTTGAAGGTATATTCCTCGAGCTTCATAGTTCCCGAGCTTCATAGTTCCCAAGAATTTCTTCGACGTGAGAGTGAGGTTTTCTCCCTCCTCGTGGGCCTTTTTTACTTTCCCAGGCGCCTTTTCTTTTGCTCTCCATTTCCCTACTCCGCAAGCCTTTGCTCGTTCTTCTTCTCCTCTTTCCCTCTCTTCCATTACCTTTCCTCTCTCGCAGCTCTCTAGCTTTCTCATCTATCCTCTCGTCCTCTGAACCATCCAGTTCATCAAGATCACCAGTATCTCATACTCAAAATCATCAACAGCAGTAAGTACTTCCTGTCTAGGAGCAGCGAGAGCCCACTACATGGGACTGACGGTCTGTTGCGTTTTAGACTTCTTACCTGCTGTATCGCCAACGGCACAGCCTCGGAGAGCTTCTGACTCTCTCTGCATTCAGCTTTTCATACTTCGCAAAGCGGATTTGCCCAAGCATCCCGCTCCCCCTCTCTACTCATCAATCTCATACACCCCTACAGGTAACGCTTGCACTCCCTGCACATTTAATACAGTAGGATCAATGCTAATATGAATCCTCTGAACTAGTCGGCATCATGAAGTGCGGACTACGTGCATCGGTCTCAGGCCTGCTCAAGAAAGCAAAGGCCAAGATCTGCGGCCGAATGGGCATCAAGACCAAGAGCCGCATTAGTTCTCCCATCTTTTCATCCACCCCTATCCATGTCTCCACCCTCGAAATCTGCGTGATTCCAGCAAGACCTATCTGGGATCTTGAAGACACCCATACACCCACCATCGAGCCTCGATCACTTTCATCAAGCCCCACCGAGCAACTCAGGCCGATCAATACCTCGAGCACCGACTTCAACCGTCTTCCGATGAAGAAGCCTGGTCGCAACCCCAATATCCTCCACCGCAATCCCCTCCGACTCAATCCAGTGGGAAGCGTCACTTGGCAAGAAGAAGAAGAAGTGAAGCACGCCCCCAGTGACCAAGGGGAACAAAGTGATCAAGATTACCACAGTGTCCAAGAGAGCCAGGGTGTGCAGCAGAGCTACCACATCCCAGATAGCATCCGTGGCCAAGAGGAGCACAGTGATCAAGATTACCACAGCGTCCATGAGAGTCGCCGTGAAGATGAGTACCAGTCTCGAGACATCCGCCGTGAAGAAGGCCTTCGCGAAGAAGAAGGCCGCCGTGAAGAAGGCCGCCGTGAAGAAGAGTGCCGCCGTGAAGAAGAAGGCCGCCGTGAAGAAGAATGCCGCCGTGAAGAAGAAGGCCGCCGTGAAGAAGAAGGCCGCCGTGAAGAAGAAGGCCGCCGTGAAGAAGAAGGCCGCCGTGAAGAAGAAGGCCGCCGTGAAGAAGAAGGCCGCCGTGAAGAAGAAGGCCGCCGTGAAGAGTGCCGCCGTGGACATGAGAGCCGCCGCGAAGATGTAGGCCGCCGTGAAGAGTGCCGCCGTGGACATGAGAGCCACCACGAAGAAGAGGGTCACCGCGAAGACCACAACAACCAAGAGGACGACAGCGATGTCTCGGCGTTTCCACCAATTCCCTTCCATCAACGAAGCATGGAAGAGACCCAACGCTACGACCTTGCAGCAAGCCGGCGTGGGATCTGGCGTTTCAATCCAAACGCCGAGAGGGTACACCGCAGCCCTCTCCATCTTGACTCGCAGCACACCACAATCTGGGACGGGGGCTTCTCACCTGCTGCGGCCCGTTTGGTCAACCAGAGAAGGTTCCCCCGAGATGCCTGTGGTCAAGTGAACACCGCAGCTGCCACTCCCTCTGAGATAGCGTCAATCACAGAGGGATATGAGGCCCGGGGAGGCCTCCGACCAATGCCATCGCAGCTCAGCGTGATCTTGGAAGAAGAGTCATCCGAAGAGATGCAGCCCAGTCTCTCGGGCACCACCTTGCAGAGTGCCGATACCGATGGCACCTCTGTCAAGAGCGGGGTGTCCGCGCCACGACGACTCGGGCGCAAATCCTCTTCGCGAGATCTGCGCGGCGCTGCTGCTGCAAAGCGCGCGCCTGCAATCAGGCCCCACGAGCATCACCGAAGGGCGAGGCTGAGCCCGGCGGTCTCATATCTATGGTGATATGATATGAGCCCCGGCTCATGCCCCCCTTGCTCTGGCCTCACTTCGCGCTTGCCTCGACTTTACTTCCGCCTCAGTTCACTTTCACTTCCGGCTTGCGGCGATTTCAAATCATTTGTGGCGTCCTTCATCCATGCCTCTTCTTCGTCTTTGAGGAGAATGGGCCCTGTTCTCTGTGGGGGGTGGCGGAGAATACGTTTGCCCTGGGAGCACCTCGACGACGTCTGGCACTCGAAAATATTTTGTTAATGATGCCCCCCAAAAAATCTAATTTGTTACTGGTTGATCGTCCATGAAATGTTATCAGTTGTACAAATAAATTAAATTGCTGATTTTAGGATGATGACTTGTGTTCTAGAGAACATATCTAAAGCCCTTGTTCTCGAGTTCAGTTTTGTCCTGACGAGCACAAGTTAGAATTTTCACGGGTACCATATAAGTTGATGATGAGACTTACCAGCATTCCACTCTCCACTCCGTCTGTCTCGACCTCTTGTTCATCTATGGCTTGACGGTCTCGGCGCTTGTTCTCAAGATACATGTAGGCATACAATGCGATAATACAAAGCAGCTTGACCACATACCCAACAAGCATCCTTCAAGAATGGTTAGCGATTTTGACCTTTGGCAGATAACTTGGGAATGGTAACTTACGCAATATAAGCGCTGTGGTATCCAGGTGCCTCACTTTGTTTGAAAGTCTGAGGACCAATGATGTTTCCAACGCAATAGCCAGTGAATAAGAGAGCACTGGTCACCTGCTTCTTGGTGTATCCGGCAATGTTTGAGCTGACAATGATCAAACTCATGCTGAATCCCAGTCCCTGGAAGTAACAGAGCCATAGCGCAACGAGACGACCCCATTTGTTGTCATCAGGCAGTCCCACTAGGAGACCTGCACCAAGAATGCAGACAGTACAGGCAAAGATCATACACGCAAAGCGCGAATGGAACTTTCCGTTAAATTTGGTTGCAATCCAGCCACCCAGGAGCAGAGTCAGGAACTGCACGGCACCACCAGGGATTTGAAGATACTGTGTTCCGAGTGTATCAAATCCAAAGGTTCCAACGATGATAGATGTAAACTGATTCATATTAGCGCTGGACATAAGCGGGGTATTGCACGAGAAGACATACACTAGTCAAGGCGGAGTTAGGTACTTGTGCACCGATAGCCATGATGAACAAAAGCCAGGTCTTGGGATCAACTGCTGCCTGCCTGACTTGATACCATTTGAACTGGCTGCTCTTCACGCCCTGTCGGTTGATGGCAACACGATCCACGGCGATAGCTCTCTCGCGCGGAGTAAGGAACTTGGCTGTTGACGGAAGATCGGGTAGGAGGATTAAGGCTGCGACACCAACTGCCACCGAGAATGCTCCAAAGATCAAGAAGACGTACATCCATCGCGGAAGACCGGTCGTGATGTGTCCAACCGCATATCCAATCAAACTGGGCTTTGTTAGCTGATTGCCGGCACAACGTATGAAAGCTCGGTGTTAAGACTCACCCTCCGAACATGGTCGCAATACCATTTGTGCAGTACCATGCTTCGAGGCGAAGAGGCTGCTCTTCAGCCGTGTACCACATGCCCATCATAAGAACGAATCCGGGGGTAACAACTGCCTCGACCACTCCCAGCAGGAAACGGTTGATCGCAATTCCTGCAAAATTATGGCAAGCAGGGGTTGTCATAAGCAGGCCGCCCCACACTATTTCCATCAGTATACATGCGGTTTGAAATTTGCGATACGGGCTCCCGAGAACGTACCTAATGTAGTGACTGCCATGTATTTGCCAACTGGGAGTTTCTGCATTGCTAGTCCAGCAGGCCATTGCGCAATGAGATATCCGAAATAGAAAATAGAGCCTAATTTTATCAGTATAGGTTCAATTTGTGATCGAAAAAATTTGGACTTACTCAGCCAGGAGTACTGTTGCCCATGAAGATGAGTTCCTGCCTTCAAGCCATAGACAGATGCAAAGTTTATGCTGTTCTTGTCCAAATACTGCTTTCTGTCAGCACCATAATCATTCTGGGGATCAGAATCTCTTAAATCTTACCTGGAGCATGTAAATTAGGAACAGCAGCGGGATCAGTACAAGGTCGATCTTGCGCAAGACCTTTTTGGCCTCTTCTGGTGTGTATTCAAGACCTTGATTCTGTTTGTAAAAATCATAGCTCTCATCTGCTTTGTTGGAATCCTGGGATGAGATTGATGACGAATTCGCCTCTGCCTCCTTGTTCGAAGTCATTATTGCTGGTGTGAACAGAAAGAGTCCGGCCGGCTGGCGAGGGACAGAGATTTATATAAAGCTCATCCCACACGCCTTCGGGACAGTCGATGTGGAGCGTTGCACAATAAAACGGCCCCACTATGCTAAGGAGGAAGGTTCTATGGAATAAGTGGGTATAAAGTTAAGGTACGAGGCTTTGTAGAGCTACTTTATGCGAGTGATGGCCACGGCAGAACTTCGTACCGAGACTTGTGTTCTGACAGGTGCTCGAGTGAAACTCAAAGGGAGAAAGCGTGGCAAAACAGCCATTCAGGACGACTTGATGTACATCAAATACTGGACGTTTATTCGTTCTTGAACAGCATGACGGAGTTGCGGGTGTTGGGTGGTTTGAATCAAGCAAAGTGGATCCATCACGACATCACCGTCTCAATTGCGCGTTTGTTGGCCCATATAAGCTCATTTCTACTCCAGAAAACCACCTGTAGGAATTTGTACTCGGGGAATTTCCGATCCCTGAAACAAGAAATTGTCGTGAGATGGCAAATCCCCATCTCTACTGCAAGAAGTTTCTCTTCGCAAGGGTTTACCGATTCTTAAAAAGCATTCGATTCCAAGGTTCTTGGCATCGGGTAAACCCCGCGAACGTTTCAACTCAAACTTGAAGCTTCCGCGGCATGCGTCCGCTTCAAAATCTCAGTGCCTATATGAATAGATCTAAGGTTATTAATTTCCAATGCTAGCACCATGCATGTGTTGAAATAAAGAAGGAATCTAGCTGTTTATGAGCCCTCGGCGCCCCGGTGCCCTGGATCTGGATTAGGTAATCAGGTTATTTGGACCTCCCGTCTTGACATGATTGGTCGACATCTTCAATGCGATCCACTCTCTGCCTGGCCCACGGTTCAGAAGCTCAAGATAAATTCCTCACTGATCATTGACTGATCGCCTGGCACTCCGTATCTGGACATTCGTGCAAAACGGAGCATAGATTTCGATTGATAGTAACCATGCGATAGCAACAGAAGCCCTAGATTGCGGTGATTTCAACACAGCTGGCAATCTTCACAAGTAAACCTTGAAAATCAACGTTGGCATCTTGGACCCTTGGTGAAGTCCCCCTCCTCGTTTATGACGACGGTGCCAAATTTGTTATCTGTGGGCCTTTTGATGCCTCATGGGCTCCCGAGGTCAAGGTTGTATGTGACCCTTTTTCAAATAACGTCATTCGACAAGTGCTTCAGATCACCCTCAAAATAACGCAGCGAACGATGGATGATCAGAGTTTCGGGATATATAGTGAAACGCTCCATTCATCCAAATTCATCATCACTCATTATACTGAATACAAAGCGGATTGGCTAGGCCACAAACATAGTCTGGCTCTCCGAGCGTCGGTGTGAAAGCCACAAAATGGAAACGCTCGTCAGTCGGGCCATGTTCATGATTATAAGGAGTCCTGTAGAGAATGGAACGTCCCGCTGAACCAAGCGTCGAAGTCAATTTCTTCCGCTGTATCCCATGCTGGCTGCATTTGGTCAAAATGTGCCCCAATGACATCCCCGGAGTCCATATCTGAGAATCTACCGACAGATGTCTCTGGTGTATCAGGCGGTATGTTCAGACGCGTGAAGCTCGAAAACTTCGCAAGGATCTGGCCGAAATCAACCGCCCTTTGGCGGTGACCCGAGGCTCCCATGAATGGGTCGGCGGTGAAGATTGCATCGATCAAAGCAACGCCTCGCTGAGCAAGCACATCGTTGTTGCGAGCGGCAAGACGAGTGCGAGCTGCGTGGATTGCATCTCTGTAGCTCTGAGAAATATCAATCTGATTCTCAGCAGTGGCATTCACTTCAAAGCACATGATGACGGCGGCTGTGATGGCGAACGCGGTATGTGTCCAGATAGAGATATCCTCTTCTCTCACGATCGCTTCGTGCTCTCGCAGGATGGTCATGGCTGCTGCAACACATGTCCGCCTTGTATATTGGTATCTCTGATCGTGGAAAGAGCGGAACAGAAAGGGCCGGTGGATCATGATGATTTTCTCTGCTGCGGTGATCGCAAGACTTCGTCGAGCAATGCCAAGCCACACGGTCTGCTCTTCTTTAGCCTTGTCTGGTCGCAGCAGGAACGAGGGAATGTTTTTCACAACCGCTCTCATTTTCTGATCGATATGGAGAATATGTTCGTATTGTTGTCGCATTGACTTCCTGGCTTTCATTGGGCCGAATCCATCAACCAAGCCAGGCATCAATTCTGCCAGATTCACCAGGACTCGGATATATGTGCTGATTGTAGGGTGAGTGATTGGCATATCTCGCATATCATGATCCTCTGCGTTCATAGGACGACCTGTCGAAAAATGCATTGGAGAGATGCTGTAGGAGTCTGTGAAGGGGATAGCGAAATGGTCCTGGATGATCATCTGGCACCAAACCCTTTTTCCAACTTCTCTTTCCACTTTGTCTTCCCATTCTTCTTTATTTTGAGGGGGCTTTAACGAATGATCCTGGATTTTATGGATGCCTAGACATTCGGCGATACGCACTCCGGCGTTGAAGAGAGTTGCATTGAGCTGGCTCAGGCCGAGGTTGTGAGCAACTTCAGTGGAAATAACGATAGCTTGGACAGAGTAAAGAGATAGATTGGCCAGAAAGTTCGATTGGTAAAGGATTTGGACCATAGAAGAGAAAAGTTGTTTCGCGGACTGTACGGCGTTCAAATCCACATCGACACGTTCTCTTGCTTTTGCACTGTCCTGTATAGAACTCACAGTTGAGCTCAAGACGGAGAAGTAAAGAGCTTGCCATAATGGATCATCGAATTCGCCATGTTGCCAAAAGCGCTCACACTGTTCCAAAAATGTTGGACTGTGAATGGAATTATGGTGCCATGTCAGATGACATAGGTGGAAATTGACCAATTTTTGAGCATCGTCTGTGTTTGGAAATATTGGCGTGCTTTCGACGCCAAGGGCTCCGGCTTGGAATGAGCTAGTGGTAGAGAGACGCGTTCCATCTTTCCGATATTGACACTTGCACGTCCTGTGTGGAAAGCAACCAGCAGAGTTACGGCCCCATGCAAGATGCTCGATTGCGGTAACAAGTGATGAGTCGGTCAGATCGGTCGTGCTTTCTGTAGAAGCCATGGTCCCTTTGTCGGGTAAGTGGTCTTCCGTTGTACCGGCTTCCTGCTGAGTCGACGAAGCATCGAGTACCTCTGGTTCTGCGGGTTCTTGGCCGGTCTCTAGCCGAAACACTCGATTTTTGATTTTTTGTCTTAGCTGAGTTGCTTGGTCCGATGGAAATGCATCCAGATCTACCAGCAGTGTGTTCAAAAACTGTATCTCAGACCCATGCTGCACGGTGTTGCGTCTCAGGTGGACGACTTCTATTGAACATTTCAAGTTGAGTCGTTTACACCTTGAGCAGGGATCTTCCTTGTCACATTTTCGTTTTCGTTTTGTGCATTCTGCATCATGTCAGTTCCGTTGCAAAGTTGAAGCGGCTCGATATGTACCTCGGCACGCCTGCGGTTGACGCTGCGATACGCGAAAAGAGGTCGTTTTATCTGAGGCGCCACTCATTGCCCGTCGATTTTACATCCACTCGGATTTCTGATTTGATGACTGTGCTACCTCGGGTCTCCAAATGCAAAAGCTAGACCAATCCGAAGAGAATTCTTACATGACGCCTGGCGGCTGGCTTATCGGTGAAAGTGTTCATGGGACCCGTGGGCCCTTACTCCGTACACGCGACTGATTGAAATACCGGATCTTTCTTTTTCCGTCCGAACTCATATCTTCCATTGTAGCTCAAAGTCACATGATGGGTAATTTTGTCCTCTCAGCTGTAATGCAGCAACATCAAATATTACCGGTCCTTCTTTCTTCCGTTTCAACCACCAACCATCGTCCATCAATGTTCTCCAATCAGGATCAGTCTATATCCAATCAACGCCCGGGCTCACTTAGGTGACAGCTACGAAGTAGCTGGAAACTATGGTGCTTGAACCCGGTATGCTCGAGGAACATGTGGCATGTCGCCCGTGAAACCCACATCTTGCAATCTGCTCCGAAGTTTAGACTAGTCATGAGGGATGTATGTTCCTGGCCAGCGAAAGAGCCATTTTTTGAACGAGGATGATCAGGTGGCCGGTTGAAGGGGTGATCACCGTCTCCATGGGATGCGTTTCTATCATTCAATCGCGCAGACAAACGATCGCAATATAAAAAAGAACGAAGTTGTTCGCCCATGGTGTCACAGATCCCCGATCATGGTCCTGCGATCCCACCAAGTTATTTCAAACTGCGCAATCCAACCAAGGGGCTTCCTTCAATTTTTGAGAAATCGTGGGCGTCCAGACATGCCTGGCGAGAGTTCAAAAAGCTTGGCTCGGCACGTGTAAAGACGTCGTTCTCGTAGGCGGCGATAGAGGATGACAATGCGACGGAGTCCAAGGCACTGGTTTTCACGAATCTGTTAGTGCGCTTTACCCCAACGTTTGTTAGATCGAGCTGGCGTACCCATCTTCTCGCAGATTCAATCGCTTCACGAAGTCCAGTACATCGACAATGGCATTGTTGGCGCCTTCTCCGCGGACTAGTTGGCATTTTAGCCTCAGCTCAACGTGGGATGCAATCATCAAATTGACTATACTCACACATCGTCATTGTATGCGCTGAGTCGCCCATTAGTACCACTCGGGGGTGAGCATGTACCCTTCCCAGCTGGAACATCCAGTCTTCTATGCGAATGGAGCGGACCTCCACGCCATCGGGGAGTTTCTGGACAAGAGATTTGAATGGCTCTGACCAGCTGTTTGTCAAAGTCTTCATCAATGCGATGCGCTCGCTGTTGGAATCGGGAACTGGGATCCCTTTGGAATCTGCCCAAGAGACGATAATCTGACAGTGATATCGATCTTTGCTACTGTTCTCGAAATTGTTAGGAGTGTCTAGGACTAGAAGAAAGTTAGTGAAGAATGGCGGCGAATTATTCAGACAACTTACAGCTGAAAAACAAGAACACATTCGACTCAGGATGAGATCCCTGGAAAATGAATGGGTCGATCGACTCGGCACCGCCCATCTCCTCCGCAGTGTACAACGTTGAAGCACCGAGTAGTTGCACTGGTAGCTGATTCATTTGTACATCTGGGTAGAGGATACTTCGAGTCCGCGATCTCGAGCCGTCACATGCGACCAGTAGCCGACCAGTGCAAGATGTCCCATCCTCAAAGTGTGCGGTGGTTGTTTCGGCGGACGACTCTATATCTCGCAGGCTTTTGCTCCACTAGATTTGTCATGTCAGCTCCCGTAGAGATCAAGGCCATTTGGTCATTCTTTGGGATTATCAAGTAGAAATGATCAAAAGATAAATGAAAGCACAAATAAAAGAAATAAAGAATACAGAGCTTACCTGGACGTCGATTCCGGTGGTCAACAGATCTCGAAGTCGCACGCGACTCACTCGAATGCGCTCAGCCGCGGGGATATCGTACAACGCGGCACCCGATTTGAGGTCAAAGAACTGAAAGCGGCCAGTGTCACCCCGCGATGAGGCATCTTTGTTGACAAAAGTTTCGGGGAAGCGATCGACGAGGTGTTGGGGCAGTAGCTCACGGAGGGCAGGAAGTGACCAATGCAGAGTCAGGCCCCATCCACCACTTCGCGCATCAACAGCGGAGTCCCGATCAAATATCTTGAAAGCAATACCATGAGTTTGGAGATACTGAGCCAGCACGAGGCCACTGACTCCTGCGCCGATAATCAGAATAGGTTCGGACATGGTGCTTGAGGCATAATTCCACACATGGCTCCAGTGCAATGTGTCGCCAAATTTGATGTCACTGGTATGTGATTGTATGGTGCCCCCTGTCTCAGCCAGTCATATACAGTAGCACACAAATCATGCCACATCATATTGGTAACACTCTCTGGTCAAGTCTAAGTGGGGGCCTTAAATACGAAGAGTGCCCGAATCCTTCCACGTAGAGGCTACGGGATCCCTAATTAAGGCAAAATAAGATTTCATAGGAGCTTGAGTGATTCTTGGCTCGAGATGCGCCAATCCGAAGCTGAGTGCCCACCCGCATGCGCCCCAAGCCTTTTGGCCTCAAAAGTTACCTAATATGCATAGTTCACCCAGAGGTGGAATAATCCCATATTGGACGGACTCCGCCGGTGAAACAACCTTGTTGAATTCTACCCACAGAATTTTAAGCAGCTAAATTCATGTCTCGGACGCTCGTCCCGCGTCAATATAAGGCGGATCTTCACTCCCCACTACCCGACCGGGACGGATAAGTGGATCTCGGTCCGTTGGAGTAAACAATTGGACTAGAGAATATGGCTGAGACGCTTAGCTTGAGCTGGAAGGATTTCGAGAAGAATGGAAATGAACATCAATGCATTGCCCGGAAACTTACGTTATCGGCACCGGATCTTATAGGTGTCCCGTCAGTTTTTGTTTTGCGAACTCAACCGTCAATAGAGTTTCGAGATCCTATTGCCACGGCGAATACTTACAGGCAGATACTTATGGCAAGGGATAGCGATACAGGAAACGGTGAAAAGTACGGAGTACCATTCCGTGCTTTGTACTCCGTAGTTAGTTTCCCCCACTCAACACCCTAGTCAACGCCTGCATGTAAATGTAATGTACAGTCTGAATTTGGTAGCCTGCTTCTAGATTATGTGTCCTGCTTGGTCGACCTGCCTTCTAATGATACACTGTATTCCACCGTCATCTCGATACACCCAGGATCTGGCTCCTGACTGGCTAAAATGAGCTCCTCGCTAGGTGTTCGCCTTGGTTGCACCGGACCAGAAGCCGTCGATTGCAATTGCGAACGTTGGTCTTTTGACCAATTTTCCAACGCATAACTTCTGCCTCGGCTGTCAGTATAATACCGTTTAGTCTTTCCACTGCTGGAATTGAGGCCTCGAGCGAGTCCTTTCAGCAAGGGCGCCAAATATGGAGCACAGGTAACAATATTCTGGATCGGGCATGTCAGGAACCACGCTGTGCATATGCAATATTTCGTCCACTCACCCCCACATTGAACTCAATCGTTCCCCATAACACAAGCATGGTCGAATTTCCGTCCCCAAATGCCACGCGTTGAATCTGTGTCAGGCGCAGGATTGAACATATCGTAGTGAACAGACCCAACAGAAACAGGCACACCACGCCTGCCTTTTGGGCTGTTTTGATGTTCAAACTGAGAAGTAGTGGAATCGGCAAGACTATGATGACCACATCACATATTATGGTAAAGATGGCGAGGCCGTAGAAGGTTGCTCCGACGGGAAGACAAGTCCCGGGGACGTGCATATTCCATCCTCGGCGAACCTGATCGAGAAAGTCAGCCAGTGCGCGAAGAGATGCGTCTTTCCCGCATTTTTCGTACCGGGGTGCAATTGAAGATCAAGATGAGCGCGCCAGCGATATGACCCGCGGTAGACACCGCGATCACGGCCCAGATTATAATTCGATATATGTGCTTCGAGGTCCCTGAGATCAGTCGGTGGTAGCTGAGACAGAGTGAGGCCTTAAAACCTCCAATCCCAATTTGGTAGAAAGGACGTCCCGCATAGTTTAACTACTCGAGGTTAGCTTGCTGGTGACAATTCATTGACTTATATTCCCACCGATCGTCACCGGTTCAAGTTTTTCATACCTTGGAATATGTCGCATAATCCGCGTCGGGGCGCAACTTGATAGGTAGTCCGAGTCCATATCGACTTTCTGTAGAAATATCAGCCTGGAGCGTTTGTGCTTGAGGATCTTAGTGAGTGCTCACGCGAAATGCATAATGCGCTGTAGATGATACTAAAAATCTATATGGGGTCAGCTCTGGCGCTTTTGCAGGGTGGATGAAAACCAACCATGCTACCAACCATCACATAGTCAGCTGCTGCTAATCGCCCAACCTTGACCCGGACAAACAACCGCAGACAGACCGTGATGACCATCAAGACAGTTAGACTCAAACATATACCAAGAATGAGAGGGTACTGGGAAGTAGCCTCGACATCAGGGGAACTGTTGTGCACCCAGCCCATTTTTGCTAACGGAAATCAACGATAAGGCACTGAAGTAGGTTATAGACGACAACATGGCATTGTGGGAGACAACGACATATCTTGGCAAAGAACTGGATTTTTTTGAATTTATCAATTAAGAATCGTCAGAAATATCCAGTTTCCTCTTTGGAGAATCGTTTAAAGTGAGTTTCAGCTGGTTGGCTGATTCATTTCGGCCCCTTTCAAACACTTCCTACCTACACGTGTAATTCAATTCCACACTGGGTCTAGTTGGTAATGCAATATCAACTTTTGCTCCACACCTCCTTCCTGTACATTTCTTTAGCTGACCACCTTAAAGTTATGGATCCTGCCAACGGAGATTCTCATTGGCTCCGCAATGAAAAGATTTGAGTAACATGCATATGGCTGGATTCCTCCGGCCCGCCGCGGTGGCCGCGGTGGTTTCAATTTTATCATTTTATTCGAGGTTCATTCGAATTAATCTGTTGTTTTTCCAACCCTGGAATCTTATTTCCACTTTCTTCCGGCTACCCTTTTCGCTCCGGTTTTCTCTTCCTTTTCATTCTCGTCATTCTTAAACTTCTTCTCACTCGGGCATCTTTCCACACCGCGTCGCCATGGACGAAAAACATCCCGTGGCAGTACCGCAGCACCCCGGCACCGATCGCGCAGATGATGCTGTTGTTTATCTTGAGGGTCATGCAAACGATGCGGACGGCCCACAGGTCGATCTGCGGGCCCTCCGCCGCAAGATTGATCTGCGCTTGATGCCGTACATGTTCTGTTGCTATATTTTACAGTTTCTCGACAAGGTCATGCTAAATGTTTGTCCTCTGCTTTGGCCTCGACCGGTGTGAATATTTCTGCTAATGCACGGATCCTTCGCAGTATGCAGCCGTCATGGGGATAAAGAAGGATTTGAATCTGGTCGGAAATGATTTTTCTAATACTGCTACCTGGTTCTTCATTGCATATTTGATTGCAGAAGTTCCCAATGGTTAGTCTCAACCATTGAGCACCTCTTGATCAAAGTACATCATTGCTAATTCGTCAAATGTAGTATACTTTTTACAAAAGGCACCTCCTGCCAAATGGCTTGGAGGAAATGTTTTCCTTTGGGGCATCGCTGCCGCCGCGTCAGCTGGCGCCCAGAACTACCGCGGTTTGCTAGTCGCCAGAATATTCCTGGGAATTTTCGAAGCTACCGTCGGGCCATCTTTGATGCTTATTAGCAGCCAGTACTACACACGCAGCGAGCAAGCCCCTCGCTTCACTGTTTGGTACATGGGTCTTGGCGTCGCTCAAATCCTTGGAGGGCTCATTTCTTTCGGCTTTCAACACGTGAATAATGCTTCATTGGAGGGATGGAGAATTATGTTCATTGTCCTTGGTCTGGTCACAGCTGTGGTTGGTTGCTTGACATTCTTTTTCATCCCGGACACACCAATGAAAGCCACTTGGTTGACTGAGCATGAGAAGGTTGTTCTCCTGCGACATGTCAGTGAGAACCAAACCGGGGTATGGAGTACGACTCTGAATCTGAGCCAAATCGTCGAGGCCATCCTGGATCCACAGCTATGGCTGCTGACCGTGACAACAATTCTGGTACATCTCACACAAATTCTACCCCTCGCTTCGAATGTCTCCGAATTCAGCTAACAACTGTCTCTTGTAGATCTCGGTATCAAGTGGTGTAGTGACCACATATTCGTCTACTTTGATTGCTGGATTCGGATTTTCTGGTCCAATCTCAGCCCTTCTCAACATGCCCTCGGGGATAGTCAGTATCTTCTTTACATTGTTGGTTGGATTTGGCATTCGGAAAACCTCTCACCGTTGGGCTTGGAATGCATTCTGCACCATCCCTGGAATCATCGGTGGTGGGCTCTTGTCATTCCTACCGAAAAGCAACACGGCAGGCGTTTTGATCGGCATTTACCTGGTGAACGCAATTGTAGCCACTCTGCCAATTCTCTACCAGTGGACCATGGCCAATTGTGCCGGTCACACGAAACGGGCCTTTGCCAGTGCCTTGGTTGCTGGCTCTTTCTCAGTGGGAAATATTATTGGCCCTCAGACATTCCAGTCGCGAGATGCGCCAGAATACCGACCCGCCAAGATTGCTGTTCTTGCCACACAGGCTGCTGCGGCTGTGCTGTCAGTTCTTCTCTTTGCCTACTACATGTGGCAAAACCGCCGCAGAGACCAGACCAGAGGTCTCGTGGACGAGAATATGATCGATGAGACAAAGTGGGCTGGGCTCACAGACAAGCAAAATCCCTCTTTCCGTTATGTCTACTAAGCACCTGGCTGTGCCCTTGATCTTCAACCTTTCTTTGGATAGTTATTGTAGCATTGTTTTTCCACATGCTTCACCGAGAAAGTTCATTTGGTTTTTACACACCGAAGTGTACATCTATATATTCATGCCCACTGCGTGGATCTGAACTGACTGATTGCTGCTGGCTACAAAGGCACCTCGGCATGATTTATGAATGCTAATAAATGTACCATTTTTAAATGAATTATCAGGTTCAGAACCGAGATTATGTTCCGTGGCACAAGAAGACAAAGGATCTATTGAAAAAACAGGAGAGTTTCATTGGCAGATGGCAAAATATCTCTGATTACGAACCGGGGCCAAGTTATAGCAATGAGGTCTTAGCATGGAACTTCTGGAAATTCCAAAATGAACATGCGTTTTGGTCTTGTAATGGAGTTTGATTCATGTCTGGTACCTATTTTCAAGTGTGGTCATCGGCAAACACTTCACCGAGTTTCACCAGACTCTCCCATCGTCCGTCGCTTTGAATCTCAATGGTGCCTTGCGGTGTCGCAACTTTCATTTCGTCAATTGACCTGGTACCGAAATCGTAATCCTGGTCATCTTGCACAAATGCGACCAGGCTTTGGATCCAATCGTTCATAAGTACTCTTTCAGCCTCTGTTGGACCATGTAAAATAGCGAAACTAGTCAAGGAGTCAATATCCAATGATTGAAAAGGGCAATCTCACAAACTTACTTCCACAGTGGCTTATCCATGGCATGTGAAACACCCCAGGAAGCCGGTGCTACTTTCTCAGTGATGAAAGACAAACGGTAGGCAATTTGGTAGCGCCAAATGTCGCGAACTGGTACACCGTGGTTACTGAGACAGCTGATCAGCCACCTGGAGGGCGCTCGGACCTGGCCGTCAGCAATTATGCTGCCAAATAGAGTCTTCCATTCGCTTGCATCTGAGCCAACGGGTAATTGGTAAGATTTGAGTACTCGCTCTGTAGTATCCTGTGAATAATAGTTCGATACTTGCATCCGCAACGAGTCCAGGTTTGGATCAGGGGTGTTGTAAGTTGCATATAATGTCTCCTCATTTAGCACCTCGCCGATCAAGATCCGGAGCTTGCGTTTCTTGAACTCCTCTGCAAACTTCCCGCTGTGGTGATAGTCCGTGAAACCTGGGTAAATGAACAGATTATCGGTCACAGGACGGAAAGTGTGATTCTTGAGATGCGAGATGGCAGCTATCAATTCTCGATAGCCGACCTTTCGCAGCTGATCCACCTTCTCCGCGCCAGACAAATCGGCCGGAATTTTGAAGTGCTCACAAAGTTCTTCAAATTGCGGGTTGACATCATCGAGAGCTTTCGGTTGGGCCGGAATCGCATTCGAATACATATAAAAGCGATGGAATAGTTGTGTTTCTTGTCGGAACTCATGGAGCACTTGTGCATGAACTCCATAAGCACCCGCACTTCGGCCGCCTAACGTAATGTTGTTGATATCACCACCAAAGGCCGCGATATGCTCATAGACCCATTCCATGGCAAGCCGTTGGTCCCAGAGCCCAAAGTTTCCGGCACTCTCGCCATTGCTATCTTCAAGCAGTGCTTGGCCGGCTAAGAAGCCAAGGATGTTCAAACGATATCCTACGCCGATGACGATCGCGTTGAGCCCACCCGTGGAGATCAACTCGGTGGGATCCATGCCGAGCTCTTGGAGTGGTTCGCCAAGCTGAAACCAACCTCCGTGCAGCCAGAGTACAACGGGCCACTTCTTGTTATCCTTTGACTTTCCAGCTGGCGTCCAGATATTGAGAATCAAGCAGTCCTCGCTGTAATTATCGGAGCCTTTATCCTTTTCTGCGCTGCTTGAAAAGGTCCCCTGGGGGCAGATCGGACGGAACTCAGAGGCATCGAAAGGAGTCCCATCTTCCTGGGTGTATGTGAAAGTTCCGGGCAATGCTCTGGGCTTTCTCCAGCGATGTGCGCCCACTGGCGGGAGAGCATACGGAACACCGGCGTATCGCCGAGCCTTATCATCGTATTGAACACCTTTGATCCGGCCATTGATTCCGAGATCAACTTCATGAGGCTTTTCCTCGTATGCTGAAAGCTGATTACCCATAATTGAAACCTTGGAAGGGTTACGGAGTAGGTATGATGAGGGGCAAAGTGAAGGGGGTTGGGACGCGATCACAAATAAGAAAGATACACTTTGCCCTTTTCGGTTAGTCTCCCGGGGCTTCTTCTGGGACCGAAGCGTAACAAGTCAATCTCGGGAATCCCGGAGGTCCTTGACGTTCGTTATCAGATTCGAGGATTGCAAAGTTGTCTGATGAGCTCCATTGGTCGAATCGTGATATGATCATTGTGGAGATATACTAGGGGAGGGAGAATATATTCTTGAGGGTTGGAAAGAAGAGAGCGGCACTGAAGATTATTTTAGCAGACAACCTTGGAATCAAATGAGGGAAGCCTTGGAACCTTGGAACCTTGGAATTCCAATAACAAAATTGAATCAAAGCATCTTAGCACAAGAGTAGACATCGTAAAAATGTCGAAAGGAGCAAAAACGACGACCCAAAAGCGCCCATTAGGCATGGAGCAAGGACTTATCAACCTCCAGGGTCGGGAAGGACCAATCAAATCGTCCTACTCAGTGGACAAGGAGTGCCAATTCCGAACAGTATGCTCGTGAGGTCCAGATAGACAAAAGACAGACTGTTTGGAGCAGAAAAGCGTTCCATAAAGCACATAGGATGGTGGTCATATTCGATAATTTGCTTGGATTAGACCCAGCTGTGTATCCCATGAGTCAAAGCACTTAGCAGTCGCGCTGCTACGGAATATACGGAGTACGCCGTACGTGCATGCGATTGGGAATTCCTGATTCCCCAAGTCCGCATATCTTTCCCAAATTTGGAGAGCAAACAAATCAAAACTGTTTGCCTACCCGAAATCCACCGACGTACGGAGTACGGAATACCCTTTCACGGGTTCAATCCTCTTCACGAGCTTGATATTTTTGCCTGCATGAGTCCGAAGGACTGAAAAGTTTGGTTGTACGGAGTATCGAGGTGCTTTCTTCCCCATTTTCCCCAAGTCAATTTGTTGGCCAGCAGCCTCTAGCCCCCGGTGCCCTTGGTCCCCACTGGCCCCACTGGCACGGGTGGGAGGGGGCCAGGAGACGGTGCGTGCCCCTAAGCTCTTTAGCGCGCCTTGAAGTGGAACCACGTTGAGTACTGCCTCCCATTGCCTTCTTCGAATTTGAAGATCACATTGGCGATGGCTAACGCATGACAGATACGGAGTACCTGGGCTCGCTTAGGCCGGACTAGCCTAGCCGTCTCTCCTGCGATTATATGAATTCCCAGCGCTCCCCCGATTGAAATCTAGGTTCTGGATCTGTTGAGTTTCTACGCACCACAATATGCACATCACTCCAGCAATTGCAGGCATTCTGATTGGAATCATACCTGATCTCAGCTTCGCCACAGGCAACACCGGTAGCTGTGTAAGTTGTCTGATCTCGTTCTGCATACAATTATGCTAATATGGGGTATTGGCATTGCACAGTGTGATTCACTGCTAAAATGTGGTCTTGCTGATCGGGTTGTGTACCCGGAGAGTGTTGCTTATAAAGATTCCGTGGATTCATACTGGGCTGAGAATGTCCAACTCAAACCTTCATGTATCCTGCAGCCGCGCTCTGCTCAGGATGTTTCCCTTGCAATTTCTACTCTCACCAACACAGAAGAGGGCTCTTGCAAGTTTGCTGTCCGCAGCGGTGGCCATACTACATGGGCGGGAGCGAACGACATCAAGGACGGAGTTACCATTGACCTTCAAATGATGAACAGCACCACCTACCACAAGAAGAATGGCACTGCCTCCATCCTACCTGGAGCTCGTTGGCAGTCCGTCTACAAGGCCCTTGCGCCCTATGATGTGACAGTTCCGGGTGGCCGTGGAGGTCCTGTTGGAGTGGGTGGCTTTTTGATCGGAGGTAAGTGAAGGAATTCCCACGACACTGTAGGAACTGTACTAACATGTGACCTCTCCTCCAGGTGGAAACACGTTCCACACCGCGCGAGTCGGATTTGGTTGCGATAACGTCGAAAACTTCGAGGTGGTTTTAGCCAATGGAGATATTGTCGATGCAAACAAGCGAAGCCATGCAGATCTCTACAAGGCTCTGAAGGGAGGATCAATCAACTATGGAATTGTCACAAAGTACGATATAAAAACAATCCCGGGTGACAAGCTTTGGGGCGGGCTTGTCGTATACGCCAACAGCACTACCCCTCAACAACTTACGGCTGCCCATCACTTCATCAATAATATTCACAAAGACCACTATGCATCATGGATTGGTATGTGGGAGTACAGCTCTGTGGCTGATGCGAATGTCATTGCACATGCGTTGGAATACACGAAGCCAGTTGCATACCCCGAGGCATTGCAGAACTTTACGAATATCCCCAACACCACGGATACCATGCGCTTTGCAAACATGTATAACTTAACCCAAGAGCTTGTTCAGGCCTCTGGCTACCGGTATGTTGGTCAGAGTCATAACATGCAGCATTTGATCGCTGACCGATTGCAGGGACGTTTTCACAACCGGCACGTTCCTCAATGATCCCAAGGTCCTGCAGCACACTGTTCATATTCACAACGAAGTAATTGAGAGGGCCAAAGCAAAAGCTAAAAGCAAGGACTGGACCATTGACACCATAATTCAGCCCTGGCCTGCCCTATTTGCCGAGCACAGCCAGAAGCGCGGTGGGAATGTACTCGGCCTCGAACGATTCGACGAAAATCTCTTCCGTAAGTGCTGTTCCCATTGACTTAATCAAATTCGCTCTCCTGACACTTGAGTACAGAGGTTCTTTTTGACTACTCCTGGAAGGACGAAGCCGATGATGACCTGTTCAACGGACTGGCCCGATCCGCACTTGGGAAACTCAATTCCTACTCCAAATCGGTTGGAGCTGACAATGAGTACATTTACCTCAACTATGCCGATGGCAGTCAGAGCCCTCTGGCTGGCTACGGTCACAAGAATGTGGAGTATATTCGCCGCGTCGCGAAAAAGTACGACTCGGAGGGTGTATTCCAAACCCAGGTACCGGGTGGATTTAAGATTAGTGAGGTGGAACTCTAAAATGCACGCACGAGACCAAATGTACTCCTATGGGAACCCTAAAAATCTTTAGGTTGACTGCACGTCGGCAGTGAAGCTCAACAACACGAAATTTTAAACTATTACAAACTTGCACTTTAAACAAAACTATCATACGCTCAGAGACTGATCTCGGGACAGACAAATATTCTTTTTTTGGCGGAACAGCACCGAGCTCTTGATCGACTTAATTTCCGTGTCCCTATGATCCCTGTCATGAAAGGTCTTCCGTGGTTGCACCCCTGTACATAGATGATGTGGCCCAGCGACGGGCTTGACCTCTCTCCAAGTAATATCGTGGTCGATCACCATCGGTGCGTCTTGAAAATCAGTTTTGTGGGGCAGAAGGATTGCATACGCATATTTGTATGCACATTCGCCTTGGAGACCTAACGGTTTGTTGATGGGCGGGAGGAGTCTTTTTCCAGGCCAGGAACATGTTGCGGCGATCTTTATTCCACAAGGGCCCACAGTCCCGGGGGCCAACGATATTCTGTGGGATTTGGGGCTGAAATGTTGCGATCGGGCCCTTTCAATTATGCCCGCATGCGAACTAACAATCTAGATCGAAAGAAATGTCGCACGGAATCGTAGAGTGGGTCTAGCAAGTTCCTTGCCATTGGCGTCTCTATTGACAAATTGGCAAACACACGGAGTATTCTTCGCCCCAAAACCAAGTCCACAATTGTGTAAATCATTGGACGCTGGGGTCGAAAGATAGTCATGACAAACTAACACATGTGCTGCCTACCGAGGTGGGCAGTCTTTTCGTGATCGTATCCATGGATGGCTTCCTTCATCTGTGCATGCCAGAAACCGCATCAGTGCAAGTGAATATCCAAAAATGCCACATCATGTTGGGGTAGTGTCTCCTCCCCCAGGGTTGACAGCAGATTATGACTACTCAAATCCATGGCTGTACAATGCCAATATTTCCCTCATAAGTGTTGGACTGGTAGCAAGCTTTTTGTGCCTCACTCTTCGCATATACACCAAGACGCGAATATTGCATCGACTTGGCTGGGAAGACGGTAAGCTGTACCCACGACAGAAAAGATGTCCCCCGGTTGCTGACTCACACGGGCTTTCCAGTATTCATTGTTCTGGCATGGGTAAGATAACAGGAAAAGATGGAATAAGTGATTTAGGCTTACCTCGAATGACATCTTTCGTAGGTGTTTTCTCTTGGGACGCAAGTAACTTCAATATGTGGGTGTGAAACAAGCCTTGCTCGATGCTTTATTGGATCACTCACTAACATTAATCTTTTCAAGACTCGTATCAGTATGGCGGAGTTGGAATCCATATGTGGAATGTTACTGCAGAAATGCTTGACGTTTATGAAAAGGTATCCGAAGCCTCGACCTCGGTCTGCAGCTTCCCCCTGATTTCAAGTTGAGCCCTGGAAACTAAAAGCTCTTTTTAGGTTCTTCTCGCCGCCGCAGTTGTATACGTCCCTGCTCTTGCGTTCGCCAAAATGAGCCTCATCTTTCTCTACCGCCGAATTATGGACAAGCAGTCTGTGTACAATTGGGTACTTCACGTTATATCCGCCATTGTATGTGGTTACAGCTTTGCAATAGTTTTTGCACTTGTGTTTGGGTGCAATCCAATTGAGAAAAGCTGGGATATGAGCATTACGTCAGGAAAATGCGTCGACCGCAATGGACTGTATATTGCTACGGCCGTGACAAACATTGTTACCGACTTGGCACTGATATTGCTTCCGATTCCACTTGTTGTGGGCCTACAGATGCCAAAGATCCAGAAACTTTATCTGTTGCTTATTTTTCTGATCGGGTGCGCGTGAGTCAAACATGCTTGTGACCTGCGATCTCGATAGCTCACATGATGTTAAGGACCGTTGTTACCAGTATTCTTCGGCTTGCGACGTTGGTACCATTCCTTACCGCAGACGATGTAACCTATCAATTGGCCTGGCCCCAAGTTTGGATGTAAGTTGCCCACCAATTTCCAACCTTGGAAGGTTCTGCATGATAGTACCTCGTTTGTCTGACTAGATTCATATCAAGTAACGTGGAAGCAAATCTTATTGTGATATGCCCATGTCTTCCTTCTCTCCGTCAATTCATGAGACACCATGTTCCAGGATGGGTTGGAGAAGCCAGTAGCAACGCACGACGTTACTTTGGTGCCTACCATTCGGGAACTGCCTCTCGCAATCGGTTCAAGTTCAGTTCCTCGAAGCAGCCTGATGAGATTGCGCTTACTGAGAACGGCGAAAGTATTCAAATGAGCCCACATATCGTCAAAGAGGTCCAGTGGAACGTGACGGAGGAGCGAGTGGACGGTCATCTGGTCAGACCACATTGAGTAATCTGATACTTCATTTACATATCGATGCTAGATAAAACGGACCTCAATTATTCGGCCATATAGACCCAGCCCCATGTGGACGGATTTGCATTTGAAGAATAGGACATGATTCTCATATAAGTTCCCACTGGCAAGATGGAAAGTAGATTGTGCGGTTAGGAAGCTGCATGATGGAACTATGCCTTAGTACAGAATTCTCGAAATAGTTCGTAGTGTTTACAGAAGCGCGATATTGTCGCCAAAGCATACTCTCCCCTCGCGCGGGAGACGTGTATGAAGGGTACCACTGCAAGATTTGGTCGAGAAGCACGGGAAGACCGAGGCTCATATTCTTGTCTGCTAGAGCTTGCCGAAGGCAGGTCACAGACACACAAAGTTCCTTTTCATTCACACTCGACATCCGCGACTATTCCCATGAGCTCCTCCAGTCTCTCCTCTGCTATCCTACTCTCTCCACTGACAACACCATATACCCAATCGCCCCGCGGCTTAAGCTTGAGCTTTACTTCCTTCGGTATAATCATGAAACCCGCCACTTTCATTTCCCATGGATCGGCCACTTCGCCTTCAGCGGGCTCAATATCAAATGCCCAAAGTATGGACGCGATTTGCATGAATAGCCCATCTGTCGCCACTCGCTTTCCTTGACACATACGCCGTCCTTGTCCAAACACTGGCAACGGAAGCTCCGATCTCAACTTTTCCTCTCCGTTGTCATCTATCCGCAACCATCGCTCGGGTGTGAAGCTTTGAAGATCTCCAAATGCAGGATCGAAAGCGCTCTCATCACGACCGATAGCCCACGCGTTGGCCATTATAGTAACGCCTTTTGTTATCTTTATGCCATTGAGCTCGTCATCTCTATCAGCTCTGCGCGGGATAGATCCCGGTGCAACAGGTCGCCAGCGCAAAATCTCGTGCGCAATCGCATCGATGAACTTGAGTCCGGTCCGATCTGAGAATCTTGGCAACCGATCCCGACCAACAACCTCATCAAGGACTCGATGAGCACGTGTCACGAAGGACGGGCTATGCAGTGCTGCTGTGAACAGCCACAGCAGCTGTCTGGGGAATGTCTCCATTCCTCCTTGAACAGACGTGGCCAGGTTGAAAGCGAGATCAAGATCTGGAATCCCATCGGCGTTGTATTTTTTCGCCGTGGCAATCGCTTGTTTTGTCGAGTTCCACCCTGGTGAATTCTTCCCATGGTGGAGGAGACGCAGGTAAAGTTCAGATTGAGCCGCATAGAGCTTGTCGGCAGCTCGCTTCCAAGGTGATATTGGTGCTGGGATGTGGCGCAGGAAAGGAATAAAGTCTGGCAGAGCAGGATTGGCCGCAATATGGGTGATTTTTGTTTGCATGTCGATAACCTCGTGCAGGATCTTTTGACCAATGTCGCGAATGCGCAAACCATAGTGCAGAGCCAGAATGATGCTCGACTGGGTTCGTTCCAGATATGGGAAGATGGAATAAGTGCCAAGCTCCTTGGGAGATTCCTGAACGTGGTTCAGAAGATCAGACAACAATTGTTTGGAGTCAAGCTCTATAAGCGGCTGATATCGTGGCGCACCAAGGCCACCAAGGCTAGGTGAAAGAATGCGATGGTGCAACTTAAGGTGCTCATCATAATCGTGCATCAGGGTGAACTTCGACTGTCCTTGTCTGTCCCCCGTTATCATCTCCATGCTCACTGAGGGCGGCCGGTTGCTGTACCACTGGCTACGACGACTGAACAGCTCAGTCACCGCGTCATAAGAGTTTAGGACGACAATTGGTATGATCCCAAAAAGTTTGGGTATGGCCACAGGGCCATTTTGGCGCGCCCACGAGTCCCAATTCAACAATGGCTTGCTGATTGGAGAATTATGCAAATCACCAATGAGGGGAAGCTTGAGTGGCTTATCATCCTTGTCTGCATTGCATCGTGTCTTTATGAAAGTGACAAATAAGGTCAAAATCCCGATTATAACTACGGCCACTGCAGAACTGAGCATCATGGTGACTTTTGAAGGAGAGAGGACGTCGAAACAGCGAAGGAATTTGACAAACTAGTGGAGTCCACACGGCACCCATGGATTACACACTACTTGCTTACTGCCGAGCCTAAGAGTTACTAAAATTGCTAGCGTATCATGCTAGAGGCCAAGGCTGAGCACGCTAAGGCAAAGCGGGAGGTAACTCGAACACGTTTCAGTGAGCAAACAATCATTAATGCGCTAATCAAAGTATATGCCATATTAGCCAGCTGGAGTATTTCACTATTCAAGTATAGCATGGATGGATTCATTTGAAGTAATATCTCTCGGGAGTATCACCGATGATTGTGGCATACTTATCATGAGACCTCTATTCATGAATCATGACAATACGCACAATACTCGACCTTTCTAGACATTTGTCCTATGTTTGTATTTCAATCATGTCTCCTTGAATACAAAGGAAAGAAGCGATGGATGAGATATTAGTCACACGAACCATCAGAAACAGCAAGAACGCATGGGGGTAGCTCCTTCCTGGTAAGTTTTCCAGTGTTGTTGCGCGTTTGGATGGGCTGTTGTTTACTCCTCACGTATATCCATCTACCATCCTCAATACACGACATTGTTCCATTCAACATTCCCGGAAACCTTTCTTGGGCAGAATTTCCTGTACACGAGTCCGCTGTCACGGTGATTTGACTTTCTGCATCAAGGATGCTGCGAGGATACCTTTTTGTCTTTTTTGGTCCAGCTGCGCTGGTTTTCTCTTGGGCTTGCAGATGCAACGCCTACAGTGGTATGTTTTCGCACTCCGTTTGTGTGCTCATATCTGACCATACAGACAATTCCTTTCGTCGCGGATGCTCCCGACTACTTCAAAGGCTATGGAGGCAAGATCGTTGGCGCAGTAGGTTTTCTGGTCCATATTATGACAGACAGCTGACAGTCCAACAAGACCAACGATATGACAACATACGCCATCAACTGTCTTCCAGACAGCGAGTCGTGCCACGCCTTCACGCCCGATTTGACCGTGGTCTATGGTCCAAGCAGTAAGTGCCCCTCGTTCAAATCTTGCCAGAACACATACTGAGCTTTCCTCAAGCATACGGTCTCACTGCTCAGGGAATGCGGTTTGATCTGACCTCTGATTGCACACTCATCGGCTCCCCGACCCCTACGCAAGCAACCTGCATCAAAACCACACACGCCCACGCGCCTGACTTGGTTCGGATCGCTACTGTGGCTGTCCCAGACGCGAAAGAGTCCACCCTCGGCATTTACCCAGCGCCTTTGCCTGTGACTGATACTGGATCTTTCGCTGGGCCTGTCAGCGTTGCTTCAACCGACGCGACTCCTACAGCCCAAGTCGCCGATAGTGACACATCTACAACCGCAGATGGGAACTCGGCCACGACCGATCCCCCGGCCTCTATTTATTCTGTTGAAAGTGGAGGTTATACTGTGGCCGGGACTTTAGTTCCTGCTAGTTCTGCCTTGACTCGACACCACAATGGAACGGGCAATGCAACGGGCATTGCCGCCAATGGCACTGTGACCGTTACGCGAACCGTCACAGCTCTTCCCAGTGACGTGAGATGTCAGTGCGAGTGTGATAGCAAGAGCACGATCTCTCAGAGCCCACCACAAAGCGCTTGTACATCTGCGACGAAGAACTACGCGACAAAATGGGGACCACCCGTGGCGTTGATCTGGAAGGCGATGCCTATCGCTGTATTCTTGGCCAGGCTGTGATATTGCGATGCACCTTCTGCCAGCACGAACGGAGAACGCGCTGTGTCAAAATGAGGAGTGAGGGAGTGATGAGCCCTGGAGGGGTGTTTGAATTTGGGTATCAAAAAGCACGGGCTAATTCCGCTCCTCCGCCCCGGTAGTTAATTCTTGGTAACAGATTGATAATTCAAATTAATAATCTTGATCCTCACCTCCTGAGTGGCTGGGGAGTCAATTTCCAGTACCTTTTTCTGTCGAATTCTTTCGTTGTGCCGCTTACAAAGTCATCGGCATCAGCTAACTCCGTACATCCGACCAATTGGGCTTTCTGATTGGCTCAGAGTGGCGATATGCCGGACCGGCGTCTCTCCACCAGACGCGGATAAAAATAATTTTTGATCTCGCGATTGATTCGCAATATTGTGTATAAGATCCCCTGATCTTCATTTTCCTTCTCCAGATATCACTTCAACCGACAGCAATTGACCTCGATAACATCTACACAATGGGCTCCACTCAACCTGAATTCAAGAACCAGGCCACTGCCTCTCTTCTGGAGTTGGTCAAGTCCCGCCGCACCTACTACGGCCTTAAGGCCGAGAGCCCTATCTCCGATGATGCCATCGAGAGCATCGTCCGTGACTCTGTTCTCCACGTGCCCAGCTCTTTCAACACTCAGACCTCCCGTGTTGTTCTTCTGTTGAAGGAAGAGCACCAGAAGGTGTGGGACATTGCTCTCAACGCCCTGGAGGCCCTCGTTGTCGCTGGCCACGTTCCCCGCGATCAGTTCGAGTCCTCCACCAAGCCCAAGCTGAACGCTTTCCGCGCTGCTTACGGAACCGTAAGTCTTTCGATACGCATCAAAAAATAAGACGTGAATCGATAACTAACCACTGCTACAGGTTCTCTTCTTCGTTGACTTTGAGTCTCTCGCTCCCATCAAGGAGAAGTTCGCTATTTACGCCGACAAGTTCGATCCCTTTGCCACTGAGTCCAACGCCATGTCCCAGTACCTCGGTATGTACTTGTCTAGTTGAAACATGATAACTGTCAAAACTAACTATCATTAGTCTGGGTCGCTCTTCAGTCCGAGGGTCTCGGTGCTAACCTCCAGCACTACAGCCCTCTGATCGATGCCGAGGTTGCCAAGACCTGGAACATCCCTGCCTCATGGAAGTTGGACGCCCAGCTGGTCTTTGGTGTCCCTACTTCCGAGCCCGGCGAGAAGCAATTTGCTCCCATTGAGGACCGCTTCAAGGTTTTCGGTAAATAAATATTTGGACAGAGTTTAACGATAGAGCATCCTGAATGAAAGCGTTGATTTCATATACTTATTCACATACCATATCACCTTCAGACACACCCCCGAGGTCTGTAGGTGCATACAGATCTTATGGCTGTTTGTAACTTACACATGTCTCGGCAAGGAGACGATCTGCTAACCATGACGTTGCATTCATGCACGGCGATCATGATCAACAAAGCTTGGTGCGGCTATCTAAGCTCACCACTCGAACAGTCATTCGTGACCCGGCATCGTAATAGACAGCACATCGTAGAAAGTCAAGGTCAAGATACTTGGGAGGTGTGCCGTGTGTAACATGGATAACGACGCTCGGTTCAAACCTCAAAAACCCCCAGGTGGTTGAAGCTATGGCCAACTCATCCCCTGATTGTCGATCACGAGTGTTTCAAATTTCACGAATCGACTATACTGCGTTGACGTCACAGGATGTGTCAATATTCAAAAGAAGGCGTCGAAGATCGGCTTCCTGCAACCACCCGATGTGCTCCTTTTTGCGTCTCTTCGGGCTCGGAAATCGGATTCCGCCGTGAAAATATCGAACCCGTGCATCCGATTGGATATCTAGCCGGCATTGAAAAAGAAAGATGCAAACTATTGTGTCAATCTGTCAATCAAACAATCCCTGATATCCACAGCTGACGACGTTGGTAGCTTCGCAATTCATTCTCAGCTGGCATTCCGCGCATCTCGCGCATCTCGCATCTCACACGTAAGATGGGTATCAGGCTTGGTTTCACGTTCTTTGTAATTGCCTTATTTGTTTGTTTCTGGAAGTTCGCCCCTGTATTGGAAAACCTCGGATCAAAGACAAACTGGAAGATCCCATAGGAACTATGCATCCCTAGATCAAGTGCTTGACTGGGCAGGAATCGTCCTTTTGAACCTGGCTGCTTGATAAAACAAGATTGAAGTTTCCATCAGTGACCGTACGCGCAATCATCCGCAAGGGATCCAAATGAACTGATAACCCCGAAATGGATCTGAACTATACAGACGCTCAAATAAGCACTGAAGGTCGTTGGTGGAAAGCGGGAGAGGCTTGTCCACTTTTGGCTCCACTGTGAAATCAACCACACAATATTTAGTCGCCACAACTGCTTATTTTTCTTCTTTTCAATAATTCTCTGGACCTCTCGTGTTTGAAGTCTTCAGTGTGACTCCCTTCGTCGTGGAAGACCTTAATCGTGGAATATGTCACCTGAGCAAGCGCACGCGGGCGACCGTGCCGCACACCTCGATGCAACACCCCAAGATGGAGATTCCGCACCGGTGTCAAGTCGGTCATCAGTGTCCTATTCAAGGACATATTCGACGCCAGCGACCGGTGCGCAAACGCCTGATCCGTTGATGGGTAATCACAACGTCATGGACAAAGCGGCTCTCCAAAACCTCGCGATCAAAGACCTCGGTAGTGGTCATGAACCCGAGAGCTATGCCCTCGACACTCAGATGAAAAACCGAAAACCATCAATCTCGGTTTCCCGACGTCGGGACGATCCGTCCGGCGAGGAATCGGCATCGCCGACCCGCGGCAGGCAGGGCATTCCGCCCGAGCTCCCGAACTTTACAGCCGAACTCATCATGATCTTTGTCTGCTCAGCCGGCCTGATGCTTTTCTCATTCTTACTAGGTGACATGCTTGCACCTCAAGAACAAATCAAAGAAGCTCTGGGAATCACCAGTACCGAACTCCCGTGGGTCGTCGGCGCCTTCAACACCGCCAACGGCCTGTCGGTTATCATCTCCGGCTCGCTAACAGACCTAATGCCTCCGAAGCTCCTAATGGTCGGAGCCTTCGCCTGGCTCGCCGTCTGGAATATAGTTGGGGCTTTCACTCTCCACCCATCCCGATACGTCTTGTTCTTCGTGATGCGCGCCATGCAGGGTCTCGCCATCGGCGTCCTCGTCTCCGGCAGCATGAGTATCCTCGGCCGCGTCTACACGCCTGGTATCCGCAAGAATCGTGTTTTCTCCGCTATGGCCGCGACAGCCCCGTTCGGGTTCTCTCCTCGGCGCTATCCAGGGTGGAGCGCTATACCAGCATCTCCCGTGGATCTTCTGGTCCAACGCTATCATCTGTGGCCTACTTTGTGTTGCGGCTTGGTACACCATCCCCTCCCTTCGTCCTATGGCAGATGTTGCTGGTACAGAGGCTCCGTCAATCAAGGATTTCGACTATATTGGTGGCTTCTGTGCTGCTGGCGGTTGTGTTTGTCTTTTGTTTGGACTTACGCAGGGCCCGGTCGCCTCTTGGTCTCCATATACCTACATTCTGATCATCATCAGCTTCATACTTTTTATTGGGTTGTTCTTCGCTGAGCGAAAGGCTTTCCGTCCGCTCATCCCCAACCGCCTTTGGCGCACACCGGGCTTTACTCCGTTGATGATTGCATACTTCCTAGGCTTCGGGTCTTTCTTCGGGTGCTGGCAATTCTACGCGATTCAATTCTGGTTACGAATCCAGCATGCTAGTCCGATTGCCGTGGCGCTATATCACATCCCCAATGCGTTAGTCGGTGTTTTGGCCACAATTATCGTCGCCAAAACTTTACACCTTGTACCCGGGCATTACATTTACGCCGTGTCAATGCTGGCTTTTACCCTTGGATCCGCATTCTTCTTGCCACAAACAGCAAATACGACCTACTGGGCCCTTTCATTCCCGGGTATGGTGCTTGTGACGTTCGGTCCCGACTTAGCCTTTGCGGCGGCTTCGATTTTCATCACTAGTAATGTCGAGAGGTCTTACCAGGGAAGCGCAGGCGCTCTCCTGGTGACCAACCAGAATCTCTCATCTGCTATCATGACTAGTGTTGCAGATGCTATCGGTACTCGCGTTGACAGGGGCGCCAATGGAGAGATTGGTCTCAAAGGACTGCACGCCATTTGGTGGTTTGCCCTGGCGGTTCAATTGGTTGGTGCATTGGTGACGATTATTTGGGTCAGAATTCCCAAAGAAGAAGAAAAGGAGCATGTCACATAAACAGGTTTCATTGGACGTTTTTGTATAGAGGAAAACATCTTGATCATGTCTTTTTTTTTATATCCCGATCAACAGTCTTGGAGTTGCAGCGCTTTACGCTCTTCATATCAAGTAAATCTATGATTCTCAGATCTTCCAAGTTTAGGCAAAGAGACCGCCGTTCCTAAAGTTTTATCCTAGGTAGTGGGTTTTGTGGAGGTTGTTATGAACCTTTCCAAGGTTGGAGTGATCCATGCTCGCTTCATCGGCTAGATCTGTAATCAGGACCCCACCCCGGGCCTGGCCCCCGCCTGGTCCCGAGACGTGGGGACCTCCAGGGCTCGGGAGAGGACCCCCGGGTACTTCCAAGGTCGTTCCACGGTTTGATACTACAAAGTGCATGCTGAGGATATCCAGTAGATGAGCCCTCCAGGGCTGGAGATAGCGGACGTGATATGTTTTTTAATCGTGTCACAACGGAGACGCCCATCTCAAAGTGTATCATGATTTGAAAGCTTGATTGTAACATCAATGGATGTGATGAGAGATAGTAAATAAGAAAGGAAAAAGACAGAATTGTCACCTGGGTAGTTGGCCACCGATTCCCGAAAACACCTTAGAAAGAAACAAAAAGTCGACCGCCAGTGTACGCCGTCGCAATGCAATCGTCAAAAGAAAATGGAGCACCTCTCAAGCTTGAGCCTGGTCCTCTTGGGAAAGTATATATAAGAACGTAGAAAAAGGAAAATATCATCACGCATCCATGACCAGCCTCTGCTCACTGGTGTTACCGGGCTTATTGCCCTCCTGCACAATAGTCATCTCTGTGGTAACTTCGATACCACCAAATGAGCTATGACTGGTGCGGTCACCGGGCTTGACGTTGATCGAATACATGTCAAACTCCTTGTCTTGGTTCTGGCTGAAGAGCTGAGTATGGCGTGTTTGGGTGCGAGTGCCTGTGACAGTTGTTCCAGCAGGTCTGGTGCTCTGGTAACGGTTGTAGCTGTTTGTAGAGAGGAGCTTGGGGAAGATGCGGCTAATGATTGGTCGCAAGAAGGGTAGACTCGCGCAGATAATTGCTACGTTGCATTCCGCGGCTGTCCAGTAAGCAGCGTCGACATTGCTGTCTGAGAAAAAGGTTAGTTTAGCACCAATGTAGGCTAGGCATCGGGATGAAAACATACAGGATGTGTCGGGGCTGTTGGCTACCTCGCGGAGACTCGATAGGCGGAGGATACTAGTCACAACGACCAGGACACCAATCGCAAAAATACCGATCAGTGCACATTTCTGCATGCGAGGTAGTTGCAGCTGAGAAAGTAGCGGCATGGGCAACATAAGCAGGGCAACGTCGGTGGCGATGTTCATGGAAGCATTGAAGAACCAGACGGCTTCGAAGTTCAGACAGTTACCCGGGAGATCGTGATTCCAGAATTTTGCCACGGGCACACAGTTCACGTAACCACTCACGATGGCCCAGCTGGAGTATGCAGCAACGATGGCCATCACCACGTAACATGCGATACGGAAGGGACGGCCTGGGAAAATTCGTAAATATTGGAAAAGAATGGAAAATTTGGTGAAGGCCAGACTGGCGTTGTACATGGGGATCGCAGCCCACAAACACTGCTTATCATCAGTCATCTGATTCAGGAAGCGGTAGTTGGTTTCGATCAATTTGACATACCTTAAGCTGTTGCTGTAACACATGACTGGAAAGCAACGCAGAGTGGACACCCATACTGTAGTGGAATTCTTGGCTTGATGTGAGCGAGTGTGCTTTGGTCATTCGACGATTTGTGACTCACGGGCAGCAACTAGTGCAAGATAAATTATGGAGAAGAACTGTGCGCATTGTTTGTCAGTCGTCGTATCGAGACCAAGTTGGAAAGGGAGCATACCAGTGAGATTAAGATAGCCCAATCCTCACGGCCGGTGATTTTCATCAAACCAAGTCGAGCATACAATCGCATTGCAACAATGACAACAGAAAACGCGGTCAAGACAGCAGTCACGACCAATGCCCGCCTGCCACGAGCTGCTCCATTGTCCTCGTCACGAGAAGCCAGCGTGTGAAGAAATTCATCCATATTGAATGCTTGGTGTAGGTAAGGATTGAATGAGTTGAGAGTCGTAAAATGAGTGTGAGGATGTGTTTCAAAGTCAATTGATCACGTCCAAGATAAGAGGCAGCAAGGAAACCCGAAAATGACACAGCTCACTGCATCTAGCCCAGGTTGCTTGATATCAAGAGTCACGCAACAGGATCTGTTGTTCAAACAAGAAAGAATCCTTCCGGAGCGGAGACCGGGTCTTTTGAATCCGAGCCAAACGTCGATCAAGCCAACGCAAACTGCGGAGTATGATGATTCCATGCATGAAACGAGCAAACTTTGGTGCTCTTGAATAGTGTCTTCAATAGCGCAGCATCAGGCAGCGATCCCAGGTACGCATCCGGGTTGCTGGAAGCGTTAGCCTGACGAGAAGGCGTTTTGGCGCACGCCATGTGGTCCACACCCACGCAGCATGCATAGAAAATATTGATGGAAGCACTTAGCGCGGCATTTAGTCGCGCGGTCTCCACTATAGTTAGTGACGACGGGTCCCTAGGAACGGTGTTTCGGCGCTTTCATTCGAGGGGGTAAACAAAACGGGGCGAAGATTTTCATTTGGTTGCTTAGTTGTCCATGGAAATCCCGAGCTGTCTTTTGATCATCACTCGGTAGAATTGGATGGTTGTGAACGGGCCCTTGTACCACACTCTGAAGTGGCCCACTCAAGAGGTCAGCCTGGCTTTTCACTGGATGCTCTTGCTCCCGGAGAAATAGTTTAGGGTAGCATCATGAACCGTTAGGTTATTTCTGTGCTATGTCCCGCCATGTTGCATGTGGTGATGGTCGTGTTCTCCGCTTACTCCGTGACGGATACCACGCGGTCTCCGGTGCATATGCAAGGGTTAACAAACATTCTGGAAAGTCGTTACCAGAGTTTTCTGTGTAGGTGGTCACCCTACACGCGGTGCTCGCACTTGTATGCACCCAGCATGCAATGTAGACTGCTCGGCAAAAGACCTCTAGTGAGAAGAAGCGGGAGAAAGATCGACCGTCAAAACTTGACGGAAAACAGTGATCGCTGGTATCATTTCCTAATCGGGAACAAGTCTCACCCCTGACACAACCTCATTGTTGTTATACTCGAATTTTCTCTTCTACATACTGTGCCGACGAGCACACTGTCTCAACCTGAATCATAAATACACACTCCACAACATGAACCGTCCAACAAGCTATCAAACCCTAAACTCCATGATCTGAGCTATCCAGCCCCCTGATGTTATGCACCGCGCTAAGCCCCCAGACCCCGCAATAATCGCCACACTTCAATAATGTAGTGGATCTCAGAGGCTCCATATCTCCGCTCACATGAAATCACTGAGTAGAAGCTTACCCCTGTGACAGAGTATGCCGATGCAGCCGCACGAGATTACTTTTGACTCAGGGCTGCATGTTGGTTGCTGATGTAGCCTCCACCGCTGAGACCCTGCATGACCTGGGTGCCTCAAGGGACCATCATCTGTGAGGCCGATTTCCAAGGTCCAGTGCGGTGCAATATGATCGGCGTGTTGACCTCGCAATCCTGGAACAGTGTACATAGGGCAGTACTTTTGACACATCCTCCACATCTTTCACATCCAATACATTTGTTAGACTGCATGCTTTAGGCCCAGTTTGCTTCAAAATTGAGGCTTTGGTCCACAATAGTGCAAGATCTCGATTCTATCTTGGAATTGTCAAACCCACTTTGCCGAGGCTGATTCTCAAATACACGCAAGATGGAACACCCACCTGAGTAATAGCCTTGAAGTGGCACGGGCTGTGATATACATCCGTGCTGGCTACTCCATGGATCATGCTCACGTACAAGGTACAAGGTACACTGGGGTGGCTCGAGGATTGCTCATGACGTCTGATGCCTTGAGATGTACCTATACCCCCATGCCCAAGTTCAACCCTGAGGCTTCCCCTCAACACTCTGACTTCCCTCCATCTTGACTCTGATTCTTGGAGTTCCATAAATGGAATGATACCCAAGCTGGATTGTTACCAGGTGGATACAACCTTGGAACCATCGAAACTCAAACTTCTACTCACAAATCAGCATCTCTTATGTATTGCTGCATAGCTCGGTTTCATCATGTCTAGCTTTGCACAGATCTTGTATAGTGCGGGGGCTTGCCCTATGATTCGCACTAATGGCACAACCTTGGAAGCTACTGACGAAGCATTCGCGCCAGGTGAAAGGAGCATCAAATAGTTACGCAGAATCACCGGCCAGGTGGGCACCTGGAGACATAAATGATCGGGATAAGTCCCTTGGAGCATGAACAGATATCTTGCAAACCTAGGCACCATTCACCCAAATTTTCAGTAAGTCAGGACTTAAGTCCAACCTGGAACCTCCTTCCCCAAAGGAAAGGTTCCGTTGGAAGCCCATTCCAGGTCGAGTGAATTCCAGGGCCGGTATAAGAATGACTACGAAGTTCATATAAATTCTCAAAAAATCAATGATAAACCAAAGGAATAATCCAAAGTCATACCGAGTAAAAAAAAGGAAGTAATTCCACATTAAAATACATTTCAGACACATTTTTTGGAATAACACAGCCAGGAAGGAGACCCAGCAAAGTGAGTGGTATCTTTGTGCGCCATTTATCTCACGAGAACACCGAGCTGCAAAAAACATTATCCGAATCTCATTATTTTCGTCACTGCTTAGGAGGATATCCATGTATCCATGAAGTGGGTTCTATCGTCTCATCTCCGCCAACTCACGCTCCTTGGCCCTGAGCATCTCGCGCATCTGCTCAGCTTCGCGTTCCAGACGGGCACGGCGATCGACCGAGTCGCCCAAGGATGCAATGCCTGGGAGATGCTGCGACGGATGAGGAGAAGGAGAGACAGATGGGTGGAGGTGTTGAGGGCGACCCATGTTGGGGTCTGTGCGCGACTCGCTTCGAACGTCAGATTGGTTCAAAATAGACGAGATAGAGCTGAGGCGACCAGGAGGGGTTGGATTGATGGAAGACATGATTGGGGGCAATTGATTTGATCCTCCTTCCAAGGTGGTAGGTGCTGGTAATGCGTCTATGGCAGTCTCGGCCAAGGTTCGCTTTTTAGGAAGATTGATGGAGTTGGGAGATGCGGATCGTCGGCCGTATTGAGACACCGGTGAATGTCCCAGTCGTTCTACACCCAAAGGCTTTGGAAGACCATGCGCAATGGGAATGCCATGTGCAAGGGGGGCATTGTAACCGGTGAAGTCAACCGGCGGCGGTGCGAAAGGCAAGGGTTGAGGTACGTCCTCCGGCTTTCCGGAGTTCATTTGGTAGTGATCCGCAGGCTCGCTGCTCATGTAACGGTAGTGATCGTCGTGGCCATGTGCCAGGGCAGCGGGCGAGGCTTCTGGGGATGCGGACGAGCCGTTGGATGAAAGGGTGGCCGCGGTAGGAGACTGATCTCGTAGAGCGGGAACAACACGTTTGCGACGTTTGATGATGGATTTCTTCATGTTAGTGGGGCGATAACATCCATGCAGCTTATAGTACAGTCCTGGTTGTTGTCAGCAAATGAGATCATTCAAGCTAGTTGGGGCCAAAAACATACCACACGCATTGCAGATCGGGTGGCCCTGTTCGTCACGACGCCACAGAGGAGTCACAGTTGTACTGCAATTTTGACAAGCGACCAGGGTGTTGTTTCCATCAACGGAAGGGGGTTTAACGGCTGGCTCCTCTTTCGGTACAGGTTCAGGTTCCTGCACCGAGGGACGTCCCCAGGAAGATTGAATTGAGGCAGTTCCTCGGGGAGCGGACTTGTAAATGCGGTTGTTGTACGCTGGACATCCATCGCAACCCTCAGCACCACCAGTACCATTGCAGCTTCCACCACCGGGACAGGATCCCTTGCAACCACCACCCTCAGATGAGCCACAGCCTTCAGAATGTGTGGTAGTCGGGGGCGGCAACTTTTCGGCCCCCTCAGATTGCATGCGATTTCGTTTTGTGGGGCGGGCAACGTTGCGAGCCTTGAGATATAGACCGCAGGCATTACAGATCATCGCTCCCGTCGGCGAGCGACGCCAGAGTGGAGTGCTTTTCGTACCGCAATTGCTAAACAAAATTAAGTCAGCCCTACTATGTACCACAATATCGAGTTCTTCCATCATCACAACTTACCTGCATGAATGGCCTAGGAAAGCTGTGTCTTTTTGACTTTTGGGTGATGATTTGTCCACGGGGATTTCAGAGTGGCCAACCCATCGATCTGATCCAGGTTGGCCACTTCCTTGATTTATCTGATCCTCCCGATAGTGGTCTGCCAGATGTTCACGACCGGCTTGAGCGGAGGAGATCAACTGCTGCGCAGCATCCAGATCTTCCGCGGATGGCTGTCGCATTGGAACGTCCGGGTTCCGAGGCAAAGAGTGAAGCGCTTCCATTTGTGGAATGGACGCTAACATTACCACCTGAGAGGCGGGCCGGGATTCGGCCGTTTGAGATCTGAGTGGCGGAATTGGGGAGGTGGGAGCGAAGGAAGGATAGAAGGTATCCGAGAAGATTGTGAGGGTTATGTCGTACCACAGTCAAGAGCAGAATACACCGTATCACTTGGAGACCAAATGTCGGTCAAGCTGACAGATGGAAAGATAAGTCAGTTCCGGCAGGAACGGGCTGCAGCCACGATGCTGCAGGCTCGGAGAAGCGCAGGGTGGACGGGGTCTCAAGAGGTCGAAGGAACTCGGATTTCGAGGGGAGTCGAACGGTCCTGAGGTTTCAAGGCCCGCCACCAAGATCAACGGCCACTATGGATGAGTGGCGACCCAACGGCGTGGGACGGTCAGGTGATGCTGATTGCGACAGTTGACAGCACACCAAGAACGCCGGTCCGACTAGCAAGCGATCGTGGGGAGACGGTTTCGTTCGGGGGGGACGGGGGCCGACGCAAAAGGACAATTCGCGAAGCAGGGATTGGCTGAGAGGCTAGGGAGCTGCAAGAGGGTGATCACTCCACGTTAGGAATAAGCACAGACGTGCAGATAAGAGAGAGAGAGAAAAAAGGAAAAAGAGATGATCAAAAGGAAGATTAAGCAAGAGTACGAAGTACGGAGTAGAGAGTAGGTAGAAAGTCCAAAAGGCCGAGAGTGCAAAGACGGCAAGTCCGTGTCCAGACAAAGGAAGATCTCGATCCTTATCAGAAAAAGGGATTTGGGGAATTTTGGGTTTATCGATCTAAGAAGGGGGGATCTACGGACATATCAATCTATCACTTTAATTTACTGCGCTCATGCAATCCCATCTTATCACATTTGTCTGTCTACAGGTGTTAGATGGCCTGATCTCTTGTGTGTCTCATCCTCAGCTGCAGAACAGATTTTCTACATGATTCTGTCAAGAGTCCCCAGATCGCATCATAAGACTCCACCGTGGTCCTGATGAAGTTTAGTTGGAAAAAAGCGAAGGGAAAAACAGTGGAAAAGAAGTGGAAAGAAGTGGGAATTGTGACTTCCCAAGCCCGGCTGGAGTGGGGCTCATCAGGCAAGCAGCATTGTAACTTCTCTCATTGGCCATTGGGGCTCGTCGAGGGCAGTCAGCTGGTATGTACTCGTTCCGATTGGCCTTTGAAGACCTGGAACCTGCCGAATGTGGCCACCTGTACTTTTGTGAGACCAATGAACGCTAACTAAATACTCATTGGCGTCGTCGGTAATTTTCAAGCTTATTAATCCTCGGCATTTACTTGCCAAGTTCCTCCGGCGAACGGAGAACGGAGTACGGAATACGGAGTTACCTGATTATCGGTACGCAGTATCGAGGATTATCAGATCATGTGAGTCGCCCGTAATCAATAAATCATTAAAGCCAATTCGGCTAGACTCGAGGCGCTAGCCACTATTTCCAAATATAGTACAGGTCTCTGCTTTCATATCAACACGTCTCGGAGACCCAGGTCTTTCCGTCCCCGTCGCTCATATACCGCCCACAGGGGCGGTGGAGGTCGTCACGCTCATCGCGCATCGTACTGGCAAGGCGGAAGTCGAACTGGTCGCCGCCATTGCGCTATGTCGATGCATATCTTTGACTTCGTGCTGCTGATTGGTCATTGCGCGCAGCAATTTAGACCTGCTCAGCACCCCAGCCCTGGTCGGCCTCGCGCATGTTGGAGGGAGGCTCAATAGAGGGGATGAACTCGAGAGCGACGTAGGCGAGACCGATGAATCCGATCAGCGAACCGTCGATGATGCGCAGCACGTGGTCGTGCAGCAGGATAGAGCCGATGAAGATGTAGACTGAACATTCATTAGTCTTCCGAGCTCCTTCTATCATTTGGATGAGAGCAACTTACAAACACCACGTCCGAGGAAGGAGAAGAGGAAAGACGCGTAGCGGTAGGCGTAGTCGGGGACGTGAGGCAGGAACTCAAGGCCACCAACGACTAGAACTATGTTAGCCAACCAACACTTAGAGCTGATCATGTCGCAGGAACTTACCGAGACCGAAGGCAACAGCGTAGGCTCCCAGAATGAAGGAGCTCCAGCTTCCACTGAAGAAGTTGCTGATACCACCGAGCACCATAAACACGCCAACGGCGATGTTCACAATACGGCTACGACCTGTTAGTGTATGATCCCAGTATCTGAGTGCGCAATTTGACGTACAAGATGTTGGTGAAGTCCATTTTCGGATTGGGCTGGATCTAAGAGATGGTCTCGTGGGCACAGATCAACAGGATGGAGACTGGGTCGCTAGGCAGCCGCAAAGGGTTGACGAGGGAACAAGGGTCTCAAATGAATGAAGGAAATCTGCAAATATTCCCAGTTAGCTCTGAGAATATATTACAATGGCGCTCGTTGTCGCGAATCGCTCGAGTAGTGATGGGGGATCCTGTTTGCCTCTAGACTTCGCCAGAGGCTCCGTTTGTGAGGACGAGAAGAATGGGAAGCATACCTGGTAGGAAATGCAAGCTTTAGGAACAGGCTCAAATAAAAAGCATGTATTTGAGCAGAGAACTTGTCAAGGGTCAGAGGTTGAGGAAGGAAGTGGAAACGGGGGCGTCGACAGCTTCCGCGCTGTCGCAAGCGGCGGGTCTGCCAAGCTCGTGTTGGATCACGTGAGGAAACAAAGCGCGCTGACAAAGGTTTCTATTTTGGGAATAGCAGCTTCGTATTCGTACTATCCGGCTATACTAGAATTCGACTCTGGCATTTTTCTACAACCTTGTAATGGCTCAGAATCAACTCTACTCAGGTGGATGAGTGGAGACAAACCTGCTTTGTCAACAAGTTAGCAATCAAGCTGGATCTTACTCTTACAATGTCCATCTGATATCTCGCCAAAACTGTAGCAAGTACACATGTGCTTGAAATGTGTGCAGCACAGGCTTGGAATATTCTGATAGAAAGAAAGCTCAGACTCTGAATTTGCATACATGATACTAACACTATGCACGTCTTGAACACCAAGTCGGAAAATTACTGAAAAATTTGCTGTGGTGGCCATATTTTTCCTGCATTCATCGAGGCTCTTTGGATCACTCAAAAATCTCAAAAGAAGGTGTATGAAAGCTCCAGTCTTGCCTAAACAACTCTAGACTAGGGCTCAAAATTATCATGTTCTTGAGTAGGAATGGCGGTGAATATGCCAGACAGATGGTCAGGTCGAGTATCTCAATTCCTTTCGAGCTCTAATGATCGCCGGATTTGAGGGATTTCATCTCCATGGAATAAATTGACACGCAGAGTGAATCCCTGCAACTGAGCAACTTCAAAGTTCGTCAGAGTTTCGGCTCTAAAGATCCGTATACAATCCTCGGACGGGCGTTGAGGCGCTATTTACACTTTCAAGCTTTTCAAATTTCACGCTAGTGTTGGTGTTTGTCTGTTTTTTCTCTCGTCGTATTGGATTACTCGATCAAGATTCGGTAGCATCTTGTGTCAGTCTCGGCCTTGGAAATCCAACGTACAACTGAATCTGGGTGGATTTGAAGGATGGAGTGAGTATCACTACGTAAAGTCCTCTTCAGGTCATATATTTGCATGTCATTGACGCTGACTCTACAAACATTTCTCGGTCGTTTTGCTGAAACCAAACAAGTCTGTGGCTGCCTTGTATCATTGCGTGAGAGGGATTCTGTCAGAACCTAGACAAGCGATGACATCCACTATCACCCAGATTACGGAATAGCTGGGAATATTTCTTATAGATTTGAGTTGCCTTGCCACAGAAACAGAGGTCTATCCAATCTCGTGCTCTAAATGATCGACATTGTTCTTTTTGGGTACGGAGTAAATGAGAGATCTGTTGATGGTGTTCCGCAGATCGAAAAAGAAGGAATTGCACTTGCAGCATCTAATGCACGTCGGGGTCAGATTTCCAAAGAGAGCACGGGGAAATGAGGAATCCCATAACACTGGTGGGAAAGGATCTAGGCCAAACTTGGAAAAAAAAGCAAACACAGATCGGCACTGCGATGAAACCCAAAGCTCATATTGAGTGTGCAAGGATGTACGCTGTGCACCCCGTCAAGCATGAACTGCTTCAGAGAAAAGAGTTCGCACCAAACCCTCCGGGATTCAGACAAAGACTGGCCTCCGTGTTTTATTTGATCTAGCATCCGCGTAGAAGATCTCTCAGCTGGTGCAACTTTCTTTCTTTTTGTGGCTGGGCTGAGTTGACACTGCTGATTGATCCAATCATCAGTGCCGATCATCAGTATGATCTTGCAGATTCATCCTCGCCCCCGCGTGTGGATCTGCAAACTGGTAAGCGACGCAATTAATCTGGGTGGGCAGAGATGCAAGTGATGAGTCCGCTCTGATTGAAACCTGTACTCAAGTTTTTTGGTGATACATAATTAAATATAGTTTGTTTTGCTTGAGGCAAAAGTACACGAGAAGCTGACTCTCCGGACTGTCGAGCCCACACCCCTGTGGGTTGTTAGTCTTGATCGCACCTTCCCACCTTTAAGACTTGAATTCTATTCTCCCACGTTGCCCATCGTGCTCTCGTCATAAATCCCGAGCTCCTTCCCCGCTCTTTATGTTCCTGGGGAAGATAGAGGCCGTCTTCTGTTACTACATCACAATGGGAGACGCCGAGTACTCAGCCCGAAGACCATGGCTTTTCGATTTGCGGTCATCAAAGCAGCTTATTGGACTGGCTGTCTTTGCCACAACCTTCACCGACGGATTTCTCTATGGAATCGTGAGTTTTCATGGGCCCCGCTGTCAAGACCCTAAGAAGGTGCATTGACTGATTTGGTGGTGGTGTTAGGTCGTGTCCGTCCTTCCCTTCTCTCTGACCGTCCGATCTGGGGTTCCAGAATCCGATGTTCCATTCTGGACCTCCGCCTCTCTGGCGGTCTTCGGAATGGCAATGGTCTTGAGTGCTCCGATGACAGGATGGATCGTCAAAAAATGTGAAAGAAGACAGATACCCTTCCTCGGGGGTCTCTCTTGTGCGTTCGGGGCCACTTTGTTCTTCATGCTGGGAACCGATCTATGGATGATCATCGTCGCAAGAGTATTCCAGGGTCTATCTGCCGGGGTTGTCTACACTGCTGGACTGACGCTGTTGGTGGATACGATTGAGTCGCACGAGCTAGGACCCTGGATTGGATTTGGACATTCAGGAATGAACTTTGGGGTTCTTGTATCACCCACGCTCGGGGGAATTGTCTATGAGAAGGCCGGGTTCTATTACGTCTTTATAATGGGCTTGGCAGTTGTCTTTATCAATTTGATGCTGATTCTACTCATCATTGATAGAGCAGCCGCTGAGAGATATAGGGCGCAGATGAACCCGGGCCAGGCTCCGGTTGCCCCAAATGAGATGTTGATTAGGAAATCTATTGCAAGAGGCAAACGACGACTATCGCGCGTGGAAGATGTCGAGGTGGATGCAACCACGCCATTGATTTCCCATTGCAGAGAACAATCAACCAAATCTGACCGTGATCCCACTTGGTGGTCCATTGTTGGTGGATTTGTTCGAAACCCCCGGATCGTCGCTGCCCTTTACGGATGCCTCATAAACACCATCCTGGTGAGTTCTATGGATGCTGTTTTGCCTATATTCGTCAAACAAACATTCCACTGGCTGTCTGGTGCGACTGGTGCGATATTCTTGAATTTGACTATTCCTTCCCTCATTGGGCCGTTTATTGGAATGGTCTCAGATAAATATGGCGTCCGCTTGATATCCGTCATCGGCTTCACCTTTGCGGCCGTTGGAGTGGTTTTTCTTGCCCTTATAAGAAATGACGATACTGCAAGCAAGGTCATTACGTGCTTTCTACTCTTCCTTGTTGGTATGTCTTGCTTGAGTTGAGCCCTCTTGTGCCATGCAGCCTGACTAATGTCGCGAACAGGCGTTGGTCTCAATACCTCATTGACACCTCTGGTCACAGAGATACCTCGCATTGTTGACTTGCTCCAAGACGAGGAGCCTGAAGTATACGGAGATCAGAGTGCAGTTGCTGAGGGTTACATGCTCCTTGATGCTGTGTTCGGTGCTGGAACTGTCCTGGGACCCCTGATATCGGAGCTTACCTTTGAACAACTGGGATGGACTGGATGTACAGCCGTGCTGGGGATGTTGAGCGTTTCGGCCATGATACCCGTGGTAAGTTGCTATACGAGAATCCTCAGCTTGATGGGCTCTGACCAACGTTGCATTTGCTGAGTATGATCTAGGCAATGTATTTGGCTCCACACCAAAAAGGGCCATGAGGTTTGCCGAGCTTGAGGCAATCTGTTGGAGTACATACGATAGTAGAGTAATCTTAATGCCGAAGCCTCACAGGGATTAAGCCTGTTTTCAGATGATGAGAACTGACACTCCAGGTCTGAAACCCAAACTGGAGAAAGAACCTTCGAAATAATCAAAGTTTTTACGATGGCGAGAGGAATCCAGATCTCTTTCTCATTGCCAGTGTTCTAGCATCATTGGGTCAAAAGGAATTGGTCAGACAGAACCACTACCTCGCATCCAGCTTCTTTCGAATGCACTATATTTTTATCAGCTAATATTACCCATTAAATCCATACTGTGGATAATGCTACCTAGGTATCCTCGGCAGCAAAATCTGGCGCAAAATACATCTGCAGTCTTCCAAGGTTAGAAACGCTGGTTAGACCTGGCCAACGTGTTTGTATTGACGGGTCTGTTGACCTATCCTAAATAAAGACAGAACCAAGCATGGCAAACCCATTTCGTACATGGCCGGACGGGCCATACGGACAATGTACAATTAGAAGCACAAACTATTTACATCGCAAGGCTAATAATAATTTCTTCTAAACCAGGTCATAGTCTAGCCCGAGATTTGTTCTGCAGGACTTCCTTGACTAGAGCGATCGTGGCATATGCACAGCCGAATGACGCCTGGTACCCAAATCCACCATGACCATAGTTATGCACAACTGAGACGCCATCGACCTTATCCTTTTCAATGCGGGTTCCGCCTTCTCTAAGGGGTCGCAATCCAACGCCATGCCTGATAATGTCCAGGCCCTCAATGCCCTGTCCCTCTTTCACTAAGCTGGGACAGATCTTGATGCAACGCTTCATAATTCGATTGGCAAGGTTCATATCCGGGAGCGCATCCCAGTTGTGCTTTTGATAAGAGCCACCGAGAATTGTGCCGCCACCTGAGAGTGGTGAGTAGGCATCGACATAGGATATAGCGATGTTACTTACCTGCAGCGCGAGTCATGATATATAGCGCCTCATCTTCTCCGTCATCAGTTCCGGATACGGAGACCATGGGTCCAGGGTCGTTGCGGACGACCACAATTTGACCGCGAGCGGGATGCATCTTCTCATCGAGGACGCCGCCAAGGGTTTTGGCGGACAGTCCGGTGCAGTTGATAACTACATCAGCCTTTTGTCCGGTGTGATGGGCGTTCGCTGCGTCAGTGATGTGTTTGCAGACAGCTCTTTTGAACACAGTCCCATTCTTGACACATTGGCCAACCAGCCATGGCAAATAGATGGCTGTATTGATGCAGACGGATGTCCATTCCTGGGCATTGTCAATCTCGGGAGCTAGCTTGCTAGATGGGATGGGTTTGAACTAGAATTTCCAAGTCAATGCCAAAGTCACTATGAAAAACTTGGGGCCACCATACATCTGGTACGACATCCTTGTACCACGGGTTTGGTTGAACTAGCTCGGAGAACCATTTCCCAGTTGTTGACTCTTGGTCTTTAGTTCGGTTGTAGATCAGGGCACCTGCGCGTCATGAGCGGGGTCCAAGAGTCCAAGAGTCCGAGGGCAGGGCACATACCTCGGAAGTGGATACCGGCCTCCGGGTACTTGTCCGTGATTTCCTTCAATGCTGGCCACGTAGCGCGCTCCCATTCTTGGTGGGCACTTCCTTCCTTCCCGACTCTGTCAAGTATATGGTGAGCTAAGAAGGTCTGCCGTGCAAAGGGTAAAAGTCATCGTGTTGACGTACGGCATATAGTTGGCACCAGCCCATGGGGATGCATATTCAATATCATAGTCGCCGGGCATATGCTTTGCCAGCACGGTAATCTTGTTTGCAGGGTCTTGCGACAGCAGGTACGCGGTTGTTAAGCCGGACACACCAGCCCTGTTCCATGCGTTAGTGTCTAACACACCGCTGGGAGGGTGGAGCTCAAGAAGGAGCTAGAGAAACTCACCCCAGAACCACAATATTGTTAGTTGTCATGATGAAGCTGTACCTGAATATCTTCCGGACCCTGAGTAAACTCCAATTGAAGAGCTGCAACGCCTTTATACCATACGAGCATCTAGCTTCAAGGCGGGGGTGAGGGGACGATCCTTATCTCGTTAGATAAGGAATGGGCCCGGCCCGGTGGTACTTTTTTCAATGTATGAGACGCGTTAGGATATATTACAGCTAGACCTATTTGGGAAGCTTTTGAGAGGCGGTGTATTGAGCCGCCCAATGGATGAGTCTAGAAAGCAAAGAGACGCGCTAGAGTTTTACGGAAGTGACGTGGAGTGATACGGTCAACAACCTGAAAATTACACCTCCGCACTTATGCGGAGGTGATGCGTACTCGGCAGAGTGATGGAAGAACTGTTTATCAGTAGACATGGGTTCTTCACATTTCAATTAACTCTTATGGCACTGACCCAGGGAGCTTCAAAGACAATTACCTGCTTCTGTATCTTCATATCGAATGTCTGATCTGGGGTCAGCAAGGAGACTCCGTAAAGTCCCGCGTTCTCCATTTTACTCCATCTCCACCAGCGTTATCGATCACATTTGATCTTGATTTTGTTTCCCTAGACGCTCGTACACTCAATTTAACCTCAATTCGGAGTCGATTGGAAAATTTCAAAGAAACAAACAGCTCCCAAAAATAGGAATCGTTTCTTCCAAAGCGCAATTGTGCTGAATACAAAGAAAGTCGGCTATGTCATGGTGGGCAAGGGCTCGCGTGTGACCAATCAGTAAGCATCACACTTCACCGCCAGGGGGCCGGTGCCAAATTTGGAAACCCGCAGTAATTTTCCTTTAAACCACCCGCAGGGCCCGATCTACCTCTGCGGGTTTACTTGTTTAGTTTCACTTCAGGCTTCAATTGTTCTTCTCCTCTTCTAAATGACGACTCGTCTAGTCTTCTCACCATGTCGCAAATCAAGGGTGGCAGAATCGTGCCCATACTTACGGGTCACGATCCGCTTCATCCCAAGTCGTTAGATCAGTCTACGATCCCAACTTCAATCTCTCAGACCTCCGATTTTGATGAGACCTCTTCTTCTTCTTCTTCTTCGAATCCCCCCAATTTCTCCGCCGGTGCAGGACCGGGTTTCGGACCAGACCCGTAAACAGGGTATGGGTCACCCAAGCTTGGACATGCCCGCTTTAAAAGAGCGAGGCTTATTTGCCCTACCCACAGAAGGCGACGGTTAGTATCCACGATCGTGTGCATAGTCACCGAGGCTCCCAGTGCTCTTGTTACCTATGGAACCACGGTCTGACGCGTGTTTATGTAGGGAATTGTCTCTATTATTCACTCTCGGATCAACTTTACGCAAACACATACCACGCAAACGAAATCCGTCAACGAATTGCCGATCACATGGCGGCAAATAAGGAATACTTCATGCAATTTGTTTCTGAGGGCGGAGAGCGACGCAGGCCCAAGCGTGCAGCGGCTTCTGCATATGCAACCCGTTCGGCCGACGTATCTGTTCCATCTGATCAAGATAAAGAATCCAGATTCCAGGAAATGATTGCCACAACTCGAAGGAATGCAGAGTGGGGTAGCTCTGAGCATATTCAGGCCTTCTGCCAAGCCTACAAGCTTGACGTGACTGTCTATACCATGAATGCCGTTCATCCATTCCAAGATGTGAACGTGACTCCTGGAGAGTCCCGCAATGTCATACACATTGCCTACCACGTGAGCTCGTCCCTTTCACCCCTACCATTGTGTCTTCAGTCCCAAACTAACAGTCGTAGGAATTCAAACATTACTCCTCTGTACGGAGCATTGGAGAGACGCACAAAGGCCTCTTGGCTGATATGATGCCTGCTCAAGCATCACTTGCTCAAACTGACACTGAGCGCAAGCACGTGATCAAGACCGACGGCGTCAGCGCAAGTCTCATTGCCGCAGACAAGCCTGATGCTGCTCACTCCTCGAATGATGCGAGCCTCGCTGTCGATGTCTATGCACCATGGGACATCAAGTCCATACAAGAGGGTCTTGGCGGCCGGTACGACCGAGAAACCATCATAGACATGCTGCAGAAATGTCGGGGTGATATCGATCGAGCATTTGCCGCACTTCTCGACGAGAAGTCAGATGACCAGGCTGATAAGAAAAACGGACCTGTCCCTGCCATCCCGATCAAGCCTAGTCTTCAGGCATCACGCGACACGTCCCCTTTCAGCACTGGCAGTAAGCGATCAGCAGACGACAGTGACGATTCAGAGGCACCACAGCCCGCACGGCGTGTTCGTCCTAAGCGGCGATTTCTCTCAAATCTCACCTTGGGTGTTGGCATCTCATTCCACGATGAGCAGGATGAAGTTGTCTCGCTCAATCTTCGGGTAAGTGGACCAGAAGACGTGCCAGAGCATCTTTCTAATCTGTTCGTTCTAGATGCCATCAGAAAATCCACATGGTCAGGCCACAGACCCTTCTTCTACCCGTAGCACCACGCCGGAACAATCGGACGTGGAAGCAAAGAAGTGTCGACGCAGTGGTCGACTATCTCGATCTCGCCCCGCATGATTTCTCTTTCCCTCTCTTTTTTTCTTTCTTTGACTTTTGGTACATCAGGCTAGACCTATGATCATTTGCGTGTGCATGGCGGCGTCAAGCGAAAAGAACGTTGGATTTTTGCTGATTTTGCATATGCATAGCCCTGTGGGCATGCGGAGGGGGCGTTTTTTCGGATTAACAAGTTGCATGTGGATGGTGCCTGGGGCACATCCATCATCACATTTCTCGCGAAGATACCTTTTCGCCGGGGTTACTCATACCCTTTGCTTTTTGAGCCTTTGTTTGCTGTTGAGTGGAAGTTTATTGCCGATGTGCTGGCAATTTTGGTCTGGTCTTTGTTGATCGAGACTCAAATGGATCCAGCCTAACGGCGTATTACTTTACTGATCATCCTGCTTCATTGTTTGTAGAGTCAGAGTCAGACGTAGTTTCCACCATGGTGTCAGCGAAAACCTTTGAAACGAAACATTGCAAGGTCTGTGTCACCATGAACAGGGACCCTTTCTTTGCTTTGTACACTCATATGCCGGTCATATCTCACTAAGATCTCCACCTGTGAGGACCCAGCTATGGATTGCTCTGACGTCCACGGATGTGACTTTTCAAGGTTGGAACACCTGGTCTAATTCCTATTATAACTAGAAGGCCAGCAGAAGCTAGTCCGTGTATAAAGAGTCCCTTATTACTTAGGGCATCCACATTCCTGTTCTCATTCTTCCAATAGGAATTTGAGGAACACAGCAGCAATGGCCACACCATCGTGCTCATTGCCAGCTCTATCCAGGGCGTCTTGCGCAAAGTCGTCTTTGAAGACTCCCGCCTGGGTCCGGACCTTAACAATTTCCTTCACGATGTCTTCGGTGAACTCGGGATGGCCTTGCACTGTGATGAATCGGCGGGGCGCATAAATTCCTTGCACCTCGCAGCGCGGGGAAGAGCCCAGCAAGGTCACATTTGGGGGAATCGAAAACACAATATCCTGGTGCATTTGTTGGATGCGCTATTCCAAATTTCTGTCAGCAATGTGCAATCATTCGGATGTGTTTGCGGCATGTAGTTGCACAAATTAATTAAAGACCCAAGGCGACATACAAGTTTGTCTCGACCAAACAATTCCTTTCCCTTGTCTGTCAACGCCATGTCGCACACAGATATCTCCCAGCCCCGATCGCTTCGTCCAACCTTGGAGCCTAGTGCACGACCAACGATTTGGTGACCAAAGCATATTCCGAGTATGCGAACGCGGTCCTGTGCGAGTACTTTCTGGGTGAACTCTAGGAGGCGTAGAATCCATGGGGTGTCGTCGTAGGAGTTATATTCTATGGCAGATTAGCAGAGGCATCACAGTATACCTATTCACACGCACTTGAGCCAGTCAGGAGCACAGCATCCACGCTCTCCAGTTCTGGGTATTGTTCGCCATCGACAATATCAAACACAGTCGTCTCGAGATCCGCTTCTGGGTCCAGGCCGCTTACTTTGGCGCTGGATTTGAGGAGGGACCGAAATACTCCACCATAACCATTATAGCGACGGTTGGCTTCGGGGACCGGGGTGTCGCATGTTAAGATAGCGATACGCAAAGGCATTGTCTCGGTGTTGTAAATAGCCCTGGAGAAGAACGGAGTAACTAGAGAACCCCCCCATTAACCCCCCACCTTATCGCTCTCTTATCGCCCCTCAAGATCCCGAGATCCCGAGATCGGAACCCTGATGACAAATTTATCACCTCCACCTGGGCACTCACATCCACAGGTTCATGGGCACGGAAGTGGAACATACGCTGGCTACGCTGAATTTGCACCCTGCAGTGTATAGAAGCAGTTTATTGGACACCTGGTTGTGCATGAAATTGGGCTGATTCACCTCTCGGCAATGTGTCACCGCTGGGCTTGATCTCGGGAGCTTAGCTTGCGACATTTTCTGTAGATATTTCGTGCTCGGAGGCTCCAAAACAATTTTTTTCTTCTTCTTTGGAAGCTTTGACAGTTTTGACAGAACTCAATTTAACGGGAGATCGCATCACATTCCTTGACAATGTCGATCGACGGTCGGTCCAATCATTTGGACGCCTCCGAAACCACTCCCCTCCTGGGCCAGCCTGACTATGATGTGGAAACAGCCTCTTCCCATAAAGATGAAGAGGAGCCTGTCTCCATCCTATCCAGCGCGAGCTCGATATCTGGAGGACTGGACCTTGCGCCAAACCTGGAAAGACTTCCTTCGAACTCCGAGAATGTCTTGAAGGAAGATGACTATGCTGCGCGGTTCATCGATGTTACTCCCACGCAGTTTTGGATTATCTTTGGCGGCATCCTGGTTGGCTACATGATTGGTTTCTTTGACTCAACCCTCATGGCCTCCAGTCACCCAGTCATTACCTCCTACTTCAATGCAGCGAATTCAGCATCATGGTTATCAACAGCCTTTCTGTTGACCTCGACCGCGTTCATGCCTCTTTTCGGCCGAGTCTCCGACGCCTTCGGTCGTAAACCGGTCTATCTTTTCTCGATCGCCATGTTTTTCATAACTACGGCCGGGTGTGGTTTGGCCCGCAACATTGGACACTTCATTGCTGCTCGGGCGCTTTGTGGACTCGGTGCTGGGGGTATATTCTCCATCGGTCAGATTATATCCAGCGACTTGGTGCGTCTGGAATATCGTGGAATCTACCAGTCATACATCAACCTCTGTCTTGGTGCCGGAGGCAGCATTGGACTCGCTTTTGGAGGCTATCTATGTGATCACATTGGCTGGCGTGGAGCGTTCTTCATCCAGTTGCCTTTCATTTTCGTCTATTTCATCGCAGCTGCTTGGACACTTCCGGCAAATCTAGGTCGCAAGACTGCTGGAACAGATGGAAAGAAAATCTCACAGCTGATCCGGAGCATCGACATCTTGGGATCTTTCATGTTGATAACTGCTGTCACTCTCCTCATTGTTGGACTGAACCTGGGAGGCAATGTCCTCTCCTGGAGTCACCCCCTCATCATCACCTCGTTGACACTATCATTTGTCTTCGCTGTGATCCTAGTGCTCTATGAACCACATGTTGCACGCCCCGTGATGCCAATCGAGCTTCTCACGACGAACCCCCGTTCCAGTATAATATTCGGCAGTTTCTTTGCTTCGGTGTCTATCAACACTGTAGTCTTCAATGCTCCGCTGTATTTCCAAGCTGTGAAATTGACTTCGCCCACTTCTTCGGGTCTTCGGCTTGTTGCCTCTTCTATCGCTATCACCATATCAAGTGTGAGCACTGGGTTCTTGATCAATGCAACAAGACGTCTTCAGCCGTTCGTTCTCATTGGTGTATTCAGCATGATAGTAGGTGGATTTGCAGCTGCAGCAATGGGAATCGATACCTCCCATCCAGTTGCGATGGCATGTATCTCATTCTCAAGCTTTGGTCAAGGTTTCGCGTTCCCCAGTCTGATGGTCTCTATGCTTGCGACAAGTAAACACGAAGACCAGGCTGTTGCAACAACCACACTTGGCTTGTGGCGAAGCCTAGGTTCTGTCATGGGTGTCGCCGTGAGCAGCTGGATCTTCCAAAATGCCCTTATCTATCACCTCAATGACAAGGTGACTGGCGTTGACAAAGATCATATCATTGCGCTTGTTCGTAAATCGGTGCACAGTATTTCTCAGTTGGATCCTGTTCATCAGCTGGAAGGCATGTTCCAACCCAGTCTATTCACGTTGTAACCTTACTAACAAAACTCCAGTGACCCGCTCATACTCCGACGCTCTCCGCATGACTTTCTTCTCGGCGGCGGTTTGGGCCATTGTTGTGCTAGGGTTCATGTGTCGAATCCGCCTGCCACGCTTGAGAAGGAAGGAATAGTCAGAGAACTTTCACTGTAAAAACTGTGTTGAGACTTGATGTTGGAGGACGAAATACAAAACAGACATGGGCACTAAAGCAGCTTATAATACTCTTTAGGGTACAAATCATTTAGCAAGTCAGATAAAATTCAAGTGTACAAAGCTTTGAAGCCGTCAAGGCGATTCAGTATACCGGCGATCTTGGCGGGATCCACCTCTTTTTCTGACCATGCCGTCGGACCAACTTCTCCGCAACCTCGAGGCAACCCTTGTAGCCAAGAAAGGGGTAGGCTCACCTACTTTTGGTGATTTGTTCTCAGCTGACATCTTGCATAGATATACCTGCCGATCCCTTTTTACCTCCCCGCATTGGTACGATCACAGCGATCCCAGGAATCGCAGACACCTTCGCAGCCTCTTACCCCAACATTGCCGAGCCTCATCGAAACAATCAACATTGAACATGGCCAGTCGGGGAACTACAGCCGCATTGCGTTTACTCGGGAAACCTCTATTGATCAGGACTCCAGTTGGCGCTGGGGACTAGAGATCGTCTCGCAAATAATACCCCGCTTCGTCCCCCGTTACTCCAAGTCGCAATGAACCTCCGTAAATCTGTGAGGTCGCAACCAGACCCCACACAAGTTGACACCAGAACCTCAACTCCGAAAAGCCAATCGAGCGGTTCGCAAACCCCGCCCCGGTCTCGCGCCGGTCGCAAAAAAGGCACGGGCATATCTCATACCAAAGCTCGAAGGTCGCGCACGGGATGTTTTACTTGTCGCCAACGACATTTGAAATGCGATGAAGCTGTTGGAAAATGTATGAACTGTCGCAAATCAGACCGTGTCTGTCGGCGTGGTGTTCGTCTCAATTTCATCGACATCCAGACTGTGGCTCCTCCCCACCTGATCGCGCGACCAGATGGCTCGAAGGTCACATTCAGAGATGATTCGCGTCTAATCGCATCATTGTACGTGGGCGGTTTCGAGATATACCCTCCTGTTCAGCCGGAAAGTTCCATTGAGGAGAATGGGCAGTCATGCCATGATTTGGATGTCATCGGACCCGAAGATTTAACGAATATATTTCAATCCGTTGCGCATTCTTTCGACCCACTGGGCTTCGATGTCCCCCATCCCACGGCAGATTTTGTGGAAACCGATCCTTGGCATCAGTCCCATTTGGTGCCTGGCGACGAGCTTCTTCCTCATGGAACATCCAACTTTGCTCGAAAGCTCGCGGACAGGCAAGAGTCCCATCAGTCACTCACTGACCCTGACTCGGTGTCTTGTCTACGCGCCTTTGTAGAAGAAATAGGTCCTCGCATGGATGCGATGGATGAGATGAATCATGTTAGTCGATTATTCTGCATTTTGTCCTCTCGTTCGCTAACGCAAGACAGTTCTCTCAAGTCCTTCCTGCCCTTGCTGTTGCCGAACCTTTATTACTCAAGGCACTCGTAGCGAGCGGTGCGAAATACCGTTCGCTCAACAATCCTTCCTGGCCGGTCGAGCTAGCAACGACTTTCTCTCAAGAGGCCACTGAGGCCCTTTCGGGTGCAATACATGACCCCAGCCGAGACTCTGTTTTGTGCGCTACAATTGCTATGGTTCTTGGCTTCTCCGCTTCCATGTCACCCCACTCAATGCGCTGGGAAGATCATCTTGCAGGGTCACGAGCTCTTATCCGAGAATGTGGGTGGACTGCCAAAACACCAGGCCTTGGCGGAGCGTGTTTCAGGATCAGCATCAGCGCAGAAATTCTGAGCTGTGTTCGTCATAACTGGGCTTTATCTTGGAATCCAGACACCTGGGGGGTTGATATAGACATGGAGAATGCACAGAGCAACATGAGTGGAGGCCACGACCTATGGCATCATCGAATCTTGTACATCTGTGCCAAAGTATTGATGCTGAGAACGTGTCTACGTCAAAATCAAAATATGGGCGAGGAAGTGACGGGAGAAAATGGACTCACAGATTTATTCCAGGAATGGGTTCTCTACAGCAGATGGTGTGACCAATGGGAGAAATCTGTACCCAGAGCTCTTGTGCCCCTTGGTTATCTACAGCCATGGCAGGCAAAATCAAAATCGGTCTTTCCGGAAGTCTGGTAGGATTATACTTCCACTCTTGCTGTTGTTGCTGTCGGCTGACATGACAGGCTTACCACTCGGTCTGCTATCGTTGCTCGTTTAATCTATCATGTCACTCGAATCATGTTAGCCAAGAACAACCCTCTCCAGTCAGCTTTCGACGACGAATTGCATAAGCATCAACAGGCCCATGCATATGATGTCTGTGGCCTTGTCGCTCATACGAAAGACCGGTCAGTAATATCATTTCTTCAGACTAATTGTTGCAATGGAATTCTAACTTTCATAAAAGAGGTATCGCAGACATAGCGATTCATTGTCTCGTCATCGCTGCAGAATGCTTAGAGGCACCAGAGGCCCAGCATGAAGCACTCAATATAATTGATCGCATGAGCAAAATCACTGGCAGCAGCTCCGATTCAATTAAGGATGACCTGAAGCAAATCTGGAGCTGGGTCGATGCTCATCCGCACACAGTGGTCCCGTCGCAGATGCATGATAATTTCTATGCACTCGATCCTGCGTTAACGATACCTGAGACCTCGAACTCACCTGGCAACATGAATAATCCCCTGTTGGGCACAGGGGATTTCTCGATGGAAAATCATCCTTACCAAGGGCTTTATGTGCCACCACACCACCATCATGCGCTCAATCAGTACAGTTACGGCCCTTATCTGATATGATTGCCCAGAGGTCTATACTTCCAAACCTGAAGTCATCAATCTGGTTCTTCGAATACGATCTGCTCACACAAATTATTTGTCTACCGCCTGCGTAGGATATATCCAGCTTATTGAGAAAATCAATGACCAGATTCCCTCTCACACCTGGGCAGACGTTATGGTCAAAATCAGTCCGAGGAAAACCTTGGGAAAAGGACCTTGGGAAAAAAAAAAACAGACCTCGAGTGCCTTGGAAATATCATTTCGTATTCTATAATGTCTCCTATATCCATGGATCTACCTCAGGGCTAATAGCTATAATCCGTATCCGGCGCTGGAAGGATATCATGCTGGACTGGCGAACATGCATCAACGTCCATGTCAAAAATAGGTCTTCTTTAACTCCGTATAGGTAGCTGGTTATGAACTGAAACCTTGGAGAGGAGCGAGCCCTCCAGGGCTGAAGGCAATATAGTAATGGCGGTGTGAGCGGGCAGTTCCGCAACATGTCCGTTGAGAAAGCATCAAGCTCATTTACCTACGCCAACAATCCTCATTAAAGGTCTGGATTTTATAATGGAAACGAAATCAGTTCAGACCCAATCTCCGGCCACCCCGGTTTACATTCTTCGTGGGCATACAGCGCCAATCCATGCACTGCACATCTACAACCAAAACTTACGCCTAATATCCGGCGATGCCAATGGCTGGATTGTTGTTTGGGACCTGGTAACGAAGCGGCCAGTGGCATCATGGAAAGCCCATGCAGGTGCCGTGCTCGAAGTGAAGGGCTTCAAGCTCGGCTCAGGTGTGACTGAGATTTACACGTATTTACCCCCGGCATTCCGTAACTTGTCTTTGATACTGATTAGTGCGACAGACATGGCCGCGATCACAAACTATGTGTGTGGAAGATTCGTATTGAAGACGAAGAATTTCTTGACAAGGCATTGCCAGTGGATTCAAATGAAGACGAGCAGGCGCGCAAGACCCAGCCTTGGCTGCTTCATTCTTTGCCCGTGAATGCACTCAATTTCTGCGCCTTTTCAATGATATTCCTTACATCGGATGGCCTTCCTGGTGTGCCGTCTCAGCCAACGAAGCCCGAGACTACTCTTTTTGCTGTCCCCAATGCCCTGGACTCAGGCGGTATCGATATCTTCCATCTGCCATCAGAGCGCCGGATCAGCACCATTGCTTCGGATGCATCAACGAAAACTGGCATGCTCATGGCTGTAAACCTTTTTGTTGCCCCCACTGGAGATATCTATGTTGCTTCTGCTTACGAAGATGGCCATGTCATGGTCTTTCATCACCGAGGGACTCTCACTCCGACGACATTTGAGCGTGAAAGCATCGCCAAGAGCCCTTTGAAATGGGATAGACTCTACGCTTGTCGCCCCCATACCCAGCCAGTTTTATCTTTGGATTTTTCTCCTTCTCTTGAATATTTTATTTCATCCTCGGCGGATGCTCTGCTTGTCAAACACCCCATTCCAAATGCAGGTCCTGTTGGGTATATCCCAACCGCCGGCTACAAGGAAGAGTCACCTTTAAAAACTGTCAATACGAAACATTCAGGCCAGCAGGGTCTGCGAATACGGTCGGATGGCAAGGTCTTTGCTACTGCCGGTTGGGACAGCAGGGTTCGAGCATATTCTGGCAAAACCATGAAAGAGCTGGCTGTGCTCAAGTGGCATAAGGACGGTTGTTATACTGTTACATTTGGAGAGATTATAGACGTCCCTTCACTCCTCCCATCAACGAGATCCACAGGCCCGAGCCCCCAGGATGAAGAGAGCCAACAAGCAGAACGTGACTACTCCCTCGCGACGGTTCAGCAGCAGCGAAATCAAAAAGCACAACAAACTCATTGGCTAGCAGCTGGATCCAAAGATGGAAAGATTTCATTATGGGATATCTACTGAGATAAATGCTAATGCTATAAAACAATTATGCGACGGATTTCTTTTGGGGGGAACAAGTTCATCAACCAAAGATTAAGCCAAGTTGAACTCGTTTGCTCCAGCCATATGTTCTCTCATCTTGGCCCTCATTCTGCGAGCAGCATCGTCCGTAGGCAGGGCACCCGGCGCCGCATCATCAGCAGCCTTTCTCTTGTTACCCGCACCATTGCGTGCAGCTTTGAAGTCTTTCTTGCTGTCTTCTTGCCCAGGTCGCAAACCGGGAACATTGATCTTGCCCGGTCGATCACGCAGGGCGAAACTCTTCGCCAGATGACCCAGATGAAGCTCCTTGATATTGAACATGCTGCGCTCAGCAGCAATATGGGTCGCGTAGGCTCGGACATGAGACTGGAATGCCCGACGGGCCATTTCCAAATACTCAGGGTTATCCAGGGCCCAACGCTCGACGTCCATTTGCCAGTCGGTTGTCTTCTCTTCCCAGTTCTTCTTTCCTGAATCATTGCTTCCGAAACCGCGTTTGATGATTTCGTTTGCATCGGTGCGAGTGAGCGCTTTGCCTCCATCACGGTAACCGCGCTTGAGGATCTGGACGTAGTTTTCCTCGCAGCCGGGCTGAAGGAAGACGAGAGCGCGACCGTCGCGACCGACACGGGCGGTACGACCGATACGGTGCGTATGGTCGTCAGAGCTGAATGCAGGGTCGTACTCCACAACCAGGTCGACGTTGGGCAAATCGAGACCACGCGAGGCAACGTCTGTACAGATCATGACGCAAGCTTCGGTGCTACGTGCAAACGAGCCCAGGGTGGCGGTTCGGACATTCTGGGGAAGGGAGCCGTGCAGCCTGTGCAGAATAACAGGGTTTGTAGGTGTCGAGAAAGCTCTGCCGGGCGCAATAGTTCCATGGGGCGACAGCTGTTCTCTTTCGTCTGGTTTCTGTTCTTTTTCTTCCTCCGGCTCCCCATCCTTCTCTCTTTGCTCTCTCTCGAGCTTCCTTTGTTGCTCGCGGTCTTGATTTCGTGAGAACAACTCAAAGTGGAAATCAACAACGTCGGCGCAGGACATGAACACAATAGCCTTCATGACTGATCCCTTTCGCATAAAAGTTCTCTTCAAGTAGGCTGTTAATGAGACAAGTCGCAACTTGGCCGGTACAATCGCGTAAGACTGCTTCAATTGCGCTGGCACGCGGAATGCCTCGTCGTCCTCAGTTTCTTTCTTCTCGTCTTCGTCTTCCGGGTCAGCCTTGATGTGAACTGCATCCTTCAAACTGATCTCTCCCAGCTTCTGAACGTTCATCTTTAATGTAGCTGAGCAGAGAACCGTTGTCCGGCGAGTGGGAACACCAGGCAACCGACTCGGCCGCTGCCTGGCATCAAGTTTTCCAACGATTCCTTGTAATTCCTCCTCGAAACCCATATCCATCAAGCGATCTCCTTCATCAAGCACGAGCCAGCGGACATTGCTGACGTCCAGGGCTTCCGTGTTATCGAGATGATCCACCAATCTACCAGGTGTCGCAACGAGAATGTTCAATCCTTTCCTCAAACGTGCCTTTTCGGACTTCTTCTTCTCTCCACCAATCACTGTTCCGCAAACAAGCCAGTTCGCACAGCGCAGGATGTTCTCCAGCACGACCGAAATTTGCTTGCAAAGTTCGCGAGTAGGTGCCAGGATAATGGCGAACAATCCACTGTCCCGGTGAACTTGGCTGTCGGGTTGCTCGGTTTTAGCTTTGGATAGGTCCATAATGCGCTGAACCAGCGGGAGGAGATAAGCCAATGTCTTTCCGGAACCGGTTTCAGCCTGAATGAAGGCATCGCTTTCTTCCTTCAGGAGTTGCGAGATTGAACTTTTCTGAATGGCAGTTGGCGCCTTAAGCTCTAGCTTTGTGAGCAGGTGTGCTGCAAGGTTGGGCGATAGTCCCAGATTCGTGAAGGTATCAAGTCCGTCGATCAGCGGCGCATTGGTCGGCTTTGCCTCCTCGATCTCTCCCTCCTGCTTCGGTTCTACCGCATTTTGTGCTTCCGGGTTGCTGGTGAAGAGTGAGGACACGAAGTGGCGGGGATCTTTCTCTCGTGGATGTTGATGCGGGCGTCGGTCGCCAGAGCGCTGAGGGGGGCGCTGGCTCGAGTCCTCCGTTCTTTGTCTTTTGGCTGGTCGATCACCAAGCTGAATTTGATTCGGGTTCTTGGATGCTGCGTTGCGTGCGGCCGCATCACCGGGACCTTTCTCTGAGCCGCGGTGGGATGAGCGCTTTTTCGCGGTCAGTCGGTCTCGCCATGTGCCTCCTTTGAACTTGGCTTCAGGTTTGATGACACTGTCAGCAATGCTGAAGTTCATAAGCATGCCATCGTCGGCCATTTTGAAGAATGTGGGTAACGGAGGGAGTTGGAGATTTTTTTTTGTTTCGGCGATCCAAGCTTTCGAGACTTTTTTCGGCGCCAAGACTTCCAGGCATTAATTTGCTCCACTATCCATCTCCGCTGGCTTTGGACAGTGCACGAAGCACATAGTCATCTAAGTATCCTGGGATTGGAAAAAGGTCAATGTGCAGGCATTGAAATCTCCAGAAAAGTAATTTTGATGCTCTAGATTAATCTTTGTGCTTTCGCAAACCTTGGAAATAATTGATATAACCTTGGAAGGAGCATTCCAAGTTTCTATTTGTATTGAGCTGGGATCTTTGATCTGCCGTCTATTTTTGGAGGGTTCTATATACCGCGCTCACACGCGACACTCAAGCGTGGTATGTTCGCCATGTGCGTTTACTAAGTACGGGGGTGCAAAATCAGATTGTCAATCAATCGCACAGGGACCTTGCCCTCTCCCAGGCCACAATCCTCGCCGGGCTTGGACTCTTCGAGTGGTGCCATCTTGAATGCGGTACTCAGAATAGCACCCTTGGCTGGGTCAACAACGTCGACTTCGTCAAGGGTATCAGGATCCGCGAGAGAAATGTAGTCGACTTCGTAGGTTGCCCTCTCCGAGGGCGAAAGCGCTTGTTGCTGTGCAAGCACAGATTGTGCGAGACTCTCGGCAGCCCCGAGAATGTCTTTTCTCGCGGTCTTGCCGGCTGAGTACTGATCCTCAGCGGCCTTGAGCGCCTTGTAGATAGTAAGGCCAACTGTTCGCCTGCGGTCACCCAGGTAGACATTCCGCGAGCTTAGCGCCAGGCCATCGTGCTCTCGTGCCGTCTCGATGATGCGAACTTCACTGCCCACGTGGAAATCCTCCACCATGCGCTTAATAACAACGGTCTGCTGGACGTCCTTCTGGCCAAAGTACACCCGATCGGGAGTTGTGATGTTGAAAAGCTTCATGCAAACAGTCGCCACACCACGGAAGAAAACAGGGCGGGATCCTCCTTCCAATTTAGTGGAGAGGGGGGTTATGGTGACAAATGAGCCATCGCCATTGACTTCTGACGACGGAGGCGATCCTGGATACATGGCCTTCGAGGTGGGTGCGAAGATTGCAGTGATGCGCCCAGCGCTTGCACTGCTTTCCCCCAAACGGGCCAATTCCTCATTCAATTGTTCCAGCTTCTCGACATCGGAGTCCCAGGTGCGAGGATAGCTGGACAGATCCTCTGTCACGCCAAATTGTGTGGGGTTGACGAAGATGCTGACGAAAATATCCGTGTTTTCGCGGGCAGCTTGCCGAATCAAGGAGAGGTGGCCTTCATGAAGAGCGCCCATGGTAGGAACAAAGCCTACGGTTCTGTCTTTTTGCAGCAGTTGACGGCGCAACCCTCTGATTGAGGGAACATCGCGAAAGACTTGGAAGGAAGAGCGAGCAGAAGGGGCGGTCGCATCGGCAAGGAGGGTCGAAGCAGTTGCTGAGAAGGGGTGAGCTCATATAGAGGTACAAGTTCTAGGAGACATACTCGAGAACGACTTGACGCCATTCACCAAACGAGACATGGTGTCGAAGTGGGTTGATGCAGGTCGGAAGATGAAGTGGGATAAAGCTCCGAGACCGTTGACTCCACTAGTACGGGGCGATTTAGCGCCATACTGGAAATATCGCTCGCTTCAAGGCCATCCAGGGGACATTAGAAGCAAGTATGCGTCTTCTGCGAGTTCCGGTGTCAGTAAATTGCGGCGATCTCCATGAGATATATTGATGTACATATAATAGACACCCAAGATGGGTATATCAAATGCTTTCCTCCAAAGGAACAGCCAAAGCACACAGGGCGTCATTATCGCGCACCGTATTCAGCCACGTGACCATCACCTCGGCTCAATCCTGGGGAAAGCCTGTGAATATCCGGGGACGATCTCCCGGTTTGTTGGGAGCTTGGTTCTGAAAATGTGGCTTGGTTGACCTCTCCTCCTCTCTCAAATTACCTCTTGCCCAGCTGCTTCTCACCTCAAAGCGTTCTCATGTTCTGACTGGAACTACACCGTCCCATCGGCTCCCTAACAACATGCCACCTGCGAAACCGGCCCTCGCCGATGACCACTCCGCGCCGGACCTGGAGATCGTCGGCAAGCAATTGACTATCCACCCATCAGGCTTCACCGGAGGACCCGAAACTCAAGATGAAATCACCGAACGCAACCTTGTTCGCCACATGGCCCGCTTTCGCGAAAACCCCTTCGATTTCCTCCGTGAAGTGAGCTTGTACATGTCCGGCACAGGCTGGCGCGCCTACGATGATGCTATTGGTCAACCGATCTTCTACTCTGGCTTTTCTGAGAGAATGAAGAGCTCGATATTGGGTAGCACATTGCTGCAGGACAAGATCAGTGAACTGGCCAAAGGACGACTCACAGTTGAGGAAAAGGAGGGGCTTCTCGCAATCAAGGAAGGCGCCACACTTGAAGATAAGCGGACACGTCGAAGGAATGAGATTGAGGGCAACCTTTTGGAGGTTGTAGACTCTATGATGGACAAAATGATCTGCAAGATGGAGAGCAAACGGTTCATCCGGGGCGCTTATTACATGTGCACTCAGATGTTGACTCGTGCTTACCACCAAGGTAAGCTCTTTTCACTCCTTTATGTTGAGCCACAGCTAACCAGACACAGGCATTCATGTATCCAGTGAAGAAGTATTGCGATTAAGGTCCGTAGCCGAAACAGCTGCGAAGAAGAAGCAGTCAATCGTCTTCTTGCCCTGCCACAAATCGCATGTGGACTACGTATCCCTGCAACTTATTTGTTATCGACTCGGAATCGCACTTCCGGTTGTTGTCGCTGGCGACAATTTGAACATTCCGTTGCTGGGGCCTTTCCTGCAACACGCAGGTGCCATGTGGATTCGACGCAGCTTTGGAAACGACCCGTTGTACCATACTGTAGTACAAGCGTACATTGACACTCTCCTTCAACAAGGCTTCAACTTTGAATGCTTCATTGAGGGTGGTCGTTCCAGAACTGGCAAACTACTCTCTCCCAAGTTCGGAATCCTAAGTTTCATAATGGATAGCTTGCTGTCAGGCCGGGTAGAAGATACTATCATCTGCCCTGTCAGCACACAATACGACAAGGTTATCGAGACTGAGTATGTACCCTGTCGTTATATTGATTTTGCGGACCGACACTGACGATTTTCTAGGTCATATATCAGCGAGCTCCTTGGTCAACCCAAGGCGAAGGAAAATTTGGCCGATCTGCTATCATCTTCCTCGGTTCTTTCACTGAAGCTGGGCCGTGTCGATGTCCGGTTCCATGAGCCATGGAGTCTCAGAGACTTCATCGGCCAGCAACTTACGCGGCTGGATCACCCCAGCGCCGATCTCAATACCAAACTAAGCTATACCGATCGAGGCCGCATCCTTCGAACCTTCGGCTATCGAGTGCTATCGGAAATTAATGATGTTTCTGTCATGATGCCTACCGCCTTGGTTGGAACGGTTCTCCTGACGCTGCGCGGCCGTGGTGTGGGCAAGGGCGAACTTTGCCGACGGCTGGACTGGCTCTGCGAACGTGTGCGAGCTAAAGGTGGACGAGTCGCTCACTTTTATCGCTCGCCCACAGAAATGGTCGTTGATCGCGCGCTTGAAGTTCTCGGTCCTAAACTTGTCGGTGAGATAGCTGGCCTGGTCGAACCGACATACTACGCCGTGGATCGTTTCCAGCTGTCATTCTACCGCAACATGCTCATTCATCTATTCATAACCGAAGCGCTTGTTTCTGTGGCCATGTATACCAAGATCAAACAAGGCGGAGGACCCACTAATCAAAGAATTAGCTACGAAGATCTTAAGAGCCAGGTCTCATTCTTATCTCAGCTGTTCCGTGGAGAATTCATTTTCCCACCCGAGGGCCTTACCAGCAACTTCGACAAAACATTGCGGGATCTGGAAAACGACGACGTGATCAAGATCACTCGAAGCGCATCCTTCACGCTACTTTACGTTGAATTGAGCGAAGCCGAACGACTTTGTGGCCGTGAGAATTACGACTTCTACTGCTTCCTGATTTGGCCTTTCCTAGAAGCCTCCTGGCTAGGGGCTGTGTCTCTCCTCGGATTAACACCGCCTTTGGATGGACCAAGTGAGATCTGGGTTGATTCAAAGAAAGCACAGGACAGCGCTCAAGTTGTAAGTGATTCAATCATGTGCCTGCTCAATGAATAATTCTAACATTCACAGCTGGGCAAAACTCTATATCATCAAGGAGATCTCTCCTACTTCGAAGCTGTCAACAAAGAGACCCTCAAGAACTCTTATCAGAGATTTGAAGAAGAGGGTATCATCCTAGTCGCGAAGAACAAGGAACTGAAAGCCGGTGCATCACTTAGACTTGCCCCTGAATGGGCGCCGCAGCGCGACCCTGGTACTGGGAAGGTCCTCGAGGGCGGCCGGCTGTGGGACTTTACCGAACTGATTGCACAATCACGCCGTGAAGGGTGAGTTTTACACCTCTGACCGCTATTGAATTATTGATGATTGACATCGGACAGGAAAAACCGCCGTGACGGCAAAACCGTTTCTTCGCGTGTTCTCGCCATGTCTGACCATGTTGGACGCCAATTGTTCCAAAATGCCGCCGCTCTAGCCCCCGGCGATGTTTCCTCGCGACAGATGCGTCGCAAGGCCCTTGGCACGGAGGCTAAACTTTAATATCTTGTTTTCTGATACCCGGTCATGCATACTGACCAGGCTAACTGGATCGGATGCATTCTTACTGTGCTTCGCTTGCTGGACCTGACATTTCTTTGTCTTGATTTGCTACGACACAGCTCGCGAGCACTTGGCGTTTTGTATAATTATCGCATTTTGCATTTCAACTTCTGGACATAGCTAACACTTCAAATACATTCGTCCCTTCTACTTCGTCAACAAGGTGTAGAAAGACACAGCAATCAGAAAGTGCGCTGTAATCCTGAAGTTATCAACATTCTCCAAGTGTGACAGACTTAGAACTCGTGCCATCGCCAACCCCGCCAACAGCTTCCACGACGAGCGAATCGCCGTTGCTCAAACCGTCCACTGCGATTCTTGTCTCAAACCCATTTCGCACAACAGTTTTCATGATTGTTGACCCGGAAGAGACCTTCCAGGCCTCTACGTCGGTTGCACCATTCCAACTGGCATAAACAAAAGTTGTTCCGTCGCCATTCACACAGGCCACGGCGTCAGGTCTAGTGGCCGGGTGTCCGACCCATGGGTACCGATATGTACGATAGGTCTGCATCGTGTTGTCGTAGCCAAAGCGCGCACGCATGACAATGGTTCCGTCCTCATCGAACTCCTCGATCTTTGGGGTTGCACCGTGGTTTTGCAAGCTATGTCCATTGCCGAGTGATTGGTAGCTTCCTTGCGACTGTGCAAACACAGGCTCAGCAGCATCCCACATACGACTCTTGAGTGTCACTTTCTTCGATCCTTGCAGTTCTACGTCTAGAACCATGCCCGTTGTGAGTGATGCGTGACCTGTAAACTTGGTGTTGTCGTTGTTGTGAAGGCTGATAGTCACTCGTTCCTCGCTTTGCGATTCGAAACGTGCATCGTGCTGATAGCAAAAGCTCGTGCCAAGGTCTAATTGGAAATCACCGCCGGTCCGTCCCTATTGATCGTTAGACAGGTTATGGGCAATTGGTTTCAATATGTTGCTGAGACTTACGTGGAGGTGCCATGTGACCAAGCCATCTGCATCAATGAAAAAGAGACTGCACATATACCGCGACGAAACCAGGTATGAATCCCCATATCTGTAGACGGCGTTCAAATGAGGATATCCATACGGATCTGATTTATTTCCTCCAAAGCCTTCCAAAGGCGCGCGAGTGTCGGTGATTGCCACCTCGTCGTTATGTTCGTAGGTACTCCAGCGGAAGACGACCTCGTTCGTCTTCAGATCGATCTCGTATACAAGCGCATCCTGAACCCATCCATCCTTGGGTCCACCAACCGCGCTCAGATCGGCCTGTGTGACATTGACAGCAGTCACGAGAATTGTTCCGTTCTCCGTGAGCTGACTCTCGTGGATATCAATGCACGAATCAACGTCCAACGGATCAAAAACAGTTACGAATCCTTCTTTCTTGCAGTCCAACGTCACGCGGTGGATCTCCTCGTACGAACTGTTCAGGATTGTGATCGCTCCGAAACCAAAGCCATCGCCTGCATATCCGGACCAGTAGGCTATAACGGGTTCACCGTCCAACATCTGTGGCTGGAGCGCGGAGTAATTTCCCGGCTCGCCTTGCCATACTAGTTGGCCGTCGTCTGAGTAGATGACTGGGTGCCCAGTCTTTCGGAGTATATCATGAGGTGTGAAGAAGAGGTACCCCGGCTCGGTTTGGCCCATCTTGGTAACGTTCAAGAAGGGTGTTTGGATGGATGAGCTCTTGAAGCTTTGGAGGGGCCAAAGGGCATCATTTGCGGACTGTGCAAGGCCTGAGAAGCCTGCCAGAATGGTGCCCGCGCGGGCCATAGAACATATCATTGACCGAATCATTGTAGCGAAAGAGGTTGACTGGCGCTCTTCTTATTGATTTGGTCCTGATGTGTGTCGAATCCGGCTGAACAAGTCCTGATTTATATTTTTTTGCCAGCATGATTTCCCCCGTTTCTTCACGAAGGTACTTGTCATACCGTGTTTCCCCGCATAGTGATGTTCCTAGATGTCAGTCAAGCAACCATTCTCGGCAAATAAAATACAATCCGCGATCCGATGGGATCTTCCACGCTTGTAGCTTGAACGAGTGAGCTATTCAAATGCGGAAAGCCTCCGGAGACAGCCCCCGCATCGCTTATACATTGACTAAACAGATACCTTCAAGATTTAGCGTCCTCAGAGGTATGATACCGCTGTGTAAACATACATCGCTCAACTGAAGTTCGGCACGTTCCAGCGTGTTCTATAGTCCGGCACATGATTTCATTGCTCTGTATGATCCAGTGCGTAGGTAAAAAAATTCAAGGACTGATCGGTGATATGGCTCAATGACTTCACCAGGACTGAGCGCATGATGCCGCCCATCGGATGTCGGATATCGGAAGCGCTTTTCACCAATCATGGAATAGCTACTGGGGTTTGTCAAGTACAATCTTAGACTTTCTGGCTACAGCAACATGGAAGAGAGTGCGGAACAGGTCTACATAGAACGGAAATAAAGCGGCTGTAGCGAATCAAGGAAACTTTGTTTCTGATTGTGCTAAGTACAAGCTGAAGATCGACAGAGAAGTGTGGGGAAGGGAGGCATTCATTAACTTTGGCTCCATAATCGGCAATCGGATATTCTGGAGACGAATAATACTTGGTCCTGTTGTCGTCGAATACTCCTCTTTAGGGGGAGCTTCAAGTCTATGAAATTAGGGCTGATCTGGGGCTAGGACCCATGGTTCGGCAATAAACGCGGCAGTTCTGCCTCTAGGGCTAGGCTCAATGATGACCTGAAAGTCTGGGTGATTTAGCTCGGAGATTGACCTGAATATTGTCTGCCCAGGCGGCACCGAATTTGTCGGTGTCAGTATACGGTGTGTATTCCTGCTTCAGGGCTGTCTCATGCCCAGGTGGATTCTCAACATCCAATTACTTCCAAGGTTCCACCGTTGGGCAGATGTATATTCGGAATGAGGTCCAGGCCGTGGAACATCCATCCCGAGGTCAAAACGTGCAAATGAAACTGATTGCTATGATCTTCTAACTGGCTGTCGTTGCTGTTTACATATGTATTTCACACAAGGTCATCAAGTATAATAACAAGACAAGAAACATGATCAAGTTCGCTCAAACGTGCTAGGAGATCTCCAAACGAGTGTAGAAGAAATCCAACAATACTCAAGAAGAAGGGGAGAAATCAAAAACACAAACATAAAACATAAACATAAACATAAACATAAACATAGAGGAAAACAAAGGAAATGGCTCAGTCGCTAGTGGAACAACACATTTACCAAAATCAACATAAACATCAATCATGCTTTCGTGAATGGACCCTTGGGTCCAGGACTCGTCGGTGCCGACCGAACTGTCACGACACGAGGTGTTGAAATCTTGAGTGGCGCGATCTTCTCAATTGGCTTATTGGAGAGCTTTGTCGGGGACTTCTGACCATCCAAGCCGTCAGACGACTTCTTCGCAACCTCCTGCAATCTGCCCATAATGGCGGGTGAATCCGAGTACAGCACAATACCCGGCGCATAAATGCAATTGTTCGCTCTCTCTTCTTCCGTTGCAAAGTCCTCATGGGCAGCCTCGCGGATGATACGCGGGAAAGTACGCAGGACCACATGGCGAGTGGGCTCACCATTTGCGACCTTCGCGTCCTTGTTGGCGGCATACTCGGTCCACTCCTCGTTGACAACGGTGTCTGCGTCTGGGGCGGGGAACGTGGCCAAGACAAGTTCGCGCTCGACTCGAGCATGTCGCCATGTCTCTGCGGCTAGCTTGACGATTTTGCGTACGCTTGTTAGGAGAAGGTCTAGGTGCTTGGGGTCGGCGAAGTGTTTGATGTGGTCGATGATCTCGTCAACGATGACTGCGGCTGCCACGTTGATGGATTGTTTGGCGTCTGAAGTTGTGTATGCGGCCTTCAGAGTCTGTTGTCTCCAGAAGGCCTCGCGGCGGACGGATTTCTTGCGGATGTCCATGGATAGCATTTGGAAGAAAGTGTCTGCTTTGTCGTAGCGGCGGCCTAGGGTGAAGAGGAAGGGCTGGAAGACGCGGTAGGTGATTGTTTTTGACACAACGTGCTGGATATAGACGGAGCGAAGCTCACGAGAGGCCGGGGTGTTGTCGAGGAAGGGTGGAAGCTCAGAGGGGATTTTGGAAAGAATATCCTTTGGAGGGTCGATGGGAAGATAGCCGAAGTGCTCTTTGGATAGGTCGTAGATCAAGCGCGAGAGTTCTGTGAAGCTGTCCATGCTGGAGTGAAGAAGTTTATTAGATCGTGTCCATTTATCGTTATCAACATGAGTCTATAAGAGAATGTATGCCCATGCTCGCTGATGCAATTCAATCAAAAAAGCACACATGCAAAATGACTCGCGCAAGACCAAAAGCAAATTCATAGCAGTCATAAAAAGAAAATCATAAAATCCACGGGGTTGAAAAGGCGCACTCACAAGAATTTGTCGCCTTTGGTGTTTCGGAGGTCGGTGGCCTCGCCAAGGCTGAGGAGTGTCTTTCTCAACCTGTCACAGTCCGATCCAAGGTTTTCGATGGTCAACTTCATTCCCTCAACGGCACGCTGAAGGTGTTGCTCCTTGACAATTCCATCTCCTTCCAGTTTCTCCTTCTCTCGCTCGGCGCTGGAGAGCTCGCTGTCTTTCTCTGAGAGTTGCTTCTCTAGGTCACCACGTTCGGTGGTCCAAAGCTGCTGTTTATCATTGAGTGTTGCTTCCAAAGTCGCAATCTTGTCGTCAAGGGCCTTGGCAGCTGCTGCAATCTGGTCATCGTGAGACTGTCGAAGCGCATCTAGCTCGCTTGCATGGCCTGTCTTGGAAAGATCAAACTCCTCGCCATGTTTCTTGTGGGCGTCTTCCAATTCGGTGCGTGCTGTTTCCAGCTCGGCCAGCTTAGTTGCCAATTCCTCGCGGGCTGAGTTGAGTTCGGCAAGTCTAGCTTCCAACTCAGCTTCCAGCTCGGTGATCTTTGAGGCAAGCTCTGCTTTAGCGGTCTCCAACTCGGCGCGTTGGGCTTCGAATGATGTCTGCATCTCTGACTTCTCCTTCTCCCATTCACCTTTGTTGGCTTCATGTTCATCAAGGAGCTCTTTCTCGCGAGCTTGCAGGGCCTCGGTGGCTGCCTTCTCGTCCTCGTTCTTGATCTCTTCGAAGAGTTCGGTAAGCTCTTGCTTCTGCACACCAAGAGCCTTCTCCTGCTCTTCCTTGTGAGTCTCGAGTTCTTTCTCGTGGGCTTCTTGGGCGGCCTTGATGCTGTCGTTCAATTCGTTAATTTGGCCCTCGAGCTCGGCCTTGCTTTGGGTAAGTTCTTCGTTAGATTTCTGGTGGACAGCTATGCCATCTTCAAGATCTTTCTGCTTCTCTTGCAGGTTACCGAGTTCAAGACGAAGCTCATTGACGGTGTTCTTCAATTGCGCAGCATCTGCTGCACTCTCACTCGCCGTCTTCTTCATTTGGGCTTGAAGAGCTTCGATGTAGAACTCCTTGTGCATCAAGGCTTGTTCATGTTGGTTTCCGATCTGCTTCATCTCAGCCTCGCGGTTTGAGAGCTTGCTGTGGGTGTTACGGAAGCCATGAAGCAGACGATTGATGTCTGGGATGGCAGATTGAATTCGGTGAAGAAGCTCAATGTGCTCAGCGTCGGCATCAGGAGGTGAGACAAGTCCGTTCTCGGGAATCGGACCACCCATGGACAAGTTCTGGAGTGCTTGGTAGGATGCGGCATATGCTGGGTCGGGGATGCTGTAGCTCCGGTGCATTTGATGCGCCTCTGGAGAATAGCGAGGAGAGTATGATCCGTAAGGCGGAATGGCTCCGGCAGAGCTCATCACTGGCGAGTTGACTGCAGTTGGAACGCTTGGTGCAGTGGAAGGAGGTGGCGGAGGAGCCATCTGGGCCATTGATGGGATGTGTGGTGGAGGTGTTGCAGTGGGAGACATTGTGGGGGACATCTGGGGATAATGAGACCGCGCAAGTGGGCTGCTAACCTTGGGTACAGGTGAGGCAGTGTAAGGTATCGGTGATGCGTAAGGTGCTGGTGAAGCGTAAGGTGAACCAGCGTAGGGTGCCGGTAGCGTGTATGGAACCGGAGATCCAGCGTACGGTGGAGCCGAGTTGTAGGGTCCGGGAAGACTGTAAGGAACAGGTGATCCGGCGTAAGCTGCCGCTGGGTTGTAAGGAATCGGTGACGTGTAAGGAACTGGCGAACCAGCGTAGGGTGAACCAGATGAGTATGGAACGGGTGACTCTGGAAGCGGCACGGAGTAGGGGTTTGGTGAGCCGTATGCTGAGGCAGCGTACGGTACTGGTGACGCGTATGGATTTGGTGAGCCGTAAGGCAGTGGTGCAGGGTATGGAATGGGCGAGGCGTAAGGGGAATAAGCAGATTGCTCAGGGTTATATAGCTGATTATCTTGAGATGGGCTGGTCATGTAACGTGACTCAGTCAGCGAAGGAGATGGCAATGGCACGCTGGCAGCCACAGGAGAAAATGGGTCTGCAGGGGGCTGATGGTGCCAGATTCCTATCCTGAGAGTGTTCTGGCTGGTTGTCTTGATCCGCGCCTTGCTCTAGGTGGCTGTGGTCGTCCAAGGGTTCCTTGGCCTCAACGTCGGTGGTTGGAGGTTGAACAAGACTTGCTTCGTCCAAAGACTCTTTCGGCTCAATGTCCTCGACTGCAGGAGTGTTGAGGTTTGCTTCGTCCAACGGCTCCTTGGGCTCAATGTCCTCAACTGCAGGAGTGTTAAGGCTTGCTTCGTCCAACGGCTCCTTGGGCTCAATGTCCTCAACTGCAGGAGTGGTAAGGCTTGCTTCGTCCAACAGCTCTTTAGGCTCCGTGTCTTGGACTGGAGGCTGAGTGAGGCTTGGCTCTTCCAGTGGTACAGCTTCGTCGACAGGACTGGTGGCTTTCTCCTCGGTAGTCTCCTCGGTCACGGGTGGTTGAGGCTCTGTGGTAGAGTCTAGTGGGGTTTGAGGCTGGGCTTCCTCCTGGGAAGTCTCGTGTGATGATTCGGGTACAGGCGATGCCGGCTTCTCAATCACAGGCGATGATGGCTCCACGACAGGTTCGGGAATGTCTTGGGGTGCCGTTGCGTCAAGAGGCTCGTCAGTCGTCAAAGGCAACGGTGATGCAGGCTTTTCAATGGTTGGTAACTCTTGATTCTCGGCAGTGCCCGAGACGTCTTGTGGTGTAGTTTCGTCGTCAAACACCTCATAGGCTGACACAGGCAATGGGGATGCAGGCTTCTCAATCACAGGCGATGCTGGATTTGTAGCAGGGATGGCAATGTCCTGAGGGGCAGTGTCGTCGTCGAATACCTCATAGGCTGACACGGGCAGTGGAGATGCAGGCTTGTCAGCTGCAGGTGCTTCTTGATTTTCGGCAGCACCCGGGATGTCTTGGGGTGCAGCGTTGTCGTCAGTGACCTCGTAGGCCGATACAGGCAGAGGTGTTGACGCGTCGACAGGTGTGTCAGTAGAAGGTTGGTCTTTGCCCTCAGAGTCCTGCGCCAGAAGTTCAGGGCTGCCAGGTGCAGGAGTTTCGGTGGTTGTTTGGTCTGCATTCTCTGGAGTCTTGCCCTTCTTAACCTCTTGCTTGTTGGCGGCCTTGCCCTTGGCTTTGGACTTCGCCTTCTTACCCGCGGCCATAGCGGTAGGATGATGCGTGCCCAAGATTCCTTGATTCTATGAGACGTGTTACCAATAAGATCAAAGGGCTAAATTGAGCATGAGTAATAGTTCGATCAGATGTTTCGTGGGGATATAACTGCACTGTACATTTGTGAGCCCTGGTAATGCCTCAAAGATATAGCCCAAAATCCGACTATAGTTGGGAGGAATTAAGATCCCAAAATAGCGAGAGGTGTGAGCCAACTGGCTTTGAGCGTTTGGGCCGTAGACTTGAGGTCCTATGAACTAATTGTGAGCGCAAGTGATGGAGATCCACGACCGTAGCGCCAGCAAGAGGACACTTCGGGTAAGTCCAAATCTCAATACACGAGAGATTTAATGCACAAAGAAGACGGAGAGGAGAAAAGGAGAAAAAGCAAAACCCGAAAGAGAAAAAATTTATGTAGAGGGCAAAAAACAGCTATCTCCCAACGTTGTCGGGGGGCACAAACGGCGGACCGAACCTTAGTGTTGATACCCATCTACCCCCAATGTGCGAGAGGGCCGAGGAAAAAAATAAAACCGGGGGCGTGGAATCTCAGGGCGCGAATATCAGGGCTTGCAAGATGATCCTAGCCCGCCTCGATTCCATTCTGGACCGAAGCGAGGCCAGTTGCAGGGCGCCATGGCATTGGGCATCAAACTGTGGGTTTGGGCTAGAGTTCCCCGAGTGGGACCGACACCGCAAAGTTGACTTGTTCAATTCAAAGACAATGATTTGCATGAACCGAGTCTACAGGGTAATGTAATGCATCCAATGGAGGCTGGATGTCGCCTGATGCGGGAGACGAAAAAGGGATATACACTTGTTGACGTGAGGAGTTGCAATAGTGAGGCTATGGACAACACAGAAGCCCGATAAATGAGTATCCAATGACCCAGGTACTTTTGTATTGGACATAATATTATTGTTGGACTGCAATACCAATTGTAGTCCATTCTGTAATCCTAAATTTATCGTTTTTCCTATACTCCGTAGCTTGTATTCCCTTCGAGAACGATGTGAGAGTATGGCTCCTCTTCCAAAGCCGAAGTTACGGTGAAGGGCCCAAGATCGAGTCATACGAAACAACATAGGCAACACAGTTACTATCTTTGAGATGTACACTAAACTAGACACACAAAGAAAATAGTAACCTTAGAATGCATGGAAGGGAGAAATAACATTCATTGTAAGAGTACATCATAGCATAGAAATAGAACTAAGTCCAAGTATAGTCAACATATTCTACGGACAACGCTAATCCCAATATGGATGTCACGTGCCATCGACTTTGCTTCCCACCTCGCCCTATCAACGATCTCCAAAGGGTCATCGATCACCACCAATTGCTTCCCACACAATGTTTGCCGCCAGACGATCTGCTCCCTCGACGCGGCAATTGCTGCGCACCCAGCGCCGCTGGGGTTCTCACGCCGCCCACGAGCCCGTGAGCGAAGGCTTCGGCGTAAGCTCTCCCCCACCGCGACCGGGTCCGGACAAAGCCCTGGCCTGCGACCACTAACTAACGATTGCTTCACTCAACAGCGCAGTTTGTACGTCACCGTTGGTGCCATTGCCGGTGCCTACGCCCTCTTCCGCATCAGCAAGTCCAACCAGGACTCCGACTCCCCGTCCTTCATCTCCGGCCTCATCAGCAAGTGGACTCCTTCCCAGGAGACCTTCGAGCAGCGCAATGCCATTCACACTACTCTGATGGAGAAGGCTGCCGAAGACCGCCACTTGCTCGGCAGTCAGGGCCCCCGCGAGGCCTTCGAGCTCATGCAGCCTGAGTATGTGCTTACTACTCCGCGCCCTTCCTTACGGCCATGCTAACATCGGTTTCTTGCAGTATGATGAACACCGGCTCCCCCTACAACGTCTCTCCCGGTTCCCAGGCCGATCTGAGCGCCGTCGTCGCTCACTACCAGCGCAAGAACCAGGAGATCGAGGAAGCCCGGGTCGAGCGCATGAAGGATGGCAAGGCCTCTCTCTACGATTAGATAGGAGTTTTATTTTGTTCTTTCATTTGGCCGGCTGTCTAAATAAGACATGTGTGGAGGAAAAATCATGTACATATACGTTGGGACTTGACGTTCAATCCAGCACCTGATAATTGGATTTTCATTTGTTCAAAGCAAACTTCATTATCTACGTTGGACTTCTGAAGAAGGTGTCTCGTGGGATTTCATGCTGGGTATTCATTTCATTTCGTTCAAGATTCAGACTCAAGATTGGGTCGTGGGAACAACTTCCAGTACGACTCTGCCCACGCCCTCAGACTGGACGTTCAGTTTCTCCTGCACATTCAACTCTCCAGCACATACATTGTTCAATACAGAAAGGAACTCATCGACGCCACCACCGACTCCGAAGTAGACCTTCTTAGCCGCGATAAGAGCGCGGCTTTTGGTTGACTCGGTGTTGGACCGACGGAGCAGTGCCAAAAGAGTTTCGGAGAAGGCTGTCAGCGAAGCTGGCGAGTAGATGGTCTCGCTAGCAAGAACCAAGGTCTTGCGAGAAGATCCTTCACTGGACGAAAAGACCAAGTCAACAAACTCCGGTGACCAAGCGCCGGAGACGAAGTCCACGGTAATTCCGCGCTGGGCAATATCAGTCTTGAATTCCTCCACTAGCTCAGGCGTGATGTCCAGCTCTTCTTCTTCCTGTCCTGGTGCAGTTGAGGTGGCCGAGACTGCCGTTTGAGAACGACTGTTGTGCCATGTGAGAAGAAGATTGGGCAACGTGACGAGACGGAGCACGTCAGAGTTGTAGTCCGCAAAAGTCAAATGAGTCTTTTTCTGACCCTGGCCAGCTTCGACCTGAAGGAGGCGGGCAAAGAAGGTCAATGTTGGAACTGCTGTTCCTGCGCCAAGCTGTCGATCTATGTAAGTGTTTTGTAACATGGTGATTAGACAGGTGACGAACCTCGATTATGTGAACATCTGCCGGTCTATCAGAGGACTCGTTCAAGATATTTTCATTCAGGGATAATTTGGCGAGGTCCAGAGCACATTCCCAGGTCTTGAACCCGCCCTCGTAGAAATTGGGCTTGATGTCACCTTTCTCGATACCGGCAATGAGCTCTTCGTTATCATGGCCAGCGCTATCTTCAGCCATGAGTTGAGTCCGTATGTCAAAAATCTCTCGGCGGCCCACGGCCAGTGCATCGCTGATAGCGAGCTTATTAAATGAAATTTGAGAAGGGAGAATTGAAAGCTGATCGATTAGTTAGCAAATGTAAATAGAAAACCGTCGTGCATGCTCTGTGATATCACGACATGCCATAGTCCCAATGTGATATATTGCAAACTAAGCAGAGGCCGAATTGTATCCCAGGAGAACGCGCCATTCATGAGTGTGGCTCATTTCAATTGAACACTAACCCATTCATTCATATCATGTTTATTCGCCTTCACCAGCTCAGGAAGGGAATTTGCAACAGCTTGCTGGGAGGGCATATCGGAGAAATCATTGTTGATCTCCGAGTCATCGATGTCGATGTCGTCACCTGCAAAACCGAAGCTGAAGGCCATATTTGTGAGACAAGGGGGTTCGTTTGTTCTCCGAGACACTTAGTTCCGTGCAGGTGGGCTGTTTGAGTAGATGGCGCGGATGAAATTTTGCCAAGGCTTGGAATTGGCGAGGCAATCGCACCGAGAGACCCAACTCGACGGGCAATAACTTTCAGAAAATCACAACCACCTAAGTAGACGGGACTCGTATTTTACCAGAATGCTTCAACAATAGCCCTGAAGGTAATCTAATATCCATATAAAAAATCGTAGTGGGACGGACATCCGTGGATATCCTTACTAACATTTGTCGCCTGAGGGATTGGGCGTAAATCGTATAGCTACTCCATGGATGTTTTAGCCACTGATGGAAGTATAAAAATCCCGAGGTCCTGTCGTTGTTCTAATTCCATAGTTGACGAGATCACCTGGACAGATATCTGAGAGTGATCTTCTCACGACTGATGAAATCTGGTGACCGGTCAGTGCCGGTAGCCAGACCAAGTTTCACGAATTGGAAACACTGTATAGTTTCAAAATTCAATAATGATATTTGAATTTGTAGATCATAATGTCATATGCAGGGTAAGTAATGCTATCTAGTGAAAATTATTTTTGATGCATGCGAAATTCAAAAAGTTTAGGAGCTACCATTGAGCTTCTGCGAAGCAGCAATGGCGGCCTCCAGAGCCTGCAGCACATCAGCGTGCAGATCCTCGGAATCCTCAATACCACAGCTCATGCGAACAAGATCGTCGTAGACACCGGCGATCTCACGCTGTTCCTTGGGGATACCAGCGTGGGTCATGCTAGAAGGAACCTCACACAGACTTTCAACACCACCCAGACTCTCGGCCAGAGTGAAGATCTTGGTGTATTGGCAGAAAAGGTGAGCAGCCTTCTGGCCACCCTTGATACGGAAGCTGAGCATACCACCGCCCATGCCATCACGGTGCTGCTTGACAGCAATGGCACGCTGGGGGTGAGAGTCGATTCCGGGGTAGTTGACAGAGATAACGTTGGGGGAAGCTTCGAGAGCCTTGGCGACGACGGTGGCATTCTTGGAAGCCTCGCGTGCGCGCAGGTGCAGGGTCTTGAGACCACGGTGAGCGAGCCAGCAGTCGAATGGAGAGGGGACGGCTCCGATGGCGTTCTGGAGGAAGGTCAGGCGCTCCTTCAGGGCCTCGGAGCTGAAAGCGGCAACACCCATGCAGACATCGGAGTGACCGTTGATGTACTTGGTCACGGAGTGCACGACGAGATCGGCACCGTGGTCCAAGGGGTTCTGGACATAGGGGCTCATGAAGGTGTTGTCAACAACAACCATGATGCCGTGCTGGTGGGCAATGTCGGCAATGGCACGGATGTCCACCAGGCCGAGGGTAGGGTTGGAGGGAGTCTCAATCCAAATGAGCTTGGTTGAGGGGCGGATCAACTTCTCCACGTCTTCCTCAATGGAAGGAGTGAATGTGACTTCAACGCCATGGGCCGAAGCAACCTTGGTGAAGTAGCGGTGGGTGCCACCGTATACATCGGAGACCGAAACGACGTGCGAGCCGGCAGCAAGTGACTGGAGGATGTTTGCTGTGGCGGCAGAGCCGGAAGAGAAAGCAAGAGCATACTTGGCGTGCTCGAGGGCAGCAATGGCCTCCTCGAAGTTGTCACTGGGAAGATATCAGCTCATCTGAACATATTTTCCCGATGCGGAGAAATTGCGGAGTAAGACTCACCGGTTGGGGTTAGAGCTGCGAGTGTACTCGTACTGGCCAACGGGGTTACCCACGCTAGTCTGAGCATAGGTGGTGGACAAAGAGATCTAACACTTGTCAGTGGATATTCTTTGTTTCTTCTTGTCTTCTCAATTGCCGGACTTACCGGAGCAATGACAGCACCGGTCACGGGATCGTGAGGCGCACCGGCATGAACGGCCAAAGTGCCGAAACGGCGGTCAGTGGTGTGTGATGATTCCGTGGAGCCCATGGTGAAGGATGCGTTGAATGGGATATGAAGGAGGCGTTTGGCTTTATATAGATCCTTTGTACCACGAATCTCTTAATTTAGAATATTGCGAATCGTGATTGCTAATCCAGGGCAGGGATGGCGGAGGAGCTGGAATGATGGTTCTGGAAAGGAATTGGACGTTTCCGGCTTAAAAAGAAATCTTCCAAAAAAAAAAATTCAACGGCCGAATCTTTTACATACAATCAACCTTGGGAGAGCTGATGGCGATGAATCGGACCAATGCCACTGGCCGAGAACAACACGGAGCTCCACCGGTCACCGCTAGTTGTCGGAGAATCTTCTCTTACGCCGAGCCGTCGGAGTCCCGGAGTGTTCGTGGTTTGTGTAGATTCATGTTTCAGAAGCATGTCACTCATTTCAAGCTTGCTGTAAGGGAATGGATATTCCTATCAGTACTTGACAGTACCGTTCAATATGCCTCAAGCCACCGTTAAAACTCAAAAAGAAGGAGGCTTCCAAGATGAACTGCATGCGGGTGACCTCATCTGATTAGATCAGCCATATACCACGTGATGCTTACTACATTCCAAGGTTTTTGATCGTAACCTCGGAATCTCGCCATAGTTGTAAGGTTGCCACTCTGAAGGAATATATTCCAGCCAGTGGCCAATCCAGACATTCAGCCGAGAGACTACCTACGGGAACGCCTTTTTCCCAAACTTGCTCATACTCTATCAAACGCCAATATATTGAAATCATGGTTATCTGACACTGTAGCAACCTGGAAGCAAAAGGAAACCTTGGAATGCCTCCACCCAGTTTGTCTGGAAACCTCCTCGCGCACACTCTTGAGGTCCTATTGAAGCCGACACTCAGGTACTTCCAGACTCTTGGTATGGCCAAAGGTTCCTGAACAACTCCTTTTCGTTTTCGTCCTTCGCCAATCCGATAAAGATATCTTTAAATTTGCGGCAATTATCACGAGCGACGTCGTAGTCTTCTGTTTCAACCATTCCATCCACAGGGAGAATAGCTTGCTCTTGGAACAACAGCAGAATTTGCCCAACTCCCTTACTGTTCTCCTCTTCCTTGGAGTGAAGATCGATTTCCTTGTCACTGAAGGTTATGGGGCACGGGATGTCGGGAACAAACTGGTTCCATTGCGCGTTTATCGTCCTAAGCGCTTCGCGAAGGAAGAATAGATCACGGTTTTCCCATACCCCACTCACAAGCCAGACAGGTTTGCGGATGACAGGTATTGCAGGCTGCCGGAGCACAGCCCAGTGAAGGGGCACGCGCTTATAGACCTGCGCCTCGTAGTATTTGTGGATTGTTTGGCTTTCTAAATCCTCATCGATTTTCGCCTGTTCATCTTGACTGAGATTTTCATAATCCTCGGGTCGCTCAGGGACAACCCAGCCTTCCCTAACAGGTCCGGGGTGTCTACACAATCTGGGAACGGTAGATTGGTAGAACAAGGGCGAAACACATGCTGATTGCCAGTCTACGACTCGCGTGATTTGGCATGTATTGGGATCCACGAAAATGTTATCCAGGTGGAGATCCGGATGCCACAGAACGTTGGAAGTTGATGATTTGTCGTTTGTGTGGGGGATAAGGTAAGGTGATACATCCAGATACTTCTCTAAGAGTGCGACAGCATCTCCAGGAAGCTCTTCGTTCTGGTCAGACCGGTAATAGTTCATTCGAGGACTTGCATGTGACTTGATCCAGGCCAATTCGTTGAAGCCCATTGCACGAGTGTATTCGTATGAATGTTTCCCTGTGTGAACGGAATGTCAGAAACAGCTGATGGAATTCAAATTCCAGCCTACTCACAAGGACCACGATCCAGCTTCATGTTCCTCCTCGTTCCATTCCACAATTCATTCGTAGTCAACGGCCCAATAGAAAACTACTCTAGAGCATCGTCATCAACATGGTGGGAGTGTATGTCTTCTGCTTCACCAATCAGAGAACTCAGGTCTCTTTTAAAATAAATGCAACCGTGCTTGTCAAAGGTGATGGATGTCAACCTTTTCTCTAGGTCAACCACTTGTGTGATGAGTTGAAGCTTTAGATTCCGTGGCCACTGTTTCCAGACAGAGCCAAGTCGAACGCCGGGGGCCTTTTCCTCAATGATGTATTCGGCCTCAACTGAGTTGTTCGCAGAATTGGTAGACCATGAAAGTATCCGAGGAACAGGGAAATCAAACACGCGGCGAAGCTATAAGCGTTAGAGATAAAGTGGCGGCTCAAGGAAAAACATCTGCCTTACCAATTCACGGGTAGCGACCTCTGAGGCAACAGTGAGATGAGCAGGACCAGCATTAGGATTCGGGAGTTTTGCAAAGAACTCTGAGCCATTGTCCATTTCCAAAATGAAGGCCTTGTTGTGTAAGCCCTCCGCACACTTGGTGACTCTGGTACCTGTTGGATTTAGCGCATTGCATTCACATTTACCCCCGATTAAAACGTACAGTAATGGGCTTCATCACACGTATCGATTGCAACCCTGACTAGTTGTTGTAAATTGAATTTGAGGTAACGTTGTGAGAATTGGTTCTCTTCGTTGAACCTAGGATTGGGATTGGATTAGCCAATATCCAAACCTGTCTAGCTTGAATACCTACAGCCATCGATGCGTTGTATATCGATACAAGTCTTCTTCACAAATTCTTTCATCTATGCACCATAAAAGGGGGTCTAGCTATGGGCATTCGGTTAGAAACAACCGAATAGAGCCTTAAAACTCACTCTGGCCGTTCGGCTTTTCGAGGTAAAGATCGGGTTTGCGAGCTGGTGGGCCACGTCCATCTGACCGAAAATACGAAAATAATCTCATGTTTCGTAAAGAGCGACAGGAACGAGGCTCAATGACTAGATTCCTGTTAGTGGATCCACAAAAATTACTCAGAATCTTTTTCATTGCCGTTAAAGTCACGGCCGGGCAAGTATGTTGCCGGCAGCATGACAGGGATGTTCGCAAGACCCTAGCCGGGACAACATATTTCCAGCCCTCCGTTCCTCTTTCGTGAGGCATTTCATTCGAAGGTTGTTATGTGATGTTGAAGGTGCTAACAGATGAGCCGCAAAAGTGGAGTAATTTTGACTGCGGGAGGCCCGAAAGATCGCCGCGGTCGAACATTGTCAGACAAGCCTGAGTGCCGCGCTCACGCGCGGCCAAAAAGACGACCGAAGAGAGCTATCACCACCTTCAGGACCTCTTTTGAACTGTCTTTCTGACTGTCTTTCTGGCTGTCCATCCAAGGTTCCAACTAATTGTCAAGTCATCATGATTGGTCGAGAAATGGAGGCCTTGGCTAATCTTGGAAGTCGTGAACACAGAATTAGGGATTGGGGATTATAAACCTAAAACCCCGTGAACTTATCAAAAATGAGCTACTGGTTGGGGAACATTTTTCTTTTATTCATCAACTGCTGGGAGAGATGCTGTTATCGAGATGGATATATGCAAGAACCCGCCACAGCAAAGACTTTATGTGTAGTGTGTTCGATTTGATTTCGCTTTCACCTTCCAAGGCTTTGATGTCTCATGCAGCTTTTCAGGTCGTAGGGAAATTACCATAGTAGAGCCCTAGGAGGAAGGTGAAGTCTGCTAGGATCCAAGTCCTCTTCTTACCAGTGGATATTTGCGTGAGCACTATGTAACATGATCATTAAATGATTCAAAGGCATTGATTCGTATGGGTATCTGATGTATCTGATATGAGCAAAGAAATTGTTTGGCGCTCGAGACAATTCGCAAGAAACAACACATTTTGCTGTTAAATATGATGGTACCTCAACAGTACTCGGCCTACCACCATGTAATGGGCCCTGTTCCACCCATTTGCATCGAGCCCTAGAAACAGTCAATATGGGTTATTTTGGAAATGGTGATACAGAACTTACCAGGATGGAGTATGGCGGTCTTCGTTCTTGAGGGGTCTCGTCACCAAGCTCGGGCGCATTGGGGACCTGGTCGTGCCATTCTTCTGCTTCAACTCGGAATCGAACGACTTCTCCTACATCGAAGAAGAATTCTGATCCTTCATCATTCTCCCAGATCCATACTTGCTCCGCAAGATCACTAAACTCAAGTCAGTAAGGTGTAAATTGATTACATCGTAGAGCCGACTCACAATCGAGAATTTTCCATCAGCATTCCTGGTGGAATCAGGATATCATTGAAGAATTCTAGACCAACTATCGCGTAGTTAGCTTCCGAAGCCACAAAGGTAGAATTTTAAACGCACTTTTAATACCATGCTCTGTGCCACTGGAGATCTTCCCTAGCATGATCTCTCCCTTAAAGGGTCGGAAAACAATCATCCGGAATTTGACTGGCGCGAAGTCAGTAACGACCATGACCGAAGTTGAGCAGCATAAAGACATACCGTTGACATTGACCAGACCAGTTCCATGGCCGATCAGCCCATCTGAGGACTCCAGCAGGTCATAGAAGCTAATGCAAAGACCGATTTTTTGAATCACCTGCGAGTCGGAGATCAGTATGAAGCCACCCGCACAAAGCGTGTGCATCATACCTTATTGGCATATTTGGCATTGATGTTGTCTTCAATAGCCACAGCACTGAACTTTGAGAAGTCCTCAGGTGAGATTTGGATCAAGTCCGAGATGGTGGTCTGCGGCTGTTAGCTAACTTTTCTATACAAAGGTGAGAGACTTACCAGAATGAACATGGTCGAAATTTGAGGTGCACGAGACGAATAGAGGATTGAAAAACCTGAATTTTACAAGTCGCGAACAGTAACCCTTGCTTCTCAAAGACAGCACGCCGTTTCACTCAGCGATCAAAAACCTTTTGAGATTCTCCGAGCTCCGCCAATCAGTGGAGACACATGCACGTGACGTACGAGAAGCCTTCAGTCTTCGACATTTCCACTCAATCCTCTAGACATTCGAGTTTTTGTTTTCGAGACGGCACTGAGGCCTCTGGAAGGTCGACAGGCTTCAAAATGGCATCGCAGGGGTTTTCGTTCCCACCCCCTCCTCCTCCCCCGCCACCAAGCCAACAAACACCCGCCTATCCTCCGACTCAACATGGACAGAACCGGGGTGGACGAGGTGGAGCTCAGCGCGGACGTGGAAGAGGACAGGGTCAGCGAGGTCGAGGTGGACATGCCGATGGAGGCCGCGCACCGTCATATCCCCCGCCCGCAGGATTCAATTACAACCAAACAAACTATGCCGGCTACCCAAGTCAACCCGTTCACCCAGCACCCTACATGCCCCCCGCGCCATACGCCCATGGGCAATCGCAAGGATATCAGAACCACCAAGGCCCACCCGCGTTTCCCAATGCGCAATATCCGCAGCCGCCAGCTTCGGCAGGCTACTCACACCTACCTTACAACTCGCCCGTCAACCAAGCTGCGCAATACCACCAAACCCCGTCATATATGCAAGGATTACCGGCACCACATCTTGCACCCCAACCCACCAACCAGGCTATGATGGGCGGCATGCCGTGGGGTAATGATACGCAGGGCCAATACATGGGAGCTCAACCAGGACAGGCGCGAGGGCCCCGACCCCACGCGCATGGAAACTATGGACCGAAAAATAAGAATCAGAAACGCGATCACACATCTGCTTTTACCAAGCCCCAGACGATCGTTCCCCGAACACCAGCGGCGCCCGCCGTCCCAAGCTTCGGGAATCCTCTACCTTCAAAACCTCCACCAGCGGCAGACGCAACAAGTAATCGAAAGACGAAGAAAAGAAAGAAGAAGCACAACCAGCTCGGACTCACCCCGCACGCTGATGACCACGAGTCTAGCGAGGAGGACGAAGCGGAAGGCGTCGACGAGGAATCCAACCTCGCGCATGGTGGCTCTAATCCCCAGGGACTCCAAGTGTCCTACAAAGGCAAGACATCCAGCTTGGGAACGCCATCTGAGATAGCCGCCTGGATCGCTGAGCGCAAAAAGAACTTCCCTACGAAAGCGCGAATCGAAGCAAAGAAGAAAGCCGCGGAGGAGGCTAAGGCTGCCCGGGATGTCGCTCGCCAGCAAAAATCCCAGGAGCAGCAGGCGAAGCGGAAGGATGGTCGCAAGAACAACGAGACCCCAACAAATGTCCCTTCAGATTCAGGACCCGATGCCAAGCGCCGAGAGGAAATCCGGCGCAACCTCGAACGGGAACAAGAACGCATCGCTAAAGCCGTCGCCGAAGCCGACGCGGCTCGTCTTCGTTTGGAGGCTCTACAGAAGGAAGCTCTAAGCTTCAATACAGTATCCGAACAGGACGGGGAATCCACGGCTGACATGGACATTGAGTCAAAGGTCAAACATGAGTCGCAATACATGGACATGGACACGGACATCGGCCCAGCTGTCAAAACCGAGTCGCATGAAGCAACTACTGGGCCTGAACAGAGCGTCCCGGCATCGTTGGTGAAAGCGGAAGACCCAGCGCGCTTACTGGGGCCCGCTTCTAATGACACGATCGGCGAGCTCGAATTGCCCAATCAGGATAGCGATTGGACCTCCTCAGGCGGCTCGGATTTAGATTCAGAGCCAGAGCCAGACTCGGATTCCGACTCCGACGGCGCGCCTGAACAAGCAAGTTCACGCCGCGAGGGGCCAGAGCGCGTACCGCCGCCGCCCCGCGAGGGCAAGAAGAAACTTGCCGTCTGCCGCTATTTCATCAGTGGGCAATGTAGAAAAGGCGACCAGTGCACGTTCCGTCACGAGACACCTGAAGGTGGCCCTAAAGCAAAGCCAGCAAAGAAACCCGAAAAAGAGAGTCGACGCAAGGGACTTTACCAAGCTGTGAGTGTTCATTGAATATCATTGAATACGTTTTGAAATTCTACTAACACCGAAGATTAGTTGTTGGACCAGCAAAAAGACGACGAGGATCACCGAGCCATGGAAGTGATCTGCTTCATGGGGCAGAACAACTTGCTCCACCAGATACCCCAATAAATTAGCGTCCGAACCGCACTGCGAAACATATGTACAAGTCAGGGATAGAGCTCTAAGGCTCCGAGGCGCAGGGGGCCGGCTCTATTCTCAATATCCCAAATACACGGGACGAACCTTGAGTGGCGTGGGTTTAATCGAACAATATTCCAAGATTTGACCAAGATACTCCGTACGGAGTGATCGGATCTGAATTGATAAATCTCATTGATTTCCAAGGCTCAGTCCACAGCCTCGATCTAAATATAACCCTGTACTCCGTACGGAGTACGGAGTAGCGATACACACCTCTAGGCCGTAAGTGATTATAGCCGACAAGTGGAGCCCTCATTTAAGGTCATTCGGGGCCTAAACCAGTCAACGGAGGCGATGTCCTGCCAAGCGAGGAAAGCAAACCCGTTAGTGGCCCCTCGTCCGCCGTCCCAAGCCCCCTCAAGCCCCCCCAAGCTCGTGGATCGCCGCCACGCGCAGTCCCAAGGCCCTAAAGTTGCGGTCCATTTGTCCATTTACACTCCCCGCAGCCAATCATCCGCCTTGCTTGGTATTTGTTTTCCCCCCAATTTCCCTTTGACTCTGCCGGAGTATTCCTAGCGGCGGACATACTTTGCACTTAAAAGACTAGCATCCGCTTGATCCGGCTCTTTCTTCCATTTTGCCTCTCGTTTTCGCCGTTCATTCATTTTTGAGGCTGAGTTTTCTTCCCCGTGATCTTTTCACTGTCACTCATTTAAGACTCTTGTTCTGATACCCCCAAACTTCGTACTTCGTACTTTATTCACCATGCGTTTCTTCACTTCTTTCGCTGTCGCCGCTCTGGCTGCTGTCGCTGCTGCCAACAGCAAGGCCAACCCTTTCAACATCCCCACTGATGGCTACACCTTCAAGGTGGGCGAGCCCACCACCTTCACCTGGAAGCCCACCACCAGCGGCACTGTCACTCTGCGCCTTCAGTGGGGTGCCGTGACCACTGCCACCTCTGGCACTGCCATTGCCTGTAAGTCGTTAAACATCACAATGGCTCAACTCGAGAGAATCCAAATGCTTACTCGTAATTACAGCCAGCATTGAGAACTCGGGTAGCTACACCTGGGACGTGCCCTCCAACTTGGCCGCCCAGCCTGACTACACCATTGAGATTATCTCTGACGAGGACTCGGATGACTACAACTTCATCGGTCGTTTCACCGTTGAAGGCGCCACTGTCTCCGTTTCCTCGGCCACCGCTACCTCGACTACTTCCGCTCACTCAACCGAGTCCACCAGCTCCGCCACCCCAACTACCACCTCGGAGTCGACTTCCAGCACCAGCGCTAGCTCCAGCACCGCCACCACCCTGACCACTGCTTCCAGCACCTCGGCGTCAACCTCCGCCAGCACCTCTGCTAGCACTTCCGCGACCACCGAGAGCTCCAGCTCCGCCACCTCTTCCACTGCCGCGACCTCGTCCTCTGCCTCGCAGAGCGCCGTGCCCACCACCGACACCGGCGCTGCTGTCGCGAACCGTGTTTCGGGCGGCATGCTGGCCCTCGTCGCCGGTGCCTTCTTGCTGTAAACTATGCATACGGATGATATCGCGACCTTGTTCGTGAGCTAAACCAGCGCGCGTGATTTAACTCTGGATCCTTCATTTCATTTCTTGAGTGGAACTGTCTCCATGAAACAGTTTAATTTTTCTCTTCTCATACCAAATTTCCCCCTCCGGTGTCCAATTTGTACAGCACGTGTTGGGCCCGAGGGGCCTTTTAATTTATGCGACGGCCACGAAGCGTGTTAATTTTTATTTCGAATTGTCATGTACAGCACAAATGTATAGACTTCAATACTGGCACACTCGTACTCGACTTATCTAGCCCTAGACTATCTACGGTGGGGACTCGGAGATAATCAGGAAGGTCGCCCACTTTCAATTATAGCGTCTCCTGCGCAAAACTGCAGTCTAAGCTCCTTAGCGTCCACTAGGCTCCGAAATGACGATCAGCAGCTTCCAAGGTTATCTCTGCGGGTTGGAGGACTTTTGTTCGTGTCGCTTTGATTTGGTGGGATACATGCGGTGTGCATTTGGGCGATCCAAATTTTGTCTAGTTTTCCAGCGCTGTTTGGCGTCTGTTTAGTAGGTCTTTAGCGTTACTCTAGCGTCTCACCGTCTCGTGAGTTCGATTTTCTCCATCTAACGGTATTTTAACGGTAATTCTGAAAGATCGGCACAACTGCCGACTCGTATGCAACGGTTGGATACGAGTTGCCCGTAACTCTGTGGAGCCCTCGGTTCATTGTAAGCAGTTGAGAGATACTCCATATCGTGAGATATTTTATGGAATATCTCGAGATATCGACCTCGGAGGTTTCATACTTGCCAAGACATATTCCACCTGACTTGGAAACACCAGTCATCCCTAACAAAGGCATCAGATGTTGCGCAACTCATCGTTTCAGACGTCATTGCGATCCGAACCATCTAGGTACCCAGATTCCATGTGTCTGGAGCTCACAAGGACAATACGAGTCGGGCTGTGCTTCTAGGCATCCACGCTGCACAACTCCTGGCATCCCTGCATGCATGTCTCTCACCAAAAGTCCAATTGTACCTTCAGCCCAAAGTACGGGGTACGGGGTATGGGGAAAAGTCAACGCCCTGGTACGATGAACACCTGGGCACCCTAAAGCACTTACCTAACAAACCCCCAGGATCGTCATCCAAACTCAATTCCACGCAAGGACGCTCATCTATCGGGGTAAAAGTTCACCTCGTGTTCAGCACCGGGCAAGGGTCCTCACATCATGCAGTCCACCGCACCTCCCGACCCAATCACGCCAGCCCCACAGATCTAGGGTCCGCTGTCTGATCTATCCATTGAACTCCCCTTGAAGCGAGAACGAAGGATTTATGCAGATGCATATGCAAAAACTGGGGTCATTGTGCCCTTTCCTGGCAATGTAAATGGCTCAATTCGTTCTTGCGAGGGCACTATTTGTCTACTCGATAGACCATTGGCCCGCCCTTGCCAGCAATGCCATGACAGTTCGGTTTCCAATGATCGACCCCCTAGCTTGCAGAGTCCATTATGGGCCGGAGCGTCAGATGCACTGAACATTTCTTGGTGGGCTGCTTCCTATGATCGGCGTGCTATAAAGATCCTGCTGTGTCCCACAGATCTAGGGGGTTTGGTTGTTTGATCCAGCGCCGGTGATCAAAATTTGAAATTTGATTCTCTCCTCTTCAATTGAGCTGTATAATCGAGTTTTTGCACTCATCATGCCGTCTCTGAAGCATCTATTGGCATTTCTTCCGGCTATTGCCGCGTTGTCTGGTCTCGCAAGTGCTCAGACGAACATCACTGAAAAGTCTTGCGCGTCCTCCTCTGATTATTCAAGGTGCAACAGGGATGTTGCGGACAAGTGGAGCTCTTGCGTGAGGAATTGTAACAGCAATGGCAACTGTATCGTTGAATGCGGTTGTGAATCCCACCGAAAGTATATCAATTGCATGGCTGAATCATGCTGGAATCAGGTACGAACTCACACGGCCTGTCTCATCTTCATTGGGCTTCCCATGTACTAAATTTACGACCAGGTCTACTCTTGCAAGTACCAGCTCTTCATCCAGCAGTATTTTGCCATCTGCCCAAGTGCCCATGAGCCAATTCCCTTCTGGCCAGCGCCGGACAACGCCCCGAATCGCTGCTCTTGTGATATCGGAAAAGTCCTACAGACGACACTAGCCTCGCGCAATGACCAAATCAACTGCATCAAGAACGCTACCGACAAGATTAGCACCGACATCTCCGATCTATCGAATCTAAGCAACGGACTTGACATTGCAGGCCGCACATCCGACTGTGCTTGCTGCGGTGCCAGTGCCAGTATCTCTGCGTAAGCGCCAACTTCTTCCCATCTCATAAGCCCCAAAACTAACGATGCCAGATCTTGGGATATCTGCCCACACACAGAACCCCGACTCGCAGGTGCAGACATGTGGGGCCTGTTCTTCCCTTCTAGCCTACCAAACCTATACACATCTGTCCCGAACTGGGCCTGGTCATCTTCATCCTGCGACTCAAAACTCGATAGTAACAAATGCAAAGACCTCGGCTTCACCAATGCAGACAAGTTCTACAAGCCCGGAGACTATCCCAAGAACGGAACGTCGACTCTATCCAACGTCGCTGGCACTGTTAGCGCTCCGCCTAGCGGTACCGTTCTCACCTGGTCGCAGGCTTCGAGCACATACACGGTTACAGCTACTGGGTACGATCGCAAGGCGGTTGCGAGTCAGAGTGAGTACCGCGCTACGGCGACGGGGGATGATGATTTCGCGACGCAGACTTCGGATAGTGCGGCTGGTGCTGTTGGAGTCAGGAACGGAGGGCTAGGTGCGGTTGTTGGGGCTATTTTTGCGGTGGTCATGCTATGATGGGTTCGAGGTGAATTGATCCCTGGGTAGATCCGAGTGGAATTCAATCGTGGCTATGATGTGATGTGATATATGATGTAAGTTTCTAGACTTTACGAATTTGATATGGCGAGTTGCATCCATGGATCTTTCCAAGGTTCAACATGACCTCGGGAGTTGATTATAGCTTCCAAGGTTGCTGTTTTCTTTTGTTCAAAGATACGTTGAATGTTCTCACAACACATACACCCTCCAGAGCTATGGGCCACATGGTGCATGAGATTGTGTTATTTGAGGGAAGGGGAGGTCGGATACCTATCTTGTTCTTGATACCCCTCAACGTCTGCTGCGTCGACTCCAGTTAATCTGGTTGAGCAGTAATCGTAAAACAATTTCCTTGTTCACACGAGGCACGTTTTGAACACCGGAGGCAGTTGTACGAAGAGACAGTTGGCGGAATAACGAAGAGAGAAATATCCGGGGATGTTGCGCTCGGGAGCCTATGTCAATTGAAACGGAAACTTGATTTTGCAAGCATATAGCTATTATGATACAGGACCCATGCAAAGCAATTGTTGCACATTCTAATTAGAGGTGATTGGGCTTGGAATGAAAAGCCATTCGACAGGACATCTCCCACATCTCCCACATCAGAAGTCTTAGTCACAATCATCAGTGTCACTACTGCTGGAAACAGTGAACTGCGTGGAGCAGGGGGAGGCGGGGCAAGTTCTGCCGATGAAAGCACCTTGTGTCCTAGCTCTGGTTGCAAGTTTCTCCTGCTGGGAGCAATCAAGTCTTTGAGATAGGCATTCCGTACAATGTTCATTGGCTGCTTGCTTGGAGAATTCATTGAAGATCTCCGAATTTCGCGAATTTCGCAAAGTACCGATCAATGAACTTTGGTGAAACGTTGTTTCCTTTTTGCCCATGTGTTTGTTTCGATATTGTAAGAAATAACGCTGAGGTGGCTTTGCAGGAGTTGGCCTTCGCGGTGACCCGTGGAAAAGCTGTTGACTGAGACAAGGCTGACTTTGTTTTGGATTCAAGTCGTATCGTGAAAGACCGAGCGGGATGCGCATTCATCCACCTGCCCAGGTGGGCATGTGGATAGGCAAGCATTTGAGGAGTTGCTTCCAAGGTTGCTGTCTGATTTCCGGTCAACATCGCACTCTCTCAGTGTCGTTCATTGGACTTCAGATATCAGAAGGTAGCGGTTGGTAGTAGAATTGAAATAACTCGTGGAACTCGCGGCCATTCGTGATCAAGTACCTAGTCATGAAGGTAGAAGGTCTTATTCAACGAAGAAAATAATGATAGGGGGAAAATCTTGGAAGGAGAAGAAGCAAGAAGGGCTATGGAGCAAGAAGCATGCGGAAACATAGCCTTGGAAGGAAATAGCAAGCAAACAAGCAAGAATGACCTCAAGCACGCAGGTAGGTAAACAAGCATACCTAGGTATTCACCTGGGCAAGCAAGCAAGCAAGAAGGATATACATATGGTGCAGGAAAGTATGACAATATAAGGCTCTTACCTCCCTTTTTTCTTTGCCAAAACCGTCGTCACATACTTATCCGCGGACTTGTCATATCAACCGCTATCAAAACCTCTAATTTTGCCGTTTGCTAAAATGGCTTCTATTTCCTAAAACGGATGCGACCCTTTTCATACAGAGTTCACAGACTTGATATGATTAATCTACCACAAAATGTTGCTTCTTCGTCCTGTAAAACAATGTGAGCTCAGCAATAATTTGAGGTTACCCATTGGGCGGTCATATCACCCAATGCCGTTGGAGGTGTGGTTTGCGGTGCGAACAGCACCTGGGCGCCGGCGGATACATTCAAAAAAAACTTTCGCCCTTGCATTTGATGGCGCAGACGTGTGAATGGGAGTGGCTCCAGGAGCCTAAAGAGTGTGACGTGAAAGATAATTTAGGAGATGAAGTAATGATATGGATTATCAACTGCACAGCAGCTATGGAAAATAGATAAGATAGAAGACCAGCCCATCAAAGGCCTCTGGTCAAACTCCGAGACGCCATAATGATGATATCAATCATAAAGTCGTACCCCGCCAGAAATGCAGGGGGGAATAGGGAAGCACGCCGAGCAGTGCAATGTGAACAATGTGACAGCTGTCTAGATCTTGACCCAGGAGGGAACGACCCGCTTTAAGAACTTCATGAACTTGAAAAAGCCGACTGCGAACTCCACATTGCCGTGAGGATCAACGACTCTCTCAGGGAAGGCAATGCCAGCACCATACAGACCTGGGATGACACGGGTGGTGCCAGCTTCAGTGAAACCGCCAGTGCTGTGTTGGAATTGCATGGAAAGAGGAACATTGTCGCGGGTCAACTGGGGCATTGGATCGCGAGTGTATCCGACCGCCTGGACGATGTACTCGCACTCGGGGAGGTACTTGTAGTACTGAGCTGACTCAATATCCTGACCACCTGCGCAGTCGATCTTGGTCAGAATCTTTCCGGCAGCTGAAGTGGATAATTTGTCGTCTTCTAGCTCATTGCGGGCGAATTCCGCAGCGGAACCCTTCAGTCCGGTGTTGTCGCGCAAGATCCAACCATCCTGTGGAACGGCATAGCGCAGGGGATGACGGGTGAACCACTTGATACGGAGGTTGGGGTGAGAGGTATTGGCGAGATTGATGAAGTTCATAATGGCAAGAATGGCACTATGAGAAGCGCCGACAATAGCGACGGTGAGCGGTCGGTCCTCTAGGGTCTTGGCTAGCTCGGAGGGTTTGAGGATCAGATCGAGGTCCAAGCGCTCGATCCTCAATCCGGGGACCGGGATCGGAGCAATGCTGGGGTGTGAGCCTGTGCAGAGGATCAGGCGGGTGGTTTCGATATCCAGATCAGGTGAGCCCTCCTGTTTGATGCGGATCGTCCATTCAGACTATGACGTCATTTGTTAGTCTTGATATGCATGTTGATATTGATCTACCCACCTCGTCATTGAGATTGGCTCCTGCAACAATGCCTCGGAATGCTTTGACTTGATCCATTTTCAACAGACCGTCGGTCAGACCGCGGATCATGTCTGCAGCGTAGCCCAGGGCGCATGTCTTGTCAGCGCCCAGTTGGGCAAGGGCTGTGAATGCATTTGGCGAGGGGGTCGTGTCGATTATTTTCTGGAACGGCTGCGTAGCTGTCGCAAACGACTCGAAGAGGGCCACCTTGGTGTTACTGGGTTGTGGATTAGTTGCCCGAGCTGTTATCATCAGAGAGCAGAGAACCAACCTTGGGACCTCACGGTACTTGCTGTGGACTCTGCCGGCCGCGAAGGTGGGATCAATCCATGCAATAGATCCCAGCTGTCGCTCCAGGAGATTGCCCATAACAGCAACGCCAGCTGGGCCAGCGCCTACAACAACGGCAGCGCACTTGCGGGTAGCCATAATGCCGATCAGAGAATGCGGAGTTTGATATTAAAGCGAAAGAAGCGTGGGTGCACGCAGAAAGTAGTTGATAGAAAATAAGGAGACGTGAAGTTGGTTTTCATTCGGACTAAACAATTGAAATCTCGGCGATGCGATGGGGGGGGACCTTTAAGAAAGGGGTGTGAACGGCGACAGCCAAGACCACAGGGAAACGACAGCCCGGGGAATGTATGAGTCGTAATCATCGTGCAGATAACGCAACCATCGTCCAGTCGGGGTCTCGCTATAACGCGGGAAGACTGTTGATGTTCCAGATGCCCGATTAACTATGACCAACTGTTGCAGCTCTCGGACGAGATGGTTCGCCGTTTAATGGTCATCGGCCACAATGAGCGCCTCGGATTGGCTGTGCTTGGGTTTTGCGGTCTGTCCGACCTGTGAAACGGCGACTCATTTTCAATCGCCGATTGAGATGCCCCCACCGCCCGGCTGGTCGGCTGGGTCGCTTCGTGCTTGCTTCATACATGCCATAAGTGATGGCTTTGATCTGTTGGGAAGGTCATGGTGGATGGATCGAGCTCCGTTTTATTGGATGCATGTTTTGGGGAGTTTCGAAAGGAAGAAACGCGAGGAGATCGAGCAGTCTTATACTCTGTTGTTATGGCGTCGATCGGGCGGTCTTGGCGGGATGGCGTGCTCGATTTCAAGGCTCCGGAGCCCAATCAGGGCGGTCGGCACTAGTATACTACGCCTAGTAAGGCATGCCTGGATGGACCCCTGCTCAAGCCAATCTATACATGGGCAAGCCCTACTCTAGACTTCTTGTAGGAGGTGCTCCGGTACTCCGTACATGCGATTTAATCGATTTGGTCTGGGGTTCACGTATGCATCAAACTGATATCTACCTCTACATCCTATAGTCCCCGAGATCCTATAGTTCTCGAACCGAGTCCATCTTATACAGCCCAGTAGATGGTCACACTTGCGCGATTAACGTGGTTTGACCAACCGGGGAATCTCGCTCGAGCCCACAGTGCAATGGAATCGCCAACTTCAAGCTCCCGCACCCCACGTCCATCGAGGGTAAGTCGGCCGCGGCCCCTGGTCTTTTCGATCTCATGAGCTTCAGGGGAGTCTGCCTTGACATTGTCACGGTAGTCCCAGACAATCGTAGTGTGTTGCATCTCACTAACATGAGCACCATTCACCTGCAACTTATTGCTGCGCGGAAGCAACAGGTCATCAGCCTCAGTGTAATGCTTCCGAACCTGTCCGCGTTCATTGTCGAGAATTTCTTGCTCGTTTCCGTCGGCATACATGCTCTTCTTGTGTGCGCCGTGAATGACTTCGGTGTCAAACCAGGTCCAAGAGAATTCGTACATGTTATTGCGACGCCGTCCGCCGCCTTGATCGTGAGAGGAGAGGTTAAACACGATCTTGCGGCATGGATGTGTGCCACGGTGAGGCAGTGGCTTTGGAGATGACCCCTCTAAACTCTAGATATGGATCATATGGTCAGCGTTTTCGTCCATCGTTGGGACAAGACAGACATGCATTTCTATCGTAGCAGAGAGGCACTGTTTTCAACAGAACCTGATCACAGTCCTTGTGGATTGTCCTTTGCTCGGTTATGGTATGCTCCGTCGATGGCCAGTATTCAGCAGCATCGATGATCATATCAACAAGCTCCTCAGGTAGGCCAGTAGTCAGCTTCCACCGAAGCAAAAATCGGACTTTGAGCACGTCCATCAACTTGGGATTGAAAGTCACTGGACCGGACTCTGGTTCTGTGGGACTGTCGACGGACCCATCTGATTCCGAGCCATTGGTCCCAGGGCGCAGCAGGTCTCGCCGGCGCTGATTTTCTGGGCGAAGGCCGTGAGGGGGTAACATGATAACTGATTGGGCGGGTCAAGGCGCTGAGATGAATGTTAACCTGAATCTTAGTGGCACTTGGATCTGTGCGTATGGTTCAATGGTGGAGGTTATGGTGAAGTTGATATCAGTGTTTGAGTGGGTAGTGCCGTAGTCCAAGTCTGGAATCCTGGCCTCCGCTCAGTCCAGACGTTCAGATACGGTTCGTTGAAAGTATCTTTGCTGTACCACCCGAGTTAGCTCTGGCCCTTTGAGACGTCATTTTCACTTGAACGTCATACATTTCGGCGAGTTAGGCTCACAAATCGAGACTTTATCAGGATCAAATAGGTATGAGCAGTGTCTGGAGTCAATGTAAAATAGGTTAACAGAAGATGTGGTTGATCTGGGGATTATTGTTGACAATGACGTCAGTTTATGCCCTACGCTTCAGGTCAATTCTCGGGCAACCACTGGGGGGCCTTAAGGCTACAACCTCGGGAGGAGCAATTTAGTTGGAGCTAGTTTATCAGCGTCGTAAAATATGTTCAAATGCCCTTCCTAACGCCATTTTAAGATACAATGTGACCTGCTTCAAATCTAATCACGTCGGCCACCGGCAGCCTTGTATGCTGCCGCACGCTTCGCGCTCCTGGAAGTGCGCTTGGCCTTCTGGCCACGACTCTTTTGCTTCATTTTGATTGATGATGATCCTTCCGTGGCGCGGTGACCCTCGAACACAAAGGAGTTACCGGCGATAGTGCTGTTGGCATCAGCCTTGACCTTGGCGGCACCAGCCCGGCCCAGCAGGCGATTGGCACGGCCTTGCATGGTCTTTTGGGCTTCGTCCACGCGGGACTTCTTGGCATCAGGGCCAGAAGAAGTGGGCTTCTTGGCCACCTTGCGAGCACGGGTGACACGCAGCTTGCGAGGAAGCATGGGCGGGAAGTTCTTGCCGTTCAGAGGGAGCGACTCTTCAACGCCGTTGCCATCGTAGAACTGGACGTAAGCGAATCCCTTACCAACACGAGTGGTGCTGTCACGGATAACACGAACAAACTCGACGTTCTTCTTGATGGCCTTCTTGTCCTTGCCACCAGTGTGGGCGTTGAAAATGCGCCACAGACCTTCCTCGATATCGGCAGGAGCGCGGGCCTTCTTCTTCTTGCCGGTCTTCTCATCCTCTTCGGGTGTCTCATTATCGATGAAAGACAAGTTACCAACAAAGACACACCGCTTGTGGTCAATCTCAGCAGGGTGAGCAAGGCTATCCACTCGCAAGTGACGGTCCAGAACAATGGATCCATTCAACGCAGCGGGGGCCTTGCGTGCGGCCTGCAGAGAGGAGTACACGGCATAGGCATTAGTGCTGGGCGTGGTATCGTCGAGAATCTCGCGCTTCGCGAAAGAGGCGCGTTTGGGAATACCACCACCACTGGCGAAAGCAACAGAGCGGAAACGGATGGATTCAACCTTGTGGGGTCCGGTAGACTCGGGGAGTGATGAACAGAAGGAAGCCAGATGGCGCATCAGAGTCTTTTTGGCGGTCTTGGAGCGGATTGCTTCCGTAGAGACGTTGCCCAGGAAAACAGTGCGGTTGGACTTTTCGACTTCGTCGGTGGTGGTGGTACCGGCCACACTCTCGTGTACTGGAGCGGGAGCGCTCTCTTCCTCGTCGCTATCTTCAGAACCGGATTCGTTGTCGGAGCCCTCTTCCTCATCCTCGCCTTCTTTCTCCTCCTCTTCCTCCTCTTCATCACTGCTTCCTTCGATTTGCTTTTGTCGCTTTGCATGCTCGGACTTTCGCTTTTCTTCGTCCCTCTTCTCTTCCTTTGCAATGCGACGCATGTATGTCTCCTCAACGTCCTCGCCAGCGCCGCTGCGCTTACGCTTGCGGTTTTGTGTTTCGGTAGTCTCAGCATCCTCTTCCGAGTCCTCTGCAGCACTCTCGTCTGCGGCATCGCTCATCACTTCATCGCCTGAGGACAACTCCTCGTCATCCTTCTCTGGGACATCTTCCTCCTTCTTGGCCTTCCTGATGGGCTCGACGTACTTGATTGTGGGGGCTTGCACAGGACCAGCCTATTTGATATCAGACCAAAGCCCACAGTATTAAAGACCGAATATAAACTTACACTTGAGGCGAACAGGGAGGACAATGTTGGGTCCAGAGAGGCGCCGCCGAAGGGAAAGCCCGAAGGCTTAGCCTTCTCCTCTGTTTTGGAAGACTTCGACTTTTTACCCATTGTGGAATAAAAGAAAGCCTATGACAATAGACTTAAGTTAAAGGGTCAAGACGTGGCTTTGTTGCAATTGCGCCTCTGATAGCTCCGACTTTTTTTTTCTTAGATTTCTGCTTATCGGGTCTTGGCGCGGGAAGCTGTGATTATATAATCAAATGCGGTGTAGATCGAATTCCTAACAAACGTCGGGCAATGTCTCTTTCTGTAGGCACTGTAAATATGCATAAGGATCTTCAGTGCAGCTTTTTTCCGTTCCTGGGCTTTTGGCTGTGCCGATAGGGGTTATAGTGCATTTGAGCGGACGTTATTCCAGCACGGAGATCATTTGCCCGTGATTGGGCGATAACTGGATGTATACCTCACTTTAGCATATCCAACCACGCTGAAGCCAAATGATACAGCTTGTAGAGCAGCTCTTGGTGCTAGTATATTTCTGTATGCTGTATGATACCAGTGTAGTGGCATGCAATGGCTTTCTTCTTCCTGCTACGTCAGATGGGATCAGATGAAACCCCACGTGACTTGCTTTTTTCTTCGGGCGGTGAGTTCGCCCTCGCCGGGAACGCGGCAGAACCCCGTCACTCGCTTCTGTTGCTGCACCCCATCATAGCGATCTGCTGCTTTTGTCTGCTGAAACCCCCTCTTTCACTTTGCCTTCCCATCCCAAATCACTCCTCCAGTATTGATTACGACCCCAGCATACTTCTTTATGCCGTCCGACCCTCTGCGACTCGGTACCCCGTCTTGACTGCTTCCAGCTCAATCTCCCCTCGCCCTCCAGAGTCGGTCTGCGCAGGATTCGTCGGACCGAAAGCTTTTCTTGAGGCTTACAACACTGGCGATACGCGTGGGCTTGGATTTGAGCAAATACCTGCGTCACAGGAACGTGGTGGTTTTGAGAATCGTGCTCGGTCGCGAGCAGCTGTGCTCATTACCGGCGTCGCTCCCGGCGCATTGTTGAAACGGTACGTCGCTAGAGGTTTTCTACCACTTTCCTGCTTTTATTGGGTCATTTTTGTGAGAAACGAAGGGATTCCTGTCTCTTCGGGGTACAGATAACGGTGCACTTGGTTTGCGCGGTTTCTGGTCCCTACGCTGAGCGATTGTTGCCGACTCTGGGGCGTCCGATGATCAATCTCCGCACCACCGCCTTCTGGGGGCGCTCACCCATCCTCTGCACCCACCCTCCACTTTTTGCCCACCAACTTGATTTTTCACTGATCTTGCTGAGTTGAAATGGCAATTGTGCTAATCTTTTCATGATCTGTTCAGACTTTCGATTGTCACTCCGACTGGTCGATCAGTGACCTTCTTCCCCCTCTCCACGCCATCGGCGAGTCTCACCCTCGCCGCAAGCAATCAACGACCCAATACACGCTTATCATTCCTCCCCACTTTCCTACATCACTTGCGCCAGCTTCCTGCTTTGTGGCACAGTCAATGGAGGTAGCTGAGAGCAGAGAACAAGCCTCCGTTGGTCATCCAACGGGGGCAGAATCCACAATTTCCAATGGTGACCGGAACCCTTTTCTCGATGACCCGCTCATGGATGACGATGGGCGGTCAAGCAGCTTGAGTGAGATTGACGACGTCTCGGACAACGAGCCGTCCGACTTCGAAGATCCCATTAAATCGGACAGGCCAATGGAGAATGATTCGGAGGCCGAAACCGAGCGAATCGAAGATTCTCCGCACAACGTTCGGAAAAGAGACATCGTGTTGAGTGCAGGCAGTGCTGGTCCAAGTCCGAGCAAGCTTCACCAATCTACAACGTTGGATGATGTCGACGACGACACACTCATGGCAGATGATTCACCAAGCAAACGCCGACCCTCGAAGAACAACGGATTGACCGACGACATCCCACACCTTGGCGATTCCGAGCTTCCAGATAGCATTGGAAAGAAACGAAAACGCGTTGAGATCGGCGACGAAATCACTACCGAACTGGGAGACGAAGAGGAGCCCATCAAAAAGCGGCGGAGCTCGATCAAGAGTGATCTCAGCGACCCCATTGACGACGATACCCCACTGTCGCCGGAGCCGCTCGATGACACATTGGCGATCAACGACGATGATACCCCGGCGGATGATGCGCCGGAGCTGGATCCCCCAGTCGCCCCGCCACTCAAGGGCAAAAAGAGCAAAAAGGGTGAGTGGATGTCAACAATGGCCCATGATACCGATGATCAACCAGATGTCGGGGTCGGGGTCGAGGCCACGATAGAAGACATTGCTAATGAGATTTCTATAGACGATGACCCAGCGGAACGGGACGAGCATGATGATGCCGAGACGGTTGTTCGAGCTGAAGAAGAGTGTAAGTATTGTCTTATGGAGCCTCCTGAACATCGCAGGTCTCTAACAATTTGTGCAGCCGTGAAGAAGATGTCTGCTATGGATTCGCTGGCGACTTTGGAGAAAGAGTTTGCGGCTCTGCGTGACAAGTGAGTGGTATCGTCAGACTTGCGACATTCCTTGCTAACAATCGCAGGATTTATGATGAGCGGATCTCAAAGCTCAACCGTGAGATGGAGATGCTTACTGGGCCGAATCCAACACACCCCGAGTACCTGCGGCAGATTGAATGTGTGCAACGTCACCGAGACGCCAAGATCAAATACGAGGAAAACTTGTATCGATACCGCATGAAGTCTCTAATGAACAAAGCTCTCGCAGAGCGCTCGCAGGCACACAGCACGTATTTCCAGCGTGTTCGAGATGTGCGTGAGCGGCATTCGTCTGCGATCAGCAAGCAGTTCTATGCAATTCAGCATGATCGATTCAAGACAGACGAACTCAGCCCACACCACATCATTGCCTTCCCAACTCGTCGCTCCCAGCAGATTGCACATCAGGCTGCATACAATCATGAAGTTTCAATCATGGCCGGTGTTGCCAAATACGTTGGCTTCCCCGCTGCACCTTCTCTCCTTGGTGCACGTCCAAGTGAACTTGATGATGATCTTGAAAAGATGGGCGTAAGTTACCCTCACCCTACTGCATCCGCCTACATACTGACAATCAACCAGATTGCCGTCGAGTCGCGTGCCTCGGCCCCTCGGCATTCATCGGCGATGCCTCCCCGGCCTGTCGTGTCGACCATGTCTTCCAACCCCTTCCGTAGCGCTGCGGAGGAAGCTTTCCTAGAACAAACTCCGTGGGCAAATCCACAGCATCCTATTCACCAACAACAGCAACACAGCCATCAACAGCAACATTCTCACCAGCACCGGCCGCCAGCTCGTCCGTTTGAGCAGCCCCAGCCATCATCTTATACCACCCCGGCAGCTCAGAAGCGGGTAGTTGATGTGAATGCGCCAAATGGATCCGCTTCAACGATCCCCGAGAACGCATCTGCCGCCAACTCATCGGCAAACAACACTCCGTATGGCCTGGAGCAAGATCCCAGGCACCAGGCACAAGGACCTTTCCGCAATCCAGATTATGACGGCGATCATCGCAAATCCGGATTCCGATCCTTAAGTTCATCGCCTTTGGATGTGCGGAAATCACAACCGCATCTCACTCATACCCTCGACCACCGCCCTCCCACTACCGATGTCCCCTCTCACCCCCACCTCTTCTCTCCGCCTCCCGCACGACAAGGCTTGTTCCGGCCCTCATCGGCTCTCCAACGGGAGCCTTCGCCATCACTTTCCTCTAAACCGGTGGACGCGGTACATTATCGCCCCCATCAGTCGGGCATATCGACAGGATCTGGCTCAAATCACATGTCAACGCGATAGTCCGATGTTTTTGTTTTTCTTCTCCAACGTGACCTCCCCTGTCTACTCGCAGCCCCCTTAATACCCAGGGAAATTCCCCTTCATGCATCATGTGCCTTTTCTTCTTCTGTGATAATCCCCGCTTTGTACCATTCTCCCATCCTCTTGCCACAACATCAAATGTATTTTGACTGTTATGTTCACCAGCTCTAGGAGAAACGGTAGTATGTGTCTGTGTTTGTTGCATGAATCAAATACCGGTCTGGGACCATGTCTTTCTGTTTCAGTGGCGTTCAGACCTGGGATATCCCTGTTTACATTACTTTAAACTTTTGATTCGACGACTCGAGTTAATGGAAAGGAATCTACTTCAAAATGACATTCAATATGGTGTAAGTCCTAGTAATTGGGTTTGATTTTCAAATTTGTTCCAAGGCTTTTGGTCACTGGCCTCGGGGTGGAGCAATATTCATGGGTATCCAAGTCTACCTTACCGAGTAGTTAAATACTATGTATTCCTTACCTCCAAATCCATATACGATGCATCCTGTCTAATGACTTTGACCACTATTTGTCTCCAGTGCTTCCAAGGTTCAATTAACCTTGAAACCCGCACACGTAAAGACCGAGGCACCAACCCTGTAAGTAGCACCCAGTGGGGGGTGGAACTCGATGGTAATGTACATAGCATTCTCTGAAACATGCGGGTCAATTCAGCAGCCGATAGCCCAATACAAATTATTGGAACCATCAGTGAATGCTCAATGAGGGTGAAAGATATCCAAGGACTTCGGGGTGGGAGTTTGGTACGCGGGCACCAAAGTACTGCGGCAAACCGAGGATAGTCGAATAAACTGGCACTCTTAAGGAATCACCCTTTCCAACCTTGATAGATTTTGGAAACACGAGATAGGTGAGTTTCTTACTGATTGACGCAGTACTGGCGGAAAGCAACTTCTTCCTATCAGGCACATTCAATGGTAGTTATTGCTATGATTTCTCTACACTTTGACACGTCTCAAGATTGTCACATTGGTCAAAGTCGTGCTTTTTAACAGGCGATGATTCTTTCCGTGGCTATTGGTAAACTAAATACAGGTTGGAAGTGTAGACCAGGTGTTCTCATGTGTGTAGAACAAGCCACAGTGTTCCAAGGTTCAAGGTCAGATCTAACTGCCGTGTTCGATCCATGGATGTCTTTTTATGAAATCAATGATAAACCAATAGCTAAAAAGAGCAGAGGCTTCACTCGATCTAGTTTAATGAACGGCTTCTCGTTTAGCTTTGAAACTTAGAAACTAGTAAATCCGTGGATATTCATTAGATCGCTGCAGAATGGAATCTTGGGTGACAAGTGCCGAGTAATGAACGGTCCAGAGTCCGATCTGCACCATAGTTTCCAAGATTATCGTCCTTGCATAGCACATGTACACGATACAGTACTTATGCTGGCCCCCTCACCGGGACACAGCTGGCTGCAGGTGGAGAGACATGTACCAGTACCCAACTGCCAGCATCTTGGGGTCCTGTTGAGGGCCCGGAAGGCCATTTGTGTGGATTTCAATGCTCATTTAGTACAGTCACATTTCTCTGTGTGTTTACCTTGCATTGTCATCGGTGAGTCCAAGTCCCCTCTGCCGTCCCCGGTCTGCGTACAAGCCCCCCCTGGCCTGACCCGGTTCTCGAAACCCACCAGAAAATTACCCGGAATGGCAGGTGGTTGAATCTTCAGCCGCTGTTAAGCAGTGACAGTGACACGGGTCAAAATGATACTCAACTACTCCGTATACAAATGAGTAATACTTATGCAAGCATATCGGATCGCCTATTCAGGCAGGTCGGAACCATGCTAGACGAACAGTCCAACCTAAGATTTGCAGGTGTGATATTCCCAGTGCTCGTGACGAGTCGCTTCATTAACTTTAACGCACGATGCAGGTACTTTAGGGCCCAAAATGGTTGATCTGCTAGCTTGGCGAAATGCTACCGAGTACGACGGATACGCAAACATTTTGAATTCTCCAGATGATGTGCTGACTTCTCCGCGGTGTAACCTCATCTAAACGAAATCTCGGTTTTTTCTCCAAGGTTTTTCCATGTTACTCAAAGGCAGATACAAGTAGAAAGCCACATGTGATTAGGTTCGAGGTGGGATCTTGTTTCGGTGACTCAAGGTGGTTGTTTTTCTCCAGGGCTACAACACTTGCTTTCTAAATTCTCATCAATTGTTTCAATTCTTATATAGGGAACCAGGTTCCGTTCCTGTGGGATGCACATTCGAGTATTGATTATACGTGGTTTCTCTGAGATTTTCACCGGCTGGTGGATCCAGAGTCTGGCCCATGGTCATCATACAACAACTGCGACCTGCCTATCTTGATATAAGGGGGCAAAAGTGGGACAGGGTTGTCAGGGACGCACAATTGTGTGGCGGAGTTCGGACACCATCCAGGGCTCTGGAAGATCGATCATTCCAGACTGATGGACCCTGTGTCTCATTCCACTCAATTCTCCTATGCCGTCCACGGGTCTTGGTGACTCAATGTAGGCATACGCATTCAAACTCTTCGTGGGTTGAAGATGGCATATTCTTTTGGCGCTTTATCGACCAAGGAATATCGTCATTAAAAAGAAAAAAAAAGGAAATGTGTATTGGATTATATAGATATAATGCTCGCTTTGTTTAACGCTTATTTCAGAGATGCAACACCTTCCCACACCAGTATATGTCCAATCGAACCGATCACAAAAGCCAATGGCTATTTCTCAGAGGGGTATCACGCCATCATATGTCCTCCAAATCACCGATTCATATCCAAAGAAAAAGAAGAAAGAAAGAAAAAAGAAAAATACTAGTAACAGATCAAGAGAAGATGCCCAGTGGCAGAGTCATGGCCACCTCGAAGTTGGGCACGTTGACCACCTCGGCAATCTGCAGGTCTCCAGCAACACTGGAAAGGATGTATGCCTCACTGCGAGTAAGACCCTTCGTCTGCACAAGCCATTCGATCAAGTTCCGAGTAGCACTCCGCGTAGCCTCGTACAAGTCGGGAGCAACACCCAGAGCACCGTAGGTACCCAGGTCAGGCAAGGGGTTGGGAATCTGGGCGCGGGGCGGAGTCTGGAACTGAGGAGCTGTCATCCACGGCTGGTTCTTGACGAGTTCGAAGCGGAGGGTGGCCCGGATCGGGGTTTCGATGGCGGTACCGCAGACCTCGCCGTGGCCCTGGGCAGCGTGGCCGTCGCCACAGCTGAACAGTGCACCGGCGGTCTGGACGGGGAGGTAGACGATGGAGCCGACGCTCAGTTCGCGGCAGTCCATGTTACCACCTGCGTTGGTGGGCGGGACGGTCGAGAGCTCTTCGTCGCTGGCTGGGGCGAGACCCATGCATCCCAGGAAGGGGCGGAGGGGGATACGCATGTTCTTGAACTGAGCGAAGCCTGCTTCACGGTTCAGTTCCCAGATCTTGAGCTCGGGCTCTGGGAATTCGTCTGCCAGCAGACCAAAGCCCGGGATGATGGCGGACCAGCCCCAGTCGGCGACCTCGAGGTCGAGGACCTCGACTTTGAGGACATCACCTGGCTGGGCATCGTTCATGTAAATCGGGCCGAAGACAGGGTTGGCGAGGTTGAGGTCCAGGGCCTTGATGGCGGCGGCGTTGGATGAGGTGTCGAGTTGGCCATTGCTACTGTCGATGGCGTCGAATGAGACCGTCTCGCCGGACGAGACTGTGAACTTGGGGGTGTTGCGTCGCGCCCACTTCTGGTGGCTACATTCTCTTCCCACGTGAAAATTGCTCCATCCTTTTGAGGCCATGTTGGTTGATTGAGTTGGAGGTCGAGTTTCTGTGAGACTCATTGGAGATGGGAAATCGAGAGCTGAAGGCAGCAAATAAATAAATCCGTAAAAAAAGAGAGAGAGAGAATCAAATGCTATTTCAAGAGGAAAAATCAAGTCTGTGGAAGGTTGGGATGACACAGGGGATTTTTTGTATTGAATCCGATCCTCTTCAGGGTTGACCGTTCTGGAAGGTGGCTAGGGCCGGATCTTATGCTTCTTTTCTTTTTTTTTTGCTCCACTCCGAAACCACAGTCGCCTGCCTAATGGAGACTGACAGATTTCCAGCATATTGGACCATTAGAAGAGCCCCCCTGGGAGCCTCTGGGGGTTGGAGTAAGGCGATTGGCATTGGAGCATCTGGTTGGTTGAGAGAGCGATGATTATCCGCCTGCTCGATTGGTATTTTTCCAGATATCTTCTTAGGCGGGGCTTTTTACGGAAAAGCCGACAGTTTCACACTCTGACGTACTTCCAAGGTTGTACTAGAAGAATTATAACCTTTGGAACTATATCTCAAAGAAGCTAATGTTTTATATGCAAATGGACAGAGTTAGATCTATAGATATACTCCGTTTAAATCTATCATTTCGGCATAACCCCGGGGCCTTGGAATATGATTACGTGAGCATCCAGCATTACCTAGGTACCTAGTTAGGTACTGAGAGGAAAAGCCGACTCTCCAAAACCAAAGTTCACCAAAGTTCACGTGCTCAGTGAAGAAAGGACATCGATTGGCAACCAAAAGTTGAACAGAATCCGGGAAGGGAATGGCAAAAGCCACTATACGAAGATTCGTAACCAACACCACCTTCCCGATCGGGCAAGGGGCGAACCGTTGGGTGGTTGTGAGTGGCACAGCTGCATAACATTTTCGGTGGAGCTACTCTACTTTTAGTACACTGTGCTGTACTTTACTCCGTAGTCCCTTAGTCCCTTCCCGAGCACTAGAACACTACACTATGTATACTTGACTTTTGACCTTTTTAACTCTTGACCCCCTTTTTTTTATAGTATATCTTCCAAATCACATCATGATTCCCGTCCGTCGATCATCGCAACAATACAAGAGGCATTATCACTCTGAGGTCGACTCGCACTATTGGTGGCAATCTCCTGTGCAATCTCACTGGCTGGCTTCCCCCGCATCGACAATTTCATCACGTGCTTGACCAGGTTGGCATCATCCACTCGATCGGTAACTCCGTCGGATACCACCAAAAGTAAGTATCGGCGGTCCGTGTGGAGTGTCCGCCGGGAAGTATACGGATCATTGGATAGGAAGTTCCCCCGTGATTCCGACTGCACCGACTGCTCCGCCAACGTGTTCACGGGGTTTTTGTACTGCAGGTCGCCCACCGCTCGAGACATATTCAACGATCCTGTCCGTGGGTTAGCGTCGGCCTTGGGAGTGCCCATGGTTTGCCCAGGTGCTTCTTGGCTCTCGGCTCATACCTAGACGGTGAGTGCCACTGCGATTGATCACTTCTCCACCCGCTTCCTCTATGCGCGCCTTTTCGCTGGGCACCTCGGGCTTGTGAGCCTCTGTGAGACGTCTCTAGGGGGCTTGGAATCAGCCATCGAACCCTTCTCATTGGAAGGAGTGATGCGTACAACGTGATACGGGTGCTCGGTTTTCGGGTCGCGCTCAGCCAGAATGACATGCGAGTCGCCCAGATTGGAGGCCACCAGCTCCCCCTGAGTCAGATTGATGCAACATACTGCCACCGTTGATCCCGATATCGCTGGTTCGGCTGTTTCATTCTTGAACCGATCCAGGAGCATCTGGTCTTCCTCTGCCAGCGCCGCTTTGATGGCCCCTGCCCAATCTTCTCGTTCGAACTCGGGACGATGTGCGATGATGTGGTGCAGAGTCTGGTGAACATGATCAGAGACCAGTTCTGAGCCACTGAGTGTATGCGTCAGTCTGGTTCATCAATCTCTTGATTTCCTTTCTTACTGTCCGTCATAAATCGCAAAAAATGCGATCTTTTCCTTCGTCTTGGAAGGAAATTGCTCTGGGGCGATCACTGTACATCGATCTTCTTGATATTGTCTTCCTCCTTGGGCCTAGTTCCCGGGTCTTGATCAGTATCACAACTATGCATGACCCGACCCTGACACTCACCTGGCCAGCCCCGGCGCCAAAAAGGGTTGCGGCATCAGTGGGAGACACGACTCTGTCCTTGAAGAATTTGTCCCTCAGAGCTCTGTGGGCCAGCACCATACTGCTTCAATTCACAACAGATATGTACAGCCAACGCACAGAGACGTTCAACTGTACCATTTGGTCAAAGTGTTTGAAAACACCTGCACTGCCGCTGGATCATGATGGTAATTTGACATCATCAACAGCTTCTCACTAACTGATGTTCCACCTAGCTCCAGCTTTTGATTGGCTGTTGCTTGCTTTCCCCGGAGCTGATTCCTTCACCAGACATCTTAGTGGTAGTATCCGAACCATTTTGTTTTCAGTGGCTGTAGTCATTTGCCTGATTCTCAAACAGCAGCGTTTTCGATATTCGATACATACAGCCCCACGACATACTTTCCATTACAAGCATACTGGTTCAAATAAAATGTCAATTCAAGGATATACTCGTACAGAGTACTCCGTACGGAGTACATGTATTGGATCGTTCCCCTGAACATTTATAGATCGCGCTATCAATTAGCGCACGGGCCATCCCGCCTCTGCGAATCTGCAAGATCATAATTCTAATCGTGACCTTCTTCCCTGACTTGTACCTTCACTTACTGCTTATTGTTCGTTATTACTCGGAATGGGTTGGGTAGGAGCAGGTATAGCGATCGCAACGACGGTTTATTTCTTCTACCGATACCCTCCCCGAAGCTGGGCCGAGCCGCGTTCTTTCGCCCCTCCGGAGCCCAAGCCCGAGACGCCCCTCGCCGCTACGTCGGATACACCTGTACAGGAGCATAGTCAAAGGACCCCGAGCCCACCAGTAACCTCAGAGGAGGACAGCCAAAGTACGCCCAAGGCGTCAGCTTCAAGCGCCCCGCGCCCCGTCCTTGCGGTTCCTGAGTTCAGCCTTGAGGACGAAAGCGGGACATCACAACCCGCCACGATGCCCTCCATACCACAGCCGACAATTGACACAAAGGCCCAGTCGGTACTGAAGGACAGCAGCAATGGAGTGCCCAAGCCTTCATCACAGGCACCATCCTCCATGGCCCCTCCACCGCCAAAGCAATCAGTTCCACCTCGTCCAGCGACCACCAGCTCCTCAAGCCTAATGCCCCCTCCCTCGATCCCCCGACCGACACCGCAACCAAACCGAGACCCTAGACTACAACCACCGCGCCTCGGTGGATCCTCTCTCCTCCCACCCCCATCCGCTGCCGCCTCCCAACGTGGTCCACCGATGTCCGGCACTCGCCAAGCCAACAGTACCCTTGCCCCGACACCAGTCACCCTCAAGAAGGCCAGCAAGAGAGTGGTCCTGGAGCCAGGATATTCGCCACTTGACTGGGCAGCGTTGGCTTCAAACCCCAACAACCAACTCCGTGGCAAGGGTCTTCCCCGGGTCTATTGCGGGTTACCCCGTCAATGCTGCGAGAACAGCACGGTCGCAAGGGCCGGGATGCTTGGACTTCCTACAATGGCAAGGTTTACAACATCTCGCCTTACGCCCCCTATCACCCCGGTGGAAAGGGCGAGCTCCTCCGAGGCGCAGGCAAAGACTCCGGGCAGTTGTTCATGGAGATCCACCCGTGGGTGAACTGGGATGGGATCCTTGGAGAGTGTCTTATCGGGATTTTGGTCTCGGAGAATGACATACAGGCTAAGAATGCCTTGGACGACATGGACTAACCTTGACGCATGACATTTCACCCAAGGTCCCCTGTAAATGCCTTTTCTGTTTGCATATTGTGTACACTTACTGTATATATACGAGATACCCTCCTCCTTTACAAGGAGTAGATAGCTGCATAATCGAAACGTGACCTCAAACAATCGTACGCGAAACTGAATTTGATAACGTTTTGTTTACTTCTTCAGAGCTCATCCTTCACTCCCTCAATAGCAACCAACTCAGTCTCGAAGACCAGAGTCGCGCCACCGGGAATAGGTCCAACACCACGGCTACCGTATCCGAACTCAGGGGGAATAGTCAGAGTGCGCTTCTCGCCAATGCACATGTCCAACAAGCCTTGGTCCCATCTGCCGATCGCATTAGCTTCAATTGCGCAATTTGTCTGTGTCGCAGCTTCCAAACTTACCCCTTAATGACCCGACCAGTTCCAAGCTTGAAAGTCAGGGGTGCATGGCGCTTGTAGCTGGAGTCGAACTCGGAGCCGTCGGACTGCAAGGTACCGCGGTAGTGCATGGAGACTCCGTCGCCCTTGACGGTCTTGCGGTCGCACTCGACGGACTTGGTGACTTCGATGCCGAGGTCGGCGGCGGCGGCGAGGGAGCCGAGGGTGGCTACGAGGATGGAGGTGAGACGCATTGTGGTATGGATGGGGTGTTGTTGAGAAGTGGACAGATGGAGCGGAGATTCTAAGATTCCCCCCGACTTTAACGTTGGTCTGTGCTTTTAACGTCTACTCCGTACCTGCTGCTGGACTACTACTTGATTCACTACGTAATTGCTTCTTTTCGAAGAAGCATTATTCATTATCATTAAGTGGGTTCCTTAATGGATACCCAAGGAAGCAATTAAAGCTCAATTCACCCATCCGCCCTCAAGTTATCATGAATATCCGATGTCGGGAATCAGGGTTATCCAAAGCCCCGAAATCCGTTTCACGAGGCCTCGGTCTTCGCCCCGTCAATGCCAGATCCAATTCCTTGATCGGCAAAAGCCTGCAAATCATCCTCACCCATAGTACCGTCCCAACCCTTAGAGACCAGGTAAGCACGGAAATTCTCATCCCGATGTCTCAAATCCTCGCCCGACAGATCTGGCACGAACACCCACGTCACAAGGATCCCAACCACACCGCAAATAGCGGCGATGATGAAGGTCCACCTGTTACCCAGGTTGTTCTTAATGGGTTGGAACGCCTGTGTACCAATGGCAGCGCCAGCCTTCCCAACCGCCGCCGAAAGACCGTAGCAAGTCCCGCGCACACCGGTAGCATACGACTCTGAAGAAAGCAGTCCGAGCATGTTCCCAGGCCCAAAATTACCGGAGCTCTGCATCAGCCCGTAGAATACAATGAAAAGTGGGACTATCTTCGTGATCTGCTCGTATGCACAGCCGATTATCAGCCCGAAGATGAGATACCCGCTGAATCCAATCATCATGATAGGCTTGCGGCCAACCCGGTCACAGAGTATGGCCCCGAGAAAGACTCCTGGAAGTGCGATGGCTCCTAGTAGGAGTTGCCATTCGCCTGTTGATCGGATCGTACCGTTGTGCACAACAGAGGAGATGATGGTTCCTGAGAAAACACCGTTGGGGAAGGTCACGAAGTCTAAGCTAGTCAGCGTGTTCACCTTTGAATGGGGGCCTACATACCATATAGGAACCATGCTCCACATGTACCTATCAGCGATCGCCAGTAGTACCGTAGTACAAGCATGTAAGGTACACGTCGTTTGATAGCTCCGCGCCGGTAAAGCACCGAATTCAGCATGCGGATCCGGAAGTAAAACACCGTCAGCGGCCAGATGCATCCTATCCCAAAGCAAACACGCCACACGGTGCTGTAGTGGGATTGATGGCACGCCATAAGCACGATCAGGAAGATCGATACTGCGAAGGGTCCACCGAATGAGAGAGGGAAGTTAGTCACCATGATGAATGCCGGGCCGCGGTGCTTGGGAACTAGATCATTGGCAGCTTCTGAAGCAGAAGTCGAAGAGGCAGGATACTCGCCGCCGGCACCTGGCGGTAAGAATTAGCATGCTTCTCTACTTCTATTGACAGATGCCTTACCGAATCCGACAACACCACGCGCGACCGTCATCATCCAGAACATGCCATTGATCGTGACGCCATGAGAGGCTGTCGCGAGGATTCCTCCGATGACAATCATGAGGGTCGTAAATACGATGGCGGTCTTACGACCCAGGTAATCGCATGTCAATCTGGTATCGTTAGCACGTAGCCCTAACTCGGTTCTGAATGAGCGCTTACCCAATGACCACCTGCCCAATGACCTCGCCTACGAGCAGAGCGTTGGAAACGCGTGTGCTCACGGTCGTGGTGTACTCCTTGGGGTATTCCTTCTTGAGGAGGACATTGGTCATGGTCCTATATGTAGACTTTACGTTAGCCAAAGGACAAGAGAGCGACACAAGTCACCTGACATTAAATTGTTTTGATATCCATCGCTGATCAGAGCAAAACCACTGGCGAACTATTGGTGTTTTGTGGTCAGCCAAGGTACTCGAAGGTGAAAGGGTGGGTGCGCTCACGATAGTGAACAGGTCCGAGAGACTCTGTCGTTTCTTTGACGCGGAAGCAGCATCAAGGTCGACTTGGCTAACATTAGTGACACCAATATTTTTGGATGATTCACACTGAGGCAGTGCGGTCAAATCGCGAGAGGAAGCCATGACCAGCTTTTTCCCGAAGGCAAGGGTGATGGGGGAAAGCAAGAGAGGGGAAGGGTGTGACCGCTGTTTTGATTTCAGCGTGTTGTACGGGAGTACAGTCACAGGGCTGAAGCGGGGAATCCCTGCCAGAAAGAAGTGGTTAAGTAGAAAATGGCTAAGCGTCAACTAAGAATTAAGCTAATGGGCTTTCGAGCTTAACCATGGGTGGCTGCAGATATCTGCCTGGTATACTTGGTGCGCTTGACACGTGGGTAGAACGAAAGGTTCACACTGCTACTGTTTTAGAGATGAGCCATGGTTGCAAGGTAAATACTCATGGTAATATGTCCATTGATATCGAATTCCGCTAAACAAAACGCCGACATGTGATTGAAGTGGTCTCTCCGATCCGGGTATCACAGATGCAGAAAAAATGTGATCAATATGTAACAGAAGAATTTTTGGATGAAAAAGGCAGAGTCATAATGCGTTAAGGTGCTTCCTCCCACGGGTTGCTTGGTTTGCACACCCTTAGGCCATTAGGCCCACTTACCGAGCACCGCCATGAGGGCAGCACCGGCACAGAGAAGGAAAAATGCGATCAGAACGTCACGGATGGGCGCCTGGCGCATGGACTGGCTGAACATGAACTCGTGCGCCATAAGCTCGACGAGGGCAGTGTAGATGAGGATGCCGGCAGAGATTGAGTCGAAGACACCGTTGACGATCAAGGTGGTGCGTCCCTCAGGCGGGTAGCTGTTGCGAACACCCAGACCGATAGCGATGGCAATCGGAGTCGAGATTCCAAAAGCGAAGCCAAGGAAGTATGGTGTGTTTCTCTTGGATTTCGGCCAAGGAACGGTAGCAAGACGGGAGCCTAGACCCAGACCCTCAAAAGTTTGGTGGAAGACGAGAACAATATAGAGAGTGGTGAATTCGGCTCCCGACACGGCAAGAGTGAGACCGATGAACACGGAGTGGAAGATTATACCAAATTCCAGGATGAAGATGGAGGTCAGTTGGGCAGTATAGTCCTCAATAGCTTCTTTGTCGTTTTCGGTGTCATCGTTATCGTGGTGTTCACGCGAGTGGCCAAGGTGATCTTCGCCCGGCATTAGATGCTTTGGTTCATTGGTCTCGTTGCCAACGGATGAATGATCATCCAAAGGAGTGTGGGTGTGACCCTCCTCGTCGTGGACATGGCCTTGGCCGAAGCTAGAGAAGCGCATAACCATCAATTCCACGAAGAACAAGACCACAATGGTCATCAGAATGATGCCCTCGACCCAACTGTATTCGGTGATGGGGCCGGTCAGGCATTCATTGGTCAGAGCCTCTTCGGCCGGAGCCAACAGGTGAATAAAGGCGGTAGCGATAATCACGCCAGATCCGAAGTACTTGGCGACAAAGAAGGCCCACTTGGGGAAACCACCACCCTTGCTGAACCGCCGCGCAAAGACCGGGAAAAGAGCGCCGAACATGGAGCCGACCATGATCACAAAGATGGAGGAGATACGCAGGCCCATACGGCCGTCGAACTCATTACCAGAGTCACATGGGTCGGCACGCTTGAAGAGGACAGATGAGGCGTCCATGGTGTTCATGGTGCTCATGGCGTTTATTTAAAGTGGCACAAGAGGTATAAAAGAAGCGGAGAGGTGGGATGGAAAGAAATTGCGTGGGGAATAGTGGAAAATTCGGAGGAAAAGATAGATCAAAAGATAGATCATGCAAGTCCACCAATTAGGATGATTGAAGAGATCGCAAGAATGATTGTGGTCTCAAACTGTCAAACGGGCCTGGTGTGCAAGGCTGGTTTGACCGCAATCCGCAAGGTCCTCGATGTTAGGCGAGGTGCGTTAGTCGGGATGAACGCGCAGAAAATTACCAGGAGGCCCTGACAATGTTCGGACTCTGTGATGCTTCTGCAACACGATTGGACCAAAGTGTCGTAAAAAGAGGAAAAGCTCTCGCTTTGGGTCGCGCGCGTACAACGGACGAGAGTAGTACCGTTGATCGTACAGAGCGCAAGCCTTCCAGATGGATGTTCAGACTTTCCAGAATGAACCAAAGAAGCCTTCAGAATCTTCCGGGATAAGAATATAGATTCCGATCTGGATATAAAGAATGTTCAAAGACGCTCAAAATCAAAATCAAAAATTTGAGACGGCGAATTTGGCGGGGAGGGGACCTTGGGGGCAGTCGAAGACGTCAACTAGTACTGGGTACCTCCCAACCAATACAATTTGTGGTGTGGCTGGGAGTACCCGGTACTTTTTCGGTTGGCGTGTGAGGACCTTGTGGACGGGTCGCCCGTTCCCATTGCGGCCATAAAGTCACGTGTAGAGATATCATCTTTGCAGAGTGTTTGTTGGTCTCTGTGAATGTCGCCCTGTGTCTGTTTCCATGTTGTCGTCAGTGATGAACAAGGGAAAGACCACATTGCTGAAGGTAGGGCTGAGGGGAAGACCTTCAACAAAGCAAAGCATGCCCCTGGGGTCCTGCGTCTCGATCACCAATCAGACGATCGGCGGCAAAAAAAGGCTTGGCGATTTGTTGAGGTCATCGGAAGCTTGGCCAGACAAGCTTACACCTATTTGAACACCATGGCTCCTATTCGACGATACCTTCGCATCAGCAAATACTCGGTACTAGAGTGCCGTATCTACCTGGATGCTCCCTCTGATTCACGATGGCTCTTGAATCCTCGCGATCCAGTTCTTCCCCGCGTCATCGCGGCCATCCAACCCTTGGTTCTGCCCAAATTGCGTGAAGAAAACCAGCGACTCTTCTCTCGCAAAAAGAGTAAACCAGTGAAGGATGTTATTGCCGAAGGTTAATATCATATGCTACCCGGTTACATGTATAGCAAGCTGATGCGTTGTCCAGACGACTTCGAAGTAGCCATTTTCCTCCGCGAATCTCGCACCCGCCATTCCATCCTTACGCGAAACAAGACATTCCACGGGCATGGGACGCAGGATAAAAATCCGGACTCGGTGTCCGGGCCAGGAGATGATACAGAGAATCCGACAGGCTCTACCAACGATGAAATCATGATTGAGAGTGATAGTGAGCCGGAAGGATTACACGACATCCCCGAATCTACCGGCGATGAAGCACCAGCCAGCGCACGGCCGAAGAGGAAGTCTAAACTCAAGGCCGGCGGAGTTCAGCTTGAGGAGGACACGGGCACTGATGAGAAGAAGCTTCGATTCAGCACCCACTACGAAAGTTTCAATATCTGTGGATGGGTTTTGTGTCTCTTGGTCACGCGCAAAGGGGGTAAAGCCAAGTCAAGTGCTGCAACAGCTGAAACTCCCCGGCAACCTTTGATGGAGGAATGGATATCAACTCAAGCCCAGGCATCCGTAGATGATTAAGGTCCCTTTGCGCAGCTCACCATGCCAGTGACAGGTGACAGCGGGCCCCCGGTGAAGTTCCGTGGTGTGGCTGACAAGGATCTTATCGGTGGTCAAGCTTTCTCAAACTCGACTGGAGGACAGCCGTGGTCTGATCAGGGCATTCTGTAACACATCTCGACACCCGGTGGTGTTATGTAGTGTTTCAACCCCATGCAAAGGCTATGCTTGTGTTTCGTTCGTTGGTGTCGCAGATGCACTACCCAGAGACCATGTTGCATCTCCTCACCTCGTTCAACTCGGACCCCTCATGTCCCGCGTGACATGAGGGGGGAACCTAGTCTCCAGGGATGTTTCTGAGGGGGGTCGCAGCATCTTCCCACTAACGGGCCGCTACAGGTCTGGCACTGGATGCAATGCTGTGGTCAGCTCGTCGGTTACGCAAGTGGCGGGCTGTCATACTCCGCCCCAGATGACCTCTTCAGGGACGGTGACAGGTTGTCAGAGCGGCTGAGACGGAAATCACAGCCACAGGACCCCGGGCGCCTGCGTTAGCTCGATTGTTTGCATATCAAGACATGCCATAATCATCGACTACGTAAGAATTCGGTTTGCGTGTCTCGGTCGCATTCACGACGTCCTGCGACATCGCACCATCCTAGCTTAATGTCATAACTGACACATTTGGATTTTCTCGGAGACATTGCGATTCCACCCAAGCTGAACAGGCCCCATGTGGTTTGGTCTCCCAACCTCGGCCCGCAACTTCCAGAAGGCAAACTAGAAGATTGACAAGTGGAGCCCAACTTGAAACAGCCGGTCTCTCCTCGTCCCGTGACAGTCGATAATTTCTCAATGGAGCCTGTTCTCAATCCCAACAAGCTGGGTTTGGGAGAGGAACTGTGGGAAGACAACCCGCTGATCATCTTCACCTTCCACCTTTTGCCCACCTTACGGAGCGTGTGCACTCCGTACTCCGTACACCAGCTGCATGTTTGAGATCAGACTCAAAATGTGATGTCATACTGGATATCATTCCTTGGCCGGGCACACCTGTGCTAAGCGAGCAACTCAAAAAAAAAGCCGATTCGCAGCCAATCCCGATCTGTTGAGAAATAGGGCATTCAAAATCTCCGACATTTTTCACTCCACGGCTTCAACATAGGTTTCCAACGGTGCGGAACGGTGAGATGGAGCGCATCCAAGTGGGGAAGAGCTCTGCTACTTTACCCAAAAGGGCGACTTTATTGAACTTTGCGGTCTGCTAGTCGGTGGTAGAGTTTTCTTGCCATGTGTGCCCCCGTTCCTCCTCGTTTTTTCGCCACTTCTTCCGTTTCCCACTTTTTTATTTTCTTTCCCCTTTCTCGGTTCCCCCGACCTTAGTTCAGGTACACCCGTGTGGTCGCATTTGCCACCGACCCCACACTTGCATACACTTTCTCGCATCGCTGGAACACGGTAAGCCGGGAAGTCAATTTAGGCAGTTTAGTTACTTTAGCTCTTCTAGTCAATTTGGGACGTTTGTTCCCCGGGACCTTATCATCGCATTAGTAATTGGTCTTACCTGCTTCTTCCAGTGTCCCGCTTTGCATATCCCGGTACTGGGTACGGGGTATACATGCCGGAGTGTACGAGCCCTGGAGTACGGAGTACGAAGTACTCGGGTTGCCACATAGGGAACCTTGGAAAGTATACAGAGTACCTGGTGACTACTTTACTTTTACTAATGTGTAAAAGGAATGGACTATCTTAGTTTATCTTGCCTGATTGCAGCCGAGCGCAGATTTTTTTTCAATGTAACAAACCATTGCATTATGTATATTGCTAGATAATATCCGGGGAAGGACAAAACCATCCGCGCCGATGCTATTCTTCATGCAGATTGTACGGTAGTAAAGAGGGTTCACATGGGCAGACCACTTCCATCGAGTAACCGCTACCCACAAGCTTAGAAGCACGCAATTCACGCCACATCCACTCCGTACAAAATGTACTCCTAAGTACAGTAGAAGTACGTGTACACAGGTGCGGGTACAGGTCCAGCACGGAGTACACTCGGGCGAGTAGATCTGTGATTTCAGTGATGTGCAGCCACTGGGGATACAGTGATGAAAATCGAATCATCCCCCTTCTACTCAAATCAAATCATAGCCAATTATCATAGAGGGGCAGGTTGCATACGGGATCCATCAAGGATATTTTGTCTTGCATGCTTTCATAGTGATGTGCAATGCACAGTCCTCTGCAGGCGACCCTAAGCCAGGGACCCGTCAGCCCCAGTAATAGCGTTCATCGGCTGTGCTCAAATTTTGGACTTGCAGGCCTGAGCGAAGCGGGAAGCATGCACCAGCGAGGACAGAGTACCACCATACTTGTAGGTACTTGGTTGTACATGCTACTACTCCGTACTCCGTACTTAGAGAGAACCAAAATAAGCGCGAAACACCGTCAGGCATCCCTAGTGAGTTTCTAATTATTGCATGTCTCAACTACGCGTAGCAACCATGGTCCAGGATGGGTCCTCGATTTGATCGGTTTGTTTTGTTTTTCCCCTGGACCCCTGAGATCATAGCTACGTTGAACATCTCATTACTACAGTGCTATGCCTGTTTGTAAACAAGTATACAGTGTACTGTAAAATGAGCCGCTGATATGTCATATCTGAGAGCCGGGACGAATTGCAGATTATATCCTTTTGGTCCCGGCATTGTGGGATATCGGCTGTCACGCCCTTTTAGTGTGTAATTAATACGAATCGGCCTTCCCGTTTGACCCTCAATCACTTACTTTTGTGTATCTTTTTTAAATGACCTTTTAGTTCTTTTAGTTCTTTTAGTCCTTCTAGTCCTTCTAGTCCCTTTTTTTTTCTCTTCTTTTTTCTCGGGTGTTATGAACACATAACTTGTAATTCCTCTGCAAAGCACGAATTCAGGATTATCAAGGTTTGAGTCATAATGGTACCAGGACTGTCTCCCTGCAAGTCGTACGGAGTCGTACGGAGTATACAATATTCAATGAAAAATGATCGTCCGAATCTCAAAAAAATAAATCAAAACACGTTCTCACCGCATCAAGGAACCGTCCCTATGGAGCCACAGGTGGGCCCACGGGAGATTGCCCTTTACCAGTTGTCATCTCGCGTGGTTTCATGATTCACCATGCATATGGGCTGTGAAACCTGGATTGTACACGGAGTATGTGAAGAACCTATCTACTCCGTAGATGATCTTCGTTCGCGGCACTAACATCCGTACATGTCGCACAGGTTAATCTCTCTTGGGGTATTATGTACGGAGTATGTCTCTCTCATTTCCGCTCACTCCACTAGTTCAGGAGTGGGGAGCTTCTAGAAAAAAAGAGCAATTTCCATTCCATTTCCCCTTTTGGCTACTGTACAGAAATCCCTAAATCAATAAATGTAAATAATTTAATTCCTACGTCAGATCAGGTGGATCCTCAGCCTCCTGTTCATGGCAGGGATGTTCGATGCGCTTTTTCGATTTTCGATTTTCGATTTCTTTTTTATTTTATTCTTTTCTTCTTTTCTTCTTATAAGAATCCTTTCCGGCAAGCTTTTTCTCTTTCTCCAAAACTTGACACTCGTCTTGCTCTTACGCTACTACACTACACTCTACACACTACACTGCTGCATCACTACACAAGTACATTGCTGCCTTGCTCTCTCATCTCAAGTCTACTTTGACTCTACTTCACTCTGAGAACCACTACATCCTCTCAACCGTCAACTCCTCCACACAAACACAATGCCTTCCGTCGGCTCTTCTCAGTTCCCTCCATGCCCCGGCCCTCCTCCTCAGGGCCCTCTCCCTCCACTGCCGAAATAGACAACCCTCCAGTCTCACGAACCTGATGACCCGGCGCATTCTCATCGCCCACGACCTGGAACCGGCATGGATATCACGACTTCGACTTCGACGTTACGACTCGATCTTTGTTATCGAGTCGAACTCGCAATTAATTTCTCCCCCAACAACCCTTTTTTGAAGCGACTTTCGAGACACCGGTGCGGAGACAAAGAGCACTAGCTTCCATCGCTTTCGTCTCTTGGCGTCCTTCACTTGCGCAAAGGGCTTCCGCGTGGACTTTTGTTTTCTTTTGTTTTCTTTCATTACCCACTTCGCTTTCTTCTTGATCTCCCCGGGGTGTTTCATTTCTTTCCCCCTTTTTTTTATTTCCCGCCTTTCAGCAACTGCATTCAGGACTTTGCGCCGGCGCTACTTGTCCTTGCATCGCGTTCCGGCTTTTCAATATCGACAGCGGGGTCTCTGTTTCACTCGATAGTGACGCGCATATGCGGAGAAACTTTTCCAGTGATCAGCGCATCAATTGGACAATGCACATCGCCTCCATACCCCCCCCTGTCTTGTCTAAGATCAGCTGGGGCTATCTTTGCGATCGTTCCGTCCATGCGTCATTAACCTGACGTCGTCGACTTTTTTCTTTTTTTCTCTTTGATTTCTTTTCCGTTTATTCCCTGTGTCGCTTTGACTTGTTCATCTCGGCTGTTTTGAAATGTCCTTCTAATTCTCTTTTTTGTTTCGCTTTTATTTTGCATCTGGCCAATCCGACTCGGCATGTACCATAGACTTAGTATACCCAACAGAGCAACTTTTTTTTATCGTGATCAGCTTCCATTATGTCGTGCATAAACCAAAATCGGGGAATGCGGGTGAAACGTCTACCCGCCCGTCTCACCAATCAAGGCTGAATGCTCCCGAGGTGACTAGCACAGAAGCTAGCAGGGATTTCAATGGAGCGGGTGTCGCGGTAGTCATGTTAACGTCTTTCCAAGGTTGTGCTAGATTAATCGACTCAAAATCCTGGAATAGATTCGGTACATGGGGGGAGGGAATGGAGAAACCGGAGTGTGATAATCTGACGATCTCATGCTCATTGGCGAACGGCTACCGAGGCAGATTAATGTACGAATATACGCAACTCTTCCATCATAAGATCTGGAGTGGCACCGATCTGACGCGATTCTTATCGAGCTTCCCGTTATGATTCACAGCACAGCAATGCGTATGTACGCAGTTGCGCTACACGACTGGGATTGATTGGCTGACAATGCACCTGGGCAATGTTCGATATTACATCTGAGCTCAAGCTAAGGTCAAATGTCAAATCATGTCATGATTCAACGGCTAAACGTTTGCAAGATACGAGTTTCCGCGAGCTTCCCGTCCGAGCGCTAGACCGTGCCTGTTCATTTGGGGGGGGCCCTTGTGATGAGATAGCCCTGGAGACAGGTATTCGGGATCCGAGGTACTCTTCCAACCAATGAGAAGCCCCTCTCTCCTTCCAGGTTTTCCAAGGTTTTTTGTCAGGGCCTGAGCAGGTGTCGAAGTTGCATGATGGACAATTACCTTGCGTGCTGGGATCCGGGTTGGCCGTTGGTCCCGTTCTTCCCCGCTTCTTACCCCTCTGATGACTGCACAACATACTCTGTAGAGACAATATCGTATCAAGTATATCAAGACAAATTTAGTCTTCCTTGGTGTTTCAGTGTTTCAGTGCTAGGCCAATCTGGGATGAGGTCAAGTGACGAAAGTAAGCTTTCGCCCTAAGGCCCTCGGGTCTTGCCCTGACAATCTTTGAAATCGGTGCAATCTTTTTGAGAATATCCAATAAACCCACCTGTTTCTGGGAGCTGAATCTGCATGGGGTACAGCCACGTGTTGCTATGAGGTCATCATAAATCCCTCTTATCCGGCCTTGCAGATATAGTGTCTCGGGCACTGACTTGGACTGGCTCTCGGAGTACCTATGCGGCATTTTCTTTTCTTTTTTCTTTTTTACCAACTCAGCTCTCGGTTGTGTAGACAAAGCGGTCAATTATGAGGCTCTTGGAAGTTCTAGATGTGCACTGCCCTCAATACTTTGCCCGGGTTGACATGGGTAACATGGGTGAGATGGGTGCCCAGGTGCCTACCCGGCCTCCCGGATCCTTTAGGCTACATCAAAACGGAAGTTGCTAAAGGAAGAGTTATCCGATTCGATGCACTCATAGCTTCCTGGTTCAATAGCGCCCAGGGCTGGAAGTTTGTGAGCTAACCGAAGCTAATTACTTGAATGCTGCGGAATATTGTCTTCAAGGTGGGCCTATCGCTGCAGGACTAGACTTCCAAGGCTGTACCTAACTACTAGTCTCCGAGTGACTCATAATCCATTTTGGGCAGTTTGAATGTTGCGTTTCCCAAGGTTCCCCTTGGCTTATATTCGCTCTAATCTAGGCAGAGTTATTTTATTACGTGCTTGGCCCGTTCTGTCTTTCCGAACTTGCAAGTACTTGGCCAAGGATGGGGTGAGTGCTGCCAGGGTGCTGCGCATGCGTCAGTCTAAATCACAACCCAGATACGGAGTACGGAGTACTGGGTGTCTATCCATTCAACCCCTGTCTACAATTAGTTCTTGGTCAATGTCCAGAGAGATAGACGATGTCTTGTCGGCAGAGTAGCATTTTGCGTGTCCGAGTACAAGAAAGGTCATTTGATACTGGTGCTAGCTCGCTGTGCTCATGAAAAAATATCTTTGTACACGGAGATTGAGGATGACTAAGCGAGCAGCCGAGATCATAACGCCCTGATATTATGGCGAAGGCCATCCTCTTTGGGGTGGTCACTCTTGTCCATGCAGCTTGGTCTACCTAGAGAATGAGAGAGAGAGAGAGTGAGAGAGAAAAAAGAGAGGAAAAAAAGGCGAAACATGGGGAACAATACGTAAGCCTTGCCTGTCGAAGCTTCTCCAAATTGAGACCATAAAAGACATGAGGGCATAGACCAAGCGGTCTATGCCCCCATGAGTACAATATCCAGCACTCAATATCGATCTTGATGTGACACTTACTATTATCTGATTATTTTAGAACCTGCGATGATATGTTAATCCACTACACCAAAAAAGAGCGAGCAAAGCTGTTTCATACTCAATTTCCACGAGTCACGCTGAATGCTAAATAAAAAATGAGCTTCCAAGTATCATCTGCATGTTCAACATCGGCATTTGACGCCAGTGCACATTGATACCTATCGGCTTCTGATGAAACAAGGCCACAGAGTTTCCTTAGAAGCATTCGAACCTATGGGTGATCACAGGTGCTGGATTTTCCGAACGAACTGATTGATCATACAGAATCTTCAGTACTGGGTGATTTCTCTTCGATCCAGGAACGTCACAATCGCCATCGATATATTTTCATCGCTGATAGCTCTGCTGTTTACCTGGGCCCCGTTAGATACTCAAAGGCAAGGACCATAGTTATTATTTGCTCGTCGCCGTTAACTAACTATGAAGAGAGAACCGCCTTCCTATCGGCACTAACGACTGAGATTGGTCGCAGCTTTATAAGACTGGCGTTCTTTGGGGGCTTTAAGCTTTCCCAAGTTCATCGGAAGATATCTTGATCTTGCAATCACCTTGGAGACATAAATCCACCCATGATTGTATAGGTAGCCGTGATACTTGACTTCATCAATGTTTGGCCCTGGGGGTCAATGAATCCCACATTGATTGAAATGATAGTTGCAAAGGAGTGTTCGACCTTTCGAATTCCAATCACGCGATCCCCTTCATCTGGTTAAATTTGAATGATTCATAGCTGGGTCGACCTGAAGAGCGCAAGACCATGTCTTTACTGGCTCGGCCTGAGGACTTGAACGAGGTACATATTTACGAGCAACATCATGGATATTGGTGAAACGTGACTCGGTGGGATACACAGAATCACAAGACAAGTTTTCCTGCAAATAGAATAAATATAAGTGAGGACCTCGGAATGCGGGCGAGTTTGTGGTCGGCCTAATAGTTGGAGGATATGTATACGAACAAACGGCGAACGACAAGATGATGTGGAATGGGACCTTAGATCATGAGAGGGAAATACATCATAGACGAATGCCCGAAAGTGTTTACATTTGAGCTATTTCGCCAGTGATATAAATGGGTTCTCGGCGAGTACGGTTTGTACTGTCGAAGGTTGAGAGGTGTTGCGTTCGAGGGAGTGACCCAGACGACAAATCTTTGACTATTCGTGTCGATAAAATGTGTAAACGGCTGGAATCGTGTTTTTGAAAAACTAGATATATCCATACATTTCTAACGTTTCTTATGAAGACATGCTCGTACATACTTCGGCCAAAATATATAAACACGTGATTCACCCATTCAAACCGGCCACGGCCGCCCTTCTTCCTCCAAACGCAAAGCCATCATGGTACTACTACTGCATGTGTGGGGCCCGGCCTTCTCCCTGCCCTCAATTGACGCACAATGTCTTGCTGTCATTGCGTACTGCTCCGAAGCCCTTCCCAAGGGCTCCTGGGAGCTGGTCGCGACCAGCGATCCCTCAGTCTCCCCAACCGGTAAGTGACGTGACCGGCGACTTTCTTGAACACAACATCTAAGATCCCGACAGGTGAGCTGCCCGCTCTTCAGAATGGAGAAGTCTGGGTTAGCCGGTTCCGCAACATCGTTGACTACCTGCGCCAATACTCGGAGGGAGCATGGAATTTGGATCAAAACTTGAACGAAGTCCAGCAGGCCGACAGCGTCGCGTATGCATCCCCGCTACTCTCCTCTGGACAGAGCTGATTCCCTGCAGATTCTCCTCCTTCGTCGAATCCCGTGGCCAATCTCTCCTCGACCTCTCCCTCTACGTTACAAGCCAAAATTACTACGCAAACACCTCTCCAGCATACGGCGCACTCCTCCAGTGGCCAAACCAATGGATCCTCCCCCCGAAGCTGCACACAGCTGCCAAATCCCGAACAGAGCACCTGGGTCTCTCCTCTCTAGACCTCCAAGCAATGGAGGACCAGCGCCAACGCGACCACTCCGCCGCAGTCGCGTCCGGTCAAATCCCCAAGAACCTAATCCAACAGCCCAAAGACACAGTCTCCAAACTGCTCGGCCGAACCGCACAATCAAATCACTTCCGTCTGGAGGCTATTACGGCAGACTTCTTCGAACCCCTCGAGGCAATGCTATCCAGCAAATCCTGCCTCCTCCCTGCCGACTCAGACAACTCTCCCTCCTCACTCGACTGCATCGCATCCGCATATCTCTCTCTAGCTCTTATCCCAGACCTGGCTTTCCCGTGGTTGCGCGACGCAATGCGCGCAAAGGCCCCGCTTCTCACCGCATACACGGAGCGCATGCGCTCGCGCGCTTTCGGCGTAGTAGATGTCAGTCACGCCTTCACGCCGGTGACTGAGTCATTGCCGTGGCGTGCGCCGGATCGTCTCTCCGTTGCGACGGTCGGAAGCACGCTTCTCAATACGCTAGCGGATAACACTCCAATCCTGAAGGAGGTCAGAGCCAATAGGCGATTGAAGCAGGCTATTCAGTCAGATGAGAACTTTAGTCCCGTGCAGAAACAGGGACTTTCTCTGTATGCTGATTCTAAGAGCAAGGATATGCTGGTTTCTATCGCTGCGGTTGTGGCGGGAAGTGCGGCTCTGGTTGGATATATGGTGCACGTGGGATTAATCTCCTTCTCTAGGGGGGCTGAGGAGGAGGAAGAGGAGGAGGAGGTGTATGAACCTGACCAGGTTGTTCATATGCCTGCCTCTGAAATCCTGGGGTTGAACCTTGGATAATTGGCTATCGTCTTGACAGTTCGATGCTTTGCTACTTGGCGAAAGGAAACCTTGTACTATAACATCTTTTTTTTTGTTTCCTTTGCGGAGGATGTTCATGCCTCCATGTCAAACCTCCGGCTTTTAGCCCAAACTCTACTCGAAACACATGTTGAGTTATTCCAAAGTATAGATTCTAAGAAAAGTACACAAATCTCTTTGCTCGTACTACACCAACAAGAATTCAACTGCCAGAAATTATCGAGTCTGTGTTCAGGGGCTCTTATGCCGAAATATTAATTGGGATGCCTATAGGTACTGCGGGCTCACCTGGCATTCTTCCGCGCCTTGGAAGCCATAACCCTTCAAAATTGGATATCGAAGCATTCCAACCGTAGAAAAATGACAGAATGTTCGGAGATTACTTCTTCTGGATCCCCCGCATTCCAGAACTATAAAGTTGACGTCTATTCAAAGTTCAGGCTACTTTGGATTCTATCGGACGATATGTAAATGTTCCGACTTGCATGTGTGACAGGCTGACTTGATACTAGCATGGAATATCACCTGTGCATCATCCTTCCTCACTGGACGGGCTAAGAGGGCAAGTGGAGTGACTGGTGTACAAGTCCATGAAGATTGCCTCTAGTATGAACCGCCGGAAGATACGAATATTGAATATTGAACTGAATATCCATAAAGATTAAATCGACATGTGCAATAAAGAGACGATAGTTACACAGGAGTGTGAGGTGGGCTAAGTGTAGGGAAAAAAAGAAATGATATCAACTCTCAGATCAGGTGGTATATGTACAAAGAAAGAGACAAAAATGACGCAAATCATGACCTCAAAAGATATGTATGTACCTCAGCACGGAAAAGAGGAATCCGTGAGAAGTTGCCCGAAGATGGAATGATGTGTGGCCAGGATGAATGCTGGGGCCAGCGACCTGCGCACGCACACATCGGATACAAAAGACACCTTGGAGCGTTGAACCATTTGCGCAAGAAACAAAAACCCTAAGAGGGAAAATGGCGAGGAGTGGGAATAGATCAACAAAAAGCCATCTAAGAGGACCAGCCGAGGTTGACGACGAGACGGACGGGACCGGCGGACTGGGCAACGGCCTTGTCGTTCTTGCCCTGGTCGGCGGAGGTGTAGGCGCTAACGACGGCACCGGCACCCTTCGTGATGGAGGAGCACTTCTCACCCTCGTGGTTGCAAATCTGCATACCGGCGATTTCCATGCTGGCGAGCTGGGCGATGATACAGGAGACATCCCATCCGGAGTAACCGTCGTTCTGGGAGTTGGACATGTCGAACTCACCCCAGGTGGAGGCGTATTCACCGACGTAGTTAGTGGGCATATCCTCACCCTCGGCGGCACCCCATCCACCCTGAGAGTCGTCATCGATAGCGACGAAGATGCTGCTGCCAGACTCAACAGTGAAGTGGAGAGCCTTGTTGGGAGACCAGAAACCGTTCAGACCACCGCTGGGACCGTAGGAGTTCCACATGACGACGGACCAGGCCTTCTCGTTGTCGTTCTCGAAACGGATGACGTGCTTGTAGCCGCTGGCGGCGCTCTCCTCAACCTGGATCATGTTGCTACCCCAGGGGCTACCGATGTTGCCGATGTAGTCCCAGTCGAGGGAGCCAACACGCTTGCTAGCGGTGGAAGCACCGAATCCAGTGGTGGTGTAGTCGCCATCAGAGGGGTAGTCGGCCCAGTTGCTCGAGCTGGAGGAAGAGGAGCTGGAGGAGACGGGGGTAGCGCTCACGGAGGAGACAGCGTCGGCCTCGCTGGTGGAGGCGGCGGCAGTAGTGGGAGCGGCAGTGGTGGTAGGAGTAGCAGTAGACTCAACCTCGGCGGCCTCAGAGGAAGAAGACTCGGAGTTTTGCTGACCAGACCACTCGTTGATCCAGGAGACCAGCTGGCCATCGATGGTTGCGACAACCTCAGCACCAACGCCGCGCTTCTCGGGTGCCTCCGGGGCAGGAGTCACGGCAGCCTGGGCCTGGTCGACGTTGAGGTTGATATCAAGACCCTTGGGGTGAGCGTGACGGCGGTCGTGGCCGTGGAGACGAGCGACGGCGGACCCAGCGGTCAGCGCCGTCATCAACAGCATGGAGTTGGAGATGTGCATCTTTTTTTATGTTCGGAATTGAATAACTGAAAATGAGTGACTTGAGCGATTGCTCTGAAAAGAATTCAATCCAAATGAATGTGGGATAGAGAGTGTGAGAGAAGAAAGTGGACTAGGGGGGGCATTGGGATTATTAGTACAGATACACCCAAGTTACACAGGAACGGGTCAATTTGGTCCTGAACCAGAATTTCCACGCAAAAATCAGGGGCTGTCGACCGCTGATTGGTTCGTTCCTGGCAGTTCCTGGCCGTGCGCCCCGGTCTCGCTTGATTGGTGGACCACAGAGAGTCCAGACTCTAACTCCTTGGTACTGTGTACTTGGCTCGACTATACAGTGCATCGCGGCTGTGCGAGTACTCGTGACTTGGATATAGGGGTGTCTATTTTTCGATCTTTTCTCCTATATTGCATCTCTGCTATTATTACATCTTAATATTGTACTCCGTACTCTGCAACTCCTTATTCCCATTGATCCCATTGACCCTGTTTCTATATTCTACCTACTCCGTACGTATATTCTGTATTGCAGCCTAATGTCAAACACGTGTACAATCGGAATGCTGGATACCTTTAGATTGCATGTCCACGACAACACTCCATTCAAACTCAATATTGATCAGAGTCTTAGTACCAATGTAGCCAAGCGCTGGGTATGGTATTTTCGAACTTTCACTGATGCGGTTTAAGACAGTCCATCTCCCCGTCATCCAGTCTTCCCCACATAGGCCAATCGGTGCAGTGCGCAGCAAGGATCAAGTTTTGTCTTACGAATCCTCTCTTGGGCAATCTTAAAATCTGTCGGGACAGTTCATCAAGTCTATGGAGAACCTTGGGAACGAAGACCCAGTGAAGCAGTTCGATGCGCGAAGAGTGAGAAAACTCTTCGCCCAACTCTGAGTCACTTGCTTACAATTAGTTACCGTTATACAATTGTAATAATCGTCCACTCGCACCCTGTCTATCGTATCCACGGATGGGCGCATAACAAGGCCTGGCCGCAGATCAACGGCAGAGATTCGCCCCTACGCGGCAGATGGGTCCTTGCCCTCGATTCTCAGTAAGGCACACAAACATTTTCGATCTTTATTTACTGGTAGCGCCGAAGCCATTCCCCACCGATATGACGAGTCTCCCTCCGGTAGGGCCTTGCCGGACTGGTTGGGTCCATTATGGCCTGCCAGAGGGGGGCCCCCATCGTGAGTCCAGGCCTTACCGTTTCGCCAGACTGAATTTGATCATACAGTGTCTTGCCCCCATTATGAGCGGTTTCAGGTGCCCAGCCTCACTGGCAAACTTTGGCTGTCCTTGGCCTATGGATGTGGAAAGCACCAGTATACCTGTAACGAACGATACGGGGTAGATTGGTATATTTCCCCTAATTTTGGCCCAAAAAGTGACAGGGGGCAAAAAACCAAGAAAACAACGCAGTGTGGGCGGCTCTCGAAACGTTAGGGTTGCAGGTACCCGCTGCGTTCCTTACATTGAAAATCTGCAGGAACACGGTCCTTGGGATTCAGATCGACTAGAGACGACTAAATTACTCTAAACACTCTTAACGCTGTGGAAAACGGTTATTGTTCGTCCTAAATAAACAGAACCAAGGTTTTTCTCGGGAGGGTGCTGTCGACCCCCGGTTCACTCGGCCAAGTCCAATCTCATTGGCTCATGGGAGATTAATCCTGCATCTAATCTCATTGAATTTTCACGTGGTCGGTTGATTTTCGAATTGATATTGTCGACTGTCATAAGATTACGAAATACTCCGTATATTGAACTCACAAAAGGACTTCAGTAGTGTCGTGGCTGAAGGGCAGAAAATAGAACCAGGTGGAGACGTTACTATTTACAGAGAGATCTTCCATTTCATCTATTCAAAGGGGAATTTGCAAGCCACTGTCGCTCTCCAGGGCCAAGGCGCCTACCCATGGAATAGTGACAGGACCCCCTCATTTCTCACCAAGGTCCACGCCACCCTCAAAGGCAACGCCACCGGCTGCGGCATCGAGTTTGAGACTCTCATCTAACCCGCAGACCCTGAACAGCATCTGTGGCGTCAACTCCTTGTCGAGCCCGGGCAACCCATCCCGCTTCAGCTTCTCCAATCCCTCCCGCATGGCAGTGAGAGCAGGTCCCAACGTCGCAAAGGGGAAGATAATAATACGGAATCCAAGCTCCTGAGCTTCCTGGGAGGAAATCGACGGCGTGGACCCGTGCTCAACCATATTGAGCAGCAAAGGCCACCCGGCAAATTCATCAATCACCTTCCGGGCCATCTCCCGCGATGAGATTCCCTCGAGGAATCCAACGTCTGCGCCCGCTTCTCGCGCCGCCCGCAGTCGCGCAACACTCTCTTCATACCCCAGCGACTGCAGCGCGTCTGTCCGCGCAATGATCACAATATCGCTCCCGATCCGTTGCCGCGCCTGCACAGCCGCCCGGATCCGACTGGTGTACGTCGCTGTGTCGACGAGCTGTTTGCCAGACAAATGACCGCATCGCTTGGTCTGCACCTGGTCTTCGATGTGGAACCCCGCCACGCCTGATCGCGCGTACTGCTCCGTCGTGCGGGCCACCATGATCGGCCCGCCGTAGCCGGTGTCGGCGTCTGCGATGAGCGGTGTGCGTGGTGACAGGTTGGCGAGCATTTCGGCGTTCGCCCGCATGTCGTTCAGCGTGCAGATGGCGAGATCGGCTTGTCCATGGACGGAGGCTGCGGTTCCAGCGCCGGTCTTTCATGGTTAGAAGTTTGCTGCATTGCGGGGGTTTGTGGTGCTTTGCGTACCATGTACAGGGCGTCGAATCCAGCAGCCAACGCCAATCGCGCCGACATGCCATCATAGACTCCTGGAGCTGTGATGAATGCTTTGGGGTCCTGCAGGGACTGTCGCAAGGTGGTTGCTGCTGAAGGAAGAGCCATGATTGGTGTTGACGTCAACGAATTGGTCAAGTATTGATTGAGATTGTTCGAAATACTAATGTACTATAGGGTTTGGCCTTGGGGATGTGTTGTCAGATGGATCACTTCGAAGGTTAGCCGGACTTGAGGCACCACGTGTGTGACAAGCTTTTGCTCATAGATTCCCCACTCCGTTTCGGGCACTTCTGCAGCAAGTTCTGCTTGATGATGCGCTCTCCACTTGGATGTGAGCCGATACCGGTGTTCTTTGTAATCTTGCCATTGATATGAAGGCTTACAACGGTAGATCCGGCAATGATTCGGTCCAGGTTGAGGCCGTTCGACATAGTACGTATGAAGTTGACCGTAGGTACCCCGTGCCGGGAGTTCCGAGGCGTTTACATATTTCACACAAATTGAAGCTATTCCATGATACGAAGGTCGAAGGTCGAACGAGATACTGAAGATCTACTAGCTCACCTAAATCTCGATATCATACCAAATGGTTTATGATTGTTGTTTGAGGGTTGATGGGTTGGTGACGTAGACATTTTCATTGACATCGGGTAAAAGGAAGAGGAAGAGGATCAGTGTGAAGGTATACAATGTATGACCAATTATCCTAGGTTGAACAATACTCGATAATCGATGTAGGATGCCAGAGCACCCCTATCTCCTAATCATCAATTTGAAAACACCCCGAGGATTGTGTAGCAAGATCCTTGTCGCAGACCCTTGTCCAAACCCTCTAGCGTGCCCAGTCAGGCGGGGAGATCATCTTAGTCATCACTCCATCTCAACCCTCAGATGGCTGGCACTTGGATCTTGACTTCCATCCTTCTATGATGAGAGACTCTCTTTGATCTCCTCTGATCCCCCACTAATCTCCGCGATGGCGCGCTCCTCCGTGGTCCAAGAATACGAGCCCGCATCCACCATCAGCGTCGACCAAAAGTCCGCGGCCGAGCTCCAAAAGTACCGCATAGCTCGTCCGCAAGGCTATCGCGTATCATGGCACGCCAACCCAGCCGTTGAAGGCCACCATTTCGGCCAGTCACACCCAATGAAGCCATGGCGCCTTACCCTCACCAAACAACTCGTCATGGCGTACGGAATGCACCACGCCATGGACCTCTACCTTGCGCGCGCAGCTACCCATGAAGAAATGGCCGACTTCCACGAACAAGACTACCTCGACTTCTTGCGCCAAGTCATGCCAGGCGACATTGACAAATCCGAGAAAAATGACGAGGTCGTCCGCTTCAACTTTGGTGACGACTGCCCCATCTTCGACGGCCTCTACGACTACTGCTCCCTCTACGCCGGCGGCACCGTGGACGCTGCCCGAAAGCTCTGCAACAACCAATCCGAAATCGCAATCAATTGGTCCGGCGGTCTTCACCACGCCAAAAAATCAGAGGCCTCCGGCTTCTGCTACGTCAACGATATCGTCCTCGGCGTCCTCCAACTCCTCCGCCACCACCCGCGCGTCATGTACATCGACATCGACGTCCACCACGGCGACGGCGTCGAACAGGCCTTCTGGTCAACAGATCGCGTACTCACCGTCTCATTCCACAAATACGACAGAGAAGGCTTCTTCCCCGGCACCGGCGCTCTCCACGAAACAGGCCCCTCTCACCCCCTCAACCCAGGCGCCCATCACGCCGTCAATGTCCCCCCTGCATGACGGAATCGACGACCAGTCCTACATTGCCCTCTACGAGGAAATCGTCGGCGCCTGCGTCGAAACTTACCGTCCCGGCGCTATCGTCCTCCAATGCGGCGCCGACAGTCTGGGCTGTGACCGACTGGGATGCTTCAATTTGAATGTTCGCGCCCACGGCGCCTGCGTCGCTTTTACCAAGACTTTCAATTTACCCCTCCTTGTCGTCGGAGGTGGTGGATACACGCCGCGCAACGTCTCCCGCGCCTGGGCTCACGAAACCTCCATTCTACTTGACGCGGACAAGGATCTCGACTCGACGATTCCGGAAACCGTCGCGTTCCGCAATCACTTCGGTCCTGACTTCTCGTTGTTCCCGCCCTTGTCGGAATTGCGGCATCTGGATAATAAGAACCCCAGACCTTATCTCGAGAGTCTGGTTGAGGCGGTTCATGAGCAGTTGAGGTATATCCAGGGTGCGCCCAGCGTTCAGATGAGCTTTATTCCGCCGGATATCCTGGGTCTACGGGAGGATACCGAGAAAGAGATTGAGGAGCAGACTTTGTTGGCGGAGGAGGAAAGGGAAGAGTACGATGGTGGCGGCTCGGTGTCTGCTGCGGCATCAGTGGTTGGTGGGTCGGGCATGGCTTACACTGGCTCTGCGGGCGCGATTCCTCGCTCCACTCGGCGGAACCAGGAGCAGGGCGCTGGATATAAGGGGGAGTTGTATTCATAGGTTTGGATGGGCGTATGGTTTGTTATTGGAGTTTTGGTGTCGTTCCGTCTATCTTTGTGATATCCCTCTTGTTGGAGCTTGTACAGTATCAAGAGCATGACATGAAATAATTGATTGATTATATAACTCTTCCAGGCCAAGAACTGGCTCTACTATCGTTGCGTAGAGGGATGGAAACCAATACCAGTGTTTGCCCAGGCGAGTAGATATGGAATTGGGACAATGTCAAACTTTCAGGCCCGGAGACCTGACAAGTAAACTCCAGACCCATGCATCATCTCCAAAGAAGTTGGATTGGAACATTGGGCCTGTCACAGTAGATGAGATTGCCCATTGTGGTAAGATGCAGTAACAGATGTTCATTTTCAGGATTCTAGATTAGACCAAATCGGGTATTCAGCAATGGGAGCGGCGCTGTGTTGAAACGAGAGAGATATCACGATGGCGCCGTGCGGGCATCTGCGCAGGTTGACTACATGGCAGAAGCCACAGGGTTCGGTGAACACACGACCGGATAAGTAAATGTCGAAGGGCTGGGCACAGAGTGAGACTATGAGGCTTCCTGTGCGTCTACGAACTTGTCCACCTCTGAGGTTTGGGTATCTGTCCGTACCACGGTGGGTTGAGTGGCGTCACTTTTCTCGACTACAACGTACGGCGGTATTAGCGGGCTGCGGGATCCTGGGGGCCGTGGTGCGGCGGGATTTGAAATTGGAGTGACTCCTTCTGACCTTGGAGGATGGGCGCAATCGAGAGGATTTGCTTGGTGGCGACTTGAGGATTGTGCATGTCACTGGAAATTTGTTAGAGATGTCATTCTGCTGCTTCTTCAAAGTCAATATCGGGTTCTTACACTTCGGCGTTGATAATCCAGTCGAGGTCTTCGTCGCCTTCGTCCGGGCCTCCGGGCCCGCCTTGGATAGGGCGGAACAACCGGGGACGCCAGTCAATGCCCTCATCGGCGCGCTTAGCGGCTTCATCTCGTTGGCGGTCCTCGATCTTGGTCTTTTCATCGGTTGCGGCTTCATGGTTCTGAGTCAGGATCGCCTGGACAGTGTCTTTCCATAACCGTTGCGATTCCCGCTCTCCCTGCTCTTCGATTGGGCGTGCTGTCGGTGCTGTGTGTTTCGCGTGTGTGGCATTGAATAAAAGGTCTTTCTTGTGAGTCTGTGACCAGTGTCAGCAAATTCGGATGCCACCTCGAAGTAAGGTGCGCAAGGTGCGTACGTGAACGTCCTTGATATCCATCTCTCCATTCCACAGTCCCGAAAGCTCGTACAGAACCTCTCCGGTCTGCTCATTTTTGATCGTCCCTCCAATCGCATTGTAAGTGCCGGAGAAATATCCCTTGGTTTTGAATTCAATGTCGGCCACGAGGTGGTTTTCGGGGCAGCGGACGTAGCTGTGGTCGCCCAGCTCGTATTTCATCTTTCCAAAAAGAATGCCGCGCGCATACATGTTAGGTTGAGTGACGATGCTGGTCCCGTTAGCAGCTGCACGTTCCGTCCGTCGGAAGCAACCTACTATTTCTCGCCCTTTTCTTTATTCTGGCCACGGTTCATGAGTCGCAGAGTGGCGATCCCCTCCATCATGCTCGCGGCGGAGTTGCCCAGGAATTTACTGCGGGGTTTGAGGGTTCCATCAATGCGAATGCTGTGCTCCGGCGCGGCGAAGAAATAGCTCGACTTCGGCGGGTGGTGGGAGGTCTGTTCGGAGATGTAGTAGCCGCGGGTGCCATCGGTGTAGTCCCAGTGGCAGGTAAAGGTCTCTCCGAGGATTGGATTGAGTGGCTTTTTTACTCCTCTGTACAGCTATCAATGTTTGCTCCCGCGGGGTATTAGATGCGCGCAACATACGGAGGTTTGATGTGCCATCCACTCAGGTAGAATTTAACCACTGATACAAAGCGCTCGACCGGGTCGTCAATGGTGGACATTGGTAGGAGGGTTTCCGGGTGGGCCATGAAGCTGTATGACGTTTGCGTTAGCCGACCTGGCCGAAGCACAGTATACCTCCGCTGCGGACGGAGAAGGGAGAGAAGGCACGCACTTGGTAATGCGCTCGAGCATGGACCGGGGCTCGAGGATGAATGTTGGTAAAACGACCCGGCTCAAGTCGGCGCCAGGCCGCAGTTGGGAGATGATGTGCGAGAGGACTGCAGCACGAGTCAGTGTGCTCTTGTATAGATGGGAGGTTACGCACCATTTCCCTGGTCGGGCTCCACGACCTCGTCCTCTCCGCTAGGCGGGGAGTCCTCCATGGATGATCTGCCTGGATCTGCGTTAGATGACATGTTGGGGGGTTGTTGTCGAGAGGGAAGTTCTCACTGGCCAAGGATGCGCGGCGGAGATGCGGGACCGGCATGTCTGCGTTCGGAAATTATATCGACAGGGAAATCTTCTACGCGAGCATTTGTGTCTAGCAGTCGAGAGGGGAGAAAAAAGAAGCAGAACAATAAAAAAAAATAGAAATAAAAAGTAGCCTAGCGAAGCCGGTTTGGCGGAGTCGGAAAAAAACAAGACGAATACGACGAGAAGCCCCCTATAGGACAGGGACCAGTACGGAGTAGAATAGAGCAGAACAGGGGCGAGGTCCAGAATTAATTACCAGAAATAAAAAGGAAAAAAGAGAAAAGAGAAAAGAAAAGAAAAGAAATGCAAATCGACAAAATGCTTAGCTTCAGAGAGGGGCCGGTGACGTCGGCCAGTTGCTTGTCTTTTTTTCCTCAACTGGCTGTTTACTCGGGAACTGCACTTGACGACTCTTCTATTCCTGTCTCCCTGTCTCCCTCGGGTCCTCCCTAACGACTGCCTAAGCTCTATGATTTCTTATCCCTCCATCTTCTACCCTAAGCTCCATTTGCCGATGAGGGGCAGCTCTTGGCATTTGGAATTAATGCAGCCCCCCCTTGATGGATCACACCCGCTCGATCAGCGGCACATCTCCACGGGTGATCTCCCTCACAAACTCCATATCCGGCCGATGGAGCATGACATGGAAATGTTCAATAGCATGAACTGACTTGAGTGACTTCCAATTCCTGAACCAGATCATCTGCCCGCCCGTCAGTTCGAGTTCGTATTCGTATGCTGCCAGCTCACCTGTCCGTCAGGCACCCGCCAGAACGTGCGTTGGACGTAGCTGTCTATGGCTGCCCGCGTGTTTGCCGTGACATCATCCGTGACTGGGTCATCTTCTAATGCGAATTTCGTCCATACTACTAGATGGATGATGTCTTTGTCCACTCCGTATGGCCAGTCGTTGTATAGGATGCGGATGTCCTCTAGCGAGTTAAGTGATGAGTATTGTATTCGAACAGAATCCTGGACTCCACGCTCGCGATACTTACCGTCGAATTCAAAGGGTTGACCGCGAGGCTGCAGGTCAGATTGATTGCCATCGCCCCAACGTAACCGTTCTTTGACCACGAAGCGCATAACCGATGAATACTCCGCCTTGATTTTCGCTGTGAACTCCAGGTACTTGCGCAGCTCACTGGGAACACGCTGGAATAAGTCGAGGCGGTTGGTCTCTGCGATCCGACGTTAGCGGTTATCGTCGCAACAAGCGACCGTACTGACTGATGATCCCTTTCACCTGCGCCCAGTCTTGCCGGGTATAGTGGTCATCGGGAGTTGAGAGACATTGGATATTCTTTGGAGACTGGCCGCGTAGAAACTCAGGGCACTCGGCTGTCCATTGCGACCGGGGTGTATTGACTATCCAGAACGGGAGGGATTCGGAGGTGAGGTTGTGGTCGCGTAGGAACTGGGCCAGGGCCGTGGCGTCGGCATCAGTGAGTCTCTGGTCGAAGGTGGTGATACTGGTCGCATGCGTAGACGGTCCAACACGAGCCATGGCGTTTCAAATGTAGGTAAAATGGCGAATATTTGAGAAAACCCTTGAATCGACGTCACCGCGCAGTGCCGAGTATGAAACGTCCAGAGGCGTTTTGCGGGATGTCGATCATTGATCCACTTGGTGGCAATTATTTGTTGACTTTCAGCTACTCCGTACTGTTCGGGAGGGTTACGAGTCTACAATTTTGTGGCCCCTGCCTTTATATCTGTTCATTTTGTCGATCAAATAGTGCCCAACGGCCTCTCAATACTGCTGTGCTGTGTAAGAGGGTCTCTGGACTAATCATATCGCAATATCATAATCGCAATCCTCAACATACACCGCTACTCTCATGAGCTCTGTTGGCCGCGTGGGCTACCGGGGCTCAATTAGATCCATTTCATGTCTGTGTCGAGGTCTTGAACACGAACTCACATGCACAGACTATTCGATCTCTTAGCACCTCCAGGGCTATTTATACGGCACGGCTAGCAGCCGAGAGAATGCTTCTTTCAAACCGTTCAAATTGGCCAGTGAACCAATTTACTTGCCCAAGATACTTTCATCAGAAGTAACCGCACGGACTCTGGAGGACTGCGTCGTGGTTCATCTATTTCAATTTCTATCTGTGTTCCCGCATGCATATCACAGGTCATGGCGGACGGAGCACATTAGGTTGGAATATTGCGAGCATGCCAACATCGGAACCGCTCACAAGCTCCCTGACAACAGGTCTCATAAGTCTTTGAGAACAGAATCGTTGATGGAAACCAAATGAACACCCGCAGTCACGAGTTCTTCCTTGGTGTCATCCCAGCCAGCAGGAGCAACACACTTAGTCCCCTCCTCAACCACAAACGTTTTGAATCCGGCTTTGGCAGCATCAATTGCAGTGGCCTTCACACAGTAATCTCCAGCCAAGCCAACAACAAACACATCTGTGATGCCTTGCTTGCGGAGGATCGCTGCAACGTCCACGCTGACAGAATGTGAGTTCGTTCCTGGATCACAATTTCCAAAGGCATCTGCAAAGACTGAGTACATTTCAACATCGGAGCGCATGCCTTTGTGCACCACTAAATCATTCGTTGATATGTTGATCTCGGGAATGAGTTCGGCACCCGCAGTATTGGCTACACAGTGGACTGGCCACAAACGCTGTGCTTTGGTTTCTGACTCCTTGCCCGAAGCGGGATTCTTGATTGCGACCACAGATTCGAAGGGCCTATTATCTGGCCCTGGATGATTGGTGGCAAAAGATATGTGGTCTGTTGGATGATAGTCTTTGGTGAATATGCGAGTCGCAAAGCTGGGCTTTGCAAGTAGATGGTTGATGGTGGATGCGATGTTGCGGCCATCTTGTACTGCCAAAGACCCGTTCTATGCTGATCAGCCGCATGCTTTGACATTTGAAGCTGATGATCTCACTGGAGGACAGAAGTCTTCCTGCATGTCCACCACAATCAGGGCTGATCTCATAGTGCCATCTGGTGCCATTTTGGGTCAAGAGAATGCCAAGAAAGAGACCGGAGGTATTTGGAGGTAGGATGATATTGAAGAATGTGGTCAAGAGAAAGGACAGAAGCTGCCCGGTCTTTCACAGTGAAGCCAAGCTTGGTTGGAGCTCCAGAAGAAGAGGAGCCATGGGTCACTCCAACAATGCCACATATGTCCGGCAGAACAAACCCCTGGTGGGCGGAACAGAAGGCGGTATTCCAAGCTCCGACTTAGTCAGCAATTGAGTAAAAGCGACGGCTTTCAGCTTCGCACAACTCAGCCTCCTCGTCTCTTCAGGGCTACGGCCCCATATCGAATCCATCGGATCATGAGAAATAGCAAGGTATGTGTCTGCTCTTCCTCTCATTCTCCTTTTACATGATGAACCCAATTATTGGAGCTGTCTGAGCTTTCGCTATGCGGACAAACTCTTTATACGCTTTTCATCTTTCTGAATCCTGTCACCTTCCACCCACAACATCCCAACAACTCTGCCATATCAGTCGCTAACCGCCTCTGATAGTCAACAGTGTATTGTAAACTGAAGAAACCCCCATGATCCCTAGAACCTTTTAGTCTCTACATCTCTCTCTCTACCTCTCTCTACATAGTCTTCAAAATGGCATATGATCCCCGCCGAACAAATTCGGGAACCTCAACCCCCCAACCTCCTCCTCCCCCTCCAGCTCCAGCTTCAGCTCCAGCACCCGAAATGGCCTCGGCACTAGATCCTGCAGACTCGTACAAGCTCAAGTTCTGTACCGTCTGCGCCTCAAACAACAATCGCTCCATGGAAGCTCACTTCCAACTCTCCGGCACTGCCTTCCCAGTCATCTCGTTCGGAACTGGCTCTCTCGTCCGCCTCCCAGGCCCCTCAATCACTCAACCAAATGTCTACCACTTCAACTCTACCTCCTACAACCAGATGTACGAGGAGCTCCACGGCAAAGACGAGCGTCTGTACCGAGGCAATGGCATTCTCAATATGCTCGATCGCAACCGCCAGCTGAAATGGGGCCCCGAACGATTCCAGGACTGGGTCCCTGGTGTTCCGCGCGTGGACCACCTATCCAAGGGCGACAAGGGTGCTGCTGGAACGGAGGGGGGCGTGGTTGACGTGATCATCACTTGTGAAGAGCGCTGCTGGGATGCCGTGGTCGATGACCTGATGAATAAGGGCTCAACTCTCAACTATCCCGTTCACGTCTTCAATGTCGATATCAAGGATAACCACGAAGAGGCCTTGACCGGTGGAAAGGCCATTCTCGATCTTGCCAACCGCTTGAATTCCGCTGCTGCCGCTGAGCACCAGGTTCATGGCTCTCAGGGCTGGGAGAATGGCACTGGTGCTGCGCGTCAGAGCTTCGATGAAAATGTTCCTGGTATCCTGGCCGACTGGCAGGAGAAATATCCCAACCTGCCGGCTTTGTGGACTGTCGCTTGGCTTTAGGATTTGTTTGTCTTGATTTACGTTTTAGCGACGATGCACCAGCGTTCTTTTCGACTGGCGCCATCTAAAGGAAATACACCATCTCACAATTTTGAAAGCATTTGATCAACCAATTGGGGTATCAGATAAGTAGAACAGTAATCAAACAGTCTTTCAGAGGGCCGGACTCTCGTCTTTCACCTCCGCCTTGACCTCGTGTTTAATCCCTTGTTTAGCGTCATGTTTGGCCTCTTGTTTGACCTCCTGTTTGACCTCATCCTTGGCCTTATTCAGCAACTTTGACCTCCTCTCCTGATACCACTGGTCAAGACATGACCGTCGCTGTGCTTGCGTCATGCCCTCAACAACAAGAGCAAACTCCGTGGCATCGGCGTACCCAAAGCGCTGCGCCATGCTACAAAACTGACGCCGCATCACATCTTCCGGTGGATGATACTCATATTGAACAACGGGCACCTCATCTTGTTCATCAAAAGGCCCGAAAGGCATGAACACTTGTTGATCACCCGTCGTGTCCTCGGGAGCAAGTTCCGCACGACGACTGAGACCTTCTTCCACGCGCGAGGATCCAACCACTTCATTGTTCAGGTGGGTGTATTCTACACCGGCACCAGCAAGGATTGCTTGGACAGGGTCGTGTTTGTGAGGCGTTGGAAGTTTGGTCGAGGGTTTTGGCTTTTCTTCCTCGTCGCAGATCATAGAGGCGATTTGGCTCATTGCCTCTTCTTCATTCTTCATGCCTCGTTCACCTGGATCTTGGCCTTCTTCTTCCATATTGAACTCCACGTCCGCAACTTGAACGCCCGCTCGGCTTTCAGCGACATTCGTTCGGTTGACGATGTCGCGAAGGACGATGTTGTCGTATTGATATTGGAAGAAGTTGCGTAGGCCAAAGATTTCGCCTTTCTGGTCGGGCCTTTCCTGTACGCCTTTGAAGTATCGTCGCTCGGAACTTGCATTGTATCCGATGTTCGCTTGCTGTTGTTTGTAGATTTGTCGCGCGTACACGATCTCTTCTATTGTGCCAGCAGATATTAGACGGAAGACCTCCACATCACGGTTCTGTCCAATGCGATAAGCTCTGTCCTGAGCTTGTAGGTCGTAAGACGGGTTCCAGTTTGGATCCACCACCACGACTTTGTTTGCGGACGTGATGTTTAATCCCACACCACCTGCCTTGGTGGAGATCAGAAACACGAATTGTCGAGAATCGGCATTGAACTCGTCGACGACTTTGGCACGGTCGTCGTAGCTCATAGACCCATCCAGGTAGCTGACGTTATAGCTAGTATGATGGAAAAGCATCTGTAACATCTTGAGAAGGCGAACACTGTGGGAGAAGATTAAAACCTTATCTCCGTTCGAATGCCACCATTTGAGAAGTTTGCGAAGAACTTTCCACTTGCCACAAAACTCAGGGTTGGCATAGTTGACAATTGAATCACGGGTGCGGTATAGATCTTCCCATTTTTGAGGCAGGGCAACCTCTAGATAGGTCTTGTCTTTTTCCTGTTTCTCCTTGGGATCTGAACCCTGGGGGATTAGAATGGCGAGATGGTTGCTGAGTTTTTGTAGTACTGTGATAGCAGGAAACACGTAGGATTGCCATGCCTCTGGATCCCTATCGGGGATAAATCGATAACAGCACCAGCCACGCTTTTTGTTTTTCCCACAGTCGCATAATAGGGTGGAGTTTTTGATATGATCGACAATATCACTGTCGAGAAAGTTCTCGTAGGCTTCGGCCTGGGTTTCAGTCAAAGGGCAAAAGACAACTCGGTCGACCTTTTTGGGTAATTGGTCCGCAATCAAAGACTTCATTCTTCGAAGAAAGAATTGAGGGAGAAGGTTCTCAACTAGCTTTTTGGCCGTTTTGCGGGCCCTGCTGAGCTCACTCAATGTTGCATCATGCGATTGCCCAATCTTCAAAGGGTCGGAGATTTTGGACCTCCAGGTATGCACAGGGCCCAGAACCCCGGGATTCGTCCAATTCAAAAGGGTCCAGAGCTCTTCATATTTATTCTGGATAGCGGTGCCAGTAAGTCCTATTCGACATAGGGCGTTGATCTCATTCATCGATTGGGTAGTGCCAGATTTGCGCTCTTTGATCTTGTGGCACTCATCTGCAATCACACAATCCCACTCAATCATGTTCACTGAGTTCTTGTTGGCCATGTAAGTCGTGTAGGTGGTGATCAGGACTTCGACTCTCCCGGACTTTGCCGCGTCAAGAACAAGATCCTTGTTCTCGCCATGATAAATATCGACATTCCACCATCCCCATCGCGAGAATTCAGCCTTCCAGTTGGCTAGTAGGGTTCCAGGGCACACAATAAGAGTGCGAGGATACCATGCATTGTCATCGGCTCGGCGTACCTTTCGCATACGTTTTGCGTCTCGTTCATCGCCTGTCTTTCCGTACGCAGCGGTCAGAAAAGCAATTACTTGAATAGTCTTGCCCAGACCCATATCATCGCCAAGAACACCGCCTTTTTGGTACACGAACAATTCATGGAGAAAGGCAACACCTTCCACTTGATATTGACGCAGCCACTGAGCGATTGGGGCAGGGATGACACCAAGCGAGTACGGAAGCTCGATATCTTTATATTCTTTCTGAGGCTTCAAATTCGGGAATATTGGTCGTTCTTGAAGACTCTCCAGACGTTCGTCATCTGAGAATTCCACATCCTCGTATGTGGGCGGCAGCTTCAGCCCCGACTCCTGCAGTTGTTCGTGCGTCGTTTGAAAATCCGCACGGCGGTCTTTCAGATATTTTGGCAGCGTATTCTCCATAAGCTCGTCTTCTGAGGATATTTCACCATAATCTTTGAGGGGTCGCTTAGGCCGGGGTGTTGGCCTCTCTTGTTTGACTCGACCGACAAATTCATTTCTGGGAGTCTTGCTCTTTCTCCCGGCGGCGCTACTTTGCTTGCGCTTAAGAGATTTGCGTTCTTTGAACTTCTTGTAGGCGAGCTCGCCGTCGTTGACCTCTTCATCACTGTCCACAGGCTGAATTTTCACTGCGCTTGCAGAAAAAGTGTGCGATGACTCTGGATTGACTGGCGTGTCAACACCTTGTGTCTCCGCATGAGATCTGCCTGGTGATATTGTGAGTTGAATGCTAACGCGTTGAAAGGGTGTCATACTTCGTGGCGTAGAGTAGTGAGTCACTTCCAAGTCATCGTCCGAGTCAAGACTGATAGGCTCAGTGATATTTTGGCCTGCCATCTTGTTTCAGGACCAGAATCCATGGGCGAAGAAGGAGCTAGGTGCCTAAATTTAGGAAGTGAAGTTAGAAGACTCCGTACCGGGTATCGCGACACAGAAGTTACGAAACGCGTTAGCGGCCATGAGACAAAGTCTGCCACCTTCGATTCCAATCCTCGAGGACTCACTTTTTTCAATTACATTTTCAATTGTATCACTCTCTGGAATGGCCCTAATTTAATCATCCTATCTTCAGAGCTTCTATTTTCATCCCAATAATTCAACGATACCGGATTATGACCCATCTTGGTGTGGAAATAAGATCATGCAACAGCAACAGTGACCTCCGAAAATATGACCATTGTGCACAATTGACCATTATAGTTCAAAGACTTCTTGAAAGTTTGAAGGTAGGAACAAACTATCTGTCAAAACGTCATTTTCGTCGATGTTGAATATCAAAACGTCTTATAGTCCCACAGATCACGTGCCATGATATAACCAGAAAAAAAAGCCGGGACATTGAAGATACCTCTCACTTGCTTTATAGAACCGAAAATGTGAGTTCTTCTCAAAGTTTTGATCACAAAAGCTTTCCAACTAATGCCCACACAGATCAATTAAGAGCTTGATCCCGCTCGTTTCGTTTTCGCAAGCTCAATTCCGCAAAACCACAAACCACTTTCACAATGCCTCTGGATACCTCAACAACATACCCGCTCACGCGGCTGCGCCTGGATGGCCGTCGCTGGAATGAGCTTCGCCTCCTACAAGCCCAGATCTCCACCAACCCTGCCAGCTCAGGCTCCTCATACCTGTCCATGGGTAACACATCAATCATGTGCTCCGTCCACGGCCCCGCCGAGGGTCGTCGCGGAGACGGAGGAGGAAGCGGCCATGCAGTTGTGGAAGTAGATGTTAATGTCGCCGGCTTTGCAGGCGTGGACCGCAGGCGCAGAGCTGGAGGAAATGATAGGTAAGAACCCGCATCCCAGACCTCCTCCGCTACAATTGTTAATACGATATACAGACAATCAACTCGGATTGCTACAACCCTTCGCTCAGCCTTCCAATCCCACCTCCACACCTATCTCTACCCCCACAGCACAATCAGCATCCATGTCTCTATTCTTTCAGCTGATGGCTCCGTTCTCGCGGCCGCCATCAATGCCTGTACCCTTGCTCTGGTCGATGCCGGTATCCCCATGCCGGGACTTCTCACTGGCTGCACTGCTGGTATGAGTGGGAGTGCTTCTACACCACGCGACCCGCGACATGATGAGCTGGACCCGCTACTTGATGTATCGTTGCCCGAAGAGCAGGAATTGCCATTCCTCACGGTCGGAACAACGACTGCGGTACCTGTTGGTGAGAATAATATGGACGAGGATGAGGAGGCAATGAAGGTCTCAGTGTTTGCGATGGAAGCCAAGGTTCACTCGACGTACTTGGAGACGATGACTGCAGTTGGCATCGATGGATGCAGTCAAATCCGGGAATTGCTAGAGGGAGTCATCAAGTCCAAGTGAAAAATACCTCGAAATGTACTGTGATACCCTCTGAAATGTATGTATTTTTGTGAAATGATAATTTGCTCAAACTTTCTATAATCTGCTCACTGCTGGGTGTGTGTGCCACCGGCTTGGTACTTGGCCTCTGTTGACATTATCTCTGTCCTCTCTTCCTCTTCTTCTCTTCTTCATCCTCGCCGACCTCTGATTCTCACTTCTTTCGTCTTCTGCATCTTCATCATGGACGGAATGAACATGATAGCCACCGCAACGGCCACGGCCATGGCCACCACCGCCAGCATGGGCACCGGAATGAGCATGGGAAACCACACCATGGGTGGCATGGGTGACATGGGTGACATGGATGCTATGTTCCAGTGCAAGATGGACGTTCGTCTACCCACTTCCCTCCATACAGGCCAAGACTAATCTTAGCAGATGTACTGGAACTGGTACACCATTGGCACATGTAAGCTTGGGAACCCTCTTGTACACATTCACAATTAACATGCATGATCACAGGCTTCCTTGCCAAATCCTGGCACATCACTTCGCGTGGCATGTTCGCTGGCTCTTGCATCGGAGTGATCTGCCTCGTTATCTGCCTTGATTTCCTTCGTCGTGTCGGTAGGGAATACGACGCTTACATCGTCCGCCAAGCTCGTCTGCGACAGTCTGCTCGTGTCACCGATATCGCAACTACCTGTGACGACAATGCCTGCCCAGGCACCGAGGGCGAGTTCAGCACCCCCAAGACATTGAACCATGCTACCGCCGTCGCCAGTGGTGCTTTCGTTGCTCCGGGTCCTGTTTCCTATCGCCCTTCCCTCGCTGAGCACACTATCCGTTCTTTGATTCATATGGTTCAGTTCGCTGTGGCTTACATCGTCATGTTACTGGCAATGTACTACAACGGATACATCATCATCTGTATCTTCATCGGTGCATTCCTGGGTGCTTTCATCTTTGCTTGGGAGCCTGTCAGTCTGGCTAAGGAGTGAGTTGTCTGTTCTAGTATTCATCGGTCTCTTCTAATCCTTGTTAGGTCCGATGCTACCTCGGTCACGAAGTGCTGTGGCTAGACGATGCATGCTGCACCTGGTGTTCCACAACACCGTTGGTGTCATACGGCGGGATCACCGGGCTTTGTTTTGCCGACTTTCTAGATCCGTCTAGTGGCTTAACATGACCGACATCGAATCGTTATCAGGATAGGAGCAGGGCAAGCGTCGAGATTGGTCCCATGAAGTATTCTTTTATTCTTTCATTTCCTAGGTTTAGGGCTCAGCCAGACTATGTGACCCATGGCCGTATCGCAGTATCAATCTATTTCCTTTCATGCAGATTATTCGTATGCTATCCATGGAATCTTTGAGAATACATTGAGAAGAATAAACTGATAGCGCAAACTAAAAAACATGCCAGTTCGATCATCCTTTGGTCATCGATCCACCGGAGCTACGCCAGTCTTCCAAGGCTCAGATGAGTCGAGGATATCCAGCAATAGCCAGCTACTACGTACACAGGGTGAGTCTAGGTAACTAGTGGAAAACAATGTCCTCTGTGTCCCAAACCAGCAATCTCTAATCCAAGACGCTTCCAACAGCATCTAGCCTAGCACCAGCTAACATTGGCTCTTCTTTGTCCTCCCCGCTCTTAAATGTGGGTTTGCTGATCTCATCGGCATCTTGGGGACGTGACATCGATCTGATCCTAGTCCTTTTCAGGATTGAGTCTACGGGATGACTTGAACAATTTACTGGCAAGAAGAGGCACCGATTAGTGATAAATGAACCAGCTCGAGACTTTAGATTACAAAACGCAAAAGTGAAAGCCACCGTTGCTAGTCATTGCAGGAACCAAGTCCTTCGCGCAAAAACTTATTATCTGAACTATCTGCTCATAGGAGCTTTTTACTCGCTGCCGCAGTTGACGATGGTGGGCTTGATGGGAGAGATGATTCTTCCGGAGTCGTTACCGGTCTGCTGGAGAGCGAGAACGGTCTTCAGGGACTCGTCGTCAGCAACCTCGCCGAAGACGACGTGCTTGCCATCGAGCCAGCTGGTGACGACGGTGGTGATGAAGAACTGAGAGCCGTTGCTGGAGAAAACAATGTTAGTTTCTGCTGAAATCGTATGAAGGGTTAAAGCAAGACATACGTGTTGGCACCAGCGTTGGCCATGGACAGAAGACCGGGGCGGGTGTGCTTCTTCTGGAAGTTCTCGTCGGGGAACTTGTCACCGTAGATGGAGCGACCACCGGTACCCTGTTCCGGAAAAGATCAGATAAGAGAACAGAAATAGAAACATTTGGACCAAAGGATTACTCACGTTGCCACGGGTGAAGTCACCACCCTGGAGCATGAAGTTGGGGATGATACGGTGGAAGGAAGAGCCCTTGTAACCCTGACCCTGCTCCTTGTTGCAGAGCTGAGCGAAGTTCTCAGTGGTCTTGGGGACAACGTCGTTGTACAGCTTGAAGTTGACACGGCTGGTGACAGGGCCTAATGAAAGAGTCAGCATCAATACTCGATGGAATTGGCCATGATGATCGAAGACGAAATGAAGAGGGAATCTGGAGGGGCAGAGCTTCGCTTGCCCCGCCACAAAACAATGGGAAGTAAAGGGACTTACTAGACTGCGAAGGCAGCTGGTACTGGATGTCGAAGAAAGCGGTGGTGAACTTGGAGGTAGACATGGCGGCGGCTGATGAAGAGAAAGATCGGGCAGCGGGGTGGATAGAAGTGCAATTGAAGAGAGAAGAAGAAGAGAAGAGGGAGGAAGGTGGGGTCAAGGTCCTGAGGCGGCAGAACATGGTGAGGGGCAGGGCGGAGCGGGTGAACTCGGGTACCGGGCTACTTTGGGGTTAGCTTTGGTACAGTGAAGCATAGAGGCCATGTGTGCATATTTTATGCCTGAGGCTCTACATTGAGCTTCTCCGGATTCCAGGGGAAGAATCACCCCAAAAACCGAGTGATGGCGCTGAAAGGCAGAGAATAAAATGCAGGGACAGATTCAATCCTCCACCGAGAAGGGACCAGGCTTACTTACAAGTGAGATAACTTGATGAAGATGAGATTATAAGGAGTAGAAGAGAGGGAAAAATGAAGCTCAATGCCAAAAAGCGCCTGGAGCTCGACGATTACGTAATGCTCCGGGACATCCCTTCCGTCCCCGGAGCAAAGGACACGGACTAGTAAACGACTGGAGTACACTAAGCTTGTATAGTACGGAGCACGGAGTATTTCGCCAGTGCAATAAAGGGGCAAATGTGTGTAGATTATTGGTATCATTGAAATAGATGCTTTCTATTCAGCACATAGTGCAGATCCACCCCAGGAGACCGTAGTGAGAGATTGACATAAATCTGGTCAAGAAACCTAGATAGAAAGAGGCTGGAATAAGATACAAAGAAGAGAGCCAAAGAAAAGGCAAGGGAAGATGTAAAAAGGAAAAGAAACCATGCCACAGACATCATTTCACATTGTCCACTCGTAGTGACCGCTGAAAAGAACAAACGAAGAAATAAACAAGGAGCATTCGGCATTCGGCATTCGGCATTCAAGAATCACCTGAAATCATCCTCCTCAACAGAAGTAGCTTCGAGGCGCTGAACAAGATCTTTAGTCTGTCGAGCAATCTCAAAGGCAATGGGAGGCAACTTGTTCGTTACCTCCCGCAATTCCTCGGCAGTCATGGCGTCTTCGCCCTCGTTGACTGTAGCTTCGAGTCGGGTGCGACATTGGCCTAAAGCCAGGATAGCGGGTTCGGAAGCTTGACGGAGAGCGAGGTCTGCGCTGCGCTCGTGCATAAGATGCTCCGTAGAGCCGACTACGTTTGCAACGACACCGAGAATGGCCGAGACGTGCGTTTGCACGGTGTGAAGCTTTTCTTCAGCTCGGATACTGGCGACCAATGACTGGATCGACTGAACCATACCATCGGTTTGATCCTCGACGTATAGCTGAGGGTACTAGTTAGCATCATGTGAGTTGCGAGTGTTGAGTTCGGCGCTTACCTTTAGCTCCAATACGTCGTGATCCTCTTCCACATGTCCCCAGCCATTGTTGATGCCATTGGAGGGTCCATTCTGCACAGGGAATTGAGCATCATCTGGACGACTCATGGCACTGTACACAGAGTTGTTGCTCATCCGCTTTTGGCTGGCAGAGGTGTCAAAGTAGTCGGGGAATTGCTCTTGTGACACGTCCGCCTCATCATATTCATCCTCCAGCTCATCAGCCGGTGATGCCTGGATCTTGACCACCCGAATCAGCTCGATGATAGCAGTGCAAAGGTGAGAGGCTGCCGCGTCAAGAAGTGACACTGGCGACAGTCCACTAGAGTTGGCGAAATTGCGCGTGGCGGTGATCATGTTGTTTGCTGTGGTGGACACTTGGCCCTTGGCCTTGGTTTGCATGGCAGCTGTTCCATCCGCCTCCAGTGGAGAGTTATTTACGTCCTGGAGGATGTGGCGAACTGTCACAATCACCATCTTGATCTGTTGAAGCACAAGGCTGGAGTCTTCAAATCGAGCAACACGGAGCAGCTCGTCAACAGACATTTGGAACTTTGTTACGTGGATATCCTTGACCAGCCCATCGGATTGCACCAGCTCGTGCTCTTTTGTGAGGACACTGGCGTCGGGACGAGCGTCCGCAAAACCCCCGGACGATGTACGGAGATGACGCATTTGCGCCTTAACCTTGGCATAGCGGTGCTTCCAATCGTTGGCATCCGCCTCGAGTCTGTGAACCTCATTGGTGAGTTGTTCCTCGCGCGCCCAATTGGTATGACTCTCTGCTGTGAGGGCTTTCATCTCCTCGAGGAAGACCGATGCCTCTCGGCGAACCTCATCAGTCACTTGTTTTTGTTGTTGCAGCTCTGCCTGCAAACTTTGATGTTGATGGTCCAATTCCTCATATCGGGCTTGAAGACCCTCGTCTGCAACTGTCCGAGACGACTCCTCAAGCTGGCTACGGAGATCCCGCTCCATGGTATCATGCTCCGTTCGCACGCGGTCGAGCTCAAGCTGAAGCGAGCTGTTCAGATCCTCCGCCTTTGTGACCTTGCTTTCAAGGTCATGGCGTAACTCATCCCATTCCTGGCGTTCGCTGTGGCTGATTCCGGAAGAGTCCGCGTCCTGTGACGAGTGCGCGAGCTCCTCATCTTTGGCGCGAACCAACGCCTCCAACTTCCCGATCTTGTCTTGCAGGGCTGATACTTGCGTCTGACTTTCCATCAGCATTCTCCGCTCGCTGTCACCCAAGGTTGTCGCAGTGCCCCGTCGGCTCAATACGGCGTCCAGGGCAAACGCATCGCTCCGGGCATCGTCATCGTCATCCGGCCCCATGTCGTCGCTGTCTTCCACCATTGTACTTTTGTTCGGAACCATCGTGTTGCTTTGGAATGACCGAGGGAACGGACCGTCTCCGTTCGCGGAGGGTGGTCCTCCCAGAGAGCCAGTCCGCGGTGGAAACGGACTACCCGGCGGTCCACCAGAAGGATAACCCCGTCCCATGCGCGAAGGTGGCCCCCGTGATGAATGTGAGGTACGTGCGCTCGGGGGACCCATGCCCATATGGGGGTCTCGAGGGCGGAAATGTGGGAAGCGGCGGTCCACCTCATTGGTAACATCACTGACCAAGACGCGGAACTTCGAGTGGAGGAGGCTGGCGAGCCTTGCACGGGCATGGTTGCGTTTGGAGTGGAAGTCTCTGCGAGCAGGGAGACAGGGAGGCACATCGGAGCGAGGCGGTCGACCAGGAGGCGGCGAGGCCTGCTGCCGCCGGGTCAGTTCATCGTATACGTCCGTCGAGAGCTCATAGAACTGAAGGAATGACAGGCGCCTTGATTTGTCTTTCGCGTTTTTGGGCCTCTCGTCTTCGCCGGGGGGTGTAAAGTTGAGGAAATTTGTCAAGGCCAGGTATTGTTTTCCAATGATCTCTTCCATCTGGCGAATGAGTCTTGGGTCTAATGGCCGTTCCTTGGCTTCCTTAGGTTTGCCATCTCCGGTTTTCCCATCTCCGACGGTCCCGACACTCGATCTCGCGGCGACCGAGCTGGGAGGGGAGGGATTCCCGCTGAGGTTGGATGGCGAGAGGGAGGGAGGAGGTCCATTAGGACTCAAGGGTGCGCTGGAGACGCCGGAGGTCGGGGGTGTGGCTAGATTCGGTCGGGATGGAGGGAACGTGGGCGAGAAGGGCGACTCGGGCTTCGCATGCTGATTCAGGCCAGACCAGTCGCTTCCATTGACAGAGACAGGCGACATGGCACCCGAACCGCCATACATATCAGAAAGACGAGAGTCGGCAGATATTCATGAGAATGCGGATAACCGATAGGAGCATTCACGTCAGAAAATAGTCCCCCGTATTTTCTCCACTGAGGAATCCAACGATCTGAGACACGGATCGACCAAAGAAGAGTGAACACAGGGACGAAATCCGAATGAGTGAAGGATTTTGAACCTTTTTGGAAGGGGGCAAGGGGAGAGAGAAGTGAGATGGGAGATTGTTCCCTTACGGATTACCCGTTCCTTACAGCCAACTTGGTACCGCTTTTATGCAGGATGATCTCAGCGGTGGTTTCTTGAATAAATCCTGTGAAGATATAATATCTACGATGTATGGAATTTGCCAATGTATGGTCTTTGGGACTACCTTGTTGAACCAAAAGGGGACAAAGAGACAAAGAGTCAGACACTTCCCTTCTCGAGCGAATCTCCTGTATGCTTTTGTATTTCATACTAGTCGATTTAGTATAGTTGACTAGGCCCAAGGGGCTAAAGGTGGTCAATTTAAAGGATTGCAGGGATGTCGCCTGCATATCGACTTATAGTCCACGGCTGGTTCCAACGTTGTTGTGCAAACCCTCTGATTAACCCTGTAGACCACGGTGTCCCCAATATTCACATCTACATATAGATTTACCCACTGGATACTGTCGAACTCGGTCCACAGTGTCCCCAAATTTGGTTCAGGAGTCAAGAGATCTAGGCCCTCGACTAATCCCCTAACAATACCCGAACTCCGCTGATCTCTCGTATCATTACTCCGTACTTCTCTCCGCGTTATAGCCCTAGACACTGGTTTTTTTACGTAGCAAGGCAGTCAAAGTCTTCCCAAATTGAAATATGTTAATAATTTGATAATTTGTTTATTTGAAGAAAAAACAGTACAAGGTACACACTTCATTACATGCTCTATTTGCGAAGCGTTGGAGGGTGACTTTTGTTCGCGCTCTGCCTGCCTCATCTAGATCATGCCGATCCAAGCAGGAAAAGTCCGCTGCCGAGGTCTTCCGGCAGTAATCAAATCCTGGAGGTCTTGATGCGCTATGGCTAAGCCACGTGTTGCCATCGGGGATATAGGGCCACTGAAAAATCGCCCCGGAAAAGGGTTGGTCGTGTCATCATCGTTTATTTAGAGGTCATGGAAAGGCCGCGCGCAGCACCAACGGCCGAGGAGACCGGGGTTGAGGACCGTGTCGGCGCCGCACTGCGGTTGTGCGCCATGTGGGCCTTGACAAGGTGACCGGCCGCAAGGGCGGCGCACAGACTGAGCTCACCCGCGAGAACGGCGGCGGCAATGATGCGGGCGAGTTGGCGAGCGTTCTCACCAGGGGTGGTGGGGTGAGATCCGCGGACTCCCAGGAGGTCCAGCATGGCACCTTGGGCTTCGAGGATGGTACCTCCGCCAATAGTGCCGACTTCGATGGAGGGCATGGACACGGCAATTTGTAGATTACCGTTGTTGCTGAGAGTGGTCGTTAGCTTCACCGGTCATCGGAAAATGATAGTGGGGATTAATATCTTACTTCTTCATAGTTGTAATACAACTGCTGCTCTCAACGTTCTGGGCGGGATCTTGACCGGTGGCCAGGAAAATAGCGGACACGATGTTGGAGGCGTGAGCGTTGAAACCACCCAAGCTACCTGCCATGGCACTACCGATCAAGTTCTTGCTGATGTTGAGCTCGACAAGTGCGTTGACATCACTCTTGAGCACACTCTTGACGATATCACCGGGAATAATGGCTTCCGCAACAACGGACTTACCGCGACCGTCGGTCCAGTTGATAGCAGCAGACTTCTTGTCCGTGCAGAAGTTACCGGAAAGAGAGATAATGTCCATGTCGTCGAAGCCACACTCCTTGGACATGACGTCCATCGCCTTCTCACATCCCTTGGAGATCATGTTCATACCCATGGCATCACCAGTGGTGGTCTTGAAACGGATGTAAAGATAGGTTCCGGCGAGAGCAGTCTTGAGGCTCTGGAGGCGGGCAAAACGACTGGTGGAGTTGAAAGCAGCAGTGATGATGCTACGGCCTTCTTCGGAATCGATCCAAACCTTGGCAGCGGCAGCACGAGCGAGAGTTGGGAAGGTGACGCAAGGTCCACGTGTCATACCATCTCCAGTCAGGACGGTCACAGCACCCCCACCGGCGTTGATGGCCTTGGAGCCACGGCTGGTACTAGCCACCAGAACACCTTCAGTAGTGGCCATGGGGATGAAGTACATCTGTCCATCGATGTTGATGGGACCAGCGACACCAAGAGGAAGGGGCAGATAACCGATAACGTTCTCACAACAGGCACCGTGAACGAGACCATAGTTGTAGTCCTTGTAGGGAAGCTTGGATTCCTCCAATGTAGCAGTGATAGCAGTGGTAATGGGAGTACGGGCGACGACGGATCGGCGAATCTTAACAGCTCGAGTGAAGGCATCGACACGGCTCATGAGGTTCTCATCTTCCATAGACTTCTCCAGAGCGTAGCCAGGGAGCTTTCCGCGGAGAGAGAGATCAATCAACTCCTCGTCGTTAAGCATAGGAGCCTGCTTGGCCTTGAGCAGCGCCTCGCACTCTTCGCGGGTTCGGTTGGACTCGCCCTCATTGGGCTCAAACTTGGGGTAAACCTTGGGGGCCGCAACAGGTTCCACGGGAGGTGCGGGGGCAGCCTCGGGTTCCTTGATACTCCAGCGAGCAGCATTGAACAGATAACCATTGAGAATAATGCTCAGAGTCAGAGCAGCAATAATCCACTTGCTGATGAAGGGGTCTTCCACGCTCTTGAGCAGACTTTCGAGAACCTTGCCACCAACGGCATCCAAGAATTGATCCGAGTATTCGATGTCAAAGGAACCAGACTCGAGGGGAGCAGCGTAGTGTACAGAGGGGTACTCCAACTTGTACTTGATGGGAGAGAGAATTGTAACCACGGTCTCTTGCTTCTGGCTCTTGGCTGCCACGTAAACGGCATCCAAGCCGTTCTCCGCAACCTTGAAGGGATCGATGGGGGTAGGGGCAAGGACACTGGAGAATCGGGAGAGCAGGCCACTGTTACCAGTGTTCCGGAAAGGAATAGCTGACATGTTCACCACATTGATCAGGATCAGACCACCGACCATGAGGATCTTGAAACGACGGACGTTGCTAGACTTGATCTTACGTCCAAAGATGCTGGTGTCCGCTTCGTTGCTGCCAGAACCCGCGCTAGGCCAATCGTTGCTCGAAGCGACATTCTCAGCAACGCTGCGGTTGATTCCATCTTCTTCCAGGGCCTTGCGCAGCGCCACGTGACGCTTGATGCGGGTGATCTCAAGCTTGATGCAAAGGATAGTGGTGTAGAAGGTAAAGAGAAGGACACAGTCAAAGAACAGAATCAGGGCAGCAAGGAAACAGAACTGCTGGAGGCCACCTTGAACGCCAGAAGCCGCACCCAAAGCGAGCAGACCAATCTCAATGCAGTAGTGCTGGACGATCTCGAAACCTTGATCTTTGATGGCAGCAGTGATAGAGTCCTGGATAGATCTGGGGGCGCTTGAGGCAAGGGGACGAGGAGCAGCACCGGGACCGGGTCGGCGGCCATCAACGGACGCCTTCAGGACAGCCCGGGTCAACATGATCGGCTTCTCAAAGCCAATCGTCACAACCAAGAAGGGAAGACCCTCGGAGAGCAGAAGCAGGTTGATCGGCACGCCGAGCTTGGTGGTCACGTGCAAGCCGAACAGGAACGCAAAGGCCCCCGATAGGAGCACAGTAGCCGCAAGCCAAAAGTTAGAGCCCAATCGGCGCATTGAGAAGAACAGAGAGACAAAGCTCAGGTGCATAGAGAGGTATCCAAGGGCCATGATCACAATGTCAATGGTCTCCGCATGCTTGATCAGATCCACGAACGAGTTCCAGGCATCCGCAAACCAGAGCTTGACAGCTCGGCGCGAACCGTAGGCAGGGCCACGAGCAGCTCTCATGATCCACATCTTGGATTCCTCCTCCTCCTCTTCCGGGGAAGAGTTGGGGATCTCCTGCACAGCCTTCAAGAGTTCAGAAACCTGCTCAAAGGGCACAGTGTACGCCAGAGAGGAGTCCGAGGTGAACTGAGAGAACAGGTTCGGGGTGTAGGGAACAGATTTGGCGGAGACATTGGCGGGAACAGGGACATCATCAGCTGCGGGGGCTGTGGAAACAGAGTTGGAAGTAGAGTCCGGGAAGATCAGGGTAGCCAGGGCCAGGTGCTGAGCGGCGGGCTTCTCGGTCTACAGTTCCATTGAATTAGTACCTTCCTCCGTAGTGTAGGGGCCGGAGAAAAAGAGATGATCTTACCTCCGAGTCAGTCCAGATGTCCTCCGCCTGCCACTTCCACGAGGTGGATTCGCCGAGTCGCAGGTTGCGACTTCCCTGGAGAAGGGCATCCGTGTCCACTTGTCCAGCAACACTTTGGCTATCCCTGCTTGTGTCCAGCAGGCTGCCTTCTAGAAGACCCACATAAGTTGTGCTAGCGAGAATGGCGATCACCACGAGGGTGTGGATCGGATGCACGCAGGCACGGCGAGAGATGGACTGGAGGCCGGAGACGACCTGACGGCGGAGCCAGCTTGGTTGAGACTCTTGAACCTCCTCCTTTGAGCGAAGCTGCTTGGAAATAAACGTGGTAGCCATGGTGGGAAGTTGTGGGGGCGGTGAGGAGGTCTGTTGGAGGCGCGAGATGTTGTTTTGGTTTTTTTTTCTCTCTCAGAGGGACCGCAGGGGCCAAGGCCTGCAAAGAAAGCGGTGGTGTTTACACCACGCTCAAGTCGTAGTGGAAAATCTGCAGAATGAGACCTAATTGTAGGACTGCATATGGACTGCACGAGTCGGTGATTCAGGGACTGGCCGTTCCACGGGGGACTTTGATCGGACTAATATGTTAATTGGGGGTCACAAAGTGGCATTGAGTAACCAGGACAGCATACCGAGAGGGAAGAAGGATAGGAAAACCTCTAGGCACAGCCCGACCTTTGCAATTGGGGAGAACAGGGAAAAAGCGCGGGTAGGGCCCCTGAAGTAAAATAATATGGCCCCCGAAAGGGCTGGAATTAAGTAATGCCGACAACGGGTCGCCAAGCCGCCAGTGGGGATTTCGATGGTAATTTTATGGTAAATTATTTCCTACACAGTTCTGGGAAATTATCGAGAGAAGGGTAAAGAGGTGGAAAAGTGAAAGAACTCGATCGGTTTTTGGAGGAAATTAAATAGTCAGGGACAATGTTAAGAACAATACGTGTCACACGCCCATTCTTCTTCCTATCGTCAAAGGGAGGGGAGAGGTTTTTGGAGATACAACTCAGCTGGAAAGCAATAAATCGAAGCTTGCATGCAGGATACTCCGTACTCCGTACAGTGCTGTGCTACCTAGGTACAGCATTTGGCTTAGGTATGTGTATTATGCATCTTAAAATTACCCTTCCTATATTCGGGAGTACTCTCTACATATTATTGAGGCCCCCTATTGGATTTCCTCGGTGGCAACAAATCAGAGCTACAGAATTATTGCCTATCTCCTGCACGGAGGCGTTCATAGACCGCTCGTCGATCTTCAGGTATAAGTTCATGCAACCCAGCGAGGAATCTGTAGGCAGAGATATCGGGTCAGAATACACCCTATGCACGTTGTCATCGCCATGGTATAATATGGTGTTGCAGAAATCGTACATACTTGTACAGGTACGGGAGTACTCCGTACGAAAGTGCAGAATACGATCAGCAGGCTCCACTTGCTTCTTCCAGGGTTACTTAGCGTACAAAGAAGCAGAAAGAGAGAGAAAAAAAGAGGGCGGTTTCTCCCGTCCACGTCAGCCCTGGTCGAAGTAAACGAGCAAAAAGGGATTTCCACCTCACCAATCCCTCACTCGCAGTCAGAAAAGAACCCACTCATTTGTCTCATGGCAGAGACTGCCAGGTTGAAGGAATCCACCCAGTGGAGTCTCGGCGAAATCAGATAAAAATCAGATAACTCGAGTCAAATCATCGCCTCTGGTTGCTCCGGTGTGGACTCCCCAAATCCATAATAAACTCGGTAACCGAGCTTGCCAAGGGAAAACAAAACAAAAGAGGGTGCGAGATAAGATCGTTTCGGTGGATGGTCCCGTGTGCGGCATTTGCTCCGGATATATCAACCCTTGTGCCTATGGCCTTCAGGGTTTCCCAAGGTGCGTAGGTGCGTTCTGAAGTACAGTAGCGGTGTGTTCACCGTGTCTCCTTGCCTAGCGGGTAGAGTCCCAAAGAAACTCAGGGTCATACAGGTGTTGCCCAGGTGGGTGATTGAAACCGATATATAACTACTCCGTACCCAGGCGCCTGAAGAAACGGATTAAATCCGAGCTCGGGGTGGGGACAGGACTTCAAAAGAATTGGCCAAGAATCTTTAGGGTTACCTCATACTCGGAAGTACCACGAAGTATGTATCTATGACATGCACGTTTGACATTCCAGGCTCTAGTACTCCGTATTGGAAGGGGCTTGATGCGGCGCTTACCAGCCTCATTTCAACTATTCATAGCAAAATATGCACCCTCAGGCCGATATTGCCTTTCCAGGCTGGTTTATTTTCGAATCGGGAGCGAAGCGCCAGGGGCTCCAACCGGCCAATGATCGTGCCCACTAGCGAGTTTGACCTGCAGACTCGCAACACATTGAGCAATGTGATCGAACATCTCCCGAGATTTGTTGCAGCTGCAGCCAGACAACGGCTACGCGCCAGGAGCCGTGGAAACCAACCGTGTCTCACGATATGACTCTAAATCTCTGCTACAGAGATTCTCCGAGTGCCGAGCTCTCTCATCCAGTCATTACACCCCGGTCGTGCGATCTTCAGGAGCCGCCAGTGTAATGAGACGGAGATCTCGGTGGATTTGTGAATGAGGCTTCGAGGGGGTCTTGCTTGACGGGTGACAGGTTTGGAGCCTCTCCAATTAGCCGCGAGACCTTGGACAGTCAAACAATGGCTCTCTTTATGTGTAACGGATTTCCTTTGAATCAGGCTGTCACGGTCTTGATTCACTGAAGCCCTGGGGTCAATGGGTCAATGAAACCGTCTTTGTCTATTCATGCCCAAACACCACCACTTGCTATTGTGCTCTTTGAGATCGGATTCATTTTTTGAACAAAGCCCCATTGTTGGGTCCTCAGGTACTGTGCATCGGCTGGATTCAAATCACCGTCATTTCCACTTGCGCTTTCACTCCGATCTCTCCATCCTTATACTACCCAAGACACACCCAAGGACGTTGCAGGTCACCGTCCCATCATATCTACAAGCCCACGTCTCCCTTTTGGACCCTCGAAACATACAGATATGATGCTGGCCATCATCTTTGTGGTGCTTTTTGCACTGCACACTCCAATCCACGCTCATTCTTGGATAGAGGAGCTTACCCTCATTGCGCCAAATGGAACATTCGTCGGCACTCCGGGATACCCCCGCGGAAACTACCTGCGCACAACTCCGGGTTACAGTGACACCACCATGACCTACCTTATTCCACCGGGCTCCAGGGCAAATGTGACTCAGATCTTACCAACCGACAAGCTCTGCAAAGATACCCAGCAGGAACAGAAGCAGTCTGACGGAAGCCCGCGACTCGAAGCCAGCGCTGGCGCTGCGATCGCCCTTCGCTTCCAGGAAAATGGCCATGTCACCCTGCCGCAGAACCAGCCTGGAAAGCCCGCCAACAGAGGCACCGTTTATGTTTATGGCACTACAGAGCCCAAGACCGGAGAGAAACTCCTTGATGTTTTCGGCGCATGGACCGCAGACGGCACTGGAGGTGATGGGCGGGGCGTGCTTCTCTCCAAGCAGAATTTCGACGACGGCCGTTGCTACCAGGTCAACTCTGGGGATATTTCCGAGACCCGACAAGCGGAATACACCCACACCGCGAATCAGTTGATGGGTGCAGATCTGTGGTGCCAGCAGGATATTCAACTACCTTCCAGTGCCCCAAGTGGGAAGCCGTACACTCTCTACTGGGTGTGGGATTGGCCCACCGCCGCAGGAGTCGACCCTACCTACCCCAACGGCAAAGCTGAGATCTATACCACCTGTATGGATGTGGATGTGGTGACTCAGGCCAGCAAGCAGGCGGTCAAAGACGAGTACGACACCGAGCAGGATCTCAACAAGGCAGCAATTCCGTCGCAGTTTGACTCGCTTGGTGATGCGGTCCCTTCGCAAGCCCCCGGAACGACCTCGTCCATTCCGGGAACTCTAACGACGATGGCGACGATGATTCGGTCTTCTTCAGCCGCGACGGCTCGCAAGGTCACTGTGACCGACTGGGAGACCAGTACCAGCACTATCTACATGAGTGTGCCGACTTGAGGAGGAGTGAGGTGTGAGAGTTGAGCAGGCTCAACGAGATGTTAGTTGCAACACACAATTGACGAGTGACGAATACAATGGCAACCGTAAAAGCAGTAGACAGCCGTAGCGGAGGACAGTAGGGACAGTAGGCCAGCATGGACAATAGGAGAGATCGGTGACAGTCGAAACCGAAACGGGAATAACCTGAAACACGCACGTGACTGTGTCAAGCTTCAGCAATTCGCGATGAACACGACGACTCGAGTATCTTCTTTAGATTTCGGCATATCTTCCTAACTGGCGACCATAGCCCCGATTCAAAGTCACATAGGCGCTGATCATTACTCAACTGAAGACTAGACAGGTATGGCAATCTCCGGCACTGCACCTATTTCCCATTCGTATATTTCCCCAATCCCTATTCCCTGCTCCCTGGATTGTTTCCTTATTTTTATATTGCCTCTTTGGTTCCTGAAGTGTGTTTCCTGATATTAGGGGGGAAGTTCCCTCTAAGCGCCGTTGAATATCTGACACTGGGCCCTTTCTGCAGTTTCTGCTATATTTAGCAATTTCCGTCGAGATCGCGGGACCAACGTCTGGAACGGCTCCGATTTCGCCAAATCCCCTCAACCGCGCGGACCCTGAGCACTTGGCTTTTGCTTCCTCCGTGACAGCTTCATTGAACTCATTCCGCGTTGCGCTTCGGTGTACCCACTCCACAACCCCTCTCGTGTCGACCCATTCACAAAGTCCCCTCCCTGTGGGATATCCCTTCGATTCACTTCCGAGCATACCCTTTTTGCCTTCAGAATCCTGAAGCCAGAACTCCGTTGGCCCTGAGTACTTGGCGCTTGCTGCATTGCGCCCACAGCATTCTGCAAGATCGACTCGATCGACCCGCTCTCGATCCCCGATCAAGATATACTGTACTGTGCCAACGGCCTCCAGACAGCCTGCGCCATTTCGATTGACCGGTCCAGCAATCGCAATGCGAAACTAAGAGCGCAACCCACGCGACCGATGAACAACCCCACATCCCTACTCTTGAGACCAGACCCGTGATTCCTCTTCCAACCCATTTTTGGGGTCCATTATGTCAACCATCATGTCCTCAACGGAGAACAATAACTTGTCCGTCCTACCACCCATCCTCACCGATGGTACCGTCAAGCCAAATTCGAAAGATCGCCTCTCTACCTACTCCAATCTTTCCTTCGCATCACAAAACCGCTCGCGCCCAGGCTCCCACGTCTTCCCAGTCTTCCACACAAGTCTCACGTACGCCCTCGTCCGAGACTTCGCCTACCCATCTACCCATCCTCTTCACTATGGCCCTCCTCCTCCTCGAGCGTCGGGCGTCTCCACGCCAGCGAGCGAACACCGACGCCTCTCCGACCCACCCCCTTCGTGGGACACGCGCGGGTCCTGGGCATCGCAATCGGGCTCGGAAACCAGCCATTCCCATGTCCAGCAATTGCCCGCCATGTCCTTCGGGGATGGCCCCCCCATACAGCGAGGATGAGGACCTGCATAGCCCGGTAGTCACTTCGCGCCATCGCAAGAAAACATCTGATGTGAACGGTCTTGTAGACGAGAGAGTCATGTCCGGAACGGGTGATGACCGGGGGATGCTCATCGGTATCAATGCCGATGGCAGCGAGACTTACTACGTTAATGAGGGAGATATGACCGATGACGGCCCCGGCGGGGAATATATCACATACCCCGCGAATGAAGGGCGGTATTCTATCATGGGATACAGCGGTCCTGTTGGTCAGGGCTTCGATAACGATCCGGGTTTCGAGTCGGAGGATGAAATTCCCGGCGTGAACCGATATTCAAGGGATTATCAGTTCGCCGTAGGGTGTCCGGATGAAGAGATGCACGGGAAGGCCGTTGCCCTCTTTGACTTTACACGAGAGCATGAGAACGAACTCCCTCTTACAGAAGGCCAGGTCATTTACGTTTCATACCGACACGGTCAAGGCTGGCTCGTCGCAGAGGACCCCAAAACAGGAGAGAACGGTCTCGTCCCAGAAGAATTTGTTCGCCTCTTGCGCGACATCGAAGGAGGTCTCACATCCCTCAATGGAGAGCCCAACCCAGACACCACGGGCATCGCACACGTCAGTCCAGAATCCAATGACTCCGACCACCTAGCTACGCCTACTCAGACCGAGCGCCCTTCTCTCGATGATGAATTGGCCAAAACCACGAACGGCGCATCGAAATCCAAGTCAGATTCCAAAGCCGAGTCCGACGCCACCAAAAGCTGAATCGGCCCTTAGCCCATCGCCTTTGATACAAAACCCTTGGCGCCGTGCACGGCTCACCCGTCTGTTCCAACTGAAACAGCCGATCATCCAAGCTTGGCGCCCACTTCCCTGTCAACCATGGGGAGACCTAAACATGAAACCGGCGGGGGGATCCGTCTGTGCGTTTCAATACGTCTTCAATAGGCTTTTATTGCCGCCAGATGCCCCCTTCCAAATCCAATACCCCGAGAGCTGGCTCTGAAATGTCCAAGCTCTACACTTCCAAATCGTCCACCCATCACCTTTCCAATTAACGTATATCCCTTCACGATGCAATTCATGTCTCTAATACATGTGGAAACGGGAGACTATGTCTTTCTTGTTTCTTTGTTTTGTCCTTGCAATGCCTATTACCCCCCGCCTTCCTGTATCTAGCTTCCTTCAGCGCAGGCGTTATACCAGCATCAATGAGCATCAGCGTAATGCCTATCAAATCTATCTTCTTGCCAATAAGTACTTGATACGTGTAGACAATCACAAGGTGTGTGGTTTAGGGCGAGGGCAATGGCTGCGACAGAGTTATGATTTAGGGGACAATGACTTCAAGGTACTGTGAGAGTAGCCCATGGTACTCCGTACAAGACTACTGTACTTTGAAAGCATAGTTGTATCGTGAAATATAGAATTTGCGCTTTTCACTGCCGTAGGCAGTGTCTGGTCGATTGAGTCGGCCGCAGACTGCAGTTTACTTAAGATATCACAAGGAGAAAAAAGGTAGCTGTATCCAGCTAGCAAAATGCAGCGATAGATGAAGAGGGAGTATACAAAAGCAAAAAAAAAACGTAAAGATCCAAGAAACCTGGGATTGCGAATGCTAAATGACCCAAATTGCGAGATGAAGTGAGACGAAAGGCACCGATCAGCCGAGCAAGTCATCAAAGGCCGAGCTGGATGGCTTCTGCTGCTGCTGCTGCTGCTGGTTCTGGTTCTGGCTGGTGCTGGGGGTGCCCCAAATGCCAGCGCTGGCCTTCTCCTTGGCCATGCTGTTGAGGTTAGGGCCCTTGTTGCTGCCGGTGTTGGTTTTTTGAATACCGGCGCTGGCGCTGGCAGTGGACCATAGCGAGCCAAAGGCGTCGCCGGAGGGCTTCTTGGCTGCCGGAGCGGCGGGCTTTGCTGTGGGGGAGGTCATAGAGGACAGAGACGGGGATGCGGCGTGGGAAGAGCCGGGCTGGGGGTTGATGGAGACGGAAGTGAAGTAATTGGGAGTGGCAGCTTGGTAGCCTGCTGGCTTGGACTGCTGGATCGGAGCCTGCATGGGAGAGGTAAGCCCGCTGGACGTAGGGGTAGGGGTCGCCGAAGTGAATCCAACCAGGCCGTTGATGTTGGCGCCCTGCGAGGCAGAGATCGGCTGAGGCGCAACAAATTGTGTGCTAGCAGTCGTGCTGGCAGTTGAAGCTGGTGGCGGGATAGCGAACTGGTTAGCCGAGGGTTGAGCAGCCTGGGGGGCAGGAGTTGCGGATTGGAAGTCGTCAAAGTCGTCATCGTCAGCTGGGGTTGGGTCAAGCATGTTAAGAGCACTACCGGCGGGCTGCTTTCCGGCGGCGGTGGAAGTTGTGGTCACAGGCTCGTCGTCGTCGCCAAAGTCAAAGAGATCTGCGACAGGTGCGGGAGCTGGCTCCGGCTTCTTTGCTGGGGGCTTCGCTCGGGTAGCAGGCTCGCGCGAGCGCGCGGGTGCGTCCCCTTCATCATACTCGTCATATTCATCGAATTTGCTGGTTCGTCGCCCGGTGTCTTGGAAGTCGCTGGGAGATTGGCCACCGAAACCGCCGCCATCTCCAAACACACCACCGCTGTATCCACCATAGCCCATGCTATCACTGCCGAAGCCTCCGTAGCGACCGGAGCTGGACATTCCACCTCCGCCGGCACCCATGCCACCCTCGAATCCACTGAACTTGTTGCGGTTATTCTTGGCTTTCTTTCGCTCGGCGCGGATTTGATCGACATCGCCCAAGAGTTTCACCAATTCAGATGATCGGTTGCGCACGTTAATACCCTGATCCTTGCCATTCATGTCGATATAGTGGAATTGCCGAAGCATCCGGATGAGGGACAGGTGGGATCGTGCATCATCGACGATCCGCTCCGAACCGTTTTTCACAAGGAACTCGAGGAGCTGAAGACTCTATAGGGAAGAAATGGTGAGTTGAATCCAGAATCACCTCCGACCATCAATGCCTCTCGTACCTTGTAGATCTGTCGCCACTCCTCGGCAGCCTTGTCGGTGAATCGCTTGTAGATGATGGGCATAATCTCATTGAGCAATTGACTGCGGAAGTGCGTCAGTAAATGCGCATTCGTGCGAGCATGGGGGACCCAAACTGACTAGCTGTGTGTTCCATTGGCGATCTCCTGCATCAACGTGGTCGACGCACCCCAGGGCTCATTGTTTGTAGCTTCCCGAACCTGACTCGAGTAAGCATTGTATTAGATGTCATGCTTCAGGGTGCGTGTCGTTCCGCCGAGTGGCTTTGTGCGATGAGTGGTCGCATACGAACCTTGGATTCCATTTCGGTATAGTTCATGACGGCTATGACGAAGCGGTCAGTTCCTGAGAGTCGAAGACAAAAGGCCTTGTCTTTACACAGACAAGGCCGGGACCAAAGAAGTCTCACGTACCATTTTGCACCTTGCGCACACCAGCCTTGAGGTCATACAACGACATGTTGCTGACCTGGTCTTTGAGGTTGGAGAAATCCATGGTGAGAAGTTGAAGTCACCTTAGAACAATTAGACAAAAAGAGATAGACCCAAAGAGAGAGAAAGGAAAAGCACAGGCAATTGCAGGCTAAGCCAGGAAGAACAGTCAGAGATTCCTCACTGGTAGACAAGTTGGAGGGGATGCCCGGTTACCAGCTGGCAACCCGTTGTCAATACGTCACGTGGCAGCCCCTGACCTACTATAGGCCAGTGCCTATGGACTTCATGGGCTTTTTCTACTATGCTTATATTTGCACTGAAAGATCTTAAAGATGCATGGATATCATATGACATCTGAGTTGTTTTACAAATCGAATCATACTGTGTACATGCCATTCGCCCATATAGACCGAACGCTATCGCTATCAAACCAAAATACCCAAGGTATCTCAAACAAAATAAGAAACAAACAATAATATCAATAAGAATGTGTACCTTCATCCCTCATATCCGTAAAGTCCATGACGATCACTCATTATAGAATTTCTTCATGATCAAGTGCAAGAAGAGGTTCACGTTGACCCGCATCTGACCGTCGAAGAAGTCCATGAATTGGGTGTTGTTGAACTGGGCCTGCAGCAAGTCGTCCAGCGGTACCTGTGCATTGGCTCCGGGAATCATCATGTTTCCACTGCTGCCATCGATGGTGAACACGCCCACCTCGTTACTGGAGACGGTCAAGTCCACCCGATCCCATTGTCGCTCGGCGTAACCCTTCCAGCCAACGAGGACACCGCGATCGGCCATGGTGCGCGCGGAGTATTTGAATGATCCAAACTTGAAAACCTTGCCCGACTTCTGAAGCTCGCGCTGATGATCCCATTGCTTGGTGAATGGCATTAAGAATCGTTTTTTGCCCTTCTTGTTTTGCAACGTGATCATAGCCTGCTCGATGTAGTCGTTGTATGTCTTGAGTTGCTGGTCAAGGTAGACTGCTTGGCCGCTGAGGCGCTGGGAGGTCAATCGAGCGCCTTCCAATTCACGCTCGCGTTGAATTCTCCGACGGTGCTTGGTACGAATGTCAATGGCAATGGCGTTCAGAAGGTCTTGGTAGTGATTGTGGCGGTTGATACGTCCGGTCTGCTCCAGGCGAAGAATATTCTCGAGTGCAATACCCTTCAATTGTGCATACCCCATGGAGCTAATGTCGATCAAGCTGTTCGCCTCGGAATAAGCACCCCGGCGGGGATTGTTCGCGCTCAACTCTTCCCTAACCAAGTCGTGCCAACGCTCCTCGTCTTCGGGTGAGGGTGGCTTGAGCATGACGTCCATGAGATTAGCGCCGCTCTGAACACGAATAATGTAGAGGATGCAACGCTTCGTCTCCATGAACAGCGCCTTGACTTCAGCTTCAGGATCTGCAGGATAAGGTTAGCCAAGTCTTCACACGGGGTTGCTTTTTACTGCCTACCTTCCATCTGGGCCATTTTGGGACTCAATGTGAGATTGATTTCGGTTGAGCTGACACCCATCAGTTCATTCTCGTTGCTCTTGACACTGCCCAGTTCTCGGACAAGTTCTTTCAGGAAATCATCTGGGTGAGGACACATGTGATTGATTTCGGAGGCCACAAGTTGGTGAATGGAGAAGATGTCAGACATCTTGATGTAAAGGGTAGGCTTGGCCTTGGCATAAAGGTCGTTAAATTCGTCAATGTCGAAGTATGTCTCTGCGTCTTGGACTGAGATCACTGCATGGTGTTAGTTGGGTTGAAAGACACAAGGGGGTAAAGCACAATACTTACTCTGGCCCCAGATTTGCCCCAGCCGCTGAATTGATTCCGCAATGTAGCTGTTAAGCGGTTGAAGATAGACATTCTCGGCTCCAAACAGTCTTCCGGAGGCTATTTGAGCCACAACCTTGGAGATTTCTCCGAGATTGCGTTTTTGCTCCTGGGTCAAACCCCGGTCAACCACTCCATATTTTTCGGGCTCCAGAACGGCAGGCTGGAAGTAGTTCTTCCACACCCAATGTCCCACGGTTTGGAGTATGAAACCTTGATCCTCGCCAGCGAATTTCTCGATGAGATTTTGATACATCTGCTGTGCGAGATATCTGATACCGAATGGCATGCGGTACAAGGAGTCCTCAAGGCCCAAGAAAAATTGGTCAACAATGTCACGAAGGTCTTGCAGATGTTGAATGAATGTATCCCTAGTTTCAGGGTCCCTGATAGCTTCTTCTCGGGGAAGATCTGGTTGGCGACGACTTCTTTGTCCTGTTTGGAGCTCTTCATTGTTGATCGCGGAGCGATAGATTTGGATGGGATCACTCTCCAGGTCAAGGTCTGGGTTGTCAATCACAGACTCCTTGACAACGGTGCCCAAAACGTCACGCATGAACTTCCGATCGCGTGGCGATTTGGCATATGAGGAGAACAGCTTGTTCCAGAAGGACGTGCAGCGCAAATACTCGGGAAGAGATGTGAAGCCCTCGATATCCTCCTTCACAGAACGCGCCAGAAGCTTGATAAGATAATATTCCTCGCGGCGTTTCTGTGAGTATCCAAAGAGGCCCATCATCAAGTGCCTAATCCTCTCGTATTCCTTGTCCGATGTATTCACCTCGCGCATTCGCCTGAACAGACGAGCCAGGTATTGTGATTGGGTCTGAAGGAGGAAGAAGAACACTTGGTATTGGTCCAACTTCCTGCGTGAGGTTTTGTTGAGGGCCTTTAGGTCGTAGGGATCTTTGGAAGAGATTTCGGTGTTTGACAACAAGTTGCCGATGTGGCCGCCAAAGTGCTTTTGGTGCTTGACAACTTCGTCGAGCGTGATCTTGTTCTTGACAAGGAGGGCAATCTTGATATCCAGCTGGCTGATGTATTGCTCGGCAAGCTCGTTCTGTCGGACTTGCTGGACAACGACCTTGCGCAACCGTTCAAATTCAATCTCTTCATCGAAGTCAAAGTCGCTGTCGTTGAGAAGGTGGACGAATCCCTTGACTGTTCCGACAGGTGGATTCTTTCCGCTGGTCAGGCTTTTATAGGCTTGGCCTTGAATGCGGCCTCGGATAACACTCTGGGCCTTGATGACCTTCTCCATGTTTTCATTGTAGTGTTGACGTCTTTCTTCGAAACGGTTTCGGACGTTGAGTCCTCGGATTTGTGCTTGAAGGTCGACGATCACTTCTTCTTCAGCATCAAGATCTGTCAGGATATCACCAACTTCGAGACGTGCGATCATGGCGCGAGCTAAGGATTGCAGCTGGATGGCTTCCTCTTCAGTCTCGTCGAGGCTGGAAAGAATGTCTCCTACTTTCATTCGCGAGACAGCGGCACGAGCAAGTGCTTGAAGATCAACAATCGCATCCTCCTCCTGCTCGAGTTCGTTGCGCTCCTCGGTGATACGGAGCCTCTGAATGAGCCCACGAGAACGGGACTGCAGATCCAAAACCAAAGGCTCCTCGTTCGATAGCAAGATTCTCTGGGCATTCAATGACGCTCTCACGGCTTGGCCACGCAAAATTCCCTGAAGATCCACCACTGGTGACACATGTTCGGAAAGCTCGCTAAGGAGGGCTGAAGTTGATGTTCGCACGGCAGCAGCACGCAGAATAGCTTGCAGGGCCGTGCACTCCTCTTCGGTCTCTTCCAGTGCATGCAGTAGCTGGGTCTGGCGATCTTTGGCGATCAGAGCCCGGATGTATGATTGAATTGTAGTGACATGGGACGCTTCTTTGCTGAGCAAGGTCTTCATATCTGAGATGTTTTGGCGGGCGATTGATCCTCGAATGACAGATTGAAGAGACTTTACGGGGGTTTCAATCTGCTTAACCTCGTTGGATTGAGTATTGATTCTCGTTCGTTGCAAAGCACCTCTCATGGCGGCTTGGAGTGATTTCACAGCGATGCCGGCTCGGCTAACTTCTTGGGACTGGGCTTGCATTTGCTTGCGCTGCATAGCACCGCGGATGACAGCTTGAAGCGACAGTACTTCGCCACCGGCCTGATGAACCTGTTCGTATTGGTTGGCGACGGTCATGCGTTGAAGAGCACCACGAATAGCAGCCTGGAACAACGTGACTTCATTTCCGCTCTCTTGGTACTGCTCGTATTGGTCGGCAACATTGTTGCGTGACAATGCGCCTCTGATTGCTGCCTGGATCTGTTTGATCCCGGACTCTTCTCTTCGGGTCTGGGTTCGCAGGTGATTGGCTTCGACGCGGGCTTTGGAGCCGCGAATGAGACTTTGAAATTGGAGAATATCCGCTTCTTGGGCTTTACGCCACTGCCCGTCATCTTGTTGCCGGCGACGCACGATGAAACCTCTGCTGATTGATTGTAATCCAACCGAGAACTGAAGCATGTTCAAGCGATATTGACTAATTTGGCGAGCCCAATCACCACGCAGGCGGGACTGAAGTTCAATCAAAAGAGGCTCGAAGTCCCAAAGACCCCCCATCGTGTTTCCCAGCTGCAAGCGCAACATGGCGCCTCGAATTTGGGACTGAAAGTCGCAGATCGCACTTTCATTTTCTTGCAGTTCTCGATCAATGCGCTCTTCTTCAGACTCAACTGGCTCGGGCTCGGGTTCGGGCTCGGCGCCGAAGTTGGCGGCCATTCCTGCGAAGCTGGGCATGCTGACGCCAGACTTGTCCAATCCCTTCTGAGTTTTTTCGAGCTCATGATGTTCGAATTCAAGCTGACCGACCAAGTTACCCATTCGGAAGTCTAACATGCCATTCTTGAAGAGTGCCCACGATAGCGCGTGGATACAGTGTATGACCTTAGGAAGATTCTTCTTTTCGTACAAATCGATCAACTCAAAGCGAAACAGTTCCGGTAGCTCAATCTCATCGAGGAATCTGAAAAAGAGGGCGATGTTGTCGGAGTGGCGGTATTGCAACTTTGGGTTTCGGAAGATTCGAAGGGGTTTGCCTGGATACATGGCTTGCACAACCTCCGCCAACGTAACGCCATCCCGTAGCCCTTCTTCCAATTGAACAATGGCAGGAATTTGCTTGTGGATGACATCTTCAATCCACTGCTTGGCTTCTCCGATATGACACAGATATTCGTAGGCCTGGATGAATTGTCGCTGTTGATCCATCCAGTTGCCAGCTGCCCACGAGGACACCTTGGGCTTGACGGGTGATACTGAGCCCGGCCTTCCAGCTGTGGAGTCTGCTCGCTTCAGGCGGCGCCGACCTTCGAGACCGGTCACGGAACCTGCCGGTGTGTTGAATTGAAATTCATCGGTCTCGCCGGATTGTGCAAATTTAGATAGGGTCCTCAGATGGCCTGTGGAGGATTTTTGGAAGGTCTCCAACTCAGGACCCGATAGTGCAGCAGTTAACTGGGGCGGGTGAGGGCTGTGTGGAGTCGTCTTTTGTGGAGATGAGGGACGCGACGTCCCAGGCACGGGGGACCATTGGTGAGGGGAGGTGGGTGTGGGTGTCTGCGCGTCGTAAAAAGACAATCTGCGACGCGGCGACTCGTTTTCCTGCAGACGCGATTCAGGAGTGCTAGGTCGATGCTCTTTCCATGGCTGGGTCTCGTCGACAGTGTGGCTCCGCGCATGCCGGTAACCACCAGCGTTCGCTGCAGACGATGTACCATTGGAAACTTGTTGCAGCGGGCGCAGAGATCGGCGAATGCTATCGTATGTAGTCCCAGCGTTTGGACGATTCCCCCGCTCCATTGTGTCCGTCACGGTGGCTACAGAGCTTTTGCTGCTTGCTTCACTCTTCCCTCGGAAGTGGCCTAGATTGCTACCTATTGACCCATTGGAAGAGACTGTGCTGGTGCGACTGGGAGCAAATGAGCTGGATGCGACGGAATATGCGGATGAATTGGTGGACGCCGTGGAGTCTTGTCGTAATGGGCTGGTGGACTGCGCAGGAAGGTCCGTCTGAGCTCGTCTGAGCGATGGGTATTGAGCTGACATCACTTAGTCTCGAGTCGGGTATGCGAAAATAAAATTGAAATGAAAAATGACGCGCTCCTTAGACCGCATCCCTGCTCCGGTGGGCAGAAGCGGAATGCGCAAGTCAAACAAGGCTCTCTGACCTCTGACCTCGAATGCTGTTGGATCGAACGATTTTCCAATGCCACAAGTCTCTCAACTGTGGATTCAGGGATTTGAAGACTAACAATCTCAAGTCGCGCGATGTGGGATTCAAAGTTGATCGTATCCGATGAAATTGTTGACGGTGGGGGTGCAAGTGCGACCAAGATTCCCCAACCCGCCCGCGCAGGGGGCACAACAAATCTCCGTATCAGGTATAGTGCCATCAGGTGATTGTGGCTTGCCGATCTTCAATTACTTGCATCTCCTCGTATCCTCTCTTCTGCCTACAGGTTTCAGGCCTGGAGTGGATTTCATTCGATCCATATTCCGATCGCGGGCTTTGCTCCGATTCTCTCATGGGAGTTAGCACTCGGCACCCCTCGCGATTCCTTTTTGGGCGCAGATTCAGTAGGATGCTTACCGGTCTTGGCATCAGTGGCTGGTGTCCGATTAGGCAGGGTTTAGTGCCTTCGTAGCCCCGTGCGACCATCACATCTCTACTTGAACCATTCCACTTATTGAAATCATGCCAGGTCTACTCCGTACCTCTATCAATACGGAGTACGGGGTACCGATTTTGGTTCTATAATAAAAAGAACCCCTTACCATCATATCATTTTCTAGAGACTGGCAGTCCGAGTGTCTATTTTCAAAAAATATATACCACAAAATCGAGTCTTTCCAAGGCTGTCGCTTTCTTTCCCTTTATTTCTCAATCGCTCTTCCATTAGCCCTTTCTGGTAACCCGGTATATTCTCTTGCATTACATATGTCATTAAGCTGTTGAATCTTGATCCAGAATATCGAATACAATAGCGATCGGATGGTATCGGTGATGTTTCTATGCCTTGTACATCACATTTACCCTGGGCTAGGGAAGTAGCCATCTAAGTATTTATAACAGTGTCCAGGTGACAGCTACCTGGTAATGAGATAGCTTTATCGGTTGGCATGATCTCGGGTCAATGCTTGGTCTTGGAAGATCCTAAATATGGCTTTTGCATGCCCAAAGAATCATGTACCAAAACATCAATTTTGAGCGATCGGATATCTTGAGAGCTATCTCCACCTAGGCAGGATTTTGGCACGGTAGTGACTAGCTGGTCAAATAGTATACTAGTAGCTAAAGACATTCCAACTTCGAAATGTCGTTTTCGGCCACATGGAAGATCCCTGATATATTTCTTTGACAGTACGGACAACAGCTATACTTGACCTGTTTTTCCAAAACTACCCGTGGACCCGGGCAAGCAAAAATGAACCTCAATTGAAAAAACCTTGGAAAGTCTAGCGTGACAACAAAAACTGCAACAAGACATTGAAACGTACGGAGTGAACTTTGGCTCGAGGTAAGTTGCCGGCTGCACCGACCGACCCCGCCATCAATGAAACCTGACAAACCTTCTTTCTTCCCTCCCGCCTTGATATCAAACGAGCTCTACAGTCGGCGACTTTCTTCTTCTTCCATCTTTCCATACAATCTTCAACATGTCGGCACTGTCTTCCCAGCCTCGCTACATTTACAAGATCGTTCCCTCAACTTCGCCAGTGCGCGAACCAATCCCTGAGAAGCTTGCAGTGAGTGATTTGGATGAAGGCTCCGGCTTTATCCATCTCTCAACCGCGCACCAAGTAGCAAATACTCTGAAAACCTTCTTCGCCGAAGAGCCCCTGGTGTACGTGCTACGAATCGAGTATCACCGTGTTATCCAGGACATCAAGTGGGAGTCTCCCGACCGAAGGGTGACCGGCCCTCGTCCTGGGGAAGGACTTTTCCCTGTGAGTTGATCCTCGTCGCTCAAATAATTCATTTTGTCGCCTAACGAATTACAGCACCTATACAACGGGCTCAGGTTGGGCAGAGAGGAAGTGGAGAGTGTGGCAATTTGGCAAAATGACGAAGGATGGGACAAAGCCCTTACTGGTGCGAAGCCGTGGCTTCTGAACTAAGTTTTCTCGTATTTTCCAGTTGTGCTTCGAATTGATACCAATGAAAATCACGCAATCTATTTTCTGCGACGAATCTTGTTCATATTCATATTTCGCCTTCGTTGATCTCTGCGCAACCGTTCATTCAAGATTTAAGTCAACCTTGGGAGATGCTCAGGTGCTAGAGAAAATCCTGGAAAGACTTTCTTCAGTCGCCTAGAGGATAGCAACATAGAATTTGCCCATCTAGGTGGAGGTGATGTGTCAGAAAGAAGAAACGAACAAAGAAAAACGGGGCGTAACCGCGACTGGGAATTTGGACCACTCACAGTACAGAGAGGCATCTGCACTAGCCAAGAAGATGAAGCTTGTTGCAACCTCGCTCGGTTCACCCGGCCGACCTAAGCCAACCTTGTGACCCCATCCTTCCATTTGTTGCGCATCTCGGGTATCGACTTGGATTGGAGTGTATATTGCCCCAGGTCTGGATTCGCATCGTGTCAACAAACATGATTGAAAATAGAGGGAGGAAATTCTTACGCAACTGCATTTACTCTGATACCCCTAGGGATCAGGTAAGATGCCAAAGCTCTAGTGAAACTTATAATGGCTCCTTTTGTGGCAGCATAGTCAATCATGGTGCTGGACCCACGCAGAGCCACGAGAGATGATGTGTTGATGATTCTGTAGATAATTAGCAAGTCTGTACCACGGGGGAGCATGTGGCTATACTGACGAGCCACCTCGATTCATATGGGGAAGAGCAAACTTCGCCATTGCAATCATTTGAACGATGTTTGTTCTGAAAATGTCTTCGGTTTTGTCCAGATCGATGTTTTCAAAAACTTCACACATGTACTGTTTCGATGCGTTATTGACAAGTATGTTGATCGTGCCGTATCTGCAATCCGTGCAAAGTGAGCGATTGTTTCATACAAAAGAGCCTTGAACTTGAACATATGCTGACCTCTTGAGATGTTCGTCAACCGCATGGCGACATATAGTTCGTTCACGTAGATCCCCCGGAATAAGAAGACAAGATCTCTGTTCCTTTTCCACTGAGGCCTTGGTTGTTTCTGCATCTGATTGTTCTGTTGGCAAATACACGATACTCACGTCTGCACCCTCTCTAGCCATCAAGACAGCCACAGATCGTCCAATCCCGGAGCTAGCATGAACAATTAGCAACCAACAAATAGCCTTTTAAACGTACATACTCTCCACCGGTAATGAGTGCCTTCTTGCCTTTCAATTTACCCGAACCAACGTACTCAAAGAATTCATTGAGGCCTTCGAGCTTCGTTGATTCGCTGGGCTTTGTCATTATGCTCTCTAACCTAAAGCAACCACTTTAGTGGTGGGAGAATTGTGCACAGTAGAAGTGCTCTCACCCTGGTTTATTCTGCGCCTGTGCCTGCGGGGCAGGCTGAAAGGCACCATGCTGGCCCATGGAGGATTCCATCTTGAGGGTATACACAGTGCAGCACAGAGGGCACCTTTCGGGGAGAATAATTGATTGAATCTTAATTTTCCTATCGAGAGGCCAGATAAATGGGTATAGCAAGACATATCACCCCATATTTGCCTTAGTACTATCATTCTGTCGTCATGACACTACGAGAGTGCGCGGGATTCAAAGCCGCCAACTGAGGACTGGCATATTATATTGCTAGTCCCAAGGCCATTCCAAGGAACCATGAGCTCTCGAAGTATTCGGCAGCAGTGTCAGTTTTCCAGAATCATCACTGCAACTCCCATTAAGCATGACCGTTCTTTGGATTAGTACTCCGTACTCCGTGGTGTACACTGATCTGTGACACGTAGAGCTGATGGTATCTTTCAACAGCTGACAGGAAATGACTCGAAATGCATGACCAATCTCAAGTCGGTACCCAGATTGGCAACTTCCAGAAAACTACTCAAAAAAGACGCATGCATTTCCCTGGGGCCGTATGCAACATCATCTAAATCTTATACATGATCTATAAGCAAGGCTGGTTCACCGCCCTGAGGCATCTCGTTTATCAGCCAATCAGCAAGGCAGACGTGCAAATAAGACGGTAGGCTATCCCCGAAGTAGTTTAGCCTCCTGCCGGCTTGGCCGTGCACGGAAGAGAAAAGGAACCAATTTTTCGTCCGACTTTTTCTTCTTCTTTCTTTTCTTTGGGAAAGCCCGACTTTCTCCATCAGCAGATCGTTTCTTCTCTGTTGATTAATATATCTTCTCAAGTCGTGTCTCACCATCTGTTTCAAGACATCCTCTCATTCTTATAATGCCTATCACCGCCAGCGACGCTGCTCCCGGTGCTGCCATGAAGGCTGAGATCACTGACTACGCCAAGGCCTTGGAGGTCGTTGAGACCTACAAGACCCGCGATGGCCTTGACGTGGATACCCTCATTGATTCTGACAAGCACGGTGCTTTGACTTACAATGATTTCCTGATCTTGCCCGGCTACATCGGTAAGCCGAACCCCGCGGTGGGTTGAAAATTTTTGGTCTCAATGACTAATTTGGATAGGCTTCCCTGCCTCCGATGTGTCTCTTGATACCCCTGTCACCAAGCGTATCTCGCTGAAGACCCCCCTTCTGTCTTCTCCCATGGACACCGTCACCGAGCACAACATGGCCATCCACATGGCCCTGCTCGGTGGCCTTGGTGTCATCCACCACAACTGCTCTCCTGAGGCTCAGGCCGAGATGGTCCGCAAGGTCAAGAGATACGAGAACGGCTTCATCCTTGACCCCGTTGTCCTCTCCCCCAGGCCACCGTTGGCGAAGCCAAGGAGCTCAAGGCCAAGTGGGGCTTCGGAGGTTTCCCTGTCACTGGTAAGTCAGAATATCTTATTCCCTTCTACGACACACAATTCCTTTTGCATGACGACCAAACTCTTTTAAAAATAACTTTCGTTCCACTGCAGCGACGAAAGTCGCATTGTAGAGAACCAGATCTTATCTGAATGTTTTGACTATCATCTTTGACTTGACACATTTGCTTTCCGCAATCAGAATGCTAATGGTTGAATCCAGAGAACGGAACTCTTCGCTCCAAGCTCGTTGGTATGGTCACTTCCCGTGACATCCAATTCCACCACAACCTCAGCGACCCCGTGACTGCCATCATGGCCACTGATCTTGTTACCGCCCCGGCCGGCACCACCCTGGCCGAGGCCAACGAGGTTCTCCGTCAGTCCAAGAAGGGCAAGCTCCCCATTGTTGACGCCAGCGGCAACATCGTTTCTCTGCTTTCCCGCTCCGACCTGATGAAGAACCTCCACTACCCTCTTGCCTCCAAGCTTCCCGACTCCAAGCAGCTCATCTGTGCTGCTTCTATCGGTACCCGTGAGGAGGACAAGCGCCGTCTCCAGCTCCTCGTTGACGCTGGCTTGGACATCGTTATCCTGGACTCTAGCCAGGGTAACTCCATGTACCAGATCGAGATGATCAAATACGTTAAGAAGGAGCTCCCCCAGATTGACGTTATTGGTGGTAACGTTGTCACCCGTGAGCAGGCTGCTGCTCTTATTGCTGCCGGTGTCGATGGCCTGAGAATTGGCATGGGCTCCGGTAGTGCCTGCATCACCCAGGAGGTCATGGCCGTCGGCCGTCCCCAGGCCGCCTCCGTGCGCAGCGTCTCCTCCTTCGCTGCCCGCTTCGGTGTTCCCTGTATCGCCGATGGTGGTGTTCAGAACCTTGGCCACATTGTCAAGGGTCTCGCCATGGGTGCTAGCACCGTCATGATGGGTGGTCTCCTCGCTGGTACCACCGAGTCTCCCGGTGAATACTACGTCAGCAACGAGGGCCAGCTCGTCAAGGCCTACCGTGGCATGGGCAGTATCGCTGCCATGGAGGACAAGAAGGCCGGCAACGGTGCCAAGGACAGCAAGGCCAGCAACGCTGGTACCGCCCGCTACTTCTCTGAGAAGTCCAATGTCCTCGTCGCCCAGGGTGTCGCTGGTTCCGTCCTTGACCGTGGCTCCGTCACTAAGTTCATTCCTTACCTCGTTGCCGGTGTCCAGCACTCTCTGCAGGACATTGGTGTCCCCAGCCTTTCCGCTATGCACGCTGGTGTCGACAACGGCACCGTTCGCTTTGAAATGCGCAGTGCCAGCGCCATGACCGAGGGTAACGTCCACGGTCTGCACAGCTACGACAAGAAGCTTTACGCGTAAAATGTTAGCTCTCTGTCAAGTGGCCTCGTGTATAGATCATCAGGGTAGTACCGGATGATATGGCCTTGAAAAAAAATTAAAATAGGGGTATAGGTTAGGAGTTTACGATTTGAAGATTTACGCCATTTCTGTTAATGAGCAAAGACGTTACATTTTTCCATCATTCATTTCATTGTAGTTTCATGTTTGGAAAAAAGCACATGTTAGTTGGTAGCCATCCCCAGTTCCAGGGCGCATGTCGCCGCGTTCGGCTAATCTCGATGAAGTTAAGTTACACGCGGGGTAGCAGGGAACAGCCTAGGCTGTCGGGTGTACGTTCTTTCTATACACTACCTATACTTTCCTTAAGAGACTGATATGTCCTTCCTCACCCGGAAACCATTCTGTCATCGCATTGGACACAAGCTGCATCATCAATTTACATTGAACATCAAGTCTCGCAGATATCGCGTTTACTCAATTGCCTCGGCACAGCTCTTCCAATACCCGGGACCCAGGGTTGCTACAAGAAATTATACAGCAACACCAGACCCTTTATCATCTTCAAAGATAATGCCGAAGGAAAACCTCGACCAGAAAAAGCAGCCTGCGGTTCCGCGGCCTAGTTCTAGGTGAGTTTGTAGCAAGGGGCCGTATCGTGAGGCAATGGTCGATTAGCCCCGTGTTTCTAGCAATACAATAGGAAATGATCACGGAAAGAAAAAGCCACTGACTTATCCAGTGTACTTCTCGTTTCATCCAAGAACGAGCTCCTTTTACTCCACCGTGTCAAGACTTCCACCTCTTTCGCATCAGCTCATGTGTTTCCAGGCGGTAATCTATCCGCTCAAGATGGGCCCTGTCCTCCACCTGAAGATCTATCCCGACATGAGGACTCTCCCAGCTACAGACGAGCAGCAATCAGAGAGCTCTTTGAAGAAAGTGGCATTCTTCTAGCCAAAAATCGGGACTCGGGCAAGATGATTGCCGTTGATGAACCCACCCGAGAGGCAGGACGACGACTGATCCACCAGAACAAATCAACCTTTGATGAATGGCTGAAGACGCAAGATGCTCATGCGGAACCAGATATAGGTGAGTCACTACTTGCTTGATGTGTTGCGTCGCTGACTTTAGCCAGACCAATTGATTCCCTTTACACGTTGGGTTACGCCAACTAATGTCCCCAAACGATACACTACCCAGATGTATCTATATTTCTTGCCGTTGCCCACGAATGTGGACAAGAAGTTGCTTGCCGAGCTTCCGGCCGAAGGTGAACGCGACGAGTTGGAGAGTCCCACCAGTGATGGCGGCGTTGAGGTGACAGAGGCGCAATTCCTCCCGGCGGCGGAGTGGATCAGCCGCGCTCAAAAGGCAGAGATTATACTGTTTCCGCCTCAATTCCTGCTGCTGCACTTGGTGTCAGGGTTTTTGGACAAGGATCCTGGGGCGGGTGTCCCTGTGGAAGAAATGGAGAAGCGTCGTCAGCAACTTGTTGACTTTGTTCATTCAGGATCTCCTTCATGGGCACAGAAGTGTATCTCGCCTAAGATGATCCAGATGACTCGTGACGGCCGATCGGTTTTGGGACTGAGCGGGCCTGGTCCCGAGCTGAAAGGGACAGATAGACGGGGAGAGCCCGAGCGAGTTGTGCTTGTGCGGTTCAAGAAGGGAAGCGCGAGGGAGGTGGCTGTTGGTTGGAAAGCCGATATTATGCAAGAAGAGAGGGAAAAGAGTAACCTGTAGGAGTTGTATAGATAACATTCCACGAAAGAGTATATGGTACGCTTTTCAAACTATTATGACAAGACATTCCACGAGAGAACAACCGACACACCAATGGCTCGTAGAGCAGAGCTAGGTCTGTCTTGTTGCATCTGGCTTCAGAAGCGCTCTCCTCCTTGACTTGGTCCGTGACGAAGAGGTAGACTTGGGGTTTATACATCGCACAGCATCGTTTCAGGATGGATATACAATCACAGACAAGAGGCTCACATGCGGTTCTTGATAAACACCAACCGAGTAAATTTCCATGGATGGATTGTGAAAATCATTACTCAAACCCAGCCAATAGATGTGGATATATTGCCACGGCAGATAGGTGGACGAGCGATAGACGCACGCACCTCCCCACTTTAAACACGCCAGCCCTCGACAAAGGGTCACATGACCCACACAAATGTGCGGAGCGGAGAAAAACCCTACACAAATCATTAAGACTAACCCTCCACCTCCAACCTCACCGTCGCCCGTCAAAACCTCACCACCAAACCCGCCAAAATGGAGAACGACAAGGGAGAGATCGTCGATCTGTACGTGTCATCGCTTCGTTTCCAATGATCCAGTCTACCCTGTGCCCTGTGTCTGCGTGGCCGAGTAATTCCGCATGCAATCCCGCGATCCCAAACCAGAATGAGCACCACTGGACCGGATTGACAGAGCGCGACCGCGGAAAGAAATTGCGAACACCACGACGGAGCCTCGGGACGCAGCAGGAGCAGGATCTGAGGGGAACCTCTTTTTCGCAAAGAATTACAAAACTAACGACTCCCACAGCTACGTGCCCCGCAAGTGCAGCGCCACCAACCGCATCATCAAGGCCAACGACCACGCCTCCGTCCAGCTCTCCGTCGGCAAGGTTGACGAGAACGGTCGCTACACCGGCGAGAACCAGACCTTCGCTCTCTGCGGCTTCATCCGTGCCCGCGGCGAGAGTGACGACTCTTTCAACCGCCTGGCCCAGCGTGACGGTTACCTCAAGAACGTCTGGACTGCCGCCAGCCAGCGGTAAATCATTCACAGCGATGTGGTTATACCGGTGTTGACGGGTTGATTTGACGGTATGTCGGGATCTTGGGACTATCACAATGTGCTTGAGCTGACTGGTCACAGAGGAACCGTGGCTGATGGTCCGTGTTCGGGGAGTTGGTCCCATGACCTCAAAAAAGGACCAAGGGATATGAATCCTCCTTAGTTCTCCTTTTCTTTTTCTCCTCAGAGAAACTCCTGTTTTCCTACCTATCTTATCGAAATGAATAAAATATCGACGACTTGATGGTTCAGGTTTTTTTTCTCTACCAATCACAATCCCGCCTTTGCGATAAGATGTTTCATGTCAACTGCACATTTGCAGGCGAAGATCGAATTGATATCCTTCAGTAAATGTTTGTTTCCTTGCGCCTAGTCTCTTTTCCTTTCTCATCTCGGCACTTCAAGCCTCCTCATTCTTTGTCGATGTGAAAACCAGACTGGTTCGCTAGACTTGGTCTTCTATCTTCATTTCAGTGAGCGAGGGGGCAGCAATAAGCATATATCGCCGAAGATCATGCTTCCGAGCTCCCGCCTGCTGAAGAGCCACTGTCGCAGAGATCCATGCGCTGGGGCACAGATACGGGCAGGACATCACTGTAGAACTATAGCAATAGCTGTTGAATCAATTGATCTATTGGTAACCTTGGAACCCTGCCATCATTGTATCTACCTGTGGACCTTCGCTTGACCGCCATCATGGATCTACATTAAAATTACTGCTCAATGTAAGTAAGAAAAAAGTGTTTCTATTCACATCTTGTCCATCGTTGACATGCAATACGTTTCCTTGCGCATAAACTCGTGATTGCAAGTGAGGCCTGATTTATCCCATGACTCCACAAAGCAAGACACAACCCAGAGAAAGCTTTTTGTTTTCTATACATGAGTGTACCCTCTCTCTCCATTTAATCCTTCTCGAGTCGAACAGCGGGGTTGGTCTCAATGAAGTTGAGATCAACCTTGTGGCCGAGGAGCTCACGAATGTTGCTGACAGCATACCTGGACACATGTTAGTAGGTGCATGACCAATGGGATTTTGTTTATACATACTTGATCATAGTAGGTCGCTCCAGACTCAATCCCCATCCGTAGACTCTCAGGCCCTTAGGAAGACCCATGGACTCCAGCATCTCCGGTCGGAACATACCACTGTTACCAATCTCAACCCACTTGCCCAGACCGGCGTGGTAGCCGAAAATCTCCATACTAGGCTCGGTGTAAGGGTTGTAAGCAGGCTTGAAACGCAGCTGGTGGATGCCCATCTTGGCGAAGAAGACCTCCATGAAGCCAATCAGACCACCGAGAGTCAGACCGAAGTCGGCGATGACACCCTCGATTTGGTGGAACTCAGCCAAGTGGGTAGCGTCGACTGCCTCATTACGGAAGACACGGTCGATACTGAAGTAGCGAGCTGGCCGGGGGTTGGCGGCCAACTTGTGCAGCATGTAGGTTGAGATAGAGGTGGTGTGAGTGCGGAGCACAAGGCGAAGAGACTCGTCTGCGCTCCAGGGGTAGCGGTAGCCAATGGAGCTGAATTTGCCGTGCTCGTGGACCTCGCGGACATTGTCCCAGTACTCTTGGTAGTCAAGGGCCTTCTCGCCATCCTTAGGCTTGGGGCAGTGGGGGTCGTTGGGGGCGTCTGCGCGGGGACCGTCGGCGACGGCAGGGTCGGAGATATAGAAAGTATCTTGGAGGTCACGGGCAGGGTGTTGCTGGGGCACGAACAGAGCGTCGAAGTTCCAGAAACCGGTTTCCACGAAGCGGTTGGTGGGCATCTCCTCGAAGCCCATCTCGAAGAAGATGTTGCGGAATTCTTGTCGCACCTTGTTCAGAGGGTGGAAGGTACCCGATGGGGTGACAGCACCTTTGGCGTTGAAGTTCTTGGACTTGAAGGCTGTGGTCTTCCACGAGCCGCTGGCGATCATCTCGGGTGTGAGATCGGTCTCCTCCTTGACGAATTCACGGGCATATTTGGGACCCTTGGAGACTTGGTAATCGTGTTCCTTGGCCAGAGAGACCAACTTCCTTCGCTTGAGATCTTGTAGGGCCTTGGAATCGTTGAGCGCCTTGGTTTTTTGCACTCCAATCAGGACTTGTTGTGTCTCGTCGACAATCGATTCTGTAGATGCTCGCAGCAGGTCTTTATCCTTCTTGATCCAGCCACGCTTGAAAGCATTTCCCTGGCCAACCTTGGCGTTGTCCTTGCCCACAATGCCGGGCAGGTCGGCGATCTTTAATCCATCCATGGCAGCAACAACGGCGGCGAAGACCTTGGCCTCGTGACTGCCATTGGCAGCAATATCCTCACCCTCCTTTGTGAGAGTGACAACTTCATTTTCCAGGGCCTTGATCTCGATCATCTGCCGGGAGCTAAGGCGGTCGAGCGCACTTTTGACCTTCAATGAGGGGTGGGAGGGGAAGGCATTGCTGGTGAGGATGGGCGCATCGGAGGCGGACAGGGCGTCCAAGATGGCGTTTGTCAAGTCAGGCTCCATAATTGCAGCCTTGTCCTGCAGACTGGAGTTTGATTTGGAGGTGTTTTGGCGTTTGGGGATCAGACAATATTTCGCAGAATTATGACTCGGCGGGATCCAAAAGATAAATACGGGAGGTCATAGAGACCACTTGTGCCATTCCACCCCGCCATACTTTGTAGCCCAAGAGACGACAGTTGACGCTGAGACTTGACCATATTGCGATATCGGCATCAAAATCGACATTTCCCCTTCTTATTGAGACTGATAAATTGACAATTTCAGCGCACCACTCCACGTACACACCTGACGTGAATGCAAATTGTTGAATAGCCTACACGTTTCCACAAACACATCATTACTGAGTCCATGGGACAAAGTTATGAGATCTCACCCAATCTCTTCCAATTTCCACTAATCCAGGTACCAAAAAGACCCAAACCCAAACCTCATGGGTACGAGGGACATGTACACCAATCGTACCGAGCCCCAACGGCAAAACGAGACGCTAAGCCGAAGGCTCAGCCACCAAACTTCGTACCGAAGTTGAAATCGAACTATGGGACTGAGTCTCAGACATTGACACTAGGATTGGATCAGAGCGCAACTGGTCAATGTGGCCCCCGAAAGAGAAAAAGCACCCCTTTTGACACGTACGGAGTACTTCCCAGGGAGTACTCCGTCCTTAAGCACTATCAATATCTCAAACGGCCTTAAGTGATCGCCACTAGTCCCATAGTCGATCATCACGCTTTTAGGTCTTGGTATATCGATAGCAGGTGGACCACGGGACATGAAACAGCTGATCAGGACGTTTGCCGCATTTTCCTCTTCTTCTGTGTAGCCAGCAGATACTCCTGCAAGTACTCAATCTCGAAACCTAAACAGATCAATCCCAGTCCGTGCACATATGCAGTCATGGTGCAAAAAGAAAGAAAAATCCGAGATAGTATTATAGTTAACATACTTCCATCTTATAATGTACATAATGTACTATTCGGGTCTGGTGTCAGTTGAGGGCTGTGGTGTCTTCGAGTAGAGAGACAAGGTGGAAACAAAAAAACAAAAAAAGCCAAACAAAAAGCCAACATCACCGCCCCTTTCGAAATCCTCTAGGCTAACTATCTCCCTCTCCCACTCACACACCCTTCTTCCAAGGTTGTCTTCTTTGTGCTTGGATCTCTTCTCTCATTCTCTCTCCTATCGTCCCCCGCATAGTCCCAAAAACAGGATTACATAATTACCGGGCGCCCTTTTCTTCCCCCCTTCCCGACCTTGAAGGTTCCCATCACCCCCGATAAACTCGGGATTCATTCCATTTTCCGTGTTATTCCTGTTCTTTGTGAATCACCTCATGTCGCCCTAATTTAAAAATATCGACTTTTTTGCGTCAGGAACCCGACTATCCGGTGAGTGTTCCTTGAGCTCAATTTTCTCATCCTCCGAAACCCTATCAAACTTAGTAGCCTGCCTCGACAAATATCGTCGTTTGGTCCGAACCTTCCATACGAGGGACTATTTGCATCTGATTACCATGACCTCGCTCAGTGGCTAACGATCGTAGGGCACAATGGCTGGCGTAGACGAGACACTCGTGGCCGCGACTGCTGTGCTACAAAACCTGGCAAGAGACGAGCCCTCCTCCGGCTCTTCTTCCCCCCCTTTTGATTTCCAATTATCATCGAACGGAATCAAATCCACCAAACTCCCCGGAGACCATAGTCCTGCAAAGGTAGCCTTCGAAGCCGAGCTTGAGGCACTGGTGCGCCGCGTGCACCATCTGGAATTCCAAGCTGTCAGTCACCACTTCCCCGACGAGATCCAACAGCAGACGGATCCCCATGGGGATGGGTCTGCTGAAGAACCCAACGAGAAGAATCTCGATTTCTTGAGGACATTTGGGCTCTCTCGCTTCGCGTCCGGTCAAGGTTCTGACTCTTCTTCTTGCCTTTTACAGCAGCAAAAATCGAACCCCCAAGCGCCGCTGGAGAATCTTGACGACCGCCCTCTGGGAGAGATCGATGACGACACCGACGATGATGACGAAGCCGGCACCCGCGTCGTACGGGAGGAGGACATTAGCTTCCTCCGCAATCATGTCCAGAAGCAGGCCGAGGAAATAAGCTCGCAGAAAGATATTATCGCCCAGGTCCGTGACGAACTGCAAAAACAGGAAGAACACACTCGGCGCGCTCTCACCAAAGTCGAAAACGAAGATGTCGTTCTGCTGGAACGTGAGCTCCGCAAGCATCAACAGGCCAACGAGGCCTTCCAGAAAGCCCTACGTGAAATCGGGGGTATCATCACCCAAGTCGCTAATGGTGACCTTTCCATGAAAGTTCAGATTCATCCGCTGGAGATGGACCCCGAAATCGCCACATTCAAACGTACAATTAACACTATGATGGACCAACTACAAGTCTTTGGTAGCGAAGTGTCCCGTGTCGCTCGTGAAGTCGGTACTGAAGGAATACTCGGCGGACAAGCTCAGATCACTGGGGTCCATGGTATTTGGAAAGAACTTACCGAAAACGTGAACATCATGGCCAAGAATTTGACGGATCAAGTGCGTGAAATCGCTTCTGTTACTACTGGTGTCGCCCACGGTGATCTGAGTCAGAAGATCGAGAGTCGAGCCCAAGGAGAGATCCTTGAGTTGCAACAGACCATCAACACCATGGTGGATCAACTCAGAACCTTTGCTACGGAAGTGACGCGAGTCGCGCGTGATGTCGGTACGGAAGGTGTACTCGGAGGACAGGCCCAAATCGAAGGTGTTCAGGGCATGTGGAACGAACTGACCGTTAATGTCAACGCTATGGCCAACAACCTCACCACGCAAGTGCGAGATATTGCCACCGTCACCAAGGCCGTCGCCAAGGGTGATCTCACACAGAAGGTCCAGGCCAACTGCAAGGGTGAAATCGCGGAGCTGAAGAACATCATCAACTCCATGGTGGACCAACTACGACAATTCGCCCAAGAAGTCACCAAGATTGCCAAAGAAGTCGGAACAGACGGTGTTCTGGGTGGTCAAGCCACCGTTAACGACGTCGAAGGAACATGGAAGGATCTCACAGAGAATGTGAACCGAATGGCTAACAACCTGACCACCCAAGTGCGAGAGATTGCAGACGTCACAACTGCTGTCGCCAAGGGTGATTTGACTAAGAAGGTCACTGCCAATGTCCAGGGAGAAATCCTCGACCTTAAGAGCACCATCAACGGCATGGTGGACCGATTGAATACCTTCGCTTTCGAAGTCAGCAAAGTGGCTCGTGAAGTCGGCACGGACGGTACCCTTGGTGGTCAGGCCAAGGTTGACAATGTGGAAGGAAAATGGAAGGACTTGACCGACAACGTGAACACTATGGCGCAGAATTTGACGTCTCAAGTGCGAAGCATCTCCGATGTCACGCAAGCCATTGCCAAGGGTGACCTTGGCAAGAAGATCGAGGTCCATGCCCAGGGAGAGATCCTCACACTCAAGGTCACCATCAACCACATGGTGGGTCGACTTGCCAAATTCGCCACCGAGTTGAAGAAGGTCGCCCGAGATGTCGGTGTTGACGGCAAGATGGGTGGACAGGCCAACGTGGAGGGTATTGCAGGTACCTGGAAAGAAATCACCGAGGACGTGAACACCATGGCCGAAAACTTGACATCACAAGTGCGTGCCTTTGGCGAAATCACAGATGCTGCCACTGACGGTGATTTCACGAAACTTATCACCGTCAACGCATCTGGTGAGATGGACGAGCTGAAGCGCAAAATCAATAAGATGGTTTCCAACTTGCGTGATAGTATCCAGAGAAACACTGCCGCCAGGGAAGCTGCCGAACTTGCCAATCGCACCAAATCAGAGTTCTTGGCCAATATGTCTCACGAGATCCGAACCCCGATGAACGGTATCATCGGAATGACCCAATTGACATTGGACACGGATGATCTCAAGCCGTACACCCGAGAAATGCTCAACGTCGTGCACAACTTGGCAAACAGTCTGTTGACCATCATCGACGACATCCTCGATATCTCCAAGATTGAAGCCAACCGAATGGTGATTGAGAGCATTCCTTTCACTGTCCGGGGCACTGTGTTCAACGCCCTCAAGACGTTGGCTGTCAAGGCCAACGAGAAGTTCCTGAGCTTGACATACCAGGTTGACAACACCGTTCCCGACTATGTCATTGGTGATCCATTCCGTCTCCGGCAGATCATCCTGAACTTGGTTGGCAACGCTATCAAGTTCACCGAGCATGGTGAAGTCAAGCTCACCATTCGCAAGTCGGATCGCGAGCAATGCACCACTACTGAATACGCCTTCGAGTTCTCTGTGTCTGACACAGGTATTGGAATCGAAGAGGACAAACTTGATCTCATTTTCGACACCTTCCAGCAAGCCGATGGCTCGACTACCCGCCGATTCGGTGGTACCGGTCTTGGTCTTTCTATCTCCAAGCGCCTGGTCAACTTGATGGGTGGTGACGTTTGGGTCACATCGGAGTACGGCCACGGCAGCACTTTCCACTTCACCTGCGTTGTGAAGCTTGCAGATCAATCTTTGAGCGTCATCGCCAACCAGCTTCTGCCTTACAGAAACCATCGCGTGCTCTTCATTGACAAGGGCCAGAACGGTGTTCAGGCATCTAATGTCATGAAGATGCTGAAGAAGATTGAACTAGAGCCTCTGGTTGTGCGCAATGAAGAACATGTGCCACCTCCTGAGATTCAAGATCCTTCTGGTAAGGAGTCTGGTCATGCCTACGATGTCATCATCGTGGACTCGGTGGATACTGCTCGTATATTGCGCACATTTGACGAGTTCAAGTATATCCCAATCGTTTTGGTCTGTCCTTTGGTATGCGTCAGCTTGAAGTCGGCTCTGGATCTTGGTATCAGTTCATACATGACTACCCCCTGTCAACCGATCGATCTTGGAAACGGTATGCTACCGGCGTTGGAGGGACGATCGACACCCATCACGACGGACAATTCCAGGTCATTTGATATCCTGTTGGCTGAGGATAATGACGTGAACCAGCAACTCGCAATGAAGATTCTTCAGAAGCACAACCACAATGTCTTTGTTGTTGGCAACGGTTTGGAAGCCGTTGAAGCCGTCAAGAAGCGTCGTTACGACGTTATTCTGATGGATGTCCAAATGCCTGTCATGGGTGGTTTTGAAGCCACTGGAAAGATCCGTGAATACGAACGCGAGAGCGGACTCCAACGCACCCCGATCATCGCACTCACTGCCCACGCCATGTTGGGTGATCGCGAGAAGTGCATCCAGGCCCAGATGGACGAGTACCTGTCCAAGCCATTGAAACAGAACCAGATGATGCAAACGATCCTCAAGTGTGCCACCCTTGGTGGATCGCTGTTGGAGAAGAGCAAGGAGTCAAGAATCTCCAGTAGTGGGGAAATGCACCCCAACTACTCCATGTCCTCCGACAATCAAAATCAACAGCAACAGCCACAGCAACAATCCCAGCAGCGGCAATCGAAGCAGCAATCGCAGCAACCTCAACAGCAGCCCTTGCCACAACCCACGCGCCCTGTTGTGGATTCGCGGTCTATAACTTCCTCCGGTCCCATCGGCCGTGGAAGCGTCGTCAGTCCGGCACCACAAGACAAAGACGAAGAGATGATCGACGAGCGGGTACGTTAGCTGTATGTTTCAACCTGTTGCCTTTGATGCGATTGGCTAATTGTTTCCTCCCCAGACACTGTTGCGTTCAAACAGCACCTAGAGTTCGTTTGCATAGCATTTTCTTTTCCGGATCTGATTGGCCGTTGATACCCTGTCTATATGTGCCATCTAATCATGTTCCGTTGATATCCATACCCTCCTGCGTCTTTCTCTGCTATCTCCGCCTACAGCCATCGCATTCGCTTGTTATCTTCTTCTTTTTCTTGCTTGGTTTTTCCCCCTTGGAGGTGGTGTTTGGCGTATATGATAGGACTCGATTTGATCTACAAGGAAGTTGGGTAACCAAATAGGGGAGTTTTCACTCATCAGAGGGGCGCTATATTTCTTCCTTTTCTTTATCCATTTACAGCTCTAGGGTTGTTCCCTTTTGTCCTTCCTCTCGCTTTTGTCTCTTTGGTTCTCCCAGCACCTTTCTCTTCATTTCCATTTTTGGATTGTATTGTATTTAGTTGCTCTTCTTGACAATACCAACCACGACCACCATCGATAGTGGCGTGTTTATTTTCTCATTGCTTTTCCTTTTGCCTTGCCAGATATCAGAATTTCAGTTGGCGCTTGAAAATGTCACTTGCTCTTCTCTATCTCCTTCGCACATTCCGGGAAACAAGATACCCTTTCAGGGCCCATCCATTGGCCCAGCCTACGATGTACCCCGATATAACGCCACAAACCAGCGCAACGGTTCATCTTGACGAGGATATGGTGAGAAATCTGGCAAATTACACGAGCAAGACGAGAACTTGATGTTATTCAATGATCGATCCTTCGGGTCCGGAGTCTTGCAGCCATCTAGGTGCCTGGGACTGAAAGGAGGACTGAACTTAGAAAGGTGCGCGATCAATATAGGTAGATCCCATCCTTCCCTCTCAGAAGAAATAGATCTCACCGTTCCTGCACATGTTGGTTTGGTCCATATCATTCATCCGCTTCCAGGGGTTCGAGAATTCCCTGCTCCCAATGTTGGGCAATCAGCCAGGCTTGATAGTAGGTTGGAAATGCAGATCTCTTCAGTCTTTTGTGTCCAACCTATCTCCTCCAGGGCTTCCCATACTGATTGCGCAGATGCAAATTCCGACTAATGGGAAGCTCTCCGACCTCAACACTACCGAATTAGGAATTGTTTCCCCGCAAAACGCTTCCAATATGCGGGGAACCTGTTGCAACCTCGTCACCACCTCGGTGGCCCTCCAATCTGGCTATCTAGACTGTTGATCTGTTGGATACAGTATATGCCACCACCCCCACGTATGACACCCGATGCTTTACGGGGTTACAGTGCTCCCCCACACTATGGAAGCTTATACCTTATCTCGCATTTGTTATCTATGCTCTTGGTATATCATCTGCGCAAGGGACTGGCTAAACATTGAGTCGGGGCTTTCAACTCAGGCATTCGGATGTTTATACTATGGCGCAAGTCAAGGATCCATTACCGGATGGCATTCTAGGACCGAATCTAGCCCTAACGGACAACATGATGTAGAAAAAACCAAAGATCCCAACGGGGCGGGAGCTCCTGAACTTGCAGAGATGCAGGAATTGAGGTAATTCATTGATTTTTGAACTCTTGCTGTGAATAACCCGCTCAAAATACTATAGGAAAGGCCTACAGCAGCGCCACATCCAGATGATTGCGCTAGCAGGTACAATCGGAACTGGCCTCTTCCTCGGTTCAGGGCGAGCGCTAGCAAACGCAGGACCGGCTGGCATATTCATGGGGTACACCTTCATGGGGCTCCTAATATCCGGTGTAACACTCTCGATCGGAGAGTTGAGTTCCCTCGTTCCACTTAGTGGAGGCGTGATACGACCAGCTGCTTACTTCGTCGACCCTGCCTTCTCCTTTGCTCAAGGTTGGAACGTGACCTATCAATATCTGATCTCTATCCCAGCGGAGATCTCCGCTGCTTCGGTGATTGTTCAATATTGGATCACAATCAATAATGCGATTTGGGTCACCGTTTTCAGTGCTGTGCTCTTCGCGAGCAACCTCTTTCTTGTTCGCATATATGGTGAAGTGGAATTCACTCTGGCTATTATGAAGATTATTTTGATTGTTGGCATGAACATCATGGTACGTATCTTACAGCGCAAAATTGATCTCTAGGTTGATAATGGACCTTGCTATAGGGGTTAGTGATCACGACCGGCGGTGGTCCTAACCACAAGCCAATTGGATTCAAATACTGGCACAACCCCGGTCCTTTTGTTCAATATCTCGGTGTGCCAGGATCTTTGGGCCAGTTCATGGGATTCTGGACAGTATTTGTCAATGCGGCTTACGCATACTCATCGGTTGAGACTATATCCATGGCGGCCGCGGAGACATACGCGCCTCGAAGAAATATCCCAAAGGCCGCAAAAAGAGTATTTGTTAGGGTTGGGTTGTTCTACGGTATGTAATGTCTGGACATCAGGCAATCTAAGTATCTAACGACAACTCAGTCATTTCTATATTTATGATCACTCTTCTGGTTCCCTCAGACGACCCAATGTTGCTCAGAAGCACCGGGACTGCTGCACAGTCGCCGTTTTTAATCGCAGCAGAGAGGGCCGGAATCAGTGTGGTGCCTCATATCATAAACGCACTTGTATTGAGCAGTGCCTGGAGTTCGGGAAACTCGAGTAAGCGACATACTCCGTCCCTGCCTTACTGTTTAGTACCGAAGAGCTAAACTGACTGGAATTACCATATTAGCTCTCCTGAGCGGTTCAAGAATTCTCTTTGGTCTCGCCCGCGAGGGTCAAGCCCCAAGATTCCTGGCCCGTACAAGTCGCTGGGGTGTGCCCTACATGGGGGTCCTTGCTATTGGGGTTTGGATGGCTTTGGGCTATATGTCCGTAAGCTCAACCGCAGCGACTGTATTCACCTGGTTGCAAGATCTTGTCGCCTGTGCCCAAATCATGAGTTGGCTGGTCATTTGTACGACCTATCTACGTTTCTATTACGCGATGAAGAAACAAGGCATTCCACGAAGTAGACTACCGTGGGCTGCACCGCTTCAACCTTACGCGGCGTGGATAACGCTCATCTCGCTTGCTATCATCCTGCTAACGGGGGGTTATACCACTTTCATACATGGGCAGTAAGTTTGACAAATTTGTTGTTGTAGCAAATATTGACCAGTATCCTAGTTGGTCCACTGAGACGTTTATTTCGGCTTACCTTGATATTGGTATCTTCGCTTCTCTATACTTCGGGTACAAGATTTGGTATCGAACCAAGATTGTCTCCTTGGAGGAGTCACCTGTTGCTCGATTTGTCGAGATTGCAGAGAATGACCCTGATCCGCCAGAACCTCCAAAGTCCAAGTGGTCGGCTCTCAATTTCCTGTGGGGTTAAGCTCAAAGAAAGGTATTGGGAGAGCGGGTAGGTACACTGCATCTTTACCACATATTTACCTATACTGTTGTTTCAGACGGAATGATTATGGGGTTAATCTCCAAAGATCTCATTATGGTCGTTTCACCACTTGGTCACTATGACTAGCAACCTTCTATGTAACAGTTAGGGCCATTGTAAACACATTTTGACTGGCCTCTCAAATAGCAAGAGGCCAATAGCCCACGGGATATGAGATATGATGAGAAACATTGATAGCTTTTAAAACACCAAAGCATGCCCAACTCCGAAAATCTGCAAAGTGCAGGAACCGTGTCATATCTGAAGAAGCATGAAAACAAAAGAAAAATAGCCCAGAAAATTTAGTCGATATCCATCTCCTCCTCGACACCACCGTCCACCAGCATCTTGGCCTTGGACTTTTGGCGGATTCTCTCCTCGCCGTGGACTCTGTTGGCAACCTTGCTCTGCTCGGCAACCATGGGTTGACCCTCCTCGCGATCGCGGAGTTCCTTGCGGATGAGGTGCTCGCCCTCGTTGACGACCTTGCGGTCTGCCTCGCGCTGGCGCTCGCGGGCCAGCTTGCCGGCCAGACGGCGCTTGGTGAAGACACGCTCGCGGCGGGATCTGATCTCCTCGACTCTCTCCATGGCGGTGATGGTGGCGGCCACCAGGTTGCGGTCGTACTTGACGGGGACGTTTCTCTTCTTGGCGAACTGGGACAGGACAAGCGATGAGTCCACGATCATCTCCTTTCCGCGGGCGGCACGGTGAGTCTTGGTCCACTTCAACTTGCGGGGCTGACGCTTCATCTTGAAGTTCTTGTGGCACTTGGACCGACAGAAACGGAATTGTCGGGCATCGTTGCGGACGAATGTGATTCCCTTACTCGGGAATGCCGGGCGGGAACAGAAGTGACAGGTTTCAACACTGCAGAGGCAACCGATCGTCAGAGAGTGTACATGAGGAATTTTTGATTCAAACTTACCGCATGGCTGCAAAGTGGTGTTGGTTCTTGTGTTTGAGTCGCAAGAAACTTTTTCTGAAGCTGGGCCTGAATGGTGGAGCAGACCACGCTAAACCCGATTGGGGCTCGTGCGCTGACTTTTCTATCCCGACGCCTCTCCGCTTCTTTACGACTGCTCGATAACCCCTTCAATCTCGATCTATACAATGGCCTCTGCTCTTGCTATCGGTTTCGGTATTGCTACCACCGCCTTCTTGGTGAGTATCTCCAGATGACGAATCCCAGTCCGATGATTAATTGTTTACAGGGCCGTGCTGGTCTGGTCGCCTACCGCCGCTCCAAAGGAGGTCTCAACGCCGCTGGAAAGGCCTTCTACAAAGGGTGAGATTTGCATCTGTTCAGACACGTCAAAATCTTGCGTGCAGTTGGCTAACAATGCGTAGAGGATTCGATCAGCGCATGTCCCGTCGCGAAGCCTCCCTGATCCTCCAACTTGCGTATGTACTCCACACATCCAATGGTCAATCAACACTGACAGGTACCTCTTTTAGTGAGCGTACCCTTACCAAGGACAAGATTCGCAAGAACCACCGTCAACTCATGTTGCTCAACCACCCCGATCGCGGCGGTAGCCCGTACCTGGCCACCAAGATTAACGAAGCGAAGGAATTCCTCGATAAACATGTCTGAACCTTGACCGTTTATCATGACAATTCGGGAAAGCAAATTTTGAGTCGACAATTCGTCATTACTCTGGGCTCATAGCGTGGCGTTGGTTTGGCATTTTACCAAGGCCGGAGGAATCTCTGGCCCTGGTTGTATTATACTGTTCTTTTTACATATCCTTGAGATCGCCGCTCCTCAAATGTACTTCTATTACAATATGCCATGTGATGGTCTCTTAAGGAAGCTCGAGGCCAATGGGATGTAACCCCAAGGTACTGCCCAGGTGAACCTCTAGGCACTGACGTATTGGCATTATACCCCATATTCGCTCTACTTTGTACATTCTACCCCTTCTCAGGTGATACTTCATGAAAGCCCTCAAGAAATATAAAGATAGTTACACAAAGTCACGATCAGCTCGCATAGGTCCGCATGTAAATTTTCTGACCTCGGAAGCCATTAAGGGCTCACCCGGATCGGACGAACTCGACCGTCAGACTTCTCGGCGTTCGGAATGCGCGGCCTCCGATTCCAAAAAAGCCATGGGAAATTCTACTCAGATGCGATTTTCATATACCGTTTCGCATTCGCATTCGTGTGTTGAGTCATTCCATTTCTTACCTAAAAGGTGCAGTCCGTTATCTCCGAAAGAATCTGTAGCTACCGGGGCTCTTAGTTCTTTGATGCGTCATCCATTCAAGGCTCCCTCATTTCTTTCAGTCTGGTCGATCTTGAACCTCCTGAGCTGTTTGACGCCCGAAGCGGTCCCCGACATCACCTGAACACGGCTCCCCGCAGTCTCCTTATCCCCGACACCGCCATTGCCCACACGCCGCGAAGCATCGGTTGCCCCTCATACCAACATGGAGATGGGGGACGATGGCTTGGGATTCGACATGAATCCCATGATGAACCAGACCCCGCAGCTATATAACTATGACAACCCTATGCAAAGTGGCGCAGGGTCCATGTACGACGACTCGTCATTAGGCGCGGGGGACGAGACCAATGACGCCAAAAGACGGAGGATCGCGAGGGTGAGGCTCACACCGTTGCAAACAGCTTGTGAATTCTCTAATACGATGCGGACAGGCCTGCGACATGTGTCGCAAGAAAAAGATCAAATGCGATGGCAAAATGCCCAAGTGCTCACACTGCATCAATTACAAGACGGAATGCATTTTCACCCAAGTTGAGAAAAAGCGCAACCCACCAAAAGGGTAGGTTCATCGATTTGCACAAAGGTAGCTTAATCTAACGAGCTTCTCATAGAGCGAAATATATCGAAGGCCTCGAGAACCGCTTGGGGCGCATGGAGTCGCTGTTGCGCTTATCGGGTCTCCTGTCGGAGGACGATGGCGGCAAGACAGATCTAGGAACGTTGGAGAAACGACTCGCCGATCGAACAAACGCATTGAATGCAGCCAACGCAGCAAGTGCAGCGAATGCTCCGAATACAGCGAAAAGCGCAAACAAATTCATGGCTCAAGCAGCACAGCAAGCCCCGAGCTCCCACCAGACCACTCCTCGAATGGACTCCCACTCCAGCCCTCAAACGGCCGCTACGTCACCAGAATCACACAAGTCGGAAACAGAAGTTGAGGCTTTGTCGGATATGATGTGTTCATTGGTGACAAATAACTGCGGCGAGACTCGGTACATTGGGTCCTCATCTGGATTCTCCATATTCTCCCCCAAAGGTATCCAATGGGTTAACGAGAAAACTGGCGATACCTCTTTCCAAGACATGATCTCATCAGCATACGTGGATGATAACAAGTGGATGTACTGGAAGCCTGAGATCTTCAGCGATATCTTCGCAAGACGTGTCTTCAAACCTTTACCACCAAAAGAAGAGGCGCTCTCTCTATTCAAGGATTTCTTCGAAAACTTCAATTGCATGTTTCCGTTGTTCCACGAAGCCACATTCATGCACCTGGTCGAGCGGCAATATTCGCGCGATCCCTACGAGGGCTCGGGCTGGTGGGCCAGCATCAATGTCGTTCTGGCCATCTCTCACAGACTCAGAGTGATGAGCAATCTGGTACCACATGAGGAGGACAAAAAGGCTTGGCTCTATTTGAAGAACGCCATGGGGGTTCTGACAGAGCTCACAATGCGCAACACAGATCTTTTGAGTGTGCAAGCACTCTTGGGCATGTCCTTGTTCCTCCAAGGGACCCCTAATCCACAACCTGCTTTCTTCCTTGTTGCCGCGGCCATTCGGTTATCTCACAGCATTGGTTTACACAAACGTGGTTCCGGCTTCGGTCTCAACCCAGTCGAGGTCGAGCAACGGAAGAGAGTCTTTTGGATTGCCTATCTTTGTGACAAAGAGTAAGAGCAATCATTCAGGATTTGTGATGTCAGCAATGCTAATTTGTTTATAGTATTTGTCTAAGATCCGGTCGACCGCCAGTACAAGACGACGATGACATGAACGTTGAGCTACCTAGTGAAGACCCACCGGATAATGTTGGAAACGTACCTCTGTCCGACGGCAGAAGCAAATTCAACCTGTTCCGGTCTCTCTGTGAATTTGCCGCCATTGAGAGTCATGTTTACAAGCGACTTTATTCTGCCAAAGCATCGAAGCAGTCAGACGGTGAACTGCTCAATACTATTGGCGAACTCGACAAAGAATTAGAAGATTGGAAGGATAGTATTCCTGTCGACTTCCGACCTGAGTACGAAATTCAAGCCACCCACACACCCCTCATCATCCACGTTGTTGTGTTACATTTCGCCTACTACAACTGTTTGACGACAATTCACCGCATGTCTGTTCACCATGGCTATTGGACCAGTCGTCTGTCCAATTACGCCATACAAGGACTCAATGCTCGGCCCTTGAACCCCAGGGTCTTCCTCTCTGCAGTTCTCTGTGTCACAGCTGCTAGAGCTTCAATCAATTTGATCAAGTATATTCCACAAGGAGACTTTGCTTGTGTTTGGTATGTCCTACCTGCAAAAGCTTTCTCGCAATTCAACTCAACTGACTTGAAACTAGGTTGATTCTTTACTACCCTGTCTCTGCTCTTGTGACACTTTTCGCCAACATACTGCAAAACCCCAACGATGCCCGTGCTCGATCTGACGTCAAGCTGATGAGCGTGGTGGTCAACTTCCTCTCTACCCTTGTGTCCGATGAATCTAATGGCAGCATCAAGCGTATGCTTGGTCTCTGTGGCGAGTTTGAAAGAATCGCCAAGGTGGTGTTGGATAAGTCGGAAAAGGAATCCCATTCTCGCAAGAAACGCAAGAACGCCCCAGAAGACAAAGCCGAACAAGGCGAAGAAGAGGGCCACTCAAGGACATCTCCATCCGCCAAACGTACACAGCCACCATCCACCTCCGCGGCCTTCTCGCCCTCTGTTTTCACAACTCCAACTGGCCCAGTCCCCTCTCCTGGTCCAGGTAGATCCTTCTCAGGGGCAACAATGCCGCCAACAACTGGAATCCCCGCTGATCTTCCAAGCAATGTGCATTCCATACCTGGCGCCGGACCAGCATTTTCAGACATGCTCAGCCCTGAGCAGATGGCGGGTGTCGGGTTCCCCGAACAGCCTCAATTTGGCACTGCTAGCCCCGGAATTGCGCCATTCCAACAACCATTCGTCCCTCAAGATCTGTGGCAAATGCCCATGACAATTGAATGGGACTGGGCAGAAATGTCTACTAATTTTCCCCCGTTTGATGGTGCTGGCCCACCACCGGGACAGTGAGCATGACATCTTGATATATTATCTTATGAAGTTCGCTGTGCGATTATCTCAACTCTTGTGGCGAACCATCTCCCCTCAACACATTATCACTTCCCTTTCATGTATATTGAAGCGCTCTCTTTTAAACTTCCAAGGAGTCGGGGGAGCAACCATCGGCTTTAGTTATGCCGCGAATGGCGTAAAATTGTTCCGTCTTGCTAGTATGTATACAGGAATACTATCTGTCCAAATAGCACGTTTTCTCTAGTCCAGCTGGGCACAGTGCTCCCGAGTTCCTCGCAATATCAAGTCTGTATAAATAGCATTGGAAGTGGGCAGTATTGAATATACACCCGAATCCAGGTTGAGAGGTCTTTTCAATGGTCTCGAGGTCTTTTTTTCGCGTCTTTATTTATGGTAATCTTGACTCCAACTAACTACTGAGGTTCAATCCACCCTTCAGGGCCTAGGTAGTCGCGTATGAGCGTGGTTCTCACTGTGCAGTGTTGTACTAACCATGGCATGGTTTGATGCTTAAGGAGAGAAGGAGGTTATAGAGACAGGAGCCCCATTTTAAAGCCCCACCTACCAATAAGCGTGCACAGATGAGTCAATAGTGGGTCCCAGAGCTAATTAGGGTTGGGCCTACGGAGTAAAACAAGTAGAATCTCCCCAGGAAGGAGAGCCCTGTAGCAGTCTTTTGATTGATCTTTTGAAGAATCTCATGAAGAGCTTTTTGGGGGGACCTTTGCCTTCAAGGTTGAAGAGAACTTTCTAACCTTGGAAGGCTGTTTGACTGCCCAGGTGATCCTTAGATTGGTCCTTTAGGTTTCTAGACTCTATCTAGGCATTGAACTATAAATCATGACAGGGTGTGATGTCCTCAATCGCTGAGCTCACCGTGGCAAGTGAAGCGACTCTTGCCATCTCAACACTCACCATTGTTCATCATTTCTGACTAGCCAGGCCACCCTGCGCATGAGATCCGACAATACCTATACGTGCACAATCCACGTCGTCTGTTCGTACGGAGTATCAAAGCTCATGATTACACATCTGCATTCTTGCCCCCACGCTCAACATCCAAAGTCTACATACGCGTTGCCTACAACCAACGCCATACTCGGCATGCCACACGCGACCCCCCAAACGTGTATCAGAAATCATCAAATGTCACAGACAGCGACGACTCGGAGCCCAAGACCTCCAAGCTTCATTTACCCAAGGTGCTAATGTTTTTTTGTGGAACAACTCGCTCCGCTGGTCACTTGATAACCGCGGCCCGGATCACTTCAATCTACTCACCGCACCCCTCGCCAGTACAACCGAATACACCAAACAGCTAGGGGCATATCCTGCTATCGAGGTTCTAGACTAGTGATCACATTTTAGTGATCATATTCACACTACCTGCCTAGTGTAGTGGGGAGCAACTGCTTTCCTACTACTTGTATATTTGTACTGCGTTCTCGTCATCTTGGCCCCATCATAAAGCTTGGAAACCAAGCCTTGGATGACCACTTCATGCCCGGAAGGCTTTCAATGGCTCAGATAGACCCAGTAATTGGAGAGAAGTAAAGGGAGCTGATTTAGAAGGTGATTCTGGAATAATCGTACCGTCCATATTGTGTATTGTGTACTGTGTTTGTTCTGTACCACAAATGACACAGATGAGGTGTATTTGTCCGCCAAATGGGGGTTTCGAATGCCTGGTACTTAGACATCCACTCCATAAACTGGGGGAATGACTGGGATACTAATTGACTCCAAATTCTAGACCATACTCACTCCTCAAATCATGCCATAGGGTTGCAGGATGCCAGCTGATTCCACCTGCTTCGGGCCCGGGGCGGTGACAGAAGCTGAGTCATCATCGGCACCGGATAAAATTACTCACGAGAAGCACGGCGTCAGTCGGACTTGCTAGGTGCCCCAGCTTCACATCACTTCCAATCGCATTCCCCCACGCCCCCCTTTGATGGTCAACCCATTGAACCATCACCTCACCACCCGATTGATCACCTTTTACCCCCGCCCTCGCAGCCCTCTGGGCTCCACCTCGACCATGGCCACCTTGCTCCGCCGGCCAGGCAATATTGCTCATTTCTCGAGGAAAGCCGCGGAACTCACCGGTCGCACGACACTGGCCTCCGTGCGTACACAACCGCCACGGCTCTCATCGCTTCTGTCACATCCCTATAGGGCCTACTCTTCGCAAGGTCCCGGTGGTCCGACACCCCCGGACAACAAGCATGATGAAGGCCAGAACCAGGAAAAGAAGCCCCATTCGGTTCTGACTGATGCCGAACTGAAGAGTGTGGACGAATGGCTACAGGGTATGGATGAGGTGCGACGGACCCAAGTTCGCGAGCACCTGATGAAGAATGGTCTCCCGGACGAAGTACGAAAGCACCTTGATCCGAATCACCCTCCGACTTTGATGGACCGTATAAGAATGATGCGGTTCTTGTGGGATGTTACGACCTCGAATGAGACAATTTCCAAACTCCAAGAGCAGGACAAGTCCAAGCAAAGCAGCAGCCCCTTCAACTTCTTCTCTGAGAAACCGGAGAAGCAGGATCAAGAACCCAAGAACGATAGCGACCAGCAACCCAGCGGACAATCGCCAAAGGACCCTAAGCAGGAAAAGGACCCCAAAAAGGAAGAGCAACGGAAGAAACAAGACGACAAGAAGGGCAAGCTGCCCCCGAACATGGGCAAAGTCTTTGAATTCCGCTTCGATCCCGTCTCTTTCCTGATTACTTCTCTCGTCACCTATTACGTATACCGCAGCTTCTTCCCCGGCGAGGCCCAGGGTAGGGAGATCACCTGGCAGGAATTCCGATCAAACTACCTCGAAAAAGGCCTTGTTGAGCGGTTGACCGTCGTGAACCGCAACAAGGTTCGTGTCGATCTTAACCGCGAAGCTCTGTCCGTCGCTACTCCCGGTGAAAATGGTCAACCCGCTGCCTCCGTCTTCTTCAGCATCGGCTCCGTGGACAGCTTTGAGATGAAACTCGAAGCTGCTCAATCTGAACTCGAAATCCCATCTGATGAACGTATCCCTGTTGCGTATCATGATGAAACCCCTTGGGGTGGTGTTTTGATGTCATTGGCTCCTACTGTTCTCTTCCTTGTTGGTATCTTCTGGATGTCGCGTCGTGCTAGTGGCGGCGCCGGCGGCCAGAGTGGAATCTTTGGCATCGGCAAGAGTCGCGCCAAGCGTTTCAACCACGAGACCGATATTAAGACCAAGTTTGCCGATGTCGCAGGCATGGACGAAGCTAAGGTTGAAATCATGGAATTCGTTAGCTTCCTTCAACAGCCAGAGCGCTTTGAGAAGCTTGGTGCTAAGATCCCCCGAGGTGCTATTCTGTCAGGTCCCCCTGGTACTGGTAAGACACTGCTTGCCAAGGCCACCGCCGGCGAGTCTGGCGTGCCCTTCTACAGTGTCAGTGGTTCCGAGTTCGTTGAAATGTTTGTCGGTGTTGGTCCCTCTCGTGTCCGCGATCTGTTCGCCAATGCCCGCAAGAACACCCCTTGTATCATCTTCATCGATGAAATCGATGCCATTGGAAAGTCCCGCGCCAAGTCCAACGTTGGCGGTGGAAACGATGAGCGCGAAAGCACTCTCAACCAGATTCTTACCGAAATGGATGGTTTCAATACCTCTGAACAGGTCGTTGTTCTAGCAGGTACTAACCGTCCCGATGTTCTTGACAAGGCTTTGATGCGTCCTGGACGTTTCGACCGTCACATCTCTATCGACCGACCCACCATGGATGGCCGCAAGCAGATCTTCCGTGTTTACTTGAAGAAAATCGTCACTGATGAGGACTTGGAGTACATGGAAGGTAGACTCGCTGCTCTGACCCCTGGATTTGCCGGTGCCGACATCGCAAACTGTGTCAACGAGGCTGCCCTTGTTGGTAAGTTTCCAAAGATCCTCTAACTCTTAGAAATGACCCTAAGGTTCTAACCATTTTACAGCTGCCCGTGAGAACGCCGACAAGGTCATCATGCGACACTTCGAGCAGGCCATCGAACGTGTCATTGGTGGTCTCGAGAAGAAGTCTCTCGTCCTTTCTCCCGAAGAGAAGCGAACCGTCGCTTACCACGAGGCTGGCCACGCCATTTGTGGTTGGTACTTCAAGTGGGCCGATCCGCTCCTCAAGGTCTCTATCATTCCTCGTGGCCAAGGTGCACTTGGTTACGCCCAATATCTTCCCGCAGGCGGTGACACCTACCTGATGAACGTCAACCAAATGATGGACCGCATGGCCATGACCCTGGGTGGTCGTGTCAGTGAGGAACTTCACTTTGACACTGTGACCAGCGGTGCTAGTGACGACTTCAACAAGGTCACCCGCATGGCTACCGCTATGGTCACCAAGTTCGGCATGTCTTCCAAGCTTGGCTACATCTACTACGAGGACGATGCGCAGCAGCAGCTTCACAAGCCCTTCTCCGAGGATACCGCCCGCAACATCGACTTTGAGGTGCGCCGTATCATCGAAGAGGCCCACACTCAGTGCCGTAACCTCCTCGAGGAGAAGCGGAAGGAGCTCGGTATCGTTGCTGAGGAGCTCCTGTCTAAGGAGGTCCTCGGCCGCGACGACCTCATTCGTCTTCTTGGCCCTCGTCCTTACCCGGAGTCTGGTGAATTCGCCAAGTACTTCGACGGTAAGGGTGGACAGACCATTGCCCCACCTGACCACCAGGGTCCTGAACAGACCACTGGTAAGGATGGTCGGGATGAGACCCCTCTACCTCCTTCATAGGGGCGAGGAGTGAATTTTGCATTGGTTTGATTCAAGTTTGAGAGGAATGATATCACTGTAACCTCTCTTTGTTTTGTATTTATGGCATTTTTTTCTCCCCTCATCTTCTCTTTTCTCTACCCTCTTATACACCTTTCTTCCCTTCCGTCATGTCGCGCTCAATAAGAAGATCATTTCCTTTTTTTCTCTCTCAAACATCCGTCCCCCCTCTCCAGCTCCGTGTTTAACCGGTTCTGTTCTACTGTACTGAGTGTATAATAGGGAGTTTTGTTGAAACTTGAAACCTGTCTTAGACTTTGTCTTCTTTCCACATCTATGTTACTGAATCTTGGGAGAACGTAGCCCATAGCCCATAGCCAGTGATTCAGGCTATTTTAGAGACATGTTGTACCTTGAGTCAGATCTTCGGGTGTGCAAGATCCTCACAACATTATCAAACTGCTAACATAACCATGTCACCACCGGAAATTCTGTATCAGGACTCCTTCGACCATTGCTCTCCCCTCCATAACTTCTCCGTTGTCCACAGCCAGTAATCCCGACCTTTGATCAACCATACCAGCCAACTGGGTAGTTGATAACCCATTGCTGCACCAACACCTTTGCTCTGTCCGATCGGAACAACTTGTGTCTCGCTAATGTCCTCCTTGTAGATCCGATCCTCTCCGGCTGAAAGCAAATCCCGTTTCAGATTGGCTGCAACAACTGGCACAGCACTGAGGATATTATGCACACCAGGCCGTGCACAAGACATTACATCGCCAATAGCATAGACCCGCGGTCCGGCTTTGTCAACTCGCAAAGTGGACGTGTTGGTCTCAACACGGCCATCTTTCAACAACGCATCATTGACAAAGTCGGTGTTAGGCTTTGTGCCAGTGGCGGGGATGAAGATATCGGCTTGGATGATCTTTCCATCTGCAAGTGTCACTGATGCCTTGGAGATCAAGGCTTCTTCCAATCCAGCGTTGGGAGGCTCGACGGCTTGAACTCTGTTGTTCTTGATGACCGTCACGCCCAGCTGAGCGAGGAACTTCTCTGCCTTGATCGCAAGGCTTTGTCGAAGAGTGGACAAGATCTGTGCACCTGATGTCACAACTGTGATATTGACTCTGGGCTTCTCTAGCATCGAGCTGAACCAACCAGCTCGACCGTTGAGGTACTCGCCCAGCTCGCCTGCGGTCTCAATGGCGGTTGGGCCCCCACCAGCAATCACAATATGTTTCGCTCCGGGCAATGCTTCACGGAATGAGTTCCAGCTTTCGCGTAGACTGGTTTCATCTTTGTGTCTGAGTCCATGCAGTGGCGATGGTGTTGATGCACCAGTGGCAATGATGAGAGCATAGAAGGGAAGCACTGTCTGGGTTTCATCGGGGAGTCTGATGGAGACCGATCGATTATTGTGATCCAGGCTGATCACCTTCCCATTCGCAAAATGGAAGGAATCGGTTGAATATTGCCTGAACTGTTTCGTGATATCCACAAACAACTTGTCTTGGGGTAACAAGTCGTCCGAGATCAGAGCACGGGGGCATGCTGACCGACATAGGAGTTTGCTCGATATGCTGACCAGGGTGACTTGGTAGTCTTCTTTATCTGGAAGACTTGGAATGACGTGCTTCAGTATGTAATGTGCACTGGATATACCTGCATACGAGCCACCTAGGATCAGGATGGTCTTGGATGGAGCGGGAATTGCGGCCATCTTGCCTGAATTTAACAAAGCTCGTCTAGGAAGCAAGCCCCATGTATATTATCTATATCCACGGAGTCAAGTTTTACTTATATATGAATCGCTGGCTGACTTGGCATGGATGGATGAGGTTAGGGCTCGGCTTAGGCAGAACTGAGTACGCGGCGATCTAAAGCCGAGAGACCGAGCAAGGCGCGAGCCTCGTAAGCATTAGGTACCTTTCGGCTGGAGCTTCCTCAGCTTCTTATCTCTACGCTGTATCTCACATATTGAAGGATTGAGTGTGGTGGAAAGCGATGGCAAATTGATTATTGACTACATGTGTCTGGTGGAACATGTCTGGACGATGTGTTTCGATTCCAGCCCACTACCTCATGGTAAACAAGGTGCTCTGATTTCATTCATCGCACAGGTATTCAGTCAAATCTATGAGATGACTGCCATGAATGCTAAGCGAGGGACACATGGGTATTTCATGTGTTGCACAAAGAAAGATGCATAGTAAAAGATGACAAAAAAGACATGGCTTTGAAAGCGACCAGGCAGTACTCCGTAGGGATGTTAAAAGATGCACAAAAGGGCCTGTAGCTGTTTTCCCCAGTAATTTTTGCAGTTTTCCAACCACAAATCTTTCTCGACGGATCCGAAAACCACCAAGGGAAAAGAAAGTGAGGATGAGTTCATCAGAAGATGCCAACAGTAACTGTTCGATCTCCCTCAACGCTCCACATTCCTCACCCAATAACTCCAATCCACAAAGCCCTATTAGGAGCCCCGGTCTACCAGAACTCCCCAAGCTGCTTGATGAAAATGGCCGGGACTTGCTGAGCGATGAAGTGAGCGTGGAAGGATCAACGCTCGCCAGGAAATGGTCGAATGCCACCTTACGCAGGTTCGATCGCTTTTGGTATGGCCCAGCAAGAAATTTGTTCTCTCAAGGGACTCAAGATGAAGGCTCTCCTGTTCAAGACAGCGTGTCGGGTAGGGGTAGCATGTCTGTTGAGAGAAGCCACTTAACGATCATTGATAACCCCGAGCGCAATGTGATGGAAGCGGATGAATTGCCTCGCTTTTTGAACACCGAAGATAATTATCGGCGGGTTTTTCACAGACCCCTATCGCGATTCTATAAGCCCAAAATCTTGCAGGAAAAACTGCTCGGCCCCGAGAATTACAAAGACTGGGCTGTGGCAATGGAGGAAAAGATGAGGCAATGCAGCAGAGCATGGGGATGGGAAGGCGACATTATGCTGGCGCTATTGTATGGTGACTCTAGCAGCCAATGGACCCGACTCAACCCAAAGGTGTGGATGATGATTTACAGCAACGTGTCTCCGCATATCCAACCTCGTCTAGCTGCTTTGGACAGTTTGGATGCCCATGAAGCTTGGCAGCACCTGGAGAGAACGTGCGGAGGGCGTGTGCCTTTGAGAGCACGGTCTGTCAAAGGTGTGCGCGATATTATGAGCATCAGGTATGACAAGTGCTTGTCACTCAAAGAGTATCTAGACAGGATGATCTTGTGCATTCGTGCGATCGAATGCAACCCTCACGGCGAGAAAGAGAGGTCTCGCGGAGGAAAACGCAGTGAGGGTATGGAAAACGAGTGGTTGTGGTGTCAATTCATACTCGTCAACCTTGGACCAGAATGGGAATCGTGGGTTTCTGAACTGATGGAGAAGTCCAAAGACGGCGGACACATGGCCGACGCTATCACAAATCTTCACAGGCTCTTCCAGATCATCGAGGCGGAAGAGGCCCGTCGCATCCAAGCCTCTCGTTACACAAAGTTTGGCGAGTCATGACCAAGTGTCAGCCATTCCAAATGGACAGATACTCCCCTGCCGATTGGTTGAGATAAGACAACAACAGTGTTTGGGATTGAAAAGGGGGTAAAGAAAAAGAAAAAGTACATTCAGCAAATTGGATGTTTGTGGTAGGGAAATAGGCATAATGAAAAGATCTCAGGAAACAAACAGCCCATCCAGTATAAACTTCTCGCCCTCAAAATATTTATCAAATACAGCGTCACCTTAGTTGTTCTTCTTGCTGGTCTTCTTGGTCTTCTTGGCCTTGATGGAGAAGCGAGGAAGGAATCTCCCAACACGAGCCTGGTAATCACTGTACTCAGGGTACTTGCTGGCGCTGATGCCTTCGGTCAAGCGAGTGCTGCCTTGGAAGATGGCAAGATACCCGAGAACACCTAGGCCGGCCCAGCTATAGTATGTCTCAGTGCGGTAGCAGGACCAAACGTACATGGTCAGCCAGACGGCCTGCTCGGCAACAAAGTTGGGGTGACGCGACAAGGACCAAAGACCGCTGACGACAAAGCCACGCTCGAGATCCTCGGCGCTGAATTGATCCTTGTAGGCTTCGGGAATGCGCGCGTTGTCCTGGTACTCCTTCTTGGCAGTCTGGAAGTTCCACTGCTGACCATCGGCAAAGAACTCGATGACGATGAAGAAGAAGATGGCGCGAGAGAAGGCCAAGTCGGGAAGGCCAAAGGTTTCGGTGCCCTGGTTGTATGCGGCGACGACGAAAATGTAGGTCGGGGCGGTGATAAGAAGCAGAAGCAGAGACTGGGCTACTGCGATGAAGCCAAGGTTAAAGATGCTAAAAACGAAAGCATTGTTCACCTTGGATTGCACGATCTTCCAGCGATAATCCTCGGAGCCGATCGAGTATCCTCCTTTGCGCCAGTAGTTGAAAGTCAGGCGAATCTATTGCGTAGACTATGGTTAGCACGGTCGTTGGTGGTCTTTAATGAGAAGTATCTTACACTCCAGAGAACACTGATGGCAGCGATTGTATCCAAGGTGTGAGTCTGGATTCCAGACAAGCGAGCCCAAACCGCGAAATGCACATTGTACAGCGTGGGGAGAATGCTCCAGAATCGGTCAACTTGCGAATAGTTCCGGTTGATCTCAGCTGCAAGGAAGAAGATCGCGGCCAGAACTCCACTCAAGGCAAGCGCGGAGACCATAGGGTTGGTGGCCAGATAGACAGCTTGCAAGCTATACACATCGCGACCAGCTTCGTACAAGCTGTCCGGCAGCCATGGCAGCTGGGATGAGTAAGGGCGAACGGTGAGTTGGAAAGAGGTATAGTCTGCGAGGGACTCCAGACGGGGAAGCGGTAGAGATGCCATTTTCGTATGATGTACTCCGTACAGACTCAAACAAAAACTGCACAGGGGGAAAACAAAACACAAGCCTTTGCTAAAGTGGAGTTATGCGTAGATTACCTCATCGAGTATAGTCTCACCCGAAAGGGATATTTATGGCCTCAGGCACCCAAGCGCGTCAAGTTCAGGCACCAAGGCATAAACGAACTTGCAGATATTCATCTCTTCCCTCGCGTCTTGCGCAGATGTGATCCACAGATAATCAAGACCACCAAAATATGAACTTCATGTGATCAATACTCGGGCTCATAATGGCTCGCAAAATCCTCTGTGTGGCTGAAAAACCCGCCATTGCGCGCGCTGTGGCCACTCATTTGTCCGGAGGTTCTTTCCAAACAGTAAGTACTTAAGAGCCTAGCTGGATACCAACTAACTTTGACAGCACTCCATTCGTGGCAATCCATATGTCAAAAACTACGAATTTGAATTCAATTTTGGGGGCGCCTGGGGAAACTGTGCTGTCACCGTAACCAGTGTCGTGGGCCATCTCACCGGCTTGGACTTTGATCGCCAGTACAAGGGCTGGCAGTCATGCCCTCCTGGATCACTATTTGAAGCTCCCGTGCTGGAAGCTGTTGATAAGGTGAGGAACAGTGGGTGATCATTGCAATCCACTGCTGATCTTCGTACCAGGACAAACTCCCAATCGCAGAGAACATTCGGAACCAGGCCAAATATGCCAAAGCACTTTTTATCTGGACTGATTGTGATCGCGAAGGCGAGCATATTGGATCAGAAGTCCGTAATCAGGCAAAAGCAGGAAATAGTCGAATCGAGGTGAAGCGAGCCAAGTTCAGTAACACAGAACGCGCGTAAGTCGAGGTGAATTGCGACAGCTTATCAACATCGCTGACCTCCGCCAAGTCATGTGCGCCAGGCTGCTCTAGCACCAATTGATCTTGACGAGTATCAGGCCAATGCCGTAGCTGCGCGCATTGAGTTGGATCTTCGAATCGGTGCTGCGTTCACTCGCCTGCAAACCCTGCAGTTACAGACAGTCGTGACGGCTTTGAAAGAAAAGGTCATCAGCTACGGTGCGTCTTGAATCGACTTTATCATTGGTCTATATGGGCCCGGACTGATTGATTGCAGGATCATGTCAGTTTCCTACCTTGGGATTTGTTGTGGATCGATACCTGAGAGTCAAGAACTTCAAACCAGAAGACTTTTGGGGCCTCAAGGTCATCTTGAATCGGGAGGGCAAGAAGGTCAACTTTCTCTGGAAACGAGTGCATCTTTTTGACAGAGCTGTTGTGACAATGATGCTGGAACGCTGCCTGGCTGCAAAGCAAGCCAAGGTCACAAAGGTTGACCAGAAGCCTAAAAGCAAATGGCGGCCTCTACCTTTGACCACCGTTGACCTGCAAATGATGGGCAGTAGATTCCTTCGCATCGACAGTCAAACGATCATGAAGGTGAGCTACATTTCAACTCAACAAGATCAATCACTGACACGCTGCTAGGTGGCCGAGACACTTTACACCAAGGGATACATCAGCTATCCTCGAACAGAAACTGATCAATTCGACAAAGCGATTGATCTGAAGAAACTAGTGGAGAAGCAATATCCCGATGATCGGTGGGGTCAATACGCCCGAGAGTAAGCCATTTGACAAAGTTTCGTTGGATACGCTCTTACAATTTCTGGTGCAGACTCATCGACGGAAAATTCAAGACACCTCGCTGGGGTCGCCATAACGATAAAGCCCATCCCCCTATCCACCCAGTAAGCTGGGTCTCTTCGAGTCAACTGAACGCAAACGAAAAAAAAGTCTACGAATTTGTGGTGCGTCGATTTCTCGCCTGCTGCTCTGATGACGCAAAGGGCCAGGGCTCAGAGGTTGAGATAAGATATGGAGATGAATACTTCCACGCAAACGGACTGATTGTATTGGAAAGAAATTACTTGGATGTTTACACTTACGACAAATGGGAAAGTAGCCAGCAGCTACCCAATTTTCAAAGAGACGAGATGTTTGAGCCCACAGAGGCGAACATCTTTGAAGGCAAAACAACCGCTCCGAATTATCTCACTGAACCCGAACTTATCGGCTTGATGGACGCCAATGGTATTGGTACGGATGCCACCATGGCAGAACACATTGCGAAGATCAAAGAAAGAGAATACGTCGCCGTGAACTCACGAGGCGGTGGACGCTCTGCGGTGTCAGAACTTATTCCGACACGCCTGGGAATTGCTCTTGTAGAGGGCTATGACAATGTCGTTGCAGGTCTTCCGAACAGTGTGTCACTCAGCAAGCCATTCCTTCGGAAAGAAATGGAATTGCGAATGCTCGAGATATGCTCGGGTACCAAAACTCGCCAGGAGGTCGTTCAGCAGAGTCTTGACATGTACCGTGAGGTCTTTATTCATACGCAGAGACGTATCAGCATGCTGAAGACTGCCTGTCGCAAATATCTCGTTGAACCCCCCGAATCATGATCACACACTACTTTGTTACTCTATCGTACATGAGTCCTACAATTGAGCCATTGCAGCATCAAATCATTGTTACTTTTAAGTTTGATGGATTGAATCACAACGGATCTTATTCACTCAGAGTCACTCGAAATCCTAAACGCCAGATACAACGCGTCTCAAATCAATCAACGCCCCCACTATGCTTGTATGGTACAGTTTCAGGGTCCCAAGGGCCCAGGCTGCGGGCCAGCCATTCATTACCCCCTCCCTGGTGCTCAGAGAGGTGGCGGGCGTCTCACCGAGTGCCAAGTCATTGGCTCTCGTTCTTGAACCTCCTCCGGCTCAACGACCTTGGTTTTGGGCGAAGGGGTCTTCGGCGGCGAGTTCACAGCGGCCGCAGGCTTGGGATCCGCAGGGGTAGGCCGCTGAGAGGAGGGTGTGGATTGTGAGTTGAAGGAAACGGAGGATCGGGGGCTCAGGCTTGGGCTGAGGGCATCCATACTCGCCCTCATACCGGCCAGGATGCCGGGGCTTAGGGGCGCGTCAAATGAGGCGGGGTTCTTGGCGGCGCCTCCGGCGCCAAAAATCTCCCTGTTGCCCCGGGAGAGACGCAGCGCATCCATGCCATCGGAAATGTCTTTCCCCAACATGCTGTTTAGCTTTGCTAGATTCTTTGGAATGTCAGAGAAGTTCTTTGTACGATCCCACAGTTCACGAGTCCTGGTACGTACTTCAGACAGCTGGGTGTCGGTGGATGTCATGATATCCACCACTTGTTGACATGTCTGGTCCATGCGCTTAACCGCGTCTCGGAGGATGTCGCCAATCTTCTCTGTGTTGGCGGTGCTGGTCCAAGACATCTGGTTGAAGACCTCGGACAGGGAACCAAGGTCCTCTCTCTGGCCGTTGACGTGGGCACAGAGGCTATTCACTGTTTCAACTAGGAGGAAGGTGTTCTTCCGGCTCGCGTCGATGCATTCTCGGACATCGCCCGCGAGGTCGCTAACGTCGAGCTGTCCTCGGATTGCATCACGGGATTTGAGTTCCAGGACTGTAATCAGGACATACACCTGGAGCACGAAGAGGCCCACAAAAATCGGTCCCCATATGTGGATGTTGAAGGAGGGCTGGGGCTCCGTCGTGGTCCAGAACGTGTCATCCAAGATGTAGTCCGCAGTAGTGGAGGAGGAGGTGGGGAAGGGGGAAGAGGAGGAGGAGAGGGCGGAAACGGCCGCTGACGATCGCTTCAAATCCAGCTTGGCCCGCTCGTAGGCTTCTTGAGCGGCCGAATGGTACGAGTAAACATCTTCTCCGATGGTGGCGTCATCCTCGGTGAAAACATATGGCCGGACACGCTTCAGGCCGTAAATGGATGTGGCAATCTCCAATGATCCGATAGTGCGCCACAGAGAAGTGCTTGGGGCGTTCCCAAGCGGAAGGGTATGCCAGACCCCCAAGCCATTTAGGGCGGCGAGGAGGGTGGCCACAAGGTAATAGTAAACCATGTTGAGTGGTACAGTAGGCTAGAAGTGCTTCAATGATAAGAGTTGATGAAGAGGAAGAAGAACTTTGGAAGTGGATGAAGTTGAGTTGAATGCCCTCGGGGTTCTTGGAGCTTTTATAGAAAAGCACGAGGGAGAGGAACCTTTTTCAAAAGATAGAGTAGAGATGAAGTAGAACAATCATACTTTGTCTTTTTCTTAGAAGGATGCGCCAATGGCCGACCTACCCAAACTTGAATAAACATTCCCTTTGTGGTGGCTCTACGCTGCTGTATGCCATTGTTGGAGTCCAAAAGGAGCATTGCGTGAATCCTCTTTGTACTGCCCCCAGAGGGTTGGACAATATATTAAAATAAAGGGGTGAGCTAATTTAACTATTCAACAAAGAAGATAAATGGGCACAGGCAAACAATAGAGCTTTTTCTAATACCGCCAACTATGTCTCCACCAAAATCATGGAATAGCCGTGACTGATTTGATTGCAGAGTCAGCTGAAGCTCTTCGTTGAGAATAATCAGATTCATCCAGTCTCTTTTGCTTTTAGTGAGGAGGACTCTTGATATGTTCAATTTAGCTCTCCGGTGTCGATGCCGACGGGTCCACCCGGGCAGACCCACCGGTCCACTTCCAACTGGAAGTACGGAGTAGATATCATCAGATTCTCATTGTCATTTGACTTGGTAGAGATATTAGACAACAGACCAAGGTCCCTTGTAGCAAATGTTGGAGAGTATCCCTACAGAGGATTGCAAGGCTGATTATCTTAGGTCAAGTGAAGCCGGGCTGAAGAATTCAGAGCTAGATCAGCTTACATGGACGACATAGATGATCATTTGTTCAATTCTAAATGACTTTGGCCTTAGATACCATTCACCACTACTTATGGACCATTGTGCATATTTCCATCGAAAAAAATAAGGAGCAGGTTACAGTGACGCAAGCATATGTGCGAATGAATGCTCCCCGAACCAAGTCAGTCCCTCGGCTGGCCGTGCAAGCCCAGTACCCGATTACTGAAGTCGCTTGCTCAAGACAGCACCGTACCAGACAGTGGCAACCAAGCTAAGAAGGTTGACCAAGCTAGAGATGCCGTGCACACGGCCAAACTTCTTGTTCAAGGCAAGCATCTCCTTGGAGTGAGGCGCAGGGTCGTAGCTCCGCTTGCCATCGCGGGTTTCTGTAAAGCGTTAGGAGACAAGGTACGAACGGCATGGGTTTGGAGCTCCGGATCTTACCTTGGTGCTTGCGCTCGCGCATCACGTTGACGGTGATGGGACGCAAGACAAACATATTCACCAGCCCAGTCACAGCCACAGTTGCCATGGGTAGGAGAGTGTTGAGGCGGTTCTCGGGCGCTGTAAGGCCCGAAAGACCGAGGGCTTCCCCGCCGCGGGATGCAGTCAACGCAACGACTACTGGAAGCGCAGTCTGGAGCGAGAAGTAGATGGGGAAAATGGCGGTCTGGAGGCTAGCAAACTGAGGCCGCGGGAGAGCGCGGAAGGCCACGAATCCACCAACAAATGACTGGCGAGGAGTTAGTGTGAGAAATCTGTATGATTAAAGGGGACCAAATCTAGCAAGTTGCCAGACGGCATGCTTGAATTTACCTGGTAGAACTGGGTTCCGAGGAGGGTGCCGTAGCTAGTTTGTTAGCAAATGAAGCTTGCATGAACTCGGAAACAAACCTCAGGATGTGGTATGGGCGAGGGTCCGTCATTTTTGATAGAAATGGGAACAATCGATGTGGGTTGCCGATTGAGTTGGAGTAGTTGACTTAAGTTGGAGCTTGGAACTTCAAGAGGGGCCGTGGCCGTTAGAGACACGCGACTGTGGGTGAGCCCTATTATTTCCACCATCGATTCAAAGTGAGCTAGAACTAAAGCCACGCACCAAGCAAACATGGACAAACATGGGCAGGTGATGTCATGTGCTCTCGCGTTTTGGGTCTAAACCCAAAATGGAAATATCACGCGTCTGCCTGGTGTATCTGGACTCTGACCTGCACTTTTCGGCCTTTCAACGTCCCATCTTCAACATTTCGTTATGGCTGAAAAAGAGGCAACAGTTTACATTGTGGACGTGGGAAGGTCTATGGGTGAGCGTCATCATGACCGTCCAGTGACCGATCTTGAGTGGGCCATGCAGTATGTTTGGGACAAGATTACTGCAACGGTACGTCTCTCAGGTCCTCTCAATGTCGATTTTCTGACAGAATCAGGTGGCTACCGGTCGTAAGACCGCAAATGTTGGTGTAATTGGACTCAGGACAGATGGTGAGTGCAGTCCAACAAGTCCGTCACAGCCATCTGATATCTGCATCACCAGACACATCCAACGAGCAAGAGGACGATGACAGTTATTCCAATATCTCAGTTCTGTTTGAGCTCGGCCAGTATGCTTATATTCTCTGTTGCCCAATGATGGGTTACTTGGGATTGCTCAGCTAAACTCACTCAGGGTCCTCATGCCTGATATCCGGTCGTTGCGAGAATTGATCAAGCCTAGCAATACAAATCGCGGTGACGGTATGTCTTAAATCTCCAAGTTTGTGCTTTGTATACTAACTACACCAAAGCGATCTCTGCTATCATCACTGCCATTCCCATGATCACTACTTTCACCAAGCAAAACAAGTACAAGCGCAAAATTGTTCTTGTAACCAATGGCACGGGTGCAATGAGCAGTGAAAATTTCTCAGATGTGGTAGAAAAGCTGTTGGAGGTCAACATTGAGCTGGTGATCCTGTATGTCTCTTTGAGCTGATTGCTGCTCCAGTGTATGCTGATCATATCCAGCGGTGCCGACTTTGATGACCCAGAATATGGGGTGAAAGAAGAGGACAAAGACATGAACAAGGTATTTATTCCATATAGATATCTAGGAGGGCACTACTAATTTCTGAACGCAGGCAAAAAACGAGGAGCTACTTCGTACCCTTGCAACAGACAGCAAAGGCATGTTTGGAACGCTGGAACAAGCAGTCTCGGAGCTCGAGATTCCCCGCATCAAAGCCACGAAAAGTATGCCGACGTTCAAAGGCAGGCTCACTCTTGGTAATTCTGATCAATACGAATCGGCAATGCACATCCCCGTGGAACGCTTCTTTCGGATCTCTGTCGCTAAACCCACATCCGCAAGTTCTTTCGTGATCCGCTCTGGGGCTGAAAGTGGTCAAGGCCCTGCTCCAGGGAGTCAGGCCCCAAACGCTCCCGATTCTCTCACGTCAGTGCGAATGTCGCGCACATACCAAATCTCGGACGAATCTGCCCCGGGAGGAAAGGTAGACGTTGAGCGAGATGATCTCGCAAAGGGTTACGAGTATGGACGCACGGCAGTTGCAATTGATCAGGCCGATGAAAATGTCACCAACTTGCAGACATTTGCCGGGCTAGACTTGATCGGGTTTGTTCACGAGGATAAAGTGCGGTTTCATTGTCATTTCAAGGCAACCTGCTAACACTATTCCACAGTATGACCGCTACCTACACATGTCTAACACAAATGTCATTATACCAGAGCGTGGCAATGACAACGCATCTATCGCGCTTTCATCCTTCATCCATGCCCTCCACGAGGTTGAGTCATATGCAGTTGCTCGATTGGTGACAAAAGAATCCAAACCCCCGATGATCGTTCTGCTGGCACCATCCATTGAGCCAGATTATGAATGTTTGATCGAAGTGCAGCTCCCATATGCCGAAGATGTTCGGTCTTACAGATTTCCACCTTTGGACAAAGTTATCACTGTCTCTGGGAAGACTTTGACGGAACACCGCAATCTCCCGAGCGCTGCCTTGAAAGATGCTATGAGCGATTACGTCGACAGTATGGATCTAGATATCAAGAATGATGAAGGGTGAGTGGACAACCTGACTTCTCGTCGACAAAAAGATTAATTGAGCCAGTGATTTCATCGAGGGTCTGCCAATTGAAGATGCATTCTCACCTCTGCTTCACCGTCTTGACTCTGCCATTCGATATCGCGCAGTTCACCCAGATGACCCGATTCTGGAGCCTTCAGAGAAACTCACTGAATTCTCCCACCCATCGGAAGATATGGTCAACAAATCTAAAATCCATCTCGCAAAGTTGGTCTCTTTAGCAGACGTTAAAAAGGGTAAATCTCCATCTCTGCATAATCGTTAGAGCTCAGCTGATATACTCTCCAGTCCCTCCCAAGACAAGGGGTCGCAAACGCCAACGCGAGACAGAGAAACCCCTCTCTGGTCTGGACGTGGACGCTCTCTTAAACCTCGAGCCAGCACGCTCCAAAATCTCCACCGAGAATGCCGTCCCAGAATTCAAGCAGACGCTCTCCCGTGCAACCAACATTGAAGCCATCCAGGATGCTGTGCAGCAAATGGCGATCATCATCGAGTCGCAAATCACGCATAGTCTAGCTCACTCAAACTACGACCGGGTTGTCGAAGCTCTTGGGACTATGCGCGAGGAATTAGTTGACTACGAGGAGCCGACGATGTATAATGATGTCATTGTTTCGCTCAAGGAGAAAATGCTGGCAGAGAAGCTTGGTGGGGATCGGAAGGAGCTGTGGTGGGCTATACGGAAGAACAAGCTTGGTCTAATTGAGAAAGACGAGGTCGATAGCTCGACGGTTGAAGCTGATGAGGCTCGTGAGGTAAGCATCGCTCACTGATTGGTTTTACAGGTTACTGACAAAGATATAGTTTCTTGCTGCAAGCTGAAATGGTTGGGTAGCATCAGGTGTAGACTGGAGAAGTTGCTCAAGCCCCGAATAATTGTTATCAAGTTTACAATTCATCTCAAAGGTGCCTGTCTGGTAGCATGGTCTACATATTGACTACCACTGATGTAGAAGGGGAGAAAAAGAGAACTTGATCTACACTTTGAGTTGGGAAAGTTTGAGAAAGCTCATGATTGAAATCGTGATATGAAATAGTATTGACACGAACAGAAGGACACTTGAAATAATCAGGAGCACCAAGCCCGACACGGACGAGACACAAGTTGCTGATTTTTCATCGTTCATAAACCTGCAAACCAAACGCCACGCATAGCATGCCCAGAAACCATTGTTCGCTCCAGAGAAAACAAACCGACAAGTCAGACCGAAAGAAAAAGTAAGCGCAAACATTAAAAAAGCATCCAGATGCATCACAGAAAAGGGTATGCAGAAAGGGTGTCCATAAAGGACGATGAGAATCGAAACGTAGAACCCCAGTACGAGGGAAGATACAGCAAATGCAATATCTAGTGGACAGTTTTGGTGGCTCGAGCCGGGCTGATGTTATGGTTGCTACCAACACGTCCACTTGCCTTTCGAACCCCACGGCTCTCACTGCGGTTGCTATCTGTGACTCGGCGAGGACTGGAGCGGACCTTGCTAACGGAGATTGGTGCTGTGCCGCTCTTTCGGCTGACGGGAGTCTTAGGTGTGGTGTGGCCAACCCAGTTTTCTTGATCATGGTGGTTGTCTTCGGCAATGGTATAGCTGGCGGTGACAGTCGCAGAGTAACTAATGGAACGCGACGTAGGTGAGGCAACCGGGGATCTCGAAGATCGCTTTGCTAGTCTGCGAAGTTGGATCTCCTCTTCGCTCTCTTCACTCTCGTTGCTCTTCCGGTGACTGCGAGGGGCTCTCTGCTCGCTCTCAACGGCTAGGTTTCCAGAGGCCGTGCGGGAGTAAGGATGGTGTCGTGAGTCCTTGCGGTGGGACTTGCGAGGCTGGCCAGGGGTCGGCGCAGGAAGATCTTGATCGGGGTAGGTTGAGGCATCATTGTGGTCGATCTCTCCAAGGGCTGCGCGCTTGGAGTGACTGTTGTTGGGAGGAGTAGACACCACACCATTGCTAGTGCGCTTCTTTGTGGAGACCCTGGGAGTCGCCGGTACAGATTGAGCAAGCTTCTCGCGCATACTATCCTCAAACCACCATTCGCGGAAAGCTCCCTGGTTGAGGTGAAGCCAGTGCTGCTGGGGACCAACAACCATTCCAGGGCGCATGAATCGCATAAACGCGATGACTTCGTTGGCGGTGAATCCATACTTGTAGATCAGATAAGCACCAATCAAACAGCCCGTGCGACCAAGACCGGCCTTGCAATGGACCGCGATACCCTTCTTCTTGATAGTGATCATCTCATGGGCCATCTTAATGAAACGGCGCACAAGTTGCAAGGGGGGACAGGTACCGTCCTCGAAGATCATATCAATGTGAGAGATACCCATTGCAGTGAAGTATGATGGACAGTAAAGCTCCGAATTGAGTCGCACGACGAGCCCGACATTGCGTTGGTGGAAGTGAGCGAGCACATTTTTGAATGGCATGGGAAGCTTGGACGAGGAGATCTCTGAGATCGTGGTGGGTAGCGCGTCGTACTCGGGTGTGTTCACGGGGATGGGTGCGACTGGCTGTTGCTGGGGGAAGCGAAGGCAAGGAAGTCCGGGGTGACCCAGTTGAAATCACCCATATCAACTCGCTCAAACTTTTCGTATCTTCGTAGCAAGTCAGTATACGATATTCAGATTCATGCGAGCCTGGTACTTACTCCTCGAGGTTGAAGTCGCGTAGCCCGCAGAGAGACTGCTCCTTCGCTTTCCAAACACCATAAACAACATCTTGGATGTTCAGGATGAAATCAGCTTGGCTGTATCCAGCATCGCGGAAAGGCATGTAAGGAGGATCGGCCTGCGCGATGGGCGCCAGGGCCAGGTGGGGTGGCCACGATTGAATCATGACCATGTAACATGCAACAAGACAGGCCGCATTTGCACGGCTGCGAGCATCTGTCTTGCTGTAGAACACAACAGGGCGGTCGCTGTTGGCTGGGTCTCCAAGGATCTCGTGAAACAGCACGGCGAATCGGTACAAGTGACCAATGTGAAGGGGGCCAAAATCGGCGTGAAACGCATTGTAAAGTAGAGTGTCGTCGATGGTGAAGTACACCGGAGAGCGGCGCTTGCTGGGAGTGGTGGGTTGGGCACGTGCGCGCTTGCTCGGAGATTTGGGTTGATCCAGATGGAAAGGGAATGGAGTCCTGGAACTCGGAGCAGAGTCGTAAGATGCGAGGTACAGGCGATCTAAATGTAGAGTTTTCTTAGTTCTGATGGCCGGGTCGTGGAGGATCAATTTGTTCCAAAACATGTTACGGACCTTGAATATACTCGATCATCTGGCCGCCGTGGCTCAAGTCAGAAGTCATGTTGGCTTTTTGTTTGTTGACAGCTCAAGCTTTGTAGCGGCGTGTAACGTCTGTTGAGGATCAAGATGATACCGTTGCAGGGCAGGTACTTTGGCGGTGCGACTCGGAGAAAGGCGATGCCAAGGGTTGATTGAATGGTCGCGGTGCAGAGACTCAAAGGCTCATGCTCAATATTGGTAACCAGGTTGCGAAGGGTAAGAATAAAAGAAAGATTCCTATACAGGTGGGGGCTTGGAAGAAAAGGAACACAATCGGAGACGCATGATGTTTTGGTAGCTGCCATGCCACTGTTATGTTGTGCCTTACCTCTTTGGGACTAGCGCCGGTCGTTGACGTGACAACCCTTTCGCCTCAGGCCGCAATGGCTGCCTTCCACATTCTTCATCAATACAAAACATGCAAACATGCAAACATCAATCGTCAATCATCTCCGTACGTTCAGACGATTGAGGTACATTGTCAAGTCCAGTGATCTCTTCTTCTATGGCGATAATCTTTGTGATTGTCTACTCTCCAAACTCCAATAACTCTCTCACCTTTTGGCTCCAGAGGTCAATAGGAGTACTCCGTATAAAATCCAAAGACAACAATGCAACGCACAATGTATATATGTCGCGCTGTACGATTTGAATGTATTAAGAGAGCTGAACGTGACAAGCGATACGTACATACAGTGATTCCGAACTCACAACCTTGTGAATTAGGTAGCATCAAATCCGGGTGGGGAGTAGGTATGAAAGAGAATGGAGCACCAGACACTGATGATACCTCATGACATATTGTTGATTTCCACGTCAGGGCTATGTGTGTTTACATGCCGCAAACAATGTTGGAAACATGGAAACTTCCATAGTTTCCACGGCTCAACGTATACTTTACAAGTTACACCTCGCTTTCCATTGATTGCTTATCCCAAGTGTGTAGTCCCACCTGATGGATTCATGAATGGTTCATAGCATATCCTCGACACACCGATGTACCTATGACACAAATTCCAGTCGGCTATGAAGAAAAAGCTTTCATCAATACCGGATCTATACCCCCACAACTCATTCAGAAACGCTTTTTATGCCCATCTACTAATATGAACTTGCAAATTGAAGAAAATCATGTTGGGTTCTAGTTGGAGCCTTGAAACCTTGGAAAAGCCACTTGCGAACTACCGCGTTCTTTTGAGGTCTAGTGCCGTTTGAAGAACCATGGGACTTCGAAAACCTTGAAAACGCCTGGGGAGGCAGCAAGAAGCCTTGGATCATCCTCTTAGGTGTGCGGTGGCTATCTGCACTCACTTTCACGGCGCAAGACCTAGCTACCTCTGCTCTCTCTCGTGTGTTTGGCGGTTGTTTGGTCAAGGTCTGAGCTTCTGCCAGCTGAACCATAAGGCGGAGGAAACACATGCGAAAAAAAATTACATACCATAGGACTGCTCGTTGCACCGTTTCGCTCTCGGTCCGTCGTAAGTACTTGATTGCGTCTGCTGAGCATACGGAGTACTCGGTGGCTGGACACTACTCCCTAGGTTCTATGCATGGCGACCAAAGCGCCGACTGGTCACTTTGTGTGAGTTCTCCCAAACGAGCTCAAAGGACTTTCTTCTGTCATAGTGAAGGTGCTCTGTATGTTGTTACTTTATGAGTGACCCTCCTCCCTCGCCATGATCGAGCGCAAATGGCAAACCAATAGCTGGTTTTCAGTCTTGGTACGCCTGCTTTGAACTCGATGGCTTATACGGGGTATTCCGTACATGAGATGAACCCTACAAGGTGGATGCGATAGAGACTAGATTACATCTACTCCGTACGGAGTACGGAGTAGTGCGGTTGCAAGGGCTAACTCTTTTCAATTTGAGCTTGCATGTGTTTTGATTAGAGTATAACACGGAGTACAGAGTACTTGGAGACTCAAAAGGGGAGATCACCAACCTTCCCACCCCGCATAAATAACAACCCTTGCGTTGGAGCCCGTTCCAAGGTCAATGCGCATCCCTCACCTCAATGGTGTGACACTTGCTTCATGTTTTTGTTTTGATTTGCAAGTGATGCATGACTTGACAGTGATTAAGCCTTAATGCTACTACAGACATGGCGAACGGTGCTCATTGAGTGAGAACAAGACCACACTCTGTGTCCTTTTCTGGGATCGTCTTTTTCATGGGTCCAAATAACCCATACATATCGAGTTTCCAAAAATCACTAGCGTGCGCCTACTGGCTTGTGATATATCAATATCTAATGATACCGCACGAACATGCCCGTTTATATGTCATTGTCTAGAGCCCATGTGTGCGCATCCACCCCTTCTTTGGCGCAATATCCCTCAGTGAAGCTACCATATGCACGGCCCGATGGTTGCTGCCATTTAGTGCCGATCTCAAGTATTCGTCCAAACAGACAATACTCCGTAGAAGCCGCTGTCTAAACTTTGACCCCCTGATGATTTGACCCCTGATGATTTCGGATGCGAGGGACTCCATGACCGTGCGGATCACAAACAAAACAACCCTGCTCCGTACACTAGGTGTATATAATCCGAGCTGATGCTACACCTCTGGCTCAGCATCAAATCATTCACTCACTTCTAGTCACTCATTTTCAGATTTTAGATCTTTCTTGCACACATCTCTCTCACCAAGTCACTCGTTTAACAATTTGAAACTTTCTCAACGCAACAATGAAGTTCACCGGATTCACCTCTTCCCTCGCCCTCGCCGGCTTTGCTTACTCCGCCGCTCTCCCCACCCTTGCCGGCATTGAAGGTACCGTCTCTGGTATTGAGGGAACCGTTGTGAATGGAGTAGTTGGACCCGTTCTGTCCACTACCGGACACCTGGCTGGTACTGCTAAGCGCGAGAACCTCGCTGCTCTTGGCTCCACTATTGAGACTGTTCCCAGCCTCGCCAACGGTGCTGTTGCCATCGCTGGCGGTGCTGCCGGGACTGCCGAGAGCATTGCATCTGGAGCTGCCGGCACGGTTGAGGGTGCCGTCTCTCCGCGTGGTGACTTGGCTGGCCTCGGCTCCACTGTCCAGGCTGTTCCCAGTGTCGCCAATGGTGCCGTTGACATCGCTGCCGGGGCTGTTGGTACTGGAGAGAGCATTGCATCAAACGCTGTATACACTGCCGAGGGTCTCGCTACCCATGCAGGCAGTCACTCCAAGCGTGATATCGAGAATCTTGCAGGACCCATTGTTGGATCTACCGCTGCTATTGTCGGAAGTGGTGTTCCCGCTGTTGTTCACGGTAAGTTCTTCGCAAGTCCTAAATGATCCCTTGACTAACGCATCATCAGAGGTTGGATCAACTGTGAATGGTCATGCGAAGCGTCAGGCATCTGGTCCCGTCGACGCTGTTGGCCAGTCCGTCTCCGGTACCCTCGCCGCTTTGTCCTCGAACCCGAATGGCCTCTTCGGTGCTCTGACTGATCTCAAGCGCGCAGCCGACCTCGGCCAAATCACCCAGGGCCAACTTGCTGAGATTCCCCTTCTCTCCGCCATCATCGCTCTCCTTGACCTCTAGGCCTTTCACCCTCGATATGGCGTTACCATGCACTTCAAAACTTCAAGACTATGTTCGGTCAATGTGATATACCTGTACTCTTCGTACCGTTATGGCGTCCTGCGGGAATTTTTGTGATTCATACATTTTTCATGTACAATACCATTCCTCCTATACATCTACATGACCTCCACACGAGCCACCTGGCCGGGAGTAGCCTTCGGCTACCAAAGAAAAAATGTCACATTTACGTTAGGATGAAATTTGCTTGGAATCAAACACCCCGCCGCACATGGACAGATAATTGTGTTGGAGCCCAAAAATTATAAATATTTCGTTCAGGTTCGAAGGCAGACAGACTACAACGAGTGCTAAGCCCCAGTGGCGTCAAAACCGCTGCATGGATGATTCATATAAGCAGTAAACAGGACACCTTATGATTAGAAATCTGGATCATGCCAGGGAGTAGTGTGTACTCCGTGCTATGCAATTATGCCGAGTGGATTAGTATTTGGAATAAAATAAAGATTGTACTCAAATTCCCAACGCACCAATCAGAGGACAGGCATATCAGCCGGGTTTCGGACGGTTTCCTATTCCGTCGGCTGCCCAGAGCTCCGTGGCCAGACCCGTGGCCAATTGGTAAGGAAAAGTGAGTCGACCTCGGTCCAACAGAACGTTCGAAAAAGTACAAGAGAAGATGTTCTCGCGCCAAGTGCGTTCCTGTTCTGCCACCTCCTTCCGTACTTTGCCAACGACGTCATACTTGTCCCCGCGTGCCTCTAGACTTCTTCCTCTCTCATACCGTCACATAACCATGTCTTCAGCTACCTCTTTCTACGATTTCGAGCCCGTTGACAGTATGTTTCCCAGATCATGCTCTGTCATCTATTTGGAACAAATCCGCTGACTCTTCACAGAGAAGGGAACTCCCTTCCCCCTCGCCTCGCTCAACGGCAAGGTCGTTCTTGTCGTGAACACCGCCTCCAAGTGTGGCTTCACCCCCCCAGTTTGAAGGCCTCGAGAAGCTCTACCAGAACCTTAAGACCAAGTACCCCGAAGACTTCACCATTCTCGGTTTCCCTTGCAACCAGTTCGGCAACCAAGATCCCGGCTCCGACGATGAGATCCAGTCCTTCTGCCAGCTCAACTACGGTGTCTCATTCCCCGTCCTCGGAAAACTCGATGTGAACGGCGATAACGCCGCGCCTGTCTGGACATTCATGAAGGAACAGCAGCCTGGTCTTATGGGACTCAAGCGTGTTAAGTGGAACTTCGAGAAGTTCTTGATCTCCGCTGATGGAAAGGTTATCTCTCGCTGGGCCACCGTCACCAAGCCCGAGGGCCTCGAGGATTCTATTGTCAAGGAGATCGAGAAGGCCAGGAAGGAGGGCACCCTCGCCTCACAGAAGGCTGGAGCCGAGCAGGCTAAGCTGTCCTAGATTGTGTAAAGGCCTTTCTTGAGTTCTGATGATACCTTTTGTCTAATGTTTGTATCTACATGCGTTTTCTGGATTCTTGTGACATACGCTGCTCAGCTTCTGAAAACTTCACTGGAGTAATAATAATTTGTGTATCAATTTCTCAACGTCAATGTCCGTATTCCAAGATTCTTGATTGCACTAGATCTTTTATCAAACTGATTTTTCCCCCATGGCCCTTTGGGTTGCGGTTGAAAGACCTGGAAAATCCTTGTCCACGGGTATATGAGTTATTCAGATATCAGATTAAACGGAAGGGTCACCCTTGGGAACCAGATTGCGCAGTGACAGGTCGTAGACGACATCCTCGACCTTCTTGACCTACAGTAGCACACAGATTAGCATCTTAGGACGGGGAAGGTCACGCGGGAATACTCACGCTGTACTTGATACCATCACTCCTCTTGCGCAGAATGTCGTTCTTCAGGTTCAAGAGTTGGAATCCGGCAAAGAGCTCCTTAATGAATGAGCCGATTTGCATCGGGCGATTGTAATCACCCAGTGTGACCGAGTTGACAGCCAAACGAGACTGGACAGAATTAGTAGGTTCCAAAGACGGAGTGGAATCGCGAAACGAACCAGCTCCTCGACCATGGCAATAAGGGCCAGCAGGTACTCCTCAATAGTCAAGTGGAAGGCGTCTTCTTCCTTCAGGTTGACAGGGACTGCAAATCGTGTCCCGCATTAGTCTCAACTTGCATGGTACGTGGCGTTGCGGTTAACTTACCATCCAGGAACTTGCCCACATCTTCAATAGTCATGAACGATGCTGAGTTGGGGCCCTTGTGTTCCTGCAGGCCACCGAGCCAAGCGGTCAGCTCGATCGAGGCAACCTGACACGCGAGTTAGTAAAGAGATTGCGTATGACGGCTAGAAGGACTAACCAGATTCTGCAGCTCGCGGGTCCACAGTCCGTTGTACTTATAGAAGGGGTGCTGGTCAACAACAGCCTTCAGACGAGCAACTTCTTGCTTCTGTGCAATGATCTCTTGGGTGACATCGTCAAGCACGGGCTTCACTGTGAAAAGTTAGAATTACCGTTTTGGACCATCATCAGAATGTCACATATGACATGACGGAAAGTTTTCGGGGGCGCGGGAAGACTACTCACGTTGATCAGCAGGCGTAGAATGAGCCCGTGACAGAATGGCCTGAGTGGAGCGCCCTATACAGGCTCGGCATCAGCTTTTGCTCAACAAGACTCCTAATCGAGAGCCGCCACAAGGTAGACATCTCGCAGAAACGTCTTTTGTGTAGCCAATCTCAGGACATACCTCTCCTGGCAAGTTTCTGCACAATATCATGGAGCTCCTGTAGACAATTTTTAGCTATCGGTTCCCGTCGCCTTCAAGGCTCGGTGTAGGCTTGGCACGCGAAGAATTCACAACTCCCGCGGCAAGATCATTGACATACATCACGAACAGTGGTCTCCTCATCAATCTTCGTCTGGAGATCCTCAAAAATGCGTTGGTCAATCATTTTGTTGGTTAGCTATGTTGGTAGGTGCGATATGGAAAGTTCAAGGTGGATTTGAGAGTTGTGGTGCAGACCGCGAGTTACGTCAAAAATCTATGCTGAGAAAAGGAAACTTGCAACGCAACCAAAAAATTATTTGATGTTATTGAAAATTAAAACAAGTAAATATTATATCATCTGTGGATTGATTTATATTCAAAGTTTTACAATCTTTCTTCTCACTTCTCTAGTAAGGGCAATGTAACAAAATGGGGCGTGGGAGATATAAATGAAATGCGCAAGTGTACTCCAGTCTACAGATTATACCCTTGATGTATGAATCAATGTATACTGCTGGATGATCCTCGTCATACGTCAGAGAATCGTCAATTGACAAGACCAAGCCAGAACCTTGGAAGCTTGTCGACGCTTTGAGCTTGCGTAGTAAGTGGTTCATGCATGGATGATATTTGCACAGATCAACCACCGTGACTCTAATCCCCAGGAAAGATAACAACTCCATTTGTATGTCCCTATTTTCAGGCGTATCGTGACCAGACTTATCCGGAAATTATCATAAACATCGTAAGGACGCGACAGGGACTGACAGACGCCAGGGTATTCGCGCGAGGAAAGGCTTAGTATCGATATCTGGTCGAGTAATCTGTACAACTGTTAGCAACTGGCCATCTCTATATGAGGACGCATGCTGACCTTTGGGGCTGACAACCAAACCACGGCCCTTCTTGGCACCCTTGTAGATGGTCTCGATGATGTCGATCAGCTCTTGCTTGTCCTCCAGCACCCAGTTCAACTTGTTGTTGTTTCCGGTACCGAAATCACACATCATGTGCTTGTTGCGATAGAAGAACATGATGGTCATGCGGTCGTAAAGCTCATACATCTGGTTGAAGTCCGGAACCTGATCAACATCGCAAAGGTAGATCACTGCGAAGTCTGTTGGTGCGTTAGCTGTTTTCCTTTTCGATCTGGAGTGGGCTACTGACTCTTCACGCGCTCAGCAATCTTGTACAGCAGCTCATCTTGGCGGATACCTGTTTCACGTGTCAGTCTGATGATCGGGGTGAGGGGGATCAACTTCAGGTACTCACAGTCAGGATCATGGTCGCGACCGAAGCGGATCACGACCAAACGCTCCTCTTCGGAAAGGATAGCCTGGTCGACATGCCAAGCCGATTGGAGGTGAGGCAGGACAATTGAACCCATCGCGAACGTAGCTTTATGCTGACCAGAGTATGCCGAAGTGGGAAGGATCGAAAAGCCTTATCAGTTGGCCCCGCGATAGAGCTCCCAGTCACGTGACCATCGTTTTTGCCCGGCTCGGAAGGTGTTGTGATGAGGTTGTCCATGATCGATGTTGAAAAGCTGAAAATAGCTCCAGGGCTATATCAAACATACAGTTAATCATCACATCTCAAATCTGATATATAGTGAGAATTTGGCCACATCAATCGTTCACAAGCATGTACGCTGAATCATATTGTTATGGAGAAATTCTCCAATCCATGATGAATCCAGAGATGCAGCTGGAACCTTGAGTAAGATGTAGCTACATTATAGAACAATCTCGGGACGAAAAGGATGATATTTCACGGTTGTTGTTGAACTGCCCTGTGATGATCAGAGGTGTCGGTGATTTACCGCTATCCTTGATTAGGCATAGTGTGACACCTTACAAAGCATACCCCGGATCCTAGTCACCTCCAGGGCTGAAACTTAGCACAACAATTGACTCAACATTTCTGATACAAGGAGAATACTTTCGATCATTCTAGGGAAGTCGAGCCAGAATCTTACGATTTGCACATCATCTATACTACGTTTCCGTTCGCCAGTATTCAGCGCAGATGGACAGACTAGAGACGCAACCATTTCCAGCCGACAGCAAGCAAACCAATCTTGCTGCGAAACGCTCAGCTCCTAAAGAGCTCAATCCTGCTAGGGATAACAAGAGAGTAAAAGACTTATCTACCGGGTGGGAACAGGGAGATATCAAACTTCCAACTCCAATTCGAAGGGTCCCTTTCCCAGACAAAGTATGCTTGGACTCCTCCATGTGAAGAAGAATGAATATGGTAGAATCGTTCTAATCCTGCTGAAGCCCGCAGTTTTGGAGGAGCGCAATGGCGAAATTGAATACCGAGTTGTCAACAATGACGGGTCCAGAGAAAGCATGATTGTCCTCACTGGTCTGAAGTGCCTATTCCAAAAGCAGCTTCCAAAAATGCCGAAAGACTATATCGCACGTCTCGTTTACGACCGCACTCACTTGTCAATCGCCATTGTTAAAACACCTCTAGAAGTCATTGGTGGGATAACATATCGACAATTCTCAGCTCGCAGGTTTGCCGAAATCGTTTTTTGCGCTGTCTCGGCTAGTCAGCAAGTGAAAGGATATGGAGCGCATATTATGGCCCATTTGAAAGATTATGTTAAAGCGACTTCCCCTGTGACTCACTTTCTGACGTACGCCGATAATTATGCTACCGGATACTTCCAGAAACAAGGCTTTACTAAGGAGATCACTCTTGACAAGTCTGTTTGGATGGGATATATCAAGGATTACGAAGGGGGAACTCTTATGCAATGCTCTCTCGTTCCTCGGATACGGTATCTCGAAGTTGGCCGTCTGCTCATGAAGCAGAAAGCATCTGTTCTGGCCAAGATTCGTACTTTCAACCAAAAACACATCATCCACCCACCGCCTGAGCAATGGGCCGGCGGCGTCATCACCCCGTTGAATCCACTATCCATCCCGGCTCTTCGGAAGACTGGTTGGTCCCCAGAGATGGACGACCTTTCACGGGAACCACGCCGTGGACCACATTACAACGAACTTCGCCGGTTTCTGAATCATATCCAAAACCACAAACACGCCTGGCCCTTTGCCAGTCCGGTGAACAGAGACGAAGTCCCTGATTATTACAATGTCATCACATCACCAATGGACTTGTCAACTATAGAGGAAAGATTGGACGGTGATACTAATACCTACGCCACCCCGAAAGAGCTTGTCAGCGATCTCAAGTTAATGTTCAGCAATTGCCGTCAGTACAATGACCCTGCAACAGCATACAACAAATGCGCAGTCCAACTGGAGAAGTATATGTGGAGACTCATCAAGGATATTCCGGAGTGGCATAGCTTACTTGAAGAATGATGGGCCTCCAAGTGCCCATGTGGTTATGTTCCAGATCCTCATGAAATAGGTCAACCCGGGGCATATGATTTATAGGCGAGGATTTTGCATTGCATGATTTGGTACTATACGGCGCTTGTGCTCGTCCAACGCTTGTTGCTCGAGATGTCGAGAATTTCTGTCTTATAATCGCACCTTCATCGTACCGCAAGTCGCAGGTTGCAGGGAGGGCGGGAAGAGTCTAGAGAAGATCTTTTTGGCTTCGAGTAACAATGGATTTCATCATAATCCCGCACCCGCCCACACATGATATGATAGAGAATGTTGCGCTGTATCGCTTGAAACCCGTCACTTGGGCGACTGGAGCGGCCATCCCCGATGTCTGTAGTGCGCTCCTATCACTTGGTGCCTAGCCCAGCTGTTCCACTGCGTGGAAATTCTCCAGTTGTCCCGAAAGAGGATGGTATATGTGGAGGGTGTGCGATGGCTGTCAAGAACGCTTGCACTGTTGAGCTCAGAGAACTTGAGGGGAGGATGATGATGATGATGATGTGCCATTGCTATTGCCATGGCATCGTGAGCTCCTCCAGACTACACTGTCCGAATGCAAGACAAGCGGGCGACATAGGTTTGTTGACTAACGCTGAAGGGCAGTGTCCCTGGCTGTGATGGGAGTAGCCATCTCGAGCCATCTCGAGCGGCGACCCATCGCCGTTTAGTGATCTGGTTTTGGGGAGACTCCGATCTGGAATGGTGAAGTAGCGCCCGAATGCACCAAGGAGCATCGGGATTCGACAGCCAACACGTTGGCGCAAACTGGAACCCGAAGGCAGTGCAGTGCCGGCAATCAAGGTCTCATGGAGAGCGTCTTTATTGAGCAAGGAGGGAGTCACCTGCCCAGCAAAAAGCCAAGAACCGCACACGGTCGACGGAGAGAAGACGAGTGACAGAGACCGGCGATGCAATCAAGGGCAAGCAAGGGTAACAAGTCAACAGTCCTTCCAAGGTTAAACAATCATGTGAGATATCGCGAACGACGCGTGGAGATACTCGTTGCCGCCGACAGGAGGGAAAGAACCAGAGCGGACGCGACAGACGCGTCAAGTCGGCTCTCGAGGCAGTACCGCGAGGTAGCTGACGGTACTCCGAACAAGATTTACTTCTTTTACAATTGACTCTTCTCCAGGAACTCGGATATACCGAGCCGATGATGAAAAGGGTTTGCGTCGACCGGGGGTAGTGTAAGCCCAGTGACACTGTGCATCATGACATGCGCAAGCACAGAGGTCACGATGCGAGATCCAAAAATGAGAATAATCATTGATGTTACCACATGGGTAACTTTCAGAGATTAAACTGAAAAGAACAGATACTACACTTGATCTAAGCCAATAGGCAAAGAGAGCTGAAGAAGAAAAGAAGAAGAGGAAAACGGGAAGAGGGATGGGTCCTTATATACCTGAGCCGCCAGGGGGGCGCCTCACTAGCGTCGATTAGCCGATCCAATCAGAGCCTATCATGTGACCAAACCCGCAGCAAGATCGAAAACCATGGAACCAGGCCGACCTTTAGGGTCAGGGTCACATGACTTTGGACGAATATAGTCACATGACTCTATCGTTTTGCCCTAACATTCCCAATCAGGACTAGCCCTTCCCACCTCTGGACGAAATTTCGATAATCAAGCTCCACCGGGCAGTTTAGGACGTTGTCTTGACCATCTCTCTCGCCGGCGCAGGATATTCACTTCTTTGCGACCTTTCCCAATCCTCCCATTTTCATCCTCCCCTCCAACCGTCAAAAATGGCTCCCGTTGCTGTACGTTGAATCCAAACCGCTTTGCTGTTCCCCCAGCGGCGTCTTTCAGGGTTTCTCTCGATTTGCGTCCGGCCTCGATATTGAAAAATCTATCGAAGCCTCGACGTCGCGGGAAATCTTGCAAGGCTGCTACCGGGCCCCGACATTATGGAGCAGTAGGCTAATTAGATTTTTTTTGTGGTATAGGCTCGTGGTCGCAAGGCCCAGAAGGTTACCCAGAAGGTATGTTGATCCAATTGCGCAAACCTCGGGACACCCTCTAACATTGTGCAGTTCGTTATCAACGCTTCTCAGCCCGCCTCCGACAAGATTTTCGATGTCTCCGCCTTCGAGAAGTTCCTCCACGACCGCATCAAGGTCGAGGGCCGTGTCGGTAACCTCGGTGACAACGTCGTGATCTCCCAGTCCGGCGATGGCAAGATCGAGGTTGTTGCCCACATCCCCTTCTCCGGCCGCTACCTTAAGTACCTGTAAGTTTGTCCTGTTTCAATACACTGCCTGAGATCGCGCAGAGACGCTGACCATGATCTCCTACACAGCACCAAGAAGTACCTCAAGAAGCAGCAGCTCCGTGACTGGCTCCGCGTTGTCTCCACCTCCAAGGGTGTCTACGAGCTCCGCTTCTACAACGTCGTCAACGACGAGGCTGAGGAGGATGAGGAATAAGCGTGTCGCTGACGTGTCTTTTCTTCTGCCTTGATCGATCGGTTCTAGTCCGTGTTTTCACGCTTGGACAGTCCTTTCGGGACCGAGAGCGAGAGCCATGGGGGGATAGATTGGTCTATGAGGCCATGAATAAAACAAAAAATTTTATACCCTCACTATTCCACTGCCAACTTTGTAATGTAGTGTGATTCACAACACCCTACTACGTAATTTGAGAACGAATAGCATTGTAGAACTAATGTGGCTTGAAGTCGACTTCCTTGCCAGAGCGGTCTTCGTGAATGCAGTGCAATTGCAGGGTATCTTGAATAATGTCCGACCCAGTGAACAAGCAAAGACAAGTTCAATACGGCCATTTACCAGAATCCTCTTGTGGGTGATCAGCACCTATTGATGTCCAGGTGGAGGAATCAGTTGATTATCCTTCATTTTCCAACCTGCCTTCTGATGTATCTTCCATTTGGTGGCTAGCTTCGCCCTCACCAGGTCACCCGTAGCGATCGAGTCCTCCTTCGAGTCATGTCCATTTTGTCCAACCTGGATTTCGCGACCAAGTTGTTTCTGTACAAGCACCTTGAGGCTGTGGCGGATAGGGAGACCCCTGGGATGCGGATACAGAAGAACAGTGTCGATGATGGTGGGATGAATGAGTCGGCAAACATTCAAGTCGTTTTCGATGGCATGGCCAATCAGAGGTGTCTCGGGCTGAAGAAGGTTTAAAAGTAACCCCCGGGCCTCTGTAGGCGACTGCACTAGTTGCAAAGGCGAGGTTGTCTTGCTCTCACCATCAGTAGGTCGATTTGAGCTACGCGCCGAGGCATCGTAGGGTTTGGCAGAGGCAAAGTCTTGCGATGAGACTCCAGAAAAGCGCGTATTAAAATCCAAGATTTCACCCATAGGTCGAACGAGCACGTCAAGCAAGTTGCGACCTGCCGGCCAGCTGACGGCAGTGAGGCGAATCAACTCCAGGCCCTGTGTTGTGTAGCCCATCTCGCAATCAAGTGAGACTGGTTCCCGAGGCCCTTTGTTGGGCTGGAGCGGGGTTGTCTCGAACTGGAGTATGGATGCAAGCCGTTTGGCTTCTGACACTTTGAAGACATGCGTGCTGGCATTGGTACAACCGGTAGAGGCGCCAATGGATTGGTTGCAGCAGGGGAAATATGGCTGTGCAGAACCTGTGACATGGTCTGTCTTCTTGCCTCGGGGGTGAACGGCTCGCCCTGCATGATAGGTGCATGAGCCGCCAGTGGTCAGCGTGCCATCGTCTCGGCGACCTGGGAACACCTGGAACCGTTGACCACATCGATCACACTTCTCCCAGCCTCTGGACTCGTCGACGCCTCTTTGAGCGGCGTCTATTTCTGCCTGGGTTGGGGCCTTTGTGACATATCCGTGTGCCTCGAGGCCAGTGATGGGCGTGAGAAGCTTGGGTAGAAATGCGATTTCTTCTGTAGGGGTAAGCCCTGTTTCGATAGGCTTAGGCCCCGACGCAGGCTTTCCGACGGGGTTAATCTTGTAATATCGCCCATTCAAATAAGCCATTACCTCCTTGACCCAAGACTCAATGTCCAATTTGGTGAGTTTCACGATGCGAAGCTTGATGACATTTCCATAGACTCCTGGATGTTCCCTTGCGCACTTTTCCTCTTCGTCTAGGGACATTGTTATGATCTCGTCAGAGGTCAGGACGAAGCATTGATTTGTGCCGCTCTTTTCTTTGCGTAGCTTCTCATTCAGGGATGTAATGGAGGCATGTAGCTTTTTGAGAATTGCAGTTCGAACGGAATGTGCCGCAGGCGCGGATTTGAGCATGCGCGGATTGAGAGTTTCTTTTGGAGCCTGGCGTGGGGGAAGTTTGGCAACCTCAGGGATACCATTTGGCTTCTTTGGCTCTGGTTCTGCGGATCTTGATGATCCCGCCGGAGTCGCCACGCTTGGCTTTGCGCTCTTCTGCATAGTAGATTGGACATTGGGGGAGCCATGGGTTGTAGCTGGACGATTGGGGGTGGGCAACTTCGAGGCCGAGCTCCTCGTATCAAGCGCTTTCTTGGGAGCATTGGACGGGTCTTCAATCTTGTTCTCTTGTTTGAGCCTTTTAGCAGGTGGATCATTGTCGGTCTGAAACACTTCCTGCGCGCTTGCCTCAATCGAATCATCCGAGTGTAGGAACAAGCATTTGAGCAAAGTGCACTCTTTGCCTCGGGGACATGCTACGTCCGCGAAGCATCCGATTGGTGTAAACATAATTCCAAATAAGCGATAAAGTAACTCATAGGCGGAGGGTCTATTGATTCTTGAAGTTGAGGTCCAAGGTCGGGGAGCCAGAAAATTGCGCTGGGAGACAGGAGGCGTCGAGGTGGGTTGCAGGTATTAGACCAATTCAAGCAATCTCCAACCAGCTTATGCCACAAAGGATGCACCCTCTCGGCATGTACGAATTGGACTGAGCGAGCACCCTGGCTATCATATCATCCAACGCCTTTCAACCTTTCAACCGGTCAACCCCAACGGCCCCATTGATATTTGTGCTCCTTGCGCTACTCCTGATGAACAAGGAACTAATAATCTGGAAATGCTGGTCCGGATGAGATCAGGATATCAGAGCAAAAGTGACAAGGTACGAAGGTCAGATGGGAGCCTCTTCACGAAGTGATAAGTCGCAATGCAAAGAAAACAAACATATTGGATGCCTGACTTTATAGGCACAACTATCCATTTTAAGCACTCGAACTCGGATTTCCTTGTTTGTTTGCTCATCATTTAGTTATTTGGACAAATTGATTTCGAAATTCAAAGCTGCGTGTTCTTTTTTTCAAATTCCAGTGCGAATTTACGAGGAACGCGACCGGGATTCGCAAAAGCCTTCTAAACCCCTTATCACCGATAGCTCCACGCTGACGCACGCGGAGCCCGGACGAACAGACGCCCGCGCGACCTGCTAACTACAAATACTTACCTTCCGTTACTTTTTTGCTTTTCCGAGGTCGCACAGCCCTGGACAAATCTAGTCATGTCGGAAAATACATCTACAGCAGAACACCTATGTGTGTTGATACATGGGTACGTCCCTTCGCAGGAGCTATGACGTCGGGAGCTAATGCGACACAGACTCTGGGGAAAGCCTGCACATCTTGACTACGTCGCATCCGCATTACAAGAGACACACGACGATAAAGTACATATCCTCTGCCCGAAAGCAAATACCGGGAACTATACATACGATGGAATCGAACTCACCGGGGAACGATTGGTGCACGAGATCGAGGAAACACTTGAATCGTTAGCGGAGCGCGGTCAGAAGATCACCAAAATCAGTATCATCGGATACTCTCTTGGTGGCTTGCTCGCGCGCTATGCGATCGGCTTGTTAGATGCTCGTGGCTGGCTGGATAAATTGGAACCTATGAACTTCACAACCTTCGCGACTCCTCACGTGGGCGCGAGAGCGCCGCTGAAGGGTTGGAAAGACAGCATTTTCAACGCTCTAGGTGCGAGAACAATTTCGCAATCCGGTCGACAGATGTTTCTCATTGATTCATACCGTGACACTGGCCGGCCGCTTCTTAGCGTTCTAGCCGACCCAGAGAGCATCTTCATTAAGGGACTGAAGAAGTTCCAACGAAAGAGCATATATGCAAACATCGTCAATGATCGCGCCGTCCTTTTCTATACCTCTGCTCTTTCCAAAGTGGATCCTTTCGTGAATCCAGAAAATGTGAACATCAATTACGTCAAGGGCTATGGGGATGTCATTGTTGACCCCGATACTTGGGTGCTGCCTCCAACACGGCACAAGACAGGCTCTTTCGCCGAGCGCTTTTGGAAGAAATGCAAATCAGTGGCCATCTGGGTTCCCCTGTCATTAGTTCTGGTTATTCTTACGCCATTGGCTTCTTCAATATTCCTTATCAATGCTGTGATTCAGACCTGTCGCAGTTCCAAACGCATTCGGATGCATGAAATTGGAGAACGCGGAGAACTTTTTGGCAAATATAGGGTTCCAGTCTTGGTGCAGGATGTCCAGCACGTCGTGGAACAGGTTTTCGAGAACGTCAATGCTAGCCAGGAGCCGGCTTATCTGTCAAACAGTGACACCGACGTTTCTGACTCGGCGCCTGAAAAAGAAGGCGAAACGCCTGTCTCGGGCTCTACTTCAAATAATGCACATGTCGAATCCTCGTCGAGCCGACGGCGTTCTTCCGCGGCATCAGTACACTCCCCCAAACTTGCATTGACTCCGGAGCAATTCGGTATCATTGATTCGCTCAATGAATTGGGAATTCACAAATACCCTGTTCATATACAGAAGAACCGACATAGCCACGCAGCTATCATTGTTCGAAGTGATAAGGAGGGATTTTCAGAAGGCAAGTTGGTGATGAAGCATTGGTTGGACAATGAGTTTGCTGTATAATTATGCCTTCACGTGTATTTCTATAATCCTCACTTTTATAAACACAAGTACAATCTTGGAAATTCCCATCAGCCTTCAATCCCCGGAGACACATCATAAGATACTCGACTGATACCCTTCTGGCGACTGATCTTTCGAATAATGATAGACCCAACCAGACCAGTTAGCGGAACATGAGTCCCGCCGCAGGGATTGTGGTCCAGACCACCAATACTCGCTATCCTCGTTCGACCGTCATGCGATCGTCCCTCTTCTCCCTGATCGCCCTCCACCCATGAGATGAGGATCTCCAAGTTTTGTCGCACAAGCTCATTGACTTTCTCCTGGATGGCTGGCTTGTCCTCATTATACAGCAGGCCCTCATACTCCATCGACGCTTCCCTTGGGAAATGATTCGCCTTGACCTTCTTCTTCTCGGGCATCAATAGCTGCATCGCTAGTCCAACTATGTGACCAGCTGTATGCAGTCGCGAGTGGTAGTTGCGCTTTGAGTCATCGATGTTTTGGATGACTTGCTGGCCCGCGGTGAAGGGCGCGTCGCTGTATTTTCCAAAGTGGAGATATCTTCCGTCGGGTGTTTTGCGGACCAGCGAGACTGCGAATGTGGGAGGCTGATCTGAGCCGACGGAGCCAGTGTCGCTGGGTTGTCCACCACCTTGGGCATAGAAGATTGTCTGTCGCATCACCACGACGCTATCTTCAATGGGCACATTTTTGGCCAGGCTCTTTTCCTCTTCGGGTAGGGATGTGATTGACTGCGAGGATATAACCTCCGTCCTCAGAACCCGGAGCGAGGCATCGTGGAGGTACAAGGCCTCTGTGGCCTCTGTGCTGATCTAAGATGAAGCTTTAGTAGATACAGACGTAGCCAGCTGGTTCGACTTACCATGTTGCGGGGTTGTCGGGGAGTTGTCGCTTCACCGGGGCAGACTTACCGTGGGCCACCTCCGCTCGGGAACCGTCGCCGCTTAGCAATTGATCTTCCACTTGCCATTTCGGGATTTCTTTGACTTCCAACTAGATATAGCGGCTTGAATTACTCCTTTCGTATGTGAATGGGTGTTATTGTGTTTCAAAGTAACATCCAGATACGCTACACGTAGCGCCAAATTGACATAAATTCAGATGGTTGGACTTTGACTTGTACTATCAATCTTATGTTGGTGGTCCAGGCAGTTTACTGTTTGGCTCGAAGAATATGACTGGGTTGTCGTGATGATCTTGTCGCGCTCACGTACTTGACCGTTTGCTCCCTATACCTATCTTGGGCTCTATGGTTCTTCTTCTTCTTCTTCTTCTTCTTCTTCTTCTTCTTCTTCTTCCTTTCTTCCTTTCATCTCCCGCCTCTTTCCCCCTCATCCTCTTGCCCACCCCGTGATATGCACGTCTTGAGATTGCAAATCACTCAACTTCATCAGTCTGTTGGTTTCGAGATTATTCTTCATCAACTACAGGTCTTCTGATATCTCTGGAAGACCTCACAATACTGACTCTCACGTCACTTTGGCTTCATTTCATGAAGCCACTCGGATCCAGCTTCCTCAAGTTTACTGCTCCAAAACTGACTCCCTCGCCGTAAAACCGGCAGCCGCGTAGGCTTGATCCCAACCTCACTTCAGTTTCATAATCTTGGAGTAACCTGTGATTTCCGAGTTTGTTGCTCCAAGCAACTACTTGGTTTTTGTCAAACTGGCAGTGAGTTGCCGCTCTCCTGTAATTCACCCTTGATTCCCTCCTCACATCATTTGCAGAAGTCACTTGATTCATCTGTCATCCTGAATTACCTTTCACTTCAGAATCTGTTTCACACCGATGCCATAATGAAAGAATCTCCTTATCTGCTGCAGTTTACTCAAGGCACCGTCTCCCTTTCTTTAAAGGATCCGCAGCTTGTAGTCTCCCCAAAGCTACTTGGCAGGATCAACTGGTACTCTTGGAAGACCGACCTATTTGATACGTTGGATATGCAGCATGGGGTGTTTGTTGCAATCCTTCGTGGAGAGGTAAAGTCTCCCGTCCCGCCGACCTTTCTGCCAACCGATCCAACTACGGTTTTTCCACGATCAGTTGAAGATCGTATGACTGTGGGGCGAGCCAGTCACTGCGCCGAGCTTGATCATCACGGCAGGCCAGCCTTGAAAGAACTCATCGACAAATTCCAGGAGATTAACACCGAGAATCAGCACCGGAAGCAGCTTTACGACACAGAAAACTTCTTCTGGACTTTTGCGTCGACATCTTTGAGGTCTTTCCTTTCTTCTTGCTGTGATGAGACGACCAAGGGTCTTGTCCAAAATATCGACTCTCCACACCTCGCATTCAAGAAACTAGAGGCGGAATACAGCAATCCTTCGTGCATCATCCAACGGTGGAAGTACTTCAGCGAAATGCGACACAGAGGCAGTGACGCACCGGGCTTCATACAACTTTTTCTGAGTGCGAAGTGGGCGGTTGAACGAGATATTGGCGCGCTTTCCCCTATAGTGGAATCCTCTGTGTTCATCGTTGCTGTTTCGGACAATCCTTGGTGTGAGGCGTTTGTTCAAAATTCAAACCCAGTCACCGATGTTGCGTCGCTTCGGAATATGTATCGTGACTTCCAATTGAATCAATAAAAGAGATTCTTGAGGACTTTCCATAGCGCTCGCTTCCCTGCCATAGCCAATCATCAGCTCTTTGCTCTCACAGTTCACTTCGTGACTTTGCTCGTACATTCGAGCCTCTGTCAAGAGCATTTGCCTATGTATGGTAAGATGGCGTAAAATATCATGCTAGAGACAGAAATAGATGGCTAAATGTGTGTAATTCTTGAGTTTCAATGAGTGGATAAAGTGAATACATGAAGCAGTATGCCGGGAACGCAAATCCTCCACATTCCAACCTTGGAAGGCTCACACCTCAATCATTGAGGAGTTCCCATGCTATGAGTGACCATTCAAGCCACCGGTTTCCTAATTTGAGCTCGAGGAGCTCTAGCAGTTACCACAATAGGTTCGGGAACCAATAACGTAGTTACAGCACTGACCACCGCAGCACTTGATACCCACACCATCACAGTACTGACCATTGGTCTGGCATCTCTTTTCGAGCTTGAAGATGTCATTGACATCACGTCCAAAAATCTGAGCGGCTGCATGGTCTTCAACACCAGGGCCGGTTTCTGCAACAGGACTCGCGGCGGCAAGGGCACTGGTGGCGAGAGAAAGAGCCACAATAAAGGTGTTCAGCTGCCTATGGTACAGGGTAAGTATAAGGCGGGCTTATTCTTCACGTTCAAAGAGGTGAAGGGCTCACATCTTGTTTGTGGTTTGAACTTGAAGTTGTTTGAATTCTTGAGATAGATTTGTTGGAGATCTTTTTGATTTGGTTTCGACTGAACACCCAAAGGGAGGTATTTATGTAGCAGATTCTCTGACAACCCTTGAAATCAAGCCAGATTGTCTTAATGTCTATTTTGAGAAGCATGCCAGGCCTCCCGTAGGATTCCGTTGTCTCAAAGAAGAAATGGCAACGAGAAACATTTGAGCCAAGAGACCTCGGGAGTGATTGGAGAATTGTTTTGCAAATCCAGGCAACCTGCGAAAAGGGTCAAGGATCTTTAGGTAACATGTTCTAGTTGGGGCATTGATCAACCAAGTCACGATGATCTGCAAGAAGCAAGACAATGCTCATGTTCAGATAAAATCGCTCAAAATACACAACCACCTAGCACGACCTGGAAATGTTGTGTCCAATTGCCTATTTGGGCGAGAATATCGCACTTTTGTTAGTTTATAGTGCTAAAAATCAGTATCAGGATTATTGTGAGGAGTCCGATAAGGTAGCAATTAGATCGCTTAATACAGTAACTATTTCGTGGTTTTAGCCTATGTATAGGCGTGACGCCACGCGGGCGGGAATCGGCAACTCTATTTTGAGGAGCCACACTAGAGGTCAACAGCCATGCAGATAAGGAGCTGGACGCCTGAAGCGTCATACCGAATTCAAGACCATCGTTAACAGGTACGCCTTTTTTTCTTTAGAGGCCAAGCTATGCATAGTACTTTCTAGGCTGTGTCCACGAGTACTTCTAGATTTGTCTATTGTCTGGAGATCATCTCCGAATGTGAGACACACTGGAGTATACTAATCGAATTGAACCTGATATCCCGAGGTCTTGGTAAACCCCACTTTCAGGCCTCCTGTAGCATCATCTCAGCAACGGAACATTGTACACATCTAGCATCGTCCATTGGCCTACCTTGACCTCGGGAGTTGATCCTTTCTGCATCAAGTTTCTGGCTTTTCCTAGTCAGGAGACCCCGGGCTCGTAGGTGAATCCTGCAATATGCACAGTATGTGCAGGTCTATCATTTTCCTTTCATTCTTCGTGGGGCCTGATTCACACGACGTGGGGAGCCAATTCTGTCTTCCGGGAAGCCCAGACATGAGAAATCCAGATCCGTGGCCCTCCGACCTAGCCTTCTCATGACTTCCCAAGTCACATCGAGGAGAAAGTATATTCATCTATGTAACGCCTGCGCGTGGTGGCCTTACATGTATCAATTTGGGGGCTATGTTCAACATGGATTGATATTGATGAGCCAAGCTCAAGAGCATCTATCTCTTTGGATTTCTGGATTTCTGGCATATAAATATGGCCTCTTCGACATGAAAAAGATTACACTTTCCAAGGATCCTTGATCACCACGATTTATACAGATATATCCAGTTGACTCCTTTTCCATCTGCAACATGTGAGCACCGCCCGGCCCTGAAGCTCTGGAAATGACCCAATTCAGCTCTGGGGCTTGATAACTAATCTGTTGATATCTACAGGAAGTTTGCTTCTATCATCAGTATCCTTTCCATCGCGACTTGAACTCTTGTCACTGCTGTGCCCACCCTGGGAGATGCCTCTGTCGCTAGTCCCGAAGATCACGATGCAGCCCAGACATTCAGCCGCGACGTGAACAACATCTTCAAGATCGAGAAGCGCTGCCAGAGCAATGGCCAATTCTGTGACGGTGTAGGTATCAAATGCTGCGCTGGTCAGTGCTGCAACTATCGCAAGGGTGTCAACACTTACTGCGGAAACTGTGATTAGGCGAGCAATGATCTTGCTCCCTAAATTTGCCGTGTGATGTGGTTTGTTGTTGGATCTTGTTACTAAAGAAGCCTGTTCCGCGGTAATTTGACCACACTCGTTTGTTTGACTCTCAAGATTCCGCGCGGTGTCTTTGCATGTATATGTCAAATTCTCACATAGCAATTATAAGACCTGGTATAGCCTATCTATAAAAACATTCATAGAAAGTCTCATATTACAAATGTTCCTTAATGCTTGTTGCGCGTTGGAAAAAAAAGCCAATCTGACTTCAATCAAATTCTGTGAGGCTGTAATAGAGTTTATTGCAATGGACTAGTCGATTCGAGCTCGTTGGTTTCTCGAGATCTTCGAGGTTGACGCAAACCTTTGCTCAGGACTTGTAGTCGGCCTATGTATATTGCCCTAGAACTTGGCAATCTCGCATACTGGTTCTTTGATCCTATATGTGGACTCGACAGGATCTAGTTAGAAGGATAATTGTATACCAGAAGATTATTTACAAGACAAAATTCAATAATCCCCGCATTATACCCATGGATGAGTTCAAGGAGATACGTGGAAGTCCTCGCCGGTTGAAGATTGAAGTGACGATCGTTACGTCATTCGTGCATATGGGGCATGTGTAGCGAGAATGGACATGGGAGTGTCATATTTTTGGGCTTATTACAAGCAATACCTTCCATATTGGTGAGACTAATCCTCAGGTGTCTTTAAAATTGGTATTATACTATTGAGCCTGGAACCAACTCAACGATCCTTAAGAGTCCGAAGTACACAAATCTGATCTTCACTAAATTGGATCTAGAACTAAAGAAAATAATCTGGAGAATGCAGTTGTACAAAGTCGTTGAACGTCGTTTCATAAAAGGAGGCGAAAAGCTCTTAGTATGGAATTGCCTGGTGTCTCAACTCCAATCTTGGTAGCTTGTTGGGTTCAAAGAAAGCGATCCAGGTAATGGTCATTAAAAAGAGACGTGATCAATAGTTGCCAGTTCAGTTAGGGACTTGCTGGCTGGTATCGTAGTCGAGCTCGGAAACAACTTCGCCCTTGGCTGTCTTCCTGTGTTCGCGCTCAAAAGCGAACTTGACGGCGTCTAAGACAGTTTCAACTGTCTTTCTTGGGGGGAAGCGCGGCTTGTCACCATCTTGGTAGACTCCTGTTTTTACCAGAATAGAGTACCAATCATTCTCAGTGGTCTCATTGAATTCATTCGTGCCGCGGATGTCGGACTCAGGAGTATCACCGATGAAATATACAGTCGATGGAGATCGGTCGATGTCGCAAGATTCCTTGCGCCACTGCTGCAGAAGTCGGGTAGCGAATTGGTACGTCCCGATTTGCGGTTTGCCGAAGGCAATGGTGTTGAGGTCCTTTCCTGTGATCGCGAAATAGACGGCCTCAAGAGAAGCGCGCAGCGCTCCCATTCCCAGACGCGAGTAATCATGCGATGTAGACCAGACGACGTCGGTATGTGAGAAGAAGACCGGGGGTCCTTCAGTAAATATCTCCGACCGGGTGTTCAGCCACCCGTCTTTGGTCATGAGGCAGTCCAGAATAATCTGCTGGTCACCAGCCCAGTCACGACTGTCCGCAAAGACAAAGATAGCCTCGATTCGAGTGTTATCCAAATCAAGCAGTCGTGAATTGTCATGTTCCTCGTCCGTCAATGTTCGGAACGGTGTGGTATCGTGTCGGGTCTTTATGATATCTCCTGGTGTGATCACATCCTTGAATCCGTATCCCTCGGCCACGACGCGGCACTTCTCGCCCTCGCCACCGACGACAAGGACAGTTCCGTACCGCTCTGCCATCTCGCGCATTGGGGTGTGTCCGCAGATGAACTGGCCAGGGTCAACATCAAGGTCGAGTTGGCGGCTGAGGTCGAGGCATCGCTCTTTTTCAGTCTTGCCGCCACCATTGGTTAAGAAGATGTAGGGGCTAGGAAATGACAGTTAGCATATTTGCTTGCAGTAGGGTGTGATCTTCATTTCTTCACAACGGAATAAAGCAGAGACAACATACACTTTGACTCCGTATGGGTTTTCACCATTAATGTATTTCATGGCATCGACAGCCTCAGGAATGGGCTGCCCGCCCTTCATGAGAACGCCATCAATGTCAAATGCCAGCGCAAAGTCATCAGTGGTGACTGGAGGAGGACTGTGCATTGGGGTATTGATGGGGGTTGACTCGTTAGAGGAAGATTGCTCGTGCGTGACCATTTCAGATAACTTTGAGATATGTGTAGGAGGAGCCATCAAATTCTTGGGAGGAACAGCGACATTAGGACCACCAAATAGATCGGCACGATTGTTCAGACTGTTCAAGACTCTGTGGGGTCCACCGGCTGTAGCCATTGTGAATGGAGACTCAAGTGGGGCGGACGGGGACAAATGACGATGGTGATCAATGTACTTTAAAAAAGGTACGACACCGGTGCACTGCTTATCGCAATGGGGCAGGTTCTGATATGAGATATGAAGTCAGGGCAAAGTGTCGATCAAACAGGCTTATTCTATGTCTTGCTCGACGTGCAGGCTGCAGTGAAAATGAGATTAACTGCAGTAGAGTCGCAGATGGAATCCGAATGAAATTTGGGCGGAGCATGTGGGGGGTCGTAGGAGCCATTAATATAGCACAGTGTGTGTGTCCGCAAAGAAGTGTGAAATCATGGACCGGGATGAATTCTCACACTCTAATCTGTCACAGACCTCGTCACTTCCTCAATTGTCCCGGGTTGTAGGGATACCAAAGCATCCAACAGCCCAAGTACACAGATGCGGGTCCACAACGGCCCACGCTTGGCGCATGGCAAATGAGTATCCGGTCGACGCTGATTTGACGGTAGGAAAAATTAAACCCAGCCCATTATGACTTCAGAGTGGAGTTTAGGAACGGTTGACGTAGGGGTCGAGCCATGACCGGTTTTGGGGCAGACCAGTTTATCGAGTACTCCGTACATGTTTGCGGCTTTCGGCGTGGCGTTGAACGGATGTGAGAACCGAAAGATGTCGATGGTGCGGAGTACTCCGTACACATTTGCATCCTGGCCAGCCCGTGTTGAATCCCGACGATGCTGTAGGCTCTCGAGAGGTGCAAGTGGGCAGGTCCATCGAATGAGACAGCCGTTGACGTCATGCTGACTTATCACCCGTGTCTACCTATTCTGTACGGGGTACCGACCAGGCACTTCCAACCTTGTAACCGGCTGCCTATAATGCTTGCCCGCTATACCTTCATCCAGACCCATGCCAAAAATCCAACCTCTCAGTGGCGTAGATAATCACGCCCGAGTTGGACTACTTGGCGCCACATGCCGCCAGATACTACCTCGGATCATCATCAAAACTCCATTGAGACTGATGCATCCCGCAGCCAAATATCGTGGCTTGGAATAATCTCTTGAGTTTATATGTCTGTCTGGTACACATCTGCATGTAGCTCAAATGTCTACACACAATGCAATTTCCATACCGAGGGCATTGCCTGGGGTGCCTTGTCGCCAATCTGTCACCAGTCTCTAACACCATCTCAGCACCTGATCTCTCCGAGTGTACTGAGGCTCGAGATTTGTATTTCTTAAGTAGAGTTTGGTCCACAGCAGGCCAGAGCGTCATCGGCGTACTGGTTGCAGTATGATCCCGCGGGCCATAACTCTCGCTAATGACGGAATCCACGTAGAGTTCGAAGGTCAAATCTGGCGTTATCTGCGGTTGCTCAGCCCTGGACTGCGGGGAGTCTCGTATCCTTGGAGTGAGAAGCCATTCCCGGCGTGCCTTTTAGTTTGGGCCTGAGCGTAGTCCGTGCGTCGAGATCCGGGGAAATCAATGGCCATAGTCGGGACACATGGTTCTCATTTGATAATAGTCTCGATATAGTTGCCTATTTCGAGATACTCGAAAGCCGTGCCGAGAACCTTGAATATTACCCAGGTGCTAAGGGCCATAATCCCACCGAGGGGCGCTTGTTCTAGATAGCCCTAGCAGGTGTCATCAAAACAAGCCGTATAGATCTCAACGAGATGCGATTGCCGGCATACGAAGATCACGATCGACAGAATCTGGGGAACCTGGTTGTCTCCACCGAGCTGCTGCTATGTTATAGTCATCCTGCTGTTCGTGCCCAGGTGGAGGCTGATGCCATCGCTCAAACGAGAAGTTGCAGAGCCAATCATGGCCCATTGGACTATTGGGGAAAGATTAGCAAGCCAAGATTCAACCCCGTACTCTCGAACCCCGTCTGGCTTGGGCCTTCCTTTTTATCTGATGGGTCTGTGGGCGATTCTCGTTCCCGTAGCGGGACAGTCTTTCTAATTGTTTCATAAGATCGAGGTCCTGAGATCAACCATCTCCGATTATTAAGATGCATGAGACAAAACTTGGATTTGAAGAGAGATTTACTATCATATGCATAAAATCAGAATATTCTCGATCAGAAGTCATCTGCATCGTTCTCAAAGTCGTCTATCACCTCGTCTAAGCCCTCGTGTTCATCACCCGTATCATCGTCTGCCCAAGGATTCCAATCAGAGTCCTCTTCTTCCCATGGGATTCTAAGATTGGGAACGTGTGGATGGGAAGGCAAGCGATGGTAGAAATCCAGATGTTCGCAAGAGCAGAGGTTATACTTGGGTGCCTCGAGTGGATATGGAACAGGGACCATTGAAAGGTCCACATCAAGTTCCTTGAACTTGTCTTTCCATGTATCTCCTTCCTGACATATCTCCAAGCAAGGCGGGTTCTTTTTGTCTGGGTTGATTGAAGGCAGGCTTTCCATGGGTTCAGGAACCTCGCACGTGAATCGACGCAAGTGAGGCAGTTTTTCGCTTTTAACAAATTCGTATATAACCGAGAGAGCCCATGCTTTGTACTCATCAAATCGGAGTGTAAGGCTTTCGAGGCATCTGGGTAGGTTGGGGTCATCTTCAATATCCGGCTCCTCACAATTTCTTCCTGTCAGCGAGCTTAACGTTGTCGTGATGTGTTTGAGACTTTCCATCTCAGAAAAGTCCGCTTCTTCCTCGCCGCCCCAATAGCAGTCATAGTCCACGGAATATAGCCCTTGTTTCTGAGGAAGCATTGCGTCACTAAAATCCGCGAGGAACTCGTCTGCCACCTCGTTGAGGGTGTCTGTGGTTCTAAATGTGAACCGCTTTAGGGATTTTGGCCATTCAAGCGCACGCCGGAGATCTGCGCGTTTGATCAAACAGTTCAATACTGTCAATTCCTCCAGCTCTGTGCTAAAATTGCCAGACCCAGCCATATTATCTCGCGTGAGCACGCAACCCGTGAGGCAAAGTTTTCGCAGGCCTGGATGACGAAATATGACCCCGTTCACTGTCGGAGCACGGATCTCTGTGCCAGTATCACTCAAGTCGCAGTGACTTCCAACATGGCCTGCACAGTGTTAGCTTCTGGGGTTCTAAAAGGGATAATTTGAGATCAAGAACCTGAACTCACAGACACGCAAAGCGGGTAGTCCCTTCAAACTAGGGTTATAAAGTCCTGACAAAGTATGGTGCTGCTCCCAGAACTCGTCGGAAAGTGGTTCATCTGTTGGGGGACTGAAACTCGAATCTTCTAAGGGTGCGGCTATCAGATATCGATAACGTCCGATGGTCATAATCGATACTTCTTGAAGTGCCCGCTGAAGCGCCTCCGCCTGGGACATCTCACTGCCAAATTCGACCTCATTAGACCAGCGAGAAGTATCGGGACGCTTGATCTCATTCCTCAAAAACAGGGTTTCCAAATTTGGCAGGCCGAGAATCATCTGGTAGAACTTAAGGTAGCGGGTGTAATGATTCTCGTGGCCAGAGTCTTTCTTGTGTTGTATCTCGCGAATCAGTGGGGCCAAGTCTGGGCGAGACTTGATTGTGCGAGCGAGACGAGCACCGCTTTCTGAATTGTTCAGTCGCACTGGCTGATACAGCCGTGGCTCGATTATTTCGCGCAGCGCAGGGTTTGCTTGAGACAGTCTACTCAAGTTTTGGGCAGATTCTCCATCGTCTAGGTATCCGATGATGATATCCCACAGCTCTAGCGGGAATACCGGTAGAAAGGACGAACGAGCGCGTGCGGGTAGGCCCTCTACCTGAGTCATGATCAGTTGGGACAAAGTTGAGGACAATTGAAAATTTACGACGTGGGTAAGAAGAAAATAAGTGAGTCGATTGTGATCTCGCTCTGTTGCGACAAAAATTCCTTATCGAATTTGTTATCGGCCCCGCCAAACGCCAAACTCCGCGGTTGGGACATTACTGAGGTTTTGTCCTCCGTCCTCCGTAATGAAAGGTGGGAAAGTATCACTCCAAAAAAGCAGGAAGAAAAAAACAAACCAGAACATCCGGGAGTACCCGTGGACAGCGGTTTCTCATGCCACTGATACTGAAAATTGCAATTCCATGGGTTCGTCTTAAACATGCGTAAAAATTCTATGTATACAAACCAGGTACACCAAGCGCTAACTAACATCATGCGAAACAAAACCACCCACAAAGAGACATAAAATACATAAAAGACCCTGCTCAATCGACTCTCAGGATTAGGTCATCCCCTCGTCTTGAAGGCGTCAAATTCCGACTTGTAGGCGAAACCCGATTTGTGGCCTTCTTTTTCGGACTATTAGGGTAATCCACTGCACCGGGATGGACATCAGACGGATAGGGTAGTTCTCCTTGTGATTCACGATTGTCATTTCGTCCCCGCTCGAGCCATAGATCTTCAGGGCAATAAGGGGCGACTACTTCGGGTTGGCGAGGGCTGCTGCGGATCTGTACGCGTTTGATGTCCTCGGCCCGGACAATGCGGGGGCGGCTGATCATCTCGGTGTCTGGCGGTAAGAGTGTTTGTTGGGATTGAGCTTGGATAGGGTTCGCGTGGCTTGAGGTGTTGTTTGATTTGTCGAATGAGTTGTCAGGAGCAGCGCTGCTTTCAGACGAGGAGGCTTTGTAGGCTAAGTTGGGATTGAACGGTGATGCGAGGGTTCTTGGACCCGATCTTCGCTTGAATCCTTCCGGGGTTTCTATGAAAGCACGAGGGTTTGGTGGGAGCCCTGCCAGTCGAGGTTGAGCTCCTAGTCTCGGAGTGTTGTCCTGCATCATTGCTACAGTTTGCTGACTCTCGTCCTCTTCAAACAGAGTATCTCCGCTGACAGGTCGATGAGTCCATTTCAATGGCTTCGGATACAGTCCTGCTGTTGGATCCGGGAGCAGGCGTGCCACGCTATGCTGTGACGACTGGGTGCGCGGTGAGGCCTCCCAGTCCGAGTCGGAGCTGACAGCGAATCCTATTCGTTCTTCTCTTGATCTTTTGCTTTGGTGGCCATGCGAGATTGTAGCAAGGTGGGGCGAGTAAGGTGATTCCGCTTGCATATTTGCAAGTGACCTCATTTGTTGGGAAGCATGGCGCTGTTGCGATGGCCCATGTTCATTTGCTTGGTCGTGTAGTGAACTCGGTCCCGAGCTAGGGGTTGGGAGTCGTGGCATTGGTTTCGTAAAATCAACAGGCTCAGACATAGCTCCTCCAATTTCAAAATGGTGTGGATCTGACTGGCTACGGTGTTGCTTTCGCCATCTCTTGCAGCAAAACACCACAGCGACGACAACAAGAAATGCGCCTGCCACGCCTGATGCCACGGAAATTCCAATGACTGCGCCAGGGCTGATCGAATGATCACCCTTCTTGTTTGTATCCTCCGATGCGCCACTTGAAGCCAAGGGGTCTTGCTCTGCAGATGCTGTTGGCTCGGCTTGAAAACTTGAGGACGTAGTGTCATATGACTTAGTCTCAGAGGTTTGGCTGGAGGTAGTCGAGGCTGACGTTGTTGTTGAGGTAGACGTTGAAGTTGTCAGAGGTGCCTCCGAAGTGCTCGCAGAGCTCATGACGGAGTTGGTTGTCGTTGCATCTGCGGTTGTCGTTGCATCTGCGGCCATCGTCGTACTCATATCCGAGAACACAGTTCCAGTGATGGTCTTATGTGTTTTGGGTATCGCTCCCGATACCGAGTCACAGATATGATATGCTTTAGAGTCCGCTTTGACTTCTTCGGAGCACATAGACAGTACACAACTTAGAGCTGCTTCTCCCAGCGTAAATCCATCTTGCGTTTTGGTTCGACAGAGGCATTTGACATTCGAAGGCGACGTGCATTCTTCGGGTGTGTACTCTGATTTGATGAAACTGTCCACACAGTCCCTTGCGCAGTCCGGGACCATGTTGAGCAGTGATGAGTCTGATGCATCGCTAGAGGTGTCGGCCGCGGCACATATGAGTAAAAAGAGGATCGTGATAAGTATCCTGTGGATAGGAAGGACAAGCATAGTGCGGTGCTTCATTCCACCGTGAGTGAAGGTCCATTTGTGCAGGTATTTCCATTCACGTACCTTCTATAATCTTGCATTGGATTGGTTATCCGGGAAGCCCTACAATCCATGTGGTGAACATAGTTGGCGTGGCTGTAGTATGTGGATTGAAATCGTTGCGAGTAACAAAAGCACAATCGGAGTAGAAAGAAGTTAATGTCAGCCAAACACCGACCCAGAGGGACGCTATTCTAGTTAAACATGGAACCAGGGCGCGCGACTCTACGCGCGAGGTAGCACCATCCATGACGCTGACCTTGGCTATTGGGGCCATAGACTGGGTCGCAAACTGCCTCTGAAACATGATGATGAGGTTGTGGATGCAAGCGCTTCGGTGAAACTGTATTCAAAATAGCGAGGTTATTTTGAGATCCAAGTTGCACGACGAAGCGCCGTGTTTGGGTGGGCAACGTTTTCATCCACTCCAATACGCGCCGGGCCACCTAAAGCGCTTAGGCTGCAGAAGATATTGTTGGCGCCGGCTATGTTTCACATTCGCTCAAATCAGGGAATTGATGGCCAGCATATGCAACCTATGATTTCGAGCGGCAGATTGAGCAATGCTGTGATTAGTTTTGTTGTGCTGGTGGCAAAGCTTCATTCTCCTGCAACGGTGCCGTCGAGGAATAGATTGCCGTTGGAGGATTTGCGCTGCTATACTTACCTTCTAGGGCTGATATGCAAGACACTGTGATCGCACAATTGCACCAAATAGTACTACGTATGGAGTAGATGCAGAGTGTCAATAGTCGAATGTGGGCCCACCAGTCCGGAGCTGTCAGCGCTTCATTCATGCAGCTGCTGACCGGACGTGTCCGGTAGATCATAAACCTACCCACCAAACTACCCCATGGCCTACTCCGTACCAATTCTACAAATAATTCACTGGAGAAAATAAAAACCCGTGTCAACATTTCAATATCATAAAAAGCTACCACGGGCAGTGAGACGAAAAAAACGATGCCCCAGAGTCATGAGCTGGTATCATTCATTAGAAGCAAACCCGCAGTATCGAGCACAAAGGAAAATCAGATCAAACAGAAACAAAAGGTATGCGACCGCATCAAAGAGATTAGGGAATTATGGACATCATGTTGAGCCGATGCCAAGTGGAGGCTGCATGAGGCTAGTTCCAACCGGACCTCCACGGAATGCTGACGGTCCGGATAACGATTCGCACCGCCCCTTACTGGCACAAGAATGGTGGTATTAAAGTCGGCATCGTTGTCCTGGCACGAGCGGGCGCGAGTTGTGATTAAACGCGGGTGGGTATCTCTAGTATTTGAAGATGATATAGCTGGGATATCTGGTCAGCGCGGGTTCGGTCGCAAGGAGCGAAGAGCAACGGTCACATACATGGCGTGGATGATACCGGGAATCCATCCGAGAATGGTCAAACAGATGTTGATCAGAAGGTCAGCACCACATCCGCGCTCCAGGAAGACACCCAGAGGAGGCAGGATGATGGCGAAGATGATCTTGCAGATGTCACTGTGGAGATGATTAGTATGCTGAGGTGGGTTCCGCGACTGTCGTCATAGAGAGAAAATGATCTCTACTCCGAGAGGCACAAGTCAAGGGAGACTTACGAAGCGGTGAAAGGCATTTTGGAAAATGTGGAAGATGTGAACGGGGAAAGAGGGAAAGTGGAGGGAGGGAGAGATTTAAAAAAGGAGGGAACTGGGAGGAGAAGAGAGCTTGGGTCATTACATCACCGCCGCCACTGCCTGTGGCTGCGTTCCACCAGGCACGAGTGGCTCAGACTTCTATTTTTTGTTTTTAGCCATCATCATTCTTCCAAGTAGTCTCTGTCTCTACTCTGTATACACCGTACTCTGTACTGACATTCTTTTGAACTAATTATGGTGACATTGATCTTCTGTGCTGGCGACAACCCTACAAGGTGCCCGTCCTTTTGCTGGCTGCCTGGGCCTTGGCGCTTCGAGAGGAAAAAAACAAAAAAACAAAAAAAAAAAAAAACATTGTAGCCTCTTTTTGTTATTGGTATTCATATACATATTCATATTCATATTTGGATTTCTGTCTTCATTTAATTTCCCATTGTTGCTCTTCGTCTCATGATCCCGACGATCCCGACACAGACGAGGTAGGACACGGGAAAAACCAGAGACCTAACTTTGATCGTCAAGCTCATTACGCTGCCAAGGGGGACGTGTGGCGCCCAAGTCCCAAGTCTTGCCTAGAACCCTTTGCCAGCCCTACGATGGGTCCTGGTCCCCACCTGCCAAGATGTTGAGCATCATGTGGTGTCATTGGACTATGACTTCAGATGTGGCTGGGGTTGGTCACGCTAACCCCAAAATCCGAGTAAACAGGGTTGTCAAGCATTCGGTTGTACACGCGTTCGTATTCAGTTCAGGGTTTCCAGGTTTACATGTATGTAGCGTGGATTTGAGAATTGGGTTCAGGGAAGAGATGGCACAGAGTATGGAGCGTAAATCATGGAAATAGAAGTATCTAATTTCGTGGGTTAATCATGCTCTGCTCCTTTTGATCTTTTGGGCTATACAGGGTATGGAGTAAATTATGGTCAAGGCAGGGGATGAATCAAAGCCCTGGAGTAAGAACACAAAAAACGAACACCGCCTCCCTCCCAAAATAAAAGGGCAAATTAAATGCTTTGTACTTTGTACTAGGTCATCATGAAAAGAAAACTGCAGCGATGACTGGATCTACAGATTCATCCAACCGAAATCCACATCGTCCAGCAAGGAGCTCCACTGTGGAACATCCAAGTCTGGCGCAACTGCCACAAAATCCGACCAAATCTGCTGCCAGTTCTCTTCTAAATTATCTGTCAACCCTCCGCTCGCACTGGTTTCCTGCACAGTGGTAGGGGTTAGACGGCCCTCGAGATCATTGGTCCCTGGCAGTTCCCCTGACCCCATCAATGTGCCGTCCCGCTCTGTTTCGCGAGGCGCCATAGCGCTGTGCTCCCCCAAAGATCCCTGCAGGTCAGATGTACCTGGCCGCTGCTTAAGAGTCGACAACAGTGTCTGCATATTCCTATGGACGCCCTCAAAGAGCGTTCCAGACTCTTCTTTGGATCTCTCCAATGTCTGGTAAGCGGCCAGTACCTTGGCCTTGTGGATATCTGCGTCCGGTGCATCGGGATTGAATGAGACGTCCGTTGCTAGAATTAGCGCTGCAAAAAAGACATGCTGCACCACTCTCCACAGCCGCGCTGGATATCCTCCAGCCTCGGGGCCAATCTCGTCCATGGCTCGTCGTAATTCGAGAACAGTCTGCGCAGAGCGAATGCATACTCTGTTTGAATAGTGGTATCTTGGGTCTGTGGTGCCTTTGAGGTGGTATGGTCGATGCAGCCTGCATAAACGTGTATGGAAGCTGAAATGCAGGCTAATTCGTAGCCAAGTAATGTAGGGCCGTTCTCTACATATGTCCTGGCTATTTCGAATACTTTCTTCGTCCATTTTGAAGAAATCTGGTATTTTTTCGATGGTGTCTTGGAACCTCTTGTCCAGCGCGAGTATCACTTCATAGTCGGGTTGCTGGGAGTCTAGTAGCATCGAAGGCAAGGCATCAACAACCTCACGACACAAAGCCGCCGTCCGAATTCTTTGGATGCATCCGGACATCGCTGTAGGAACAGATAGCGGAAAGTCTTGCTGAACCCCCGTGGCCATCATCAGCTCATCGTCAATGTTACTCGGGTAGTTCACGTTCATATGTTTGGGTTGAAAAATATAAACGCCCTCGTGAGGGCCTCCAGAAAACGCGGATAACCTAAGAAACAGTAAGATGTTCGATCTGTATTCCAAAAATTGACATAAACGTACCAGTCAGATGCTACCATGTTCCACCAGACCCGTCTCCGGACTTCAATATCGATGAGATCACATCCCTTGAGCTTTCGTTCTTCTTGGCTACGAGCTGTGTCCAGTCTATGAATTTGTAAGTCCCGTGCCATTGCAAAACCCCGGGCCTGCAGAATGCGCATTGTGACAGAAAGACCAGCATCGTTTGCGAGTGAATGGGCCAAGGCGCAGATGGCAACTATTGCATTGGTCGAGGACTGTATAGGCTGGGCTGGATGTTCCAAAATGAACAAAGCCGTTTGAGAGTAAGCGTGAAGGGCTGATCTGGCTTCAGTCTGTGTAGCACTCAGTCTCTTAAGCAATGAAGTTGACCAGACAAGGGCCGCGCCAGAGAAAACGCTAAAAAGTAACATGAGTGTTGTCGGGCTGGGTTGTTTGCCATCTAGCATCTCTTGATAAGTCTGCTCCATCAAGAGCCGCGTGGAGGGTATATGCAAGAGCCCTAGCGATGGCTGCAGTGCGTTGGTAAAATGATTGAACAGCTCTCTTGCTTGTCCAATTGGGGGAAGCTTCCCAGCTGCTTTAGCCATGTCAGCCTGGCCATCAACGGCGACAACTTTATTGTCTGGCACTGTCTGGTGCGAGACAAATGAAGTGAATAAACGGGGGATAGTCTGCTACATCAATTGTCAGCAAAGGTCGGCATCCTCACGGAAAGTATTGGGTTAATCTCAGTTGTACATACCATATTTGCCGATGAAGACATAATTTCATGGTTCTGATAGCCACGATCCATTTCTATAACCCTATCTGTGTTTTGATAAACAGCTTTCTCAAGCTGCTGTACTCGAGTCAACAAATCCTGATCTCTGTCTTCTTTGTCAGTACGGAGTAAACAAGTCTCGCCTCATCAATGCTGGGCACCGTTACTCACCGAGGTACTGTTTGTATGCCCGAGGCAGAGGAAACCCTCGCTGCTTGGTTCGTATCAAAAGGCTCTGCTGATTGACGAGATGGTTGATCCCCGACTATCTCCGAACTTTTCCCAGGGTATTCACATGGGGTATTCCTTTGCGCACAATTTGAGCATGGCTGGGCGCGGTCACAGCGGCGCTTTTTCTCGCGACAAGCCACACAAGACAAGGGTGGTCGATTCCACCGATGCATCATTTCGATGGGGTTTCCGTACCTATCACGCTTCACCATGGCCTAACTGACTTCAATGCTGGGAGAATAAGACAAGGAACACTGAAAGCCGCGGAGGTCCGCGGCCTGATTTCCTAATTAGGATTAGCGGATATCTTCATAGATGCATCGTACCTCCAGGCACTTTGATCTCCCCTATGCTGTATAGCTATTATTTCTTTCTAGCTGGAAAAATACAACTTCCAGTGTTACTCCTAACGCCTGAAACTGAGCCCCGGAAGCCACGAGACAGTCCCCTTTGACTCTATCAATTCACCATGTGTAGTTAGCCGGACTGTTAAACAATGCAAACCTAAAACCTTCATTATGCAATGTCAGCTTTGGAGAGAACCCCTTCTCTAGACAGAGGCCATGACTGCAAGCGTAGAAGACAACACCATACAATATAGGAGAATCTGGAAAGCTTCCTAAAGGTAGGTCCGTATCAATCGTGAAAACAATGTTCCGCGCCGCCGACGCGACCCACTAACCTCCCGCACTTCCGCAATTTCCATTTCCTAATTGGACATTGAACTTGATTGTACATATCAGTGTCAATGAGGTCGCAGCACATTCTGCGTTTCAGGCAGACGAGGAATCCCCTCGTCGCCAGGAGCCCATGGCTTCCCAAATCCCACCAATCTCGGGAGATTCTCGGGAGTGCAATCAGATGCTATGCGACACAGAGCCCGCCTCAAAGTGGGCGACCCTTCGCATACACTTGGCTTACAAAAGCAGCTCAAGAAACAGTGAGCGGCTCAAACTTCATCGCTCAGACTAGTATCGAAGCTGACCTTTTTAGACGCCCGATGATGTCCTGTCCAGTCTTCCTTCAATGCCTATGGGCTCGTCAACCGCGCCCGCTTCCGTTCCCCCTCCTCCTTGTCACCCCGAGCTTTGCCCACTGGGTTGATCCTTCCAATCCGTTCCTTTCGCAATTCCTTACTCGGCTCTATGAAAATACACCTGGGGCCAGCACTGTTCATGCTGTCACGGCCGTCGTGGATACGCTCCCGGATACCACATCTAATAAATCGGACTCGAATGAGTCCGAAGGGCTGTCGCTCTTGGCGGTAGGCCAGTCGGATGTGAAAGCCAAAGCTGCGCCACCGCGTCTTATCAGAAGCTCCGCAAGCGAGGAAACCAACCTGTTGTTCTCGATTCAGACACAGCCAAACGGGCAAGGCAGTAAGGATTCCGCTCACGAGGTTGGTTTACGCCTTGCCAACACAATTTTCGTCAACGGGAAAGACACGACAATATTTGGTACTCGTTGGCTCTGGGACGAGAGCTCCAAGGAGTACATCCTGGACAAGTCGATCGATTTCACAAGCTGTATGGTCATGGCGACTGCTGAGTCTGTGAACGCCAACCTGCAACTCCCATTGCACCAAGTCACAGAACGGCGAAGGGTCATTACTAGCATGGGTAACATTTTGAGACAGTTTGCAAAGTCCACCGATGAAGCCTCGACAGAGACCATTCCGGCTTCTACTGACCTTGAAAAAGAGCTTCCACGCTATATCAAAGAACATAAAATCGTTGATCACCGGGTTTCCGTCTGGGCATTGGTCGAAAAGCCCGACTTGGTTGTGGCTAACCCAGGCTCATCAACCCATGATCGGTTGACACAATCTTTGAAACAGGGCGGTAAATTGCACCGTGTTATGAGTGGTGGAGGTGGCTGGGGCAAAAAACAGGGCCTTCTTTCGTTGGACCCCGAAGTCAGCTTTTCGGGGACAGCCAACCGAGACGAACTTGTCTCTCTTGGTCAAATATTTGACCCTCACAGCGGGAAACCTTTGGACACATTGCCATCTATTGACCAAGGCATTGGCCTTGACGATCTATCACTTCTCTCACAAGTTGCCTCTGCCGGAGACTATATTCAGTTCTTTGTCTCGGTAGAACCGACGGTGAGCGACCTTCCGAAAACAACCGACTCAAATGAGGCTGTCAGCTACCACTTTGGAATGGTGGCTGATTCTATGGAGCTTGAAGCCTATAACCCTGAGGATAAGAAAGAAATCGTTACTCTGCCTCATACATTTGGCGCATTGTCCGAGAAGGCAATTGCCTACTCTCAGCCAGGAAATGGCGATGCAATGCCGGATTCTAACACAAAGCTGGATGTGCCAGGATCCCGGGTGACTTTAAACACTGTATAGCATGACCAGACATACCATGTACAATAATAGACATAATCAATTGGGAATCTACTCTGTACAATGTTTGAACTGCGTAACTTCATGCGAAGTACTCCGTGCTCCGTACATGTCAAGCGGTGGAGATGCCAAGATATATCACGTGATTGATGAGGCCAGCATGTTTGCCGTCAACCTCCCTCTAGACTCTCCATCCTTCCCGACCTCGTAGCCTACCGACACTAGGCCGTTCTACATTCTTCTCAAGCTTTATCATCGTCGAGAACCTTGTCGGGTCTCTTCCATCATCATGGCCACTGAGCTTTGGTACGTCGTAGCCTACTCTTCCAGCCCCTGGGCGCTTGACAGCTCCCGATGGACACCTTGCTATCACATCTATCATTCCGCGATACTCTGTTATGAATCTTGCTAACGTTCTTCGATAGCCCCGTCTACGCGGTTAGTTCTTCTCTATCAACCACACGGATACCTTGACATTGAGCCAATCGCCCATGTCTCCGCCCCTCCGCGTCATCCATCCATGTTGCTAGGAAGTGAAACTAACATCGTCATCACAGCCCTTCTTCGGCGCGCTGGGCTGCACCTCTGCTATTGTCTTCACCTGTTTCGGTGCCGCATATGGAACTGCTAAGGCCGGTGTCGGAGTCTGCTCCATGGCTGTCCTCCGTCCCGACCTGATCGTCAAGAGTACGTCGACCTCGATAGGACAGGGTCCACTCCGATCTGTCATTGGACATGCGCCTGTCATTTTCATAAAAACAGCTTGCTAACTCAGATCTTTAGACATTGTCCCCATTGTCATGGCGGGTATCATTGGTATCTACGGTCTTGTCGTGTCGGTTCTGGTCGCCAACGACCTGACCCAGGCTCTCCCCCTCTACACTGGTTTCATCCAGCTCGGTGCTGGTCTCTCTGTCGGTCTGGCTGGTCTCGCTGCGGGGTAAGTTTGCTGCAATGTCGTTGGAACGCACTGGGATTGTCTAACCGGAATCGCAGTTTCGCTATTGGTATTGTCGGTGATGCAGGTGTTCGTGGAACGGCCCAACAGCCCAGACTCTACGTCGGAATGATTCTGATTCTCATTTTCGCTGAAGTCTTGGGTAAGTCATTTCCTAATATCAGTTTCAGTCTCTTGGCCTAACACTTCTATTTCATAGGTCTTTACGGGTTGATTGTTGCTCTTCTTATGAACTCTCGCTCCAAAGCAGTCTGCTAGACGAAACTCGCCGCAACTCCGAAAGCCGCTCATCGAGTCATGATACATGCGTGATTCCTTGATCGGTTGTTTGGGTGCTCTTTGAACATTTCCCCGACGCAACTCAATGTGCCTCCTCCGCCGGGGAAAATGATACAACAAACATGGTTACGGGTGCAGGAGTGAACGAATTTTGATCACATTTCGTCCCATCTGAGAGGAGAAAGCTTTCTGTTCAATTGTTGGGTGTAGATCTGGGAACATGTTCATACACTCCTGGACTCGGTGGACAGATGTGGGTAGATATTGGATTTTTTTGCTTTACATTGCATGACACCGCGCTGGACTGTATTTTATATGACTTCGATGATCCCGGACTTGAGTCTTATCTCTCTTCCGCATGCCTAGGCTGGATCTTTACCAAGGAGTTTCTTGTTTGATTTTGTCTTTCTCCGCATGGGCACGGCCTGCTTTCCAGTTTGCCTGATCTCCTCCAAGGGTTCAACCTTTATAAGCTGTAGGTACTTGGATGTGGCTTGCAAGCCACAAACCAGGAATTACCCACCAAGTGGTTCCCAGGTCAATCAGTACAATATCTCGATATGTAGGTCCTAATTTTGGAGCTAGAGTAGTATGTGCAAGTGATGAGCAGGTGGAAAGGATTTCTTCTATAATACAATAATATGTGACGGGCATAGTGACGCAAGTGAAGGCGTAAGAGTTGAAACGGAACACCAGGTCAAGCTCTATTGGATAACCTGATATGCATGGGGTATTGCCACACGTACCCAGAACACAGATGCAACTTACCAATGCGCAAGAATGTTCGCAAAAGACAAGAGGTGTGTGTGGATATTTGGTAATATAGGTGCGAGAATAGGTAGAAGACGAGAATTATGAAACCAAGATGTGCCGTGAACTCTCAGACTAGCCAACTCGAAATGCACAGGCGCAGGCGATGCAACCATGAAAAAAACAAAAAGCAGTAAACAGGTTTAAGTCTTATCGAGTTTCCGTCTCAGGGTACGTGTTCTCTTCATCAGCTTCTTGAACTTGTGCTTCTTCATCTTGGCCTGGCGTCTTCGCTTTGTGCTAAGGGCATGCATGGTACGGTTGTTGCGCAACCGCTCCATGTATGTCGCACCGGTGGAATCGGCGGGAGCCTCGATGGAGATCTCGTCGTGCACGCTGGATGGATCGTCCATCTCTTCGCTGCGGACGAACGGGCCTGTGTGCGCCTCGTAGGTCTTGCGACCATCAGCGCCGCGAGCCTCGCGGATCGTCAGGACGGTGGAAAAGGTCTGGAACTCGTTGTCGACATGGGCGTTTTGGGACTGGGCGGCCTCGATGGCGGATGCGTCCATAGGGACTGGGGGAGGAGGGGGTTGGAAGGGTCGAAGACGGCGGGTGTATTCCTCCACGGACATCTTCGCTTCGGGTCCGTCCAGCATGCGGAGCTCGCCGTCCTGTTCGCTGAAGGTTCGGAACTGCTCTTCGGACTCTGCCATGCCCTGCGGGCCGTTTTCCATGTTCTGGACGGCCGAGGAAAGAGTGAAAATGACGTCTTCCGGCTCATTCTTCAAAGGCCGCTTCGAAGAAAAGATGGCTTCGAAGGCATCAGTGCTCGAGGTCGGGGGCACAGTAGTTGTCACCGAGATTGGACGGTGGATGGAGAAGAACGACGCCACATGAACATCTGGTGAGGAACAAAGAAAAGTAAGCTTCGGGTAGTTCTTTGCGGGGAAAAATCTGAACTGAGGGTAGATGCAGACCAAACACTTACCATGCGGTTGTCGGTGCTGTGTGGAGGGGACACTCGGGAGGTTGGAAAATGCCGCATGCTGCTGGCTGGACTTTGAAGATGCGTGTCGGGTGGCGCTGTCTTTCCCACGGCGACGAGTAGCCTTGCTCTTCTCGCTAGAAGAGTTCACTCCCTTGGCCGGGGTCGTGTCCAGTCGTCGGGGACCATCACTGGGTGGGACAGGCGGTTTGGAAGATGAGGAGGAATACCGGCGTTGGTGCAAAGGTCGGGTCGCGCCCAGCAGGCTACTGGTAACATTCTGGCCAGAGCGAGTTATCCCAGGTAGCGGCATGGGGGTCCATGCCGCCCGGCGCAAGGAACTTGACAACATGGTTGGTAGATATCCCAGTCACTGTATGTGAATGAGTCTGAATCGGAGGCGAAATCAGTCGGCCCGGAACTCGGGGTCACTGATCATGCGGAGGTTATGTAATAATGGTGCCTGAGGTGGCAATTTTTATACTGGCTCGACCGTCAGCAAATCATTTGTTAGATAATCATGATAGATGGGCTATCGGTCTATATATTACGCATTGCGCTCATCTACAGTGTACCTGTGATTAAGTCACCTGGCCTTCTCGCGAATTCCTGAAGCCTAGAGGTCTTGGCGACGCAGAATGGCGCATGATGAAGATCTACAACCACCCCGATGGTAAGCGGTTCAAACCACATCAATCCCATAATTTCCTACTTGAATTTACATGAAGAAAAGATGTATCGAGTACTGGATATAATATTTGAAGTAATGTAATGGAATTAGCTCTAGAGGAGCAATCTTGAGTGCACAAAAAGTTGAGATAGATAAGGAGACCAAAAAGGATTGTGATAATACAAAACAGTCGTTAGATCTAACACAGTGGAGATAAACAAATGGTATCATCCTGCAAGCACAATAGAAGAGAAAGGAAAAATGATACCGCTGAAAGTGAGAGAAAAATGGGCGAAGATATGGGCTTTTGGATGCAACGTGATAAGACCTGGAGATGCGAGCAGAAAGCCGACGACAACCTCTGAATCAAGACGCCTCGTTCAATGGAATGGGTTGGAGAGAAATGAAGAATAGAAATATGACAGGAGCCACGCAGTGTGGAATAAACAGAAAGCCACCCTGGGATGCAACGAGAAGATAACAGGGGCTGAAGAGCATAAAAAAGAGAAATTGAAATCATTGTCGCAGACAGAACGGTCGTGAGTTCCTCGGAAATTTGAGGGCCTCTACCTTATAGTATTAAGCTATGCAGGTTCTTTTGGATGATCATGTCCTGTACTGAGTCCATGGTGGCTCGTAGCAGCGTTGTATCGGTGGCGTTAGTGTAGTGAATGTAGATTTCCCGGTCTGGGATGCGGTTGATGCCTCGGAATCGGTCTGCAAAGTAGTTTGCGGCGGCGTCGTAGTCTGTGTCCGAGCCGGCATAGTCGGGGAAGTGATTTGAAATGGGAGAGATGGCGAGTTTGCCTTTGAACAGATCAATTTTGTTTAGGAAGAGGATGATTGGTTTGCGCTTGAACCACTCCCCGTTGACCAGGGATTCGAATAGCATCATAGCTTCATGCATTTGATTCTGTGTTTGCTCTGGTTAGCGTGCAATTTAGAAACATCATGTGGCATGCTTTGCACTTACGGCGTTTTGATCTTCAACCAGACATTGGTCATATCCAGATAAAGCAACCATGAATAGTAGACATTGCACGCCTTCAAAGCAATGGATCCACTTCTTCCGCTCTGATCGCTGGCCTCCAACATCCATCATTCGGAAGTTCATCTGGCCAAGCTCAAAGAGGGTTTCTGTGATACCCGTGGTGCGCAATCGAGCCTGCAGCATGTCTTGATTATCGGGGAGCCAGCCTGGTGCGAATATACGATCCAAGGACTCGAAGAAACTGGACATTGTCAGCGCGATACCATGGAAGATCCTCAAGCCAACTTACTAATACAGATTGTCATGGAGAGCAAACTCATGCCCCCGGGCGACAGCCTTCTGAACACCTCCATCTTGCCACATTGACCGCATCGCATCGCGCACTTTTAGATCCGAGAAAGCTTCATCGGACCCTACATCGGGTTCTGTCTTGTCTATTAAATCCGCGAGTGGCTTTTGAAAATGTCAGCATTGCATATCAAAACGATGAAGGTATTAACGGTACCCTTGTGTTTGTCTCGTCCTCGAAGTCAATATCCTCGGCGTTCATAATATCCAACAGGACCTTGAAAGCAATGACGATGTTTGAATAGATGATTGCTCGAGTTTGGTGACGCTCTTCCTCGGGAAAACCGCGGCTGTGGATAATTCGCATCTGCTTGATAATCGTGGACTTGCCAGACTCTCCGGCGCCTGTGTTCAAGCGGTCAGTGGTAAGCGTTGTATGGCCGTCAAGGATCACCCACCCAGCAACAAGATTTTGATCGTGCGATCCAGTGTCTTCTTGTCATTTTTTATGCCCCGTTCAATGCGCTGGTTGCGCTGAAGCGCTTCTTTATCCGCCTCTGCGGGCTTTGACACTAAACAGCCCATGATTCAGACCCCAGTATTGCCAAACTGCCTGTCGCAACGGTTAGCACCGATTCATTGCAGGCCAAACTGGCGCGACCTAGGTTTTCGACGCATGAAGGGTGATCTGAGTCAGGGATGCGATGTTGGAGCGCCACTCGGAAGCTCTGTGGCAGCTTGAGAGACACAGACTCGACAGCTCAAGTCCAGGCGCAACCCCCGACTCAAGCACCCGGCGCAACTTCGGTATGTGCCTACCTTTTTCCAGAGAGGACGTTCTCCCACTTGCTGCCTCCAACTCAAATCGCAGTACGGAGTATTGTATGCGATCAAAGCTCGAAGGTTTTCCCCCACAGCGACCACGTTCCGTTGCGAATTCGGCGGTTTGGTTTGCAATTGGACCAGTTTATCCTCCGAGACAAGCTGGTGCGACGAAGGAAGCGACACGATCGCGATCGTACGAGGTAGCGGACTGGGCGGGAAATCAAGAGGGCCGAAGTGTTCGAAGGGAGGAAGAGAAGCGCCCAAGCGGGGGCAGAATAGAGTCGCAGTAATTCCCGTAACAAAGTACCAAGTGCTTTGTACTAAATACTAAGTGCTAAAGACGAAAAGTATTAAGTACTCCGTATTAAGCACTGTAGAAGAGAAAGAGTAATTCAGGTCTGTTTAATTTCCATTCATGTCTTACCGATCTGTACGGAATATAAGCGTAATATGAAATAAAAAAGTACTAATGAATGATAATACCACAATACAAAGGCTTTTTTACGAGTCTTCAAGGGGCGCGCTAAGTCAAATCCCTGTTCCTTTGTACTCCGTACTTTTGGCCTATTGGCATGCTCTCCTTGACCGTTGACTTCCCTCTCTCTTCATCGTTTGCATTCTGTCTTTTCTAGGATTTAATCTTGCTTTCTCGTTCCTTTCTCCCTCCTTATTATGTCTGGGTACCCCTTGGGAAAACGAGAGAAAAAGGCCCAGATCCATCAGATGACACTATCGAAATCACGGGGCGCTCTGCCCCAATCATCTCGCTTTTCTGGAACAATCGAATTGTTTACCCGAAGACTCACCTTGCATCACTCAGCACGCATGTCATTCGCATGCAGTGATCGGCATGGAGGTGCTGAAACCCGCATGGGCCAGCCAATGCAAGGATCCTTCTGAAACGTCGGCGGATACCTATCCCGGGATCACCTTTCGCTAGGAATCCTCCCCTTTTACTCCGTACTCCGTACCGGTCTGAGGGATTCTGCACAAGCCAATGAGAGCGTTGAACCCGCCCACTCGCTTGAGGACGCGAGCAAAAGTAGTATCCTGCTGCTACGGAGTACTACCGTGTACAAAGGCTACATTGTGCAAATACATTGTACGGGGTACTTCCCTACGGAGTACTCCGTACAATGTAAGCGAGTGGGGTGCAATGGCACACCGATCCTACCCATTACACTCAGGGAGACGGTACATAGCTCCATGTGCTCCATCAAACAGATGTTCGGTGGACCAACGCTGTCATTGCACCCCACAACACATGTTTTCTGCCGTGTGGGAGCCGCAGGCCCTTTTCTCATGCCTCCCACTCGTGGCATTAGACATTGAACTCGTATTGACAGGCACAAAAGTACCATCCCCCATCCCCCATCCCCGCAACTGGTGACTCTTAGCACCCGGAATGAACACGGGAGAACCCGTTCAGTTTGTTTCCAGTTTCGTATCCTGATTTTCATTGCTTGCGGATACCCTCACCGCGCCGTCTCCCTACTAAGGCAGGGGGGATCCATTCGAGACTGGTCAACTGCAATTGTGGAGCCTGATTGACCTTGACCATCAAGCCCCTATCGCGACAGACCCCGAATCCTGGAACTCTACCTACATACATACAGTAGTACCATTTTACTCCGTGCTCGGAGTATGGAGTACTTTACGCTTGAACGCGGATCGTCATCAATCTCGCTACACCGATTTTGGGGCGAAAATTCTCCGTCGATGCACCCGATCGAGTAAGTCTCAAATTCGCCATTTGGAACTCGCGATCGTGATCCTTTCGATGCGATGAAGACCGAGTGGGTCACAATACACTGTTTGTACTTGTAAGAGTAGTACATACGGATTACTTTGCACTTCGCACGAGTACAGTAGGAATAGTACAAGTCCTTGTACTCCGTATGCGCAGAAGTAAAAACAAGAATTTCCCCTGAAATTGGCTTCGCCTCCACATGTCGCCGCTGGGGCGTCTACCACGTGTGTGAGGAAACCACCCGTTTCCACAGTGGTCGGAGTACGCCTCCGAGCCGCCGAATTGCCTGTCATGTCTGTGCATATCAGGGGCTCCACCCATGTCATGTTCATATTTTGGCCTTGGATGCGGAGTACGTAAACTTCGTGCGAGTACTGGCGCATTGTACAATATTTTGTGAAGATCCTGGTCCTTGTCAGCCGTCATAAGAGTTATGACATGTGGCTTCGTACTCCGTATCCATCTCTGATCCTGACACGGGGCAAATCACCCTACTGCAATGTGTTAAATCGATACGGAGTACCAGCATGGAATCTCCGATACTCATACGGAGTATTTCGGGCTAGGTGCGATATATCATATGTGATGTATGAACATCATGGTTTGAGTACGGAGTACGGAGTAAGTTCGTCAAAGCCAAAAAGCCACACACGAGTCATAGAAAGACGTGCAATTCGCACTCCCGGGATTTCTCATATATATGACCTATCAGCTGCCACTCTGTAAGACAACAAGTGTATCTATCAGGTTTCAGATTACCCGTAGTACTTCATCTTATCCCAGACACTCATCGCAGACATCACCACGGAGTAGTTAGCAGCCTGTTCGGAAGGACAAAACGGTCAATGATAAATCTTCAGGGGCGTTGAGCCAGTGGGACTAGGGCAAATTAGGAACTGTCGATCACTATTTGACAGTTCTGATTCCATGTTTTTTTAGAATCCCTGAGCACAGATCGTTCGGCAATAGCTCCGGGGCTTCTATACTAGTACAGTAGGTACCAACGACACAGGCCAGCTATGGTGTTAGAATGGTATGTGCGCTTCATCCGAAATATCCGGGTACCAGGGCTCCTGGCGTTTTTAGTGGCCGTTATGATGGATCTTTCCTTAGTGCACGATCCTGCAGAAGTGTTGAGACGTTAGGTCCGGAGATACTCCGAGGATCTGTGGCAAAGATACTCCGTAAAAGTAGTGTTGGTACATCAGATCGTGCAGGTGGAAGTATGAGTGAGAGCGTAACATCTCACGGGTACCTCCAAAGGCTTAATCTTCTTTTGTCGTCTGGGCCGAGAATAGAGTTCAAACTATACACCACAGATTGACTAGCAGATAACACAGAGATCGACAATTTGGTTATTTGTAAGTTCCCGAGGTCGCTGTCGATACGCGGGTGGTCTATTTGGCCGTGTATAGCAATACGAGTAAAGTATAATCATGGAAGCGCGATACTAAGGTACTATTGTACTAGTGCCACGGCGTGCATGTCGCAAAATGAGGATTCTTCATAGTTCATTTTCGGGGTTTGGTCCGACCAAAAGTTATTGAACCCAAATTGTAATATTTCGTGCACACCCAGCGCCTGGCACTGATAACGATGTGCTTGAAAAGTACGGAGTAATGAACTCCCTGTAGCACAGAAAGTTGTATCTTCCAAGGTTGCGCAGAGATAGTTAACAACCTCCAGGGCGTGGAAGAAACTGGAAAGTCCACGGGTTGGTTTTCATTTGGCGACAACATATGGCAAAAGTCGAGCCATTTCGGGCTATCTCCAAGTGTGAGAGAGACCTCAGGGAAATATATTTCGGTGATGCCATCATAGCAAAACCCATCATTTAGAATGAGTCTTCACAAAAAAAACGGTCTGTACATTTGAAACCCAAACCTGGAATCTGATAAACAAGGGAAAACCCCTCCCAAAGAAATCTACAGTAGGACTCATGCATTCCAAGATTTTCCTCAGGCTTTGGCTGTATTTAGGAGGTTGTTGTGAGGTCCTTTGACATGGCGATGCTGGTATTATTGAAATATTCTGCCACACCAAGAGCATTCATCGAATATGAAATCCAACATTTAATCTAAACCAAGTGATGAGGTTCATTTGAAAATATCAAAAACACCCAGGGTGATAAAGCTTGACCAAAAGGGTTGGGTCATGTGAGCCAATCAAAGGGTAATGATCGCCCGTGGCGTATTTCCGACCCCCTGCCTCACGCCTCAGGATGGGAGGAGTTCCGTGGAAATCCAACGGCTGTAGTACATGCAAGAGGAGAAAAGTCAAAGTGCGTACGAACACATGAGGAACGATTGAGATCTGACTTGCAATAGTGCGACTCTCAGCGGCCTCAATGTGCAAGATGTCTACGAGGGGGCTTTCGCTGCGAGGGATACGATCAGAATCGCAGGTTCATACATACATTCGCCCATGACAAACCCAAAGACCATGTTGTTCAGCGAAAGACACCAGGGACAAAAACCCCTTTGGCGGTGATCAATGTCAACTCGCAAATCCGATCGCAGCTCTTTTCCTTGTTCATCGACTCTTATATGCCATCATCTCCGTCGGGTCAAATCAAGTATAGATTCCAGCCCGCGCCGAACTTAGTACCACTCCTGCCATCACTTGTGGATGGAAATAATAGCCAGTTGCTGGACAGAGCAACGTCGGCACTTGCATCGGTCTTTGTCGGCAAGAAGTTCAACAATGATCAGTTGGCCAATCATGGCATGCTACTATACAATCATGCGATTCAAATGTTCCTGCGCATCTTACCTCGAGCTGGGATTCCGGTTCAAGAGGTCTTATGTGCAAATTTGATCTTTCAGCTATATGAGGTCGGTACTCAAGCTCCGCCTGTACTTAGGGTGCCCATGTCTAATTTTTGCAGGTCATCAATTGCTCATCCGGCTTCGCTGGCTGGACGGCACACATGCAAGGCGCCAATGCAGTTCTCGCACGACACCAGGGTAACATGAAAAAAGATCAGGTATCTGCCGTGCTAGTTCGTCATATCAAACTATCAAATGTGAGTCTCGGTATGGAAGAGGTTTTCTTCACCAACACTGACACGAAAAGATATTTCACGCTATTGGAAAAATGAGAAGGGCACTGTTCTTTTGCCCAACAGTGCTGGAGTTATCGTATTCTCTTCCAAGAGATGATATCATTGACAATCTCATCGACATATTGTTAACATGTACCGAGCTCGTTGAACAGATGGCTCAAGTGCAGTCAATTGACGATGCCGCTAATGTGATCCAGTTTTGTTTGCACGTCAAATGGAAGACTGAGGCTTGGGATAAAGAGCTGCGCGCCAAATACGGGAATACTCCATTCACCATGGCCCCAGAGAGCAACAGCAGCCCTAGATCTGTTCCCAGCAGGACCATCTTCTCTGAAATTTACCAATTTGCAGCTCCAGATATAGCGGAAGCGTACATGCTATATTGGAGTGCATTGCTCATGATATTTTCTGTTCTTCATGGAGCGGAGCTCTGGCGGCATTCCGACCTCAGCGGCTCCGATGAAGACAAGACTGCATACCATCAGAATGCCACACTTTTCTTGAAAAGTGCTGAGTACTATGCCAACCAGATTTGCCGTGGTGTGGGTTATTTCATACAACCAGATATGCATATTCTTGGAGGCCATAGTGTGCTCTTCCCCATGGCGATGGCATCGCAATTCTTTTATCGCCATGGCTTCATTGCCCACTTTCAGTGGTGTCAGGAGGTCCTCACTGCTCTGGAAACGGTTGGATTGGGGCTGGCTAATGTTATACAAGGGACTCCTTGGGATAGATATAAGGTTGGGGAGAGCTAGAAAGCTTTGCGCTTCCCAATTGATCGAAAATACATCATGTGCACGCTATACTCGCTATGGAGATCACCTGTGTTTCTGTATTGATCTGGAAGCTGTACTCGTAGGCCCCTGGACACTTGATGATCTACGTGGTTTATAAATCACCGCAACCGTGGAGAAGGAAACCAGCCTGATCACACCCATTGTTTGTCTTATTTGGAAACTCAACTGCTTATCACTACTGGCATGGCCGAGGGATGCAGAATCTATTACGGAGGAGAGATGGTCCCCCACATTTACCCCTCACGGCACAGACAGCTGTTCAATCGACCAAATTGATTCATTTTCTTCTCTCATTGCTCAAATGTGCTTGCTTGTCTTCCGAAATGACAAACAAGATTCTATCAATTGCTGACCTCGAGGAGGCAGCATCCAACTCACTACCCGTCTCGGTGAGAGGTAGGTACCTACACCCCCACGTCGCGCGGTGTTGGGTCTAATCGAACACGAGAGAGTTCTTCAACTCCGGCGCAACAAACCAAGTCACCCTGCATGACAACAGTGCGGCGTACAGAAAATATCGTCTCTTACCAAGAGTTCTGAGAGATGTATCTCGAGTCGAAACTGGGATCTCCCTCTTTGGCCGGGAGATCTTATTCCCACTCTGTGCATCCCCAGCCGGGCTGCAGGCCATGGCCCACCCAGAGGGCGAGCTCGCCACAAGTCGAGCCTGTGCTCAAATGGGCGTCAATATGGGAATTTCTTCCTATGCCAACCACTCCGTCGAGGAGATTACCGACGCTGGGAACCAGGTGGCCCCTATCAACTACGTGATGCAGCTCTATGCGATGAATGACAAGGCGAAGCAAGAGAGAATTGTCCGTCGAGCTGAGGCGGCAGGCTGCAGAGCTATATTCTTGACCGCAGACAGCCCTGTTCTCGGGGTGCGCTGGAACGAATGGCGCAATGGGTTCAAGGCCCCCATTGGCTTGGGGTATCCGATGTACGAAAGATACTCGGATGAAATTCAATCGGAGTCTCATGATGACGGGTTTGCGTCTGCTAACTCCGCTTCTCATTCTTGGGCTACTGAGATCCCGTGGCTGCGCAGCATCACAAAAATGGAAATTTGGATCAAGGGGGTGCTTACCCCGGAAGATGTCGAAACTGCAATTGAGTATGGATGTGACGGTGTGATCATTAGCAATCATGGTGGTCGACAACTGGACGAGACTCCAGCTACGATCGATGCTCTCCCAGCGTGTGCTAAGGCTGCGAGAGGTCGGATTAGAATTCATGTTGACGGTGGGATCCGGTCTGGAACAGACATCTTTAAAGCACTCGCTCTTGGCGCAGAGTGCTGCTGGGTTGGTCGGCCCACGCTTTGGGGACTTGCGGTAAGTGAAGTCCACAGGAGTACCTACTTTGGTATGATTGTATAAGCTAACCCTTGAAAGCATGGTGGCCAACAGGGAGTTGAGCTTATGTTAAAAATCTTCTATGAAGACTTTAAAAGGTGCATGCAGCTTACTGGCTGTAGTTCTGTCTCTGAAATTACCCCGGCTAGCCTAGCAATTGTTAATTCACACGGACCTTTGGCTAGACTGTGAGGTCTGAATGAAGATGGGAATCAACCTTGGAACCTTGGAAGCCCAATGATTCGCCAACGCCAACTCAAATCACTGGAGCTGCCCAGGTGTCCAAGTGTGTGATCTCCCACAAACACTTACATAGAACGTTTTACTCGATCATCAGAAACCGTCGGTAATGGATAACCAGTTATCCAACCTCCACAAATAGTACCAGTAAAGTCAAGAACCCCGGGTCAGAGCTCTACGATACGATGCAGCTGACTCCTAGGTTTGTCATAATAAAGTACACAAGATCACTAGTATACAAACGTCGTTCATACCTGAGGACACACAAGGGCACCGGCATCAGATCATCCACAACTCGCTAACTATACAGGGGGTCTACTCCCTACCAGATCCCTGCATTTCGCCAACATGGTGAGAAGAATAAGGATCTCAGTAACGACACCTGTGGTCTTCTTTCGGTATCGGTTTCCATTCCAAGCCAAGCCTGAGATTCCTTCTCCACCAAAGTAGATTAGCCTCAGGTGCGCACCCAAGGTTTGCCCTGCGGGGGGAATGCGGCAGGACCTCGGGACCCGTGGATCCGTGGACCAGCTGAGTCATGGGGTTCTGGCCCCGGCCCCGGCCCCAACTGTGACGCCATGTCCACCTCCCTCTTGTATGCCCTCTGTAACCTTCCCAATCCTGAGAACCCCTGCTTCTTTCTTTCTATAAAGTATACCAGGAAGAGCCGAACCAAGAAAATTGCAAACAATGGCTCTGCCATACAGGTGTGCTCCGTGATGTTCAACTATGGAGAGCATGTTCGGGCGCTAACAGCTCTAGTGACAATCCCAATCATGACTCGAATTACTTGCATTTCGATGAGAAGAGACCATTCGTGAATGAAAGCGAATACAATGGTCCAGAATACAATGGGTTTGTTCCTAACCACCGTGCCTATGACCATAAGCCACAAAGGCCTCGCCCCTGTTTCGCACGCGTTCTGAGGAAAGGACTCTGCGTCTTTGCCATCACGGGGTTTATCTTCTATCACCTCGGATTGCCATATGGTATGATCAATATCCAGTGTCTCCCAAGCTTCCAAGTTTGACGTTAGTGTATTTGCTGACTGGTGTCTCGATGATCAGGCTCAACCGCTGGAGACAACCCGCCCCCGCACGCTGAGGCTTCCCCGCTTTGCCAGTCGCAAGAGTGCATTCATGCTGCATCGAACATTTTATACAACCTTGATCCCAATTACGAAGATGTTGATCCTTGCACGAACTTTGATCAGTATGTCTGTGGCGGATGGCGTGAAACTCATGACATGCGACCCGACCAGGGCTCGATATTCGCAGGTACAATTATGGAAGAGAATGCCCAGACTCGACTGCGTCATATTTTGGAGCGTACTGAGCCACCCGAGCCATCTGACGCAGATAACTTCAAAAAGCTCAAGTCTGCGTACGATGCGTGTTTGGATGAGGCCACGGTCACCAAGCGAGGTAGCAAGCCGTTGACTGACATTTTGGACGAATTGAAGAACATCTACCCTGCAAAGACAGGCCTCGTGAAAGGAGCACAAGATCATTTGACTAACGCGCTTCTCTATCTGATGAATGCGGGCGTTGAAGCTTTGACATCATCTGGTGTCACTGTAAGTCAATACGCAACCTTAACACTGTGAATAACCACTGATTTTCTATAGCCCGATGACAGAGATCCAGACAACGTTGTAATCATGATCTCGCCCCCTCGAGTCATTGGACTGCCCGCCAGAGAGTACTATAATAACACAAAGACCGTGACGGCATACACAAACACTTTGAAGGACGTCGTCCGTAGCCTTGCTGGCGATGGATTTGACAAAGTTGCAGAAGACGTTGTAGCGTTCGAAAAGAAGCTTGCTGATGTCACCCCGGATACTCAAACCCAGGAGGATGTTACCAAATACTACAACCCTCTCAGTATCAAGGAGACCGAAGCTCTGGTACCGGAAATCTCATTTGCTGATATCATCACGTCACTGGGACCCCATGACTACAAGGGCGATCGTCTGATTGTTGGATCCCCATCCTATATGAAGGCATTGTCCGGACTTTTGAAAGACACTCCCAGAGAAACTGTTTTGCTCTTCTTGCAGTGGAAGCTGGTCCAAAAGTTTGCGGGTGTCATTGAAGATGACTCGGTTGAGCCCCTCCGACGTTTCAAGAATGAGCTTGCGGGCAAAGAGCCGCAGGCCAAAGAGGAGCGATGGCGCCAGTGCCTTGGGCGTCTTGATGAGGGACTCTCATGGAGTCTAAGCCGATTCTATGTGCTAGATTCATTCTCCGAGGGCTCCAAGAAGCTCGGCGATCAAATTGTTTCGGATATCAAGGAGCGTTTCATTTTCACTTTGGGCCAGACAAGTTGGATGTCTCCTGATGTGCGCAAATTGGGCATTGAGAAAGTCGAGAACATCATCCAGAAGATCGGATTCCCGACAAAAAGCCCTAACGTTCTGGACCCAGAGGATGTGAAGAAGTACTATCGTGACCTGGAAGTATCGAAAGATACATTTTTCGAGAACGAAGTGGCCGTTGCAAGATTCCTCCTTCGCGAGGAGTGGTCTAAGCTTGGAAAACCTACTAATCGCGATGAATGGGGCATGAGTGCACCGACCGTCAACGCCTACTACAACCCGCCAGGAAACGAAATTGTCTTCCCCGCCGGTATCATGCAGCCCCCAGCGTTTTATGGACCTGCTGCTCCATTGTATCTAGCATATGGCGCATTCGGTGCTGTCAGTGGTCATGAGCTTTCCCATGGTACGTTTCATTTGCCCGGGCGTTAAATTATACCGATTGACTGATTTAACAGCGTTCGACTCTACTGGTCGGCATTACGATCAAGTCGGAAACTACACCAACTGGTGGGATGATAAGACCGTGAATGAATTCGAAGAACGAGCTCAGTGCTTTGTCGACCAGTATGGTAACTTTACCGTTGCTGGTCCCGATGACAAGGTTCTGCATGTGAACGGACGATTGACATTAGGCGAGAACATCGCAGACGCTGGAGGTCTCACTGCTTCATTCCACGCCTGGAAAAAGCACGACGAGGCCAAAGCCGACCTGCACCTTCCAGGTCTTGAGAAATTCACCAAAGAACAGCTCTTCTTCATCTCTTATGGCAACTGGTGGTGCGGGAAGACAACCAAGGAGGCTGCTGAACAGGCGATCTACAACGATCCGCATGCACCCAAGTCGGCACGCATCATTGTAAGTCGAGTGTGTCCGTATGTGTTCTACATTCGTGGTTACTAACTCTCCTCCCAGGAAACGATGGCCAACTCCCGCGAGTTCAGAGATGCTTTCAGTTGCCCGCAGAAGAAACCAACTTGTAAGCTCTGGTGATTGATGTAATTGGGTATCTTTTTAGTGCTTTTAGTGTTTGAATGTAGCAGGTCTTTCGATTTTTCGATTCTTTGTATGAGAATAATCTCCCAGGCGCCCAGATTCCAGATTGCCCAGGTGTTTGCTCCCTTGATAGTCACCAAGAGGAATGGAAGTACAGAGTAGGACATGAAAATTGAGAGGGACCTTGGAAGCGGCGATAAGGCGATGAGATACTCCGCACTCCGTACGGAGTACGGAGTACCCTGCAAGTATAGCTATATCACCGCGCTTAGACATCCGTAGTAGTACGAGTGGACGCCTGACACATCTCCGGTTCTCCGGGGCGACCGATAGGCCAGAGGGTGATCTTCCAAGGTTGGCGGGACTGCAACCTCGCACTTGCTGATCTCTGATCAGCAGCACTGAAAGCGATCGAGTCCAATTAGAATAGGTACACTGAGAGAACAAAGGACGTGCCGAGGCAGATCTGATTTCCCGGATCGGGAGCACTTTTGTGTTTGTGCGGAATACGGAGGAATTTACTCCGTAGGTTCTCTTTGACTTGTCGATTCTGACCAGTTGATTGATTGACATGTGACATGTCGAATGATAGTGAAAATACGGAGTATTGTACAGAGTGATCCAACAAGCCGAGTGCTTCTTTGGTCCGGAGTACTACGAAGTATACGGAGTCAAGCAGAAGAATAAAGAGTGTCCGTCATTTTAGGGCTCGGAAATGAACCGAAATTCAGGTTTTAATTGTCTAATTATTTACCTGCCAAGATCATGTGCCAAAAAGAAGAAAGAAAGAGAGAAAAAAAAAACTCATAATTGCGCTAAGAGATGCACCTAAACAAACACTTTAATGTCGCGGTAAGTACGGAGTACGGAGTGATCCGCCCGGAGTGAATGGCTCTGAGCGAAAGTACCCATGTAAGGCAGCCAATCCAAATTGGGCCACTGCAGGTTGAAATTTCACTTACATAGGTCACACAAGGATTTGGGGACTCATTTTTGGGAAGATCTGAAGAAAATCTCAGAAATGATACAGAAGATCTGCCGTCAAAGAGCCGGAAGCTCTCTCGGCCAACCGACAGATGGTCTTCCCAGTTTCGCGTCACTCTGTGCCGGCCAAGTGGAGATGGAAATAACGGCGGATCCCTCAGCCAACCAGATTGGCAGCTTGGCATGCCAATCTTAGACGGTTCTCGCTTTTGACTGGGACCTTTGCCCCCGGAACGACTTAGTGACCTATCACCTCCCTTACACCACCTGAAGGTCCCGCCCTCAGCTCGTGTGTGGACTGATGTGGAGCATGAGCTTGACCAGGCGGCTTTTGATCTGGGTATAAAAAGGGTGTAAATGAATTGAAGCAGGGAGTAAAGATAGAGGAGTGAGTAGAGTAGAGTAATAGACCAGGGTTAGGGGGGGGACCCTTTTATATCGAAGTGCGAAGTACGGAGTAAGAAGTATCAAACGCCGTAGGATCAGTCAGAAGGGTGAACGAACCGTTACCCAGCGTTCGCCCATTTGGTTCCGCCGCGTCGGGTCAACTCCACAAAAACAGAGCTGTCCGATTCTCTTTTCTTTTCCCTCCCTTTTCTGACCTCATAGGCTTGTCTCTTCGGCCCTTTGGGTTGAGTATTCCTCCCACCTTCGATATGGAGCCTTTTCCTCCTATCGATCCGCCCTTTAATGCCTTCCTGGGCCCTCAGGTCGAGATCGGGCTTCGACGTGCCAATACCGTGTCTCCCGGCAACATCAAAAGAAACTTGGAACTCAAGGCCGCACGCGAGAGAAATGCAACGGGGCCACGCGCCAAGGAGCCCGAAGGGAAGCTGCAACGATCACAAACACATCGTCCGCTAGTGGCGCGTCCACCCGGGAGAAAGGTCGGTCACTTCACCGTGCGAAGTGTCGGCCAGAATGGTAAAATATTTCTGAGGTATACAAATCAATGCCAATGTCTGATGCCGTATCACATATGTGCAGCCTGCTGATCGAGGATTTCCATTCAGACCAATTGCCGATCCACCAAAGAGCCAGCCCGCGCCCTTCCCGGTTGAGACGAAACCCACTCTGCTTCAGCCGCAGCCTGCATCTGCCCGAGAGGATCCGTCGAGATGGTCCAGTTCCCAGCTCTCAGAGCTGCGTCCGCGCGAACACCCCGATCCCGAGTATGTGTCCGAGTCTCCCCCGAGCTGTCGAGCACGCACCGCACCAGACCCAATTCTTTTTCCACCTTGTCGGAACAACAGTCCACGGCCGGCGCTGGGAAACGAGGTGAGTTGCGAATCGTGATCGATAGATCTGAGGACCGCCCCAAATCTGCCGATGAGAATTTCGCCCTGGACAGTCCCACGCCTCGCTTTCGGTTCGGATCGACACGGTTAAATGAAGGTGCAGCTATGCAGCCCTCGGTCTATACGCGAACTTCAATGTCGGACAACTTTCGCAATTCAACCCTGCTTGGGGGAATGACAGACGCTTTGCCCGGCCTCCACACTTCCTATGTTCGAGACTCTTTCCCAAAGAATCGGCCTTCTTTTGCGATCTCCATGTTCTCTGGCACAGCTGCAGCTATTGACATGAGCCGGGCTTCACCGGCTCCGCGGAATTCGATGGTCTACGAATTGAAGGAGCCGGTGGAGCCTTCCATCTATGAAACGTTGGTATATGACATGGATGATGGTTCGGTGGTTCGATATGTTCCTGGTACAAAAGATATCAGTGCTGCCACACCAGCTCGTATCGTCGCGCAAATTTCCTCCGAGTCGTTCATGGACTATGAGCTAGTCTCGGACTTCTTTCTCACTTTTCGCTCATACCTCTCCACTTCACACCTTTTGGCTCTTCTTCTCGCGCGGTTAAAATGGGCGATCAATCGGCTGCAAGATGATGGGCGCATTATCAGAATCCGTACCTTTGCAGCCTTGCGCCATTGGATTCTTAACTACTTTGTTGATGATTTTGTCACGAATTACGAACTTCGGAATCACTTCTGTGATACCATTAATGAGCTTTATGCGGAGGTTAGCTCTCGAGAGAATGGCGGCACAAGCGATCGCAAAATCCTCATTGACTTGAAGCGGTGCTGGAACGGCAAATGCTCTGTCTACTGGTCTTCTCCCGACTTATCTCGAGCATATAATGACCCTGAAATTCCTATCGTTCCCGGTTGCGCTGAAACCGAGATACCCAAAACAGAGGAGTTGCAGCAAAGTGTCCCTCTTTCTGCATTGACCCCAACTGCAGACACCACCTTCCGCGAACATGTTCCTTTACCTTCACACCATGATCGAAACGATTCCGACGCGACAGCTCAAAGCATTCCATTGTCTGCTAAGAGCGAGCAAAGCATCATGGCGCTATCCTGCTCATTGCCTCCTAAATCACCCAAACGCTTCTCTATGTCGGCATCGAGAGGAAAGGCACCACGCCCAGTGGTATTAGGTCTCACAAAATCGAAGTCTCCGTCCAGATCCCGCGAGAGACCCTTGTCGCCCGCATCACCCATGACATCGCGGTATCCTTATCACAGCCATAGTCATCAAAGAAGTGGAAGCTTCTCGGACTCGGTGCGAGATGACCGACAGCCAATGTTTGCAACGATCCCGGAACCCAGACCCGCACCCCAAGAGACCCTGGACACCGTCAGCTTGATCCGAGGAGAGCTTTATCCGCCTGCTGAATCGTACATGACCATGATGGCACCCGACTCGCCTCCCCTGCCCCCACCGTCCAAGAACGCAAACCCAGACCGCCGTAGCACCCCTGATGTACCCAAGTCTGCACCTAACTCGGGCATGAGAACCATCATCGGGTCAATCAAGCGGGCACTGCATACCCGCAACGGCGGGCAGAGCGTTTCCGCTCGCATTGCAAACGCCCATGAAGCCATTTCTTTACCTTCACGGGGTAAAACATCCGCACTGCCATCTGGAATGGCATTTGGATCTGAGTTTTATCGAGAGAGGAAGATGGCCGCTGTCCCCAAACGTCCTGCTAGAATTGATATTCTCTGCGATGAAGTATTGAAGCAATACCGTTTGGTCATGGACAACGAAGGCCCAGCAGAACAGAGCCAGCCCCCAATGCTTCAACAACCCCAGCAGCAGCCTTTATCTACCTCCCATCTTTCGCCCGTGGGAGACCAGACCGAGCCCAAAATAAGAAGTGGTATTACCATGGGTAGTGGATCGATCGTCATCGTTGACGATACCGGGTTTGAAATGCCTTTCATGTCAGGGGCCGCGCAAGAACAAGAATCAATACCTGAAACTCAAGACATTGGTTACCCAACATCCGAGTTCCGTGTTCCAGAGGATGCTGCTTCGACACAATCGATACCGGTGGAGGGGGAATGTCTTCGACCAGTCCGGTACAACGCAGAGGAATCAGGAAGAGCGCCGCTCTCAAACGTGTTCTATCCACCTCGCCCTCCATCAATCCAGAGATCCTCATCTGCTGAACGTGGATCAGCACCTCTGAAAAAGAAGAACTCAATGTCACTTCGGCTCCGCAAGTATGCGTCCTTCCAAAGCGGGATATCAAGAAAGCGCTATTCCATGAATAGCGAGTCCACCGTCGCAACCACCTGTCTCCACGATCAATTCGAACAACAAACAGGGCCTGCTCTTCGCAGGCGGCGAGGCGGAAACTTGCGTAAAATGCAGACTGGGGATGAACCGCAGTCTATCTCAGGCCGTGAGTCATTCGCTTCCTGGGATGACTCGATTGCAGATGGGACTTCCCCCTCTGATGGTGGTGTCTCCAGGCCCCCTTCTGCCCTTATCCCACCGAATCCCCGGTATTCGCTCATCCAACCTCGCAATTCTCGACAGATCAGACGGTCATTCGAATCGGTCATTGCAAAATTCGCACAAATCCCAGACGATGATGATGGTGGTATTGAGTCTACATTGTTAAAATTGGAAGGAAAGTGGGAGGGGCCCTCCAGCGCCGGAAAAGAATCGGAATTCTCACAGCCAGGTAGGTCCCAAAGGGAACAGCCCTTGGCTACTCCTGGACTCGACACAGCCAGACCTGGCTGGGAAATTCTTTCCCGCAGACGCCAGACTGATAAGTCAGGATACTCCACAGTCGGAGGGCGACTGGCGCCCCCACGACCTTATTCTGATTCTGTGGCCGAGTCAGAAGAGTCCTACAACTCCATACCCCTTCTTGAGAGAGGCTTGACAGATGAGTCCATGAAGTGGCAGCCCACAAGCCACCCGAACCACTATGATCCGAATGGTGCTCCGCTCAGCCTCATATCCAGTCGTGATACTTCGGAGTTTGCCTCGTCGCATCCCTCTATTCAGCTTGTACACGAAACTGACAGCCTCCGTCGCATCCCCCTGGGTCGACTGTCCCCACAGCCGAGGATGCAGGTCGAATTACCCCAAAGCGGTTCTCGGTTTTGTCATCTGATGGTTCCGTCGATGTGATTGACCGACGTGAGGCTATGGCTCCGCGTCAGTCCACTGATACCCGCAGTCTCGGCTCATCGACTGTTGAGATTCCACCTCATCCTTTGGCCCAACCTCCATCCCCCCCAATGACCATTCAGCATCCGGGGTCCTTTACTTCCTGTGCCTCGCCCTTGAATACAGTGATGTTCCAGGCCCAGCCTCTTACTCCCGACACCTCACCGAGACACAAAGAAACCACGAAAGCAATCTCGAGGCCCGCGAACATCCAGCAAGTCTCAAGTGATGTTCTGTTTAATTCTGAAAATAGCCACAACGAGAGAATTCCCACAGGCCTTGTCCCTGATCACGTCCCATTCATTCTCGCCTGTGAATCGCAAGTCTTGGCTCAGCAAATGACCATTATCGAAATGGCTGCGCTTCGTGAAGTCGACTGGCGAGATCTGGTTGAAATGAAATGGAGCAGTACCTGCCCACTAGTCACTAACTGGGTCTCATTTCTGACACACGAGGAACGCAAGGGCATCGATCTGGTAGTTGGCCGCTTCAACTTGATGGTGAAGTGGATTTTGTCGGAGATTGTTCTCACCCGTGATATCCACGAACGTGCGCGTACAATAATCAAGTACATACATACGGCTGCTCATGCGCGTCGCATCTGCAACTATGCCACCATGCTACAAATTGCTATCGCTCTATCCTCGTCCGACTGCTCCCGTCTGCAGACGACCTGGCAGCTTATTCCTTTGGAGGATAAGCGACTGTTCAAGGATATGGAGTGTTTGATCCAGCCGGTCCGGAATTTCAATGATCTCCGCGTTGAGATGGAGACAGCCAATTTACAAGAAGGTTGCATACCTTTTATCGGTGAGTGCTCATATTCTATTCAGGTGATATGCCGTTCTAACGTAATCCAGGTCTATATGTCCATGATCTTACCTATAATGCCCAAAAGCCTGCTCAAATCAGCAGTGATGACGGTGGCCTTCTGGTCAACTTCGAACGCTACCGCACAGCAGCGCGTATCGTCAAGAGCTTGCTCCGTCTGATCGATGCCAGCACAAAGTATAAGTTCGAGCCCGTCCAAGGGATCGTTGAACGATGCTTGTGGATTGCCTGTCTTCCCGAAGAGGAGATTCAAGCTCGCAGCAAAGCACTCGAATAATTCCATTCGCTTTCATGTTTCCTTGGTCTACGGTCGATTTTCATTGACATCCACACATATCCATCCCATCTTGTTCTAATATCGGTTTGATCTTCTCATTTATACCCCCCTTTTCCCCCGGAGAAACTTCACACTTCACCTGTCCCATCTTGCACCGACACTTACGTCCGGTTAATGTCTTTCTTTTTTTGTTTTCCTTTGGATTCGATCTTAAGATCACAAGCCCCCAAGCGTGCATCAGCGGATTATATCATTTTCAGCCACTATATCCCATCGACTTCTCAATATCAGACATAGCGACCTGTTTCCCACATGGACATCCATTGCTGGTGCCTCGGCATTTCTACACCCGGTCATTTTCAACACAGTAATTCTAGGTGAATCAAAGGAGACAAAGCACGTATACATAAAATTTGCGTGTAGAGTAGTGATTAATCAAAATTGGAAGTGTTTCATCCAAAGTGCAATACTCCGTATAAAGGTGTGGCTGCGTCATATGCCGTTGATCGTCCAGGAACGGAACGCCAAACTCATCTCAACTCCCGACAACAACCATCCACGGAGGGTACCCTCACCACACCTTTAGAGAGGGCTCTCATTATTCCAACTCCAACCTTGGATGTCCCGCCACACCCTCGGCCAATATGGACAAGACCGAACCGCGCGGGGGTTCAGACTCCGATCCTGACTACAGCGACCACAGCCCCGCGTCCTTCCACGAAGCGAAACAGGAGCTACCAGATGATTTACCCAAGTCGCTAGACGATCGTCGCACATTTCCGGGCTTCCAGCAGGAAACGGAAATGTACGATGCTTGGCAGGGTGAGTCGGAACTCTTCCTTAGCGTTGGGTAGATGTTCGCGTGCCTGGAATCCCAGCCGGTCTTTATTGCCATAGCCTTCGGAGCTGACCTTTTGAATCCGACATAGGTCAATCGCAATTCCTGACTACACCGATCGCCGCCAAACCGTTATCCTTTAACCTCGCGCTCGACGACCACTCGCACGATAGCGAACACGAGTTACGGACGCACTATGGCCGCGAGCTCGAAGACAGCGATGCCAGACTCATGGAGATGTTAGCTGCCCAGGCTGCCCACAGGGAGGTGGACTCGCTCAGTGCAGACGAAGAGACAATCGCCGCCGATGAGAAATTGACCGATGACGAAAAGCGCGATATTCTGCAGAAGAGCTTGAACATGGCTGCTAGTAACGGGGATGTGGACCGCGTGCGGAAACTGGTACAGGGTCAAGCGAGGACTTACGTGGACGTTAATAAGCCCGACGAGGAGGGTACTGTGCCGTTAATATATGCCAGTTGCTTTGTGGGTGGAAATATCCCTGTTGCTATCTATCTATCGAAGACTGACTGGTAATAGGGCCATCAAGAGGTGGTTTCTGCGCTGATCGATGCTGGGGCGATGGTGGATCGACAAGATCGCAATCAATGGAGCGCTTTGATGTGGGCTATGACCAACCGACACAAAACGATAGCTAAGGTTCTACTCGATCACGGTGCATCCCCGGATATTAAATCATCGTCTGGCGGTACGGCCCTCGATTTTGCGCAGCCCGGCAGCGAGATCTCGGAATATCTGCATGAAAATGGTTACAATTTTGGCTCTGGGGCTATCGATGATGACTTCTATGACGCCGGGCTGGCACATGGCCGATTCGAAGAAGAGCTTGCCGAGAGTGAAATGAAGCGGCGGATGATGATGGAAGAGAGCGCGATCAATCTAGAGGTTGATTTATCGAGCCTGGGTCTAGACGAGAAATTCGAGGTGAGACTGGCATATGATGATCCGGCGTGACACCGACTGACTTGTATCATGTAGCCATCTGACGAAGATGAACTCGAAGAAGACCAGCAGGAGTTTGTTTGGGACAAGTGTTTGAATGACCAAATGTTTGTGTTCCAGGACCATGAGCTCGAGCGAATTTTGGATATCATCATTACCAACATGACACCGCAACGGTCTCCTTCCCAGAAGCCGGTGCCTGCAAACCTGCTCTTCCTCAGTGCGCGATATGCACATTACCATGCCAGTCCAGAGCTGCTCACAACGCTGCTCACCTCTGCAATGGAAAAGATCAACGATGTCGTAGAGCGGTATCAATGGGATATGACGATGCAAGCCTTTTGGCTGTCAAATGTCACGCTTCTCCTCCACTACCTGAAGAAGGACGGGGGCCTCGTGGAATCTACCGTCGAGTTCCAACTTCATTTGGCGGAGCTGATCAACGAGATCTTCGTCCTTGTCATTCGTGATGCCGAGCGCCGAATGAACAAAGTCCTGGATGCCGCAATGCTGGACCATGAAACCATCCCCGGACTAGATGACATCGCGTTCCAAAACGAGTGGAAGCTCTTCCGCAAGAACAAAAGCAAAAATCCCGAACCTGACGAGAAGCGCTTCCGTCCTCCATCTCCGCGCCGTCGTGCACAGATCTCTCCCCGAAACATCACCTCTTTACTCTCCTCGACCCTCTTTGTGCTTGATCTCTACGACGTCCACTCCGTGATCACCACCCAAATCCTCTCCCAGCTTCTTTACTGGCTCAGCGCTGAGATCTTCAACCGAATCATGAGCACAAAACGCTACCTCGCGCGCACCAAAGCAATGCAGATCCGTATGAACGTCTCAACGTTAGAGGATTGGGCTCGTTCCAACAACCGTGTACCCGATCACTATGAAAATGGGTCCACCAACAGCACCGGCGAGACCACAATCGACTCTGCCCGCCGACATCTAGCCCCCGTTATCCAACTTCTCCAATGGCTGCAGTGTTTCTCCTCACTCGGCGATGACCATGAATCCCTAGTGACAACCCTCCTCCAACTCCAACAACTCACACCCGCTCAGCTGCTCCACGCCGTGAAGTCGTACCGACCCGAAGTCGGCGAGAAAGGCCTGACCAAGCAGGCAATGAAATTCCTCATCGAAATGCAGCACAACCCTGAACTGCCTCACACGGAACAGCTGAGGATCCAAATTGAGAAGGCCCAGGCGGAGGCAGGCCCGGGACCCCAGCAACCCCAGCAACCGGATCGACCCAAAACCCCACTGAACCAAGATGCCTCTTCTCCAGACCCCGCTCTGTCCCCGGGCGAGGCCACCTCACGACCCACAAGTATAGTGGCCATCCGGAATGACGAGCGCCCTGGCGGCGGTAACAGTGTCTTCTTGGACCCCACCCTTTTCCTCCCCTTCTCCCTCCCCACTAGTACAGACATGCTTGTCAGTTACGGCGCCGGCTTTGGTGGTACAAATCGTGAACGGGCGCGCAAGTACATCCCCACCGTCCCGCCCGAGGTCCTTAGTCGCTTTGATCGTGGCGATGCATAGCTTTTCAATCCCGTCCGCGACCACGCGCAGGACTCACCTTCATCTGGGGAACTACGATAGCTCTTCCGTTAGGGGCTAGTATATATTTACAATGGATATTGGCGAATAGCTCCCTAAGATGGAATTGTTGGCTTCGGCCCTTGGGGCTTATCTTTTCATAAAAATTGTGTCGGGGCAATTCCCGGGTGACCCGAGGTCCCTATCGCGTAGAAGGAGGTACAGAATCTCAATAGAAATACAATCAATTCTCGTCAATGATGAACCAGCATCAAAGGTCATGGCAATAAACAGTCTTTGCAAAAGTCTCCGCTAATTCTTAGACTTGAATGATGGCTCCGTCTCCCCCTGATCACCGGTATGGTTGTATGGCTTGTCATATCGCTCTTCCATCTCCTCGTTGTGCTTCTTGACATCTGCCGGCAGATCGTCCTTCAGATTCCCATCTTGGTCTGCGAGGGGCGACTGGTTGCCGTCGCGAAGGGTTGGGTGGGCCTTGTTGGAGGGGATAGGGTGATTTGGGGAGTCCTGTTGGTGGGTTGTTTGGGAGTCATTGCCGTCGTTCTTGGTGGCATAGGTTCGTAGTAATGGTGTGCGACGCATAGATAGCGGCATGGATTTGGACATCGTCCGAAGGCGCAAGAAGGATGACATGTTGGCTGTGGATTGTTTTTAGAGTTGATTAAATTAATTATCAAATTCCGGGGATTGCTCTTCTTCTTATGTGAAGCTGGGGAATCCGGTTTGATCAGTTTGGAACTACAATGACGTGTGGCGATGTCATGATATCACGCCAAGAGTATAGCTTCTCCTTGCATCTACGGAGTACCCCAGCACTTATGTACACGTACTCCGTTCTAGGATGATGTGCTTGACCATGTACGCAGTGAGTTACTTTATTTTCACGTTTTAATTGAATCGAATCTTGGAATATCGCTCAATACGCCCTTGAAAAAGAATCAGTTCATGCAAACATGGGGAAAATGCTAGTCAGATGCTCAAACGCTCAAACAGAGATGCCACACAATAATTCAACAAGATGCCCGTTTCGAATGGCGTAGTCAATCGCTTTTGGTTTGGGGGCCTGCCAAATCCTCCGCTTTAATCTCAGTTTCATCTGACTGGCTTGTAGCGGCCGCTAACGCGGAGTGATCAGGTCGAGTGCCGCGCTGTCTATCCAGTGCATTGAGGACCGCGTTCATTGCTTCCCGGGTGGACTTCTCTTCCCAGACATCGGAGTCCGGTTGATTGGACAAGTCCGAAGCTGTGCTTTTCTGGATCATCGGCGTAGAGCGTGGTTGGTCTTCGTGGGCATCAGCAGCTTGGCCCTGCGTCTGTGGACGGGATTGAGGGGGAGGCAATTTCTCGTGCGACTTCTTATTCTTTCGCTTGGAGATGCTCTTTTCTTGCGGAAACGAGTAGACTTTCGTGTCAGAATCATTGCTGGTCGAGGATTCTGGCCGAGCTTGCACTTTGGGTGGGGGCAGAGGAGGAAGTTTGAATTGAGGTTGTTGAGGTTGTTGTTGCTGGACGTGCGGGGAATTCATCTTCGGCGGGTTATAGAAGTGATATTCTACAGTCTTCTTCCTTTCTCCACCGTCCTTGGAGCTTCTGGGCATGGTGGACTGGGCTTGAGAGCGTGCTGCCTGGTTCAAGGACGAAATTACAGGAAAAGTATTCTCGAATGCTGCATTTCGTCCGTCAGAACATGATCACGCCTCAATTGATTGAAATCAGCATCCCGGCACTCGCTAGGGCACCGGATTAGCCTTCTGAATTGACGACTCACCATTTGGTATCTGTGGCGGCTGTTGGGGGCCAGGTTGGGGAGGAGGTTGATACAATGGGTTTGGCTGCACAGGCAAAGATGTTGGATATGGTTGACGAGTCGGTTGCTGGGGTGCAGTGACTCTTGGGGCTGACCATTGTCTCTGTAGCTCTGTTGCCAGTTGAGGATTTGCACCGGATTTATGCATGCCGTTGAAGATCATCGGGATGAGATGGGCTGGCACGCCGGCTCGGAGGGAATCTTGGAGGATTGCCTGCTCGACCCGTCGCTGTTCCAACAACAAGTTTGCTTGACGAGTCTTTTCTTCTTCCTGTCTGCGCTTATCTTCTTCGGCCTTGGCTTTGAGCCATTCGCTCATTCTCTCCGTGCCTTCCCATGCTGGCGGTAATGGCGGGACACAGGCTGGCATCCCCGGTGGATGTGGTAGCCGAAACTGGCCATGGCTAGGGCTTCGGGGTGGTTCTACTGCATAAGGCCGCATGTCATCTTCTCCGGGCAAAGTCAATGGAGGAGACTGGCTAGTGGACCGGACGCTAGGCTGTGAGCTGGTTAGCTGCATGGATGAAGCCATCTGAAACTGGGTGAAACTGAGTGTGAAGCCGAGTGAAGCCGAGAGACGGGGAGGCAGAGCGTGTGATGAAACGCAAGAGCTCTACAAATCCAAACGCCAAACCAAACGCAACAAACACATACCTCTCCATTTACGGAAGGTGTGATGTTGACACTTTCCCCGAAGTATGAAACGCTTCGAGATGAAACGTTTGGGGAACAATTGAGTCGATAATTGTAAATAGGCTAAACATCGAAGAAAAGAGGAAAATGGTATATAAAAAGAAAATAGTGGGCTAGACACATCTAACGCGAGTGGTCCCTTCCAATGACATCTGGTGAGTGGATGAGTATGCGCAAGCGCTAGATCCACTTTGGGTCTGGAGATATTCTGACGATCGTGATTGACTGGACTGTTTTGCAGTGTGTTGCACTTTTTGTATTTTGCGCTGGGACTAAATATTCGATGGTCCATTGGAGAATGATTCAACACAAGTGAGCTATCGGCTTGAATTGCTAGGGCAGTGGTCGCTATGCTCATTTCGGAAACGGTTCACGCATTAGCGAGATCGCCTCTCGTATTATTTCCTATTGTGGCTTTTATATGGCTTGGCATCTTGAAATGACGTCTTGAACATGCTGTATATAGATCGGATTCTCGCTGTTGATCGTTCGTTTGGGACTCGGTTTATGGCATATATCATCTGCACCAACCCACTGCAAACCCACTGCAAACCCTAAGCTGCGTCGACAAATACGATGTGCAATGTACTCCGTACGGACCTAGAATGTTTGCCTTCGCATAAGCTGACATGCTCTCCACTACAATTGTTATCCTTCAGCTCGAGCTTTCTGGCCTATCTAGCAGCCCAACCCCCAGCATCGGTCAACCCGACCAGAATTTTCTCTACTCCGTACCTCCATGCTTGCCATGGACCTGTTCGTGGCATTTTCGTGTGGTAAAAATGCCCGGGTCTCCAAGAAATTCAGGTTTCGAGCTGGCTTCTCTGCAAAGCTCCAATGCACACTCGGAGACGAGATCTTACCCACATTTTATGCCTGCCAATTGGGTACATGAGCTTATCGCTCTCGTGGCCAGCCGACTCGACTTGAACATGTCCGGAGGCCATTGCAATTCTAGATGAGGCTCTCGCTTTTTTGGTTTCTGAATTTGTTGACCGACGCGGTTCAAGGCAAGGCTTGCTATAAATAAATAATCGATGTGCCAACCTACTGCTTACTCGCAAGATAGTGCCCAATTCCAGCATATTCCACGATTTTCACTCTAATCCCGCGAAAACGGCCGCAGCCTCATTCTTGTGTGGCTTGCATAAGTTCTTGGCTCGGAAGCAAACACTTGTGCGCTATTACCCAACAGCACATTTGGCTGAGTCCACTTGGTGATTGGGTCTTTGGCTATTTCCATACCCTTGGGGTGCTCGCTAATCTGAGAATCCGGGGTCTTTCAAGGTTGATTATCTTCATCCCCCAATTACGAGCAGCGAATGGCCTAATTTGTAGGTGACTAAACTACGCCCATGGCCCCGGGGGGCAGTCAGCTGAAGATCTACCGCTTTTAACAGCCCTGGAGCTTTTACCCCTCGAAGCATCCAATAAGCCTCCGGTGCTATGTGAGGGTCAATTTTGTACATCCGGCTTCTATTTAGCACCTGGGCAGCAGGAACACCTGAGCTGTGGATTTGCCAGGCTGCTGGCATTAACCATATGGCACCAGGGCGCTGTGGTACGGGTACAGAAGACCTCGGGAGGCCAAAAGAAAGATCTACTGAGCAGCTTGGATGGTTCACAAGTAGTTGATTGGAATTGTAATAGCTTGCTGTACATATCAAAAACCTCAATCCAAGCTAAGCGAAAATAAGACCCATGAGCACATTGTTGGGGTATTTTGACGGCCTTGGGGACATTCAATCTCAGAAAATTCTCATCTTTTTTTTTTCTTTTTTTTCTTCTTCTTTTCTTCGATTCTTCTTTGCGGTGGTTGCTGACGCGCGCCACTTCAATTCAGCAGATCGTGGGTTCACTTGGATCCAAATGTAGTGAGCCTTGACCAATTTTAGCTGACAGGCAGCTTGGCCATGTCACCCTTTCCGCCCTTGATCCATTCAGGATCAATGAGACGTTCACGCTCGGCGTACAGCTGCTTGTATGCGCCACGAATGGTGCCGTCGCTGACGTGCGCGACCAGGGAAATCTCCTTTGCGGACTTGGCGTTGCCCATGAGAGCCGAGGCCATGTAGATACAAGCGGCCACGATAGACAGGGGAGATCGTCCAGCCAAGTCGCCCATGGCAGTAACACGATCCGACAGTGAAACGGAGACGCTGGTAACTTGGAAAGGAAGATCGAGAAGGTTGCAGAAACGGTTGCAAAGGTCACTAGGCTTGGTGGAAGTGGTTGCGTTGTAATCACCAGCCGAGTCGTGAGTTTCGCCATTCTCCAGGGCGGCATTGTGACGTTCGACATTTTGAGTGGTGAAGAACTTCTCCAGAGCCTTGTAAATGCGACCGATTTCTTTGCGGGTGACCTTGGTCACAGCGAAAATCTCAGTGAATGTGCGCGGGACCTTGCACTGGCGGCATGCGATGAAGATACATCCGGCAATGATCACTTCCTGCGATTTTCCTTTGAAGGCCTTGGCATCGTCAACCATCTTGAAGAGATACTTGGCGGTGTCGGCGACAGTCTTCTGGATGTTGAAACCATCACACAGGGCACCGATCTCCTTGTAGGCGGCCAGAAGTTGTTTGTTGGCCTTCTCGCCCGACTGCTTGTTCTGAGCGCGATAAAGGTCGCGCGCGCGGCCCGATCCTCCGCTGGCGATGGATGTCTCCAACTGTGCTCCGTTCAACAGTGGATTTGATGCATCTCCAACACGGGAAGGGTCATCGTTATTTTGGTCATCGTTAGAGAAAGTACGCCATTCGGAGTGCAAGTCGATCTCACGATCCGCAAGGACAAGACCGCAAGAGCCGCATACTGTCTCGTGGGAGTCCGGAAACTCAAGATTTGGGGGATCTTCCTTGCATTCAGGGCAGAGAAGGTGGGCGGACAGGTTTTTCTTCCATGCGGGGGTAGGGTCCGGTTTCGCAAGCGCGGGGCTAGCCATGATGTGCGGATTCGGTTCGTATGCGAATTCGAATGCAGATTCCCAAGCTATGTCCAATTCCCAGGGTGATCTTGTTTTCCAAGTCGGTTCCGATTTTAAGGGATATTTCGAGGTCTGGGGAGATTCCGATTTCACCTCTGGTTCCAGTATCACCACCGTTCTCAACTTGGAGCTGTATCTGGGAATCGCGTTGTACTTTGACAAATTCAGGTATGATGTAAGACGATCGCGGCGTGCTTTTGTGGATTTTTTTGCTGATTTGGGCGACTTGTGGTTCTTCTTGTAAAAGCGAATGAACAGGGGAGAATACAGCTTGAAGATTGCTGCAGATGGAAAGGGAGCGGGGCGCCCGTGAGACGAGCTACTCGACGGAGAACAGGAAGAGGATGAACGGAGAGTTACGATCTGCTGAATCTGACTGTCTGGGTCAAATTAGCCGAGCTCAACTCAACTTCTTTGTCGCGACCATGACACAAAGCCGGTGATCTGACTTGCAAGAAACGCAATGCAAGGAATCGAGGTTGTCAAAAAGACGGTATTACCTGATACAGGCGAGGGCCCACGGGGTGTGAAGTATCACCCCCCAGTCGTTGAAGAGTCTTCACCAGTCTGCGCTTTCCAGGGAAAGTAGAGCAGAAACCTCGCCTCAGCTTGTCCAGGTTGAACCAGTCAAGGTCTCCGCAAGAGGTCTCTCACGAAATAATGGGCAGGCCGAGGAAGAGAGCCAGAGGAAGTCAGAGACGGGGGGAGAGAAGAGGGAGACGGGGAGGGAAGCGAAGTTCTATTATGAAGTCCACGGGATGCTTGCGCCGCGGTCAGATTGGGCGATGTCAGTTCGTCACGTGATCTGGCGGAAATCTGATTGGACGGTGAAGTATACAAAAGCTTTCCACGGTTTCAAACAAACAAAAGTCAGTATTCATCCACGCCGATGAATAGGGAAATGAATTGGTGCTTCTGAGCCATTGTACCTCATTGTGCACACAAGAACTCGGAAAGGTTATTCAGCATGTCTCTACTATGCCATATGGATGATGTTGGTGCATTATGTCGCGAACCATCTTTTCGAATGTACCTTGCTCAACTCCGTGACCAGTTTTGATGTTCGATCTGAGCGAGATGTAAACTTGCATCCCATGCTCCGTATATTCACTGGCGTACAAGTATACAAGAGCGATCTAAAATCAGTGGTGAAATGCACCCACGATGCCTCATTCGGGACGAGCACCACCCGGATGCTGAGTCATCCGCCAAGAAACCTTTCCGAACAGAAGTCGTCTCAACCTCCAACTTCACGGAAAGACGGATCAGATCTATCCTGTTGAGAAACACCCCTCATCTCCCAACTACACCCCCTAATCAAGATGATGTCTCAATCTCTCCGGGCCTCGGTGAGTTCTGCTGAGATTCATTCGCCTTCATTCGACCGCAACTAACGTGAAACCCAGCGCGCCCTCTTCTCCCGTGCCTCTCGGCAGCAGGTCTCGGTCGCTCGCCGCACCTTCCTGACCTCCGCCGTCCGCCAGGGTATGTATTGACTACAGGATTGCTGCTCGCACTGCTTTTTCGCTGCAACATTCAATCCGCCCTCTCCAGTGCACGGTGCGCTAACTCTCCACCCGCAGCCGACCCCGTCCAGGACCTTTACCTCCGCGAGCTCAAGGCCTACAAGCCCACTCCCCTCAAGGCCGGTGATGCCGATGAGCACGTCCAGAAGTTCGCCGCCCCTGCCGCCCCCAAGTCCCCCGAGGAGGCCAACCTTGCCAGCGAATTGTCCGCCTACGAGAGCCAGGAGGTCGAGGTCGAGGGCCAGGCCGCCGCTGGTGAGGCCGCCCCCGTCGAGGAGAGCTGGTTTGAGGAGGATGAGGAGGCTCCCGCCGCCGCCCACTAAGCGCTTTCTTCTTCTTTCAGCACAAGGTCTGGGGAGACATGAGAGGATTGGGCTCTAAATGCCTGTGACGCACTGTGGCCGCCTCTCGAGTCCTGAAGCTTGTAAATTAGACCACATTCGAACGTCGAGACTTCTTTCTTCCACTTTGTTTTCGATCACACTGCAATTGGTTTGGCTCTGATGCGCTACGTCGGTGCAAGCGTTTTGAAGCTGAACGGAGTAGCTAACCCGGTATTCCCCGTTTTTCCGGAGACCAGCAACGGGCCTCGTCAAGTCTTCTACCTGTAGTGTCCAGAGCGGTGCAAATGAGCACCTTGGTCTGTCAAATATCACCTAGGCTCGCGGTAGGGCGAGCACCATGCGCAAACAGGGACCAACATCCATGGATAGCAACTTGAATGGATCTAGGTCAGGAGATAGACTCGAGATGTAGAAAGCATCCATGGATGTTGATTTCCTTCCTATGTACGGAGTTGGAAGTACGTATCAATACATTATTCCAAGGTTCATCGGAGAAATAAATGTACCAAGGGACCAACCATATATGGAGTATTGCAGCCACGACACTGGTGCCAATCTACTCCGGGAGGTTCCATGAATTTAGCATGACATCCATGCTAAGAGACACGGGTTTGAACGTTCACTGCCAAGCCAGAGTAGCGCTTCCACCAGGATTGTTTACCTACGGAGCTAGTGCGGAGTATATTGAAGTATATCTGACTATTGCTGGTAACTGGTGTACTAGTGATCAGGCCCGCTCCAGGGCTGCAACAGACAGATCAATCTGCAACGAACAGACCCTGCGAAGATCACACACTGTCGGCGATATGATATATCTAATCCCAAGGTTCTTTGTTTCTAAGGTTTTCGTCTCAAACCTATCAGACGGGTTAGCGGTAGGAAACGGCATCCCTAGATCGGGTTCAAGGTCAAGGATCAAGACCGCCGTAAACCGAACTATACCGACCTCGGGATATTATTGCCCTCGATGGTCTGATCGCGTCACTCCATTGCTCACTTGATCTGCCAAGTAGGGGGGCACCATGAGGACATTGGCCAAGGTTTTGTGCAATGTGATTTATGTGATTTATGTGCCAGGGGATGAGGGGATCGAGGGGATTGAGGGGATGTCCGGAGAAGTAGAGCCGATTGAGGGGAAGTGTCCAGAGTCAGTCTCTGCCAGAGGAATTTGAAACTGTGTATTTGTTTGAATAGAACCGGTCCACAATCTTGGCAAACGGAATCAGGCAGCCTGTATGGAATTGGAAAAATGATCAATGGAATGCGGGAGATCGTTTAGGGTTGACATCAGATGCATTCTCAGCCGACATTCTCGTTTCGTAGCGAAGAATGGCGGGAAAGACGTGTGTATGTGGATTTACATACTAACTAGTGTATTGTACTCCCCATGTTCCGTATACTCTGTACTCCAACGACATGAATTGCAGAGATAACTACGGAGTACGGAGTAGAGTAGCCCAGTCGGTGAATTCTACCCGTTTTGTCTCCCGATACGATTTGGGCGCTAAATATACCCTGCCGCTGGGGCTGAAGATGACGGAACTGGCGATACTTAGCCACCTGGGCCGATCCAATCCCTAGTCCGTACGCCCCATACACTATACACTATACAAGATGTCCAAGGTCGAGGGATTGTGTAGAGAATAGTATCAAGAGAGTGTTGCCTGGTAGAAGAGTGGAGTATGAAAAATCATTCCTGTCTCACTCTAAAGGAAACCCGCTATAAGGAGGATCGAGCTCCCTAATCTCCAGGGCCTCCTAATCTCTCTCAGTCAGATATGGAGTACGGCAGTACTTTGACCATTAGGAACCTTTGGGAAACAGTCAGGAAATAGATAGGCGAAATTTAAGACAAGGGGAGTACGGAGAGTATATAGCCCTAGAAACAGACCTTGGACAGTCATAACTAGTATTAGTATAGAGATTATTAAGAACCTTGGACCCCTTCTCTCTCCCTCACTTTCTCTTTTCTCCAGGGAATTTACTTTGACTGCCGATCATTTGCTTCCTGCATAGACGATCTACCCGTCACCGATGTCGTTGCCATATTCTTAACTCGCTCTGCTATTTTACCTCCGTTTGTCCAGCGTCTTTGGTCTTTGGTCTTTGGTCTGTTTCTGTTTGTTCTTTCCAAATGCGTGATATCCACTCGCACTCATTTTGAAGAGCTGGTCTCTTCTCATCCGCGGAGTCCCTGAGCGAGTTCCAAGGGGAAATGACCTGTTCGTAACAGAGACAATGTCTTCGCCCTCCCCCGAGACACCGTACACCAAAGACGACCCCGAACTGTCCCGCGCCGCCAGCTATACCGATCTCCCCAGCCAACCCTCAGAACCCACCCTCCGCCGCACCTTCTCCGACTATGCGGTTCCAGCCCAGACAAAGTCTCCAACCAAGGAGAGCGTCGCTGCGGGGAAAGACATCCTCCGTCGGACCTCTCTGCGCTCCAAGGACAAGGATAAAGTCTCTGTCTCACGTTTCACGTTGTCGTCATCGGAGGACTTGAAGGACACGGAGCCCAATGTCCCGGAAACCAAGGCCCCGGAGCCTGCGGCGCGGCCATCCAAGACTCGTTCAATGTCCGGACGGATCGTGAGCCTCGCCAGGAAGCCGTGGAGCTCATCCTCTCGCTCCCCCTCCCCTTCCGCCAAAAGGTCCAAACAGCAAGAATCACAATCTCCAACGCGCTTCGGTCGAAAATCGGACGACGAGCAGCCCCCCGCCCGCAGGCGAACGATTCTCTACAAGCGCCCGCGCCGACCAATGCTAGCTGTGGTCGCAAAGGGCCCCGAAGAGAACTCGGATAATCCGAACAGTCCCTCAGGCCATTCGCTGAGACCCCGGTCCTCATTCGAGAAGTTCACCGCTTCGTTGTCGGTTTCCACCCCAGTGCTACCGCCGATGCCTAAGGGTGCCGCGGAAACAGCAGCGGCGTATGCGAACGGCAGCCCCGAGATACCGCGGAAGAAAGATGAGCTGTGGGGAATCTTCCGAGGCCTGGAGGCGGATTTTCAAAAGTAGGTACTTATTTCCCCGATCTCCCTTGCAGTCACTGACCCGCACAGGTTCCAGTCCAAGTCCATATCCCTCAAGGCCAACGTGATCCGATCGTCTCTCCTTCCTTTCCTCAGTCGCCATCACCTCCACACATCATGCAAGAACCTCAGACCGGAAGACTTGGACCGCCGCGTCAATATCCTTAATAAATGGTGGGTCGGGATGCTGGAGATGCTCAATGGCAAGAACAACCAGTCAATATCTGGGACCGACAGGCCGGTCTTCCTGGAAGCCATTGTGGGTATCATGGCACGGCCGGAATGGCGCATTTCATTCCCCATGGCTCAACACGGCAGTGGGCCAACAGAGTCGTTGAAGTATGCCTCCACTTCGGTATCTGAATCATCGGATGGCTCAGCATCCTCTGGCTCGGATTTTCTGGTGGAATCCATTCATCATAACATCCGGAACATCTTCTCCCAGAACCTCATCTCTCAGATGTCTTTCGTGGTCGAGCGCATGTCCATGAGACACGCGCCGGCAAGTTTAGTCGCGTTCTGCGGAAAGGCTTGCGCCTACGCCTTCTTCTTCTGTCCCGGGATTTCTGACATCCTGGTTCGCCTGTGGTGTACACCTCCCACCACGTTCCGACGCATTTTATCAGACTCCGCAGACCAAAGAACTGGCAATCTGCGCGCAGAAACCCAGGACCTTGCTTCTTGCTTCCCACCGGCTCTTCGTCCTCTTGCGTTCCACTCACAAGCACCCCTGCTGCGATATTTGCGCCAGAAACCCGACACTCCGTTAAACATCTCTCACATCAATTGGAACCGTCCGTGGATCACACGCTGGGCGGGCCGTGACACGGACCTGTTTTTCGTCTTTGTGAAATATGTCCATATTCTGTATTCTGAGTATATCCCATCGGAGACCGAGAAAGCGAAGCGGATACTGGCCCCAGGCCTGTTGCTCGTTCATGCGCAGCTATTGCTTGTGTTGGAGGACACTCTTTACAAGCAATCGACACCACAAGCGACCGAAAACCCTCACTCCACTGCAGCTATCACTTTTGATGATTTCATCGAGTCGCCGGATGCCTCTGCTTCTTCTCAGCACCTTCGCAGCGGAAGCAACAGTCACCGGTCGATGGCTGAGAATCGTTTGATTATACTTCTTCGCGATCTACTATCGGAATCATCTGTCGAACCAAATCGCGCTCGACTTTTGTTCGCTGAATCGTTCTGTGCTATTATCAAAGCTGCTGCTCAGAAGACGTCGCTATTCGATCACAATGCATGCTTTTTGCTATGCGATTTCCTCGAGGAAGTCATTCCGATCATCACTCGCTATGGCCAATCAATCGAAACTGAACTGTTCGACTGGAACTTCTGGTTAGTAGTCTGTCGACAAATGATGCAAAGTCACAACTCGCTCACTGAGGTTCGAGTGTTCTCGTTCCTCTTCTGCATTTGGGGTACCTGGGTCGCGACAGAAGAAAGAAAAGCTTCTCTCTGTCTAGATTTCTTGCTGCACGAACCGACATTCTATCACTACTTCAATCACTGGAGTCCAATGGTGCGTGCGTACTTCCAGCGCTTGTTGTGCTGGAGGGTTGGACGGTTCAACACCGATCCGTCCTCGTTGGACTCTATGGTTTATGAGACCCTCTCAGATCGGCTCCTGCGAGTTTGGGAATATTACATCGGGTTCCAATCCAAGGCCGAGGAGGACTTGACGGCCCCCTTGTCCTCTGCCCCCTGTACCCCTGCGCCTGGCCGAAGGATTATCATCATTCGATGCGACAACCACTTGTCCCCCGTCAACTTATTCGTCAGCTTCGACCGCGTTATCCCACCCGCACCTCCAGACCAAGTTACCTCGCATCGACGAGCAGGCTCCGCAGACTCGGCAGGGTCCGACGGTCCGCCTTCCAAGAAACGCTGGGGGATCTTCAAATCCATGTTTGGAAGCTCCTCCGGCTCGCGTCCGGCTGACGGTACCAAGAATAGCAGTTCCGATGACTCTGATAAAGACACCGACTCAACAGTGACGCCTGACAACAAATGTCTGGATGAGCACGAGCAGACCCCAAGTACCAGCGCAGACGAGCTCGTCCGCCCCAAAACACCCCACCAACCTTTCTTCTTCAAATTCTCCCTGGAATGGATGGATCGCCCACAGTGGCCCACCAAAAACAAACGTCTCTTCACCCCTTGTCTCCCCGTTGCATCTCAATTGCATGTCGAACACCGCCGCTCTCCTGACAAATCGGACTACGACACGGCTTCCGAAAACCCTGCCTCATCAGATATTGAGAGTGAAAAGGACGACCATGTCTCAGATCAGAATACCCCTACTCAAGCCACTGCGGACTGGCCGAGAACTCCCACCACCAAGAACTCACCTCTCCCCGAAATACCCTCCCAACCTTCCCACGACCATCTCGTGCCTAGCAAGTACGCGGGCCGGGCACTGGCTGAGTGGGCGCACATTGTCTCCGAATGCGATAGCTTCTTTGCTCGCCGTCGTGACGAAGGCGTCCCCACTGACCGCATGGTCGAAACACCTACTCTGGGTGTTGAAAGTTTCCGCAAATAATTACTTCTCCGACAGTGATAGACGCGTGCGTTACAGATGTCTGCTTTACACAATGTTTCGGTCCCCCCTTTTTTTCATTATCTTCTTATCTTCTTCAGCATCACGGATCTGGAATCTGGAGCATAGGACTCGGCGTTGAATAGCTTTCCTTGGCGAGTACTACGTACTACAATAATACATTCGACTCGAAATATATTCATTTCACTGCTTCCCAAATTGCCATGGAGTAGATCTATTTCTATCTTTCCAGTATTTCACTTCTGTTCGGCTTCCTGTGCAAGCTGTTTGTTCAATAGATACAGCAGTGCCCCCTGTACATCTTCTCGTCCCATGAAGACCTCCACAAGTCTGACCCCGCTTCCATTGATGATATTCTCGTTCCCAAGCACCTCCTGTAACTCACCACACGTTCGTGCGGTGAATGTATTCTTAGCCACATGCTCCTCGTCAGCTCCGAAATAACTGAGAGCTTGTGCGTGTCGCCAAAAGGGCACATCGTTGTACTTCTCTTTACGCCCATGGATCACCCGCTCGATCGTGTATCCGTCGTTATTAATGATGAAGATTATAATGTTCAACTTCTCGCGAATCATCACGCTGATCTCCTGCGCCGTCATTTGGAGACTCCCGTCGCCGATGAAGAGGATCGTCTGACTCTTTGATGATGTATTCTTGTTTGAATCGCGCTGTGCTAAGGCTGCGCCCAGTGTTGCGGGGAGCATGAAGCCGATGGAGAGCCAGGTCACTGCACCAAAGAGCCGTGAGCCAGCGGGAAGCTTGAAGTTGCGACCTCCATGTGCGGCGGTACCGGTCTCTGTGAGGATGATGTCGCCATCTCGGAAGAGGGGATTCACCAGGGGGTAGAAGTTGGTTTGTGCGAGCGGATCGGTGTCTTGGATGTTGGCCACGGAGAGTTCTGATTTGGGTGGTGCAGATGCCTTGACGAGGCGTGTAGAGTCAAGGTCCCGGAGAAGATTTGAGAGAATGCTACGCGCAGACATGTCGTAGAAGGTATCGTTGTTGATCTTGACTGTTGTGCCGGAGAAAGTGATTGCCGCTTCTGGTTTGGCGATTGTTGTGAAGAAGTAGCTGTTTGTGTCACTGTTGTGAGGCCCAAATGTGAGGACCAAGTCTGCCTCTTCGAAATATGTCTGTGCCGGCTTGTCGCCGAAGGCTCCGCCGTACAATCCATGGGCATTGGGAAGTTGCTCGTTGACAAGACCCTTTCCATACACAGTAGTCCATGTCGGCCAGCCAGTTGCTTTGATCAAAGTGTCAAGTTGTTCAACAATTCCGAGAGCCGTGCTTTCTCCATCCACGAGAATGAAAGGCCGCTGAGCGCTGTAGATACGCTCCAGGATCTGAGCTAGGACTTGGGGCTCTTGAGCCGAGCTGGGAGGTTTGGGGATTTCGATCTTTCTTTCCAAATTGGCAGCTGACACATTCACGTCAGGCATGTCATCCGGAAGCTCCAAGTAAACTGGGCGACTGTGAATCAGTGCCTGTTGCAGGATATAGTCGATTCGCTCCGGTGCAGTAGCAGCATCAGTCAGCCTAGTTTGAGCGGCTGTAATGTGAGTTGACATGTTGGCGAAGCGACGGTAGTCTCCATCTGAGAAAGTGTGGTGCATGAATGTGCGCGCAGCCTGGAGTGGGCGCGGAGGTGTCCCGACGATGTGCACGACGGGAGTGTTTTCAGCGTAGGCCCCGGCAATGCCATTCAGGGCGGAGAGTTCACCGACTCCATAGGTAGTGATCAAAGCAGCCAAGCCTTTTATACGGCCATATCCATCAGCTGCATAAGCTGCATTGAGCTCGTTGCAGTTGCCTACCCAATGGAGGCCGGCGGGGGTGACGAAATCGAGGAGGCGAAGGTTGTAATCACCGGGCACGCCAAACATGGAGTCCACTCCCAGTTGGCGAAGCCGGGTAAAGAGGTAATCTGCAAGTTTGATATCTGTCATGCTGATGTTGAGGTGAAAGAAGTGAAAGGCAAGAGTGAAAGGGTAGGGGTTCTGTTTATATACTTCCACCTCCCCGCAGTTCTTATCGATATCGCCGACTTCGCCGACTCTCCGATTACCCCGTTTACTCCGGTTACGCCGGTACCCGAACTTCATCTCCTCCATCGTGGACTATTGTCCGACAATGTCGCGCCTGGCCGCCTGTGAAGCCTGCAGAAAGGCCAAACTGGCATGCGATCACAAATTGCCGGTGTGCACCCGATGCAGCACCAACCAGGGGATCTGCATCTACAGAACCACTCCTTTCAAGCGAAAGCGAGAGAAGCAGAGGTCAGTCCAATACTCACTCACCTGGGCTATATCCTCTTGACTCACATACATGATTTAGTTTGGGCTCCCCGGATGAATCTTCGTCATTCAATCCCAGGCGCAACCCGTACCCCAATCCGGGGTACCTGGGATCGTCGAGCCATGCTGCTATATTCAAGCATATCACTCCGGATGGAGACCAAGGGGGTCACCAAGCCATCCCAGAAGCTCTGCACTCAGATTTGTTTGGTGATAACCACCTCGTTCTTCAAGGGGCCGATATCCTGAAACATCTCTTGACAAAATATGAACTTTCCGCCATGAAAGACTTGGTCACCTTCTGGTTGGCAAAGGGTGCGAATCTCGCGCTGGCTGAGCCCTTTGTGAATCAATGCACCCGAAGTGTCAGTCAACTGTTTACTTATCATGACGAGAACTGGCATTTGGTCTATGCAAGACGTCTCTTGCATAACTCAGCCCAGCCATTGCATTTTAATGATTCTTCCGATCTGGGCGGATTCTCGGCTCAGTTCTTAGACCACAACTCCCGATGGGAGACCTTGGGAATCTTCTTCGCTGCGGTCACTCGTGCGACGATTGATATTTCATTCTTTCCCGCTCTATACACTACTGAACAACAGCAGTACACACTCCGAAGACTGTGTACAAAACTATGTGACTTCGCCCTCGAGATCTCCCTCTCTTTAGATTGTCTCAATGACCTCCAACTAATAATGCAATATGAGAATTTTATCGTCCACTCCTATGTCGACGGCGACCAGAGCTACCACTCTTGGCGCAAGCTAGGAGATGCAATATCCTCCACTTTCGCCCTGGGGTATCATGAAAACATCGAAACGAAACTCGGAATACCAACTTTCCTCAAGGAACTTCGGAAAACGGCTTTCGCACGCATCTATTCTGCAGACAAGAACATAGCGATATTCCTCGGGCGGCCGCCGCGAATGAATAAACGCTTCTGCCATTTCCAGATTCCCGCCTGTCGCGACGCCCAGGGTTCCGAGTGGACCCCAGACGCAGAAGCGGGATACAGAGCTGACACACGCTGGTCTGCGCTATGCGCTTCCCTGAAGGAGGAAATCTGGGAGCTTCTTCAGGATAAACATGACCCGTCTTGTGCTCAGCGAGCAAGGTAATGCCCGAAAGGCGTTCTGACCACTCACTCACAACCTGCTGACAACATGACAGTGTGATTCAAAGTCAAGCAGAGGCGCAATGGCAGGCTCTGCCATCTCATTTTAGACTCGAAAGCAGTCTCAAGCAATGCGTTCAAGGTCCCTTCGAGCGGGACTTTGTAGCCGGCGTCCGGCTGCACCATCTCCACGTCCTCTTCCTGCTTCGTCTTTTGCTCCTCAGATCTCCAACCGAGCCCGATCTTCCCATCATTGAAACAGCGGGCCAGATGCTCACGCTTGTGGTGGAGATTATCCTGCTGCGTGATCAACTGACTAATTCCGGCACTGGTCTTATCTGGAAGGTAAGTCGCAAGCGTTGCAGTCTTCCAGTATCTGCTAACCAGACAGGTCGCATACTACGGTCTTCCCGCCGCGGGGATGATGCTTCTCGCGATGCTCAAACATCATATGCCCCGAGCCCACCGGACACGCTCATTGCAGGATCTTAGCGTTTTTGTCGCAGAGGTTCAGATTGGGACCATTGTTCGGGCTGGAGATCCGAACTATGCCTTGCTTTCCAAGGCAACGAGGACCATCCAGCGATTCCTCGATACTACACGCTCGGATGCGCCGGTCGAACCGCTTGGGCAGGAGGATGAGTGGGCTGCGCTTTTGAGCCAGGATTTGTGGGATTTTGAGGCTGGCTTCTGGCAGAGTCTGGCCGATCACCCTTCTCTATTGGCTATCGAGCCTTCTTTACCTCCAGTTTGAGTTCTAGATTATTACTACAGCGCTCGCTTAGTTTGGGGGTGTATGAGGGTGTAAAGAATTGAGCAAACCGCATTCGGTAGCTCGGGCTTCTTGAAGACTAAATACGACATGTGATATCTCCATAAACGCCGGATGCTGGGGACGATGCAATGAATAAATACACTCAAAAGCGGCACCATCCTTTCTGATGGAGTTCAAATCCACCAGGCCCCGTGAGCCCCAGACATGCGGAGTTGGTATATAATGGGCAGTCCCCAGAATGCGAAAAATTCCCGATGCAAAAGGGATCGGGTTGTATGTACAGTGCTCGTGCAGAACGTGACAAAGAAATCCAGGCAGAAAGGCCATGGCTGAGACGACAAGAAGGAAAATCGCTGGAGGCTAGAATACATTAGTGAAGAAGTTTATCGCTGGCATGTCGGATGATTTCGGCGACCCGGTCGATCCAGTGCTGGGCCAGCTTCCAATCTCCTGTGTCGATGCTATCTCGGATAGCAGGGAAGAGCGCGGCATCGTAGCCGGACCACAACTCTGGACCAAATATGACGTGTCGGAATTGTGTGCGGTTGGGAATCTAGCGAAGAAAATGTCAGCTGAAGTTGATGGTTGATCGGGGCACTTGAACTTACACCTCCGCCTTCTGCCAAGTCTAGTAGGTTGGTGTCAAATGCGGCCATTCGAGCATTGTGATTGACTCGTTGAACGGCCATGACATTGCTCTCATAACCTCCCATTCCCCACACAGTGTCATGCCAGATATTGTTCCATGACTGGAATTGAACGGTGTTGGCCTTCAGTTCCGCCGAGGCATTAAACATGGGCTGCAAGTCCACCTTGGCATTCTTGGACTTGACATACGTATCCAAGTCTTTGACCCATCCGTCAACAGAGCTACCGTAAGCTTCCATATCAAACGGTAGCATGAGATTTTCCGAGAGATCAAGCAGAAGAAGCCCCCAGAATTGAGCCAGAATCTTGTGGTACTGGAAGTCAGGGTCGACATTCTTGACCATCCAGTCATAAGACTCGTAGCAGCTGTGGTATGGGTAAGGCTCGCCCTCGAATCCAAAATCAATGCTCGAGGTGCCGGCGATATCCTGAAATGCGACATAGTCGCTTCCAGCGCCAAGAGGAGTGATCTTTGAGCCCTTTTTCTCCCAAAGATCCTTCAAGGTGGCATTCGAATAGGGGTCTGAGAGACGGCCCAGGATCTGCATCACAGTGCGCTCAAAGACAGGCGACGCCGATACTCGGAAGTCAGGCCCGGCCACGCCTACATCAACGTTGAGATAGGCGTATGCATTCGCTCGGAGGTCTTCAATCTCCTTCTCGACATGCTCTGTTGAGCCAATCAGGTTGTACTCTTCGGCGTCCCAGCTAACAAACTCGATGGTGCGGATCGGCCGCCAACCATAAGTGAGCAACTCGCCAAAGGCACGTACTACCTCCAGGAACGTAGCGGTGCCACTCCCAGGGTCAACGCTGCCCATGCACCATGAGTCGCGATGGTTGCCGACAATGATTTTCTTGTCGCGCTCATCCATTCCAATGATTTTAGCATGTATATTGTAGATTGGCTGCCGTTCTACTTCATCCTGCAGGTTCATCAGGTGAACGACTGGGGAATTTTGGTCACCAGTCCACCAATCCACTTTGGGCACACCACCCACCCACTCCTTGGGTACCTTGGAGCCATGGTCTTTTAGACTCTGCAAAAGTGGTTGGGCGTCACGCCAAGCGATGGGAAGACTGGGGATCTTAGGCAAGCCGAGACTGTCCGGCGGAGATAAGCGGTGCTTTTCTCCGGGCGTAGATGCCCATCCGGGGGAGAGAACATCTCCTACCACCTGCGACATCATGCTGACCCCGCCTCTTTGCACGCCATCACTTGGCATGTACCGGCCTTCGGGATAGGCTGGACCCTTGACGAATCCATCTTCGGCAGGGTCGGAGTAGATGATGCAGCCGGCAGCACCAGCCAATTCGGCGGCCTTGATCTTCAAGGCGCGATCGGACTCAGTCCCGTAGTAGCGAACTAAAGCGATCGCGCCTTGGAGTGATATGCCCTTGTCTGCGAGCAACTTGAAGTCTTCGCGAGAGCCGTAGTTGGCGTAAACCAAATGTCCGGTAACGTTGCCGGATTTCGAATGTCCGTGGAAGACGAGGTCTTTGGCGTTGTCCTCTTCAAGCTTCGCCTCCCAGGCCAGATTGGGTGGGTCGATAATAGCCACTCGTCTGCCGTCCTGGCGTGGATAGTTGAGGTAGACCTGGAACTCCTCCCGTGAGACTTCGTCTAAGCCAGCCTTGTGGAACTCTTGCTCGATTAGTTGGGATAGCGCAAAGCTGCCCTCGGTTCCGGCAACGTGGGTATAGTTGGTCACTCTGCGCAGGTTCTCGGCGATATTGGTTTCGTTGATATGGCCCTGTATGAAGTTCTCGACAGACGCAGCACTATATTGTTGTCCCATGGCCATACGACTGTTGAGATTGAAGATATCGGCGATAAAGAACACATAGACCAGGGAGACCACCAGCAAGAGAGCGAACAGCCGTAAAAGCATGATACAACCCTGATCCTTCAACCGGGCTCTCGTCTCCTCCAAGTTGACTGTGAAACGGAAACGGGGCATGTATCGTTGGAAGGGACGTTGTATGGTGGACAGCGCACGACTGAGACTGGATAGTTGTTTGGAGAATCGATGTCGTAAAGGGGGGGCGTCTGGCTGACGAGGTGCCTGAATCGTCCACATCCATCTGGTCAAGCTCTCTCCGTAGCTCTTCGGTCGAACCCCGATCCGAGTGGGAGGCGGCAGATTCGAGGTCATCGAGACTGGTGCGCGCGGATTCCACGGTGGGAGGTTGATAGCCACGGGGGGGCATCGCGACGGTTCTCGCGACCGAGGAGACCCTCCCGTTCCAGGTCGGTTCCATCACCGAGATCTGATCGAGAGGAGGAGGGTTGACCGGTGGCTTCTGCGTAAGAGGGGATGGGGACGGCTTGATAATCAAACTTCTCGTCGCCCATGGTGGATAGTCGGCTCCGGGGAGCTGTAGCAGGGATATGATGGGGTCGGGTAGATCATGATCTAATGGAGTGACAAATGAGCGTCCGACACCCCATCGATAGTGCCCAGGTAAGTCGATGGTGTTCAGGGGAGGGAGGTTGAGAGAAGAGTAGGCAGACACGCCCCCCCGGACGACCCACGTCTCGGCAACTTCATTACGCAGCATTGGCATTGGCATTGGCATTGGCATTCTCATTGAACGACACTTGGAGAATATTGCTTCCAGGATGAACCAGGATGGATATATCTAGGATATATCTAGGATATTCTTCAAGTTCATTGCACTTTAGGAACTACTTAGACATCTCAGGAATAATGGGTCGTCCAATAAGACCGGGGCCGCTGCTTCATTATGTCGTAGGTCCGGACCCTCAGAGATACACGGTATGTGATCTACTCCGTACAGGGCTTCGAAGGGGAGAAAAGCAAATAAAATGAAAACAGATGATAACCTTGGAACACAACATATATCATATGTGAGTACGGAGTACGGAGTAAGTAATGCACAATCTATTGGTATACTTGCAGTTTGTATACTCTGATGTTCACGGGTATAGTTGATACTCCGAACCCGTGAACCCGGTCCGGGGTGATGCCACGCCTCGTCATAATTGTACAAGTACAGTGCAAGTATAACTAATTAGTGCAGAGAAGAGAATTATACGTGACAGAATAGTGGAAACAGGGCTTACAGTGAAACAACGAAAGAGCAAATCCCTCGCGGTGGAGTAGATCGATAAGATGGACTCAGTTGTACAGCGTAGACGGAGATGCGCTAATTTCCTTGAAAGGGGGCATCTTATGCCGTCAAGACGGAGTAGATCCCTCATGACAATAAGTAATACTGTACATACAACTAAGAAGCACTGCTCTACGGAGTACATAGTGTAGCCAAGATCCTGTGGGCAGGTAGATCGGTACTTGGTAAACAGTGTAAAACATCACCATCAATCAGGTACCATAAACTTGGAAGCCGTACTCCGTAGTCTGTACCTAAAAAGGCCCAACGCCATGCATTTTAAGAAGGGCACTAGCCTGCAGACTTAAGATCCGATATTCGGCTTAAAGGAAGAAAGAAAAAAAGAACTCCAAAAAAGAAGTGGACCTAAAAAAATATGTAGAGGGTGACAGATCGTACACTGTAGATCCGAGTACACAGACTCCTTTTTCATGGAAGTTCCCAGGTCCCATTGCTATAACTAACCTCATCTCGCCCCCTTCTCTTCATTTGTGCCATTCCCATTTCTCTTGAATCTCTCTTGACTTGTTTCGTGACCTTTTTCTTCGCTTCAGTTCACCCCTCCATACCCCACCATGGCTGCTCGTCCCCAAAACATCGGTATCAAGGCCATTGAGGTCTACTTCCCTACTCAGGTAAGGATAATTCGCCCTCACAAGACCTTTTGTTTCCCGGAAAATACTAACATTCACTTTAGTGCGTCGACCAGACCGAGCTCGAGAAGTACGATGGCGTCAGTGCCGGAAAATACACCATTGGTCTCGGCCAGACCAAGATGAGCTTCTGCGATGACCGCGAGGGTATGGGCACACTCAACACACTGAGCATGGAAACCCGCAGCTAACCAGTTCCTCGACAGACATCTACTCCATGGCCCTGACCACCCTCTCCTCCCTCTTGAACAAGTACGAAATCGACCCCAAGTCCATTGGCCGCCTCGAGGTCGGCACCGAGACCCTCTTGGACAAGTCCAAGTCCGTCAAGTCCGTCCTCATGCAGTTGTTTGCTCCCCACGGCAACACCAACATTGAGGGTGTCGACAACGTCAACGCCTGTTACGGCGGTACCAACGCCGTCTTCAACAGCATCAACTGGCTCGAGTCCTCCGCCTGGGACGGCCGTGATGCCGTCGTTGTCGCCGGTGACATTGCCCTCTACGCTGCCGGTGCTGCCCGCCCCACCGGTGGTGCTGGCTGTGTCGCCATGGTCATCGGTCCCGATGCACCCATTGTCTTCGACGCCGGTCTCCGTGCCTCCTACGTCACCCACGCCTACGACTTCTACAAGCCCGACCTGACCTCCGAGTACCCCGTCGTCGATGGCCACTACTCCCTGAAGTGCTACACCGAGGCCGTCGATGCCTGCTACAAGGCCTTCGGCGCCCGCGAGAACACCCTCAAGGCCCAGACCAACGGCACCAACGGTGCCGTCGACGAGTCTCAGTCTCCCCTTGACCGTTTCGACTACATCCTCTTCCACGCCCCTACCTGCAAGCTCGTCCAGAAGTCTTACGCCCGCATGCTCTACAACGACTACCTGGCCAACCCCTCCCACCCCGCTTTCGCCGAGGTCGCCCCCGAACTCCGCGATCTGGACTACGAGAAGTCTCTGACCGACAAGGTCGTTGAGAAGACCTTCATGGGCCTGACCAAGAAGCGCTTTGCCGAGCGTGTCAACCCCGGTCTCCAGGTCGCTACCCAGTGTGGTAACATGTACACCGCCACCGTCTACGGTGGTATCGCCTCGTTGCTTAGCAACGTCAAGTTTGACCCCAAGGAGCCCAAGCGCATCGGTCTGTTCTCCTACGGCTCCGGTCTTGCCAGCTCCCTGTTCAGCGCCAAGATCGTCGGCGATGTCTCCCACATTGTCGAGAAGCTCGACCTCCACAAGCGTCTGGACGCCCGTACCGTTCTCGAGCCCGCTGCCTACGATGCCATGTGCAAGCTCCGTGAGCACGCCCACTTGAAGAAGGACTTCAAGCCCACTGGCAACGTCGAGACCATCGGCTCTGGTGTGTACTACCTCACCGAGGTGGATGACATGTTCCGCCGCAAGTACGAGATCAAGGCTTAAAAAGAGCTTTGGTTTTTTTGATGTTCTGTGATTGCCTTTACCGTTGGATACCATTTAGACGGTTCAGAGAGATTCCCCGAGCGTTTTTCCATTTTTTTCTCCCCCACACAAAGTTGGTGTATAGACAGCTTTCTTTTTTCTCCATTTGGGCGTTAATTCATTTTTGACCCACTTGGAAAGATGTTACGAAATAATCAAAATGATATTATGACACTCATTCTCGAGAAGTTTAAGTCGGAGTATACATAGACTACGCAGATCAGATAGTTCATCCGTAAATGGCTAGCGCAGGACTAGTCTTGAGCTGAAACACCTCCGCGCTTATGCATCGCGACTCTACTTCCAAGGTTGGATAGTAACTAGTACGGGCTCTACGGAGTATATACCTGACCATTTACCACACCAAGCTACGAAATTCGGACCTAATTTGTACACTGTCGTCTCCCTTGACCTCTAGCGTATCAAATGGCTACTAATATTGGGGCCTTTCTCCCTTAACCTCCTATTTCGACCACCAATCACCATCTATTGCGCCGATCCGGCGCGTACTTGAGACTCATCCCATACCTGTAGCCGCCGAGTTCAATATCACATCTCCTTGGCGCACCGACGGCTATTTCGAAACGGCGCATTCCTGATTAGATCCTGGCTTCACTAGCTCCGCACAGGCTAAATTGTCCTCAATGACTATTTTTATCTCACTCTATACTTGCCATCTTGGTCCTCTAACCGCCCACCCAACAAACTCCCAGGTACGGAGTAACGTCCCCAACATGACCGCTAATTTACCCCGAAGAATGTTAGCTAATTGTTGCCCATTATAGAATGTTGCTTCCATCATGCAGGCCACTAGCCCCTTCTGATATCTGAAGATTGTCTCGCTTTCAGATACCAATATAGCAGCATGTTGACGCGCGACTGTCCGCTGAAACCGCACTATACCGAACTCGACTCCCTCGCTGCAGTGGTTTCAAGTGCTTCTGTCGCGCAACATGGGACCTCACACCCATTTTCGGCAGTTTCGCGTTTCATCGCGTGGCTAACCCTAGAGATCGGAGACCAGGGCCCCAAAAAAAGAATCCCTGGCGTTACGATGGGGCTCTTCTCCATGTTTCATGTCCCCTAGATCCGCGACAGTTCGTCAGTAGATCCATTTTATGTACAAATGGCTTGGCTATTTGGGACATGCCCGATTGTCCATTTAATATCCATATATCCCCTCATGTTTTGATCCTCGTTCTACTTCCTTTTCGTTGATCGAATTTGTTGATTAGACTATCCGACATTCATCATGGCTGTCGAACACGCTCGCTACCGGCCAGCAACCCCACCACGTCTCCCTCTAGAGGAATACCTCAGCTCTGGACGTAGTTGCCATGCCTCTACCTCTTCCGTTTATTCAGGCGAGTCATCGCCCTGGTCGACTGCCACGGGCAACACCAGCCCTATGACTTCGCCCATCAGACATCATCATGGGCCAGCTTTGCTGCCCAAGATCCGCCCTCAAGATGTCGTGGTTGAGCCTGTGTCTGCCGATGAACCTCCGCGTCATCACAGTCGAGTCCTTTCCAACACCCGAAACTCACCAGGCTTCTTGCCTTATTCCACTGCTCGGTCATCTGTAAGCCGCCAAAAGCGCGAGACTCTAGATCGCCTCACATTGGCAACTCCAGTCTCACCGGCACCAATCGCCGTTCAGGGCAGCTGCTCAGGCTTGTCATCGCCTGTTACGCTCAACCCGTCATATAAGCGTAAAGCAGGCGGTCATTCACGCTCAGTCTCGGCATCTGTTGTCGATGCCGAGACTTTGAACCGATTTGGATATCCCACCTATCGTGACCTCCCCAAATACATGCCTCAGATGCAGGCTCAGACTACACCCACAACACCCGTCACTCCCATCACCCCACACATGTTTGTCTACGCATCATACTCGCAACGACTGGACGGCCCTGCTCCTGAACGCACGAAGCCATTGACCGTTCCCACTCCTCAATACTACCAGACATCAGCCCACCCCTCACCAGCCTTGCTCAGTCCCCAAGAAGACTCACCACGCTCCACAACCTTGTTGTCCTACCTGACCCGTCCAATCCAGCCAATCAATTTAGTTCGCAATGTGAGCGTAGTCCCAACTCGCGGCATGCACGACTACTTCTGGTGGGATATCCGCAGTCTCCGCAGCTGGACTTCCTTCTCCCTCGCAACCTTCGCCTCTGTGGACAGTCGTCTCATCCAACTCCTCAGAACGGACATTCCAGGCCACCGCACACCCGCCGTGGCAGTATCACCCGCTTTGCTTGCCCCGGAATCAGAGCTGTCCCTTGTCTCTCTGATCCGAGATCTCTATGCACCAAGAGTCAATGCTGCTCTGGCTGTTTCCCAAGGCGACGATCACCTCCAACTCTACGCTTCCCCAGAAGTCCGAAACACCGGGCTCAAAAACTATGGCCACCCACATTTCCTTGCTAATTATGCCTCCGACACGGAGCGCACAAGCTCTGGTCTTCCCCGCGGCCGGTTAGTGGGGATTGTCAAATCGTTTGACCGGTGGAATACCGGTATGCGCAACGAGGCACCACATCGCCGTGTCGAATATCTTAATGGCCTCGCGCACCTTCAGCGCTGTATGCGCGAACATTCTTGTCGATACGGATTCATCATCACGGAAATCGAACTTGTCTGCGTGCGGGCGGGTTGTGATGCAGGTGATGATGTCCCGTACTTTGGATACCTAGAGATCGCCGCCTCGATCCCTCTCAAAACCGCTTCGACTCCCTCGCACCGCGATTGCCCCCCCCGCAACACCCATCAGCACTCGCTCATTCTCATCCTCTTCCACCTCCTCTACTTCCCTCCCCCCCGACTCTCCTGTCGCGGATGACGGAGAAGATGTCCCAATGACAGCTAGCCTGGCATTGTACTTCTTATTGATGCTGTCCAAAGCCATGCCGCTTCCCCACCAACCTTCAGCTCACTTGAACGTTGGCGGACCTGGTGCGTTCACTCGCCAGCGGATCCTGCCAGAGCCCAAGGATAAATGGATCCCCGAGCCGCAGATTGGGGAGCGCAGGGATGCGAAGAGAGTTCGCGGATGGGTTTGGCCGATGGATCCCTGGCATCGAAGGGAAGGAGGCGGTGCGCCTAGGCAAAAGGACAAAAAGAAATAAAACAACTATATAGTATCCTCCTCTGGCGGCGCCACGAGAAGTTGATTCAGTTCCAAGGCTGGACCTTTGTATATTTCCTTTTTTTTCTCCTCCATTTTCTGTTTCGGTGTTGGTGGCGGGGTGTCTGTCTATTCCCCATGTTTCTGATAGTAATTTAATTTCTTTGCAGCTGATTTCATTCTTCGCCATTTTTTAGATAGAAAAGAGGTTCCGCGGCACTCCATGGTATTTCCACGGTTTGGGCCTGAAGAACCTTGGCACGATGGCCGCTCCTCAATAATCTCTACATCAGACTGATATTTGTCTTCATCAATCTCCACGCAGTATCGTGATGAAATGGCCACCAAAAAACAAAAACAAAAAGGTCTTACCCGGACTCGAACCGGGGCCGACGGTAAGATCAATTGGAAAACGTCCTCAAAAACCGTAGTCCTAACCAACTAGACTATAAGACCAATGACGAGCTCGGCCAAAGATGAGGAATTATAGCCTTGCTCCGACATACGTCAGATTCCAGAATGCTCAGGGCGAAAAAGAACGGCTAGAGAATTTCTTGAACAATGATCTGATATGGTGAAGTTGAATTTCAAGGTTTTACTAGTTACACGGCCGTATAGCTGATGACTTGAAAGGCCGATTTCGGTCGTAATTGGTCGGCTTTATGGTATTTAGATCCATGGATGAATAATGTACTAGGCTATAAGAGTTAATACGACGCACTTGCCTTTGATGTTGGGGAGCTGTCAAGGTTCAAGGGTCTCCATGATCTCCATCGCCTCCCATGCCTGATTGCCACCCCAATTTGCCAGATAGCATTCTTGGAAGATCCACTAGTCTTCCAATGTTGGAGTACTCCGTACATCCAGGCCGATGACACTCCAGGTCAGAAAGACCTTATCTGGAGTACAGTCGTAGGCCTATTGAGCGTTGTCTTATCTGTAATGGTGCTCAAGCTGACACGACCCGATGTTGTTGTTATTTTTCCGAGTAGGCAAGATATGCTCTTTGACCGTTCGTACTTCTTCCAGAGGCTGTAATGCCTACCAAATAATGTTTTATTGTCATGGGACAACACATAGAGTGGTGGAGGGTCTCATTGGAGCTGGCAGTTGTAAAGAGTATGAACTACTGGTTCCTTGGACTGTCAAAACTGGGCTACCGCGAGGTGTAACAGGAGAAACCACGATAATAGAAATCTGATTGATCAATGACTCTTCCATTCAGATTACCATTCATAATTAGTTTCAGGAAATCCCTATCAAGAAATTTTGTTATCAATAATGAACGAGATAACGCACGGATGGGGTGTTCTATCTCACGAAGCATCCCCAATGTTGGTAGCTGCGCCGGGGAGGGGTTACCCCAATTTCCTACTCCAGAGAATATAGTAGCAGCAGAGTTAAATTCTATATCTATCAAAGAGTCGCTGCACCAACCTACACAAGTTCCAAGGTTTTGTCAAGCATTTCATACACAGAGAAACCTGCCAGCCTCTCAAGCATGCCTCCCAAGCGAGTACTCGTCAGCTACGGTGTGGATGTCGATGCAGTTGCCGGTTGGATCGGATCATACGGAGGCGAAGATTCCCCCAATGATATCAGTCGTGGTTGGTTCTGGATACACTACGCACGGGGCATGTTGAGAGCTTTGATCTGACTTTTTGGTAGGCATCTGGGCTGGTACCATCGGTACCCAGCGTCTTCTGAAGATGTTCGCCAAGTACGACATCAAGTGCACGTGGTTCATTCCCGGCCATTCACTTGACACATTTCCAGAAGACATGGCAGCTGTCAGAGATGCCGGTCATGAAATTGGCTTACATGGATATCTCCATGAAAATCCAGTTGATATGTCACTTGAACAACAAGAGGCAGTATTGGACAAAACATATCGACAGTTGACGGAGTTTGCTGGGAAGCCCCCGCGTGGAAGTGTTGCCCCCTGGTGAGGGAATCGGCATCTTTACAGCAAAGAATACTTATTGACTTCACATTGGAATAAACAGGTGGGAAACTAGTGCGGAAGGCACGAAGCTACTCCTGAAATACGGCATTGAATACGATCATAGTCTTCAGCATCATGACTGTCAACCGTACTATCCCCGTATTGGAGACAGTTGGACAAAGATTGACTACTCTAAAAAGGCGGAGGAATGGATGAAGCCATTGGTGAAAGGGGGACCATCCGGACTTGTCGAAATTCCCGGCAATTGGTATATCGACGACCTCCCTCCCATGATGTTCATTAAAAGTGCTCCCAACAGCCATGGTTTTATGAACGCTCGCGATGTGGAGTCTATCTGGAAGGATCACTTCGACTACTTCTATCGGGAGTATGATGAGTTTGTCTTCACTTTCTCAATTCATCCCGATGTGTCCGGGCGTCCGCACGTTCTTTTAATGCACGAGAGGTAAGTTTCGACAGGAATGGTACGGAGATAGATTTCTAATCTTTTCCCAGACTTATTGAATACTTTAAACAGCATGAAGGTGTGGAGTTTGTCACGATGGAGTATATTTGCGATGACTTCAAAAGCAAAAATTCCCCAGAGCCTGGCGCTATCTTGCCGGCTGAGAGTGGTGCTATTTTGCGGTAATAGACATGAAACCCTACTGTGGTGCCCAGTTGAGGCCCTGGAAAAGATACGATGTTACCATGAAATTCAACCTAAATTCTAGAATCGTCTGGGTGATCCATTTCAGGGGGGCTGATGCTGGTACTGGGCGATGTATGAGGGATATGGAACCACTTGCTTTGGTCTATGGTGTCATTTGATTAGCCTTGGAATTAACCAGTATGGCCAAACCAAATCTAGTTCCTTTTTACAAAGAAGGGAACCCCATGCAGATAAGAGTAAATATGTGAAGAGCTTCACCAATGGAGAGAGATTTCGTCAAGAAGCCGACAAAGTCGGAATCGGCTATATGGATGCCCTCAACGAAAATTCGGAGTCATCCATCCACTCTACTCTTTAAATTTGTAATACTGTTCAATTTGGTTATGGGAATGATCTCGTGTATCAAAAGCTTTGACATCTCGAGCATCATGGGTACATCTCGCATGTACCCAAACAACATCACTGAGCAGAGCCCAAAATCTCATGTTGATACCCTTTGAAAATGAATGGGGGACAGAGAGTAGATGACCCATGTAGGTGACAGTATTGGACAAACAGCTCCAACTTGTTGGGGGCTGCAGATGGAGGTGGAGGTGGAGGTGGGGATGGAGGTGAACATACGTGTTTGTCATCTGGGCACCCCCAACACACTGTGGTAATCACATCCTCTCCCCAGGGCTCCGCGGAGCTCTCCAGCGTGATCCAGATCTTCGAATTACAAACACATTCATTCCAACAGTCCATTGTTTGCTCTTCAAACCAGCATGATGGAACGGGGCGACCTCGAACCCTGTCCCTCAACGGAAATCCCGATACAGCCTCAGTCACGCACATATCCAGAGGAATCAGACACATCCCATGATTCCCAAGTCAATAACCATGAAGATTCCCAAGACGCTACCATTCCCTTAGCCATGCAAAGACTGCCGCCTCAGTTTTCTTCACATTTTGGTGAGATAACCTTCGTTATTCTTTGTACAATGGGCCAACTTTTATTTGCTATTTGCCATTTGCCTAGCGAACATGTTTGTTGTGCAATTAACAATCGTCGAGGCACTGGGAGTCAGTGGCACACTATCTCCCTGGTTGATAGGATCATTTCTTGAGGCGAATGGTGTCTCCGTCATTGTATCGGGCTCATTGGCCGATCTCTGGAATCCCAAATGGCTTATGATCGGATCTTTTGTATGGTTGACTGTGTGGAATATTGTTGGGGTGTTTTCCATCAACCCAGACAGGGCTGTGCTGTTTTTCGTTGTCCGCGCCATGATAGGCCTCGCTGTTGGAGTCCTCTGTTCAACGGCAATGAGCTTACTTGGTCGTGTCTACCGACCCGGGCTTCGCAAAAATCGAGTGTTCTCGGCAATGGGCGCAATGATACCGCTGGGTTTTGGCATCGGTGCTCTTCAAGGGGGCGCTTTCAGCGCCTGTCTGCATTGGATCTTTGGCTCAACGGCACTTCTATCCGACGCTTGCGCAGTTGCGGCTTTATGGGCGATACCTTCTGCGCAAAAGTCTCAAAATCCCAAGCAGAGCGGAGCTTCATTTAGAGACTTTGATATATACGGGTCCATTGTGCTTGTAGCAGGCTGTGGGCTTCTCATATTCGGCTTGACACAAGGGGTCCCATCTGAATGGTCACCATATAGCTATGCAACGATGATCGCCGGTTTTTTATTGCTAGTCGCCTTCTACATCATGGAAACATATGTCCGAAGACCCCTGATCGACGGCCGTCTCTGGACTACAGAAGGGTTTGTTCCGCTTATTATCTGTTACTTTATCGGCTATGGTGCGTTCATAGGTGCCTGGTTACTCTACGCCGTACGCTTCCTTCTTACGGAGCAAAATAAGCAACCTATTGTCGCGGCTGCCTGCTTGATCCCGATGGCGGTTTCGGGGATGGTCGCTAGCTGGGTCGTCTCTCGCACGCTACACAAAATCCCAGGACACTACGTATTGGTCGGGAGTATGGTGGCCTTTGCATGTGGACCGGCCTTCTTTTTACCGCAGTCCGCTGGAACGATATACTGGGCACTTTCATTCCCCTGCTTGTTGATAGCCACGTTTGGGCCGGACATGTCTTTTGCCGCTATATCTGTATTTATCACATCTCGCGTCCCAAGTGATTTTCAAGGCGCTGCCGGGGGCTTGTTAATTGCAGCTCAGAGCATCTCATCCGCTGTCTTTGCAGCCGTGGGAGATTCAATAGGGGAAAAGGTTTCTAGCGCGGAGGGCTACAGCTTGGATCTACATGCTTTGCGTTCGATTTGGTGGTTCAGCCTTGCTTCCAGTATTGTGGGTGGAGTTGTTTGTGCAATCTTCGTGCGCATACCCAAAGAGGATGAGAAAGCACATATGCAGTCCACGGGTAAGAGCGAAGCTCATGTCTGTTACGGTTGACCAGTATGTGAACCGAAATTTTAATGAGTTCCCAGGTCCATCTCTCGATTTTAAGATATTGGTGAATAGAAGACAGAAAATGATCAAAGCGCGAGCTGTTTCATCCGAATCTGGCAAATACTACTCTGTAATAGGGATTGGAAGCGTCTCTAGACTTGGTGATTAGTTGGTCGATTGTCGTAGCTTATGACTGTCAGGTCATTTTCGGAATGTGGTCGACCCGCTGCGCGTTTCGCTCGGTTCCGCTCGGGACCCGTTGATCTTATCAGCTTTATACCTGCCCAGGTGATATTTTCAAGCTATCAAGTTGGTAACTACATCAATGTGGTTCCAAGCGACCATTGCAATATGTATCCGATTGGTAAGCTCCTGAATGTTGCAGGAAGCATCGCCCTTGGAATCCTCAGCTACAACACATGGAGATTCATTTCCTTCCATCTAGCCCTCTACGGCGATCGAAAACTTGACAGATACAAATCCAAGAATCAACGGAGTTGGGCTATTGTCACAGGTGCAAGCGCAGGAATTGGTCTTGGCTATGCAGAAGAGCTCATAACCCGAGGATTCGGTGTCATCATTTTCGGCCACAAACTCGATGAGCTCCAACAAGCCGAGATCCACCTGAGAACGATTTCAGACAATTCCGATATCCGAATCGTCAAATTGGACGCGATTACTGCATCACCAACCGAAATCAAGGATGCCTTGAATGAGTTCAAGCAACTGCATATCACAATCCTCATCAATAATGTCGGCGGTGCAGTTTCCTGGCCATTCTACAAACCCTCCAGAGAACATACCGCCGACGAAGTCGACAACACAATCAACCTGAATGCCCGGTTTATGGCCCAGCTCACACGTCTTCTACTTCAACACTCACCCAACACTCTCCCTCCCTCATCCTGAACATGAGTTCAGGCTCTCACATGGGCATCCCATGGCTTTGCACATATAGCGCAGTCAAAGGCTTCATCGCATCATTCAGTCGAGCCATATCCCGCGAGATGAAAGCTACAGGCGTCGCGATTAACAGCATTGTTGTTTACCCGGGCGATGTTCATAGCCAGGCCAACACGAGTGGTCTTGCGCCTTTTTCGCCCTCTTCCAGAGAGTATGCGAAAATGGCACTAGATCGCGTGGTGACGGCTGTTCGACAGGGAAGGAATGAGATGAGCCCGTTCTGGATGCATGGTATTTCTGGGGTGTTGGACTTTGTGCCTGAATTTTTGGTGCAAAGTCTGACGCAAACGAGCCTTGAGGGCAAACTGGAGGCACAGGCTGAACAAATGATGAAAGTCAAGGAACTTTAGATATTTGCTGCGAATCGAATTCTTCAGGTCACTTGGCTTCATCCGAGAATGGTTTCGAAGCGCCTGTTCATTTTGCTGCCCTATCTCTCCGTCACAGTACAAGGGTTTCGACTTTCGGTCACTACCATGATCTTATTTGACATGTCAGGGATTAGGGATTTGAATCCCTAAAATAATCCCTAATAAAAATCCCAGACCGTAGAAGGCGATCACCCGTTATCCCGCCTAAGACGCTTCTTACTTCTGCTAGTCTTGGCATGCGCCAGCGACCAGCCATTTGTCCTGGAGTCTCATGGAATGAAAGTGACCCATCTCAAACACACATACGAACACATTGGTTGTCATTTCTGATGTACATATTGAATTCCCACCTACTATGCTCATATTCGCACAGCAATCTCCCTCAATACCAAAGCTAGGACCATGCAGCGTCACGCAAGCCCCAAGGACCTTGGGGAAGAGTACCTCGATGGCCAGCTCAAGTGAGGACATTGGAGTCAAGTACCGCGCGTGACTCAGAAAGTATAAATTGCCATAGATCCCTCTGATGTGCACCGTGCTTGAATTCTTGTCTCGTCTAGTTTCATCATTTTGCTTCAGCGACATCTGAAACACCAGATTGATACCTAACCTACCTCATTCAGCATGTCCTCCCCCCCAGCCTCCCCCGGAAGATTACGAGATCCACGATGTGATCATCATTGGTGCTGGCCCTTGTGGTCTCGCTGTTGCAGCACGACTGAGCGAAGAAACCCCTTCGGCGGTCTTCACAGACGAAGAACACCAACGTTATCACTGGATCAAGAAACACAGCGGACGGATGAACCTAGTACAAGCTCGGCACAATAAGATAAATGGAGTACGGGCAACGAAATGGGACAGAGAGAATCAATGCCCTCGTGGGGGAAGTGGTCGGCGCGCTTCAACGGACTCGACTTCTTCAGTCCCATCCTTGTCGGCTTCCTCGACCACATCCACATCCTCTGTCTCATCCCTGGTTCTTGATGGATCGGGAGATAAATGGATGCAGCGCTGGAACAATGCGTTCAAAACACTGGAGATCAGGCAACTTCGCAGTCCAATGTTCTTCCATGTCGATCCCGGTGACCGGGATGGTATGTTGGCCTATACGCAGGAGAGTGGAAGAGATACAGACTTGTGGGAGATTCCAAATTGTGTCGGGAAGGAAATGAGCAAACACAAGAAGAAGAAGAGAAGACAAGGCGGCAAAAATCAGTAAGTCTTTCCAACCAGACAGAGCATGGGTGATTCTCTAATCCGGGATTGTTGTCAGAACTATTGGTGGCGAAATCGACGAGCGAGACCGGAAAGACTATTTCTCTCCCTCGACAGGCCTATTCGCTGATTACTGTGCCTCTATCATTGATCGATATTCTTTGGACGAACCGGGTCAGATCTTGCAGTGCGAGGCCACCGATCTCTCCTATGACTATCTCTCGGATAACTCGGATTCAAAGGTGTTCACAATCACCACTTCAGCCGGAAAAAAGTTCTATAGTAGGACTGTAGTCCTTGCCATTGGTCCCGGTGGTGCAGGAGTGTCCAAAAATTTCCCATGGAAGCCATCATCTGAGCAAGAGGGAGCAGCTGCATGTTGCCACAGCATGGAGATCAAGCAGTTCCCCAGCCCCGGTGTACGCGATAAGATTCAACGACGCCAAGAGACAAATATTGTCGTTGTTGGAGGAGGATTGTCATCGGCGCAGATTGTCGATATGGCTGTCCGCAAAGGCGTCACAAAAGTGTGGTTTATTTTGCGATCTGGGTTGAAAGGTGTGTGTATAGACCCTGCAGCTGAACCTGTAGCTAACACTTAGCCAGTTAAACATTTTGATATTAATCTGTCCTGGATGGGCAAGTACAAGAACTGGGAGAAAGCGGCGTTTTGGTCCGCTGACACCGATGAAGGTAAGGTGCGCTCTGATCACATCGAAACCTTGGACTAACATCGACAGAACGCTTGGAGATGATTCAAAATGCCCGCAATGGAGGCAGTATCACACCTCGATACACGAAGATTGTGAAACAGCACGCGGCACGGAATCGCGCCTCCATTCACCCCTGCACCGAGATCAAAAAACACGAGTTCAATTCAGAGAGCCAAACATGGACCCTGACAACCAACCCGCCAATCCCAGACCTACCACCCATCGACTTCATTTATTTTGCAACAGGAGCAAAGGCCGACGTGCGTGAAATGCCACTGCTCCGTGAAATGAACGATCAATACCCCATTGAGGTCAAAGCGGGTCTTCCATGTCTGACCAACGACCTGTCCTGGAGGAGTGACGTCCCCTTGTTCATGACGGGACGCATGGCATCCCTGCGACTTGGGCCGGGGGCGCCGAATTTAGAAGGTGCCAGAGCGGGCGCGGAACGTGTCGCGTGGGGAATTGAAGAGGTGCTGCAGAAGGGCGAGAAGGCTGACGAGCAGTGCGAAGGGTTCTGTGGCCTTGGTAATCGGTATGCTTCATTGATTGATGGATGAGGTTTTGTTTCATGTGGTCTGTCTGTAGAAATGTGCTTTCATGGCATGCAAGAACGAATGTGCATCACACATATGAGCAATGACTTGATTCAAACAATTAAGCTTGTTTCACGTCGCGCTAGGGAGCGGATCGAAGATCATAGGACCTGTGCTGGATAAACTACCCAAACGGGTATCAGGATCTTGCATTTCCCCCTTCATTCCAGCCAGGGATTAATTATCCCATGCGTTTACCGAGGATAACCCGGGGAAGGCTGGAGACTGAGTGGGTCAGAAGAATGTGATGATCCCTTGTCTCCTGTATAGCTCGGGGGATTTAAAAGTAGAAACTCGCCGACGTTGCAACGGATATACCGCTATTTGACAAGATCAATTCACTTGACGATTTCAAGGGATTCCATGTCATAGCGACATGGCAGATAACAAAAATACCCCGAAGATGGAGCCGCCGACCGAACCCTCAGTAGAGGAGCTCCGGGCGCTGCCGAATAACACGAATCAAAACTGGATCAAGGACAAAGGTCTGAGAAAATTGAACCTTGGTATCTTCTTCATGTATACGACAGCCTCATCAGCTGGGTATATTGGGAATTTGGTGAATAGCTTACTAGTGCTACCCGAGTGTAAGTATCCTGCCCTGGTTTCTGGTCCTGCGACCTGGCCCTAACCAATACATCGCAGTTGGCGTCATCGTCGGTGGTCTTAATCCAAGTATCGTTGGATTGATAATCGCCGCGAGCTCTTTGGGAGCTTTGATCTCCTTTGCGCCAGCATCCTATATTGCGGACATGTTCGGGCGTAAGGTTTGCGTTGGAATTGGATGCGCCTTGACTATTGTCGGGGCTATCATCGGAGCCTCAATTCAGAATCACTGGGCCTTTTTCGGCACGAGGATTCTGTCCGGCATTGGTATGGGTATCGCACAGACTGCGGCTCCTCTCCTGGCTACCGAGATCGCCCATCCACGCCAGCGGCAGACCGCCACGGCTCTGTATAACGCATCTTGGTGCTTAGGAGCTATTGGGTCGGCCGCAGTTACCTATGCCACAATATCAATAGGAAACAGTTGGTCATGGAGGGTCCCTTGTGTGCTGCAAGTGTCGTATCCATTGTTCCAAATCTTAGGGCTGCTCGTGTTTGTGCCCGAGAGCCCAAGGTGGCTTGTGTCAAAAGACCGGAAAGACGAAGCTCTGGCTATACTAGAGAAGTACCATGCCAATGGAAGCATGAATGACGAATTGGTTCAACATGAATTCCGTTTGATCTGCGCCACGATCACGGCTGAAATGAGCAGTACCAAGAGCTGGGGCTCGTTCTTCAAGTCCAAAGGAGATATCCACCGCTTGTCCATCTGCGTTTTGGTCGGGTTGATGCAGGAGTGGGCTGGAAATGGTAGGAACCTTATCCCAGGTCACGAATTCTTCTCTAACGGCGTTGCAGGTATCCTGTCTTACTACCTCGCTCCGATTCTCATGTCGGTGGGCATCACCAAAGCCGCCGATCAGGCTGCTGTCAATGTGAGTTTGCAAGCCTGGAACTTCTTGCTGTCGGCAGCGGGTGCGGTGGCATCCGAGCGATATGGACGCCGCGTTCTCTGGCTTCTTTCCACCATTTTGATGATTGTCTTCCTCTCGTCGTCCACCTTAGCTGCTGGTCTGCATTCCGAGAAACACATTGCCGCCGCCGGGATAGCTACAGTCCCCCTGCTCTTCCTGTTTTTCGGGGCATTCGATCTCGCTTATGCCCCCTGTTCATCTCGTATCCTGCTGAGATCCTACCCTTCCAGCTGCGTGCCAAGGGGATTGCTGTGACCCTCTCTGTGGATGCTGTGGCTTGTTTCTTCAACCAATATGTCAACCCCGTGGCCTTCACAGCCATTGAGTGGAGGTATTATTGTGTCTTTATTGGGTGCCTCGTTGTATTCTTGGCCCTCATCTACTTCCTGTTCCCTGAGACGAAGGGTCGTTCTCTAGAGGAAGTTGCGAAGATTTTTGATCAAAAATCCCAGCTTGACGAGGAGAAAAAGAAGGCAGTAACATAGTCCAACTGTTTGAATGAATGTCGATGTCGGGAGTTCCCAAGTCGAAGTGAAGAGAGAACGCGTAGTTCACCGCCCAATCAAAAGTGGAGGGTTGCTAATGTCTTCCCCGCAAATGCAACGCGGCCCGTTGCAACATCGTATATCTTTCTTTGCATCGCGACTGCTAGGGGTTTTTGTTCTTATAAAAGGTCCGTTCGCCCTGTTTAACAAAGATGTATAAATGAAGCATCTGCCTTGCCTCTTGCGAGCCCACATCTCTCCAACCTACCTGCCCTCTACTTCCGTCACGTCATGAAAGACCCCAACACCAAACAGCTTCGCTTCCTGGTTATTGGCGCTGGCTCTCGCGGAAATGCCTATGCCCGCGCCGTGACCACCGCAACGACGGGTGTCATCCACGCCGTCGCCGAGCCGCACGCTTTTAAACGCCGTGAGTTTGGTCGCAACTACATATGGGAGACAGCTCCGAGTCCCGGGCAGGAGTTCGCAGACTGGCGTGAATGGATCGCATGGGAAATCAAGCGGCGAAACTCACATGGCACAGACACTGTCGGTGTGGATGGTGTCTTCATTTGCACACTGGATGAAACACACGTGGAGATTGTCCGGGCTCTTGCTCCGTTGAAACTCCATATTCTCTGCGAGAAACCCCTTGCTCTCTCGCTGGATGATTGTTTGACGGTGTATCGTACGCTCCAACCTCCTCAAGGCTCAACGATAACACCTCCCACGAACATATTTTCTATTGGCCACGTCCTTCGCTATAGTCCGCATAATATACTCTTGCGGAAACTCCTGGCAGATCGCGTGATTGGCGATATAGTCTCCCTTGAGCATTGCGAGCCTGTCGGGTGGTGGCACTTCTCGCATAGCTATGTCCGCGGCAACTGGCGACGAGCTACGGCGGCGGGGGATGGGTCGCTCCTCACCAAATCCTGCCATGATATCGATTTCATAATGTGGTTGCTGTGCTCCCCGCCTACTGCTGAGGTAGGTACAAACCCAGCTCATCGGCCACATTTCCCGCGCTCGATCTCCTCGACTGGAACCATGACACAGTTCCGGAAAAAGCGCAAACCTGTCGCTGCTGGCGATGCTACAAATTGTCTTTCGTGTCCCACGGAGCGTGATTGTAGTTACAGCGCCGTGAGGATTTATAATGATCGCCACCTGGCGCAAGGTCACGCAGACTGGCCTGTTAACATCGTATGTCCGGACATCGAGGATGTCTTCCGTGCACAGGGCGGCAAAGCTGCGGAGTCATTGCTTCTTTCCCGCCTCGGTGAAGACTACGATCGAAACACGGTAGCCGATGAAACCATCGCCTCGCGCCCCTGGTATGGGCGCTGTGTTTATGAGGCTGACAATGATGTCTGTGACGACCAGGTGGTGACGCTCGCCTGGGATGATGAAGAAACAGCACCGCACCGATTTGCTAAAACGGCCTCGTTCCACATGATAGCTCCTACTGAAAAGCAATGCGAGCGACGGGGACGTGTTTATGGCACAGCCGGGGAGATCGCCTATGATAGTCACTCGATCTCGATATACGATTTCGCCACAGGGAAGACTTCTGTCATCGATGTGCCAAAGCCACCGCCCGATCAGAAGGAATCACATGGCGGTGGAGATTACGGTCTTGCGAGACAGTTCGTCAATGCTGTCGAGGCAGTTGAGAACGGTGGGTTGGATGTTGAGACCGCGCAGGCGCGGTTCGTCGGATGTTCCCTCGAGGAAGCGGTTCGCAGTCACGCAGTTGTGTTTGCTGCCGAGGAGGCTAGAAGAGAGGAAAAGGTCGTTCAATGGGACACTTGGTGGAGTGACAAATTGAAGACTTCCGCTGCTACATGGAATATGTGAGTGTAGCAGTCATGCTTCAGGAGAGCACGCAGACTTGGGAACTGAGTTTACTTTAATTGATGCCACTAACGAATGATTTCGCGTCCACTATGTTTTATCTCACCCTATCTCTCTTGCCGGTGACCTTACAAACTGTGGTCAATCTGGAAAACGTTGGCCTACGCAGATATAATCTTTGTCCCCCGGATGCGAAAATCAAAGACCCTCCGGTTCATTTCGCGAACGAGAGCGCAGTCAGTATAAACCATATCTATCTCACAGTGTGCTTAACTCGAGGCTCCCCTTTGCCGGGGGTCCAGAGTGCTTGGTTTCTAAGAAAACCTTCTGCATCCCTTGGTCACGTCGCTCAAAGACCTCGTAAACTCGCTCGATGTCCTCAAGGCGAAGTCGGTGGGTGACCATGTTCAACGGATTGATCTCATTCTTTTGGATCAGACTCATCAAATCCCCCCAGTATTTGTGAACAGGAGCCTGCCCATTACCTATCAATCGAACTCCGGTCTCCATAAGAGCGCCGATATTGAAATGATTGGTCTGCATGCGTGTTCCGAGGTTAGTGGAGTAATTGACGACTCTTGAAGAACAACTCACATATCCCGCGTAGATACCCGTGACTCCAACACGGCCAAATGACCGAACAGAAGTGATCATCTCGTTGAGAAGCTCCGAGGTATCGGTCTCCATTCCAAGCATCTGTTCAAAGTAGTGCGCCCAGCCTTTAGCATATTCGCCTGCCGCACACTCCAAGGCAACATCGAGGCCACCTGGAACCAGCTCTTTGATCCCTGCTGTCACTGATTTTCCAGCCAGATTGGTGAAATCAATTGTCTCAAGTTTCGGCAGTTTCCCCTTCACGTACTCCAGGCGCCACGAAGCATCCCCACCATCGATGAGGATCACACGACTAGCCCCATGGGAGAAGGAAAATTCAGCACACATCTGGCCGATAGGGCCAGCACCCCAGATGCCAACAACGTCCCCTTGCTTGACCCCGGTGTCAACCACACAGTGCCACGAGGTAGCAACCACGTCCGATAGATAGAGTGCTTTCTCGTCAGGTACATCATCTGGTATGGGCAGAAGATTTATGTTGCCGTATGGCACTCGAATGTACTCGGCTTGTCCACCGGCGAAGCCTCCTGTAAAGTGGGAATACCCGAACATGCCTGGATCTCCCATTAACAACGTTCAACTCCAAGACACATCATTGGAACCCACGTACATACCAGCTGTTCGCTTTCCATACATTGCATTCTCAATGGTGTTCTCATTGGTCCTCTCGCACTGAGAGAAGCGTTGGTTTCGACAATTTTCGCAGTCTCCACAGGCAATTGGAAATGATACGACGACGCGTTGGCCGACTTCGAGGCGATTGGCTTCTGGGCCAACTAGTTCCACTATCCCACAGCACTCGTGTCCCAGAACATCACCTTTCTCGAGCTGGGGAATAACTCCTGTATGACGAGGTTGGCTTTTGAAAGTCTTGACAAATATGAAATGATAGCTGGTCGCCTACCATGATACAGATGCAAGTCGCTCCCGCAAATGGTGCTCCCCGTCACTCGGACGACCACGTCGCCTGGGTCAATAACGGACGGTTTTGGCATTTCCACTGGATGCTAATTAGCTTTGCCTTGGAGATAACCTGGTGACATACCTAATTTGACATTGTTTTTGCCTTGCCAAGTTGTCGCCAGGATTCTTTCTCCTGTTTCCATGCCATGGTCATTGTAGTTGCTGACATCTGTAGTCACTGTGGCATTGTCCCCGTGGCCAATCATTCTTTCAACAACATTTGCTGCTTGTGTGAATGCCATTGTGGGCTTGGGCTTTTTGATGTTGATTTCAGTGAAGAGTTGGGCGCCTGTGATTGAAAAGTGTAACTTGTTTCTATCTCAACGATCAAAGTCAACGACAATGTTAGCCAGATCACAGCCCAATCTGAACTTTTTTATCAGACGAGCTTTTTCCTGCAATTCCTGTTTTCGCGCGCGGAACCAGCTTCTTTCTTCAATGGTGATGTTGGTTCAACAACTGACATCATCATGATCATTTCAAACCTGTCCCGAGGTCTTTTATCTTCATCTAGTCCCCAATTCTCTGTTCACAGCTTAGCCAAGACTACCTTTACTTGACCAATTATAATTACTCGATGATTAGTTGGAAGAACAGTAAAAAGGACTGCCAAGAAGCCTGAAGACTGTCGAAAAGAGAAACCGTTAAACAAGCTCAAGACTCCCCGTCAACATGACACAGCATGATCTGAAATCCCTGGATAATCCTCCTTAGCTAAGACCGCTATGGGCTTGTTGTTTGTTGGTTTTCTGAAATGATATGAAGATCCACATATTATGAACGTGTTGGTAGTTTCTATCGCATGCATAGTTCATATCTTTTGATTCTGCTTTCCCATCTCACGTTCAGACAGAACTACAAAACAATTAAAAGGTGATTCCCATCCAGCAGGTTCCACATTAACCTCATTATACTCAATTCCCCAAACAGATTAGGTCTTGACATCGGGCTCCTCACGACCAACGTACTCCTTGAACTTGAGCAGGGACAGAGCCAGTGAGATGTTGTCGGCCAAGTATTCCTGGGCACTGAGACCGAACTTGCTCTTGTCGGCCTCGTAGCGCTCAACGTAGAGACGGATGGTGGCGCCACTGCTGCCGGTGCCGGACAGACGAACGACCATACGGCTGCCGTCGTCGAACTTGGCATACAAGCCCTGGTTCTTGGAGACGCTGCCGTCCAAATCGGTGTAAGAGAAGTTACCGGCGTCAACAACCTTGCGAGAGCCGATGGAGGAGCCGATGAAGGTGTCACGGTTGGCGACGAGGTCGGACAAAGTACCGACGACCTTGTTAGCACCCTCACTGTCGACGTTCTCGTAGTCGTAGCGAGTGAAGAAGGTGCGGCCGTAGGTCTGCCAGAACTCGTTTTGAATGGAAGCAATGCTGGGGGTCTCGTTGGACTTCTCCTTGGCGACGCCAGCAATGATGTTCAACCAAGCGACAACAGCCCACAGACCGTCCTTCTCACGGATGTGGTTGCTACCAGTTCCGAAGCTCTCCTCGCCACAGATAGACATCTTCTTCTCATCGAAGAGGTTGCAGAAGAACTTCCAGCCGGTGGGGACCTCGTAGCTCTGCAGGCCCTGGGCCTTGGCCACGCGGTCAACAGCACCAGAAGTGGGCATAGAACGAGCCAGTCCGTAGACACCTTGCTTCTGGAAGTAGGGGATGAGCTTGGCATGGTGGGCAATGATGGCCAAGCTGTCGCCGGGGGAGACAAATGTGTTGGCACCGTAGATCATGTTACGGTCACCGTCGCCATCGCTGGCGGCACCGAAGTGCACACCGTTGTTGTTAACGGCCTCGACGAGCTCATGGGCATACACCAGGTTGGGATCGGGATGACCGCCACCAAAGTCCGGCTTGGGCTGGCAGTTCATGGTGCTGCTGGCGGGCAGACCGAGTTCCTTGACGAAGATGTCCACGCCGTAGGGACCAGTCACACCGTGCATGCCATCGAAGAGCACCTTGAAGTCCTTGTGGGAGCTCAGGAACTCCTTGATCAGATCGAAATCAAAGATCTCCTTCATCATGGTCACGTAGTCAGCAGTGGAGTGCACGACCTCAACCTCGAGGGGGCCGTAGCTCTTGGTGCCAATGGTGGTGGTGTCGACATCTGGGACGTCGGCAATCTTGTAGGAGGTCAGGGACTTGGAGGTGGCGAAGATCTTGTCGGTGACGCTCTCAGGGGCGGGAGCACCGTTGGCCAAGTTGTACTTGATACCAAAGTCGTTCTCAGGACCTACAGGTGGATACCTTGTTAGTCCGGAGGTAAACATTGGTTGGAGATTTCGATCATTACTCACCACCGGGGTTGTGACTAGCAGTCAGGAGGATACCACCAGTAGCCTTTCTCACGCGGATCAGGTTGCTAGCAGCCGGGGTACTCATAATGCCATTCTGGCCGACCAGCAGCTTCTTAACGCCATAGGCGGCACTGATCTTGGCGATCTTGGAAATGACCTCCGGGTTGTAGTAACGGCCATCGCCACCAATGACGAGGAAAGAGTTCTCAACACCCTCGGGGATAGACAAGAGAATGCTGGTGATGAAGGACTCGGAGTAGTGAGCCTGCTCAAAGACCTTGACCTTCTTGCGGAGGCCGGAGCTGGGGAGCGCGTTAGGTGGGACAATGGCGGGGTAGCAGACCACTTACGTTCCAGGCTTCTGGTCGGTGAAAGGGGTGATGGAGACCGTCTGGACGGACATGATGAATTGCAAGGTGAGAGAAAACGGGGAATAGTGCAAGGGGGAGAAAAGGAAAGGAAAAGAGAGAGGGGAAAGTTCACCGACTTGTAGCTTCTCGGGAGGGGCGTCATGTGTTTATCCCACTAAAAGGAGGTACAGGTACGACTTGACTACTTGACGACTTGACTGCTTTGGTCTTTAGTGAGTTGTATTTTGAGGTATTCTTAGTATTCGCCACATTCTAATTGTGTTGAATTGGGGAATTATTCAAGAAAAGATTCGTGAAGCCATACTCCGTACTTGGCCATACAGTTTCATCTCTCTTTTCTCCCTTCTACTGTATACCCATTGCCAATCAAAAGAAAACCCTTGGGAGGGAGGCCCAAGAATACCAGCCTGGTCCAGTTCTATGTACCTCCAGGGCGATGTACAACACCGAGAGGGAAAGGATAGCTCATGCAGGATTTTCAGGTTGACCCATGTCTCTCTGTACTCTGAGACATCCACATAAAAATAGCGTCACTATTATTGTTTATAGCTCCACCCCAAAGAGCTTCTCCTTGTAGAATCGAATCTCCTCGATACTTTCCAGAATATCATCCCGAGCTAGATGGACCTCTCGCTTCGGGGGAACCTGGTTCAGCAGCTCGTCACTCCCCCACCTCCGGGCTGCTTCCTTGAAAGAACTCACGTCCAAGATGCGATAATGGAGATGATCCAACACCTTGGAATAGGGTGCACATGCAAGGAATGCTTTATCGGCATGCACGCTGTTCCCAGCGAGCAGGGCAGTGCGCGGGGCTGGAATGTGCTGTTGGATGTAGGCGAGGAGTTGGTCGGCGGCGGTGGAGGGGGAAGTGGTCGAGGCGCGCACGGCGGCGGTGAGGCCCGTGCGCCCGTGTGTCTCGACGCACCATTGATTCATCGCGTCGAGGGTGGAGTCCGGAACATGGATGACCGTTTCAAATCCCTGTGGCTCGACAAGATTGAGATGCGCGTCTGTGATGAAGCAGCAGATCTGGAGGATCTGGTCGGTATTTGCGTCGAGACCCGTCATCTGTGGGTGTTAGCGCGTTGCCGTCTGCAGCAGATCTGAACACACCTCGCAGTCGATCCAGACCAGAGGATCTGCGGAGCGTTGGAGTGGCATGGTGGAGAGAGAAGAGATTGATGTTCTTGGTATTCGTGGGCTCCGCTGGTGAAGCTGTTAAAATGGGTTAAAGTGCAAACGGGGGGCAGAATCTCTGACGTGGTGGAGAAAGCCGACCACGCGAAAAGTAGGTCGGAAAATGTTTCGGAGCATAGGACTTAAGATTGACGAGTTAGGGAAATATGGTGGTGGTGGAAGGAAACGTTTGGAATGTACGGAGTAAAACTACAGTAGTTACGGAGTATCAGGTTCATAATAGCGCGCCTAACAGTGATCGAGCCATCTCCGCCACCTCTCTGGATGCAACCGAGTGCCGTGGTACTACATAGTCTGCCGCAATGTACGATTACAAGATCATGCTTCAGCTGCCCGAGATGGCTCAATAGGGTATTCCTTCAAAATGCTGGCTGTAGTATAGGTGGACATAACGGCGTAATGATAGAAACAGCATTCAGGGACATGGTATATGGCAAAGCTCCTGCCACGCTAGTCCCATGCGCACAGAGACTGCAAGCGGCGTGAGCGAGCCCAGAGGCTCATACATGATATCAAGACCAGACCACCCAGATTAAACCCGTTCGTGGAGGGGGTGGGGTGATCTACAACTCTTCCTCGGCCGATGGTGGGCCCGCGGATAACTCAGGGGTGAGGTTGAGGTTATTGCCAAATGTGCTCGTATGGCTGGTGGATTCGGTCGGGGCAGAAGAGCCAAGAACTTCGTTGATCCTACCGGAGGACTCGGCGATCCGACGTCTCAGGGCGTTCTCGTCCGCGGTGGAGACACTCGCTCGCTGCTTCTTTAGGGGGCTACCGAACAGTCCGTCCGATAGTTCGGAAGCTGGCTGGCTTGGCTCGGGCCCAGGCGCACTCGAAGACCCCTTTGGTGGCGTGGCTGAGCGTTCAGTAGCCGGAGGGGTCGATCCGGAACCAGAAGCTGGGGTGTCGGCAGAGTCTGCAGCACTGCCTGCGGGGGGTTCAGCAGAGTGTTGACGCTTGAGCTATGACAGTGTTAGCAGGAGCTAGTGAACGCGAAACATGTAACTTACTCGAATTTTCCGCATGCTCTCCGCCAGTTCTCCCTGGCGTTGGATATCATCAGGGGATAAGAACTGATCATCATTCTTATCGGTGGCTTCTTCGTCGTCGGCCTTTCCAAGAATAGGGTTGTCGGTGTCGTCATCGTCACTGTCCATATCGTCGTCGTTCTTTTTACCCTTTCGTGCCTTGGGCTCGTTGTCCCGGAAGTTGAGGAATCCAGCAGCTCCACCCGGCTTTATTGGCCCAAGGTTCGCAAGATCATCATGAATCGATTTGCGCTTTGCGTGACCCGGTGTTTCTTGTGCTTTGGTGTCTTTCAGGATGCCCATCTTTTGCAATTGGCCTGCACAGGGTTAGAATCATTCTCTCAGAGGTAAACATAAGAAAAGCAAAATGGGTTCAAGTACTTACGCCCACCGCGGTACATAAAAGTGAAAGTAGCGTACGGCTTATCACTCGGGTCAATCCCAGTAACAGTCTGCGTGCTGATACTCTTCGGATCGAGTGTTTTGGGTTTCGCAAAGCTCGTGGTATGATCAACATCAGCATCTCCCCCGCCACTGTTGTCCTGACCACCTTCTTCGTCCTCGTGTGCGTCAAACTGGGGCGAGTACTCGCCCCTCTTGATTTCTCCCGATGCCAACACCCGGAACAAAGAGACCTTGATTTGGCCGGCTGTTTCAGGAATGGGGTCATCGTCATCCGAGTCAGAGGAGAGGTCATCGTCGGAAACATCCTCGAGGGGAGACTTTTCGTCGTTGCCGTAGCGCATAATGGATTTCGACCTGGCGGGGTGGTTGTCTTCCATCTCCATAGCGGTCTGTTCCTCTTCACGCTTGATGCGTCGCTTTTCCATCTTCTGGCGCCTCCGTTCGATCTTGGCGGCGGCATCCTTGCCCTCGAGGTCCAATCCGTTGAGCCAGCGCTCCAGCCCGACTTCACGAAACAGGAACTCGCGCTCTGCGATCCCCCCCGCCTTCGGAATCGGGTACACTGACCCACCGCGAGTTGACCCAGGTCTCCTCTCCTCTTCGTAGCAGGGTGGCCACCTCCTCTTTTTGCCGTCCATCGAAGTAGATGTATGCAGCCACAGTCTCGTTCGCAGACTTCGTCAGGCCTTGGTAGGGTGCAACTGCGCCGGCGATTTGACCTGACTCACCAGCCAGCTTACCGACTTGTTTTGGTTTCGGCTCGGGACAGTCCGCGGTCGGTTTCGGTGTGGAGTATGGAACATCTTGCTCGGGATTGAGGAGGGTGATGGATATGGCGAAGGTCGATTGTTCCGGTTTCTCTGAGCCGGATTCAGGAACTTTAGGCGGAGGGACTGGGATAAAACAACCTATCCGTGAAGCTCGCGAATGGCGTTGAATCGAGTATTCGGAGATCGGCCCGTCGGGGGTGTGGATGCTCACGGCGAGTCCTTTGAAGCAGGGCATGATGAATAATAGAAAGTCAAACAAGGGGTCCCGTGGGGGAAGGAAGATCCAATATGGAGGCGCACGGCTAGGTCTGCCCCGCAAAGAAAGAACAAATTTGGGCCAAGGCAGGAGAGGGTAACACCAAATTAAGATCAAGCAAGGAACTTGTTGGTTTATTTTTTTCCCCGAAGAAGTTCAGCTATGGAGAAGCGGTCAAGGTAGGTGGGTTTCAACTCACCCAGCAGCCCACAGTAGTCGGAAGCTCCACTGCAGCTGCTGGCGTGCGGGAATATTTGTGTTTCGATAGGAGGGACCGCTCGATGATGCAATGGAGAAATCGCGAGATTGGGCTCACCCGTCGATCGAGTCTGCTGAGACCAAGTGAACAAGGTGCCGGATCCAGAACAACCAGAACAAGTTATTGAGGAAGAGGAAGAGAAGGTGAGCAAGAAAGTGAGGGGCGGAGTGGACCAAAACATGAGGTGCCGAACCCCACGTGATTACCTTATTACTGCCAGGTTTTCTTTGTGCACCGAGCTTCTGATGACTGTCTTGACCTTGACCTTGACCTTCACCTTGGTTTTAATTACCTGAACGCTTGGTTGACCTGCGATCTGGGTTTGTTCTGTTTCCCGACTACATCATCCATCGTCGTTGATCTCCACATGAGCATGGTGGCCGGGCAACCATGGTTGCTCGGTGGAGTGACTAGTGCACCATTCGTGCTTTGGTACACTTTGGATTCGAACTGATCACTTACTCCCAAATATTTGACTGGGAATTTTGATATTGGGTACTATCCTTATATTCTATTTCCTCATGGTCACCATCGGTAATTTGATTACATTGAAGTGAACTCATCCAGCGGCCTCCCGTGAGAATCCGTTTAAATTGAACTTGCTTGGGTGGAGATGCTGAACTATAGGTGAGGAATGAGGGAAGGGAGGTAATTGAGCACATGTATATTTCGTAGATGTATTGCAAATGTGATGAACCGCCGAGAGCGGTTTGAACCCTCCCTCCAGTTTGTAGTCCATATGGCTCAAAGAATGCATAGAGTCTATCATGAGACAGGTGTCTGTGCAAAGCCAGATTTGGTTGAACACACAACACATAAGCACCGGTTAGCAAACAACGGGGGAAAAAATCATAGGCCAGGAGCTCCATCCTGGGGCCACTCTATGACTTGATGCTCTCCTCAACAACGCTTTGCTTTCGTGAGGATGCAACAACCTCCATACGTGTTGCGACATGATCAAACTTATAGAGAGGCTCCAACTCGACATTTTGGCGGAAGATATAGCGTTTGAACCAGTATGGAAGCGCTTTGGTGACCTGATACTTCATGTGAACGCGAGTGGGGACCGCGAAAATGTAGTCCAACTCTTCGAGAGTACGTTGTTTTGTTTCTGGCACCCAAAGGAAGATCATGACTAAAGCAGTCACATTCAAGCCACTAGAAAACGATGAGCATTTCAAAAAAAGACAAGAACAAAGATATCTGAAACTTACGCATAGAAGCCGAATGCGCCGGTCGCTGTCATTACATCCAGCATTTTTGGAAAGGTGATTGAGAGAACCGCAGCCCACCCAAGACACGTCGCTACAGCCCAGGACATGCCAACCTCTGGTTAAAAATTGTGAGTTTCAAGCATTCAAGGACATGGGAGGATAGAAAGGGGCTTACCACGGTGGGAAAGAGGGAAAACCTCTGCTGAATAGGTAAAAGGCACAGGACCTTCGCCAGGAGAATAGAAGGCAGCAAACAGAAAGACAAAGAATGCAATCGACCCCAAATGGGCTTTGGTGCCCTCAGGGGTCCAGAAGCAAAATGCAGCACCAAGCAATGTCCAGGCCATCTGTGGGAAAGTGAAAAGCAGCAGAGACCTGCGGCCATAGGTGTCTATGGTCCAGATGGCTGGGAAGGCAAACAAGAAGTTGACCAAACCAAAGCCCCACGAGGCAAACAGCGCCTCCGTGTCACTTGCACCGGCATTGGAGAAGACAGTGGAGGAGTAGAAAGCAACGATGTTGATACCACACATCTGCTGTGCTATCATAACGACAAATGAGGCGAGAGTAGCACGCCGAACCCGAGGAATGGTGAAAAGCTCAATGAATCGGGTGACATAGTTACTATCACCAATCAAGCTTGCCTCAATCTTGATCTGAGAGTGGATATAGTATAGATCGCGAGCGGCCTGCAAGGGTGTGTTACGCAGGCGACAAAGGGATCGGTAGGCCTTACTCATCTCGCCGCGTCGAATGTACCAACGAGGTGACTCAGGGCAGAAGTAGACACCGAGGAGTAAGGGAACAGCGGGTATGAAAGCAGATCCCAGTTGAAGACGCCAGGAAATAGCACCGGTGTCTTTTACCGCGAGGTTTGCACTGAATCCGAGAAAAATTCCAAAAGCTGTCCAAAGCTGCCAGGACATGACTAGACCACCTCGAATAACAGCGGGTGTGTTCTCGGCACAGAAAATTGGAATGGTAGAAGCTTTGAGACCCATGCCAATACCGAGGAGCAGGCGAACCACGAATAGTTGCTCCCAGGTCTGTGTGACTGCACAGCCAATGGGTGTGAGGACACAGAAGATTGATGACATGAAAATTGTGCCACGCCGGCCTAAAAATCGGTTGCAGGGATCCGAAAGCCAGCATCCGAGGACGGCGCTGGCAATATACGGGGCAGCATTGATGACACCAACAAGCCAAAGGTTTCGAGCGGCATTCGGAGCTCCCTTTGCGTCTGAAATGCCGAAGGCATCAGGGAAAGAGAGGTTAGCACCGTTGGAACCAGTCTGATCCCAGCCTCTGTAGTGATATCAGCATTGCAGGCATAGCTAGATGTAATTCCACGTACTGTACTGCTGCGCCAACAGAACAAAGAATGATTGTGAAATAGAGCTGCTTCGGCTGACGCCATTTGTGAAGCACTTCGTCGCGCAATGCATTTAGCTCGGGTTCGGTCAGGTCTGACAATGTCTCAAACTCTTCAGGATCACGGGCGACGAGGGCTCCTTTCTTAAGCTCTGGTAGAATGTCTGTGATGTTGTATTCTTGTGCAAATTCTTCCACGCCACGAATGACTTGACTCTTGGTCAGATCGGCCAAAGGATTCTTGATCCTACACTGAGATTAACGGGTGTCCTGGAAGAAGCACCGATAGCTCACAATTCCAAGAAACAGATCGAGGAGATATGTGAAGTAGGACGGGATTGGTGTACAGAACAGCATCTTTTGCTGTCAAAGCAACTTACTTTGCAGAAATATTATTGTGGAGGTCGACTTCCTCAACATACCCCTTTTCGGCGCTGCTGTGATCATTGCTAGAGCTGAACGAGGGTTGAATGAGTATGACTTCCGAAGAGGAGGTTTGTCTGCAGCTCACCGTTGATCAGACCCAACTTGAGCGATGACCTCTTTGGTCATCTTGAATGAGTGTAGAGGTTGATGATTTGGTAAGGATCAAGAAAATCAGCTTCTTTGAAATAGACTAGCTCTGATGTTAGACCTTGCCAAAGAGAGATGGTCAGATGTTGAAGAACTAACCTGTTACTCTTTACCACGGCACCCGTGGACCTCGGTGTATACCAGAGCAAAACCGTGAGAAGCGGTGTTGGGCATGAGGGGGCTGCCTTTTATCTACTTTTTGTCCCTGGACAGACCAGTCCGTTTCCAGCCCGCTTTCCAAGGAACAGTCGATTTTATTGGATGTTTAATTGGAAAGGATGTCGAACGTCGAGACTAGTCCCAGAAGAATATTAGCTTTATCGACTTGACTCCTCATATCTGATCATTTTCCTGAAGCGGAGTCCAATCTGGGGTGTGACCAGTGGGGAAACTGCCCATGAGGAAACCTCAACCCTAATTCTCCTCGAATTGCTCTCAGGACAATACTGGATACACAGGGCATGGGTAGAGAGCCCAACAAATCTGATACCCTTTCAAATTGCCGCAGTCTCCACCGACGTGCCCAGCCAGTGCAGATGCATTTGGTCCAGACCATGTTTCTCTGGTTTTTGCATTTGCCCTCAAACGAGATCTCGACCAAACTGTCGGTGGGGCCGGCACATTGTACGCTTTCTTTCTCTTCTTGCCGTTTTAGTTTAACAAATCCTTTGAATCGTTTATTGCTGGTCAGTACTCCGTACTACGTGATCGCGGCCAGCAAGCTGTATCCATCGTGGAGACTGTCTAGCTCGGTTTTGTGCTGTTCATGATGGTTAGCCCCCAGATCCCCATCCGCTTGTTACAAATGCACAGACAAGGGGGTTGGTCCCCGAATGGCGTTTCCGCCACTGTCGTCCTTTTCCATCCAGGCGCCCGTTTTTGGGAGAGAGTGGTACATTCGGCCAAAAATCCTTCGGTTGGCCGAGAGTGAGCCGCCAAATCCATGGACTAGCGGGAAGCTAAGCAAGCCAATCCCTGCCAATGTCGCCTCCGCACGGCTTGTTTTTCCTTGTTTTTTTTTTTTTTTTTTTTTTTTTTTTTTTAACGCTTTTGCCTTTTATTCTTGGTCTCGCATGTTCACGTGGGCAAGATGACAACATCCAACACATAGGCTGCATTCAGAACAGGAAGACAAGTGATTGAAAAATCATCCGTACCACTTTTAGATTTGCGGAGAAAAAGTGGAACTCTGGGGTTCGCCCATTCCCAGATACCCGACCGCAACGGCGCTTTAAGCTTACGTTTTACCAAGTCACTAACGCAACCCACTTTCTACATCTACTCTGTAATGACCTCGGGCTCGGATTACCCTCAGCGACTCAGCGAGGCCGAGAAGTTCGGGAAATATTGAGGGAGATATGAACATACTTTAAAGAGAGATTCGGCCCCGATCTGGGCGGCTAGACCCCCGGTTGCCCCCGGGTAACCGTGTGGCTTACCGGGCATCGCCTAGGTTACATTGGTAAAGAGAGTCATTTTTTGAAGGCTCTCAGATGTGCGCAAAGAGGCGTGAGTGGAAGTCTGGCAATTGGCCGGTGTAATGGGACGCCATGCCATCTCCGGCGTCGAGATTGATCAGGCCTGTGGAGGTTGCATTGGTAAGGAGCTCATGGGTGCCATGTGGGGATCGTCCGGTTGTTTGTACTAATCGGACTATGACTCTCAAGGATGAATGGGTTTAGGGTACATGATCTGAAGCCTATTCATGTCATTTCCGCGGCCATCGCTTTTGGGAATGTGGGGTCCGGGGAGTTTCTTTGGGGGGTCCGCTTTGGGATGACCTTCGCAGACTCACGACACTCGACATGTCTGACTTGGTCCTCCTTGTACTTGGATTACAGACAACGGATAGCGGAACACGAAGTGGATAACTTTGAGTTATCTTTCCTAGACAATCGGTAATGAAAACAACATATTGTTACATCATCCCGGTACCGTGGAGGTTTCATCTGAGATCCTGGAATCACCCGTGGACGCGAGGGATGATTTCACTTTCTCCCCAGATACAACCAATTTCCTATTCCTAAGGTCAATGCCCTCAAGCTCTACTGTTAATCTTTTAACAAAACAAAGTAAAAAAAGTTTACTATTGTGGGCGTCGCAAGGGGTGAAAATTCGGATGGAAAAAAAGTCAAAGCAAAGCAGGTCCATTCTCTTCACTTTTTCCCCCTACTCCTAATCAGACCCCAGAATGGACAGTTTTTTTTATAAGTCTTTGACCTGGTGCTATATCGATATTGAAAGCGCACGTTCACAGTCCATGGTGGTTGGTTTCCAACAAAAGAGGGCAATAATTCATCACAACGAACTCTTCAACATCACTGGCCGGAGTTCCACCTGCAATATTCAAAGCCACTTCTGACGATTTAGCTTCACATATGACTTCAAGTGAAATTTACATGCTCCTTGTTCTTTATCTGAATGCTTCGGGTTCACAACCGCCCTTAAACGCCATAAACTGGATGTTATGTATCATCAGTGTGTGGGGCGTCTTCTACGGCTTATCATGTTGTCTGGAACACACTGCATTCATTAATTTCAGAGCTAGATATGCTGATCTCTCAGCTTCTTTCCTTCGGACAGTGCAACCTCGGAGCATACTCCGCTTTACCTAGATGATATCATTGACAACTCCGGAGCCTCCGCAAAGCTGACAAATGGGCAAGCTGACAGACCAAGAATGACCAAATCCTAACCGGCTTCCAAGGTTATCATTCCAAGTTTATACTTTCGTTCAACCCCAATGTTCTCCTCGTTGAGAGCCACTTCCAGACTTTCCCAACTGTCGCGAAGCTTGAGCGCATATTCAACCATGTCTTCCAACATTACCCTCTACTCTTGGCCCACGCCTAATGGCATCAAAGCATCTATTACACTTGAGGAGCTCGGTCTACCATACAAGATTGAGGGTATTGATATCAGCACCAATCGACAGAAAGAGGAGTATGATTCATTCCTCGTCATCATTTGATGTATGATATTTTGCTGATAGGAATCTTCGCAAAGGTGGTTCTTGAAGATCAACCCAAACGGCCGCATCCCTGCGATTCTAGATGGCTCGCAGCGTGTTTTCGAGAGCGGGGCGGTGATGCAATATCTTGTTGACAAGTACGATACCGACCGAAAGATCAGCTATGCCCCCGGTACGCCGGAGCATGTTGAACAAACATCTTGGTTGATGTTCCAAATGGGAGGACTTGGTCCAATGCAGGGTACGTTCAGATCAGCGGAGATATAATCAGCCACTGGGTATTCTCTGACTTAGGGCAGGCCAAGCAAATCACTTCCGTCTGTTCGGTGGTGTGCGTTCGGATTACGGGATTAAGAGATATCTTGACGAGACTAAACGACTTTTTGCGGTCCTCGAATCCCGCTTGAATGAGAGTCCCTTTCTAGCGGGCTCGAAATATACCATTGCCGACATCGCCAATTTCACTTGGGTTCGTGCTGCACCCGTTACTCTGGAAATTGACCTGTCTGAGTTCCCCGCACTGAAGCAATGGGTTGAAAAAATCGATCAACGCACTGCAGTCCAGAAGGGTGTCGATGTCCCACAGACAAACAAGACTGAAGAGCAAAGAGCCGAGATGTTCCAAAACCTTCGTGCTAAGGTTGATGGTATGACCAATACGGACAAGCATTAGTCATGGGATACATAATCTATGAATGTAGCTACAACAACCCCCTGGATAAACATTTTATTGCTGAATTCTGGTGATAGGTTCACATTAAAACATTTGCGCGGGAGAGTGTAGAAACATGAAGCCGAGATACAACATGAGGAAGCATGAAATGTTTGAAGAAGATATTATTGAAGATTAGGTAGAGATAGCTGTAGACATCTTGACAAGATCAGGGGGGGGCACGCACGAACAGAGAGGGAGAGAAAGTACCAATGGAATTGAAACCTTGGAAGGGGGGAGAAGAAGTAGAGAAACGCGAGGTAGAGTTGAGAGGATGCACATGCAAAGATATACAACAGACAAATATTTCAATCGTCACCCATCCTTTATTATAATGTGCTAGTAAACAACGCTCTATCTATTATAATGCATAGTGTTACATGTTTTTTGTGAGGTCAGAGCTGGCGTCCCGTCTAGTCTACTGACGGACCAGAACACCGCGATATCTCATCTTTCCGTTGCGAAGAGTTTCCATAGCATCTTCGACACCACTGGCAGTCAAGGGGAATGTCATGGTAGTCGGTGTGATCTTCTTCTTGGCTGCGAACTCGACCAAGGAGCGCAGACTGTAACGCGAGGCGACCAAGGAGCCCTGGATGCGGACACCCTTAAGGTTCAGGAGCAGAAGGGGCACTGGGGTGGCAGAGAGGTCGACGGTGAGAGGGTAGATGGATCCGTGGATATCCATCAAGGGAAGAAGGCTGTGTGGTGTTAGTGATTATCAATACGGGGTGCGAATGGATCACGTACGAGGGATAGTCAACACTGGCACTTCCGCAAAGCAGGAGGTGGTTCACCGGCTTGAAGTTGGGGATCTCCTCGCCGGCCTTGAAAACGTGGTACTCAGAAGCACCAAAGTTGAAGGCTTCTTCGCGCTTAGACTCAGAGCTGGACAGCACGACAACGTGGCAACCCATGGCTGATGCAAGCTTGATGGCAAGGTGGCCCAAGCCTCCAACGCCCATGATAGCGACACGGTCTGTTGCCTTGATACCATACTCAGATAGGACAGTCCAGACAGTAGCTCCGGCACACTGGAAGATTGATTAGCAAGAGTTGTGATACGGTGAGTTCTGGGTGCTTACCATGAGAGGAGCGGCGTCGGCAGAGTCGTAGCCATCGGGGATAGGAATCACACAGTCGGCATCCCAAACGGTTCCCTCTCCGAAAGACCCAAGATCGTGGTCATGGGATCCATATTCTTTCTTGTTCTCGCAATATTGATCCCATCCTAGAGTAAGAAAATTAGCTTGTGGTCAGTTTCCTTGTCCAAACTCTGAATCATACCAGTCAAGCACTTCTCACAGGTTCCGCAGACATAGTGGGTGTAACCGAAACCCACGCGCTGTCCAACCTTCACGCTGGTGACGTCGCGGCCAACTTGACGGACAGATCCCACACCTTCGTGGCCAAGGGCCATTCCACTGTGAAGGTAGTGCTCATCTGTGCCACAGAGACCCGAGTGGCTCGTCTCAATGTAAACTTCGTTGGGCTGGAGGGTGCGAGTGGTCTTATCAGCCACAATCTTGCCCTCTTTGGAGCCGCGGAAGACCTCGAAAGTGACGCTCATTTTGTGAAAACTGGAAGGGTATTGAATATGGTTTAAGTTGAAGAGGATTGAAATTGTGGATGGGCTACATGTCTGCTTTTAAAGCTAATTGAAGACTTTTCTCCTCTCTCATCAAGAAACTGATCAGCCTGGCTGTGCCGTTTCTCCGTTCAAGACACGGTATCCAGGCTAGGGATTCAAGCTAGGGATCCAGAAGTGGACAGGGTCCAAAGGTGGATCAAATAATCATAAAAGCCCATGAAAATTGTTCCAGAGAGTTCGATGGTGACGATCAATAATCGGAGCCATGCACGGATAAGCTTAATATCATAGCCCGGGGGCTCCCGGCAGGGAAATTTCAACGCCACTCTAACCGCAGTGGGAAACCACCCGTTGGAAAGTCTCCACTGAACCAAACGGCAGACAGGCTTGCGGCGACTGAATTCCTCCGAGTCAACGCTTATCGGCGACTTTCTGATCGGGATTTCTTCGGTGACGTGATCGGCCCGGGGGGCAACGTGGTTGTGGATAGTTCTACAATCAGGCAATTCAGACCCATTCGTGGATCCTGACTTTTGTACAGTGTGTATATGCGTATGCAGAACTGTCCACGGGTAGATTGAGATTTCAAGTCCCGAAACCATGAGTAAAATCAAAGATATCAAATCCCAGCCCTGGAGGTGCATACTGAACATAAATATCGATACAACCTTGGAACTGCCCTGGTGTGTACCTGGATATTCCTAGTATTGCAATACGATCATGGTGTCGCGTATTTAGACCGACTTAACCGTGATCCAGCTATCACGTATCGGGTAAAGGTACTCTGGCATTCCATGGTTTCATCTAAGGAGTCCGCCAAATCCACTGATTTTGCATCGTCGTACCATGTGAGCTCACATGGATCTACCGAGCTTCCGTAGTGTTTCGAGAAGCAGTGGATCCGTTAGAATCCTTCAATATATTTAGTTCTATACAGTCTAGTTTGTGAAGAACCAGCGTCGGTGGCTGACTTTAGTTCACCCCGAGGCTATTCTTAAAAATTTCAATTCGCCGAGGCGATCGCCTATTAAGGCTGAGGTGGGCAACAGACCCCAGCAATCCCAGGAACATTCCATTGAACTTGCCGACACTGTAATTCGTAATCCATGACTTGAGGATACACCGAATCAAGTTTTCAAAAATTGCATGCAGCAAAACAGCAAAAATAGTTTCGCTGGGAATCGAACCCAGAACCTTTCCGGAACATTCGCCTGTAAGGCAATTGTTAACGGAAAATCATAACCGCTAGACCACGAAACTGACTATGAAAACCCGGAGCTTAAAAAGAAATATCAATAATCCAAATATCTACACTAGTATCCCAAACCAAGCACTCGCACATCAAAGTCAATTGGTGCGTCGTGTGGCGCGACTTTGTTCGCATAGCTCAGCCTTGAAAAGATACATGGACATAGATGAAGAAATGGAATGTGCAATAGATATTTTATGTGAAGTATGTATGTGCAAGCTAGAATATGTACAAGGTATCCAGGACGCCGGCATCCTAAAGCGGTAGACGCTGATGTTCGTCACCTCCATCTTCATCCTTGTGCGAGACAAGTCGATACGGGCCACTATGTTCAGAGCTTCCAAAAGTTGGATGACGGACTGTGAAGTATAAACCATAGCCAAGGCAACCAAGAGCAACGAGTAAAATAGACCCAACAGTCCAAGGATTCCACAAGGAAGAGCCTTTCTCGGAAGATTCTGGCACTCGCTGGAGTACCTCCGTCACACCCAGGCTTTCTCCAGTGGTGCCAATGGCGCGTATGCGGAAAAACGAGTCTACCTCGGGAGAGAAGGGAATTTCGGTTTCGAAGCCGTCGCGCGTGACCCGGTCGGCAGGAGTGAAGGTCATGTTGGTCAAGCTTGTGTGATCCCATACTTCCACTTGCCACGATGTTACCTCTGTGGCACCGTTCCAGCTCACAAAGACACTGTCTACCGTTGTGGCAGCCTCGGGGGCCGTGAGTGGCTTGCCAACCCAGTCAAACTTGAACACGCGATATGACACGACGCGGCCAAACGTAAACCAGGCAGAGGCACCGAAATGCACGTTGCATACCACTTCCCCCGAGGGTGAGAACTCAGTGAAAGCCGCAGAATGGCCCCAGCCCACGAGCACGTTCCCAGTATCGAGTAGCTGCAGGTTCCCCTGTGATACTGCCATCATGCCTTGGGGATGCTCGTATGCCTGCAGTAGCGTCGCTCGTTTGTCTTCAAAGTCCAAGTCAACCATCATGCCTCGGCTGACCGCAGAAGGGTCGTCGTTATTTGAGGCCGCGTTGTTGAAGAGACTGATGCGGTTAGTCCCTCGCCACCGAGCATCGTGCTGCCATGAGAAATCGGTGGCAGCTCCCTCAGACGCATCGGCGAAGTCGTTGCGTTTTCCACCCAGAGACCAGAGCGTTTCACCGGTAGTGCCGTCTATGCCTGCAATTGTATGGATGTGGCGCATGGAAACCAGATAGCGGCCTTGATCATCCTTGTCAACGCTGTTGATGTGCAAATAATCATATGCCGAAGTTCTTCCATAACCAGCATCACCGATTGGATGATAACTATCAGCAGGGCCATAGAAATCAGACGCGCGCCACTGGAAGATTAGTTCACCCGTTTCCAGGTTGACCTCTTGGAACACTCCGTCATACATCCATCCCAGCTTGGGGCCGCCGAAAGGGCTTAGGTCTACCGGGATGGGGTCGTAGATCATCAGAAGGGCAGTGTCATTGGAAGTGATTTGGAAATCGTGCAGATCGCCATCGTACACGCCGACGGGTGTCACCACACGCTTCTGGGTGTACGTCGAATCAAGCTGGTTTGAACGATGTTGTCAGCCGGTGATGACTAGGATCAAACACACTTCAGGACATAACCTACCATGTACCACGATCCCCGGCCATAATTATCGTCGGTGTCTCCTTGCCAGTATGTGAGGTATTGCTCGCCCTTGTAGAGCTGAACTTTGAAGTCCTGAGTTGTGCCGGAGTTCCATTGGGTCCATACAAGGTCACCGGCGGAATCTAGAATCATCGGACCGGGGTGGGCGATTGAATCGCCTCGGGGCGCCAGGAATGTGTACCGAGGATCGCATTGCGCGCCAGGCGGAGAAACTTCAATCTTCGGAGACTCCTCATCGAAGGAAAGGTATGTCTGGTCAGGGCCGAACCCCTCGACCCCCAGGTCATACCAGCTCAGGCCGATACGAATGCGCAATCTGACAAGTTGTGGGAGGAGGAGGAGATAGAAGATAAGGGCGCCTCCTAGCGTGACAAGGAGGAGAGAAATCCATCGCAAAGGCACAGATCGGAGTGGTCGTTCACTACGCAGCCAGGAGCTCAGGCGAAGCCCGCCAGAATGAGTCCGCCAGAACATTAGCGCATGGTGGACGGAACAAGGGATTCGATCAGGAGAAGGGATGCAGTCGTAAAGAAGGTGTCTGAGATAGGAGCCACGTCATGACGGTCGTTGACTCCATCTTGAACGGGTCAGTATTCAGCTTTTGCCGACAAACTCCTTGCTCCGAAGCCCACTCTGGGTCTCTGGTGTGCACGGTGGACACAAAAAGGAGAACGCGTATGCTGATTCGGTGGCTGACGGCATGGTACTCCGGCGCCGGGAGCGATATCTTGGTTCGCCAAGCTTTCTCAACGAGAATTGCGCGTCTCCGCCAACCAGGTGTCAAGATATTTCCCGAGAACTCAACCCGGCGGATCTTTCCCTCGTGGTTGAACAAGAGCGATAGCCATGGCGCTTCCAGGATCGGCCCAAGTGCACCGCCACCCGCGCGTCCTGTCGCGGCATTCCAATCAGATAAGCAAAACCTCTGGAGTGCCACCTCCGGACGAGTAGGAGGCCACGATGCACAATGTAACTTGTGCACTTGTATGGAATCCTCGTACTCTCTTCATCGTACTCCGTACTCGTAATGTCGTCTCTCTGCAACCTTTTTCCACCGCCAAGAAAAGGTGGGGTCTTTGGCATCTCGGTTGTTCTTCAGTGTCTTAAAACTAGTGGGTAGTGGAGAGATTATCTCTCGAGTCGAGAATTGTACCTGGAGCAATCCGTACAAGTTCTCCGCAGTACATCATTCACCAGGTACTCTTTCGGTACTCTACAGTAGTTTTTACCACTTTCCTGTACATACTGATACTCGGTCTGATTTCTCTTACCTGCGCTCACGTCCGCCTAGTCCAAGTCCAACAACAAACGCATCCCCAATATATCTTGAACCCGATCCACAGAGATCGCTTGTTCGATCCCGGCCCAGTTCTTCATGCCTTATCTTTATTTCCAAGAACAAGATCATGGTAATTTATGATGGTTCTGCTGATATCCAATTTGATAATTTGAATATCGTGAAACGCTACAATGTAAGGAAACATTGAAAGTTTTTGGCAGTAACGAGCAGTGCCTCCGAAGAGCATGTTCCAAGGTTCTAACCGAAGAGTACTATGACGTACAGGAATAACGCGAGATCCAGTCTAGCATAAACCCTAGACCGAAGGACTCAATTTTCCGTTCGAATCGGATTTGTGTCAACTCTCGAGGTCTGGGCGCACTGCATAAAACAACACCAAAAAACAGGGTATACTCATGACCCAGGTGGTTTGTATTTTTTACCATACGCATTTACATTCTACTCAGTACCTAGGTACTCCGTACTCCGTACGGAGTAACCTGGGGCCTGTTTTCCGTACAAAAAGCAAGTGCCTCCGAATAGCCACGAGTACTACTATACACTAGTACACCGTATGGAGCACTTGAAGAATCTCTGACCAGCCACAGCCGTAAATGCCACACTAGTCGAAGCCCTGGAGCAATTTAACTGATATCCCCATCTTCCCCTAATTGGGCGCATCGACCTCTCTGGAGTGCGGGGTCCACCTGGGCGCAATGGGGAGATTTCTTTTTGCTCTTGACATCTGCTGGTGAGGCCATCTGTGTACTCAACTGACTTTACTATGCATATTGTACTTATATGTACAAGATAGAATCTGAAGCCGTGATAGGTCAGTGAAGAGGACTCGGCCACACCATAATCCCATTGTGAGTACGGAGTAGATCCCTGCCTGCATACGGAAGGTAAAGAGGTGCATTAGTGTAGTTCCATACATATCCCTGTCAGAACATTACTCCGTACACGTCCGCAGTGTAGGGAGTAGAACGCTAGAACACACACAGAATGGACGCCATTTGCTGGCCCCATATCCGCATTCTCTCACGAAAGGCGCTCTAACCTACCGATAAACTTCATCGCTGCTCCACTTACGCGGTGGATGCTCATCGTGATTGGTAATCCCTGCCCCTGACCTGGTCTTCGCTTTTTTTCCCTCTCTCCTCCTCTCTCGCAATCTGTACCGAGTACAGTGTGTATACATACCATGAGCTTGGACAAGGAGATGGTCTCGCAGGAGGTTGGCATCGATGCGACCGCCCAGGATGACTGGGATATGCAGCGCTTGGGCAAGACCCAACAACTCAAGGTGAGTGCGAATGGAGCTATTGCGGGGGAACCAAGGCTGATCAGCGGTAGAGAAATTTCCGTTTCTACTCGATCTTGGGTTTCACCACAACCTTGATGGCCACATGGGAGTCAATTTTGCTGTGAGTGGCGACGCGACCGCGAAGAATGCCAGATCGGAAGGCGGGGACTAATGATATCCGCGCAGTACAAGTACTTATGGTCTGACTGACGGCGGTCGAGCCGGCATGGTCTATGTCTACATCGGCTCGTTCGTGGGCTTCTTTTCCGCCGTGATCTCCATGGCGGAGATCTCGTCCATGTAAGTCGAACCGGCAAACCGGCATGCGCCGTACCCTTCAGTGCATTGTGTTGATAATCAGCTAGCTCCCCAACATCCGGCGGACAGTACCACTGGGTTAGTGAATTTTCCTGGCCACGGTACCAACGCTTCTTGAGTTATCTCACCGGTGAGTTTGGAATTCGCAATTGTTGGCACGCCAGGGCGCTAATGATCGCGCAGGATGGCTGTCGGTGCTGGGCTGGCAAGCCGCCTTTGCCAGTATCTGCTACCTGGTCGGTACCTTGATCCAGGGACTCTTGGTCTTCAACTACTCAGACCCCTCCGGCTGGGTGTACGGCTATGAACGCTGGCACGGCACCCTCCTTACCATCGCTATCGCTGCTGTCGGAACCGTGGTAAACACCTGGGGCTACAGGATTCTGCCTCCTATGGAGGGTCTTATCCTCGCCATTCACATTTTTGGATTCGTTGCCGTCATTGTTCCCATGTGGGTGATGTCCCCCGGGAAGGCAACTGGGCAGGAGGTTTGGAAGGAGTTCACCAACTCAGGCGAATGGCCGACCATGGGTCTGGCTTGTCTGGTGGGCCAGCTGACCCCAATCTTCTCCTGGACAGGTCCGGATGCCGCAACACATATGGGTGAGTCCAAACCAACAGATAGATATCTCACAATCCGACATGACTAACTTCAGCCAGCCGAGGAGATCCAAAACGCGGCCTTGGTCGTGCCGTGGTGTATGGTTTCAACCGCATTGATCAACGGAGCACTTGGATTTGTGATGCTCATCACTTTGTTGTATAAGATGGGCCCATTGGCCGACGTCCTGGCCCCGGCAAGCGGCTTCTCCTTCCTCCCCGCCGTGAACCATGCGACTGGATCGGTCGCTGCTACCAACGGAGTGGCTGCGATCATTCTGGTCATGGAGACCTGCAGTGCTATCGGTATTCTTGCCACCGTCTCTCGCCAAACCTTTGCCTTTGCTCGTGATGATGCTCTCCCCTTCTCGAAGCAATTGGCTCATGTGAATCGCTCAACTCAAATTCCCGTCTGCTCAGTGCTGGTATCAACCATCATTACCGTGCTGCTGAGTTTGATCAACATTGGATCTACTGCGGCCTTCAACGCTGTCGCATCCGTCATGATTGCTGCTCTTTTCACCACCTACATTTTGCCAATCGCAGCTATCATTCGCACTCGCTTCCAACCAGGCGGAATCCCCCCGTCGCGCTTCTCACTTGGTGCCCTGGGCTTGCCCATTAACGTGTTTTCTCTTCTTTGGCTGTGCTTTGCTATCATCTTCACCTTCTTCCCGACCGCAAACCACCCGACCCCCGTGGACATGAACTGGTCTATTCTCGTGTTTGGAGCGGTCGTCATTTTCTCTATCATTTTGTACATCTTCCATGGCCGCCATGTATACCGGTCTCCCGTGACCCAGGTCCGCAAGGTTGAGTAAACCATGCTTTTCATTCCCGTCCGGGAGCTCGACCACTCAGTGATTTCGACCGTCCCACGAGCAATCGCCTTGTTCATATGACATTGCGCGCTGGTCCACACTGCTGTGCATCTATATATGATATTTAATAGATTTGTGGATATATTTCAACAACAATAATGTGATACCCAAATGCCCAGGTGTTTTTCTGTTGCGAAAAGCCGGGCACCTGGGCAGTTTTGATCTGAGTGGAGACATTTTGGTAATAGTAATGCTACCTAGGGACAGTGGCAATTGTGATACAATACATGAACTTGGAACCTTGGAAAGCAACGTGAGTACCTAAAGGTATAATATCAAAAATGCTTGGAATTGACGTATTCCAATATTCACCCTTTGGAGAAATATTGGAAGGGGTAGGTAGGGTGGGTGGTCTCTAGATCGCCCATGATGGAGAAGTGGACTGGGCTCCTGGGGGGCGTTATCACATCAAATGTAAAGATCAGCTGAGGATATATGTCTGGGAGAAGACTATCCCTGGATGTGCTATACCACCATACAGCAGGCCTGACCTCAAACTTGTGATAAAAACAGGAATTTTCGAACTCACATTTGGGATATCATAAAAACCTTGGAGCTTACCTTTGGGGCCGTTTTAGCGACGTCGAAGCAACTAGATCATACCATTTCAATCGATCTAGCCGGCGGAAGTACTCACAAGATCAGTTGGAAGGTCTGACAAGAGTAGTACCGTATTAGCCATGGTTCGAGGAGAACATTGAGATTTGCTTCACTTGCCAGAAATCATCGCAAGCGTCAGAATTTCGAGCGCTTCATGGGGTTCTCTGTATACAGATAAAAAAAGTCCCTGTGAATTGCTTGCTCAGTATCGAAAGATTCCATAAAATAATGCGCAAGTTACCATGCGTCTACTTCATTACTTCGAGTGGGCGGGTAGTTCAGGACACAGCAGGTATCATCGCGCAGGGGCACATGTCGCTAGAAGCGTTCTGGCTTTACTCTGCCCAAAGGGAGGCGAAAGTGGGCTTGTTTGAAATGCAGGATTCTAACCAAACTCGGCGTTGGAGCAGAATGGAGCCAGATTGCGAAGCCACAATATGGAGAGATCGTATGGCGTTGGCGTGGCGACTTACTGTTGAGTCGGGTGGCTGGTTCAAATCGACCTACTGCCCAGTCGAGGGGCCCAAAGAGCCCGGCGACTATTCCGGGGTGATACAACGTCGCGCGTTTCAACCAACCGAATCGGTATGTTCCAATCGGAGGGCTGGAAGAGCTGTCCGATGATTACCGGCGTTCAGTTTACTGAGGCCGCGACGGAACCAATATTAGTGCTCTGCAGGGCAAGTTAAAGAAGGTCGCGGCGGCATGGCTTGATCTGAAGTGCGTGGGCATCAAGCATTGATCTGGGGGCTGTCAGGCGTAGTTTCGCGAGGGGAGTTTTGCGCAGAGGGAAATTGGGCAGAACACAACCAACATATTGGGGTGGAAGTTACGGCCTGAGATCACAGGAGAGCCGTGGTAGAGCCGAAGCAAAAGTCAAAGAGAAGAATATTAGTCCTATAAGTTTCCAAAGTCCCACCATGTCGAGAATCCTTCGATGTTTCCGAAGTTAGATTCCGAGTCTGGATATCCCACATTGTTCTCGATATCGACAAACTGTGAGGGATCGGCCCACAGCCAAGGTGTATTCGTCATCAGACTGTCAGCTGGCGCAACAAGCTTTTCACCAAAGTCCATATCCGGAGAGCTTTGGGCGCTCCCAGAAGACTTGCGTGGCATGGTTGGCGGCATATGGGCAGTTTGTCCGCCGTCGGCTGTGTTGACGGTGATGTTGGGGGACATTGCAACAATGACCTCAACGGTAAAGGTCGGACTTTCGTCGTTTTCGTCCGTAGTGACGGTGGGGGTCAATGATGAATGGAGCAGTCCGCCTGTGGAGACCTCATGTGGTTTCGGTTTACAGTTGACCTGGAGAACATCCCACATCAGAGGTATACTGAGATGGATCTTTTCAGGCTCCCAGTCATAGTCGATACTCTCCGACCCCGAGGCGATTCGCGTCATTTTGTCTAGTGTTTGGTCCTGTATATCTGTTAACATTGGTATCCGTTGGCCTTGTTGACTCTCATACCAGAACTTCACAGGCCGGTGAAAATGACACAAAAGTTTTGAGGAACCTTCTGCATTTTGTGAAATCGACTTTGGACTTGTATTTGAGTCGGGGATCCGCAGCGCAACAGTAATAGAGGTGCACAGTAGCTGCAATAGCAGCAGCATGCCCAAAGAAAGGGTCGATAAGTCGCATCTTTTTCTCGGACACCATGTCTATCATCCGAACGAGCCAGGTGGCATGCAACAGAACCAGCTCCGATGATCGCCTCCAAAAAGCGTTTGGAATGGCCAAGTTGTCATTGTATTGAGAGGCCACAATGTAGACAAATGGATGGTTGAGGACAGTCAATACGCAATGATACGTGAATTGTAACTTGAGCCAAGGTGTCCAATAGTCTCGGTTCATTCGGAGTTCCTCTGCCGTACGTTCGTAAAATTTGACTGAATCGTAGCGATGGCACTGAGAAAGCTTGTTCTCAATTTCTGTTAGATCGGAAAGGACCATAGAGTACATGGAGTCGTGCCTCCATGGCTCTTTCAGTCTGTTGCGGGCGCAATCTGAGATGTATGTCCGCACTCTGCTCCATACCCAGCCAAAATGAGCAGCCAGACTCCATATCCCTATATCGGATGGTTTTGAACACCCTAGGTCATCCGTCGGTAGGGGTGGAGGCTTTGACTCAGTCGGATCCTGCAATGCGCGGTCGCCGGTGGAGGAAACGTAGAATGCACGCAGAATTTCTGCAGGTATACAGAGGAACCCAGTCTGCTGGCCATATGACTGCTCGAGGCATTGGAGACTCCAAAAAAGACGCTTTTTTCGCTCGGTGGTGGGACCCTCACCGACATACGTTGATTCAAGATCCAACGTCGCCGACCTACAAAGATGCAGAGCAAGGCCCAGATGGAAGCGCCCAAGATGTATGTTTCCATCTAGAGCAATATTAATAAATTGATATCTGTGAGAGATTTGAGGTGTCCTTACCGAGGAAAGAAGAGTAAGATAATAAACAGAGACTCTCAATCGTTTCGAGTTCAACTGTGCCATTGGCCATACGAAGCATGATCAAACTTCGCGCACTATCGCCGTAGTGTTGCAAATGATCCCGGTCCCTGGAGAACCGTGACGTCAAAGCAAGAAGACAGCAGACGAGTTCTTCTGACAAACAGCTCGGGTCGGAGACTTCATCACGGTCAAAGCACCAGATCGGTTGCCGATGACAGTATTCAAAATAGAGATCTATGGATTTTGCGATCGCAGAGGACGATGGATGTGAAATTGAGTCATCATATCCAAAACCCAAGAAAAAGGGTCGCTGCCGGTCGTTGGTTCATTTGAGGAGAGACGTGTTGTGGTTGGGTAGGTGTCGGCAATTCCATTTCCATTTACGCTGTCATGGGTCTTTTCTGGCCGGACTTCCTGAGTTGGCCTTGCGCCGCTCAAAATGAGATTGACCTTCTCTTCCAGAAAGGCTAGTCTGTCATCCTAGGCGAAAGAGAGTCAATGATTGGCCAATGGTCAAGATAAGCCAGTACTTACGGACTGTCCTCCCCGCGAACCCCTCGGGATGGTAGTATAAAGACATGACTGATTCAAGCGAACACAACTGGAGCACGAAGGCTTCTCGGCTGGACACCGAGTCTTCTTTCTTCTGCATGACATCAGACCAGCTGTCCCGATTAAGCCGAAGTTTCAGCCTTACCTGCAATTGAGACACGCCTCGTGGGACTTTAATCTCCCGCGGGCGCTGTCTCGTGGCATCATAGTGATCAGATAGTCTTCTCAAATCGAGTGGAAGAGAGAGAGAGAAAACAAAAAAAACAAAAAGAAAGGCGCGTCTACGAAGGGGAAGGGGAGGGATTTAGCTGCGGGGTATTGACCAAAGCACCCGGCGGCTAGTTAAGATAGGCATGGGGGACTCGGCATGACAAGTTTAAAGGCGTTACGAGCGGGAAACTTCGGTGGAGACTGGTTGATAACGCAGCTTAAAAGGAATTTTATGAAATTCCAGGTTTAAAAAGAATTTGAAGAAAATCAATCGGGCTGAATCCTTGTTTTATAGGGGGTGTTTCTCCTCATTCCTTTCGCCCCCGCTGATTCTAGAATCCCGTTAAATATGGACCTCTGCTGAAAATGGCTAAAATATCCAGTCAGATGCCCGCCATTGTAAATTACCCCGGAGCTATCCTCGTACACGGAGTCATCCAGCAAATATTTCTGTGGCCACGTATGGGGGGAAAATGTGGCGTTGGAACATGAGTTAGTTCACGTTGGCCAGCTAGTTCATGAGAGTTAGCTCCCCGATCTCCCAACCTGAATCGCTAGGCATTGACAGATAATAAGGTTATCGGCTTAAGGATGCATTCCCATTGGCTGTGATCGGCTAAAAACAGTCCAGCCCAAATTAAGATGTTCATATGACCAGTTCTTTCATGCAAATCGTGAACTTTCCAAGGTTAGATGTCTCGTGATTGGATCCGGTGCTATACGATAAGACAGGGTTTCATGGGTTCAAAGTCAAGATATTGAGGTCGATTATCGGCCAGTAAAAGATATGCATTTCATCAGGGTCGTGATAAGCTTATGGGAATTTATACTAAGGAAACGCGCGCTATTGGACTAAAGAAGATGGGAAGATGGGGCGAAGGAACGATGAAAGGGAAAATTGAGGAGAGCGTGTACACCGCATGTTGATCAGGAGACCATTATCTCAGGAGCGGTTGCTGGTCCAGGTGCAGGGCCAGCGCCACATGCTTTGCCTCCGCAGCAACCGCCGCCCTCCGGGGTCAACTTGGAACAGAAGTCCATGTCTTCTTTGCTAATTGAGGCCTCCTTGGGAAGCCGCTGCTGTGCAGGCCACACTTCCCCTTGTGACTGCTCTTCAATTGCCTGGTGTTCCTCAATAAGGTCGCGGATGATGGTTTGGAAATAACGAGGACTATCCGCATTCCGAGGCTGGAGTTCTCCATCTGCAGAGACTCGGGTGCCAAGGACTTTTTGAGTCTCGGTGTAGAGGGCCTCGTCTTCAGATGCAATCAGCTTGTAAGCCTGATTGACGATCTCAAAGTCTTCATCGCTGGAGTCTTTGTTCCGGTACACCTCATAGCGCACCGCGCTCGTGGTCGGCCCGGTAGGAACCAATCGTTGCATGAAAAAGGCGTAGGGTCTGTGCATGAGGTTAGTGCTGTCCATGTGACCGGCGAAAGGCACCTAGATAGACTCACGAGACTGTCATGTAGACATTGGGGAAATAGTAATTGCTGGCATTCCGGAGAGCCTTGGCAATCTTCTCGGGTGAAGAGCCCTGGGTCTCGAAGGCGAAGGGCCCAGCGTTGGACGTGTGATGCTGATGGTTTTCGTTATAATTGTCTGCTAGAACCTTCCAATCATATTCTCCGGTAGACTCCCAGCCGGAATCGAAGTCGTAGTCTTCAAAATTGAAGCCCTTGAAACGTGGCTGTAAATCAACTCCATTGAAATCATTTTCCCACGAGATTTGGGCCTTATCATCGGCATCCAAGTTGAGCCAGACAAAGCCGTTGGTGTCCACGTGAACATGAATCGGTAATAGGCCATTTTTGCTCTTGTCAAAGCCTTCCAGTTCTTGATAGTGAGGGGCCTTTGCCAGTTTGCCGTTGAGACCGTATGACCACCCGTGGTATTGACAGGAGAAGATGCGAGAAGAGCCGCCGTCTTCGGTGACGACTGGGAATGCTCGGTGTCGGCAAATGTTGTGGAAGGCATTCACATCTCCATCGCGGTCCTTCACCAAGATGAAGGCATATCCAGCGATGTTAAACTTGAGCCAGTCGCCAGTCTTTGGGAACCGTAACTTGTGGGTGGTAAGGAGCCATTTGCGACTGAAGATTGCACGTCGCTCAAGCTCATATATTTCTTTCGAGGAGTACCACGAGGCGGGAAGAAGACGAGATGGGGCTTCCTCGGCGGCGGCCGGGGAAGCTTCTGTAGCCCCGAGTCCAAAGTAGTTGAACATCGACATCGTGACAACTGACGGACCGTCTCTGGGTGAATATGAGAAGATCGATAAAGCGAGGAGCACACTGTGCAGGAATCCGAGTTTTGGGTTGACGATTGGCAGTTATTATAGTGACTGAGGGTCGGGCCTATATGACACCTATCATGGACATGCGCTCATAATACTTCCCCATGGGGACACCCAATCACCACACTGCCGCCGATCACAGGATCGGTACGGAGGCTCAGCCGTTCATCGCCCGATGGTATAAAGTTGGGCCAGAGTGAGCTAGAACGAGACGATCGGAGGGGTCTCATACGGAAGACGGCTGCGGGACCGCGAATGCTTGACGCCACTCGGAAAGTCGGTTTTGCACCGGTATCTTCAGGAAATCAAAAGAACTTGCATATCTGCCCTGATCAGACGTACCTCGCTTTTTCACTATGCGCTCTTTCAACGGAGGACCCCATTTTCCCCTCCCGACAACTGGCATTTTCCGGACGTGTAATCTCACATGTTTATGTTTGACATACCAGAGGATTGTTATCGATGGACATGTACTCCCGAGGTCCGTACTCCATACGGAGTATGCACCTGGGCAGATTGATGAATTTACTGGAATGTGATTTGTCAACGCCTCGACATGCCCAGGTGGTCTTTGCCGATCACCTGACCGGCTGTGTTATCAGAAAGTGCGGGGGGCGCCTTCTCCAAAAGATCAACTTAGTTATCTCAACGACCCTCTCCATCTGGACAGTCCTGGAGGGCTACGAGCATCATGACGTTCATTTTTATCTGACTCTCCGCGGCAGAAGTTACGTCACCGATGCGATGCCTCACTCCAGGGCTTGCAATTTCAATCAAAGTTGCGATGGCTCTGGCCATTTGATGATAACGCATGAGAGTGATACAAAGGGGAAAAGCCCATTAACTTTGATCTTTTAACAGTATTTAGCACATTCTCCGTCTGCTCGGGTGCCATAGGATCAAGCGAACCCCCCGAAGCTGCAAGAGCTCAAACGTTCCCAAGTACCTAATTCTTGATGAAGAGGGGACCAGAGCCGTGGTCCACTTGACAGAGTTTTCGGCTGAAGCCTCGCCTGCTGCCAAGACTCCGCGTCTTCGAAGCGATAATGAGCATAACGGTGATTGTTTGCAAACGCAACTGCCCCGACGCCTGCCACCTTCAACTTGGGCTCGCACAGGTCGGTGAAACGGAATATCAGAGATATTGGACATGGGTTTGGTGCAACTCAGTGGCAGAGGAGACGATGTCCTGATCCGGAGTCGTAGTCCAGGCTCACTGTCGCATCTTATAGCCTGTTTGCCATGACACTAGAGAAGGCATCATCAAATGCAGTCCAATTTCCAATTCCAATTCCGATCCCAGTCAAAGGCACCTATAATGACAAACGGGGTTGATATCGCAATTTATATCGTTTTGTGTAATCCGTAGAATGAGGTGTTGTACTTCGTAGCTGCAGCTTCGGTGGCAAGGATGGCGGCCCCGTGCCGGCTGCCCCGCAAATCAGTAACCAACTCGATCTTCTCTCTCCAACACACGTCCAACACGGTTAACACGGTCCATCTGCCCTTCCACCAATCATGAGTGCAGCCGATGACAATTATACAATACACAAGGTATCTTTGAAGCGCACTCGGCAAGCTTGTGGTCCTTGCCGGTGAGTGCCAAGAAAACCCTGCACGACGCGTCTGATTTTGGTAGGCGGAAAAAGGCACGATGCCCAGGAGAAAAGCCAACGTGTTCGTTATGCCAGAGACTAAGACAGTCTTGCTCATACGGGCCTCAAACATCTACCCGTGCAAAGGCCCAAAAGATTGGTACAGCTCCGACTCGAGTCCAACCGGACGCGCAGGGAGGTGATGCTTTTGAGGTAATTCGAATCATGTTGACCACGTATCAAAGTGGGCTTATTCAGAATTGAACTAAGCATCTCAGACCGAAGGCGATGTTTCAAGCTCCGGTAGACTCCAGCGCATCGAAGAAAGGCTGGACTTGATGACCCAATTACTCCAGTGAGCCACCCTGACTCCGCAGTCGGCAGACAACCTACGAGCGGGAACTAATGGAATCTTCTTTCAATTCTCAGACAAGGCTCATCGGCATCTCAGCTATCCCGTGAAGTATCAAGTGATGCTCAGCCCACTGACCATTACGAGGAGCATGTGCCCTACAATGGACTTGAAACCATAACTTCCCCAGAGGACGAGCTAATCGCCCCCCAGCAGTATGTTTACATATTGTCTGATGTTTTTCTACATGTATCGTGGTACTAACATGTAGCAGAGACCACCTGTCGTCTCCCTCTATAGAGAAGGAGATCGAAAAGGAGATCGAATTATATCTCACCTATGTTCACGATCAACCTTATTGTGTATTTTCGAAGGAGTGGCTTTTGAAATCACAGGATAACCTACCACCGGAGATTGCGCTTCCACTGGTGGCTCTTACTTCTCGTCTCCCTCGAAGGTCTTGCGAGACCTTGTTTGGGGACCGACCCAGTGCAAAGTCTTTTGCAAAAAGGCCTGGGAAGTGTTGTCCAATCAATATCGACGTGGTGTGATGAGTCTCTCAATTCTACAGGGCACATTTTTGATGGCCCAGGTAGACTTTTCCGATGGAAAAGCACATCGGGGATATGCGTCTGTTGCGCTTGGACTAAGAGCCATTCAATCTGCGAGCTTGAATAGACAGCATGACGCTTACCGCTCGAGGAAGGATCCTATAATTGAAGCCCGAAAGCGCATCACTTGGGCATTCTTCATGCTCGATCGTACTTATTGTGCGTCTCGGAACTATTCGCTTTCTCTTTCAGACAAGCAATTTACCCTGCCGTTTCCTGCTCCGGAGCCAGAAACATTGACCGCTCATGATTCATCATCAACTCAAGGGTCTTTGCATGATGGACCCGGGAAACAAGGACAAAAGGTCGATCACGGCGTCCTGGCCTGCCTTCTGAGGCTTTATTCTCTGTGGGGTAAAACCACGGAGTGGGTGTTCGAGCCATTCGCGGAAAACATACTGCCTCCTTGGCAAACTGGATCCGCGCTTGCAATTCTCGAGTCCGGGTGGTTGCAATTTGAAACACACTTCGCAGACGCTCATCGATACATCAACGTCGATTTCAAAAGACGCGCTCGTGAAGAGCCCGAATCACGCACATACCTCTCGACTTGGGTATGTGTGCAATTCCTCTTCCACACAATTCAGTGCTTGCTGCACCATCCGTTTGTCATCATGACCAAGCTTCGCAACTTCAATGGGAATATTTCTGCGACATTCCTGCAAAAGTCCTTTGAAACATCGCTACTACACTCCAGATGGATAGTGAGATTCATAAGAGAGATGTCGGAGGTGGGTTTTGAGGTTTGTGATCCATTTCTTGGGTATTTGGCCGCAATTGCAGCCACAATTCAACTGGAACACACTGGCAACAAGAACCCTCAGATTGCTATTCTGGTCAACAAAGAGTTTCGGACACTGGTCGACTTCATCACAGAACTTTCTGTGCACTGGGAAAACATGAGCATACTGGTAAGCCAATTCGACCAAGTTCCATACGGCGCCATTTTACTCACACCAATTCAGGTTTCTAAAGTGAATGAACTTGCCGCTCGCCATCAAAATTATGGTTCCCTTTATTATAATCAGGAGGGGTTCTCAGGAGCGCTGTCAAAAATGCCGACCCCTTCAAGTATGCCTAGAATGTCCACCGAGGATGAAGCTCTCATGTGGGAGATCCTTGATTTTGGCTGCTCATCTGAGAATAATGCGCCGGGAAAGATTGGGGATCTTGCTGTTCCTCACCCAAATGCGATGGAGCCAGGCAACAACACGTCTACAATGGTACAAGGTATAACCGGGCTGTCAGACAGCGGCAATATAGGACGATCGGAGTCCCAAAATATCCGTGATCACGGTCCTCCAGCTTTCGACTCAATTTCCGATCCAACCGGCCAAAGTGCTTTCCCTGGGTGGCCATTTAATACAAGAAGTGGCGATGTGATCGGGCCAACAATACCAGATATTCCCGATTGGATGATCCTGGGAGACTATATGGCCGAGCATTTATAATGTGACAGTTGAATCTATGGATCCTCTAATTCAAATATTGAAATACTTGGTATGACGGGACCAAATGTCAGGGAAGTGCACCTTGCGCATGCACATTCTCTGAGTCCGATGCGTGATATTTATTATTCCCAATGCGGAAAAGACACGTACCCGGAGAAGAGCCTTCTTCGCCCATCTCAAATCTTGCTGTGACGAGAGGAAGCAGCTTTTAAAGCCGCGCCGAACGTGTCTATCTCGTGTGCCGTCAACTCCCTTCGTTCGGGTCCTCCGCGGCTGCCGTCTCCCGTGAAAACCTCTCCCTGGAAGCGCTCGCGGAATTGCGTAGGGAACTTCCACTTTGACAACAACTCGCCGGACAGCTTTCGCTGCCAACTTCCCACGATGTACTTGCCTATGACTGGTAAAAACTTGAACCCACTGCAGGAAAGCAAAAGAAGTCAATACTACACTCGGCATCGCCCTTTGGGTTGACTCACTGTCCGCTTCCTCCTGTGGCAATAAACAAATTATTATGTTCCGGGTGATAGTCAAAAATGAAATCCCCGGTCGGGGTGTCATTGTACCAACAGATACCGACTTTCTCAAACCCTCTGGGTGCTAACTGTGGGAATAGATCCATCAACCCGGATGTGAGTCGCTTTAGTCCGTCGGGGGGGGATGTAGTTCGCCCGCGAGGCAACAGCAGAGCTGGGCGGCGCAGAAGTGACCGAAGTATCGGAACGAGTGTAACCGAACCCATGGCAGGCGACTTTGAGATACCCAGTGGGCTCATGCGGTGGGAAAGCGAAGAAGCCGGTGGAGAAATTGAAGTAAATGGGAACATCCCTGAGCTCAGTAACTTCTTCGGGGGTGAGACGCAGGTATCCTACAACCTGCCCAGCAGCGAGCATTGAGTTCCATGAGGGAATGAGGCTCGCAGTCCACGCACCAGTGGAAATAATAAAGTGATCCCCTTCCACCCGCCCACTCTTGGTGCGAACGGATTTAATGCTTCCATCCTGATGCTTCTCGAACTCTTCCACATGGCCGTTCGGTCCCGTGATGAAGGAGACACCAGCGGAGGCACAACGGGACATTAGACGGGCACATGCAAGGCCTGCATCTGCCCACCCAGCAGAAGTGTTATAAAACCCATCAAACCCGGTTGTCGCAAGCCGGCCCGTCAACTTTGGGAAATGCTGCTTGGCCTCCTCCACGCTGTTGACAGGAACCCACTCCTGGCCCATCTCAGTCAAGACTCTTTTGGTCTTCTCGCTGTACTCGTGGGCTCGAGGCTGTACTGGTTGCTCTGGCGTGCCATCTTGACAGACCCACATACAGGGTGCTTGGTGAAATGCTTCCTTATAATCAGGGGTCTTCCATAGGTCAAATGCTTCTTTCGCAATCTCGGCGTAGATTGGATCCCCATAGTCGAAGCGGATAATGCGCGAGATATCATTGCTTGATCCATCTGGAACCGGAGGGACTGATCGGTCGAGAATGGTGACAGACTTGTAGCCCTCTTCCTTTAGTCTCAAGGCTGTACCAAGACCAAAAGTGCCAGCTCCAACGATGACAATGCGCTGATCCTTTTCCATCTTGTCGATAAATATCGATTTGGTGAATGTGGAAGTGGTAGAAGTCCCCGGTGGTTATATAGTTGGGGAGACCCCCGGGGGTCACGGACCGTGCATCTTTACCGGAGACTGGCAGCTTTTTCAATCAACATGAAGAAGCGGGTATTCAAGATGACCAGACCAATCATATTATGACCTGAATTCGCTGGAGAGAAATGCTCACGGGAGGGGGAAATGCAAGATGCGAACACGGACCGCGTACGGACCGGCCACATCTGGTTGCCACCTCCTTAAGGTATTCCGTACCTTTTCATGATCTTACCCACAACTCTTCAGTATCAGGTGTATGGGTATCAGTGCCATGCTGATGATGTAGATCAAGAGAATGTGATTTATTTTATATCGGCAAAGGAACCCACTCCCTTTGGATGAACCGTGACGCTCCTGTCGGTGGACTATTTCCCTCTATGCTGCACAATCCAGACGTGTATGACCCAGAGACTGCCAATGCTGGTATTGACTTCCTAGCTGGCTCTCAAAATACTACCCGATCCTATTCACTCCTGTGGGCTCTCCCACCGAATCCCCTCTCGCTGTCTTGCTTCACTTCCTGACGCCATGACCGAAAGGGCTGTCCCTGGGAGTGTACTACTTTTGTCATAATCCCCCTAAACAAAGAGACAAAACCATATGAAAGTTGTAAGGCACAGAGTACGGAGTAGATTTGCGTGAGTTCTGGCAGTTGGTGGCAGGTCAAAAGTGGCCGAGAACAATATCAACGTTGACATTGTTCTTCTCTCTTTGTCGGGTTTCCCACCCCATACTTCGCCCCCAAACGCAGATTCCTGTTTCAAATCCATTCAGCAATGAATAGAGTAGTGATCGTGGGAGCAGGTTTGCAGCAACGAGAATCGTCATGGAGGACTCTGCTAATTGAATTTAGGCCTCTACGGGCTGATTGCAGCAAAGACGTACCTCCAAGTGACAGGTGCCTACGAAGACACAGGAGCAAGCGAACCAAACAACTTGGCTGAACTCCCGGCATCTTTTACAGAACAGAATTCGTCCACCCAAGACACCCAGTGCCAGCTTCTCGTGATTGACTCGGCGTCGGATGTTGGAGGTACCTGGGCCGAGGAACGTCTTTATCCAAACTTACTGAGCCAAAACTCGTACGGGCTGTATGAGTTTAGCGACCTTCCTCTGGCAGAGGTAGTCCCGGAAGACGAGAGTAAGGCCGGTGATACCAAACAACAATTTATTGCCGGTTGGAAGATCAGACGCTATTTGCGGACGTGGGTCGCCAAGTGGAAACTGGACAGACACATACGATTGAATTGGACCGTATGACGATCATGTTCATACCTCAATATCACGCCAGAGCATGCTGATTTTGATTTAGGTCGAGAGTGTGAGCCGCCTAGAAAGCAAAGAATGGAAGTTGATCATCCGTCTCCCCACGACACCGACTCGTCATATCACTGTGATTTGTGACAAGTTGGTTTTGGCAACTGGGCTGACCTCAGTACCAAACCTGCCTGATCTCCAAGAATCCCAAAGCGCCACTGACCATGTAACCCCCGTGATCCACGCCAAGGATGTGGGAGGATGGGCTCGAAGACAGCTTGGGTATCAACCACTGGAGCCACTCAAGGCTCCGGCTGACGATGTTTCGAATGATGAAGATGCCTTCCCGCAACTGCGTTCCGTAGCCATCTATGGCGGTGCGAAATCATCGTTTGACTTGGTGCATTTCTTTGCGACCCTTCACCGAAACGACCCGAAGCTGCACCTCAAGTCGAAACAGAACAGCCCAGTCCAGGTGAATTGGATCATCCGCGATCGCGGGGCAGGAGTTGCGTGGATGGTGCCACCAACGTCTACCCTACCGAATGGAGACACGGTTCCGAGTGACAAGGCAGCAAGCACGCGGCTGCTCACCTATTTGACCCCCTGCTGTTATATGATCCCTAAACGCCTCTCCCGTGACGGGTCGTGGAATTTGCGATGGGAGGGATCGTGGCTGATTCGGCTGTTCCATGGAAATCCATTCGGTCGTTGGTGGGTTAGGTGGTTCTGGCAGTCTGTGGATCGGGCCCTGGAAGAGTCGGCGCAATATGGATCGAATGCGAAGATGGAGCTGCTTCGCCCAGAGAATAGGTTGGTGTTGTCGGTCTTCTTCGGAGATGACTGCTAACCGATATAGTGTGGTTTCATGCGCTTCTGGTATTGGGATCGCTAACCAGGCAGACCTTTGGGAAGCAATACGACTACCCCATGTCAATGTCTACCGATCATCCATCGCAAGAATCACGGCATCTCAGGATGAGACCACCATATCGCCAACCAGAGGCGCCAAGGTACAATTGGCTGACGGTACTTGTATCGAATCAGTCGACCTGGTCATCCATGCTACCGGATATAAGCCGATCGTTCCAATTAAATTTGAACCGGTTTCCCTCCGTCTGCTTCTGGGACTTTCTGCTCTGGTCGACGGCGAGAACCAAGGCTCGGGCGCGAAGACCCAAGCCTCGCCTCTATCGCCGGAAAGAATTCCCGGGTCGCTAGAACCCAGCATTCAAGACCGCATAGAGCACTGGGAGGATATAGATCGGCGGTCGGATATCAAAGTTCGAGAAACTTTGAGCGCTACTCGATGCCCTCTCAAGGATCGCAGCCCCCCTTCATGGGCGGAATCCGACAAATTGATCCCGTATCGTCTGTTCCGAAGGATGGTGGCCCCTGAGCTAGTCGCTCAAGGCGACCGGTCATTTGCCACGCTTGGTGTGATATTATCATCCACAATTGCGGTCATTGCTGAGGTCCAAGCTCTTTGGGTCACGGCCTTTTTGACAGGAAGTTTGGACACCGATGCTTTGAAAACCAACCCGGATGGAACTCTCTCCTTGGCAACAATTTCACCAGAAGCGATGGAGCATGCAATATCCGAGGATGTGGTGCTTGGTTCGTTGACAGGCAGTGGCCTTGAAGTGGATGCTATCCAGGTATGTCCAACGATGGAAACGGCACACCTCGTTCTAACCATTTACCAAGTACAATGACATGCTTCTGCGCGATCTGGGACTCAGCCCGAAACGGCTGGGCGGAGGTGTCTATCGAGAGCTGACTGGAGTTTATGGACCATCTGCGTACAGTGGGATCGTCGATGAGTGGAGGCAGCTTCAAAGAGAGAGAAATCAAAGGTGATGAATGTATTGCGAGTCTATGTTATCGGAACGAGGATAGCGAAGCCAACGAGGCTGGAGCATGCAGAGAGGGCCAGGCAGAGATGGAGACGAGTGCTAAATTGACGTGTGAAGATCATTGAAATAACTGTACAATGGTACACTCCGTGCTTGGAGACGTATAGAGTAGAGCTGTCGAGTAAACACAGTCGAAAGATGAAAACGCCGATCAACGCTTGGGCCCCTTGTCAGGTGATGGGTGGTGGCTATAATTCCCTAATTGGGAACGAGGCTTGGCACCTTCCCGATTGGAACCTTCTGCTACTTGTGCTTCACCATCCCATCCCATGCAGAATCCCATGGACCGGAAGCAAGCCCGACTCACCCGGTGTCGCACAGGATGCATGCGCTGTCGTGTTCGTCGAAGAAAATGTGTGTGTGTCGTGAAATTCTGTCGGATTCTGAACTAACGGAACAGGCGACGAGGGCAAGCCACGATGCCGGAACTGTGTTGATCGGAACTTCCAATGTCAATATGGTCCTCAGCTAACATTTTTGACGAAAAATGCTCAAACGGTTCAGCCGTCAGATGTTGGAACTTCATCCAGCTACGAGGCGATTCGGGTATGTCTTGCAATTGCTAGTGAGAGCCGAGATCTGACTAGAGCTAGTTCATCGCCGAAGAGCCTCAGAACGATAAACATGACGACGAACGTATTGAATCTAACCCCACAGAAATCCAAGCAGTACAGCGCGAAGCTAGCGATGCCACAGACGTGCCGTCCTGGGAGCCAACCGAGGAGCAACCGGCACTGAGTGATAAGGATGAGTCGGCAGTAGCCGGTCTACTAGCTCTGGGAATGAATGAGTCCTCTATGGATTTGTCAGATTTCTCTATCGTTAAGCCTTCATTGCCAGCACTACCCCAGGCCTTCTCTCCGCGTGTCCAGGACGAGACCTCATCCACCGAAACCCAAGCGCTATTGCGACACTATCGCTATGAGATAGCTCCATGGGTCGGTATGCCTGAGAACGACTACCGAAGACACTTCACTGACCGGGAAAATGTAGTTGGATATATGCGATTTAGGTCAATTATTTGGCATAAATGCCCTTCAATTGGCGATGGCCTCTCCGTGCGTGTGGAATTCAATAATCGGCCTCTCAGAAACCTCTTATAACCTCCTCAATCCACGGAGCCCATTGCGGAGGCAAATCATCCAACCGCCTACAGATATGCTGGCAGATATAACGCAGACTGCGCTGGTAGCTGCGTTGGACCAAGTGAGGGACTGGGTCTCAAACGTCTCGGCTGCTTGGACTTCGAGGACGCCATGTGACCAAAAACTTTTAAGCGCGGTGAGCTCACACGCCGTCGGAAGGGATCTCAACTCCGCGATGTACTGGTTATTCCTCCGGCTGGGTATGCTTGCTCTTATTGCACGGATTATGGTTCACTAGGGATGATACTTACTAGTATATAGATCTCGGCTTTGCTTTAGCTACTGACGGTGACACACGCGTGCCACTTCCATCTGCGTTTCCATATTTGACGGAGGTAGACATGGTGGCTGATCCATTCGAAATGGTTTTCTACTACGCATATCGCCCACTTTGGCTCTCTGCGAGAGCAGTCCAGTTCGTGCACAGCGAGGAGGTCTCGCCAGACCGGCCTCCGCTCCAAGTGTGGATGGGGCTAGTAGAAGAACTGGAGCAGTGGTACCGAGAGCGACCGCAAGGATTTCAGCCCATGCTCGAGCTGGATATGGATCATCAGTTGGCTGGCCCCGAGATGACCCTCCCAGTGGTTCTATTTGCGAACGGAGCAGGGCTGTTTGGGAACCAGCTGTACCATACAGCCATGTTGATCTTACTCCACAACCGACCGAGGACGGCACGGATGGGAGATTTCCACTCTTTTGCAATGTCGCCTTTATGGCACGCGCAGCGGATCTGCAGCATTGCACTCCACAACGATAGACGAGAGTGCTGGGACCCTTGTCTTCTGGCATCGTTTTTGATGGCGGCACGTCGAATGACCCATGAATCTCAACAGCGAGTAGTGATTCGAGCATTCGAGCGCATTCGCATAGTGACAGGATGGGACACAAGTGGTTGCTTGCACAAGCTACAAGCGGAATGGTGTTTGCTCGACGGGACGTAAGAATACGCCGCATTGACCGATTTACCAATTCGTCTGGATCGAGGCTCACCCAGCGATGGGGAATCGGGACCTTGTCGCGCGATCGGAGCGCGATGCCGGATACCCCCATGCAAGCTCCAGATCTCGAATCCGCCAGCAAGCCCCCCATCCGGTCTCAGCCTCTATATGCCGGATCACGTCGACAATGATGGCGTGCTCTGACATGTGACTGAAAAGCCGACCAGCAATCCACAATGGCTGTATCGCATTGTTCAAGCAACCCTGGTGAGGGTTGGCCAGCGAGATCCCGCAGATGCGTCTTGCATGCCACAGCGCGGAGATGGCAGGTGTGGATGGTAGGCTAATTGACTTGGGCATCATATTTAGCAGCAGAATACACGCCGTATGGTGAAGTTGGTTTGACGATATGGCAGCCCAGTGTAAGAACAGAATATGAGGAAAGGGTTTGGTCGTGGTGGTATGGACAGGCAATAATTCCGGAGGTCGACTGTCAAGCCAATGCTGCAGATCGTCCCATAGCCGGAGCCAACGGCGACTGAAAACCTCCCCTGTACATTCATTCTTCACCCCAAGCTCCATGAATTGTGTGCGATCGGCAACGAGCTCACACGCCTTCGCACAGAGGTAGACCGCGTAGTTAGCGTGCATGTCCGGGGATTGCGCAGCCTGGAATAATTGAGCGGCATCCTCCTCGCGGCATCCGGGCGCAAGCCATTTGCTGGGTCGAAGAAGAGTGCTCTGGGTTCCATCAGAGATTAGAGCGCCGCAAAGATCTGATAGATTAGCGATTATCACTATTCGAAGCAGGACCAATCCTCACCCATGCGCGCATAGCACCAGAAAACTGCTTGCAGAATATCACTGCTGAAGCCGTTCATCTCGAAAGCGTCGAAAAGCGCAGCACACCCCTCCAAATGGCGCTGCCAATCTTGCGCGCGGGCGGACATCATTTCGAGGCAGCAGAGCAGCACGCAGGCCGCAACCACCTTCGGGTCGCGCATTTGGAGAAGCGGGCTAAGCAGACGAATCGCTTCCTGGTATAGTTCAAGACTATCGAATGAGTCTTGTATACCCTCCTTCCTTTCCATTTGTCGGGCGGATATGGCAAGAATCGCGTTCAACAGCGCGGGAAACGATCGAGCGAGCGCGGGAATTTGGACGCGGAACGTGCACTGCGAATCGAACATATCGAGCTAGAGCATGATTAGCGACGCTCTTGTTGTTTGGATCACTCAAGAGTCTCTTTGCTCTCGGGTTGACACATGGTGAGGAGGCAGGGAGGGGAATCGCGGCACAATGACATACCCAGGGAGCTACCTGCCCAACATAGTTCTTCAAGTATTCAACGCGACGGGGGTTCGACAAGACAGGGCGGGCCGGTATCTCAAATTCGCGTAAGATATGACTTTCGGGGCTTGGTGCGCGGGTCGGAGCAGCGGACTGGGCTATGTTGAAAAGCATACATCGCAGCTCTTCCTGCGATGCCAGGAAGCCCGGATCATGGGAAAAACCATCGTGGCCCCAACTAGCTGCACCTAGGGGTGACGGAAAAGCAGCTGGATCGGTGGAATCCGAGGGGGTGTATGGATGTAAAGGGGCCCATTCGGAGGGTAGACGGTCATCCAGTTGGGGGAACATTGTGAAATCGGAGGGTGCGGATCGGCGGGGGCGCAGTGCATTTTATAGCCGTCTGCCCTAACAGCCCTCAACCGCTCTCTTTCCCCGGAACACAACTCTTATGAATCTACGGGGTTGATATCTGTGTACACTCGTGTGATCCATGTTCATTGTCATTTTTATCCAAACTTGAGATTCTAGGACTTGCCCACATTCCAAAAGTGAACCCTATGAAAAATGGGCCCTTGGTTCCCGACCCCTGGCACTTGATACAGATGCAAGGGGCATAAACAGAAAAGAAAACAGCTTGGCTCTACGTGAGATCTAAGAACTTTACCTCAGAAGCATCGTACAGGCTCGCTGTAATCACTATCTCCAGGATATCTCCCCATTGGCATCATGTACCGTCTGAAACACTTCTCGATCCTCAGCATAATTCTTCTCTCCGCATCAGCGGCGCAGACCTCCCAGAAGACCACGGTGCGTGTATCATTTCCAATTGAGCCCTACTTGCCTAACACCGCGCAGGTCGGAATTGCGACGGCGGATAAGAGTCGTGGAGTCGACGTGCCATTGAATGAATGCCATGCGATTGAAGAAGAGTGGGTTTGAACAAGTGCCCCCAGTTTCGAGTTGATCGGAGTTGACCTAACGAGATTGCAGAGATGTTCTAACCCTCTCGCTGAAAAAACCGTGCCGTTTGTTCACGTAAGGACCATGCCCCGGAGTTAACCAATTCCCCTGCTGATGAGAGTCTAGGGGCCCCGATTGTACCGGCCACAACACATTCTTGAGTCCCGGCGACCACTCTTCCAAGGATCCTATACCTGTGGTGGAGTCCATTTTCTGCCAATCCTCGTTCTAGGCTGTGAGGCAAATAGTGGGCGAGCTAGATACTTACAAAATCGCCGTCTACTTTCGCGTTACATAAGACATGAATGCAGCCTTTATTATTGGTGATTAATGACTTTGTCTCGTCTCATAGGCAGCAAGTAAGAACTTGGAAGTGTGAAGGCTCAAGTTTTGCTTCGTACGGGAATCATAATCTCATAAAGAGGCCTCTTCTTCGTCAACGACCAGCACCTTGATACTCCCATTCCGTGTATCAGCACAAAGGTGGAGTGCCTCTTCCGCCTTCTCCAGGGGGAAAACATGTGAGACCAACTTTTGGAGATCTAGGATGCCGCCACTCAGGCAAGCAATCGCTCGGGGCCAAGTGTCACGGTAGCGGTTAATGAACCGGAGATCGATCTAACACAGTCAGTGCGAGCAATATGGACATCATGTCAAGAAACATACCTCGGCAAGGGAGATGTGCATGAAAGGCAGGTTGTTCATGATTGCCTTTCCAACGCCAATCACCATTACAGTGCCACCTCGACGGGCAGTGTATGCAGCGGTGCAAACACTGCTTTCCACACCCGTACATTCGAGGACCGTCTCGGGTGCAACGTACTCGCCAGATCCAAACAAAGCACGAATCGCCGCTGCATTTCCTTCCGCATCTTTGGTACGATCGACCTGATAAGTGATGCACGAGGGAACGAACTCCTTGGCAAAGGCAAGTCGAGCAGGCTCCAGATCAGTGATCACAATTGGATGGGCCCCCGAGGCACGTGCTGCGGCCAAAGCAATTAATCCAATAGGGCCAGCACCACATACGACCACGCCGCGGCCCAAAGAGAGACCTGACAAGTTGACGCCGTGCATCACCACTGAAAGTGGCTCGAGAAGAGCACCTTCGGCGAAACTCACATTGTCGGGTAGCTTATGCAGCCATTTTGCCGGGTGATTTTTGTATCGCTGCATAGTACCTTCGTAAGGGTACACACCAGCAAACTGAACATCCTCGCATAAGTTGTATCGGCCGTCATCGCACAGGAAACAATGTTCACAAGGAACACCAGGCTCAACGGCAACCCGGTCACCTAACAAACGTGTCAGCACAAGATTCAAGCCAAGATCCGATTGTCGTATGCATACCGGGCTTCAGGTGAGTGACACCCTCCCCACATTGCAAAACAATACCGGAAGCCTCGTGGCCGATGATACAGTCTCCTTCAAACACCAGGGATCCAATGCGCCCAGTCTTCCAGAAGTGAAGATCCGACCCGCAAATCCCAGTGGCCTTGATATGAACCAGGGCTTCACCCGCGCGCGGGCTGTACACCGGTGCATTGGCTGATTTGAGCTTGTGATCTGCGGTAATCTGCAATGATGGATTGGGGTGCGAGACCTTGAGAGGTGTACGGTCGCTCGCCTTGGTCGGAACAACCTGGCAGGTCTCGGCCTGGTCCACAAGTACTGAAGGAGCCATTATAATTTATTTTGAATGAATTTCTGGAGGGGCTGGCTTCCATTCTTAAGGCGTTCTGGCGGCCAAATGCACCTGAAACGGTATGATGTGGCTCTAACTGCCCGTTTGGGGGTGGGGCTGTCACTTTGGTTCAGCCCCGGTTTTTCTCTTCATCTCTCTCTGGGGGGGATTTGGAACCCCCGCCGGGGCATTGCAATTGACCGCAGGTCCTTTATAGGCTATCGCTAGCTGCGACACTTCCAGATCTGTGCCGAGGCTATCCCCAGACTCTAGCTGCTCTGGCAATATCTCCAGCAATATATGTACTCACGAGCAATCGCGAGCATCGCCACAATAAAGGGACACCTTGTTGACACACAAGAACCAGACAAACACTTGGTGGATATCGGATGTTGATCTCGGATCTCGATAATTTGAAAGAGAACCTCATTCATTTTGGATGGGAGGGGTGCATTCGCGGGGTTTGGGCTATAACCCGATTAGGAAATATTAAGCATCACCACTTGCATCTATTTGAAGCAGCCTCTCTCCGGGGGTTTGGGATGCCATACTTCTTCGGCTTTATCATCTCTCAATCATGACTGTCGAAATTCAGAATGGCGTGAAAGACGTCCGGTCTGCGCTGCCTTTGGTTCAGAAGCTGTCCAAGGACCATGATTTGGTGCTGAAGACCTTCCGTCTGCTAATCGCAGACCTTTGCCAGCAGTTCAATGGCGGACATCCTGGGTAACTTGACTCTCTGAATGGTTTGAGTCCAGCTACTGATTATGTCTTAGTGGCGCCATCGGCATGGCTGCAATCGGTGTGTCCCTATGGAAATATGTGATGCGATATGCACCTCACTCCCCAGGCTTCTTTAATCGGGATCGCTTCGTTCTATCAAATGGTGAGCTCAACGGTTCTCTGTGAAAAATATGTGCTGATAGACGTCGCAGGTCATACCTGCCTGTTTCAATACTCGTTCCTCCATCTTACCGGTTACAAGGCCATGACCTTCGAGCAACTCAAGTCATACCACTCCGATCGTGTTGACGCACTCTGTCCTGGACATCCAGAAATTGAACACGAAGGAATAGAGGTCACTACAGGGCCTCTAGGTCAAGGTATTGCCAACGCCGTGGGATTGGCTATGGCGACTAAGAACCTCGCCGCTACCTACAATCGTCCCGGATTCGATGTGGTCAACAACCACACCTGGTGTATGATTGGTGATGCTTGCCTTCAGGAGGGCGTTGGGCTTGAGGCCATCTCACTCGCGGGACACTTCCGTCTGAACAACCTTACGGTGATTTACGATAACAACCAGATCACTTGCGATGGATCCGTCGACCTGACCAACACCGAGGATGTTAATGCCAAGATGCGTGCTTGCGGTTGGAATGTGATTGAGGTCTCTGATGGATGCTTTGATATTGAGGGTATCGTTGCTGCTTTGGAACAAGCTCGCGCCTCCACGGAGAAGCCGACTTTCATCAACATAAAGACTGTGATCGGCTTGGATAGCAGTGTCGCTGGCACAGCCGTTGCCCATGGTGCTGCCTTTGGTGCCAAGAGCATTGTTGATATGAAGACTGCTTATGGCTTCAACCCGGAAGAACACTTCGTTATCGGCGAAAGTGTCCGTCGTTTCTTCCAAGGACTTCCCGAGCGCGGAGAGCAGTGGGTCCAGGAATGGGATCAGCTTGTGCGCGAGTATACGAGCAAGTATCCTGAGCTTGGTGCCAACTTCCAATCTCGCGTTCGTGGTGAACTCCCAGTCAATTGGCAAGACCACATCCCCACAAGCTTCCCTGACAAGCCCACCGCCACTCGAGCCGCCTCTGGAATGGTATTCAATCCAGTCGCCAAAGAGGTGAACTCTTTTATGGTCGGCACAGCAGACCTCTCGCCTTCAGTCAACATGATCTGGCCTGGCAAGGTAGATTTCCAGCATGTGAGTAGAAAACCTTCGCGATCGATCTATTCAAATCACTGACCGAGTACTTAGCCCGACCTCCGTACGACGTGCGGCATCAACGGTGATTATGCAGGTCGTTACATCCACTACGGTGTGCGCGAGCATGCAATGGCTGCCATTTCCAATGGCTTGGCAGCCTATTCCCCCAACACGATCATTCCGGTGACCTCGACGTTCTTCATGTTCTACCTATATGCTGCTCCTGCTGTCCGGATGGGCGCACTCCAACACCTCCAAATCATCCATGTCGCCACTCACGACTCGATTGGCATGGGCGAAGATGGTCCGACCCACCAACCGATTGAGCTGGCTAATCTATACCGCGCAATGCCGAATCTGCTATACATCCGTCCCGGTGACAGTGAAGAAACAGCCGGTGCATGGATCGCTGCCATTGGTGCCAAGAACACCCCCAGCATCATTTCCACCTCCCGCCAAACTCTGCCTCAGCTCGCAGAAACCCGTCGCGAGAGCGTTGCACTCGGCGCATACGTCTTGTCGGAAGCCGAATCAGCTACCGTGACTCTGATTGGTGTCGGAGCCGAGCTCTCGTTTGCATTGCAGGTTGCTGATCAACTGAAGGCACAGAGGGGCATCATTGCTCGCGTTGTCAGCTTCCCATGCCAGCGATTGTTCGAGAGACAATCATTGAAGTACAAGCGTGACACATTAAAACGACACCGTGGCATTCCCGCTGTTGTGATTGAGCCCTACGCCCCCAACGGATGGGAGCGGTACGCGGATGCGGGTATCTGTGTGACACGCTTCGGTCACAGTCTCCCGGGCAAGGCTGCGTACAAATTCTTTGGTTTTGAGACTGACACCTTGACCAGTAAGGTTGCCAACTATTTGGAGCAGATCTCGAAAGACGAGTTCCTTCGCGGCGAGTTTGTCGAACTATGATCTTGATTCAGGTGTTTGTTTTTTTGTTCTTCTATAGATTGGGTGGGCATGGGATTTTCTACGATATGTTGAACCGCATATATTTACATTTTACCAAGTTTATTTTGAAGCCTCTTTCAATGCTTGATTTCAAGTTCAGATTTAATCACAATCACGGTGTCCGGAGTACAGCAGAGGGTCTCGGGATTTCCTGATTTGGTATCTTCAACCGCCGTGTGCCTCGACTTACTCCTTTTGAGAAAAGTGGACCCGGAGACATGCCGGATTTGCGGTTCTTCGTACCCGTGGACTCCTTTGATTCACAACCTCTAAATTAATGCAAATTGAACCATTCATGGATATACCTTGTCAATGTCACTCAATTGTCAAGCCTGTCAAACCTGATAGTGCCGGTTTGAAACATCAACCTGCTCTTGCCCGGTCGCTTCAGGGACCGATTCTCCTTGCGATTCGTACTGCCTCTCCCTCTTCTTTTCCATTTTGAAGGCCTTCTTCCGAGCTTTTAGCTCTTTCTTTTCGGCCCTGGTTTGTGTTGGGAAAGTTGAATCAGGACCCCGAAGGACATGACCCGGGTGGAAAATGTTCAAAGCAACTAAAGCTAGGAACATGGGCGCTGCGTCGAAAACATATTCGTACTCTTCATGAGTGAGGACCGGATTAGTTGCCGATGTTCCCTGTGCATATTGAGCGAGGCGGAAAATGATTCGGATCTCACGGGGCCTGTTAGCATATCAAGTGCTCACCCGGGCAATAGGGGGTTTCAGCTCACAGTGATCATGATCAATGTAAAGTAAGTCGAATAAAAAAGCCATCTCCAAGAAAATCGACCTGTCCGGAGTTTTTCCATGCCGATTTGTCCATTGCCTTCCATCCGAATCATTTTTTGATGCATGTAAATCGCGAGCCCAAAAAACCAAAGTATGAAGAACTCCTGCATTCCAATCCCACCCATGTAGATATGCAAGCCGAGCAACACAGTCTTTGGTGCAGCATCGGTATTTGTTGTAAGCGAGGCGCCGCCAAGCTGAACCAGAAATGCGATGATGTCCAGTGTGACAAACACGATGCCATAGTGACGGGCGGAGATACCCGCCAGTTTGCGTTCCGGGATAAAGAAATAGATCATTCGACCTAAAGTCATGTAGATAAAAGCGTTGATCCCTACGGATAGATCACGTTAGATACCCAACTATCGAGTTGTTGTGGAGCAGCACGTAGAGATGCAGCTGTGTGGGCTCTCACATATAGGTGCCAAGAGGAAAAATATAACATGGAGAGTACTGTAGATATCGCTATCCTGGTGGCGTGTTTGTAGAGCTCGAAAGATAAATGCCAGTAGTTCCCACGCAGCACCCATGATCAGCACCCAAGCATAACGCTATTCAATGTGTCAGTCAAGGTACGTCTGCCAGGGCTGTTGGGAAACAGCAGACAGACCTTTTTATATATAATGGCTTGAAATATGTGTAGCATGGCGACAAGCCCATAGAGCACACAAAATAGGATGGCGGCCCCAAAGGACGGAACATAGTAAAGAATCACGTCACAGGACTCTGGTGGAAGATAACCATGCTTGCCAGGCGAGATGGTGATGCAGGCTGTGGAGGTAGAAGAGGTGACGGATGGCGTAGTAGTCGAAGCCATGGTTACTTGGATATCCACGACGATTATAAGAAAGTCAAACTATGTTGCGAGGCATCTTATGAATTGTGCCCAGTATTTAAATGTAATTCTATTCTGATGGTGATTCTATTTTTGATTGTATACGGAGTATGGAGCAGGAGGCTATTCACATCTTAAACGAGCAAACCAATCAAATTCACCAGCAACCAACACTGGAAAACACAGAGTATTTGGCCAAGCTTTGGCCAAGTTTGGGGGCCAACAGTGCGACACAATTTATCGAGTCGACTCAGCCCCATCTGATATCTTTCGGACAGTTCTGAACCCTTGGCGAGTATCTCGGCTATGTGATTGGTCAGTTCGTCTATTTGGTCAGGCTGCTGGGTTTTCCTCCATTTCAAGTGGCTCCCGAGGTCTGTTGAGGCATCCATGTTGTTTTCTCGTATGGGGGTTTTTCCCTCTCTATTCCAACCATCGTTCTGTCGCTTTTGCCTATCTCTCTTGCTCCCTCGAAGATACTCGTTGAACTTGACTTTGTCCACGGTCGGCGCTAACAGCCCAGGTGACCTCGGTTGATGCCCGGGTGTAGCGCGACCGTGCAAAATTCATACAAACCTCCTGACTCTACCCCTCACATTTGTGCCCAGAGCACTTCGTACAATGAAAGGTTTCGCTGTGACTTTGACAGTGTGGAGTTGAAGCTTGTTGAACCTGCTGGGGAATTATTTATGATCTTCGAAAGCATCTAACTTGCTCCGACTTGCCAGGTTGATGCTAAAATTTCAACGGGAAAGAAAGATATTAATTAGACGATATTTCCGAGGCTCAACAAACAAAAGCCGAAGCAAAAAAGAATGAATCAAAAACAAGTAGCGGAAGGGGAAAGGGTGAGACAAAAAGAAGCCCAAAGAAGCGGTGATGAAAGTACTGGACCGAGTACGGAGTACTTCATGCTCCGAAGCACGCAGAGCAAACTTTGACTTTGAACAAAGGCCAAGCCAAGAAGAAGCGTTCAATCTCCGATGCTAAAATGTCCAGTCACGCAAACCAGCAGGGTGACTTTGAAATTGGAACAGGCGAACAAGCCACGAGGTGGAACCATGATAGTATTTCCCTCCCCTGATATCGAGAATACTACGCTGATATCAGATGGCCGTGGAATTTTCAACGGACAACATCTGATTCTCCCAAAATCGAGTAGTTCAGAGAAACAAGGGGGTGAGGTCGGCCAATGAGAGGGACTCTGCGGCCCATGCGGCGACGCGGGGGATTCAGGGCTATTGACGATCGACAACTATAGGCGGTCCCCTCCCACGCAGAGTGGTGTCATGCAGCACATGCAATGGAAGGGGTCTCTTAGAGGCTGTTGGCATTGGGAAAAGAAAAAGAAAGATGTGTGAAGAAAAGAAAAAAAGCTATAAAGACCGTGCAGTTGGACAAAATGCCCAAATTATATCATTTTCAATTCTCATAATGGCGCGCTCAATACTCTTTGCAGCCCTAACTTTGGGTGCCGCAGCCCTTCCCGCCTCGTCCGGGATGAATAACATTAAGAACATCGTGGTCTTGGTGCAAGAGAATTTGTCATTTGACCACTTTGCTGGTGGCCTGGACTATGACTCGAGCATCGATGGCCCCCAGAACCCTCAATTCTGCAACCCCGCCAATGTTTCCCTTCCCGATTCGGCCCAGGTCTGCGCCAACCCCATCGCGAAGAACATCGCCTCCGACGACCCCAACCACAGTATATCCGGTGGTAACATGCAAGTCTTCGGCACCTATCATCCTGTCTCCGGAGCCAAGTCTTCCATGAATGGGTTCATCAGCGAGCAGCGCGCTTCCTACCCAAAGGATGACCTCAACCGGGCCGCTGAAGCAATCAACTACTTCACCCCGGACCACATCCCCGTCTTCAACTCCATTGCGCAGAACTTCGTATTGTTTGATCGCTGGTTTGCCGCCGTCCCAGGTCCCACCAACCCCAACCGGGCCTACCTGACCTCGGGCACCTCGCACGGCCACGGAAAGAACGACGACGACTTCCTGACCTCCGCACTCCCCCAAAAGTCCATCTTCGAGCAGCTCTCGGATAAGGGCATCACATGGAAGAACTATGAGAATTCGACCAAATCGGACCCTGCCTTCTTGCCAGATGCCTTGTTCTACGACTGGACGGCGAAAAACGGGAAAGACAACGTCGTGCCCATTTCGCAATTCTACACGGACGCTGAGGCAGGCAACCTGCCTCAGTTCACCTGGATCAACCCCGAGTGCTGCTCGTATATGTCCATGCATCCACCTTCTCCCATCAACATGGGCGAGAACTTCGTGAAAGGCATCTACGAGGCGGTGCGCAACTCCCCGCAGTGGAACGAAACCCTCTTCATTTTGACTTGGGATGAGCATGGTGGCTTTGCCGATCACGTTTCACCCCCTACAGATGTCCCTGCCGGTGACAGTCTGACCTACTCCGAGGCTTCTGGGGATGGCCAGGAATACACTTTCCACTTCGATCGCCTGGGAGTTCGGGTCCCAACGGTCTTGATTTCCCCATGGGTATCGAAGGGCTTGGTGCAGCACCAGCCCAGTGGAGGCAACGAGTTCACCCACACTTCCATTCTCAAGTTTGTGTCTGAGCTCTGGGGACTGGACACACTCTCCCCCCGAGTGGAATGGTCGCCTTCATTTGGAACTTTGATCACAAATAAGTTCCGAAGTGACACCCGGAGAAGCTGCCGGAGGCAGCAGACTTCTAGATATACCTGGTCGTTGTACATATTTATTTTATTTTATGAATGTCCAGTCAGGTATCTCCTACCTGGATTTATGATAATGAAGTTTTGATCTTTTTATTCTTCTCTCATGTTCCAGGTTTCTTCAAGTGATCAATAGCGTAACCTTGGAAGGACATTGCAATAAAATTACAACTCGAAACCCAGTAGGGGCGGGCGGGGGCGGGATTAGGTAGGTATGGAATACGAAATGAGGGAGGCAGCGAACGGAGAAAATTGATCCCAAGCCCTTTATTTGCGCCAAAGGTCGGAGAACCACGATCGACGGGCTTTTGTGGAATGCGATCGACGAGTGATTGCGGATTTGTGAGTGTTCACATGATCGACATCGTAAGGATTGGCATCGTAGGCAGTCTGAGTGCGTTCCAACGACGAGCGGGACAACATTGACAGAGAGTCATCAGCCGGTGTGATTTCCTCTGGGGCGTTGGCGTGACGCGGAGAACCCTCGGCTTTGGGCTCAGGGAATCTTTCATCCCCCGCTTCCTGAACCTTCGCCTTCTGAGCCAAGGTGCGCATGAAACTATCCGCCTCCGCAGCATATTTGCATCTGCGACGAATCACAGGCCCGTAGTGATAGAAGATGAATGGAAAAGGCGCACAAGCAAGAGACAAGAATGCGGGGATGCACGACGCCCAGTGTATTCCAAGGTTCTCGTACATGTATGTTGTGAACAGCGGAAATGCAGCGCCGAAGCATGATCGAATGATCGAGTTGGCTGCGAGAACAGACGCAGCATAGATTGTGTATGAGTCAATGAGATAGTTCATGATTCCAAGAAAAACAAGGACCATGCCAAATCCAAATGGAGCCGTTGCCAGCACACTCACTATCCATGGGATAGATTCGGAGTTTGTCCATGCGAACCAAAAAAGCCCGACTGGGATCGCTAGGCCACCCCACATGGTGGGAGGAAGCCGAGCTTCGGGCGGTGCAAATCCGCCGTGTGCTTTATGGATACGTACATAGCGTTTATTGTCGTACATATTCAAACCGACAGCCGTCATCATGCCAATCATGACCGCAAGGAATGGAAGACTTCCAACACCCTCACTCCAGCCACGGATATTCTGGAAGACGATAGGGAATGCATCAAACAGCATGTAAAGTGTACCATAGACAATAGCCATGTAAAGCGAGAGTAGTAAGACAATGGGTTCCGAGAACAGCAGGATCCACGGGCGCGACAGTGCCGCAGTGAAGGCATCTCGAGCTGATACCCGACCACGATCAATCTCAACCTTGCTACGGTAGACATGGCCAGTGAGGGCAGACAAACGACCTGCCCTTTTGGCGAGCAAGAGAGGAGCATACGTTTCAGGGATCATCAGACCCTGCACGATCCAAATCAAGCCCGTAAAGACGGCCAAGAACACCTGAACCCATCGCCAGCCAAGAAAATGATTGGCCGTCCCATATTCACCCAAAAATCCCCCAATCACCGGACCCAAGGTGGGCCCAAGGAAGGGGGCTCCTGCGAAAAGACTTGTCGCAAGTCCACGCTGATCCGCAGTGAAGATATCGGCAATTACACCTCCGGCATTGGTAAGTGGAGAAGAACCGAAGGAACCAGCGAAGAATCGTAGAATGATCAAAGTCCACACATTTTGCGAGCCGATTGCGCCGGCACAGAAGGCAGACAGGGAGAGGAAGGTTACCAGAAACACGGTCTGGCGACCGATGAGTTCACAGAGGGGTGCCCAAAGTAGTGGACCAACGGCAAACCCAAGCACAAACAACGATACACCTAGCGTGGCCATCTCTTCACTCACGTCGAACTCTTTGATCACTTCACTGATACTGCCAGCATAGGCCGAAGAGGCCATTGACACCGCAAACGTGGCAAAGGCGACAATGATAGTGTATGTCCATTTGAGGCGAGTGTCAAAACTCATCGGGTTGCGTGGATCATGCGGAATCCATTCAACCACGAAAGGATCTTCTTCTGTTCCTGATCCCACGTATGGATATTGAATGATCTCGGGGGTGACCACACCCTGATCGGTCAGGATTCGCCAATAGGGGATCCGTTTTGGGCGCGACGCTTCGAAATCGGTCGCCATGATGAACAGACCAGGGATGGCGGAGAGAGGTGGGAGCAAAATCCCACGCGCGGTGACATGATCGGCTTGGCGATGAAAACGAGTTCCATGATTACCACATGGGCATGTTACACCATTGTACAAGTAGCTCATGGGTGTATCCACCGTGTGGACTGACCAAGCCTAGTATCCAGTCAAGGTTCGGCTCAGTCTTCGGCAAGCCGAGGCGACATCATCGTTTTGATTTGCTGCTGGGGGACCGCGGTTGAGAAGTGGAGTTTTGTTATTGTATTTCTTTGTTGTGTCTTGGTACTCCGTACGTATCCAAGAGTTTGCAATAACAGGTACGCTGAATCAGCCAAGCCGAGAAATTTGACCGAGAGTCAGGGGCTGATAGGAGATTCCATGTTGAATCCCAGTTGAAGTGGTTTCGCAATTTCGGCACTTGGAGGCGTGAACTGCCGGGCTTCCCCTCAAGCCTCAGGCACCCAATTCAGCAGAACGCGCTTGACCGAAAGGCGTACTCCGTACTCCGTACTCCGTAGTCATAGTTGAAGTCTGTACGTAGGACGGGGGTAGTGCAACCATTGTGGAATTTCTGGCAGTCGAAGCGAAACGCGAGGGAGACGATTTAAGTAGTTTGCATGGTTTGCATGGTTTGCATGGGTCCTTGTGTTGATCTTCGGCAAATCGTCATCAGCTTACTTCGTACGGAGTACAATGCGCAGTCGAAAAATGGCAGCCTATATGCGACCTGCAGAACCATGACGGAGTAACATCCGGAAACATTTCTGGCTTGATGCATCCTAGCCTTCTCAATTTGAGACAGGAGCCAACCGTGGCCGGGGCGGCACGTCGCGGAGAAAGCTTCTTTCGGTCCCATTCCACGAATGGAATTGCTTGACTAAAATGCAGCCGCCCTCCCATTCGTGGCAATTTCTACATCTCTCCCTAAGCGATGTCATATCGAGATGTCGATCCCCAAAATGAGACAAGCAAACTTGCAGCGAGTCAATTTGTCCGTTTGCTTTGACCATGGCATTGGAGGGTTCAATCTCTCCGATCAATCTTCCTACGTGGAGGAACTGGCAAATTTCCCGCCGTGGAAAGATCAACAATCCCAGGAATATCAAAGGTATAATTAGAGAATGAATCGATCTGTTGAAAGAGCAGTTTCCACGTCGATACAGCGCGCAATATCGACTTCAGTCTCCCTCAGCCTGACGGCAATCATTGTTCTACCACGGTTATGAAATTAAAGCTCCTTGCCATCGGTCTCTTCGGAGCTGTGATAGCGCATGCAATCCCTGATCCAGCCAAAGCCCAGGTTACGGCAGCCCCGCATCTGGAGCAGCGGGCAACAAGCTGCACCTTCTCTGGGTCGAATGGTGCCTCATCAGCGAGCAAGTCAAAGACTGCTTGTGCCACAATTGTACTTTCGGCAGTTGCAGTTCCATCTGGGACCACACTGGACTTGACTGGGCTAAATGACGGGACCACTGTACGGGAGTCAACTATCGGTTCGCATGACCATGCTGCTGACACTACTCCTGCGTAGGTAATATTCGAAGGCGAAACGACGTTTGGGTATAAGGAATGGGCAGGACCCTTGATATCCGTCTCCGGCACCAAAATCACCGTCAAAGGTGCTTCCGGTGCAACACTCAATGGCGATGGTAGCCGTTGGTGGGATGGCGAGGGCTCAAATGGCGGCAAAACCAAGCCCAAGTTTTTCTATGCCCACAAGATGTCGTCTTCCGCCATCAGCGATATTCACATCGTCAACTCACCGGTGCAAGTCTTTAGTATCAACGGCGCAACAGACCTCACACTCAGCGATATCACCATCGACAACAGCGACGGCGATACGCAGGGGGGGTCACAACACAGATGCATTCGACGTGGGATCGAGCACCGGAATTACAATTACCGGTGCGACTGTCTACAACCAAGATGACTGCTTGGCAATCAACTCAGGAACGGTACGACCACAATCACTGTGGGTATCGAAGTGTACGCTGACATCAAGCACTAGGACATCACGTTTACCGGCGGTCTTTGCTCGGGTGGACATGGCTTATCCATTGGCTCTGTGGGTGGACGCAGTGACAACGATGTCGCCAATGTTGTGATCGAGAGTTCGGAGGTCAGAGATTCTCAAAATGGTGAGTGCATGTGTACCCACTGATACATGCTGTATCCTAATATCTCGTGTAGGTGTACGGATAAAGACAGTCTACGACGCAACTGGATCTGTTAAGAACATCACCTACAAGGACATAACGCTTTCGGGCATAACAAAATACGGAGTTGTCATCGAACAGGACTATGAGAACGGCAGTCCCACTGGCACCCCAACTGATGGTGTACCAATTACCGACCTTACTCTGGATGGTGTCGGGGGCTCCGTAGAAAGCGGTGCGACAAACGTCTACATTCTTTGTGCTACAGGAGCATGCTATGATTGGACCTGGAAAAGCGTCAGTGTGACCGGCGGAAAGACGAGCAGCGCCTGTAAGAACCTTCCCAGTGGCGCCAGTTGCTGAGCCATCCAGGTCATATGAATGGGGAGCTTTTCAAATGTCAAGTCCAATGGAGGTTTATTAGCACCCTCGTATCTTGTACATTGTCCAACGCGTCCCCAAACCCCAGGAAATTTTCCTTAATTGGATAACGTAATCGGTAAGCGAGTCGCCATTGTAAGCGAGTCGCCATCCGCCCCAAAACGCGTCCATGAATTAGAACTTAATTAATTCAACCACCCACCATGCCACCAATTCGCTCTCAAACCTCAAAAAATTCAGCTGAACAAGAGGGTAGGATCTTATTAGCTATCCAGGCTATCAAAAAACAAGAAATAGCCACAATTGCCCTCGCTGCTCGTACGTTTAACGTGTCGTGATCTACTTTACGTGACTGTCTCTTCGGTCGTATTGAACGAACTACTACACGCGCAAATTTAACTAAATTGACTGAAATTGAAGAGGAATCTCTTCGAAAATAGATCCTTTTATTTGATGATCATGGAGTAGCGCTTCGGTCTATTACTGTACGAGAAATTGCGAATATTCTATTTGTAGTGTGTGAAACTATACCAGTTTAAATAGTTAGTAAAAAATGGATTTACAATTTTGTAAAAAGGTATCTTGAGCTTTCAAATCGTTTCTTAAGATATTATAATTATAAGCGGGTAAAATATGAAGATCTAAAGATTATTAGTGAATAATTTATACTTATTTAAAAAACCATTTTTTAATATGATATTAATAATAATAATATTTATAATTTTAATAAGACTAGTTTTATAATAGGATTAATAGTAACTGTAAAAGTTATTATAAGAAGTGAATACTATAGTCGACGATCATTTTTATAATTAGGAAATTGCGAATAGATAACTACTATTAAATATATAAATATTTTAAAATAGGCGCTTTCTCTATATATGATTTTTAAAAGGAAAATTTTTATTGAATCTTGATTCAATAATTTTCTAGATATTTAGAAATTTAAAATTAGCCTAAACGGCTAGATATCTAATAAAATTGGTTTTTGATAGCTTAAAAAACTATTTATTCTATTAACTTCTTTATGTGTGAAAAGATAATATCAATTTTTAATCTTTAATAGTTATAGAAGTTATTTAACCTCAAAATTCGATAAATTTTGTAAAAAAAATGATATTATTTTAATCTATATACTTATATATTTATCTTATCTTTTATAACTATTTGATATTAGTTATTTTATGATGTTAAAATATTTATATAGTCGGATAGTTAAAATAAAAATATAAAATGAGATTAATTATATTGATAAATTTGATTTCCTTAAAATATATCTTTTTATTTAAAATAAAATATTTAAATTAGAGACTATTAAAAATAGTTTTATAGTTACTAGTTTAGTATCTTTTTTTCTAGATTAGGTATTATTAAAACTTAATATTCGTTTTCGAACTCTAATTTCCTTAATAAGCTAGGGTAGTAAATTAAATTAGAATTTTAGTTTAAAAACCCTTTTTATCAAGAAATAACTTCGTTGATAAACTTCATTAATTAAAACTTTACTTTGTACAGGCTCTTGAAATCTATCGAGTCTATTAAAACGCGTATTAAACTAACTTATTAAAGATTGTTAACTCGCGTTATAAGGTATTACAATTTTAGCTAAAGAAAATAGTGAATTACGTGCTGCCAATAAGAAGCAAAAACAAAAGCAGACTCAATCGAACAGACAAATAGCTCACGAAGGGGATCTCTCAGTTCAGGAGATTCGTAAATTACGTGTAGAGCCAATTGAGATCCAAATAGCCCGCATTACTCGAGCTCGTAAGCAGATCTCGAGACCTTTACAGCCCCGAACAAGGGCATTACCGAAATGCGGTGCATGTGGAAATCAGGGTCATAGAAAAAATGCATGTTCCAATAGTGCTACAGTTTAGCTAATTGAATTTAATGGAGTTTTGGTTAAGAAAACTGCATTTAAAATAAATGGTATATGGACAGATGGCGACTCGCTTACAATGGCGACTCGCTTACCGATTACGTTAGTTAGGAATGTGATGTCTGATTTCGAAGGCTTACGTCTTTGCTGGGCGTGTCTTCAACTCAATACATACGAAGAGATCCATCGTGACTATGCTCATGAGTATGTGTATCTCTAAAACTATGGTGAATTGGTGGATGAGCGGGGGAAGTCGCCCACTAATATTTTACAATAAAAACAGATGACGGGTATGTCTGAACGTGCGTTGAGGCGGGGCATTATTCACACTTCGCTGAAGATGTGCACCGATGAAGAGATATCCGGATTTTAAAGGCTTGAAGATCCAACAAATAAAGCTATATGGTGACTGAAGATGAATGCTCGACAGTTGCAAACCTGACACCACGCCAGGCGTGATCGAAAAGCTTGCGTGGGCAGGAACTTGGAATGTTGCAGGCGAATTGCCCCCTCCCCTCCCATCTCCCGGCAGTCATTCATGCTCAGTCAGAGAGACATGAATGCTCCCCGCTGACAATGATCCAGAAGTAGGTTTCTTTCCTCGGTTCAATCTTGGAACAGGCACTTGACGTTCTGGGTCAGCAGAAACCATTTCACTAAGAGTTTGGTGATGCTTTTTCTACAATTTGGGTTTCTACACTATGTAGCTACCAGTCTGCACTCAGCAAGGATAATCTGTCTCCACTCTTTTCACCTGAATTCTTCTCCCTTGCCGGACATCTCTACCAATGACAGTGGGTCGGATACTTATGTATCATCAACTTAGAGCCTTCTGAGCTCTCCACGCTTTGCAATGATTCTGATCAACATTCCATTGCCAAGCTAGGCATTTAAGTGGGTAGCTTATGCAGCTGCTCAGTGGGGCAGGTTTTGACACTGTTGACATTTCGCCATTTCGCTTGGTCCAGTGCTGGAGCAGATCCCGCATTTGATCGACACAGCTTCAATTCAGGCCGAAATACAACGAAGTTCTCCTATGCGACAAACGTGTCTACAAAGCTCATATACCAAAAGATTGAAAATATGTGATGTGTGAAAGAGGTCCAATGGAAATGAAACTCAAACGACACAACAGCACAGCGATGAACTGAACATGTGATTGACCAAGCCGTCCTAGTTAGCACATCTAGGGATCCAACATCACATTACTGGGACCCGAACTTCCTGGATTCCAGGTATGTATGTGCCTCTGCAAAAGATTCTGGCACGCCAATTGGTAGATTCTTTCCAAGGAGATTTTATTTCGTCATGCTGCTAGCTGCCGCTAGCTTATTTGGCCCCCCACGCTGATCTTGGCTGCTTTGGCAAAAAGTCCTTTCTGTGATAAAGAGTCCCATGGAAGCCTATGCTAGGTTCTTCATGCACATATATCTCACTCTGAGAACACCCAGACGAAACATCGGTATAGCGTCTTGCAAGATCAGAAAGTTATCAAGACACGATGGAATCCAAGGAGTATCCTACCAGCCTGACTAGCCAAAGCACACCGTCTGATCAACAATCCGACACCCAAATAATACTAGAAGACAAAGACTTACCTCCGGTCGATGGAGGTCCTCAGGCATGGCTCTTCCTGATCGCCTCGGCAATGCTTGAGGCCTTGGTCTGGGGTAGGTACCAACCGATCATTCCGCGCTTGGTCAGGTTCGAGCTGACACATTTCAGGCTATGCATTTGCGTTTGGGATCTTCGAGGACTACTACAGCACGCATGAACCATTTCAAGGATCGGGGAGCATCGCCAGCATTGGAACTTGCGCAATGGTGGGTTTGAGTCAATGGTAAATAGTGTACGGGTCTGACTTCTGACATGCATACAACAGGGCATTGCATATCTATTGGCCCCATTGGCCATCATCCTGATGATCTTAGTTCCCAAGATTTCGCGCTGGGTTTCGAGCATTGGAGTCGTGATAATGTGCTTGTCACTGGCACTGAGCTCGTTTTCGACGAACGTTACACATCTTCTCTTATCTCAAGGCATCGGATTCGGCATCGGTGGCTGCTTAGCCTACACGCCAACGATTCTCTTCATGTCAGAGTGGTTCGTCAAGCGGAAAGGTCTTGCGTTCGGCGTGGTTTGGGTGAGTAAACGATATTGTGCTAGATGTGACCAACATGGTTCCAAATGGACACTGGCTAATCGTTCACAACAGGCCGGATCTGGTGTATCGGGTATCATATTCCCCCTGGCGATACAGTGGCTTCTCGGTAAATATGGTATTGCAGCAACTCTTCAAATTTCGTCGGTGACATTGTTCATCCTTGCAATGCCGTTCATCTACTTCCACCGGCCGAGATTGACAACCACGGAAATCGCGTACCATCGTCTCAACTTTCGTTTCTTATACAACAAAGTCTTCATCATTTATCAGCTTGGAAACACTTTGGAAGCAATTGGTTTCTTCCTACCCACAATTTATCTGCCGAAATTTGCGCGCAGTCTAGGGGCCAGCGACTTCATGGCCTCCTTAACGGTAACACTGGTGAACCTTTTCCAGGTCTTTGGGTCAGTCCTGATGGGCTTCCTCTCTGATAGGTACCACATCTCGACGTGTATCTTGATCTCCACGGTTGGGACCGTTATTTCTGTTTTCTTTATATGGGGCTTTGCCACAAGCATCCCTCCCCTCTATATATTCTGTGTTGCCTACGGTCTGCTCGCGGGTGGCTTTTCCTCCACCTGGGCTGGTGTATCCAACGAGGTCCAAAAGGCTAACCCCTGCGCAGACGCAACTGTCATTTTCCCATTCATGGAAACTGGCCGTGGGATCGGCAATGTCGTCAGTGGTCCGTTGAGTGAAGCCTTACTCAAGGGGTATCCTTGGAAGGAGCGTGCTGCAGGGGCATACGGAAGCGGTTATGGCACACTGATAGTGTGTACCGGTGCCAGTGCACTGATGGGCGGGATTTGCGTAGTTGCGCGCCAGTTCAAGTGGATATGATTGAGCCATGAACTCGTTGTTTTTCATTTGGAAGACTGTTATGATTGTTTGCCTAGTTGCGACGAAAAGGACATACCTAGCACCTGAATCAATATCTATATATTTGAATGGTTGATGTGTCAAACTCCGAGGTCCACGGGTCCCGAGGCCGGCTTTGCAAATAGTGTAGGTAGCTTCACTGAACTACTGAACAATGCTGTGCGCTAATAGTGAGAGATAGTAAATGCATCCCGGATAGCTCGACGAGTGGTTGTGGCCCAGCCCCAGACTCTCTTGTACCACGCCTTCGGGGGAGAGACTTCCTTTTCAAAGTGCAATCGACCAGTGTCGAGATCAGCATCAACCGAGCGCACGAATGATGTACGATAGAAGATCTTGTGTCCAATATAGAGCACCACAAAGACAATGGGACATATATAAGCGACAAAGAAGTCCGTCACTCGGAAATGTGGGATAAAGGCAGTGAAACCCTGGGTAAGCGCAATGAGAATGTTGAAAAACAATCCGTACCAGGCCAAATATGGCTGCAAGATAGCCTTGTAAGGGAGAGAGTCACGAGAGATACCCCGAGTTGCCAAAGCACGCATGAATGCAATATGGCAGGCGTTAATGGAAGCCCAGGTGACGAAACCTGCCACGCTAGAAAGATTCACCAGCCAATTGAAGACTTGGCCAGCGTCGTTGGAAACATTCATGAAACCCAGAAGACCGAATAAAGCAGTGAACATCACGCTGACGTATGGGACACCAGACTTAGTCACCCAACCGAAGCAGGAAGGGGCAAATCCTTCGTTTGCCAGCCCAGTCAATATTCTGCTACCGCTGTAAACGTTGGAATTCGCAGCCGATAAGACCACGGTCAGGAGAACCGCATTGATCAGGCTGGGAAGCACCTTCACACCTGCCAAATCAGCCGCAATAACCATTGGGGATGATGAGGCATTAGTGGTTGTGGTAGCAAGTCTCGGGTTGTCATAAGGAACTACAAGCCCAATGAAGAACATCGTTAAAACGAAGAAGAGAAGGATCCGAACAAATGTCTTGCGGATAGCAGAGGGAACTGTCTTCTGAGGATTTTCGGTTTCTCCCGCAGCGACACCGACCAGTTCCGTACCTTGATAGGAAAATCCGGCTTGAATCAAAACCGCCCAGAATCCAACAAACTTGCCGACGGATTCCGGTGTGTCGATGAGATATGTTGCAAAGGCTCCGGGGCTGTGCCAGTACTTGAAGCCCAGATACCCTTGATCTCCAACTCCGCGGTCGATGCATATCGCGAAGATCATGAACCCAATCACAGTAGCCACTTTGATAGTGGAGAACCAGAATTCCAACTCGCCATAGAAACTGACGGGGAGGAAGTTCAGAGCTGTGATAAAGACCCAAAAAACTCCAATGAAGATAGCGATGTTCAAGCTCGGATCCCAGTATTGAATGATTGTTCCCGTGGCGGTTAATTCAACAGCGAATGTGGAGGCCCAGTTGAACCAGTAGATCCAGCCCATAGAGAAGCCGAGGCTGGGATCAATCAAGCGGGCAGCGTAGGAGGTGAAAGCGCCGGGAATGGGGATGAAGGTTGCAACTTCACCCAAGGAGCCCATTACAGAATAAACGATGGAGCCGACAAAGAGATAGGCGATTAATGCGCCTGCCGGACCGGATTCGGCGATAGCGGTGCCACTGGAAATAAAGAGACCTGTAAAAGTTAACGCCCGTCAAAACTCCGAGCTAATATGGTATCGCACCTGTGCCGATGGTTCCACCTGGAGGACAATCCTGTTAGCAATCGCCGATTGTTGGCAGAAAATGCACTTACCGATCGCAATCATCTGCAAATGTCTGCTCTTCAGCTTGCGCTTTAGCTCCCGAGGATTAGAGTCACCATTGTAGCTCTGCTCGGCATCGGACTTCTTGGTATCCCGGAAGACATTCTCTGGCTGTGCGGAGATGGATGCAGACGCAGAGTCTTTGGCGTCAACTGAGTTCTCGTGAATAGCCATATTAGACTACCGTGAAAATCAGATCAAATCGTGATGATAGTTCCCATTTATCGTAGGATGTTATTGAAGAGCTATTTTTTTTTTCTTTGGAAGAGCTCCAAATTCCGTTTTCGCTTGAACACTCGGTGGGGTTCTTTAGGACGTGGAGAAATTTTCTTCTTAGGTAAATCGGCCCATTCGGAAGGCAAAGACATAGTGGCGAGACTCGGAAGATTGCCGAAACTTGGATATATGAATATTGTAATAGAGTACTCCGTATTAATGTTTCATCAAACGTTTCTTTGGATCTGAACAGTCATCTAGCATGTAAAGGGGGGGTTTCAACCTCATAGGCACATGAGCTCATAAGCTTCATGCCGACGATTCCAGTGGGTCTCTTCCTAAGGCCGCAATTGGTGGGAGATACTGAGAGTCAAAAAAGTCAATCGGACCCTACGAGGAGTCTCCATGAACTTGGAAGTAGGTCAAATGGCAAAGAAGGGACCAAACGATGTTCGCCACCTGGATGAGAGATTGACTTGGACCGTCCGGGCTCAAATTGCGAAATGAACCCGTTTCATACTCCGACATGGAGTTAGGTATTGATCCATAGTCGTCTGTGTTCCCATCATCCTCAACCCGGGTCTTACATGCACTCATATTTTGGCTTTTGACTCCTGGAGGCGCTCAGCCGACTTCATATTCTTCTGAGGGCCTGCAAACCCAAACAGAAATGCGCCGATCTTGCGCATCTGAATCTCCTCCGCCCCTTCAGTAATCCGATAACGACGGAAATGACGATAGATGTGCTCAAACGGATAGTGGCGAGAGTATCCGTCACCTCCATGAATCTGACTACATAGTCAGTGATGTTCGAGATGATTGTATCCAAGGGGGGAAAGGGGGGACCCACTTGGATTGCGCGGTCGGCCGCTTGACAACATAACCGATTTGCCCAGAAGTTACACATGGCCACCTGGTCACTTAGTCGACGTTCAATGGCGGCCCATGGCGAGACCTGCCCGTTGAGCTCACAGTCGGTCACAATGCGATCCATCTCCCAACTGGTCTTGAATATAAACAGTTGCAACATCTTCACCTGGGTCATCAGCTCAACAACAGGAAACTGAATGGCTTGGTTGTCCGCCAGCGTCTTGCCATCGCCCCAAACCTTTCGCGCTCGGGCGCGTTCGATGCTTCGATCCAGGCAATACTGTGCGGCCCCACAGGAGCTAGCTGCCTGGCGAAGTCGGTTCTCATGAACGAACGTCTGAGCGATGGCTAGACCTTCGTCGATGCATCCTAAAACCGCCGATTCAGGCACCCATGCCCCGTCCAGCTCCACAGTCGCATGATCGGTCGGCATGTTGAGTGTCCACTCATAACTGGAGATCCGAACCCCTAATGTTTCACGAGGGACCAGGAACGCAGTGATACCTTGTGCCGAACCTGGGCTGCCAGATGTCCGCGCGAAAATGAGAAAGTGTGTACAACGATGGGCTCCTGTTTGCCACTTCTTCACACCATTTATTTGGAATCCTGCGCGAATTCGGCAAGCTGTAGTCGACATGAACGTGGCGTCACTGCCATGGCCCGGTTCTGTAAGTCCAAATGTCGTTCGAAACTCTCCACGCAGACGTGCATCAATAAAAGTCTGTTTTTGCTCGGCATTACCAAAATGGTGAAGCATGAGTATGTCAGGAAAGTTCCCAACTACGCTATGTTCGTTCTGTAGGTCATTTGCAAGTCCTAGGCCCCCGCCGTACACAGGATGCGAGGATAGATGGCAACGAATAACCGACATCCACAGGTTGGTATTCGGATGCGACTGTCCTCCATAGGCGCGAGGCAGAGCGAATCTGTAAAACCCCGCATCGTCGGCCATTGTGCGAGCCTTGTCTGCCATGAAGAAAACAAATCAGCCCTTGAAACTTTCTGGGCCTAGTGAGAACCACCTAGCAGATCTTCCCATTCTTTTCTTGGTTTCCCACCGTTGTCCCAGTCGGTCCGCGCATGCTCTCGGCGATGATCGAAGAATCGATTGTTGTCACCGAAGTGCTGAAGTGGCAACAGTGTGGACTGAATAAAGGTATCCAGAGATTCCAGGTAAGATTTGAGGTCGGCTGGGATATCGAAATTCATCTTAGTGATATAGCGGAGGAAACGGAGTCGTAAGTAGAGCTTGAGTCGGGGTCAGAGTAGCTTCCAAGCTTTGAGCCTTCCCCGCATTCGGACCTCGGCGATGGGACTTTTGCATCGTGTGAGACAAGGAAAAGTTGGGACTTGGGGGTTAGATCAGGAGTATATTAGTTGGCGTCAATTCCGTGGAAGAGTGAAGAGTGAAGAGTGAAGAAAAGGAAGAGAAAAGGTCGATGGGGGTGATGAGATTACCAGCTCCAAGGCCTGATATCCCAAGCATGAATTTACTCACTACTCCTTACTCCGTACCTACGGAGTGAATTGTTACTACCTACCATCCATGGTTGGAAACAGATCGCTTTGTCCATGCACTGGCACATATCGGGCAAGTTTTACTGTGATAAAATATTTGAGAGGATTGTCAGATGGATGTGTACGGAGTAGAGAGTGCGTAAGTTGCACAAATTTAGTGTGAAGAGCCAAAAGGCAAAAAACAGTACTTCTGTCAAAGCCCGTGGCTGCCAGATTGGCGAGGCTCCCGCAGGATACTTGACCCAGAGCTCACCCAGAACTTCACCTTCCCCCACTCTCTTCTTGTCTCCTGGGGTCTCCCACAATAAATGACATTTCAATAGATTCCTCTTCTCGTGCTCTGCATAACTTCAAATATCGGACGGTACGAGGGTATAGGGTATATTGGAAAAACATTTCACTATTCCACGCCCTGGGGCCCGGCAATGCGATGACCTGCAGGACTCGAGACCCGTTACGGAACACCCGACATCTCGGAACAGGTAGTGAAAGTCCTGAAAATCCAGCTATTTGGGCTGCCTTCTGACCTGCAGTGGATGCAATTGCCTTAGAAATTCTCGTATTCGGTTGATACCGCAGCGCAAGGTTGCACACTATATATACTCCGTACGCAGTAATACGAGCACGTATCAGCAATAAAGGAGCCATTGACAGCCTATTTGTGTGTACCCTAGACCCACAGAAACAGGATAAACTCCTGACAAAACGAAGGACCTTGTGTCCGGGATTACACATGCAATTCTATTCCTATTTTCCCTTCCAACCCCTAGCACATGTCATATTCGTCTATCCCGCTTCGGATCCACTTTTGTGTGGGGAAGTAAGACTCCTTCTTGTCTACTCTGTACTCCGTGCTCCTCTCTCCTTTCATGTTGTCTCTCTGCCGAGTTGGCAATCTTATTATAATAGATGTTTCCCCTTATCTTCTATATTGAGTGGCTCTTCTATCTGTGTGTGGCGGGTTCGTGAGTGATTCCACACTTTGGGGCTTTCTAATGGCCCGGATGAAGGCAGTGCTAGTTTGGCGTACTAATGAGAACTCGGCGACCGTAGTGTCGAATGAGATAGGAGAAGATATTCAAAATTTCATGATTCAGAATTTGTGAAAAATGGCGTTGTGTGAATATTTTGACATTTCCGCCATACCAAAAAGAGGCGTGCTACTCGCACGCTCATTTGATACAAGTATACGGAGTACGATCCACCGCATTGACTCCACACACCCCTGAAGAATAGGACCAAGTAGTATTCCGTACTCCGGACAGACCAAGCGGTACTACTCAAGCTTGTAGGAGTAGGAGAAAATTCTATAGTACATGACCAAGGAGACGGGGAGAGATACAGCGAGCGGGTTTTCCCTCCTTTCCACTCCTTAAATCAAGAGTCTCAGCGCTTTGTCCCCGCGGGATAGGATGGAGCTTGGAAGGTTCCACCAAGGACCCGTGCTCAAGAAAGAGTTTGGAGGATTACTATTTCAGGCCGCTGCTCTGGAGAAATTTAAGGACTGGACCCGGTGTTAAGGCCTACATTGTCGAAATTCAAGGTTGGCGTTCGTAAAAGCCACTTTTAAGGTCACGGCAGTGCCGCGATAGGCTGGGGAACTCTTGCTAATACGTAGCGCCCCAGATGTTCCCACGTAGCTCTGCTCTACACATGGTTCGTACTTTGCAGTAGGACGGCATACATAACACGGAACCAGCACAGTGGTTCCCAATCAGCGCTACGCCCAACTCAAGCCTAGTGGTGAAATGTCTTTTTTCTGACAGAGATTGGGCTACGCCGTACCCCGTACAAGACTCAAATATAAGAAGAACACCAGATCTTGGACGACAAAAGCTTACATCGACTCACCTGCCAGACCACACATTTCGATATTTGAAGTTAAAACGAATCATGGCGTGGTGGACTATCGCTGTCACGGAGCCCACGCTCGTGTGTAGCATGGCGGGGGTGCTCTATTTGTTCGGGTTAGCGATATATCGGCTATGGCTATCACCACTCGCTCAATTTCCAGGCCCGAAGCTTGCGGCTCTGACGATGTGGTACGAATTTTATTTCGACTCATTCCTGGGTGGACAATACACATTTCAAATTGCTCACATGCATCGCAAGTATGGCCCAATTGTTAGAATCAGCCCATTCGAACTGCACATCGATGACCCGGACTACTATGAAGTTTTGTACTCCCGCGACAAGCCACGTAACAAATCTCTGCATTTGACTGGTATGTTTGGTGCACCGGCTTCGGCTTTCGGGTCGGTTGATCACCGTCGCCATCGCATGCGCCGTCAACCTATGAACCCATTCTTTTCCCAGCAGCGAATTCGAACGTTGGAGCCAATGCTTCGAGCTATGGTCGGAAAGCTGTGCACAGGTCTACGAGCTTGGAAACAAAAAGACAGACCGCTTCATATGTATCATGCATTCAATGCCTACACAACGGACGTGGTGGTGGAGTATGCTATGGGCGAATCATTTCACTACCTTGATGATCCGGACTTTACCCCACAGTGGTCGAAGACCATTGAAGCCATTGTGGAGGTAGGTGTGCAGTTCAAACAATTTCAATGGGTCATTGGCCTGTTTGAATTGCTTCCACGATGGGTTGTAGTACTCATCAACCCGGAAATTGGCCCTGTAATTGACCAGAAAGTTGAAAGCCTGCGACTTGCAAACCAAATAATCGACAGCCAGGCCACAGGAAACAACCGGACAACCGTGAAATCAGATTTACCAAAGACCACACTATTCCATGCATTACTGGACAGCAAGTTACCCGCAGAGGAGAAGCGGCCCGGCCGCATAAGTCAAGAAGTCTTTACTGTCATATCTGCAGGTGGAGAAACCACTGCGAAAAATTTGTCTACGCTCACTTTCCACCTTTTGAACAACCCCGGCAAGCTGCAGCGACTACGAGACGAGTTGAGTCGGTTAGATCCAGATGGAACGGCATCTCTGGTGGAATATGAGACGATGCCCTATCTGGTATGCTTAGATATCCGTGCTCTGTTACACCCAGCATTGCTTTGAAACTCACAATTTTTAGACCTCTGTCATGCTCGAGGGTCTGAGGTATGCATACTCTTTGTTTCTCAAGCTACTTTTACACTCTTTCCTTATTACAGCCATGGAGGGCTTCGTCATTACTATTTGCTAATTCAGACCAATTAGAATGACTAATGCTGTTGCGACAAGGCTTCAGCGTAGCTCACCGGATGAAGTCATGATATACAAAGATTGGGTCATACCCCCTGGCGTAAGTTCATGGAGTCTGATGCTCAGTGTTGATTTTGCTGATTGTAGTAAACAGACGCCGGTTGGTATGACAAGTATGTTTTTGCATAACAACGAGGATATATTTCCCAATGCGCAAAGCTTCATCCCAGAGCGATGGATGGATACTGAGCAACGAAAAGCTCTAGAAAAGTATCTTGTCCCATTCAGCAAGGGCTCAAGACAGTGTGTTGGCATCCCGTGCGTAGCAAATCACCAATGATGAATTTCGAACTGTTGAGCTAACATCAAGTATCAGCCTCGCCCGAGCAGAAATTCTCTTGGCCGTTGCCACGATTTTTCGAGAATTCGAGATCGAGCTCTACGAGACTACGATAGATGACGTGCGAATAGTACGAGATATGTTTAACGGCCACCCGATGAAGGGAAGCCAAGGCGTCCGTGTGATGATCCAGGGGTGGAATGGGCCTCCTTCGCGAGGTACGAAATCGTGAGAAATGGAACCCCCGTGATTTGCGTTCTTCCGTCAACGCTATTTCAATCCATGAAGAGCTGGAAGGTACCTTTGACAGAGAGGCGGATGGTCGAGCTGGTCAATTATTTCCTAGGTTGTTCTGTTCCTAACAAGATACGATCTGCTTGGGTGCAAGAAGTCTCTGCATCCAACAGTATCGCTGTCAGAATTGAAAGAGAAATTTAAACCAGATCAAGAAGTAATCTTACGAAATATCAAGAAGAACAAGGAGGAATTAAAGAAGCGTATTGAGGAGAGAGCAGACATACATATACAAGAATTAGTATATTATGAGACGAGGAGAGGAAGGAGAGAGAATGTGTTCGGTGATGTTTGCCTGGTTTGTCAGGCTCGCGGCAGAGTAGATAACTAGCGCAAATGGAGAGAGCTACACTCTGTCCCTCTTCTTCTTCTTCTTCTTCTCGTCTCCTGCAATATTACGCTATCACACATGGCTGTTTGCGGTTTTCCCGTCGATAGAATATAATCAAGAGATCAATACGGAGTATAGAAGGCTTGGCACCAGAAACCAGGTCATATACAGGACAGGTCGTGATTTGAAATCAAGGCCCCTTTGGTAATGCCCGAGAAGAAAAGGTTTAAAAGTTGGAAATTAATCCGACCAATGGGCAAGAACACGGCAAAGTTGGGCTCAAGCCCCTTGCCTGTGCTACTTTCCACATTCTTTAGTTACTATTCAAATACTTCTCAAGGCAAAGTTACGACTAGGTTCTAGGATTGACCAGGTCCATTTGCTGAATCCTCGATGTGGTCTAGGGCTCAACATCTGATTTCAGATGACTTGGTCCCAAACCCAGATAGCCGGGCTTTTTCAGGAACATGTGGGGCTTCTGCAAGCTGGGTTGAGTGTGCTTCAGCCAACAGTCCTCAATTGGTGCCATTGACTTTGTCTCATCTGTTTCCCCGAGCTGGATGAGCGTTTGACAGGCATATTACTGATGAGCTAACACGCCATCTGGAAGCGCTTGTGAATTTCCGTAATCGGGATTGCATACCGTGATAAATACTCTGTAAACGATTTTCCGACCATACAATATTAAAATTTATCAGAAAATAAATTGAGAGAGTCTATCAAATCCAATGGAGAGTTTGTCTTCAGAACCGAGGTCAGGTTTGCATTGTGGGACAACGCTTTGGCATCACTGCGGATATCCCTTTACATGCATCATTTGCCCTTGGCCCTGTGTAACAGCTCCCCTTACTACTAATGCACCACGTACCAGGGCTTCGGGGCGCAACCTTGGGACTATACACACCCAGAAATACCCCTTAACATCTTGTCCGCATGGTCGCATGTCATACACATGCTGTGAGAGGTTCTGTTGGGAGATACGTCTGAGGAGTCCGCTACTTTGAAATTGCAAGTCAAATCTTGTAAGTCTAGCGAATGAAAGCATAAGATAATGCTTTGACATGTGGTGAATCGTGTTCCATTTGAAGATGATGTCGACGCAGTGATACCCATCCACGCGCTTTCGTGGTCTTTTGCCCACGCGCCGATTAGGAATAAAACCACTGCACCTCAAAATCGAAAGTTTGTTTCAATGTGCATTCGTTAAAAGGAAGGACGAACTTCATTGACATCTACTCTACACGCATTACTATTGTGAAATTAGACACCAAGTCATCACCACAGAATCAACAGCATTTCTCCCCATTCTACTCTACAGTCCCAAAATGCATTCAACTCACAACTATCGTCACTCGCGTAGATCTGCTTGCGATCGCTGCCGTGGACAGAAGTTACGCTGTGAGCGTATCAGCATGAACGGCATGTCTTGCGAGCGTTGTTTGAAGGCACAAGAAATATGCATCACGAGCGTGAATCACCCATCGACGGCTGTTTTGTCTTCCAATCACGACCAAGATATTGCTTCAAGCCAACATGAAGTTTCAGGATTTGTTGGAAATCGTGATTCTATGTCACTGCTTCACAAATCATATGCATCAAAAGTCAAGAAGTCAATGCATCCGCCCTCAACAGCTCTTGGGAGGAGTTATAGTAAAATGCATAGCTATTGGGAGGAGCAAAATAGCCTGCCTGATGTCCCAAGAGATCCCTTTTTCTCGTCCTCAAGCGATTGGGATTTCAATCGATCCCTTGACCCCGGACAGCTACCTGCACCGCTGCAGCTCTGGGGAGAGTGGAATTCAGGCTGGCACCCTGGCTCTCACAATCTTGCAAGTCAACAAATAATCGGACGGTTGGAATCCCATATGCTGACTGGTGCTCTTACATTCAGGAATACTCGGAGGATCTGTTAACAGATCAAATATACCGTCATGGGGAAAGCCATACCGACAACCTAACAATGTCCGGTGATCTTTGGTGGGATACCATCGCCAGCAACGAACTACCGACTGAAGGATCCCTGGTTCATTCGCAGTTGGAGTGTGTGGAACCAATTATGCCGGAATTGAGCGTTGAGCCAGAATTAAACTGGGGGCAACCAGGTCTCCCAACAGTCGCGGAGCCACAATTCTTGCAGACTTGCCATGAGAAGGCACCCTCCCAGCAAGACATCCGAAAATCGCTTTTGAAGCTGAAAGCAGAACTTTTGCAGGACCTTGATTTATTCGATGACTGCTCCAACAACCTTTTATTCTCTTATGCGTCGGACAGTTGTAACACCACAATCGAAAAGCTCAGCGTTCCAATTACTCGCCTCATTGATCATTCATCATGGCTTTTGGACATTATTCACTCATCACGTGGGACTGACGAAACATTGAAAGAAGAGCTTTCAGAATCGGCCCCATCCACCGAACCATCTCAATTTCAGAGTTGTCAGCCTGAGGGCTCAACCTCCCAACACTCCGACTCTGGTGATTATGGATCGGACGAAAGTGTTACTACGATATCATCACTTGATTCGGGATACCAGACCACAATGACTTCTCCCAGTCAACAAGCGGTCACATCATGCGACATAACTCTGTGGCTTAGTATTCTGGAAGGACATTGCTACTTGACTCGCATCTATCGAGCTATTTTCACCCGACTGTATCAGTGGTTTCTTATCATTCCCCCAACTGATGCCGATGGCTTGCTTCTGTTGCCTCCTCTTCAGCCCGAGCAGAACCACTTGGATCGAAACTTTGCTAAGCAAGTCAAGGTACTGGTCGAAGTTGGCTTTACTATGATCAGCAACATTGAAGTAGCTCTTGGACTGCGGTCTGCCGACAGCGTGTGTAAATGTGACAGCGAACTGCCTGCACTCGGAACTCCGGGCGAGAAGGATTGGCCATCATCAATTCGCGATTTTGTTGTTGCACAGGAACAAGACCAAAGCGAAATACCTTTGGGGGAGATTATGAAGTGTTTGCGCCAGCTTGTTAGAGACACAGTTATCACTTGAAAAGCGGTGAAGACGATCTTCACCCCAAATTAGCTCTCCATTCTCTAATTCCGTAGAGCGGTGATGACAAGATAATCAAGTCATATCATTTTGACATAGTGTATGGTAATTGCAAACATTGGATTCAGGGACGAAAGCAGGAGAGTAGCAGCCGTGGAAGGATGCTCTGGGGTCTAGCTCTGAAGTCTGATGTGATTCATAAGCGAGATGGCTATCCACCTAAGTGTGAACTGCGTCTATGAACTAGAACCCCCAATATCAATTAATATAAACATGTATCGAAGCAGAAGAGCCCTGAAGTGCGATGGCTCTCCCGAGGTCTGACATAGCAGACAGGTCGATATGTGATGTCTTACTGGGCCTCAAGGAATAGGCAAACTGACAAAACCCGGGGCCTCTAGTTAGTCAAGGATGATCATTTTGTCATTGAATTGGGTAAGACTGATGGTTGATTTCTCTCACTACAATGACTCTGTACATATACATAGTTCCTCGCACCTGGGCAACCACATGACAACCTTGGAAATTTCAGAAGTGTATGCCCAGGTGCGGCTCTCACATTAGACTAGTTGGTTAGTTAAATAGTTGGTGAGTTTGCCAATCTAAGCGTGGGGCCGAATACTAAAGGCAACGAGTGCTTTCAACATAACTATCACCTAATCACGAGAAACATGCAGATCACATCAAAGCCGTCAACAGAAAACCAAATGCCCAAGTGGCGTATTTGGAAACCAAGCATCATTTAGTAATTTGAAATATCTCAAATAGATCAATTGCGATACAGAATGGATGACTCTGTACCGCCAAGAACCAATTAGGTGCTTCGTGACCAATCCCACGAAACCCCAGCACCATGAGATAAACTCAGTTGGTCCAACAGAGAGCCATGAGATGGACTGAAAGGGTATCCTGGTGGCCTTTGGTTTGGTAGATACTTCGCGGTAGGTGAGTTGAAATGTCCACACAGTCATCAAGTTTCAAACTGAGACATTAGAATCCGGATTCAAGAGCCAAATGCCACTGGTAGGCTTGGAAACCGACGCCGAACAGGGATTTCAAATAGAACATTACTGTGCAAAGATAGCTAAGTGAGCATCTCGGAGGCGGATACAAAACAGCGCCCCCTCGCACCTGTAGAACGGACTTCAAAGTCAATTCCAGTTTTCCCTTGCAGTCCTCACATTTGCCGTCATAAAATGTCAACCGTAACCCCAGAGGGCATACCAGATCTCACTGGAACCTGGGTATTTGTAAGTCATTTCAAAATTGAGCTCGAATAACTTGGCTCTGCATGCTGACGATTTAATCAGAACCGAAAACTATCTGATGATCCAGATGAGGTCTTTGCTTTGGTAAGACATCTTTCAAGCATGAGCTCGAACACATAGTCACTAAGCGATGATAGCAAGGAGTGCATTGGGTGATCCGTAAGGCGTTGCGTCACGCTCGGCTTTCATTGGAACTTTGCCAGACGACTGTTACGGTTGAGGGGGTCAGCAAAGACGACGACCACAACGGAGTGAGAACAGCACCAGAAAGCCTCAAAGCCGTCACAACTCTTCAAGTAAAGCAAATTGTCAACCCCGGTGGGTTTGACAGCCAGGGGTCTTACACCGTGGATGGTAGCACGCAAGATCTATCGGTGCCAGTTTTCGGGGACATTCGAACGCAGCTGAGCTTCATAGAGATAGGAGAAATTGAGGAACAATCAATTCGACGAGGATTCGAGATCTCCGGCTACAAAGGGAAGGTTATTCAAGAGCTAGCCAGCGACAACTCGAAGGCAGCAGCTCGCAGCAACACGAAGGAATGGGAAGCGGAAGTTATTTGGGCATTTGAAATCATTGAGGGGAAAGAACATCTGACTCGAAATGTGAGCATGGCAGGCAACGAGAAGAAGATCATTGCGAGGATGGTGTACGATAGACAAGATTGATTCCTAGCTAGTCCACCTGCAGGCATCGAAGTCAAGTTGGGCATACAGATTGAAACCAGAAAGCTTCATTATCGCTTTGAGTGTAGGTATGGTGGAAATGGTTGGGAATCTAAATTACGCCCCTCCGACACAGCGAGTATCTCTCAATATCGCACTTTCAGCAAAGTTGATTGGCTGGCATCATCAGTGAATGAAAGGGTTGGAGCCTGCGGCTGCATGGTTTGTCAAGTTCCCCGCAGGTTGACAGTCGCAGATCTAGAGACTCTCTCTCTCTCTCTTCGTATTTGAGAACAGGCTGATCTACGGAGGAGAAGCACGAATCGCTTCAAAACAGTAGATTGTGGCTGTGAAGCAAAAAGACCGACCGGGGAAAACAAGGTGTTGGGCTGTTTGCCCTGTTTGTCAGGCTCCCCCCAGATAGATAGTTAACTAGTTCCGGAGAGCTTCCCTCTCCTCCTTCTTTTCTCCTCGTCTCCGACAATATGATAGATCTGAACCTACTGCTGTGCTGTTTTCCGATAGAAGGAGAGAGAGAGAGAGAGAGATCTAAGCAAAGGGAGTCATCTAACCTCCCATCAGTATCTCACCATAAACCTTGGAATACGCTATTGTACTGGACTATTTCTCCGCCAGAAAAACTAGGTACGAGGCTAGCAGTCCCAAGGGAAAGTATACAATACATGGGGCCTACAGTGGCGTCTGGTTCCAAGGTTGTGAGGAGGTGGTATCAGAAATATCAAGACGGGTGGTTAGAAAACTCATAGAGACGAGACACGGAAATATGCGACAGCATTTGCGGGCTCTAAATATCGACCATTGGCACAACGAGCTTTTTACCCGAAACCTTCCCACGTCGAAGTAGATCTAGGCCCTCTAGAATCCCTTCAAACTTGCCCGTGATAACTTGCATTGGACATGGCCTTAGCTTACCATCATCGATGAGCTCCTGTACCTTTCGGTACCAGGTACGTGCCCAGACACCAATCTCTGGGCGGGGTGGAATGCCGTATGGCTCTGGGAGCTCAACGCCTCGTCCGGAGATGGCCCCTCCCATGACAAGCTCATGCTTCACTGTTTTTCGCGAGCATAAACTTTCTTGATATTGCTCAAGGGCGCAATAGCGACCCCCCGTTCGGCCTATAGCTGCATGACATAGGCGAACGGTTTTTGCTTCAGCGAATGGATCAAGAACGAACCGCAACATGTTTTTGGTAGCGACTCGAATATCCTCGGCACAGGTTGGCGAGTTGTAGTCAAAGACTAGATCCGCACCATAAGAGCGTACCAAGTCCGAATTGTGTGGCGAGCATGTAGTTATCACCCGGTGGCCGCAGCTAATGAAATTGGGTGAGCGAACCGACTTGGACAAAATGGAAGGACATGTTTCACTCACAGTTTTACCATCTGGATTGCCAGTAATCCAATAGTACTGCTTCCACCATAGACAAGAACATGCTCTGGCTTACTTGCGGGGGTTTCAAACGTCCCTGGCAGCTGAAGTGACCAAAAGAGCGCCACTCCGAGTGTTGCAATGGCAGTTCCAGAGATCGATGGGGCATCGCAGAGGGCCATTCCCCTGGGTACTCGAAATGCAAGATCTGGCTCAGTTCGCACAAAGTCGCAATAAGCCCCTGACGTTGGGTCCGATAAGTTAGATCCCTGGACAGCACCAAAGACCAAGTCTCCGACCTTGAATTGTCCCCGAGAAGCTGCCTCGCTTCCAAGTGCCACGACAGTTCCAGCAAAATCACAGCCATCGCAGAGACCTGGAGTGGGGAAACGCAGAGGCATCTTGAAGTCACAAGGATTGAGGGCAACAGCAGCAGTTTTGACTAGCATCTGATGGGGGGCAAGCTCTGGAACCGGCAGTCCTGGCGTTATTCTGAGAACACCATTCTCATGCTGAATGATGGCAGTCTGAGTCTTGGCGAGGTCGTTTGGGGAAGCCATTTTGGGACACCAGGGAGAGGTTTTGGAACCTTGCAAGGCGGCTGGCGTCTGGGTATAATTCGTGATGGACCAAAGCGGAGTGTGGATTTAATACCCAGAGGTCTCAGTTCGGTATATGTATCTCCCATCAAGAAGGTCCCACCTGAAAAGGAGACAAGATGGCAGGTGAAATGATGAAGCAACTACCCAGGTAATTGCGCAGTGGACGGGCCTGCGCATGCAGCTTGACGACGGTATGAAAACCTGGCATGCCAATCAGTTGGAATAGAGATTTCTCCGACAAATGAAACATTGCTGAAACACAATCGTTCAGTTTGAAAGCCGAAGTAAGCCCCCCCAGTGAGTGACATGTGGCGAGGACTGTACAGGACTGGTCTTATCACACTTCGCAATCATGCCTCCGCGCATATTGCGGATGCAAGGAACTTTCATGTAGGTATGGTCTGGCTGAAATCCGATCTCATTGCGAGAGAATCAACAGCGTGTGGGCTATTGACCCCCAATGAACAAGAGTGAGGTAGAAGATATGCCCAAGTGAAGTCATAGATGGTATTCGTCAACGCAACGAGGGCCGGATAGGCGAAGAGAGGAAAATTTCGAAGACTTGGATTAGCTTTGCAAGATCACAAGATGATGATGACTGAACCTCTCTCCAGGGCTCCTTTGGAGTTGGAGATGCCGAATATGAGAATAAATAAAGGAACCTCCCCCTTTCCCAAAAAAGCCCAGTTTCTCTCCGTACTCCAAAAACACCTCTCTAACCCGATTGGGCGATTTGACACCAGATCCACCAGGCACAAAGAAAGTTGCCGTTTTGGGCCCCAAATGCCACAACAACCCTGTTATCGCCATTTTTCAGCTTCCACCTTTCCCCCTTCTCTGATGTTCACCGGGCCAAAATCACATCTCGGTGCAATAATGTGGTAGCCCCTCTACTTCCTAATTGGGAACTAGATGTCAACAAGCAAGCGCGTCTCAACAAGCAAGCGCGTCAACAGACTGATAGTACAGAAGCGGTGACCGTTTTGGAGAGTAGGTAGGGAATGGTGTTTGTTGTGGGTCGTCAAAATAAGCGCGTGGTAATATCACATGGTTGATGCCTAGGAAATCAGGCAGAAGAAGGGGAATGTTTTTTTTTGGCAAAGGGGGAGGGAGGGGGACGGGTGTTTCTTTCTGTATCGATCCCCTCAACAAGACCTCGGAATAATAGGCAACCGACTGGGCTCTTAGGTAGAAACTCCGACGACATTGCTTTGTTTTGTGTAGCAAAACAACAGGAGAGTATGGAGAAATGATCTGAGATTCGACCTTGGCTGGCTCCCAGCCTGCCGAAAGGTGAGAGACATGTTTTTTGTTCGATAGATGGAAAACACCCAAGCTGGACGAGAAAGGAAACAAAAAAACTGCCGAAGTCCTCCTTCTCATCATCATTAAATACGCGGATATAGCTACAATTGATTGGGACCAACCTGAAACAGAAAGCATGTAAGATGGGATGTCGTTCTCACGTGGCCCGCCGGCGTATCATCAACGGGAAGAATGTGGATAGGTGTGGCTTAAACACTTAACCTTCCAAGGTTGAAAGCTTGGAAGTCATGAACAAGTTGAAACGTCCTGTCTCAGCTGCAGATGGTTGTCCACATTCTGAAAATACCTAATACTCTACACACAAATATACCATGTAGCTGCGTACAAAGGAGAGCAATTTCCCTCCAGAGGTCTCATCGCCCTTATTCATGTCGAGAGGTAGTGATTCCTCTCAGCAACCTCGGGAGCAGAACTTGCCCATCTGATGCTCTGCGCAGATATTCTCCCAGCAAGGGACTCATTCCCGCTTCTTCTGCCGCAAGAACCCAGTCTTCAAGTGCAACGATCTGGAATCCTAGACCAGTCCCAGACTCCAGAAGAGGCATAATTTCATCACGCCCGATCTCCATCTCGCCAGACTCATAAATATATGTCACATGATTTGCTCGTGCTTCAGACAGACCGGACTGGTAGACAATTTCCAAGAGTTGACTAGCGGCTGACTCCACGGATATGAGGTCAAAGACTCCAGTCCACAAGCTCGAGTCTGGTAGTTTCTGTGTCTCCTTGGCGTAGCGCATGACGTTACCCATCAAATCCAGCTCAGGTGCATCGGTTCCGGTAATGCTTGATGGACGGTGGATCCAGACAGGGAGAGAGTAATCTCGATTCAGGTTTTCCAAGAAGACCTCGCTCGCCCACTTAGCAGCAATATAACCATCCGAGGGTGGGGACGAGGGACGGAATGATGAGACTGAAACCTCACCAAAACTTTCCTGGCCTGCAAGACGGGCCACACCGGCGGAAGAGATGAAGTGGAATGGGATCCGGCGAGGCAAGGCGAGTTTCGCGAGTTCTCTGGTCGATGCGACATTGATAAGCTTGAGGGTATGATAGGATTTCATGAACGATACGTCGGCCCCATTGTGAATGATCATATCTGCACGAGAGAAGATGGAATTGGCTTCAGCGCCCGAAAGTCCCAATAAAGGAGCCCCAAGATCACCGAAGTGCAATTGCACCTTGGGGTGACCGAACAAGTCAGGAAGTGATGTGGAACGTCTCCTGACCGCAAGACAATGAACCATAAGAACCCGCTCATCATTCAACAAAAGACGGAGGATTTCTTTCCCAAGGAACCCCGTTGATCCTGTAAGCAAGACAACCCCTACCCCAGAAGGAATGGTTCTGACATCACCATGATCGAAAGGTGACACGATATCAGGTGTCACTTCCACTTCTGCATCCCAATCTACATCCATTTGGAGGTGAGGGCGCGAGAGATCTTGAATCTTGGAAGCCATTGTGTGTAAAGTGCTGGCTTCAAAGAGTTGATACAATGCCACAGAGGCGCCAAAATGTTCTCTAATCAGCGCTTGTAGATTTACCAAGGCAATGGAAGAGCCACCGACGTGGAAAAAGTCCGATTGTGAATTGATGGCATGATAGCTGGCAAGTTCTTGGGGGAGGGCTTGCTGCCAAAGATCACGGAGCTTTGTCTCGAAGACCGAGAGAGTTGAATTGTCATATGTTTGGGTCGCAATGGGCGGAATGTCAATTCGATCAACTGAGATTCGGTCTGTTTTGCCCGACGTGTTCTGAGGAAAGCTATCGACAGGAACAATGGCGGCTGGTCGCATGTGGTGTGGTAGAGGTAGCTCCTGTAGAAGATGGTGTAGAAATTGCGCTGTGGTTTCCAGAGGCTCAATATGAGCCATTGTGGCGAAAGCCACAAGAAATTGATTATCATTGCTGGGGCCTGGGTCGGATCGAACAGAGACAATTGTCTGCGTGATAGCCCCAGCTGAAGCTTTGACAATTGTAGTCTCAATCTCTTCGAGATTGACTCGCATGCCTCGCAATTTGATTTGATTGTCGCCATCCATGCGACCAAGAAGCACCAACCCACTTTCTACCAGCATACCTCGATCACCGGTCCGATAGATTGACTTCCAATGTTTGCGCTGAAAAAAATCGCTGGCATTCTTGTCTTCCAAAAAGCGCTCGGTGGTTTTATTGCCATCCAGGTATCCCTGGGCAACTCCTGCGCCCCCAACAATGACTTCACCAGGAACTCCGACGGGGAGAGGGTTAAGCTGTTGGTCAACGATGCATACCGAGTAATTTGGTAAGGTGGAGAGAGGCCAAGCAGGGGGTCCATGACCGGTTGGTTGGTTGTAATCAACCTCCTTCCCAGAGCAAGCGAATGTTATCTCAGCTGGCCCATAGGCATTTATCAGCCTCAGATCTCGCTTTTGAAGAGTCTTAAATGCCCCAATTACTCCGTCCGATAAGACCTCTCCACCGCATATGGCAGTCGACAGGTTCGAGGTTTTCAACCTGGCGCCGTTGTGGCGAAGCCAAGCTAAATACTCCGTTGGGGTAGCAAGGGTACAGGTAACCCGCTCTGATAGGATGAGATCTGTAAGTGCGACAGGATCGCCTCGAGTGAGGTTAGACGCAATGACTATCGTCGCTCCAATACATAGGGACACCGTAATCTGCCACAAAGACGCGTCCCATGCGTAGGATGATTGGTGCAGTACGGTCTCGACCCCATGTCCCAGGTTCCACTGGCCCGTCGCTGATTGGGCATGGTGAACATAGGCCGAATGCGGAAGTTTGATGCCCTTCGGAGTCCCGGTTGTTCCACTCGTATACATGATAACAGCCGTTTGACCAGAAGTTGCCATGTTTGGAACAGTTCCCGCAACAGAGCCACCTAGGTCCCCCACATTGATGGGTTCAGCCGTAGTATGTAAATGCCCATAATCAGTTAAGGTGATTGCATCAAGTAAGATGACACGCGCCTGCGTTTCTTCAGCAATCATCGCAAGTCGTTCGAGACCAGCCTTCTTGTCCAACGGGACATAAGAACCACCGACGCGGAAAATGGCTAGTATAGAGCAAATCCAATCTGAGCCTGGTGTCTGAAAGACACCGACTCTTGTTCCGACCCCGACTCCATTTCTTAACAACTCGGTCGCAATCACATCGACTCGATCACGGACCTGGTTGTACGTGAGGGAATCGCTATCTTGGCTCCTCAGTGCGACGCGATCCGGGTACAATAAGGTGACCTCATCTAGTCGGTGGACTATGGTAGATGGCCAGTCTTCCCTCAGCTCCGGTCCTATATAATTAGTTAGCAAGGAGAAAACAAAACAAACAAACAAAAGTCGAAAGCATACCTCGTCCCGCTGACACTGCTTTCTCAACTTCGACTTTTGGATGCAGTTCAGGCCATGTCACCCGGGTCGCCGGGTTCTGGACAAAGGATTGTAGAAGGTTCAAGTAGGATCGAATCAAAATTTCGGCCTGCTCTATCCCATATATACTCTTCTGGACAGAGAGGTGGACCAAAGTTTCGCCACCACCCACATTCGCAACATCCAGACCGAGATCGAAGGAGGTTTCACCACCACCAAAAAGGGAACCCTCGGCGACAAGTCCACAAAATTGCCTGGACTGTTCGGCTTTTGGCCGATAGTTGAAAATGACTTGGCATAAAGGGTTGTGGGAAGCCGAGCGTTGAACGTTGAGCTCTGTCAATATCACATCAAACGGCACGCGTGAATGAGCGAATGCTCCTTGTGAAGCGTCCCTAACTTGCTTCAAACATTCTCCAAAAGACTGAACGGACTGCCGAGACAGTTTGATGGGCAACAAATTCAAGAAGAGACCCACACTGCGGATAGTGTCTGCCTCTGTTCGATTACCATCTCCTAGGCCAATGCAAACGTGTTCGAGATCAAACCAACGCCAGAGGAAAATTTGCCATACTGCAAGGTGGAAGTGGAAGGGTGTCGATTTGAACATTCGACAACAACGCTCGATCGCTTCTGATACAGTCGCACTAAGACGAATAGACGTGGTATCAGACCCAAACTGCGCGATCTTGGGCCGTGCTGATTGCAGTGCAAATGGAAGCAATGGAATCACAGATGGAATCTCCACGAACTGGGATTTCCAGTACACCAGGTCGGCGGCCCATGCGCCACTTGCATGTTCTTGTATCTGCCTCACGGTGAAATCTGGATATTGAATTCCTTCTGCTGAGAGTTGTTGGCCCTGATATGCCTTTTCCACGTCTGACCAGAATGTCTCAAAGCTAATACCATCCATATTGATGTGATGGAAGCCAAAGACCGCCCAATGGGTCTCGGGGTCAAGCGAAAGCAAGTGAACACGCATAATTTCACCGTCTGAAAGATTGAACACGTGGTCTTTCATCTGCTTGATGATCACATTGACCTCGCTCTCCGCTGTGATGTGGGTGTGCTCCAATCGCAGAGTTGACTTAGCCCAAACGCCTTGCATATGATTGCGTTGGTCATCAGTGAAAAAGAAAGTCCGCAAGGCCTCATGATTTTGTCCAGCCAACTCTATGGCCTTCGCAAACTCCATCACTTTGAGCCGTCCTGAAAGTTTGAAAGATGGAGTGATATTGAAAGCAGTCTTGCTTTCCACAAGATGTTTGAGGAACCAAAATCGTGACTGTCCATATGACATTGGGACTATTCTCGCAATCTCCCGTTTGGGTGCTTCTAGCTCGTTGAGGTCGCTGGAGATCGACGAGGACGTATCCTCGTTGTTTTCTGAATTTGAATCATCGGCGTTCAGAGAAGCAACAGAGCTCGCACTATACGCGTTGGTTGCATCGGGAAGTGCAAATCGGTCACTGTGCATGTGATCTTTCGTCGCAATTTCTGCTGCATCACCGACAAGGCCACCTGTAGAGCCCTGCCCCTCTATAGATGGAAGAGCTGGCTGAGTCAGATTTTGAGCGGGTTGCTCGGTGGTGTTGAGGTTTGGCACTGAAGTCGACGGAAGGGCTTCTGCGGCTGTGGCTAGCAGCTCTCGAACTGATGCAGCATTGAATATTTTCAGCACCGGCATGTCCACACCAAGCTCTTTGAGGAACCATGAGCGGAGATCAACTGCAACCAAAGAATCAACTCCGAGCTCATCTGGACTCATGTCCAGCATAGGCTTATTGGGATCTGCTTGCAAAGCTGACTGAAGCTTCAAAATAAATCCATCTAGCAGACTGTTAGAATGAATGACTTGCACCAGGGTTCAAATTCATACCTTGCAAGATCTCGTCTATCTCCTTGGACGTGGTAGCTTCAAAAAGACGTGTTTTGACCAGGACTCCAGCTTTGCCTTTCTTATCCGCGACAACCAGACTGCTCGACTTGTAGACAAGGTGCTGGAACATGGGATTCGAGACCCAGATTTTGGACTCATCATCATCTATTCTGAGGCCACAGCACAGTTCAGCACTCCCAACTCTATCCAAACAAGACAGAACGCCTTCTGCAAATACTTCGTGGAAGTCCTGCTCGGACATCCATGAATGTCCGACTCTGTAGAGGTAAGATTGCTGGCCCATGTTCAGTTCTCGCGTCACATAACCGTTGCCAACGATAGCCCCGATATTGATTGCGTGGCCAGCCAAGCCACGCTTTCGGCGTTGTGCAGCTAAACTTGCCATGAACATATTTGCGGCATTATAGGCCACCTGTCCGGGATTTCCAGTCATAGCAGCCATGGATGAGAAAAATATCATGAAGTCCAAAGTGTTTTCGGGGAAAAGTTCGTCTAGCAAGATGCTTCCCTCTACCTTGGGGTTCAAAACCTTGTCTAGGCGTGGAAGATCAAGATCTATGAACATTGTGTCTTGTAGAACCATGGCGCCTTGCGCAACTCCGGCAATCGGAGGCATCGTCTCACTGATACGGCGATATGTTGCTTGAACCGAGTCGCGGTTGGTGATATCACTGAAAGACGAAATTAGCATGATGATGGCTCGAAGTGAATAGAGATACAGAACGAAAGTAGGTAAATGAAGGGCAAATGGCGTTGAGTTGGACCAGCGTTGAACTCACTTGGAAAAAACACGAACAGTGCATCCACCAGCAGCCATCCGTGCTAGCCACTGGTCATCGATTTTTGGGTTTCGACTGGATATGGCAATGAAACGTGCTCCCTGTCGACTCATCCATTGGCAAAGGGATAGACCAAGTCCACCAGTCAGTCCAACTAGCCAGTATGTTTTGTCCTTAGAGAACTTGACATGCTTGGTTGCTGGTTGTACCTGAACGGCAAGGGTCGACTGGCCCCATGTAATTAGTGATTGGGCCGCGAATGGCGCGTTGGCACGGATGAGATCATTCAGTCGGAAAGATGCAAATCTTAGCAAATCAACAGGCAATAAGTCGTACTGGGTCCTCCTCCATGAATTTTGGAATTGCATGGTAATCTGAGCCATGTCCGACATGTATTCAGACGGGGGAACATCCGCAGTCAAGGAAGCCTCAGTTTCAAACTGACAATTTGGTTCAAAGCAACATTTCAAGACAGATAGGACTTCATCCATTCCGCCCATTCCGCCCATTGCCACAAGACGAGCGAGGTTGCGGGGCAATTTCCCCAGAAGCTCACGTCTGGTGGAATTCGGGTGAATCCGAATCCATGGCCAGGAGCAATGTCCCTCCCGTGTTGTCAAAAGCACAAGTTGCACACCTCTTTCCGTAGCATATTTTGTCAAAAGGGGGGCAAGAGAGAAATCGGGGTTGAGTACACCCAACGTCTGCCCGGCTTGGGTTTTGTGGAAGATGGAGAGGGCGAGGAAGTGGAGATAGAGTGTGAGAAGAGAACGAATTCCATGTTCTTCCGTATCTCCACATTGAGCCACCAGCCCACGTGGTGCGTAGACGCGGGACCCCAAGCTGTTGGACAAAGCAACAACGTACTCGTTAGTCTGTGCGTTTTTGCCGGCCACCAAGAAGAGACTGCTGCTTTCGGTAACCTTCGGGGCACGTAACAAAGAATGTGTGACGTGTACTTCAACGTGATTTTGGAAAGGAGGCGATGAATGAATATCTTGCTCCTCAACCAGGTACCCCAGCTTTGTTGGTTGAACGGACACGGTAGCCTTGGAGCGTGGGACTTCTTTAGTAATCAATCGCTTTGAAGAGTTGTATCGATCGTTTCGAATTGTGTTGAGACGGAACCGTGGCACTTGAAATTGACCACTCTTCAATAAAAGCTCCCCCTCGTTGGACCAGAGGATATCATCGAGCTGACCATTCTGATCCCATATCTCAGCGGCTTCAAGATGGAGGAGTTTGGTTGCGATAATGTTACCGTCTGCCTCAGCCAGCGAATGCAAGTTGAGGAAGTGAATGTGAAGATGAGTCATCTCAATTACCAACGTACGTTGGACTCCGGTGAACATGTTCGCATATGGATTGTCGCCTTGTGCCCCGTGTCCTAGCCAAAGTACATTTTTGCTTTGTTTGAAGAGCTCTTTGAACGAGTTCAAGTCCTCGGCAGAGATTTGCTTGAAAACAGGCTCATCAAGTTCAATCAAGCTGACGACGGTACCCATGACGGGAAGTTTCTTCAGTGCGAGATCACTTAGTGAACTGACAGTATGGACATTGCTGTAGTGGCGACGAACAGCGACTGTAATATCTGCAATGAGTTTAGATGTTAATGAAGTTTTACCCCCGATGATTGTCAGAGCGTCAACATCAAGCGGTTGATGACTCGAAGCGAGTGGATCACGGATAAAGTTAACACGATGATCCACCGCTTGAGTGACCATGACAGAAAATGGCACGGGCGAGGTCTGTGAGCACGGCGCAAGCGCCTCGAATGCTGAAAATCCGGCTTGTTTCAACAACGTTTCCCACTTGTCTGTTGAAATGCATGGAGACAGTGTTCGGCCCTCTTCAAAGCCCAGCCACCATCCAGGCAGAGTTCCGAGAATGAGCCCAAATCGCATCACGTCGGGGTTTGTGATCTCAAGCATAATGAGATATCCACCAGGCTTAAGGAGCTTGCGTACATTTGCCAGCGTTGCGTCAAGATTCTTGGTCACATACAAAGCCATGGGGGCAATCACGAGATCGAAACAGGCCTCTTGGAAGTCTTGTTCTCCAAGGTCTCTCTCGATGTCCAACAATTTGAACGCCATCTTGGTCTGGTGATCTGAAAGTCTTTCACGTGCGGCGTCAAACTGGGTGTCTAGGATATCCGAGTATGTGTAGGAAGCGAAAGCCGACCCCATTGCACTCATGACACGTTCTGATGTACCACCAGCGCCAGCTCCTGCAAAAGAATTAGTTTGAAGCGACATGAAGCGGGCCTGATAAACTCACCAATTTCCAGAACGTTAAGATGGGGGTATCTATGACTGATCTGATGAGCAATCCGAGCAACCTCATCCAAGTAAACCTCAATCCCGAGCGAGTGGGCGTAAATTTCGGCGAGCATGTTGTCCTTCGTCAGTATCTCGAGCGCATTTTTATCCCCACGAATGATAGCAGCAAGACTTCCACCTAGTTCCCGCAGAGCCTGAAATTCGATATGAGTGGAGTTTCTAGTACAGTTAGTCAAATTCGATGCTCACGAATGCCGGGTGCATACCGTTCAATGATCGGGACAATGTCATCAATTGTGTCGTTTGTCCATTCCCGGTTTCCAAATTTGTGCTGGCAGGTAGCAACAGATGAGATGCAATGATCCACATAGGAAAGGAAATGCGCATGATTCCAAGAAGCATTTGCGCGGTCTAGGGGGCCCCAGGGAGCGATTGAGCTCCTTGAAATAATAATGCGCCACACGCTCGAGATCCAGCCCCAGGGTGTGCTCAATACTGGAAGTTCCATGGTCAACACAGAATTCGCCCTCCATAGGCCCGTCGACTCCCCACGTCACTTCCGTGAAGAAAGGTACATCGCTGGCAGAAGTCAATGGATTAAGTGGGGTAGTGTGAAGCCCCTCAAGTTGGACCAAGGTGTTGATTCCATCCGAAGAGAATATATCTACGTCGCCAGACAGTTCGGAAAATCGGGCCTCGGTAACCACAGAATGGAATGGAAGGCCGGCGCCTGGGGCACCCAGGGCAGCACAAGCCGATGGGTTCAAGCAGAGCCTGTCTATGCGCGTTGGCAGATACAGAGTGCGCAGACGTCCATCGCCCGGGAAAGAGTACGCGAGCATGATAGACTGTATGGCACCATCAAGAGAAGCAGGGTGAATGATCAACGAATGACCAGTTTCATCTGCTTCGGGAACGGCAATCAACCCAGATGCCTCGTCCATTTTCCTGCGCAGCTCTGACAGGGCCTGGAACGGACCTGTATATCCAAAGCCCAGCTCCCCGACCGAGTTGTAGAATCTATCTGTCTCCAAATCAAGAAACAGTCCTTCGGGTTCGCTTCGTCCTGGGAGAACATTGTTCTGGGGATCGCCTAAGGTAATCTTGAGATTTGCAGATGCATGCAAGGACATTGTAGATGATCCTTTGTTGGCGTCCGAATGACATGCAAAAGATGCGAACACTACATCTCCCTCAACTCGATCGATAGAGAGTCTGAAGACTGTCTCCACTCCGCCATTTTCCTCGAGAACCAAGGCCTGCCCGATAACAATGTCGTGGAAGTCAATGAGATGTAAGGTTTCCAATCCGTACTTTTGTACGACAGACTCGACCGCGGCAGAGATGTATCCAGCTGCCGGGAAAACCATTTGTCCTTGCACTTGGTGATGTGCTAGCCAGGAAACCTCACGGGGGTGTAGATAGTTACGCCAGCGCAACTCTTTGTCCGTTCCATCTGGACACTTCACGCCAAGCAAAGGGTGGAATGATTCGCTTTCAGTGCGGAATGTAAGGGATGATCGGGATTCATGCCAGTAGATACGATCATGATCCCACGAGTAGGATGGGAGACCTTTCAGCAGCTCCGGTGGTTGGGTAGCGTAGCTCGATTTACTCTCAAACCCGGCGAAATCCACGACACCTTCTCCCAGCGCAATCCACAAAGCGCCGAGTGTGGATGAGAAGGCCTCTCTGTCATTTTTACCTCTTTTCAGTGTCCCAGTATAAGGCAAAGTCTGGCCAGAAACTTCTGAGATTGTCTGTAACGCAGGCCCTTTCAAAGCAGGGTGGGGTCCAACTTCAATCGACATGTCAAATGGTCCAGCTGCACCAACAGCGTAGGTGACAGCCTGTGAAAACAAGACAGGGTTGATCATGTTGTTGCTCCAGTATGTATCGGCAAGGTTATCATTCACGTTCTCAATGTTTTCGCCGTACACACTAGAGATCCAAGTGGGGCTATTCTTCGGACGAGGTTGAATGGTGATCCCACACTTCTTTATCGCGGCGATATAAGGCGCTGCGCATGACAGCATATGATGCGAATGGTAAGCTTTGTCAACCTTCAGCAAACGTGCAAACTTCTTCTCGTCTTCTAGAATCTCTCTAGCCTCATCGATCGCGTCGGCGTCACCGGAGAGTGTGACGCTGGCAGAGGAATTGCTGGCAGCCACACAGATCCTGTTCTCAAGTGTTGACATTTCGCAAAGTTCTTTGGCGTCCTCAAAAGAGGTACCTGCAGCCATCATTGCACCCTTCGGGCCCTCTGTGTCATTTGCGTATTGAAGAGACCATCCACGGTAGTATGCGATTCTGATTGCGTCTCCTTCATTGAGATACCCAGCCGCATAAGCAGCCGCAATCTCACCAGATGAATGACCAACGACGGCGGTGAATCTGAGGTTTGCTGCAGTCAAAAGTTGCACTAATGAGACCTGAACTGCGGTGCAAAGTGGCTGAGAAAAGGCCGCCTCCCCAATGCGAGATGTTTCTTTGTCTTTCAAGAGTTCCTCCCGAAGAGACCAGAGTGGGCGATGCTCAGTGGGCAACTCCTGCAACGACTGGTCAAGCCTAACAATGCAATCTCGTACTACTGGTGAACTTTCGAGTAGCTCGGCACCCATGCGAGCCCATTGTGCACCCTGTCCTGTAAATACACCTAGAAGCTTCGGCGAACGGATGTTTGCCGTTTGTGCACTTGGTGTGACAGCCGACGACTGCACTGCTTCATCTAATTTTGCGATGAGGGTATCTGTTGTTGAGGCAGAGATTGACAGCCGTACCGGCAATGTTGAACGTCGCGAGTTCAAGGTCCATGACAGATCCCGCAGATTGATATGGGGATGATCGTTCAAGTACGATGAATATGCTGCAACATTTGCAAGCAAGGACTTATCCGAAGATGCTGAGAAGTTGAACGGCGAGACCACAACTTGGTACTCTCCTCTTGGCTTGTGTTGTAGAATACGTGGGTTAAATTCCTCCAGAATTGCATGAGCATTGGCCCCACCAAATCCAAAACTATTGACACTCGCGCGACGGGGTGTGTTTTCTGGAAGTGGGGGCCATTCTTGGGCATCGCTCAAGATCTGAAGATCGTTGTAAAATGGTCGCACAGTTGGGCTCAATTCGTTCAGAAGCAGGTTGGGCGGGATCACTGCATGCTGTAAAGCAAGAGACGCTTTGAGAACAGCAGCAAGCCCGGCCGTACCCTCGGTATGTCCAATCACAGTCTTGATTGAGCCAACGTACAAAGGATGCTCATGTTCACCCTTGCGGTCGTAGTTGGCGGTCGGTCCAAAGAACGCAGTGCTGATCGCCTCAGCCTCGACTGGGTCACCCGCCGGGGTCCCTATTCACGTCAGTACGATTTGAGACACACCTTCACAGTGTGACTTTGACTCACCAGTTCCATGGGCCTCGAAGTACTGCGGTCGGTCACATATTTTCGAAAGGTCAAGTCCAGCCCGGGCGTAAGTCGTTCTAATGAGATCCGCCTGAGCCATTGGATTAGGCATGGTGATTCCCTTTGTTCGTCCATCTTGATTGGCGCCCGTTTCCCTCACAATGCACTCGATATGGTCGCCATCAGCTAGTGCGGCGCTCAAAGGCTTGAGGATAACGGCAGCAATGCCATCACCACGTGCGTAACCATTGGCACCCTTATCCCACATGCGCGAGCGACCAGTTGGGGAAAGCATCTTCAGTTTGCTCTCTGCAATGTACTGCTCGGGTCCCAGTAAAAGATTGGTTCCCGCCGCCACTGCCACATTGGTTTCGCCGCTGCGCAAGCTTTGCACAGCTTGGTGGAGCGCGATGAGACTCGATGAACATGCTGTATCGATTGTCATTGACGGCCCACGCCAGTCAAAAAAGTAGGAAATTCGGTTGGATAGAATGCTGCGAGCAGTGCCCGATGCAAAGTACGTGGGGAAGTTTTGAACATCTCGACCAAGCATATCGGCATAGTCGTTTGTCATGAGCCCAACATAGACAGCAGTATCGGACCCCTGGAGAGTCTCCATCGGGATACCAGCTGCCTCAAGGCCTTCATAGACGGTTTCGAGCAGCAATCTTTGCTGGGGGTCAATGGAATTTGCTTCCACTGGTTTGGTTCCGAAGAACTGAGCGTCAAACAATCGGTGATCACCCGACAAGAGATACGAGTGTCGAACATTTGTTGTACCATGGTGGAGGCCGTCAGGGTGGAAGAAAGATTTTGTGCTGAACCGAGTGTCCGGGATCTCACTGAGAACATCGCGAGGTGCTTTGAGCAAGTCCCAAAGCTTTGAGGGAGTTGTCGCATCACCTGGAAAGCGACAAGCACTTCCCACAATGGCAATAGGCTCCCCGGTCTGTTCACGATCACCCGTCATAGTGTGTTGCGGGTTAGACTGCCTGTTCACGAATTCGTACGACGGACGTGCGACTCGATTTGCAAATGCAGGTTCTAGAGGGTATCAATTTTGAGCCGTCGGGGTGTGTATTGCTCCGCGGGACTCAAATTTCTGAGTTGAGGGACGGGCAGCGGTACATATCAATGTGCCGAGGCTCGCATTGATAATGACTTGACGTATATTCGGACATCTCGTCTCGCATCAGCTTATCATTGCATTCAGCTGGTTCCGACTCCGAAGCTGTCTCTGGACTGTGGTTTGAAACGGAGCAAATCATCGCCTTCGCATAAGATCCACCTTGTGTTCACCAAGCGTCTGGAATTGCATCCCAAATTGTCCCTGCTTAGTGTGACCATGGATACTTCAATGTTTGACTCATCACCGTTAGTGATCAGAGTTGAGACTCAGGCAAATCGAGATCTCCGGGGATTGTCGGCCAAGCTGGTTTGAATCTCAAGTCCGAGTCCGAGTCCGATACCGAGTGCTTGCGCGACATCAGCCCCACTCCAAGATCAGGGGGCAGTCAACAGAGGGTAATGCTTTAACACCCATGTGTCTTGGGTCGGGTCTCACTGCATCCCGCCACTCCAAATTGCCATGCGAAGTTCATATGTAAACTGCGTTCCATGTGGCACGCACGTCTTCATCTCGTGCCGATTCCTCATCATTCACTGGTTACCACGAGTGTTCACACTTTGGCAGCGAAGCAATAAAAGTGACCGCAGCCACGGGGTAAACGCTCCGAAAGCCCCCTTGAGGGAAGGCATCAATGACCTCTGGCAGTCATACGTGCCAAGTTGCGCCCTTCAAGCTCAAACGGGAGACTGGGCGAATCGGAGTCTTTCGCTTAGATGCTCTGGGATGTAGGTGTATTGTTATTTTCTTTTTCTGTTCGGTTTGCTTCTGATTGTTGGCTTCTCTCATGCTTTGGTCGGGCCCAGTTTTGACCCGGATTTTGCGTCTCGCAGAGATATACGAAGGTGTTGAGTGTTGGGGAGACGCGACGGGCTGCAGGGTTTGGCTTGTTTGCAGGGTTTGAGGGTTTGACGCGTTTGGCGTGTATGTGTCAGGACGCGCCTGGGCTGAATTTTGTCGGAGGTAAGTCTCTTGGTCACCTCTGGGTGGAAACACCAAGATGTCGTGGTAGGCAATGAGAAAAAGGGCAGGCGAAAAACCAAGTGAAAGGGGTTCAAAACAGAGCTATGGAGCTGGAGAAAACCAAAAACCTGAGGCACCAATCGTAAAAATGATGACATTTTCACAAGAGTACTTCTTAGCAAGTATCTTGGCACTACTAAAGTTCCACACCCTTGGGATAAGCTAAAGTGATCTCGGAGCTCAGACTCCTAGCCCGCCTCCAGGGCTGGGAAGTTAAGGGTGCTTCTGAGGTCGATGTCGAAAAATTGATATTATGCAATTCCTGTGTTCTAATTCCCTTATGATCGTACAAAGATCGAAAAATATCCTAGATTGATTTGGATATCTCTGATGCTTGATGTCCCTCGGGGTCTGTATTTTGAACGGCATTTGAGCAGCGAAGGCAGCGAGATCATGGAGGTGTGAACCTGGTTCAAAATCTCATCCTTCATGCGTCGTATTTTGATGCAGCCAACTCATGGCGGGCACTTCTTGGTATATATACCTCAGGGCGCAATTTGGCCTCTTGAAGCTCTTCAATTCCAGTCTTGCAAGGTTGATGGAGCTCGCCGAAATGGCGCTGAAATATGTAGATTGTCACCAGTAAGTCCAAACTGCTTCTTTGTGCACCTAGGCCATTAATCCCTCAATATTTCGAATTGGCCTAAATCAGTGGTGATAAACCCCATTTTTTGATAGCAACTTTTGAACTTTCCATAAAGGAAGCTGCCCCTTAGTCCACAGTAGAACATTGGAAGAAGAGAGCCCTTTCCAAGGTTGGAACCTTGGAAGCGGCCGCTTTCTATCGAATACGGAGTAGAGGAGCACAATATTCACTCTGAAATTGCTCTAGGTCATTGGAAACCTCATTTGTCACCACGTCTTTCCAAGGTTGTCGCTCCTGAACCTCCAGGGCTTACACTGTATCACATACTAGACTGCTTGTTTTAGTTCAACAAGCTTGATGTTTTTCTCCTTGGACAACGGATATACATTGAAATTTCATGTGGAGGAATCGTTATGTATTTTGAAGGAAATTTCGGACCACCAAACTAGGTACCCAAACCTAGGCAGCGCTGGACTCAAGGACCGGGCCCCACACCCAGCCCGTTTGCGGGTTCCAATATTCCAAGGTTTCGAAGTTGGGTTGAGATGGATCCATCTTGGACTTAATGAGCGGATGGGGAAGTCTGAGCTGTGCAAAGAAAGTGAAGATAATATTGTCATGAGCCTAGTATATATAGACGAATTCATCGTTTTCTCGATCAGTCAGGTCCTGGAATGCATTGTCGCCAACAGGAACGGTGTCGATGTCGGCATCCTCCACATTGTTCTCTTGCATCTCGTGATAATGTGTTTGCATTGAGTGATCGACAATCTCCGCCCTCTTGCCGTTTCGAACTCGCCGATGAGCTTGTTGTTTGTTAAGGAACCAAAGATTAACCCATTGAATGAGAACCAGAGCTGCTAGAGTGCTGAAAATTCCCAGGCATGCACGAAGGCCGGGGTGGTAGGAGGGCTTGTCTTTCTCGTTGAACAGTAAAGGCCCGATAATATTTCCGGCTGAGCTTGCTGCGTTGTATAAACTCATGATGACCGATTTCTTTGTGGTGCCCGCAGTGTTACCAATGATCCAAGTGACAATCAATGGATTTCCACCGAACAAGAAGGCAAGGAGGTAATAGCCAGCAAGAAGCTCGCCCTGTACTGACTTGGTTCGTGCCACGGCATACAAGATAGCCAGGCCCGCTATCACGGGCAGCATGAAAGCCGCGATGATAGCCCCCTTCAGGCGTGCAGTCTGAGCCAGATAACTCGCTAGTAGAATAATGAGAAATTGCAACGCGCCGAATGGCATTGTCAGCAGGGTCGTTCTGTATTTGTCGTAGCCGAGTCCGCTTAGAATCAAAGGGCCAAAGATGTTGGTAACACTGGCGCCAATGTTGAGGAGCAAAGCCATACCAATCCACAGGTAAGTTTTTGGCTCTAAAGAAGCCTCGGTCACATGGCTGAGCTTAAACTCGGTGTTTCCTGTTCCAGTTTGGTTGGCTCGCAGGCGCTCAATCCCCTGGGATCTCTCACTCTCGCTGAGGAATCGCGCAGTCGATATATCGTTGTCCAAGCGCCAGTAGACTATGGGAGACGATAGAACGGTAATGAGGCCAACGACGAGAAAGATGCTAAGGACGAGAAGATCAATTAGCACGGTTATTCCTTGGGCGTCACGGTCTCATAACGCACATCTGCCATGACTTCAAAATGTCCGACTCGATCTGAGCCAGCCCATATGATAACGCAGCGGCGACAATAGTAGCGAGACCGTTTGTACTGTACCACGCCGCGATCCTGATCGGTTGTTCCGCTCGTCGATACCACTGGCTGGTAATCACACCGAAAAGGGGCAGGCATCCGGCTTCGAACAAGCCTAGAAAAAACCGGGCGGCCATCAAAGTGTTGAAATTATGGCACGCGGCCATGCAGGTCTGTGCGATACCCCAGCCCAGGCAAAGGGCTGGCATGAGAATTTTGTGGGGAACTTTGACGATGAGGTAGGAAGAAAACGGTTGCCATGCCAGTTGTGCAATGGGACTGATGGATCCAACCAAGGAGTATTGGTTACCTGTGAGACCTGTATCGATTTGTAGGCCAAAGGTTGCACCATAACCGAGGACGGTTTTGTCGAGGATTTGCAAGAAGTACACCCAAGCAAGGACGACGAGAATGGTCCTATCGGTTTTGCGACATATTCTCTTGCTTTCCTCTTCAGTCAATGGGACACGCTCTATGCCACTTGTATCCGTGAGTTTGTTCCTTGCCGCTTCGTCGTGCATAACATCGGGCTTCGACATGGTAGGATCTTGCATGATGGGCGATAATCTAACGATGGGCCTCAAAGTAGAATCTTTGCCATATTTGTATCGAGGGATCTCCCCCACGCCGTGGAACAGCGTCATCAACCCCTAGTTTTCCCCGTATTCCAAGGTTCCACACTTCACCCCACGTCTCCGCACCCCACGAAAGCTCAACGATCACCCGATGTGAAAGCCAAGATATTTAGCGAGCTCGCCTTGCCTTAAGCTTCTTAGTGTACTTCCGCTCCCTCCAATCACTCGCTGGATTCTCTTCGCTCTCCCCCCAAGAATGGTTAGTCTGTCGCCGGAGTGGAGATCCAACCCCGTGTTTACCGAGGCAAACCGAAACTCGGGGTCGTGGGGGGTCGGTTTTCGGCCATTGTTGGTAACAATTTGATTTGACGTTCGGATGATTCTGTCACAGGTCGGTGACTGAGGTCGGCTTTTGAATGATTCGACCCCTACATTATCCCGGAGCATGCCGAAAAGATATTGCATCATCCGATGCCTTTGGCGTTGAGATGCCACATACAGTTAGAGCACATCCCATTCCTATTGCATACTTCGTGCACGCGCTTTAGAGCGCTGCAGCATGTGGCCACTTTTTTGACCTCGGAATTGAGGTGACTTTCCACACTCGCATTTTATTACCCGATTGGTGCTGTGCCAGTTTGAAGTTCCCACTTCACTCCCATGCGAGCTGGTGTGAGAGCGCCCCGGGGAGGGGTTTCTTGCTTTTTTGATTTTCCTTTTTTTTCTTTTCTTCTTTTTCTTTTAATAGTCAGGAATGGCTAGCTAAGTCCCCGTACTCTCCCACATTTGTTGGCGGTCGGCACACAATATTCGAACAATGTTCCCGTGGATATCCCGGGGCCGGCTCCCTTGATTTCTCAAATTGGCTGATCGCGAAAAGCGACCGTCGAACCCCACTTTCGCAGGCCACGAATATCTCCCAAAGTTTTATTCTGTATCAATCCTTCAGAGAATCATGACCCCAATTTTTCAATGAACGATAACTCTTACTGCTCGTATCTTGCTTCGCTTGTCCCTCCTGTGCCAGGTGACGTTTACAGTATGACACCACTCGACGCATATGTTCGATATCCTGATCACTATACCCCGAGTGGTTTTCAGTGGGATTGTCCTCTAGTATACTGACAATTTTACGTCCACTACCATCGGTTCCGTTTCATTAACATGGTCCTCGGTGTGTGCTTTTGAGGCTGCGCCTAAGGCTGTTTGCGACCTACCTTTCGTGCCCAATAGTCTCCCCAGATTCGTTAGTCCAACCCGAGGACATTGACTGCTCCTCTTCGAGCCAATTTCGAAGCTCGTTAGGCGTCATGTTCACAAGATCGTTGAACTCGCTAGTTGATAGTCAGCTTGGTATCATGTCAAGGTCGGTCATATAACGTACTCGATGACCACCTCCCTATCTTTGACCATTGTCGATGTATACGGATTTCAGTAAAGAAGATTTCTATGGGTGCAGAATGTTATTTATTGGAGCTACTCCGTAGTAATATATGTGCTGCGAGACTGACGTGACGTCATAATTGATCACTGTAGGCAAGAGAGCCTTGAAGCATGTCACAGCCGCGTAATGTATAGATAAATCCTGGAAAACTTGTCTAAGAAGTCATGTACATACTACAAAGTATAAAATGTATTCCGCGGAAATGTTTAGAGTTCTTATCGCGCCAAGACCCTTTCACTGATAACTTCCTCTCAGATGACTTGCTGTATATCTGCGCGAACATGATCGCCAATGCGGCAGCTCTATCCACAACGTTAATTCGTTATCTTCCAAATTTTGTTCATTGATTTAAATTGCCAGTGATAACAAAATAGATAGAGAGTACTCCGTATCTTGACAAGACATTGAATCTCGGCTGTCATAGGCCCACAGTGGCGCATTGCCCAGGTGCGACAAGAGACGACTCTGGAAGCACCCCCTCTCGGTACTTGGGTATGTCCACATGCAGCCTCGATAATGACATCCATGCACCAAGATAATCGAGATAGGCATTAAAGTAGGTGGATGTGTATATATGTGGTCAATGTCCCCAGATCTATGTTGAACTTTCCAATCATCAAAATAGAGAGATCCTAGAACCTTGAGTTGGGCACCCGGACAGACCTTGCCAAATTAGACGTCTGGTTGACGATTTTCCTACAAGATGCCTTCGAATGCTCTCTGTCCCCAGGAGGTGACCGAGCTTATTTCGAATGTCGGCACCCAAAAGGGCAACCTGCGTCTAGAAAAAACGTTTATGAGTGCTGTCTCAGCTGGCTGCTTATTGGCATTTGCCTGCGGAACCGTTCTCAGCACAAACGCCACCCCTTGGTTTCAAGCGAACGCACCTGGTTTGATGCGAAGTATAAGCGCATTGTTATTTCCGTATGGATTATGTATGATCATTCTCACGGGGGCGGACCTATGTACAGGATCATTCATGGTATGGCTATATGCGAGATCACACGATCATTCTTGATATAAGCACTGTGAGAACTAAGATTTATTAGTTTACGACTGTTGCAGTGCTGCATCGCCGCTTGTCTTGGACCAGAATGCTCATACATTGGGGTGTGACGTTTCTCGGTAACTTGGCAGGGTCCCTGTTTGTTGTGGCTATTATATTTGGTTGTAGGTTTCACGCACGAAATTTATTCAAGGTTTTACTAAGATTACACCCACAGACGGCGATGTCTTTTCGGCGGAACCTTTCAAATCTGCCGTGATTTCTTTTGCGACCAAGAAGCAAGTCGTGCCACATTTTCACACAATACTTTTACGCGGTATTGGCTGCAACTGGCTGGTGTGCTTAGCTTGCTTCTTCGGTTTCCAAGGTCAAGACCTAGCATCCAAGGTTGTCGGTATATGGGGACCTACGTTTGCGTTTGTCTCACTGGGATTTGACCATGTTGTGGCCAACATGACGTTCATACCATTGGCAATCTGGCTTGGGGCACCACAGATCACAGTGGAACTATACATCTGGAAGGGTATCATTCCAACTTTGTTGGGCAACATTATTGGCGGCGGTCTCTTTTGCGGTATGTAAGCTTTATGGATTTGCAAGTAAGAGGTGTGGACTAAGCGAAGATACAGGAACCTACTATTGGTATATGCAGCTTCTTGATACGAAGTCTTTGCCCTTATACATTACAAAGAGAGATGGCGATAATCTAGCAGGTCCAGCATTACACTCCGATGGGGCCAATGCTAGGTAGATTGGTATCCTGGTACCATGTGTTGTTTCGGGCTGAGTTTATGACAATATAGTGAAATGACAAATGCTTAATATGTCAGATAAGAGAGCTCGGGGCGTTTGTCTTGGAATTATTGCCAGATAGTTCAATAGTTAGGTAGTAAAGAGGGAAGTGTAGGTACACTCTAGGTGCACTTGTCGATCCGGCCACATAGGAGTAAGAAATACCAAACCGGGTATAAAAGAGGAGAAGAACCGGGAATCCCAGTTTAAAACGCGGGAAAGAACGGATTCAATCTTCAAACTAGAGGCAATCTACTCCGTACACAATGAATAGCAAAATAGCAGCTGATCATATAACGAAGGAATCAAAAAGGGGCACTCGGGCAGACACAAGCCTTGGCACTGGGTGACTTGCTTCGTACGCCCATGATAATTAAAAAGACTAGTTATGTAGTTAAGCCCGACCTTATCAGCAAGGCAGCAAGATAATCGCAACATTAAATACACGGCTTGCGTGATAATCTTCCGATCCCTTCGCTCGCTAGCCGACCAGCCGCGGCGAGTGTTTCTGGCCTCGGAACGAGGTTGCGAATGACTGCAAGGCATCTAGACTGAAATCAACTCAACGAAAAAGCACCCGATGTTGCCTAGAGATAGTAGGTCCACGGGTACAGCCCTGGAGGGTGCTTCCAAATCCCACTCAAGAACATGCACAAAGAGGACCGACCCCAACCCCAGTAGTCAAGGATCATTGGAAGATGGATGTCATAGCCGACCGTGGCGACGAGCCGATCGGTCTGGTTCTCACTATCCATGGATCATTCTTCAAGTCACCTGCATAGGCGCGAGTGAGCAGTCTATATATGGATCGATTGACGTCCATGGATCCAATTCTCATCAAGATCAAATTTGCTTTTCCTTCGCAGCCTTTCGATAATTTAAATATTACTCTGAAGCTTCCAAGGCTCCTTCGATCGATCTAGTACAGCGACCCGAGCAATTGATACAATATGGCTCCGGGTATATTAGAGACCAATGACTTGACGCAGTGTTCTTCAAATACAGTGAAGTTGTCTGTCTTTCCTGATGGCCTGCGAACATCTGGACAGCATCCCCCAGTGTACTCGCAGGTGCGACCCCACAAAGATTTCCCCCTGATTCATACTGGGCCCACTGTTTGGAAGCCGGAAGATTACCGGGATTATCCAGAGCTTTGGACGCACAGATTCAGCGCCGAAGAAATTCGGGAGATTGGCAGGGCTTCAGATGAGTTCATTCAGAACGAAACACCTTTGACTGGTATATCCAAGGTATGAGACACGATATAACACTTTATACTCTGTAGTTATCCTGACCTGTGTACAGCAAAACTTCCCACTTCCAAATCTCTCTGTACGACTAGAAGAGCTAAGGAAGGACCTCATCGACGGAAAGGGGTTCTTCCTATTCAGGGGGCTTCCTGTTCGAGAATGGAACCTGCAGAAGTGTGCAACGGCTTACATGGGACTTGGAACATATCTGGGTTATTTCGTTAGTCAAAACGGCCGTGGGCACGTTCTTGGTCATGTGAAAGACCTTGGAGAAGATCCGACAAAGACCGACAGAGTCCGAATCTATCGAACTAATGCCCGGTATGAGTGAACTCTGATCCAGGGGTTTTAAAACAAGGAAATGTGTGAGCTAACCGGTTCATCAGACAATATTTTCATACGGACGGAGCGGATTTTGTTGGTCTGCTTTGTATTGCAAAATCCCTCTCTGGAGGCGAGTCTGATATAGCATCAACGCACCATGTGTTCAACACACTTCAGGAGAGGCACCCCGATGTTGCCCAAACCCTGTGTGAACCCAACTGGTATTTCGACCGCAAGGGCGAGGTATCAGAGGGAGAAGAAGAGTGGATCCGAGGTAGTATATTTTACCTCGAACATGACCGCAGCGATTCACCCCCCCCGAGTTTATGCGAAGTTTGATCCGATGAACGTGACTTCACTAGCTCGCTTTAACTCAGGACCAAATGCACACATCCCCCCCTTTGTCCGAGAAACAGAAATATGCATTGGATGTGTTTGAGAAGACTTGTGCAGAGCTATCCTTGCATATGATCTTGGCCCCCGGTGACATTCAATTCTTGAGTAATGCACAGGTTTTCCATGCACGAACTGCCTATACGGATCATCCACCTGGGGCAGTTGATGAAGATGGTCTCCCCGCCCGCAGGCGACACCTGATGCGACTCTGGCTCGCGGCGCCCGGAGTCCGAAGGCGGGTGGAGACTTCCTTATCATGACACTCTGCAGAAGAAAAGAGGCGGCATTCAAGTAAATGACACGGCACCTGTGTGCCCTTTGGATGCCGAGTGAAATATGGAATACCAGAGAGGCGACCCCTGAATGATGTATTGTTGGCGTCTGTGTTTGCCTGATTGTCAGGCGCCCAGCAGGGTAGACAAGGACTAGATGAGAGAGCTTCCCTCTTTTTTCTCTCCTCGTCTCGAATGCTACATACATTGTCGTACCATAATGTTGATCTGCTTGCTAGGTATGTATGGTAGCCCTGCTGGGCTCTGTTTAGTACATCAAGTCAATTCATGGAGTGTACCCAGTTGGGTTGTTGTTTGGTTCTAATATAGATGTGAGTGTGTACATTGTAGATAAAGTATCACTGAAAAAGCAGGCCCCATCCATGGATCGCAGGAATTTACCTGAAAGACTTGATACGGCAATAAGAGGAAGTAATAGTGCGCCCAAAGTCAACCCAGAACCAGCAGTGTCAATTCTGAGGGAAAGGGAAAACAGGAAGCCATGACTCCGTTTGAGTAGAGGGATTTCCTCCAGCCCATGGCAATAAACCAGCACCTTCAGTTCCTGAACCAACCGCAGTGTCTGCGGGTTGCCATGCCCATCCCAAATCAGACATGAACAAGGTTTGCAACTCTTCTAAACTCGCATGACCCAGCCCTGGCTCATCTGGCACGTCACCCGATCCATTATTCCCTCCACAGGATGACTTATCAACCTCATCGCTCTGATCAGGAAGTATACTACTGGGCGCAGAAGAGGTACGAGCAGTCTCTGGGGCATGTCGTTCTGGGATCGATTTACGCGCCATTCGAAAGATAGTCAACGGATTCAGCACGTAATCGGGGGCACTTTGTATAGGAGGCTCCAATAAGGGCTCGCTGGAGAAGTATGTCAGTAAGCTGATATGGGTCGTGAATGTATTACACTCAGACCTTGGGTATTCCGCTTTGTTGGGTTGATATGGGTCATCGGGAATGATGTTTTGGCAAATCACCTCCGATTCAACACCCGACCGATCGAGCATCGTTTCTGCCGCTGAGCACTGGGAGCAATAAAGCTTCAGAAATGAACCTCTCATGACCGCCATGAATGGGAAAGGGAGCGATCAAATATTGTCTACTAACCAGTGTGTTTGCAATCGCGTTGAGAGATCCCATCAACTTGAGTGCACCAATGTTACTTCGAAGCAGCGGAATTGCAGATAAAGTCAAACGCCTCGTTGATTCCAATTCGGGATCGAGGACTTGTGTCAAGTGGTATATCATGATACGGCAGCTGTCGTACACAATCGTCGGGAGCCAGGAGTCTGCTAACATTCGGGGACCGTGGCGGGCAGTCTGTCCGATAATACTTGCCAAAGCCCGGGCGGCGTCGAAAAGAACCTGCTGGAGGTGGCGAAGAAATTCGTGTTGTTCGGGTGGAAATTCAAAGGCCGCTCGGAGCTTGTAGAGAGCTGGCGCCCCGAGTCGGTACAAGTCGCAAATAGTTTGGTAATGTGCACAGTGTAGTACACAAAGAGCACCCAACTGTGACGTATCTTTGCGAATGTAAATCGCCTCTGGTGAAAATTGTAGACTGGGAGGCAGTGAGGAATACCACAGTCTGCACTCTGAATCTAAGACCGAGAACTCCGATCTGGGGTCCCAAGGCACCATTGCATTCCCCAGGTGCTTGATATATCTGCTCCTCCGTCAATTTTCTCAAGCAAACAACGGGACAGCTTATCCGAGCAGGCACATACCTCAGCACTCTTTTCCGAATCGAGATGTGTCGGATGAAGTATGCCATGATCCCCATATTAGGGAGAAGGGTGTCGGTCTCAACGTGGCCGGGTAATATCTTGAGCCAGCTGCCTGGGGCAAGAGTTTCGGTAAGACAAGGCACTTGTTGGATGAAATTCCGCTCGTTACATGGAAGTTGAATCTTTATGTCCCTTTCTTCCATCAGGGTTAGCTGATCAACTCCACTACCCACAAGTGCATCCATGATATAACAACTCCACATAAGACGTCTCCGGGACTCTTTCTCAGTCACTGAAAGCCCCTCTTCGGTATCGTGACACAAAATGTCAGTGTTGTATTCGAGGTTGATCTGTAGGGCCTGCGTCATACGAGTGGTGATCCCACTCAGCATGAACGCGTTCGCGAAATTGCCCATGCGAACCGCATAGTCATGCAGCAGCACAGCAGCCTTTGTGAATCTTCAGTTTTAGTTTGAACAGGAAACATTTGCATGGTCTCCGTAGGGAACGCACCATCAAGTTTTCAATTGTAACTGTATCCAATGCTTCAAGTATAAGCCGCTGAGTTATCTTGGCCCACTGCGAGCCCGCAGAAAGTACAAGCTTTGGTGAAAGAGCTGAAATTGTCTCACTGTAGTTCAACGCAAAGAATCTGCATCAAACCAGATAGATAAGCGGCCGTGCCTTTAGTTAGGATAACAGTGTTTTGGGCTTACTGAGCTCCAAGTGCGCAAATGACATGCAGAAGGGCATGAGTTTGGTATTCGTTGGACAGATCTCCGTCCAACCTTTGCAGAAATGCAGGTTTGTGGATGAATGTGAACGCGCGAAGAGGATGAATGTTGTTGAAATATTCATCAGCAAGTATTCTGATCCTAGCCGGCGAGGGAAGATCGGACAAAGATAACCTGGGGCCATATCAGTTGAATTGGAAAAGGCAAAGAACAATTCGCCAACTCACCAATCTAGAGGCGACGAGAGCACCTCCAGTCTTTCCGCGGCAGCAAACGGCTGCTGTGAAGGAGACAGAGCTTCCAAGGATGCCAGAGCACTGGTCTGACTTGATGCAATATTTCTAGGCGAGTGGGAAACCAAAGGCGTTACTGGGGTACATGTCTCGGGATGGTTGGTGGCGTTCAAGTTAATCCTCCGTATCCAAGTAGGCTGTGACGACTCTGCGTACACACATGGCACATCTTTATCTTGGCATCGTTTGCAAGTCGGTCGTGCCCCAGAGCATTTTGTTTTTGAGGCACGACACGCAGCACAAGAGCGATAAGTTCGCTTTTTTCGCCAACAGTCATCGGCCAAAACCCCACTAGATGCTTGTGGCTTCGGCGATGTGGCATAGCCAGAACAAATGAGCCTCAGCCGAGAGCAATTGTCACATTCGCCTGGCCTTTCATCACATTTGACCTGAGAATATGCGAGTCAATCTAGATGAACTTTGGGTTCAACAGCTGAGACTTCTCACTTTTCGGGCACGACAAGTGCGACATCCTGAGAGGATTAGCCATGCTTGTCTCATGGAATGATGCTGTCACCCACCAAAGCGCGATCGTGATGTTTTGCTGGCTCCCATGATTGATGCTTATGCCGCTTGTTTTCAAAAAAAAGAGGCATGGAATGAGTATCGGAGTATCGGCGGGCGGTCGGCTAATGTTATGGCGGGATGTGCATGCTGAATGACGCGAAGCGGAGAAAGTGGAGATTCCCAGGACTCGTGGATCTTGAGGCGCGTGCTTATTCCTCTTATGTACTCGGTACTTCGTGGTCCGCATGGAATGCTCCCCGCGATCACTCTTTGAGTCCTGTTGCGCCTTGCAACGTGGTGCACGTAGAATTCAACGTCACCCCGTATTGTCTCAGTTTGAAGTGATTTACGGAGTAGTTTGCAGATACTCGGTGAGGTGGAGATTCGGCGTTAAACCTACGGACAATTGGTTATGCACATGGTAGAGATCAACCATGGAAGTTTGGAAGAATGTCCTCCCCATATGCGTGGTCCTTCAGGGGCTCGAGGTTTGCTTGGGTGAGCGTCCATTGCTGCCCATCTGACAGCCAAAGAGAGGGTGGATTTGAACGGCGCTGGTAACCTTGAAAAGTACGGAGTACTCCGGAGTAGCCCCTGAGGCCCTTTTTTGACAGGACGCGATAAGCGATAAGCGATAATGGATAAGGGACTATCGATACCTAAGACGAGAGTGACCTCGGGCGCAAAGCCCTGGAGTACTGCCCGCGCAATCTATACCGCCTTACATACCGCTTTGGCCCCCACGCGGAGGTTTTACAACTTTGCTTACTTGCTTTGCTTACTATCATATCTTTGGTCAAGAAATTTCTTTACTTCATGTCGACATGGGATCAAAGACTGCTGAAAATGAGAGTCAGGGAGGCGGAAGTACATCATATTGTTATCCCGAGCATCATTGGGACCAATAACTAACTTCTGGTAGACGCTCCTCCCAGCTCGACTAAACTCAATGCCACTGGCGGAGAACCCAGAGGAGTTCATTTGTCCCGGGATGGTGATGGGTCACTCGGTGATGATGGCGGCGACGATGACTCCGATGGCGATGACAACACCGGTACTTTGGCCTTATCGATGAACCAGGGATCTGATCTACCATCCGTTTCCAAGAAGAAGAAACGCACCAGGAGTAAAAAAAATCGAAGAAGCGACCCTTGGGACAAACTTCACCACCACGAATTCCTGTTCAGGATTTGTTCCCTGGCGGTAGGTATCCACACGGCGAACTGCAAAGTTATGAGCCTATGGTTGAGAATACCGCTCGCGTCACTGCCCAGGAAACGCGCTCCAAATCTCGCCATCACCTCGAAGATGATGCCTTCCTAGACGACTACCGCAAGGCAGCCGAGGTCCACCGTCAGGTCCGACGCTGGACGCAAGACACTGTTCGTCCGGGACAGTCGCTCACGGAAATTGCAGTAGGCATAGAGGATGGGGTGAGAGCGTTGCTTGACAATGCCGGACTTGCTCCTGGTGATGGCCTTATCTCAGGGCTGGGATTTCCGACGGGACTCTCTCTTAACAACTGTGTGGCTCACTACACGCCGAACCCTGGTCAGAAGGACGTGCTCCTCAACTCGACTGATGTCATGAAGGTCGACTTTGGGGTTCACATCAATGGTTGGATTGTTGATAGTGCCTTCACAATGTCATTCGATCCAACCTATGACAACCTACTTGCTGCCGTCAAGGATGCAACGAATACGGGTATCAAGGTAAGTGAAGTTCTCTTTACATATTGGAATCACCGCTAACTATTTAGAACGCCGGTATCGACGTTCGTATCAGTGACGTCAGTGCTGCTATCCAGGAAGCCATGGAAAGCTATGAAGTGGACATCAAGGGGAGAACAATCCCTGTCAAGGCGGTCCGCGACCTCAGCGGACACAATATTGACCAATACCGCATTCACGCTGGCAAGTCCGTGCCATTCATCAAAAAATTCGGACAACACCAAGATGGAAGAGGGCGAAATCTTTGCCATTGAAACTTTTGGAACAACCGGTCGTGGCTACCTCCGGGACGGGGTACGATTATATCTTTGCCTTCGTCACATTCAGCCCACTGACTTGTACATCTAGCCTGGGGTTTATGGATACGGAAAATCCCCATATGCGCCGAAAAAGATCAACACGCATCTCACCTCGGCAAAGTCGTTGTACAAGACAATTAGCGAGAATTTCGGCACAATTGTGTTCTGTCGACGCTATCTCGAACGTCTCGGAGTGGATCGTTATTTGGCAGGCGTAAGTTACCATGACTATCATCACTGAATCATGAACTGACCTTAGCTAGATGAATTATCTCGCATCCAATGACATTGTTGAGGTCTATCGGCCTCTGATGGACGTCGAAGGGTCGTATTCCGCGCAATTTGAACATGTACGTGTATCTCATGAAATGGGAAGCCCATCACTAATGTTTGCAGACTATTCTATTGCGTGGATCATGCAAGGAGGTGATCAGCCGTGGGGATGACTACTGACCTCGGGGTTGTGATTCAGAAATCCGTCGGCTCGCCTGCTTAGCTCACATTTGTTTTTGTTGTTTTTTGCTCGGAGTTTGATGCCATTCAACATGGTACGGACTCCCCCACACAGTCATTACCGAATATGTCAAATGTCGAAGTATGTCCATTATATATGGAGCTTGCTACCTTGGCTTTTGGCCTTTAACAACTCAATCAGACTCTTTATCTCTATTGAAGCCGAATTCAGCAACCTGTCGTTGAATTCAGCAAGTACTATGGCTTTAATCGTCCTCAACAGTCTGTCGCGGTCGCTTCAGTCACCCACTTAGTCGACTAAGATTCACGTATGAGAGACAACCTTGGAATACGAACACCAGCGTCCGTCCACACCCGGCCAGGTGGCTAAAGCTTCAAATTTAGATACTGAAGTGGAAAGAGCGCGCTGGCGGTCTGACATCGCAGACAAGACGACGGGGGTGCTCAGTGCTCGGCGGGAAGGGTGAGACATGCAAAGCCCTAGCACACGGCCCGATTAGGAAGTAGATGCTGTTTTGCCAGAGAGGTATTGAATGCTTGGATTGCTATGCTATGAAAACGGGGCTAGAAATAGCCCAGGGATGCCTGAGGCACAGGTGGGAGCGGCGCGGTTTCCCCACTACAATACATATCGGACATTCCAAGGTCCCAAGGGTTCAAAGAGATGTCGCACTTGCCCCCAGGGCCACTTGCAAAAACCCGGAAGGTCAACTGAAATATACAATCCCGCCTGAACCTTAGAACCTCCGGAACCAAGGTTGGGTTAGCTATTATTGTGGATTCTGTTTGTGACTGTCGTTCTAGTTTGCCTTTGTACTATACCTAGATATTCGGCGCAACTCCAGGGCTGTGCCAGGCAATTCCATGGATATGGTCCTAGATTGATGTGTTCCAAAGTTGGGAACTAACCCGACAGCCCGGCGTGAGTAATTGCAGGTTCAAACCGGACCTCGGGAACATTGTGAATGGAATTGCCCAGGTGATTCCAAGGTTGGTGCGGTTATAGCTCATGTACCTAGGTATGCGCCCTGGAGTGAGTGAGAAGTGGGTGACTTCTGTGACCGGGAATGGGTTGCACTCAATTGATGTGGTGTTACCAACTTTTCCAGATGTCGATCTGCAATATATAACCCGTGGATCACCCCGCTACTTCCAAGGTTTTTCTTGCGACCGAGTGCTAATGCCAAATATAATATGCTGGAGCCGATACTTGCCATACCCTACTCCATAGTGTGTGCTCTATTTGGTACGGTGATCTATAGTCAATCACTGTTACTAATTATCTGATGATATTTAGGTATTGGTGCAAGCATACGAGCTTTCGAAACATCTATATAGACCATTCTCTTTGACTTTGCTCATATAGTAGGTGGTACTTTCCATGAAATTCTAAAGTTTTCCCGAGGTTTAGGGTTGCTATCTTTCCACCAGCCTATTTGGCACAGCTGCCACCGTATGAGATAGATATTGTTGGCGCATGTGCTTGCCGGGTTTACTAGGCTCCCCGCAGATACATGTAGATAGAGGGAGCGAGCTCTCTTCCCTTCTTTTATTGTTCTCGTCCCACGATACACTACTTTATCCTGTCTGCTCCCTCTCTTCGATATAGATTCCAAGGGTGTACGTTTTGCAAGGTCAGCCTCAAATATTGATCACGTATGGGGCATAAAATGGTCATCTCACGAGTATTGAGAATAGCCTCGAAACATGCGTGGAATTAAGATCTCTTCTGACAAATCCCTCTGAGAACTACATGTGTCTGGTGGGCTGTATGCGAATGAAGCGGGCCTTGGCACTTGGGCGGAATGAAGATCAGGGAGATGAATTATGGAGTGCGTATTTTGTAATCGTCACGACAAGGCTGATCTACTGGGAGAAGAATTGTGGAGTGCGTATTTTGTAATCGTCACGACAAGGCTGATCTACTGGGAGAAGAAAACAATAGCCGAGAAAACAGGAGATTCAGACCGTCAAAGCAAAAAGAGACGGGAGAAGAATAGAAGAGGGAGCGAGGGAAAGCGAGATCAGGGCTGTCAACTAGATCATCTGACCACTAAACCACCCAATAGTTATCGTGAAGTTGGCCCCTAGAGTAAACGAGAAGCCCTATCTAGCTATCATTGTTGGCACAAGACCAGGCGGCTGAGCCCCCGGTTTTCTTGTAAGATGCATTTATACTCACAACCGAGCTGTAGGTGCCACCTATTGTCAAGAAAAAAGCCAGCCATAATCATGAAGACACACCAAGCAACCTTGATAGACCAGATCAAAGACCTTCGATGCCTTCCGGGCCCCCAGTTGTCATATAGCCACATGCATCCCATGGGCTGAAAGCACAGGGGAGTTGCGAGAAGAGCACCGACAAGTGAAACTAAATCACTAAACACAGGGATGCTGCTTGCAACAATATGCGCAACTGTGACTATTGTGAATGTTGATCCGAGCCATGTTACCCAGTGAACTGTTGTTTGTCCTGTCAAATGCCTGGTACCCCGTAGGATGCGAATGAAGACATGTTTTGCGGGCAACTTGCGTCTCGTTAGTCAAGATCCGAAGAGAGTCCTGGGCCTCATATATTCCCCGTTCAATAGATACTCACATGTAGTAGCAAAATTGCGGAAACACAAAGTCCCGGGAGTGCGAAGCCGTAGCTCACTTTCTTCACCAAAGGCCCAGCTGAACCGAGTGCTGGGATGCAACATGAGACCCGCAGTAGTAGTACACAACTGTTCCAACGACAATGTAAATAACGGTGACAAGCAGTTGACATATGGCCAAGGCTCGGTTGTATAATTGGGGATCACGCATTTCTGAAATGATGTTAAAAAACGCCGGCGTCCCAGCATAAGTTAAACAAATGGTTGACACGGCAGTCATTGCTTCCACAAAAGTTGGATCTCCAACCAGCTTGTAATCGGACAGTGGAATACCACCATCAATACGCGGTGGATGGCCTTGAACACCAACAGCAATAGACCAACAGCAATAGTAACAATGAAAACTACCATGTAAAGGTCAACATCCCCACAACACCACTGAAGGGTGTGGTTGGACATACCTGCAATAATGATACATGCTGTACCTATCCATGCCAGCCAGCTTATACGACCGAGAGTTTGTATGCTCGAAAACGTAAATGCAATGATAGCAGCAACTGCTACAAAGACCGCAGTGCAAGTGCCGTGATCAGTCAGGGCGTTGAATGAGATTGAGATACTCAACAAAGCAGATCCACCAGAAAAGATCCAGTCTTTCATCAGTTAGCCCGATGAATCGATTCTGCGGTTCTGAAAAGGCTTGATGCACTCACAAAGTGTGTAGGCCGCGCCAAATAACTCAAATCCAAAACGCCCGAATAACATTCGCCCAACATCATCAATACCGTAAACACTCGGATGGCGAATTTTGAAGACACCTATCATCCAATTGGACCATGTTGTCATTCCGGCAATGACTACGAGGAGAACGATTCCCGGAATTATTCCAAGGGTGTCAAACACTTTGGGCATTGAAAGGACGCCTAGTCCAATCTGAGTTTTGATCAATAGGGCAGTTGTTCCTATCCAGCTCACCTGATTAGAATTAGTATAATAGAACAACCGAAAGAAGGAGACCAGTAAATCAATGGTGCTCACATTGCGGTAGTTTGTAACACCTTCTTGTATCTCTCCGAAGACAGCATCATCTTGGATTGTCTTGCTGGCAAACACTTCCCCAACTTGTGACTGCGTCGGTGCAATCTGCTCTGAGTCCAAATTTTGATTGCTTTCTTTCTTCATGTTGATTGTTTGGGAGATAGATAATCGCAGACAACGAAAATCGGCCGTTTTGGACAAAGGATTACCTATATATCTCAACACCCGAACCTGGTTTCTAGAACGTAAGCCTCGGGCTCATCAACGCTACAGCCTCTCCATTTCTGTATTAGTGGAATTTGACCCCGGTAATGGAGTGCGGGGAAAGAGATAAGCAATATAGAAACTGCTTCCGGACGGCCAGAAATGGAGTTCAAAACGTCACTTTACAAGTAGAAACTGAAAAATAAGGGCGATCCTATTGGTTGCGGTAAATTTTCACAGGTAGATATCAATATGATATTGTGTGGGGCACCACCTTGTTCAAGTCGTTCCGACAGACGAGGGCAAGTCGGACCGAGAAAGCCAGTATTTTGGCCATTCTATTATCCAATGTGGCTACCTGTTTAATGACAGCATTGGACTGGTAGCTCAATCCAGGTGACTTGAAATATGTCTGTGCCTAGACTTGATACATATCTCCATCATAGTTGACGTATATCTACTAAGTACGGAGTACTATCACCATAGTCCCAAGGACACAGAGATAAGGAAAGTGGTTCCGTGGCTTATGTGCCCCCGATCCCACCATTCATTAAATATCTGGAAACAAAACGCGAAATGAAAAGAAAAGCTCCTTGTCAGTGAATTCCAGCGGGTAGATCAATCGATCAAAAAGTGATCCTGCTACAATCACTCGGCAAGTTATATCAACTGGCTCCAATACATCAGCTTAAGGAGTGTCTACTATTAGGAATGAGGCAAGAATTTCTTAATTAAAGGCGGCTGCGAGCTTTATCAGGACAAGCAACCAAGTCCACAAGCTCCCTGACTTTCAGGGCTACCCCATAACTGAAGATGTATCCTAGCCCAGCAAACCCATAAGCATGGACTGTATGGCCATCGGTCTCTAGACGATATCCACCCTTTCGGCCAGGCCGAAACGCCACTATGTCCTTCTGGACATCAGTTTCCAAATCGATCGCGCCAATTTTTCCCTCTGTAAGCTTTCCGACACGTCGAAGAATGTCAGAACGCAGACTTTCATCTACATTGCGGTCTGAGCTTCCAGGCTGGCTTACTCCACCGATAATTGCACCGTGGGTGAACATCCGAGGAATAACATAGGTATAGTGTGAGCCTTGGTGCATCTTCAACTCCTCGAAGTCTGTTGTGACAAACATGGTCTGGCCCCGGATAGCCATAACGTTCTTGTCGTTCGCAAGAGTGAATGCACCGAGTCCCGATGCATGCACCATAAATTTGGCTCCAATGATCCTCTTCGCTTCCTCGATGGAACTAAGCGTCCTTCGAATGAACTTCACACCACGGTCTTTAAGCTGCTTTTGAATCCATGGCAAAAGAAACTGAGGATTGATTGTCATTGAGGTGTATGTGAAACCAAGTTTGACCCCTTCAGGAAGGTTGTGGCTGGCGATGCGGCGATAGCGCGGCACCATAGTTTTGTACCAAATAGACGAATCGTCATCACGATCGTCATAGTACTCAGTTGCTTTGACAACCTGGGAGCGATGTGAGTAGGCAAATCAACACCAAAGACCCGGAATTCACTCCTGCGTACCTGAACACCGCTGGTCGGATCTCTATGAGCTAGAGCCCAGAAGTATTTGAAATTCTCGGTCTGGAGAGAATGGCCGCCGACATCTGGATGAGGATAGATTGATACACCAGCCCTATGTTTGAGTTAGTGAAAGTTGCAGATGAGGACCTATCATTATCCCCTCAGAGCCTCACCAAGGGCTTGCCCAGTCCTGCGTCTCATCACCCGGCAAGTCTCTCGCAATAATGGTCACCCTGTAGCCTGCATCTGTGAGGGTTAAAGCAGATAAGAGCCCAATGATCCCAGAACCAATTATGCCGACCTCCATTTTCAACGATGAACTGTACAAAGGATTTGGACTTCGAGGGAGCTCACCCCAGGAGTATTTACATGACCAGCGATCGAGATGGGCGGATCGACTACCTCTGCCGAAGCTGCCGGAACCACCTGCCCCCATTGAGTTGCTCCTCTTTTCCCCCGCAATCTTCTTTTCGTGGGGCTGTCAGCATGGTTTGCTTTAGCGTACAGATAGCGTGAGGATCGGCGTCTACGGGGCATCTCTCAGGGTAAATTTGCTTTTGGTAAATGCTATCTCGTTACTCGGTCTCTTCGTCTGATTAAATCTTACTTCATACCTAGGTACTGATTGGTTTATATTAGGCAAAATGCAGGTCCTATCCACTTCCACAATCACAACCTTTCGTAATAAATTTTATATCAGCCGATAGCTGAGGACTAGCTGTATTTAAGTATTTTCTTTAAATTATAATTGACCCTCTTATTATAGAGTTATAAGCATTCAAAGTTGGTCAAATTTTGTATGGTATCTAAGTTGTGAGATACCTTAGGTTATAGTGTTAATTGTATCTGAATTTCTGTTATATATGCTAATTGTATTTGAATTTTTGTTATATAGCTTTCTCTCAACTATCTTCTAGTCGATTTTTATAAAATTTTAAAAATAGACTGAAATCTTTTTTAGATATATTATATTAAAATCTAGATATAGAGAGACCTTTTTAAAAGGATGAAAAAGAATGTTCAAAATTATAGTATTTTATATATCTATATGATATTAAGGATTAAAATCTTAATATTATTTTATTTTAAAGGAATTTAATTAAATCTTAACTAATATTTATTAAGATTAATAATATTATATTTTAAAAATTCTAGATAAAGTTTTATAATTATATTTATAGTTTTATTATTACTAAATCTTGATTTTAAATCTATATTAACTATCTTAATTTTATATTATCTATATATAAATATATCTATAATTATTTTTAGTTTATTCTAGTTAATTTAAATCCCTTCTATTTCTATTAGAATTAATATTTTATTTTGTAATATAAACTCTTTAATATTCTATATTTTATTTTTTAGATTAATTTATAATTGTACTATAAATAGTTACTCTCTTTTTTAATCTAGTTATTAGATTAATATCTATTAATTATAATATTTATTTTATAGTTAGCTTAATTATATTATTTTAATAATACTCTATAGTTGTTAGATCTTTTTAGTTTTAGAAGTACTCGATAGTGAGAATTAGATTATTATTTTTAAAATTAATTAATTATTTTTTTTTGTTTATTGTTTTTTTTACTAGCTTTTTTAACTTGATATCTTATTTTACTTTTTAATTATTAATCTTTTTATTATAAGATTTAATTTATTTTTTTAAATGGATGTTTTATGATAATTTTAAACTAATTATTTAATATCTAGTTTTATAATCTCTAATATTCTTTTCTCTAATATTATATAAAATAGTTAAGAATTAGTCTGAAAAATATATATTATAGATTGTAAATATTATCTTGATATTACTATATTTATTATTTCTAATAATATCTAATTATCTTTAAAGAAATTAAAGTAAGATAAGTTATATATTAATGATCTAATCTAATAGAAGTCTAATAAATATCACGCTAGACAACCAAGCTACATATACTGCAGCTTAAACCCACATAAAGGCATAAGAAGACGCTCATATACACACTAGATTAGCTTTTAAACCACTTCTATCTTATGCAAATCTTTAAGTTAATAATTAAACCACAACTATACACACAAAAGTAAAGCTAGCAGAGAATTGAGTAACTTGTAGTTGGTAGTATATATTATATCATTATAAGGCCTAACTCCAGATCGCCTCTAACACTACCAACTAGCTATAGGTGTTAATAAGTTATATTACTATCTTCAAGTCTTGATTCTTCTAAGTCTTTTAATCTAAGTCTTTGAATGTTGATTTAGATGTAAAGATTGTGGAAATCTTATTATCTATAATGATTTTTAATAAATCTAAGTATTGTTTACTTTATTAAAATAGTAAAAATATCTAAATTCAAAGAATTAAACTAAAAGTTTAAGGGAAACCATGATTTATAATATATAAAGAGAGATTATAGTATTTAGATATATATTTTTACTATAGATATAACTAAAATATATAAATATAGGATTTCTATATTACTATTATCTACTTTTATAAATTTAATTAATAAAATAATAGTAACTCCTTATATAGATCATTAGGGATTAGGG